AGGTATAGCTTGGGAGGTGGGTGGATGAGAATGTACCGAACGTTCTAGCTCTAGCAATTTGAGTTTTGTATGGGTGGCATCATGCTGCAAGCCCGCTACCATACTCTTTCATGAAATAAAATGAGCGCGGTTTGAAGCGCAAATAGAAACTGTTTAGTTACCTTTGCTGTCTTTGAATTGAGACCCCGGTATGGTTCGAGGCGCTCGAATGGGATGGGGTAAAGGCCAATTCCGAGTAGTTGGTTATGGAGCCGATCGATGTGCGCCTCGAGAGAGGCAATGTAGATGGTACGTCTGTGAGGTGCGCCCATAGTTGACCTGAAATGGTCAGATAGTTGGACTGAATGAAGAAAGGTGTACGCACAGCTCCTGAGGAGAGAAGAGTTGCTTCTCGAGGACATGGTTCCATATTTTTCGTCGCTTGGAACCATCCTTTTTTGCGTAAAGGCGTGCGTATGGGTGTGCGATTGTGAAGCGAGAAGCTGCTCTATGTGAATTGTCACGGGATGGGTGCTCGACGGACGAGGTATCAGAAGAGTGGTATGCAGAAACGGGGCTCTCTGATAATCTGGACTTTATGAATGAGGAGTCTTCTTTCTGCTGCGGGAATGCATACGGGTAGTGATATGGGGGTGGTGAATCGAAAGGAGACTGGGGGTAGAGAGGGTACATGGAGGGATGTTGAGATTGAACATGGTATAGGTTATTATATATTGATTGGTTCGGATCGGGACGACGGGGATCGAGAGACCAAGGTGTGGACGAGGAGTAGTAAGTGTGCTGAACCCAACTGGTATAAATTAAGATCGGCGATCTTGTTCACTTTGATACTCGAGTCAAATATGGAAATGAATTTCCACCGCAGTTTTTGCGGCGAGTGATGTACTGCATGTGAGGCTTCTGGAACGCCACGATCCGGGCCCGCGGCGCATATAAGCGTGGAGATGAGGTGGACTCAACCTGCAAAGCGTCGTTGGTATGAAACTAAGGTCCTTACGCTTGAGCTTTACATTTCATTGTATAAACGTTTGGAGAGTACCGCGAAAACTCAGATAGTCCAATTCAAGTCCGCGAGTTACGCCCCTCGGACCTTTAAATTTTATAAGCTTTGACTAGTTCGATTTGTTGCGGGTGAGCCGAGCATCTCCATTCAAACCCTCGACATTAGGCTACGACCTATGTGAGTTATGTAATGATCTGCGGGGGTCTATAAACGTCACCTCTATGATAGCATTCAACCAGGCGTTCATCGCTGTACATTCATTTCCCTTCCCCGATCCAGTTCACCTCGGCACCCAATTTAAATCTAATCAATTATATCCTCAATTTATTCATCTGTATTAATACCTGAACACAAATTCAAAATACACACCAAACATGTATCCCACCGACTTTGATTCTCAGTATCCTCAACAGTTCACTGACCCTAATACATTGCATGACTACAACAACCCTATCCAAAGACGACAATCCATAGACGTCTATGCCATACCTGAAGATCCTTCAATCCCCTTGAATTATTCATATCCATCTATTTCATACGACTACCCAGACCCACAGGCTCAGGTCCATTTACATGCACCAGTACCCGTCCCTGTCCCCTACGGCCCACCTCACGTCCCAAACGCCTCTCGTCAACCTACCCCACCTTACGTGGAACAACCGTACTATGATCATCAGATCCCCTACCCCCCTTCAGTCCCCCAATCCGCCAACACCAGTAATCCAAATATCCTCGATTATTATGCAAACGCGCCCCAGCTTCTTTTCCCAACCCCCTCAGAACTCCTGACAGATCTTTCAACGACCTCTGTTCCAATATCCGCAACGTCCTTGCCTCAACGCGAGCAGTCTCAGAGCAGCGAACACAGCGCTGACCCTCCTGTCTCCGCTGCTCCTAACACGAGCAAGACAGAAAGTCAACGCAAGGCCCGGCAACGTGCTGTCGCCGAAGAAATAGGTTTTATTCCGACCGATCCGTAAGTCGCCTTTTTTCAGTGAATTCCGGACACTGACCGATAATTTCCAGAGATACTATTTCATCACACGAAAAAAAGCGACACTATCTGGAGTGTCTTGAGCACTATGTGCTGTATTTGCACGAGCAACTGCGTCTCGTCAATACCGCCCCGCTCTCGCTCGAGCGCGTTTCTACCTATCGTGGTCTGAGCTCTCGCAGCATCAGAACCTTGCTGGTGCACATGCAGAACACGAACCGTCGCCTTCACGAAAATACGCTGGAAGAGGAGCAGGTCGTAAGTCATTCCCTCGATTCAATTTTTTTTTTTTCGGCGGAATACTTATGACGACTCGTGCCACAGTTTCTGGATCTCTCCGCTGAAGTAATGGCGGCGCACGGAGCAGACTTTCCTATGAGGCGACATTCAGTCGATGTCATCGACCAAACAATTAGCAGCTACTCATCTGAGTCCGCAAATATCGGTGCTACTAGTAGTGGTACCAGAGATGGTGATCGCGTATTTTTAGGAACCGGGCTATCGTTGAGCGGTGTTGACCAACGTCAGCTCCCCGCAGAGTAACAGATTACTTCTGGATGCAATCTTTCCGGTCTGGCTTCCATTCATAAAATTCTCCCGATCCTTGCGTCGCATTGATATCTCTTGTATTTCCTTAACCGCATTGTCTACTTATGATTCAGCAGTTTGTGGCTGTTTTTCTCTGGTTGAGGTCGATTAAATAGAGACCCTTGGATGTACTTTGCGGGCAACTGGTCGCTTCACTCGTCGAGGAAATCTGAGCGACTGTTACGATGAACTAAATAGCGCAAGGGGATGACATTAATAGGTGCTCTCCGACGCCGGCGGTTACGCCTCATGAACACAAACGAATTGTACTCGTGCTCACGAACGACTAGTACGCGCCTCTAGTGAGCACAAGGAGCCCTAGTGCACAGGCTGGACACCCCAGATCAATGGGCCCAGATGCCGCTCCAAAGTCTGCCTAATTAATGACGTCCAGATGTTGGAGTTTGAGCTACCCTGAAACGTCAAATAGTTGCACGTACCTTTGGAAGAGCTGCCAACTTGCATTTTAATTTATCTGACGCACAGCACAAACTCGCAAATTATTACTTTCGGATAACATCGCACAATCTCAGATTTCCTCCAAATATTCTCACATTTTCCTGGATCCAGATTATCTCTTCATGTATTGTACGACTTTCTCAAGTTACTGCATTGTTTCTCAACAGGCAATATGTATGACAAGTCAACGCGCGTGCGTACGTCATGATGTCGCACCCAGTTTGCGAAAATCGTCTAAGTCCCACGTGAACTCGTACTTAGTTGTGATTTTGTTCTGGTTGGCCCCAGCGCTCTTGACTCTCGACCATGACCACGCACCAGGATCCTTAATGCTCACACAGTTCTGGTGATGCTTACATATGTTGGGAAGCTCTTGTTTATCATGCTAATCACCCTCACAAGTCACAGATACGACAACTTGACGACTTTGTGGTCAATGTACGTGATTTTTTAGTTGCCCAATTTCGGGGCTGATGTTATATTACAATGTCCTGCGCAGCTCAAGGAACTTATAGACATCCGAGGTTCGACGTGTTATCATGTGTGAGACAGCCATAGCTCATGTACGTTGTCAACATTTCTCGATGAGTTATTCATCTGACTATCCATCAATCATCCACACACAGCTGCCGCCATGCTCTCGCATCGAGTCTCGTTAACCGGAATTGATCTTGCAAATTGATTGGGTATGTTATGTGGTTGACAATATGCGCATATATTCACCTTATTTCAGTAGGGCTATCCACTTTACACCCAGCTTGATACTTCCAGTGAGATGTCTATACGAGTAATGATTTCTGAAAGCTGATACCCCCATTTTTGTTTTTTCTCCAGCTTAGGTACTCGCCGTCTCGATCATCACACTGGCAAGCTCTCGAGCCGGAACTTGCGGAGCACAGTACTGGCCTGGCGGGTGTTAGTTGTACTCTGCTATGTAGTACATACTCAGAATGTCCATGCGGTCAATGATATATTACTGAGCTGCAGTTGGGACGAGCGTGCACAAGCTATAGCGTGCTATCAAACAATATTTTGAATATAGCAGCAGCAGCATATATATCAATTGTACTGGAGAAATATCTGTGAATTTTGGGTATATTCTAGGGGAAAATGTCGCTATAATGATAGCAAAGTCTGTAATATTTGGCAAATTACCAGACAAGAGAGTCTGACAGAAAATGTGGTGATATTCTCGTCTATTTTCACACTTTATCCACATTTTACCCTTTTCATAATCTACCGGTTTGTGCTGTGACGCGGCTTCGTCATCTTGATGGGGCAGGGGCAAGGGTCCAGGAGGTGTTCCCAGTTCCGAATATCGAGAAAACACATTAAATATTGACAATACATCTGCTGCATGAGGCGTCTTCCCAAAATCGCAATCCAATTGCCAATTTCTAAAAAAGGCCGCCGAAGACAAGCCGAGATATTGAGGGCCATTTCCAAATATGGGACATGTAGCGTGTGGCGTTCCTCGGTGCATTTGCTTGGCAGCTGACATTGGCAAGGGCTGTTCAGGTTGCATAAGTTCGTACGAGCTGCGGTCCAGATATATGCCAGCGTCGAGCAAACTAGTTGCTGGCTTGTCGGCAGGCTAGGGTCCATCCTTACACGTATATGCCAATCATCCGAAGCCAGGCACAAGAATGTACAGAACTCACCCTTCCCTGGTCTTCCCTTCCCTTCCTACTTCCGAATGCACGTACCCCCGTCAACAATTAATCGTCAGAAGGACCCCCCTCGAGGAGCATCATCATTACTCAGAATCTAGTCTCCCAAAATGCCTAACTCTCCTCTCCGAGGACTCGCTAGACACCAATCAATCACCAACCGGGTCGCCGGGCAACGCCACTCCTGGTCAAAGCTCTGGACACAACCAGCCCGTCGGAGAAAGGGAACGACAAGTGATCGAGAAGCGGTGGTATTGTGATCTGAAGATCAGATTCCAGATAAACCCGGTATTGGACGACTGACCTTTGTCACGGCGAACATATCACCACCAGATAGTCAAAAACACCAACGTGCCTCCACAATGAGCACGGCGGCAGGGCAAAGATAGTACTGCACAGTTGTTCACCGAGCGGCCTTCTCTCCAAAAACTTATTTCCGTGGAAGTAGAGTCTGACAGCAACCTTCATATCGACAGACTCGGACCAGATTTCATCCACCTTCGAGCTGCCAGCGGGGCACCCGCTTTTACGTCGTAGACAAGTTCGGTCTCAACATTTCTAAAAACGGCAAATGCGTCAACCAGTGCTTTGAGAACTCCCAAAACCAGCGCCGTGACCATTAATCGAGGAGCTAGTGTCCGCTTATCTCTCAACCGGCCTTTCTATCCTTTCCAGCTGAGAGATCCCCTGACAACAGAACCACATGCAGAGGAATTCGATCCTCGCTTGTCATGCAGGACCACCACTGAGTCGATGGTGCGCGAGCGGGACCAGACCCAACCGAATAAAATGACGGATTGGAAGTCTACTAGTGATATCGGCGAGATCAATTCGTGCTGCCAGCCTCTGCAAAATACTATACTGGTACCTTCGATGCAGGTGGTCAGGTACATGCCACCGACGTGTCACGCACAATCACGAGAAGCAAACATGGTTCAATTTAAAGCGAAAGGCGGCAAAGAAGCACGCTCACCCTGATCTTTCAAATCAAAACGCAATCTCCACAGATCACTGCAACTTCTTTGTGCAGTAAGAATTAAAATATTAATGGCCCATCAATTGCTGTTTGCAATACGCACTCCGATTTGAACGTGACGATGAACAACGGCATTCATACGAACCACTCATCAGTAAGTAACAGCAAAATGGACAGGAGATACACCATTGACAGTCATCCCCTTCTAGATCCTTCTTGCCTATCGCATCATGCTGTCGCCATATGCAAGCATTCTGCATATCCACCGTCAAGGTCCCGTTCACGCATCACAGTTGTGAGTCTAAACGTATTCTCCACGAAATAACGCATAACAAACGTACGATTACACCGACGGACATCGGCTTCGCAAGCGCCGATAACAACGAAGGTCTCTGATAAATAGGCGAGAAAGAAGAAAAGCGGTGATGAGATCCTGATGACAAGTAGAAGAGGAGAAACGCATCACATATCGATTATCGGTATCAAATTTGCAAGCGTCATTGACACCAGTCTTTGTCTGCGAAACCTGCTATTGACGGGAAACACAGAATCATCAACGGGCATCTAGTATAGTTTGATAAGACGACGTCAAGTTCGACCTGTTGACGCAGAATTAGCATGGTACGAATCATCACACCCCTCGCTTCCGAGGCGATGACGACAATACATACTTACATACATACATATGGAGGAGAGCACTCCAACTGCGCCCATCTACGCATTAGGTTCGTCGTTTGGCGCAAATTTATGCTTGCCTCGAATCGCGACTTCCGTCATTCCTTTTCCGCTGCCAGTAACGCCAACTACAAGACCATTATCAGAAATAAAAAAAGTAAGGTTTCAAACCAACTAGAACGATACGCACCACGACCTAATGGGTTGTCGGGCGTCTTGAAGATGCTGGTCCCTGCCACACCGGCAATATGGACGCCCTTCTTCTCAGACTTCTTAGCAAACTTCTGCCACGTCGCTTGTTTCGCAAGTTGCTCCTTGGCTTTTGCAGCCTTGACCTCGAGTTTCTTCTCATTGCGCTTCTTCTTCCGATCCCTCTCCTCGTCCTCAGCTTTCGTTAGTTTCCTTTTGCTCGGCGCTGATACTCTCTCCTGGTGATTTGCTGGCAGTGCCTTGATTTCTGCCCCTTTTATCAATTCCGTCGTGTTGTAGCCTTTAAACATGATGCTGTATACTGGGTTCTCTGCTGAGCCACCGACACTGGTAATGCGTGCAGGATACCAACTGCCATCGCCCGAGTATTTGGCGAGACAGTCGCTTCCTGCAGTCCAGGTGTGTGAAGGTGTTGAGTTTGCTGTTTTACGGACAGAATCTGCGCGCGATGAGGAAGCAGCTTGGGCAAGCGACTGTTGGGTGAGAGAGATGAGTTCTTGTAATTCTGAGCGGAGGGAAAGGAGTTCGGAATTGTCAGGATCTGATTGCAGCGCGAGCTCGACCTGAGAGAGCTGAACTTGGTATGTTTCGAGTTCCGTGGTGTCCATGTTCAAGGAATGTTGGAGTAACGATTTGAGGGACCGTGCGTATATCTTTTGTCTGGGGTTATTAGGGTTAAGGTTACGGCTTCCAATGATGATATCCATTTTCACTGATCATCGCAATAAATGACTTAATTTTGGGTATCAGTACAGCAGTGTACACGAGTTATACAAGATGCATACGAGAAGTAAAGCAATCGAGAAATAGACAATCAAGGATATCAGAACCTACTTATTCAATGGGCTTGTACGGAGGGAGCTCGTCACCATCTTTGACATCACCGGGTGCGTTCTCGCCGTCCTGGCTAGCAAGAACACGTTCCCTCTCTTCCCGCTCAAGTCTCTTCTTCTCATCCTCGGCAGACTCGTTTTCAGCGGGTGCTGCAGATGTCCCCGCAGCGAGTACCCGCTCGCGTTCAAGGCGGCTCTTCTCTTCTGCTGCAGTCTCGTGCGGCTGTCCATATAGATCATCAAACGGCGAGTTGCCCGGGAGACCGCCACTTCGCGGTCCCGCAGCATCTGAGGCACGGTGTATGTCGCGAAGAGAGCCACTAGCAGGGCCTGGACCAGATGAACCCGCAGACAAGGGAACACCAGTTTCAGCCACTGTGGGTGCAGCAACTGGAATTAAGACAGGGGAAAGCGAACCCTTGTCCGCAATCCTAGCAGTGGGACAACTGATTGGAGCTTGATCTTCCGGGATTGGTGAAGGAGATAGATTGAGTGTACTCGGGTCAATAGGAGGAGAGTGCGATGCCTCTCTAGCCTTTTCTGCGTCCGTCGCATGGAAATCCGCTTGAGGTGGAGGTGTGATGGGCACACCTGGATGACCAGCGTGCGCTTCAGGATTAGATACGAGGTGGCTCAGTTCAGAAGCATGACTCTCCCCAAACGACTGGGTGTCAGACCGTGAAAGATTTGCGCCGGATTGTGCGGGGAGGAATGTGCTCCCCGGCTTATAATCATCCAGCGCACGCTGAAGAGCAGCACGAGCAGCGCCTGTTTCCTGAGCTCCAGTATAAGGGTTCGAATGCGAAGGGGGGATTGGTGGTAGCACGGCAATGATGGGCTTGGAAGCCTGCGACAACAGGACTAGTTTTTCCCCAAACTGCAAATGATTGTGTCAGAATAACTTTCATCATAGAAGCACGAAGTGGTTTACCTCGCGTATAGCATCCCACTTCTGCGTTTCGCTTTCACGGACAGCCTTTCGCTTCAATATCTCAAGTTCCTTTTCGAGTGGCTCGTCAACTTGTTCGGCCTTGGCAAGTTGCGATCTGAGATCAGGAAGCCTCCGCTCCATGCCCTTCTCCTGGTTATGCTCGATACGAGCAATCTGGGTGCGCAGTCCGGCACGGAAGATGCGCTTTGGAGCAAGGACAGCCTCAGCATCGCGAAGAGCTTTAAACGGTGCTCGTGCGTTATCGAGCTTGATCGCCACCGATGATGCAAGGGATCCCTGAACAAAGTTCAAGTAGGCCAACCTGTCCGTCACTACATGCCAAACCACCCATCAGCCCCAATTGCATAATCGTGGAAGAGGTGACTTACCGTCCTTGAGATCCTCTGGCTGCGACTGACCCCATGTGTACAATTCCTTGCTTTGCACCTTCGCATCTCTCGCGAAGGAATCACAATCGATTGCAACACCCTTTTCGGATGTGATAATTCTTTGCACTGGCGTGGTACTGGTATATTGTTGCCCGAGTGACCGTATTTGATGCTGAAATGCCTCCAATGCCACTGAGCGATTGCCGCCCTGAGCTGCTGCCTGATTAGCAGTAGGTTGGCCGGTGGCGCTGGTACCGGGGATATGACCAGCGAGGGGCGATTGATTGATAGCACTTTGGGCCTTGTCGGCAAACGATGATAAAAAGCTTGAAACTGACATCGCGTAGGATACTAGTTTGAGGTTGTTAAAATGAGTAGTCAGAGAGAAGATATTTTGATTGTTGTTTGGAGTGGGTTGTCAGAGGGTCTTTATACAGGGGCTCCAATGCGCAGTCACATCAACCATGTCACGCGCAACGCCGTGACAATATCCGCAATACCCGCAGTTGCACAGCAGTGCACAGCTTCAAGCTTCAGGCCAAGCAAGCTCCAGGTACCAGACGTCATGTTTTCAAGGACGGCACAAGGGTGTGATTTTGAGTATCATTGTGCATCGCAGCAGCAGCAGCATGAGCTTGAAATGAGAATATTCGTTCGAGACCATACGAATAAATCAGGCGTATCCAGCAGCACTCATCTATCTATAACTCTGCTCAATCGATATAATAGTAACTTATACACCCACTCAAATGACAAGCTTCTTTGCTGTCTTGCCCTTCTTCTCAGAATCCTTGTGGGAAAGGAACTCGACCTCAGTCGCGAGAGGGCCAGCCAGTTTTTGGGTCTCAGGATAGCCTAGTACATTTATCTTGAAGTGTCGTCCAACTGTCTCGATGCGTTCACGCAACTTGTCCTCTTCTGCAGCAGGCGCAAGTCGCGTCCAAATCGATAACCGGTAGAACTGCGGTCGGGTAGATACGATCACACCGGTGATAAGCGATTGAGAATTGGGCTCAGATGCCTCTCCGCTTGTAAGTTGGGGATCGAAGGTTTCGCCAATAGCGGCGAGCATCTTCATGGAGTAATCAGAATAGGAAAATCGAGAGATGAGGAGGAGACGCACGGTGTAAAGCCACATTTTATCAACCTGACTGCGATTCTTCTCTTTGGGCAGCTGTATACTCCACTTGCCACCGAGCTTGTTTGCTTCATCTTCCCATGCAGGTATGATGCCCTCCTGAAAGCGCCATTAGTTTTAATGGATACGATCGTGTAAAAGACGTGCCTTGAAGAGGTAGTAATTTGCTTTTTGGGGAAGCTGTGAGGGAGGTACAATATGATTGTAGAGCCTATGACATCGTGAGCTTTCAGTCTTTGAGATAGGATAGAAGGACTTGCCCCCAGAACTCTTCGACGCTATCGAAAGTGACGACTCTTTTGATATCCTCCATCCATCCCTGTGCAGCAGCAACACCAGGGGTCTGAGGAACGGGAGTTTGAGGGAAGGAAGAAACGGGGGTTTGTGGGAGGTTGCGGCCTTTAGTAGCAGGGGAATCGAACCACAGGGTCCAGGGTGAGTATAGAGGATGCTATATGGGAGAGAAATAAAGATTTTGGAGTTGTAAGTCAAATTCGGTTGCGTACCTTGACATTGAAATTGGTGGGGTGACTAAAGACGGTACGAATGTCGTCTGCCTGAGCTTGCATATCAACCTCTTGAATTTCACCAGGTTCTACGTCTGCGCCGCCGATAGATTCCGGGTTCTCAGCAAGAGCAGCGGATAGAGCAGCCTTGTTAGCATGCTGGAAAGATGCAGGGAGAGTAGCCATGATTGTGGAGAAGTGAGTAAGACTGCAATCCTGTTGCTTTTGAGTAAGACTATCAAAGTCAGGTGTAAAGAAATGATTTTTGATCAAAAGATCGAGTGTTCAGTGAATGCTTGAACTTCCGGTTGTTGTGGACAGTACTGTGTGGTGTTTAATCCAAAGTAAATCCGCAAAATTAATTTCGGTTGACGCCGGTAATTGCCGGGTTCCGTGCCGTGCTGACTAACTTTATCTGATAATCACACCGCCGGGGGCCGTCAGCCAGGCCGCGGTCACGCCTAAATTATTCCGTTCCCTCCTTCTCCGTCGACGAGGAGAATGGATCCATTCCATGCTAAACTCCTAGCTGCAGCGACGGGGTCAACGATGACCACACTTACAAGTATGCTCTAATCATTTCTCAATTCATTAATATTCATTACTTCCAGTGACTCCTTTTGACGTCGTGAAGACCCGTCTTCAGACTCAACCTAAGGTGCCTCTCTTTTCACGACCACCACTTAATAAATGCTGTCAGCCAGCGCATATACCTTGCGTTCGCAACATGTCTTCATATGCACGCCCGCTAGCCGCAGAAGAGGTCGTCTGCATTTTCGATCATGGCGTATACCGCACCGAGCGCGTGAATGGGTTTTTGGATGCTGTCCGCCATGTATGGCGAGCAGAAGGTATGAGGGGATTATGGAAAGGTGCTGGCATGACATTGTAAGCTAACTTGATTCATTTCTTCGTCACAGCCCTCATCGTGTGATAGACTCATCGGCGTCCCCTCATCATCGATATACATGCTCACTTACGATCATCTCCTACGGAACGTACTCCCTCCCCTGATTCCCTCCCCAACATTCGTCCCTCTGGTAGCTGGTATTACCGCTCGCGCTTCCCTTACTTCCCTACTCTCACCGCTAGAACTCATACGAACCAATTTGCAATCAACTCCAATATCCCCCAACAAACCACATACACTTCCATCTGTTATCGCATCCGTCCGTGTAATCGTACAGAAACAAGGCATAGGCTTCCTTTGGCGTGGTCTCGGCGCTACCTTGTGGCGTGATGTACCTTTCAGTGGCATATATTGGGCGGGCTACGAAGCTTGGAAAAGATTTTTTGAGAGCCGAGGGAAAAAGGGCGCCTACGTTGCCTTTGCATGCGGTGCTATCAGTGGCACAACTGCGTCATTAATAACTTCACCTTTCGACGTTCTAAAAACTAGACGACAAGCGCTCCTCATGACTGGAACCATGTCATCACGGACTACAGCTACGATACCACTGTGTGCGCACATCGTTCGTACTGAAGGCGTCGCTGCCTTGTTTGCTGGTATTCTCCCTCGTACAGCCAAGATTGCCCCTGCTTGTGGGATCATGATCGCATGTTTTGAGGTAAGGTGACTCCACGCTGTTGTAACATGTGGCTAACCAAGTTATTTCAGGGTGTTGGGAAGTTTTTGGAGAAGAAGGACTAAGACTAGCTAGACGTATATTATATTCACATGGAGCGCTATCCTCTACATTAATTCAATATGTTCTAGATGTCAACTATTGGTATATTCGTAGCACTTCGTACATCCCAACTCAACTGGAAAATCGTCCAGATCTCATCCCAGGCGGTTAAGCTGCTTCTTTGTGCTGATGAGTTTACCCCCGACACGATCAATGTCGTTATTGAGTTCATCCAGCAACTCGTTGTGCACGGCAAGCTCGGCACCTATTGCTTCCCCAAGGTGCCTCTGCCGTTGCAGTATGTGCGTGAGCGTAGCAAGTTGACCATCTTGCTGCTCCATTTGAGTGTTCTGCAACTGAACAAGACCCTGATCGTCAAGCGGTCTCGTCATCTCCGTTTCTTGAGGTTTCTTAGCACCAAACACTCGCGTGACTGGTTTGCTATTGCTTAGCAGCGCAGCGCGATCCGATTCGGGAGCGACAGTAATATTCGTAAAGCCCCGAGAGGAAGGGGCTGGCGTAGGACGAGAGGCCTGTCGAGTGACAGTGACCATCTTTCCCAGCTTCTCGCAGTCGTCCTGCAAGCGTGCGACCATGTCTGTACGGCGTTGCAGCTCTCCCTGCGCCATAGCTGCCATGCCAAGTTCCTGCAGGCCCTGCGTGAGCGTACGCACCCGAGAAAGGGCTTCCGCGAGCTTCTTCTTCGCCTGAACATTCGCAGTATGCGATGCACTGACGTCTCCCCGGTCAGAGAGCGCATCCCGCTTGTTTATGTCTGCGCGGATGTCGCGAATCTTGGCCTGCAACTCGAGGTGCTCGTCGAGCCAGGAGGAAGAAGAGAACTGTTTGGAGGTGCTCCCTTCAGCTATGGTGCCTAGGCGGCCGACTGGCACGCCAAGGAAGTCGCGGAAGGCATAGCATTCTCGCCATTTGTCATCCTTCGCGCTGATGATGGCGCGCAAGTATGTCTCGAGGCCAGCCCGGCGCTCCTCAATCATGCCACTACTATCTCTGAAGGGTCCACGAAGGATGGCGAGGGCGTTTTTAGGTGGTAGAGGTGCTGGGGGTGAAGAGCCTGTGGACTTTGTGAGTTCGGTGTGTAATTCCACGAACTCGGAGTATCGTCTCCACATCTGCCATGAGCGGACATGGGCTTGAATTTCGATGCGGTAGACGACGTGAGGCTTGGGATCGGGACGTTCTTCGTGCCCGCGTACGTAGACGGCTTGGATGGCGGTCATGGTGGTTCGTGGTATAGTGCCTTCTGCACAATGCGGCCGTCGCGTGCCAAGAGTTTACACACCACATGCCACTCACCCGCGTGTATTGAAAAAGACGGTAACATTATCGTATAATCCTATGTCATCTAATGGTTACAGATCATGCAAGACATACAACTGCTAGTCAGATCCAGCTAACTGAGAATTGGAAAGCACATAAAATAACAAAACCCTGCAAAACCCTTTCATCCCCTGACTCGGTGTGCCATCATTATGAGATAATATCTGGAGAGGGCGGTGTGCCCGGGGCGGCGGACAGGGACGCAATCTCCTCGACTGACTCGCCGATGCCCACCTCACCGATAACGTACCGAAGGACATCGCTCAGCGTGATTACGCCAAGCAGGCGTCCTTTCTTCCCGCCTTTTTTCTCTTCCTCCTGTAAGGTTATGATTGGCATGGTGAATGTATAGTCAGAACAAAGACTTACATCTCCTTCCACGACCACAAGCCGGTGGACTCTACCGCTTCTTGATTAGCTGCAATAGTGTTCCAAGAGAGTCCCCAGCTGTACAAATGACAACGCCCGGGAAGTCCGGAGAACGTTGGTTAAGGGCCTCCGATATCGTAAGGTCGAGAGATTGATATGCTCCTAGACGCACAAGAGTCTGGAAAGAGATAAGATTTGGGCATCCACATAATGGGACGTGACGTACAATGACATCTACTGTTTCGTACAGATTGACAACAACACCATCCTGGTCGATGATAGGGACTGCAGATATGGCACGCTCAGAGAACATATGGACGACGTCAAATACAGGGGTGTCGAGCGTCGCGGTTGCGATGGGCCAGAATGGATTCTGAGTTTCCGGGGTTTCCGGGTTTTGGGGTGGTGGTGTTGATGAGACATAGGTACCGATCTTGAGTTTCCGGAGCGAGAGATGGAGTTGCTGAATTTCTCTCGTGCACTGTAAAGGTAACGTGAGCGAAAATCTTACGTGAGGGGGAGGACATCATGTTACATTTATAGAGATAAATTTGAGAAGTCTGTACTGGGTTAGGACAGAAACGATGACTTCCTGACCTGTTTCTGTGTCATAGTCGAGGAGAGGTAATCTGCGTGCATGGGTTTGAATTAAAACTTTAGCAGCCTTGTAGAGGGTGCTATTTGGATGTTCTGCTAGCATTGGAGGGGTGGCTACACCAAGGCACTTTTCGATATCTTTGAAGCAGAAGTGGATCAGTTGGCCATCACGATATGATCATGCGCAGCCTGCATATATACCTCGTAGTGATTCTAGCCGGAAGGTCTCCACATCTGCTGCAGCAGCTTCGTAATTTGCTGTGTCATAATAGTATTGGATGAGATGTATTATATCTAGGACTGTAAGCATCCCAGCAAACTTTGACTTTTCGCTGTTCCATAATGGGGCAGAGACCACACCTGTCGTAACTGTGAGGAAAGGTGAATCTGAGCGATGGAAGGATTACCATTAAGGAGCAAGCATTGTAATGCCTTCTTGACATTCAATTTGGTATCAAGGACTATCAGCCTGAAGCTGACGGGGAAAGCGTCATAGGATGTTCTCCCTTTGAGGAGGTTGCGGATGGCATGAAGGGCAGCGTCGTGAGTTTCCTGAGATTGAACGGGAGGCAAGTGAGAGGGAGCGCGTCTTCGTGTTGATCCCCTTCTTTTGGGCGTCTTCGGAGAGGGAGCTACGAATGGGGAGAGCGTCGTGTTCATCGCAGCAACCTTTCTTTCAAGCTCTTCCTTTTACCGGATCTTCTGTCGAGCAAACGGTAAATGCTAATTACAAGGAGGTGTACTTCCCACGCCGCTTTATTATATTAATATATATAAATATGTACCTCACCCGGAATGGTTCGGCTTGTGCCGGATTACGTTCCTGTCTGGTGAAGCATCGCCTACCTTGGCCTACCTACTAGTCCGTAGTTCACCTTCAAGCCACGAATTCGCCAATCCTCCTCTAATATATTATAAACTTCAATTCAATTTTTGGCCAATATGGCCTCACAGGTCGTCGTCAACGTCACTCACACCGTCGACCAATTCCCCATGGAGACCTCGAGAAGTATCTTGATACACAAATCACAACTCAACAATCAGCCTGCACCAGACGCCCTTCTCTTCATATTGCCTTTGCTTATCGTGCTCTCGACTTTCCTTTTCATCCTCCTCCTGTTCCTAGTATGTGTCATATTCGTCCGTAGACGACGTGGTATCGTCCTGCGAGACAGTGATGGTCCTACCGACATGAGTCGAGAGGAGCTCATAGACGGAGAAGGTGGTTTTGAAGGCGTGGAGTCTCGCTGGCTCGAGAGTGTTTCTGAAGGCGTACGACGCTCATATCTCAGAGCAAAAGGTTGCTTTCGTTCTTCCAGTTTTCTGATTCCTCACTCATGCCAAATTCATTCAGAATATCAATTGCAATATGCTCCAAACTCAGAGCCTACAGATATCACGTTATCTCAGTTCCTTTCCATCCAGGAGAAGGGAGTCTCGGCATGGTCCTTCGAGCCCGACTACGAAACTATTAATTCACTTCTGGTTCATGCTCGCACGGAAATCACCTTCCTTCCCGATCCTGCATCCGCCTCGTGCGTGCAGTCCAATTTACCCCTCCCCAAATTGAACGAGGTCTACTACTGGGAGGTCAAGATGTTTGATCTCCCCGAAACTACCATAGTTGCTGTTGGACTGGCCACCAAACCTTACCCACCTTTCCGGCTTCCAGGTCTGAACCCTTTCTCTGTCGCCTACCACTCAAACGGTGACAAGTGTTACAATTATCCCTTCACTGCATCGCCCTTCGGGCCCGTACTCAAGGAAGGCGATGTTCTAGGCATCGGTTATCGTCCTCGCACAGGAACCGTGTTCTTCACCAGAAACGGTCGTAAGATGGAAGATGCTTTCATCGGCCTCAATCGTTACAATCTATTTCCCACGATTGGGGCAGATGGCCCCTGCAGTGTCCATGTCAACCTCGGCCAAGCTGGCTTCGTCTTTATCGAGGCGAACGTAAAGAAATGGGGTTTGGCACCCACCGTGGGAACTCTGGCACCTCCGCCTGCCTATGGGAGCGAACGAGGCAGTATTTTATTGGATGTGGGAGGTGGCGTACGGCCCAGTGCTCCAATTATTTCTCCGCCAAGCACTTCTTCCACGCCCCGTAGACGTTCTCACCGCTCTCGAAGACCGAGCAACGCACTGTCAGCGTCATCTGTTCCTGTCGCTTCTTCACCTCTTAGAGGCAATATCATATCATCACATACCGGGGAGCCTAGTTCTCCTCCCCCACCAATCACACCCATTATCGAAGAACCCGACAGTACGGTCCCCTCAAGTGGCCAAGGATATCTGTCTCCGACGGATTTACCTTTTCACACACCACCAAACCACAGCCTTCCTTTGTATCCAGAAGGCGAGAGCGAGCAGGAGGACGGAGATGACACTCCCTCCCAGTCACCAACCTCCTCGCGTTCACAATCGCCAGAAAGCGAAGGTGCCGCAGGTGCGAGCAGCCTTTTTAGCATCCCTCGCTTTCGGCGCGAATCTTTCACTCACTTCCTGGCCGCGATGCAACACGCAGGTTCAGACTTGACCATTCAGGTGCATCCACCGCCTGATTCGCCTCGTTCGCCGAATCCTCCCACGCCGAATCAACGTGATATTCGTCTGCAGGCTTTCACTAGCTCTGCATCGACAGAAGGATCAGATGATACATCCCAAGCGAGATCTCCAACGTTTACGAGGCGTGATCCTCCAGCATATTCACCATTGGACGCGTTCACGTATGCGGAGGGCGTTCATATTGACCTACCGGCCGACGTGATTGCTGCAGCTTTGGAAGGGGGTAGTATTCCTGCCAGTGCAATTGGTCAGGGGCACAGCGACCGGTCGGAGAGGCGCCGGAGCAGACGAGATAGACGGTGACATACGAGGTTGTTTGTGCCTGGATTATCATGGTGAGTCGCAAGGGCTTTGACTCTGAAATTTTGCCTGAACACGAATATTTCAGTATCATTTGTGCTGTGCAATGCTCTGTAAATTCGTTGCGAATGTCCATCTTTGCTCTACATTTACTACCCACATATTCATGTATTACACATGGACGCTTCTCGCTTCCACCTTACAATTTAATTCGACACAACACTCAGCATATGAGGTGGGGCAACTTTCGAAGTGATGTTATAAACGTGGAAAACAGTAGAAACAGTAGATATCATTTATTTGTGTCAATCTATGCATGTACCATTCGTGAATGCTCTTAAGGCTCGAGACGCCTGGGGTCTCTTGGGAAGAGGGAGGCACGTCTGATGTTGTTCAGTTTCAAGAACAGCATGAGTACCCGCTCGAGACCGATGCCTCCTCCGCCATGGGGAGGACATCCCATACGGAATCCGTCGATGTAGCCCTTCATACTCTCTGGGTCAACACCTTTTGCTTGCATCTGCTTGCACAGGAACTCAGGGTCATGGATACGCTGTGCCCCGGAAAGAATTTCCTCGCCACGCATGAAGAAGTCATAAGAGTTGGTGAGGGTCTGGATAGAAAGAGTGAGCGCCACACCACTACAACCAATTAATTTACGCACCGGGTCATTAGGGTCAGGCATGGTATAGAACGGACGAAGCTCGAGGGGGAATTTGTCGATGATGAAGTAGTCGGTATCATACTTGGCCTTTACAAGCCGCCCAAGCCTCTTCTCGTTCTCCGTGCTAACCCACAGATATTAGCGTATGTGTTATTGAAATTTCAAAGCACCCACTTGATATCATCTAAAACTTCGCGGTCAACACCATCCTCGACGAGGATGTCCACCGCCTCTCTAAACGTCAGAGTCAAGGTCTCCTCTCTCCACTTGAACTCCTCCGCCTCGAATTGCTTGCCGACCACTGCGATCTCCTTTGCATACCTGTCTTTGAGACCCTTGAAGATAGTCTTGAACATGCCGTCGAGGAGATCTTTCACCTCGTGGTAGTGCTCTTCGATCGTCATCTCGAGATCAAGGCCGATGAACTCGGTGAGATGTCGGTGGGTATTCGAGTCCTCAGCACGGAAGACAGGTCCGATCTCGTAGACTCGCTCAAAGTCAGCGGCGATAGCCATCTGCTTGGCCAGTTGAGGGGACTGCGCGAGGAACGCGTTGCCTGAAACATAGTGAAGTTAACGATACGAATAAGTTAATGCAAGTAGCGGACCTTTGAAGTACCCAACCTTGAAGACGGATGCCCCTGATTCGGTAGCTGCTCCCTGCAATTTCGGGCTATGGATCTCGATGAAGCCGTTATTGTTGAGGTATTCACGGAACAGGTCTCCAATAGCGTGTTGAAGCTTGAAAATTGCTTGATTTGTTTGCGTCTACAGATCGAATGAGCAGATGATCATTGAATAGAGATGAATAAGCGAACCCGAAGATCAACGATGCGGTTGTTCAAGCGGGTGTCCAATAAAACTTTGTTGAACTGCCCCTCGACTTCAGGGGCAGTTTCTGATCTGGATGCATCCTCAAGAGAAAATGGCAATCGACCTTCGACGCCTGCAACCAACCAGAGCTGATGGAGAAGGATTAAGCTCAAGTGGTGTAAGGAGGGAAGGCTCGAGGGGCATACCTCGCTGACATGTATTTCAACATCATCGATCGAGCAGCTTTTAATGGATTCTCGTGACTTCAATACCGTCCCAAGAGCGAGGACGATGCTCTCGTCGGAGAGACCAGCAGCCCACTTGACCATTTGTTTGCTGACTTGCTTATCGTCGACGGTAAGTATGGCTTGGATCGTGTCGGTCCGTTGACGAAGATTGAGGAACACCATCTTGTTTCCCTGAAGACGTGAAGTTTGAATCCGAGCGCGAATGAGTACGTGCTCAGAATCGTTCTTTGCACTGAGAGCCGCGATGTCAGTCCGCTTGCGATTTGGGCGTGACTGGGATTGATGGAGAGGAAGCTTTCCATAGTGGGCTGTTGCGTGGTCCTGCGAGGATAGCACATCAGCACATGAAACGAGAACATGGGAGCTAACTTACGGGCTCTCCTGCGGCTGCTCTAGCCTGCTCAGCCTCCTTGGCCTTCGCGGCTTTCTCTGCCTTCTTTCGAGCTTTTTCCTCCTCTTTTGCTTTCTTCTTCAGAGCATTCTTGGTCGGACCTTCCTCGCCTTGCTCTTCTTGCCTGACAGGATCTATGAGTTTTTTTACGCAACGCCATTGATATTATTGCCTTACGGCGTTGGTGCCGATTCCTCTCTGCCAACGGAATTCAGAACGATCAGCCTATTCATTTCCTTTGTCAAGAACAGTACCTTGTTTCAACGACGTTGGGCATGGTGGAATATGAACAGAATAAACGTCTACTGAGTCGAGTCACCCAAAAAGTTCTAATCTTATCAGAACATCCTGTATGCAATTGTTGTGGCGCTCGAATTGTAACCCTAGCATGAGGTTAGGTTTCAAAGTATTACTGGGCCCCGGCCGTTTGCCGTGTGAGATGATGTGAATTGACAGAATGTCTACATGCGAGAATTTAGCTAGTGACGGTCTCTTACCTAGCTCCTGCCAACGAACGCTCATTAGTCTATGTTGCTAGTGCTAGAGGGTCTAACTGATCAACAGCAGTGCTTGAGCATCATGTTTCGGGTTAAACCCACGCCCTAATCGGCGCTCTACCGCCGAAATCGGCGAGACTCACCGCCCTCGCCAGCACTTAAAAGTAAACTTTCCTTCATCTGCCAATAGCCGCTCAAATTCCTTTTCTTCAGTGTTCACCGTCTCCCTAGACTTTTAGACTCAACCTTAGACTAATGCTGGCCATCAATGCTGCTCGTCGTGCGCCTGCCATTTTGCGCAGTGCTGCACCTCTTTCGACTTGGTCAGCCGTTCCTGCCGGCCCTCCTGACCCAATTCTCGGTAAGGACTGTGTTGCCTGAAAATGACAGTGTTGACTGACTTGACCCAATCGCTTAGGTATTACTGAGGCATTCAAAGCCGACAGGGATCCTCGTAGAATCAACCTTGGTGTCGGTGCATACAGAGATGAGAACGGCAAGCCATACGTTTTGAACGCGGTCAAGAAGGTACGCGGATCATAATAGTGCTGTTGCTCCGCAACAACTGACCGTATATTGTTCGGCAGGCGGAAGTGAAGATCGCTGCTGCCAAACTCGACAAGGAGTATCTCCCAATCACCGGGTTGCCTGGCTTTACCAACAACGCAGCTAAATTAGCGTATGGTGCCGATAGCGTGCCGCGGAACGAAAATGCGGTGAGTGAGCTGTATAGACTTCGGAAGTGATTTGCGCTTACACCGCAACTTCCGTAGATTGCTGTGACGCAGTCAATCTCTGGAACGGGTGCTCTCAGAATTGGCGGTACTTTTCTTGCAAGACACTACCCACACTCCAAAACCATTTACGTTCCTACACCCACATGGGGCAACCACATACCTCTCTTTAAGGATTCCGGCCTGGAGGTCAAGTTTTACAGGTACTTTGACAAGAAAACTGTCGGTCTGGACTTTGAGGGCTTGAAAGAGGACTTGCAAGTATGGCAACTCGATTCGTGTAATGTCTTATACACGTTGACATGGTTTTTAGAATGCACCAGAAGGCGCCATTGTGTTGCTGCATGCTTGCGCACATAACCCTACTGGAGTAGACCCCACTCAGGCGCAGTGGAAAGCTATTTCGGACATTATTGCTGAGAAGAAGCTTTTCCCTTTCTTCGACATGGCTTACCAGGGCTTCGCTTCGGGCTCGACTGATCGCGACGCGTTCGCTGTTCGTTACTTTGTCTCGCAAGGTCACCAGATTGCTCTCTCGCAGTCGTTCGCCAAGAACATGGGTTTGTATGGAGAGCGTGTCGGTGCCTTCTCTCTCACGACCGCCAGTGAAGAGGAGAAGAAGCGGGTGGACAGTCAATTGAAGATCATTGTACGCCCGATGTACTCGAACCCTCCGCTTCATGGTGCCCACATTGCCAACACGATTCTATCGGACCCTGAACTTTACCAAGAATGGGAGGGTGAAGTAAAGGGCATGGCGGACCGCATTATCAACATGCGTGAACGCTTGTACCAGCTGTTGAGCAGTGATCTTCGAACACCTGGGGAGTGGAGCCACGTAAAGAGCCAGATTGGCATGTTCAGGTTAGTGTACTACTATATATTACCCTTGCTGGTACCGACTGGATTTCATTTTCAGCTTTACCGGACTTAATAAGGAGCAATGCAAAGTCCTTGCGGAGAAGGCGCACATTTATATGACGATGGACGGACGTATTTCGATGGCAGGATTGAATGGCAGGAATATCGAGTACTTCGCTAAGAGTGTGGATGCAGCAGTTAGAGGTGACTTGTAGACTGCCGAGAAATAGATGTTCCTTTTTGGGTCCTTGTACGTCGCGTGCTTCTTTTTCTTAAGTCCGGTATACCGAGGTCAGTCGAATGCAATTCAAACGGGAATCCTCGTTGAGGGAGGTGCGGTGAGCATCCTTGACTCTAACTCTCATGTCCAGCCCTTCCACTCCAACAAAACACATTCCAGGTGCTTGGCCAGAACGTATTCGCCAAACAATCTCTTCATCCTCCTCGAGCTCGGTATGTACTTATTGTAATCAGAGGCTAATTTCCGTTTGATTGAGGTTCTTACCAGGGTCAGACAGTCGTAAGGCAGGAAAACACCGCCTCGCCCGGGCAAAACACCCCTGAAATGCCTACAGCGAGTACAGCGGGCGACCGTCCCCTGAGCATTGTTGTACCATCATCGGCGTATTGCCCGTTTTTCACAGATTTTTCGCTTCCCATCACCTCGCTTACCCTGCCAGCTTCATACATCGGAAAGAAAATCATGCCAGACTTTTCTCACGAGCATGCAAGCTCTAGCGTACCATCTACTCCTGGTCTTGATGCTACACCATCTTCAAGTCAATTCTCATCTGATCCAAACACTATTGCTTCTCCGACACCTAGTCATTTCGCAACAATGCCCGTCACTCCCGAAGCACAAGATAATCACGACATTGCTACCATACATACATCTCCTTCGAAAATCTCTCCCTTAGTTAAACCCAAAGCAAGCATGACGCTGATGTTGGACCCACCGAAATTACCAGATACAAATCTATGGGTGTCTGCTGGATCTAACTGGCTCACAGACCTGGGTGGAAACACAGAGACAGACCGCGTATTCCGCAACACTCTCTTTGGCCCAATTCCTCCCCTAAGCAGCCCAATCGCCTCCAGTATCGCATCCCCTGCGTCCTCTTTTCCCGCCGCTCTCTTATCGAGCATGTCCACATCCCTCAACAGCACTCCGATTTCGTCTCCCTCCGCACCGTCTTCTCTTAATTGTATAACTTCAGTCCATTCGCCAACTACAGCACGCCTTGCATTGTCACCGACAGCGACAGCAGCCTTTCCCTCCAGTATCGATAGCTTTGAGCGATGGCGCGAAGATGTTACAGTCCAGACGAACAGACGGGAGATCATGCCAGAGACTCCTTCTGTATATGATGACACTGAATCAAGCGCAGAACACACCGAACGCACCAGTCAGCCCCCGCCTGGCTTAAACCAGAGAACGGTGATTCCGCATGCAATGCAGTCACAAACATTCTTGCAGAAGGCGAAGAAAATCGGCGGACGCGTCAGACGTTTCGTAACGCGCAGCAAAAGAAGCAAATGGCATACCGCCATCGAAGCTGGCGCTTCTGATATTACCACTCATACAGGAAGCGACGACGGGAGCATCGTGGTCATTTCCGCACGTCCTCCGCCATACGACACGCGGCCTTCTCTGCCCATCCCACTGCAAAGCCCTGAGCAGCGCAGGAGATCTATGCCCATGCTCTCTCCGCATTATGTCCTGGTTAGAGAACGCGCCTCCGCGAGCGCTGAGGGGTCTGTTGAGGTGCCTCGTACGGCGCCTCCTGCAGATGCGAGAGGACTTACAGTCTCGAGGGTTCCTACCCGTCGTTTTTCTCTCGCAGCGTTCTCAAGTCTCGCGCCGCTCAAAAGACCATGAGACAAATGACTCGGCCGGTATTTTTATTTCATCGTATTCAAAGTTAGATCCATTGCATGTCCATGTTCGAATTCCAGTCTGTTGGCGGACACTTCTTCTAGCTTGTATCCTTTTCTTTATTATGGCTTTTGACCGGCAATAGTCCGACCCCCGCCTTGGAATAATTTTTTTGATTTCGTATTGCATACCCAAATAGATAGTCTGGACATGTCCGTAGCTCATAACATTGGCATTAATGATCAGATTACAGTAATGTTCAATGCATATCATGCCAATGTTAACATTCATAACTCATCAGTGATTGTGGGATTGAGGCCATCGAATCAACGCAATAAAGAAGAAACTCATATACGCAAGGGAAGAAAATTCTCACAACCTACTCTGCAGCAAAATCAGGGTCATAGCTTTCATCCCTTCGACTTATAGCTGATCATATGTCTGCCTCGAGTCGACGAAATCCGTCGTTCTCAGCTCCGAGGGCATGAGACCAGCCTCCAACTTGAGGTTTCGGACTACTCGGTTGGACATTGAAAAGTACGTCAATGCCAGGCCAGGAATTGGTTAACGTTTCTATCACACAGGAGGTAGGGTCGTGACGAACATGTTTACTGCGATTATTATGCTGAACAATTTGAAGGGCGTCGGTAGTAAGTGTATCAACTGGTGACGGTGGCTCGAAAATGGCATTGCTATCCACACCGCAAGACGGTCTTCGAGAGTCGCTGCGCTGCCCCAGGACGGGAGTCAGCAAGCTTGTAAGGCACCCCAAGAAGAAAGGAACCAAATGTGATTAGCATGATGGTCGCAGGCTGTTCTTTTCGTCTATGCAGTGTCTAGGGTTGACCAGGGACCACACTTGGGTTCGCTGAAGAAGCGAGGATTTGCAAGTCAATGAGGAAGCTGCGATCCACCAGAGATCCACCATTTTCACTCTGCTTAGAGTGAGCATATTCAGTGGTCGACAAGGTGCGCTAAAGATTAAAGAGTCAAATTTTCTAGCACGTGAATAGATACAGGCTTACTCTCTGCCAGTAATACTGCTCTGAGCGGTGGCAAATAGTTCATGTCGTTTGCTTCCGACAGCGCTACTAACTCTGTAAATATTTCCTCATTGAGAAATTCGGGAAAGACCTGGTGTCAGGTTGCCCACTATGAAGTTTGGTCGGTCAAGATACAGAGAGCGTTACTTGCTATCGATTGCAGAAGCGGGGGAATATGTGTGCACAACATACCTTAGCAAGTCGACAATCCTATTCTCCTCATGTCTAGAACGAATATGCATCATGTGCTGGCAAGTCCGCCTGAGGCACTGAATACTGTGGGACCAGATTCGACGCCTTTTTGCTGATTTCTGTTGCTGACAAGAAAACTGAACTCAACTTCGTCTTCGCTCTGCAAGTTGTGACACGCCACCCGAAGTGGTGACCAGTTCATCCTCGCATTTCCTGAACGGACACCGCGACAGATAACCGCAAGAGTATACACACGCGGTCAGGCTCTGAACTCTGGGTAATAAGCAAAAAGCGAACAACTTGAATGTGATGATTACGAGCTTGTCCTCGAGTAAATACAGTGAATATCATCTACCCAACTGGTGTTGGGGTTAGGACATAAAGTCCAAATGAGGCTCAGAGCAGCCAGACCGCTCCTTGTGTATACGCAAATCCTGTCGAGTGAATCAATAGATGGAGACATGAAGGTCAGAAGCAAGTGACGTACAATAGAGATCACGAGTCCTTAGGGCTCTCAATCATGAGCGGCGCCTTGCTCCTCGACCAGCTCCCTCCGCTCGCGCGTTTCGTTGTCTCTTTTACCAACCTCTTAGTCTCCCCTTTAAAGCGTGCCATTATTGAAGCATAGCATGCTCTGCACGCGTGGTGTGCGAGCTTAGGCTCTCCACAGGCTGGACAGTTGACAATATCTTTAGCACAGTCCATGAGTCGGGGGATGAGACGAATAAAAATTTGAGGGCGCACTCCGCTTGTCCTTGAGTCCTTTGTTTGCACTACGCATGGACTTTCGCGAGTGAGAAATTTTGCTCTTTGGAACTGCGAGGACGATGGGAGGGAGCAGTTCGAGTAAGGACTGCAAGCCTGGCAAGGCCCAACTGAATGGTTTTTGCCGTAGCTCCAAGTTGGCAGCTAGGGAAGCAGCAACTGGCAGCTGCGCCCACGACGACCTGAACGTAGAAATCAACGAGCGCGTTTGATGTAGAGCTAATGAGGCCATGACGGTGCTGGAGGACTTTTGTGACTTTTGAAGAACTTCTCGATTTGTACTCCGAATTCAGACAGTCACTCAGTGAATCAACACTTTTGCCAACCAGCAACCGTCATGTTCAGACTCACGCGTCCGTTGCTGCAACAAGTCACTAAGAAGACGACTGGTATCGTTGGCCTTGCCGTTCACCAAAACCCGCTTCCAGAACTCTCCAATACTTATAATTCGACACTCAGCGTCCTTGCTTCAATACCACAGACCTCCGTCTACAGACAAGGCGTCGAGGCACTCACCAAGCACAAACTCAACATTGTGCAAGGTGCAAATGGAGACATTGCAAGTGTGGAGAAGCAGCTGGATGAGGGCCAAATTGAAGAGTCATTGGATATTGCTAAAGATGAGCTGAAGTTGGCCGAGAATATGCTTGAATGGAAGGCGTGCGTTCTGAAATTTGGCATGACTTTCTCAATTATTGACTTTATGCTTTAGCTGGGAGCCTCTAGAAGAGAAGCCATTACCTGGTCAATGGGAGTACTTTGGTAATACATCGAGCCCGACATCTTCGTAGCGTCATCCCATAGCTCGGGATTTGTCGGGCGTAATATCACACTGCTGGACCACGTCAAGTACGACGCGTTAAACTAGCGTGGAGGGAGCTTTCGCAAAATAGATTGTTGATGACACCCATCCAGCCATCTTTGAAACATGCAACTGCGTGACTCTACCAATTCTTCTATCTAATCTGACTTGTCAAAAGGAATAACCACTGCGCATCCGGAATGACATCGCTCTGAGAACTATCACAAACTGCTGCGATGTATTTGGGGTCCACAATTGTCTTCCTCCTCTTCTTGTGTCCCGGGAACACCTGTGTCTGACACGACCTAATTCGTTTGTCAGGATATCACTCAGACTTGCACTTGCTCAAACACTTACCTTGCCATTTGCAATCTGGATGTCCTCCAACCCCCAGTCCCTGGATGCACCTTCCTTCAGGTGGCTGCCTGAAACCAAAGCCTTGGCCTCCCAAGACCCCAATACGCCCGAAGCGCCTGATTTACGGGAAAACTCGGAGATCGAGCAGCAGCCAACTCTCAGAGGGAGGTCCGGCTGGGCCAGTAAGGCCCGGCACAGCACGATGACCGTTGCAGCATGACTGACTAGAAGAATGTTCTTGTGCTTGTCGCCGAAGCGCCTTTCTATCTCCGGAACGAGCAGATCTAATACGCCGTTGGCGCGCTCATGCAAGGCTTCGACTTCCTCGCCTCTTCGCGTGGGATACCAGATCGAGGACCATGAGGGGTCGATCTCTGAGAAGTAAGTTTGCATGACTGCAGCGGACGATGGTCTAGGGTGCAAGCCAGTGCCAGGAGCGACAGGGGAGTACCATTCGGACAATCCTGTCATTACCGACCATAAGCTGATGAATATTGCTAATCATATTTGCCCACCGTGTTCGACATAGATGGGCACTTCAAGAGCTTGGGATGTTGGCTTGGAAGTTTGCAGACAACGATCTAAGGTGGTCTTAGTAGCCCTGAGAGGGTCAAGAAGGTGAGATGCTCACAATAAGGGGAAGATAGTATGATGGTGGGGCGATTCTCTTCGGGAATGGCTAGGAAGTAGGCTGCGAGTTCTTGCGCTTGAACCTAAGAATTATGCATTAGTTGATCCCTGCTAACGGTCCGATGCTACCTCTCCATAAGCGGCCAAAGGAGGATCTCTTGGAAGACCCGTAGGACTCTTCCTTGTATCCGCATGTTAAATTATAGTGCGATGTGATCTTCATCGGCTCACCAGTTCGTGTTAATCCAGTTCAATCTGAAGCCTAAAGCTCGGTGAACACGAGATAGAATGATGAAAAGATGCACTGACCATGTCTAGCGATGTAGATCGTCTCAATCATGTTCTAGTGGGTATACTTGAGGGTAAGTTGATCATGATAACCGAATCTAGGCCGACTAACCGAACAAAAATGATATTCGTCAGAGATCGAAAAAATTCGCTGACAGCAGGATTTGAACCTACGCGGGCAATGCCCAAGTGATGATGTGAATTCAAATCACTCGCCTTAACGACTCGGCCATATCAGCTTGTATTCTGCTCGTACGCCAACCATAATAACCCTGCTACGACAAAGGATAATCAAGTACACAAATCTCCGAATTTCATTCCTTTGGTCTCTCCTTACATCTTGTAGTACTTATTAGCTGCCTGGGAGCAGCATTCTACCTTCCATGGATTCTCTAATCCCATTCACAACATCAGGATCACTGGTAGATTGCGTGGACAGTACGTCTACCCAATCAACTGCACGGCACCATTCGACCTGAAACCTCCATGATCACTTTACCCCCCCGTTTATAATATGCACTCTTTCGCTCGTCTCAGGAAAAATGTTGGTCGTCCTCAGAGACGGGCGAAAACTACACGGTGTACTACGGTCTTATGATCAATTCGGTGAGTTCGTTTTCGTTAAGCATATGATAGTCCACTGACTCCCCCAACCCCCCTCCCGCTTTTTCAGCCAACCTCGTCCTCGAAGATACCGTCGAGCGAATATACCACGGTAAAGCATTCGCAGAACACTGGCACGGCCTCTTTCTCATACGCGGAGAAAACGTTGTGTTACTTGGTGAAATTGTACGTATTTGAGCGCGTGCAGCAAACACATTTACGTTGATATCTCTTCGCAGGATCTTGATCAGGAGGATGATGTCCCATTACAACAAGTAGATTATTCCGTTCTTGATCCATATCACAAGAGGGATATCGCACATAAGAAGGCGCGCGAAGATTTCAAATCAAAGGTCTTATATGAGCAGAAAGGGTTCTGCAAGGAGGGTGGCGAGGGCGATGGCTATTGATTCGGACTATCGTACTGTTTATTCATTCCTCATGCATACTGCCTGTGGGCGTATTGGTATTGGTTTATTGAGTCCATCTAGCGTATATGTGCGATATCACCAAAGTAAAGGCCAGGGCTACAAGAAAAGACAAATGATCAAGAACTGCGAAGGACGTCAAATAATTTGACAAAAAAAAACAAGAAAAAATTGTCTTTAGAAATACAGTGGCGTGAGTTACGATTTCTTCTTCTTCCCCTTTTCTACAGCCTCCCCGTTAATCCGAGGTTTGCTAGTGCCGTTAAGTGGCGGTTCTGCAATTGAGGGCTTGGGCGGCGCCTGAGAGGCGTTCGTTGATGGTGGGTATAATATGTCTTCGATTCCTTTCCTTATTTCGCGTTCGCGAGTGGTGAGAGTGGAGAGGATCGTTTCTTTCGTTTCTTTATCGAAAACAACTTCGGCAACGCGTAGTTTTTGCCACCTGAGCCATAGTCAGATTCGCCAAGTCAAAATCTATTAAATCATCGCTCACCCTGCATGCCGCTCGCATTTTTTCTTCCCCGTACACCACCACTCCCCATGACTCGTCGCGACGCCATCTACCTGCATGACGTCATCTGACGCTTCTTCCTTTGCCTTCTCCTCATAGCTCTCCAACACCTCCACACCAAAATCATCCCACTCCTCCTCACCAAAGCAAAGCCGCTGATCCCACCCACACTCATCCACTCTTTCCGCACGCTCAAACGCAAGGTTCACCAGTTTCTCCCTCCATACCACCATGTCCATCTCACGCTTCATCATCTCCCGTTCCCTCACCACATTCTCGAGACGTGTATTCAAGCATGCAATTTCACGGTCCACCTTGCGCTTCTGTGTGGATACAGGCGCGGGTGGGGGTTTTCTGTCGGTCTCCATCTTGGCGTCCGCGCAGACGACGACACCCTCACGTTTTTCAGCGTTCTTGACACTTTCCCAAAGCTTGTCGCGTTTTCCACCGCTGCGCTCCCACTGCGAAATACGCATCTGCATGTATTTGATGCCGCATTCGTCGGAGCAATACTTGGAGAAAGCGCCTCGAGAGGGTTTGTGGCAAGAATTCGACGACGATGGGTCTGCATGTTTCAACCCGAAAAAGCAGCGACGCTTATACGTTGTTCGAAGTTGCAAATGGGAGTTGCCTGTAAACGCATCCGCAAATAAATAAACAAGTTGAATCCTACATGATGTTCATGACCCACTTTGAATGCACACCGGGCAGATGAACTGATCCACGAGATCGACTTCTAGATCGGGCATATTGACGCACTGGGTATGATACCATTCGTCACACCTACACCACATCTCCATCAGCTCCACTCTTGAAAAGGAGAAATGAGGAATACCCACCGATCGCACGCAATCATGACTCGATCTTCGTCGTATCGTGTCTTGCACACGCAGTACAGCTTATCGTCCTCCCTTTCACTGTCCTCATCCTCAGGCTCCTCCTTGGCGTCGACAGGCATCACAGACGCAGAACGTGATCGTGAGGCGGCAGCATGCTTCGCAAAGAGACTATTCTTGAGAACATCTTTCGGCGTGGGTTCCTTGACTTTCGTCTTGGGAGGAGGTTTTGTGCGCGGCTTTGGTGGAGGCTTGGGTTTCGGAGGGGGCTATGACGAAGGTGAGTCATCTGAAGACTGCGAAATACAAAGAGATATCACCTTGGGAACAGCCATCCCTTTCTTCTTCCCAGCTTTGATTGGCTCCACCTTCTTTTTTGTAGGTGCAGCAGGGGGAGGAGGCATGAGCTCGTCATCTGGAGGAGATGGGCGTTGTGGAGAAGGCGACGGTTTGGGTTTTGGACGCGAGGCTTTGTGATGTGATGATGGGCGGTCTTCAATTAGACTCAAGAGTTCCTCGTCCACGTCCATGGATGATGGATCGGGCTTGTGTGGGGGAGACTGGGAAGGGCAAGTAGGAGACACGCGGGTAGAAGATGAATGTATAGGGGACTGTGGAGGTTCCACAGCGGTGGGGACAGTGGCATGGACGGGAGAAGGAACACGCATCTCCTGCTCCTCCACCTTACTTGGTGGGGAGAGCGGGAGCGACGGAGAATGTATCTTTGTCTTGCCACGATACATTGGAGGCAAATTGCGCTCCGCGCTATCATCGCATGCCGGGGGCAAAGATTGGGTAGCCGAGGAACCGGATGTAGAGGCAGGTAGTGTTGGGACGTCATCAGATGGTTGTGGCTGCTCGTCGCGGTGGTCCTCCCCTTCCACAGCGTCTGGACCCATGTCCACATCTTCATCCTGCTGGAGCTCGTCCAATTGCATCTGCTCAAGTTGTTGTCGCCGCTCGAGTTCCTGTTGTTGTTGAAGCGCGAGTTCTTCTTGTTGTCGTCGCAGGGCGTCTGAGCGCTGTTTCCACTGAAGTTCCTCCCGTTGGCGCTGTTCCTGCTCCTCGCGTTGACGCTGTTCCTCTCGTTGACGTTCCTCGCGCAGGAGCTGCTCCTCTGCCAGTCGTTGACGTTCAACCTCTTCCCGCTGCTTGCGTTCGAGGTCTTCCCGCACCTTACGTTCAGCCTCTTCGGCCAGACGCAATAGCTCGGCTGCTTCTTGCTGCTGGCGTTCGGCTTCCTCCAATTGTTTGCGTTCGAGCTCTGCACGCTGGCGTTCGGTTTCCTCCTTCTGCCTGCGGTCAGCCTCCTCTCGCTGAGCCTGTCGTTCGAGCTCCTCAAGACGCTTGCGCTCAAGGTCTTCCCGCTCTTTCCTCTCGGCTTGTTCACGCAGCCTGCGTGCACGATCCTCCTCCTCTCGTAGCTTGCGTGCACGATCTTCCTCCTCTCGTTGTTTGCGTGCCTCTTCCCTCTGCTTGAGCAACGCTTCCTCTCGCTGCTGGTACTGCATCACCTCGCGCTGCATCCGCTCGAGCTCTTCTTGGCGCTTCTGTTCTTCTTCCCGGCGGCGCTGATCGCGCTCGGTGCGTTGACGGTGTTCAAGCTCAGCACGCAGAGCTTCTGCACGTTCGGCCTCTGCACGTTGGCGTAGCTCAGCCTCTGCACGCTGGCGCTCAGCTTCTGCAGCACGTCGTCGCTGGGCCTCTTCCTCCCTGCGTCGGCGCTCGACCTCCTCTTCTCGTCGTCTCCGCTCGATCTCCTCTTCCTGTCGTCTCCGCTCAGCCTCTTCTTCCTGCCGTCTGCGATCAAGCTCCTCTTCCACCCTCCGTTTCTCAAGCTCTTCTTGACGGCGTCGCTTCTCCATTTCCTCCTCTTGTCGCTTGCGAATAAGATCTTCCCGCAGGCGCTGCTCGGCCTCTGCACGAATGCGTTGCTCGATTTCAGCCTTCAGCTGGGCCGCTTCTTCTTCACGCCTCAGTGCCTCTGCCTCCCTCTGCTTCAATGCTATCTCCTCCCGGCGGCGTTGTTCCTGGCGCACCCGCACCTCCTCTACTTGTCGAGCAGCTGCCTCCTCTTGCTGTCGAAGGAGCTGCTCGCCCTGCTGGCGCTCGATCTCCTGCCTCCTTTGAGTCTCTACCTGTTGATGCAATAGCTCCTGTTCGCGCTGTCTCATCAGTTCGCGAAATCGAGGGTCCGTTTCGTCTGGGTGAAGGAGGGGATCGCGCGCGCGATGAAGAGAAGTTTCACGTTTGGGACGATGTAAAGACGGCTGGCGATGTGAGGATCTCTCCCGCTTCTGACGTTGGGAGTCTTCCCGCGGGGATTGGTGCAACGCCTCTCGCCGCCCTCGCATCTCTTCTACTTTCCATGCAGCCGCTTCTTCCTGTGCACGGAGAAGTCCCTCTCCTTGCCAGCGCTCAAGTTCTTGTTGTCGAAGGATCTCTTCGCGCTGTCTGAGAATGATATCGTTGGGATGGCGCTGACGGAGCTCGAATTCCTGACGATGGCGGATCTCAATTTCTTGTCGTTGGCGGAGGTCTATTTCCTGGCGCTGGCGGAGGTCGAGCTCTTGCCTATGTCTCAGCTCGTAGTCAAGATCATGCTGGCGCTGGTACTCTTCCCGCGGCTCTCTGAGGGTATCTTGTGCGCGCAATACATCCTCTCGCCTTCTAATATCGTCGACTTCCTCCTCGTCCCATACCGCCCTGCCGAGACGGGGGACGTCAGAGCGCATTGCAGCGTAGACGATGGGTGACATTCGGGTAGGGACGACAGGGGAATGGCGGACTGGGGATGGCAGGGCGGGAGATCGATGGACAGGCTGATAGTGTGGGGGGCTTATTCCTGGCCCTGACAAGGGCATGTTCAAGGGAGAGGATAGATGGGGCATTCCGGGGCCTGTGAGACTGGAACTGAGAGCGCTTGCTGTTGGACTTGGGTTTGGGGCTGAGCGGTGGGGTGGAGTGGGGGAGCGAGATTCACGGATTCTCTTGTGTGGACGAGGGGAGTCGTCTGGGATGTAGAATGGATAAGGGCGGGGAGGGGGTAGGCTACGGTCAATGACTGGACTGGTACTTGATTCGCTTGCTGATGAACCAGCGCTGATGCGCCTTCGTTCTTCAGATGCAGCATGAACGAGAGCGTCAAGACCTGTACGAGGATGTGACATTGCCTGTGTAGGATAAGAGTTAGAGCCATTGATAAAAGACAAAGACTCACAAAAGGAGAGGAGGTGGAACGAACTGGATTGAGGAGAGCGTTTACTGAAGAATGTGAGTGAGATGATGAGGGACGCGGTGAAGATTGGATTTGTTGTCTTGGATGGTGTAGTAGGGCATCGATAGTTCTTGGTGGCATGTTGGGGGAAGTAAGTTCGCGTGGTTGGGGTATGTAATTTGGCTGCTGTCGTGCGTGTTTACCACGAAGATGTGGAGCTAGAATAACAGGCTGATAGATTAATGGTGAGGTTGTTGTCGTCGTCGTCGTTGGTGTCGACAGTTGTTCGTCGTCGTCGTCGTCACAGAGCAGCGATGAGATGTCCATTCGTCTTGCAGCCATGACATTGAAGAAAGAGAGACTCGTGAGAGTAGTTTTCTATCACACTTGTAATATTCACCCGAGAGCATCCGGATCAAAGAAAACATTGAATTCTGAATTGATTGTACAACGAGACATTGCGACTCCGTCCAAACGGTGACCACGAACAGCCTCCACTACGAACGCACCGCACCCAAGTCCCATCATATTCTATCACTCTTCAGCCCATTAATGACGGTCTCAAGGTCCTTGTTCTACAACCATCCAAAAAGGCGGGTAAAACTCGTCGAGATGCTTTTGAAGGCTATATATGGAGTTTTTGTTAGATGGATTGACCTAGTCGACCGGATTGAAACTGACCTGTTTGTTATAAGCGTTACCCTCCAAACCAGAATCAGTGGGTTTTTATAGGTAGCACGTGTTCAAGAACTGTACAGCCGATTTCTTTTGTGGCTGACAAAGACCCCAATTGAATATTGCGGGGTCCTCATATCCCAATCAACAACCTCATCTCATCCGTTCGTCTAATCCTTGCAAAACCAGATCACGTCTGATTGATCCTAAAAACGGCCCCGTCAAACAATGTCGGTGGCCACAAGAAACCCATTTGCTCTCTTGGATGGCAAGTTTTCTCTTATTCGATTATTCTTAACCTTACTTTCCCATACCCACAGAGGACAGGTCATCCACACCACCACCTCCTCCTGTTGAGGCTGCATCCCCCGCACCACAACAACAGCAAACTCGCGGACGTGGACGTGGAGGTCCTGCCTCTCGCGGTGGTCGCTACTACCCCCGTGGAGGCGCTGCACCTACACCTGCTACACCAACTGATGACCAACCGGCAGCGGAGCCAAAGCAAAGGCGATGTCAGTCTTTTGCTTCTATCCTTATAATCTAGCTCATAAATATCAGTCGATGGCGAGCGCAAAGAAGGTCGTGGAAGAGGCCGCGGTCAAGGCCGTGGCCGTGGCCGTCCATTCGACAAGCACAGTCAAACCGGCAAGACGTAAGTCCCCCTTCCCTTTTTCTTTACTCCCCCTCATCCACTTCACACAGCGACTCTGACAAAAAAGTCCACAACTCTTGGGGTGGCGACGACGGCGAAACAGAGCGCAAAACTGAGGAAGCCGCTGCAGGCGACGCTTTTGCTGAGAACGCAACCACCGCCGCTAGCAATCTAAACGATTGGGCTGCACCCGCAGCTGACGCTCCTGCAGACGATTGGGCTGCCACTCCCGCAGCTGACGCCGCTGCCGATGGCTGGGCTGCTACTCCCGCAGCGGAAGGTGCTGAAAAGCCTCAATCCGGTGAAAGGCGTGAAAGGCGCCCTGACAGGGAGGAAGAAGAAGACAACACCCTCACCTTCGACCAGTACCTCGCACAGCAGCGCGAGAAGGAAAACGCACTCGTTCCCAAGTTGGACGTCAGAAAGCCCAATGACGGTGCAGATGATGATGTCTTCCAGGGCGCTGCCCCATTGCAGAAGAAGGAGGATTTGGAGTATTTCGCTGCAAAGGTCCGCTTCTTCCTATCCCTCTCGACTCTAACTCACACATCTCCAGACCAAATCCGCCCCCAAGGCCCGCACCAAGAAGGACGAAAAAGTCTTCATCGAGATCGAAGCTCGCTTCGAACGCCCAAGCCGCGGTGGTCGCGGCGGTCGTGGTGGAGACAGGGGTGGTGAGCGGGGCCGTGGCGAGAGGGGTCGTGGTCGTGGCGGACGCGGACGCGGTGGCGCGAACGGTTATTCCGCTCCCACAGCTGCCGTCAACGTGGACGACGAGACTGCATTCCCCTCACTTTCGTAGGGTGTGCATGCGCATAATTGGCGCCCCGAAGTTGCAGAATGGCTTGATGGCTTGATTTAATTGTACTGACTGACGCCGATGCTGATGACACCCGCTCGTATACATATCATTCCTCTGATTCATGTTTTTGACTGTCTGTTTTGTCTTTTTTTTTCTTACTGGCTTCTCGAGGTTCATTGCAATCCATTTTGCCATGATGCACACACGAAAGCACGTTTGATGTGATTTGAAATTCCCCCGCAATCTGGTACACACGTCAAGAACGACACCATGTCGTCCAATAAAAATATCAGCTCATCGCACACGATTAATCTCCACCCGAAATCAACCGATGAGCTATAAAGCCGCCCATTCACTCACTCACATACCTCACGCCCCATTCTAGTCTCACAGACGCGCATCGTCGTCTGTGAGAACTTCCTCAGGGCTCAGAGCGACTCGTAGCGCATCGTGTCTACTTGTGTTTCTTGTCCTCAGGTAGATCATGGGTCGGCAGTCTAGACCCAGCGCTCGACAGCTGTGCATTTTGTAGTCAAATATATTGATGGTGTTGTGTTATACATCGTCTGTGATTATTGCTCGTCGATCGTGTGCGTTGAACATCGCTTGTCATCCAACCCCTCTAAAAAGTAACATACGCACTCGCATAACTCACGCTCCAATCATCAAACGACACACATCGATTGCTCTGCTCATACCGCACCCACTTCATTTTTGCCTGTTTGCCTTTCTCTTCCAGCGCACCAAGTGCACCCATCAACACGCCTATGGGATGTCGTCCACAAATCGTATTGTGCGTGCGCTCCAGGTACGTCACAAAATTGGAGTGCGCGGTAGACGCGGGCTGTTGAGCGAGGATGTCCATCGCTTCGTGGTCAAGATCTGAAATGGACGCGTGGATGGGTCGGGAGGGCGAGGGACGCGGACCGCTACGGCGTAGATTAACACCCGGGACGTCGCTAGGGATCGTCTCGGGATAATAAAATGTGTATCCATAATGCGAGTGGCCCCTATGCACCATCAGCCATCTAAACACCAGACATCACCAAAACAAACGCACCAATGACAAAAATCAGAAGATATGACAAAGATCGTATCGTCCCTCTCGAGGTACGGCGCTAAAATCTTCCCATACTCTTCTTCCTGCTCCTGATCGATAGCCCCGACCATGATCGGCACGATCTTGATATTATCGATACACCTACGAACCTGGCTCGAAACAGACGAGGGGAGGGAGGGATGAGGCACAGCTTACCCCTCGAACACTTTGTATACGTAGGGCAGGTGCATCTCGATACTGTGCTCGCCTTGGTCCCTGCGTGGTTGGAGGTACTCGAATTGTTTGGTCTTGTAGAGTTCTTCAATGACTATTTGTGGGATGTTACATCTGTGGGGTGGTGTTTTGCATGGGACGTACCTTCTCTGTCTAATGTGAGATTGCCTAGTGGCGTTTCGTAAGTCTCGCATTTCGAGAGTGCACATCCACCTAGATGGAAAGCGTGCGATGGGCCTAGGATAAACACTCGGGAGCTGTGCGGCAGGTGCATCTCATCAAAGATATTGACTGGGGATAAATGCACTCACATTCCAGTGGTAGATATGCTCTTGTATGCCCAGGCAGCTGCAGGGCCAGAGTAAAAGTAACCAGCGTGGCTGGTAGATCATCTGAGGAACGAAGAGAACACAGGAGTGAGAACTTACGGGGCGATGATCGCTTTGCACCCTGTGACTGGCGGCGCAAAGTCGTCCTCGTCAGTAGGCTTAACACCAGCCAGCCAATTCGAGAGCTCGGTATCGAGGGTGTCGCCTGTTGTTCGAAAGAAGATATGGAGTGGGTAAGTAGATAATCTAGCGGAGCAACAAACCATCTGCTGAATACCACGACTTGGCAGCAAATACAGCTGGTCTGTCAGACGTGCTAGTTAGCTACGAGCGTATGCAGTGAGCCATTTTCATGCCTGGATTTGAGGGACATGCTGGATTGTTCAGGTGAAGGTGATAGAGTCCAGCTTCTTTGATTGATGAGCGATGTAATCGCGTGCCCCATTAGGCAATCTCAGGTTATCAGCCTAGACGCGCAGCAGGACTCGAGACAGGAATAACCTGATATCCCTCATGTGACCGATCTTACGCAGACGCAGATTGAAGTTACAACATTCAGCCTGAAGCATGCTTGCATGTCGATTATCTCCAGCATATGAAATGGATACATGAGAATGGCGTGAGAGAGACAAACGACGACAACAAATCACTCCTCTGACCGCAGCCGTGCTGCAGAGTTCGTCACCTTCACTCCAAGAGCCTTTGCTCTAAAAGCCACCAAGCATCAGAATCTCAAAGCGCACACGACCCGAAAGCAACGAAGACATACCGCTCAAGAATGATGTTGCGGTTGCGGCTGCTAACGTTGTGTGCAATCTCAGCCGCATAGCTTTTGTTGTGCATCAGGAGGAGGTCAACTTCCTTGACGTTGCTGACGAGGAACTTCTTGAGGCCGTTTGGGAGAAGGTGGCGGGTCTGACACAAAACATCAGCATTCGCATCTAGCAGCGAAGGATCCTTTCCTACCTTCTTGTTGCTCCCGTAACCGATCTTGGGCATGGGGAGCTGCCCCTTGAACCGACGCCTCACTCTGTTGTCAATACCCTTGGGTTTCCGCCATGCTTCCTTGACACTGTGGTAACGATCGGACTGGTGGCGCCTATGTTGGAGAAAATGAGTCCGTGTTTATCAAGAGGTGCTGCTGCTTCGTACGCACTTGAAATGCTTGGTGCGCTTCTTGACGATGGGGATCTTGATGGCCATGGCGGTCTGAAAGTAATGGTTAGTGGTAGACTTTCAGCGGAGATGCCGGATTCCAGGAAAGTGACCACATCAACACATCCAAGTTTGAATCCATCCATCCATTGACTTGTATTGGCTCAAACTCTTCAGAATCGAATATTATCGATATCGGAGTGTGATGTTGACCTGTTCGACACCAGCATAAAGAGACTCACCCGCGAGTTTTGGGATTTTGGGAACGACGGCTGATTTGTCGACTAGTTTCTGCTCACTGGCGGTATGGGATCCAAATAGAACCAAACAAATGGTGGCTGTGCGACATTTCATCACTGCTGCCTTTGTACACAGCCTGACACTTATTCCTCTTCTCTACAGAGATAATTTTTCTTTGTCGACTACTCAAGACAATTCTTGAGCTGAGATGTAAGATTTCAAATCACACCGTCTCCGCATTCTCCTAGTCTCTCGTAGCCAGACCAAATAGAAAGAAGTGGTTTCTACGACGGTAGTTCCCTGCAAATTTAGAATGCCGTTGTCTGCGAGAGGTTCGGATTTTTCCTTGTGTCTTTAGTACCAGCCATCCTGAAACCAGTCTTCTCACGTATTCAAGAGCGCGTAGCTACCATCAGCGGTACTGCATATGGAGTTCAAAGATTGTACACAAATCATTCGATGGCAGGTGCACAAAAACATAGCTCGGCGCTAGGACATATCCTGTGCGTCACAACGCAGGAAATCAACTGGGAGTCACGAGAAGCAACACTTGCATTGATCTTGAAGACGTGGCATAGCCGCGATGAGTCCTAGTTACTGATGCAATGAATCCACCGCAGAAGCGGAAGCTGACAGAATATAGTCATGGGTGGAGTGTGTTCAGTGCTCAAGTAGCCACCACGTCGCTGATGTATGACAAGCTGCTGGCAGATTGTCATTCCATGGAGCTCGAAGGACGTGGTAGATTTCGCTTGGGTGCACTGGACTGAGATCCGTGAGGGGACATCCTAGCAACGGCCTCCCAGTACTTACTAACTGTTTATGAACTTCGATCAATAAAAGTACTAGTACAATGGACGTAAGTGACAAAGGCCTGTGTGGGGTAGCTTGGATCACCGGTGGCCATTCGTGGCCCGAAGAAGCGTGAGAACATTACCGTAGTCAGTGTCTTACTAGTGGCGGACTCGGATGACTGCTCCTCCGCGCCATACTTAAAAGTAGCTTGGTCAAGTGATTTCGTTCCTTCCGGCGCTCACTTTGTTTCACATCCTTGCGCCCTCCGTTTCCGCCTCGTGTCCTGGTTCGCTATTATGCTCGCCGCAGCCCCCATCGATCTTACCTTCGACGACGACGATTGGCTATCCACAGCCCCCCCTTTGCTGTACAGGTCAACAAGTGTCGGAAGTAGCTGGGGAGTCACTTCGATAGGTCGCGGCTTTGATTGGTCTACGAAAGATGATGATGAAGTCGAAGTCATATCGCAACCTGAATGTCCATTGGAGAAAATGCCACCATTCATCTCACAGGATCTTCCAAAGCGCGAAGACTCCAAACCCGCAGTGGTTAGTCGACCGTCTCTACTGGTTTCTCCAGTCTCTGTCCGATTGCTTTCTCAACCCCAAACGACCTCTCCCCGCTGTGAACCATTGACGATATCCCCATCTGCATCTACTCCCAACCTAACGGATTCTCCGATCTCGGCCTCTCCGTCTCGTCCACTGTCGCGCTTGTCATTGCGCTCGACAACCCCACTTCAACCGAATGTCTCTGAAGCACATCGTCCCCCACTTCCCCGCTCCCCTACTATGTCGCGACCTCGTAGGAGGTCTTCACAGCAGCGTGTATCCCTCATCGCAGGACGCGTTATGATAGCCCCAATAGAACCGCCTTCACCGCCTCCTACGATGCCAAAAATTCTACATCGGTCAGGAAGCACTGGAAGTCTTTTGTGCCCGGTTGCGAGTACCTGTCCTCCGACCCCTGCTCGTGAAGCTTCCTCATCACCCGATGTCAAGACTATATCAGACTTTTTTATTGAAGGTGAGATCGGTCGAGGCGCGTACGGCCTCGTCAAAAGAGCGCGTGAATACAAAACAGATGGATCCCTTGGGGTGAGGTTTTATCCACCAAACTTCCACTTTGATTCCTGCGGTCTGATAATGGGACAAGCCACCATTGGTCTTGAAACAAATAATCAAGTCTCGCATCCTTGCTGACTGTTGGAAACGACACCCACGGTTTGGCACGATACCAATAGAAATCTTCGTCATGTCTGTCATATCATCAACGTCGTACACCTTGCCTGCAGTACGGCCATGGGACCCATCACGATGTCGACCTTACGCTCTACCGGATGGGGACACAAAGCGTTTGCAGCCTGATTTAATGGACTCCGATGGAAGGCGGGAAGAAGGGAAAGAAATCAAGGGACATCCAAATATCTGCCCTCTGCTGGATTTCTTCGAAGACAACCATTATTACTATCTTGTCCTACCATCTTCCTTGCCCGACAAGAAGTCGGATGAGCCTCCCCCTCCAACAGATCTGTTTGATCTTGTTGAGGTCTATCCCCAGGGACTTTCGCTCTTTGATATTCGCAGCTATCTTGGACAGCTTGCAGACGCTCTATGTTTCCTGCACTCTCATGGTATAGGTTGGTAGTCCGTCTCCAGAATGTCTGGATGACATACTGATTCATTGTAGTTCATCGAGACATAAAGGATGAGAACGTTGTTCTCGGGCCAAACGGCAAATGTGTCTTGATAGACTTCGGAAGTTCGGGACTTGTGAAGAAGAATGGATGGGACACATTCAGTGGGACGTAAGTTTTCCGTGTACTGCGCCTTATATCAGTTAATGCGGTCGCTTACCCGACCAAGATTGGACTACGCAGGCCCTGAAATACTTCGCGGTGAGCGATATCACGGGAAGGAGCAAGATGTGTGGGCATTTGGTGTTGTGGCATACGTCCTTCTCGTAGGAGAATGCCCTTTCGTTACGGCAGCTGAAGCGCAAGAGGGGTTGACCTCGCCATTCGCGAACGCATCTATTGCGCTGGATGAGCGGTGCGGTGATGATAAAGAGAAAGATGGAGAAGAGGGTGATGGAGGTGGAGCAGCTGGAGATGCCGCAGCCCTTGTCAGGGCTTGCTTGGAAGTTGACGTGGGTGCAAGACCTACGTTTGAGAGCATTCTCCAGTGCCGATTTTTGAACGGGGGAAAGGGTTGGGGGTTGAAGCTGCCCTTCGGTAATCATCAACACATATCTCCACAACCGAGCGCATTTCCAGCGCGTGTCACTTAATCGCAGGCAACGAGGCAGGCTTTTTGTCAAACTCTCACTGATCCTCATGAGGATCTGTTCAGCCTATCTTTGTGCTCCGATATCTCTCCTTTTATGTCGTTTCTTTTTATCTCAAACCATCAAATCTCACCGTATCAGCATCAGAGGCCCCACAATATTGATCTGTTTCAACTAGCTAGCGCATATTCTCATCGATAGTACAAGATAGTAGCATCTGTGACCTTCACCTTATACATTAATCATATGTGCGAATGTATCAAATCGATCGGGAGATTTGAGTCTGCCTACAATGTTCCTGAGCCAGCGGCAGTGTAAGATGACTCGGCCAGTCCGGCGCCACGCGGCCGGTGCCGAGCGGAGTCACGGCGGCATATCAAATCATCAGATCGATAAAAATTTTCCTTTGGGAAGGTATAACTATCAGCGGGATCAACAGCCTCTCTCTTTCTTTCCTACCACCACATCCCATTCCTCTCTGTTTTTTTCTCTTTCTGTACACTTAAGTGAGTCTTTTTTTCTTTTCCGATCTTCCAAAAGATCCTGGTTACTAGCGCGATGCGCGCCCCGATGTTCTTATCATCATCGCGCGATGTCATTGCGCGATTTTACATCACTGGCTCCGATTACTATGATCACTGCCGATCCACCTCTTTGAAAGATCATACACTGACGATCGCACCATCGGACAGAAATCCTTCAAAATGGGAAAGGAAAAGATTCACGTTAACGTTGTCGGTGAGTATATCATCATCTACAGTCAGTTCATTGATCTAATCTATCGCAGTCATCGGTCACGTCGATTCTGGTAAATCTACCACCACCGGTCACTTGATCTACAAGTGCGGTGGTATCGACAAGCGTACCATTGAAAAGTTCGAAAAGGAAGCTGCTGAGCTCGGCAAGGGTTCCTTCAAATATGGTGAGTGACTCGATAATCTATACCCGAGTAACGTAACTGATAACGATCTTTAGCATGGGTGCTCGACAAGCTAAAGGCTGAGCGTGAGCGTGGTATCACGATCGACATTGCTCTATGGAAATTCGAGACCCCCAAGTTCATGGTTACGGTTGGTTTCGCTGACCACTTTCCGGGTAACATCCGCTTATGCATTTTCCAGGTCATCGACGCCCCTGGACACCGTGATTTCATCAAGAACATGATTACGGGTACTTCCCAGGCTGACTGTGCTATCCTCATCATTGCCGGTGGTACTGGTGAATTCGAGGCTGGTATCTCCAAGGACGGCCAGACCCGTGAGCACGCCCTCTTGGCGTTCACCCTCGGTGTCCGTCAGCTCATCGTTGCCGTCAACAAGATGGACACGACCAAGGTTAGATGTATTGACGTAGTTGTCAAAAAATATGCACTAACACTCAAATTCAGTGGAGCGAGGACCGTTTCAACGAAATTATCAAGGAAACCTCGACTTTCATCAAGAAGGTCGGTTACAACCCGAAGGCCGTTGCATTCGTCCCCATCTCTGGCTGGCACGGTGACAACATGTTGGAGGAGTCCCCCAAGTCAGCTTCATTTGTGTTCCTGATCAATTACATTCTCACGTCTCACACAGCATGCCATGGTACAAGGGCTGGGCCAGGGAGACCAAGGCTGGTGTTGTTAAGGGCAAGACCCTCCTCGATGCCATCGATGCTATTGAACCTCCCGTTCGTCCTTCCGACAAGCCCCTCCGTCTTCCCCTTCAGGATGTCTACAAGATCGGTGGTATCGGTACTGTGCCCGTCGGTCGTGTCGAGACTGGTGTCATCAAGGCCGGCATGGTCGTTACCTTCGCTCCTTCGAACGTGACCACTGAAGTCAAGTCCGTTGAAATGCACCACGAGCAGCTTGTTGAGGGTCTTCCCGGAGACAACGTCGGTTTCAACGTCAAGTATGTTTTTGTGATTGTTATGTCAATTTTTACGCTAATACCTCTTCAGAAACGTTTCAGTCAAGGATATCCGTCGTGGAAATGTTGCTTCTGACTCCAAGAACGACCCCGCCAAGGAGGCTGCTTCCTTCAACGCTCAGGTCATCGTCCTCAACCACCCCGGTCAGATCGGCGCTGGCTATGCTCCAGTGCTTGACTGCCACACCGCCCACATTGCTTGCAAGTTCGCCGAGTTGATCGAGAAGATCGACCGTCGGAGTGGAAAGTCCCTCGAGGCGGCTCCCAAGTTCGTCAAGTCCGGTGATGCTTGCATTGTCAAGCTTGTTCCCTCTAAGCCTATGTGTGTCGAGTCCTACAACGAATACCCACCTCTGGGTCGCTTCGCCGTCCGTGACATGAGACAGACTGTTGCTGTCGGTGTCATCAAGTCGGTCGACAAGACTGACAAGTCTGGCGGAAAGGGTGAGTCTCCTCAGCTAAACTTGCTCTGTCAAAATTTGCTGACTGGTGCTCTCTCCAGTGACGAAGTCTGCGGAGAAGGCTACCAAGAAGAAGTAATAGATGTAGAACTGCCGTATCCATATTCTTTCTTTCCGGCTTTCTGCTTTCTGCTGTCTCTCTGGTGCCACCCATACGGTATTCATACCTGCAATGTGTTTACTATCATCATCTGTATGCACGATTAACGAAGCTGGCAGCGAGGTCATGACCAGTGGCCTCGCTCGCTTGTTTACTAATGTCGCGGAGATGCTATCTCGAATGAGAACGAAGTGGCTTAATTGTATCAATACTTTTCTTCATCGCCCCGCGTCTTCCGTATCAAAGCTTCCCGCTGGGTCTTTGTCGTCTAGACTCTAATTAATTGCCCACCGTGATGGACCCGCACAGAGTCAACTGCTGCATGATGAAAGCTGGTGCACACTCGGTAGAGTGTATGTAGGTCGTTTGAGGAAAATTTGAGGGCTTTGGTAAAAGAAAAAACGATGAGCGTTGCGCTCGCAAGTAACGATAAGTATTATAATAAATCAAATATGTTGCTCAGATTGCCATCCACTTAGTGTCTTAGTGAGTCACCGTGCTTTGGCCGTCAGCGCTGCTATGGTCGAATTCTGAGAAGATTTCTTGCATATGATGTTTACCGTTCATCTAGCATACGTGCTCGACTTTCTCTCCTTTGTCGACTCTGGGCCCGAGATCTCTCCCGATAGTTCTTTCAAACACCTCCATCATAAACGTAAACAAGGACCGCGTGAGGGCAGCGTCCCATCGACCTTTTGAGGATTCATCTCTGATGAACGCGTGCTGCGCCTGTACCTCCAGAAACTGCATTTGTGGTGAACATTTTAGAAGTGCACACTAAACCATGTAACATACAGAGCAGAGCACATTGGCATCCTCAACAGTTTTGCGGATGAGATCCCGACCTTCGCGAGGGACATGTGTGTCCTGGCGGCACTAAGTACAAGCATGCGTCTTCTCTTAGCACTTTCACGCACCTGTTTCCCGAAGATCATCTACAGAAAGTTTCAGCGTCACCATTGCCCTTCACAATCACAAAAAAAAACATACCACGAGTTCACCTTTGCCTGTCATATCTCCCTTGTGAACACGCGCAAGAGAGTCGTCATTCTTGCCTTTGCCAAGGGTTGCACTGTGGACATCAGTCGCGAAGAAGCATACTGAAGACAGTACACGGGGATCAAAAGCAGCCTTCACGACGGTCAGCGAAAAACTCTGGCAGTACCATCGCCCTATCGCTTACCCGAAATGCCTATAGTCTACAAGTTCAGAAATCACTATGTGTAGGAGCGGCTAATCGACGCACCAAATGCCCTCCCAAGCACATTCCAGTCGCTGAGTAACATCTTAATGTCTGGTAGGCTAATATAATACTCGTTGACATACCTGCAATGCGACCGTTGCAGTTTGGCAAAGAAACCAGAAGATCAACGGAGAGTGTGCAATCCTAGACCACGCTTAATACTGAAAGGTCCTACAACATCAGAGCCAGGCGTCTGACCTCGTCGTACGCAGCTACGGATTTCTCGATCTGACACAAAAGTAGATGAGAATGCAGATCGTCACGATATGAAGGGGCTTGCCTTGTACCTATTCCCCCTATCAGTCCCTGATATCGACATTAATGAGTAACCAATAGCAAGATGACGAGAACACGGCATACCTTCGTTATCATACGGAATGGCCTCTGGTCCCTCAAACTCATGGTAGCTTGATGGGCAAGCGACCACAAATCCCTGGCTCGCGATCTGACCAGCAAACCTTTCCACTGGCCCTGTTACTTGATAGATTTCACTAACGGATGTGAACAATTGTGCACAAGTTCAACCCGCTGAGCTCAGACCCACCTGAAGCATACCACACCTGTTGTCGGTCACAAGCACTGGTTCAGCTTCTAGAGAATACGAGGAATAATAGTATACAACTTACCGGGAAACTTTGCTTGGGGATAGTTTGGGACAACAGGAGAAACCACAAAGATACGGATTGGACGCCCGTTGTCGAGTTTGCTGGACACGTCGTGGAATGTTTTGGTGATGAGCATGGCCGTAGAGAAGTGTTCAGTGTATGTCGTCTTTAGGAACACCGTTGAGGCTTCAACCCACGTTTAAAACGGTTCAATTGGCAGGTGTGTGAAGGAATATCAGTGAGGGCGATTTTGGAGACTTGCGATTTTTCAGTGTCTTACAGTCCTCATCATTACAATTTGTTTGCCTCGAGCACCATCCTCTGTAGTCTGCACAGGCCTGAACTTTTAAGGGAGTTGCTGAACTTCTCCTGATGCAGCACCGCTCTTAATCGTATAATTGTGCCTGGAGTCGGCCCTGGACAAACGTGCGAGAAGAAGTTGGTACAAATCATGAGACTGCTTCGTCTTCACCCCCCATTTTTTTGCACGGTGCAATCATGACAGAAGGTGATGCGCGCATCCGGTTGTACGAGGCTTCCGATGACAAACTGGTCAAGTTCAGCATCGGAAAGGCTTCAATGGAGGGTCTCGCTGTTGCTAATCGAAGTGGTACGTGTCCCTTAGCTTTCTCGCGACATTGACCAAATAATCCTGTAGCCTTTTTCCACCCATTTACACTGAGTGCCTGGGTGGGCCTGTCGTGCATCATGATCCAATATCTCAACTGGTGGCCTAAACCAGAGTACGGGCTCCTTGGTTATTTGGCACCTCTTCCAGCCTTTGGAAGTTGGGGCGCTGTCATGCTCTACCTCATGGATTGGTATGTTGATGCGCACACATTGCGGACCGCTCGATAATTTAACTCGATAGGTTCAACCGCCCACACTTCGAAGATGCGTCTCTTGACTTGTTGCGAAGACCAGATGTCGCGGACATTGCAAATCATTACCGGCGGTCTCCCTCCTCAGGCTTTTTCATCCTCGAATATTCGAAAAAGTTCGTCGGTCTCATAGCCATTGACGCGTCCAAGGACTCTCAGTCGCAAGACACACTGATGGACAAGGACAAAGGAAAGCCATCTTCTTCGCTGAAGTCCAAACATGCAATGTCTCAGGGAACATCATCCGTTGCTACAATCCGTCACTTCTACATCGAAGAGCCATATAGGAGAGCAGGAATTCAAGAGGATTTACTCGCACATGCCATACAACATACATTCAAAATGGATAACGCAGTCAAAGAGATCAAGGTGACTACTACCTCCCTGATACCTTATGTTCAAAAGTGCATCCACGACGCCGGGTTTGCGTTGGAAAAGCCTGTGGGCAAGGTTGGTATTTATGGGTGGAAATTTGACCTATTCGTTCTCCGGAGGGCACATTGGAACAAACAAAATGCTGGGACTGTTTCGTGAAGTCCATTGTAATGTCGTAGTACCGCAAGGTTTTGAGTAGTTTTAGTGACTTGGACCATATTCAATATTATGTTGATGCAACCTGGATTGAGCACAAAAAAAAGATGTCCTTACTCCCTTCCATCATCAGCAACCCAACAGGATTAAAGCCACATCAACCACTGATCATCTTCCAGTCATCTTCCGCACAGACATGTTATCCTATCTTGAGGATTCTGATCTCAAATTTCAAACCGGCTACCCAGACTCTACTGTTCTGCTTCTTGCATCCACCATCGAGCTTGACGAACATCGATGAGGCTCCAAATATCACTGCATTCGACTTCACTGGGCGAGTTCCTGGGTATGACGATCCGTGGTGTGGTCCTCAGGACGAAATACTGGCTTGCGTCAATTCTGGTCAGTGTCGGCGCGTTTGATGAGGATGATTATCAGACTGGTAAAACTTTGTAGTACCTCCGGGATCACTGAATGTGATCATCGACTCGGTGGATACATTGACATCTGATCTCGGATCCACACCAAAGGCTTACAAGTTTATTCGGACGCTCCTTGGGCTGGTTACAACACGTTCCGGTGTGTTTATAGCACAACTTGATGTCTTTGTGCTTGCTGATCTTCCCCAAGAACCTTCGATCCTCGCATTACATCTCCAGCCCAGTCCTCTTCTCGAACTATTAAATCAAACTTCCCTTTCACCGACGCTTGTTCATCTAACTGCGCATCCCCCGGCTATCATCACACATCTCGCCTCTGCATATCTTACACATCCTCCACCAGCTGGTCCGGCAGAGAAGTTTTGGAGTGTCTTTATCCCCTTCTCTAAGCGTACACATGAAATTGAGCGCCTGCTTTACGGCCCCGAAGGCAATGGGACGAGTGCCGGTGCGTGGGTGAGCAAAGGCACGAGGGAATTCGTGGTGGAGGTCATTTTAAGGGGCGGGAGTCGGCGCGGTGTGGAGAGGACTGTTGAGGGCTGGAAAGGAGATGTCCCGTGCGACCTGCGAGCTCTTGAAAGCCTGAAAGGTATTTGGACCAGGAAGAAAGCGGACGAGGTGAGCGCGAACGCTACCTTGACATGATATTTTATACCTGACCAATCTATAGGCTCGGCCAGATCCAACGCAGAACGTATCGTTCAATCTGAATCTCACGCCGTCGCAGGAGAAATCGCGAGCCCAAGTGCCCCTGCCCTATGCACACGAAGGTGGTGCTCCATTTCTCTATTCTTTATGTCGTTTTAATCTGGGCTTCAGGCAACCCTATTACAACAGCTGGGGCGATTCTGTATGACCCTGATTCTGCTGATGACATTGATGACGACGATCCTGATGAGGACTTGGATATATAGCAGATCTCCATACGCGTACGCAAACATTCTTGACAATGCTAGAACTGTTGTCCTGATGCAATAGTGCTTGCATGACGTCAAGAAGAAACGGAGTAGATGTGAGACAGCCGTCGGTCCTGTTCGCAACCCTGTGTACATGATCCAGTCTCCTTCTTTATTTACTCCTTCGTGTTAGCTTGTGAGTTCTTCAATCACCAGGCAACATGTCTAATTGCGATATCTCTCTCGTCGCGGTCTGGCCTGACCAGCGTCAGTTCATCATCATGGATCGCATGGCCTATCATGAGCTACCCAGCCGCACAGTAACTTGGCTTCGCTTCGTTGGCACCTGGATTCTTGGCAGTGTCTTCAGTCCTTCTAGTTTCAGGTTATCTAACGCTCTGCATCCGGATGCCCCTTGTGCAGAGGTTGAGAGCAATGGATCAGCTGCCGTCATCCCTTGCATTCCAGGAGAGGATCAGTTCTTTTATCTGCATGTCGAGGGTGAGTTTGTGCTTGTTCGTTGCTGCTGTGCTAGCTGATCGTTTGCGATCAAGCTTGGGTTCCATATCCAACGTTAAAGGATGGTGATGAGCGGGATGTCCTCGTTAAAGTGGGTGCAAACACTCTTGGTGTTCTGAGTCTTCGTTTATACTACTTCTAGGACTCTGAGTCGGACGATAGCTTCGATGAAGCTGAAGCGGACGTCATGCACACTCCCATTTCGCCGGTCCAATTTCTGCCAGGAGGATTGCTGGAGGATGATGATTTAGACGAACTCGAGAACAGCGAAGTTGCGACAATAAGTCTAGAGAGCCAGTTGTGGAAACGTTCCTTGCGCTCTGGGACGTAAACCTGTAGGTGCATGCACATGCAGGTATGTATGGTGTGCAGTTCAAGTTACCGATCGATGAGCCTCTATGACATTGTACATTATACACCAATTCAAGTTTTCGTCAGTCCTAGTATAGAAGGAAGACCTGAGGAACAAAGTTGTTCCGAACTTCCCTGAATGCATGATGCTATTATGATCCGAGCGGTCGGGGAGCCCTATGATACATAATCCATACGATGCATACTTAAATCTCACACGTAGCTTAATGCCTTTTGAGGATACCCATTCTCTTCATGTTCGCTAGCGCAACGGTCATACGTGCTAGAGTTCCATCTATGATGCGTAACGTCTCCACACATAGTGGCAAGGGCATCTCTGCGGTGCTGCAGAAGAACCCAGATGATGTGGTCATTACCTTTGCAAAGCGTACCGCGATGGGGAGGAACAGGAAGGGTCAACTCAAGGATATCCCAGTGGATGAAATGATGCAAGCTTTGTTCAAGGTCGATGGACTGTTTGTGGACTAATACCGCCTACCGTGACTGAAGCCTTTTCAATTTTAGGCGACCTTTGAAAAGACAAAGCTTGACCCCGCGAAACTTGACGACATTTGTGTTGGTGAGTCTGCAGCCGTATCATGCTGTGTGGTTCTGCAATAACTTTCTACAGGCACATGTCATCCTCCTTCTCCAATGTACTCCTCACGAGCTGCTGCTCTCGCATCCGGCATTCCTCACGATGTTCCCATCTCGACAGTGAACAGATTATGTTCATCCGGCCTTATGGCCGTCCGAAACATCGCACATGCTATCCAGTCAGGCGAAATATCCATGGGCATGGCAGTTGGAGTGGAGAATATGTCGCTGAAGTGAGTCTGCAACGCCTGTGGTATACCGATGTTAATCTTCGCGCAGCCCTCGTCCTACGCCTGTCATAGCTGAATCTGTGGACAAATATCCCCGGGCTCACGACTGCATCCAAGTGTGTCTGGGTTTGCTATATCGATTAAATACTGATATATTTGTAGCCTATGGGTTGGACGTCTGAGATGGTCGCCCAAACCTATAAAGTCTCGCGACAGAAGCAAGATGAGTATGCCCTCATATCACATACACGCGCAGCCAAGGTTTGTATGTTCGAACTACCCTGTGTTGCATTTTAATGACAAGAACAGGCGATGACTACCGGCATATTCTCTGAGGAGATCATCCCAGTTGAAATCCGCGGGACCGTGATATCCGTTGACGACACAGTCCGACCTGGCGTGACGACGGAGATGCTATCTGGGCTAAAGCCCGTGTTCCAAGATTGGGGCGATGCAGCTACCACTGCTGGAAACGCTAGTGGCATCGGAGATGGTGCCGCATTGTGCATTCTCACGACAAGAGAACGTGCAGAGAAGGAAAACATGGAAATTCTCGGGAAATGGGTTGGAAGTGCAGTTGTCGGTCTGTTATTTATCGCCTCTGTTTGAAGGTGTGCTGAACAGCTACTGGTGAAGGTGTCGAGCCTCGCTACATGGGTATTGGACCCATCGCCGCTATTCCCAAGGTCCTTACGCAAGTTGGTCTCACCAAGGATGATATTGACATCTATGAGGTGAACCCAGCCTCTTATATCATTTCTGTCGATGGCCTAACGCGTCTCACGTAGATTAATGAAGCATTCGCTTCGCAATTTGCATACTGTGTCGAAGAACTTGGCATTTCCATGGACAAAATCAACCCGAAGTGAGTCATAACAGCTGGAGTACTTCCATTCTGATGTTTTTCCGGCAGTGGTGGGGCAATAGCCGTGACGCACCCTTTGGGAATGAGTGAGTCTCATTGTTGTCCTGAAGCTTCGAAAACTCAACTGCCAATTATTAGCTGGCGTTCGTCAAATTGTCACCGGCCTCGCAGAACTTCGCCGGAGAGACAAAAAGTTGTTGTGCACTAGTATGTGCGTCGGTAGTGGCATGGGCGCAGCAGGCATTTTCGTGAACGAGGCCCAACCACTTTATAGTCATGAAGCAAAGTTATAGCTTTCGAATTGTTTGAATTTGACCGAGTGGTAGGTCTATTTGTACATTATTCATGACTGCTGTTTCTCGAGAAGTATACCTTGAACTTATTTGGCGGCCGCCAGCGCCGCATCCACAATTTCTGTCATTCTGATAACCGCCTCTTCCTCTAGAGTCCGACCGACAAGTTGCAAACAAACAGGAGCGTTCTTGAATTTCTCCGGGTCATCTGAATCAATCATTGGCCCATCAGAAAATCGCTGAGGGGTTCAGTGCTGGCATTACTCACACATTTCATAAACGCCCTTATCGAAATCGTCATAGAAACTATGAGGAGGCTCCTTCCCATCGAGAGCGGAGTCGACAGTAGTCACAGGGAAAATCGCAGCGGGATAGTCGAGCGCATTCCAAACGGTGGTATAGTTGGCGTACCTGCGCATTGTTTTCATTGATAATTCGAGACTCCAAAATGAAAAAAGACACTAACTTGTTCTTCCCATGGGGAGGTGCCGCAAACGGTGCGGCTGGACAAAGGATAGCATCGACAGGTCGTCCTGTCCCAGTCTCTGATGCAGTTGCGTTCCAGTGGTCTAGATATTCTTTCCGGAGATTTTGACGCAGTTTATGCACTTGCCAGAGTTGGTATGCGGTGATGCCGCCATTTTGCGGACGGAAGGATGCTGCCACAGCATCTGTGTCGTCCAGTTCCATTGTTGCAATTATTGGCTCCCCTGTGACAGAGGTCGTGATCATGTAGTCCTCGGAGGAAGCGGCGTTCCAGATATCCCGCTGCATAGTGCTACTAGGTCCACATGTAGGCATAGTAAAATACACACCTGCTTACCGTGGCATCTCCAAGTTCTCTGTGTTTGATGGGTTTCCAGTCAATAACTGCCACTAAATGAGCACAATTCAGCAGGGAGTTAGACGAAAAGACCTTTGTGGCCCGCCTTCTGGAGAGCCGCTTTGGTGATTTCCAGAGACCTCTTGATGGGTGGGTGGGGAACAACAACGCCATCGTCCCACATGATCGCAAAGCACAAATCCTTGCCAGACCCATGGTCCGCGAGATCGTACTCATCTTCGTCCCATTTCTTCCGAACCGCAAGAGGGTCATTGAGCCACGGTTTGGCGTCAACGACAGCTTTCATGAAGACTTTGAGCCCGCCGACACTGGTCGTCATAGGACCGAACACGGAGAGAACTGAGTCTTGGCCCTCAAGCGAGTTGCGGGCACCACAGTATGGTACACGTCCGTATGAGGGTCTCAGGCCGTATATGCCGCAGAATGCAGCGGGAATACGAACAGAGCTGCCAGGAGAACGTCAGAAGGCTACTACCAATGATAGTTCCAAATCCTTGTCATACCCTCCGATATCAGAACCGACTCCCAAAGGGCTTCCTTTGAGGGCAGCCAATGCACCCTCTCCTCCTGATGACCCACCCGAGGTCAGAGAGCGGTTGTGTGGGTTAGTTGTCCGGCCGAAGACGTTATTGAAGGATTCCGGCCACTGAAGATACTTTTAGCACACGAGTAGGATTCATCTTCAGGGTGCGCTCACCATGAGCGTCTGCGGAATGTTGGTGCGGACGAATGGCACGGCTCCACACTCGACCAGAATGTCGACTAGTACTGCGTTTTTCTCTGCGTACTGCCCAATCCATGAGACATAACCTAAGACGTAGCGGATTACAATGCATTTGGTCTAAGCCGGGTTTATTACCTACCCATAGTGGTTTCCAGTCCCTTGATACATAGCTGGTCCTTTAGAGAGATGGGCAGCCCGTGAAGGGGACCAACGACCTTTCCCGTCTTCTTCAGGTGGTCATCAAGTTCAGCCGCTCGTGCCAATGCACGATCAACAAAAATTTCTGTCAAGCAATTGACCTCATTGACAGGTTAATACAATATCGTCAAGCAAATGCCTGGCACGTGGCTCACAAGCTGATGGGCAATAATAGCCCTCTTGGAGAACGCGGTGGTCACGTCTACAGCTGTCCATTCCGCACTGGCAAGTTTCACCAACAAAACATCCACCGAAGTATTGGTAATCTCAATTTCATGTGCGCTCAGAAGGCCACATGTCTCTGGAAAACCAGTCACATCCAGTGTAGAGTCTGGAGGTGGAGTCACAAGCCAATCCTGTGGAATGGTCTTGAGCTGTCTCTGCTTCTTCTCTGCGACTAGAGCAGTCCAATGCGTCATATCGATAGGGATGGAATTGGACGAGGGAATGACAATGTAGACGAACGTTTCGCGGTAAATAAGAGGCAGCTGGCGGATAAAGGGAGTCCGCAACTAATATTAACAGCGAGATAAGGCTGTCAAAAGCGGTGATAAAGCTTGGCTTGAGTGTCAGATGTGTAGATGAAAGAGTTTGATTTGGGTCATGCGGATTCATGGTAACTACAGAGACAACCGAATACGTGTATGGTTCTGCCTAATATTTAACTTCTGGCCTAAAGGAAAAATTGTCAGCTGAAAGCTCAAATCGACGAAATCAAAACAAAGGAATGATGATCAGAAAGTCATTGATGTCAGTGATACACGTCCGCCGTGTTACGGGCTCGCGTGTATCAAGTCGACTAAGAGGTGCCAGTGGTGGTTGATATACAACGCTCGTCATTGAAGGTTTTATGTGGAAGTGCAAGAAAGGTTTTTTGAAAAGATCACTCACCCAATTGCAAGCATGATAGCTCCCATAAGAAGAAAAGAAGTTAAAATTGCACGTGTATTTTCAGAACCATTTATCAAATGTCATTTTAGACGGCGATTGAATCGCATTCGGCAAGCAGCACCCGCCGCAACAAGCAGCCCGACAACGCATACGGCGTCGAAGGCTACATTTCATCAAGGTTCGTCCAATTTCTTGCAGTCAATGTGTCCAGAGCCTGTTTGCACAGTATCGCAGAAGATCGGGGCTAGATATGGCACTGATGAGATGGATGGCAACTCTGGGATTCGGATGATGACAGTGTCTTATCTATCCGTCTTTGCAGACATTCTCCCAATATGTCCGCTCAAATCAGCAAAAAGCGCAAGTTCGTAGCTGACGGTGTCTTCCGCGCCGAACTCAATGAATTCTTCACTCGCGAACTCGCTGAGGAGGGTTACTCTGGATGTGATGTCCGTGTCACCCACGCCCGCACCGAGGTACGCTAGTATGAGCTAAAGAGCCTTGCCATCTTGCAAATGCATTAATTCCAGATTATTATCCGTGCCACACACACCCAAGAGGTCCTTGGTGAGAAGGGCCGCCGCATCAGGGAGTTGACCGCGCTCGTCCAGAAGCGTTTCAAGTTCCCCGAAAACTCACTTGAGCTCTACGCTGAGAAAGTACAATACCGCGGTCTTTCTGCTATTGCTCAGTGTGAGAGTTTGAGATACAAGCTGCTTGGTGGTCTCGCTGTCCGCAGGTTCGTGCCTCTAATGATCATATGTGGGGCATTCCTGATGATGCCTCCAGGGCATGTTATGGTGTCCTTCGCTTCGTCATGGAGTCTGGTGCAAAGGGTTGCGAAGTGGTTGTTTCCGGAAAGCTTCGTGCTGCTCGTGCCAAGTCGATGAAGTTCACCGATGGATTCATGATCCACTCTGGTCAGCCTTCGCGAGACTTCGTTGACTATGCCGTGAGACACGTCCTGCTCCGTCAGGGTGTCCTTGGTATCAAAGTTAAAATGTAGGTTGATCACCGTATTCAAAGGCATCTGGCTCACCACTTGGCAGCATGAAGGGCTATGACCCCGAAGGTCAATTGGGCCCTCGCAAGCCCCTCCCAGACTCTGTCCAGATTCTCGAACCCCCTCTCGACAAGATTGTCTCAGAACCTTCCTCAGAGTCAAGAGAACCTGCTGTTGTTTCCGCTCCACCCCCCGCTGCAGAGGAGCCTGCTCCGTATGCACAAGAGCCGGCTTATCAACAGGAGGCGTATGGCGAACAGCCTGCATTCTGATCTTCTATTTAGATCTTTTCTTCATCCACAAAATATGTACTCGCTACACCATTGCAACATGTTATCATTCGCATGGCTGGTATTTTCGCATAGCTAGTATTGTAAGATCCCATCCGATGAACGACGTGCTACTGCCCTAACGCGCTGGTCACGCTGCTTCCTGCCGAACCACCACTAGGTAGTGTGAAATAAATAAGCAGGGTATTTTGAGATCCCCATCCATATGGTTTAACTCCATTTCCGGCAGTCATCTCTATAGTGAGTTCAGAAAGTGTCTGCGATGGATCTGAGACTGTCACGGTGCCAGAATCCACCCGATAGAGGATAGCGGCGTTTGCACTGGCTGTGACGGTGATTGGTGCGTAGCCTCCATCCAGCTGGAAAGTGAAGGAGCCACCAGCAGGGCTCCATAGCACTGCTGTCACCGTTCGATATACTTTATCGAGCAACGCACTAACACTTGCGCTATTCTCGATTTCCTGCAGTCGGGTAGCCGCTCGCTTGAGCGTGAAGGTACCGTAATCGACCGCAGGAAAAGATGTGTAGGAGACGGGGGCGGATAGATTGTTGTGATAGAGCCATGCAGTGAAGAGTTCGGCCGTCTCAGGAGGTTGGGTGGAGGATCCAATGCTTGACCAAGCACCCGTACGGTTGCCCCATTCAACGGAGAGTCCATATGTCCCATTAGCGGTTGGGAACTCATAACCAACACCACCATGCCACATGGTTTGTGGATCTGTGTAGTTGCCACCATAAGTACCAACTCCATTGACCCAAACACCGCCTCCGAAGCGTCGTTGGTCAAGAACCGAAAATACGGGGGCTGCGGTGGCAGACGAAATGTTGGCAATCATGACATGTTGAATGTCATTCTCCAGAAAAAACCACGTCTTTTGCCAGGATAGCGAGCCACTCAGAGGGTTAGTGTAGCGCATTGCTGCGACACCAATTCGACCATCCGAGACGCCGCCGACAAAGGCTTCTTTACCGGCATATGAAGTATTGTTACAGTCAAGTGGTGTGGCGTTATAGTCCACGGTAGTTCCAGGGATAAGGTTCCAGTCCCAGGCCGCAGCAATGTCTTCATATTCATTGCCTTGAAGGTAAGTGTAAACAGTGCCATCAGAGAGATGGAAGCCTAAAAGCTGTCATTTCGTTATCACTGCTCACATGCCGTAAGAAGGCGACAACATACGTTTTGAGAGTTGAGACACTCTGTGTTTATCGTCCTATTGGAGTACATTCTCACTGTGGTCACATAGCCTGGACCGCGAGTTACCTTGGGTACGGGTCAACAGGACGGGGCGGACGAAAAAAAAATGAACTGACCATGTAGTCATTGTCAAAGAACATACGATTCCCGTGGATCTCACCCACATTCGCATCGGTTGTATTTGATGACATGACCGAAGAGAATTTGAGGAGAACGGTGGAGTTCCATTCTTCCCCAAGCTGCTGAATTTCTGAAATGTTCATATTGATGCGAGCAGTAGCCCTGAAACAGCTTCAACAAGAACACAGCAAAACAAGAGTCGAAAATAGCCTCACTGCCCGTCAATCACAGGAAAACTGATGAAGCGGCCTAAGACGCTCTTCGCAGCGTCAGATAACATTAGACCGGAGGGCTGCTAACTCACAAAATCCCAGTGCAATACCTGCAAGATAATCAGTCACAAATGATATCAGAGTAAACCATTGACAAACATTGGTTTGGATGTTACGGAAGATCATCCATCGATCTCCGTCGAACAGGGTTTCAAATGCGGTCTTGGAAGTTGCATTAGCAGCAAATTGCGTTCCTGCAGCCTCAGTTTCCAGGTTGAGAACGTCATTTGAGCTGGTGTGACTCAGATACAGATGCTTCCATAGTGTAGAGATAACATACAAATCTTTCCCATAATTGCCATTATAGATGATCCCAGTGTGTTGGCCGAAAGATCCATCAGGACGAATCTAGTTGCCAATAATTATTAGTTCGCCAACTTCGGAAGAATGATTGGCTTGCCCCATCAGATGCAATAGGCTGTTCGATGACTACAGTCTCATGAACTCTCGTGAAGGCGTCTATGATCAAGGAGACATTGACAACCAAAAGACCTTGATCAATCCCAATTTTTGCAAGGTCCAGCGTATTCGCGCCAGTAATATAACCTATGCCATTGACGTAATGGTCGAACGTGCCATATGCACGGAGGGTGATGTGAGAACAATTGCCAAGCTGAGTGGGTGTCAATGTGTCGTTCACCAGGAGGCAGGATTGTGACACCAATTCAGGGATTAAAATAACCTACACCAGATGTCAGAACAAATTGATGCAATTAAAAGTCAGTTGCGATTTCACGTTGGAGAACCAATTTGTGTTCCAAAATCCCGGTGTGCCACAAGGGCAGCTTGGGGTACCTCCATAGTCTAGACATGCGGCGTCGGTGAAATCATTCGCGAACCAATAGTCCATGGCAAGTGATATAGCGGCTAAGGTCTCCGAATTGTTGACGTATTGCTGCCCCCCGCTAAGACCACCGTGCCAAGCAGCGGCCATGGTACCTGTCAAGAGCTAGTTAATGCATCAACTTTTCGTTCAGTGCAGATCCTCACTGATGCGTTGCCAGTGCTCTTGAGCAGGCCAGTTAGACCTTTGTGCATCACACCCAGAAGTGTAATCAACTTCAGAACTAGGCCATTGTCCGTTGGCTCCCAGGTCAGCAATCCTGCAAGGTGACCTCAGTCAGGTACTGCATAGTACAAAATAGCAACTGACCAAGATGAGATACTCGTGGGGTTTGTAGTGATTCCCTCTGTAATTGTTACCAGCCTGCGCTGATGAATGGTGTTGATGTCTTGCAGGATGGTGGGGCCAACAGCTGGTGTGGGAGACACTACTGGTGACGTGCCAGTACTGGGCGCAACTTGAACTGAGCTGTTGGAAGAGGACACGACCGAGATTGAAAATGCACTGGCAGCAACATATTCGGGGCTCAACCGTACCTCGGAACCCCATCATATGGACCTCTAATGTGGTGGTGAGCGGCAGCAATGTCACGGTTGATGTGGTCATGAGTGTCAAGGCTCGTCGCGTGAACACAGACCACACGAAACAGTACTAGGAAAAGGAACGTGAGTAGGGAGACCATGAACACGATAGCTATACAGCTACCAAGCTGCAGAGAAAGTTCGAGGTGGTCAACTCAGTGAGGTTCCAAGCGATGTCTTCATTCTATATGGCCTGAATGCGGGACACACCCAACGGCAGACTAGTAGCGAGCCGGACAGGCCGGATCAATTATGTAGAATCCACACACAGTCTCGTACATCCCAAGATTCCCAAAGTACTCACAGCTGGTTTCAAGTTGTGAACTAGTACATAGATGTACCTCACCTGATCGTATTGATGTAAGCCGCTCCCGCCCTTATCGTGTCATAGCTAAACGAGTTGACCGAGAGCACGGGCAATGATGAATGATGTTTCCATTATGGATACAGCAATAGTAATCAAGCAACTACGGATAAAAATACATCCGGATGAGGGTTCAAAGGAAGATGGTGTTTATGTTCGTGTAAATGCAATTAACTTGGCCGTCATCACTTCGTAGCAAGAACGTGAAATTTAGCCAGTGAAACAACGACAGGGATGGCAAAGAATGCATATGCTACCCAAATCACTACCAGGCTTTGTTAGCACAGAACATTCGAATACAAACAAGGGTCACTCACTCGTGAACGCATTACCAACAGCGGCGATCAGTTGGGGACCATTGCTTCCCTGGCCCTGAATACTTTGATTGAAGTCATCGGCAGCCTTCCCAAACCACATAAAAATGATGAGGGCAGATGCTAGACCTAGAGGCCTAGATCAGCGCAAGCTATGTGTACTTTGAAGCAGATGCATACCAATCAAGAAAGCAAAGATCCCAATCCATGCGGAGACACGTTGCACCATCGGTTTTTCCCATACAGCACCAGCTTTGCCCATCAGATGACGGAACGATATGGCCGTGAACATGACGAGGAAAATCGCGGAGAACACAAGGGAAATTGCAATAAAGACTGGTGCACCTTCCGGCGGGGCCGATATGACAGAGCTGGGAGTGTTAGATGTAAACACCGAAGTATCTTAATTTCATGAGTATGAGTGACACTGGCAGTGTATTGGGTTTGACTCACTATAGACAGGAGATAGGGAAGATGGCATACACGTCAAACCAGCTTCATTGTTTGGTCGAGAGCACGACCCTAAAGGTCCAAGGAAAATGCTAGGACCATCGACTGCTTTGCTGGATCCGGGCTGTGTTAATGCAGAGGAAGGCGTGACTGTAAGCAATGCGACTTGGCTATGCAACATAACGGTCGGGGCAAGGTACGCAAACAGCGAGAGTAGGAGTGCTGTGAACATGAGCACAGGAGTGAAGTATAGGATGGTGCCTTTTGAAATATCGGCTAACATGGTTGAAGCAGTTGCGTTAGAGGGTCGAGTTCGTAAAATGAATGTAGGTAGGACGAGAGCCTGCTCGTCAGTTGAATATCGCGAGACCGTGCGCGGTAGAAACTAGCTGAACCGATGAAAGAAGGGGACTTGAACGTATTTTTCCATCGTGAGGAGGTCGGCCTTATGTACTGTAGCAGGGACGCGTCGGTTCCGTAGGACAACGAGCAAGAACAAAGAGATCGCGCCCGCAACGTAATTATAAATTGTTGTCTTGTACTTGTTTAGGCATTCGCCTTTTGTTGAGACGAAAAGAGAGCGAAAAAAATGGATAAACCGTCGCAAGGTTAACGTCGAGACCGTTGAGGTTATTGTGATTGACAGTCAAGAAACTCTATCACCCGGGCAGAACGCACGTAAGTAATAATTCATGATGCCGCGTAGTGCCATGGCCATGCCTGGGCGGGTGCTCGGATCAAATGAAACAAGCAATCGCAAACAAACGCATTTGGAACTTCAGAAATTTCAAGATTGTCCCTTCGATCGCACAAGTTCAGCGTTCAGCCACAGGGTCTGCAATGGAAATCGAATCAAAGATCGTTCTCCCAAGAGAACTTCATGATCTCTCTGCTTTCATTCAAGAAAAGCCCGAGTCTTTGGCAGCTGCCACTGCTGAGCTGCATGCCATAGCTCTTCGCGCAACCAAATTCATATTCGATCTTGGTGAGCAGACTAGACCCAAACCAATATCCAGTACATGATACTTTGCTGAGTGGTATATAGCTTTGCAGTCGGAACCCGCATCTTTACCTCATATCGAGGACCTTCTGTCTTCGCTTAGACAGTCTCAAGCTCCCCAGACGAGATCACAAACTCGCGCTAATGTTAAACGGAAGAGGAGCCCGAGTCCTGTCCTGGAATCCCAGAAGAAGGTCACAATGCAAAACACACCATTACCCTCACTTTTTATCGAGGGAATGAATGAAGATCAAATATGGCAGCAGCTGGACCTTAGGGCTGCACCTCTTTGCAGTAATCTCCAGCTGTTAGAGGGCGAGACTGAAGACGGCATGGAGTTGTCAGACGGGATGTACAATGATCAAGAAGATGAGGAAGCTGAAGAAGTGTCAGAAGAAAGTGAAGATTCTGGGGACATAGAGCACATGGACGATTCCGAAGAAGACACCGGGGGGGAAGAAGAAATGACTGACCTTCGCGAGGAAGGGTCTGAAGACGAGGAGGACGAATCAGATTATCATCCATCTCTTCTTGACGTCAACGCAAACCCCTCTTCAAGACGTGGAGCCACAAAAAGATCCAATTCAAACCTCGACGACGATTTCTTTAGTCTTGACGCATTCAATCGTGAAACGGAACAGGCCGAAGCAGCTGCTGTTTCCCATGGCCGACTCGGACGAGATTCGGATGAAGATGAGTCCGACGATGAAGGTGACAGTATTGACCTCTTCAGGCCGATAGACGATAGTCAGGGCCCTGATGACAATGCTTCAGAAGACGGCGCGGGTATGCAATGTTGTATTATTTTTGTCACACGTAACTCACATTGACACGCAGAACCGCTCTATAAAGATTTCTTCGATGCTCCCAGAGGCTCGAACACTACTACGAAAGTTTCCTCGAAGTCGAAAGTGCGATTCAGTGAGCAGGTCAGAGTAAAAAGTATCAAGGCAAAGGGCAAGGGCCTACCAGTGTCTGGCTTGATGGAGGACGACGATTCCGACGATGAGAGCGGGCTGCAGATGCACTTCGAAGATTCGGACGAAATCATGATGGACGCCGAGGTTGAAGAGCCATTAGTAGATGAGTCTGAGTATGAAGACGATGACGATGACGAAGACGAAGACGAAGACGAAGACGAAGAAGGTCGCACTACTATTGAAAGACTGAAGGATGACTTATTTGCGGAGGAAGATGAATTAGATTCCAGTAAGGCCAATCACATTCATGTTGGGGTATCATTCACAACCCGGCTACAGATATGACCACGTATGAAAAACGTATGGCAGCACTGCAAGCACAGATCAAGGAGCTCGAGGCAGAGAACGTCGCTAAGAAGGATTGGACGTTGATGGGAGAAGCCACCTCAAAATCCCGACCTCAGGATTCTTTGCTGCAAGAGGATCTAGAGTTCGAACGGACGATGAAAGCGGTACCCGTTATCACTGAAGCTGTTGTTCAAGGTCTCGAAGAGCGAATAAAAGCTCGTATAAAGGACGGCCGATTCGATGATGTTGCGCGGATTCGCGCTGTCGACGATAAGCCTTTTCTCCCGTCGCGATTCTTCGAGCTCCAGGACACCAAGTCTTCCCAGTCACTTGCTCAGATCTACGAGGATGAGTACGTCGCTGCACAGAATGGTGCTACTGGGGGTGACGACAGAGATGGTCGGCTCAAGAAGGAGCATGACGAAATTACGAAACTCTGGGATGGCATATGCAGCAAGCTTGATGCACTTTGCAACGCGCATTACACTCCAAAAGCGGTACGTGTTTGACCTCTGTCATCTTGTATCTATGACGCTAAAATATCAACAGCCGAAAGCCAGTATATCGACAGTCTCCAACATTTCCTCAGCTACTTTGGAATCGGCACTTCCTACCAGCAAATCCACGTCTTCTATGCTTGCTCCGGAAGAGATTTTCAAAACGGCGTCTTCTGATCCCCGCGCTCGTAGTGAGCTTACACCGGCGGAAAAGCGAAACCTACGCGCAAAGGAAAGAAAAGCGAGGAGGAAGACGCGGGACGCTCTCGACAAGAGTGTTGATAAGTATGCCAAAATGAAAGGCGTAAAAAAACAAAAGGACGCAGCTCTGAAGAACGTAATAAAGTCGGGTAAAGGTGTCACGGTGGTTGGCAAGAAACCCAGGGACGTTTTGAAGGGCAGAAGTGCCACTGGCAGGGGGAAGAGTTAGCACTTGTGAACAAGGTCACGTGGCTGTGCCGCCGCAGTTCCACTTTAGTTTAAGAAGATGGGTTAACTGGTTACCATACCTGTAGCACCCTTCTTTCATCCATCGTCCTCGCATTAACCAGGAAATGTCATTTTTCAAGCGCAAGGAGAAAAACTTAATTCCTCCCATTCAGCAAGCAGAGCCTAGACCAGATGGCTCGCGGGGTTCATCGCGAAGCACGTCTTCCCTCCCCAGTTACAAGTCCAGCGCTAGTACCTACGTTCCCAGCCGCGATGGGCCTGATCCTTATAATACCATGAGCACCAAGACTCTGTCACAGAATGCGTACGACAACTATGACGCTTATAATGCCACAGCAGGTAAAACCTCTGATGTCGAAGGAGATCGGAACCGCAATGAGCTCTTCGCTGGCTTTAAACCTCAGGGAAAGACAGGTTCTGGTCGATACTTCGATGGTCCTGCGCTAGGCAAAGAACCTTCTGCTGGGGAAGAGAATGAAGAGGATGTAGAAGGCATCAGACAGCAAACCAGGTTCATGAAGCAAGAGAGCGTAAACTCTACCAGGAATGCGCTGAGACTTGCTCGGGAGGCCGAAGAGACTGCGGGGAACACCATTGGAAGACTCGGGGATCAATCTGGTGAGATTCGGCTGAAATTGTAGTTTTATTTTCATTGATCGTTTCGCGATAGAGAAACTCGCCAACACTGAGCGCCATCTTGATGTATCAAAGGGTCACACCTTGCGCGCGGAAGATCAGATCGGTGAACTGAAGCAGCTTAATCGGTCAATCTTCCGCCCTGTCATTACTTGGAACAAGGATGCAAAACGCGCCGCTCAGGAAGAAAAAATCCAGCAGCGGTATGAAGACGAAAGGCTAGATCGTGAAAAGGCTATGCAAGACATCAGAGATACTCAGAACCGCTTAGGACGTGCCACGACATATGGTCGTCAAGATGAAGAGGGTCTGACCTCCGGAGGGTCAGGTAGATTTCGCTCTGAGGAACAACTGACCACAAGAAAGGAGCAGCGAAAGAGGTATCAGTTTGAGGCGGGTGCTTCTGATGACGAGATGGAAGATGAGTTGGACGACAACTTGAACGAGATCTCGGCTATCACCAAAAACTTGAAGGCCCTGGGTACTGCTATGGGACAGGAACTCGATCAGCAAAACTCTAGACTTGTCGTCATCGAACAAAAGACGACGACCTTAGACAACGGCGTATTTAGGAACACTGAAAGGGTGCGTTGCCATGTTTTGCGCGTCACACATCTGTCTGATTTTTGAACAACAGCTTAAACGCATCAAGTAGAAATGATGATATGTTGGCAACAGTCTTTTGCTGCTATTCTCTGGATACTTTCGTAATTGCTGTAATGGACACCTTATACCTTGTACACATATGAGTTGACAATTACATACATGAAGTCTGGCCATGGATTTTGATGCTCCGCCACTTACGTTCTACCGCACCTGCAGGCCTGCCCCTTTGCATAATATTCGGAACTTGCTTTGTACCTCTCATGCTGCGCAGCATCTTGCACTGGACTTCTTAGGACACTTGACAGAAGACGGGAGTTAGCATTCCCAGAGCCAACGCTATGGAAGAATGCGCTACCTTGAATGACCTTCAGAAATGGTGAGGGGCCGCATCCTTCGACATCTACTGTTACAGAGACCTATTTATACCACTTCGTGCCAAGGGAGCGCCTGGTCGAAGAACAGTCAAGTACGTGGCATTTTTAGCTCATGACAGAGAAGACTGACCCATTGTAAAGGCCTCTTTCGTCTAACACTCACTGACAATCAGACGCTACACTTGCGGGTCGACGAACTGGAACGAGAACTATCGGTGTGGAAGCTGGCTTTCAAGGCTGCCGAAGATGAAAAATGCAATTTACAAAAGCATATGCTCAAGCTGGAAAAAAACATTGGCTCATTAAGGGTCGGTCACCATCTGATATTATCCACACCACTGTCCGAAATGATGTCATGTGCAGGATGATAACCCGCTCCTCCTCTGCCTCATTGACGGCGATGGAAACATTTTCTCTCAAGACTTACTCGCGTCAGGCCATACAGGAGGCCGGCAAGCAGCTATGCTACTAACCAAAGGGTTAACAGACTATATGGTCGATGTTGACGCTGGATCTTCCGGGCGTGGTCAAGTTTGGCTCACTGTGTACTGCAATAAAACCGGCTTGATGGATACGCTGGTAAACAACGGCATATGCAGTGCAACAGAATTTGAAGCATTTGTGCTGGGCTTCAACTCAGCTTCACCGTTATTCTCTATTGTGGATGTAGGCGGAGGGAAAGAAGCAGCGGATGCGAAGATTAAAGGTGATGCTGACGCTTTGTTCTGTGTATTTCTCTGACTTTTCGATAGAATGTCTTCGCGTTTTCACCCGCTTTCCCCAGACTTCACGTGTGTTCTTCGGAGGTGACCCTTTCATGTTCAAGGCAAGTTCTTGTTCGGCTGATGCAACTCCAAGGTGGGCACGACAATGGATACACATCCACATTAAGTACCCTCGAAAATGAGGGTTTACTGCAAAAAATTGTCCTACTCCGTGGATACGAGACTCTCGCCGCCGAGCTTCAACACTTTGATCTGCCCCACCTCGATATTGGAGGAGTCTTCATGACAAAGAAACTTCCCTCGGGTTACACGCACAGGAGGTCAACGCCTCCAACAGGAGTAGCTCCTCAGGAACATGAAAAACATAGGACAAACCCTAAAACCTTTATCGTTGGGACGCAGAGTCCAGTCATCTCTACGAGCAAACAATTCTGCAGATACCTTGATTCTTCTCTGGTAGGGCCTTGTTCCTTACTCCATTCAGCATTGATAATAATGTTTTGCTGCGACTAGCCACTCAACAAACGTAGGTCGCCGAACATTGTTCATCTAGCATGATGCTGATCCTTTTGACAGAAACCCCAAGACCATGCACATTTTTCTATTTGTCCGTGTGCAAACAAGGTGACAAGTGCACCTACGGTCACGATTATTTTCTTACAGCGGACAATTACGCTGAGCTTCGTGCCAATGCGAAGAAATCTCCTTGCCCAGTCTTAAATAAGAGTGGGTCACGTGTTGTTGTTCTTCATAGATTGCAACCTCAATCCTCTGTACATTTAGACCAAACTTGTCCTTTTGGCGAAAGTTGCCCTTCTGGACACTACTGCCCCAGAGGGTATAAATGCGGCTACAGGAAGCAAGGCAAATGCAAATTCATCGGGAGTGAGTTCTCCGTGTTATTTGCCAAACAAGCTATTGACTCAGTGTATGACACGTAGGAGAGATGCACGCTGCGCTGAGTGACCGCATAAGCATAAGTAGACGGCCGCCATCTAGAGCCCAGAGCAGCAACGTCAGTGGGCAGACAGATGGAACTCCAACTCCTCCTATGAGCCCGGTTGACCTGAGCAATTTCGTCGGCATATCTCCCTTTGTGCCACAAGGCGCTAGGTGATTTATATGTAGCTCGCATCACGTTGAATCGTAGTATGTCTATAAATTTAACGCTATCGAATATAACATATGGAACGCGGTCACGTGGGTGACACGATTTTATCCCGATAGCATTTATGATTTGCCGCGTTCGTCTCCGTTCAGCCAACCACTATGTCCTATGCAGAAGAGCGAGATCAGAACATTGCACGCAACAAAGCTCTTCTTGACGCCTTAGGAATCAAACCCCTCAGACCCAAATGCGAGCCGAAGGAGAACTTGAGGAAGAAAGTGGCAGCCAAGAAACGGAAATCCCCCTTGCCCGAGAGCGACGAGCTCGAGGAGCCGCCCAAGAAAGTTCCTCGTATAGCAGATGATAGTAATGAGTCAGGGGGCACGCGACGAAGCTCTCGTCTTGCTGGCAGGACAGTTGACTACAAGCAGGAACAGGATCGCGGGGTCCCGGAACCAATCACAGTCAAACGGTCCCAAAAGCACAAAGCAGGCCAGGTGAAATCAAAGAGGACATATGATCCGTTAGTAGCTCTGTTCCTTCTCTTCAAGCTAGCCGTGTAATTTTGTGTAGTCACATGTACGGCCACATACCCGATGTGGAGGTGGGGACATGGTGGGCAACAAGGTGAGGATGATTCGGTGATTATTGCTACCAAATATTGGCTTACTCGTTGTACTAGGGAAGACTGTTCAAACGCATCTGTCCACGCGTAAGACTCCCCCCTTCGAATGGGCTCCCTCGAACTCATTAAACGTATAGCCCTTGGGTTTCGGGTATTGCACCAGGTCCAGACGGCGCATACTCAATCGCACTTTCGGGAGGATATGATGATGATGTAGACGAAGGATACGCATTGTGAGTCACGATACCAGCGTACCAGAAACAGTGACTCACGGTAATACAGTACATTCACCGGTTCTGGTATGTGTGTTTGTGGTGGAGCAACGGAGATGTCCTCACCTTTATTAGGCGGCAGGGATTTGCGGGGAACAAAGACAGCACCTAAAAATGTAGGTATCGTAACCAATTAACGTGATCAGGCTCATCTTCGAACAGCTTCGAACGGCTCCCCAAAGCAGCGATCAGAGCTTTGAGGATAGAAACAACGCAGCCCTCCAGGTACATAGAGAGGATGCCACTGGGGGTCTTTTTTGACGCATTCTTTATAGAGATCTGTCGACACTCGGAAACCTGTCCGTGTGATCCGGGGCTTTAAAGGGAAGGCCAGGTCAAAGTACGCGCCGTCAGAGGGGTCAGTTTTATCTCTATTTCGTCAACTTCTCCATTAATTACAACTCTGTCCATAGGTATCGCTATGATGGCCTATATCTCGTCAAAAAGGTGCGTCGCTTGGCCGATACCAATTGTTTTCTCATCATTATTTTCGCAGGCGTGGATTGAAAAAGGACTCAATAAGGGGGGTTTCCTCGTATGCAAATTTGCGTTCGTGGTAAGTTTTCTGCAGTTCTAGTTGTCAGTCCGTACCTGAAAGCAGTTCACACCAGCGAATGCCAGAACAAGAGGACATTCCTGTGAACGACGGCGGTGATGATGAAACTGATGAATGATTCGTGCATGGATATACCCTCGGGCGACCATCTAATAAGATCTCGACCAGTATCATACTCACTTCTGATGTAGATAAAGCATATATTGTACTTACCACTTCCTGTCTTGTTAACTTGCGAATGTTACGTCCTGCATTACGAGCATCCTCTCATGGGCCTGCCATGTGAGTATGTAATACTAATTGGGCACGGTGTTGGTGATCGACAAAGTCGGCAATCTTGGTTCCTGAAACAGGTGTGCGTGTGATCCCTGAAATTTCAAGACTGTCTCTTCCACCTTCATGCTTTCGTATTTTCACTTTATTGCTGCAGTAAACTAAACATTCATTGGTAAAATGCACTCCTTTCATTACCTGTCTGTCGCTTTGTGTGCTCTTTCGCTTTTCTCTTCCCAAGTAATCGGCTTCAGTGGGGTCCAATCGTCTTCACATGACTGGTCGCGCAGGTTGGCCCATGTACGCGCCCTAAGTGGCAACCACCAGCCCCCCTCTTTCGATCAGTCGAGGAATACGAAAATATTGAAGAGAGATCCATTTACTTTTTTTCAAGATGGCCAGTGAGTAGTCCTTATTGTCCATCGAAGACCCTTGCTCATTGCACAACCAGGGGTGCCTGTGGAACTTTCAATAATCCCGGCGACTTTGTATGTCCTTTATTATCTGGTTACTCTTGACCGTCGTCTGACATCCACTCAGATCGTTGCACTCAATTCATGCGTAAGTTCTACCGTGTGAGCTGTGACTACATAACCTGAAACCCATATCCAACGAAGGAATTTGATGGAGGTAGCCATTGCTTCCAAACGATAACTCTTACCGTGAATGGCATGTCAACACAGGCCCAGATTACGGATGAGGTATTTCTCGCAAGTATTACTCCACCGACCGTCGTAATTGACACGGAATTCTACAGTGCCCTGGATGTCCGTGCGGAGGACTTGACCTCAGTCAGGGTCTCTTTGAATTCTTCGCGCCAACCAGCGTCGGGGAATTGTCTGGATCGTGGATTTATGGAACTTCTTCCACCTCTTCCACATCTGTGCAGTCTACGACGACCAAGCAGTCTTCCACAAGCACCTGGACGCCATCAACTACCTCTACTTCAAGCACCCCCACCCCCACTCCCACAACTACAAGCACCCTCGCAGCCACAACTACATCTATGTCAACCACCACCTCAATCCTCATACCAACTACGACTTCATCCACTTCATCTCCCGTCCCGACTTTTAGCACCAACGATCCTCAAATCCTCACACAAGTCAACTTTGCGCTGATTGAGCTCAGTTCAGCTCTCCAAGCTTGTGTGGCATTGTCCTCATAGACACTTATACCCTTTTCCTAAAATATTGAATATTCGCTTTTAAACACGTACCACGCTGTTCTTGCCCAAAATTTTGAACGCTTATATTTTTTTGGGGGGGGGATATAGAAGTAGTGCAATGATGTACATCACGTACCCGTTGGAAATGCGTGTAAACATGTAGCCCAAGAATGCTAAACCACTAATCATGGCTGAGCTACAGCTGCTCGGACGATGCGTAGGAACGCGTCGCTGCTCTCTTCGTCTGGCTGGTTCCACTTCCTCGCCCTCCACAGGTAGTATATGCCCTTGATACTTTCAGTTACTGCCTTGTCCTCTTCGACAGCAAACTGGTCGCCATCTTCATCACCTTGTTCGTTCCCTGCATGCCGGCCGTTAGAATATGACAAGTCATTTAAGTTGACTTTCACGGATGAAGCAGCGTGGGCATCTTGACCCGGATTCCCAGACGCGGGGGTCACGAGGTCTGAATCATCCAAAGTTGAGAGTGGTGATGGGGTATCACGGTCGAAAGCTGATGGCGGTTCGTTTGACGTGGGTGTGTAGGTGCCTTTGCGTGGGGAGATAATATTAAGGAGATGTGCCAATTTAGTAGGCGATGGCGGCCCAAACTTACTGTCGGGCAGTGGCAAAGAATGTATAGAATCAGCTGGTATGAGTATAGCCTCGTCTTGCTGTGTATGATATGTTGAAGGCGCAGTTTGTAGTTTCCGGTGGTTCGGCAGAGGGGAAGGCACCGTGGAGTCGGCAGATCCTAGGATAGCGAAGAGGTCAGGCAAGGTATATATATATAGTTTGGAAAGGAAGAATAACTACCTTGTACAGATGAATACTGTGCCCAATAAGCATCTTCTGTTCCGTCAGCAAAGCCATCCTTGAAAGCACTGCGCGGTGCTAAAGCGGAAATTGATTCGATGAGTGGGGCGCTGTATGCGTTCCAGTAATGATCTTCATCGTCTAGAAAACCACGAGTTACGGCGGGGCGCCGTTCAAGCTCCACTGTTGATGATGCCGGTTCTAACACAGAGCGTGATGTGGACGGGAAAGGCATCAGCTGACTGTCATGATATTTCCATCCATCTTCATCATCCCACTCGAAGAGCATGCGGACACCCTCATCGTAAAGGACGACCTGCACATGAGCATAAGTGTGCTCAGAATCTGAAGTGTACCGAACGTGATAATGTTTCGGCTGATCTGAAGGGGATGTGAAAGCATTATTGAGGAGCTCTATGGCACGGGCACTTTGAGGTGAGGGCCAACATAGATACTCGAGGGGGTTATCAGGTGAGATCTGGAGGAAATGGTGTCGTTGAAGCAAAGATCTAGACAATAAGTGCGGTGGCAGGGGTTCAGTCAAGAGAGATGGGGGAGATATATATTGAAGAACGAGGTGTACAGTGTGCGATTGGATTGGAAACATGGCGATTTGTTCAGAGTGAATATTTTACACAGGAGGATGGTAAGATGGAAATCGCAATCCCGGTTTCACGTTTCATGTGTATAACAATGACATTAAAAACGACCCCCCCCCTTATGATGCAACCCCCCTCACCAGACGAAATTACTCAGCCAACCATACTACTACGTCCCAGGCGTACAGGTATCGCCTGCTAGTGACAGTCTCTTTCTCTCACCATCCTTCCTCGCTCTTAGCAGTCTACATCCTTCAGCGATGTATCTACTCTCTTTTCTCCTGGCTTTGCCTTTGCTCTCACTCGCGCAGGTTTGTAGCTACATTCTGTTTTCCCTGCCAAGCTGACACCCGATTTCCTGCTGTATCAGTCATCACAGAGTGTCCAGCTCTCAACGTCTACCATCGTGCTAGACACCCTTGGATCCAATCGCCAAGCTAGCACAGTAACACAGATCACGGTGTTCACCGTCACTCCCGCTCTTACAGCGTCAGCCACAAATTCTGCCTCTGGCAATTCTTCAGCAATAACTTCCGGTGGCACAAATGGGACTACCACATCAATCGCCTCCAGCAATCTACCCACCGCAGCGTCTACCGTTGCCGGCGCGGATGGCGGTGCCAACGGTGCCCCCAGTCCGGGAGCGACAGCGTCTGGTGGGATATACGGCCCTCCGGATGGCTATATTGCGGGCGCAAAAGCCTTGCGCAGTGCAAACATTCTTGGAGTTGTCGTTTTTGTTGTCGGAGGGGCATTGGTTCTGCTTTAGGACAACGGTTTCAAAACTGGACGCTGTTCGTATGTTTATAGACCGCATGACGCTGGCACGCTGCCAAACATACTTAGGATGTTCCGTTTAGCTCACTTCAAGCTCTCTTTATTGGACATGGACAGACCGAACCGTTTGCTTTTAGGGTTTGCTAATGGAACTGTACTTCTGCATACTTCGCATATATCCTCGCATGCCTTCCGTTCATTGACACTATTATATCTAGACCGTCTTGGACCGAGTACAGTACCAGTATACTGTAATGAGACCTGGTCTTTTGATTAATTCTATGGGACGATCATATAGTACCGAATCCGAGTTACGTATACTTTACTGCTCAAGCGCTCACTGTTATGAGCTGGGCCATGTCGGACAAGTATGCATAATTCTCACTGAGACCGTGCTACCTCAATAATCAAATGGGAACTCCAGCGAGATATCGACAAGCGCTACATGTGTGCCGCACATCGATTCACGACTGATCGGACGAGGGCCTAGCGATGCCATGTCGCCAGCGATACCAGCTATTTCTCAAAGTTTGAGAAGCCGAAAAGAACAGAATTTCCGCGTCCCAGTTGTGATGTCAAAGTCAAAGATCACATTTTCAACGACAGCTAGTGCGTACTAGAGATAATGAAGGTGATTTTGCGGATGCCTTCAATCAATGGACAAACGCACGCCAATATGACTTATGCAAACATGGTTAACAGAAAGAAATGATCGTTGCGTCGATAACCGATCGGAGTGTCAAATTCATATCGCGCCTATTGCCCAATACACACTTGTGACTTTTATGACCTTGGTAAACAAGGTAATCCGTAGCGTACGTTCGCCGACAATTACCTCGGCCTATCGATTTCACCTAGATCGCAAGCTGAGTAGCAGGACAGTTATGTCACAAACAGGGCCCGCCACCAAAAAGCAGAGAATGGATGTCAAGGTTCGCCCGATCACTCACAGGATGTATCTTTATATCTAGCACCTGAATAGACCATTGGCACTCACAATGGCACCTTCCATTGCGATGAAGCACTGGCAGTCTTTCTTCTGCGTCAGACGGCCACCTATAAAGATGCAAGTGAGTATGTCAAGTCCTCATCAGTACTCACCTTCACAAGTGATTATCAAGGCCTAAACCGCAGTAGGGACCCAGCTGTCCTCGATTCTTGCGACATAGTAGTTGACGTGGGAGCTACATACGATGAAAGCAAACGCCGTTTCGATCACCACCAGCGTGGTTTTGCGGAGGTGTTTGGTCATGGTTTCAGTACCAAACTTTCATCTGCAGGTCTTATCTACAAGTATGGAAATTTTGGATCCTTCCGGAGGTAACTAATAGTTCCATAAAGGCATTTTGGGAAGGAGGTTGTCGCCAGTGCGGCAGGGCTAGAACCGAGTGACAAGAAAGTTGACATACTGTGGTTGAAGATGTACAAGGCATGCAGTTGCTCAAGGGGTCTTGCGTCTTTCTAATCATTTGCAGGACTTTATTGAGGCCCTGGATGCAATTGACAACGGGATCTCGCAATACCCCTCCCAAGAACAGCCGAGATATGCCAACCGGACCGATCTATCAAGTAGAGTTGCATGGCTTAATCCTCGCTGGAACGAGTCCACAGAGTCTCAGAAAGTGGATGTAGGGGTCCGCGTCTTTTCTTGTGTCACATTTCGCTGAGCTGTCTAGGCCCTGTTTTTGAAAGCTTCGCAGCTGACTGGGGATGAGTTCCTCGGCAGGCTTGACTATTATGCCAATGCATGGTTGCCTGCGCGCGACTTGGTATTGGCTGGGCTCTCATCGCGCCAGAATGTCGATGCTAGCGGAAAGATCATAGTGTTTGAGCAATTTGCTCCATGGAAGGTTATATTGTTGTCGATCACGACCTTTCACTGGATTCTGAAACATCTCGCAGGAACATTTGTTTGGGCTTGAGGTCGAGCAGGGTATTTCCGAGGATGAACTTCCATTGTATGTGATATACCCTGACGAGACTGGGGGAAACTGGCGTATTCAGGCAGTCCCTGTCGCTCCTGAGAGCTTTGACAGTCGAAAGGGGCTTCCCGAGACGTGGAGAGGCATGCGCGATGACGAGCTATCTAAAATAAGCGGTGTAGACGGATGTATATTCGTGCACGCATCAGGGTTCATTGGAGGTTAGTGAAGCATCAATGGTGCAGTTGCATCGGAGCTGATCTCTGACATTTGTTTCAGGGAACAAGACAAAAGAAGGTGCTTTGAACTTAGCAAAATTGGCACTTAAGATGTAATCGGGATCTCGCTTTCAAAGAATCTTCATCTCGGTAGCCCAGTGTTTATATGCCCCGCGAGTTTAAATTGCCGGTATACAGCGGGCAGCTGATGCTGTAGATCAGATGAATCTTTGTTCTTGGGTGAAAAGAGTGACAACCATTTGGTGTTTCATACAACATCCGACCTACGTAATTGGAATTGCCGTCGGTGAGAATCGCCTTTCTGTCCACGTTGACTTGCTGCAGACACGTTTTGATCTACAGCCTAGCCGAATAGAGTGTGCGGTATTTGAACTCATCCGCCGGTACTCCGAGTCGCCCTCGTGTTCTTCGCATGTCTCGCAGCTGCATGGGGGCCACGAATGAAACGCGCGCAAAAGTCCAGGATGAATACTATTAGTGTGCTCTGCCCTTCTCACTTCTAACCCGTATCTTGCTATTCGGAAGCTTTGACTCTCTTTCATTTCTTTTGACACCTTTGAACGATGCCTTACATCAAAACGCATTACCACCCTTTCCTTTTCATCCTCATCACTATGTGTGCTATGGCTGAGCTGGGTCTCACTGCCTACCTTATCAGCGTTGGAAATGAGAGTCGTAATTGGCCTAGCGCTCGTTATCATTCGATGTTAGTCTGCTTTCTGCTTCGAAAAGAAGTTCTGCTGACTTAGGATGCATCCAGCTTAATACTGTTCGAGTTCAATGCCGTCTGGACCACGCTATTCGGGGCAGCCTATATGCTGTGGATTGTTGATGGTGCTGTGCATTTTCTTGCCAGCATAGCAAGTTCCATCATTTGGCTTGCTATCACTTCAACACTTTGGGTAAGACATTTCACAGTATAAATCACCAAAGTTTAACCTGGGTGGATAGGGCGCTGCAGCTGGCATGATGCACAACACGCGGACTGGGGGCGACTGTAATTGGATACCCAATAGCTCCGGGTTCGTTAATGGGGTCTTGACATGCGATCAGCCACAGGAGCTGAGTGTATCCAGTTGTCGAGAAACGTTGACCGTCGAAGCAGTCGGCTGGGTACTATTTGGACTTTGCGTCCTCACGCTCTTTGCAACATGTCTATGGGTACGAACGAGCAAGCGGGGTTATGTAAGTGTCTCGCAGGTTGGTGCAAGTTAGAAGTGACAGGTTGATAATCGGTGCCGGTCTTTACCAGAACTCAAGCTTTTATGTCTAGGAGATTCCTTGTAGAACAGGGAGTGGATTGTGGAAGTAGCTTGAAATAGTATGCGGTGTGGTTTTAATTGGATCTACGCCTGTACATGGCTATGCGTCTGGTACGCTCATAAGTTATTGAGTCAGTCTAAGCGATTGATAAATTTTACGGTCACACATGGCGAGTCGAAAGACGCCACCAGTCATAACTTACAGATGGGCGTATATAAGGCGATACATTCGGACTACGGAGCTTATCGCCATACACAGCGAGCGGCAGTCGCGATTCTTTCCGTGACAATTACTGCACATGATGGGCCTCCTGCTCCAGACGTGTAAGCCAACGACTTGCGCGCCGAGACCAAAACTTGTCAGAAAACAGAAATAGAAATCCAGGTTGGGTGCATAAGACTCAGTTCTGGTAGCGCTACGCTCTGTCCAGTTGTGGAGTCATGATTACGTCATTCAAAATTATCAGATAAGACCAAATCATGCGTTAACGTACAACCACAAATGGCCGGCCACCGTCCACGGCGACCTGGAAGCAGAGAACTTTACGTCTCGATTCCAAGTCGCAGCTACACAGAACCGCATATCATTTCTGCTTCTCCAAGACCGCGTGACGAGGAACTAGTAGAGAGGGAGGATGTTATCTCTCCGACGAGGGCATCTATTGTCCGGGCGTTGGCACTCCTGTGCGCATGTTCTCTCAGTGTCGGTAGTCACTAGTGCGTTTTTCTTTCATTCTTTCATTCCCTCTACCTTCCCCTTAGTAACATTTACTGTGCCCGTCCCATAGTGCGTCGTACACACTCGGGCCACTGAAATCCCGACTTGCGCGAGAGATTAAAACATCCAACACGGAATTTAGTCTGCTGATTTCTGCATTCAGCTTAAACAGTACATGGACACCTCTAGTTGGGGGCCTGATGGCAAGTAAACTTGGTACAACGCTCACCAGTATCATTGCCACTGGAGTCATATTTATTGGTAAGTAGTATTCACCCATGCTGCGCACTTTCTCATCCGTTTCTAGGCCAGGTTTTGCTACTGGTCGGTGACATAAAAGGGGATGTTCGGCTGATGGTATTTGGGCTGTTCGTGTTTGGATTTGGAGTTAGCCCTCTTGCCGTTGTACAGGAGTCCATTATCGTGCGATTCTTCAAAGCACATGGGCTCGGCGTCTCGATGGCACTGGGTCTTGTAGCTGGAAAATTGGCGTCATTTATTTCAGCGCGAACTTCTCTCCCTCTCGCGGAGCGTTTTGGGCGCCACGCACCATTCTATGCGTCCACATTCTTAGCTGCTCTTTCCCTTTTCATCAATCTGGTTTATATGGCATCCTCAAAGTGGCTTATACGGGGATCTGGCACTGTCTTACTAGAGGCTTCCGAGATACGACGTGAGGCGAGGCGCCGTTCCCTGTATGACCTTTCTGAGGCTCAGGCACTGGAGAAAGTTGCAAAAAAAGCGCTATATCAGGTTCAAAGACATTCCCAAGCTTGGGGATATCTTCTGGGCGTGCGTGTCAAGTTCAAAACTAATGACCTTGCTAACTGTTTGCAGTTACATAGGGCTAAACATCCTGTGCGGCACTGTATGGGCTCCTTTCACCCATTTGGCAGCGTGAGTCTATTTATCAGGACATCTATCGTGACTAATGTCATTCTTTGTACGACTTTTAGCAACATTTTTGAACAGAGATATGGATTGACAGAGGACGCCGCCAGTACACAAGCTTCCTACCTTCTAGTTGGGAGTATACTCTTGTATCCCGTCGTAAGCACATTCCATATTACTCCGTAATATTTACCGACACCAAGTTAGACCGGATTCATGGTAGACCGGATGACACACCCACAAGCTGTACTTCGCATGTTCGCGCTGTCATCAGTATTGACGTTGCTTGGTTATGCATGGCTTGTTCTTCCGCCAGCGTGGACTGGAACACCTTCGCCTGCAGTTGCTGTTTTTGCGACTGGCATTGGCTTCTCCCCTTGTGAGTTAGTATCGCACTATTTAACTATCATTCACGGGACGTGTTTTAGTACTCCTTGTCGTTTTGGTTCCTCAGCTAGTCCCGTTCAAGTTTGTATCGACTACTCTGGGTGTTCACAAAAGCGTAAATCGTTTATTTAGTCCAGTTTCGTCCTTATCTGATCTCCGAGCTTGACATTTCAGATGGAACAAACAGGCGCGACAATTTTCCAAACTATAGCTGGCCTTATCTTGGACGGTGCATCACCCCGTCGACGAGCTTCAAAAGGCGCGCAGTACACGACTCAGCAGTTGTTGAACGTGTTTTTTGTTTTCAATATCCTGCAACTACTAGCCATCATCGGCCTATCGCATCTCGATAGTCGTCGTCGGCAGGCAGCAGAGATTCTTGAGAACGCGGTCGAGGATGAAGATGCTGAAAATGAATCAGAAGAAGATTCGACCTTCACCGGGGGTGAAGGAGATATCCTTGCCTCTGAAATCGGACCGTTGCCTTCTCCAGACCCGAGGAAGCCTCTACTTGGTCGTCGTCCAAGAGCGGATTCTAGGGGCAGTTACATCCCATCTTCATGTCCTTCCCAAGGAGTTTGTGGACACTCAGAGATAAGGAGAGGCCGCATTTTTGTGTGTCTTTGCGCCATGCTTGTGTGCAGTGCTTGGGTATTGTTTTTGAGCACTGCGTGGTTAAGGCTCCGGTCGAGACAGCAAAGAGTTTCATAATAGTTCACGTGGCTAGTGTTTAGGTACTTGTTATCAGCAAGATGATTATCCCAGTGTCGTGAGCTACTATCTACGTGAGGCACTCATTAACCAGTGTCCACGAGGCACCCCGACAGTTTCATCCGAGGTGTCTGATGCCGCAGAGTCATCAAACAAATCAGGGAGTAGTGCGACAGACGATGCGAAAGTAGGAGATGGGAAACTCTTGTTCTCGATACGGTTGGTGGGTAATTTCTTCCTCCACGACTCTATCATTTCTAAGGTGAGGGCCGGATCCTTTGACTTTTTGAAGAGAACATCTGGACCGTATGGCTCATCCACTCCCCTATCCGAAACATCGAGCGCCACCGCGTTTGCGGCTCCAGCTGAGGACGCCACTTCTGCTGAAAATGTCAGTTCGACTGATGAAAACACAATGCATCATTATTTTCACCATCACTCTTGCCGCTCCAGCTCGATAAGGAAGGAGCAATTTCTAGTTCTTTTTCCGGTTCAGCGATTGGTAGCCCGGAACAACGGTCTAAGATGTTTTGAACAGGTTCTGCGACCTGTTGACTGGCTTAGTTCAGTCATTTTTAATAGGATTATTCCAACACCAACCTCCACCGGTTGTACAAAACCACCAGGGGCACCCAGAGCCGAGCCAAGCCAATATAGCAACGCGTGCATAACAGTTGGAGAACGTGATTGGGCGTCTATGACGGGAGACACGAACACTGTTGTCCAACCTATCGAGTCATGATAAATTCTTTCCTTTGACCACTTGGGACAGATCTTACCGCGTGAAAACATACCAAAAACCCACTGCTGGTATGAAGTCAGAACAAAGAAGGGGGTTTGATTGTGAACGCAGGTGTCCCACAACTAGAAAATCTCTTGAGAATCTGGGAAATGTACGTTATGTACACTTACCTTCCCCCAAAGGCGCTCCTTTCCGCGCAAGGGACGTGTAGTACCTTCAGGAAGCTACCAAATATGTCACGTACTCATTATCCCAGTGTTTAAAGCACGTACCGATTTGAGCTGAGTGAATTGCCACATGAATTCGTCGGACATTATCCAAGAAGGTTGGCAGGCGACAATTACAGATGCATCGCGTATATCGGCGTGATCTTGATTTTCATCCGTCCAGTAGAATTTCTTGAAATTGTCGTCACAGCCATCATCATCAAGCGTCGTAAACCCCCAATCTTTCGTTGCAGGAAACATGATATGAAAAACTCGTTGAACTGTTTGAAGTGGGAAATTGTCCAGCCAATCGCACACCCTGGTGATAACAGGGCTCAATAAACCTCATGCTCCAGGTAATTGCTTACATACCGATTGATATCTGATGCTGCAGGGAGCAGCAGTTCTGGAACATTGAATCTTTGCGAGGAGCGCACTGTAAACCTCTCGCCTGTTTGCCGGTCCTCATCGTACAGACAGAGGGAGCGATTTGGCACGTGCTCCTCGATCCCTGCGGATGGTAAGGGTTATAGCTCGCAGAGTTTGGCTTGAACAGCAAGCCTACAATCATTAACAAGGCCATCAAATGCGGAATCCAGGAAAACTATGTTAGCAAGGTTTCGATGTCGAGGGCCAACAGTAAGTGTGCTTCTGCGGCTCTTGTATCTCTGGTGAAACATCGACTCTGGTTTGTGCATGAGCTTCAGTCGGGGTAGAACAGCGTCCTTGAGGTAGCCTTGCAAGTCGTCTGTAGCTCGGTAAGTCATGTTGACAGTGAGTATACGTGGGGGGGATATTGGCACCGCCCCTTGAGGATACCAAACATTATATATCAATACGTTGCTGAAGAACCTCGATACAGAGTAAAGTAATACAATGATTAACAAAAAGAACAAGAAGCTCTAGAGGAAACAAGCAATATTGCACAAAGGTCGGACATATGCCTAAACGAGACAAGCTGCTGCCATAATCCGCACAACGGCAAAACCCGAAAACCCTCCTCCAGTTGTCAAACGAGACGTTGTAGTCGTCCCCGAGTCAAGACCCCTCAAGAGGTATGTTTCCGTGTCGTTATCGTATCCAGCTTTGTTGGAAGAGATCTGCATTGCTGCCAGAAACTCTAGCTTGGAAGAATCCAAATAGAAATTGATGGATGCTTTCGTTCTTGGTCGGATGTATGTTGACCTGCCAAGTCACTAACATCTTGCATTTGCAGCCTGCAACATGGGCGCATACAAATACATCAGCGAGTTGTACAGAAAAAAGCAGTCCGATGTGCTGCGATTCCTCCTCCGTGTCCGGCAAGTTTTGGTGTCTGAGATACATTATAGCGACTGTTGCTGAATTCGCACTCTAGATGCTGGGAGTACCGCCAATTGAAAGTCATTCATCGTGCATCTCGCCCTTCTCGCCCTGACAAGGCCCGTCGTTTGGGATACAAGGCCAAGCAGGGCTTTGTTATCTATCGTATCCGCGTCCGTCGTGGTAACCGTAAAAAGCCAGTGCCAAAGGGTAAGCTAATGATCGACACACCCGGGCCCCTTCGATATAAATTCAATTCATCTTTTAGGTGCCACCAATGGCAAGCCTGTCCGTCAGGGTGTCAATCACTTGAAGCCCCAGCGCAGTCTCAGGAGTACCGCCGAGGAACGTGTTGGAAGGCGCTGCGGAAACCTACGAGTCCTGAACTCGTACTGGGTGAACCAGGACGGCGTTTACAAGTATTTCGAGGTTATCCTTGTGGATCCGAACCACAAAGCTGTAAGCCTGAAGTTTTCACGGTCTGCTATGTTTACGAGGACAAATTATGGTCTAGATTCGTCGGGATCCCCGCATCAACTGGATTACGAAGCCAGTGCACAAACGTCGCGAGGCCCGCGGTCTCACCAGCGTCGGGAAACAGGTTCGTTCATCACCCATGTTCATCGGTGATTTTCCTGATGTTCGTTGCAGAACAGGGGATTGGGCAAGGGCCACCGTCACAACCATGCTCCTGCTCGCTCAACCTGGAAGAAGCACAACACACTCTCTCTTCGCCGTTACCGCTGATTTACTTGCGTATTTTCTGTTGTTCTGCCATTACGTTACTTCATGCTCCCTATGCTTTGTATGACCATGAAGCTTCGCCAAAAGGATATTATGTGCTCCTACATATTGTGAGGGAACTTTGAGTCCACAGTGACAGGCACCGTTCAGAATAGCTATGTATATCAATTGCAAACCGGCATCCCACGGTTTCAATATTGTGGCTACTTACGACGGATCCAAAATTGCGGATCAACCATGCGCTTGCCTCATGCCCGGCGTTATGACACCTGTGAGAAGCCTTACGATTGCTGCGGTAATTCATTTGGCCACATCTACATTTTTGTTGGAGCTACTCTAGTAGCAACTTTCAATGCTATTGTGCTCGGACGGTCTAGTCACGGCACCTTAAATACCAGTTCTTTTCTTTGAACTGGGTTCCTCCTCTCGAGCATGTTTAAGCTTCGTCTCACAATTCTTTGCCTACTATGCGGACATCTTTCGGAGACCATGGCCTTCCCAAACATTTTCAGTAAGGCTAATTGGAACGTCGGAGTGTCACCGGTCAGTTCTGAATGGCCAAATACCACGTTACCGACGAAGAGAGAAACTGCGCCCAATGGGTCTACTATACTGTGGGTTATTCAAGACACCTATGAGGGCAGTACTTTTTTCGAGTGAGTGTCTTGTCCAGATCACCCAATCGATACTAAAGGGTTGCAGTACATTTGACTTTTACACTGGTCCAGATCCTACAAAGTAATGTTTACGTTCCCATCCAAATTCCCGGGTACTCAACACTCAGTGATAATTGTTCAGTGGTTTGGTGACGTGCGTGTCTATCTGTCGCACAGGATTCTTTTATTATTAAAATCGAAATAGTTTTGTTGACCGACAGACAGCATTCAACAGCGGTCTGGCAAATGTGACCGCAGACAACAAGGTCATCATGCAGGGCGACAATACAACCCAGCTTGCATATGGGGTCAACAGAAGCAGGTAAAAATTCCAGTGCGCTGAGTGCGCCTAGACTCATTTGGTCTCTTAGTGTCCGCATATCAAGTCAGACTGAGTACAACATGGGTCTCTTCATTCTAGATGTGGAAATGGCACCATGGGGTTGCGGTGTGACAGGTTTCTTTCAGTGCACTGGCGTCGTTTAATTATTCTACTCAAGGTGTTTGGCCTGCATTCTGGCAAGTAATGCTATTCAACGATTGGATGATGAGTCTGACGACGTGCCAGGACGGTTGGGAGTGGGGAATGGCCATGGGTAAGCATAAAATACCTTTGCGTTCTCACTAAATAATCTTTATTTAAGAACGGCGAAATAGACATCATTGAGGGTGTGCACAACAACGAATACAACCAAATCACCTGGCATACTGCTCCTGGTAAGCGGAGGTTCGCAAGCTACTTGCTCCATAACTCACGTAACTCTCAGGTTGCAACTTGACCCAAGGTACCAACTTCTCGGGAACGATTGTGGTAAGCCTTGTCTTGTCGTGAACGAGAGGTGGTAGTGTAACTGTTGAAGCAAACGAATGGCGTGGATAACCTTCAATGCGACGCGTTCATCAACAACAACGCAGGGTGCGGAGTGACAGAATGGAGTCGCGCATCATATGGCCCATTTTTTGACGCACAAGAAGGCGGAGTCTTTGCTATGAATTGGGATGAAAATGGCATAGCAGTTTGTACGTTTCGTCGCAAACATCACAGCACCATGAGACTCTAAATTGGTTCACTCCACAGGGTCATTTTACCGCGCACTTATTCCTGTGGACATTACACAGGGAGAACCAAATCCATCCAATTGGGGCGAACCTGATGCTGCACTGTCTACCCAGTCGTGTAATATTACTCAATTCTTCGCAAACCACTCGATCGTATTCGGTGGGCATTTTGATGGAATTCATAACCTCATTACTCACGAACAATGCAGACATCACGTTTTGCGGTGAGGCTTCATTACTGAGTGCAAATTGAAGCGATTTCTCAAGACTAACTAGGTGACTGGGCTGGCAACTCATACGCTACGTCAGGTTGTCCTGGCACCTGCGAGAACAGGCTAATGGATCCGACCAATTTTGATGTGGGATATTATTGTTTTCTTGCATTTCTTTGTCTCAACTGGTTCTATAGAATGCCACCTGGATCATCAAATCGCTCAAAGTCTACAAGCAGGCTTGGTTGGTGACGTCGAGCGCAACCCGAACACATCCAATCATGAACTTAGGAACGACTAGCTGGATTTTGTTTACAGTGATATTCTCACACATCGTGATTGTCTCGCTTTGAGATGTTGGCTGTCCAAGTGGAGACATGACAAACTATTTGACGAACTATAGACGATCAGAGGAACACAACAGTGATACCACGGGGACCTGTCAATAGATCTTGAACCCCTAACATTTGCCTTACGACTCGCTTGTAATGAATGATATTGGTGATATCAGAGAACTAGCATACTCTAAAATTTCAAGATCCTCATAGATTCCGTCCCTGTTGCCGCATTGTCATGATCTACATGTGCAAAGCATGCCCGTAGTGGAGTAATGCTCGCGTGGCCTTTAGCGATGGCCCAACCATCCGAGCCAACTGGGAGGGAGGCAAGCGAAGGTGTAATGAGGGGTTGGACATCAGGGGAGAATTTGAACACTAGCGCTGCAGGTTCCTCTTTCGGTACATCGCTTCCAGATCCACTTTGTTGTGCAGTATGCTGTCCTGCCACGTCCGGGCTCTCGGAGGGTATTTCCCTCTTCGTGCTCGTAGCGTCAGAAGCCGATATCGCCTTAAAAAGCTGGCCATATGAGTTACGCCACATGTGTGTCCAATGGACATCTATGCCCTCAGGGTTAAGAAGTTCCATTATCATGGGAACATTCACATTATACATGTCGATTTCTCCGTTGCGCATTCCACCGACGTCTCTACCCCAGTTGTTCCACAAGTACTGGATGATCCGCGCAGACAGGATATGTGCGGGTTCAAAAAGTTCGTTTGGGGTGGGATGGAGGACAGTGCCGTACGAAATTGCGACAGAGCGGACCTGAGATAGCGCAGACGACATTGCGGCACCAATGGTTCCGGACGACATGGCGAAAGCGGCTGGGTAATTATGGTATATTCATGGAACATTCAACGATAGCGAAGCAAGAGTACAGACCAGAGGAATTTCTGCCAAGGTTTGGTCCCGAGATCTTGCATACCGAATTGAATTAGACTTTGAGCGTTATCACAAGGAGCAACTATAAGTACTGACCACGAGGTCGATTGTTCCAGGATAAAGGTTATGAAGCGCGATATTGGTGCAAGTCGCAGGGGTCTACGGAGGCCATGAGCTCGCGCCAAGAGTAGACATCTTAACATACACCGTCCAGCAGTACCCACTCGGCGACTTCACCCTCATTTAGAGGACGCGAAGCTGATGAAACCTCTCCCATCCCGTCTTCGGCAGCCTTTCAATTATAATGTTGATTCTCATCACACCAAATCACTCACCAGGTTCCTTCGGGTAGTAATATCTTCCTTTCGTGATTTCTGTAATGTGAAACGCTTTCCCTGCATTATGTGCATCAGGACGAGAGCTTGAGCAAGAATATCTAAACTCACCAATCCACGATTTCTGGGAGCTTGGTACGACTACTTTCACATCCCATCCTAGGGCCGCATGTTAGACGCAAGCGTCTTCATGCATGTGGAGTTCACTGAAAGCTTACTGAGAATCGTGGTGATATAACGATAAAGCCCGTAAACATATGGAGATTGGGGACCTGGTGGGCCGTCATCATTCTTGGGGTTGTCACAGGTTATAATCAGTGAGAAACCTTGACAAGGAAGAATAAATACTTGCGACGAGCAAAATTCTGGGGGATGGAGAAGACATGAGAGTGTATCAGAGTGTTAATTGAATGATAATAAAATGACCCTTGTTGTTACCAGCGACGGGGATGGTGATGAGCGCCTGTGTGTAGTATCATCGATTCCCATAATTAAAAACCGTCCCTCATCTTGAACCACGCACTTCTTCTGTCTCTTCGTTTTCGCTTTTCGCTTCTGCTCCCGCTTTCCCTTCTTCGACGTTGCCCACAGCGACACCAGGCGACACCTATAATCGAGAGCAATTCTTGGCTAGGCTCAAGCTAGGCTAAGTTATTGTTATTTCCACTTAGACGTTGGCTCTCCTTTCCTAAGACTTGCTCGCCGCGCTCATGATTCACTGGTGATTCTCTCTTGTCCATACCTTCGACGACTATCAGACATGACCACCCCAACGACCGACACAAGCCATTGTTTACCCGCCATACCTTCCCTCCCACCAATTGAGATGCCCGGCGACCCCGATAAAAATACTTACATTGACCTGGGACATGATCCAATCGCACCTCTGTCTGCATCGTCCACATCCCCCCAGACGTCTTTCTCCTCTACTTCATCTACTCTTGTCGTTCCTCGTAGTACTCCTTTTGATACAGGCTGCTCCGGATTCTCATCCTCATCTTCAACCGACCCTTCGTCCCAATCCTTGCGCAAATCAGTATCCGTCGACTCATTCGTTGGCTACGATAGGGAAGTGTCACAGAAAACAAGCGGTCCACGGGCGAATAGAGGCAACACTTACTCCGCTTTCGAGGCGTCTCGGACACATAAACAGGACGGCCTATTGCACAGCGAACCCACTCTTCCCCAACCGTCTATTCGCAGTCGCGGTGCGAGCGTGAGTGCGATGAGTCAGAGTCGTGATTCCGGTATAGAGCACGAGCGGGAGGCCGAGCTTATTCAGCGGTTTAAGCGACCAAGTGAAGGCAGACGGGGCTCTGTGAAGGGCAAAGATCACCTTCGAACAGCCCCCCGTCCAGGCGATCTCAATCTCCCTCCACGGACGCCCGTTCAGGCTTTTGATGATACCCGCCGCTTGCATTCCACAACATCGCTTAGTTCCCTGCCTGTATGTAATCCTGCACTAGCCAATCTTACGTCAGGGCGCGCAAGGAGTGACAGTCTTGGCTTGCAAACCACTACATCTATAGGTAGAAATCTATTGATTGATACCATACAACCTTCTGTAAGCAACTCGCCACATCCTATTGAGCTCGATTTCTGATGTTACTTGTCTAGCTTTTACCCAAAGAAATAGCCATAGCTGTAGTTGGTTCATCCGGTTGTGGCAAATCAACATTCATCTCGGAGGACGCTAAAGCACACGGGGCACCGGACATTGAGGCACTGTTCGCGTCGCCTAGTGGAACCTTTCCTCCTACTCCTTTCCGTTGTACGTTCATATTCAAGACAATACCCATCTTGTTCTATCTGACTACAATTCCTCAAGATACACGCCGCGTTGACCGCGTTGACTGGGCGATACCTCGCGATTTCCCCATGGTTATCTATGAGTTAGACATTGCGAAGGTCCTGCACGGAAACCTTCCACCTATCAATGGAGTTGTTGTGTGTTATGATACTGCCGACAAGGCTTCATTTTCTCTTGTGGAAGATTTCCTCCGTATGTTGCATCTCTTGTTTTCGTGGTTTATAATAATCATCTTTGAAAGGGTGGATACGACCGTTGAAGCTTTCGACCATAGCGGTAGCCTTGAAGACAGACTTGAATGCTGTTGTCGATCCGCTGGAGTCTTCCAACCTGTTGAAAACCTATGATATCGGTTTGGTACAGGTTGATCACTTGGGAGACGCAGGGAGGGCTAGGGTAAAGAAAGCGTTCAATTGGTTGACGATATCTATCTTGCCAGGTCCTCGTAAGTCTAAAGAGTTATATCTGAGTGTGGTGTTAAACTCTGCCGATGACATTTCAGATGCTGATCTACGAAATCCTGCATCACCAGATGCTCTCAACTCACCGATTACTTGGGAAGCCCGAGCATCAACATCATCAGCCACACCCACTGTCTCTTCTTCCACAGCTTCAACGCACACCATGTCCCAAGACCAGGGTAGCTCGTTGCGACACTCGCCCACTTCTACAATCCCATCATCTCCGCCGCCAATCGCCATTTCTCCAACGCGTGCCCGGTCAACACCGGATCTCCTCTCGGCACATGAGATGTCTAAATCACGGGAGTCGCCCGAGCGAAAGTTATCGAATGCTCGCAGTGTCGCAAGCTTCGTTGGGTCGTCAAGCCTAAATTCGTCATCGTTCAAGTCTTTTGTTGGGACAGATGCTCCCTTGAATGTAACTGAGAACGGCCATCTTGATCGCCCTGTGAACAAGGAGAAGGAACCGTGGGTCATCTGCAATCATTCGACTTAGTGCTGCTAACTTCTTGATTTAATTAGTCGCTCAGGACAGTATGCAACCCTGGAGGAGTTGCTCGATAAATTACTATTCCTTGCTGTCAGCGGTGATGGTAAGTTCGCCCTTTCTGACTTGTTGGCACTACAGTATTCACAGCATTAATAGACCCGACGTTTATCTCGCATTTCCTTCTTACATATCGAAGATTTGCAAGTCCTCGCAGTATTTTGTTGGCTATGCAGAAGCGAATGCGACAACTCGACACTTCGACTGGCGATCCGATGTTTGCGAGTTACGCGCAGATGAGGTATTTTGATTTTGCGACCTGAAGAGTTATCATCTTAATATGCTGATTGATTTGAAGGATATGTCACCTACTTGAAACCTGGATCCAGACTTATCCACAAGACTTCGCCGTTCCGGGGGCCCCTGGCGCCTTACACGCCCTGGTCAGATCGATTGTCGGGAAGACATACCTCCTCCATTACGGGTCTGATTTTCTCCCTTTCCTTTCACATCTTCAGAACATCACAGACACGGATGCGGCTTGGGCGCTAAAGTCCGAAAATCCTGTGGACGAGAGTGAGGACCCATACAGCATATCAGACGGAGAGGAGGAAATACTGGCTGTTGAGACTGAATCACCCTCTACGAGCCGTTCGTCGGTCGCTCCCTCGAACGATAACCTCCCTAGTGCATCGAGCGTCAGAGAACGCAAGTCAAGCTTGCCGCTCAGCGCGAATATATTTATACCGGTAAATTCGAGTCACAACCAAGGAGATGCTTCAGATATATCTCCAAAGGACCTCCTGAGCAAGCTAAGGAGTCATGCCCAGACTCTGGCTGGATTCGAATGCTCAGAGATTGCGGAGGAGATCACGCGAGTAGAAGCGAAGTTATTCATGGATATCGAGGTTAGCATTGGCTATTACTGTGATTGCCGTGATTATGACAATTTTTATGCAGCCACGGCACTGGTTGCAATATACCCTCATTCCCGGACGCAAAGACCCTGAGTTGGACTCAATATCTCGATTCAATGCTATCTCCAATCACCTTGCCGATTGGTAAGTCGACGTGGGTGGGTGTCGCCAATGATAAAGACGGTTAATGGTTTCTCCAGGGTAGTATCCCTCATACTATGTCATGACAAACCGAGGAACCGCGCAAGGCAGATAGAGCGATTCGTGGATATTGCGCACGAGCTCCGCGCGTTGAACAATTACTCAGCGCTGCGTGCCTTTGTCGCTGGAATCAACAACTCTACTTTCCAGGGCGATGAAACCATGGAGATTTTCAAAAACAAGACTCCGGATCACTACAAGAACCTGCTGTCTTGGGATGTTCTTCTTCAACATCGCGGAGCTCATCAGGCTTATCGTATGGCGCTCAAAAACACCAAAGGCGCTTGTATACCAGCGCTGTAAGTGCGGCAACTTTCATGACAAATAGCTTGATTTTTCACCTCTAAATAGGGAGGTCCATATGTCCGACCTGATCCGTGCCCACGAAGGAAACCCCAATGTCAATCCGGATGATCCTGCAAAAATCCATTGGGGAAAATTTAATATGTTTGGTCGGTTCATTCAAACCACCACCCACTGCCAGATCCAGTGCCAAACAAATCCGGATTACTGCTTACCGTCACGAGATCGAATATTGAAGGTCGTATTTAACGAGTTCGTCATGTCGGAAGATGTGCGTATTTATTCGAAAACTTTTCCCCTCCCTTAACTCACTTTATGCAGATGCAAACATCTCGAATGGCGCCTCTCCCAGACTCGGATTTGGTTGAAGAACCCTTCCGCTCCTCGCTGCCCCGAACAATGTCACGCGAACATTCAACATCCTCCCAGAGAGACGCAACAATTCTTCGCAGAATACTACTGCAACGGTGAAGACAGCCCCCAGCATGTATCAGGATTTTCCTTTATGTATCTGCTGTTTGTTTCTATTCATCTGTAACTCTCAGAGATCCCATTTGTTTGATACCCCCGTCCTGTACGTATCATATTTGTTATTCGGCAAATGTACCCTTTCATGTTCAAGTTACGTCGCTACTTCTCATCACATGGGCACATTAGCAAATCTTAGCATCCATTGAACCAGTCGAAGAATGTGTCGCACCTACGGCCAATATGTGCAATATGTTCTGTAGCCAAACTTGTCACAATGTCAGAAGCTTAAATCTCGAGCACGTGACATTTTTAAGTTTTGAAGTAAGTACTAAGTCAGGATATTTACTATCACTAGTACTACATTACTGCTCGTAGTATTGCTCCCTGAGAGACTTCATAGTCTGCCAATACTCTCTGTCGGTTGGCCGCATTGCACTATATCCAGTCATGGACTTCGTAATGACCATCGACTCTGACGATGAATCACCACCTCAACGCAGAAACAGCAAGAAACAGCAGCAAGTAGATCATGACGCCGCCCACCTGGACCCCGACTTCCAATTCGATATTGCTGGTGATCCCTACACCGATTTATTGGAGTTTGGAGCACAGCAGTTGGATATCGTGAAGAAGGTTTCTAAGCCAGTGAGCATCGCTGCTAGTACACGCGATAGTCAGTCGCTGAATCGGCAAATAGGATCCTGTCTCGGTAGATGAAATTATCGAAAGACGCAAACTCAAGACGCGCTCGAAAAGAAAACGCGAGCCAGAGAGCGAGGATGAAGCTGAGGACGGTACGGAGGAAAGTGATGCTATCAGTGCAAAAGACTTCCCTGAAACGGATGGTTCGGGCGACGAAGATGACCCCCTTGCTACTTCCGGCGAGGAAGATGATGAAACCACCCAGTCCGTATCTGATGAGGACGAGGAGCAGAGCGATAATGATGATGCGGAATCGAATTCTTCGGATGAATCAGAAGAAGAGACTCAAGTCGAAAAGGATCGCAAAGCAGCATTCTTTGATTCGGAGGCAGCACCTTCGGAGCATCATTTATCTTTTCTGACCATGAACCTCTCCCGCCCGATTCACAAGGCGTTGGCCAATCTCGGATTCCATGCGCCGACACCCATTCAAGCCGCGACCATTCCTGTTGCTTTGTTGGGCAAAGATGTTGTCGGAAATGCTGTCACGGGTTCTGGAAAGACTGCTGCGTTTACCATCCCGATGCTGGAACGACTGCTATATCGAGAAAAAGGGAAGCATGCGGCAGCGACTCGGTGTCTGGTGCTGGTCCCGACAAGAGAATTAGCCGTACAATGTTATGACGTTGGTTCTAAACTGGCAGCGCACACTGACATTCGCTTTTGCCTCGTCGTCGGTTTGTTCCATTCAAACTTCACAGCAGCTAGTGTTCACGCAAACTTTCTAGGTGGACTTTCCGTCAAATCGCAAGAGGCGACCTTAAGGACTCGCCCAGACGTCATCATTGCAACTCCCGGACGGCTTATCGACCACCTGCGTAATTCCCCTTCCTTCACGCTCGATGCACTGGATGTCCTTGTTCTTGACGAAGCGGACCGCATGCTTTCCGATGGATTTGCAGACGAGTTGACCGAAATCATCAAATCATGTCCTGTTTCCCGTCAGACAATGTTGTTTTCTGCTACAATGACTGACTCGGTCGATGAACTGGTGAAGATGTCTTTGAACAAGCCTGTACGCCTGTTTGTGGACCCAAAGCGAACCATGGCTCAAGGCCTTATACAAGAATTCGTTCGCGTCCGAACGGAGAAAGAAGCGGACCGAACTGCGCTGCTTGTGTCTTTATGCAAGAGAACATTCCGACAGCGCGTTATCATATTCTACAAGAGCAAGAAGCTCGCACACCAGATGCGCATTGTTTTCGGTCTTCTTGATATGAAGGCCGAGGAGTTGCATGGTGACCTCTCTCAAGAACAGGTTAGACAGCACTTGCACACTTTCCTCCATGCCAGACATTAATTCTGTGATAGCGTCTCAGATCCTTGCAGCTATTTCGCGATGCACAAGTAGATTATTTAATGGCGACTGATCTTGCTTCTCGTGGGTTAGATATCAAGGGCATTGAGACCGTTATTAACTACGACATGCCTAACCAATTGTCGCAATACCTTCACCGAGTAGGTCGGACGGCCCGCGCAGGGAAGTCTGGTCGGTAAGCTTTAATCTTTAATCCATTCTCGTTGGCTGTGTTTTGATCATCCTTGTAGCTCAGTCACTCTAGTAGGAGAAGGAGACAGGAAAATGCTCAAAGCAGCCATCAAGCATAGTGCGGGCGAAGATAATGTTCGCCATCGGCTTGTCCCCGCTGATGTTTTTCCAAAATGGGTCAAGAGGGTAGAGGTTCTAAAAGACGAAGTCGCGACCATTCTTCAAGAAGAAAAGGAGGAGAAGCAGGTAACTTGGGAAGCTAAATGTTGTTCAACCGCTTTTACTCATATATTATGCTAGATTCGGCAGGCGGAAATGGAACTCAAGAAGGGACAAAATATGATTGAACACCAAGATGAGATTTTTTCTCGGCCTGCTCGAACTTGGTTTCAGAGCGAAAAGGAAAAGGCAAAGGCAGTTGGTGGGTGAAGATTTACAAGTTTTGCAATTAGCAGGAACTTCACGTCCTTTTTTCAGCCACAAGCAAACAGCAGTATGAAAGTGGAACTGGGCTCACGTCCAAGGGAAAACCCAAGGCTGTTGACGAGCCCAAGGTGCGTTTATTGCATCACCCACGACTCCTTATTGAACTCTTCCTTCAGCCAAAGAGAGATAAGTTTGCTGGTCTAACTAGGAAGGCAAAGCGTCGAAAAATGGCACTAGAAGCAGACAAGGAACTAGGTGAGACAGGCGCTGTGAATGCTGCCATTCGTTCCGCAAAGAAGGCTGCTCGTCCCGCCAAGATTGGGATTCAAAGTCACCTAAACGAACCTGTTTCAAAAAGAACGAAGGCAAGAAAAGGGACATCGAGAAGTGGTAATACATTCGACAGGGATTTATCATCGAAGGCGGCAAGAGGCGAAGGGGTGCATGCCAAGAAGGGAGACACAATCGGCGGGATGGGAAAACGCAAAGGGGGAAAGCGGAGGGACAAATAGTAAATTTGTTAAATCGCACAAAAAGGCAACTGTAATGGTTGGCATATGCTTGAGCACGTGGCCAAATGTAGAACGTAAGATCGACCAAAAGTGCTGAAAGTCGAAAGTTACCAAAGGGTTTTTTTGTGACTTGTCTTCGTACCACCAGAGGTAGAGCACATGGAACACAATGCGTTCGCGTCACTGGCTGTCTTGCAGCTCTCGTCTCCATGCCGTCTACTGACATCTGCTTGCTGCCCAGACAAGGACCTTGTCGTCCTGGTGTCCCGCCTTGGTGGAAGGGATAGGTTGACTCTATGGAAAATGCAAGGAACCAAAAAGTGGGACATCGAGGTGGGGTGTGATGAAAGCTCCATTGAAAGCGTATCGGCTTTAGCTTGGAGTCCTTGTGGTATGGTTATACGCCACAAGTTATGCGTCGTCATATCTAACGTTGTTTACTGTAGGCCAGACAATCGCTGTCTCTCATGGGTTCTCCCGCATTACACTTCATTCCGTGCAAGATGGTCACATAGAGCGTTCTCTCACCATCCCGGCATCGTTACACAAGTCTGAGCAACAACATCGAATAACTGGAGCTTGGTGGTTCCCAGGTTTCCGCGATTTACCACGAAGCACGATCCCAGATATCTTCAAGAGAAATGAAATTAATGTCTGTGGATTCGTTTAGGCTAACACTGCCTCCACTCTTATCATACTGAAGACAGGGTCTGCTCTCTCCATATTGAAAGTTCTTCCCCTCCTTGATCCCCTTAGAGAAGAAGATCACAAGCTCACGTAAGTCATCTGAGGCCACAAAATCCGGACTCGTTAACGTTTGTTCAGTGCCACCGACCTCTTTGCTTTTCAAGGAACACAGACAGGAGCTGCGCTGAAGTCATCCACACCTGAAGTCATCAGTGATTGGCCATCATTGCTCCCAGACCCATCTCTTGCTTCTCTCTGTCCTCCGATCTTGATCGATGAACAAGGCAAGACGACAAAAGACACACAAGTTAATCTTTCTGCGGAAGACGAAAACAGTCTCCTCGTGATAGGTGATGACAATGGCAAGCTTCACTGTTTTTTGGATGGCAGCTACTACCTAGGACCGATCAGTACGATTCCATCGACCGTGCCAACGGCAGTATTCAAGGATCCGAAGCAACCGCTATTTCTACTTCATCCTCAGACCTTAGGCTCCGACTTATTGTCCGCCGCGTTTGCGCCTCTATCGGTCGACTTACCGTTGCTTGCCTCCCATAGAATCCGAGATTTCGCCAGGCTTTCATCCGCCGCACGGGAATTGATGTGGTATGTCATGCGGGTCATTGAAGACCTGCGTGAAGTCTGGTTTGGTTCCGGTTCACTTACTGGAGCACGAGAAGCTGGCCCAAAATGGATTCAGCTGCTAGAAACCAGACTTCGTGACCAATTTGGCCGTTAGTAATGCTGTTCCTTGATGGATTTTTACTATTCTTAGTTTTCTCAACAGAGAAGGAACCCAGTGCAATCGTCGAGCTCACTGGTCTCCTAGTCGCTGGGTTGTGTTCTGAGGGACTTTCGGATTTCTTATCGTCCAGCGAGCAAATGAGTGAAAGGGTTGATTTATCCAAGGTTTCGTTGTTTCAAAGCTAATTTTGCTTTCAGGCTCTCCAAAAATGGGAGTCCACGGTGACCGATGCACTCGTTAAATTGCGCGATTTCTCAACGTTGCGACTGGTTCCTACGCTTCAACGGTTACATATCATTTTGGAAGAAGTTCGAGGATGGTCACTTATGTCTGGGATGATTTCCCATGATTGCCTACCTTTGTGCTGACACCTTTCCAGTCCTCAAATTGTCTTGTTTGGATTCAACGCCGATGACATTACCCACTGTCTGTCTTCGCTGAAGCAAGCCGTCTTCGTCTCAAATTTGTTGGCATTTCAAGCAAGAAGGGAACTCGGGTCATTCAAACATTTCCTGAGCTTTCTTCGGTATGGTGAGTGGGTTACTGAGCTACATAGGGCCGTAGCTTATTTCCCGTGTTAGAAATCACCTTGGCGGGCAACTCCTCCGAGACCCGCTCGCCCCCTGAACATGACATCCTTGAAGTCAATCACTATTTAATGTCCGGGTTGAAGACAAGTCAAATAGACCGGTGGTTCACAGGGCCAGCTCCCCAATTTGATCCCGGAGATCTTGGATTGCCTCGACACAACACGGATACTAACAAAGTTCTTGAAGAAGCACTGGAACAAGCCCACGCCGCGTTGCAGGATCCTTCTCAAACATCATGGCAGCCGGTAGGTTTCTCAGTTAATTGTAATGTGTACTCTACGACATGAGTTTGTATGTGTTTTAAAAGGTCTCCACGGCCGATAAATCACATCTGGACAAGAATCTGTGGGCACTTGTTCATGATTTGGCTGTCCGGTGTCAGCGGGTCTTCGCGCATGTTTCGAAGGCTACTGCTCGATCAGCCATCGTGTCAGGTAGTGGTGGGGCTACTCCATTTCAGGTGGAGGCGAGTGAAACTGTTCCAGGCGGTGCTTGCCAATTTGTCCGCGAAAGAGTTGTTCGACGAAATGAGGTGAGTCATGTTCGTTACAGTGCACTGAATTCAACCAAATTCGGATATTTTAGCCTGGCAACCACCTGCAGCATCTCGCGATCTATTTGACCTCGGAAATGCGGCCCCTTTGTGAGTTGCGCTTTGGCTCCTTCGCCTTTTTGGAAATTCAATGTGTACAAATTAGTCTGCTTGACCCGGACGCCTTACGCAAAATGCGCCGCTGGGGTTCCGCTGCATATTGATGTCATTGTTATGGAGTGTTCGATTGCTGGAGATGAGCCTGGGGATGTTACCGACGTCCATCTTTGCAACGCTGAGTTTTTCGACGACGAGATTCTCGTGATTGTATATAAAGTCAGAGGAACCGACGGTAAAGCACCCTGATTTATGTCCATTTGGCTCTCCATTAAATATGATCAAAGGTCCGATGTTCGCAGCTACGGTTCAATACAGCGCCCTTGAGTATCAAACACAATCAGAAGGATACGTAAACGGACCCGCCCGAAAAGATATGATAGCCAACGTGCTCCAGAGGTTGAAGGAGGGGCATGTAAGTATCGTGCAGCACCATGTTTTTGTCGAGACCTTGTGACCGGTACTTTTACTAACGGCATGATTCAGCTCTGGTTGAAACCTATCCCGATCAAGAGACGTCGCCAATTGACCGCGTGCAGAGACGGATCAGTATCGCTCGCAGTCAACGGAAGAGTCGGAAGGAGAGTTGTTTGTATACTTGACGGTGATGGGACGACAATGGATATACTGGATATGGAAGGAGATGAAGATATGGAAGGTGAGGATGAAACCGAGATGGATTCGACCGGGGCATAACAGGGCATAGCTGTGACGAGAGGGTGTGTGATTCGGTCCGTAGGTTTTGCATTCGCGGCCTCATTTTCATGGGCACACGGCGTGTCCAAGCCGAAAAAGATGGATGACTATGTCCTTGGTGTGCCCCTTTAGGGTCGTGAATCTCCATTAGTGCGTTGATCGCGGTCACTGCGGTGAGTTGGAGTGAGAGAAGAGTGGAGAAGAGGTAGGTTGAATCTATAGAGTGCAATCGGCCGTGAGGTGAAATGAAGGATTCATCCGAGATTCGACCGCACATGCTCCAAAACATCAGGTTCCTGGGAGTGGCTTGTGAGCAGGGTTGATACCGGGTACGTGTTAAGTTCGGGAATGAATGCAGATCACACAAGGGATCAGAGTGATGCTTTGGCTTGCTCGCCCCCCCCTCATCACCTGGAGGTCAAACGTCTGGCAGCCATTTATTATGATTCCGAATTGCAATAAACTTCCCCGTGAGGGCCCCACGGACAGTCTGAAATTGTAAACAGTTTCGCTTAACGTGATCACACCGCGGCCCTCTCCTCGTGCCCTTGATTCGAATTCTTTTTTTTCCGTACCATTTTAAACCGTCCTCTCTTCTGTGGATCGTCTTAAAAGTCCCTCCTTTAACATCCATTGTCTCCTGGATTTGATAGAAGCCTTATTGTCCTTTCAACTTTGCCTTGAACCTTTGTATTCACATGCCTAATAGAGCCGACCCCGGCCATTCACCCCCAGGCGATAAATCTGACTTCAAAGCAGACCTTGACGATCCTACTGCCTCCATGTCTGATATTGCTATAAGAAAAAAGAAAAATGCGGACGCTCAAGCTGCTTTTCGCCAGAGGTGAGCAGTACCTCTCAAACCCCTCCCTTCTCCATCTTTAAATATTATCTTTTTGAGGCGAGCAAACTACATAGCAACTCTAGAAGAGACAGGTTAGGTGGTCTCTACTTATTCTACCTTCATCGCTCATCTTTTGTCATATTCGGCAGTCACTAGTCTAGAGTCTGTCGTCCTCCAGCTTCAGGATTCGTGTCGCGAAGCGCGATCCGAAGCCGGGGATCTACGACAAGACAATGCACGCCTTAGACATGAATTGCGCGAACGTGAGAAGTTCTGGAGGGCCCTTTGGCAGGCGAGAAAGACAGGACAGGCTCCTGAATCTGACGACTTGCCCCCGCTCCCATCATCTTTTGCTCCTCATACTCAACCAACAAACATCAACAACAACCGTACCCCCTCGTCTCATGGTCATTATAGCGATGATAGCATGGGATATCAGACCAGCGACGAGACGTCCAATTCCCTGTGCAGCGGCTCATATACCAGCGGGCCCAGTCACTCATATGCGACTCAGTCTCCTGCGCTTTCTTACACTGGTGTAGAAACCGAGCAGATACCCTCCGGCGGAGCTGGCCATCATATGAACCCCCGGGTGTCAAGATATGGTTCTTACCCGTATCCGATGCAACCCATCAGCCGGGACGGACCATGGACCCACAACGTGGCCCAGACTGCGTCTGCTAATGGTTAGTTAATACTTCCGCTACCGATGTTATGGTTTCTGATAGAGCTTGCAGGTTCACCTACCTTGACATCCGCCGATGTATATGCAAACCGCCCTTTTGAAGAGCAGAAAACTCAGCTCAATCATTTAGAAACAACACCATATCTCTTTCCCAGTAGCCGTTCCATCTCCCCCACGTCGTCCACCCCCCCGTCCTCGTCTAGCACGTCCTTGACGTCCCCATTCCAATTCACATTCCCGGCTGATGGCCCGATCGCACAAGATCGCGCAGAGTTTGATTACCGCCGGCACTCCAATGCCCACGGCGCTGATCTAACCTTACATGGTGGGACCGCAGATATTTCGCTTCCGAGCGCTGGCAGCGACGGTGTGCGTTACAGACTTGGGGCCCGGCGCGCGAATTCTGGTCCGAGTCCACTACTACCATCCCTTCCTCAGTTCTCTGGAAGCGAGAACGGCTCTCAGCACGAGCGGGGAAGTAGCGAAGGTGAAGCCACCCCCTATTCGAAACTTCGACCTCGTAGAGGACGTTCTCGAGAGTCGAGGTCACCTTCCCCCGGTGCACCTCCGATCTCGGGCACGCTAGCGGTTATCAAAGCTCAAGCTTTTGGAGCACTTCGTCGAACTCGGACCAGAACTAAAAAAACTTCTGAGGGGGCGGCTAAGGTTGCAATGGAAGTTCTCGAGGCCAGGGGCATCGGAATGGGCGTAGTGGCTGGCTCGAAGCGCCCCCGCCTTCACCACGACGATTCCGACATGCAAACGTGATGCACATATAAATGTACTCCCCAACGACTACCAGTTCACTCATTTGATCCTTAGGGATTGTATTATTCTTCTCGTCACCAGTGGACTATGTAACCACGATTATTTGTACAGCAATTTAAGATCCAGTTACTTACTGTATTGCGCTTACTCCATAAAGGTCTGCTGCATAGTGTTGCATGTAATATGTTATGTACCTTCGTTGCACAAATACATTTATCATTAAAAACACTATCTGATGATGGCTGCGCAATGCGCATGCGTAATACCGCGTGTCCTTCGCGGCATTGTTCAAGTCGGTAACTCGCCGGCGGCCCACTGGCTAATACCATCCTTATGCCCGTCCGGATCTACTGGCTCGTGGCATTCGCCTACGGGCAGCGCGGAAGTCATTTGTGGCAAATCTGCTCGGCGGAGGACAAAGATAAATAAATAAAATTCTACGCTGTGTGCTCCACGTTTCAAGCAGTGTCCAATCATCAATTTAGTCTCGGAACTGCGACATCCCACGGTCCTCTTATTTCACTGCAGAAAGTCATGTTAACAGGAAAGGAAAAAGCTTAAGGAATGACGTACTTTTTGTATTTCTGTGCCCAGACTAGGACTCCCGGAGCAACGAACGTCACCGTAATCAAGATGCCTGCATAGATGGACGCAACCGAGACGGATAAAGGCACCGTTAACACAAATGATAGTACACAAAGGGCCAGGGTGAAGAGGATCTGTGCGAGTTGTGGTGTGACCTATAATCAAAGTTACACGATAATGTAACCAGGCAAAATTGCCGACCCTACCTGAAGCCGGTGACGCAGGATCGGGAAAAGAGCGAACAATTGCACAGCAAATAGGACAAGAGCAAAGACAGCCAAATCGTCAGGCAGTCGCGAGGCCAAGACAACCGATGACGAGATCGCGGCATTCATGGACAGTACAGATGTCAGTCTACATGGAAGATGAGAATTGACAATAAGGGCCAACGTGGCACTAACCCACCTTTCCTGTGGGACTGGTTTCATGGAGCTATAATCGGCGAGCAATGTGTTGAGAAGGAAGAGACATGCTGAAAGCGCCCAAATGGAGTCCGAGGACGTTGCTGCGGTCAAAGTTCTCAAAACAGGCGATAATGCCATCAAAGCGAGGAAAACAAGAAGGGACGATTTGATCGTATTCGAGCCTGGTTGATGCAGCCAATCAATGAAAGACCCAGGGGCGGATATGCAGGACGTACGGGTTGAGGCACCACGAACGGTATTAGAACGGCTGAGGATCTCACACAGAGCATATCCTCCAAAGAAACTAACTATCGAGACCCACAACAGGACACGGGCATCAAGCCAGCGTTCCTTGAGCCTCACAAAAACTGCGAGGAATGTGAAGATTGTCGCTAAGTGCTGGGTGATCGCACAGCATAGCAGTACTAGTGGCCAATAGGTGTACGGCTTGAAGTTAGCTTTGGAGAATATTAAGTACCACGTTTTGAAGATAAATTATGCTTACCAACGGTTCCGCCTCAAGGAAGAGAGAAAAGAATGAGGATGAATGTAATTATCAGGAAAAGGCTGCCTTTCCCACAACACTTTGTTCCATCCTTCGGATGTCATTATTCATGGGTTTGATGATCGTTTAGAAAAAAAAACAGTTCTTAAGGGCTAAGTGAGCACTATGTACTTGGTAGACGTTGTGCCGATCACAGCCACCGAACATCCTTGCAATGAACCGAACCGGGGGATTCACACAACTATCAATCATATCCCCGAGCAATCATCATTTACCCATTTGTATCTCAGGAAGTACATGGGCAAGACAAGACAAGACAAGACGGCGTCACTTTCCTCGATCATGGGAAGAGAAGAGCATTTGTTTATACCATTTTCTACATATGAAATCAACGTGTTCGAACATCATGGTTGTCTCACCGGCGGTCCGCTGAGTTTAACGACTGGTGAGATAATAGTGGGACATCAAGTAAAAGAAGAAACATGCCCATGAGGCCTTGAGGGATCATTTCATGTTTGAGCGGGTCCGAGGTAAATTGAAAAATATGGGAGGGATCGGCGATCATGTATTAAACGGCACGAGAAAACCTGAAGGTCAGAATGAGAGAAGTCCGGAGCGATGGATGACCCGCATGTTCTACTGGCGGTGAGGCGATACACACGCACAAAGTTTGATTCAATCCCACTAGAAGTAGCGACAGTAAGGAACGGTAAAGAATCGCTCATAGAGCTTGACATTACCACTAGGCGTTCTTCATCCCTTGGCGTAGGTACTGGTTTCGCCACTTTCGCAGCTTCCACCTGCTCGGCAAGTCGTCCCCGATTCGGATTCGAGGCATTAGTACCTCGTGCATGTGCCTATGCTGCCTGGTGAATCCTGTAAATGGATACTAATTCAAAGACTTACCGTTTTCAACCTTCTCTCAGCAGCCTCTGCAGCTGCGGCGCGAGGATCAGGAGGCGGTGTGGTGCCATCATTTGGCTGGCCAGCAGTGCTTCCCAACACCTGATGTCCCCCGGAATGCACACTGGACTTGGAGCACAATGAGCCCATGCAGGTGGCAGAACAGAAATTTGGTATAATGGAAGTTCGTTATCCCCTCAAGTGCCAAAGAGATCGAGAACGGGTATTAAGACGTTGTGGTCTGAATTCAAGAAGCGCAGCCTAGTGTAGCGCCCATTCGTACCCTGTATGGGAAACATGCGCAGGCAAGGCATCGCGGATCTACCGCAAATCTACTGTACATAACATCCATATCAAAGAACTACATGGGAAGTGTATTCGACATCTCTCTGTAATTTCCCCGACCACTGTTGCCAGTAGAGCGAGCAAAACGCTCACGAAGGTCACGCGGTAACCATTCCTGCAGATACAACTGAGTAACGCTCAAATCGAAAAAGAAATTATACGAACCTCCCACCAGCGCCTGCTGGTAGACCATGCCGTACTAGAATCCAAACCGACCTTGAGCATGCGGTTTTTAATGCCCACGCCAAGTAACAGCCCGAGGATAGTCAATAGAAAAAGGGTGACTACAAGCTGATCCCTAGGAGAATCTCGTTCTGGTAGGCACAAATTAACGTTGGCAGACACAGGGAAATTGAAGACGCACGAAAACATCGCGCTTCAACATCTCCCTCTAGGCCGGTTGCAGTGTCTGGATCTGTGTCGCCAAGAGATGCACCAGCGCAGATAGGTAGGTTCTGATTCAAGCACCACTGCTTAGTGCACGACAGACAAGGTTTGGACGGGTTGTCGGGCGTGTTCAGGGATAGAATCGTATAGTTTGCAGAGAAGCAGATGCCTAAAGTGCGATTAGTTCCAGCATGATGATCAATTTGAAGGGACACCACATTTGCAGAAGTTTGTCACCTCCCTCTTATTCATGTTAGCTTCGACTGGCACCTGGAGCCAGATTGTTAATTGAATGGTTATGTCAAAGATCTAAGAGCTCGACGCACGATGCTTAGTATAAGCGTAATAAACAGAAAGCTAATAAGTCGTGTGGGACTGTGTCGCACCATGACGAGCTTGAGTGCTGTGTCCAGGAGTCAGACGTGACATTATGTGAGAAACACGCTCAAACGGTTAAACGCGTCACTTTCACCAACAAGCACATTTGATCGTCAAACCGAATCTCTTATCCTTACCAAAACTTTTTCCAGTCGTCATCGCTGCAGGGATGTCGGCAGAATTTGAGGATGTCCTCACAAATCAACCTGTCGTGATAGACAATGTAACGCTCATATTCTAACTACGGCGCGTGTCAGCTCAGTTTAGTTCTGACAGGGCTCCGGAACCATCAAAGCAGGTTTTGCGGGTCAAGATCATCCAAAATGTTTTTTCCCGTCATTGTACGTGTTACAACTTGAACGCGATGGCTGGTCAATGTGTAGTCCCAATCATTTGAATTTCTAGCGTTGGGAGACCAAAGCATGTGCGTGTCATGGCTGGCGCTCTTGAAGGCGACGTCTTCATCGGTCGTCGCGCACAAGAATTCCGCGGTCTTCTCAAGATTAAATACCCTATGGAACATGGCATTGTAACCGATTGGGATGACATGGAACGGATATGGAGTTGGATATATGCTGAAGAGCTTGGGACCCTCAGTGAAGAGGTATGTCCCCTTTATCCATTATAGATGCCCGGACGTTCCAATCAGAATGCCTGAAAGCACCCAGTTCTCTTGACCGAAGCGCCGCTCAATCCAAGGAGTAATCGTGATGTAGCCGCTCAGATATTCTTCGACACATTCAATGTTCCAGCTCTCTTCCTGTCCGTGCAGGCCGTTCTTTCGCTGTAAGCTATAGACTTTCCGTATACATTTTAGCCCCTTCGAACTATCCATAGATATTCTTCAGGGCGGACAACTGGCATAGTACTTGACTCTGGAGATGGCGTTACACATGCTGTTCCAGTATTTGAGGGTTTCTCCATGCCTCATGCGATTCGAAGAGTGGATGTCGCCGGAAGGTATGATGATCATCTTTTCGTCAAATAAAATCCTCACATGTCGCATTACAGGGATGTAACTGACCATCTACAACTGCTGCTAAGAAAATCTGGCCATCATCTGCACACAACTGCGGAAAGAGAAGTGGTTCGGATAATCAAGGAAAAGTGCTGTTATATCGCGTTAAGTCCTTCCAAAGAGGAAAAGGATACCGTGGGTCGGACTGAAGAGTTCCGTCTCCCGGATGGAAACGTAGTTCAGGTAAATTCCTAACTTCCTGTTCTGAAGACGCCAATCACATCTCTGTTGCAGTTGGGACCTGAGCGGTTCCGTGCTCCCGAAATCTTGTTTAATCCAGAGCTTATTGGACAGGAATACGCTGGTGTTCATCAGGTTGTCGTTGATTCAATCAATCGAGTTGATTTGGATCTGCGGAAGAGTCTCTTTTCGAACATCGTTCTCAGTGGAGGCAGCACGTTATGCAAAGGTCCGTAAGCTTTAGTAGGGAAGTCACTCCCGCATTGATAGCATCTTTTTGAAGGTTTTGGCGATCGTCTTCTCAACGAAATCAAGAAGTTGGCTTTGAAAGATGTCAAAATCAAGATTTACGCCCCTCCGGAACGTAAATATTCAACGTGGATAGGTGGTTCTATTCTTGCAGGTCTTGGGACTTTCAAAAAGGTTGGCCTCAACCTGTTTTATGTGGGCGGTTCTAAAACATATCTACAGATGTGGGTATCAGCAGAAGAGTATCAAGAAGATCCGGATATCATCCACAAGAAGCTTGGCTTCTAAAACTTTGGCTTGATTTTGTGTTTTATCCTCTCCTTGTAGAACTCTATGCTCAACTATATTACCACTGCATCGATACCCAACATAACTAACTGGTTTTGTAATGCTCTTAGAAAATGCGCGAATACCAAAGGAGATGTAAGCCGCATGTGCATATGATTCATGAATGTGGTTGTGAGTGTGACATACGCCATAGGTACAGCTCGCTCGATTGGTTCTCGATAATAAGGGGTGCACTCGAGCAAGAAAGAGATATAGACCAATGCAAGAGGGTAGTGTTTACTTGCCCTTCTTAGCAGGTTCAGCAGCCTTAGTCTTCTTAGTACCACGGAACTACAGACGAAGTGCATCAGTGCATCATCCAAAAATGTCCAAAGGAATTGTCGCACCTTCTTGGCGCGGTTCTTTCTCTCGTGTCGCAGTTTACGCGAAGGCTTGTCAACCTTGATAGCAAGGCCAGACTAGTTGGATCGAGAATGAGACGGTAGTCGTGTAGTAGGTTGAACATAAGCTTGCCTTGACCAGTCTGTGCTTAGGTTCGAACCTCTTCTGTGATGTCTCATCATCGTAAATCAGCGCAAATCCAGTGCTACGTCCACCACCGAACTGTGTTCGGAAACCAAAGCAGACTACGCGTGCTTTGTCCGTCTTGTACATGGTAGCCAACTTCTCTGCAAGCTCGGTTTTTGGTACGTTCGGTCGCGATGGGTGGAGAACATCGAGAACAAACTGACGGCGCGCCAAAAGGCGGTTGGTGATGAATTTACGGGCGCGGAGGGTGACGGGTGCTGCGTTGTCGGCCTAAAGTCATAGACCGTAAGCTTAGTACATCCAACCTGCATTGGTACCATCCATCGCCTCCCGACCGCAGATCTCGCGTGGTTTCGACGATTCGACATGGAACAGCAACCTGCAGCATTCAATGGGAACTCTCACCATGATTTTTGTCGTCTTCGACGTTTTGCGACCTTTTCTTCCCGGGGTCTTGACGAGATGTGTGGAGGCGTAAGGAGATCGAAATCCGTTCGGCAGAGTCCGAACACAGCCACCTGTAATTACCCAAAAGGGGTTGGATAACTCCTGGACCCGGACTTCCTCGTGATACTGCCATGTCGTCCAGCTTTGCCTCTTCGTTCGCGCCCTATGTAAGCATTCTCGATATGCATTTATGAACACATTGTACACATGCGTGCAGACCCTTCCACCAGATGACTCTTCACATCGATCAGCGCCACCTTCAAGCCCCAAAGCGCGGCCATGGTTCCCTGTTCACTCATCCTCGCGAGGAATAGAGATATCTTATCAATCTGGCGGCCTCCCTACATTCAACAATTCAATAATCAGGAATGAGGATACTCCGGAAGATGTTCAGCAGAACCAGTGGGAAACGAGTCATGGGATGCGCGTGGACGTCCTCTCCGCCTTCGCATATATATTGGGTCCAATCTCAGGTAAGTTTTATAAGTATAAGCAGTCATTCCGTCGTGCCATGATCTACTTCAGCTTTGGTATTACTTGTGCTGGAAACTAATAATGATTATGTTCGATTTCATGGTAACGTTCTCTGCTTTCTTTCTGATATGCCACTGAGCTCATCGTTAACAGCCTACCAATCTGCCTTGCTAATGACACCTCTGCTATTGGTGCGCATATTTGCATCACTCCTTGGTTTTCCATCATGGGTACGATCATTCCTCACTGTTACATTCGCACTTTCTGCACTTTTCATGGCGTGAGTGATCCGGAAAGTTCACATGAGTCCCAAGTTCACAATTTTCAGCGTACGAGCGTACCTCGGAGCTTCGCACGAAGGTCTCGCACGTTATCATCTCCCAAGAATTGGGCCGCTCGCTGAGAGATGGGTGTTTGAGGAATGAGCTGCTCTCCTCCATGACATCATACATTGTCACCGGAATTGCGCCTTTTATCTATGTAGCCACGAATACACGAATGATGCGCAGATTCGAGGTCGGGTGCTTTTTGGCACTGGCTCCTATCTCATAGAGCATCATGCGGATTTACGACATCCTTGTATATTGTAATCGAAGTCCATAATAATGCTCTTGAATCGTTTTGGTCAAGGAGGTAGTCGAGCGAACAGCATAGATAGTTTACAAAAGCATGAGGAAGTCCGTCATAATACAGTGGCAAGGTAAGTACAAAACAAATTCGTACGCGCACTCTAATAGAAGCGCCAGCGCGTGGGTTCTACAGATAGTCTGTGGTTACAGAAGAAGAAATCGAGTCTAACCCGGTGTTATATGCAAAGACCTGCAACCTCGACGCCAGACGCGCATGTCGCCGTAACAGCCGAGCCAAGAACTGCCTGAAGAAGGGGTTGGATCGCGTTGATGATAGCATCGGTCAGATTCTCGACGATGTCCAGGAGGTCGTCCAGAGTACATTTTAGCTGATACACGACTACAAAGAGAAATCAATAACGTTACGCACGCAATAAATTATCGAGACTTACTGGGACCCAAGATCGGACCGACGATGGGCAACGAGACGACAAGGTTGTAAGTGACCGTGAGGATGTCCTTGTTAGCGTTAATGATGCTCTCTAGCAAGGTTTCCAGGTTGTTGGTGGGATCCATGTTTGCGGTGCCGTTGTCACCGCCAAGCTCCGCTAGAACAGTAGTGAAGCCCAGAAAGTTCGTACTGAATCCTGAGAGTTCTGTTGACGCCTGCTGTTGGAATGCTGGGTCAGAAGCGGACGCAGACGTTGCATTTGATGCTAGGTTGTCTATGCGAGAACGATAAGTAACGGTCACAAACAACCCCCATTTTACCGACGTACGATAGTTTGAGGCGTGCCGCAAGGCCTGGCGGTGATATCTTCGTAGAAGGGCAAGCTTGCGGCTCGATGCGTTCGAGCTCCCATGACCACTGGCAGATGCGTGAACTGGTTCACGCGGCACGTGTGGAACACTCCTGGCTGCTTTACGTTCTGCGTGCCCCGCCGTTATCCGCGAGGGGGCCTTCAGTGACTTGGGTTGTATGGCTGTAGTATGAGAAGCTAGATGCTTAGGTGCGGATAACCTGTCCGTTCTGGCATCGATGTTCGCAAACCCGCCAAAGGCCCTCGGCGAAGACGGCAGTGGGATTGGATTGGCCAGGGCATGCTGCACCGCGAAGGGCGTGCTAAGCATCAAAGTTATGGCGGCGGCGGGCACGAAGACAAGGAGAGAGCGCATGACCGGCATTCTGAAGGAGTGGGATGAAAAGGAGCGTGAAGCAGGGAGGTAGATATTAAGACAAGCGACTCGCGCTGAAGTTATGAACGATATAGACTTGAGGAACGACGTAGCCGACAAGTACCCAGACTTGCGATAGTTGTGGTAGAGTGCAAAAACGCAACTCATACAGTGAGACGCGTTCTTATACCCTAATATTGAGTCCCAAACCTTAATCACGCCTCGCGTCTGATTGGCTCCCCTCGTCCATGTCACGTGATGAAAAGCAATTCACCTACCAGATGGCGGTGCAAAATTGAGTATGAACCCTTCACGAGAACTAATGGGAGATCTAGGCGAGGGACATGACACTGAGGAATTTTACACCGTGTAAGGGCCAACATTGATCTGAAGAGGACATGCTACTTGAACTGTAGAATCGTGAGCAACCTTCTTAAAGACGCACAACATCATCGTCGTACGAAATAGTCTTACCGGGAATACCATATCCATTACGACTTCTATATATTTTAAGGTGGGCTCGGCACGCGTTGTATGCAGTAGACCGAGGACAGAACCTGCCAGTCAAAGAAAGAAAGTCTTCGCCGGATTTAATCAGATGCCCGGTGCATTGGTACGGAGTGCATAACAGGCAGTGTTTTGTCTGCAGTTCATGATTCATTGAGCACAAAAGAAGGTACAGTACTATTTATTCTCTTGGAATGTTCGTGAGTGCGAGAAAAAGACTCAAAAGGCAGGGAGGGGTATGTGCAGACTGCAAAGACCTTCGCCTAGTCAACCTGTTCTACATAGGTCAACGACCACGGGTGAAAATTTCGTGCTTTCAACACTTGCCTAACATATCCGCTGACAGGGCTTTTTGAAGAGCCCGAGCGGCGAAGTAACGCACGTCTGCATCGGAATCTGTTTTCTGTTGCTCTAGTACGGGAACGATGCTTTGGCGGAGGAATTCGCGACCCTCGGTAGTATTTCCATATGTAGTGGCAAGAATCTCTAAAGACTTGGCGACGTTGAAACGGATGTTCGGGATGGGATCTTCAGCAAGCTGCAGGAGCGGCCCGATAATCTCAGCTTGAACAATTGCAAGATTCAGGGAAGGTGCGATAGTCTGCAATTGAAGATCCGCTCAAATCGCTGCGGCCTAGTAAAAATGAGTACGTACTGTGATCGCTTGCACGGTGGTCATCCTGTAGAGGTAATTTGGATGTTGCCCCATACCCATGACCTTGGGCACAATCTGAACCTTCGCCCAATCGACGCCGAAGACTTCCGTCAGTTTCTTAAGGTTAATGGTCGCAGATTCGCGTATACTAAAGACCGTGTCGCCTAACCAGGACATGCACAGGTTCCCGAGCTGTTCGTCGAAGAAAGGCTTGCCGAGTTGTGTTGCGAGAAGGGGGATATATTCTATGATAGCCTGTCTGACGCGCCATGACTTGTCCTCCGCAAGCTCAATGATGGCAGGGAGAAGACTATCAGACAGGAGTTCGATATCGATGACTGACAATAGTAATTTCAGAGAGTTATTCGCGTGCAAATGGGCAAGGAGCTTACCACCATTTACAGTCTCGAGCTTACTAATGACATTGAGTCGAACTTCAGGAAATTCGTCCTTTAATAGGTGAAGGAACAAGGGTAGAAGATGCTCAATAGTAGGATCTCTGCCCAAGAGCGGTGCAAGGCCACTGATATGGTTCGCAAGAGCGGCTCGCACGTGCTGAGACGCGTCGTGCGAGAGGTCACGCACGCAAGGTACGATGCGTGCAAGAATGACTTCCTTCTCGAGCAGTTTTGAAAACCCTGAAAGTCAAGTGCAGAATCAAGCAGTATTCTATGGTGATATTGATTACCATACCTGGAATCTGGCCTGCAGCCGCTGTGCGTACTTCTGCCTCGTTATCTTTCAGAAGCTGCACATATTGCCCTATTAACTCCTCCCTGACCAATTCTATGCCAACGGCTTCTGCGAGCTATATGAATTGTGTCAACTAAATAAACGTGGAATCCGACATCGGGGCGCACCTCGTTGAAGTGTGTGGCGGCCATATATCGCACTCGCCAGCTCTTATCAGCAATGCTGTGTCTGATTTGCTTCAACAACTGCTCCTTCACCTCAGGTGGCGTAAGTTGCTTCGCGATAACAATAAGATCTTCTACGGTGAGTAAGCGCACAGAATCCTGATCATCGGACTGGAGTCTGCGGTAGATTGGTAGCCCATCCGACAAGACATGTTGCTTTGACAGGTTTTTGACAAATGGCTGTTTAAGAATATGTCAAATCGGCGCAGAGACAGATTGTGTATTACGCACCCCGAGCCACTTTGCTGCGGCGCGTCTGACCATAGGTGTATCATCTGCACCCAAAGCGGCGAAGCCCTTCCGGAGATCCTCCTGGATCGACCATGATACTTTGTTGTAAACTGGAGGATACAGTGCAGCAGAAGAGGTACGCGATGTAAACCATTCGCCTTGTGAGAGCCGCTTTAAGAGTGGAATATAAAACTCTTCAATTTGCGGAGTAGATAGAACTTCAGCTATTTTGGCGATAGATTCTGCAGCCTGTTGGCAAAAGCATAAGTTATCAACCAATTCGTCCAGTACCATCTCTTAAGTACGCGCACCTTATCCCGTACCAGGGTCTCCTCCACTGCGGACAAATTCTCCAGGGGGCCCAGCAGCACATGAGCGAATTGCTTTCCCCCGATGTACTCCTCAAAATTCCTTCCAAGCTCTTTTGCCAAAGCCAGTAATACCTCATCCTCGTCATCAACGGAGTCTTGCAAGAATGGAACAAGCTCGTCACGGGCGCGATCTGGCCCTAAAGCGAGTGCAATTGTGGGTATGCTGTGAATGGCGTTGAGGCGTAGTTGAACGTCTTCCGAGCGCAGCTCGTCCATCAGAACGGCAATAGGTGCAATCTGGAACAATCATGTGTTATTTTCATGCCATTCACCATGTAATTTTGATGATGAAACTCACGTCCTCCATGGTGTATCCGGGTTCCATCGCAGTGGCGCTGTATCAAGAGGCGTTCAGTCCCAGTTGAGAAATCACGGGGGGACTTATTACTGTTCGACAAGTCAGATACGAGCCTGTTATACCTTTACAAGAGTCGCGAGGCTGAAGATGGTTGGGTTAGATGTCTAGCGATTAAACGTTGAGGGCAAGTGATCTGTTCTTGATTAAGCTTGATTAAGATGAAGCTTGTTTTGTTTAGCGTATTCGATTCAATCGCCAGTCAATATCATCGTTCAAGTTTGCAACTATAACTACAGAACGCAGAACTTGAATAACATACTAGCTGACTGCAGTTCACTTCATGCCTACTACGGACCGTCATTGTGTAGTACTGACGACTTCTCGAGAGTCGAGCTAACTCGTGAGACATTTGACGGAATCGGAACAAAGTGGAGCTCACTGGCCAAGTACTGGCCGCTGGTCTTCAGTCGTTCAATCTAATGAAGGGCCGCCTGGGACGAGCCTAGCCAGTAAATCACCAATTGGGCTCCGAATCAGTACAAGTAGTACAATATTTAGCGTAAAGCGAATAACGGAGTCCAACCAAAGTTTGACGAGATACAACCATCATAGAAAGCTCTTCACGAAGAAGAGAAATAGAAAAAAAATTATGCGATAATCAACAACTGCCTCAGAGCTCAGTTGAAGACGACAGACGCTGGCGCAAGCCATGAGGTCTACCTCGCGATGGCGGAGGGCACAGTCGTCCCAGGTGGTCCCTGTGAAATCTTTATCATTAAGGGGTCGAACAATTGTATATGATAACTTACGACCCGCCAAACCATGAACACCACCCGCAAGGGCTCCATACAAAATGCGCAGATTATAAAATCACAACCAGTTCCATAAGCATGACAGCGTCCATGGTCTTTGACAAGTTCCACAACCAGTACTAATCTCGGCAGAATATTCCCAACGGACTTCCACTTCGCTGCGTGCAAGCACACAGAGACCCGCACGCACCCGAGACAACTCAGGGCAAAGCGAGATCTGGCTCGAAGCTAGCCTCATCGGATCGACAGATGTAACAGAATTTTGACATTACGACAGGGGTCTGGGTGTGACAACGGTTTGTGAGGCCAGAAATCCATGCCCTTGGTTATAAACCCAGCGAGGATTAGTCACGCCGCGCAAAGCACGGAAGCACCGATAGACCTCTTTTTAGATCGTCCTCGTATGCTTTGACTATGGCTTGCTCCGCGAGCGACGCCTCATGTGACTTTTGCAATATAGCACGATAGTTGCAGTATGACTATGTGATTGTGTTCCCTGTCCATGTGGGGTAGGCAGTGTCTATGATATGGTTGCGTGTTGTGTGCTTTTCTGTGCAGGTGTTCATAGACTATAATATGGGTGCGCAAAATGCGCTTATCGCACTTTCGTGCATGGCCAAGGACGATGATGCTGCACGCGAACGCACGAATGCACTGATAAACCACGCCCGAGGTTTCGAAGCGAAGAGTCCTCTTGTGCAACGAGACAAGGCGGTTTCACCCCTGGTATTACGTGTCTTGTGGTAGTACTTGGTTTTCGACGAGCAGGCGACGCGCCGTAACAGTATGGAAAAAGTTCAGAAGAGGTGGCAAGGCGGCCACAGCATCGATAACGAGTGAAGTATCGAGAAATATCACCTGGAGATGCTAAGCAAATGACTAGTCAGCAGCGATTCAAGATGACATTGGCCTGTGGTGAATGAAACGGCATATGCATCTGCCTATTTGGATCACTGCCCCGCTGCGAAATGATCACAGAGGAAGCCGATAAGAGGACTTCTGTGCCGCTCTCTCGTGCTTTCGACTCGAGGTTAACCATACACACAAACCCATCCAGGAATCAGGAGGTGTGAGAGAAGTGTCGAGAGTGGGAGAGGGGTATGTCATGAGTGAGAGATGGGTATGTCATGAGTGACAAAGTGAGATCAACGTGGAAGACTAAAGTACCAAGTAGTGGCGATTCCACCTAAGGGCAGGCCTTTCGATTCAGGCCGGGGGATCGGGCCGCCAGCCTCCTCCCAGGGCAATCCCAGGGGGTATATTTCATAGTTGCCAACTCAGTACCTCAAGCTTACCATCTACATTGAAAGATGCCAGTCAAACAGGTTTCTGGGCGAGTCACTTTGACTCATGCAAAGGTCTGTGATGGACTAGACCCAAAGCAGACAGCACTGATCACTGATTATCCTGATTCTCGAACAGGGCTCCTCTGTGGAACTACTTCTGTACGGTGCGACAGTCATTTCATGGAAATCTGGAACCATCACCAAACCTCAACCAATTGAGCGGCTATTCGTCTCATCTAAAGCCGCCCTCGATGGCTCAAAGCCCGTGCGGGGAGGCATCCCGGTTATATTCCCTTGCTTTGGAGCTCCTACTCACCCAGAGCACATGGGACTTCCCCAGCATGGTTTCGCTAGAAATCAAGTGTGGACATTCGATAGCATTGTGATGGACAATGATGCGGGCGTATCGGTGCGGCTCAGTAAGTGTGGCTCCACAGGATTTGTTTCGTTTGATATATTTTCTCCCAGCGCTTGAGCCAACTGCGGGTATCACAGCAAAATATGACAAACCATTCCATCTGGCTTATGTCGTTACCCTAGCTGAGCATCAGATTAGTACTGATCTCCACGTCACAAATACGTCGACCTCCACGGCTTACCCACCGGACAACCTCGAATTCCAGGCTTTGTTCCACAACTATATTAGGGCCCCTGCGAATGACGTCCTTGTTTTCCCATTGCAAAACAAGAGTTATTATGACAAGACGGAGCTGTCTGAAGAAGCCAAAAGCAAACCGAAGGTTGAGACCAGAGCAGGAGTTGACGTTCGTCAGTTCACCGACTCTGTGTACGAAGATGCAGGGGGGAAATACGAAGTCACATGGCCAGGAGGTGGCGTAGAGATCACAGCCCGGGAGCTAAGTGATGTTGTTGTCTGGAACCCTCAGCAGGCCGCAGGTGCGAAGATGGGAGACATGGAAGACGGCGGATGGTGAGCACTTGTAGTGGGCTATGCACTTGGATTCTAACATTCTGCAGGGAAAGGTATGTTTGTGTTGAGCCAGGTTATGTGAGGGGATTCGCGAAGATAGAGCCAGGCAAGACATGGGTTGGGCAGCAAGTTATATCTGTCATTCACCACGAAAGGAGGATCAATCAGTTGTGATTAGCCCTGAGGAATCGCATACTTACTCAATGCCGCTAGACCACTGAGAGAAAGATATTTAGATTTTGCCAGTAGTAAGTAGTTAGAGTAAAGCTGGCATGTGTTGGAACTTGGTAGTGCATGTGACAAACTTCAAAGTTTCCACGTGACATGCGCGTCCGATAGTCATGACGTTGTTGAACGTTGAACGTTCAAAGTGACTCTGCCCTCAAGCTCACTGCAGTCAATGAGCAACATTAGATCTTCCACGCTCCTTATATTGTATAACAATTAGTATCATGGAGCAGGAGGCTACACTTCGAGTACTCATCAATCAAATTGACTACACTGTGGCCTCCCCTGGCGCTCTCGACAACACATCTCTCCCTCGAGTGCCTGTGATACGTATTTATGGGGCGTCGTCTAAAGGAAAGAAAGCATGTGTGCATGTGCATCAAGTGTACCCTTACTTTTTTGTCGAGTATGGGGGTAAATTGAGTCCCGACAATGGTGTGTGGATTCAGTTTCATTATGCTCTCGAGCTGACTCCAGTCAGTGAACCAGTACATCGCAAAGTTATCTCGTTCTTTGAACCATGCTATCGCCATCTCGATGAAGCGCAATCCACACTCGCGCAACTCACAGTTTGTTCGGGGTGTGATTCTCGTCAAAGGCGTTCACTTCTATGGATTCCACTCGTCATATACGCCGTTCTTGAAGATTCTTATCGCGGACCCCGCATTTGTCAACCGTGCTGTCACTATATTGCAGTCTGGAACTGTTATGCGAACACGCTTTCGCGTTTACGAAAGCCATTTGAGCTACATCCTACAATTCATGTGCGATTTTGGCCTCTATGGATGTGGTTGGATCAATCTCGCGGAAGTCTGGCAGCGAGGACATGAAGAAAATGACATTGAGATGATGGAGCCATCAATGTTCGACGTATCATCATACTTTCGCCAATCCCGCATGCCGCTGGAGGTTGATGTCGCTGCTCATCAAATTCTGAACCGCCGTCTCCTGTCCGCACGCAACATCCACCACACACTGGAAATACCTTCACCGCCTTTACCTTCTGAACCGTTTGTCCTGAGTGTCCGTGAACTGTGGGATGATGAAAGACGTCGAAGGCTTGCCAAGGGCCTCCCTCCAACTCCCGTTCTTCCTATTGATTCAAGCAAGATGTCGAGAGGCCGCGGGAACGAGTGGGTTGCGGAAGCGAGGTGGTGGGAGGAACTCAGAAAACGCATTGAAAAGGAACGAGATCCCGAGCCCACTTTCACAGGCGGTGCGGAACTTTGGGAGAAATGGGTGATGACCACTTTTGAGAGCGTGGAAGCCCTCTGGGAGGCTGAGTGGAGAACTTGGAAGCCAGCTCGTAAAGAAGCTACTGGTCATAATGGACAGAGCGCTCATGGTTTGGAAGCCGAGGACCAGGAGAATCCTTTTGCGCAAGCTACGCAAGATGGGTCTTCGATAAACCGGAAAGGACCACCGCAAAGTACGGATGTCGATGTCGACGAGATGTTGCTTTCCACGCAGGAGATGAGCCAGATGATGGACCGCGAAGACCAAGAATGGGCGGACTTGCAGGCGGGAGACAGCATTGCAGAGCCTGACGCTGCCGCAGATGATCCGTTGACTGAAGATGGGCCTCCTCCAGACTTTGGGATAGACGCGCCCAGTCCCTCTGGTGAGGTCGAAGATCCCACTGGTACTGATGGGGACGAAAGGTTTAGTTTTTTATTTGGCCTTACTCTTGTACTCATGCCTCCCTCAGCAGACTCAGCTCTCCTTCGCCAGGCCTTTGCCGAACAAATTCATTCCGCCACTTATGGCACAATCTGGCAATGTAGGCAACGTCTTCTTTTGAAAGCCATCATTAATGAAGTAAGAACAGCCGTAAGCGAGCGAGGAGTCTTTCAGCATCTTCAGACCTCCCAGCAACTCCTACCAAGTGAGCACGATTACTTTCATGGAAGGGTCTTTCATTCGTGCATAATTAGGAGAACGCGGTACACGAGTCACGAGGCCGCCCACCATGCGACTACGCCAATAATGTAATTGTTGAAGTTAGCGCATCGAATATTATTGAACAGTTTCAAACAGGAATGCGCTACCATCAATAGTTTCTACAAAGCCCCTAACACAGCGGGAATCATCCCCTGACTTATCTGATTCATCCGATAATAGTGCCGGGCGCGATTTTGAGGAGAACCTGTTCCAACCTCGAGATGAACAGTCGATTGATGTATCGGGAACGCCGAAGAGTTTACAGGACTCCATGAGCCATCAGGTTGAATCGTCTGTGCTGCGCACCAATGCAGTTGTGGGGTTGGTCTCGCGAAACTTTACAAATCGTTCAACGCTAATAGAAACAAGAGATTTACGACGACACAACTCCGTTCAGCGGAATGAAAGTTCTTTGCAGCTGACCTTGCCAAGAGCTTCATTTTCAAGCCATGTACCACCTACTTCAAGCCCAACTACTGCATTCACATTCGTTGTACCACCGCCATCCTCCTCTGAACTTTTCAGGACCATTGAGACATATGGTGTCCCTCGGAGGGTTTACCGTGATCCTTATTACTCCAAGCGCGCAGATGCTCCAGAGCACCCAAGAGAATATGCGGGTCTACTATATCACCTCAAAGGTGGAGAGGGACTAGACACCCTGGACCATTGGAAGTCTCATGGAAGTCAGTTTCACACGGGAAGAGCTGTGCGTCCTGTGAAGGGCACATATATGTCGTGGGGATGGGAGTATGCTGCCCTACCTCCGAGCAAGACTCGAGTGATAAAATGGCTGAAAGAAAACCCAGCTCGGTTGACCGCGAAGGCCAAGATGCACTCTCAGGTAAGCTGAGTATGCTATGTCTAACCAACACATCAAGAAAGGGCATTTAGATTGAGGGCGGTACCCAAATGAATCCCTATGGCGTGAAATCAATGCCACATGTTCGATCTGACTCCAACACCAGAGTAGCCCAGCACATGTCCTTGTTTTCCCTGGAAGTATTTGGTGAGCACCGAATTGACTGTTTGCCATCCGCTCACTTTCGTTGCTAGCTCCTTCGCAGGGTAACAAAGTACCTGACGCAAATGTTGATGGGATTGTTGCAATCTTCTTTGCTCTCGGGGATGATGATATTCATTCAGTGTTTCACGAACGAGGCATCCTGGCGGTCAAGAATGCACAACTGGATCCTCGTCGGATACGCGGTTTCCCGTTGGAGATTGTCGCTGACGAACTGGAGTTACTCAATCGGATCGTTGACATTGTAGTCGAGTTCGATCCAGATATAATCGTCGGTTGGGACGTTCAATCAGCATCTTGGGGCTATCTCAATGCTCGAGGAAATCACTATGGTTCGTGCAAGGTCTTTAACAGTTTTTGGTAGTTAATACTCGTGAAGGGTTTGACATCGGCGAGCTTATATCTCGAGCCCCTAGCAAGGATCCTGCTGCAAGAAACGATCTATGGAGTCAGAGGACAACTACCACGTTCAAGGTCACTGGTCGCCATGTGTTCAACGTCTGGAGAATCATGCGAGTTGAACAGACACTTTCCATTTATTCTTTCGAAAATGTAGCCTTCCAGTTACTGCGTAGAAGGTATGCCGACCAATCCATCATCATTATTTTTCCACTCATCTACACAGGGTCCCTCGTTATATTCCCGAGGTCCTAACAACTTGGTATAACAGTACAGATCCTGTACACACTTCCCGCGTCCTCCGCTACTTCCTTGAACGGACGATCATGACGCTGGAAATCCTCCAAGAAGCCGAAACAACTACAAAAAATGCGTGAGTCCTTGATGAAATTCTATTCAAATCCTTTTATACAGTGTCACCAGAGAGTTTGCACGCGTCTTTGGAGTCGACTTCTACTCTGTAATCAGTAGAGGCTCACAATTTAAAGTGGAGTCATTCATGTTCCGCATCGCGAAGCCGGAGAGCTTCGTTCTCCTGTCTCCTAGCAAACAGGATGTGAGCTCGAATTATGCCATTCGAAATCAGTTAACACTGTCTCCTAGGTTGGAAAACAAAATGCTGCAGAATGCATGCCTCTCATCATGGAACCCCTTTCCGCCTTTTACAATGGACCCCTCGTCGTGCTCGACTTCCAATCACTATATCCATCGATTATGATCGCTTACAATTATTGCTACTCAACCTGCCTCGGCAGAATAATGGACTTCCAGGGCCGTAACAAGTTTGGTGTCGTGGACCTCCAAAGACCACGTGGACTCCTGGAAAAGCTGCAAGACCATATCACAGGCTAGTTATTCTTTTTGTGGGCTTTCGTCCTTGTTTTTTGAGCTCTCGGCTATAGTTGCGCCGAATGGTATTATGTACGTGAAGCCTGAAGTGAGGAAGGGTTTACTTTCTCGCATGCTCACGGAGCTGTTGGACACCCGAGTAATGGTCAAACAGGCGATGAAAGTTTCGAAAACTGATGAGGTAATGCGTATTCGCCAATCGTCTGACTTCAATAACCATGGTCACACAGGCGCTCAGTCGAGTTCTGGACGCACGCCAGCTCAGTCTAAAATATATCGCTAATGTCACCTATGGATATACGAGCGCCACATACTCTGGCCGCATGCCTGCTGTTGAAATTGCAGACAGTATTGTACAAAGCGGCAGGGAAACCTTAGAAAAGGTTAGTATTTTAGCTACGTGGTTTCGCACGAGCCTGACAGTAGAGTCAGGCTATAGAAGTCATCGACAGCACTTCTAAATGGGGAGCTAGAGTTGTTTACGGGGACACGGACTCACTTTTCATATACCTTCAAGGAAAGACAAAGGAACAGGCTTTCCACATTGGCTATGATATTGCGGATACGGTTACGGCGATGAACCCAGCACCCATCAAACTGAAATTTGAAAAGGTCTATACATTCTGAAATGAATGAATCGACTACTAATGTTTGGACTAGGTGTATTTGCCATGTGTATTGATGGCGAAGAAAAGATATGTTGGATTCAAATTTGAGAATCCAGACGAAACTGCTCCGGCATTCGATGCGAAGGGGATTGAAACTGTCCGTCGTGACGGGGTACCTGCGCAGTCAAAAATGACAGAAACTTGTTTGAAGTGAGTAGGGTTTCGTATTCTACGACATGAAAGCTTAAGTTTGTGGCAAGAATCTTGTTCCGTACCCAAGATCTTAGTCAAGTGAAGGACTATTGCTACGAGTCATGGACGAAAATTCTTCAAAACCAAGCGTCAATACAAGATTTTGTATTTGCAAAAGAAGTCAAAATGGGAACATACTCGTACGCGAAAGTCTATTGATGCGTTATATGTACTGAAACAAATTTACATCAGTGAAAAGGCACCACCTCCGCCTGGTGTAGCTGTCGCCGCTCGAAGGATGATGGAAGACGAGAACGACGAGGTTCAATATGGCGACCGAATTCCATATGTGATCATAAGAGGTGAACCCCAGACGCGGCTTGTGGACAGGGCGGTGTCCCCGGAAAAATTATTACAGAATAAGTGCGCCTTTTATCCTTGCTCTTGTCGTGGAACTGCTAATATCCGCCATCCAGGCACATGCAATTAGATGCTTCGTATTACATATCCCGCGTTCTGATCCCACCACTCGAACGTGTTTTCAACTTGGTGGGTGCTGACGTTAGAGCTTGGTTTGACGATATGCCGAAAGCCATCCGAGTCAATCATCCAAATCCTCTTGCGATGTCTCCCAAAAAACAGAGGATCACAGCAACTCGATTCAAGATAGATGAACATTTTCAGAGTTCCCAGTGTCTTGCATGCGGCGGCTTGTCTTCAGACGGTAGGCCCACGTATGTTATCGTCTCTCTTCAAAATCAAACGATTTCATGACAGGAATCTGTGAAATCTGTCGGAGAACACCCCAGGAAACAATGCCTACCCTCCTTGAACAGATACGAAAAGGAGAAGCCCGGCTCCTGGACGCACATCGGGTGTGCGCGTCATGTGCATCCACTGCAAATGCCGAGCCAAACGAATGCATTAACATTGACTGCCCGTGGTTGTTTGATCGAAAAAAAGCAGAAAGAAGGACGGAGTTTCTTGAGGGGCTAGAAGGAATCATGGAGGATCTTGAAATTTTAGAGGATCACTATGAAGGTACACCAGACTGAGACATATGTCCTTACTCGCGCTATGCTCATAGTTAAAATGTCCTTTTCGCCTATTGTCGGTTTTTTTAGTATTGCCAGGCTCCAGCTGAGTCTTCAGTATACAATCTTTCAATCTTTCAAAGGCTGTGCTTACTTTAAGAGTGGGTCACGGACGCGAAGGTACGGTCATGTGACGTACGCGTCCCACGTTTGTTGATGCATTGTTTGGTGCTGGCTTTAGTGGGCTAGTAGCTAGCCGAACCACCACTGCCGCGAAACGAGACTTGCACCAGCTGCAAACGCGAAGGTAATATGGCGCTTCCGACTCCCGGGATCGTGGCATGGACGACTTCTATTCGTACATCTATGGCAAAGGATTCATGTCGGCAATTATTCGAGGACCAAGTTCAAACTCACGGCTTCATCTTCCTAGACGATTACCTCGAGAATATCTTGGCTGGTCCAAAGCAGGAGTGCGTGAACTGATTTATCCTTTTATCTATTCTGAACATCTGTAGACCCATCATCGAGTTCGTCAAAACACCCGCTCGAAAGAAGGCGGCGCCCAAGCGAACCAGAGCAGCCACTTCAGCAGCGGCAAAGGCGCAAAACTCCATTCTTTTGTCCCTCGAGGTATTATATCTCTTTTAGGACTGATATATTGAGAGTGATGTCTGTTCTGCAGGAGGAGGACATAAGCAAAGAGAACCAGCCACCTGTCAACAGCTTTCATAAAGCCCTTCTTCACGCCAAGCAAACTGCAGAGTCCATGGGTTCTCATGCAGACAGCGACTGCACTGAACCAATCTCTCCGCAGCCTAAGCCCGCGGGCACAACTGTAGGCGAGCACGTCAGACATGACCTTGATCTAGTAGAGGATGATTTGGCACCAGAGGTAGAGAACACGACGGTATCACTCGATACCTTCCACTCTATTCCCCTTGACTCGCCGAAACCTACCCGCGCTCAAAAGACACACACTGGGAATCACACTCAACCACTTCCTCAAATATCATCAGCCAGCCCTACGATCGCTCATGCCAGGGATGCATTGACTGCTCCGCTACCCCTTTTGCCTGCGTCCAGTTTCGCCCCTGCGTTAACTACTATGGCGGTGCCACTTAATGACTCACCGTCTCGAACTCTTGCGCACAAAAGCAGCGCATCGCAGTTTCCAACACTTCGCGCTCCATCCCCGCTACGTAAGTCAATGCGTGTCGCAATAGAACCATCTACGGGCGCTGGGATTCTTGCGCCAGCTGTTGCTGCACCAACACAACCTCCCGCATTGGGCAAACGTACATCGTGGCTAATGAAGGCCAGAGAGGTGAAAGCCATGGAAAACATCGTCCATAGCAAGACAAGCATTCTCGGCCCGGGTGTTGGTACAATGAATCCCTCTGTGAACACTGTTGCTCCCTTGAAGCGGAAGAGTGGTGACATGCTTGCTGCTGCACCTTTGACTTTAGACAAGACCGACGAGGGACGTAGAGCGAAGGTGGCTAAGGCCTCCGAGTTTGATTCCGCTCCACAAAATTCGAAGGACCCACCCGCTCTGAACCAGGAGACAGCCATGCTGACTCAAGCTCCTTCCTTCGCTCTGGCACCAACTAGAGCTGTGCATCTCCCTGAGGAGCACTGGGAACCCCTGAACGACAAGGAGGATGAGGCTAGTTTTATCGGAGTGTTTAAACGTACAGTTGAAGGTCTTGGTGCCCGTGCGGGAAAAAGCATGGGGAAATCCCTTGGTGGGGGTGCGGCAGCCGCCGCGCTTGCTGAAGCTCGTGCTGCCGCAGAAGCAAGAGTAGCGGAGAGGAACAAGATCACTGAAGAAGAGCTCACGGAGTCAGAGGACTCTTCCGCGCCATGCACTGAAGAACTCCAACCGGCAGCTGAAGATGTTTACTCAAGAAAATCAGAACGCAGACTCAGTCTCTCCGACATTGTCTCTACTAATGAGAACCCGCTAGCTATTCAGTCTTCGTCTGCGGCGGATGAGAGCATCTCAACTACCCCACCCAACTCCCCACCTCCCACTCGTGCTTCTGGCTCCAGCTTCGTTCCCCCTCCTGGTCCAGTGTTTAACAGGCAACCTCCTCAGGTGTTCATGCCTCCCATCTCGAAGCAGATTGCACCCCTCACCAAAGAATTCTCTTTCAATTTGCCAATAACAACTTTTACGCTTCCTCCGCCAATATCTTTGGGTCTACCGGCAAGACTTACATCGCCTCCGTCTTCCTCTCGTCCCCCTCCGCATGCAAGCGGTACACAGCAATCCTCACAAGCAAGCACATTGTCAGACGCTGTCTTTGATCGAGTGGAGGATGTTCCAGCCTGGATGCCCTCTTCTCAAGACACCGAATACACAGACGGTACAGAGTCCCAGATTCATCGGGCGAAATTCGCTACACTTGAAGATGACGATGATGATAGTTGGCCCCTCGAGGAGAAGTTGGCCGCAAGCGAACAGGGATGGACTCCTTTCAACTTCAATAACAAGGAGGACAGCATGACATGGAGTACACTTCCTACTGAATCTCAGGGACCTACCAGGACCAGAGGTGATCTGACCGGCAATTCAGCGAAGAACGCTGTCCAGCAAGATGCAATCCCCGGCGCCTTCGCCATGGATATAGATAGTGACGTTGTTAAGGTCCAGGACAATGGAGTCGATACCCTCGAACCAGAAACCGACCATGAATCAGTTATGTATACGAGCGATCTGAGCGATGTCATCAAGGCTGGCCAGTCCACTGTTACTCTTATTGAGGTATGTACGCTTTTGATCGTCAGTATTCTTGATACTTAAACTAGTAACAGCCGAAGTCTGGTGACATTCCGCGGAGCGAGAGCCAGTTATCTATGGCTTCGACGTCTTCGTCTTCGCAGCAGTCACAGATTGGATTCTTCGGTCAGGCCACAAAACTCGTCAATAGCATGCTTGGCACGGGAAAAAAGGTCAAGCCAGAGGTCAAGAGCCTTCAGCTTGCAGCTGCTGCTGCAAAGAAGGTATATTATTCAGTCTTACTTTGAGTGTTTCGTGGGACTCAAGTATTATGTAGCAAGAAGAAGAAGCCCACAAAAAGGCCGCCCGTCTCAAGGAGATGGAAGCGAGGCGCCAGGCAGCGCTTGCTCGCAAGGCAGACGAAGAGAGGTCACGCGCTGCCGAGGAGAAGAAGATCAAGGAGGAATCCGAGAAGCGTAAACGTGAGCGCGATGAGACCACGGAAAAGCGGCCTCTCAAGACCACTGCTGTGCCTAAGAAGGCGGAGGACGACGCGACGAAGAAGCGGAAGATCACTGTCGACGATAAGAAACTCGAAGTCAAAAAGCCACCTTCAAAAGACAAGAAGGATGCCCCTCCTCCTCCCAAGTTGGCGAAATCCAGTTTGGCTACTCCTGCAACAAAAATTGCTTCTGCTTCCAAGAACCTTAAGGTCCCCGCATCGTCTGCACTTGTGTCTTCTGCGACCTACAATGCCTCACAGAATGCCGCTGGGTCATCCACAGTTAAATCCGCAGCTACCGAAGTGAAATCAAGCAAAGTTGGTCCTCCCAAGGGAAAAGCCAAAGCTGTACCACAGGAGAACGAAGATAAACTTCCCTCCGCCGTGGTGCAGAATCAGATGGCAGCGCGTGCAATGGCCCAGCTACGGGCAGCTAAGCAGCAGCCACCTGAAATTGCTAGCGAGAGTATTGAGCTTCCTGACATCAACAGTGAATACTCAGACTCGGAAGATGAAGATCGGGTACGAACGTTTGATCCTCCTGATTGGGCTCAGTCGCCGGAGCTCCGACAGGCATTGCAAATGCAAAGCACAGTCGACCCGGATGACATATTCGGAGCGATACGGCCCCTGCGGATGGAGGAACTGTTCAGGACGAGGCAGAGTCGGTTTAGAGCACGGACGAGTTCGGCAAATTGGTCAGGTTCGGACAGACTGACGGTTGAAGAGGAACGAGAGTATGCCCGTCGCATGGGTTTTACCAAACATGCCTGACCTGATTTGCCTCTACTTTTTAACTAAACGTACATGTACAACAAATTCTTATTTTGCTGGTGAGCATCGCTTCAAAAATGGATGAGTATGATGAAACTTGGCTTGAATTCGACAGTCAAGAGACAAGTACAAACGTATGAGCACAGACGAGGCCAGCTGATATATCTGGTTAGGATGAGAATGGAGCTACAAAACTACACGGGGTATTGCGACAAGACCAACGATGACACCGGAACTAGTACTGTAGATTCAAGTATGAGGGAGTGACGAAGAGAAAGATGGCGAGAGTGGGCAAACGGATGATAGCAATTATTGTACTGCAGCAGCAAAACGTAATGAACGACGAGAATGACGATGGTTCACGTCAAAATCATTGAAACCCGCAGTAAAAAGGGACAAAAAGAAAAAAAGATGATTCAAAAGTAAAAGACCACAGGTAAGGAATAAGTGCAGGAGAAAGGGCGGAGTAGTGCCAAAAAGAGGAGCGTGCGCGCAGCATATACATTATGGCGTTGATGACAAGCAAAATATATGATGCAGGGTGGGGTTATAGCAGAGATATAGGGGTGTAATCATCTATAGCCAGCATTAACGGGGGCTTGCACCGGTGCAGGTTTATTACCGTTTAGGAGTGAAAGTAGCTGAGCGCTGTTGGTAACAGGGGTCCGCGAAGGGATTGGCAATGGGTGGAAAGTTGTCTGTAAAGCGTGGGCAGACGGTGGGATAACAGATAATCGAGCAGGTGGGACTTGAGCACTGACTGGGAGCATCGCAGTTGAGAGACCAGTTACCATATGGGGACCCGCAGCCTGATGAGCGGGGGGGAAGTGTGCTGAAGGATGTGGTTGATAATGATGGGCAGGAAGGTAGCCTTGTAAGTAGGAGGGATGTGGATGAGAAGTGTGAGGCATTCCAACAGGAAGGGGTGGTGGCCCAGTCAGCAGCGACAACAACTGATTTTGCTGGGTATTCCGAGGGGAATAGTCATGGGTAACAAACTGACTAGAGCGTGGTCTCACTTGAAAAACGTCGTCAACAAGCGGCGGCTCAGAGTATGCGGTGCTGGCGTGGTGAGAAGTAGATGGAAGATGATATCCGGCTGGCATCGAGGGAGTATAACCGAATAGTGGGCGAAATTCAGCTTGCGGATAGTGCGTAGGTGGTGGAACGGAAGCCGACGGTCCTGGATGACGGACGCCAGATGCATTGCCAAAGTTAGTCATAGTTGGCAACTCCCTACTGGGCAGAGTAGGGGTCATGCGTGAAGACTCGTCAGCCACTGCTTCCAGTAGGGCCAGCTGCCTCAACGTCTTGCCTGAGGCAGGCACCTCCGTAAGGCGCGGAAGGTAGGGCGATATGTCGGCAGTGCTCGAGGTACGTCTTGACGACAACGATACCTTTCGAGAGGAAGTGAAGGATGAAGTGGAAGATGCGGCGGATAATGAAGCGGTCGAAAGGGCTCCTGACGAAGGAGTTCCAGGAACATGGGATGGTGAAGTTGGTAGTATGGATGATTCGACATAGGAAGCCTGCATGCTCGAAGATTGGGGAACTCGAAGGGGATGCGTGGAGGACGATGATACGCTTGAAAGCCTTTGTTTCGGAGGCGAAGAAGATATCACAGGCGTTTCTGAGTGGGCAGAAACACGAGAAGACCAATCGACGATATTCTGCTTCGCCAGTGGGGTCGCGTTGTGAGCGAGCATCGAGAGAGGTGATTTAACGGGCGGGAGAACGAGCTGAGGCTTTGAATCGTCTTGCTTAACAGCTGAGAGCGTCAGAGAACTGAGTAAGCGAGCAAAGTGCGGGTCCATGTGTTCAGCATCGACAACTTGCCCGTCATCTGACTCGTGGGTAGCTACGCAACGGCCGGTCGCAGGAAGTGCCTCGCTGTACTGGGGAGACGGCGTCTGAGGTTCGCCATTGTCTGCCGAGGATGAACTAGATTCATGTGTTCCATTATCCGTACTTGTGTATCCTCCAGTCTTTCGCGCTCGCCCCTCCATCGCTCGAGGCTTGTTGGCAGTGACGAATGCCTTCAAAGATCTACTCGAAGTTCACAATCATTGTTATACACAAGGTATAAAGGAGACTCACGCGATGAAGGGAGAAATTAAATAAAATTTTCCCGGTGCTGCTTTGTTCCGCCTCCAGGTTGGAAGATCAGTTAACTTGAACCACTCGATCCGCTACGAAAAAAAGTTACGACAAGAAAGGGGGGGCGCAACCAAATGAACGTACACTTATCTCCTTGCGGGTCCGAGTTTTAAAAGGAAAGTCTTCCGGGACACCGGGTACCACGAAGAGAGAGATCCGTTGCTCCTTGATCGACATTTCAATTACGTTTGCAGGATTCAGCTGACCTGCCAGATTATAACCAGTCTCCTCAAGTACCTAGCGGAGTGTTTCAGGTCGCCGGACAGAAATTGTGGACAACACGACGCACTTCTCGAATAGCACATTCATGGGTAGGCTCGCTCTCGTTTATCTTACCCTTTGGAAACCCCCAACCAGAAGACGACTTCCACCCCTTAACAAGGATACACTAAAGAAATCAGAGTAAGCTAGGTTTCATTCCTGAGCACGGAGAGGACACACCTTTTCCCATGTATCGTTTAACATAATAGCACCGCATACAGGGACTCTAGTCTTGTACTGCATGAAGGTATTGAAGGCTTGTTCATGATCGTGACTCCACTGGTGTAACAGAGGACAAGCTTGGAAAAGCATTGCGGAGAACTTCTTCAGCGGTAGCGATGGAAATTTGGGATTTTGTTCCCGAATGAAGTCTTCATAGAACCAATGCCTATGAGAAAAATATGAGCCGAAAGTGAATCGCAAGCACTGCGGTGAGCTTACGCTTGCTCCACCTGGAAACATATCCGCTCAAGAGACGAGAGTTCTTCCTCTGGGAGATTTAAAAGAAAGCGACTTTTTGGCGTAAGAAGAAGTTGAAATATAGGTAAAATTGAATATACCTGGACAGATCTTCAAGGACCTCCTCATGCGTTGCAAGTTTATAGGAAAAGCGTTCAGCGGAGTCTACTGGAGGAGCAGGATGCATTTCTGGTGATGAGGACGAGGAAGAAGTCATGTTTAAGAGAAAGAAAAAGAAAAGAAATAAGTAAGGAGAGTCAGGCGGCCAGTGTTGGAATTGGATCGTTGTATACACAGTTTGGATGGAAAGACGATTGATGGACTTGTTGTTAGCAGGAGTGATAGCGTATGATTCCACGTAACAAACACGACACAACACATATCCTTTGTCACGCACTGGCTTGCTCATCCCCCCCTAGCATGCGTGACTTTGTACACCACTTTTACTTTGACCCGGTCACTAAGAAGCTCATCGATGAGGCAGTTGCATTCAATAACCAAGCCCACGTCCTCTCTAGACAAGGCGATTACGCCGGTTCAGAGCGTCTTCACCTGCGTGCACTCGATATTAAACTCAGCGCAGTTGGTGAGAATGACGTTACTGCTGTCACCCGCAATGAACTCGGAGAAGTCTACATCAAGATGGGCAGAATTGCGGATGCTGAAGAGCAGCTCAGGAAGGCTGTTTCTGTCCGCTTGAGGACAGGGCCTGCATATGATGCTGCAGTCTCTCTCGAGAATCTTGGTCAGGTTTACGAAGCAAAGGGTAACTTTGAGGAAGCGAGGAAGGTGAGACGGTCCCACCCTGGAAACATTATGGTCTGCGGAAACAATAAGGTAGGTACCACTGTCTCATCTTCATGACACCCGCTAATAGTGTTGCTAGTGTCCTGGTAAGACGTTTCATCAGAGCCAGCTTTTAGCTTGTTCTGGATGCAAGGTGCGTAACGTCAGGTCGTATATATGACTGAAGAACTGAGTTTTTTTTAGTCCGCCTTCTATTGTGGAAAAGCCTGTCAGGTGAGCTTTCGAAATTAATATTACCACCATAATACTTAACAAATCTCAGGCCAAGGACTGGCGCGCTCGCCACAAAAAGCTCTGCAAAGCGTACACAAATACAGACCACTGATTTCCCTCGAGACTTGATAATCTTGTGAGGAGATTTACCAGCTTTCATTCCGTTTCTATGAGGTAAAATGTGTTTTTGCACAGCTGTCGCAACGGTACAGCAGGCATTTAATCTAGTGAAGTACATGTATCACAGTGGCCCAGGTGTCCATATAATACGATCGAATAACTTAGGTTCTGATATACTTGAACTTTGCTTGCAAGGTTCCCCATCAATTGAAGTTGTTGATAAAACCACGTGGTTAACCCCTGACAAATCAAGCTGAATAACGTGTTCAACTCGAAATTTCTAGACCTCGTCTCAGTACCTCTACCATCCCATAGTACTCATTGTATCGCCTTAACATGTCTGACTTCGCAATGCACGTGCATTCCGACCCGGTTTCTGGGATGGTCGTTTCACAGGCGGCTATGATAAACAATCAAGCCCTTAGCCTCTCTAGACAAGGCGATTATGCCGGTTCAGAGGATCTCCACCTGCAAGCACTTGATCTTAAACTCAGTGCAGTTGGTGAGAATGACCCGATGACTGCCATAAGCCGCAATGCACTCGGAGAACTCTACCTCAAGATGGGCAGAATCACGGATGCTGAAGAGCAGCTCAGGAAGGCTATTTCTGTCCGCATGAAGATAGGGCCTGCATATGATGCAGCAGTCTCTCTCGAGAATCTTGGTCAGGTGCACGAAGCAAAGGGTGACCTTGAGGAAGCGAGGAGGGTAAGACTATCCCATCCTGCAGACATTATGGTCTGCGGAAACTATGACGTAGGTGGCTGTAATCGGTACATTTTTATGATGTTTGCTAATCGCACTGTCAGTGTCCTGGTCAGACGTTTGATCGGAGCCAACTTTTAGCTTGTTCTGGATGCAAGGTGCGCAACTTCGGGCTGAATAGAAGCACGGTAGAACTGAGTGTTTGTCCCATAGTCCGCCTTCTACTGTGGAAGAGCCTGTCAGGTGAGCTGCGAAATTAATATCGCCTCCCACGTACTTTATACTTAACAATGCTCAGGCGAAGGATTGGCGCGCTCGCCACAAGACATTCTGCAAAAAATGTTCATGATCACCGATCATCGATCATCCTCGCAACTTGATGTTTTGCGTCTCGTGGTACTTTGAGGAGACTTGCCACTGCAGCTCTCCTCCCGTTTGAATGAGGTAAATATGTTTTTGCACTTTTGTCCAATGGCACGGCAGGGATATGAAGTACAGTGGTCCGGCTGTCCATGCTCAGCCCTGAGTCACTTCGATCAAACTTGTAATATGTATGCAATGATTATACAAGAAATCCTGTTTCGCTATTCCCTCCGTAGGCCCCCAAGAACTGCGTCTATCAAGCTCAAGTTCCGCAAGCCTGTCCTGCACAGCCGATGATCCTTATCGTCACGCGGTCACAGGATCTGTTACGCTGATTTTTCTTTTGACACGTGATAACTGAGGCTCCAGCAGATTTTTTTTGACTTTGCTTTTCTAATTTCTTTCTTACAATCTATGGATATCTCTCTCTTGTAAATTAATATCATGTTGAACGGAACTGGAGTCAAAATCTTCACTGGTTCGTCCTTGGATTCTGATTTTATCGACCTTCTCTTATGGAGTGACACTTGCCCTGACAGGCACGAGCCATCCTGAGTTGGCGGAAATCGTTGCTCGACGGTAAATACAAATGAACTCGCGCGCTGTTCACCCATGCATTACCATTGCTCTCTAGCCTTGGTCTACCTCTTGCAAAAGCTGATGTGACCAAGAGCGGCATTGGCGAGACAAGTGTCCGCATCGCAGAGAGCGTTCGGGAGAATGACGTGTACATTATCAATACTGGCTGCGGGGCGGTCAACACATCCCTCATGGAGCTTTGCATCATGATCCATGCCTGCAAGATTGCAAGTGCAAAACGCATAACGGCCGTCGTCCCCCTTTTCCCATACGCCCGGCAAGACAAGAAGGACAAAAGCCGCGCTCCCATCACGGCGAAACTCGTAGCGAACATGATTCAAAAAGCAGGTTGTGATCACGTCATTGTAAGTGTCCGACCTGCTTCGAGGAACATCGGGGCACCGCCCCGGTGCTTGCGTTGTTCTGACCGCCCTCTGTCAACCCAATGCATCGATGCGCTGATAACTTGGATATAGACCATGGACCTCCATGCATCACAAATCCAAGGATTCTTTGATGTGCCAGTAGATAAGTAAGTCTAGCGCTTGACCCTGTTTCCCAGTGGGTCACTTATATTTGTCCACTTTCGTCGTGCGCAGCGTAAGTGCTGTGGCGTTTCGTAGATTGGGCAATTGACACCTGCGGCCACTCGCAGCTTTTCGCCGAGCCATCATCAATCCTGTACATACGCACCCATTTTGATCTTCAAAATGTCGTAATTGTTTCCCCCGATGCGGGCGGCGCCAAGAGGTAACCGCTTACTGATAGGGGATGGATGACAGCGCTCAAATCGTTATATTGCAGGGCGACATCCATTGCAGATCGTTTGGGTGTTGATTTTGCTCTTTTTCACAAGGAGCGGAAGAAGGCCAACTCCGTATCTCGGATGGTGCTCGTTGGGCATGTCAAGGACAAAATTGCCATCCTCGTTGACGACATGGCCGACACTTGCGGAACGCTATGCCTTGCGGCACATCATCTCACAGAAGCAGGTGTAGCCAAGGTTTACGCGATCGTGACACATGGAATATTGAGCGGCGACGCTCTAGAAAATGTTGATAAAAGCAGGCTGGAGAAATTGATCGTGACAAATACGTTACCTCAGAAGGAGAATCAAGCGAAGTGTTCGAAGATCGAAGTTATCGATATCGGACCCGTCCTCGGGGAGGTTATTAGGCGAAGCCATTATGGGGAGAGCGTGTCGAAGCTGTTCCATGAGGTTCCGTACTAGAAGGAGAGGGAATAGGCTTGCGTCTAGACTTGGCTATTATGCTCGGATCAATATCATAGCATCAGATGAAAACAACCAAGTATTTTAGCCAATAGGCATTAATTATGGACAGGTGACTTGCTGTAAGATCAAATTCGTGTGACAAAGTTTTGAAACTAAACTCAATCTATCACTGAATGTGTTTTTTTTTACGGTTAGCGGGACAGAAGAAGTTCCACATTACATAAGTGTGAGATTCAGGAAGGGCGTCACTGGGATCGAGTTGGGCAGTGCCAGTAGGTGGGCATGGATGGGGGAAGACTTGATGTGCCGTTGGGGTGTGAAGAAATGCCACGGCATGGTTCTTAACGAGGGGGGGTCATGGTTGTTGTGCGAGGAATGGGTAATGCCACGGCATGGTTCATAACGAGGGGAGTTGTGCTCGTTGAGGTCGTGGTCGACGTTTGGAGCGACGTCTAGCGACGTGGGATGGTGGTATGGGTTGTGATTGTACGCGGTCAGTTTCGGTTGTTGTAGCACAGCTTTACTCTAGTGTTCCCTAGTCTGGCGATTGAAGATGCTTCTTTGCACCAAACCTCCTCGCTTTACCATTTCCGCTCTCTTGTCTTTACAACTTGTCGGTTTTTTTCGAGTTCCTCTCTGTCCTCGTCTAATTGCCAGCATCTCTGCGCTTTCGGTACATTTATCATCACTTATTATCCTTTTTGTCGTATGTTCCCTTAGCCTCAGCATCCGTGCTGCAATTACGGCCCTCTCGTTAAACTCCCCTTCCCACTTTCCATCCCCAGGCAATGCTCTGCGTATCATGTTCACATCCTCGAATCATGCCCACCAGAGCAATGGTCACTCAAACATACAATACGACTCACAAAACAATCATCACACAAATGGACATACGCTTCACCAGACAAATGGTCACCTTCACCCCACCTCCTTCCCAATCACATAAATCTGCTGCTTCCTCTCAGCCTAAGGAGACAGTCTCCGTCATCGGTATACCCTCCGTCTCTATACAGAACGGAAAACTACAAGTCGGAGACTCACGTTCCAGTCAGTACTCTTTCTCATCTTAATATCTTTCATTCACTGTCTCTCATATTCATCCTTTGACGTAAAGGTTCACATCGCTCATATACGCCCATCAAGACCCTGGGTGACGGTTCTTTTGGAACAGTCTTATTGTGTGATTGGCATGGGACGCTACCGCCCAATACACCACTCTCTCCTATGCAATGCGGTGGCGGCGCTAGACCAGAGTGGGCTGGGAAGCGTCTCGTCGCCGTTAAGAGGATGAAAAAGAAGTGGGAAGGTGGTTGGGACGAATGCAAAAGGCTGAAGGAGCTCGAAGTACGTCAATTCACATTCTTCACTACCTCTAATTCTCACCACTATCTCAGTCATTACGCGCAATACCATTTCACCCTTGCATAATTCCACTCTATGATTTTTTTCTCCTTCCCGATTCCAAGGAGCTCTATTTCGTCTTCGAGTCCATGGAAGGGAATTTATATCATCTGATAAAGGCGCGAAAAGGCCGTACTCTTGCTGGCGGCCTCGTTGCTTCTATTTTTCGCCAGATCGTTTCGGGTTTACACCATATTCATTCTTCGGGTTATTTCCATCGCGATATGAAGCCCGAGAATGTTCTCGTTACGACAACGGGTCTCTTCGAATATCGTTCACTATCTCCGGTAGCTCTCCCCAATCCTCCTACGGAGAAGGATGTCGTTGCGATCATTAAGCTAGCCGATTTTGGGCTTGCAAGGGAAACACTCAGTCCACCACCATACACGGAATACGTCTCCACCCGTTGGTACCGAGCCCCAGAGGTGTTGCTACTCAGTCGAGATTACTCGAATCCAGTGGATATGTGGGCTCTTGGTACGATCATGGCTGAGCTAGTCAACCTTCGACCGTTATTTCCGGGATCCGGTCAAATAGACCAAATACATCGCATATGCGAGGTTCTCGGGGATCCTGCAGACCATGGAACGGATGTCCGCGGTAGATCGATGGGTGGTGGCAAATGGAGCAGAGGTCTCAAGATGGCGAAACAATTTAATTTCGCTTTTCCAAAGGTCGGTTGCTGCAATATTATGTATCTAGTGGATTTTTATTGACATAACATGTCAGAACTCTCCTCGGGAATTTTCTTCATATTTTGACCGCAGTGTCCCTCGCAAACTCATTGATTGTATATCGGACTTACTCAAGTATGATCCTGATAATCGTCTCACGAGTCGACAGTGCCTCGAACATCCATACCTTATTGAGGCTCTACCAGGGAATGTTCCCCCGATGCCTCCAGCTCTTCACACACAAACTCTGCCACCTACGCCATCGAAATCAGTTTCAAACGGCATATATCACATCACTCCATCCGCTTCACCACGCAGCATCCCTCCATCACATTCGCATAACTCCGTCCCGAAATCACCCTACCATCAACCCCCGAGCCTGCACCCGTCTCACATACCCGATGCTTCCTCCTCCCATCGCTCCGCATTTGTCCCCTCCTTCGTTACGTCGACTATTCACACACCTACCTCACACAAAACGCCAGAATATGTCGTTGATCCACGCATACATTCACATTCACATTACTCTTCAGACGTCCCAGAGGAAGTACGCAGTCAAGGAGGCGCGTCGTCGCCTTGGGCTGGCCACGGACGGAGTGACTCCGATCAGATGGAGGTCTCGTCCCCACAGGCTGAGACCCCCGATGCTTACCACGTGGGCCACCCAATGGAGGTTCAATCTTCCCCGATGGTACCGGAGTACCAGACCCGTCCCCGCGTCGAGCCAGACCATCCCATGCCTGCCCACGATGCCGCCCAATCGCCGAGCATTAAACTCAGCAGCAAGCTACACTTCAGCCTTGGCAAGAAACCTTCTAAATGGGGTCTTTCTATGTTTGGGCATGGAGAGAAAGTCCATCAGCAGTCGCTGCCTCCCGTCGACGAAGTACCGGGTGCGTGTTCCAATTCAACGCCGTCGCTCAAGCGCACGCAATCCACGAGCTCGGATAGTCCGTCATTGGCAGAGTTGCAACCTATTAACGGCTCTTCTCGTAAAAATGCCAAAGCTATCAAGAAGGAGGCCGAGCGACAATTACGCGAAGCGGAAAAGCAGCGCCGCGCAATGGCAGAACGGACACAGAGGGAGCAGGCTCGTGCGGTCATGCAGAAGCGCAGCCAGATGTATATGCAAACTACTTCGCGGAACGAGTTGGAGTGGATGTGGCAAACTCATGCCAGTTTGCTAAATTCCAATCAGCGAGGGACGCCCTACGACGAGCTGGAGAAGAGTAAAGTATCTGCTTCTGGTCCCATTCGACAGAAGGAGACCCAAGGAAGTGCGAAGGTGTCATCACCGACGTTGAATGCTGCTTCAGGTCGATATATCAACCCTATTGACGGCACGCTAGCTCCCACCGACCGATGGGGGTTACGGGATGAGCGCTTGTCGAAAGTACGACGCAGAGACTATGATGATGATCACTCCATCTCTTCCTCGGATGTTCACAGCATAAGCCGAATGTCTGCCATCTCGTTCGCTACAGTCGATAGCGACCCTGGCCCGTCTCGGACGCGAAGACCAACGCTGTACGGGATCAACCGAATGACGTCCGCTTCCTCACTACGCACGGGTACGACATCCTTTGATGATTTCCCCACTTCCGCTCGGTCATCAAATTCCATCTCTCTGGATCACCAATTCAATGACTTCTGTATACGTGCCTCTATTGATACCACATCTTCTGCCGCGTCGGGAGCTTCCTCTCCTCCGCCTCTGAATCTCCTTTCCCTATCACCATCACCACGGCCATGGATTCGCACCGATTCTACCAGTCCACAACACTCGTCATATATGGTTCCTCCGATGATACGATATCCTTCGTCTTCTCACAAGTCATATGAATGCAACGGGCAGTTGTATGGTCACCCTCCAAGTCCAGGGATAGATCCGCAATCTGTCATAAATCCGATATTCAAAGTGGTAAGCGCCAAGCTCTAGTGCTACACCTCAAGGCGAGCTGACTTTTTTCTTAGACTCCATTACCAACATCGCCTAGTGATCATTTATCATCACCACATTCTCTCCCCCCGTTCTCTCAACTGGAGGCAGTTGCAGAAGGGGAATACCCTCCATTGTCACCCATGTCCTTTCATTCGCCGGAAGACGACTGATCCTGACATGACCACTCTCCTTTTGGTTTTATTTATCACCCTTGACTAGGTCTTGTGAGGTCAGGAATGTTCAACCAGTGGACATACAAATCATTCATTGCTACACCTGTTCGTTCTTACCCGCCCATGTGCACCCTCTAAACCGTATCTCACCGAACCCAGGAGGTCGATCGGGCACTTCGCCCGGATTCATTGTGACTCTAGTATTCCTCCTGGTATATCTTACCATACTTACCCCATTCTAGTAGCATATTTAGTCTGGTTGGGCGTTGTAGAGCGCCGCTGTACTTTTACCCACATTTGCAACAGGCGGCAATCAGAAACATGCAAAACACTGTCTGACACAGAATGAAATTATCTAAGTGGTCATATGTTGGTTGACAGCTTCGCATGCCCAGCATTCTACTCAGTGATCATGTGGAGCTTGTTCAAAGCGGATGCCGCTGGAAGCCGTGTGAGCTCAAATTCTAGCCAGAAAAGTAGCCACATACCAGTAACTAAAGGTAAAGCATAGACAGTGAAATTGGTTAGTAGCGACACATCAAACCACGACGATGCTTACCCGCATGGCCGAGCACCAGGTTTGTCCTGCAAAAGAATGTCAATTATGGCACTGTATCCAGAAGTATCGATACAAACCAGGTTGATATATATCTTGGGATGACCAAGAGCTCCTCCTCCTGCAATAAATTGTCACGCCGACGCTCGAGTTGGGAAGAAAAGCATCACTCACCACCATCACAAACAGCTTTCCGTCCATGCACGACACGAATAGGCTCACTGTTAACCATCTCCATAGCGCTCAACGGATTGGGCTGGAGTTCGATAACCGTTTGCTCAAAACGTGGACCTGACTGAGCGACCGCGCGCGGCTGCTGGCTAGTTGACCATGTCGTTGGATAGTTTGGTGCTTGGTTCGCGATGGGTGATGGAGACGCAGGAATGGGTGTTACAGAATTTGCGGACGAAGAAGAAGAGCGACTCAGCACCTTCAGCTGAGAGGCGCGATGCACCAGACGACGGCTAAGCATGGTTGCGGACATCGAGATGGCGGTCGAACCCGAAAGCGAGAAATGTGTTGTGGAACCTTTACCAAGAAAGGAAAGTCAGCGCCAATCTTCACAATATGACTCTGAGGAATCCTAAATGCTTTGGCCACAAGCCCGTCATGCGAATTATGCTACAAATGCTTGGGTACGATGATACAGTAGTGTACACGCGAAATGCCTGACAGTGTTGAATAAAATCCTTAATCCATCTCCTCTATCTCAATGTCATTATCTTCATCCAAATCTTCATCCATTGCATCAACATCGGCCTTGCCTTCATGATTTGGTACGATGATGAGTTTATTGCGGGGGCCGTCGAACCGAATCTTGACAGTCTCCCCGTCGCGAATGCGGTCAGAAAGCAACATCACCGATAAAGGATTCAGGAGGTCGCTCTGGATTGCGCGGTTCAATGGTCTTGCTCCGTATGTCGTCGAGTACCCGATAGACACTAGGTATCTTTTCGACTCGCCGTCGATGTCAAGTACTATCTTCCTATCGACTAGGCGGTCTTGGACCTCCTTGAGCCTCAAGTCCACGATCTTAAGCATATTGCTTCTGGAGAGCGCGCGCTGTGCAAGAGTAAGAAATTTAAAGCCTGAAATTATTATGTGGTAACTTACGAAGATGACGATATCATCTATACGGTTGATAAACTCGGGTGGAAAATGGCCCACAATGGCCCCCATGACTAGCTGCCTGGTCTGCGGAGTTACTGAACCCTGGCTCATGTCGTTCAGGTATGCAGCACCTAGATTTGACGTCATGATGATAACAGTGTTTCGGAAGTCAACAACGCGACCCTGTCCATCAGTAAGTCGGCCATCATCGAGAACCTGAAGGAAGAGGGTGACGAATTCTCGCGAAGCTTTCTCAATCTCGTCGATGAGGACGATGCAATACGGTTTGCGCCGAACATATTCGGTGAGTTGTCCTCCAGCATCATGGCCGACATAGCCAGGTGGGGCGCCGATAAGACGTGCGATAGAATGTTTCTCAGAATATTCGGAACCATCGATGCGGATCATAGCATCAGGGGTGTCAAATAGAATAGTGGCGAGCTGCGGGGATTTCTGTCAGGAACTGTAGTTATGAAGTTACGATGACTTACAGTCTTGCTGAGCAGCGTTTTTCCTGTGCCAGAAGGACCAGCCATCAAGAAGCTGGCAATGGGCCGCTGAACATCGGCCAGTCCACTCCTCGATAGCCGGATAGCATTGGCGACAGCTTTCACAGCTTCCGGCTGACCGACAACGTGATCGGCGAGGATACGTTCCATGCGAAGGAGTTTCTCCTTTTCGGTTGACATCAAACGTGTGACTGGAATAGCCGTCCACCGTCCAACAATTTCTGCGATCTGTTCAGGAGTAACGGTATCTGTGCCTCCACCGGTCTTGGCGTCCTCTTCGGCCTTTTTGGCTTGAAGGGTCTCCAGGCGATTCTGGAGGTCTGGCAGGGCATAATAGCGAAGGTCAGATGCAGTTGCAAGATCATATCTAATATGCGCGGTCGTTGGGTTAAACACTCGATGATTGATCCAGAATGACATGCGTACCTTCTCTCCGCCTCATCGGCCTTGGCACGGAGATCGTCGATCTTCCTCCGCACTTCGTTGATTTCGTCGCCTTTGCGCTTTTCAGCCTCGTAGGCAGCCCGAAGTGGTTGTAATTGGTCGTCAACATCAGCGATAGCTTTGCGAGCGGCGCTTAAACGCTCCAGACTGGCCTGGTCCTTTTCGCGTTCCAAGGCATGAATTTCAACCTCTAGTTCGAGCTTGCGACGCTGAAGCTTGTCAATGGCTTCGGGTGCTGTTTCTCGAGTAACACGGACACTATCGCAAAATCGTAAGATGTTTTCACGAACTAATATAAAGAAAACATACCTTGCACAAGCTTCGTCGACAAGATCAATGGCGGCATCGGGAAGACGTCTCGAAGTCAGATAACGATGGGCCAGAGTTGCAGCAGAGATCAGGGCACCATCCGCAATTCGAACACCATGATGAACCTCATACTTCTCCCGAATGCCTCTAAGAATGTTGATCGTCTCAGTAACACTGGGTTCGTTCACCAAAACTTGAGCGAATCTGCGTTCCAGAGCAGCGTCTGTCTCGATATACTTCCGGTACTCGCTAAGCGTGGTAGCCCCTATACAGCGCAGCTTCCCTCTAGCCAGAAGCGGCTTGAAGAGGTTGCCCGCGTCCATGCCACCGCCTTCGGCACCTCGACCAGCCATGATGAGGTGAAGCTCATCCACGAATAGAATGACAGATGTGCCATCCTCAGATGATTTCTCCACTTCGTTCAAAACTGACTTGATGCGTTCCTCGTACTCGCCTTTGTACTTCGCACCAGCCATTAACGCGCCCATATCAAGCGAGAACAGGCGCCCAATGAGGCTGGCTGGCACGTCGCGGTTGACTATGCGTTGAGCAAGACCTTCTGCGATTGCCGTCTTTCCGACACCAGGCTCGCCGATCAGCACAGGATTGTTCTTTGTTCTGCAGAAAGTTAGCTTGGATGAGACTACCATGAATGTGAATCCTACCTTCTGCAGAGAATACGAATGATTCTCCGTATTTCATTATCTCGACCTATAACAGGGTCGATCTTGCCTTCTTCGGCAAGAGCAGTCAGGTCGACCGCATATTTCTGCAAAGCGTCGAATCCTGCTTCCGCGTTCTTGCTTTCCACTCGACGGTTTCCTCTGGTCTGCTCTATGGCTGACTTCAAGGCGGCCTCGGTAAGACCAGCCTCCTTGATGATAGAGGATATCGATGGGTCCTTCATAAGTGCGAGAAGTACATGGTCCTGCGCGATGTAGGAGTCGTGCATGGTTTTCTGGAGCGACTGGGCCTCGCGCAAAACCTTCAACGCACTGGCGCTCAAGGAAATATCCTCTGGAGGTGGAGATTGCGAGGGTATTCTGACAATGATCTTCTGGAGCCCACGCTTTACAATGACCTGTCATGAGGCGGATGAGTGTCGCATACAATGTGGATATCCATAGATACTACGTACTGGATCACCACCAGCTTTCTGTATAACTGAAGAGAATAGGGAACTTCCACCGCCGTTTGACAGTCCACCTGGTACGTCATCTCCTGCACCTTCGTTCAGAAGAGCCGCAGCAACATGGGCGGGGTGGACTGGAGAATCATTTAAGTGAGCAACAATAAATCATAAGTCCAATATCAAGACATACGTTGAGCATTAGAGTAATCCTTTGCGAGTTGGATGGCAGCTGATATAGATTGTTGGGTTTTGTCTGTGAAGTCAAGGTTCATGATGGTGAACAGGAAAGCAGAGAATGGGTAATCGACAACAACGATTCCTCGTCTGGACTACCTTTTATTGACTTTGGCAAGTGTTAGTAGTATGATCTAGGAGAAGGGAGAGAGACATCCTCCTTTATCGAACCTTGCAGAACTTTCTGGTGATGTCATTAATGGATGTGGCAGTGTAACGGAACGTACCTGACAGCATCAGGCGTAGCAAAATTTCCTCTTCTCCAGACTCCAATGATCTCATTGGACACCATCTGGCCCGCAGACTCGGTCGAGTTCTGTCCTCATGAAAGTGCTTCCGATATCTTTGTCTGCGGGACCTATCAATTAGAACAGTCCCCCACCGATGCTGCGCACACCGCATTAGAAGACTCGGACGGTCACAGTGAACTAAATTTCGAACCTACGACAGGAAAACAAAGTCAAGTCCGTCGTGGCAAGTGTCTTGTGTTGCAAGTAACAGAGGACAGAGGAGTGTAAGCAAGTGAATTGATTCCTGCGAATCACTTCTTCAGCGCGCGTCTATTATCAAGTTCCCAGATTCAGGAAATCAGTCTTGCAGCTGTCCTCGACCAGAAATGGTGAGATCTAGTACGTCGTCGCACACTAGCAAATGATGATATCTAGGCAACAACCATAGGTGTCATACATCTCCAACGGCTTCTCCAATACTCGGAATTGCAGACTCGGAAGGGAACATTACCATTCACGAGTGGCACAAAGAAGAGGTTGCTTTCAACGTGTACATAATTGCATGAAATCGTGACCCAGTGGTTTTAGCGCCGGCTCAAGCCTTTTCAAAGAATATCCTGCGCACCCTCAGATGTTCTGTGCCTTTCCTTAGACTGGTCTACCCGGAGATTCCCCACAAAGTACGCTAGTCCAAGAGATTCGATTCACAGGCAATTCTGACTCAAGATGCTCAGCAATTTTGGTTCTCTGGTGGTTTCCCTGTCAAACGGCTCGCTATGTGTTCTGACACCTGATTCAACTGGCAATTTGTCTGTCGTTAACCGATGGCACGCGCACGATTACGAACCTTGGATTGCTGCTTGGAACTATTGGGATACGTCCATCGTTTATTCGGGTGGAGACGACTTGACCATGAAGGGCTGGGATGTTCGACAGAATTTTAGTCAGCCGATCTTTACAAACAAGCGGCATGTAACTATCTTCAGACATATTTTGGTTGTTTTCTCATGTCCTCGAAGATTTGATGCAGGTATCACAACTATCCAGAGCCATCCACACATAGAATATCTCATAGCCGTCGGAAGGTAAACTTTTACTTTGCTATCAACATTCTGGCTTTTGAAGTCGCGCACAGCTACGATAATAAGGTTTGCCTTTTTGACACTCGAAAGCCGCTAGTACCACTCGTCCAAGGAGACGTTGGAGGGGGCGCGTGGCGCGTCAAGTGGCATCCATCGCCCAGTCGCAAGGAAGATCTCCTTGTTGCAAGCATGCACGACGGCTTCAAGGTAGCCAAGGCCCACCACGGAGAAGATGTAACATGGGAAATTGTGAAGCGGTTTGACGACCACAAGTCGCTAGCATACGGCGCAGACTGGTCATTTGCTCCTATAGGTGTAGATGGGGAGACATTGATCGCGACTTGCTCATTCTATGACCACATTCTACACCTCTGGAGCGGCTAGGTAGCAGAATGTATGCAAGATATGGGCGATGCGTGAGGATATAGAATTGTTCGCATGGTATATTCAGTGGGATATTTTAACGAAGATCGTAAAGTACGCAAAAGCAAGAACATGATCTAGATCGCAGCACCGATCGCGACGTGCGCAAACTCGGCTAAGATCCTCCACTCTCAAAGCCGGACTATCGCGGGCTAAGTTAGTATTATGGAACATCTCACAAGCAGTTAATGTCTTGCGTGGAGATTGAGTTGGAGGAAGGAGAGATAGGCGTCGAGGGACAAGTTTCAATCTCTTTTTTGCGTTTCTTCCAGAACCCAGCATTTGGACCCTTCATGACAAAAGCAAGGGTCCATCGCGACAGACCTCGCAGAGATTCTGGTTCATGGACTGCAAAAGTGAGCAGGGAAGCCAGCGACAGAACAAACATGATTCTATTGCATCCCGTCAGCATCGCAAAGAAGATAGGCTATAAGAATACTAACCGCTCAGCCAGCCTGGCACCGGCGTGATTGCTTGCAGTCCACTTGGCCGGTAAAGATGCTTTAAGAGCTCTGGGCAACACATACAAGGCCATCTCCCCCCTTCTCCGCGTGTTCTCAATTAGTATACTCCAACCACACGTGAGTGATCCCACGAGAACACTGCCATACGGTCCATCCCACACGTCGTGAGGGACCCACGGGAACAGTTTTGCCAGTACCAAGGTACGTGTGAGACAGGCAGCCAAGAAGTACGATGACAGAAACGTGGAGAGGAATGTCGCACTGCGGATCGCAGCTAAAAGGGAGGGAATGACGTGATGACGTTGGAGGATGGAACGAGGGCGAGTAAGAAGGAGAGGAAGGATGTGGACCTTCAAACATGATTAGCGGTCTTAATCAGTGCACTCCAGGTCATACACTTACAGGCAGATATAGAGCCATAGCCTCAATGAACGCAAGGGAAAATCTCACGCCAGCATTTGTCAGGCAGCTGTTGTCGAGACCCCACCGCGTTGCAACACCGGAATGCAAAATTTCACATGGTAATCCACCCACACCACCCCGGCCAGGCACGCCAAGTGCCTTCCAGACCACGTCTGCATCTGCGCCTCCAAATGCAGGCAAAACCTGCGGATCGCCCCAAGATGAAGGGTACCCGCGGTCTTTGGCATAAGATGTCAGGAGGTGAGAATGGATGGAACTGTGCCCATAGATCCATTCTTTAGAACGCATAACACGCAAAGCATCCAACAGCCGTTTGTCTACGTTGGCTAGGGATGATATCCTGATAAGCAAAGAACCATAGGACAATGAGTGAGAGCTGCCCGGCATGATTAAATGATATCCAACCATTTGACATAAGAAGGGGGAAGCCTGTTGAAAAAACTGGATTTAGACGTCCATCGAATTTATTTTATTGTCAAGTACCTATACGGCTGGTAGAAGAAACACCACATGATTCTGATATTGCACGAAGGGTTTGAACAAACATATCACAGTGAGCATGCTGCATATCACGTACCTAGCACTGCAGGCCCAAAATACAATGGCGTCCAGCCATGCAGCTGTACTTTGATGCCATTTCTTGGCTTTGCCATCGCCTTCAGCAGGCAATGATAAATCTGCAGATAGTTCAGCTGGCTTTAACCGAGACTGATTCGCGGAGATGTTGAATAGGTTAGCTTTCCGGGCTGATTCCATGGACACTTTGGACAGGAAATGCTGCATGATCGCGTCGGTTGCACGACAGAAGAATAAAAGCGTTAATTCAAAGGTTGCGAACGGTCGACGCGACCCTGCTTTTGACGGCCGAATCCTTTGGAGCAAGAACAGCGCGATTGTGGAGGATAAGACATTTGACAGGAACGCTTTCTGGGAAGGAGTTGATTTGGACATGCGTGAGCACGCCTGAGCTACGAGCGAGAGGATTGTTGCACATGGTTGGAAAGTAGAAGCCACCACTGGCTGCCGTCGAATTTCTGGGTCGTCTTGCTTATCGACATGGTGGACACCTAGTACTGCTTCCCAGAAGTGCTTCAATGCAATTCCGCCACAAACAGCTACGGTGATGGCGAACGGAAATCCCGTGAGGCCCACTGCGTGCCTCAGCACACGTCTGAATGAACCCGAACGTCGATTTTTCACCCCGGACGAACGCTTAATGAGGGTAAGAGCAACTGGAAGTAGCGCAGGACCAAGGGAGAGAGATAAGCTGAGAGAATATGTGCGAAGGGCGACCTTCACTGGATGACTTGGGTCATCTGGCCAGAGAGCTCTCGGATTGGATAGAATTGATTTTGTCCATGACGCCTTCCTATGATCCGAATCTGGTTCAATATGTTGGATTGCCCGGGGAGACGGCGCTGACATCAAAGCTCTGCAAAGTCGGGCGCGAAGGTTCGAAACAAGCAAGATGAAATCACATGCAACTTCAAATTCAAAAACTTGGTTAACTTACTTTCGAGTTTTATCTGTACAGTATTAAGTTATTTAAATTATACACTGGCATATCCCATCCACTGATCTCCACCAGAAGTCGCGCCTCATCTTCATCACAGAGTTCTTCTTTCCAAACCCGCCGTGCTTAATCATCTTTGCCCAAGCCCTTCAAGTAGCTCCAGAAGTCCACCTCAGTGGAAGAGAAGTCATCTCCGAGGCTTCGTCCTAACTCACAAGCCAGGCCAGCACGTTTTATAAGGTCGATTAACTGCGCTCTTGAATCTGGGAAGACAAATGATCGGAGTACTGCATCTCCCTACAAACCGAATATCAAATGATGATAACTTGTCAATGAAAATCCATACGTGGTTCCGAAGGAGTACTCCCAAGTATTCAAGAGGTGGATTTTGGATGTCCGAACCATCATTTCCCAATCTCATGGGTGGAGAAGAATCATATTCAGGACCCTTCCCTTTGCCCACCAGGTTGGTATTAGAAACATCAGAAAGGTACGGCGAAAGCCACATGCGCCAAAGTTCAAGTTTGCGACCATCTCGACCGAGCTTTCGCATCAGGAGACGACAGCGCACCCAATCTTGTTCATTTCCTTCCCATTCCAGGCCAGCCTCTCGAGCGAGCTGGTCAAGCGCGATCTCCGATTGAGGGTGAACGAGAGAGACAAAACTCGTGTCCAAAGGCCGGTCAGACAGCCTGCTCTTGCCAGTGGATGGACTTGAACTTCCCTCCGAGTGCCCTACTGTATGCTGTGCTGGACGCATCATAAGTCTTACCCATCGTCTCCTCCGCACCCAGGCACCAGTGCTTAGTTTGCCGATCTCTGCTTGCCAGTGGTCTTCCCGAAAATACCAGTTGTATTCAAAACCGTCGTATTGAACTTCTCCCGATTCTGTGCGCATGTCAATCATCCATGATCTGGAGACCCAGCGCCAGGTACCATCGGGGAGGGGATAATTGGAGAGAGATATGTTAGGTTGCCGAGATTGTTTCAGAGATTTGGACGGAATAGTGAATGGTGGAGGATCGATGGGAAGCAGTGACAGGTGTGAATAATACGGGGACGAGAATACGGTGAGACTTGGGAGAACAGGTGGGGTCAGCCACACACGAGGGGGTAAATAGTAGACGTACCCTCTTTGATTTTCATATACAACAGCCCAACGATACTCGTCCTTATTGATATCAGGGATATTTGAGATACCAGATATGTCCAAAGTGATGGTGGTGGTGTTATCATTGATTTGTTCGAGGGGTGGTAAGCCTACGGACTTGCTTGAGCTGTCTGCCTCGACTTCTGAATCCGCTGGTTGTGGGTTGTGACGCTTAGAGTTGCAGCAAGTGAAAAGGTTGGTAAGGAAAGAAAATATACGGAATCGAGTCTTTGGGGCCAACCGACGACGTGCTGGTTCTGCAGCTGAAGGATCATCGGGCGTTAACATTGCCTGAGGGGGAGCAGGCCATGGACTGGCCAGTGTGTGCGAGTCCTCAATTCGGGGCTCACCGGCACCACTAGTACTGCTCGACATTCTGAGGACGAATGATTATGCAGTAAAAAGCTCGCCTAGCGTGTGCTTAACATTATGCCTCGTACGTGGTGCTGGTTCATAGAGTTCCTCGAGTCCAAACAATGATGCAATTGTCCCAAAAAGTAAATTCCCAATCGTTTTCATTTCCATTTCCTGGCTTAGTAAACAAGCGACCCCTCATCCGAATGTTCCGTTCTCTCAGCCTCCGCGTGTTCAAGGGTTTTGCTGTTGCTCAAGCAACTCATCGAACGTCGGCGCTGTCGAACGGATATCATGCAAGAAAGGCCAGCTCATCTTCCTCAAGGCACTCCGTAGTCACTTCACTAACCAAGACGTGTCCATCATGTGGGACTGTTCTTCCAACTGCATTACCTGTCTGTCCAAACTGCAATTATATTGCAAGGATCCATGACTCAATATCATACCACGATATACTGGGTCTTTCTTATGAGCCAAACCCATTTGCGGTGGATGTTGCACTCCTTAAACGCCGCTTCCTTGAAGCACAGAGAATAGCACACCCTGACGCATGGGCAACCAAGACTGAAGTGAGTTATTCTACGTATAGTTCCAGCAGAGGTTTATTCAGCAGTCTCAACGAGATGTCGCACTTCACATGTCGAATACGGTGAACGCTGCGTATAAAACACTGTCGTCACCCTTGCACCGTATAGAATACATTTTGCAGCGGAATGGCTTCAAGACTGAAGAAGCAGATCCCTTAGAGGATCTGGAACTCATTAGCGAAATCATGGAAGTCCGAGAGGAGATAGAAACCGGGGACATCGAGCGAATCCGCACCCTAGAAGAGGATAATGACAGTAAGTTTTTGTCGTACATGAACGTTTGGCAGGTTAATGACAATTCTTGTCACAGACAAAATTCGTGAAGTTCTCAACACAGTCACAAAATCCGTATCCGAAAAGAATTGGGAGGAAACCAAAGCTGCGGCAGTGCGACTGAAATATCTGAACGGAATTGCGGACGCTATCAAGCAGCGATTAGATAACATGTAAATAGATCATCCTTGTTGATTTAATACGAGTGCACACTTGCTGCGTTCATTATTTCAGCCGAGCTCGAGAATCCTTCACTGCCAGTACTTGAAAGTTGACGTTACAAGCACTACTAGTAGCTTAAGTAAAATATTCGGCAAATGCCGAGCCCATATTTTTTACGACTTAAAGTGAAGAAGACTTAAAGTACCACCAAGGTCACCGTCGTCTTGAACGTCGGTTTGGCACAACAAATACAGCGGGAGGTTTAGAGGTCCGGATGATGTGAGTCATTGAGGCAGTATTCGGTTGATATGCCAGATGAGGTTCTCATGGCTTTTCATTATTGCAGTCGTCGACAAGTTCCTCAAGTTATGGGCTTGGCCTTTGCCATTCAATTCGGGCGTCGCCTGCCATTGGATACAATCAAACGTTTTCCATCGGCTACAACCTATCTCAAACGGCCCTATACCAGTCACGCTACAGCAAGCGCGCTGAAGCACCGTACCGCAGATGTCAGTCATTCTCGGTCACCTAGTCTGCCTCAATCTTCAGAGCAACGACCAGCTCCAAAGCTAGCGGGATCTTTCACAGCTATTCCTGCAATGCCCACATCCTCAAAAGGAACACAACGGAACCCTACTGTTTCACCTCCATTCGAGATGCCGTCTTCATCTAAAAATCGTGGCTCGCTTCGGTCGCGTATCTCTGGTTCGTCGTCCCAGAAAGATTCATCGAAGCGTAGTACGGGAAGGAGCAAGGGCAAGAGTAAAGAGCAGCCCTCGAATTCGACACTTCCAGTTCTTGACGGCCCTCTCCGTGACGTGCAGTTCATTGAACAGGAGCACAGGAAGAACATTGGTTCCCGTCCTGACATAAAACCCGTGTTTGTAGATAACCCAAAGTCTCCGGTTGCTAATTTTGCCAGTAATCACCTGGACAAGCAACCGGCTTATGAATCAGTTGAGGGTATCGTTTCTGGAACATCTCAGAAGATAACCAGGTTGGTGACGATTTCTTTTACAATGCTATTTGGCTTGTGCTCATAGCTGTATGCAGGGCGACCGTTACCCTCGATACAACTCCTCCATTGCTCGGTATTGGCGACCATAGAGTAAGGAGAGATGCTGAGAGGCTCGCAGCGCTTTCAGCCCTCTATCAACTCCATGATACAGGTCAGGTACGTGTCACGAATTGCAAACTACTCTAACTAGTTCTAATGAACGTGGTCAGCTCGACAAGCCCAAGCCTTCAGCATCCTCGAGTTCTTCTGTTCCACATGTTATCGAGTTGAGCGATGGTTCAGTCGTCGACTTCGAGCGCGCGCGAAACTTCATGGACTACTACTGTCGCAGATACGGATTCGGAAAGCCGGACATTGAGCTGGAAGAACAACGTCAGGGGCGCATGAAGTCAACTTGGGAAGCCGTTATGACTGTGGGTGACAAAAAGATCGGCATGGGCTCCGGCGCAACCAAGAAAGCAGCCCAAATACAATGCTACTTGGATGTCGCGCAGTATCTGCAACAATGTGATCCCGATCTATGGAAGACTTTTGTGGAGGCGTCCAAAACTGGAAAGGACCTTGGTCTTGCCCCAAAGGTTTACTTCCAAATTAGCACACAACTCGAGGATGAGATACGCATGCTAAGCCGTGATATCAAAAAGAGCACTCTATACCGGAACAGACCTGCTATTGGGTCCGGCTTGATGGGCTCAAACACTCTGAGATCTCAACCTGTCCCCGTTCCTGCCCCACGACCATCCTATGCCCGTAGGCTTCCTCGGAATTTCTTCGCCCAGAGGTCGGAAGAACTCAAGGAACGGAGAAAAGCATACCTCACAAATCCAGCGATGGAAAAGATGCGGAACACCAGAGCTGCGTTGCCCATCTACACCCGATCGGAGGAGCTTGTGTCGCACATCCGTGAGAACGATGTCACGATTTGCATGGCTGCCACGGGTTCAGGCAAAACCACGCAGATACCGCAACTACTCCTGGATGACTATATTGACAAGGGTGAGGGCGCTCGCTGCAACTTGATTTGCACTCAGCCACGTCGGTTGGCTGCACTCAGTGTAGCTGACCGTGTCGCCAAGGAGAGAGGGGAAGTTGTCGGTGAAGGGTCAATTGGCTACAGCGTCCGTTTCGAGTCGAAGTTGCCGGAAGAGCATGGCTCCGTTACTTTCTGCACCACGGGAGTGTTGCTCAAAAAACTCCAATCTGCAATGGTTGAAGGCGGGCTACCGGCTGCCAGGATGGACGAAGTGACACACATCGTTGTTGATGAAGTCCACGAGCGGGATGTTGATACCGACCTCCTCCTTGTTGTTCTCAAGCGTCTCATGGATGATCGCAAGGCTCGAAACATTCCTTTGAAGATCGTCCTCATGAGTGCCACTATCGATCCCACGCTGTTCCAAGAGTACTTCCCTGACGAGCGAGGCGAACCGGCAAAAGTAATCGAGATCCCAGGCCGCACGTTCCCCGTCACAAAACACTTCATGGAGGACTTCATTCCAGCGTTGAGAAACCATCGCGCGCTAAACTGGGTGTTTGAAGACAATTTGGTCTCTAAATACCTCGCTCGTGAGGAAGCTTATGTGCGGTCTTGTGGGCGTTCAATGACAGTAGAAAACTCCCCCGTACTGAGCAATGTGGACGAAGACTTGGATTTACCAAGTCCTTTGGTCGCAGCTAGCATTTCATATGTCTTGCAGCGGTCTGACTCCGGACATGTATTGGTTTTCCTGCCTGGCTGGGACGAGATATCTGCGGTTCAGAAGATTCTTATTGGTGGAAGTATGGATATCAACTTCAACGATCCCTCAAAGTACAGCATTCACCTTCTCCACTCTACCATTCCTCTGGCCGAACAACAAGTCATCTTTGAGCCCCCTCCAGAGGGCGTTCGTAGAATCATTCTAGCTACTAATATTGCCGAGACCTCCATCACGATTCCCGACGTTGTTTATGTCGTTGACGCTGCAAGGATCAAGGAACAGCGATACGATCCTGACCGCCACATGTCGTCTCTCATCTCCGCCTGGGTTGGTTCTTCCAACTTGAACCAAAGAGCCGGGCGGGCGGGTAGACACAGGTCCGGAGAGTATTTCGGCATTCTCAGCAAGGCTCGCGCAGCCAACCTTCATCCTCATCCAACCGTGGAAATGAAACGCGTCGACCTAAGCAATGTCGTTATGCACGTCAAGGCTCTCAGTTTCCCTGGGATGGACATTGAAGAAGTTCTCGCTGCCGCGATTGAACCACCTGAGCCTGACCGCGTCGCCGCCGCCATGAAGAACCTACAGATGGTAGGTGCGCTGGATCAAGGCAAGAACCTCACGTCGCTGGGGAAGGTCTTACTACAACTACCTGTGGAGGTTCAAATGGGAAGGCTTGTCCTTTACGGAAGCTTTTTCCGGTGTCTCGACCAGGCCCTTACTCTCGCCGCCATTCTGACCAATCGGGATCCGTTTTTCTCCCCTATGCACCTCAAGGCCCAGGCTGCTGATGCTAAGAACAGATGGACGCCCCCCGGGTTCAGATCAGACCCGCTTACCATATTGAACGCTTATAATGCGTGGCACGAGATGCAACGCCGCGGCGAGTATATGTCTGCCAACCGCTTCTGTAACGACAATTTCCTCTCGAAGCCAACGCTACTCTTGATTACCAAGATCCGGGGGCACTTAATGCAGTCTCTGTACCAAGCAGGAGTCATTGATGTTTCTGCGGGTGGGAACGTCGCACCAAACGACCTTCGAAGTCGGGAGCTGACCGTACCCTCTGACCTGAACGTTAATGGGAAATCTCTTCCACTCCTAGCTGCCCTCATAGCAATAGCTTCCCAGCCAAAGTATGCTATCAGGACTGGCGAGATGACTTACCGCACTCAGTTGGACAAGGTGAGCTTCACGTGGTACATTCATCTCTCACTCCACAAGCTCATTATATGTAGGCGACCTTTATACATCCAGGCAGCGTAAATCATCGCAGGCACGCTGTTGTGAATGACCAGGCTATGGAAAAGCAGCTTTACGCTTTTGCTGAAAAACGACGGAATATGTCGATGGTCGGCTCCAGTCCTCAAACGTATCTGATTACCACGACCCGCCTGGACCCTATGACCTACATGCTCTTTGGCGCTTACGAGATTCAAGTCACCGAACGGGGACTGGAATGTGATGGCTGGTTGCCAATCGCCGGGAACTTTAATGTATTGGATGATATCCAAAGTTTGAAGACCGCCATGGAGTCTTGTATGCTTCGAGTGTTTGAGGGTATTGTGATGGCACGACGCAAGAGGCGTCAACCAACTTCCCAGATTTCGGTTGGTGAGGAGAGCGAGAGTGAGGATGAAGACACACTCAACAAAGACTTCACCCTCTCTACCACAGAGATCAAAGAACTAGATTTTATGACGACAGATATCGTACGGATCCTCAACCGCTACAGCGACGAGCGTATTGCATATCAACCCCAGTCCAGCTCTCGCACTGCGACTCCCATGACTTCTCCCTCCACACGGTTCCCCTTTGAACCCAGGTCTGGGTACTCCTCTCCATATGGTGCCGGGTCATCGTACAATTCAAGGTCCGGTACACCTAACCATCGTCTGTCTAGTTCACGTAGATTTTAGACCATCATTGTTTGATTACACTTCTAGAGCTATCCCTCCTCATTTACGCATTTTCAGTACGCTACATGGCATTAATGTATCCTCGCATTGCATAATACTATCCAGAAACAGTTACTGTGCATGATGTACATGCAGACAACTGATCATGACGGCTGCCAGGCAAGTCTAGGACGAGATAACGTAAGTAATGGCCCGTATTCGAAATCCAATCAAGGCGTTTCCCATACATTGTGAGCACCGTCGGTGACCCAAACGCAGCTCGTGACGGCTTGCCACGGCCCACCACAGGCATCAAGTACGCGGACGCGCGTCCATTTTTTTTTGCCGTGCGGAGCTTCTTTATTGCAAAAGAGCCCAGCTTGTTCTATTCATTCTTCTACTCTCTCCAGAAGCATCCGTGCCAAAGATGGCGGCCAACATGCGGGGGCTGACCCAGGTGCGTCCTTCCAAAGTCATGCCAACCGTTTAATCATATTTTCTTCAGTTCATCGCAGATATCCGAGGTGCGAGGGTGCGTGAACTGGAAGAGAAGCGTATCAACAAGGAGATGGCGAATATCCGAAAGAAATTCAAAGGTCCAAGGCATCCTAGTTACTCCTTTAGCTTGATGCTCACTGGCATGTCACGCCGCAGACGGAAATTTGGACGGATATCAGAAGAAGAAGTGAGTATATCACTGTCAAAGTCGTGCACATCTTCAATAATGGTACAGATATGTTGCGAAGATCATCTTCACGTATATCCTTGGGTACAAGGTCGATGTGGGGCACATGGAAGCCGTCAACCTCATATCGAGTTCCAAGTATAGTGAGAAGCAGATAGTGAGGTTGCTGAGCAAGTCTATTGTATGTATCATTGACGAGGCACGCGTAGGGTTACCTTGCTGTTACTCTGCTGATGCACGAGAACTCGGATTTCCTTCGACTGGTTGTCAACTCCATTCGGAAGGACTTGGATGAGAATAACGAGGTCAGCAACTGTCTTGCTTTGCATGCCATAGCAAATGTGGGCAGTAGCGAGATGGCAGAGGCGCTGTCAGAAGACGTGCATAGGCTTTTGATATCCCCGTGAGTCACCATGTTCACTGTCCACGATTTAAGTATATGAAACTTGTTCATACTTGCAGAACCTCGCAAACTTTCGTGAAGAAGAAGGCTGCTCTGACGCTACTGCGACTCTACCGCAAACATCCTACTGTAATACCTGCCGCAGAATGGGCCTTGCGTCTAGTATCCATTATGGATGACCAAGATTTAGTAGGTTGTCATTTGCACTGGCATTCGGTGTTGAAATACTTTGTAGGGTGTCGTTATATGCGTTACCAGCTTGATTATGGCTCTGGCCCAAGACCACCTGGATGCCTATGTTGTTTGCTACACTAAAGCTGTGGATCGCCTACATCGAGTAAGTGTGTGGCATCAAAGCTGGGATGCCTCGTGGCTAAGTGTCCCCAGTTAATCATAGAGGGCGAGTATTCTGCCACGTACGCATACTATAAAGTCCCTTCGCCATGGCTACAAGTCAAACTACTCCGATTGTTGCAGTATTATCCTCCTTCTGGTATGTATGTGTTTAAGCGGCCCATAACTTTACTCACATTACTACCCTTTAGAAGACACGACTTTACGATCCGCACTCCATGAGGTGCTACAAACAATCATGAACAATAGTGCAGAACCCTCGAGGAACGTTCAACACAATAATGCGCAACATGCCGTTCTCTTCGAAGCAATCAGCCTTGCCATTCATCTAGATGCAAGTTCGCCACTTGTGGGAACTTCTGCAGTTCTGTTGGCTCGTTTCATATCCTCAAAGGAGACAAACGTACGATATCTTGGTCTGGACACCATGGCTCATCTTGCTGCTCGTGCGGACTCTCTGGAGCCCCTTAAGAAGCACCAAGGCACCATTATCTTATCCCTTCGCGACAAGGATATCTCCGTCCGAAGGCGCGCTCTTGACTTGCTGTATAGTATGTGCGATACAGACAATTCGGAGCTGATTGTCGGAGAGTTGCTACGCTACCTCAAAGTTGCAGATTATGCTCTACGGGAGGAGATGGTGCTCAAAATTGCTATCTTGACGGAGAAGTACGCGAACTCATACAAGTGGTATGTCGACACGATCCTACAACTCATCAGCGCTGCTGGTGATCATGTCGGGGATGAAGTCTGGTACCGTGTCGTGCAGATAGTTACAAATACGGAGGACCTGCAGGAATATGCCGCAAAAGTCGTCTTCGAGCACCTGAAGTCTCCATCCACACATGAAAGTCTTGTCAAGGTCGGAGGTAAGACAGACATATGTTCGAATTCAGTTTAGTGACCGTCACCGCACAGGGTACATCCTGGGAGAATATGGGCATCTCATTGCGAATGAAACTGGATACAGTCCTCTTGAACAATTCCATGTCCTCCACTCCAAATCTCAATTCTGTGTCGCTTCCACTCGCTCCCTTCTCCTATCAACGTACATCAAATGGGTTAATGTCTTCCCCGAGATAAAGCCTCAGCTCATCAACATCTTCGAGCGCTATAGACATGTTCTGGATGCAGAGCTCCAGCAGCGTGCCTGTGAATTTTACTCGCTCGCATCTAGGCCTGATGACGATGAAGTGTTGCAAAATGTTTGCGAAGAGATGCCACCATTCCCTCCTCGCGTCAGCGCTCTGATTGGTAGACTCAACCGTAAACTCGGAGACACGGAGGACAAGCGGACCTGGATACACGGAGGAAAGGAAATGAACCTCGAGCGACACGCAATTTCACGAAAAGCGACGCTAGGACCAGGATCATCTGCCAATGGGACAGTTACTGCTACCGGCACTGCAGACGCACAAGACGTCATGAGCTCTTTGGCAGGATTGAATCTATCTAGCTCAGGTGATCAGCCAGATTCGCCTCGCGTAGACTCCTCCGTAGTTGCCCCGCGATTTGCTGTCGGGCCCAGCGTTGAGAAATGGTTTAGCAAGCTCACCTATAGCGCGGAGGGTGTCCTCTACGAGGACGTGCAGATCCAAATTGGTATCAAATCACGGTACCAGGGGCATATCGGCCAGCTAGCCATCTACTTGGGAAATAAAGTCTCAGCACCGTTGACGTCGTTCACTTCCACCATCCATGTCAATGACCCGGAGGCTTTGTCGGCTACGTTTGCGAAAATCCCACCAAATACGATCGCTCCTCGCACACAAAGCCAACAATTTCTGCAAGTTGAATGCAAAAAGGCATTCAGCTCTTTCCCCATCCTCACAGTGTCATTTTTAGCTGGCGCGCATCAGTCAATATCAATTCGACTGCCAATCAGCGTTACAAAGTTTGTTGAGGGTGTCAAGCTGGGACAAGCTGACTTCTTCGAGCGCTGGAAGGTCATTGGTGGTCCTCCTCGCGAGGCACAGGCCATTTTTCCTATTTCGCTTGATGGTACTGGCCAGCTTGATCTTGTGCGACACCGCCAAGTGGTCTCAGGAAACCATCTGGAGATTTTAGAAGACGTGGATCCCAACCCAAGCAACCTAGTGGCAGCTGGAGTCTTGCATACGTCGGTGGACGGTAAGGTTGGTTGTCTGCTTCGCTTGGAACCAAATCGCGAGGCAAAGGTGAGTCTTTACTGTCCCCTACAATACCCGTAAACTGACATGAACTAGTTGTGCCGCCTAACGGTCCGCAGCACTTCTGAAGATGTAGCCACGGAAGTGCTTAGGCTGATTGAAAAAGTGCTAAGATTGGATTTTTCTTGATTACACATGCATTGGTGGACATTTGTATTGCTCGATTTCATTTTCCGAGGATTCGAGGATTGTATATCTGATTCTTCATACAGTACACAAATCATAATATAATAGGATGTAAAAAAACAATAAATATGATGGTCACTCATCGCTTCGTAAGTATCCCCTGTAGCACGTTCTTCCTCTTTCTACTAGCTTCGTCTTGAAGTTCGGGTGGACTACGCAGAGATTGTGCACCTGCAGGAGATGCGAATGACGAGATCGAGTCAGCTGATATTGACTTAGGTCGCAAAAAGCGCGGGCGGTTTATTGCCCGTGGAGATCGGTCTTCAGGAGATGAGAGGACCTTTGGACTTGAAGGAATATCGGAAACAGAACCTCTACGTAGGCTAGACAGGTCATGAGGGACGGGACTTGAAGGTATCCTGTTGCCGGATGACGCTGTTCGATGATCCGCTGCAGACAAATCAGACGACGATGGTGCGGTACACGGCCTTGAAACTTTCCGGGGCTCAACGATTTTTGAAGGTGAGGCCGGGGATGGAGGAGCAGCGGAAGAGACTGTAGATGTTATTCGAGGTATGTCCCATTTAAGGGCAATAGGATATGATTCCACAGCGGCTAATTGGCTGACGCGAGCCAGACTCTGATCCTCAAGGTCAAAGCATTGAGCACACAGACCCGAAAGATGCTGATTGTCTTCAGAAAATTTGCCCTTCGGGTCAGCGGACCGTGCACTTCGGAGAACCGAGGAAGTGATACAAGCTAGATGCCTTGGAATATCAAGCACATGAGGTAGAAGCGGAATCGACTCTCTTTCCAGGACAGGCATCGTAGTACTTCTCTCGTGCAATGAGCTGACAACATCAAGCCGTTGGTGGCTGTGAGCTGGGTGACCAGAGTGTGGACTATATGGATCTAGTGGGATAGGAGTCGATACGACCAGGATATAGTCTACCATTGCAGGCAGGTTCTGCTTGAGGAAATCCTTGATCCCACGCATGAACTCCTCCTTCTGTACATTCTGTTCGAGAAGTGATAAGTGATAGTGCGAACGAGAAAGCGATGAGTCTTACGGGATTAAGATTCGCAAGACTTTGTATGACCTTTGCGATGAGCGTGAGACTTCGTTGAATATGAGCACTGGGAAGACCTGGGGTGGATCAGATTGAGGAAATGCATGACGGGGATGTCAAATACCTGGGTATAATCCAAATAGATGAGGGTGCAAGATCCCAGGTACAATAAATCTTAGGAAGCAGAAGGCGGAAACGCTTTGCCAGGGGAGTTCTCGGCTTTGGGCGTCTTGAGAATCTTTTGTGTGATAACGTTTCTCGACGAGCTTTCTTACGTGTTCGAACAGACGTCGTAACTCACTAAATTCGACTCAGTCAAAGTCAAATCAGAATAATGAAGAACTCACTGCGGACATTGGCTCCTCACAGCATATATCTGGTTCCACACCTCTTGGCTCCAATGTATTAATTGATCCACGCCACGTTCGACCTCTTTTGGACCTTTGCCACTCCTCACAGGGTCGACCTCGATAGCAATTTTTTCGGAGCAAATGCGCCGAATGGTGCTTCCGATGCTGGACTCAAGAAACGCTTTCCCATAAAATGCCATTGCGAGCTCCATCGTCTTCGTGAAAGTGGTATTCCCGCGGAAAATGGTGTTGTGAGCTGGGAAAGTGGTTAGTAAGGTAACCCATTGCACAGGAAAACGGATCACTGACAGCTAGGTGTACCGTCAACTTCACGGTCGGCATATTCCGTGATATGCTCAACAAGAATGTTCTTGGCAATCGCAATACACATCAACTGATAGGAACTAGTCCGCAAGTGCAGCCTGCGCTCGAAGTCGCTCATCCACTCTAGGACGTTCCTGTCGCGGATTGCCTGATAACCAAATATAGTTACATATCAGCAGGTGCGGTGTATGAGACAACTTACAGTCAGAAGGTCAGAGTAACTATTATGAGGCAATATTATCTCCCTCGAATAAATTTCAGTCTGCGCTAGACTGCAAACGTACTTATCACTCACTCGTCAACTGTAAGTTTCATTCGAATCTCCCCGACTTGAATACTGTTGCTCACTCCGCCAGCTTGTATGACCGGAAACCATCCTTCTACCGCTTCACTGCGCCGAAAGTTCGTCAGTGCAATTCGGACTGAACCAAGTAACATGGGTTTCAGAAGCCTCTTCTCTCTCCACACTGTGACTTCGAGGGTCTCAAAAGGGGGCAAGTCAGAAAATGTGAAATTTTCATGCCAGTCGGGAGAGCCGATCCCCTTCTTGACTGTCGTGCGAGCGCATATATTGTCATTGAGGTGGATTTCGCAAAATGCATCCAAATCGACGGGGTCTGCCTCTCGCGGGTCGCCTTCGCTGAGTGTAGCAGAGCTAGCATTCGCATCAGTTTGGGCTTTGAAGTGATTCCCTAGGTTGCGTCCTTGCAAAATGGATAGCTCTACCTGCCGCCACATGCGATAGAGCCCACCACCCCGTGAGACGAAGGTTTGGCCGTATATCTCCGGTTTAGAATATGATCGTAACAGGACCAGCCATGTATTGCACATATCGGGGTCTTCAAATTGAAAATAAATAGGCTCTGTGTTAACTGAGGAGCCCCACCGCTGCCCCCTTTGATGGCAGCGTAATTAGCAGTGACACAAACATGATCAGAATTAACTTGCCCAGCAGATGCAAGCGCCATACAATTCTTGCGTAGGAATAACGAGGAGTCAGCGAGTCGGATGTCGGTGTGGTTGAGCATATGTACGTAGATGGTCTGGTATAGAATAGTCTCCTGTGGAGGCATTCAGAAGATTGTAAGACGTCTGTCTTCCTGAGACCCACTTCGACGTAGATGTTAAGCGAACAACTCTCATCCTCGTCCATCAGCTTACATGTCGCAGGCCGCCACTGTCCGGCACCTGCGGGAGTTCGAGCTACCGATATCCAGCTAGATTTCTCTGGAGACAACGTGAATAGTCATGGAGCAGAATAGAAATATCCTCACCTTTGAGTGACTTGGGGTTTTCCTCCGCCTTACTAGTTTCAGTTTTACGGCGAGGAACTACTGGCTGTGAGGAATTAGATGTATCAAGTGATACATGTATACAAAACTCAGTACTCACCTTCCGCAGCCCAAAACTCGCCACAGTGGGGACATACAATTCCACGGACACCAAGAATTCTCGAGGGCCATTGGAGGTCCCAGTGGGCTGCTTTGGGTCTAATATTTCAGACATCGGACAGACTTCAAAGACGCACAGCACGATTGGCTGCGTTTCGTAGGTAAGGCGGCTCCTGTCGTCGGCCTTGAATCATTCAAGGCAACCGTGGCAAATTGGCTCGCTGAGATCTACAGGATGTATTCCCCGGTCCACAATGTATGAGACGCACTCCTCGTGGTGTATAAGTTAATGCAGAGATGGTGATGGTGATGGGAAGAAACAAAGATATTCGTGTGTGTCAGAGCTGCTGAACGGGCGATAGTCACAGTTCTCAGGAAATCGGCTTCACAGGCTGCAACTTGTGCTGGCAAAGTTCCTGAGGCAAATTTTTCGGAGCTGCAAAATGCAGTTGATCTACTAGATAGTTGATTGGAGTCTTTAGTACAAGCTTGGAGCCAAGGAAGAGCCAATCAATGATATATGTATTGAGAGCGTCGGATGATGATGGATCAAGGAATCGCCGCAGCCGAGCCTTACGGCACAGCAAGAGAATTACGCAGGGGCAGATGCCAAATTACGGAGCATAGCGAATAGAAACGACAAGTGACATGGAGGAATAGTGGCATTTTCGTCTGGGTATTACTACGGTATCTCTTATTCGTGAAATGTCCTTTGCGTTTCAACACAGCTCCAAGCACGCCCATAGAACATGCATGCCCGCAACCAAAGCAAGATCCGAAAGAAAACAAATATGCAAAAGAAATACTACTCGTCCATGAAAGAATAAGGCTATGTGGAGCAGCAAAATAGACACAAGAACGACAGGCTGTGTGAAAAGATTGGACAGGTGAACCGGATGTAAACTCGTTGACGCATTCTGTATATTAGTGTCCCGCGTGGTGCTAGATAAGTATAGGTAATCGCTTGGCCATAGGCATATCGTCATGAAGCCGTCTATTGCGCTCAGTCCTTTTTGTAGCTATCAAAAATTGAACATCAGCGTGCAGTATACAAAAGAGGGTTTACGCACCCATGCCCATTACGCGCATGACCGTTCCCAATACCGTTGGCTGCAGGCTTCTTGCCCTTGGCGGATTTCTTGTACGTTTGGATGTAAAAGTTGATGAACAAGCCAAGGTAGGTGGTGAGAAGGCCACACCCAAAGAGAGCGGCAGTTTCAGTGCCAGCACAATTTGACCAATGTGGAAGGTGATTGTAGTGGGTGGCCGCGTAATGTTGGTAGGCTTGGGCTGGATTCAGCATTGACTCATCGGGCTACAGATCGAAAACTTACTGCCAAAGTAAACGATGACGATATCGATGATGAATTGAATGATCTGCATGGACGTGAGGTATTTCTTCCACTGATTGCAGGAATGTTTCAGTGAAACATGCGTAGACGTTGTGGAGCGCGTACATACCCATATTTTGGCACCACCAGCAGTCGCAAAGTAGTAATAATCTTCGTGGTCCAGTAAGCGCATGAATCATTGCAGCGAATAGGAATCTTACACATGATGACGTGAACTGCTAAGTTAAGGGAGATCACAACCCATGACTGAATGTAGAGGTCAAATATCGCTGGCGGGGATATTAACGCGGACATACCACACTCGTTTTGCCGTTAAGTTGCACAAAGCATAACAGAGCAGTGGCGGAATGATGGAATACATGAAGGAAAGCTGAATTGTGACGTGTAAGCATTTGAATTCCACGAATAACAGGGCAGCGCATACCAAGAGGTTTCTTTTTGAGAGCAAGGAACACCGTGTCAAGAAGTTCGATGTACTTGAAGTAATAGTTAATCATGTAGTAAAACTCCAGCCTCTGGGGTGATGCATGAGTCCCGAAAAGATATAGATTCGTTAACGTTTCCAAACGTACCTCTGTCCATGAGGTTTCATCACACATCGTACCGTAGGTCGTATTTGTGAGCCATATCGAACCAACTTCTTCCGCCATGAGGACAAGAAGGATGAGGCTTCCAACGCTGAGGAAAGCATTGTGTATGCGAAAGAGGGTATTGAGCTGCTGTGGGGATCTATCCTTCATGATTTCACGAATACCAAATATTATAGCGAGGTACGACGCAAGGGCTGTGGTAACCACGGGCCATGTTGACAAGGGCGTCTCGCCTGGAATATAGGATTTAAGATATGTAGGTATGAGGTCGGCTGGAGCGACGGTGAGGAGGAAGTCAGCGAGAAAAGGCATGGCAGACGTGGAAACAAAGTCAGAGACCAAGTTGAAAAATTCGAACGCGCAAGGTTAGCCAAAGGTTTACGGCAACGCCAAACTGTGACATCCGTCACGTTTTCCCCTGAACGGGTAATCACGTTCACGGGTGATGGATTCACCAGTAACCAGATTGGTACCTGAGGCCAGAAAGACGGACCGGTTCAAGCGCTCAAGCTCTCGTGTCAAACGACCTCCTGGCTCGAAACTATCCGCGTGCTTGGAAGGTTAAGTCCTATTACTGAATTGTTTATTTAGTACGTAAAGTCAAAGTCAAGATCAGTTCATAATGCTTTATTTAATGGTACAGATAGCAATGCAAAGGTGTATAGATGTATAATACGATGCTTCGCAGTGCGTGCGAAATGTCCCAGAGAAGCCAGAGAAACTAGGAAATGATCAATGCGGGGCCGCACTCCAGGTCAGCCAGTAAAACCTTCTCCCTGCATTGCGGTCAGATATAGCTTGCAATATTCAAACTTGCCGTACCTTGCATGTATTTTCGCATTCTGCAGAATTTCAACTGCAGCCGACCTCACCTTTGGCGCACTGAGCTCAGTCGGCAGCGCACAGATGAAACAGAGCGAAGAGTTGGAGGGAGCAAGTCGATAGGATGCAGGAATCTGGTACACCTGTTAGAGAGGCGATACAGATTAAACGAGGTGACCAACCCCCGCTGAGCGCAATAATTCCAAGAGATCATGAATGAAGAGAAGGATTCGTGAGCGTAAGTCATGAAGGTCGTGTAAATCAAGGCCTGTTTTTTGACTTGATTAAACAACTTTAAATTCATACATGCGAACCACGTACATATATCGGAAGGAGATGACCACATAGGGACAGAACAATGCAGCCGCACGGAACGACCAGTTTGGCTCAAGAGCCTGGCCAAGATCGCATTGATTGTTTGCATGGGCAGCCAAAATGAAAGAATACCAAGGATTACCTTGCAAATGGCTCCACAGCATCGGAAAGGCTGCCTAGCTTTGCAAAGGACGCCGGATAAGTGCCGCAAAAGCACCTTGAATCTGGCGATGACTGACCTCGTTCAGCTGCAGCTCCTGCTTGGTACTTGGGGATGGCATAGTGAAGGATCTGGGAAGAACAGATACCATGATACTGTTATGTTTGCTTGCAGGGAGAAGGGCTAGGTGTGTTCAAAAGAAGAAGTGGAACAAGTGCTCACACGACCCTCAAATACTAAGTAGTACACATTCAGAAGTCACGCGGATAGACCCGGTCTTGCGGGATTGAACGGGGACCAACGGCAAAAATGCACCATAATAAATGTGAGAAGATAACTGGAATGATCCGATGGCGTTGTCTGCAAAAGGAACGACTTCAGCCTCGAGGTGCCCCACCGAGGCTATGACCACCAATGATGTACACCACCGGCGAACCCGGTATTTGCCTCCGCACGCCGGCCGCTCTTTAATGGGTGATGTAATATTACCTAATCTAGTAAGTGCGCCCCCTACCCTCAGCTCGCCAATTCCTTCCGCTGCGGTGAAGTCACAGACCGACCTCATCTCTCACAACCTCAGGCCTCAGGTCTGACTTACAGCCTAACCTCTCTTTCTTCAGCTGTGCTTTAATTTTGATATCAGGATAAGTAGATATCATCCCCACAATGTGGTGGTTGGACCCCGGAAAAGAGGTCCTGAATGTGGTGCGTCATCATGAAATTTCAGACCCCATATCCCTGAATACAGTCGCGTCTCGTCTAGCTGTTCAATAGGATACTCGCCCCGTATGTTGAGAACCTTGATATGAACCAAGTAAACTACGGCATTGGGCAAGGTAGTGTAGACTCGTCGCTCGTCCATGTGGCGCATTTGACCCGACTCCAGGTCAATTAACGTTGCGCAACTTGCGTCTCAAGAAGGGCGCCTTGGATAAATTCAGACTTCCAGTCGATGTTCTCGAAGGTACTATAACACGTCAATGGCGCCGCGCGAGCTCACCTCTCGTCAGGTCACCTCGGGACATTCACACTGTCTCTCCATTGGATGAACTTGGGCAATCAGCCTGTCGAGATATTGATCGAAGATGTGTATCTGCTTGTCGTGCCCTCTCCGCAGACAAACATTGATCCAGAGGAGGAAAGACAGCGAGCACAGGCCGCCAAACTGGAGCGGTTAGAAAATGCAGAACTTTTGCACATGCGTGGTGCAGAAGTCTCCTTAGGTTTGCTATTATGCTATTGGTGTGGTGTGAGCGTCAGATAACCATCCCTGTTCCAGAGGAATCTCCCCAGTCGCAGGGTCTGTGGGCCTCTTTAACGACCAAAATAATCAATAACCTGCAGGTGACCGTGAAGAACATTCACGTACGGTACGAAGACAGCTTGAGCGTGCCTGGCGTACGTAGGATAAATGCACATTGAAATTCATTTCATGACGTACAAACTTAGCATCCTTTCGCCGCGGGCATCACGTTGGCGGGTTTCACAGCGGTATCAGTCAACGAGGAATGGCAACCGGCTTTCATAGAAAGCACCGCCGGTGCAATACACAAGGTCAGGAGCTAAACGAAGTGAAGGGACATCACTGAGCTGGTTTTTTTTAGTTGGCTAGGTTGGAATCACTAGCGGTTTATTTTGATACAGACTCGCAAAGTATGGCAGGGTTGCCCCTGCCTGCAGCCAAAGAGAAGTTTATTGCCATGGTCAGTTGAATTTATTCCGCAGTATCATCAGCTTTGACCTCCTAGTCAGATATCACAAAAGGATCAGCAGTCATCCCATCAATTTATCCTCAGCCCGGTATCGGGTGAGGGAAGAGTAAGTTGTCATTAGCCACTGAGCGTGCTTAAAACATAACCACATATCAGATTGTCGTGAATCACAAACTTGATCAGAATACACCGCACTTCGACGTGCAATTGCTTTTTGACGAGATCGGCGTCGCCTTAGATGACAACCAATATCGAGATGCAATATCTTTGGTTGACATGTACCATGTCTACATCCGTCAGCATCAGGTAAAACGTTTCGAAGGCGATGTTGATTTCAAATTTATATTTTGCACCCCAGTACAGAAAATTTCGTCCAACCGACGAGGAGTTCAAGGCGAACCGAGCAAGAGCATTGTTACGCTTTGCTGCCCAGGCGATTCTGGATGGTGTGCGCGATCGACGACGTAAATGGACTTGGGCATACTTTGCGGAACGTCGAGATGATCGCAACAAGTATGTCGAGTTATTCGAAAAGAAGATTGTGAATTCATTGCGCGAATCCGTACGTTCCATTTGGCTTCACTCTACGAGACGTACGATCATGCTTTCCAGGACATTACATTGCTCAATTCCTTGGAATGTAAGTTGTCGTACGAGGACATTCGCTTCTACAGGTCGATAGCACGTTCCCGTCTACGAAAAGACATGGAACTGAGGAAAAGGCTTGAGGAAGACCGCGCTACACAGCAACAACAACAACCTGGCGGTTGGATGTCTTGGCTCTGGGGGTCCCAGGCAGATCAGCCAAAAGACGACCCCGCTTTTGGAGGCCAAATGACAGAGGAGCAACGCAAGCAGCTCTATGATGTGCTTGATTACGATGAGAAATCGGCCATCGTCGATTCGTTCGAAGCGCCCCGGGATGCTCTCAAGGCACGCGTGGTTGCGGAACTCAAGAAGGGCTCATTTGCGCTGAAGGTTGATCCGAGCGGCAAAGCCACCGAGGTTATCTCTACCGTGTTCGACTCATTTCGTGCCGAAGTCATCCAAAGACCGGACAATTTTGAGGCATCTGTATCCTTGAGAGGATTTAGCGTTTTTGATGGGACAACCAAGAACACACTATATCGACAGATAGTTCAAGTCAAGACCCCGGTAGCAGAAGGTGTCAAGGCTATTGAGCACGGGGACGTTGAAGATCCGTTCTTCTTTGTGAAATTTGAGAGTAATCCTCTCGACCAACGCGCCGATACTGCGCTCACAGCCCGCATGCGTCACATGGAAATTATTTACCACAGGGGGTATGTCGAAGCGATTTACAAGTTCTTTCGTCCGCCCGAGAGCCAGTTGGAATCAGTCGAGGCTTTATTAGTAGGTGCTTTGTGGGATCGCTCAGCAAAAGATCTTATGCTTCCACTTTTAGAATGTAGCAAGTCAAACCTTGGAGGGGTTACGAAAGGAAACTCGGGCTGGTTTAGAGTATGCTCTGCAAACTCATAAAACTATTGATCTTCAACTGGATATGAACGCACCCATCATTATTATTCCAGAAGAGTGCGTTTCCCGAAGCCAGAATTCTCGAAGTTTACCAGACTGACTCGTTGACTTTAGTGTCACCACGCACCAATGCAGTCATCTCGTTATCGATGCTGGCCACATAGCTGTCGAGAGTGATTTAGCTGATAAAAGTGCTATGCGAGAGATACATGCAAAGCGAAACCAGCCATACAATGAGGATGACTACAAGAGATTGGAATCCCTGATGTATGATAAGATGTTGCTCAAGCTCCAGGCGGCTCAGGTTAGTCCACGGCCACGCAGTTTAAACAAGTCTAATGTCATCGTTTAGTTTGTCTTAGGCAACGACCTACAAGTTTGTCGTGATGCTCTCACTTCTGAGAAGAGCGACACCCTCCATCTACTGGAACGCATCAACATCAATTTGCTGGTGCAGAACTCCATTGTACCATCTGCTGTCAATCTCGCTCGCTTCAAAATTTCCGGAAAACTGCCCAGCCTTCAAGTGAACGTCTCCGACGCCAAGTACAAAGCTTTAATGCGCATTATAGATGTTGCGATCCCAAACTTTGATGATGGCGGCGACCAGAAGCCTCCTCAGATGCACATTGACACTGCACCACTCGCGTTGCCTTTGTCAGCTGGCCTGTTTGGGCCTGTTGGCACAGAATACAATGTAGATGATGATGGGGCCGACAGCGAAGCTGCGTCGACACACAGAGATGACTTGTTCTTTGAAGCAAGTGATGGCTCGCTCGAGGTAGTTCATGTTCTATCCTCCCTTCTCCCTTTTTTTCATCCGTTTTGCAGCATCCTGAAATCCGACAACACATCTTTGAGCTTGATTTTGAGGTTGACACCCTTCGTGGGGCTATCTCGAAGTCTTGTAATGATGGCAGTGAGAAGCCACTTGGGGAAGTCATCTTCCAGCAGTTCCGACTTGCGTTCTCGCTTCTCAAATTCAATATGAACGTAGACATTAACTTGAGGTACGTAGTGCAACCTTTCTGAGTTGCGGATCAATAACATGTATTCAGATCACTGGCGATGAACGTCGTACAAGCTGCCGGAGAGCCCATTCAGCTGATGTCTTCAGAAAGCACGGGTTCGGTCATTAAAGATCTCATGAAGATATCGTACAAACGGGTCCAGAAGAATTCACCCGAATTTGCTACCGTCTACGAGAGCATCGATCAAAGTGTTGATGTCCAACTATCCACGTTTATATTTCACGCTGCACCAGAACCAGTCGTGTCGCTGTACGATTTCATCATGACGACTTTCGTTCCTCAAAACGCAGAGCAGTCCGCAAACACAACTCCAAGTGCAATTGTTGTTTCGGCTGACGGGGAGTTGTCGCCGCCTCCTAGCGACACGGGAACCATCAGAGTATCTGTCAGACTTGATAGTGTGCAAGGTCTGTCTTTTATTCAGAGCCATCAGCAGCGCCCTTACAGCACATGCAGTCATGCTCCTCAACGACTTCAATAGCTTGGCCACTCTTTCTTTATCTACTGCAGATGTTCAGTTGCTTCTCCGGGCGAACACGATGAGGATTACCGGTCGCTTAGGAAGCCTTGCATTGAGTGACGATCGCTCAAAGGAACTTGCCAGGTCGCAATTCAAGCAAATCTTGTCGATCGAGGGCAAAAACTTCGCGGAATTCCGTTATCAAACCCTTGATACTGCAGAAACTTCAATCTCGGGCTTTAACTCATCTTTTTCTCTGAATGTCGGGTCTCTCAAGGTCCACTTTTTGGAGCAACCTCTGCACGACATTTATCTATTTGTCACCAAGCTAGCAAAGCTTAAGGTTCTCTATGATGCTGCGCGTGACGCTGCAGTCCAGAGAGCTTCGGAGATTGAGAGAATGCAATTTGACGTCTCCGTCAAGACACCAATTATCGTTTTCCCTTCAGATCCTAGCCGTTTGCAAGACGTCCTGGTCATGCGACTGGGAGAGATCAGCGCTCGTAATTCACACGAGGCTGACGCTAGTAAAATCACCGCCAGTTTATGTGGCATCCAGCTAGTGTCCGACATCTTCTATGATGAGGAATCCTCTATGCTGAAGATGGTCGATGACATAGACATCGTTGCGGAGGTGATTCAAACAAGCGGAATCGATCGACTGCAGGAGAGTGGACTTCCAGACACCCAGGTAGCACATTCTTACTATGACTATGATAGTCTTTCTAACAGCGAGAAAATATCAGATTGCAGTGAAGATATCTGATGTCAAGCTGTACTTGACACAGACTCAATACATTCTTCTCATGAAACTCGTGCAGTCCATACCCAAAGTTCTGGTCGCTTCACCGGAAGGAAATGCCCAGGCAGAGTCAGCATCGCCCGTGCATATCAGCGACAGCAGCGGTACTTATAGCAATCCTGTGGTGGACCTTGAGCCCGAACTCCACGTAGCTGAAGGAATCCGCGCGTGGACGACTGTGGATTTGGTCGCTTCCGTCAAGATGGTAAAGTTGCACCTGTACGATGATTTGGCAACCCGTGAAGACAACCTTGAAGACCATGGCATAGCACGCTTTGCCCTCAATGATAGTAGCTTGCGCTACAAATCGATATCTGATGGCGCTGCGGAGGCTCAAGTTGTGTTGAAGTCATTCACAATAAGCAATACCCGCCCAGGAGGGTCCAAGTTCCGTGAAATTATACCTGCGGCAGACCACGACCGTAATCAATTCATGGTGCTCTACACGATGTCTGGCAGCTCTTCAGTGGCCATTCTGACTGTGGATTCACCGCACGTCATTCTGGCTATCGATCCCGTCATCGCATTATTGGAGTTCTTCACGAGCGCATTTCAGCAGGACACCCCAGCTGACATTGACCACTCATCTACGGCTGAGTCTCAACGCGAGGTACCTCAGTCTCGACTTGATTTCCGACTTGGTCTGCACGATGTTTCGGTTAATGTGCTAGAGAACGATGAAGACGCGAATTCCCAGGCTATCAGGCTGTACATTGACCAAATTCTGCTGTCACAACAAGTGCGTCCTTTCTTTCTATGTATCACCGCGGTGCTAAGAACGGTGGCATAGGGGATCCTTGCGTTGACTGTCAATCAACTCGGGATGTCACTTATCCGCATGGGCGCCGATGCAGACACTGTACGCTTTTTGGATGATGTTGACTTGACCTTCTCTATGGATAGTCGATCTTCGACAAGAGAACAAATGACGAGCATGGAACTCGCTGCCAAACCTATTGTGTTCCGGGCCTCCTACCGAGATATCATGCTAATCACCACCATCGCTAGCAAAGCGGTGGACCTGTATGGCAAATCTCAAAACCACTCTCCCGTGACCAGCACCGCTAACGCGAAGTCCGTACAACCATACGAGGGGTCCAACCAAGCATCACGATCTAATGCCACGAGAAGCCACAGACAAGCTATCGGGGAAGCCCGCGTTTTGGTATCCAAAGAACAGGTACGTCGAGATAAGATCTACTGGCTTGATTACAAACTTATTCTGTCAGCTCAAAGCATCGTTCGATGGATTTCGTCTGATTCTCATAGGCGACATGCATGAACAGCCTATGCTTCACTTAAAGGTCAAGCCATTTATCATCGGAGCTCGGGATTGGTCTACAGACGTGCGTAACGAACAGCCTTCATGCTGATCCCATAGTTTAACTATCCACTACCAGCTTCGCGCTACTGCTACCCTTGCGACCCAAATTAGCTACTGGAACTTGACAAATTCACACTGGGAACCTTGTAGGTGGCCTTATTTTCAAATATCTTTCCATGCTAAGTAAATCATGTAGTAATCGATCCGTGGACTTTTACTCTTTCAGTGAGTCTACTGATATTCGAGGAATGGGGTAATATTTATTTATTTTAGGTTGGCCGAGATCAACGCTCTAGTGAATTCAAGGTATCGGTGTCAGCGCAAGAACGTTTAGATCTCAACGTCAGTACTACTTTTGTGGAGCTCGCTGTCACTTCTGCCAATATGTGGGGTAAGGACGGACAAGTCGTGCTACAGAAGGCCCGTGGAAGCTTTGCACCATACCGTATCAGAAACCGCACTGGCTCCCCCCTCTTCGTTTGGTCTGACGATGACGCTAGTCGCAGTTCAAAAGACGCCAGTACAGTCAAAATTGCAAATGATCAAACTATAGACTGGAGGTTTGATGACTGGAAGACAATGCGCGAGGCAAGTAAAATTACACGTTTTAGTGGTACTGTTTCTGACCTTGCCCTTGTAGCATGTCTCGACGTCTGAACAACACAACATCGGCATACAGATTGTCGGCAAGCCATGGGAAGCACTGAGGGGCATACCAGTTGACAGAGAAGGGGAATTTACGTTCTCCCTTCGCCCTCGAATGGAGAAATATGCCGATCGCCTGCTGTGTGCTGTTTCGGTTGAAGACAACGTAAAAATCGTTACGCTCCGTTCCACGTATCTGGTCGAGAATCAGACCTTCTATCCACTGGAACTTATGCTAGTGGATCATACGGGACATCCAGTTTACTCGTTGGAAAAGATAGGTCGGTACTGAAAAGCGCTTGTGATTCGGTGGTTAATACGTCCTCAGCCCCTGGCCAGGACTACTCTCTGCCCATAGAAGCAGTAACTCAGAACAGAATCAGATTGCAGCCAGATCGTGCGTACCCACACACTCGAAACCTGTGCAGCATACTCAACTAGTCCTTTTAAGAGGGGTTTGGGTATAGATGGTGCTCTTCCATACGCTTTGAGGACCTCATTGCCAAGAAGAGTCTCACAATTAGTTGCCCTCACAATGACCAGCGAGAAGCTCCCTTCCGATTTCAAGCTTGGGCACAAAGTGACTCAAACGAGTCTGGAACACGGTAAAGCTATCTTCACATTTGCATTCATCCCTACCACTAACTGCGTTCCTCAGGAAACCTCCGAAAATCAAACTGAAACTCCGCGCTCCAATCGAGCTTGAGAACCTACTGCCTTACAATATCCAGTATAGAATATATGACAAGGATGCTGATCAAAACTGGAAGAGCTACCTCAGAAAGGGTGGCGTCATGCCAGTGCATTCTGTGGAACTAGGTCATTTGGTCCTATTGAATGCTGAAGTTCAGGATACGAGTGAGTCCAATAACTCATGCGAGTACGTTCACTCATTGTAGAAATTAGTCTTCAAGCCCAGTGACTTCGCCATTATCAACACTGATCGGAACTCAGACTTTGAAGTAGAGTCTCGCCTGAGTCTGCGGGACCAGAGTAATCGCAAACTTGATCTACGTTTAAACTACGTGTTCGTCCTACGCCCCTACCTTTTCATGATTGCAACTCATATATTCCTAGACGCTATCCCGAGTCCGGCGGTGCCTTCAAAGTGCAGATATATTGCCCGTATCTCATCGTTAATAAGACCGGGTTGCCTTTTGGTGTGAAGGCTTCACGCTCTCATCGGGCGACATCCCCTGTCGAGATTGCCGCTGATACTAGACTCGGTAAATCCCAGTCGATGACTACCATGGCTTGCTAACCATGTTCGCTAGATGTCATTTCCAAGCCAGTTCCATTCTGTGGGTATCCACATATCTTTCTTATTACGAGGAGCTTATCGTCTCACCAGTGTTGTCACACCCTAATGACAATGGTCATGCGTTTGTGTTCAAAGTCGGTGAATCTGGCTGGTCGAAGGTACGGTCGAATGATGGGAAGTTGTTTTTATTATGTCTAAATGTTGCCCTTTAGGTCTTCAGTCTAGAGGCTCCTTCTGCTGAAACTGAGATTGTTACACCATCCTCAAGGCAAAAAGCAGAGGAATATCACATTGGATTGTCATGGACTGAAGGGTTGGGGAAATACAAGCTTACCAAGGTTATAACTCTCGCCCCAAGGTTTCTCATCAAGAACAACCTGCCTGATCCCATATGCTTCAGAGAGCATGGCGCAGCACCCAGAGGACGTGCAATACTCGATCCAGGTGAACGTTGTCCAATGCAGATCATGCGTGCCAGCCGGGAAAAATTGCTCACCATTGCGTACCCTGGACTCAATTCCCAGTGGTAATATCCCAGTCATATTGTCTCTGGTACCTTCCTGATGATGTCTTAGGTCTTCACCTATAAACATTGAAGATATAGGTTCCATTCACCTTCGCGTTCGACTACCAGATGGCGACATGCATATAGTGAAGGCCGACGTTGTGATTGATGGATCCACGATATTCGTAATACTGTCTGCTGCGGAAAAGTGGCCCTTCGTGATTGAGAACGACAGCGATTTCTCTGTCTCCGTGATGCAATGGGTATGGGTTTCCCACCTCTTGCACCTGAAAACAAGTCCTCAATGTTGACTCCGTAGGATTCCAGTCGTGGTGACACTGACGCAGTGAAATCTTCGACCCCACGATACAAGTTGGGGCCTCACTCAAGCATGACATATGCCTGGGACCAACCTGCTGTCAGGGAAAAGAAAATCATGCTCATGATAAATGATTCTCGCCGCCCTGTGGATATCATGGAAATTGGCGTTCTCGTACCATTCAAGTTCCATGTACCTTTGCTTCTCCTTAAGTTCAAGTAGTTACTGACGTGCAACCTAGGATCGCCAAAGGACCCGTGCCGTTTCATTAGATGTGAAAGCAGATGGACACCAACAGATATTGCGGATCACACCATATGTTGCTGAGCATAGTCTCTACAAGCCGAAACACCACAGTTCGAGCTCCCTCTCGCGGTCTGACACCATGACCAGCAGCTCAGAAGGTTTTGAGGCGATCATGGAAGACGTGTCTCCAACATTGACATTCAACGTGGAGTTCGCAGGAATAGCAATATCCTTGGTTAACCGCAAGATGGTCGAAGTTGTTTATACGTCTATCGAGGCTTTCAAGTTCGAGTACAGCAACAGTCCTGTTTCACAGTCGGTGAACCTGTCCTGTGGCTCACTACAAATAGACAACCAGCTACACGATGCGCTATATCCAGTCATCCTCCAGCCTAGCCCGATATCCAAGGAAGCTAGTGGTATTGCAATTCTGCCGACAATACAGGGTTCAGTGATTTGGCTCAAAGACCAAGGTCAGCAAAGCTTCCTGGCCTAGTTCCAAAACCGTACTCAGACTGTAAATTCAGAACACGGCGTCTTATTCGTCAAGTATTGCTCTGTCCTCCTCCAGGCGCTGACCATCGAAGCAGACGAAGATCTACTTTTCGCAATATATGATCTTACCCAAATCCAGGGTGTGTCATGGGAAGAGAACACTGAGGAGTGAGTGTAGAATTTAATTCCACGACTTTTCTTCCGGCTCACACGTGGGGTCAGTGTTTTGATACAACATCCAGAAGAAATACCAGAACCTCAGCTTTCTGCTCCCGGACAAGATGTCTACTTTGAAGTTTTGGAACTTCAACCAATACAGCTGTCTCTCTCGTTTATGCGTACCGAAAGAGTTAGCAGCGAGGAAAAGTACGAACCGTGCTTCGACATTGTCCGTTAGCTATGTATGTACTAATTGTCTCCCTTTAGACTCAGCATTCGCAACCCTCTAGCTGTTGTCGTCAATGCATTGACAATGACTTTGGGTAACGTCAATGACGCGCCGTTGGAGTTGAACGCACTGGCCATCAAAGACATGCGACTGACGATACCTGAATTGCAAGCTAGGATTGCTTACCATTACCGTCAGGATATTCTTCGCCAGCTTTATCGCATCCTCGGATCAGCCGATTTTATTGGCAATCCTGTTGGGCTCTTCACGAATGTCAGCTCTGGCGTGTCAGACATTTTCTATGCCCCGTACAATGGGGTCGTTATGCATGGCAACAAGGAGCTAGGGATTGGAATTGCCAAGGTACGAGACGAAGTATAATCGCAGACTATCTCAGTTGATCCTCTATTAGGGTGCTGCTAGCTTTGTGAAAAAAACGGTGTTTGGCTTATCAGATAGTATGACCAAGTTCACTAGCAGTGTTGGCAAAGGTACGCAAAATTTGGATTAAAGCGTTTGGATCGTTGCCGATGTCATCTTCCAGGGTTATCTGCAGCAACGTTTGATTCTGAGTATCAGGCTCAACGTAGAATGAGTCAGCGGCGCAACCGCCCGCGTCATGCTATGTGAGGGGTTTTTTTTTTGAGTAAGCTTGGGCAACTGACCTTCAATGCTAGCTACGGGGTTGCAGCAGGGGGTGAAGCCCTTGCGAGTAGCGTGGTCAGCGCAATGGAAGGGATCGTTGTAGGTCTTTTCCACTCAACTTTTCTTTAGCTATGTTTAATCGGGTCTTGCCAGACAAAACCTATACAAGGCGCTGAAACAGAAGGGGCGCTCGGCTTCTTCAAGGGCGTTGGAAAGGGCCTCGTGGGGTAAGTCAAGCATACTACGCAGTATCTCTTGTTTATCTTGTTCGTGTGAAGCGTTGTTACCAAACCGGCCGTTGGGGTCTTTGACCTTGCGTCTAATTTATCCGAAGGTCTGTCATGTCACGTTCGCCACACAGGGGATAACTTATCGTGCGCCTCGCAGGGATCCGCAATACAACTACTGTATTCGATAAACCAGAGAGAGATCGTGTTCGTCTGGTAGGCAATTGCGTATTCCACTCGATTTACAATTTATACCATGTTTACAGCCGAGACATGTCCCACCGGATGGCATTTTGGTGGCAAGTAATTTCCTTGAGCATTACATGTCATCCACTAAGCTCCGTTTACTAGCCGTTCTCTGCTCGTGAAGCCTTGGGTCAGTATTGGATGAGGGATCTTGACAATGGCGCATTTCGCAAAGAGGCCTACGTTGCACACATCGGTATGCTGGTAGTGTTGTTTACTGAGCATAGCTGATTGTGTGATAGATTCCCCCGGTAGCGACAACGTCATATTGCTGACTTCGACACGAATCCTTTCCTTTTGGTCGAAAAAGCTCCGCCTTGATTGGAATGTCCCCCTGGCCATGGTGCAGGGCATTGCAGTGGAAGATACTGGCATCCGTTTCACCCACAAGTCTGGAAAAGACAATGACAAATTCGTATTCATACCAGACAAAACATCTCAAGCTTGGTTCTTTAGTCAAATCGCGGCTGTAGTCAAAGCCTTCAACAATCGTCGTAGAATGGATTCATGATAGAACGCAAAGGATTTGGATTCAATGTAAAGACTGTATTCTCTAGCATTTGTACTATGCACAAGTAGATCACTATATATGCAATGAAGCTGAATCGCGTGGAATTCAATGAAACAAATACGACAGATGATCAGGAAGCAACGAGTGTGGTGGTGGGAAGTTGAAATGGGCATCCCAAAAATAACGATAATGACGATGCAGAAGTGGGTATTGGCCATAGGTATAAAATTAGACTGCTGATTGCAGTCAAGCGTGCCGTCCAAGGACCTGCCCTTTCGACACAACTGTATCCTCGCTAAGATATGGTTCGAGTTTGAATAATTGCCGTCGCTGTACTAGAGACTCGCTCTCTAACAGGCGCTTTTGTGAGCTGAGAAACGACCTGTTTCCCGTAATTGCGGCTTTGATTGGTGAATTCAGTGGAATCGTCAGAATCATGATAGAGAGGAGTGTGGCGGCCATCAAAACTGACGTAGCTATCCCGAGGACTTGTAGAATAAGCACTCTGAAACTCAGTGTCCGAGTCATCTGTGATGGAACCGATTGCAGGTGTAAGGGCAGGAGTGGATGATGTTGCTGTTTCAGGAGAGAGCGCAGATAGAGATGCACCAGAGGCAATCTTACGGAGGGGTTGCATGGAACCAGCAACAGTGCCCTCATCAGCGCTACTCTCTACCTGGGGTTCCACGTGCGGGATTCTCTGGTCTGCCCGGGGGGAAGCTGCCCGGCGAGGGGTAGCCGAAGACGATATGGTATCTAGTGAGCGACGGGTGATGGTACTGGTTTGCGTTGAGGATGCGGTGTTGCTACGAGCTCTCTTTTTCGCTTTACCAGGAGGGTTATTCACTAGCTTCGTTCCTTTGGGTGGACGTGCACGAACAGGAACAGCGTCGGAGTCGTTGCTTCGTTCATCCTCTGTAGAACTATGGGCAGCAGCAGACCTGTTCTTCCATTCTTGAACCCGTTCTGAGGCCAGTGCAGTCTCAAGCTGAAGGTTCCGTTAGCTACAGCGTCGCCAAGAACAATGCGGGAGAGTTCACCTTCTGTTGGATCTGCAATACTTTCTGTGCGATTCTATCGCTCCTTTCACTGATACCCTCGTCGACGGCCATCATACCATCTTGCACCAGCTCAGCCTGAGTTGCGGAGAAACGCTTCGTCTTTGCAGGCGACGATGGCGTCTCGTCTTCTTCCGCAATCGTGTCAGTCTCACGATCGCTTTTGCTGTGCACAAGAGTCTCATCGCCGTTCTCGTATTGTTCCGCAAGAGTAGATTCCGTCCCGAAGCTGCGCAATCTGGATCCACTATTGACCGAACCATCCTTGACTGCGTCACTGGCTCTCCGTGAGCGTGAGCCACTGGCAGACCTCGCTGCTGACATGCGTGACCCTGGACGGGATGCGAGGTCCCCTTCATAGTCAGACTCGTCGACGTCGACAGCCATGGAAGCGAGTGCACGTTCGATCTGGGCCTCGACCTCAGCAACCATCTCCGCACGTTCTTCCTCCATCCTTTCCATGGTCTCGCGCATGCGCTCCAACTCAACAAGAGCTTCCTTGTGCGCACGCTCCGTATCATGCAGCTCTACACCGTTTTGTTAGTATCGCTGTGTGTACATCTCGATCGATGCTTACGTGACTGCAATTTCGACTTCTCAACAGCTGTGAGGTTGACCAAACCACTTAGGCGCTTTGTCTCTCTTTGCTCCTTCCCGATCTTGCTACGCAGTTGGCCAGCCTCGGCACTCAAGCGCTCTGCGTATTGCTCGAAAGTGACAAACTTATCCCGCCATAAATCTGCTTCCGTCATAAGGAAATTGAGACGGCGAGAAAGACGACCGATCTTTGTCTCAAGGTCATCACGAGCATCGACAAATGCAGTGGCACGCTTGCGAATGGAGAGCTGAATGTGCTGCTCGGCAGGAGTGAGCTTGGGAATGCGCCGAGCTGCGCCGAACGAGGAGAGGCGTTTGAGAAACGAAGGCTTCTTGAACTGGGCCAACATCGTGAGCATACAGCCAGTCATCAAAAACTGAACGCAACCTTATCCTGGAGTACGCTGTCGAACGCTTGGATAATCCGCGTGGAATGCCACCACTCAGGTGCTTTGATTGTGTCTGCGACAGCAGCAGTCTCACCACCGCGTTTCGCCTGAATCTTGCAAACAGGGCGGAATCGACCCGCGGGGAAAGCTTCCTTGAATTCCCTAAGAATATTGCGCTTATACTTAGTCTTTACATTCAGACAAACAGAAGCAATGCAACTCACGAAGGCACGCTATGATCAGGATGATAGTGCGGCTCGAAAGCAGTGAGTAGACGTTGCCTATATTTGTCCCGTTGCTGCTTAGCAGATACTACACCAGGAGGGGGAGATGGGCAGCTCAGGTAGTTGATATCTCTGTTTATGCTGAGCTTCTCTGTTGCTTGGCAATTTATGAGATAACTTACAGGTCAACTACGCAAACCTCGGGACCTGGACGCACGCTATACCTCGTTTCAGTGGCAAGGCCGAGGATCCATGGTCCAGGGTCATCGATGTAGATCTTAGCATCTCGGGCATGGACGGAAGGCAGGGCAATGCCAGACCAACCACGTAGCTCGACAAGGTATTTGATTGTGCATACCGCGATCTACATCGAAAGCTCGTCAGCTGTACAAAAAAACGTTTTCAGACATCAAGTACGCACTCCGAGCATGGCAGGATGCCTAGAGTAAAACAGGATACGACCCGTCGGCGCCAGGGCGATCTAAAATAGCGTCAGCGCGGAACATATAAAGATGCACACAAACGTGACGGACCTCACATATAGTGAGAATATTATCAATGTTCAGGCACTTGAACAGGGGCCACATTGTAAAATTGATGTCCACGAGACCTCGGCCAAAGTCCAAGCCACCAGGGAAGCGCGCAATGACTTCGAGGTTCGTGTCGTCAGTTTGCGGGGTGGTGTGTGAGGGAATGGGGGAGGAGGAGGCATCGAGTTTGATGAGATCACCGGCGCGCGGAGCGGGATGGGCCAGGATTTTGGAGATCTGCAAGGTGTGCGACTGGACATCTTTAGAGAAACGAGCCCAAGAGAGGGTTAAGTAGTCACGCATGAGATCGTAGATCGGGTGACGCGACACCAGCGCTAGTTATGCGAATCAAAATCATTGCACATGAAGAGCGAAAGACACACGTACTGAGTGCATAAGGGAGCCAAAACACGGTATCACCAGGCAAGAACAGAGTACTCTCGCCAGGACCGTGGCCACCTACGGTACTTGCGACGTCATAATCACTCTCGCTGATAGCACCAGCATCGGTTTCGGCACCCTCGCCGTCGGTCTCACCGTCAGTACCGGACCAAGGCCCTTTGAAACTCTTTTTATTCACTCTCCTGGCTGGATCTCCAGCTGACTGAGAAGACCCTGGAGGGTTTGTAGAGCGCAGGGCTCTCAGCCGAGTAGCTACTAGTGATTGTGCACTCTCCTTGCGTGCACGACCTGCTTCCAGAGTGCGGCGAATGGCCGAACTTCTCTCGGCATCAGCATGACTCCATACAGTTAGACAGACACCATGATAGGTAACTGTTGAGCCATTGCCTCCCGACGCTTGTTTTTCAAACATGGGAGATGCCGGGGATGCTGGAGGTGGTTGGAGGACGCTCGGTGGACCGAGGTATGCTGATGAAGGACGGGCATTGAGGAATGGGTCGTCAGTGTAAGGGAAGGAGAATGTGGGGGCTGCAGAGGAACGATCCGTTCCGGTGAGGACAGAGGCGCGAAGTAGACCCACTTCAGAAGGAGCAGGTGCGAGTGGAGTGGAAGGCGCAGGAAGGGTGAACGTAAAGGTATGAATTGTGCTTGCCGGTTGGAGCGTTGATGCGATGATTTCAACTTCACGCGTGAACGAGAGCTGTACGAGAAGGTTGTAAGTAACGATAAGGACCCTGCGATATGAACCTGCCTTGAGCGCTTTTGATAGCATTTTTCCTACTTCGGCTTTTGATAGAGCACCTGCACCCTTGAGGATCTCGGTACTTTCGCCCTTATTTAATTTCTTCTTTTTCTTGCCGCCACCAGCACCAGGGCTCACAGTGCTGCCGAGGACCTCGGGCCTCCACCAGCGGGCGACTGCACCCTCTGAATGAGATAAACCGAGGACGGCATCGGGGTCGGCAAGAGTCCATGTATGAGGACTCTTTGGAAGCCCTGAAACGACGTAGAGAGAAGTGAGAGGAAGGGTTGGGGCATGTTGGGTTGGAGTTGATGGTGCTGAACGAGTTGACACGATGGACGTGCGGGTGGAAGCTGGAATAGGCTCCATGGACTTGCGATGAGCAATTCCTAGGATGCGAGAAGCCTTGTCCACCGGACGGGGAGAACGAGGAAGTTGAGATTGAGTTTCAACTGGAGCTGATACAGTAATATAGTCGAGCTCGTCGGCGAGGGCGGCGTCCGGGGAAGAAGAAGAGGAAAGAAGAATATTAGAAAGTTTGTTACTGGAATGGTTGTTACCGGAATGGTTCGTATTCGAAATGTTTACGATTGTGTTGCTTTGGGCCGCGTTAATACACGCGCTCGAACTAGACTTGATCGACGTTTTGCGCAAGTTAGGATGAAAAGAAATATCAGAGTAACGCGACTTGAGCATCTTTTCACTGATACCAATTGGCAAGACAGTAATTGGACTCGCTGCTACAGCAGGAGCCTGGACGCTTGGTCGGCGAGGCGGAAACGAAGACATTTTACGAGAATACAATCAGGCCAACTTGAGTTAACTGTCGTGAAACGACCACCGTAAAAGAATAATTGCGAAAGGAGCGAACAAAATGAATGAATGGAATGCACACAAAGTGCAAGTTTTAGATGGAAGTACAGGTCAAAAAAGCAGCTGAAGCGGGCACTACTTCGCCTCGAGTAGACGTTACTTACGTCGGGTAATTTGACGGTCCACTTTAAAGTTAGTGTTATATAAATGGCGAGACATGTTTTCCCTCCATGAACTTGACCTAGTGTCACGCGTCGACGCCGGAAAAGTGATTGTGCAAGCAAGCTGCAGCTGAACGACGACGTTACTAGTTCACAAAGTCAACCTGGAGTCAACCTTCAAATGAACGGGAGCACAAACGGGATCGACATAGATCTAGATGCATTTCACACACTCATTTTCCTATCGTACGAAAGCTCCTGATGGAAATTCCAACGATTGCGTTGTCAAGGGACGCGCTGGGTCGTAAGTGACCTCAGTATTAGCCCCATATCTTGAGAAGAACAAGGTACATTACCTCACTAGTCTTCGCAAAGCCAAGCCAAGCCCTTCGCATGTTCCTCAATGGCGCTTGAGTGGTGTCCACCCCCACTAATGTGCGTGGTTCAGTCCAAGTCAACAACATTCGCTCACAGAAAACATTCAGAATTGTTAGACGTGCAGGCTACGGACACTCTCAAACGTTGGAATCCGATTCGTGTGATAAATTATGCTCTGTCTTCATGAATACACTAACCAGCAGACACAGATGAGTCTCCTCGCATTGCCAAAATCTAGAGGTACATCAGATGTCTATCCTCAAAATGATATATGTGATCCACAACACCAAAACACCCCAGTGCCAAGGTTCCAGGCAATTTTCAGACAGACTGATATGTGCCAGACTGGTTGGCAGGCTGTGGTGTGGAGCTGACTTTTGGGGGAGCACGTGGGGCGTCGTCTTCCACGGTCTGGTACCCATCACGACCACTGGAGGTGAAGCCCCCAGGCATTGACCAAACTATGACAGCATGAACGATCCGATGGCGAATACTTTGCAGGATTAACTTACCTGTAGGACCATTGATATCAGTTCCGAGGCCGGGGAACTGTCCCCCGCGTTGACGAACGGCAATCAAGAAGGAACCAGTGGTTGGTAGCTCGATGGGAGTTAATTCAAACCGCAATGATGGTGTTTTAATTTCTCACCTTTAAAAGCAAGAGGATAACAGTAAGCAACCTAAGAAAGGCGCCTTGTTCATTCCTGATCATCCACAATACGTCATAGAATATCGACAACGATAACAAGCCCGCGAACTGGCTCTGTGTTGAGGTCACGGAGGAGGATAGGAGTGGCGATGCGTACCAAGTTCAACGACTGTGCCGCGTCGTGGCTCTCCTGTACATACGAGCCGAAGAGGAAGATAGGCAGGTTGTATGCTGGAACAGTAAAAGGGCTGATTATGAAGGCCAGCGCCTGCGCGATGCGTCATGAGCAATCCTTGCCCAGGATGACTGAGATGAACTTTTCTACTTACTGTCTCGGCGAAGATCAATTTTGCTGGGTCAAGAACCTGGATGAAGTCTGCCATTTTTATTCGAATGTAGCCTCAGTCTGCCGTGGATGTGTTGGAACTTGGAGGAAGTTTCAAATGAAAGGGACTGCGTGATGTGACTTCCATTTTGGTGAGAGCTCCGCAGAGTCCGCACAGACTGGTTCAACCGCTCAGTTTGGTCTGGTTGTAAACCGAATTCAACACTTCACTAGTTTCGTCATCTGTGTCCCTGCCTGGTCTCAGCAAAGGTACTAGTAGCAGGCGATTCGCGAGTTTTCTGGGCAACTTAAGTCTACCAAGCGTTCGTTCATGCCCAATAACCGTGACCGCGATCATATTGAGGAGCTGTTACGAGATCCTTTTGGTCCATATCGCGACGAAGAAGTGCTCAGTGCGGAATGCCAAAGCAAGCAAGGACAGACCCTGGTACTTAATTCATTTCAACTGGCTTACAACGACGAGATCATTGGGTACTGTTCTTGCCCCTTTGTACCTCGTGCATCTCGCTGAGTGCCCTTGACAAGACTCGACGAATCCGAGCAACCTCTAGGTACCGGAGAGGTAGACGCTCGACAGTACCGCTTTCGTGGAATTCTTAGCATACGTTTTCCCTTCTGGCTATCTCAAGTCGGTGTCAAACGAGTGGAAGCAGAGCTCAACTCGCGTGCGCTCACGCGCAGTATGCGTGAAGGGCAACGTCCTCTCCCTGCAATAACGCTCGAAGAACTATTTCGTTTGAAAAATAAATATCTTGGCCGCACACTCGTACCAGGTGACAACGAGGAGCTCGAGCTCAAGTTGAAAATACAGGGGTTCAAGAACTTCCCAGCTCTCTACATGATGTGTGAGTTTGGACGCCCATACGTTACAATTCCGAAGCACTAAGGTTCAACATCTTCAGCTAAGCAAGTTCCACATGGATTGTTCTGGAACTCCAAAGACCGGTGGGTATCATGACATGTGTGATTGAGAAACGTTTTCACCCTCCTTTAGTGGCCGCAGCTACGAAGTTGCAACAATGGACATATCCACCTTCCAACGTTCCGAGAACTTCTTCTGGCGCTACCGTCTCCTTGCCCTCATGACAAAGATCGTTGGAGAGGCACGAACGCCTGTCGAAAAGCGAACGCCTGAGTGGTTTGTGTCCCAATACATCGAACGGTTCGCTCATCCTGCCAGTGATGAACACGAGCGACTCATCTACGACTCTGATGATTCCGATATCGACGAAGGCAAAACCCGCTTACCCCGTTACCCAAGGCGAGTACACAGGCGCGATGTTCTAGGGCTATTTGCTGCCCAGTCGGAATGGTTCATTACTGATAACGAAGTAAAACGCAACCGGATATTCCCTTTCAAGTCATGGAATCAATTTAGAAAGGAAGTTAGAAAAGCAAGATGGAAAGCTGCTCGTAACAACGTCATCTGGGGCTGGCCAATTGGTCGTGAGCATGATCCGGACCTGGAGTCAGACCCAGACAATGATGAGGGGGAGGAAGAGGAAGAGGAAGATGACGAGGACACAAGAAATGTGGTGATGCAGAATCCCATTATTGGCAAGCCAAACGAGGTTGTGCGCCGTAAAATCGACAAAGCCAAGAACAAATCAACTCTGTCGTCTGCCCGGCGTGCCGAATCTATCTCATCGTCGTCATCCTCAGATGATCTCGATCCTGCTAGGGCACATGCATATATGTCGGACTTCTCTGGGGAATCATCTGTTGCTGCTTCTGATTCTTCGGATGAATCAGTGGACGCACGCCTGCCCGAGTTTGGGGAGCTCATTCCACACCAGTTGTCTCAGGTCCCAGAATTACCAGGCCCCGATAACCGCTGGTGGTGTCCTGTGCCTGATTGCGGGCACATGATTGACTTGCAGCATCTCACAGGAGACGATATAAAAGCCCTCCCAGGACCCACCGTCTTTTATCTTATGCAGAAGAAATGGCAGAGTATTCGAGAAGATGAGAGAGCTAAACAATGTTTTTTTGAAACGGTGTCTCAGCATTACGGGGATCATTTTGCAGATCTTGGCTTAACGTTTGTTCACACTAGGGAAAAGGTAAGCAGGTCGAAATCAGCCTTTTTCGATCGTTAACATTCTTCCAGACTGGAATAGATCGGATCAGGGGTAAACTACGTGAGCAGGCAGTGGTCACCGTGAAGGAGGAAGTTACTTAAGAGGCCCCCTGCTTCAGGTCTGGGACCTATGCTTATAGACCGTAATATAGATAGCAGCCTGTTAATAACATCCCATGGACGTATTATTCACTTAGTAACACTGGCAGCCCAAATATCTTCAAGGAATGACAGGATAATGATGATTACAATAGAGATAATAGTCCATGTGGTATAAATTATCTATGTCTAGCGTCCCGTCCCAGGAAAACGTCTCTTAGCCACATCCATCGCCTTCCCGTTCTGTAGGTTTCACCGTTTCTGCCGGCAGCGGTAGCGCCCTCTTCTATTACCTGCTGCGAGAGTTCAGCGTTAGGACCGCCCCAATCTCTCCTGCCCCGAATGTCTCCCGAGTGTCTTCCCTGCCCCTCACTCAAAGTCCGCCTCCGACCACCCGCAGAACCAGCCAAAGACATACTCTCGTTGACGACAGCTGCAAAGCCAAGCCCGACTCCACTGATACGCCTGGAGGTTCTTCTTGGCGAAGGGAGGAGCCCAAATCCAGGGCTGACGGGCGAGAGACCTATTGTCAGTCCTGCGGGAGACAATACGCTCGACAATTGATGTTGATGTGAAGATGGGCCAATAGTATGTATAGATGCAGATGGATCGAGGGTGGTAGGGTGTCGACGTGATGAGCGAGAGGTGTCTGGTAAGAGTGGAGAAATATCCGTCTGGTGGTCTGTGGAGGGAGGTGTAAGCTGCGAAGATGACGCACGGAGGGTGTGCAAGGAGACGGAACTCTGAGGGAAAACAGTGCCCTCCGACCGCACCCGGCGGTCCATAGGAGGTGCGACTGGCCCAGAGATAGATGAACTCTGGGGACCGACGGCAGTGCTTGCATATGAAGGGTAGGATATTGGGGGATTTGTTTCAGGAGTGACAGTTCCGCTGCTAGATACTGCTTGGTCTTCAATGTCAGATTCAGTTGCTATATCACTTTCATCAACGTTGGCTTGGGCACTGACTGCCCAAACCCCAGCAAGAAGAACAAACATGCCGACGATGACGAGGATAAGGTGCCACCCTGGGAGTTGCCCGAGCTGGTTGAAGTATACCAAACCATTGATAATCGATGAAAAGTTATAAAAGCAAAAAGCGGCTAGACAATTGCCATGTTAACGACGCTTTCGGGCAAAATACAAAGTGATAGGACACACATGGGCAGACAAACGCAGGATCTGCAAGCCTCAGACCGCGGTTAAGGTACCAAAGTTGTCCCAGAGCAAAAATAACGAGTCCACCAACAAGAATCCACGCTTCCCATCTGTAAAATTGATTGACACCGCCGAGTGTGAGGACAAGAAGTTCAACACCAGACTTTGCGAAGATCAAACAAAGCCCGGACAATGTCCCTGAAGCTGCAGCATATGCTAAGGCAAGAAGAAGCGAAGTCCGGCCAGGAAGTGGTACGCGTAATGGTGATGATGACTTTGAGGACTTGGAATGATGGCCACATTTTGGATCGAGTAGTGGCGTCACCTCAGATGCGAAGCCGCCGGTGACTTGTTCCTCAGCGAAACCAACAGCTGGATTACATGGTTGCTGAGTGTGTGTAGGAGGCAGCGGTGTCGGAGAGTTTAGAGGAGAACTATGAGCGGAGGTAGAAGAATGCCCTCTCCGTCGACGGCGGTCTCCGGGAGAGTCATCGTCATAATAAGGGCGAGGGTGGTAATATTCAGGAGTGTCAGGGTGTCGGCCTCGTCGATAACAAGGATCGTAGTATGGATCTCTGCGTCCACGAGGTGACCGAGACCGAGATCGTGAACGCGAAATGTGTGCCTGAGTACCAGGCAGCACGACTACTGGCGGGCCACCCGATCCAGCAACACCAACAGGAAATTCAAGACGAGTGGGAAGTCTGTCGGCATATTCAATGTGAGCTAGCGACGGCAATACGACAGGGGTGGACAGGGGCGAGTCACGATTGGCCTGCAACAATGAACAGGCTGCAGCTTCTAGTTGTCTCTTGTAAGAATATTCAACACCATGCGTCTGCGGGGATGTGATATGTAATGTTACAACGCTTTGTCGCGGCTAACACGCACCACGATAAGGCATACGAGCAGGATGAAACCCTCGGCGCAGAACCAGAATATAAACGCAGGACGCGCGAAGAGTGACATCAATTCGTCAAGACTCCGCGTAGTTTCAGGAACAATGCCATAGATAGCAATCAACGCAGCGCCACCCGCGATGAGAGCGGTTCCGAGGAGCATTCGTGGGCGAAGGAGGAGATTAGCAAAGAGGGCATTCCAAAGGAGAGAAACAGCGCCCAAGGGTGCCAGTATGACGACCGGAAGGGATGCTATTTGTATGAAAGATCCAAATACATTAGATATCAAAAAGATAGCTGACAGACATTGTGTTAGTTAGTGGAACGAACATAGGCAGAGGTTGAGCGTGCTCACCGAACCCTATCAACCATAATCTAACAAATGTAAGGCGATAGTGAGGTATAGAAGACATTTACGACTCACGGTCGGCGGTGTTCTACTTTCTGGTCTTGTTCTGGGAGCTGTGAGTTGTGAACATGGCTACGACGCTGGATCGCAAGGCCAAGGCTTTGGACAAAAGATGCGAGGAGTCCGATAGAAATCCCCAAAGGGATGGATATGTCTTGATTTAAATTTGTGTTGATAAAGAGTGAAGTGGGTGCTGCGGCGACATGGGTTGTAGAAGAGGTGATGTGTGCAGAGAGTGTGCCCATCGGCGAGGAGGGAATGAACTGAAACTGAGTGAGAACGTCCTAGTGCTGTCTCCCACTTGTCATTCAGGTGCCGAGTTGGTGCACGCAAGCGCTAGTAGCAGTAACTAGAAATAGAATAATATGTAGGCAAGAAGCCTTTGGTAGACGTGGTAGGCTGCACTATGTAGCAGCAACAGTTCTCAAGGGAGAACCCACGTGACCGACGCCAAGTTCACCCATCATGAAATTTAATTTTAAGGGCTTCATAATTATTCTCGAGCCAACATCTGTACAAGCCACCGTATGCAAGACACTAGGAGCTCTGAAAACGGTTTACTGTGATCATAGCGGGCTTTGGCATAATCGTCAAACCAACTTCTAATGTCAGCACCCACTGTTAAGTTGAAAACAGGTTGAAGTGGTGGGGTGCTCTGGCGACCGAGCCCAACGCATACGGCGACCTTCACCTTTTAAGTTTAAGGATTCGCTGCTGATATCAAGAAGTCCCAGATTCTCGCTGGTCGCTATAGGTGTTGGGTAGCTCATGCTACGCCGATAATCCAGGCTCAGCAACGTTTTGCGAGGCATTAATATTATTGGATGCAAACGAAAGAAGATGTGGGAACCTTGATCATATCTGGCCTTCTTGTCTTCTAAGGTCTTGTCGTTTCGAGCTTCTTCATTGCGTCTTCCTCACCTTCTTAAACGCAGTAGTCCGTGGTCTTGTGAGTCGTCCTGCTTACGTTTGCACTTCTTGGACTCCACTTTGATCTTCTTATCCTCCTCAACGGCGCATGCCTTCTTTCGTCTGTCTTGCGAACACGCACGCAATGCCTGCCTGGTGCCTGGTCTCCATCTGCTTGACATGGATTACTACATTATATTTGAGTCTTGTGAAAATACTCGAAGTAAGCCTGGATATGTAATACCTTCTTCGCGCAGCAGCAACAAAGTAGTTACTGACCTCCGGCAATGCTGGCCTGACCGAAGAACCCAGTTTATGACGGCTGCGAATAAAAAGACGTCGATGACATAAATGACTGGCTGTGGCTCCGCGAAATGCCATCAGGCCGCCGCTTCGGTCGTGACTGAAACATTACTACGGGCAATAATATTAATGATGATACGTGCCCATGCTTCAGCAAGATTAATATATAGTGGACTGGCCAGCCTTGGGAGCACCACAACTGGACTCGAAGGCCTTATGCAGCTTCGTTGTACGTCCGTCGTTCATGTGTGAAGTATACCGGCCTCTTCAAACACCACCAGTGTCGGCAAGTAAAAAGTGCAGCAATAAGATGCTGCCATTCTTCCTCTGCGGAATTCTCGAAGAACATGCATGTCACATGACCGCAGCATATGTGGCTGTGCACTCCATTAATATTCCCTGTCGCGTTCTGATGCCGCAGGCCCGCAGTTATTCAAAGCTTCAAGTTTAGCGCCGTTGGTCACTTTACATGTCTACCGAATATTGTCCCGAACAATCACCGTAAGACCAGCTATCAAGCTGACAATCTTCGTTCAAACACTCCAAGATACCCATTTTTCATAGTAATGTCAGCTCCTAGCAATTCCAAAGCTCAATCTAGCGATGCGTCATCAATGTCCACTTCGGATCCATCATCCCTCCGTGAACGAGGGGTCTATGAAGCGTCCGGTGACGATGACGACTCTGTCTTTACTGTGGTGGGAGATTGGGACACCACGCCTAGCCCTATGGGCTCTCAAACAGACTTGTCAGGTTCCTTAGAACAAGACATGTCCGAGGCCCGTCTTCGTCAACTGTATGACGAGGAAGAAATTGAACGTTACCTCCACCTTTTTTCTGCTGTAAGTTCTTGCCTTCCTCAATGGGTGATCTATCCTGAGGTACAACAAGTATGTGACGGAAGTGAGACTACCAGGTGCTTTGCGTAGCACAGGGCAAGTCAAAGCCAAGCCACCAAGTACCAGTCCCCTCCACCTTCCACGACTACCAAAACCACCGCCACTCCCTCCACGGCCATTTGGTCGTACCTCCGAACAAGCGAAACTGCCTATACCTCTTCCACCCACCATCTCCCAGAGACCATTGGATCCCTCCTGGTCCGAGCAGATCGTCTTTGTGAGTCCCACCGCAATCATAGTAATTAAATTTAAACTCTCTCAAGAAATATATACTACCAGCTCTTCCGCCGAAACCTCATCCGCCGCCATCCTTCGCTTTAAAGCGCTTGAAGCTCACTAGCCAGCGTTTTTTCCTCGCAGTAGTTCCTCATTACCAGGCTTTTTTTCTTTCCATGGCAAAATTAGCATTATGGAAAGACCCACAGCGTAGTGGACTATACTGCTCGGTAAGCAGGCTGTTCCTTTTTGAGATTCATATATTCACTAACATCCAGGGGTTCTGGATACTATGGTTATACGATCTCCTTCTCCCGGCACTAATGTTTCGAATCTTGTGGGAGATGCTCAGCCGGAGACTCTTGCCATACCCCACTCTAGAATCTTTACAGATGCGGCGAAAAGACTCCGAACGAGCTAAGGAGTTCGGAGACGAAATTCAAGAACGCCTATCGACACCTTCAGCGGGGCCGAAGGAATTATTTCAGCTCTTCAAATCCTACAGATCCACAGCAAAGAGTAAAATCAAGTCCGTTGCGAAGGAAATGGAGGCACTTGAAAGCAGTCCAACTGGCGATGGTGGCGACGCTGACGAGGATGAAGCAGCTACTGTTCTTGATGACGATACCCAAGAAGAGCAAGACATCAAACGAGATCTCCTGCACCTTCTTAATACCGTCGCTGACATTCACGAACGGATCAAAAAGTATGTATCCCTTGATTCATGAAGGGCTGTCAACTGAATACATGTTGTTATCAGCGTTTTCATCTGGAGACGACCGGCAGTCTCCCGAAGATATGCAATCGTGAGTAATCTCTGGAGATTACTTCGGTGTTGCAATTGACTCCCAGCAAGACTTTGGCTGTTGTGTCTTTCTGCACCCTGATCATTCCCGCGCATTACTTGGCAAAACTTATATATGGCAGCTGTGGGATATTGTTCTGGCATGCTACTCCTGTGTTGGCTGCTCTGCCACCAGGTGCTCGAGCCAGGTCTGTATTCAATACATGTTTGCGTCATATTCTGATAAGCGGCGAAATAGACTGCCTGGTCCGTTGACTGATGCCCCCACCGATGCCGACTATGCTATAGAAATAATCACACAGAGGATTGCTAGGGGCGAAGAAATCAAGCCTCCACGCAAGCCTCGTTCTTCAAGTGCCCGTGCTAATAGTGCAAACGAAGCCGACCCCCTGGCCATCCCGTCATCCGACACATCATCCAAAGGCCAGATGCAACCTAATGATGGTGTCGATTGGAAGAAATGGGGAGCACGTGTCGCGCAGGGCAAGTCGCTGCTTAGTGAAGGCAAACAACGCATTTCTTCGGGACAAGTGAATACGGTCGGTCTGACGTCCGCGACTTTACGAGACGAAGAAACACATAGTACGCTTATAATAACCCAGGTTGTGATACAACAATTACTGATCAACTCTCAGCATATCCTGCACACCATACTTCAGCGCCTGGTCTAATTACACTGACCGCTACCACATTGTACTTCACAGCTCTCACATCGCAACAAGCAAAATTAATCTTACCTCGCGAGAACCTCTGCGGCGTGAAGAAAACCGGTTTGATGAAAGGGCTTCTGATTTCCTGGGTCGAGGGCGAAGAAGGGCACGGAACAGAAATAGAAGAGAAGTTTCACTGGGTCGGCAATCGAGATGAGCTCTTCGCGCGCCTCCTTGGTCCAGATGGTGCCCGATGGACGCGAATCTGAAGGCTCGACGCGTCTGTGGCTGAATTGAAACTCAGAGAGCTCCGCGCAAAGGACCATATCCTCAGCGGCGTACACACTCGTATCCTTCCCCCCACCCATAATTTATTTGGTCTCTGCCTTTACTCACCTTTCGTACGTCTATTGTATGCATTGCACCTATTGATATCCTTGCCATTACTCGTAACCTTTTTGCTAACTTGATTTTGTCTTTTTTTCGCTCGCTCATTCAACCAAGGACCGTAAACTGCAGAATGTTTTTCTCTACCGAACTGTTGTCCAAGAGGGATAGCGGATTCGGTCTTCTTTGGTGCCGTTCTTGTATACTTCATTGACGATATATCTCATTGCTTGGTATCCCAAATACTAGGCTGGCCGCAACGCTTGGCTCGAAATCAGCTTTTAAGAAATTACCCAAGCGCTCCGTGTTGACTGCAGATATATCTCAATTGTGTGATCTGATTGCTTCTCCTTCGGAACCTCTTGCACTTCGGCTCTCAAGCAACTTGATGGTCGGGGCTGCACGGTTAGCAGATCAACTTCATTGGCGCCCTTGACGCTCACCAAGTCCCACAGTGTATATAAAGGTTTTACCATCCATGGTTGTGTAACCAATCCTTGTGCATTTATTGTTGCCTCTAGTCAAGCAGGAAATTTTTCTTTCTGATGTAACGACTTGCTTCAACTCCCTTAAGCGAGTCGTGCAAGAGTTCCATTCGATGGCTGCGTCCGAAGCCCGGCTTCAGATGGCTCAGCCGAGTGTGAGGTGAGTTAGCTCACACGATGTGAGCCTCCTCTGACACCCCCTGTCAAGGCCATCAGCTGTCACCCTTGCTGCTGATCCTGGCGCTGGATTTGGCATGGATTTTGACGCAATGGTCGCTGTACGTTTCTGCCTATCTTTTTGTTCGTCCCTAAGCCAATGACGTGGCTAGGACTGGGACGAATACTTAAATATCGGAAGTACATTACTTCACTGGATTTCAACTCGCGTATATTCATGGTCAATCTTAGACAACAAGGGAGCGGAAGGGGGCTCATCCGATGATGAGTACAATCCCAAAGCCAAGAGACCAAAAGGAAAGGGCAAGCAGTCTGCAGTTGCACCGGCTTCCACCGCGGAAAACGCCCGTGCCAATGCGCATACACTCAACGAAAACCACGACATTTTCCTCGCCAATTCTTTCGATGCCTCATTTGGCGGCAGCGGCGCCAACATGATCCCATCTTCCCAGAATGATAACTTTGGCTTCGACGAGAGTTTCTTCGGCGCATTTGATGGCCTGGATATTGGGGAGGGCGTCGGTGATGACGTCGTAAGGGAACTTGGTGAAGGTTGGGGAGGAGCCGCCTTGGAGAATCAAATTGAGTGTGTCTTTTTCGCCGCCAGCTGAAATCTTACTAAAATGTCCTAGCCGTGATATGCAAGTGGATGAACCGAATGACTTCGGGTTCAACGACGCAGATAACCTATATTTCGAGCACGATGTCCCTAATGACGATGTCGGTGCATTAGAGCAGAATATCTTGCCACTTCCTCCGTCAGCTTTTGCAACACCTCAAGGTACACAACAAAACTTAGCAGGTACGACGCATTACTACATATTGACTATCCTTATAATGAAAATATATAGGTGCCCTTCCTCCCTCATCATCCCTCACCGGACACTCGGTCGAATCCCCCACTGGTCCCTTGGCCGTAATTGCCCCTCAGACTGATGGCATTGAGCCCATTGCACCTGACTATCATCCGGCTGAACCCGCGCCTAAGAAGATCAAGCGGGCCAGGCTTCTTTTGGATGTGCGAACGGAGTTGACGGATGACGAATTAAAGGTGGGTGGTGACGCCGCTCGCGGCTCTACGGGCTATATCATCCCTTTCTGTGTAGGCTGCACGTCTGCATTATCTGGAAGAGCAGAATGGCATTCATCGACAACTCGCGCGGAAGAATTTTGAAAAGGATCAAGGCAGGGTCATCGATGGTTTGCTTTGGGGTGTTCCAGAACACAGTAAGCTTCAGTTTACTTACGCTCATCACGAGCTTACACTTTCAAGTGCAAGCCAAAGAATTAGTGGACTTTTGGCTGGATCATTTGAGGGCACAATTGGATGCTCGATCCGCATTTATGATGGAACCCCAAGGTCAGTGTTGCAACGCTTGAACTATGCGTTATCAAATACACACAATCTTCATTCAGACGATTCTCCCCCGTCAAAAAGGAGGAAGACCAAGATAAATGCTGAAATCTCCGGTGGAGTTGAGAACTCGAAAGTCCGCCCTGGAAGTCCTACGTTCAGTATAGGCCAGGCGAACCTAGATGACATGAATTTCGATGCGGGTGAAGTGAACTTTGACATGAATTTCGACATGGGTGGTAAGTTATTTTGGTACACCATGGATGGCTGTGACCCACCATCTCCACCTCCTTCAGATGGCTGGGGTGGCGCAGACGATGCGGGACCTGAATTGAATAATCTGCGCTCGTCCGAGGTAAGTTAACTGGCAACGCTTCCCGTATTATCCTTGACAACGTTTTAGGAACCAGGACAAGCACGTCATGCGTCTCGCCCAGCGTCCTTGCTGGGTGACCATTTCGGCCTGGATGTCGTGCAGAACTCCTTCTCTCAGCGTAGTGCACTCTTCCCTTGGGATAATGCGGGTGGAAGCTCTTCGATATCTGGTGCAGCACTCCTTGGTCGCCAGAGCAGTGACAAAATCAGTGTTGACCACGCTGAGACCCGCATGAGGGGCAGCTCACTAAGCCGACGAGGAAGTTCTCTTCCAAGTCAACAAGGTGACGTATTTGGTGGTGCCGGAGGTTTCCCTGCGAGCATCAATGAGAGTCCCCAGATAAACGACGACGATTTTGTATTCAATGGTACGTCGATGAATTCCACGACTTGCCCGGCGATCTAGCTCATGGCACCGATAAGTCCCAACAGGTATTTCTGTGGTCGAATCTCAATTGTCTGAGGTCAATTTCGCGACCCTCGAGAGAAACTCTTTCAACTTCCTTGAGTGATCATTTTTACTGTCTGCCATTTAAACTTGTTATACTCACGTATCGTGCTGAAAAGATACGCTAAGATGCAATTCAAATCTCTGTCTGGGTATGCTCGATTTCTCGCCTTTGACGATGTTGTGCCGCAGACCACCAGCACTGCACACGTCGCAGCAGCAGCTCTCTACCACTGTCTCGGTGCGTGTCGTTATCCCGCCGTGCGGCTACTTCACATGCCGGACCCTATCCGAGTATCCAATGCAGTTCGCTGATGCCGATTTGACAAGTGTTAGGCACAAAGGACCTCATCCAACTTCGTCAAGAAGAGGCGTACGGTACCATTGAAATCCGTATCAAGTGACACGCCCATTCACCTCTTTATCGGCCGAAACGTTTCTAGTAGTGATCGATCACGTCAAACTCTTGTACATTAATATTATCTTGAGTCCCAGTGGCCAGTGGCAGATGATAGACTCGAAGGACGACAATCGTTCCTTGTATGCCATGCTTGTACTATATGCATTAGCACTAGTGGTTGTGTAGACTTGTGTAGAAGACTTGTGATGTACAATTTGGAATTGCCGCATACTCGGCTCTTGGTCAATTTCCGTTTGAAAACCATGATCAGGCCACCCAACAAAATCTTGATCGTGCCATTTTCCACCCGAATACCTCCCCGATACGTATGATACTAAAGGGTCATCGTTTCACGCACCTGTTATTTGCTCGCAAATTTTGGTATGTTATTACTACGTGCTAGCTTCGCTTCTGTCTCACCTTGCTCGCAGTTTTAGAAACTTTAACTCGTATTCCGCTCAACGCACCATGTCTTCGCCAGCAGTTCTTGCCGCGCGCGCTGCTCTTGCCAGCATAGATCTCACAAGCTACGACCCTGAACAATCGAGACTGATGGATGAGAAGTGCATCTTGGTCGACGAACAGGACAACGCCATCGGGGCGATGGACAAGAAGACCTGTGAGTCTATGTGCTATGTATCACATGCGTGTTTTTTCATACCATGCTTGAATAGGCCATCTCATGGAAAATATCAACAAGGGTCTCCTGCACCGAGCGTTCTCTGCATTCGTCTTCCGTCCCTCTGATGGCAAGCTCCTCCTGCAGCAGCGGGCTTCGGAGAAGATCACGTTCCCTGACATGTGGACAAATACGTGCTGTTCGCACCCACTGGATGACTTTGAGGAGGAGAAGATCGAGGTCGATCAGCTCGGTGTGCGGAACGCGGCTTCAAGAAAACTTGAGCACGAGCTCGGTATTCCGCAAAGCCAAACGCCAGTTGGCGAGTTCCAGTACTTGACGAAGATCCATTACCTCGCACCGTCGAACGGGATGTGGGGTGAGCATGAAGGTGCGTTGACAGCATGAAAACACAGGCACATGTCTTCACCCTTTCCGCCATAGTCGATTACATTTTGTTTCTGACTGCGGATGTTACGGTGACGCCAAATAAGAACGAGATTCAGGACTACAAATATGTGGACAAGGCGGAGTTACAGGCGATGTTCAATGATTCGTGTGCGTATATTCTGTTGGACTATTGTTTCTGATGCGAGCTTACTCGGATATCTGCAGCAAATTCTTTTACACCTTGGTTCAAGCTGATTGCTCGGGACTTTTTGTTTGGTTGGTGGGATATGCTGCTGGAACGCCAGGGTTTCGATGGTCGTGTCTACGCCAAGACTCTAACAGGTGTCGCGGATGGATCAAAGGTTATCAAGATGGTGTGATACTAGAAGGACTTGTAGATGGTAGTGCAAAAGCAACTATTGTATTAAGCGACAATGCATTGCGAAAACAAGATAAATATTGTACTACAATATTGTGAATAGTTCTGTTTGCCAAGCACCATGCATAGTCAAGAGACCATGAAGTAGTTACTGAGCAAAGAGAACATCAAAAAGAGATCCCCCGACGACGCAAGCCAGTAGTGCAGCGGCAAGGTCATCATGTCCCTCGAGTTGCAAGCAGAGCTCGTGAGAACAAGGGCGGCAAAAATTTGATAACCAAAGAATGAGGGCGGTGCCCTCATAATAGTGGTTAAACTATTAAGAACAGATACTACACTTGATCTAAGCCAAAAGGCCAGAGTGGTAAAGATCCTAGTTGTCTGGAACGCCCTTTTATACAAATCTATCAGCGCACGGACCATTCAATTTTCAAATCGGCAAAGGTAGTATTACACACACCGTACATAATAGTAGCAATAGCATGCATGATATCCCCGTGCTGCCACCAGATTATAACTATAAATACATACAGTAGTCGTACATCATCAGCACGTCAAATCCTCGTTTGTAGTCAAGTCATGTTATCGCTACACCCCGTCATTGGGGAAGTCACTATCAGGACTCTGTCATATACGAACCGCGTCGCCCTCGGTTCTCATCCTCTCTTAGTGATCAATATTCTGCCCAGCCCGTGAACCACTACGCGACCCAGCACGCGAATTGGCGCGCGATCGCATCCTCGTCCCACGGAAAATCCAGATCTCCTTCTGTTTCCCAAATCCAAGCATCCCTGAACGCGGGAGCGGCACGGTGGCTTCAAGCTTGTAGCCCATCATACTGATTTCTTTTAGTGCCGATGCTGCAAATACGTCTTTGCTCAACTCATGGGCTAGCATCAGAGCACGTCAGCAACTATACATTGATGTAAAAATGAGACATACTGCCAATTGCGTTTCTTTTCAGCTCGATAGTGTAGATCTCATCTTCACTTGTTCGGTCTCCAGCGATTTGATGAGGCCATGCATTACGGAGGCGGGGACCAATCTGTTCGCCGACACGCCGCGGGGGCCGCACCAGGGTAATCCTGTGTCCTGAACGCGAGATATGCGCCGCAAAGAAGTCACAGTGTTCATCAGGACCGCTATCCTGAAATACTAGCTGAGGATACTGAATACATCGTTAATCATGCTTGTATGACGTTCGAAGTAATGGAACACATACCTGATACCCTGTACTGAGAGAGGTACGGTACTGATAACCATTGTGTGCGAGGCATGTAAAGAGTTCGCACATCATTTTTTGTGCGCTAGATGGGATAAGCACGTGACACAGAATCAGTGATTGGATGATTGGGCCTACATGATACCCTCAATCCCACTAGCAGTCCAAGGATTCCTGTTAAAGAGGATGCGAAAGGCATGGAGGACAGGGATTGCTGTGGATACGCCATGTGGCCACATAGGGATGATGTTCTCCTTTATTTCCTCCATTGTATCCTGGAAGGCAACGTTGCCCAACCGGAGCTCATTTGCGCCGTGAAATGAGACAAACATGTGGTCTGTGATGTGGGAGTCACGATAATAGATCATTATGCATGTTTTTCGCATCATGGGAATTGTGACCTACCTGGAAGATAGGACGGGTTGGAATTTATGCCACTGGTGCGTGTCATGGGCACGAGGCGCTGACGTGCACTAGAAGAAGTTCGAGTACGCTCAAGAGGAGGTGGAGCGGCGCCAACGGTATCTGAGCGGCGAAGAGTACCTCCGTTCTTCTTCATTGCAGACTTGAGTTGGGTTTTCTCGGGGTTATATGAGGCCTTTGGACGTGTTGTGCTCGCGCGCTTGACTCGTGCTGGGGGTGGGCCTGGCTCAGAAGTGGGTGGTACGAATGGGGTGTTTGGGTCTAGATGACCTTGTGGATATGGAGTACTCTGGTAATTTTCGCGAGGCCATGGTGGAGAATTGTATGGATCGGATGTAGGAAACGGTTGTTGTTGTCGCTGATGCTGATAGTTAGGAGGGTAATAAGTGTGGTATGGCTGGCCATAGTAAGGGAAGTTTGATTTCGGGTAGGCTGAATGCATGGTACGGTTGTAGGTAGTGCGTGGTCAGGGAAAGAGATAGGAAAGATCGTCTTACTAGTCTGGTACTAGTAGTCGATAAAATGGCCTCGTGTTTGAAGACAGCAGACATGAGGATTCCCATTCTAAGCCGCGGAGAATTCTTTGGGCGCTACTCCATTTCTCAGTGAAGGGAGCGCTGATTAGAGTTCACATTAATCGGTCCGCATTCGGTCCTTTTTGATCACGTGACTGTTTTAGGATTCAATTCACTCCCTTGCTTCCGTGTTCCTCTCCGCAAACGCCCAAGTCGCATTGACTGTTCTTTGCTACAGGTCCTGATGGCATCAACGTTCTTTACATGGCTCAGATCTCCTGCTGCTCGCGAGTACTTCTTCAGTATGTTTCTCATCATCATTTGCTCTTAACCTATCTCATCATCTAAACAGGTACTCACTTCTGGGGACCAGTCAGTTATTTGAACCTTGACAACGCGCATAACTCACTCATTCCAGATCGCAAACTGGGGTCTTCCACTTGCTGCCCTCGCTGACCTTAGTAAAGATGAGGAGGTCATTTCAGGTTCCATGACTACTGCACTTGGCGCGTACTCGTACGTTCCCATTTCACTCTCACGCAACTGCTTGCTGACTCACCAACCTAGGATGGTCTTCATGCGCTTCGGTATGTCCTGTCACGATGTTCCATAGCGTGCGCAGCTGACTTTGTGTCTTAGCCTGGAGGGTACAACCCCGGAATTACTTGCTCTTTGCGTGTCATGCAACAAACGCGACAGCACAGTCAATCCAAGAAGCCCGCTTCGTAAACTACTGGTATTACGGCGGCCGTGAGAAGAAGTTCGGTCTTGACAAGGACAGCCAAGGTCCAGTTACCCAAGCCATCGAGGCATCACAAGCAGAGGCAAAGAAGGCTGCGGAAGCAAAATCATAATCTCCCCTCTATGCAGTCTTGTCACTTGGAATACACTGCTTTGACCAACCAAGCTCTGAAATCAGCACTTAGATACAGATACGTAATCATCACCAAAATCCGTCATCCCCGTCACCTTTGCTTTTCTTCCCGCCCTTGCTCTGCGCAAGTGCCTGTCGTTCATACATCTCAGAGATCTGACATACAATTATTTGAGCATCTGCTATCTCATTGAATATCAATATACAGCGGAACACTCACTTGCTCGGGTCCAGTAGCATCATCTGCCGACTTGTCATCGCGTATTCTGATGAATCTCGGAAAGCGCAACGAGATCCCGCGTTCCTCTACCAAGCCCTGTGCCGCTGTGTACACCGGGCTCAAACTCAGATCTGCCGCGAGCACCTCCCAAACCACCTTTGGCTCAAACCACACGTCAGGCTTCGCACCACCAGGTTTAATGTCCCCACGTGGTTTTGTCCCCTCGAGCGGTCGCAGAGTGTCCCAGTGCGTTTGCAGCATCTCCTCGCTGAACCCGGTGCCGATCTTGCAGATCGTTTGATATTCTTCGGCGTCGGCGTCGAAGCAGGCTAGCAGGAACGCTCCATAAACGTTCGTGCGCTTGCCTTTTCCGTAGTACCCGCCAACAACGACGAGGTCAAGCGAATCGCCAACACCGGCGAGGTAGTCTTTCTTTAGCTGTGTACGATCCATAGTTAGTCGAATTTCGACAGGGTGGAGGGAGAATATACCTTTAGCCAGTTGACACTACGCCGGCTGGGTTCATAGTAACTCGCGTCTGACTCAAGCATCTTGACCATAAGTCCTTCGCAGCCGTCCTTCACACTCTCTTCGAGGAACGCCTGGATCTCATCTGTTGTCGACCCATCTGAAGACTTGGCAAAATCGAACTCTCCGGGCACAACATGGAAGTGCTCCCTCAACAACTCGCGACGCTCGCTGAGTGATTTTTGGAGGAGTGGCTACGCGCACGTCAGTCATTGCAAACACCCTAATGTCGTTAAAGTTGAGAAACAAACCTCGCCATTGAGATAAATGAGGTCGAATGCGAAAAGGCAGACTTTGACCTGAATGTCTTCGACTTTAACGTCCTTGCGCTTTCGCCTGCTCAGTTCTTGGAAGGGCATGAGCTTGCCCGAGGTCTTGTCGATAGCGACAGCCTCCGCGTCAAGCACAAATGACTTTGTCTTCTCCTTGATGCACTGTCTTTCTGTCAGCCTAGTCCGCACAGCCAGCTCATCACCCACCCTCGGTAGCTGCTCCACCAAATCTGGATACTTGGCTTTCATATCCTCTGAGTTTCTGCTAAACACGCTGACGCTGCCGTCGTCCAGCAGGTGTACCTGGGCGCGTTCGCCATCGTACTTATACTCACACGTGAACCGCCGCCCCTCGAAGCGGTCGAGCACCTCGCCGATCGCTTTTGTTGGCTTGGCGAGCATTGGCTTGAGCGGAACGCCCGGCGTAAGCTTGCAATGTGTGCGCAGGCCCGATAGGCCGTGCGTAAGTAGCGCGGGGATCACAAGTTCGTAGGTGGGGAGCTCGCTGGAAGAAGGGTCAATGAGTGTATGTGGGCGAGGCGAGGGAGACTGACCTGTACACAGACTTCATGATGCTGGCGCCTTCTTCGAGGTGAGACGCCAGTGTCTCTTTGCTCCATCGTTTTCCGGCTTGTACAAATGATGAATAAACTTCGTTAGTGAGGTTTGAAATAAACACACCATGTTCCTTAGCCAGAACGGCAGCATGTGCAAGGGCCACGAGAACCGTCCGCTCAGCATTGCCGATCCGGAGCTTGCCTTCCAGACTGCGTACGATGTACTTCGCCTCGAAGTCTTGACACGCGGCGAGGAGCTTCGTAATGATCGACACCTTCTTTGCCTGGGACTGTAGCGGGGGGAAATGGTGCTAAGTTGTTGAGAACATGTAGAAAACATGAAGAACAAACCGAATGCCCGGACGACAACGCGATCTCCCGTAAGTTTGAGAAGACAAAAGGAACTGTGAGGGGCTTGGGTTTAAAGAGTGTCTTCTGACTGTTTTTGGAGTTCTGCGAATGAAGTAAGCTCGTGTGGTCATGGTTAAGGCAAGTAAGACAGAGCACCATTGCCACGAGCCCAAGATCGCCTTCTTTCTTGAGGTCGGCTTTGACTGTTGCAAGGCTCCGTCCTGTGGACTCGCTGATAGCTTTGATGAGCAAGCTCTCGCCAATACCCAGTTCGACACCGACATAATCCGGGCTTAGCTACATCTCTTAGTACACAGCAATGAGGTAATTAAATGGGGAAAATCTTACGCGGTTTATGCACAGATATACAGACTGCAGGAGGGAGTTGGAATCATCTTTCTTGCTACGTTGGATGACGAGCCAGAAGAATGAGGTGAGGAGGGCGGTCTTTTCGAGCCTCTTGGTGGTGGCTTCGATGAGTGAGAAGGTCTTCGTTAGTGCAGCGTAGGGCACCCTGTCAAGTTATTGTGCAAGAACAACGCGAGAGATTGTAACACAACGTACGGGTCTCCGATTTTCCACCCGCCCTTGACGTCTACCTCTGCAGTTCGGGATAGTGCTTCTTCAGCGCTGTGTATTCAAGTCAACTTAGTCATTATAAAGTCCTAATAGGGGAGTCAAACGTGCGTTTGCGTTGCCGCACCCTCGTCGTCATCCTCCAGCTCGCTTTCTCCGGCAATCTCTTCCTCGCCCTCATCGGCACTTGCTGAGGACTCGGCTAGTTGCTGTTCTACAGGCTCAGACTGGAGGACTGCTTTAGCTTTCCCTTTACTTTTGGAGGAAGGCTTTGGCGAGGGGCGCCGATTTGGACTGGTGGGAGCTGGTGCGGTTGTCGCAGAGTTCTCATCGTCTGACTCGACCACACGTCTCCGTTTGGACTTTGAAGGCCCAGGTGATACTGGAGCGTAATTGAGTTCAGCTTGAGTTTCAAGAATGGGTAGCACTTACCAACACTCTTTGGCGAAGTGACACCCTTTCGCTTTGTTTTGGGCTTAGCCGGTGCTGTTCGTCATTATGACGTGTCAGTTGTGCAGAGTGGAGAGCACTCACATGCCGGTGGTTTATCAACTTCCATTCCGTCTCCCTGTTCTGTAGACTGTTTACCATTGGAGACAGGCGACACTAAGAGTCCTCGAGGATTGAATTCCACGATTCAGAGAGTTCAACATACTTACTGATTTCAGACTTAACTGACACATCCGTCTTGCCATTGACAACGACTGCTTCCTTCACACCCTCCTCGTTTGCGTTGGGCTTGCGCCTCTTCCCTCCCCACATTTCCGCCAGGTTCGACTGCTGTGGCGGCGCCGGCTTGTTGTTCTTAGGCATTTCAAAGAATTTACCTGAAAAAGTGGTGGTATGTTATGTGAGCAGAGAGAGGAGGGCGCTACACTACGTACCGAGCGTTTGTTGTCTTCCCATAAATCTTGTGTGAGCTGCGACGCGGTAGAATGAACGCGTGACAGACATAGACGCGTGTTACTTAAACGCGTCGCGACCCGTGTGAACTGCCAGCTATTGAATCCCCCTGTCCTGCATGCACCGAACCGTGAAATTGAAATTGCGATATATTCATTGGTGAAATCAAAATAACCAGCTATTTACTAAACCCTAGACCGCCCAGACAGAAATCCTGCAGGTGCTAATTCTGTACAACCGCATGACCTTGTCACTGCAGTCGCCACAACATGTGGTTCCTCGCAGCAAGATGCACTTTGCCCCTGTCACGTGTCACAGCGCAAACCTCAGATCACGTGATTTCGACTGTGTCACAACATCCTACTCATTTCCCCATCAATTTTGTCGGTTCAACCTGAAGGCGTATAACACTAAGCGCTTAGCGCTTAGTGACTGCACGATGAACTGTGGTAGAGTATATCATTAAATGAGACAATGACATCAAACATTGCATAGTGGCGAAACTCCGAAGGCAAATGCCGGAATCTGTACAGTTTTAGTTTCTGTGGCTTGTTTCCCACGCAAGCAAGCACAGAGCCGGAAATTGAGCTCCTCATCGTCCTAATAGTTCACCATGGCTGATCAAGTACGTGCTGCTACTTTGCTGAACCTACACTCTTTGCCTGACTTATCATCATTCTTAGATCGAGAAGGCGTACCAGAAGCAGCATTTGTTCCAAAACGCCAAAGCCCGCGGTATGAGACTTTAACCCGTGAATTCGGAGCAGGAACTTATGTGATTGCGATCGCTGTGGTAAAGGTGGCAAGAAGGTTGCGACCAAGGAAAAGCGGTGGTACAAGGATGTTGGTCTTGGATTCAAGACCCCTTCGGAGGCTATCCAAGGCACTTACATCGGTACGTCTCTATACGTGTTACAGGTGGTTTGCATAGTTCAAGGTTATATTTGTTCTCAGACAAGAAGTGCCCCTTCACCGGTGACGTCTCGATCCGTGGCCGTATTTTGACTGGCAAGGTCGTTTCAACCAAGATGACACGGACAATTGTGATCCGCAGGGATTACCTCCACTACATACCTAAATACAGTACGTTGGGAGACAAGCTGATTGTCCGTTCGCCCTCATATTTGCTTAACAGACCGTTACGAGAAGAGACACAAGAACATGGCTGTACACGTATCGCCCGCTTTCCGTGTCGAGGTCGGTGACATTGTCACTGTCGGTTAGTATTCCCCAATGTTGGCGTAACTCGGAACTGACCGCAGGCGATGTAGGGCAATGCCGGCCACTGTCGAAAACGGTACGATTCAACGTCCTGCGGGTGTCGAAGAGTAAGGCATCAGCCAAGGCCTTTGGCAAGTTCTGAGAGTGCCATCGAGATTTTATTTACGCTGTTCACATTGCATGATTTCTACTACCCACTGCGCTATGCCCGCGTGAAAAATACATTGCTGCATTATGACAAGCACTTATTTTAAAAGATTTAAGTGGCAATACACAGGAATGTCAATCAGAATCAGAACTAGGCGGTGTCGTAGTCGTTGACCTGACGAGCGCTTGACTGAACAGGAAGCAAACAATGGAACAAATAAGGACAGCAGTGCAAGTTGCCGCTAGGACGATCGACTGACCCTCGTTGGAGAGGACTCGGCTCAACATACTTCTTGTCTTCTTTCGCTTTGCAAGCTGGCTCCAACACTTCTTTCCGTCCTAACTTCCAAGTTATCTTCAAGGTCACGCTCCCGGTCTTCAGCAACACAGCCAGGCTCGCCCTCTCGCGAATCACAGGTCCCACCACCAATGGGCCAACAGCAATCTAAAAAGACAAAGAAAGGAGGAAAGGAGAAGGATGTGGACCATGTGCACGAAGATTCTATAGAAGAATCGAACGGCCAAACGCCCCATGGCAGTTTGTCTCGCGCAACGGGTCACCCCAACCACTCCCAAAGTGTCGCCCACGAGTATGATGTAGTCCGAAATAGTGCACCCTCTCTAAACGTACCTAGTTCCGGAGAGTCCAATGGAAGCAGCTCAAGACCACCAGGTTCACCAGGTGCTTTACCTACTGTCCTCAGTTCCTCCCCGAACAACCTTTCCACACCCTCCCTACTCGCCCCAACTTCGGCGCCACAAGCCTCGACTCTATCAACGAAACCATCTCCCGCTCCACTCGACATTCCACTTACTCAAACAATCCTCTCAACTTCTATGCCCTCGTCATCCTTCACACCGGGTTCAGCGGCTAGTAGCTTCCCCTTGAGTGACTCTGCGGGAGGCAAGACAGGGCAGTTCGACATTGACGGTATGATCCAACGGCTTCTTGACGTGGGGTATACTGGTAAAGTAAGCAAATCACTGTGTCTCAAAAACACGGAGATTGCTGCTATTTGCCAAGCGGCGCGGGAGGTATTCCTTAGCCAACCAACTCTAATCGAGTTGTCGCCACCAGTAAAGATCGTCGGCGACGTGCATGGGCAATATTCCGATCTTATCCGCCTCTTCGAGATGTGCGGTTTCCCTCCAGCGGCCAACTACCTATTCCTGGGTGACTATGTCGATCGCGGGAAACAGAGTTTGGAGACAATCTTACTGCTCTTGTGCTACAAGATAAAGTACCCAGAGAACTTCTTCCTCTTACGTGGTAATCATGAATGTGCGAATGTCACAAGAGGTTAGTCGCTTGGCGCCTTCTGTCTGGTGATGGTGTCCTGACATATTTCAGTGTACGGTTTCTATGACGAGTGCAAGAGACGATGTAACATAAAGACGTGGAAGACATTCATAGACGTTTTCAACTGTCTACCCATTGCAGCTATTGTTGCCTCCAAGATATTCTGCGTACACGGCGGGCTATCACCTTCGCTTCATTCCATGGAAGATATCAAACGCATACAAAGGCCGACCGACGTGCCGGACTATGGGCTCCTAAACGATTTGCTATGGTCCGATCCTTCAGATACCGCATTGGATTGGGAGGATAACGAGAGGGGAGTCAGCTACTGTTTTGGGAAAGGCATCATCAACGACTTCCTGGTACGGTATGACATGGACCTGATATGCAGGGCTCACATGGTCGTGGAGGATGGGTATGAGTTCTGGAATGACCGGACACTAGTGACGGTCTTTAGTGCTCCGAATTATTGTGGAGGTCAGCATCGCTCTTGTTTTCTATTCGTCCAGCGCTGAAGCGGGGTTTCAGAATTTGACAATTATGGTGCTTGCATGAGGTAATTTTACGCCCTTCGACACCTGAGGATTTCAATTGATTTATACCATTCCAGCGTCTCAGAGGATCTGTTATGTGCTTTCGAGCTCCTCAAACCTTTGGATGGGCCGGCGCTCCGGAAAGAGATGACGAAGGCCAAACGGAAGAGGTGAATTATTTCGTTCATGTTCAATATCGTGTATTGACTTTACGCCTAGTCTAATGGCGACTGCAACGTGATCACGACATGCCGCGCGTAGCACACCAGTGTTACAGGGTCAAGGGTGTTTTGGTGACCTGTTAATGAACACTGTATATCTTCGGTGTCACTACGTGTTGAGGTGCAGATGCTTGTTGAGATGTACAGGGCCTATGTCTGACCCTCTCACGCTACAACCATCATACTGCTCCTACCCCTACCTCGTTCCGTCTAGTCCTGATCTGTTCACCTTGATATCCGAGCGATTTGCCTCGCGCAAGCACCCTCCTTTCTGGTCCAAAGCACAAGCCATGTACTTCGCATCTCTCCTCCTTACCCTTCTTTCTCTCCCTGCCCTTCCTTCCGTTTCGCATTATCTCGCTCCCTGTTCAGCTTTCTCCTTTGGGCCTATATATTTAAGACGTCGCATATTTTCTTTGTGTTTGTGCTATATAATGACATTGCAGCTGAAATGCTGGCTGCTGTTTACAGAAGTTATCACGTCGCATCTCAATCGTATCTTACTAAGTACTTGGGACGATGTATCGGCGGATTATATATTCTTCCATAGAATCAGGCACACATGTTCTTCCTGGGCTTCGGGGGTGTGCTGCAGCACCTCAAATTTCAATGCCAACAATCATACTCAACTTCGAGGAGAGATAAATGGACATGACACGAAAGATCTAATTTAGTGACTTGGACCAACGGGATGTGTCCAAGTGAACGGTGACGCGTGACGTTCTCGGTGTTCGCCAAATTATGCAAAGGGAAAACTCTAAGATTGATGAGTATCAACCAAGCTCGCTCTATTGTATAACTTAAAATACTGTCAACTCTGGAACACATCATAAGCAAGCACCGCGAAAGCCCCTACAATCATGCCTGCTCCCAGTAATCCCCCGGCAGTCAAACCGACGGAGCCTAACATCAAATCCGAAATGAGTGTAAGGACGATTGTAAGTAGACTCCCAACGGAAGTAACTATCGGGCCCCAGACTCCCAACAAGATCTAAAAGTATTGATTAGATGGGGGGTAATATGTTATCATCATACGTACCATGAAGCCTGCGTTAAATATAACGCCAGTGGCACAGATTCCTGCAATCGCAGCGAAGGTCACCATGTCGGATGGAAGCGCAAACTCTTCAATACCGTAGTAATGCAACACAGGAAGGGGTACCCAAAACACGAACAAGGTGCACACGCCGATGGACGCGGTGAGGAAATTAGGATGAAGGCCGAATGGAAGTGAATACGCGAATTCATTATTGGTGACTAGAGGCGGTGATACTATCTCCTGATCGTCAGCCTGCTCCGCCGAAGCTGGGACATGGGTATAATGCGCAGACTCGGCAACTAGCTTCGGGTCTGATGGCAGCGCTGCATACTTCGTGTAAAGAACTTGGTACAGACCGTATATCACGGATGCAACCAGAGTCAGAATGTCGCCAAAGAAAGGTGAAGGAGTTAGGGCGACAGTCATAGCTGCGGTTGTACTTGACGGTGTGCTGTCGCCATACACGATAGTGAGCACTCCAGCAGTGGCGAGGCAAACAGCACACATCCGAACAAGACTCCAATTCAGGTTCAGCAGCTTGACGCTAAAGACGTAGGCGAAGAAGGCATTAGCATTCCAAATGGCAGTGACGTCGGTGACACTGAAGGTTGCTTTAGATCAGAGGTGTGGCAAGCAGTTGGCGACGTACGGGGCATATACGACAGCAATAAACCACAGCAGGGCAGGTATACTGTAGACAGCAGTCATGGTGAGGATCACGACCAGAAATCGAGACAAAGGAAATTGTGAAGAGCGGATGCTTCTTGGATCTTGGGGTGTCAACTGAGCGGTGATAGCGCTAGATAATCCAGATAGCAGAGCACGAGGGGAATGGCGGGTCGTCAGGAGGAGATATCCGAGGTGCAATGGAAAAGATATCGCGAATGATGAATGCACGACGTAACTACGAACTCTGAGTTCGCATGGGCATACCGCAGAGTCATTTGTCTACTCACAATAGAAAGAATGAGTGCTGGTAACCCAGTGTTGTCTGGACATACTAATTTGATTGTCAGCAATTGATTAATCCAAAGTAGCTGAACTGAAGCTAATCACCTGTGTGAGTCGGGTCTCTCCAACAAAAGCGAAAATCACTGCAACGAATGTTACAAGCGCAGTATTTCCACCTAGACGTGGCGCAACGGAACTCTCTCTCTCGCACGCCATGGTAAGGCTAAAGTTAAAAGTAGTGAGAAGTACAAACAAATTCAGGAGGTTTCAAGAAAGTAAACAGATAGATGTTCCGATTAATGGAACGGCCTCACTGCTGCATCTCGCGAACAAGAAGTTCTTATCAGCCTCAGCGCTATTGGTTAACGACGAACGTTCGAAGGTGCAACTTCGACGCCACGGCGAGCTAGCGCAGCAAGTCCTGTCAGCACGCTGAAAGAAGATGATGTCGGAGACAAAATATCTGGCACGTGACAGCAGCGTCTTCCTCAACCGAAACTTTCATACTTGTCTCCGGTCTGCATCACATTCTCATCATGTTGAGAGCCTTATTAGCCTCAAGCAGGCCATTGCTAGTGCGTTTGCGCGTGCCTACTATTCCTCACATACACAATTCCACACCTGCAATCTCATCACTTGGCACGACTGCAATACCGTTCATGGCGCGTGGAATGAAAGTGAGGTCATCTGTGAAGGTCATGTGTGATGGGTGCAGCGTTGTGAAGCGGAAAGGCAGAGTGTATATCGTATGTTCGAAAAATCCGAAACACAAGCAGGTGTGCTACTAATCCTATCCTCATCCCGATTTTGGTTGACTCTCGTATAGCGTCAAGGATAATCATAGTCGAACCTGCGTTTTTGAATCCTGAAAACTTTTTGGTAGAATGCATGTAGGGGAAGAGAGATCATCTTTGTCGATATAATGCATAACTCTCAAAATATCCTACCACCCATGTTATTGACGAAGCCACATCTGGAACTCGTAGCTAATTCCCTTTTCTTCCTGGACCCCTGCTGGGACGTCAAATCCCACCCATTTCACGAGTTCATCATGAGCTGCTTGCTTCCATTCCGCTTTCCCTTCCTCGCTTGCTCCCAAGAAGTCTGGCATATAAATATCACATTGAAGGAAATCAGGTGCAAGGATCCGTGTCAAGAGGACACGGTCGGCGATACAAGACATCGGACTCGAAGATGCAGGGTTGAGTGTCTCCGAGATCAAGGATGCTCCACCAATGATAAATCGTCGATGTATACCAGCCTGAGACGTCGACTCAACCGCCGAAGTCAAGTTCGAGCAAAGGTGAACTGGAGCTGACAGGTTGGAGGGTGCCCTAATTGCCGCTCGATCAATAACTGGCAAATAAAAAAGAGAGATAAAAGTCGTACAGTTCGTAGTCCTTGTTGTGACTGATGACTACGTTGAGGCGTTTAGGGAGAGGCCTGAAATTGGTTGGTATGCTCTCCCACGTCTTCCGCCCCATGATGACTGCGTTCTTCCATCCTTCAGGCGCGGTGGACGTGACCCGAGCAAAATAGGCCATCTCTTTCGACAGCCGCCATGGAAGTTTACCATGTTGGCCGATACCGTTTGATTTCGTGGCGGCGACGATGATCGTAAGATGTGACATGGTCTCTAGGGAAGATAATGTTGGCGTCGGACTCGCGTCATAATGCATAAATGTTAACCCCGTAGATATGTAACACAACCAAATGAATGCGACCTCCCTTCGAACTTATACGTATTTTCACGATCCCTCTATCAAAGAGGTTCAATTTATGCACAGGCAGTGGTAGGTCCAACTCGATACTCTGATTCAGCTCATCCTGGAACGTCGTGGCCTGTCACGAGCATTAAACTGCTCTCTGACAGGGTCCCTAATATTTTCGATGTGAGACAATGATTCCTTTGAAAGCGCTGACAACATGCGGAGTAACTGATGCTAGAATACAAGCTAATGGTCAAGTTCAATCCCATTTCTTCCACTCACTACCTGCTGGAGGCTTCACTTCGACGGGAGCCTTGCTCACTTCCTCCCAGTTTGTGCTAAGGGTAGTTCCTCCACTCTCCTGGAAGCTCTTCATCATTGCGCGTTTGGCATCATCATCTGCATCTCCAAATATCTTTTGGAAGAAGGAATTGACCGTGCTGTCACCGCCAACGTTAGGGTCCTCATCTGCAGTCGCCTCCTTTTCAGATGTGAGAATTTTGGTGGTAAGTTCCTCCCAATTCTTCTTGGGCTTAGCCCTTGCCTCGGTCACCGCCGGAGACGTGGTTGGTCCAATAGGGGCCGAGGTCTGAAGAGCTAGTGAGAGCGTTATTAGTACGCATTGCAGAATTGGGCTAGATGGAAATCACGAACGATCAAGAGCATCACCAGTAACAGCCCCCCAACGGCCTTGAGCCATCTTCGCAAGACGGAGTTCAACCTTGACTTTGCCGACCGTGAAATCGCACCTCTCCGGGTCAATCTGCCCTTTCAACGGTTGTAAGGATAAAGTCTTCTCGCCGTTTTGGTAGCTGATCTATGGATTCATTGAGGACTGTGTCACCCAGGATGAGGGGGGTGGCTCACCTTGCGTGGCTCAAACGTAATGGATACCTGTGCAGGATCAGCCCCTCGGTCGAAGACGGAGATGGTCAGTTTTTCGTCTGTCTCGTAAAATTCATGCCTTTACGGTGTGAGATGAGCGTCAAGCGCCAGTGATGTCGATCTCACCTTAAGGATGCCATATTGGCTGGGGCGAAGATGCAAAAACGATGCTAAAGTGATGAAGTTACGCGACTCACGAAATGCAGAACTTTCCAGTATTGTGTCAATGGGTCACGTGAACTATTGTGAGACACAGGATTCTCAACAATTCAATGATCTGAACTTGTGCATCGACAACGATGAAGATCCTGGAGGTTTATGGAGTTGCACCTATGGATACCACTTCTGCGATCGAATTATTGACCAAGATGATGCATAGATGATGAATGTTTCGTGCATACAGTGCATGCCAGCCCTAACTGGAAATCAAAAGAAGGACAAACAGGTGGGGTCCAGACGTCATCTTGCCTGAGTACAGCCAGGCAACCTCCTACGATGCCCACGTCGTCTGCGATACCCAAGGCCGTTTTGTACTATAGCCCACAATCTGTGTGGTCTTCTGCGAGTAAGCATCGGTCTTCACACTCATGATCAATGTTATTCTGTGTCCTTACCTCAATCCATCACTAGTACTTCTTGCATTGTGAGTTCCTCGAGAACCAATGTATTGCGTTACTAATCCGCAATTACTTTGCAGGCATGAGAAGGGGTATGGAGAGGATGAAGTTGATCTCAAGGTCGTGAACATCGGTACGTCTAAAGTACGACGAAGTGGTTTGACGTCGACCAGCGTGTTTTTGCACCAGACAAGGGAGAAGAATTTTCTCCGACCTTCCTCAGGTTGAGCCCCAAAGGTGGGATTGAGCACTTTTTGTTTTTCAGATCATTGATCACCCCCTCAGCAATGGTGCCAACTCTTGTTGTACCCCTCCGCGGCTCTCTCGCATCCGATGTTGCAAGCCGCTTCAAGGCTATTTCAGACACGAAAGTCAGCTGGCTTTCGTTTGGCCAGTTTCCTTTCTGCTGACGGGAAGAGCAGGCACTGATTGAGTTCTTGGACAAATCGCGATCCGCCACATCTCACACGCACACTACATCGAGCGCTCCAGCCCCATCATTGTCCCCCGCAACGGTTGCATTCGCCAGTGCATCCAGCAAGATAATTGACACTATTCAGGCTGATGAGCTCTCTCCCGATCATTTGCAGTACTCGAATGCCCGCAATCAAGCCTCACTTCAAGAACTCGGAAAGTCTCTGGTCCCTATCCTTGAATCTAGACGAGTGGCAATCGTGGGATATCTAACCGAGTGTGAACATGAAACCATGCGGATGTCCGAAAAAACCAAGACATTCTGGCGAGAGAAAAAGTTGGAGGTGGAGGCGGCGCTGAGCGTTTTCAGTGGAGATCATGTTGATGGATACTTGTCGCGCTCCAGAAACTTGTGGGAGGTTACCATTCCCGGTGTCCTCACTCAAGTGAACGAGGAGTTAATTGGGCCCTATGCGTTAGGTTCGTCGAGAATCTCCAACAGCTACATTACTCAGCTCGTGATGACATAACAAAAAACACAGGCGATCAGGTCTCTATCGCAGATATTCACTTGAGCGCTTGGCTCTTTCATCTTGTCAGATTGGCTGGCGGAAGCCCTTCTGATGATGGAGATGTTGCCATAAAAAAGCTGGAAAAACATATTGGAAATGGGTTCGCCATTCCCGAGGACTTCTTGTCTTCGGCTTTCAGCCCTTTCACTGAAGAGAAACCAGTTGCGAGGAGCAAGTTGGCAGTATTTTGGGATGCAATGAAAACAAGGTCGAGCTGGAAGAGAGTTTATGCTTCATAGGATTTGTATACACGGATCAGTTTACGCCCAATTTTTTTTACGTAGGCCAATGGATTTTTTTTGCACTGCAGCCAATTGCAATTAGCTCGCACGCAAATTGCAAAGTAAAAATGGCATTACAGTTTGATCGCAGTTGAAGTGGCGGTGTCTGCCGCGCCTTGTGGGAGGGATACTCTACTATCATACCCGACTGCCATTTGCTTTAACTTAAGGACACTCATATCATTTCATACCAAGAAAAAACCAACACAGGAAGTAATACGACGCTAGCGTTCGACCCGAAATTCTAGCTATCGCATTATCAACGATACACTGGTCAATTTTGCAAGGCCATTTTTCTGAGGCTTGGCTTCCACGCTCTTTTCCAATGCCATGGCCGGCATTGTGGATTTCTCTGGCTCTTCCCACTTATTTCGAGCATCATCTAATGAAGAGCAACACGACATTCTCTTGGGAATTGATTATAGAGAGAGTGGTTCATCCAACACTCCCTTATCCGAGCGTAGTTCCTTCACGGACACTGGATACCCTGATTTAATGCCTGGAAGGTCGTCTTCGGATTCTTCGTCATCCACGACACCCACGCCGTCTCGCGCTTCTTCGCCTTTGCCATTTTCTCGTCACTCGTCAACTCCATCAGAAACTGAGTCCAATTCACCCCTACTCGGCCTCGGAAGATATACCTCCTCGGGAGAGGGCCGCTGGTTATGGCGCAACTTAGGTTCGAGTTCTCCAAGGAGGCGTAAACGAGATGGAAGAAGGTGGAGAACATTCAAGGGTGTTTTGAGACGTATTGTCAGACACCCACTATTCCCTCGTCAACCGCTGACCATAGTATGTGTTTTTACATATATCTGCGTCTCGTTGCATGTTTCTGACAGTTTGTTAAGATACTCGCGCTCCTGGTGTTCACCGTCTTCGCCATTTCTCTCACATTAATCTTGCTCTATGTCTTGAACCCTGACAAGGAAGCTTTACCTTGGAGGGCATATTGCACTATCCCGCCCACAACATCTGTCCCCCCGCATTATCGTAATACATTGCCATATCCCTACATCAACCCCCTTCCCAAAGTTATGCCACCGTCGTTCCCACCGGATGATCTCGATACACTACCGCCCGCGGGGCTGTTCTTAGCTGTCTTCTCGATGGATTCGGCATTAGAACGTAGAATGTTGATTAGAACGACGTGGGCAGCACATCCTCGTAGTCGTAATGGCGCAGGAGAAGGAGACGACGGGATGGGCACCTCAAGAACTGTGGTGCGTTTTATTCTCGGCCAGCCCCGCAAAGGATGGGAAAGACGTATCCAAACAGAGATGGAAAGTGAGTGTATATCATATTGCCCCGTTGTATCACTCTGACGCACGATCTTGCGTAGTGTACAACGATATTATAATCTTGCCCTGCCCCGAAAACATGAATTCTGGCAAGTCGCATGCCTACTTCACCTGGGCAGCATCGAACGCTTGGGTCCCGCCAGTCTACTTCAATACCACGCATCCAGTACTGGAGGTCTCTTACTCAAATCAACATACCCCCGCCCCCCGTCTTGCCCCCCATGATCCCTACTGGGCTTGGAAAGACAGTGCCTCAGGTCATCCAAGACCTTGGGTGCGGCCCGATTATGTGGCTAAAGTTGATGACGATGCTTTCGTTATGTTGGCTGAGCTCGAGGCGCGTATGAGGCTGGAGCTGTACGCTACAGGGCAGAGGCCATATGGCATGCCCTACACTTCGCCAGCCTCGGCATCCTTCAGAGTGGAGGCACCAAAAGCGGAATTGCAGACTGATCCTCCTGCCGATACCCCTATATCATCAATGTTTGAACAGGAGATGCAGCGCGATGGATCAGCGGACGATCCATTGGTTTACTGGGGCTACCTTGTTAAAGAGAAATTTATGGCTGGCGAATTGTATGGTTTGAGCTGGAGTCTTGTCGACTGGGTTTCTAAGGATCCAGGCGTCAAAGGTCTTACCAAAGGTGCAGAGGACAAGCAGACGGCCAGATGGATGGGACTACACCCACGTGCAGGGGAGATTCGTTGGTCAAGCGACCATTGCTGGATATATGATCATCCCCGGTCAGGGACTGTGTGAGTCGACTCACTCGTTCATCTAACATTCCTGTGCTGATTTCCTCATAGATACTCTCATGGCTTCCTGTTTCCCTCTGAAGTCTCTCGCGTTAAGAAATCTGTTTTGGCATATCTCGACAAAGTGTCCCGCAATTCATCGACTGGGACGATCTTGTCGTCAAATCCAGCTGTTGCGACTTCAACACCTTTATCTTGGTCGCACTCAAGTGTTGCGACATTTGGAACCCGGTACCAGCAGCCCCTACAAGAGATGGATTTGGCTCATAGTGTTGAGGCACTAGTTGAAGGCAGCCATATGTCTGAGCTGCAGGAAGGTGCGATCCCAAGTGTCCTTAATATGCGCATACTAAATGTCACCGCCTTCAGGGATATCTATGGGCACTGAGAGAGCATGGCGTAGCCGCGAGGGACGCATCACGCGATACGAGAACAAGCGCGTTGGTGGAACTGTCGTGGTGCACTTCATCAAGAAGCACATGTGGTTCTTAGAGACTGCGCTTGCTTTCTTGGAGGGCGAGAATTTTTCTGAAACTGAACTTGAGAGTCTCAATACGGACGCGGACAGGCTCAATGTGGGCTTGTCGTCAGTATGGACAGATAGTTCGGTTTTCAAGCCGACGAATGCAAGTGCTGCGTTGTGATGACTATTGCGCTGTCTGGACTATTTTAGCAGACCTCTTGTATTTATCTTTGAGGAGCCCGGGACCATCATATACCACTGTGCTCGGAAACTATTTGTCATTGACACCGTTATCAACTCGGACATAACATTTTTTGCATGCAATATTACCAAAGATAAACAACCAGGGTGATGGGTATGGGCAGGGTGTTCAATACCCATCCAACACCAATGTCTGAGTTTCAAGTTGATCATCCGGCATTGTAAAGGGTTGTTTGTCCTGCAGCCTGTTCTGCACCGCTCTTCTGATGGTTCCTTCCCATTGCCTAAACCACTCTCCTTCTCGCGTTCCAACGACTTTCGTCCGTCGGCCGGAAGAGTCAGCAATGGAAGATCCTTGGGCGGTGGTATCCACGGTCTCAAACACATCACGGAAAGGACTCTCCGCGTGTACAAGATCTGGAGCAGATTGCTTTGCAGCCTGTTCGACGCGCTTCAGCGCATATGCACCGCCACAGACATCCCAGCGTCCACCACCGCGTGAGTGGAAACGTTTGAATAGCCATATAAAGGGGTATATGAGCGTGAGAAACAGCAGAAACTTGATCCAACGGTTTGAAAGAGCGCGGGAGAGGCGATTGTGAGACCGGACAGAGACGATGTTTTGGGATGTTTCAAATTGGACGGTCAAGTCACCCCGATAATGGGTAGAATTAACGACGGAAATAGCAGCGATCCTGATGGCCTCAAAGTTCCAACCATAAGCAATCTGTGGATGGAAGTTGAGAGCTACGCGCGCATGAGATCGCTGAAATATCTACCTTGTGGTAATTAAATTCTTTCAAGTACTTGCGACTAGCACAATAGTCGTCTGCCCATTGACGCAATGTCCACGATGATTTGAGGACAGCGTTCGTTTGCATGGAATACTGCTGGTCCTCTCTCCATGCGTAGTCGCTACCGATCCACGGAGGGAACCCCCTGCGGGCGCGCTCTGCGTCCCACGCCTTTGCTGCCTTTCTTTCTGACTTCTGGGCCTTCCGTCTCTCCTCTGAGATGCCCATTTCTTGATACATGCGCCCCCTATATGCAGGGGTGGAATCGGCATATGACCAGTGGGTTGGCTCTCCGAAGATGTACTGCCCTACGTCTATGCAAAAATCGAAATCTATTATGTGCTCGGTATACTGCTCAGTCTTCATACTGGTCTGTCCATTGTGACGCGAGTGGACCATTCGCGTATGTGTCTCGTTGTGTGACCCTTTGCATCGCAACATGACGGTGGGTCGCGCCAAGGCCTGTGAAAGCAAGAAACGGTATAGGGCTTCGCCTGGGAGAGTTGAGAACGTTGAGATGTCAGAAACCGGAGGGCAACGTACCGTCATCATTGAGATGAGGATCATGAGAGATAATGTCACCAGAATGGGAAGTAAAGAACTGGGCGTTGTAAGGGGAAAAATCGGGCGGATCCTCGCCGCCTTGCTGCTGTGTCGAATTCAAAATGTCGTCCTCAGAGAAGTGCAGAACATGGTCTGCAACACTTTCCTCGAATGTTGGAGGAGGTTGCTGCAAGGATGATGGTGCACGCGAAGGGTTGCTGTCTTCGACAGAGTCCTGCTTGGACTTGACTATATCTGTGTCGATGAGCATGTCGTTGTCGTCGACGGGGTTGGCAAACAAGCTGTGTGGGACAGCCTAGAACAAGCCTGCATTTTGACACCGGGGTGTAAACGTTGATTGCACAGCTCGACATAGCCGCATTACGTAACCTCATTTTTAATGGTTCGTGTATGAATTTGCTCCAACCCTACGTACAAGGTGCCTTCCGTCTGAGCGCTGACCCTTTGTTATCAGCTTCTATCGCGTTGCATGCGATGATCCCAGAAGCTTCGTCCATTAAGCCACGACTTTAAGGTCGGCCCTGCAGTGTGAGTCTCTTGTTTCTAATTGTCTTCTTCATACTTTCTTCATTTTACTTGCAAGAGCTTTGCAACTGTACTTGCAACTCTTAGCTTGCCTTTGTTCCTAATCCTGTTAGGAACTTTTGTGATCAGTTCACGTAGGAGGAAAGACGCTCAAAGCCCTGATCGAGACCTTATTGTTTTATTTCCTGCCGAGCCTCCTGCGGCGTTTGGCTTTGAGCGGTGCAAGTCTCTCCCCTGTCATTGTGCACCGTTTCTCGTTCATTCTCCTCCAAGCCTTGTTTCTAATAAATTTTCCCCTTGTTTCAACCCGTTTTGCGCTCACAATTTGCCAACGACACGCCTTGGAAAAACCCGAAAACATCGTCGCCATATCCCACCTCTGTAACTGACTCTTCCACCAACTACGTTGCGCTCGTTTGCTACGCCTGCAACAAACCTTTGTCACATCTTCATTTGGCTCACTTACATGATATGTCTCAACCCACGACTTCCATAACGTCATTGTCTTTGAGCGCTTCTTCTTCCTCGTAAGTTGCTCGTATATCATCCAGGCCCTGTTCCTTGACCCAGTATGCAGCGTCGTGCCCACTACCGCAGCGCCCAGTAGCAGTAGTGTACCGCCATCGACCAGTGATTCTCCACTGCCCACAAGTTCTTCCACGCGCCTGACGACGCTATCCTCGACGTCCATGTCTTCCGGTACCACATCATCGATAAGCTCTGCATCCTCGCAGTCCCCAACCAGTGCAAATACAAGCACAGCAACGACGGCAACCAGTTCTTTGACAACTAGCCAGTCAACGACAACGACAAGTAGTGTTACTACCAGCTCATCGCAAACGACTTCCTCATCACTGACGACAACTTCCTCATCACTAACGACAACAACTTCATCACTAACGACGACTTCCTCATCATCAACGACTCCCTCGCCATCGCCCACCACGAGTACACTACAGACCACTTCTACCAGTGCACCTCCGCAGACATCCAACTCATCGTCATCTCAGTCTTCATCGACGTTGCCTAGCACACCGTCATCGTCGGTCACACCAGTGCCAGTCGTGTTCGTGTACCCCTTTCTTTTACGCGTCGTCTACCAACTCATCTTGTTCATACATTGTAGCACAACTTTGGAAAGTACTTTGTTTATTACCACAACGAATGCTCAAGGCCAACCAACAACGACGGCGCCCTCCATTGTCACAGAAGTCACCACTTCCACAAACAGCGCGGGAGCTGCCACGACTATCACAGTAGCAGTTGCAAACCCCACCCTTGCGCCCAACAACGGGACGTCATCGAGTTCCTCGTCAGCTCCCTTGCTTATCAGTCATTAACCATGCTCATAATATAACAGGTTCTTCGGGAACACCGGCGCCGTAGTCGGTGTCTTCCTTGTGGTTGGTTTGGCCGCTGCATCCATTGTGCTCTGGATCTTCTTTTTCATCCGACGTAAGCGTCGTATTAGCCGAATTGACCATGACACCGAAGTCGAGGCAGCTGTTGCTGCCTCGGGCTTTGGTCGAGCTCCTTTGGATGATGACAATGATTACCGAGGTGTCCGGTCACCACATACACATTCTCTGTCTTCGGCACAGATGGGGCAGCATGGGAATGGGAGCCCCGTTGGTTATATTCCCGACAGTTCTGGATTGCCCACCACTGGTCAACCAATTTCAGGGGGTCCGTTTGACGACGACAATGTCGCATTCAATCCCTACGTGGGCTATCCAGTCGAAGGTCAACCAATGAATGGAGGATATATTCAAGCTCGCACTGCTAGCCCTCCTCCGGGAGCAGAGCAGCAAGGTCCTTCTAGTGCAGGAACACATGACATTAGTGATTCCTCCCGGGATCGGAAAAGCTCCTACGGCCACACACCTACGTACAGCGTTGGAAGCTACGAGCCGCTACTGGCCGCATATACGCAAGGATCTTCTGCGGAGCGAGGTGTCAACTCACCACCCACACCACCCCCAAGGAACCCTGCACGGCGTGCACACCTTGACAGCGCCGCTTCCCGCCTTGCAAATAACTCATCAGATGGAGGTGCCGATGATAGGTTGGATCCTGAAATTCGGAGGCGGACCAGGTCGGATAGTCCTGGCTTGGACGACCTCAGGGATGAAGAAGACTATAGTCGACCGGTGCTCACTGTAAGGTCTTCAATTTATTTTTCTTGATGTCGTGCTCAGATATTGCAGGTCCGCAACATGCCTGATAGCCGCAGTATACATTCTGCACTGTGACGCACTTTGCGTCTAGCTTTTACTTCTTTCTCTCAAAAGAAATCTGACTGTCACGTCATTAATATTTTATCCGAGATTATCTGGACTGTTAAAACTGATTTGTTGAGCAGATCATAATCATCCTCATCATCCTCGTACATACTGCAACCACATTCTGTATATCACCACAAACCATGGACATACACGGACGGATGTTGCACTCACGAACTTCATACTTAGTCTTCAATCTATCCCCGTTCATTGTTGTGTTATTTCTCAATCGTTGTTCCATCATCAGGTGATGCACCTCCGGGATACTTTCCGCGACTCCTTAAGACCCCATGTATCCCGTGGTACATCTATTTGCAGTCACTTATCATAGCTTATCATTATCCCATGCCAAGAATTCTCTCAGGCTGCCATACCCGATACTGCTCGATTTCTCGGAACTCCTCTGGATCATGAGGTATAACTCGTCGATTTGCTCTTAGTTTGTTGTACTTACGTTGCCCGCACATGAGTCAGGTCCCCATACACGATACCCCAATTCTCGGCATGGCTACGCGTCCCAGAGTTTCAAAGGCCATCGAGTACGGCAACACAGCCAACTTCTGGGTTGAATATCCCTCCGGTCTTATGGACCTCACGCGTTCGCAGCATCTCACGACTGATGCGGTAGAACCGTCTTTGGTGGGCTCGACACAGCTTGACATCCCTGTAACTGGCAACCGTACCATCCGAGTCGACAAGACCAAGTCTGCTGCAGTAATCATTGATATGCAGAAGTAATATGTCATCCCGCTATGTGCTTGAACGATGAATTGATGATGAACAGCTTCTTCCTGCATCCCGAACTCAGAGTGCATAAAACCGGTTTGGAGTGTGTTGACCCGCTTTTGAATGTTATCGGTCCTCTCCGAAAGCAAGGAGTGAAGATACTTTGGGTGTATGTCATATCGCTTTTGTATTAGACACTAATTCACCCAACCGTAAAATAGGAATTGGGGTCTCACTGATCAAGAGTTGAAGACCGTCCCCCCTGCCGTGATCAGGGGATTCATGAAAGGAAGGTTTGGAGGGTTTGGCTCTGAAATGCCTGGCAACTTTGGCAGATTGCTCATGCGAGACGCTCGCAATTCGGAGTTGTATGGCCCCTTGCAGGAAGAGTACTTGAAAGGAGAGAAAGAGGGGACCGACGTTTGGATTCACAAGAATAGGTCTTGCGCTTCCTCAACCATACTCCTGATTTTCACTGTTTCTGACTGAGAGTGCAGGATGAGCGGCATATGGGGCCATCAAACAGCGTTGGATCTCTATTTGAAGGAGAATGGAATCACGACATTATTTTTTGGAGGTGTGAACGCTGACCAGGTGGGGACTCAACTTGGCTTCACATTTTCTTGCTGCTAAAGGTGATATAGTGCGTTTCGGGCACGTTCATCGATGCTTACTTCCAAGGCTACGATTGTGTTATGGTCGAGGACATCACGGCGACAACTTCTCCAGCTGGTGGCCTTGAGAACGTCTTATACAACGCTGGAAACGTGAGTGTTCGGTTTTACAATACATGGCGGATTCGCAACTAATGGAATTGAGGACAGTCGCAAGGTTTCGTCACCAATACGTCCAACATCATCAGTGCGAGCGGCTGATTTATTTCCATTACTCACTTTGTTGAAGTCCATGAGCTATCCGATGTTATCTACCTATCTTCATACAATGTTAACGGACACAAATTCAGGCGCACTGTGTCCGTACGCATAAATTGCAGTCTTTCACAAACAAAGGACAGACATGCCGAAGGAGACAATCATATGTACTTGAGGCGGAATATAATTTGGCAGCGGTGTTCGCTTCCATGTAAGTATCAACCAGACAGACACTGAACACAAATTGCAAAATGAAAAATATTGTATCGCACTACGGAATTACATAAATATGTCTAGATGTTCAAATCATACGACTTCCCTATCATCAAAGCCTACATCCACTCGCAGCACGCCTCTCTCGAACAGTCTATCCAGTCTCTTATTGACGATCCTGCCCATCTGCCCATCGTCTTCATTCGCTACCACGACTTGTACATCCTCTAGCGTTGCCCATGGCTCGCGATCCAATACGCGAGCTAGCCCGTCGAAGTCCATCGATGAAAGGGCGTGCAGATCAGCGGGATGCAATGCAAGCGAGAGAGCTCGCAACGGCGCGTGCACACGGTCGAGGAGGGCAGTGAGTGGCATCAGCTGCGGTGGCGGCGGGGGAGGATCGAGGTCCGATAGATCTGGGGGTGGTAAGGAAGGAATGACGAGTCCATACACATGCATCTCTCTCAAAGCATTGTTATGGCTGAGGTCAATGTGGGATACAATCTCATCTGCGCTGCGTGGGTCCTAATCTTTCGTTGATAGAAGCAAGTGCTCACCTCCATCGTCTATGAATGCAGCATCGAATCCAAGATGAAGCTCTTTCAAGCTTGCGCCCAGCATCTTCAAGAACTTTCCCACTGCTGGGGCACTCTTGACACCCAACGCGCCCAGTCTCAGCACTTCCACCATCACCCGCCCTCTGTCACGCCTCATCGCCGCCATCATCCACTTCAACGCCTGTCTGGTACGTGTTCCACGCATCGCGAGCTCCCTAAGCTTTCTTGGCGGCTCAGGGACCGCTCTATCGTATGTTTTAGATACAAACGCCTCTGCAGGTATATCATCCCACTCACAGCGCACCCCGTCCAGTGCGAGCGATTCTACATCTTCAAATTCTCCAATAAACCTGATCATATCCAGCGTCGTCCTGAACTCGCACACTCGCAGCGCAAGCTTTCGTACGCCCTTGAATCCTTTCATGAAAGCATCCCGAGACTTGGACGACAGATACTCCCAGGTGATGCGCTCAACTTCAAGAGAGTGGAGATTGAGCAGCGAGCCGGCTAGGGTTGGCAAGACTTCGTTAAGCCATTTCCGGTCCCACGACAAACCTCCTCGCGATTCGCGAATGAAGAGGTGTTTGACGTGCGGAGAAAAACCCGGAAGGGTGGATCCATGCCCTGAAGTGTAATGTTGTAACAACTTCACGAAACTATTTCCTCTTCGTCCGTCTCCGAGTCGTACGTATTTCCATAAATGCTCCCGGGCTGCATGTAGCCAAAACCTGCCCACGAGGGAGCAATTGCAGATTTCTGCGAGATCGGAATGGTCGTAGATATCTGTTGTGGTGGGCGTGTCTGGGACGGCAAGGAATGAGATTATATCCAGGAAAAGCTCTGGTGGGATGCGCGGGGAAGGAGTTGCAGGAGATGTATTATTCGAGGAGACGTGGTGTTGAAAGGTAGATGATACTGGGGTTGGGAAGGGGAGTATAGGAGAGAGATCTGGAAATGCAAGTGATTGTGGGGACTTCCAAGAACACACCAGCGTGATCGGGGAAGAAATTATCGACAATGAGGGGGACTGCAGGTGCGATCCAGGGACGGTGGTGATCAGTGTGATGGCCATAGTCGACCAATCGAAGTTAAATAGCAAGGTTTATAGATGAGCCCAGCGTCTAATGGGCGGCTGATTAGATCTATGGGGTATCTGCGTACTGTTGTGGACCAGCCAAGCAACCCAATACTGGTGAGAAGCTTCTCGGGAAGAAGACACAAGGTACGATAAAAGAGACAGAAACAAGGTGCATGTTTATAACGTTGAGCCGGAAGACACAGCAAAAAAATACTTGAGAGACTTTCCCATATTTGTTCGCGCTCCGAGTCCTGGATAGTCTTGTCCAAGCTAGCAGCTTGGTTACAGCCAAGCGTTTTATCGCAGCAGCTGTGACGGACAAAATTTTACCCCCTCCCTATATCGGGTTATACCTGTTGCGCCGGCCCCACTAGCATGTTTCCTTAGCATGGGTATGCACAAGTTCCCGTTGATAATCAATCCAAGGAGAATGTCATGTCAAACGTTTTAGGCGCCGAGCAGAGAGCAACAAGATTGGCTTGTTCGAGTCAAAATGCATTCAAGTTGTTCATCAGTTCGAAAGCCGTGTAAGCTTGAAGTGCGTCAGTCGAACATAAGACCACGTACATCAACATAGTCGTCCCCAGCGAAGTATACAAGCGCCTCGCGCGGGATCATGGAAATCTGCCCAAAATGCAGTGCTTTGCGACCGCATACCCATCCTTCACAGCAGATGAACTTGAATTTGGAAAATACTTACTAGTACATAAAGATGTCTGCATCTCTGTTTCTTCGATGTTATGATGGATCTACATTCAGCCGATGTAAGTGCCGCACCAAGGCATTAGAGCAAGAAGTCCACTTGCCATCTTGTTTCATGTTGACAACCGAAAGCCACAATGAGCCGCATGCCCTCCCTGGTAGGGTGTGCGTACGGCGCCGAAACAGATCTTGGACAACTCAGCTTTGAAACGACAACAAACAATACACGCTGCCAAAACATCACAAGATACATCACACGAAGCGGACAACAGTCTGACCCTCTGAGAGTCTTGCAGTGCCGCAAACCAGGTTTTGGGTACTTGCATAAAGTTACATGCTGTAAAACTGACCAAGCCTGCAACACAACGTGTAAGGGGTACTATACCATATTGAAACATGAGAGTGACATGATCCTTCCACATGAAACGTAACTATCCATGAGATAACAACAGTGATGATGAATAACTACGGGAATAGAAAATGGGAGATATCAGATGAAGCATCTATACTTGATTAGATACTGTGAATCAGTAAAACGCAAAAGTGAAATGATGTACAGCGTTTGAGTAGAATATGTGATTGAGAACAGAAAAAAAAAGTGGTATACAAACAAGTGGCACGAGGCACACGGCCACATGCGGGGAGCAAGGCAGAAGTGGCACCCTCACTCACCAACCGTCGATTATCTCTAGCAGCATTTGCCCGAAGGTGCCCAATTTTTCAATCGAAGCTTGCCCGAGCGTCGCCTTCGAGCTCCACTGAGACTCCCAAAGCTAAGGTGGCTAGAACTTGTCACTCTTCGGAGGGCACGATCTCCATAGCTGACACCGCTCCCAGCTTTCTCGGGATCTAAAATTCCAGACTCTATAGAGAGCAGGATAGACCTTGCTGCAAGCAAAAATGGAGCTTCGACGTTGTCGCCGGTTAATGAAGAAGCCTCGAGAAAGTGAACATCTTTCAATAGCGTCAGTACATTTAAGGTCAGACGAACGACGGCTTACCATTCTGCGCTGCCCATCTGCTAGCTTCAGCCCACTCCACTTCACGGTCCTCCTCCCTGTCCGACTTGTTTCCAACAAGGACTGCAACTAAGTGTGGGCTTGCCAAAGCTCTAGCATCAGTTAGCCACTGGGACATATTCAGAAAAGAATCGCGACTGTCAGTGAAAGCTTTGAGGATCAAGACAGTGAATAAGAATGAATGCACCAACTTCGTGATATCATATACGAGAATTACGCCAGCCGCACCGCGGTAGTAGCTACGCGTTACCGAACTGTTCTCCGCGCTGCTGTCAGGATTGAAGAAAATCACATCAAACGCGCGACTAACCGGAAGCGCTCCTGACCGGCAGTGTCCCATAGCTGTGAAAACTGTAAGTGATGCAGAGTGAATGAAAGACATGACATACTTGAAGCTTTATCCTCTTCTCCCCTAAGTTTACTGTTCTACTTGAGAACTCCACTCCGATGGTATGTTGAGAGTGGTCCTTGACTGTGAAGTGGCCTGAGACTGACACTCTGTAGAGAAACAGACGACACACATGTATTGTTGGTGAAGTGGTGCAATAAACATGATTTGCCTGTTCCTGCCTCTCCTGCAAGCGCAATGAGTCTTACTCCTAATAAGTGTTCCCGGCTGGCGCAACACACCAATGATAATGTACTTCATTAAAAAGTCTGAAAGTTAATGAGCATGATTCCGATTTAATGCATCACCCAAAACAAACCGTAAGTTTCCAGAAGTTCTGTAGCATCTACATCATACTCGTCTAGCGCCATAGGGTAAGGAATAGGGATTTAAGTGCCAGTTGATTCGTGAAGCTTCGCCAACTGCAGAGGCTTGAAAAGTTCCCACAGTCCAACCTTCATGTTCAATTACATAATACATGGGTATGTCTACCAGCCCTTCCATGGGACCCAGATGTCAACCACTTTGTCACCTCCTTCATCCGAATCGATGATGTAGTACCACGGGTAAGCAGCCGCTATCAAACATGCGTGCTGCCCAACAATCTCGACAATGTCTCCGATCTCCAACGTAGGATCTGCGCGACCTGACCCTGGGTCTGGGGGAACTTGTACCAGTACTCCGTGCTCCTGTGAAATTCTTCCTAGCTTCCATGACTTTCCAACAACCTCCCCGAATCCTGGAATACGACCCGTGTCTTTGCTCATAGCTATGCAACCAGCGTCACACATGGCTTCGTCTAAACCGTCACTTCCTCTTCCGGGGTAGTAGGAAATGACAGTGGCTAAAACCTTCTGGGCGATTTGTGGACGGCCGATCAAGGTTGTGTGTAGCTGCTGGAGATCGAGCATGGTGTAATTTCCTGCACGAATCGGTTTATACCACGCTAAATATCTTCTTGATGAAGCTCGCTTACCTGTATGGAGCTCCAGTATTCCATTGAGCGTAGATGTCATCTTCAGCTTTGATTCCGCAGATGCGCTAAGAGCAGTCGGAGTGGATCCCACAGATAGTACGAATGGCTGATTGTTGACCTCTCTGTTATCTGACTCCGCCAGGACTTCCATGGCCATGGTCGCTGCGTCATTGGTAAGACGCACTTCCCCTGTTAGATACGAGGTAGCTTGCTCCAGCGATGTCGATCCATACGAGTGCCCGGCGTGGGTGTAAAATCCAAACACGGAGATTGCAGGAGATGCAAACACCCTCCTCATGAATGCCTTGAAAGACACGGGCTCTGGAAGTATCCCGGCTCGCCTATTTTTGTGAGTAATAGACCACGGTGGTATTCAGAAAACATACTGTACACCACCATTCATTTTGATGAACGCAGACCATTTCTTTGGGTGCTCTTGCGCCCTCTCGTATTCCTCTAGAAATTTCACCTGATCTAAATGATCTAAGAGAATACGAACAGTTCCTCCATATTTTGTCATCTCAGCATGCAGAGCAGACAGATCATCCAACTTGTTCAGTCCAACTGGAAGGCCATACAGAATCTGAAAGGAAGGTGAGAATCGGAACAATTTTGCATGCCTCTGTACTGACATCTTTGACCGTGCCGTCAGCTACGAGACCACCTTGCACGACTCCCCAAGCCTCCGAGAGTGTCGATACAACGACGGCAGAAGTTTTTCCAACATCTGAAACTAGCTGCAATTTCGTTCCCTCGACTGTCTGATGAAAGTCATCACACTGAAATGTATTCGTCTTGACCTCCCATACCTTGTGTGTCTTCAAGTGTCCCCTAAACGTTGCTCCCCAGTCTCTGGCATTCTCGTGCATTTTCCTGCAGTTATCTGCAAACACCGCGCGGTCCACCACAAAGGCGGGTGTTCTCAGAGCATTGAGTGGTTTGCCCACAAAATCAGCCAACAATGCATCTTTATTGGGGTTAATAAAGTGTAATGGCGTTTTAGTCTGGAGTATGGGTGCCATGATCTTTGCGGGGGGAGTTGGCTGTCGAGATCGCGCCGATAGCATGTGCTTATAACTCTACAATGTAAGCGGCTTTTTTCCAATATCTACATCGTGTCCACCCCGTCATGATCATGATGTCGTTACAGCTGCCTTTTGTATCCATCATGTGGTGTCTCTTATGTACACTACGTGGCAAGCTTTTTATTCGTCTTCAATAGAGGCATTACAAGCTCCACGGTATCTGCGATTCTCGAATGCTATTAACAGCTCTTCATATCTACGGACTTCCGTCGCATGTCCTGGTGACCTTACGAGCTCGGTCCGCTCAGACCGAGGTGAATCGTCCATCCTCTACATAGAGAATATGATCTAGAAGAACCCTGCTCATCTCTCTGCCAGTGAAGGAAGTCTGCTCCGGATCCATTATTTCAGTCGAAATGGCAGCTCCGCAAGCCATTGACCCAGCCATCCTTCTACGTCTCGACCCCGAGTACGTCGCCTTCCACAATAAGTATGTCGCTCATGTCGTTCCCCCTCACACTCTACCTTGGAATCCCGCCATCCGTAATGGTGACACTGTACCGGGAAGTGCAGAGGTCTTGCCAGTTGGCAGTGTTCAAGATTACAAATTGAGCCGCTGTCAAGTGCGCGTCTTTACCCCAGAGGGCACTCCTCCCCCTGACGGCTGGCCCGCATATGTCTGGTATCACGGTGGTGAGTTTGAAACACCTTTCAATATCAACGATATTGAAGCTGTGTTATAAGGCGGGTGGACCCTCGGAAACATCAACTCAGAAAACGCATTCTGCTCTCGGCTTTGCAAAGGTATAATTGCGAGGTATAAAAACACACCTAGCGTTGTGCGCTTATCGCTGGCACGTAGGGGCGAAGTGTGTTGTAGCATCACCAGATTATCGCCTTGCGCCAGAAGCTCCTTACCCCGCTGCAGTAGAAGACTCATTCGAAACGCTGCAATGGGTATTTGAGAAGGGAAATTCTCTCTTAGGAGTCGATCCTACGAGATTGGCGATTGGCGGATCATCTGCGTAGGTGATTACCGTTCGACATGTCGAAATTGATTCGACCAGCCCCTCTTGTAGTGGCGGTAACCTTGCTGCCATAATCTCTATGATGGCTGCCGAGCTTAACCCCCCGATCCCCCTGAAGCTTGCACAGCTCATTGTCCCAGTGACTGACAATACTGCTCTCCACACGGAGGATCGGTACCCATCCTGGAAGGAGAACGCAAAGACGGTTTGGCTTAACACAGAGAGGATGCTCTGGTTCCGGAACTTCTACGTTCCGAATGAGGCAGAGAGGACCAAGTGGGACAACTCGCCAATCTTTGCGCCCGATGAGCTGCTAGCCAAATCTCCAAAGACTTGGATCGCGGTGATGGAACTCGACATTCTAAGAGATGAAGGCTTGGCATACGGCGAACGACTGAAGAAAGTTGGCGTGTCGGTATCGCACAAGCAGTATGCGAAGGCACCTCATCAGATTTTGGCTATGGACGGTATGACTCCCCCTATTACAAGATTGATAAGCTGATCACAGTATCTATCCGCTTTCCATCTATTAGGGTAAGTCACGAGAGTTCTTCCTTAGCCAACGCTTTTCTCATCCAATCTTTAGTGTTCTTAGTGTCGGTCGCGAGCTCGTGAGTGACGCCGTTGAGAACCTTGCCGAGGCATTTGGTAAATAGTGAATCATTGGAGTTGCGAGCATGGTTTTTTGTACCAAGTAATGTCGAGCTGAATGTGAAAACGAGGATATGTACGCTTTTTCGTCCAGGCCTGTGCTAGGTCCTTTAACAGCTCAGTGCGAATACTATTGATGTGGAAATTGAATTGACAGTGTCCTACTTCTGTTCATCGAATACATATTGGTTTGATCGCCTCGGAACCAATCAGTTAGTCCCGACAAGAATTCTTGGAATATTTGAAAACGCGGTATATCAAGAGTATGATAATCAAACTGCAGCAATTGCCTCGATCTCTATGTCCACATCGAAAGGCAGTCCCCCAGCTTGGATACACGTACGAGCTGGCTTAGGGTCAGGCATAAGCTGCGAATGTTATTGATGAGCCAATCCCAATCGGAAGAGATTATTATGACAAACCTTGATATATTCCTCGTTCACGGCCGCGTAGTCGCTCATGCTCTTGAGGTAAATGTTCACCTTCACCACTTTGTCCCATGATGAACCAGCAGTTTTCAATACGTCACCTAAGTTAGAGAGGCATTGAGCCTGCAGAAAGAGCTCGAGTGTCAGGTAATAGGTCGCAGGGATGAACCTACAGCGTGGGCTTTGATATCTCCTGGGACAACATTGCCTGCACTGTCCACGGGGGTTTGTCCGCTGCAGAAAATAAGGCCTGGAATCTTCACCGCATGCGCTGAGCCCCGTTGGTCAGTTTCATATCATCGATTCGTTTGAGCTCATACAATACATAGGTACTAGCGGCCTCTCAGGGCTATTGATTTTTTGAACTGACATATTGAATATCGATGGAAGAATGAACACAGATCCAAGGGGATTTAAACAACGAGCTTGATATCGAGCTACATGATATGGGGACGGAAAGTTCTATTCCGAGTGAATTGTTCAGGTGACCAGACATCTTATCTTAGACCATTAAGTCCTACTTGGCATAGATATCGCCAAACCACATGAGCTGCAGGATAGTGTCACAAGATAGCGGAGAAGACACATTCGCACTTACGGATTCCGTTTTTCCGCCGCCAACGATGCAGATCGCTGCATGTCGCTGCCGCAAGATGTGGTCGCCATTCATCCGAATCTTGTGTACCTGTGTATGCCACAACCTGGCGACCACTCTGAAGAAATCCCACGTTCCTGGAGTGCAGTCTTGTCAGGCTCACCACCAGGATAAAGGCAATCAACGACTGGATTAGACAGTACGGGAATCTACGGCAAGAAAAAGCATTCTCTGAGAAAATGAAACTCGTCATGAGATGAACAAGAATCGGCGATCAACCTGCCTGCACTTGTTATCGTTTCTCCGGAAGACTATGCACAGCATAATTTTGGGAATACCAATCGAACTGGCCAATAGAGACCTGTAGCATACAAGCATCAATATCTTCAAACCGTCATCACTTCAGCATCGAATAAGTCGAGAAATGGTTAGTCGAGTGGCGTCGGTAAAATATCGCTCATTGATGGGCAGCCATTATCGCATCGGAGATAAATACCGCAGACACCTGTTTGCCACCGAACCACCGACCGTTCAGACCTTGTACAGCTTTCTTGGCGGATTCGATTGCGTCGAACTTGACGTAGATTTCACCCTGTAGTTGCGTTGAATGATCAAGAATTAAATGTGAAATAGAATGCATACCTGTGTCTCCCTTTCAACCTTGATGGCCTCCACTCTGCCGTATTTTTCTTCACATTCGCCTTTGACGTCATCGCCGAGCTCTTTATCCCAGTCACGTTCAGTTTCCCTATAGCACGAGTATGTTAGATGAGCAGTGGTTATTTGGACGTGAACCCACTCCTCTGGGTCAAACATGTTCTTCAATACGACAGAACGGGACTGCATAGCTTGTGGGATGTTCGGTTTGTTGCTGCAAGTAATTGTAAGACAAATTGTCGGCATAGATAGGATTTACATACACAAGCTGGGGTTTCGGAACAGGCTCAATTCTAGCAAGTTTCTGCATTAGTGCTTGACGTGATGCTGCGTTCAAATTACCGCCTATAAAACTATTAGTAAGCGCTTTGAAACGGTTTTTTAAAACGCACCGCCAGCCTCGTCCAACGAATCCTGTTGGGCGTATCGCACAGTGCCTTTCTCGTGGACTGTATTGACTCTCAGCTGTAGCTAAAATTGAATGACAATCTATGAGTTTGCGATTTGAAGTGCCCTACCGTTCTACCAGCAAGCTCGAAACCCTCCATCTGTTCAAGAGCCATTCTGGCATCCTCGGCACGTTTGTATCTACTAAATTTAGCGGATGCCCAAAAGACGAGACAACTTTTACTTACTGCACAAACGCGTAACCCTTGCTGCGCCCGGTCATAGGATCCCTGTGCAAATCAACAAATTCCAATTCCCCGAAGGGTTCAAAGACCTGCTTGATATCGGATTCGGTAAGGTTGAAATGCAAGGAACCAACGTAAAGTCTGAAAAGTAACTCGTCACAACTTTGAAGCGAGTAGTTGAGGAGTTTGCTCACTGCATAGCTCCGTGAGGCGCATGAACACCAGGCGGAAGATTAAGATTCCTCAATGAACTATCAGACAATTGAAACACGTGACACCTGCAAAACTCACCCGTCTCCTGGATGAAGCCTATTCCTTTCTGACTCAGTCAATTGAACCATGATAGGGAGACCCATTACGACTGTTCCGCTCAATGACATAGCTTTCTCTACCAAATCGATCGACCGGAACTCAACATATCCGATACTGTCAAATACATGAGCACCTCAAAAATATTCTCAGAAAAATGAAGGTGCACACCCTTTAGAGCGTCGTGACAGCCGGTCTGTAACAATCCTAGAATCCATTACGGTCCCTTCACCAAGTTTATCCTCGAAAAAGTACCCAAGGTCACGCGCCGTGAGACGAGCGGCAAGCTGAGAAACAAAGACCGACCGAGCTTCCGAATCGTCTTCTTTAGGTTCATCGGGGTTGTAGTCTTCTGGGGCCTCGTAAGTAGGTGATGGTCGTCTTTAGGGAATATTATGAGTAACAAGTCATAATAATACGAAGGTAGCTTACTTGATTGGCGGGGGACTTGTCTTTATTGACTGCCTGTCCGGTTCCTCCTCGTTGAGTGGAGTATCGTCAACGGGGGGACGTTTGTCGTGCGTGTTGTCCCTTTCCTTCCGGTACCGAGGGGGATCATCGAACTCGTCTCGTGGGTCACGATACCTGCGTTCACGTGAGCGATCTCTACGGTCATGACCCCTTCGTGGACTGTCCTTGGGCGGAAGTCCAGCCGAAGATTCGTCCATGTCATCATGTCTCTTTTTCTTCAAGCGTTCGTCCGGGGACTCATCGGTTTCTTCCCTCTTGCGGCGCCTGTCACGGTCTCCATCACGTTCGCGGCGATGAACATCTCCCCGCTCTCGCCTATCGTCATCACGATGACGCCTTTCTTTGTCTTTTTCAGTACGATCGCGGTCCCTGTGGGACCTCTCGCGCGAGCGATCACGATAATCTCGTTCACTTCCTCGGTCGCGACTGCGTCGTCGTTTGTCGTCATAATCTCTTTCCCTACGCTTTTCACGACGGTCACGGTCTCGCTCCTGCGAGCCAGAACGATGAGACCGTCTCGTGCGATGGGTATCAGTGGAATGGTTGCGAGACCTCATGGGGATATCAGTACTTAGCTACGTTGAAAATAAAACAACGAGTGAGTGTGGAAGACGCACGATTTTCGGTTGGGGGATATGTCTACATCCATCATACTTGGTGGTGGAATTCGCTTGTGGTGGACGGTGTTTGAGTTGCAAGTTGCAGCGGTGGAACAAACATGCGAAAACTGCGTGTGGCGGCACAGCCACATGTCTGAACGCGATTTTCTGCACGGGTAGCACATAACTTTAAATACAGACTATACAGTGTATGAAGAAAGGAAGCACCATGCAAGTAAATACTTAAATGTAACCATAGTTAGGTCCCTGCTCGATTGAAAACGTTTACAAAAGCCCAGCCAACCTTGCTCTGACGCGCTTCTCAGCCTTGACGAGCTCCATCTCCTCTGATCGTTTGTACAGCTTATTCAGGGGGTTCGTATCACCCTCCTTGTCGAGATCATCCTCGATTTGGCTGAAAGCCTCGCAAAACTTGCCGTTCAAGACCTGCATGGAAGGGTTCAGCAAGGTTCGGACATTATAAAAGAAAATTCATGCCTGGTTGTGCAAGATGTCCTTGAAGTGTTCCCGCATGGCCACTCCATCGAGCTTGAGTGAACCACTCAGTTGACCGTACTGTGAGACAGTAGAATGGTGCTTGAGCTATTTAGTACCATGCATCAGTAAGATATTTCAAATTGCTTCGCACGCATTCCCACCTGTGCGACGAAACCATCATCTGCAGCTCGCTCGAATATCTCTGCAGGTTCTTTTGACATCCACCTGGGGGCGGATTAATTACAAATAAATTTAATCAAAAACCAACTCACATTTCGTAGCAAAGAGCCTCGTCCGAGCACCCAGCATCCTTGAGGACATTGAAAGCTTCCCTAAGGGCAGCTATGTTATTCACGGTGGCGTATGAAATTTTGGCAGTTCTCAAACCTGAACATCATAATGATGTTGGGCCAGAGAGCCTGTTCAGCGAAGAGATCCATCGCAGTCTCTTCCCGCACTGACGAAGCAATGGCTCCCTGTTTGGTTGCACCAATGGCGCGGGAGAGTGCAAGAGCTACATCCAAGCCTTCGCCGGTTCCGTTTTGCTCGACGGAAACAAAACAAGGGAAACCACGGCCCTTTTCATGAAGAGAGCGCACTGAAGAGCCAATCATCCTGTAAAAAGCGTCAGCAAGGGATTGCGTGACCCGACGGAATGGTACAGAGTTATCGACTTACCGCGGGGCAACCATCACGACATCCTGCCCTGGTTGGAACTTTAACAAGTTGAAGAAAACGTTGTAGCCCGAAGCAACAACAATGGTGGCGTTACTCTTCAACTTGGGTGAGAATTGTTCGTTAAACACGCGGGGTTGAACCTGGTCTGGTATCAGGATAAAAAGTACTGTGGATTCCTGTAATTAGAGGGAGTTGAACAGTATATGAATTCATGCACACCGTCTGCAACTTCAGCAGCTGTTGCGAAGTCATGCTCGACGTGAAAGCCTTTGGCTTTTGCAGTCTCAGCATACGAATCCACACGATTGGCAATCAGGATTTGATCATTAGGGATGCCACTGTCACGTAGGTTCTGCGCTTGTGCAGACCCCTGATTTCCAAAGCTAAGAAACAAAATGAATGGGGTTCGAAGGCATAAGTGGACTCGAGGACTTACCCGAGGAACACAATCTTCTTGTTGCTCAGGACACCTAGGTCTGCATCCGAGTCATAGTAGCTGTAAAATAAAGAACTTCAAGATCCTCGCGGTGTTCTGAAATGATCAGACACGCACATCTTTGCTTGTCCCATGATGAATTGAAGTCTGGAGAGGAACTGAGCACCGGCACACTTGTTGAATGCTCATTCCTCTTTATCATGGGTCCTTAAAAACCCACAGCACGGAGCAGCAGCCGAACAACCGTAGTCCCAATGGCCCTTGGTTCGAGTCACGCTCCCCGATTATGTATATCAAAAGGTGGTATGATGGTCCTTGTGCGAAGGTCATGAGGAGCACAAGATGACGCAGTTCGCGGACCGGTCGACACCGTCCACCCGTACTTTATCCCGGGATTCCGGATGGACCACAGGACGTGTATATAGAGAGAGCTAAAAAATTAACACTGAGTCGTTTGACCATGGCTTTGCTCGCAAACCAGATCGTGTGTATAACTGGATCGTCTCGAGGTATTGGCCGAGCATGCGCGCGCGGTCGAATCGGCTAAACATCGCATCAGTGAATTGAGGAGTCCTTGATATTCTAACCGTGAGAACGATAGAAGCACGTAATCGTGTTCCTGCCGCATATCATAGAGCATTTACAGCTCTTTGCATAAGAGTCAGTTCGGAAACTCGCACGTTGGGAAAATGTTGGCAATATTTGATGTTGAGGCTGTGCGAGTGGTTCGGCATGAATCCATCCGGCAGACGGAGCTCGAATGCAACCACGGCGTGTGCCGGCGTACATACTCCTACATACTACTAGCTGTGCATCCTTTGTATGGAATTCCTACCAGCGGTCCTTCCGGGGCTTTGCCTTCGGCCAGATCTACCACAGGCCCATCAATGGATCATACAGTATGCAATACTTTTACTTAGCATCCTCATCAATGCATCAGGGGCCCTAGTCGCAGCTTTGTACCCCAGAGACCCGGTGCCTTATCATACCTCTGCACTTTCTGGTGAAGGGTGGGTAACAGAATTACTTACGGGTCATCCAGAACGGATTCGTTGTGAGCTGGGGATGCATGCCCACGTCTTCGCACAGATTATATTAGAACTTCGTGCCCTCGGATGCTCTGATTCAAAATTTGTCTCGCTTGAGGAACAATTGGCTATATTTCTGTACACTGCTGTCACCGGCCTCTCAATCAGGCACGTTGGAGAAAGGTTCCAGCGCTCGAACGAGACAATCTCTTGGTAAGTGTTATATTTTGTGATCAGACTTGTGTCTCATGAATACTGACATCTACTAGTTACTTTCGAAGGATGCTTGTAGTTTTTTTGTGCCCCCCACTCTATTCGACCTATGTGCACTTGCCAGATGAATCAGTTCCCCAGAAAATCCACCAAAACCCGAAGTTTTGGCCTTTTTTTAAGGACGCCATTGGGGCCCTGGATGGCAGTCATATCCACGCTACACCTCCTGCCTTTGAACGCGCTGCCTACCGTGATCGCAAGGGTCTCGTCTCTCAAAATTGCCTATTTGCGTGTGACTTCGACATGAAGTTTACTTATTCTCTAACCGGCTGGGAGGGATCGGCCACGGATGCACGTGTTTACCAAGACGCCTGCGCGAAGGATCTTCATATCCCTCGAGCGAAATATTTCCTCGCTGATGCCGGTTATCCACTACGTCGTGGACTGCTCATCCCATACCGCGGCATGCGCTATCATCTTGCTGAGTGGGGACGTGCAAGTGTCAGGTGAGTGCTTTGCTCTGACCCTTGTGACTGCCATTAATCTTACAATTTCAGACCATGTAATAAAGAGGAACTATTCAATCTTCGCCACGCTATGGCACGGAACGTAATCGAGCGGATCTTTGGCGTGTTGAAACATCGGTTTCGTATACTCATTCTATCACCGAAATATAATCTACAAATTCAGGCCCAGATCCCAGCAGCTCTGTGTACCATTCATAACATTATACACCTTCATGACCCACAGGAAGGCCCCCTACCGGATGCTGATGAGCCCCCAGATGAGGACGGCGTCGAGCAACCAGCGGCAGTGACCAATGATGAAGATGATGTGCAGGACCGCAATGAAATGAGCGGCATTCGTAACCGTATTGCTGGAGCCATGTGGGAGCAGTATCAGCAAGTCGTGTGTGAACGAGAGCTAGCGGGTGTTGAGGATCTTGATATTGAGGACTTACTGCTGGAGTTTGACGAGAACGAGGGCACAGACGAGGATGCGGACACAAACTTTGATGTATAGATGGTTGAAATCACATACACGCATGGCTACATGACTTCGAGCAGGACATAGTACTAGTGTGAGCTACAATTACAACAACTACAAGTGGACTCGGACAGGACAGTGTGATAGTACAACAGGTACAACAATGACACACGAGTGACAAACACATGAAGCAACGGACACACGAAGCGATGGACACAAACGTGAACATGATGGGCAGGTGAGACTTCACACCTGCAGTGCTGCCTTGTGAGCGGCCACGAGACCCCTGATGAAAGAGCGACGTGCTTCAGCGTGTGAGCTCATAGCGTAGATCGCCATCGTTCGGTCACTGTTGACAGCACTGAAGATAGTCATCAGAATGCCCAAGTCCTCCGCTGGCATATCTGCGTCTTCCGTCTGCATAATGTGCATGGCGCGCTCAATGACAGATAATTCCTTGATTTCGGAGGTGGCTGGGGGGGTAATGGGGCGAGGGGCAGGAGCAGGGGCTTGGGCAGTGGTGACTGCCTTCTCCAAAATGTCGCCGATGCGATTAATAGATCCTTGCATCCCCACCACGGCAGTGGCAGCGGTGAGCTTGGAGGCTTTTGTAGCACTGGTCATGAGCGAGTGTGTAGTACTGTCAACAATGCGGCTGCTAGTAGCGCAACTACTAGTGACACGTGCAGATTGTGGTTTCTTTGCAGCGGATGGGGTTGACACCAATGTGCTAGATGCAACGGGGTTGAGTATGATGGATGGCTTGAGACGTATGACGATGTTTCAACCTCAAGCAATGCATCATCGTGAGTGCATTTGCCTTTGCTGAGGCTAGAGCCTGCAATTGAGGGAGGACCAACGGGAAGATGCGGAATTGCAAAACTAATGCTCGCAGACCCTATGGCAGTCGAAGAATCAACAGTAGTAGAGGTATGGGGGACCAGTGTCAAGGTGTCATGGAGCGTGATGCCAGCGACAGTAAGTTGACTCAGAGCTTTGTCGTTGGGTTCATGATTGACCAGAGGAGCTGGGGCAGCCACAGCTGGATGAAAGGCGTGATGGCCTTGAGCGCCGTGACCGTGTGGTAAAATGGCTTGCACCTGCGAGTAGAATGGCCAACCAGCGTTGTGGTACTGGCGCATCGAACCACGGGATTGCTGGCAGCGTATCAGTTGCAATATCACAACACACCCGATACAAGTGCACCTACACTCGATTGGATATATGCGTTCCATACTGCCCATGCGGCCTCTCCCTCAATTCCAGCTCCCCTCTCACTATCCCAATGGACGCCTGAAAGAGAGCGGTAGTTTTCGATGTTGCCAAACATCTGCCTAAGCTACATTAAGTTCTAATCAGTATAGATTAGTAGATACTACGAGTTGTAATGCCCTTACCGACATCCATTTAGTTTTGCAACATTTTGCAGTCTTGGGGGGGCCTGCGGTTAGCAGGTTAGCTGCGGCAAGGGTTGCCGCTGCACTAGTATATGTTGCAGCCTTGAAATTGTTGCCATCACCGGCCTCAGAGAGATTGCTGAACAGATGGGCAAGGAGTGCGTCAGTCTCTTGTGCATTCCATTGGGCCTTGGGCTCGGAAGGTGCTTCAGTGGCCATCAGTACAGTAGTGAATTGACCGCAGATAGAAACAACAGCGACCACCGATGAGTAGACCAGCTGACGGAGATGGGGATTGAGACATTCCATACTGTAGTATAGTTGTGGTGCTGGGCAGTACTCAAGGAAGGTTTGAGCTCCGTCTGCCGGATGGATTCATGCCGAACCACTCGCACAGCCTCAACATCAAATATTGCCAACATTTTCCCAACGTGCGAGTTTCCGAACTGACTCTAAAGGATGGCAGTACTAGTGGCGTGAAATTTTCGTTCAATTAGGAAATGTGGGACTTGGTGAAATTTTGCTCCTGTAGCCTTGTAGTAGTACCCTTACTATCATCCTCGAAACATGGGATTTCACAAGATCAGCCGTGACGTGAAACTCGTGGCAATTCGACTCCATGAACGGAACCTTCTGAGCCTTCCGGACATCTTAGATTCCTGCGGATTTTCTGAACGCACTTGGTTTCGGATTTTGAGGCTCTGGCGTGAAACTGGTGATGTTGTGAACCATCAGCCTAGCGCAGTAATGCGTGGTCGTCTGCGTGCTCTCAATTGTGAAGATATTGATTGCCTGCTTCGTCTTGTAAGGCAGAATCCCGACTATTTTCTGGACGAGCTCATGCACCTCCTCGCAACAAACCAATTCATAAGTCCATTTCACGACAATCTTCCGCGAGCTCGAACGTGCTGACATGAGCTACAAGAAACTCAAGCGCATTGCCAATAGAGTTTAAAAGTCCGGTTAAGTCCGGTCTTTTGCCTTATTTGGAGGCAACCGGACCAGGACCGGTCTTTTTATTCCCATGATATCAGCGAACCTGGACTGGACCCGTAAAGACCGATGTTTTTGGTCTTTTGCGGTCCTGCAACCGGTTTTAGACCGGTTGCCACCACAACCGGTCCTGTGGCAGTGTAGTACCCCTTCCCACGATTCCAACGGTCTAATTTTTGTAGTAAACAGTTAAGATCTGAGCAAGATATGAGCATTATAAAAAAGGGTTCCTAAACTCCGCCCTGCATGTGAGTCAAATATGAAATGTCATTACTATGCTTAAGTTTCTTGACGAAATATGTGCTGCTAGTCAAGGCAATACTATAGCTAGTCTTATCTAGTCAATAGGGTAAGATATAAGCAAGATATAAGCTTGACAAAAAATCATTATCAGGCTTGTCTTTGAAAAATAAAAGTTGTTATAAGGGTTAGGTGTCTTGACGAAATATGTGCTGCTAGTCAAGGCGATACTGTAGCTACTTGTATCTTGTCGAACACTCAAGGTTTGGGTAAGTTATGAGCCAATCGGTGATTTTGACTGATTTTGACTCGCCGTTCTAACATGTCTGATCTTTGTGCTAGTCTTGGAGCATGATAAATCATCAAGAGTTATCTAAATTTGATGTTCCATACCATTTTTGAGGTCTACGAACACACTGGTAAAGGTTTTTAAGCTTGGAAATCAACCCCTGGTTCAGTGCCAACAAGCCTAAAAACATGCCCCACAGATTTATACGAGCCATTCTTAAAATGCTTGTAACTTTCCCAAATCTCAACCGATTTTGAAGATCAGACCACCGATAGAATCGCCTAAATGAGCACTACCAATATATAGGCAACCGGTCCCACAATGGACCAGTTGAGACCGGTCTTGGACCGGTCTTGGACCGGTCTTGGACCGGTCTTTCATTTTTCGCAAAAGTCAGGCAACTGCAACCAGACTTTTTTGGACCTGAGGCAACTGGCAACCAAGGTCCGGTCTTTTTCGGTCCAGTTTTGGTCCGGTTGCGGTCTTTTTTCGGTCTTGCAACTGGACTTTTAAACTCTAATTGCCAAGGAACGCAATGAGACTCTGCGTGCTGCATTCATCGCCCGCATGGCTCAGTATGACCCATCAGAGTTGGGATTTATTGACAAGACATCAAAAGATGAGCAAACACCTGGTAGACACTACGGACGATCGAGGATGGGCACACGTGCAGAGAAAAAGTAGGTGTTTGTATGTGGACGATGGACATCCACAGAAGCCCTCCTCACACTGGATGGCATTGTTGCTGCAACTGTCGTTGAAGGCTCTATGACCCAGGAGTTGTTCCTAGAGTGGCTTGAGAAAATTGTCGTGAGTCTCGTAATGAATATGTATTGTCGAATCTCGATGTACTAACAAAACAAATTGTCAGCTCTCAAAGTGTTTGGCCTATCCTGGCCCCCTTAGTGTCCTCGTAATGGACAATGCAAAAATACATCATCGGTGCTGATGTTCTCGAGCTTGTTGATTGTTTCGGTACGTGCATTCACTATATTTTGTGTCCGTAGGTATCCGTATCGAGTTTCTCCCACCATATTCACCCGACCTCAACCCTATAGAGGAAGCCTTCTCAAAAATAAAACACTGGCTCTGTCGTCATCAAGACTACTATCTGGCCACTACGGGTGATGGGATCATGTTTGATATGTACAAGGTTCTCGAGATTGTCACTCCGGATGATGCACATGGGTATTTTATTCATGCAGGGTACTTCTAGACGAGCGAGAGCAATAAAAGGTCCAAAAGACGAGTGAGAGCAATGAAAGGTCCAAAATTGTATAGTATACATGCAGGTCATTAGCACAATTGATTATAGAAGTCCATTTTCGAAGAAGTCCAATCCGAGGCCAAGTCCTGTAAAGTTACAATATCAAGTATCAAACACGAGGGACAGACCACCATTCAACAGCATCACGTAGCGCAGCAATTTCACCCAATTGGAAGCCCATCTCTTTCAACTCGGAAATCGTAACGAAGCGTAAGAACTGAGCTTCCTTGTATGCATTCTCAGTGAATTTCACATGGATATTGTTGCCTAAGTCATATTCTGTGCAGAATTCGTCAAGTGGTATATCCCTCCCTTGAGCACGAGATGGATGTAAGAATGTAGTACAAGCAGAGTCAGACGAGTGCAACGTGGAGGATAATGCTGGTGCAACAGCGACAGCAGGCAGCTGTGGGCGAAAAATGTCAAGAACCTCATTTCCGATAGTGAAGTTGAAGACTGGTGTAGAAGGTGACGGCACTTTAGTGTTTTGCGAGTCCAGTCGTCGCTGAAGTACAGGACTGATCTTTCGAACATCGAAGAGCTTATGGTGAGGTGGCTTCTCCAGTGTTGCTGTCCCGTCGTCTTTGAGCTTTATGAATCAACACTTGTTAGCAACAGGCAGCTCTTCGATAAATGACTCACCATTGCAGATGCCCAGCAATTGAACCATTCAGCATTGAGATGCAGATGTTTGTCCGTGCTTGAATCAACATAGCAATGTGTTGATGGACATGCGGCATCTGATTTCTTGCAAATCCAATGCTCACGGAGGCTCTGTATGTTCGTAATCTTGTGTTGATTTCCGGGAAGAATGGCAGCTGCTTCCTTCTAAATAGTAGAGTATATGTGTGAAAATCAGCACGTAAAACACTCAAAAAACTGCCTGTACTCGTTTTTTTAGCTTTCTCATTCACAGTCGGCTCAATCACAGCTTTGTTCTCCTTGAGTTCATGGTTCTCCTTCTGAATGATTGTCACATTGATGGTTGGATCATTGCCTTTCAGATTCGCTGCTCGTTTCACCAAAACATCGAAATCTTTATCGTCGAGGAGGGATAAGCCAGGTTTGGGAAGGACATGTGGAATGAACCAGGAGACCTCGTAATCCTCATAGCTGAGAAGTCCAGGGTTGAGTGCATCTGAGATTTTGATGAGAATTTGTGCTTTCATGGTGTCTCAAGGCTCGTCAAGATTGAGTGTGAAGGTTTGATTCCTCGAAGTACGTTTGCTTGCAGGTTTCTTCATCTCAGCTGCAGAGGTGATGCTCATGATAAAGGTGACCTCTTTTACACCTGCCGGAGGGTCAGGGTCAGACGGTGCTGTAAAAATAAGTAATCAAGCCACAGTTTTGTGTAGTAGGGATCATTAGTCACATAGTTTAGTTCTGCGCTTTCGCTTTTTGGACGTGGTCGGAGGTGGTGTAAGGATCTTCGTAGGCTGGGACTGCTCAGGCTCGTTATCTTTGTCATCATTATCAGAGTCAGGTTCCTCTTCCTCCAAAAGTTCTTCAATTCAAGTATTGTGCTCATCGGAGCTATTGGAATCAAGGTCACTGTCATGCTCTAGCAGGCTCTTGTGTTTTTTAGAGGCAGGAATAGTTATAAACGGCATAGTGATAATGAATTACAGGGAATGTGAGTGTACGACGAGCAAAATTCTACTAAGTCCCACATTTCCTAATTGAATGAAAATTCACGCCACTGCCATCCTTTATGCAAAGCGCTGTAAACTGGGTCTGTGTTTCTGATAGGCATGCAAATCTAGACTACAATGAGGAGTTCGTAAAAATATCGCGATGTTGCAGCCTCACAGCCAGCAAGAGTTTCTAGCGTAATTATGTCCCTGGTGTCAAGCATTCTAATTTGTCATTATATTTGGTGTAAATTATAAAGCTAGTTAAGACTTTCTCCTGAGAAGCAGCAAGGCACTAGGGCATCAAATATATTTTGGTATTGAAGCTTGTGACTATGGTCTGACATGGCACCATCACAGCCTGTAACGGGCGATAGGACAACTGTGTTCAGGTTGTTGAGCACTTGCCTTTTCACTCGTTGATGCTTTGAAATTTATTAGCTTTTAAACCATGAACAATTTGAGTTGTCATATATACCCATGGATGCCCGCAAATCTAGCCCAGCACGAACAGTTGTAACAAATCATACAATGTCCCAAGATCACACAAATCTATCTGTGCAACGACCATTTCAAACCCAGGTGACAAGTCATTCCATTTCCCTCCGATTCACAATTAGGTGGTAAGAATTTCTATGACAGGTTGTAGCTGCACCAGCACTCTCTCGATGTCCCTGCCCTCACTAGGACCAAGAAGTTTCAGTATTTCTCCTGTGTTCTAAGATATTGCACTATCTCTGCCATTGCGTAGTCTTGAGTGGGTAATTTCGAGGGAAGCTATAGGAGACGCAAAAGACTTTACATGCAGGCTCGCACAACAGATGAAATTACATGAAGGATAATAGAGAGAAAAGTCACAGTGAACCCTACACAAGATACCCTACTCCCGAATGAACCGCAGCTTCGCATCATTTGCTATGTGTCCAAACATCAATAGCTTCATACTGGAAACGAGCATCAGAAATGCCTCGTCATCAGATGCATATACACTCACCTCCAATCTCGGTGTATCCAGCACCCAACACACGGGGCCGAATATTAATGAGCGAGAATTCTTCCCCATCCTCCTCCTCTTTGTCCGAGTCGATGTCCGTCTTGCGTTCCCCACCGGGGCCTCGACTAAACCTCTGTCTCTTTCTCCGTTTCCTCCCGCCCTTGCTCAACATGGTTTTGATGAGCCTGAGAACACATACATACACAGAACATAAACAAATAACATACACAGATAACCAAACACTTTCAAGTTGTAGCAAGTGAGAGTGAACTTCTGCAAATACCTTGTAGAGCGGTGTGAGCATGACTTCATCGCGGATATTGAGTTTGCCAATTCTACGGCCAAAACAGAGAGATGTGATAGTAGAGAAAGGGGCAGAAATAGCACATAGGGCTGGGAGACCATTTGGTGACAGTGAAAGAGCGGGGATGTGGTTTCGCAGGATGAGAGTGTGAAGGGAGGGAAGAGTCTCGAGGAACGAGATGAAACCCTGTGGAACTCTGGGATGGCTCATACTCTGGTAGAGACTGCCAATGTCAAGAGAGGTCAAAAAAGGGCTTTTGTGCAAAGGTTGGGAGATATTTGGTGCGGATAGCACACGCAGGGTCTGGCTCACTTTCAGAGGGCCCCGAAGAAACCTGAGAGTCAACCTCAGGAGCGGGTACAGGCTGCACGAGACAGGTTGGAAGCGCTACTTCACTTGCATGCACAACGGCAGTGGTGTGCAAACGATGGCCCTTCATGATCGTGGAGCTCGTGTTACCAGCATCACAGGCGCATTGTCTGCTAATAGCACCTGTGAGGCCCCGCTCAAGACTGGCACTATCGGAATACTTGAATTTGTTGGCGGGAGTTGGAGGAATGAAGCCACTTGGGTGTTTCACTGTCCTGTCAGGCTCCCTGATTTTGAATGGCACCTTGTGAGAGTGTGGGCGCATACTCACCACACATGATTGAAGTCAGATTCAAGGACACGTTCAGCTACTGAGGCTGTCTTGTAAGACTCGGAGGGATACAGGCAACGGGCTGATGAATGAAACACTCGTACTTGTTGCCCAATCATAGATGGTGAATCGCTTGAAGGTACATCTGTCTCGAAGTATAAGTAACAGACAGCAAGATAAGTGAATAGACTTCATACCCGAGGAACGCAAGGTCCTTTTGAGCATCAGCAGAGTCCGCTACCAGGGCTTCAGCTGGTGCTTGGTCAATCTCGTCCGTAGGGAAGTATGACGTATTCGTGATGGAGCGAAGATGTGGTACAAAAGGCGCATCAATCACGCGTATATGATGAGAACTAAATATACAAACAAAGTACAACAGATTGACGACAAATACAAGGCAAGCGGTAGTGTACAACAAAGTGTTGGAATACATGACTGGAAAGGACTTGTGGTCTAGTCTACTGGTAGGTATGTAAGCTTGAGTTTGATATAGCTACTGTAAGGTACAACAAATATAAGTGAGCCGTCATTCAAACAATATCTTCTCATTACCGGCAAGGTTGTCAATTCGCGATATCATCGCTGCATAACAAGCTTCATTATCTGGGGTGTCGAACTCGGCATCCGCAAACCACCCAGTCTTGAGGCATCGCCTCAACCCCCAGCCACAAAATGTTCCCGCCACTGTGATTGTGTTCTTGAGGCAACAGGGCCAACCTTCTGTGCTAAAGGATACATATTGAATGAGTTGTTGCTGGTGAAGAAGATATTTGAGGAATGCGGTGAGCGCATGATTCGCAAATGGGGTGACGAATAGCTCAAGTCGTCCATCTTCCATCTGGTGCTGAAGTGCAATATTAGAAGCATATAAAATATTATTTAAATTAAAAATGTACCTCCATAAATCCATCCAAAAATGTGAAGTTCGAAAGTAGGGTGGTTGCTTGAGTAATGCATGACGCAATGGCCAAAACCACAGATACGTCGAGTGATAGCTGGTATGCGGCAGTGATAAGTGGTTGATTGATGATCGTGAAGCCATTGTAGATGGTTTTCACGGCACCCTTCAACCTGCTGATCTCGCACTGGCCCTCCTTCCTAAGCTTCCATTTCACCAGTTCGTCTGTTGTGCAAACGTGAGTTACAAAATAAATACATAGTAAATAAATACCATTGTTGGAGGCGGACACCACACTGTTGAGTGCTTCTTGCGCCAATGTATGGAGTTGAAGTTGAGAAGGGAACAACGAGACCTGAAATAATGATCGCATCATAGACTCCCATGCGTTTTTCTTCGTCTTATCCACAATTTGAAATGGTAAGAAGATGATTGGGGCCAATGCCAGAGGGCATAATGTTATCATCATGGGGTCGAGAAACTTGGTCTGCTTCGCAGTTTTTTTGTACTTGTAGTCGAGTAGTCGCTTCAATACCAATTTTTCAGGTAACATGGGCTGGTAGTTAAGATTAGTCAAGCTGGAAGCACCCAAGCTCGACTGACCTGACTGACTCAGCCCACCCTCAAAAGCGGTGGTGATGGGTCTCGGAGATGGTGGTATTGGATCCACTGCGCGAGCGTGATCACAGAAGATGCTGGGATTGTGGATGGGAGGTGCTGGTATGTGAAACACTAGATCCCCTGAGACCGAGTTGGAATGCAGCCCTGCTTGTAAGTTAGGGCGGTTGTTACCATTGGGAGACTCCTGCATGTTGGAGGAAAACAAATGATTGTAGCCTAGGCCGGTGTAGGAAACCTCCATTCTCTGGCCTCACAATTGATACTTTCCTTACTTTATGTTAGCACTCTTATTGCTTACATAATCCAGTCAATCTTGCACCAGTACCAGTTAGAGTCTGAAGTCCAGTCTGAAGTCCCCTGTCTTTTCCTTGATGTTTTCATGTCTGTGAGCACTGAGCCTAGAGCAGAGACCCTTTAGGGTCGAACTAGCCTAGGCCAGCAAGACCCAACATTTCCCTGCAGCTCAGCAGGATTGTTGTACCCACACCGGGCCTGGCTGTAGATTGTTGAATATTGGCTCGGCGATGTGGGGCTGGAGTTGCTGCCCAGGAAATGGTGGCAGCTGCTGCCCAGGAAATGGTGTTGGCTGCTGGGCTACTGGGCTGCGGGAAAGGGTGGGAAGCTCCAAGTGCGAGTATGAATAATTGGGGTCGCTGACAGCGGGGACATCAAAGGAATGCGGGTAGGTGTAACGGAGATCAGTTGGAGGGGGCTTGTTGAGCGTCGTGGGGGGGATATACGAGGGGTCATTGGTGTGGGGCTGTCCCCAGGATAATTGGACCAGGTTTGGGACATTCACTTTCATGTTGGAGGGATGATGGTGGGTGAACCGTTGAGTCGAAGGACTTGAAGAACTTGAACTCCATTGTGGCCAGGCTAGCTCTCACTGGTCAGGTAATCTGCGGCTGGCTGATGATCCTATCACGGACAGGTACTTTACCACACACTTAGTCGTTGATCTGACCTACCTCAAGGCCGCTTCCTATCAGCCGTAGTGGCCCCTGAACCCTGTTCTAAACCAGTGCAAGGCCGATTTGCAGCTGCCGTGAGCTCATGGTTATGCTGTCACGGTGACCATATCAGTTTCATCAGTCATTTTTCTCCAGTGATTACTGTTTTAGTAAGTGGCCTAAAAAGGCATCCATTCAAATATTCATTCCTGTTCAGCGCTCTCGGGAGCTTTAGGGTTTGATCAAACTGATGATAATCAAGATTCTAGATTCCAAAACACGTTCCATTGGCAGGGCCGTGTACTTGTATGCGCTGGATCTAGTAGCTGGGTGTGTGTACTATAACCAACATATTATATTATATCATAATTCAATCATTGGACATGTTTGGTGGACGGTAATCTTGACTTTGGTTTGACGGTCTGCTCGCTTCTGAATCTGGTTGCTTCTGAATCCGATAGCATCCGCAACTTTTGTTAGTTCTGAAAATGCTCAATAGTGCATTTCTATATTCTATGTCTATCAGCATAGGCATTTGTTTCTTTACTACATTGTTAATTAGTTATTGTTTTTTCAATTTTTGTCATGAATCTGTAACACTAAGCACGTGACATTCATTGGATTTGCATGTTGTTTATCTTAGTGAGAAAGTCTGATGGCTAAATAAGCCTAGAAAAATAGAAAGACAAAGCAGGTCACAGAACAAAATAGAAATGCATAGAAAATTGAGTCTGAGACAAGAAACTTCAGAGGGCAAACTGATGAATCAAAGGAAAATGATAGTCATTTTGTGATAGGATAGAATACAGTTCATTATATCTTCCTTATCTTTTATATATATATATGTCATGGTATGAACTGGATACCATGTATGACAGCGCCACTTGAATCATGTGACTGTTCACTTTTACAATCACCTAGTGGGTGTTGATTATTACCCAGAGACATATTTCTGGGTAGATTAGACTAGTGTGTACCGCCGTGTGTAGTGTCCGTTTTCAATTGTGTGCTATGTTTGTTTATCTGATCCGTTGTAGAAACCAGTTCCTGGTTAAGCTTACTTTACCCCTATCTATATTGCTTATGTTGGCATTTGGACTGCTTACATAATCATGTTGGTCTTACCCTTACTATCACCTGGTGTGACTTTAAATGTAGTTTCCTTATTCTCTCTCTCTCCCTGAGCCTTGAGCCTAGTTCAGAAACCCTTTAGGGTCTGATACTGTCTACCTTGACATAGCAGCTAGGCAGCAAGAGCCAACACTTTCTGCTCTTCAGCAGGTTTGTTGTACCCACACCATGTCACTCAGTGTTTGCTTCTTACTATTGGCTTCATCCCCCACATGATGTAACTTCCCCCAAGCCTTCGCAGCATCTTCCACACCAGGGGCCATGAAAAGATCTCAAGTATTACACAAGATGGTAAGTCTCTGTTTCAACACTTCTAGTTCATCTGCCAGATAACAAGCATGAACAATCTGCTTGATATGTGTTCTGTCAAACTTCAGCCCTGTGTTTATGATGGCAAGTGTGGGCACAACATGACATTCAAGCAACAGGAGGTTAGTGTAAGGATGCTGATAATGAACTTCTTGTTGACCAGTTCTGCATATGAACCCTTTTGTCAAGCATATGGACATATGTCACAACCCCTTAAACAGCTTAATGCTAGGACAGAGACTAAAAGGTTCTTCACAATGGAAAGAGAATAGAATTGAGCAGGTACGTTCGGGCTGCTACAAGATGTAGAGACAAAAGGTTTGAACTAAAGAACTACTGACTAGTAAAGGTCCTAACTATATACAACTATTCAAGAGGAGATACAAACTGAGTTCTAACTACTAGCCAATCACAAAATAGGAAACAGAATTGTATAATGTAATAATGTGAAAGGGTTCTATGATGTCATGTTCTGGAAGGTTCTAGTTGAGTCACATTATGTAAGGGTGTCTATTCCTGGAGTTTGGATTTTGGTTATTGTAGAGTTAAGGACTAAGTATTGGAACATATGACGGGTGCTTAGGAGTTAACACTGGGAATAGGCACTTAATACCAACAGTCAAAAGGAAAGAATAATGGTTTGTATTTGGAACTTGTGACAACACAAAGGTGAATAGTCATCTCTTAAGGGCCCACCGTAGAAAAGTCAATATTGTGGTTATGAGTTGGCAATAATTATCATAAGTACCTTGGACAAAGATGGGTCGACAGTACACTTAAACTTTTCCTCAATTCAATAGCTTTCTCAATATGGTGATGAAGATCTTTCAGTGTACCTGCATCTGGCAGTAGAAACCGATGATTTTTGTCAAAGAAACTATGCAACTCCTTGATTACTGCAAACTAATATCAGCATTACAAGCTCACAAAAGATGCTGCAGTGTGTCGTATGATAGAACAAATTTCTCCTGCTGCTGACATGCAATTCTTTGAATTTTAGGCAAAGGCAATACTCATAGAGGGTTAACTGAAAAACATTAGGGTTGTGCATATTACAGGTTATAGAATTGCACACAGTTTTAGGTTTGGTTACACATGGAACAACATGCACTATCTGGAGGTTGCCAAGGTCACTGTCTTCCGAAACAATGCAGAGGTGATGACCATAAACATTGTTGTACAGTTTCTCTAGTTTGTTCTATGATTTCAGAGAGTGCAATAACTTGTCTTCCAAGTGACTAGGGGTTGAATAGCTTGGGGTGGGTATTGACTTGTTCTTGGCGGAGTGGTATTCATTGTCATCACTTTCTTCAGATGATTCCAGATTATATCTGTGGAGTGAGACATGTAATGAATGACAAGAAGAATCTAGAGACATGTTAAAGAGACTAAGCCAGTGTGCGAGTCAGATGAAGCATACCTGAGCGTCTAGAAGAGAATGAGTGGTAAACAAACAATGACAGAAGGGCTGGCTTATAAGGTAAATTATGTAAAGAGACCGTTGTAGGTACAACAATCCTGCTGTAGGGAAATGTTGGGTCTTGCACTGTCTAGCTGCTATGTCCAGAGTGACAATGTTCGACCCTAAAGGGTCTCTGCTCTAGGCTCAGTGCTCACAGAGAGAAAGACATCAATAATAAAGACTGTGGACTCAGACTCAGACTGATACTGGTGAAAGATTGACTGTATTATGTAAGCAGTAAAAGTGCCAACATAAAGTAGGTAGGATCAATTGTGAGGCCAGAGACTATGTGGAAAGTTGAAACTAATAGACATGTCTCAGCATTGGAGAATAACCGCTATGGCATTGATAGTACCTAATAGACACATCTAGAGACGATGTAATGTAAGTGAGAGATGGCATGCATAAATGAAAATGAACTATACCTCAGCGTTGGAGAATAACCACTGAGGTACAAACAGTATGATACAATAGGAATATGATCTATTCTATAGAGTCTGTGATAATGATCAAGAAAGGAACAAGAAAGAAAATACACAGTCGATGTTCAAACGTTTAACATCCAACAGACTGGAGGTTTCCTACACCATGATGACAAAGAGGAAGAAACAGCCACTTGCTTACTAGATGGATTGTGCACATTCAACTCAATCATTATGGCACCAGGAGCTATGACATATTAGCTTTAGAAATAAGATAGACTATTTGCACACATACAGTGTACTACCGGTACCTTTCACACCACCGGTACATTTCACACTTGTGCTAAAACTTCATCAATTATTATTATTTTGTCCTGCCACTTGAGCCATGCATTAAGAGGCATGTATAGAAGTATAATACAAAATTACAAAGAGATATGTAAAGTGTGTAAAAGCTGGGGATGGATTCTGTCAAAGAAATGGTACAGTTGTGCTGAGAAATAACTTTTGTACCAGGCCCAGTGCAAAGAATTCACCGAAAATTGCCTGTATATGTAGCATCATTTTAATCAGCCAGGTATCCTGCACAAAATATCTCTACAGACGGGAGTGATTGGGCTGAAATTTCATGTTGCAAAAGGCATTTTGTGCAAAACCTGTTTCAAAGCGTGACAATGTGTGACGGCTCGCATCAAAGACACATTGCGTAGTATGCTTCAATTCTCATAGCCCACACCCTACTTCTATCATCACATAAAACTAATTTACCAACTCTAAATGGTATTTCGTGCCTTGTCGGATTGTGTCAAGCGGATCAAGCAGCTGCGCACACAGAGTAACATATTAGTGCAGGCAGTTCATGCATATTGTGTTAAGCAAGCTCGCCAACAGCCTGACAGGAGAGAAGAGAAAGGGTGTTCGGACAATTGCAGAAGAGTTTGGTATTCCTAAGCAGTACAAGACTATACTCAATTATGCTACAGGCAAAACTCGGCCCCTCTCAGAGTACATGGCTTCGAAACAGAAGATATTAGCTGCCGAGGAGCATATTATGGTCCACTTCCTACTCAAGTCAGCTAAATGAGGCTTTCCCCTCAGTCATGAACAGATTAAGAACTATGCCAACACAATTATCGAGAGGCGAAAAGGAGAGAGCTTCAAGCCTACAAAGGACAAAGTTGGACATCAGTGGGTTTTTCGGTTCCTCGACCACCACCACGATAAGCTACAGACGCACTTGGGAAAGGGCCTTGATACTCAATGAGCCAAGGCCTTAAACTCTTCAAATGTCAATCACTGGTTTTCATTAGTCGAGGAACACATAGTCAACAAGGGCATCCAACCTGAAGACATCTATGGCATGGACGAGAGTGGCTTCCCGTTGACAAACACTCAGTCATGTCGTTGTGTCGGGGCACGAGGAGCCAAGCTACAGCACACTGCAGGATCTGCAGACCGGGAGAATGTGACAGGGATTATCACGATCTGTGCTGATGGCACTGCTCTCTGCCCGACAATCATCTTCAAAGGTCAAAACTTCATGCAGAAGTGGGGGGACAATAATGTTGCCCATGCCAAGAGTCTCAATTAACAACTGCCCTACAGCTCACTGAATTTCGGACAAGTCTCTGTCATTCACCCAATGGGTGGACTGATGGTGAATTGTGCCTGGATTGGATGATCAACGACTTCGATCCACAAACAAAAGAGAAAGCTAGTGGACGAGCCCATGTGCTTCTCATGGATGGACATAGCTCACATTTCACACCTGAGCTCCTCGAATATGCGATGGACAACAATATTACCATCCTCGGATACCCGCCACACTGTACTCATGCCCTGCAGGGCCTTGATGTTGTGTGCTTCGCGAGGATGAAAGCTAGCTTTAACGAAGAAGTCAGTGCATTTGAAGAAACTAGACGACGGGGTATCAAGAAGGCAGACTTTACAGGCATGTTCGGATGTGCATTTGTCCGCGCATTTACTCCGGATCTCGTCAAAACAGCATTCTGTGTCACCGGTATCTGCCCATTTGACCAAAATTTCATCACGGCTGATCAAATGAAGCCAAGCGAGGAGAGTTCCACTTGTAGCGCATTTCCACTGCCCTATTCAAGCCCAACATGAGCAGTCCTAGCTGCATTCACAAATTATCAGCCAACATCATTTGAATTATCCCCGAACACACAAAGACACTCAACCTATTGCAGGACCAAGCTCAGCAGTTGCGACACAACCAAATACCCCAGATTCATCATCCCATCGTCACTATGACAGCGAAATCACTGACAGCCCCTCAAAATGTATGCGCCTGATGACAGCTTCACTCTCGCAAACATCATATTCATTCCTCGTATCAAAAACACGGATGTCAAAAGGCCAGTTGATCCCCACACCAGTGTTCGAGAAACCACCAGTACTGCCAGAGCCAGATTGGAGCTTGTTGATTGCAAAACAAGCTTCAGGAGACAAGACGAGAGATATCGAGCACTGGAAAACTTGTTGCCTGGACCTCGAGGAGGCTCTCTGGTGCACGAAACACCAACTCACTACACATGAACAAATCAATGCAGGCCAGAATGCACAGATCATAATTCAAGATCTCACCTTACGAAAACTCAACGAGACCCTCAACATGGGTGACAAGAAAGACACAGATTGAGTCAAACTGTATCCGAAGGGGAATGGGCGTCATATGACAGAACACCAGTTTATTGACGAATTGAAGGAGGATTGTGTGAAGTGTGCCGAAAAAGTGGAAGTGAGAAAACAAAGAAAAGCAGCGAGAGAGGTGAGGCGTGGCAAGGGTGTTGAGCTGGTGACACAGTGGAATGAGATCAAGGAGAAACATGCAGCAGCTGTGAGGGACTGGCAGGTCAAGTGCGAGCGCTTGAATGTAGAGGGTGTGAGAAAGAAAGATTGGCTGAAGAAACCAAAACGGCCACTAAAGCCCAAACGAGCACCACAGCAGGCAGTTGAAGCAGATTGTGATGACAAAAATGGTTTAGGGCTGGTGGCTGATGGTGTTGACGAGCGAGAAGGTGGTAGTTCTAGTAGTGAGTCCTCTGATGAAGAGAATGTATGAGCCAAAGTGCGCAATGTTGGTCATGTGATGTGTTGGGTCACACTGTGAAACGTACCGCATTTGTGTAACATTTGAGCACTTAAAATTTTAAATCATCCAGTGTGTTCAACATTGTGGAAAAAAAAATTGCATCGGTAGTACTATTTAGATGCCTTTCACTGATTCTGGGTACTTAAATTGTTCAAAAAAGTAGTTTACATGCCTTGACTCGACAAGTGTCAATGTTGTGCGAAAGGTGCCGGTAGTACACTGTACTAGGTCCAGCAGTGGTAAAGACCATACTGCTTATCTCCAGAACACCTTGAGAATTGGCTGCAAGGGTTGTTCTGATCGCTGAAAGCACTCCCACCAGCCATTATTACCGTGACTGACCAGGCTTAGTGACGTGCACAGCCCGGCTTCAAGCCGTGGGCCGAGCCAAGCCGGACCAAATTAGGCCGGGCCAAGCCAGGCCAAACTGACGGCCTGACCAGGGCTTTGGCCCAGCCTGGTATTCTGAAAAGCCGAAGCTGATGGCCTGAGCCGCGGCTTTTAGCCACCTCTACCATCGACAATGACAATGAACATTGGTTTGTCTTCAGCAGCAGCAAGATCAATTGCAGACCCAGGCACCATCACTGCAGACTCAGTCTGTCGCCCCCTCGACGTCCACGACACCTCAGGCTATTGCTCTTGATACTTGTACTACTGCGGCAGGTGCAGCAAGCGCGCAGCTATGGCCCTTTCCATGGCGGGCTCGTTTTGTTCTTTTTCTCTGCTGTGTATCTCCAACCTACTCAATTTCGTGTGGCTTCAATTCTATGTCATGAAGCCACGGTGTTAATTGCAAGCACTCGCACTGGCTGCCAGTCCTGGTACTGGACATGTTGTGCACCAGCCATCTCGTCCTCATCTATTCCTCTAGTACCTGATAAGTAGTAAGTATGTACATCCTGTGTTGGGCTTGATCGCTCCATCGCACAAAACTGCATATATGCATCTTCCCAACCTCATTTCCTGCATGGTGTGCATACTACCCGGATAGTTTCAACACGCCATGGTGATTTCGTGGTGATTTTCCGCTATATCATTTACTCTGAGTGCACGGCCACTGGTATGGTGCATCTTCCAGAGCGTGACCATGCGACCTTTACGTGGTGTACAACCAAGATGTATTCACCTGCTGTCCGCGATGCGACTAGCCATGAGTCCTGTTTTGTACGTAACTGACCTTTGTGCGCAGGTTCATCCCTACGTGAAGGTGTCATTAAGTGTCTTCACTTGCGTGTCCAAGGTACCCTTCCCCGCATATATGCTATTTTATAGGTTAATACTTACGAGCATCTGTGTGACAGATGATACTTGCACAAGCAGATCATGATCCTGCTATTTCCCATCTTCTCACACATTCAACTCAGAATCAAAGCCTTGGGTGGCGCATGTCATGAAGAAGCCGCCAGCCATTTCACTGCCGCTATTGATCGCCGAGATTGTGTTCTGAGGCGCGCACTGGCAGGTGAGTCTTGTCAGAATCGTAAACTCCCTACTCGAGCCGCGGCTCAGGCCAGAGCTAGGCCAAAGCCAACCGTCATTTGCGGCTTTGGCCTGGCTTTGATTTTTTGCAGGCCAAAGCCGTGGCTTTGGGCCAAGCCGGGCCAGAACATCACTAATTTAAAGGCTTCACCGACAATCTGAGCTCCAGCAGGCATAGTGATGGTATTGGTCACATAATATGTTCCAGCATCAAAGAAGATGATCTTGCATCCAGCGTACTGAAAAGAGTTGGTGGCACGATCTCAGTAGAAGAAGGCAATGGAGCCCACCTCATTCAGGATGTTTTGAATAGTGGTGGTGTCATCGGTGTGGCCATCACCTTTCACACCTTGATTCTTGACAGTGACAAATTGGCTCATAGCGTAGTTTGCGTACTGAGGATGAGTCTTTCCGAAGATTCGACCAGCACTATCCAAAAGGACGGAGGGCTTGTTGGCAGAGACGATGTTTCCTTGCGTAAAATTCTTGGATCCACTGGTTCCAGAATATACATTTCCTTGACCCCACGAAGCGATCGTAGTCGTACCACCAGCAAGGACCGTAGTTCCGCCTACAACACCGACTGCGGTGGGCACATTTATCAACTTGATGTTGTTGAGAACGAGGAAGCCAGCCAGTTGACCTTTGCTCGCTACCGAAGATCGAAGAAAAATGGGGGTATTGGTCACGACTGCATCAATGATAGCCTGAAATGTGAATCCTGGAAGGATGTGAGAAAGATGTCAGAGACAGCTGCCGGTCAATAGGGGTGTTCAGCGCATCATCATAAATTGATGGATGAGATGACGAACCAGTGGCAGCATTGTTTACTATCAAGTTACGAACTGTGAACTGCTGGTTACCAACTTGAATCCCGTACTTGCCTAACGAAACATCACAAAAAGAAGAACAAAAATCATTAGGGATCTACCTCCGTTGAATATGATGTCTGAAGGCGCGATGTTAGTGTTCTCATTCCCATATCAAGATGGAATTCTCACCTCCCATAAATCCACCACTAGTAACAGCGTATTGAGAATGAAGATTCAAACCAGAAGACGAGCTTCTTGCCTCCCATTCTCCATGAACATGCCTTGATGATTGTCATTGGAAGCAGTGGACATCTCGACCACGATATTGATGAGCGAAGTGCCTTGCGAAACCTGCCAGTGCAAACCAATTGCCAAAGTCGACGCAGGGATCTGCCTAAGGTCGATGACCAAGTTGTGAATGGAACGATAGCTAGACGTCCATTATGATGAGCCATAGTGCACCAGGCGCAGGAAGGAATGCGCACAAGTTGTTTTGGTTAGAGAATCATTGGGCACCCCAGCCATTGGGAATATAGGGATCGACATCTGGTCAGAATTGAAGTAAGGCGGCGCCCACATTGAAAATGACGGATCATGTACCGGTGACTGCAAAGCCATTGAAAGACGAGTTGGCAAGGAGGGTTGGAGGGTTCTTTGCATCTCCGATCACCTGAGTGTAATAATACGTGTTAATCGCTGAAGATACGAGGTAAGTCCTGTCCGATGGTTAGCAGACAATCTCATGATATGAATGAAGAAGCATGCCCCGCAGGGAAATACACGATGTCCGGACCCAGTTCGCGGACCGGTCGACACCGTCCACACGTACTTTATCCCAGGATTCCGGATGGATCACAGGACGTGTATATAGAGAGAGCTAAAAAATTAACACTGAATCGTTTGACCATGGCTTTGCTCGCAAACAAGATCGTGTGTATAACTGGATCGTCTCGAGGTATTGGCCGAGCATGCGCGGTCGAATCGGCTAGGCATGGTGCCGTCGGTTTAATACTGCATTACTTTGGAGACCAGGAAACCGAAGCGGAGCTCCAGTCCCTGAAAGAAGAGATAGTGACGACTCACAATCACTGTCAAGTAGTCGGTGTGCCCGGCGATATCTCGGATTCGGAGACTTCACAAAAGGTGCGCTACGTACAAATATTCCGTCAGGTATTTATAAGCGACTGTTGAAATTCTTACTACGACATCCGCAATAGATCGTCAAAGCAGGCGTCGAAACGTTCGGACGAATCGGTAGGACTTGTAAAGCAACAGTCAAGTGCTTTGACTGATCTGACAAACAGACGTGCTCGTCAGTAATGCGGGAATATGTCCATTCGCCGAGTTCTTGACGATGCCCCATGCTACATGGGAACGTACGCGACAAGTAAACTTGGACGGCTCCTTCTACGTGGTGCAAGGTGTGTACTTTGACGACGACGTGACTCTGAGGTGCTATCGCGTTTCGTGCAGCGGTGGCAAATCAAATGAAGAGCCAGGTCCCCCAAGGCGGGTCTATCATCGGTCTGGCTTCGATTTCAGCGCTCGTGGGCGGTGAATTCCAATGGTTCGCATCTTGATGCATTGATGATCGGAGGCTCAACCTTTTTTGTGCAGTCACTACACGCCGACAAAGGCAGGTATCCTGTCGATGATGCAAAGCTGTGCTATCGCTCTTGGGAAATATAACATACGCTGCAACGCCATACTTCCTGGCACCATTGCTACAGACATCAATAAAGAGGACCTTGCGAATGAAGAAAAACGGGAGTATACCATCAAAAGGACTGTGCTAGGGAGACTTGGTGGTACGGTTCAGCTAAAAACTATGGTATCTGCTTGTTGCTGAAGTTTGATATCCTAAATACAGCTCCCGACGATATAGCTGGGCCTATGGTGTTCCTTGCCAGCGATCTTGCAAAGTATGTCACTGGCGCGCAACTACTTGTGGACGGCGGGCTGTTTGTCAATCTTCAGTGATATAGTTTCCTGGTGCAACAAAGGAGGAACGACCGTCTTACTTGCATAGACAGCTAGGATGAGACTGCATACCAGATACTACTTGTAACACCCAAGTGATGCGCAGAATCGGATATTTCATGTCTTTAAATAAGGAACACACTAAACAACACTCTATGGTCAGCGATGCAGACCGTCCAAAATCATTTATCCGTCTCCATGAGAAACCCTAGCTCCTGTCCATTTACCACTGCTGGTTTCGCATCGACCAGAACAGTCGCCCACCGGGTCCATTCCTTCCCAGGGTTTCTCCAAGCGTGACTGGTCCCCTTCTGAATCACCACATCTCCTGGGTTCTTGAGGTGCGTTTCTGTCCCATCGTCTGTTATCAAAATGAGTTCCCCATGGACTATTCATGATAAGCTTCAGTCAAGCTACGTCAAAGCGTTACGATACGTACTCAGGATGTTATAATCGATAGAGGGAGTCCGATGCTGCTCTTCTAGCTCCATCAAATTCGTACGTGTCAGACAACTCTACGCACCATCGGAGTGCGAACTCCCGGACCAATGTCGCTGTATATGAAGTTGGTCGTGTTACTTGCATATAATCCGAGGTCACCCACTTGACGGGCTCCGCCGTCCTCCCTATGATCGCATCTATAGCCACCGAGTTAGGATATGTTCATGTGTATTACTCACAGACAATTGTTATCATTCGTTGGCAGACCATCAGTAGAAGCCCAGAATGTGCCCGTTCGATGGCCATGAAGGCCTTCTATCATCACCTAAGTTTAGGACGATGACAACTCATTCATGTGCACCATAACCTCCTAACGGAATACACACCGATGAATGAACTGTTTCATCAACTGAAACTACGGCTTGTCCGTCGCTATCATGCGACGTTACAATGCGGCGAGGACCCGGGAGAACCGGGAGCAGAGGACCAGACATGAAGGTGAAGGAGGCAGGAGGAGCTGTACAGCCCTAACAATATCGGTCTACCTAAGTACTTGCATGAAATTGCATCCTTGACGTAAGCAGCCTGGAAAATATAATAGAACTCCCACTTCCACGCAGTAGTTTCATCACTTGCGTAGCGTGATGTGGCATAATAACATCATGATGCGGCCGATTGAAGGATACGGATCGTGAACTTCCGCGTACTACGGTCCAGATCAAATGGGCCAAGCAAGCAATAGGACACCGGTATATCGTGCGCATTCACGCTGTGCAAGTGTTGGAAATACTGTCCTGTGATAGTGGCCGATAGAAGGACGGGAATCGCGGACCTCCGGGTATTACGGTCCCGATAGGTTCGTGCAAGGTTACTGGCACGAGTTCGCTTGCTTCCTGAAGAGGTTAGAACGTTGGAACACCAAGACTATATCGATGTTTAAGTGCATAGGTACAACATTGTACATGAATTCGGGACAAAGGTGAGATTGGTAGCACGCTAGTGATTAAGGAGCAGTGTCTAGCACCAGTTGCTGTCAGCGAGAGCAAGGACCCATTGAAAACACTCACAATAATAATATCCATCAACAAGAGGTATCCAATCCTTCACAATAGAGCTAAGGACTCCAAGTATTGGTGTATTAGCGGTTTTCTCCACAAGAGCCTCGACCTTGGGCCTAAAAAGGATCGTCATATCAGGCTCTAACAAAACTGGTATGAAATGCACAAACCTCGAATACGTCTCCCATACAGAGCCACGCATGAGGTACCAGAGCATATCCCTATCTCTGCGGGCATATTCTTCACGTTCGAGATTCGCAGAATGTGATGGCGTGCGCCTCAAATTACGAGAGATAAGCTCCATAGCAAAGGCAGTCACGAGAGCCTTGTCCTTGTGTTTCTTGGTGCTTAACATAATCGCTACAAGACAGTCGTGAGCATGTCAGGTCCCGGCCCGTGCTTTGCACTTACCGTAAACCCAAGGGCGTGTGATATAGATGCACTCGGAAATCCACTCCAGGGGCGACGACATAGGCTTCATGAGTAGCATAGAAGGCTTGACAGACGACGTTGTAAGAGCTTTAGGGAGGAGATAATCCTCCACAGAAGTGTCAGCATGGGCAGGTGGTGGAGGGGTGAGCATCAAAGCATTTGGCTGCAAGGGAATGTGATTATTCTTGAGGTGATCCGGAGTCGGCGGGGAAGAAGACGACGGAGAAGTGGGAGCAAGCGTTGGAGAAGTATGTGTAGAGGTAGGGGGCATCGATGCTGGATCAATGTCGCGTTCTGGAATTGGAGGAGACAAAAGTGGTCTTGTCGTAATCTTGAGCAGCGTGAACCGAAAAACCATTCTTTAGAAGTGAATAAGATGCAAGTTCAAGGCGGCAGGATACAGCCTCAGAACTTACTTGACAGTCTCAAGGAAGACAATGCCTCTCCACCGGTTCTTGTCCGAGACTTTCCTCCGAAGCACCATTTCAACAAGGAGCTGGGTAAAGCGAATAAGCTCTATAGCTCGAGCAGCCCATTTGTATAATGTTTCCTTGTCTGACCAGGCGCGGGTATAGCGCGTGTGCAAGGGGACGGGAAGTATGGGCTTCCAATGAGGATCATTGTGCACAACTCTGGCCAGGAGGGTATCATGATACATGCTGGACACATGAAGTATTGCAGACACTAAGACCACACGTTACTGCTTGAAGCAAATACAGAAATATAGCAATGATAGTACTGACAGCCCTCCGAGGCAAGATCGGCGTCTTTGAACCGTCCAGGCAGGAACCATGTTACAGACCTCAGTGAGGATTCGAGGGTGGAGATGGTAGAAACGTTCTTTACAAGAAAGTTTTCATATTTTTCCAACGTCGACGACATGTGAAGGGGTCCAGTATACCGCGAGCTGGATGTGGGTTGTGCAATGTGAAGACTTACCGCCGCTCTGACCAACCGGCAGCAACGTACGTAAAACACGTGAGAACACATATCCGGTTTCAAGTCTCTTGTTCCGCTGTGCAAAAATACTATTCACATTAATGTGTAGCACTGCATGCTTCTGCTAATTTTCAAAGGCGTGTAGAGTGTAGTGATACAAATTTCATGAGGCGTGACGTTAGCGCTGCAGCGGCTGCATGAACAGGGAATCATTTTGTAATAGGTAGCTTGCAAGAACATACCATATAGAATCACCGTGGAGTATAAGTAGTAACACCAAGGTAAAGTTACCGGTTCATCCCAAAGCCCCTAGTCTTGGTCACACCGCTTCCTGTTGCCGTGTTTACTCCACCCGCTTCTCGCACTCGCCTCTCCACCTCATTTACCTTGCCCTCGACTTCGCGCACAGCCCCATCAATCCACTGGAGGCTATCCAAATGGCTGCTCAAGATCTGAGATATCTGCATCATGGGATCATCGTTGCCAACCATCCCTTGTGACCCATTTGGTATTAACGATAGCGCATTGACTGAATCAATCATCTGTGTCAAGGATCCAGACAAATCGTCCAGATGGGCATGCAGCTCTGTTGCCAGCGTGTAACTAGTGTAGAACGGAAATCAAAATTGTGCAACCTTGGTGTGAGGTAACATAAGGGCTTACTTTTTGTCTCGCTCGGTGTCAGCAGGTCCTGTATCAAGCGCCCGCAAAGTGCCGCTTTCTCCAAAGAGTTCTTCTGCAGATCGCTCGTACGCATCCAGTGTGGCGGAGAGATCCTTCTGCTGTTGCTCGATGTGGTCGAGAGCCTGATCTATATCATTTTGTTCCCGCTCCACAGCCTGGACGTGGTTAAACAGAGTAGCAAGCTGTGTCACATGCTGTCAAACGACAAATTCGATGAATGCGGAGCAAGCATACGTTGTTGCCATTTTCCATCAAGGCCCGATCCCATACAGCGACCTCACCGGCGAACTTGTTGAACTCTCGGACATGCACTTCCAGTTCAGATGACCACTTGTTTACTATTTCCTCGATGGTTTTCCCCCTGAGCGCCGATGGTGGAGGCACTGCTACTGAAGTGGCGGAAGCGGTGGTTGCTAATAGTAGGAATGAATGAATGGAAAGGACATCAGGTTGCCAGAAAGTGGTCATACCGTCTTTTGGCTTGTCGGATTCCTTAGGCAGACCAAGGGCTGATTGTCCTAGTGGTGCGGCTGGGGGAAGTGAGGTCGTAGACAGGGATTGCCAATAAGACATCTGTGCTTACTTGAGGTGGTGGTGGTTGTGGGTTTAGCCCCAAACAAGTTGGTCACAGGCGCTGTGTGACTGCTGAAGATGGGCCATGTTTGATAGTGAAAACGTGATCTTACCTGCAGGGGCCGTGGTTGTAGTCTTTGCACCAAACAAATTGGCTGGTGGTGTTGATGCTGGACAAGGGTCATCAGACGCGTGGTCGACAAGACAAAAGATAACTGACCTGCGGGTGTAGTAGCTGCCGGGGTTGCAGGTTTCACGCCGAAGAGGCCAGGCGCAGGCACTATGTACAAAGAAGCATCTATGGGTAAGATGTTGAAGGCATTGAAGAAAACATACGTGATGTGCTGGCATCTTTCTTGTCCGCAGAAGTATCTTTGTTTCCAAAGAGGTTGAAGGTTGTAGGAGTAGTACTCTGCATTTCTTTGCCAACGACCGAGAACCACAACTTCAGATATCGACAATTATTGGTTCGGCATGAATGCCGACTTTGCAAATAAAGCCAAGCAACGCGCTCTGTCACAAAACAAATTGCATATGTGCTACACTAAGGAAAGAAGACACGCCGTAGACGCGATGTACGATATTAGTGTAATACGCACGTAGCTAACTAGTACACACATATGTGCTCTTTCAAAAGTTGGGCAGCTCCCAGCTGCACTGGCCTGGCCTGGCAGTACCAGTACTTACGTGTTTTGATGTACAAAGCTTGTCACCAAACAGGTGCATCAACACCGATCAAATAATGAGAATCTCGCTTAACCACTGTATGGCATTGTCTTTATAAATCCTTTCCTCCGCTCCGTTCCTCACTTTCCGATGGGCAGAGAATCAACTACAAGCACTGCTACACTCCCTCCCCTCGACTACCTTCACCCCAGTCCAGTCAGAGGTCAACTCGAACCCTCAGACGAGGTTACAAAAAAAACTGGCTGGCGTTTTATTCAATGCACAGACACTCCGAATGAGCTCAAAGTAGGTATAACAGCCTTCTCCCTTGACAATTCTCAATTAGACGTACTCCAGGTACTTTTGCCTCCCAGAACAGCTCAGCTATACGCCCGTCTGCTTAAAGCAGAAAAATCAGAACTCGCCAAGAAGCTCAATGCATCTTGGGAATCTATACTCGAAATACGCCACCTCAAGGATAGGATGATTAGGAAGTGCCAGAGGCTAGCTCATTCTTACGCCGACAATAAGCCTCCCGTGAAGGTCCCCTTCTTGTCCATTCATGCCCCAGTCGATTTCAGATTAAAAGAGATGGAGAAGTGGATTCGCCTCCACGGCGAGCCTGATGAGTCTAGCAAGAAGATGCCCGTGCCCGACTCCGTTCGCCCACGTAACTCATTCTGCTGCGATCGATGCGCAAATATGGTTCCTCATCACCACACCATATCTCGTCGGCCATCCACCCTATCCCGTCGCTCAGCCCTCGCCGAGCGTTCTCCATCAAAAGCTCTCCCGGCATCCCCACGACGCGCTCGCTCCTCCAAGGCGAGCTCTGTCCAAAGCGATCACAAACCTTCTCCCGTTGCGAGCTCCATCGTCCTCAATGAAAGCCATTCGCATCATCAAAGCCAATTGTACGAAACCAGCGTCCACGAAAGTAGTACACACCAGGAGGGCAGGAATAATCAAGTCCACGCCTCTTTCACCGCACATCAGAGTAGGTTCGATGACAGTAGCACTACTCAGGAGAGCAGGGTCCTAGACAGCAGCAATATCCACACGCGACAAATCAAGCACTCCAGGAGTATGTCATATGACGAGCGGAGGTTTGCAGAAAGTGGTCTTCATGAGATAAAACGCACTATCCACGTCATTCCTGAAGCATCAGAGGCAGGTACCGATCACAGCAATCGCTCAGCGGTGTCGGTCAGCAAACTATCGGTTATTTCGCCCGATCCATTGCCTCATCCATTCCATGGTTCGACTTCAGCAGTTTTCTTGGGCATGGTCGAGAGTCCTGTAGATGCTCCTGAGGTACAGATCGCTGAACCTTACTATTCGGAAAGCGAGGGAGTGATGACACCTCCTTCCGAAGACGAACCAACCAGCGACTTCCCTCCCCAGCCAAATACCCTCCGCAGACGCAGTAGCCTCAAACGCAGCAACAATGACCTGCGCCTGAGTATAGCGTTCTCCGCAAAGACCGTGTCCTGGGCGATGGACCGCGACTGGGCCGATCAGGTCACGAAGTATAACGCTGCGGCGGGTGAAATCGAGCATGCTGGTAGGTTCATTCCCAATTTTAAGTGGCGTTGGAGGTTCACCGTCTATACGTGAGACCGAGAGTGGGATGCCATTTGTGCGACATATCATGAAGAACTTGCTGGCATGAAGGTTCTGCGTCGAAATGTCACGCAGACCCTGGCCAGGTTACGCTTGGAGGCAGAGAAGCTGCAGCGTGAAGACGAGGTGATCCGGGATCAAGAGGATAAGTTGCGTGCGGGATATGAGCAGCTCGAGCAGAAACATGGACAGTATCGAGAAAAGGGTGAGTCCTCGTCCTCGTGTTTGCAGCCTGTCAAGTGACGCTAATGTGGCTATAATTATCGTCGGGTAGTTAAAGCTGTTTTAGAAGAGACCGAACAGGTTCTTACATTGTGCGGCACCAAGCGGGGTTCTTGAAGTCGTGATCATTAGAAGGTTCTTGAAGCTGGCAGTCGTTACTCATCTATATTGCTGTCCATTACATACACATATCTTGACTGTAAATTATACCCCAAGTACGCGCCGTTATTGGTATTTTAGATTAGGTTCAACTCCATTTCATGGAGTCATAAAGGCACATTAAGAGTCCCTATGAAAGCTTTGATCGGGTACGTTTCGCTTGATTCCACCAGCGTCGTACAGTAGCAATAAAAATAGCCTCAATTCCAAACAACAAAAGTATGACCATGACGAAGTAATTGAAAGGGCCTGGAGGGTTGATGCTATTCCTCGGAATCTTGATGTTTTGTGAAAATATTCCTGAGAAAAACAGAAGGTAAACATGACACTTGAGGAGAACTGGTAACATACCGATCGGAAGTTGAACGCATAAAATTCCAATACTAACCATAGACACTGTCAAAATGGCCTTATCGGTGTATTCTTTGGTCTTGGCGAGACGAATTCGCAGTTGAGTCAGATATGCTGGGTGAGAGTCGCTGAGCATGTGCTCGTAATGATGAAGGGATTGCTGCAAAGTCAATATATGATCTGCAAAAATAGTTGAGTTGATCCATAAACAATGGCGACAGCTCTTTACCTTGAACATCCCCCATGTAGATAGCGATTTCAAGGTCTTCATTCCCCTGGGGGGAGGCTGTTTGTCGTCCGCCGGTCAAAAAGCGTTTGCGGGTTTGCGATATGACCTCAGACTTCGTAGCAAGAAGACGAGTCAAGGAAGTGACAAGTCTTCTCGCCCTGGCCATGCGCAGTAGTGTGTTTGTTGTTGTCGCTCGTGTTCTGGCTTCACGGGTCGTCGCAAAAGCATTCCACAGACGTTGAAACTTGCATTTCCAATGTCGGAAAAATAGTGGTTGTGTGAATCGGAAATGGGAGAGTGAATGGCTACGATTCCAGCTGGGAGCAGTTTCTCCCATTTCCTTCAAAAGCGTATCTGGCAGCTTTCCAGTATGGGAATCACATAGGTCATCCATGGGTATATGATTGTTATCAACAAGGGTGTTTGTCGACGACGAAGTGCGGGAGGCATCGTTGCTCGAAAATACGAGTGCTTCCACAGCTAGAACTTGTTGCTCGATCTCCTTCAGAAACGGAAAGAATGAATCGACGACAGAGTCCAATATGCCATGAGCAATCCAGTCTTTGAGGTACATCAGCGTGAAGAACATGTAATTCTAATTCATGCAATAGTTACCTGATGACATATTGAAGGAGTCCTGAAGAAGTTGAACTCTATTTCTGACTTTCTCTATGTGTTCTGGACAAAGTCAGCATTCAGTTTCTCGACTAATATGCAAGCCCACCTGAGACATCGGTGAAATAAAACTAAACGCCATTGAGCATCGCCTTCGTAAACCCGACGTAGGATGCGAACCTACCGTGCAGATACCTTCCTTGAATACCACCAAGTATATGTTAGCCTCTCTTAAAGCATCGTCGTCAGCCTGGTATATATCGCTATCGCTTGACATTCCCTGATGAGCTGGTTGGGTGACGGCTGCATTCTGTATGGCTCGGAATGAAACAAAATAATAACCAAGTTTTGAAAAGAGCTCCATCTTTTCGCGCGGATCTTGTTGTAGAATATCCTCGAGTGTAAGAGGGTGAATATGCAGGAGCTACTCATCAAATCAGGATGGCAAGCTAACGACTCAAACGCACCTACCTTGCCAATTGTTTGTAAGTCGTCCCAAGTTGGACTGGCGACGTCAAGCCACCAGGCTTTGGGAGCTCTATTAGTCTCGGGCAAGCCTCCGGGAGTCTGTTTCCCCTGAACGGAAGAGCGCAAGGCGGCGGAAACATCGCCAAAAGACGCAGGTCGACTGAGCACACCGTCAGACATATAGTCATGATGGAGGGAAAGCGGGGGTGTGCCGAGGCTGAATTGACGCTGTTTCCCTTTGCCCTTTTTTGCCCTTGATGCCTTCTTTAGTGCAACCTCCAAACAGTTGAGGGCAATAGGTAGAGAGGTCGTTTGAGAAACAGATTGATATGGTCGGTCCAAAGGTTCCGACAACCGAGCCACGGTGATCTCAGGATTCAAATTCGGTGGTAGGTATAGAGTAAACCCTCTGTCGATGCGTCTAATTTCCTGCCTAACCCTAAGGCGAGCGGCTACCTCACGTTCGGAATGTGTGGACCGCATGTTAGCGGAGCTTGCTCGTCTCTGGCGCCGACGACTCTGGGGAGGGCGAGAAGGCGTGTAGATAGAAGAGTGAGAAGATGTAGAGCTAGAGGATGAAGATGAAACTGAAGCTGAAGAACTTCGTCTCCGAGCCCAACGGGTAATTGCATGTTCTACAACGGCAGCAAGAGCTCCCAAGCGACCAGTGATGAAGGTCCCGGATGATGACGAAATAGAGGATGCAGGTGCAACCGACTCCGCAATGATAGGTAGGGGTGTAGGGTGTACCACCTTGCCGCGATAGATGTCGTCCTCCAAGGGCATGTCCTTAAATAGATTTGGGGGTCCAACGGAGGAGACAGTATTCGAGGGGAGAATATCCAAAGGATAAGAATGGTTCAAGCCCGAGTCGTGCATTTTGGGGCCCACTAGGTTAAAACACCACTGAGGGCGCTTGCCTTACAATTGACTGCCTCAGCCGAGCACAGCTACCTAGTAGTAGCCAAACGCGCCATAATTTACAAAACTCCGACCTCTGCGTGTCGACATGTAACATGATGTTCACCCACGCGTTAAAACGTTAAAGGTAGGAAAGGAGTAATAATAATACAGAAGTGGTATACATGATACATATATAATAATGTAATATCCAAGCTCCAATCCATCAAGAAAGACTCGTGATCTAGAAGTATCTATTCAGTACCGCGCCAACATGTGTCGGATGCTTGCAAGCCGAGATGTATGGGTGTGACCGTCATCGGTAGTCTGTGATGTTGTAACTTGTGTCTCAAGGACGTCACAACCCGAGTCAGCCTGCCTGGTCGAGCTGAAGAACAAAGAGGAGACAGAAGTTACTGATTGCACGTCTCCTTGTACTTGGTGTTTCCCTTCGATATATGGCCAAGCCTTCTGTAGCTCTTCCTCGAAAGGTAGCAACTTACAAAGAAGAGCATGATCAAATTGGATCGGATGTTTGTGTTGGAGAACAGAGGGGTGGATTGTTTCGTGTGTGATGTTGTCCGTGACTGTCGGAAGTTTTCTGACATTTGTCCCCGATAATACGAATATACCGGTGCGCGGACTGCAATAATTATATGAGTGTGGTTGTGAGCTCTATGATACAATTACAACTCACTCATGTGGATGCTGCTCTCCCCAAGGCGCGACTGGATCTGGCAGCGAAGCTATGTATGCAATATCAATGGACAACATGTCGCCGATATTGGCCTGCATACAAGCAGTGAGTGATGTACTCAAAAGCGATCGCACCATAGATTTAGGCACTCACCACCATCCACGTAAGAGTTATGTCAGACAAGTCATGTTCTTGCCAGCCACCTCCGATCTATTAGTTGAGCACGATCAGCAGATAGTTGGTACAATAAAAGTCCATCACTTGCATCTGAATGTTCACCTATGATGTTTGTCCATCAATAAGATTTGTACTAGAGTTGTGTTGTCCCAAAACTTACCAGAAAACCAGCACTGTTAAGAACCTGATGAGTAAAAAAACCACAAACCAATCAAAATACAAGTCACCTGTTTCAATATCTGCCCTTTCCGTCGTCCACCTTCCGTTTGCGCAAATTTGCAGCAGTCCTAGAACAACTAGATGAAAGAAATTCCGAGGGTCGGTGTTCGACTACTTACAAAGTCTAGTCTTGTTTCGTTAATGGCAAGCGCCTGATATGCACGTTCAATATGTTCCCCAAGTTCATTGTTGGGGAAGCCAAAAATGGATTTTGTGGAAGGCGACTTATGTGTCAATTCTTCAGGTAGACCGACCGAACCGACAGTATCAAAGACACCGACACATCTAAAGACGCAGCTTAGCCGTTGTCGCCGCCGGTGTGGATAAGTCGGTAAAACTCACTTTATGGAGAAAGAGTCATTATCAGAGTCAGCTCTGCTCTTACCCCGTGAATCGTGGGAGGTCCACTTGCTCAAAGACGCCTCCAGCTGTTCGATCTCTGAAGTGCAATCAGAATTGTCGGAATAATGGTAGTCGAAGTGACAAACTTTTTGGGTCGGTCTCTTTACCAAGTTGTTGATACCAAAAAAATATATCGGGGAAGTGATCCATGTCGGTGCGGTCTAGGACACCGATGGCACCCTAAAGGAAGACGTGTTTCTGAGACGAGCGTCACCAGAAAAGGGTCTACTTACGATGAACATAGCTACCATCCGTGCAGTATATGCACCCTAACGACTCAAAGCATCAGCAATCGTGTATTTCATAATAGTATATTATCGCATACCCTAGAGAAGCCAAAGAGGAATATCTTGGGTGATGACGTTAGTTTGAAATCGAGATATTGAACGCAACAGAACTTACTTCATCACCGGGGTGGTAATTTCTGCCAGGAGATGTATAAGCCGCAACTAAGCATGTATGTGGCAAGACTCACTGGGAAATGAACGCATAAGCCTCTTGGACCTTTTCACCTGCAAACAGCCATGAATCCTCGCCAACATCAGCGAATAAAACACATTCTCACCAAGGGATCCTCCTGTCGCACCTGATCCAAAGAACGAATATTGTTAGCCTCGTACTATCAATGAAGTTATCCCGCGAACCATCGACATATTGAGAATATAAATTTTGCGCTGATCCAACACCACACTGGTAGTACACGATCTGCTGGATCGGAACGCCCCTGTCGAGGTATGAGAGACAGAATAGGGATATACCTTAGATGAGCTTACGATCGTTCATCTGCATGGTTTAATCCCCTCGATAGTTTCTGAAAAGCAATTATTTATCAACTTTCCCAACATGTACAATCGAACACACCAGGATGTTGGTGCGTTTCCAACACTCCTTCACCATCACACCGTCTTGCCAAGTTCTAGAAGGATAATATGAGCGTCAGATAACGTACGCGCCCGAGATTTCACTGGCTCACCCATCGCAGCACACAATGATTCTTTTTTTAAATTGAGCGCCAGCTCGGGTGGGTTCAGTCAAAGCCCTTGACATTCCTGCAAGATTGAAGGCTCTGGCGGGATTCATGATCAGGGTGAAAAGTTGAGAGCAGACAGAATAATGTGGGTGTATTTATGCTGCATTCCTTCTCGCGGCCAATATTATTATAGCCATGATGATCAAGCCATATGCATTCTCTGATATCACAAACACAGGAGTCCGGACCCCGCCACATTGGTGACACCGATGGGCTGAGAATTTCATGAGCGCTCTGAATCTCTGATGTGGTTTAGTCTCTAGTTTCGCTCCCAAGTTTCACGCTCAAGTTTGGTAATCGCTTGCCGGGAAATACTGGAGCCGACCCCCCATGTGGTGATCACTATAAGAGATTGGTCGATTCAAAAGCCACGTTAAGCACTAAGCCTGGATGGAGGCTTGAAATAAAAATCCGAGTCACACAGCAACTTGGCAAGCAACACAGCTGCGGCCGGCGGTCCGATACAATTATGCTTCGCCTCTCAACTGAGGCAGCCCAGATATTCGTGACAGAATCTGTGGCATCAAACTTCACTGCTTCGTCCGGCTTTCAGGTGACCATTCTCAATGCCAAATTAGAAAGAATAATAATATAAGTAAGCTTTGGAGTCGGTACCAACATGCATGCTTGTGCCGTTGCTAGGGAGCTCATAATTGGTAGGTACATGCTGTACTGAGTCAAGGCAACGCGCGTCCGACTTTCGGATGCCTGAGTGGTCAGAGACGGACGGGATGTACAACCGATTGCGGGCTACAGGATATTGAAATTACCTCCCCAATCGAAATTGAGCGCCAGCGTACTCGTCTAAGGCACGACAGAAAGCCTCTTCGGTGATCATGAACGGCATTGAATTATATGAGTATTTCAGGGGAGCGACGTCATGGGTGATTGTCCGGCTGTGTAATGCCATGTGTCAATCTAACACAGCAATATGTCAATTCGCGACTCACTGTATTTCTGTCAGTGCGATCTGCCACGGAGGGAAACCATGCAGTTCGAGAGGAGGCTGGGGGTTCTGCGGGTAGACATGATGCACGATCATGAAGTCGGGTGATGGCAGACCTCCTGATACAGAAGTCAGATGGGTGATATTGTACACAGAATAAACCTTCCTTCTAATATCGAGTTCAAGTCAGAGATAGGAAGTTCGTATGCTTTGACGTTATCCAGGTCATGACTGTTTTGGCGCCTGCGAAACTCTTCATCTAAAAGGAAACGTGCTGCAGATGCAATGGCAGCTTTTGAGGCACTGCGTGAAATAATATGGAGTGTTAGAGGATTATAAGGAGAATGCTTGTCTGTAAATGATATGTTAACAGTCCTTTTTGACTGTAGGAACGCTCGACCTACGGTGCACTCGTCGGCGAACTGCAACTTCTCTTGGTCGATGGGATGAAGCGCCTTTCTTGAAGGAGCGCACTGTTGCGACGTTGAATTGTACGGGGAAGTCCTCAAAGTCGGGCGAATGGCTTCTTGATTCTGAGGCCTCAGAAAGTGGAGGGGTCAACGGATATTCGAGTTCTGATTCACTCTCGTCGGTGGGCAAATCTTCATCGTGTGCTAGGCGTTCCTGAATAATGTCAGAGCACCCTAACAGTACACCTAGAGATCGTTTAACGTGAATGATAATGATAACATCTCATCCAAAGTTTACCTTCGGCATCATATGCAGTAAGCTGTTCAATACCTAACACTCTGCACCACTTAACAATCCTAACTAAGCACTCCACAAAGTGTTCTTCCCTGTGCTTGGAATTCGCCACATCATGATCGGAGACCAGGATAATTGCCAAGTGTTTTGGTAGCTTGCTGCGGTACGCAGTTACCGGTTGAGGGGGCGAGTATCGGCGTTTTTGAAACCTTGTTGTCAGAAACACTAGCGAGGCATGGAGAAGATGCAGAAGCCAGAGACAGAGAGAAGCCACCATTTAGCCAGCATGAACTAGAAAAGAAAAAGTCGGATCAGCACCTCCACAAGTTGCAAACATACGTTGCAACAACGGGGTCACGTGATACACACTGCAATAATGATGAGCGTTACCTAAAGACCTGAAGGACAGATATCAACTTTCCGCGACCATCATGAGCATGCTCGACGTCAAAGCAATTCAAGAACGATCTGATCGTCACCCCAAGCCTTCAGACATCAAGTTTCAGTACGGGACTGCAGGTTTCAGGACACTGTACGTCTGTTTGATTGTCAATATCTATCAATCTGATAGTAGCGACTAGGGGGAAGACTCTCGATTCAGTGCTATTCAGGGTGGGTGTTCTCGCAGCCCTTCGAAGCAAGAAGCTAGATGGCAAGACCATCGGTGTCATGGTGACTGCCTCACACAATCCGGAGCCTGTATGTACTTCATATGTACACTGATGGCCTCAGGTCCAACGGTGCACTCCTTTATAGGACAATGGGGTTAAACTCGTTGACCCACGCGGCGAGATGCTTGAGTCGTCATGGGAGGCACATGCCACTATTCTTGCCAATGCGCCCGACAGTGTTGCTTTCGTCGCTGCAGTCGACGAATTGGTGCAGACGAGCAAAATAGACCTCTCGATACCCGCTCGTGTGGTGTTTGCCAGAGACACGCGCCCGACGGGCCCGCAACTTATTGCCGCCCTTAAGGATGGGTTGGAGGCAATTAAGGCAGAGTATAGGGATGCTGGCATTACCACAACCCCGGTGCTTCACTACTTGGTGAGGACAATCAATACCAAGGGCACCCAAGATTCGTACGGTGAGGATACTGAGGAGGGATATCTTACGAAAATAAGTGATGCCTTCAAAAAACTGCTTGTAGGTGACGCATACATCCGCATACATGACGCTCACTTCCGATGCAGGCTGGAAAAGCAACCCCGCCGCCGTTGCTCATCGACTGCGCGAATGGTGTCGGTGCCTTGATGGCTGAGAAATTCAAGGCATATCTCGGGGATGCCTTCAGCATAAATCTCGTGAACGCCGACATTCATACCGTTGGCGCACTGAACAACTCCTGTGGCGCAGACTTCGTCAAAGTCAACCAGAAGCTACCTCCTTCCATCACTTTGCAACCAGGACAGCGCGCTTGCAGTTTAGATGGAGATGCTGATCGCCTGATCTACTATTATGCAGATGAACACGGCCAGTTCCATATGCTCGACGGAGACAAGATCACTACACTCGTAGCCAGTTTTATCGTTGAGCTGGTGAAGGCCGCGGGTTTGGACGAGCAGATCAAAGTCGGCGTCATCCAGACTGCATACGCGAACGGAAGCTCGACAAAGTACCTTTCGGGGGTAAGTGGGGAAATGAGTATAGTATGGATGGAAATCTCACTTCAATCTCAGAGACTTCCTGTCAAGTGTGTTCCCACAGGTGTGAAGCACTTGCACCACGCTGCAGAACAGTACGATGTTGGGGTTTATTTCGAAGCCAATGGGCACGGCACGGTTACGTTCTCGCCTGCTGCTCAGGAGTTGATCTCCAGCTGCAAATCTTCCAACCTAAGCCAGTCAGCAACGCTCACACAGCTGAAGAATGTCATAGATGTTATCAACCAAACTGTTGGCGATGCTCTTTCAGATGCATTCCTGGTGGAATCAGTTCTAGCACACAAGTCCTATAGCGGTGTGGAGTGGGACTCCCTCTATTGTGACCTTCCGAACCGTCTTGTGAAAGTCGTTGTAAGTGATCGGAATGCGTTCGTGACGGAGGATGCGGAGAGACGCCTAGTCAGCCCTCTCGGACTGCAGGCCAAGGTCGACGAGCTTGTGCGTAGGTACGAAGGGGGACGCTCGTTCGTGAGACCGAGTGGTACAGAGGATGTGGTCAGGGTTTATGCTGAAGCGGTAACACGCGCCGAGGCTGATGGTGACGTTGCTTCCTCCTGCTTCTGAGCACACACTGATGGTATTTGTCTGGCTTAGAACTCGCGTTCCGCGTTGCCGGTCTCGTGTATGATGAAGCGGGGGGTGACCAATCACGGAGACCAAAGGAATTCCTTTGAACCTCGATGGATTGACAGTCACGTTTAGATTTGGACATTGATATCCGGTGATGTGTACTCTGTAACATGATTCGAGGAATTGAAATAAGTCACTGGCCCACGTACTAGGTCCACGTCTGCTCACTGTCAAATTGAATAACAAGTTAGTAGAGTATGATTGGGGATTATCTGCTGGCATTGATTGATACTGATTTAGTTGACATGTCGAGGTTCATACATATTTGAGTATTGAGTTGCATTTTTATAAGCGCATGGGAACTTGAAGTTGATCTGGGTCACATGTCTGATAAGACGTAATCTCGAGCCATCGTGTAGCATAATGTGCTACTTATTCGTTGCATTTGCGGCTGGTGCGACTCGATATGACTCCAGTATTGCTACGTGTCCATTTAGTCCCAATTCTCTTTATAACAGTGCCTAGTCTCAATTGACAAAAAAAACTGGTTTTTTCTTGATCGACTTCACTTCCTCCATGTGTCGCTTCGTGATCTACAAGGGCACATCACCCGTGCAGCTTTCTCATGTTAGTAGCTGATGAAGCTGATCGTTGTAAAGAAGACACTAACACTCCCTACTTTAAGCTCTTGACTCGACCATGCCATTCTATTATAAACCAAGCCTTTGATTCGCGTCTGCGTCTTGACCATCGTCGGCCAATCAACGGTGATGGCTTTGGCGTCGGTGAGTCGCTTTCTGAATCACTTCAAGGCAGCTTCTGAACATGAAGGGTCAGGCTGGTATGATTCCGTCCATGACGAGGAACTCGGCAGCCAACCTTGTATATTTACATCCGTTACACCGGTACGCGTGCCGTGTCCCCGGGGTCGTACTATCAACTGACCGAGCTTTTGCACATCAGGCATGGAACAACGCAAACTTGATACGATTAGCAGAGAAGATAAAGTCACCGCTCGTCTTGTGAGTCGCTGGAACTCCCCTTCCGCTCTAATCAATCGTGCTGAACAAAGATTGTTTCAGTGGGCACGTCCGTGCAACCACTACTGGTTCTTTGTCTTTGGACAACTGCCACCCGTTCGTATATGGCAAACTTATGGTGCATTATAACGTACTTATCCACGTGCTTGCCCTTGCTGACTTCCTCGCCAAATAGTTCATGCACAACGGCGGTATTGCAGGCTTTCATCTGATCAAGCGACGACTGCAGGCCGATCTGTCGGACGATGTTTTCAACACAGTACAAGGGAACACGGGTAAATAGAATATTCATGACAAGAACGAATCATGACTATATTCTCGCAGACTCTGAGTGCGCATTTGCACTACTGCTGTCCAAGGTATGTTCCTTGGTCCTTCCACTATTTTCATCTAAACATGGTTCATGTGCAGCTTCCCGACCCGAAGGCTAAGAGCTTTACCACTCGCACCTTGCAGCAGGCAATGTTGGATACCATCGCAACTTTAAACCGGTATGCCGAGGAAGCCGGTATTACTGAGGTGAGTTGAAATTGATCTTCCTGTGAAGCGTTGCTGAAAGCCGATTAGCCAAGTTTGATGAACTTCTGCGTTACAGATGGCGAAAGTGTCATTGCAACTCGTTATATTTCTTCTCGGCACGACGAAGCCGCGTCGTTGGTAAGGTTTACTCTCCGTATCATATGGCAAGGGTGTTCTGATTGTGTTAAATGACAGTGGTTCTCGTCTGGGACGACGTTCAGTGAGTACGCCCAGGGTGGTCATTACAGGATGGCGAAAGCTGATAAAAGAGAGAACATCATCATGGTGAAACTCTTTTGATTTGGTCATCCATTCCCATTCTCATCGCTCTCATCGCAGGTTGCCAGTGAGCCCCTTACTTTCGAAAAAGCGGACTGGATGGAGATACGCACGAACAACATGGTCGTGATAACACCCAAATGAACCTCCTGCAAATCCCCATCGTTGACAAATTCTATGTCTCTCCTTCTGACCCAGCGGCACGAAACCGGGCCACTGAATTTGCGGCAGCCAAGGGCCTTCTCAGTCCACGTAAAGCCTTGGTTCCAGTTCAGCTTCGCGATAACGCCCCCCAGTTGTCCATATGACTTGTTTTGCGATACCTTCATCGCGTTTCATCTTATTCATCGCTGTCTTTGTTGTGTTCCATCCGTCATTCATGCTGTTAGGATCTGTACCGTAAATGATTAATGATGATTAATTGTAGACCTTTGTATGTAGCTGTGAATATGTAAACCGCGTTGACGCGTTTTCCAAGTGTGGCCACTTTGCGCCCTTCCCCTACCCTGCAGCCGCTGTAGACTACTTTCTCTCTCATTCGCTTGCGTCTTGTCAACCGAACATAATGAACCCATGGCTACTTTGGAGCGCCTTGTCCCATACTGCTAGGTCGAGTCGTTTATGTGTCATTGAGCACAGCAGCAATCTGATGATAGGCTTTTTAGGTTGTCAACAGCCCTACAGATCTTGCTCTTCTTGCCATTGACGCTAGCGACTCTTTCAACACAAGCTTTTCTTTTGCTTTCACTTCTCCTCTCGATCCACTCCCTCATTCATGGAACTCTCATACTGCTCTGGGGATCCAATGCACTCTCCGTCATGCAGGTGCCAATGCACCCTTTTCTCCTCCTCGTTACTTTCAATGCCTTCTCGCAGTCTGCACAACCTTGGCTTACCACTGCGGTCTATTGGTGGGGAAATCTCCTCACGTTTTGCGGTCCTTCCTACGTGGCCTTGGAGGGTCTGTCCAGTCTACTGTTTGCGCAGAAAGCGGGCCAAATAGGCAGAGACATTGCAGATGAAGCAGAAAGTTACCAGTTCGTGATTCTCATCGCAGCAGCAACTGCATTCGTTGCAGCTGCGTGGTGGGTCGTCATCGTGCGTGCTGCTCCGCGTCTTCCTGAATCACGCTGCACACTAAATCTTATTCAGGCATACCCCGCAGCTGCTGCATCTCCTTTGTCGTCCACGCTGTTGGGTGTAACATTGACAGCATTCCTGTTTCTTGTTCTCATCGGTTTCCGGTTACGACGCACCAACGTTGTCGAGGCCTCTCTCCTTGCACTCTTCCTTGCATATAACGTGTGGCTCTGCGGGTTTGATCAAACATCGTTCTCGGACCCTGCTTCCTCCTAGTACGTTTTACCATAGTCCCATGCACTCGTGCTTACTGATGGCTCTCAGTGCCCCTCTTCTTTCAAATATCCTTCCACATTTACAGACGCTTGTGAACTTCATCACGAATACCCTCCCTAAGCCTGTACTCGTTGCGCTACTCTATCGTCTTTCAATACTGCAAGTTGCATCACGTATTTTACCCACCATCGGTGCTGATAACTGGGAGTCGGACCAGGGAGTGAATGATGGACGACCGGTACGAGCACGTTGCCTGTGATTTTTTTCCAGCTGATAGTTATTTATGCTAGACCTCGATCATGACGCGGATCCTTCTCACTTATAGACAACTAATCTTTGTCATGGTATACTCGCACCTTCTTCGTACGTGTTTTCTGTACATTTCTACGACTTTTCGGAGACCGACTAATAATCTATTCAGTTCTAGATCCCTCTTCGCAGGTCTGGTGGCGGTGGGCAAATATCATGTTTACCCTATTCCTGTGGGCTGTGGAACTTGTGGTCAGCCCTGATGGGGACGATGATTCGGCAAAGTGGAAGATTGATTAGTTCTGTTGTCCGAGTCATCCGGATAAACCAATCCCTATGCCGTACTTAGAGAATCCTCAGCATTCTATCCGCTGTTCGCCTTCCACTCCGCCTCCTCCTCTCTTTCGCCCTCATAGTACTCTCTCTTCCATATCTGCACCTTTTGCTTCACCTCCTCGAGGATCTGCTCACATGCTACGAATGCTTCCTTCCGATGCGGTGAAGATACTGCTATCACGATCGAGGGCTCTCCTACCGGCACCGCCCCCAGCCGATGGTGAACAGCGCAGGAAATGATAGAGGGCACTGCTGCGGGCGCTGGATGGTGGGCAGAACGTGTGACTGATTGATGTGCTGTTCGGATGATATCTGCCATGGTTTTGATGGCCAACTTGCTATACGCCTGGTATTCTAAACGTGCCACGACCTTTCCTGTCCGTAGCAGGCGATGAATGTCAAGACAGGTGATGACCCTGGTGCATTTGCATAGTTGGTACCTTGATATGAGTTTCGAGTCGTGCCGATGAAGAGTGCTGTAGCCCCTGCACCATCATCGCTGACTGATTTTATGATCTTATCGACCTCCAATGACTTGTAAGAGAGCACGCATATGCTCTTGCCCACTTCTTCTCTCGCTTCCACCGAGGTGTTTGGATAGGAAGTCGTCATCTCAAATCTGTATGAGCGCGAAAACTAAGATGAGATGAGATAACGAGTATACTGAGTTTCGGACAACGTAAAACATAGGCTGAGGGCTCACGTGGACCAGGGACTAGCGAATACCGAATATCGACTCCCATTTTCTACCGGTTTGTCCGAGCTCCTTGACATCTAATGCTTCGAGCTTCCTTGCGGGGAACCTTTCCTAGCCAACGTCTCAGTTCGATACGGAAGGCGTCGAGTCTATTTGCCGCTCAGAAGCGTCAAGCTCCCACTGATGTTCACCCCGAGGTGGAGGATGCATTGGCCAATGGAAAGCCTGTAGTGGCCCTCGAATCGACTATCATTACCCATGGAATGCCCTACCCGACTTCATTGGAGATGGCCCAATCAGTCGAGAGGATAGTCAGGTCTACAGGGAGTATACCAGCCACCATTGCTGTCATTGGGGGGCGCATCAAGATTGGACTTCATCCAGCGGAATTGGAACGTCTTGCAGACCAACGCTCGAACCCAACCGCCGTAAAGTTATCCAGGCGTGATATTGCGGCTGCAATTGCTCTGAAGAAGGATGGCGGGACTACATGTAGTTCCACCCTCATCTTCGCTGCACTGGCTGGTATCAAGGTGCGCACGAGACAGCCTTCTTTTCGTACCGCCATGACAGTCATCCTAGGTCTTTGCTACTGGAGGGTAGGTCGGGGAATATTAACTTCGAACTCTTGTGTGCTGAAGCAGTTTGTTAGGCTCGGCGGAGTGCATCGCGGCGGAGAGAATAGTAAGTTACACTGAGTGTTTACGGAACTTCTGATGATTTCGCTCCGTGTCTTAGCAATGGATATCTCAGCTGATCTGCACGAACTCACGCGTTGTCCAGTTGGTCTGGTTTCGGCTGGAGTGAAATCGATTCTGGACATAAGGCGGTATGACTTCGTTATCATCTCTGTCGCCCGTCGCTAAACTGACCACACAGAACCCTCGAATACCTGGTAAGGCTTCTGAAAATGCTCAGAGTGTTTATTTCAAAATCGTTCACACAGGAAACGCTAGGTGTACCAGTAGTGTCTTATGCAGAAACGCACGATTTCCCGGCTTTTTATACCGGTCGAAGCGGTCTCGAGGTAAGAGTATGCGAAATGTCTGTGTCTTCGCTCACTAGTCTCACAGTCACCTTGGAGGGTAAATGATCCTAGAACAGCCGCTCGGATTCTACGTAAGAATGCTGGCACATAGTACGGGTAATGCGGGCTTATTGACATTACAGATACTCATTGGCAACTGGGCATGTCTAATGGCGCTCTCTTTGCTGTTCCTATCCCTGCTGAATACGAGGCTGTGGGGTCAACCCTTCAAGAGGCAGTCGAACAAGCTGTTCGCGAGTCAGAAGAACAAAATATTAGTAACCTAGGGAAGGCCGTCACCCCTTGGCTCCTCAAGAGGGTTGGCGAGTTGACACAAGGAAAATCGCTTGCTAGCAGTCAGTATTGAACCTTCCTAGACGTTTCTCACCGCTAAATTTTGAATACAGACATAGCCCTCGTCGAGAATACTGCGCTTGTTGGTAAGAAATTGATACAAGAAGTTCTGTCGAAGTGTTGACATTTCGAGGACAGGAGGTCAAATTGCAGTGGAATACGCGAAACTTGCTGGAGACAGACATGACCAGGATGTGAGGCGAACTGTTAACCATTAGACACAGCAAGTGATATTTGTTTCTCTTAGCAATGCTATCCTGTGACAGGAATACCAGATAAGCCGGACGAGCTTTCTAGTGCATCTGATTTCATTTCATCAGGGACTACTGATGATCTAAAAGAGCAACTACCGAACGCTTCGTTGATCGTAGTTGGTTGCGCAGCAGTAGACATCACCTCCCAACCTCTTACAGATTCGGACCTTGGACACCATTCGACATCTCCTGGGAAGGTTTCTATGTCACTCGGAGGTGTCGGCCGTAATATTGCTGAAGCTGCTCACCGAGTCCTTTCGTCGTATGGCAGCGAGTTCTCAGCCGAAACTTTGCTAGTATCCCCAGTCGGTGATGATTCTTTCGGAAGATTGTTAAGCGAGGAGACACGAATGCTAGGGATGAGAACAGATGGCCTTATTCCCGTGCATGGAGGTAGGTCTTCTGTGTGCAGCCTACTTCTGGAGACATCGGGGGGATTGAGGGCAGGTGTGGCTGACATGGACCTCGTTCGGAATATGGATGGACATATAGTCAGTCTCGTCCCCAAACCACTCGTTACAGGTTTAACGAGTTTCTTGCTAGGCACGGGAAGTTATTTTGGCACGCAAACCAAAGCTACTCGCAGTTGATGGGAACCTATCACCTGATGCACTGATGATAGTAGTGAGCGAATGTCTTCGGAACGGCATTAATGGTAAGCAATCTTGGTTGATATAAGGCTGACGGAAGTGGCTAATATTCTTATTTCAAGTTTTTTTGTTCGTTCACATCCATATGTTTATCAAAGAAGCTGATGATGACACTTCAAAATTAGTGAACCGACTTCTGTCGTAAAGTCTGCTTCGATTCTTCCCGCTATAGCCAGTAATCTCGACCAGCTTGCATGGTCACCCATTGCCTTTGCCTCTCCTAACCTGCTCGAGCTCACTCACGTGTATCAACAAGCACAACTTCTGGACCTCACCTCACATGACCGATGGTGGCAGGTTCTGGACGGCCTCGGGCTTGGCTCCAAGTTCCGCATGGACCTTGATCTGCTCTCTCGCAGAGAGGCATCGAATCACGATACTTCACGGGGAAACCTGGCCTTCCTTGTTGAAAAAGGTGTTGCCCAAATGGCAATCAATCTCCTGCCATTTTTTCGACAACTCGTCATCAAATGCGGTGACTTGGGAGTCATTGTAGTAATGCACTTGGCGGGAGATGACGCGGCCGAGTCATCGTGGTCAACGGAGTCGACTAACCATCATGGGCGCTATGTGGTGTCCCGCTCGTCAACCTCGGGTGATATTGTGGTCTTGCAGCATTTTCCTGCAATGCAACTCCCAAGCAATGCGTTGGTCAACACAACAGGTGCAGGAGATTCGTTGGTCGGAGCTTTGCTAGCCGCCTTGGTACAGTCTCCGAAGGCGTTCCACTCCAAAATGAGCCTACAACGCACGATAGATATCGCTCAGCATGCAGCCCTATTGAGTTTGCAGAGCCCGCTTGCTGTTTCGCCACTGCTATCGTCCTTGCACGGACAACTTTTCCATTAATGATATATTACGATACCGTTCTTAGCGTGCCTCGTGGTCCACCAGCGGTCCTACCTGAACTGTCTCCCGCTCCCTCCTTCGTCTCTCCTTCTCTGCTGATTGGGATGCTTTCTTCACTTCCCTCGCTTTCTTCTCATAATGAGCCTTGTAAGGAGTATAAGCACAAGCCAATATACACATGTGGACCGTACCTGGGCTCCATGTTTCAAGCGAGTGATAATGTTGGCTGCCTCGCCCTTGGTCATGTTCTGGAGGGTTGCGGCGGCAGCATCTTGATCCAGCGCGCGTTTGACGCGCCGTTTCAGGATGAAGTTCTTCTGGCTATCGGACGCAGACGCTTTCCGCCATCTTGCGGTTCGGAGGAGCCTTTCTGTGTGTCAGAACTGTTCTAACTCATGTACAAAGGGAGGTATACCCTAGTGCCAATGATCCACGAAGAACCTTTTGCGCGGCATAAGTGTCGCAGCCTCGGATTGCATCACTGAGTGTCTCCGCAGTCATGATCAACCTTTTCCGCATGAATGGTGATATTTTGAACGCCTTCGCAGACGGCATATGCATCGTCGCCTCGGTAAATGTTGCGCGATAGTGTGTAGGCTTGTCTAAATGGCATATGAGATAAAGAATTATCGCAGACATGGTAGAACTGACCCTCATCAGCAGAAACATGCTCGATACGGATATATCCCTTGCCCAAACACTCCAAGATGTAGATATCGTCGCCACATCCTACCCATGCATTGGTGCTGAGCTTTGCAACGTGAGGAGCACCTGAGCAACCGTCGACTAGGGCGAATGGGTTCTGGTAATCGACATATGTTACATATTTCGGATTAGGAATATCGTCTCGACTGTCAACTAGTGCTTGTTCATCACCCGCGTCCTGAAGGATGGCGGTCTGAGCACGAGCTTCCAATGTCTCAATGGACTCATCTATGTAATGGTATTAGCCCAATCCACAACGGGAATGCGCCTTACCGTCGATAAGTTCCTCAGGATCAAGACCGAAGAGCGTTGGGGTCGAGACCACACCAGCTACCCGGTTCGTAGAGTCGACAAAGTCGATTATGTGGCAGTCCACTTTGCCTGTTGATGGTGATTGCCGCATCCCCCTCCCAATCTATCGAAATTGAATGGTGAGTACGCGGGAGGCATTTAACATGTTACACTTCAACTTACCATCTGTGCGAAGACATTGCGTGACCGAGTCGGTCGAGTAACTATAACGCAGTCGATGTTGGGAATATCGGCGCCCTCAGTAAGAATAGCTGTTCGTCCCCAATGAGTCCTGAAATCACCCAGTCGTGAAAAACAAACCGCAGTTGACAAGCACAGGGTATTCGCCTGCTTTAAAAGCGGTTATCAGTCCATGCCGCTCGGCAGCAGGCGTCCCGGAGTGCAGATAACGTGCATCAACTCCAAAACCTTGAAAAGCCTTTGTCAGCGCTCGTACGTGCGCAAGGTTGACGCAGAAGACAAGTGTTGATTGGCGCTGGCCTATAGCAGACATAAGTTGTGGGACTGTGCTTCAAAGGACGAATATCACTTACTTGCTCTGTCGAGCCAGGCTTGCACAACAAGGTTATTCACGGTATCTGTATTGATGATGTGCGCCAGGCTTGTAGCATTGAAGTCACCAGTTTTGGAGTTCACAGTGACATTGCGCAAGTCAATGTTCGCCTTGACGGATGTGAAACGCACATCACAGAGCCTGCCATGGTAGATTGAGAAGAATATCGATGGCCAAATTGAAATAGTCTGACCATTGTTCCTTGATCATCTCAAGAAAATCACGATGATACACTATTTGTTGAAAGACTGAGCCAAGAGCCAGCCCATCATGGCGACTGAAGGTGGCAGAAAAGCCGATGATTGGAATAGGACGAGACAACTGTGGAGGCTGAAAGGTTGCATCCGGGCTCTTTATTGCAGGATCAAAATGCGCAAGTATTCGGCGGTATCTGGGTGAAGTGTGTTTAATTTAAAACGAATCTCCCAAAAAGTAAGGGCCCTCACGATGGGGCGGCAGCGTGGTGTGCTTCGTCCACAATCACTGCCTTCAGACTACCAGGATGAAACTTGGCAAGGCGCTGAGGTTGTAGGAGTGTCTGATAAGTGGCAACTGTCCTGTTCAATAACGATATACCGGAATGAGGGGAGTAAGATTTTCATAAACCAGGACATACACATCTGCATTTCCGGATGCTTTATGCTTGACACCCTGTTCAATCTCGACGCGCCATTGCGGGAATTGTGCCGCAGCTTGAGCAGCAGCTTGTCTTGCAAGCTCGATACTATTCACTATAATTAAGGCGCGTGATGTGGATGGAGAATGAGATATCTGCGCCAATAAGGATATGAACACAGTTGTTTTGCCAGCGCCTGTCGGCAGAGATACACCAATGCGAGTCGCGCCAGCCTGAAGTGCATTCTTGCATGCTTCAAGACACGACTCTTGGTAGGGTCGTAGCTTGACCGTGACAGCGCTAGCAAAGTAACGCCGCATAGTATCAAACAGTTCGGGACATATTCCGTGGTTGAACACAATTCTCGCTTCACAAAATGTTGGTCGTGAATGTCTTCTGCATTCGGTATGAACCGAGGCCTACTAGTGTGGGAGTATGTAGAAGAATCCATACTCTGAGGAATCCCAGTAATGATGAAATATAAAGTCTAGCGAAATAAATCGTAATGCGTCGGATAAAAGAAGGGATCGAGCCAAGGCCCAGGTAAATATGCGATGCAAGACATTTAACCAGATCCACCAGAGTAAACCTTGCCGAACATGACTTGCTGGAGCTTGTCATATAGCGAGAGCACACCAGCACCAGCAACACCACGGAGGATGTTGGCACCTGCACCCTTGAACAATGACTTCATACCCTCCTTAGCAACGATCTGGGAGCCGGCATCGAACATGGACTTGTAGTGAACACCAGCGCCGGAGGTCATCATCATACGACGACTGGAGGTCATGGTATAAGCGTCGAGATCAATTTGAGAGAAGGGGCTAAAACTCACCGGATAGTGTCAAGTGGGTAGGAAGCAAGACCAGCACCAATGGTAACACCCCAACCAAGAGCGAAGGAAGCCAAGAACGAGCCCTCAAGAGCACCAACGAGAACGACGGGCTCTGCAATCACAATTAATGATATGATCAAAAGTTGGTTTACTGGACTCACTAAGCGAATCGTATACACCGAAGTAAAGACCACGGTAGACAATGATACCGACGACTGAAGGAACGAAACCACGGTAGAGACCCGCGATACCGTCGGAAGCGAGAGTCTTCTTGTAGACATCAACGAGACCGTTGAATTGGCGAGCTCCTCCGCCCTTAGCCGACTTAGCATCGTTGGCAAGTCGAGTACGAGCGTAGTCAAGGGAGTAGACAAAGAGCAGTGATGAAGCACCAGCAGCACCACCAGATGCGACATTGCCAGCGAACCATTTCCAGTAGCCGTCGTTCTTCTTGAAGCCGAACAGAGACTTGAAGTAATCCTCTGAAAAATTAAATCAGTAACGAAGTACACACGGATGGACTAAAAAAACGCACTGAAAGCGAAGTTCAAGGCCTGCGTGGGGAAGTAACGAATCACGTTGGCGGTGTTGCCTCTCCAGAGTGAGACCATGCCCTCTTCCGCGTATGTACGACTGAACGCATCCCCGATGCCCTTGTAGGGAGTAGCCAGACGACCCTGTTTGATCTGGGAGGAAAAGCATTAGACATCTGGACGCTGGTATAGGATAGAGGATATACCATCTCATCCTGATTTTGCACCAAGAGCTTAATACGCTCAATTGGGGCTGCTGAGGTCTTGGCAACGGCCTACAAAACACGATGTCAACGTCGAAAACTTTCACCGCACTGTAGTGTTGCCACGTACAGCAGAAACACCACCCATCATGAAATCGACTGTTGGATATTGTGTTAGCGCTCCATACGCGACACAAAGCGAGCTGGACGGCGAGCTACGACGACGAGCAACTCACTCATGAAGTCCTGGGGAGTCTTGACCCTCTTGGTTTCGGCCATTTTTTAATTAGGAAGCAAGGAAAGGCTGAGTGGAGAAGGATGAAGGGGAAGGATGAGAGCTAAGCAGTGAAAAAAGTTCGCGTCAAAAAGGAATTCGGAATCACCCGGAAGGGTTTTATCTCCGCTCTTGACCGATTGAAACCAGTGTGTTTAGGTACGTTCCGGGTGGTCTCTGTTCCGCTACTTAATGTTCTTATAATCGAGTACGTAAATAGAGAAGTTTGCATACGTGTATTGCCCTATCTCTGCGAAAAAAACAATGGATTATTATGACTAACCCGACCTAAACAGACGTAGTAAGTAGCGGAATAAACTGTCCCTGCAATGCGAAATTAATATTAAGGCCACACGCCTGGTCGGCTCGTAGAACCACCAGGTCTGGGCGGGTAATAACTGGTGTGGTTGTACGTATCATATGGACTACGAACGGTGTCGTGAGGAGAAGTAGTTGTCACGGGTGGCACGTACAAGTTCGGGTTGTTGTAACGTACTGGAGGTAATTGGGGGACAGGGTAATTGCTCGGCCCAGTAGGATACGCGGTCGCAGGTGACCTGGGCGTACTCATAGGAGCGACATTAGCAACCGGCGACACGGGCGGAAGATGCACTGTGTGAGATATCTGAGGCTGTGGCTGTGGCTGAGGTTGCTGAGGTGCTGGAACAGAATCAATCCGGGATTTCTTCCAGATCTGCTCTGTAGGCGACGGTGCACCAGAAGGTGCCTTGCGCTTCTCCAACGAACTCCGCGCCACGGGTGGTGGTCCGAGCTCCTCCTCGTCAGAATCAGCTGTTAGGTCGATGACATCGCCACCCCTGGGTTGCCGCGCAATTGTCGGGTGACCTGCGTTGGAAGCGGGACTGGATAAGGTGTTCATCGGGTAGGAATCTGATAGCTCCTGCTTAACTCTGCCCTCGTCCTCATCAGAGTCCTCATCATCAGAGTCCAGCACAAGAATTTCCACATTTTTCCTCGAATAGGCTTTTGCAGCAGCCTCTTCGTCAACCGATGCTGGTGATGATCCACGAGGAGTGGGCGAGAGTCTGGACAGATCTGTCCTTGGATGCGAGGCCATCCAGGAAGCTGAGCCAAACTTATTGTCGCTGGTATGCCACTGCCCATCGCTTTCAACAATAACATCTTCAACATCCTCACAAGTATCCTTCAAAATCTGGTCGAAATACCTATTGACGTATACATTAGTCAACCGACGATTCAGCGACAAAAAAACAACGAACCCGTCAATGATGAGATCTTCGTAATTGAGAGCCTTCTCGCATACAGGACAAAGCCACGTTGTCGTTTGCTCCATGCAGCTGAACCACGAGGTTGCATCAAAACACTGCGGATGAGGGCATAGTATTGATCTACACGGCGTCTTCACTCGCATGAAGCTCAGCTACACCATTTTATCGTGAGAAAAGGTCAAGCTGGGTGGAGGACGGTCCATACTGGGCATTTCAAAGACATCTTCTGTGATCCAGCAACAATATCGTCATCTTCGCTCGAGGTTTTATTCACTGCAAAAAATAATAATTAACAAATGGCCTGATCGATGAATGAGAGCTCACTTTGTGCCACTATATCTTCATGGTTGCGATACTTGCCCTTCTTGAGCTTGTCCACGAGCTGCTCTACAGTCGTGGTTTCAACGAGCATAACAATCAAATAAAATTTCTGCTGGCGATACTAAGACAAACTGTGTGTAGATGAGAGATCCACTAACCTTGGGCTGTACGGGTTGCTGGCTGTTCACGTATACCATTTCGACCCGGTTTTGACCTGTCGGTCTGACGGTCTTCCCAAGGTCTGCTGGTGGAGCAGTACCGGGCTTCTTCTTCAAACCTTTAAGGTTCGCCGTCAGCTGCACGCCATTGACTCGCACTTCACACGTGGGAGGAAATTCAATGGGACAAGGTGCCGCGGTGGCTCTGAATCCTGATGAATAAAACGTGTTTGAGGTGCAGTATAATCGAAGCTGGAACTTGGCACTAGAACGGTGTGTCAAACTCATGACATCTAATCCACTGACGGGGACATACGTCGTCGAGTTCAGCTTCATCGACTGCTCGCTGGTGAGAGTGAAAGTCAAAGTTTGCTGTTTTCGATCAGTTGAGCTTGTGGATTCTAAGAAAAGGTCAAACCGGATCAAAGTGATTGGAAGTGCAGCATGCTCACCAGGACACTCGACAATGCCAGACACTGCCTGATCTACACGGAAGAATGGAGAAGGCTTGAAGCGCATACCTGGGGTATGTGGTGATGATAATAAGTTAAGCAGTCTATCCATCTATCTTACCAGGTTTGGACACAGCTGACGAGCCAGCGCCTGTGGTTGGTGGCGGGGGTAGCCGAGGAGGGGCATATGGATCATAGCGGCCAGCGGGGATCGCGGTAAAATTACTACGGACTGTAGTTGAAGCTGAACTATATGCTGCTGAGGGAACCGAAGGCAATGACTGGGATGCCATCGCTCCTGGCATACGGGAGCTCGTGTACCTGATAGTCAAGCGCGCGGTCAGTGCTTTGTCCGGAGTAAAGGATGCTACTACACAGGATTTTGTAGCTAATCAAGAAGAGCCAATAAACGCGGCGCATGAGAAATGCCACGCACGTGAAATGAGTCAAAGGCATGAAGGGGCACTCACATTCCGGTATTGCGAACCTGGTATAGTATAACTTTCGCTTTAGTCCATTTGTCGATGTTGTTAGCTTGACGCCATGATTCCAACTGCTGTACGATCCTCTCTATCAGGTCCTGCTTCTTTCCAGACTTGTGAAATACGGTGTTGCATTCCTCATTGAACCCGGCAAGAATTTGTTTGAGTTTATCCACCGTATTATGCTTGACCGTGTGCCGCAAATTCTGAAGTAATAATTTAGCAAATATATGATACGTATAAGAATTACATCCCAGACCTCGAAATCACTCCAAGAGTCATTGCTGGCCATTGATGCCTCCGCCGTCTGCCACAGTGAGCAAAAGCTTTCAGGAGAACAGAGAAGAGTTGAGGACTAAGCTGTAGCGGGAACAATTTGGGTTTACATACTATAATACACAAAGATAAACAAAGCAGATTCAGATCTCACGTGCGCAATCCAATCTCTTTCATATCGTTTGAACTTGTAGAATTGTCAAAGAACTGTTTCATCCGTATGTCTTCAGACAACGACTACGACAAGCTCACGAAGGAAGAAAGAGAGGCCCGCGATAAGGCAGATAGGGAACGTGAGGTGGCCGAACAGGCAGGTATGGTTCCACTTAATCAGCGGTTGATCAGATCATAAACCATGGCATGCAGCTCTCCCATACACATGGAAGCAAGAATTGGGTGAAGTCGATATTACCGTTCCTGTTCCGAAAGGGACGCGAGCCAGGGATTTAGTTGTTGTCATTCAGAAGAAGAAACTTAGCGTTGGTCTCAAGGGTTTGGAAAGTATCATGGAAGGCGAGCTCTGCAAGGAGATCAAACTCGAAGATAGCACATGGACACTCGGTGAGGTGCCATGTCATGAAATGTATGCTGATTCTTAATCGCAGTTCAGAAGATCAGCAGTCTCTTCTTATTCATCTCGAGAAGCTGAATAAACAGCAGTGGTGGGACAATATCCTCACCCATCACCCGAAGATCGACACCCGCAAGATTCAGCCAGAAAACAGTAAGCTCAGCGACCTTGATGGAGAAACTAGGTATTATTCTATTGTCATCATTCAAAGCTCGGTCTTAGATTTCTTCAGGGGTATGGTCGAAAAGATGATGGTGCGTATCTAGCATGTTTCTATATGTTTTCTCTACCAACCTGGTTCTGTGGTTCTAGTTCGACAACCAACAGAAGGTATGTTCTTAATTTTGTCTATGACCATATGTGTATTCAGCATGCCTTCAGCAAATGGGAAAACCAACCTCAGACGAGCTGAAGAAGATGGAGGTTAGTAATTCCTGCGCCGAGTCTCCTGAGGCTGACCAACTTTGATATCTCAGGCATTGAAGAAGTTTCAAGCCGCACATCCTGAACTCGACTTCTCGAACGCCAAGATCTCATAAACACCATCTGGTGTGATGAGAGTGTCAGGTTTCATATTACACCCGCCCATGTATATCAAGGAAGTTCTACAGATGTGAATAACACGGGGTATAGCAATTATCTCACCGTCTCTCTCCAAATGCAAACCCTACGTTTCTCAAGTGTGACCAATAACTGTCCTCCAAAGCCAAGCACGCAGGCCTGCACGCTTTCCTGTGCACCAGGAACTAGAACCTCCCAGCGCTGCGCTTCGGGTGATTTCCCGAAAATATTTGATATTGGTTGTTCTTCGTCTTCTCCATCATCGTCAAGGCGTAGTCGACTAAGTTCGAGATCAGATTCGATGTCATGTTCAGGCGGGTCTGGCGCTATCACGCGGGGGTGGAATTTTGCCAGGTTGTACAGACAAACACTGTCAGGAAGAGACAATGCAAGTATATAATCGCCCGTGAACGTTTGGGTGACGTGAATGTGTCGAGTTAGCTGGGGCAAAGACGACGTCGAGATGAGGGTGAATGATGCTGCAAAGATGGGTTTAGGGCACTAGTTAATAAACTGAAATGTTGAATGCATACAGCTCTCCTGATAATCCTGCTTAACGATTAGTGACACGATCAAAGTAATAAGGGAAAATGTACCGATGAGCAACCCCTGAACACCTGCGCAGAACTTGAAGGCTCTGATCCTGCAGGAAAAAATCTATCAAATCCAATCCACCGGAAAATTGTCACGGTTCCATCTTCGTGGTATATATCGTCCTTGCGATCGTGACGTCTCATGAGAGCGGGCGCGCTATGGGTTACCAAAGTGTCGGTGCTAAGCCTGCCTTGGCGTGGCCGGCGAATTGATAACTCGGTCCTTTAAGTGCATAGAAATACGTACCAGCTAACGGACATGATGCGCGCCTTGTGGATACGAGTGCTGCTGAAAAGAGGTTTGTCCTCACGAACAAGCTTATTGGAAGACAAGTCTTCCAAGGGTGAAAAACACCATATCTTCACCGCCCGATCTAGCTGAATGATGTTCGAAAATGTTACGCGAAACATGCAACCTTGGATAGACCTACTCCGCATGTAGCGATCAGAGGATGCGTTGGATGGAATGCCTCATGATCATACGTCAATCATGGCGTCGGCTTGATCTGCAGGACTCACAGCATTCAGAACGGCAGCCTCATGACCCCCGGACGGGCCTCCACAAAGAACAACAATGCATCGACCTATGCCCACACCCTCTGGCTCGCTAGCTTGCAGCCCGTGGGGGGCTCCGCCTAGGCTGGGGGCTTTAGATGGTGGCCAGCAAGGGTTGTCAGGGCCCTGTTGTGGGGACATTGTTAAATCATATATGCGTGTTGTAAAATCCCTTGAAGTGGTGCAGAACAAATAGGGATGCGTAGGGTGAACGACTATAGATGTGATCGGCTAATCACGGGAACCGTCCATCAGTGGACTGAAAGAAGGGTCCAGGTACTCACTCCACCATGTCCACGCAAGTGGCTGATGATCTCGCCTTTCACTGCGTTCAGGATGTACAGGATGCTGCCCGCTGAGAAAACAACAAGAGGCTCTAGTGGCGCCTCAAGAGTCAGCGCCCACCCCAAGGCCATTACGGAGGTCTTTTTCACAGGCGTCTATACACGAGTTAGATGAGTAGGTACATAGATGTCACCTCTTACGTTCTGTTCTTGGTTTGGTACCGACACTGACAGGCCCTTGCGCGACCTCGAGGCACTGAGCGGGATAACAAGGAGAGAGTCCAGGGTTCCGATTGCGAGGGCTCCAGACCAGTCGGAGATCATTTGCTTCCATGGGTTCCGGAACTCTTCGTTATCCTTCTCACCATGCCATAGGGCATTCAAAGACTGCTCGGACCATGGAAAGAGCGCAGCACAGTAACATTCTTCAACAAAGTCGAGCTAACAATAACAATTTGGCTCAAGTCATAATCAGCAAGCTGGAGAAATCAGCACGGACATCAACAGTCTTAAAGGGCGTGAATGGCTTAGAGCGAGTGGGGTCTTGAAACCAAGGGGGGTTGCTAGCATCAGCGGCTATCTGGTCACTGTCATCGAGAGACTCTTCCATCGTCGAGCTATTAGTTCAGAATCGATAATAGAGGATGTCGATATGGGAGATATCGACTGAGAACCTTGAAAGGCCTTTGATCAAGTTTACAGTAAAGGTTCAAAGGGCCATGGACAAAAAAGGTAATTGTTCAATAAACCTTTTTCGCCGACCCCCGCCTCGTTCCATCACTCATACTAGCCGCTATGTCTGGACTGCCTTCACAACTCTCGGAAGATGCTTACGAGCCCAAACCTGCACTGCGGAATGCAGCCACTATAGGTCTTCAAGCAGGTATTGTCGGTGCGTTTGTGAGTGCAGTTCAAAATGCCTTGGGATCGCATTCGCGAGGCGCTGCTGGGTTCTTGACACGTAGTGGGGGCACTATTGGAACCTTCGGTGAGAGAAACGAATCAGCTTGCGATATGAGAGAGTCAAGGTTAAACACCATCTTTACAGCTGCCATGGGCGCTGCTTTTGCGCTCACGGAGTCGGCCGTAGCGAATCAACGAGAAACAAATGATGCGCTGAATGGGATTGCAGGTGGTTGTGCAGCAGGATTCCTTGCAGGTCTTCGAAGTGTGTTGTCATGCCGGATCTATTATTCATTCACCTCATATATCAACCTCAGCACGTTCAATACCAGTTGCACTTGGATCGTGCGTTGTAATTGGCGCGGCTATGGGCACCTTCGACTACGCAGGGGAAATTGCTGGCACGTCGAAAGAGGAGAAGGAGGAGAAGAGAAAGAAGTTTTTCAAAACAGTTCCCCAGCCTATTCATCACGCTTCCGAGTAGAGGCAGCATCACTCTATAGCCCATCATCCCAATTCTCTTTAGAACTGAATGCTGACACCGAGCTTGCACACCTCGAGAATTTCATTACATTCAACAGACACTTGAGGATACGACATGACGAAACGGTTCATTTAAAACCACAAAGTCACTGATGAATCCTCCACCTAGCTGGAGGAACGCACAAGCTCCTCGATTTGTGCATAAACTTCACTTTGGTGTGTCGTGTAATACTCCGGCCAAGACTCTGCGCTTTTGCAAGGTCGCTGAACGAAATTGTAGTCAGGAAGGGAAAAAATATGGAGGCAACGGCTCACATGTTGAGATAACCTTTCCCATACCCTCTCATCATTATCATCGTCCCCACCACCGTTGGCAAAGAATTCACAGATGACCTCAAAATCTTCGCGTTCCAAAGCTTCGTGTGATAGAGTTGAAGCAGTCGGCAAGGCAGACAATCGAGGTTTCTTTGACGGGCCAGGTCTTTCCTCCCCAGTTAAAATCTCGGTATTCGCAGTCCGCGACTTGCGAAACGCGATATTTGCCCTCTTGCGAATGTCAGTAAGTTCTGTTTTCAGTTTCGAAGACGCTTGCATCTGCCAGGACGCAAGCGAGTGATGTGGCAACTGTAACCGATATCAAAGTCAGCCCTTTGGAATATACACATCGAAGGCAATTATGTACCTTTTTGTGCATAGCTTTAAGCAGCATTGTGGTGGACATCGTTGGGTCTTCATTGAGCAGGAATTGAGCATATCGGCAAAAGTACTCAATTTCTGGCTGCGTGAAGTAAAACTTTCCATCTCTCATGGATTTGCGCGTCTCTGGGGGAGGAGGAGTAGGAGACCGTCGTAAACGAAGGGTTTTTGCCTCGTTTGAGGAAGGTGGCGGAGGTGCTGCTGATATTTGTGGGGACGCGGGTGCTGATCTCTTGCCAACTTTCTTTGCTGGCGCCCCTGTAGGCATGGCCTTCTTTACCTTCGGCTTCGACTTCACATTTGAGATGGATTTCTGATTCTCTTTCTTGACAGAAGAAGGCGTTTCCACCTGCGCAAATTCAAAAAATGCGCCACTTGCACCTTTTCCACGCTTCGAGTGTTTCACTAAGACACCTGTGTCGAGGGGGTACTCGGCTTCATCCAACAGCATGTTCTCGGCGATGCAATCGGCAACGAATGCTGACTGAATTGGAACCTTGTCGCAGGCCTGAGCCTCGCTCAAGAGCCCCTGGAATGTCTGCGAGCGCGTGAAGAGGATGATATAATCTGCATCTGCAATACTCCCGATGACCTTGCCTTTATTTTTCTGCATGTTGTTCATAAAAACCAAAGCATACGCGTGAAAGGCTTGGAGGTACAGACCTTGATGTTCGAAACCACTCCTGATCGCCCCTGCAAATCAACCTGCACAAAGAATGTCAGAGGCCGCCCTTGATCGTCAAGGAACACCTCTCCAGGATTCTTTCTTGCGTTCGTGAGGCCCGGCGAACTCAAAAGAGACTGCTCAAATACGTCATCCGAACCGGCAGAAGGGGCATCTTCGTCACTATCAGATTCACCAGATGTCGTAGCACGCTCCTTGCCCTTGAGGGATCGCTTGCTAGGCGGGTTTCTGGACGTTTGTGCGGGCGGCATTGCCTCGTGATTGAGTTTGCGTTTCACTGAAGGAGGGAGCAAAACCGTAGATGCCGCGCGAGAAAATGTGTCCGTGCGAGATTTGCGTGCGGAAGGACGAGGGCGTTTTTGCGAACGTTTCGACAAAACAGCTTCGGGAGTTGGGCTGCATGATTTATAAGAAGACGATGAAGGAGGGTAGGGTTGGGCTATAGCAACGATTGATTCTGGTGTTTGTTCATGATGAATGGCAGGCGAAGCACTGGGTGGAGCTTCAAGTTGGGGATACATGGGCGAGGGCTGTCCCGCCTGCAAGAATTCACCTCCATTATTGTTCCTCATAACATCCATCAAAGTCATGAGCATCTGAAAATTCTGCGGGTCCCGTAAGTTGTGAAAGGGCATCGCCGTTGGCATCGTCAGAGATTGGGGCATGAATGACATGTGACCAGGAAGAAGCTGTTGAGGAGAAAATTGACCAAACTGGTATGATTGTTGAGGAATGGGATATTGCTGAGGAAACGGTGCGGGTTGCGAGAATTGTGGCTGAGAAAACTGAGATACTTGAGAAAATTGAGGATGCAGAAAAGGTGCTGGCGTGGCGGGTTGTGTTGACTGGGTTTGTGGAGGAGCTTGAGAAAACTGGGCATGTGTAAATGATGCTGGAGTGGCAGGTGGTGCTAACTGGGTTGGTGGAGGAGCCTGAGGATTATAAGGTAATGCTGGAATGAACTGCTGAGGTAGTGCAATAGCTTGAGGGGTGTTGGATGATTGAAGAGGCGAGGGAGTGCTTGGTGTATGATCGTATGTGGGCTGGCCTGCATGTTCCGAGGGCTGCTGTGAACTTTGCGTTGCCACGAGTGGAGATTGTCGGGGTGACTGATGTGGCATTGGATTATTCGGGATCAGAGGGGCATCAGTAGCCAGAGTTGCAGGAACGTTATTGAGAATTTTCTTCGTGAATGGTTCTTCAGGCGTAACGCGGGGCGTAGGTAGCGGACTTCTTATCGAGGACATTAGCGGATAGTCCCCTTGAGGGACTTCAGGGCGTGAAACTGACTTTGAAACCAGCTGTTCGACCTCTGCTTCTTCACCATCGGCAGCAACTTCGACGATGGGTTTGCCATCGTCCAGAGTTTGTGCCCCACCCCAGGCATCGGCTTCAAGGAGGGGTTTCCTGGCTTCGATACTTTTGCGCAGCCATTGGAATTCAAGAACGGCCTTCCCTGGGGTCTGATGCCAGGTACGAATGAGACGCTTTCCGTCGAGTTGTGGAGAATCGACGAGAATGATGTCCGCATCCTCTGGGCGACTGGCATATGCCCCAGCTTTCTACAAGGACACGACATATGAGGTGTGTTAGGTTGAGCCACAAGCTTACATACCTTCATCATACGGACTAAGTTTGGCCGCTGTGATATGCCATTGACTTGCAAATGGATGTTGTAACCTCTACCATCGGGATGAACGAGAATTTTATGGTTCTCGGAAGTGCTCTGTGATGCAAAGAGCGTATCCATGAGTGGTTCGGAAGACTGTTCCATGGCTTATGCGGGCCCAGTTATGAACGTGTTCTGATTCCTTGAATCGATTTCCAGGACCTCAAGTCACGTGCTGTTACGTGTAGTCACGCTATCACGTACCATTTCAAATTAAGAAATACAAGTGGTCGCGACCAGTGGCGGCAGGCCAAAGCATAAGGTATCGAGGTCCACACATATATCATGTAGAAACAGCCACAACAACTCTCCTTCTAATTGTTCTTCCTCATATAAGGTCGCCCATCATCATCAAAACACCGTAATCCCCCTCAATACGATGGTTCTCCCCGCACCCGACATCAAGAATGACATCGCGAACTCAGTGGATAATCTGCAGAAGTTGTACCCAGGCGAATTTGATGCAAAGAAACACCTATACTTGCCTCATGGCAAATATGCTTTCGCTGCCGAACATAAATTCCAGGGTAAGAATAAAAAGCAAATAGGTGGGTGCTTTTCACAACTCCCTTTGAGTCTTGAAGCTCAATTGTAAGCCAAGGCCTTCGCTCAGGGTATGGATACCGTATAAACATCCGAAGTGGCGTTATTGCTGGGCATAATGTTACCTGTCTCTGGAAAACGCATGTTTCCTATTGTGTCAAGGTTTTTGGCTAAAGCTAACTATTCAACCAGTTGGGATGTTTCCAAAGCATGGAAAGAGTTCTTTCAAGAGGTATTCTACACTCTGCTCATAGGTTTGTGTTATTCTGACGCTGCATCGTAGTTATACTTCTACTCCCACCCCGAACTTTTGAGATGGCTTCAAGGGACCGTCGTTTCACACGTAATTGGTGTGCATGATGAACCTAATGGACAAAAGAGTATTTTCATGGAAGCACCTCATCACACACACTGGCATACAGCACATCCAGACTTGTCCATTGGCGAAAAACAGGCGGTTATTCGAGCATACGAAGCTTTGCATGCGCACGGCATCATGCACAATAACATCAGCGTCCATAACATATGCATAGGTCAGAGACCAGCTCAAGCTCACACGAAAGATTCGGAAATTTATCGACACGTTTCTAGATCAAGATATGAACGTCACACTGCTAAACTTTGAAAGGTCCTGCTGCTTGAAAGACAAGGGAATAGATGCAGTCCCCGGGTGTGATCAGGAAGCGCTGGCGCGAGAAATGCGACAAGTCAAATTCTTGATTTCCTACATGGATGCAAGGCTTATTGAAGCTGAAATCATCACAGCTTCACAAGCCTCTCCCAGTGAACAGCAGGCGAGTTGCCCTTTCTTACACATCATAGGATATTTTGATGACCCCCCAAACCCAGATCGAGCCGCTTGACCTCGACGATATTGTTCGCTGGCTCAAAGATGTTGAAAACACCCATACCATTCCGATCGATATGCGCAATCGGCCACTTCCAAATGATGGACGTAAGAGAGCCAAAAAACCTAAGGTCAAGGCGGGAGCAATCATTCGATGGGATTCAGCGGGATCTATGCGAGATGCTGACAATGCTGGATTCCATAGTGAACCGATCGTGCCTCCTATTCTTCTGCCGATTTCACAATCATTTTCATCCACAATCATTGCTACGCCTTCGCCACAATTAAACCCTCCTGCAAACAGACATGGGTTCTTTTCCGTAGATCAGCTCCCACCCTCGAATTCTCGTGGTGCACTGCTTTCCAATTGTCCTGAAGAGAACACTTCTCATACACAGGACGGGGATATCAACATGCAGCTTCCGCTGTTCCGGTCTGATCCTGAAGGAACGGCATCAAATGGCCTGCATGATATCCCTGTTCACTCGCCACCAGCCTCTCCCCTTGCCCCTCCCCCGTTACTGCCCACACCCATGTCGGACACCTCGGAGCGAATTCCACAAACACCACCAACTTGCCCACTGTTAGCACATCTTGCTTCCCCACCGTCGCCCGACTACCCCCAAATTCGCACCTTCGCTCCATATCCTGACCAGCCGCCTTCCCCTAAGGTGTTCTGCGACCTGACACACGAGCAACTCCGCCTCGCAATAAAGCAGCACAATGTTGTTGTAGACACTAGATTATCCTCGCAAGCTACAATCAATACAGACAAAAACAACGTCGTCTTTCACCCCGATACAAATGATAACGGCACATACGCTACGGGAAGCGATCCTTTTCGCAAGCGGAAGAAGAGACGGCGACCTACTCCATTTTTCTCGGAATGCTTCATCTCCTCTGAGGAAGAGACCGTCCCCGATGAGCACGAGGAAGATGAAGAACCTGAGCCTGAGGTCGAAGTCGATTTCGAAGAACTCGTCGAGGAAGCTCATCTCGCAAAACTGAGAGGGCGCCGACGCGTTTCGCGTTCTGGTGTGTTACCTGCCATGGTTCCCGCCAAATCCATGTGGCCTGGTCCAGAGGCAAAACCTCCTGTCGTTGCCCAACGAAGTACCAGCATGCCATCGTTGCCAGCATTGTCCTCGGTCAGCGAAGAAGCGAGTTCTGGCGATACTTCAGGAGCCCCTCCTTACACTGTGGTTTTCCTTGGAGCTAACGGGAGTCCGGATGAGGTTTGGAAGCTCCCCGTACCTGCGTTCATGTTGATCAAGTCATCGGTTGCGAGGCAGCCACAGGCCCAGAAACTCCGAGTAGAGCAGGTCCCTCGGCTGCGAGGACCTCCCCCATCAATGAATTCTTCCCCTTCGCGGGCGCCAGATCAGGACGCACAAAGTCGGTTCTCCAAGAAGCGGAAGATCGACTGCGTGGAAGGGATTGAATATCTAGAACAGACATCAAAGCGCGCACGCCAGGGCCAGTTAACGCCCAGCTCATGCGTTATATGTTAGACTATACTCAAGTCGGACCACTCAGTTCTTAGCAGTCATCTTCGTTATATGTTAGATTATACTCATGTCGGACCACTCAGATCTTAGCAGTCATCCTGTTGGGCCATATTGTTGGCCATGTAGCTTTATCAAATGTATGATCACGGATAAAGAATGCTTGAAGTCTGAAGCAACTCCTACGATGCATTGTGTCCTCCCACGGGGCCATCGAAGGCGGCTTGGTTGCACTTTAAGTCAGATTGGCCCACAGCTCGGCATCGCGACATCTGCATTGACAGACGCAAGAACTGGCACTACGACAACGGCGAAGCTGAGGGTCTTCAATGGGTTGCACATCTTGATGGCATTTCATCTACTGTTGGATCATTCGGTTCGACATTCCTCATGTCTAGAGGCGCGGAAATTGTGGAGATTATGTGAAGGCAGCTTACGACGCAAGGGGGGCACTAAGCCGGATCTTAGTCACTGGCGGGGCATTTTGTGTCCGGAGTACATCAATACTGAAGTGACAATGGTTGCAATTCATAATCATAGTTGCACACATGCTATCATGGCGATATTGAAAAGCAAAGGAGTGACATGATAAAAAGATATGTACCAAAAAAAGTTGTTTCACCGGTAACTGTAAATTCCTGTCAGTCAAGTATTCACGAACTTCACGCAATCGATGTACAAACCTCTTTTGCCTGCGAGCACGAGCACCAGCACCACCGAACTTCTTCGGCTCCATCCGTCTAGGATCTGCGATCAACAGCGTCCGGTCATACGCCACCAACTTTTTCTTCAACTCCATTGCACTGTATGCATCGATGTACTTGGCGTAGTACGCAACAAGAGCTTTGGCAATGGCCTGACGGATAGCGTACACCTGCGACGTGTGTCCACCACCCTTGGCGCGCACACGGATATCAAGTGGTGCGAATGAGTCTTCACCAGCTACAAGTACAGGCTCGTAGATCTTGAAGCGGAGAATCTCAGGCTGGACAAGGTTGATGGGAGAGCCATTCACGCGGATAATGCCACGGCCTTCCTTAGCATGTGCGACTGCCGTTGCAGTCTGAGGAACTCTGGGGTGAGCAGGAAGTCATCGCAATGGAAGTGTTGCGACTTGCCTTCTTTTTGCCGAATGTTTGGACGGCCTTTGCTGTAGATGCCATTTTGTTGTATAGAGAAATCTGCCGCTGTTCGGCTCCTTGATGAATTCTGGGGGCGGAAAGAGCGAGTTCAGCAACTGATCTCGAGTGACTGATATCTAAAGTAAAGTGTGTGTTATCCAACTCATCCAACCCCAATCCATCGAGTCCTGGCCATTCTCCAATGATATTCGTGCATATTCCAGACCGTGTAGACACGGCCGTATCGTATTTCTGTAACACGTAGCATAAGTGCATAAACTCACCCTCTGGAGGTCGTTTGAGGTGTTGCGGTCAATCTTCACAGCGGGTAGTACACAGGTGAGGGGTTAGAATTTGTGGCAACAAATTCTCACGATCTAATTTTGGAATTCCAATGTGTCTTCTCTAATTTCTCTTTGTATTCAAGCTCAACAGTCAGTACTAGTCAGTTCCCAATGATTTCTGCTCTGCGGAAATCAGTGGCAGGGGTGAGGAAGAGTTTATGTTTATTTCCATGGCTGTCCTGACGACCTCAGCAGTCTTCACAAGCAATATGTCGCAGGCCAATGGCAACAATTGCGCCGGCCTTGGTTCAATCAAAACCGACCACTTCTTTACAAGGCAAATCCACAATTCGCAAAGGTGAGTTTATTGATGCCAGAGAGAAACATGCTCATCGCATAACAGCTGTTGATCCAATTAAACCGGTGTATTTGACAATGTCGAGTTTAACTAGCAAGTCGAATGGCGCCAAGAAAGCTGTCGCTCTAGACCCAACGGTGTTCGATCATCCTGTCCGGCGAGATATTCTACATCTTTGCGTCGTGCACTACTTGGATTCACTTCGCCAAGGAACTGCCTCTACAAAGACGCGCGCTGAGGTTGCCGGTTCGCGTCGCAAAATTCGTCCACAGAAGGGAACCGGCAGAGCTCGTCTGGGAGACCGGCAGAGTCCAATGTTGAGGGGTGGAGGTGTTGCTTTTGGTCCCAAACCGCGAGATTTCAGCACGAAGCTTAATCGTAAAATCATCCAGATGGGCATGCGCGTGGCTTTGACGATGAAGCTTCGGGAACAACGGCTGGGTGTTTTGCAACGGATTAACTGGTGGTCGCACAAGACTGCCACCCTTAGCTCAAGGTTAGAGGGACTTGGATGGAGAACCGGTACCTTGTTCGTCACCGGAGAATCCGAAGTACCGGCAAGAATGAGGTTAGCGTCGAGGAACCTTCGCGGGATAGAGTGCAGAACTGTAGCAGACTTGGTGGTCTACGACATTGTGAAGTGGAGAAGGGTTGTGCTTGACCTCGCCGCTGTCAACGCACTGGAGCGAGCTCTTGGAAAGGGTTTGTTGGAAATTTCGGATTCGGAAAGGGTAGTTTCTGATGTAACGCACTCATCTGCGGAAGTTGAGGCATCCACCTAGACTCATAATAAATTTTCTGTGGACTTGTCAAGTGGACATTCAAGATGGTCTTGCAATTGTCTCAGTCATTGTATTCGCCAACGCACCGGCAAAGCAGTACCTACTTTAATGATGAAACTTTGAAAGTGGCTGCCACTACGCGACCACGTGACGCAACGCGTCCTCCATTACATATCATACTGCGCCTCGACTTTCCACTCTTTCCCACTATATAGTACATTTGCGTGTTTGTTTCTAGCAGCAAGTAATCATGTCTCAAGCATCTCAGAATGACGAAGCACCGGAGGGCCTCTCCATGTCTGGCCCCCTCATGATCAGCAAACTGGAGGAAGCCGGAATTCACGCCAATGACATCAAGAAGCTCTCCGATGCAGGACTTAACACTGTCGAGGCCGTCGCATTTACGCCTAAAAAGAATCTGATAGCAATCAAAGGTATCTCAGACGCGAAGGCGGACAAGATCCTGGCAGAGGGTGAGTGCCGAGCTCCTGACATCATACGATCACTTTGTCTGATGAGTTACATCATCCAGCTCAGAAAATTGTCCCCCTTGGCTTTCAGAGCGCCACTGAAGTTCACGCACGGCGTTCCGAACTCGTTCACATTACCACGGGCTCAAAGCAGCTCGATGCTTTACTTGGAGGTGACAAGTGAGCATTCAGAAAGCATTATAGGTTTCTCACTTCTTCACAGGGGGTATCGAGACCGGTGCCATCACCGAGCTCTTTGGAGAATTCAGGACCGGGAAATCACAACTGTGTCACACATTGGCAGTGACATGTCAACTGCCTGTGAGCATGGGCGGTGGCGAGGGCAAATGCCTCTATATTGACACCGAGGGTACCTTCCGCCCTGCCCGTCTCCTTGCAGTCGCAGAACGCTATGGGCTGAGTGGTGAGGAAGTCCTGGACAATGTTGCATATGCGAGAGCATACAATGCCGACCACCAGAACTCTCTTCTCACTAGCGCCAGTGCGCTGATGGCAGAATCAAGGTTCGAGCCGACTATATGCGCATTTTGATTGTGTTACTCACGATCCCAATAGATTCTGCCTTCTTATTGTCGATTCATGCACCGCGCTCTATCGCACTGACTTCAGTGGACGTGGTGAACTATCTGCGCGTCAGAATCATCTCGGAAAATTCTTGAGAACCCTCCAACGGCTTGCAGATGAGGTAAGAGGAGAAGTAGTCTGCATACATCTCTGTATTCACTGTATGAAACAGTTCGGTATAGCTGTCGTTGTCACAAATCAGGTCATGTCCAATCCGGATGCATCAGCAGGACCATATGCGGGCAACGAGAAGAAACCCATTGGAGGAAATATCATGGCACATGCTTCCACGACCCGGTATGCATTCATGTCATTATCAGTTGGTTGACTAAACAAGCCGTCTTATCAGGCTACAGCTCAAGAAGGCCCGCGGGAACACTCGAACTTGCAAAATATATGACTCGCCCTGCCTTCCTGAGATGGAGACTCACTTTGCAATCTTGTCCAGTGGCATCGGTGACCCTGAAGAAGAGACTTGAGTTTCAATACCAACACCCTCATGCAATTTGTATTCTTGTAGCATTCGGTATTCTATCACTGTCAGGGAAGCTCTGTAATTGATCCTAGTAAGACATTTTGGAGTGTGGTTTCTTCCGCCTTGGAAACACGTAAGATACATCTTTATTCGAAGGATAGGATACCAGTTGAGTGGGACCTCTAGACTATACTGTGGGTGGAACCGTCCGTTTCGGTCAATGAAGCTTCAGATCTACAAATGTATGCATTCCCACCATCAAGCCAACAAGCGCGTGAGTATGTTCGCGCTCGTGTGACTGATCATCTCCCGCAGCTTATTCACGTCCTGGGGGCTTACGTCTGCAATATCTGCCAGTAGATATGCAACGTCGCCCTTCGAGTCCGAGTACTGTTTCTCGACATTGTATGGCGAGAGGACCTCGTTGACCTGCTTCAGCACACCAGGCTGATTGCTGTGAACATGGCAGACACGGACATGGTTGCCCTGCTCTGCGGTGATTGCGCGGAGGTCGACTTCGGGGAAATTAACTGCCCCAAGGGTGGACCCGTAGTTCAGGTAACGAGAAAGGGAAAGAGACACTTCCTCCCCAATCATACGTTGCGCTTCCTCTGTTGATCCGCCGATGTGAGGCGTGAGTATAACATTTGGCAGGCTGCGCAGGGTGGTCGACCACGCGTTAACCTGATCGTCGAATGGTGCCCCATTAGACCCCGGCTCTTGTGGGTATACGTCTATGGCTGCACCTGCGAGGTGGTTCGACTGGAGGGCTTCGATCAGGGCTGGGATGTCGACGACACGTCCGCGAGCGTTGTTGATAAGATAGGACCCCACTTTCATCTGCGCGAGCTCCTGTGGTCCAATCATATTAATTGTCTCAGGAAGCTCCGGTACGTGGAGCGTGACAAAATCAGCTTCCGCCAACAGAGTGGGAAGGGTGTCGACCTGTCGAGCCGAACCAAGGGGCATAATATTGACGACATCGTAGAAGATGACACGCATGCCAAATGCTTCTGCAAGCACCGAGAGCTGTGACCCTATGTGCCCGTAGCCAACAATACCCAACGTTTTGCCCCGAACCTCCCAACAGCCTTTCGACTGCTTGTTCCAGATTCCCTGGCGCATCTCGTGCGAGCGCTCAACGAGCTGACGCGAAAGCGCGATCATCTCGGAGACGACAAGCTCTGCAACGGAACGCGAATTTGAGAATGGAGAGTTGAAAACGGGAATGCCGGCTTTGCCGGCGGTGGCCAGATCAACCTGATTCGTTCCAATACAAAAACAGCCGATCACGAGAAGCTGTAAAATGCGGCTTAGAGGTGGTCATTCGTTGTGAGACAGATGGATGTACCTTGTGCGCAGCTTTGATGACTCGTTCTGTAATCTTGGTCTTGCTGCGTATGCCTATGGCATGGTACTGGGAGATTTTTTCTATAAGCTCATCCTCAGAAAGAGCTTTTTTGTAGTGGTCGACATGGAAGCCCTGCGCTTGAAAAGCTCGGACTGCATCCTGACTGATGTTTTCTAGTATCAACAGTTTCAGGTCTTCGTTTTCGACTGGGTGAAGAACCTTGGGCTGTCTGATAGCTGAGAGGGAGTCTCGCTTGCGCAGCCTGTCGTGGAGCGTCTGCGATGAAGGAGAGATGGAAGCGGCTACGGCTCTTGGGGATTTTAAGGGGATGGCAAGTGGGGGGGTCATTGTGAGGGACTGGAAGTGAAGATGATCCATTGTCAAACCCGTTTATAAGGTACTTATTTTCTTGATGCGTGAGTCCTATATTTACTATAGCAGACTCAGCGCTTGTTTCAAAGAGCAAACACTCAAACGTTTTGATCATCCCGATATAGCAAGTCACTCAGAGTCAAGATCGAGTCAGCCATGGCACTCTTTCTCCTCGACCATGGTGCAGGTAACGTTCAGAGCCTGGCTAATTCGATCAGGAAGCTTGGTTATGATTTCTCGTGGATATCCAGTCCAGACGACTTCCACAAAGCATCTGTATGTCACTTCCTCACTATGACCGCCATCTGACCTTGATTCGTCCCCACGTAGATCCTCGTATTTCCAGGGCAGGGTGCTTTCCACACTGCGATCCAGTGTTTAACAGAGCGTGGTCTACTTCAGCCCCTCTATCACTATATTCAATCTGGAAAGCCGTACTTCGGCATATGTATCGGGATGCAGGTCCTCTTTGCATCATCTGCAGAATCCCCGTCAACGCGTGGTCTAGGTGTTATACCCTGTCAGATTGAACGGTTCGATGATACCACTAAACCAGTTCCACACATGGGCTGGAATACTGCGGAACCCATAGACCCCGATACCTCATCTTCAGAAGGTGTTTCTTCTTCCAATCACTATTATTTCGTCCACTCGTATCGTGCCAAATACGACCCAGAAGGCAACCCTGAAGCTGCTATATGGGCACACTCAACTACTCAATACGGACAGGAAGTGTTCATGTCCACCGTCCGAAAGGGCAATGTATTTGGTGCTCAATTCCATCCCGAAAAATCCAGCGTTGCTGGACTCACCGTTATCGACGCTTGGATAAAGCAGTCTCTCGCGGGACGCACACCGGCAGAGCCATCCTGCCGGATTCCACGCCCTCCTAAATCGCAACACGGCTTCACTAGACGCATCATCGCTTGCATGGATGTTCGTGCGAACGATGAAGGCGATCTTATCGTTACCAAAGGGGACCAGTATGACGTCCGCGAGAAGTCTCTCCCATTCACGTCATTATCCAGCACTACAAATGTTGTCAAAACCGCCGGCGCCGTCCGCAACCTTGGCAAGCCAGTCGCACTAGCAGCACGCTACTTCGAGTCAGGTGCAGATGAGCTGTGCCTCCTCAACATCACATCCTTCCGCCATTCCCCGCTACAGGATCAGCCAATGCTCGCAGTTGTGCGGGCCGCAGCAGAGTGTGTATTCGTACCACTCACCATCGGAGGGGGTATCAAAGATACAGTCGACCCCGATGGCACGAAACGCTCTGCTGTCGAGGTCGCTGGCGCATATTTCCGAGTCGGTGCTGACAAGGTCAGCATCGGTTCTGAGGCAGTCTACGCTGTCGAGAAAGTTCGCGCGGCGGACGGCAGATTAGACGGCAGCAGCGCCATCGAAACGATTTCGAAGGTATATGGCTCTCAAGCCGTCGTCGTTTCCATAGACCCCAAGAGAGTATACGTCGATCCCGCCACGTACGATGGCCCTTACATGGACGAGCTTGTGCATGGTCGACCAGACGGTCACGAAAACGAGCGGGGGAAAGCTTGGTGGTACCAATGTACCGTGTCAGGTGGTCGCGAGAGTCGCCCTGTGTCGGTTGTGCAACTCGCACAAGGTGCACAGATCCTCGGCGCCGGCGAGATCCTTTTAAACAGCATTGACCGCGATGGAACAGGCCTCGGCTTTGATCATGACCTGATCGGGCTCGTGAAGCGCGCAGTGACTATTCCTGTTGTTGCGAGCAGCGGGGCAGGCACCAAGGAACATTTTGTGAGCGTGTTTGTTGAGACAGGGGTGGAAGCTGCTCTTGCCGCGGGGATATTCCATCGGGAGGAAGTTGAAATACAGGAAGTCAAGTCAGCTTCGAGGCAGGCGGGTATCAATATCAGATCATGAAGAAGATAACTAAAATTATGCACGAACACATTGTAGCCGTAATCGAGGAGTAGGGTGTCGTGTGATCTTCTATCCTCAGCCTTCTTTAGAAGACTATCGTGAATCTTCGTGAACACGTTTCAAATCTAGCAATCAAGCAGAATTGATCGGAACATGGGTAGATGCGCCTTCGAAAAGCGCTTGATAAATTTGCCTCAGGGTATTGGCTGCCACGGCATACTCTTACAACAGGAAGTATGGTAGAAAAATGCACAGTAGATAAACCGTCTCGTTCGTAAACCTACATACAGTACTTGTGCTCGATGACTCACGAGTATGTGTAGATTACAAACACCGTAATGGATACAAGCATGGGGTCAGGAGCCTCGTCGACGAAGGGGGGAAACACACAAAAACGATTCCTGGAAATATCTCGTCCAAGCTTTGGACGAAATAAGTGAAACAGAGCAGCGATCATGGCTGTAAAAGTGCAAGAAAGAACAACAACTAAAGGGGTAGTCTGAACAAGACGTGCGTGTGGGGGCTAGCGGACAAATGAGAGATTATACTTGGGTACATCCAGGAATCGAGGACCAGGCTCATTTCGGGCCCCTGACCACGTCCTTCACTTTCTTCAATAAACTAGTTTTTCGCCCGAGGCCGCCCGGCGGCGGAGAACTGGGCGCACCGTCAAAGTATCCACGTCTGTCTTCGGCTGATGGCGTGCGGGTGGTCGCTGGAGCGTAAGGAGTGGCAGGTAGTCGCTTATCCCTACGCGGATCATCGACGTATACATATGCTTCATCTGCAGGAGGTGAAGGGTATGGACGGCCAGCACCGTTGGTGCTGAAGCGCCCAAGGAACGAATTCTGTGATCGATGTGTGGGGCGCGATGGCTGGTGGGTATCCGGAGTGGGAGAAGGAGGCTCGATACTCTCGTCAAAACCCATGGGAACGTTTGGGGAGTCACGCATCTTGCGAATGCGTTGCATCAATGATTTGGTGCGTTTGGGTACTCCTGACGGAGACCCTGGTGCGCTATCATAATCGGTATTCTGTGCTTCTGGCACAAGAATAGGTTGTGGAGGCGGGATACCAGCGCGCTTGGTGCGTCTTCCTTCTCTCTCACCGCCACGCTCCCGGTCGCGGACTTGCATCTGCTTCACGTCGTCGTCGAGGTACTCTCTATAGACGTCACGAAGGTCACGCCCGTCCTTGGAGCGCTTACCAAGGGAGTGTCGCGGCGTGCCGTTCCGTGACCCGTGCCCCTCCCTCCCGGCGTATATTGAATTAGACGGAGTATCACCATCACGTCTGCCAGTGCCTCCGCCTGCAAAAAATTCCTCGTATGGTTCTGGCTCATGAATACCCCAAGCCTCTGCGATAGCATCGACTTTCTTCTTTGGGGGCTGGTAGGCAGGAGAAAAGGCACCCTTGTAAGCCTCAGGTGGGGGGTAGGGGGATTCATTAGATAGCGCCACGTCTGCCCCTGCGCTGCTCCAGGCAAGCATGGGGGCCTTGGTTCGATGGCGGTTACGAGATGGAGCACAAGCGTCAAATGGACCATCATGATGGAACACTAGTTCACAATAAATGAATAAATCGTCCATTTGAGGAGCCGAATAACGTACTGGGACCAACGCCAGTAAAATCAAGTCTGTCTATGACGTCTGCATGCATGGAGCCTTTCTTGCCTCGTGCCTTGCCCTTGGCCTTATCGAGAGCATTCGCTGTGTGAAGGACGGAGTCCTGTGATAACGAACGACGACCGGTGTGTGTGGGACGTGCAGGGGCAGTACCCTGGGCACTGATAAGTGAAATGATTGGTGTCAGTGAGAAAAACGGATGTGACAAGGACATACGTTTGACTTCTTCCCATTCTTGTGCGCGAGTCACCTCTGACCTGAACGGTGTCCCTAACTGCCTCTACGATTGTATTATCGCGATGTGGGAGATGTTTGGTTGGAGATGGTGCCATTCTGTTGTATTGGGGATATTTAGGCGGGGGCTCTGGAGGAAGGCGAGGAACAGGCTTTGATGGGTAAACTGGGTCAGAGAAGGGGTCTGAATGAGATCTGTGGCGGGTTCTATGTTTGGATGGTTGGGCAGCCTGTCTTGATGGGGTATGCTTGCTGACTGGATTATTGGAAGTACTCAACAACTGCGTGTTTGCCATGTCGCCCGTGTTCACCTGTTGTGACGCCCAGGCCGAGCGTTATTTACTTCAAAGACGAATATTTAACGAGAATGCTGCTCGTCGTCCAGGATAACGAAGGTGGGCGATTGAGGACGACGACTGTGACGGCGGGAACGATGCTGTCACCAAGGCTATGTTCGCCCTATTTATACCGACTTTGCAATTCGGCGCAGAGTATTATCCACTTTCAGTCACTTACGGTCAAACTTTGAAAGCAGCTCTCTTCAGGTCACCTACTTCAGTCACCTTGTAGCAACCTGCTGCTATGGGTGCAACAAAGAAGCAATGGACTAGAGAGGAGGTTGCAGTCCGCATTCTTGCAGGAGAAACACTGGTTGTCTACAACAACAAGTTGCTGCGCATCCCCCAATCTTGGCTAAACGCGCATCCGGGTGGTTCCCTCGCAATTCTTCATTTCGTAGGACGCGATGCCGCTGACGAGATAGACGCGTATCACTGTGACCAGACTCTTGCTAAAATAGAGTCCTATGTCATTGGTACGGTCGAAACTTCGAGTGGTATTTGGGAACCTCTCGTACCCCCAATCATGACTGGTTGGGTCCGAAAATTGTCTTGCGATGGCAAAACCGCATGGCATCATGAAGCCACTACACTACCACCCTCAAATCTCTCCTCCGAGATTCTCCTGGTCGAACGTGACTCTTGCCTCCTTGAGACTCAAGGTCCCTCTCTCTCTCATTTGGTTCCCCCTCCAACAACACTTTCCTTGAAAGACCAAGCTAGGCATTCGACTGCTTACAAGGCGTTGCATAATCGTATCATCGACGCTGGTCTATATAAAACGCGTTACATCACCGGTTATGGCCCAGAGGTTGCACGTTATCTCCTGCTCGCTGCGTCATCTGCAGTGGCGTACTCCTATGACTGGCTCATAATAAGTGCCATGTGCCTCGGCCTTCTATGGCACCAGCTCGTGTTCACCGTCCACGATTTAGGGCACATGGGTGTCACTCATGATTGGACCAAAGATCGCCTCATTGCCATCATACTAGCTGATTTCATCGGTGGTTTGAGTGTCGGCTGGTGGGTTGACGTAAGTTCACTTACTTCTCCCACGTTCACTCGCTCAACATGTCGTCTCGTATCCCTGAATCTTCAAGAATCATAACGTGCATCATCGTGAGGCTTCTATTTGTACACATACCTTGGTCCAACCACTGACGCTTGCTCAGTGGTCACAAATCACCCTTCGCAGTAAGTTCGATGGCTGCTACGTGGCTGCATATATATATGAAAATTTTTGATAGCGATCCTGATATCGGGCATCTGCCATTCCTCGCAATCTCAACGGCGTTTTTCAACTCGTTATGGTCGTCGTACTACAAGCGAACCATGGTCTTCAATCGAGTTTCCGCTTTCCTGATCTCCTTTCAACATAAGCTCTTCTATATATTGCTTGGTTTCGGGCGCTTCAATCTATATGCCAATGCATATGGATTCTTGTGGCGCAAAGCCTTCGATCATCGAAGAGCAAAGGGTGGCCGGTGGTCTTGGTGGCTCGAAGTCATCGGTGTCCTTTTCTTCTGGTGCTGGTTCGGATTGGTCCTGAAGGGATGTGGATCATGGAGCAGAGCCATCACATATCTTTTGGTCTCGCATGTCACCACAAGTCCTCTGCATGTCCAGGCACGTGACTATCCCTGCGTGTTGCCCGTGCGCATTCATAATAATTTTGCCACAGATCGTTCTATCACATTTCTCCATGTCTACGGAGGATTTGGGGCCGGTGGAATCGTTCCCACACCGCCAGCTTCGAACCACAACAGACGTCATATGTCCCCCTCACCTTTCATTTATGCATGGCGGATTGCATCTCCAGGTGACGCACCACCTCTTCCCGCGCCTCCCACGACACAACTTGCGTGAGGCCAGCGTCCTGGTAAAGGAATTTGCCAAAGAACAAGGCCTTGTGTATGCCGAATTTGGGTTTATTAGCGGAAACGGAGAAGTGCTGGACGTGCTTAAAGGTGTGGCGGATCAAGCAAGGATCGTGGGCATGGTCGCCGATCGTGAGATTCGAGAGGCGATGGAAAAGAAGGCGCAGTAAGTGCACAGACTCTACGGGTTCTTAGACAGAGACATTTCTAGATGATAGATTCAACTGTAATCAGATACCTGCAGCATCTTCACGTCTTGATACATAATCACAATATAGAGGGTGTCATTAAATCGTTGAAGTCGCTTGCAATTTCGATGCAGTGCAAGACAGTCGTGTCCATGAGCATATGTAATGCATGTGATACCCAAGGCACGACTTGTCGCGCCCGGTTTTTAGGAGCATACAAGAGGGTAACCGGAAAGCATGATGTAGTGTAGTAAGACGTAGAAAAGAAAAAACTACTTCTTCTTGTTTGCTTCCTCTTCTTCCTTCTGCAAATAACAAATCCGTTGAGAAGCTGAATTCAAGACACTAGTAAACAACAAACCTTAGCTGCCCGGATTTTGCGTACGCCCGCATACCGAGCATCAGCTCGTACAACGCGGAGAGTCTTGTAAGCCTCAAACGACCGCTCAGTGTCAGTGATTTTGCGGGGTGCTTCGTGAACGTAGGGTTCAGGAAGAGGAAGGTGAGTGCGTGTGGTCTCAGCCTCGAGGTCGGCACCCTGTCAAGCAAAGATCAGCATCAAGTACAAACATTCCGAGGGCGTGCCACCACACACAGTCGAGTCACCCTTCTTGGGCTTCTTAGCATTCCGAGGGAAGACGATCAGCTTGGCCTTGTAGGCCTTCAACCGCTCGACATTCAGTTTCTTCCCCTCCTCGCTCAAGTTCCTCCTTCTGTGGTCAACGACAATACCGACACCACGTGCCTCTTTGCGGTTGATACCAACCTCCTTCAACTCAGAAAGGGTGAAACCGCGGCCTTCGCGGACCTTACGGTTGTAGCGGACGGTCTGGGCACGAACGGCGGGACGAAGGAGGGTGAGTGGGCGGACACCGAGAGCAGCAGCCTTAGTTTTGCGAGCATTACGTCTGCGGAGTTTGCGACCGGGCTGATCGAACCAGGTGCGAACCCGGCGTTGCCAGTCTTTGCGGAAATGGTTGGAGTGAAGTACTATGCACACATAATGTCAGATCGGACGTGTCTAAAGAACGTTTCTGGTGAAATACGGACCGTTGTTGTGCGCGAAACCCATTGCTTAGTCTAGAGCAAAATTATGATGTTAGCACAGCGGCTCTGTGATATCGTGGATTCATGTAAGGAGTACATCCGATAGCATATGGGCCAATCCAGCTTTCCACCTGCCTGTCTGCATCTTTTCTCCGATAGATCATATGCAACAAAGGCAGGCCTACGCGTAGCGGAACGTGCAATGGACGAGCATACTCACCTTGAGGACGGGCTTTCTTGACGCTGAGGACGGCGAGCAGCTTGCCACCTAGCACAAGATTTGGACTTCGGCAATTGCCGCGGGTTGACGCGGCGATTGATTTTGAGAAGTTAATCCTCACGTGGACAATACACGTCGTTGACTGACGACGCGACACAGCAATATCAATTTCTTCAGTTTCGAACGATCGGGTATCAGAAACGACAGAGTTTAACATTTGGAGGTACCGCTCGAATACTGTGCTATTTTGATCTCTCATCCATCATTAGCCACCACCTGAGGCCTGAACCATGTACCCAAAAGCTTTGATCACGGTTGATGCTTTCTATGACATTGCATCGAATGCAAGACTCCTCGAAACTGCACTACTATGCTCTAGCCCGCTTTCACAAGTTCTGGCCTGGCTGTTGTAGGCAGGGCATTTTTCGCTGGAGTCGTATCGAGAATTCAACAATATATATTGCAAATGATTAATCGGCTGCAATTACGGTTGCCCCATATACAATCTATGCTCTCTGTCGCCAGCGACGTTGAGTAACTTGCTTACCGGAAGTCTGAGACCTTCACTTTTCACCCTCCTCGTAGTCCCAAACATTTTCGGTGCTTGAACCTTGGAGGCGTCATGAAACAACTAGCCTCAACGTTTCAGCAGGCAAGGCCGAGGGTGCTTTGAGCCTGTGTACTTACTCGTTCTTCCTCCAAATACAATTCCCGGCGTCCTTGGTCAAGTACTGCATACGGGAGACAACTCCTGATGCCCGTCAAGTTCCCAACGCCGCTCGAGATCACCAATGTACCTATTACGCTGGACCTCGTGACAGTGTCGCAGCTGCGGGATCACACGCGCCGCCATATAAGCAATTTGAAGATCACGAATATCGGTTGAACCTCCCCCTTGTCCCACAGCCAGTCTGACATCGTGCGAAGTCAATAACGGAATTAGCTTCCAACGTCTAAATGCCAGGATGGCGACCAGAGTCGTACTAAGGCAGCACGCTGCTTCTTGGTATCCAAGTCGTCCAATCACTTCTGTGTAACCATTGTGAAAACGGTACCCATTTCCTGCCCTGACACGAAATGATTTTGAAGATTCACCTTGCTATGTATATAGTACACTTAAGTGTCATCGTCAATGATTCTCGAGCGGTGTGGCGATGTGTACATATTTCGATACCTCTCAAGACAACGAAACTGGTCTGTGCAGCACGGTATTTGCAGTGCTCATGTCATTTGTTCTCATGGTTGCGGCCTGTTGCGGCCTCCTGACCCTCCTCGGAAACCTACTCCGCCAATGCCTAGGCTGACATAAGCACTTGATTGGCATGAGGTCGACATTAGGCACAATTCTGCTCAGCTTTTCCTCCTCTCTACACGAATTCTCTGTCAGTGTTCCAAGATATTCCTGACTAGGACTGCGTCCGTGTCGCGCTTTATCTTCTTCTTCATTTTTGAGCATGCGAACGTTACCCCTCCTTTGCTCGTTTACATGTATCACTTCTTTTTTCTCAGCAGTGCGCGCATTCAGTGTGACAGTCGGGACTCCAACTCAATGCGACGACCTATCTGTTTCATGGACCGGTAACCATATATCTATTATATTATATACACTCCTGCTGACCTTCATCACAATCATCAGGTGGACAAGCACCATTTGAGATCCTCTTGACTCCCGTTCGTCGGCGTTATCAACTGAAGCGTATCCGTTCACGCGCTAATATCATGTCGTCCAGGTTTTCGAAGTACCGCGGAACATATCTGTACCAGCATCAGCCTTCAGCAATGGCAAAGGCTCATATTCAATACCGCAGTTACCATTTTGGAATGGAACGCAGTTTCTACTCACTATGTCTGACGCCACCGCGTTTGGCTCAGGTGGAACGACACCCGTCTTAAAGGTCGGTAATCCTGTTGCCAAGAACAACTGCAACACTACAGGTGCATCCGTGGATTTCACGTTTGATTTGCCATCATCACTCCAGCAATGCAAGTAAGTTTGATCGGCCTACCTTTTGTGGATTTGACCTACCATTTCCGTAGTGGCTATACCTTTGATAATTATGACAATGCAGTCCAACCCATTACTATCACGGTCAGATCATCGCCCGCACTATCATAGTATTGTATTGATCTTTCCACAGGCACTTATTCCTGGTGGAGAGTCACTCATAATTCATCCTCCGACTGGCCCCAGTTATAGCTGGCCTGTAGATGTCAGCGCAGGGACGACCCTCGTATTTGTGATGACAGACTCCCAGGGCAGGCAAGGCGGTAGCTCTGACCTCGAGACGGTCGCGCTTTCGAACAATGCCACGTGTCTCAGCGCCAACTCACCATCATCAACTGCGTCTGTGCCTTCATCCACCACCGTATCCACGTCATCTGGCATTTCACCAACGTCCAGTCAAAGTACTTCATCAACCAGTAACACTGCTACTATTGCCGGCACGGCGATTGGCTGCGTCGTAGCCCTCGCTGCGTTGGTTACCCTCGGCATGTTCTTGTTGCGTAAACGAAAAGCGTCTCGCTCTCCGTACGTCATGTCTTCTTCGAAACGCCATTCACGTCGACTCCCATCTACGGATATCGATCATGAAGGGAGCCGTTATGGTCACGTTCCACCAATTTACCCGTTCCCATACCAAGCAGACTCTGTCAGCCATCTTGCCACTCAACCTGCAAGCCAGTTACACCTGAACAACCCGTCCGCTAGCAATTTAGCAGTTAGCGACCCTCCCACACCATTCAATCAGACACAGCATTCACGCCATCTATCTAACCCAGACAGCTTCGCTGGATACGGGGATGCCGGAGGTTCAACATCTATGTCATCAGCTGGCAGACGAAAAGCTGCAATGGCTGGCCAAACAGCATATAAACCGACCACTCGGTTCATCATGCATACCGATGTCGATGATGTCGTGCCAGATGACAATGGCATAGTAGAACTTCCGCCGCAGTATTCAGAGCATCGGCAACCCCTTGCCCCACAAACTGGGGCTGTGCCAAGACCGATGTCATCACACTCTGATTATTCGGGTCCGAGCGATCTTGCATATGCCGATAGCTCTTTTGTTTCACCCACTTCGTCGCACTCGCGTTTACCACCTCATTCATGAAGCATAATTCATGTTGTCACAGTGTGCACTGTCTTGTCTCCTTCGACGCGCTGCGGACAGCTTTCTTTCCTAGGGGAGGCATCTTGTCTTCTATTTCTACTGTTTTTCGGATGCTTCATTTCATTGTTATCTCTCTATACTACATATTTATGCTCAGCACTAAGCTCAGCATCCGCTCCTTTCACATTCGTGATATACCTGTGTTATACCTTGGGACGTCGTCACCGGAAGCTATGGAATGCAAAAGAAAAATCGTGATATCTGTTTGTGCCGGAAAATTTGAATGAGCACGTGTATACCATACAAACATTTTGTGCGCATGCAGCGCGTCCTAAGACAGTTGTTTAACGGGATGGATATTAATGTCAAGTTTCCAACATATGCGGTAAACAAACTTCAGTTGTCTAAATAGTACATGCTCAAAGTCAGGGCACCCAGAATAAGAAGTTGTCAGGGGTAGTGTTTAGAGTACAATGTGCATGTTCCTGCGCACCTTCAAGGTTGCGCATTGTATGGGTGTTGGTTAACACGTCGTTACTCTGTCTAATCCATCCATTGTCAAGAAGTGAACTTGTGCTCATGATTCTGGCACATCATCGCCGAGATGTTGTTGTTGGAACGCGTCAATCATTGCATCCTGGTCTTTGCGACGCCTATGTCTCCTGCGCCTATCCTCTTTAATGACACGCTCGATGCGCCGACGGGACTTAGTATGGGTTCGTGGATCAACCACGGCGAGCCTGCAGCGATAACATGCGAGTTCAATACTTGCAAGCAGGCGGAGCGTTTCGGAGTTGTTTACGGCCTGAAATTCAGTATCAGTTTGGTATGAAGGCGATAAAGAAAGACAGCCAATCACGTTCAAAGACCACGAGATAACTCGAGAACCCTCCACACAGCCGACGACAACGAAGTTGCCGCGTTTTTCAGCCTGGAGCTCAGACACCTGTGTCCAGTTACTTATTTGTATGATGATAAAGTAAAGTAGTTTTCCACCTCTCCAAATGCGACCAGCACCTTGCTAGATGTTAACGAGCGTACAACTGCATGGGGATATGATTAGAGATCGAACGTAATCTTGTGGATAATGCGACGCTCACCGACACGGGAGGACTGGCCTACGACTTCCTGCGACACTAAAGCACGTCCAAGATATGCCCAGGAGTCCTTTTCTGGACGACGAATATGCACCTTGACTTGGATATCTCGAAACTCGCGGGCGGGCGGGAGGACGTTGGCTATTCATCAAAGGAGAAGTCAAAAAATCACACTCGAGCGCAATATTTCAATTGCTTGGCGAATCACTGTACGTACGCATCAAAGAGGAAGTGTATTCACTCTCGATACTAGGGAGCCGCGGCGCTACCTGTACGGAGGTGCTGCTGCCTTCCATCACGGCATCATGGTCCATTATGTGTATCTGCAGACTGAAGGATCAAACCAGATTCAGCTCATAATGATGATAGACAAACTTCTGTGAGTGAGTACCGTTAGAGCTCGTAGTTGCGTGTGTCTGGTGTGCAGTTGGGGATGAAGGCAGCTCAAAGGGCTATTACTGCACACTCACGTGACTCAGTGTAATACGCCTTCAGGATTCTTTGGGCTTTCTTAGGCTCTTCCATTGGCAAAGGACCACGTCCACGCCCATGACCCTGTTCCACGACCGAGGATCACTATGCATATCTGTCATGTTATCGCAATTATGATCCCCTAATATTTGTAAGCCGGTCCTTTGTTTTCAAAGGTGCCCAAGTACAACAACGATGAAAGACTGCTCACCACATCCATTTATATGAGAACTTGCCGGCCAACGACATTTAGAATTGGCTTGTATTCATCAATGCGCACTCATCTTCGCTCATGCGTGCCCCACCTACTGACAGCGGAGTCTTCGGAGGAGCTCAAAGAACCATCGTCCTCTCAGCTTTGCTTATGAAGATGAGAAACGTTTACTGAAGCATAAAAATTGGATGTCCTCGAGATCGAAAGAGAAGACAACAGGGTAATACCGCAATGAAGCTGGAATGCCTCGTTTGATCGCTTATGCTGATTTAGTTTACAACAGCGTGACAAAAAAAATGAAGACTATGTAGAAAGCAATCAGAGATCGACCAGTACCGAAGGCACGTCTGTCAGTATGGAGGACGAAGACCGTTCCGTCAGGGGCGGGAGTAGCGCAGCAACCCCTACTGCCGGATGTCAGAATGGCGATGACGAGGATATGGACAAGGTGGAGAATGAAAACATCTCCTCCCACGACATCAAGATCATCAAGCGATTCCTAGAGTACATTGACTACAGCAAGGACCAAAAGATAGTGGCGATAACATGAGGAACTGAGGGTAAACAGCTGAGTTTATCGAGACTTGGATTGAGCGGCATGGGTACGAGGTAGACCGCTGGCCGAGTGTTCTGTAAACTGTACTGGTACAGATGGCTGCAGGATCAGCGAGACGGAATATCATATGTTGGTTGTGACTTGAACATACGAGCCGCTCAACATCAACATGAACCATCATGGATGTACGAAAACAAGAGTGACGAATCGATTATCGCGAGTCGGGTGCGAGATAATTCCCTGCTACTAAGCATAAATTACGGGGGGTGAAGTGCACATTGGTGATGGGGGTTCGTTTTGTAGGGAATGTCGCGAGAAGATCAGATCTGATGGTAACGTCAATACAAATATCAGCGGTGTGGGCAATGATGCATGGAACGAACGTTTCATTGTTTTCGTCGTCGATCGTCCGCGTGATAGTAGATTCGGCTACGCCACTCTCCCGTAGTTTACCGGGCCCACCAGCACCCCTAACGTCCCAGCAACGTACCGTCCAGTCTGCACCTCCACTAACAAGCATGGATGACTCGGCGCTAAATGAGAGTGAGTATACGGATGCTGTGTGCCCAGTCATTTTTTTGATACGACGTCCAGAACCGAGATCCCAGAGATTGATTGCCAGGTCTTCGCCTGCGCTGGCGAGATATCGCCCATCTGGACTAATAGCCAGCGTCGAGAGGCTCCCCTGATGGCCGATGAAAACGCGAACGCAAGCCCCACGTTGAACATCCCAAAGCCGCGCAGTCCAATCACTTGAACCTGTAGCGAGGTATAGCGAATTAGGATGGAACCGGACACACTTGAAATAGCAAACATCAAATCAGTCACAGGAAACTTATCTTCTGCAAGGTCACTCACGTCCACGTCGCTCAAGTGTCCTGCATAAATTCTCAAACACGATGTCCGGTCTGTTGACCACAACCTGGCGGTTCGATCACGGCTTGCTGTTGCAAAATAGATGCCCATAGGACTCCACTGGACATCCCATACAGGGTTTTGGTGGCCGCGATAAGCAACAACATTCGTCATTGTGTCGAGCGACCACAGCCGCGCAGTTGCATCTGCTGATGCAGACAGAAGGTATCTCGGGGGCGTTGCTGATCCTCCCAATGGGTCAAAAGACAAAGAATACACGGGACCACTGTGGCCGACGAGCTTTCGGGTTGTACTTCCTTCTTTTTGCTGTAGTTTCGACAACGACCCAGCTAGCGTTCGAATAAACATCACTAATATCACTCAGTCGACATTAAGAAACTCACAATCCTTCACTGAACTCAGAGAGAAGTCATTACGTAGTCCCTTGAGTTTTTCGTTTTTCAAGCTCCATAAACGAATGTAACTCTCAGAAAAGCCGGCCGCCATCAGAGTCAAATCAGGTGAGAAGGTGCAACATGGCGCACTGCTCAAAGTAATTCGTTAGGAGACACGCGGATTCTGTTTCAGACACTTACCCTTCTCCGACGTCATGGAGCGTATACGCGCAAATGCTAGGCAAACCACGCGCACGAGCAGCGCCTCCTTGCACGGAGTTCAAGTCAACAGAACTTAGCGCAGAGGGTTCAAGTCGTATCCGTTTCCTTGCATCTCGTACCTTCTCCACCTCTCTTTGAACATCAACCGTTTTGAACGACTGGGGGTACGGGGGCATATCTGATTCAGCAGGTGAAACGACCCCTGGGACAGCTGGGGGCCTCAGGAATTGCAAATCATATTGAGCATTGGGATCGCGGTCCAGCAGAGATTGTTCGCGGATGACTCGTTCGGTCTCTGCGCGCAACTCTTCAGATATAGGAGCGGGGCCAAGTTTTAGCTCGCCTTTGGAGGCGTTGAATGTGTGAGGGTTGGGAATAGCGGAAGCGCTTGTTTGCGGAATGAGTTGGGACAGCAGACCAGTCGATTCTTCCCATGCATTGGGCGAAACTGCTGCAGCGCTCGCAGCGGTCACTAGCCTAAGTTTGAGCTCATATACATGTGTTTGAGAGGCCAAGAAATTTACCATCAAAGCGAAGATGGTTGTTCACCACTCGCATGATTGCTGCTCGGCCTCTCTTTCCCTTCTCACCAGAGAAGCCATCCCCTGCGCCGGAGGCTTCACCTCCAACCCCTTCTGTCAGCCATCCCACAAGCAAGCTGAAACCTGACCGGCTCATTCTGATAACATATTTTTCATTCTTGAAGCGTTGTGCATCATCATCATTCTGAACATGTGAGGGAAGCAGAAGAGTCGATAAGTGATGTAGCGTAGCGTGATGCATCGGGGCTAAAGAGGGCGAATACGTCCTGTAGAAGCGCAGGGCTAGGAAATGCAGAAATGTCGGTCGAAAGTGTGCGCAGTAGAAGACTTGCCAGACATACCGGCTTCCTTGAATCCTCGTTGTACAAGATCCAGATGAAAATGGCAAAATATGGGAAACAGGATAGGTCGAAATTCGGGCTATTTGACAGAATCAACCTAGACCTATGGTAGATGGATGCTCTCGGAGTACCTTGTACATGTCAAGTGAACCTTCTACCCACCCTTCGAGTTCTCTGAACCCCTCCTCCTTGTCCGTTGGATCAACAGACAGGATCTCTTCCGCACCAACAGTCCCAAGGCTGGCAATCAAGTTTTGTATACTCGGCGGATTGCCCATCGCCGTAAGTTCCTGCAGAACGTTTGCACTTTCCTTCAATACGTTGTCCCCCGGCCGCGATGGCTTCTGTGCATAGACAGCAAGAGTCTTGATGAGGTCTTCAGCGGATACAGTCTTCCCAGACTCATCGACGCTCCCGCTTTCAATTGTTTCGTGAAGGACCCTTTCTGCATCCTTGTGTCCTCGAGAGCGAAGATACTCCAGTACAAGACGGTCGATTGAGCTTGCACTCTGGGTGACATCAGGCGCACTGGCGTTCACCGGAGAAACACCTCCAGAAGATGAGGCTGCAGGCGTCGCAGCAGACATAGCAGTGACAACTGGCTCAGTGTTCGGTTTGTGATATCGTCTTTATGATAAGTATGTCGTAGAGTCCACAACTTGAATGTTCAATGAACCGATCACTCAGTGCTCAATTACGTAATCAAATTGTAGTGCACATTAGAAGCTGTATACAGTAAAGAGAGCGGTAACACAGGATCCATGAATCATTCACCAGCCTCGTGCTCTCTTGGTGGTGCCTCCTTCTCCTCTGCTCGATCCACCGCGACTGTTGGACCCAGACTGCGACGCAGGGCGCTTCTTGCTTGTTAGCGTGGAGACCGGGATGTCAGCTTGCGCATAGCCCACTCTTGCGCATTCTTTGTCGAACGCTTCCACCAGAGTATTGAAATCAACTTCTACCATACTGCCGAACAGCGCATGACTGGTGGACCACTTTCCTGCTGTCAACCTGGGAGAGGTAACACCGAATGCCATGCGCGCGAGGAGGCGAGGATCGTCGCGTTCAGGACATGCGTTCAGGATAGCCTTGATCTTCATGGGATCAGGCCGAGCGGCAGCCCCTGACTCAAAAGTTATGCGGTCGCCTGTTTGACAAAAGGTGCATGACCCGCACAAGCCGGTAGGAATGGTACCATCCCCGAAATATGAAGCAAGACCTTGCGCTAAACCTATACCCGCATAGGCAACGGATATTTGTCACAAATCACAGTGGACTCACATTCATCGTCGATAGCAAAATCAATCACCTGGCGGAGCTTGACTATGGCCTCTTCCTCCCTATCAAGCATACGCTTGTACATCATCTCAGCAATATTTACTATGTCTTCTTGCTCTTTCGGGAGAGGGTTGACTATCTTGTATCGCTGCAGCAACCTTTCAGTTAACAAATTGCTTGATTGTTGTATTATACTCACTGCTCTCACTTGCGAAGGCTTCGCATTGACCCAACCTAAATAGCAAAGACAGAAGTTAGTATGAAGAAATGTTGTGGAAAGGGACCCCATACCGCTGAGCTCCCAATCACTTATTTTTCTCGCGAGATCTCCGCGATTCTGGCCTGACTGCTGAGCTGCGACGACTAAATCGATCTGTGACAGTCAGCCAAGGGGAAGAAGCATAGCACTTGCCAATGGCGCATACCTGATAACGCGGGCTCCAATACATCTTAATTGTCTTTGCTGCTTCGGATTTATCACCAAGTACTTTTTGCCACCCGTCGGCTGTGCGCGACGATATATTATACTGAGAGTAGAATGGTGTCACAGCACGGATGTAATTGTAGTCGAGCTCGAGTTGTGCATAACATAAGCCCAGGACGTTAGCCTGCAAAAAAGTGAGTGGTAAGGCGAATCGAGAAGCAAAGGAATTTCGTACGCGAATATCATATCTACACGCATAAAAGATGAGGTCCTGGCTGCTCAGAAGAGACTCAGTTGCTTACTCTCTAGATTGTTGGTAATGGTTGAAGCTCAACGTGCCATCCTTCTCAGGCGTTTTGAGCACTACTTCTTGGAGCCATAAGTGGATGCTCCTCTTGCTGCACGTATCGCCGCGACAAAATCCTTCCAAAATAGGGATATCTGGTGCAGAAAGGAACATCAAGCACGTGGACGGTAAACCGTCACGTCCCGCTCTGCCAACTTCCTGACTATAGTTCTCCAGAGTCTTCGGCATAAACAGGTGGACCACCTGGCGGATGTTGGCTTGGATCAGTTAAGATACTGGGCTGAAATTTTGAATTGAACGAACTACTCACCCTTATCGATTCCCATACCAAAAGCAATGGTGGCACAAACTATGCCTTTCTCTGATTCCATGAATTGCTGCTGGACACGTGCACGCTCTTCACCGCCCAATCCGGCATGATACACCATTGGTTCCATTCCATGAGGGCGAAGATGATCAGCAACCTCTTGTGCGTGTCTCTGCAGTGTCACATATACGATTGCAGGTCCAGTTCGTGATTTCAAAAAGGGAATAAGAGTATCGAGTTTTTGATCTAGACTGTTTGCGACTCGAACTTGCAAAGCCAGACTAACGTTCCAAACTATGATTAGTGGGACAATTGCAACGCGAGAGCACTTACTTCGGCCGGTACACTGGGGTACGAAAAACGCCTTTCTGAGCATCGATGAAGAAGGATTTACAGATGTCTTCTGCCACGTTTGAAGTGGCGGTTGCCGTCAAGCAGAGGACGCGCTCTACATCCATTTCCTCCGCAAAACGCGCAATCTACGCGCCCATGAGTCCAAACCAGAACAGGTGCATAGGACAGTTACCTTTAGGTACTCGGGCCGAAAGCTTGCACCCCACTGCACCCCACTCATGAATGACAATTCATGCAAGTAATCCATACCAAACACACCTGCGAGATGCAATGCGACTCGTCGATGGCTAGCAGGGAGATTTTAACGTGGCTCATCATTGTGATGAATCCTTCGTTATTCAGTCTAGAAGAGATGATTAGAGTGACGCATGGACCACGCTTGAATGTGAACCTTTCAGGAGCCACGTAAAGCAGTTTTAGACGGCCTGAGATAACCTCTTCTTTGACCCAGGCTGATCGTTCTGCGTCCAGGGTGCTGTCCAGGTTTGCAGCTTTCACCCCACGATCAACTAGGGCATCAACCTGATCTTTCATCAAAGCAATGAGAGGGGATATCACTAGAGTCAGCCCCTGTAATAACTTCAGTAGAGTCACATGCATAAAATGTAACTATGTTACCGGAAGGCATAACGCTGGAACTTGATAGGTGAGACTTTTGCCCCCTGAGTGGTAGTTGTTAACAACTACTGGTCTTCGAGCAAGCGAGTCACATCACCTCCCGTGGGATATAAAACGAGTGCATTCTCGTTGTCTACGATCAGGCGCTCGATGACCTATGTATGGGTATCAGTGTATGAGTTTCGCGTGTTGTGTGGGAACTGGCCTCTGCTTGAGACAACCTAAAAGAGGGGAAACCCCATATATTCTTCAAGACTCTGTGCGCGTCTTCCATTTGAATTCGATCGTGCCTACGCGTAAAAATTAGTCTGGCGAACACGTAGCAGCAGCCTGACCTGCACAGTGTCTTGTTCACCTTTACTTACGTACGGTATAACTTGAAGCACTGTGACCGTAACGAAGAACGGGCAACACTTTGTTGGCCGGGTGTTTACCTGTGATTACGCGTTATTTGGTGAACGCTTGCAATGGGCGCCTTAGCGATTCAAGCTCAGACTCAGGCCTTGAGCTTGAGCACTAACTTGCATCATGCATAGCCCTTCTATGATTCGCCACAGCCTATACAAACTCAATCGGTTATCACTTTCCTGCGAACAAGGAACACGCCGTCTATGGTATCATTCAGGATGCGACCGTGTCCACTTATCATGATAATGACCCCTTAGGGACCGGAAACCCATTGTTTCGTCTGGCACTTGTAGAAAAATAGGAACGTTCTTCATAGGAGACGCTTTCAGAGGCGCCTTACCTATACCAATTCCATCCCCATGCGTGAGCATCTATTTTCTAGGTTCATCAAAGCTTCTGATGTCTGAAGCTTGCGCTGGCTCTTCTGTCAATGACAATGCTACCGATCAGACCATATGATGGGAGCTCACCAGTTACCATTTCTTTTCCAAACCAGAAAAGCTGCCGTGGACTCATTCAAGGTCAATAACCGCTTCCCTATGCATGAACTGTGGCATTTCAAGAGGTTTGCTCATGGGTGCAGGAAATTACTCCCATTATCGCCGTATCTCGGAAAGCAACGAGAGGCAACGAGTGAGCGGCATGTTGGATCGATCAGATTTCAGTGTCGACACACGCTTGGCTCTCCAAGTTCCCAGTCACAAGGTACACGCACTACACGTGTATCCGCATTCATCGGCACGAGGACAGCAATGGTCCTGAACGCTTCGGAAGTTCATAACGCCCGTCATCAAGAAGCTTCGGGTATCCAGCTATCGAACACCGTTGAAATCAGCCATCTGTCACCTGGTTCACCGATAACATGTTTCTTGGTTGCTGTGTTAGTGACGCAATGAGCCAAATGGAGTCGAAAGGCCCACCCCCGTCATCCAGGTAAAAATCAAAATTTCAGCTAATGGTCCGTTTAGGCAGTCGAGAAATAAGTACTCTTCCTACCTCCGTCACGTTACGGCAACCCTTGATGATAAATCTTAATCATGGACAGTGACGATGGCTTTGGACCCTCAGTAGAAAGATATTCACCAGTGATGCCGTCAACCAACGCTTCCGGGCGCCTCGGGTTGCCGTTAACTGTACCGCCTGCGTGTAATTTTTTATCGAACTTCTGAAGATATAGCGTTTCTCAGACCTGATCACATCAGATCACATCCCAGGGACTGTCAAACTATTTCGCACATCCATCGCTTTTCATTGGCCTCCTAACCAGTGGGATCGACGGATCTATTCCCCTTCCCGCATCATCTCAACATTCGTCCCACCTCTACCGCCAGAGTTCCAGCCCACATAATATCCACTGATCCCCAGCCAACTCCCGAGATTTCCAGCGCTCTCGCAATAACCATAGCAATCCGATTTTTGCTGACGTCAGTTATGGCACCATGCTAGATTCGGATGTGACCTCACGATACAATTCAACGAGTAACTACCCAATAAAACATTCGTTTCGGTACATTATGATACATACACCCATCTCAAACACAGTATAGACATAGTATCATGATCAAAACATAAAAAGTTGACACAGAAAACTCCTCCACGACGAACTCGAGTTTTCGAAAAAATTAATTACGACCAAAGTAGCAATCCCAGACAGCTCGCTCAAAAATCTAGAAGTGCTCCTGTGAATGCACATGTTTAATTCAGAATTAACGATGAATAGCGGAGGAAAAACAGACCTTGGCAAATGTGAATTCGACATTATTGCTACTGTGCATAAGGGTTGCTGCCTTGATAGATTTCGCGAGAACACCCGGGCCACAGAAGTAGGTCTGCGAGAACGACCATAAGAATCATCAGGAAGAAGACAAATGAACTCTCCGGACTTACGCCGACTTTGGTCTTCACTTGTGCGCCGCTACCAGGGAGATACTGACCGATCTCAATTGCTTCCCTGATCCTACGGTAGATGCTCTTCCAATCGGGGCGGCCAAACATGGTGCGAGTACGAAGCAGTGTGAGAGGATCATAATCGGCACCAGCATCATTGACAGCAATGTTCCAAAGCATATCTTCATTGATCTTTTGAGTGAGGTAGATATTGATGTGCAAGAAATTTGCTTGATATAGTATGTGAGCCGGACATTTCCTGGATCAGGAATATCAAGAAAACTCACGATCAACTTGAGCTTCCTCAACCTCTTGCAACAGGCTCTGGAACCAGCCGAACGAGGGTGCGTCACGACAAACCCAGAAAAATTCGACCCTTCGGAGAGCGCCAAGGTCGCCTTTCTTTTGACGATACCAGATATGTTTGAGAATTGACGCGAAGGGAGTAACACCTAATTAAATATGATTAACAGGCATCAGGTGAAAGCCGTACATAATTTCTTACCGATGCCAGCGCCAATTAGCACAGCAACCTCATTGTCAAACACGTCCTCAGCAGGAGCGCCATAAGGCCCATCGATTCTAACTCGAGGAAGTTGGGGGGAAAGAGTGGTGGAATCGAGCTCGACATATTCGCCACGAGTGCCGCCATACTCGTTTTCATCTTTTTCAACACCCTTCATGGCGGCTTTTGTCATGGCGGCAACCACAGATGGACCGCAGCCAAGCCGCTCTCCTAGGGAGTGGGTCCAATCACCGACCTGACGAATGTGAACGGACACATAGGGGTCTTCGGGAGCAGAAGTGATGGTAAACTATATTTTTTTTGCAGCGGTCAGAAAATACTAAAGCCGGACAACTTATCACGCACAGGATGCCATTGCCATCTGGAAACTTCCGGTACCTGGATGAAGAGCCATTGTCCCGCCGTGTACTTGAAACTAGGTTTGATGATCCGAAGTTCCATAGCTCCACTGGGATGGACAAGAACTTTGGACAGCCTTGTTGCCCTCCGGGCACGATACTCCCGATACATCCTTTCGCCAAAGTAAATAATACCAGGCCAAATAGTGAACCTCCAGCTCTCGTAACCAAGACAGTGTTCCGTAGAGTAGAAGGGGAAACTGCTGATGTAGTCGGGATTTGCGGAGTCACGGACAAAGCAACCGGTGGCGTGGGTGTAAAGGCCAATGAAGAAGAAGAAGGCAAGGTGATGAGTGTACCAAAAGGCTTCGAAACATTGGTTGCGGATCTTGTGGTGGGCAGTGGCATACATGAGGACCATGATCAGAAGCATGAAATGGCCGGTAATACCGCCAGCCTGGGTATAATGAATCTGCAATGCATACTCTGGGCGGACCTCTGGAAAAAATGAGTAACGAGCGCTCGAGTCCGGAAATCACTCCAGCACTCACGAGTGCGTTCGACGTTGAAAAAGTTGACATAATGTGCTGTAGTATGCACCATCGCCCAAAATGCCATTGAGTATGCGACCTGTCTATGGAACCAGATGTTCTCATCTGCGGGGAAGAGCCATGCGAGTTTAGGGCGAACAACACGAATGATATTGCGGAACATGGGGACCAGGAGCAGTCCAGCATCAAACGCGAGGGTGAGACCAGCACCACGCGAGGTCCAGACAGACCATGTCAGAGCATTGAGGGCAGCCAACTTCGTGTCAGTGACCTTGTTAGACAGGTAGTGAGTAATTGTCAAATTCGGTGGGGTGAATAAAGCTTACTTGCAAATACCAACCCAGAGCGAAAAGGGCGCATTGGATACCGTAGAAGATGACATTGAATACAAGCCTTCTCGGGTTGAGGAACTCGCTCTGAAACCAAGATTCACCCATGGTATACTATCAGATAGGCTCGTGGATAGGCTCGTGGAGTGGGCAAAGATAGAAAAGTGGGGCCTGCCCCAAATGCAGGAGAGAAAGACGAGAAAAGAACGAAAGCGCCAGAGAAGAGATTTAAAAAGCGTACCAGACGGGGAAATGACAAGGTGATGCGATAGTAGAATTATAGTACAATCTGTATCGGAAGGAATAAGGCTGTTATCAAACAGAGCCTTTCCGGCGTCCGACGTGGTCACGGCAACCATTTATACACAGTCTGGGTTCATCACCTGTGCCGTTCAGCTCCAATGTTTGCGTGCGAGCGTTTGATGCTTTCACTGGAAGAACGTGAAACATCACATGGTTCTGTGGAACCCATCACCGCCTTGCGCAAGTTGACGAGGCACAATGATTGTCCCTTATGTCCTATTTTCGTAGGTTCCCTGGTCCGTCAAAAATGTCGTGATTGCGCAGCTACCAGATCGATACTTCACTCAAGACCACAACATTGTGCTCCCGAGGGATTCTAACGCATGAAGCCCGACTTGGAAGCCAACAAATATCTCTCTTGTTGGCAATTGTCACGGTATGCTGGAGGTAATGTCGAATTGGTGAGAAGTGCTGCGGTGATCTTTCTTTCACTGCCCTGTAGCTAATTTGCATTTCTATTTGTAAAACAGGCAAGGTACCGGTACGCCCTACACGCGCCAACCCGAAGGATGAAGTATTATTGCTAGGCATATGAGTTGGCCCGATGAAAAAAGCTTGGATGTTGGCGATGCGGCTGCCACCTCATTCTTGATCGATTTACCGGCCTAGCTAAATGACCCAATCGTTAGTTCGACTATGCAACATACGCACGTAGACCAGTTGACGACAGAAAATTATGATTGTTATAACAAGAGCAACTTTAAGGCTTGTGATTACAAGATCTGCGAATATGGCAAAGTGGCACGTGGTTTGTAAGATTTGCTTCCTCGACGCGTTTCTCGGACTTGTTGAACTGCTCATTGCACGGAGCACCACTCTAATATGGCTGCACTACTCCCCTTCTCTACGTCGTATCGACAGCAACAAAGTATAGGGACACCCTCATCAGTATTTCGCCAGAACCAAATCCAGGCAAGGCCAGCTTCTGTCCTTGACCTTCCAGGTCTTCAAAGCGCAAGTCGCGTGTTGCACGACCAGTTCATGAAGGATGCCCAGATAATACCGGATATTGGTGACATGCTTACAACCCGTAAGTTCACGGCCCTCTGGCACATTCACATTCTTTCTAACTTACTTTACCAGCTGGTGGGCAGTCGTCAGCACTCTATAGTGTCTTTCCCGATGACTACCGGGCACCATTTCAGAAGAGGAGGCTTGTAGGCATTCCTGAAGCACTTTTTCAGTATTACAACAGTAAGTCTAATACGTTTGGCTCTGATGCTAGCCTAAAGCTTTATAGCTACCAACGTTACTTCACACATGGGTCTAATACCTGAAATTGAACGTGTATGGATATCAATTGATCATAAGCTATTTCTCTGGGATTATATTGAGGGGTATGTGTGCCCTCCGTACTTCTTCGCAAACTAATGCAACCTTTCCAAAGTCAAGACATAAGCTCCTTTGTTGATCAACCGGACGTCATCACCCATGTGGCTGTCGTAAAACCAAGAGTCGGCGTCTTCGTCGACGAAATAACGTCCGTCATGGTCATTTGCACCCCTGTATCCGTTCTTTTGATCGGATTGTCGATGTCCACCGTCCTTGGTACCAACAATCGCCCCCGAAAAGAAATCAAGATGTATGCAACAGACATGACCGTTTCGACTGACATCGAAATGACCTCTGTTGTGGGGATGTCTGACGGGCGAATTTTCATGTGTGGCTCTCAGGATGGCTGTCTATACGAACTGCACTATCAACAGAGCGAATCTTGGTTTTCGAAGCGGGTGCATGTAGTCAACCACTCTGTTGGAAGTGTGCAGAGTCTGTTCCCGAGGTTCACTTCACCAAAGTCAGAAGGTCAGTGATTTGCTTGGTTCCTGACTTGCGATGAATGACTCCCGCATCCTAGACCGTATTGTCGCTGTGGTTTCGGATCCAAAACGCAATCTCTTCTATACCCTGTCGGCCAGGAACTCAATATCTATCTATCAGGCAAGCAGCGAGAAGGCTGTGCACCATGTGCAAACTATGTCAAACCTTTACAAGTCTGCGCAAGAGAAGGCACCTGGTTCTCCTGCTCTTACCCCTTCAAACTTCCAGATCATTGCTCTACATGTCCTGGATCCAGGTGAATCACGGACAGGGGTTCAATTGATTGCCATCACCATGAATGGTGTACGCTTGTACTTCTCTCCATCAACCTCGGCATATAGTTTTTCATATGCTCCAACCCCAAGCGCTGGGGGCAGTGTGCGACCTCTGCAACTCATTCATATACGACTTCCGCCCCCAAATCTATTGCATCCAGACGAACAATCTAGTCCCCACCGTCCTGCTTACAACAGTTCCACCCGAAACTCACCGCCACAACCTCCATCCCGTCCCTTCATCGTGTCAGGACTTGAGAATTCGGGTTATTTGGACGGATTAATGGTCTCAGCTCAGCCAGGTGATACAGATGGGACAGATTTTTTGCTTTGTACTGCCCCTGATCTCACTCGAATTGGCTCGCTCGGGCAACTAAATCCGCCTTCACAACAACAACTAGGACCATCTCAGCAACCAGTGTATGGTCCCTCATCATATGGGACTGGGGCAAATCAGCGTCCTCCTTTAACTGAATATGCCACCCTGCTGGCTATCCCTGGTCGGACATGGTCGATGGCGACGGTTCCCCGTGAATCGACTCCCCCGTCAGTTGCTCCTTCCCCTCCGGTCACAAATGAACTTGCAACCCAATTCTCTGAACCTTCGCGGCAGTTCATGATCCTCACAAATGTTGGTGTCACGTTTCTGATCAAAAGGCGAGCTTTGGACTATCTCAAAGCAGTCATAGAGGAAGTCCAGACTGAGGGAGTGGTGCAGCCAATAATCGAGTTTAGAGACAGGTAAGTTTATTTGTTATTACATTATTCAAAAGCTCACTTCTATCTAGTTTTGGAAGAGACCAGACATGTGCCATGTTGCTAGGTCTTGCAAGCGGAAATACTTTCCTGGATGCTGGAGAGCCGTCGTCAAGTGGCACGCTATGCACAATTAGTCCCGATATTGCCAACGTTGCTAAGCAGGCGTTTTACGATTTCGGCGAGCGACCAATCTGGACAGAACGAGTGACTTATGGCACAAGTGAGTAATGCATCCTCTAGTCAGACTCGAACTCACACGCCTTTCAGGTGATAGTTCTGGTAGTGCCATCTTTAGTGGTCGGAGGGAGGGCTTTGCCATGTACTTCGCACGTCTAGTACGGCCGCTGTGGAAGGACAAGTTAACAAAGCCAGGGTAAAAATCAAAACGCTTATGGCCGACTCTTCACATACTGATAACACACAGGTCCCCCAGTTTGCAACAGTCGAATTTCGAGGACAATCTTTTGGTAACTGTGCAGAAAAACCTCTTCGCAGTGAAGGAGTTTCTGGATAAAAACCCTCACCTATTCCACTCTGTACCCGGAGAGCATACAGTATCGCGGACATCATCTGGCAATGAGCAAGAAGCTTGGAAGGTTATTCATATTTCAGATCGTGATGCTCTAGCTTAATCTTTGCTTAGGCCGAACAAAATTCTGTTTCCCAGCTCCAAGCGCTGTTATCCAGGACTATTGAAGCAATCTCTTTCATCCTTCTGTTAAACGATTACAGACTGGGGGAGCTGATAGCTCAGTAAGCGTTTCTGATGAGTGGAGAATTTTCTGATCTCACGCTGAATGCCAGGTGCGATCCTGATACGCAAAAGTTGATTACCTCCATGACGTTTGAGGACCTTGTAACCTCGCAAAATGGCGTCACTGCTGCACGTGCATTAGTTAATGTCGTAATTGACCAACAGATAGGCCAACAGATTAGCGTGCGTATCTGTCGCAAATCTGCTACACTGAGATGACAAGTTCTGTATAGGTGGACACGATCAGTGAGGTACTACAGCAACGCTGTGGCTCGTTTTGCAGCACAGACGATGTCATGCTGTACAAGGTCTGTTGTTGCTTTTTGTATTGGTGATCTGCCTTACAGTGAGCCAGGCTCGTGAAAGTGTCCGTAAGGCTATGGAGTCACGAAACCCATCCGAACGTCATAATTGGCTCGGTGAATCTCTGAGGTAAATTGACGATGTCGAGTGGGGTCCATGATTCTAACTCTATTGCATCAGACTGTTTACCAAGGGGGCGCGGATGCTAGACTTTGACAAAATTCGCGAGGTCTGTGGTGAATACCAGCAGCTCGGCTATGCCAAAGGTGAGTGCGTTTTGGTCTAATGGATATTGAATTTACACCCGCTCAGGAGCTGTGGAACTTCCATTGAGTTGCGCCCAGGCATTAGACCCTGATAATCTGGGCCTCGAGTACTGGTATGCAGCATGTCCGCCGAACGACACCCGAAAGGAGTATTGCGACAAAAGACTCAAGTGCTATGACCTTGTCCTCCATTCTCTGAGCGTCTTTGAAGAGAATGCTTCGCAGAGTGCTTCTGTAAAAGGGTCAGCGTCAAATGCAATTGACGACCCCGAAGCTGTCCGCAGCCACGCCTATGACCTTGCATTTTCCAGCGAGGACGAAATGTTCCACTCTACATTATATGACTGGTTAATCAATCGAGGTCTTGCTGACGAGCTTTTGGCGGTACGTCGTTTATCACGCTCAACAATTTCGGCTTCGCTGATACATTCTGGAATGGCTGTAGATGCGGCCTCCATTCCTTGAAGCCCACCTTAAACGGGAACCGATCACAGTGCCCAAGTATCAACTTTTGTGGCAATTTTATGTGAAAGACGGTCAGCCGTTGCGTGCCGCAGAGGTACTTGCCGTCCTAGCAGAGTCCGAGTGAGCGTTGTTTCTGTCTACTTTATTCAAGCAACACCTTACCAGACATACAGCACTGACTTGCCGTTGGACAAACGCCTCGAGTACCTGACGCTAGCCGTTGGCAATGCGAAGTCTCATCCCGTGACTATCGGTGGCAGGCATGAGACTGCTATCTCTTTCCTCACCAACCTCGAAGAAAAATTGGACGTTGCTCAAGTGCAACTTGAGGTGTACAATGCCCTCTTACCTCACATGAATGATCCTGGAGAAGCCGGGGAGAAAATCAAGTATCTCAATAAGACCTTGTTAACCATGTCCGAGGTAATGTTTCGATGAAAGATCCCAGTCGTCATATTACTTATGTTCATTTCCAGTTGTATCAAGTTTATGCGGAACCATTTGATCTACCGGTCATGAAACTCTTGATCTTGTATGTCTCTGATCATCACGATGAACATGTTGTCCGTCCTATATGGGATAGGATATTTGATGACGGTACGTAAGGTTGGTTGTAAGAGTAGGCGCCTGCCTGACTTGCATCCCGTTAAGCAATAGAGAAGGGTGCGGATGCGCAAACCAATGCCGACCACATCATTGCAAGTGTTGTTCCACTTGGAAAGCGGTTTTACCCCTCCGAGAGTGCTTTCCCCTTGAGTAAGTCAGACTGCAGTGTTTCTAGGTTTTCTTAGCTCATAACATGATCTCAGAGTACATCGCATCGTTGTTGGTCAAGTTCGCTCTGAAAAACAGAACCCAGCTACCAAACGGTTGGACTCCTCGGGTGCTCGTTCAGTGCGGTGTTCCTTACGCGGATATATGGGATGTACTCCATGAGATGTATGAATCACAGGTAATTAGCCCCATCTATGAACTTTGCACACAAGTGTAACCAATTCCGGCAACACAGATACCCCCTTTCAACACGCAAAGTGGTGTGCAAGTCGTATCTTCTGACATTGCAATTCTTTTGAACGACTGGCTCGAGGAGGCAAAACGCCCTCAATCCTCAGTTCCTCGAGGAGAATTCCCGGTTGGCAGAATAGACCTTGCTGTTGGGCAGTATCTGGCGGAACTAGGTGCTAACCAAGCGGAGACAAAGGCAATTTACGAAGGAATCAAACGTCAGCTAAGAAGGAACTGGTAGCACATATGGGATGGCTGATATGTATTACTCATAATTCCTACTTTCATAACACCTACGTCGGGTAGATCAATTGACTTCGAGAATGACATCTTCCGCGTACAGAAGTATACGTTCGCTGAGCTTTCGTGTCAACTTGTACGCCTCGTATAACGCCCTGGATGCAATATTGAGCCAAATATATGCGACATGTGTAAGGGTCACCTACCTTGCAACCCCAACAAGTAGTAAAGCCACGATGATCATAGCAGCTATGTCTGTTGAATTACCCCTCCGACTTCTGTTCCCTCTAAAGCGAGCTATCCAATGGACTGGTCCAAGGAGAGGCAGGGATAGCAGCATGTGAACTACAGACCCAGCACCTATCATAGGGAGGCCAATAATGAACCTGCGCACAAACCGCATCAAGAATGATGGTGAGGATGGCAGCGGGGCAGGATTAGCCCTCGTTAGTCTTGTCCTTGGAACATTATCCTCTAGAGGGAAAGCGTCTTGGTCTCGAAGTATTCGTAATGCTGCACGGATGAGGTCATGGCCAACGTCAATCGGTGAAATGAAGAAGTAGTAAGAGGATCCAAAGGATGAACGATCCTCGAAGGAATTCATGAAATACGTTGTAGCATAGGACGAACACATGACAAGTATGGTGAACAAAAAGGAAGATATGATGCCAACTACGACTGGAAGAGTGTCAGTATCATCTCACTGTGCGGAGGCTCTCACTTACTCGGATTGGTCGCCAACCCAACTGCTCCGGTCCGAGCGAAGTGGTAGCGGTAATGACACTGTGGACAGCGATAGAAAGAGTTGTTGGTGAAAGAAATGTTCCTCCACCTCTTCAGGCAAGCTACATGGACATACTAAATACTCGTTCAACAATATGTCAGTCTATCAATATTCGAGGAGGGAGCTGACTGACACTGATGGAACCCCTACACAGACAAGGACGAATGAGCCTTCCCAATGACTCGTCTTCACCCTCGAAGCAGATACGGCATTGCTTCTCCTGTTCAGGTGGTGGAACTTGGTCTGCTTTGTCCTCTGCCATGGTTTCTGGCATGATTCATGCACATGAGCGCATGAGGACAGCATCATGAACAGTTTTGTGCAAAATTGTGTCAAATTTGGGTATTTGTATAAATTTGAGGATTCGGCACTATCATTTGGTTCGCATGTGGAAATTGCCTAATGGCGCATAGATTTTCCAATCTGAGCTCCATTTTCTGGCGTGGAGGTTAGTATAGTGCAAGATCTCCAAATTACGATGTACACCGCATAATCTTTAAGTTCTGATCACAAACTCTATCACAACTCTAGCTCATCAAGGTTGTAACCTGTGAGTCTTCGCTTCGGTGCTTGAATTTAATTTTTGTCGTGTTTCTTTACGTCTGGTCCATAGTAGCTGTGATGCGGCCACCTGCTTGCTGCGGGATTTCTTCGACTGCCGTATCAAGAGCCAAGCACTGTTCTTCGGTGACTGGGTCCCTCGGGCTTGGCGTACTTTCTGCTAGAGGGGTGAACCCTTTGACTCGGAGATATAGGTAAGTCTCAATCACAATCGACTCTAGGACATGAATAACGCCGTCAAACTTCATAGGGGTTAAGGGATACACCGCGTTTCAAAGGTGAGGGTTTCATTGCTGGACAGTTCACACCGCACCTTAGTAGGCCAAGACTCGGAACTACCATCATTCAATATTCAACGAGCCCAGCGCTCATTTCAATTTCTAGGCGATCGGACATTCCGCCTTAACAAGTAAATATCACTTTGTTGGGCGTCGAAGTTTCGCTGATGCGTTCTTTTTTTTATTGATATCGAACCCACAATTGTATGCTGCACATGTGTCTTCCCCCCCGAGTTGTACGTTGAGGTAACTATATCGTCGAGATCGAAATGATGATGATGACCGTTGCTACGTGGTATGGAGAGGTCGAGCCCTCGACGCTGTATCATGATGAATTTCCGATGATAGCGCCAATTGACTCTTCGGTCAACTTATGTAAATCCCTGGCTTGACTGATGAGAGCGCGCGATCACTCATCCACAGCTATAACATTTCGCAAACGAATTCTCCTGATACATTGACACTATCGGGGGGAACCTTCTATAGTACTGAATAACCGGCATTTTTGGTGAGCGAACAAGTACTGACCCGATCACTTCGAAGCAACTTCCGGTTCTTCTGCCATCGACAAAGACTGTACTAGCTAGTCGACGTCTAATATTTACAACCCCGTCGGCGATAACCGAGTCTTCTAAGATGGTAAGTGGCAACTGGTCCACATACTTGCAGATCTGATTTAGATGACAGCAATTCGTCGCTGCTAGACTTAATGTCACTGATGCGCAGCTAGCACCCGTGAAGAACAAGCTGCTTGTCCTTGAGTCGACCGTTGTGGCCTGCGTAGCTACAACCTACTCGGCCCCCAGTCAATTTTCGCTCTAGTACACAGACGTAAGCCATGAAACATCGTCACCAGTTGGACCCTCATGTGTTTTTTTTTCAGGTACCTCGCATTAATTTCATCTGACTTCGAGTCAGGATAAATCTTAACTCGAAACCAGATCCCCACAAGGTTAAGCTCTTCCTTCCTGCCGTAGATCGTTATTATCTTAATGGTCAAGTAGTAGCGCACATTAATGTTACGTGCCCACCTTCGGGCTTTTACATCAATCAACGACGGGTCATGCTCGAACGCACCTTGTGTCGAGCTAACCCATTCCTTCTTGATGAAGTCTACGACATGGATCTCGATCTTTATGTCTTGAGGGATATAACGGTAAGAGCGAGTGGTTTATTGCACCAAGATGGCTGCTAAGTACCCTGTCCCATCCAGCGATAAAATACTCGCTCTATCTTGCACGAATGTTGGCGTTGGTCCTGGTGGAACCACCGCAATGCTCGCGTTCGTCTTGCGGTTTCTTCATGGCCCGCTCATCTATAACACTGACATTTCAGACGCGTCTCTATCGTGGATTACAGGGGACAAGTCATCCTTGATACATACGTATCACCTACAATGCAAGTCAGCGACTACCGAACTGCGACAACGGGTATAGAATCTACTCACCTTCTTTCTCGTGAGTTCGAGGACGTCATTTTTTAGATATTGACGCGACCCGTCACATCAGCCGACACACCTGCTTTCAGCCAAGTTCAACAGCATGTAGCTGACCTTATCAAGGGCAAAGTACTTGTCGGCCACAGTCTGTGGAATGATCTCTCTGGCAAGCACAGCTTTTTTTTTAATAGCCCCGGTCGTCACTCATTGGCTTCTTACCCAGTTCTAGGAATTCCACATCCCGCAGTGGCTACCCGAGACGTTGCTTTATATCAGCCTTTTCGAAACGCTCTTCGGTCCCCCAATCAGGTGATCGGACTTCAGACTCTCATGTGGCATTTGATGTGTCGTCGATGTCAAGATGGCCAGCTTCACCCAGTGAGTTCCCCCAGTCCTGCTCGACCCCTGAGTGACACATAAACCCTGTAGGTCGAGAATGCACGCGCTGCACTCGATTTGTATCGGACTGTTTCGTCTGAATGGGAAGGGGCAATTTCCATCGGAAATTGGCCTTCATGCCTTCCTCCCAGCACGTTCTCGCGTTGCTATCTCTGAACAATTTTCATGCCGATTACAATTCGTTACCCCTACATTGCATTCTTCCCCAGGATATTTCGTATTTAGATGCTGTTAATCCTACTATACACTCGTCTTATGCCAATTCGTTTCATGCCAGTTCGTTGGTGGGCTTTACCATCTCTATGTATGGGTGCATTGGCTTCGCCTCGGAGTTCTACAACGACTAAGCTACTGGGTACGTCACTGCACAATCATCGACTCTTCTTTGCTTCAACGTTGAAAGCTTCCTCTCCAATGCCTGCCATTTCCGATTCTCAGCTCCCCTTCCATGAAAAATCTTCACAGTTGGCCGCCTGAGTAACCTGGTGAACGCCCGAGGGGATGGCCCTCCCGTAATGTCCCGTTGCGTTCGCCATGATTGCTTCTGCGAGCGAAGTGTTCGCTCAGATTCGAGCATAACCGCGGCGATATCAAGACGTCCTTCTTTGATGGAAAGACTGGCGATCCGCCGCCTGACGACACTGGATTCTGTGCGCGGACCCCACCGCGTGCGAAATGTTTTGAGGCACTTGAAGGCGAGAGTCCCGCACAGCTTGCAAGACCGGAGACTTGCAAGGGTTAGAAGCAGTGTCTTTGACGATGGTCGGATCCCAGGGTGAGCTGAAAGTAAATGGGCCATGACACGACGTTGGGCGTAATGTCGGGGAAGTCCTGATTTCTCTGTTACAGCCCTGATGTGCAGGTGAATAATATCCAGCACTGTGTGCTGCTGTCTATGGCTGAGTCTCCTGGGGAGCGATTGGAAATATAATGAAGTGGCCTCGAGCGCCTTGCCACGGTTTCCCAACTGAATCATGGCCTCCACGATGAAAAAGACGGCCCTTGGTGGCAGCTGAGAATATTCGGGCGAGGCAACGAGTGGAAACATATTCGTGAGAGAACGATAGCGGTCAACCTGCGCTGAGCTAGATACCGTGGACGCTCGCAAGATCACGCATCTGAAGCTCGCAGTCCTCCATCCAGGTTCGCCTCGCCGTTGTGGAATTTTTATCCACCGTCGCAGAGCACCGCGTTTCAGAGAACCGAAAAACTCCATCCACAACGGCAATGGTAGCCCGCCCTGATGCCCAGATCGTAGTCCCAATTCTTCTGGCCATTGCTCTCTTCTCATAACACGTTCAACACGCTTCAAAGCCTCGTCCCATCTGCCAGTCCGTACCAACCACCTGACAGTTAATTTCCAAGTTTCGAGATTTGGGCGGATTGACTCGGCTTTCATGGCATTGAGAAGCCGCGCTGCGGTGCCAAAAGCCGCCTGTCTCAACGCAAGAGAAACCAATAAATTAAAGGAACGAGTTGAACGAAGGAGAAGCGTGTGTCGAGGGTTCGAGAAGTGGTAGTTGACGAGTGCAGTGAGTGATGAGTGCGAGTAATTATGCATGTCCAGGATATTTTGATAGAACATCTCACGAGAGGTGGGAGTTGGTAGGCGAGGTATCGGCGCGGCGGTAGGGGAATGGGCACTGACGCAGGTAACGGATTCGGAGGGAGGATTTGGAATATACACTGGCTCCGCACGACCTGGATCCATCCACGAAGCATCCCTTGTAGAGATGGAGTTGGGATCTATGGGTATGACAGACCGACCTCGTCGCGGTGTCTGAGGTTGTCGCGCGAGTGATTCATTAGAACGCGATTTTCTAGATATAGCGGCACGCTTCTTGTCGGGGAGAAAAGAGGCATGGTATTTGGCACGTCGTGTCCAAGCGCAAGCTGCAGCCGACTGCAAGATTGCAGAAAATGAAGGCGTGGCGTCTGGGGGAACATAGGAACATTTAAGCAGGCGAGATGCATGATGAAGCATGCATGAGTTCGCAACTACACACTGGTCAATATCATTTCTGACTCCTACACATTATTTTCCGACTTACTTGCAAAGCAAGCTTTTGGGAGACTGGCTGGCACTTGCAGTACTAGTCTTCTTCGAATTCTGCCTTCAACAATTTCGTCCAATTCCGGATCAGGCTGAGGCTTTGACAAGGTTCTAAACCAAACAGCAACAAACGCTCTCCACTACCATCATGTAGTATTACCAGCCAAAGCAGCCTAAGCTCTGACTTTCGGGTCAACGCTTCTTGACTAAAGTGAGCCCTCCGATTAGTGGAATTTTCGTTGAATTCCAGAAAGGATGCTAAAAAGCAGCATTTCTAACAATTCAGATCAAGCTGCGCATGTGGATTTCATAGAAGCCATAAGTCGACGCGATCAAGTTGAAAAGCTTATATTGAGCTTATATATTATTTTCACAGCAGGGTTTTTCCACTTTATCGTAAATCGAATCCTAGAATGATGATGCAGGGCCAAAACTCGCTCTGCAGGGACGATCGCATGTCACCGTCTTGCCAGTGCTAGAACAAAATCCCAATATTTCCTTGCATCAAGCTTCTCATCGCTTGCAGGGGGACACCCCAGAGTTACTTTTCAAAAGACGATCGACGAAGAAATCTGGGGCAACGGCGTGTGTTGAGCTAGCACACGAGCTAGAAGACCAGCAGCAAGGTCGGTGTTTTCTCGAGCCCGACAAATTGGTACCATCTTTTCACAGATCTCGAGGTTTGCCCACCAGCCGTTTCACTTCTGCTCATGCATTGGGTCCGACTTAGAAATAGCGTGTCAACCACGTCCTGAAATTTACTGACCGACCATTTCTACCGAAGTATCTAAACTCCGGCGTCGCAACCCTGTGCGATAAGAGATTCAGGTGATTTTAAATCGCCGGAACCGTGCTGAAGGCAAATGCTTTGAAGGAAAAACATGTGTGCACCTTCCATATCTAAGTCGTACAACATAAGAATTGATCATGACTAAATACATATGTACTTAATGAGCGATGAGATGTGCCACCAGAAATCCTATGAGCTATCAGTAAACTATAATCCAACGACTCCGCTCAGGATCATCAACAGGAAAAATGAGTTCATTATCAGAGTTCCTCCTCCATTAGGTGTAGAACATTCCTACCCACCAACCATCCGACCTTGGCTACCCACTGATCTCGCACCTTTCGCATGTCCTGCCATCCCTCCGGGCCTTTCGCCTCCGCAAACTCGTCCAAGCCTTTTTCCCAACTTCTGACGGTATCCACTCCAAACATCCCCCCTTGTTGATTTACGACCTCATCTATCCGATCTATCCAGGCTCGCCACTCCTGAATTAGCCGAGGAAGTAACAGAGGGGCGAGAGATGATTGCGTCAGCGACGGCTGAGAAAGTATATGGTTGCTGAGGGCCGAAAGGAAGAGAAAGGTCTCTGACGGATGAGACCTGTCTTTATGTTGCAGCTGAAGGGCTGCAGAAAGCGACTGTGACGAAGCATCGCAATCAACGTGCAACGACAATGAAGGCGATGCATAGGAAAAATATGGCACATATGACATGCAGGCGGACACGAACTCATGTATAGCCGGTCTTAGACGCGATAGTATGTATGATTCTCGCATGCCGCCATCGGATGGGCCTGCTGAACTCTGCTGACCGAAACGTGCGAAGGTAGACGGTAGGCCGCCAACGGGGGTTCTATGACTTGTGATCCCAGATCCAAAACCAAAAGAAGTCGTCGATGATGTTCCTGGCGCAAATGATGAAGAGTTGGAATAGGGATATGCTTCCCGAAGTTTTCGAGCTGATTGCTCCAGAGCTTGTATAGCTGTATCCAGCGTCGGACGGGGTATCAGAGGTAGTATAAGAGATTTAAGTGATGGTTGAGCGTTAATCATGGAATTAAGCAGAGGAAGTAGTGATTGCGGTGGTAAACTCGCTGATTAAAGTAGGTTAGATTCACCGAGATATGATAGGCGACTGGAACAACATACCAAGTAGAACGCCGACGTCAACATCGTTATCTGAACCCACTGAACTGTTTTCTTTCCCGCCTTTGTCATCTTTTGAGTTAGTAGTGGAGGCGACCTTTGCTCGCTTAGGTGCCGCACGCTTAGGGCGTTCTGGCGTTGGGCTTCGGTCCATAGCTACGTCCCGGGCCCCATGTCGACTGGAGCTGTCTGTTTCATCGTCAAATTCATGTCTTCTTTTCTGCGGACGGTGCGCAGAAGCAGGCAAGTTCATGCTGGAGGCTAATTGCTGGAAAGCAGCAGGCTGCGTATGTCCCATGGTCATTGTAGACTGCCAACTAGCTCCAGAGTTTACTGAAAGGCCAAACCCAAAACCCAAGCAGGAGGGTGAATGAGTAGCTGGGTTGTGCAAGAAATCGAGCGGGGGATGAACAAGATTTGCCATGGCTCAGTTGAAAGAATGGTGAAGAATGCAAGTCTTTCAAGCGACAAAGCCACACGCGAATGCCATCACCTTGACCAGCCCTTAACAAACGTTACTGCACGTGACAATCTTATATTAAAGTGCGGTTTTTTTCTGCGAATCGTTGTTGTTGCTCTCTCTCTCGTTCGTCAAAATGTTCAAATCAAGGTGAGCACCAATTTCTTTAGCTGTATTCTCGCAGTGACGATGCAAACGAATCGCTACTTCGAAGCTCGCAGAGCTAATGAATTTTTTCGTATATACCCAAATTTCTGAGCTTTTTGACGCTCTGTTTATTCGCATCATTATGCTCACCAATCTTCTGCAGCTCACCAATGTTGCAATAATGTTCGCACTGACGTGAGTATCATATCCATTCACCTTCTCGAATGATCGAACAAAATAGAAGTCAAGCCCTGACCTCGTCTAAAGGACGAGCGTTGATGAGCATCCATGCTAATACTGACTTTACGATATCATCACTTCAATCACTTGATGCTGATGCTTTTTTCCCCAGATGTTGACGCTCGTGATACTGGGGACTCGGAAGATACGAGAAGTAGACAGGCATAGATTGCATTGTATCACATTCACTTGTAATCTCAGTGGTTCATCGAATTGATTCAACTTCGATCTATGTACATGAATATTGGTTCGTTGGGATATCGGTTGAGATAGATATATAGGTTTGAAAAGTGTTCAAGAGTCCAAATAAGTTATGTACAATGCTATGTCGAATCCGCAACTGTCCACAATGAGTTAGCCAACCACATCAGTCCCATCGACACTGCTAGCCTCGTTTTCACTCCGAGTCTCAACCCTGATCCTCCATACCACACCTTGTAGCCTGGGGAACGCTGTGGCGACGTCCCTTCAGCTAATCTATCCACCCATCGTCTCGTCGGTCGCACGGGTGAATCGGGTTTCGTCGGATGACTGCCGCCATCCTTGCTCGTGTGGATGTCAGTGGAGAGGGGAACGGATTCTGCGCTGGAACCTGATGGCACTGTGTGACGGGTGATGTTGCGACTTGAAGTCGGAAGCGAAGTTTCTTTGCTTCCGCAAATCCACGTTGTGAGCTCTCCTGTGGCATTGGAAACATGATCGGAGATATAGACGAAGATGATCGTGGAGATGATGAAGTTTATTGGACGCCAGCGTGTTCCAGGTATAATGACAAGAATACCCTTCGTGTCACCCGCGAGCCATAGGTGATATTGGATAATGAATGTCTCCAAAGAACACCTCCCGATAAAAGAGAAAGCCCGAGAGCTGCACGAACGAAGGGAAGAGCTTGCGTTCCTGAGAGTGATGAAGGCTACGATGGGCAAGAATGATATATATGGATGCCATGCGTTATAGCTAAACTTGCTTTCTTGCATGAGTTCAAACCCGAAGAACCATAGCAAGATGGAGATAGAAGTCCCAACAGCCACTTTCACCGCTACGGGCCAAAGGTGATGGTCGGTAAGTCGATGTGCTTGAATCTTGATTACAAAAATCGACAGAAGCATCCCGAAATACACGATCCACAGGTCAAGAGTTACTCGGAAACTCCATTCACGGGCAGACCAATGGATGCTGAATATCCGCTCTAGAAACGCGAATACGGCCTCCAGCATCCATGTCTCAGTCATGAACCATGTGAACAAGCCCATCGAGATCGCAATCTTCGATAAGAGAAAGATCATGCGATCGTTGTATCGCGAGCCTATCGCCATCGTTCCGTACACGATGAGATACCACATCGAAACGAGGGGCGAGAAATAGTACGAAAGGTAATTGACATCCATGGTGTATGTCAGGACTACCGTTAGAAGGTTTATGCGAACCAGTACCTACAATCAATTCAATGTTATTGAATGGCATGCTTAGATCTGGCGCTTACCTGAGCAATACGCAGAAAGCCAAAGTCGGCCTTCTTGATATAAAAGGTTGTGTGTCCATAACCAGTCATGAACAAATATGCCGCGACCAGCACGCGAATGGGGTTGTAAATTCCAGAAATTTTGGATGCCCCCATGTAATGATATATAAGGATTGCGACTGAGACAAGAGTGAGAATATATGGACAATCGAGCTCGTATTGACGTACCTTGCATCCAACCTTTCCACTCATCAGTTTGATCGCGGTTTAAGAAGCCCATGTCTTTGTCGGCACGCTTCACCGTTAACAGCCCTGCCACGAGAGAAGATAGCATGAGAAACCCGTAGGTCCATGGGGTGAATTGTTTTTGTTCTTTCAGCCAGAAGCCAGTTCGATCGGCGATAAAGATCAAACCGACGGATAAACCAAAAATGACAGCTGGCCTATATTCGCCCGCAAAGGAGATACCTTTGGTTGGATTTTGAGTGTCTGAATAATAATCAGGTATGTGTTTTCAAGGGAAGAACGTGCTTACACGCAAAGTACCACATAATTGGTCCGTGCACCACGACAGCTGCGAGGATAGCTAGCAGCAAGAACGATGGAGACGGATAAGCGCGGCAACACGTCTTGTCAAAAGGAGACGTCTTTGACCACATGTTATTGCAGCGCAGATTAAGGAGGATGTTAGCATGTGCTTTCACGATGTCGTCCGAGAAATGCAGTCCATCTTGCGTGCTAGCGTCGTCAAGCATTTTATTAAAAACAAGTGGAAAAGAAACGGGTAAAGCCGCGGGAGAGCTTGAGAATATGGAATAGATAGCAGGTGATGGTGGATTAATGCGATGGTGGAGGTCCGAGTTCATCGCATCTACATCTGAGGAGTGCATGGTTTCGGCGCGTTCTGGAGAGAGTTTTGAAGGTACAATGTCCTGCACGGGAAGAATCACCACTTCATCTGCCGGCTTTATCTCTGCTGCAGATACAGACTCCAAAAGATTCTCCATATTCGCTTCCCAGGCAGAGAGGCCACCGGTAGTATGGGTATAACGCAGGTACCACAGGCCCGAACCTAGGACAAGCATAGCAGGACGGTCATCGATGTCACTGGAAGGCAAGTGACCATGAATGAGAGAAAGAGTGCCAGATGTATTCAAATACGGATCCCAGAAAAAGTCCAGGGTTGATGCCGATTCTGAAGTGTATGAATAATTCGAATGCTTGTGGTCGTCATCAAGAGGAGCATTTGGGAGCTTCGGATCGACAATATTCATAAAATGAAAATATAAGGCGCGCGTTACGGAGTCGCCAATAAAGATGACGCGTCTGGAAGCCAGGCAAGGTGTGGTATCCTTCGACTTGTATGCATGTAGCATACAACCTGATTATTAGTTGAAGGGGTGAGTACGATAATGGAACAACAGCCAGCATACCCTCAGGTTGCCAGTTGTGGTGGCTCTCATCCAACCAGGTGCCTCTAGTAAGCAGGGAATTACAATGCAGTGGATCTGCTCGGCCTGCATGCGACCCCGTTAGGCGACGAGCGCTGACACGTACAAGACACGAATGCACTGACCGGAAATGATATAGTGTAATATCCCTGCCAATATGGCGAACGCTCCGGTGGACAACGCCAGATAGTGGTGCCATGAGGGGTTGAGCGAGAACAGTCTTTTGGACGAGGACATGAGAGGGTGGTGAGAGCCTGCTGCGTGTGGCGGTACAGTATGTTTGTTATCCTTCAGCGCTTGAAGTGAGTGGTGGGACGATTACGCTGGCAAATTTTTCGACCCCAACGTAATGCTTGGGCGAGACTCACCGTTCGCAATCATCACTAGCGTCGATGAGCTTGCAGAACGCCACGGCGAACACGATATGACCTAGTACTCCGTTTCAAACGCATACGCACTTTGGTGCGCACTATGTATATATAGCCTGAGGTACCTCAGATATACAGTTACTGTAACAACCCCATCTGTGTTATTAATGTCCATGCACTCGTAGATAAAATGTGCCATATTCAGTTTAGCGTCCTTATTCAAGCGCTCATCGTCATCACTGGGGAGTGGAATATCAGCGTAGTCCGACTGTCCATTGGTATACATGAAGTGATGATGCAGTGCACGAAGCTAATGTTCAAGTATGACATCGAAAGGAGTACACTCAAATACTCGACCCGCCAGTGGTCGTATTAGTGGTAAAGCCTATTCAATTCAGGTCAGCCAGTAATCGAACGATGTTAATAAAAAATACATACCTGTACCTTGACAGTGATTGTTTGATGCAGTAGGTATGCATGACAGGTACCTGCAACCCGAGCACGCTAAGGAACTATCAGCCATCATGCCTTTGTAATCGCAACAAACACAAACCTGCATATGGATCTGAAGTATAAAAGTTCCGAATCAGGACGACGAAGAGGACGATCGCCAATGGTATGGCTGCCAGCCGGAAAGCCCACATGATGAGCTTATGGCGCTTCGTTGGACTGATGACGGGGTACAGGGTTGTGCCAACGAGAAGACCCATACACAAGCCTCCGAGGTGAGCTGAAGCTTTCTATGAGCTGAGTCGAGGGACAAGAGGAACATTCACTTGCCAAAGTTGTCCACATCTGTCGAGAAGAAGTTAGCAATTCAATTCAAGATCTGATAAATGTATACGTACAAGGAATGTACCCAAGAGCGATACCAAAGAGTAGTTCCACTGTCATGATGGCGAGCTACGGAAAAACATAAGAGTGAAATGAGCATGAAGATGACAGTCATCACCTTTCTACCAGGTCGGTATTGATATTTCCAGTGAGCGAAAAGATCCACCCATGTGATCTAAGTTGCGAGGTAATTAGAAGGTAAAAGGTGTAAACAGGTTTAAAGCTTACCGCGACTGTGCCAAAGATGGCACCGCTAGCGCCTATTGAAGGTGCGCCGACCAGTGAAAAGTTGCCGCCCAACACGTTACTGCGTCATACGTCAATGTGCATAAAAATGAAGTAAGAACGAACATACCCAAAGATTCCGGCCGCGAAATAAGTGATGACAAAACCAGCCGAACCCATTTCACGCTCTATCTGAAGGGGTATAAGAGCAAATATTTGAACTATAAAGACCACCAACTTGAGCAGATATTGTCAATTGAGCGAGCATGTTGAGGATGATATGGATGAATCCCGCGTGCAGGAAGATGGCAGTGATGAATCTGAAAAAAGGAATTTTGGCCCTGAACTACTGCGACCACAACTTGCCTACCTGTACCACTGATTAGGCTCACCACCATGGAAGCCACCAAAACCACACACGTCCTCGATCGAACAAAGCCGGTCTGGCGGATTTGCGGTATCATTGAGGCCTGGTCGTTAACACAGAATCAGCAAACGTCAGAATATAGTATAATTTTATCTTACAAGCAATTTGGGTGGTTAAAGGGAGTCCTTGAACAACTTTCATGCATGGCGGGAAACGAGCACCTAAATTAATTAATGCACTTTCCGACGGCCCAAGCATGGGGTTTACAACTGGCTGAGCGAAGGTCATTAACGAATATTGCGCTCACGGGCTATTCGCAAACCTTGAAGGATACTGGGGTGCCCTGTGCTCTGCTGTTCACGACTAGCTCGTTGATAAAAATGCCAATCATGACAATTGTTAAGGCCCATACTAGTATCATAAATCTCCCGCCAGTAAGATGCCACTTAAATGCTCACCAACAAAAGGATGTTTTTGCCGCCCGATGCCCCGTTTCTTGTCCTCGATCCGCTGGTCCATAGGATACTTCCCCGTATTCATCCCAAGAGCCTTCTGAAACGGAGATGCTTTGTCTGCGACAAGCTTTGAGTCCTCGCCCGATAATGGTTCTGCGTATTCTAGGAAGTTCAGGCTATCGTCAGGCTACCATGGTCGCAAGACACACCCAAGTCCTGATAACTGTCTGAGCGTCCCATATCTGCGGCATTATGCACAAGATGGTCGTTTGACTGGCCGACGACAGACGATGGACGTGTTGAATAAGTTTCTTCGTCCTTATATGGGACGCTCAAGTCGCCGAAAACTGGTGCATCTCTTTCGGACAACGATGGTGTAGGTTCCCGGCTTGGTATGCCTGGCAGAGGAGACTTTGTACGTCGATAGTTGAAGATGAGAGATTGGGCCTCCGTTTGACCTGCACCACGCAAGGACGACGAAGGATCCAGGGCAGGAATTCCACTCGTAGTTGTTGTGAAAGTCATGCTATCGTCATGCGGTAGTTCATCTAAAACGCCAAAGGGTTTGACCCGACCGTCATCGCCAAATGGATCCATATGCAAGTTCGATCCAGCTGGATGATTTGTATCGACATATGCCATGATTTCCAGAAGCAAGGCAGAAAGACGTGAAGGTGGTGGTATAGGAAAGAAATTAAGTGTGGATTGCCAAGCTGCAAACCAGCACAGGCTTCAATTTCAAACTGCATCACACGACACAGCCCCATCACTACCATGCAGTTCCCGCAGTTACATCCTGTAGTGAACGCGGCAATGAATCGCCAGTTGAAATAGTAAATTCACAGTCGCACTCCAGGCCAAAATGTATTATTGTGTATCCTGTGCGCACTCATGGATCGCGAATTGGCGCTGAATTTCGTCAACTAAGGAAAGATCATATTTGCACTGGCCCCTGTTACATTCCGTTGTCAAGCTTCCTCTAATGTCGAAGTTTAATCTTTGACCACCATCAAATCACTTCAATCGATTGGAAGGCCCCTGCTTTCATGCCATCTTTCCAGGAGCGTGTTACTGGGCATACCGAAAGGGTCCACAACTTTCTTAGCGACCTCAACCCCAGCAACAGGAAGTTTGGAGGGGTCCAGTAGTCCAAGCTGCACCAGAATCCCGGCTTGATCCCAGTACCTGAAAGAGGTAAGCTATGTAGGTCACAGGCTAGTATATCGAAGGAATACACACAAATGTCTAGCATGCAGTGTTGAGGATAGCACCTTTATTTATATTGTGAAAGATGACCAATTGCACTCACTCAAAGAAAAGCTTGTCGCCTCTAAAGGCAACTATCCCGACCATAGCGATCTCAATATGTTTCCCCGTCGGAGCTATTCCAGGCAGAAAACTGTCGACGGGTCGGCTTCATGAGACAAGGAAGAAATCCCTTTAAAACGTACTAGTCTATTTCCTGAAAACAATATCAAGCTCACTCATTGGACATCAATGGATCACAACGTACAGATGTGTGGTGGCACTTGAAAATCATCTCATCAACAATCCTGTCACAACCAACTGAATAAAATTTAGTGGGCCGAGTATTGAATTGAGCCATGCATGCCTTACCAGTCCGGGAGACTGTAATGATCTCAAAGTCTTGCGGTGTTACCTGTCACATATTGTGAACCGCGGAAAATGCATACAGCATTACCCCTTACAGTCGTGAAATGATACTAAGAGGCGAACAGATCAGCGCTGAGTTGGAACATCGTAGCCCACTAACCTTGTAAAATCTAGCCAAATCGTCATATCCAACACCCCCAGTCATCGTTGGAACATGATTGACGTATGGCGTTGCAACCTGTGTCAACGTATCACCGCTTGCTAATTCACCGATTAAAGTGGAGATGAACCATTGTAGACATCGTCTCTGTTGATGGAATGAATTCAGCATCCCTGCTTTTGAATGCGCTGGTATTAATGATTTATTGACGTACTAGGTGCATTTCTTTCGATAAATTCCTGCCCGTCAAAACGTGTCAGTGTCTTATTTAGCACATGTTATTCGTGTACATAATAAGTATGCTTCTCCCAGAGTCTCTCGAGGTTGAAATGAGGGCCAAGATGCGCCTTCAACAATTCGAGGGTCCGGGTAAGCGACAGGCTAGAGGCCGAACGAAGATAAGGATCGACCGGTTGTTTATCGTCAACATTCACACTGGCGGGAGGTTGGATCGAGAAAGGAAACGGTGGGGATTTTGACACCAGAGGGTATGAATACACCCGCACCGGTAATCGAGAGTGAGTCGGGAGGGAATAACCAAGATTAGCGGGATCCTCGAAAGGCAAAAGGGAGGCATGGAGCACTTCTTGTGAAGAAGCGAGGTGAAAAGTAACTCTTGAAAGGGACGATAACTGTAAGCTAATCCAATAATTGAAGCAATAGCCACTTACGGGATGTGTCTCCCCTGGCTATCCTTCATCATAAAACCATGGGTGGCCTCAGCATCTGGGCAAAAGTGAGCACAAGCCTTCAAATCTGCGAGCGAGAGAGCGAGTTTCGATACTAAGGTCTCCGCATCCTTTGTGGTCAAACCGTATGTTAGCAGTCCCCAGTCAGCTCCCAGCGCAATGATTTTGTCATTGACAACTTTCATCGCATCCTTGAAAGGAGAATCTTGGGGAAGAGGGTACGTTAAATGCACCACGTTGTATCCCTCCTGTGTGAACTGAAAAGTGATGGCACCGAGCAGTTTGAATCGAGTTGGTCACCGAACTATCTCTGATATGGCACACCTGTTGACACCAACTAGTCTGATCTCGTGGCAGTAACATCAAAAGAGTCACAGGTTTCGCTACGGAAGCCACGGTATTGAAGAATACTTCTGTCTGGGTCATATTGTGGTTGTGGTGGGGCTGGTCAAGGCAGTCTCCCTTGACATCATTGAGACGAATGGAGATAGTAGGCGTTCATTCCAACCCTTATGTAAATTAGTCTCCCTTCTCGTCAACTTATGGTCGACAGATTTTTGAGACGGTATCACAATGGATGCGTAATATACGAAGGTCCAATACTATTACTAGTGCGATATCGAGGTAAAGCAATGACAGATTGATGAACAGATGAGTCCGACGGTTCACAGCGAAATTGGTATGGAAGGTTCCCCAATAAGACTGAGGCGCCCTCTACTACGGGCTGATGGTCTCTTGGTAAGTGGCGTGCTGTGCGATACGGCGCCTGGAACATCAGTGTTGATACGCAAGTCATCTATGCCTTCGGACAAGGGTGTGGATGGGTAGGTCTCCTCGTACTCTTCTCCAGGCACAGGCAATTGGAATGCCTGTGGTTTAGTCCTGAACCTGTCGACCCACTGTAGCGTTTCGAAATCAACATTCCGGACCCTTTTACTGCGACATCTCCACTTCATTGCCCCTCCATCGAGGGTACTCTCTCGGCTGGTGCTCCGAGCGTGGGCCGCGGGTCGCGCACCTGTCGGTTCACCGTATCCGTTGACCACCCGTTTTTCGGGCGTGGCAGAAAGCACACGAGGGTCTGACGGAAGGAAAAGAGGCAGCATATGGCGAGAATCTAGAAGTTCCCCGAGAACTTGGGGTGCCTTGGCTGGCTCCCATTCAGATTGTGAGTGCGTACGATCGAACAAGTTGTCGATGCTATGCTGTGCGGCAGATGTTTCTGATAAGGCGTTGATGCTTGGAGGTCTTGCGTTAACTTCGCTCCCTATGCTGTCTTCAAGCTCACGTTCCCGCTCACGCTCGCCCATCTGGTGGGAGCGTTAATGTCATTCAGCAAAGATAATAGTCAGGACAATACCTCCTTGCGCATGGCCTCAACACCCATCTTAACACGATGGCGTTCCCAGTCCTTTTGGAGTTGCGTCAGATACTGTATGCACTCTTCATTCATCCTCCCCTCATTAACTTCGTATTTGTAATCTCGCACAGCGCGTCGCATCTGGGTTTGAACGATAAGCGTAAAATTGTGATATCCAAGAAATGACATGCCTGTAATGGGTTAATGCTCTTCATGGTTTGTATGGTAGCCACCAGATTGGAAAAATCCGCAATCGATGACAAGCACTATAGTCCCAACATTGAGCGGGCGGCAACGTAAATTCAAGTATTAAGACCTCACCTGAAGCCAGTTCAGCAATTCTCGTACAGGTGTAAGATGGGATGCAATTCCACGAGGTAGACCCATATCCTCTACCCACTCTTCCAGTACAATCAGATTCATGCCGATCTGTACCGCTTTAGACCTATGCTCGGTACGTATGAGGACCAACAAACTGCATGGGCAACAAGTACTTACCGGCAGAGATACTTTTTCCTGGTCAAAACTCTATTGAATATTTCACCTGATACGGCGAGTCAATCATCAACGAGAAATGATGGAAAGTACACCCACACGAAGTCCAGTACATCACTTGAGACCAAAATTGAATTATCAACACAGGGTTGACGTCCGAAAGGGTTAAGAGTGTATGTAGAGCCGTCAAGAATGAAGTCATATCCCGTAATCCTGCTGTGTGTGAGACGTCAGAAACCATGGTAAATCCCGTCGAAGGTGCTTTTGCGCGCGAAAGGGTTTGTCTCAACGATGATAATCCTTTAGGTGTGACAGGCGCGGGGCCGAGCAAAAATGGCGACGGAGATGGTGGACGACTCGGTAGAAAAGGAGGTGAAGATGGTGTACTTTTTATGGGTGTTCCATGATTTGAAGTATTTGCCGCACTCGTCTTCTTCTTGGCGCTAAACGGCCTCAAGAACGACCATTCTGATTCGAATTGCACAGATTCAAATTCCGACGACACGGGCGAACTGTCCAGTATTGCTGCGTCCAGTAATTGATCTATCCGACGCTCAGCGTAACGAATGATGAATACTTCAAGACGACGTCAGGAATGAAAACACGATTAGAAGAAGACGAACAAAGCTTACCGAACACAGAGTTGATCACTTGCTCGAGGAGCTCGAATGAGCCCAGCATTTCACAACCTTCGTTTATAGCGTCGTCACATTGCATGAGGTGCAACCATATGGTGGCGTTGTATAAGCAAAATACGAGACAATTGATATCTTCTGAGCGGCTCTAAGTGACTGGATTAGCGGTGAGAGCATTAAGGTAATAAGTATGCACACAAAAAACTTCTCTTCGATCGCGTCCGTCGCTCCCAGTACAAGATCTTCAAGCCACGTTTGATCGCATGTTAAGCATGCAAAACGCGCCATGAGGTACAAAGTAATGGCAGGTTGAGAATTCCGAATAGATGCATGGGAGGTTGTGATGACCGCATCGAAAATATGCGACAGCTCTTGTGGAGACCATGCGAGCATGGATGTGAAGTCTAATTTCGGAGTCTCCGTGGCAAGATAAGACAACCGCGAGTGGAATTTCAAGGAGGATATGCGACTCACATACAGTTCTTCGTCGAATTCATCATCTTCGCCATCAGAATCATCTGACGAGAAACCTTCTTCCTCATGGGAACCCCACCATTGATTCTGTAAGCCAAGCACTTTTGAGACATTCTCGCGTACGCTTTTTTGTCTTCCTTTACGTTTAAGCTTCTCGTCCAACGCTCTCCGCTTCTCGTCCATCCTGCCTCCCATCCACCCTTGGCTTCGCATTGCTTCTTCAAGTAACAGCGCAATGTCATCGCGCCCTGGCAGAACAGTGTGAGCAGTCACTATGTCGAGCGGTGTCAGTCGCCGACGTGTTTCTGCGAAAGGGGAGCATCCATGCGTCATAAGATGAGAAACCAGAGTGGGGGGGCAAAGAACTGCGGCGTGATGCAGGGCAGTCCAGCCAGCTAACAATGAAATGTCAACAACTGGGTGAGATAGAACCTATGTACTCGCCTTTGTCCGCACAGGTAGCATCAGCTCCTTGTGCAATCAGCAGCCGAACGCACTCTTCGCGTTCAACATCTCTCTCCGATTCAGACCCAAAACCTAGGATTGTGAGACTGATCAAGCTAAGCCCATCCTCGTCGCGTGCGCTGAGGTCAACGTATGGTTGTGATTGATGGTCAGACAGCAGATGTTGGAGAAGAGATAGATCCCCGAATACGCATGCTCGTGACAGAGAATGGGATACCAGTTCAGACTTTTGGGAGGGAGCTAGGCCTGAATCGGGTGACAGCGAGTTGGATATGTAACTTGAACTCGGATATAAAGGATGAAGATCAGGCTCCGGGGAAAAATCCAGTGGTCCAAGCGATGCAGGAATCATTGTCAAGATGAAACGTTGGGGTCACTGATAACAAGAGCAGCAATAGCCGTTGCCGGTAACCGCGTCGACCACCAGACGGGACCTATCTTCTCCTTGTAAAGACCGCGATTAAGCCAGGCAGAGATATTCCACAGCAATCGCCTGTACAAAGAATGGTCTATAGGGCCTCGATGATTGCGAGAATGGCGTTAAAGCTAAAATTCAAACATGCTCATGTAGCATTTCACTAGTGTGAGCAAAGCACTTTGAGTTGTCCAAATGGGAACTGGACTGATTTCAAATCCACCTTCAAGTTCGACCACATCATGCCTGCTAAACGGCTAAAACTCTCAGAAGATAGCAATATCGATGCGTCTGCTGCAGACCACGAAAAGAGTGACGATGATCTCGAATCTGAAGCACAGCAGTCCACAACTTCTGCGACTTCATCAGAAGACGACGATTCTCCAGACACGGAGGCTGAAATTGCGGATAAAAGGATAACAAAGTCGAAGAAAACATTAAAACGAAAGCGGCGGGCAACAGAGCCCTCGCAATTTGGTGCTACGTTGCAAGACTTGCTTGACACCGCTGCACCCTCGGAATTGCCGTTATCTCTCAAACCTTCTATTGCACGCCAGAAAAATGGTGCAAAGCTTGAATTGAAAGCCCACAAAGTACTTCAAATAGAGAAGAAGGAAAGGACAGATAAAGGAAGGATACGAGATGTTATCGGAGGTTGGGGTGGCGAGAGTGAACGCTCCTTGCGCAAGGTTGCTCAACGAGGAGGTGCGTATATGCTGCTTGCATTATCCCGTCAGGCATTGAGAAATTTCTCAAGTGGTGAAACTCTTTAATACTATTCAACAATCGCAGGCGGCGGCAAACGTCGCCACCGAACAGTCAAAAGGTCTGCGAGGAACGGGGAAACCTACGCTTCCAGCCCCCCTGTTGGACAAGAAGCCGCAAGGCAAACAGAAGGCCAAGCACAAGGACAATATCATCGGGAGAGGAAATCCAGGTTCTTATCTGAATTGATATGGCAATCCTGAAGTGACACTTTTTACAGCGACAATTGGGAAGGACGATTTCTTCGACATGATCAGGTCAGGTGGCATCGTCTCAAAAGTATAGGCGGTTTGCGCACCCACGTCTGTATGGCATTTTCTCAGATGAAGCATCAGAGGCTAGTAGGCTCGAAATACCTTGCTCGTCGTAGCTCTCAATAGAGGAACCCGCATTGTATTGGCAACATCGGATTGTGCGGTAACGGTTCATCCAAGGACGACCGATTACTTCGTGCCATATGATGTGGTCAGCCGCCCTTTTCGTGACACAATTCTCAGTCTCATTTCCGTCTACCGCTGACGTCGGACTTCAAGGCATCCGCACGTCATTCATATGCTGGAAGGAGCTTTGCTTAACGTTCATATCTTGAGAACCAATTTTGGGTATGGATAATTTTATTTATGTTATGCTGTAAGCTGGAGTCTCCGACGCTGGAAGTACTGCTACAGAAATTTTTGTGCTTGAACCGCAAACTTAGGGGAACACTACCAATTTTAGTGATTTATGGCTTTACGTATGGATACTGGCCATGGGAAGCTTGGCCTGGAGGCAGATTCGATCGTTGGATTGCCAAATTAGAACTCAACAACCAGGGTTGTAATTGGCACGTTGCCAAACCTGCCCTGAAGTGGCGCAGAGCTTAAATTCCTTCCACCTTCACCCCCGTCACATCCATGGTGTGTATTTTCAAGCTTCATCCGTGCAGCATGTCTCTTACGGTTGTTGGCAAAACTTTAAACTTCAGCCTCCGAGGACCACAATTCGTAAAGAAGAGTGGGAGCGGCGTCTACGCGAGGTTCAGGTCACAAAAGAGTGAGTGTTTATCCCTAATTTCTGCGCTTGAAAGATGAAACATCATCAATGGGAATCTCTCTGAATTCTTGAGATGAGAAAAGATATTGCATGTATTATCTGATCTATCCTCCTTATACACTTTACATCGAGCATTTGCTGACATTCTTGCTTTTTAGTGACTTGAACCGACTTATTATGGACTACCTCGTTATCGAGGGATACAAGTCAGCCGCAGAGGAATTCAGCGATGAAGCCAATGTTCCACCACCAGTGGACTTCGAGAGTATCGAAAGTCGCATGGTAATTCGAGAAGCCCTGCAACGGGGCGATATCGAGGAAGCTATTTCCCGCATGAATGATCTTAATCCTGAGGTGGGTCCCGTGGTCATTTTTGGTAGCTTTATATCAAGGATACAAGATTAAAACGTTTCATGCACCACTCTCAGACTTCTTTGGAAGTCGGTGATGAGATCTGTAAACCAAAACTTCAGTCTTCAATATGATCCGTCCTTGATCTATTTCACGTGTGGAATGGACAAATTCTTACTTTGTCATTGGCAGATCCTGGATACGAACCCTGCACTGTACTTTCACCTTCAACAGCAGAAGCTGATCGAACACATTCGGCATGGGCGTATCACAGAGGCATTGAAGTTTGCCCAAGACGAGCTCGCGCCAAGAGGAGAAGAAAGTCCGGAGTTTCTTGCGGAGCTGGAACGTACGATGGCGCTTTTGGCATTCGACTCTTCATCCTCGGCCCCTCCAGCTATTTCGGAACTTCTTTCACCCGCACAACGAATGAAAACTGCGGGTGAGGTCAATGCCGCAATTCTTGAAAGTCTCAGCCAGGGAAAAGAGGTAAAGCTGGTGCAGCTTTTGAAGCTTCTGTGTTGGAGTGAGGGGATGTTGGCTGAACGTGCAGATTTTCCCAAGGTCTGTACCTTGGCACTTGGATCTGATTGGTTTGGCTGATCTTAGAGCCCTTAGATTGATCTGCAAGAGGGACTGGTAGCGACTGGGAGAAAAGAAGCAACAGCAACAGTAACAGATGATTCCATTATGCGAGACTAACGGACAGTATGTATTTTTACCATAGCATCAAGTGTATAGCAGAGGGTTGTAACAAGGATGTGTTGAGCATGCGTCCTGGTGTGTTTGAGTTGATGAGATGGTCGTGTTGGGCACCCAACTGATCAGATTGTTCCTGACTACTGGAGGGATTACAAGTCCGTGGAATCACCTAATGATCTAGCTTGCTTTGGTCACGGCCCACGGGTGAGAGTAACCCGGGTTGCGACCTGTTGCCAAAATGAAGAACAATGGCAAGAACAAGGAGGTAACATGACTATGCATGGCGGCCATGAGGCAGTTGACCTATGTCGTATACATACTCAATATGAATCAAAAAAAATTGGTCTCGAGTGCGCTATCATAACTTTTACGGTATTTACTTGCTGCGAGGTACATTGCCCTAGTACCCCTTGAGCTTACATAAGTAAGCCTTTACCGTATGCCACTTTCCAGCGCTTTCAACGGACAAGTTTGACCAACGACCCAGCAATTGCTCTCCTCCTCCGAGATCCCCCCATACTCATACTCATACTCGTCGTCTTTGGCATTCCTTATTATAAGTAACAAAAAGATTGTGTGTTCAACCTCTATCATCATCATCGTTATGGCTTACAAGCAGATCAGGAAACCGTTGGAGAGCGCTGTTAATGCCCTCCTACTCTATGTCAGAGGACACTAGGTCGTCGAGCGCACCTAGACCTCGTCGTGTCCTCGTTCTATCAAATCCAGATCCAGGAGATTCTAGCAGTAGTGAGGATGAACGCCCTCCTTACCCTCACCATCACCCCCACACTTCTGACACACATCCTACATCAATAAATACAACTTCAGCACCTCGTCCCCCAAGGCCCCGTCCCGCTCTCCCCTTGACATTTGATTATCCCCCCTCCCGTTCAAATCCGAACTTATCTTCTTCCTCTCCTTCGAGTCAGAGTTCCAATGCAGTCGAATCTACTCCTCCACCAAGCACTCCTGGTCAAACTGCCCCCTCAGATTTGAATGCTTCAGTTATTACCATTGATGATGGTACAACGCCCGGTGAACGTACCGAGACCGCTCAACCCCCTACTCGTCTCCAGAAGATCGCCGATGTCTTACACTTGCGCAATCGCAGACCTTCACATCGACATCTAGGCTCTGAACCTTCTCTCCATGTGAGTTGTCTTGTTTATCTATTTGTTTTCCATCCGACCGCCATCTCATACCCATCCTCTCAGTCTCCATCCCCTTCTTGTTCATCGCCGACTGTCCCACCCTCGGTGCCGTGGGTTATCATGGTAACCTATGATTGTCATGCTTATACAGCTGTCGACATCACAAATGCGAACAGCGCAGCATTCATCTGGGAGCGCATTTTTGCTGAAGTGCGCCGATGTTTCTTATTTCATTTCAATCCTAACCGAGTACCATTCCAGCTCAAAGTACCGCACGAAGATCAGTGTGGACAGCTCTCCATCTATCGCACCCAGGTCGGCAAAGTCGCAATCGGTGAACCACTTTCACACGATCGCCTAATTCGGCTGGTCCGTGAGCAAGGTGACTGTGAGGGGAGCTTAAAGTTCTTGGTTTGTCCTTCTCAAGCAAGGGTTCAGGAGCCTCCGCTCCTAAGTTCGCCAGTCAAGTCCGTGCCACCGCCCCCCGTCGTGCCAGTATTCAGCCCCTTAGTCCCAAGACCGCGGGCAGCCAAGTCTTCTCAGCAGGAGAGTGTGTCTTCTGAAGATCTAACCCCGGATGCTGGCTACGAGCCGTCCGTGATATCTGATGATATCGATGATGACAACAGGAGTACGATGAGGCCACCTCCTCACCCTAATTCGTCCACCACCATGTTATCGTCACCACCACCGAGTGCACGATACGAAGACCGTCAACCTTCCCCCGCATCCGCAAAAACACCGTATTCGGCAGGCGTTGATCGCCATCGTTACGATCCGTCTCAGGGACAGAGTCTTTCATCTTCTTATTCTACACCCATTCATGAGGATTTCCTCAGTAAACGCCAGTTGCGGAGAGGCTCAGATGCAGGGACAATAGAACAAGCATTTCGCGATGCTGAACGTGCAGCGGATCTAGCTGACGGGGAATGGGTAAAACCTCAGGATAAGGGCATCAATCGGGCCAAAGTTGTGAAACAGCGACCCGAAAGATTGACAACTTCCGACGACCATGCGGACAGGCAGCCAGATTCTCGAGTCGCAGTCGCCCGCGACAACGAGTCGGGATCTGTGGTGAGGAAGCCTTCTCCACCTTCGGGAATGGCGCGTTCGCCATCGACTAAGAGGAAAACGCCACGCCTTGAATATCCTCCTCGCCCACCTCAGAACAAGCAGAAGGGGGGAGGAGGCAAACCCGTTCCATCACACTATATATCCGCCCACAAGCCAGCCGATTCCACGACTCCCCTTAGGTCACTCAATAAGTCGAAAAGCTCAGAGGTTCTCAACAAGATGAAGCCTCCTCTGCCGCCCGTGCTTCGCCATTCACCGAGCCGGCCCCATGTTGCTAATCCGTCCGGTTCGGGTACCAACTCCTATCCAAGACCCCTAGATTTGGGACCGAGACCAGAGTTGGGACCGAGACCCAGACCACTTCCTGTCAGTAGGCCCGATAATGTAAATGTGGATACCACCACATATACTCGCGCTCAGCAATCATTAAATGGAACTCTTGGTTACCTGTCACCCACTCAGGAACCACCCACGCGTCCTCATTCTGCCTCGCCCTCCCAACAGCGCTACCCTACCAATGACGTATATCGTGACCGTGAAGAATTCAGGCCCACTCACCAAACTCAGTCCAGCAGTGGCTCTTCAAGGTTTGGCGACTCCCTTCCCTTGAGAGAGGATAACTATGCGATCACCCTTCCATCGTCCCTAAGACCTGGTCCTTATGTCTCTCCAGCTCGCACCAATCCGGAAACTCCTCCCCGTAGCCCCGTGACTTCTCGGCCGAGTACGTCGAATACTGCGTCTGGACTTACCTTTACTTCCACTGGGACGATGGTGCCTTTCACTTTCAAGGATGACTCTAGTGCTAGCAGCCAGGAGAGCACAGCCACGGAGTCTACTTTACGTCCAGAGGAAAGGGACAAGCTGGTCTGGGATATCAGATCCTCCTTCAGAATGTCGGATTCCTCGGATGATGGGGTTGGCACTAATGAAACTTACGGGACCGCGTCTTCTGATCTGTGGTCGCGCAAACCCACGTCAGAGGACACTGACACCTCTAGGACCCCCATACCTGGTACCAACCAGAATCCTAGTCCTCCACGTCCCGCTCTTCATGTCACAACTCCAAGCTCTGGCCCCGGTGGTATGATGCCCGGTATCCCGCCCAATTTCCCAGCACCGCCCAGTTTCATGCCTCAGCTACGCCTTCCTCGACCACGTACGCCGAAGACTAGGCACAAGAGTAGCACATTTGAGGAGTACACCTGGGCACATCGTCCGCCTCCGGAGGATGTCTACGATCGGCTCGAAGAGTTCTTCCCGGAGCATGATCTCGACAAACCCGTCATTGATGCTAATTCTGGCGGAACATCGCCTACTGCCATAGAACAGGCTTACGGGATTCCAAACATCGTTGATAGAGACAAGGCGCTGGTGCGGCCGAAGAAGTCCATCCGTATCGTTGCCGAAGAACACAAAAAGCGGATCGATCGCGTTTCCAGGGGCGATCCATCAGCCGACACGAGCATCTGGCGAAAGAGGAGCACGAAGTTATGGGGCAGTCGTATCGAGGAAGTCGATACTTCCTCGCAAACGAAGGCGAACTACAACAAGACACTCCCTGAATCCCCGGCGGGTGGTCCCAGACGTGAGTTTGATGCCTTTCTTTGCCGTGCTGAACTAAGCTGTAATTCAGCAATATTCAAATGGGTCCGTGGTGAACTCATCGGCAAAGGAACGTATGGTCGCGTATATCTTGCCCTCAATGCCACCACGGGCGAAATGATCGCTGTCAAGCAAGTTGAAATCCCCATAACCGCCAGTGACAGGAAAGACAATCGTCAAATGAGTTTCGTGCAGGCACTCAAAATGGAGAGCGAGACATTGAAAGATCTCGACCATCCTCACATCGTGCAGTACCTTGGATTCGAGGAGACACCGACGTTCTTGAGCATGTAAGCCTTGGTTACCACGTTCGTCTTTGATAGGCATGCTCATTTTATTTCCAGCTTCTTGGAATACGTACCCGGAGGCTCCGTTGGAAGTTGTCTGCGAGACCATGGCAAATTCGACGAGGAAGTTACGAAATCATTCACTGGACAGATTCTCGAGGGCTTGGAATATCTTCATTCCAAGAATATCATACACCGAGTAAGCTTCATCTACGATCATTTGTTCATATCTCATCGCTCGCATAGGATTTGAAGGCAGACAACATCTTGGTGGAGAAAACAGGGATTTGCAAGATCTCTGACTTCGGGATTTCGAAACGCACAGACGATCTCAATGGAATGGCTTCTACGGCGATGCAGGGCACGGTTTTCTGGATGGCACCGGAGGTCATACAACCCCAGAGGGGGGGCTATAACTCCAAAATCGACATTTGGAGCGTGGGGTGCGTTGTCCTTGAGATGTGGGCAGGGAAGCGACCATGGAGCGATGATGAAGCCATAACGGTCATGTTCAAGGTCCGTTTCTTGGTATATGCTGCTTGCCTGCGGTGCACTCATGAATTTACTGCAGGTATATCAGAATAAGCAGCCCCCGCCCATACCTTCCGATGTGGTGCTATCCGATCTTGCAACGGACTTCAAGGACAGATGTTTCGCAATGTAAGTTTTGTCTTTTACCGTCTTGTTTGCTGTGCTCACGGGTTATGCTTAGTGATCCGGAGGAACGCGCGAGCGCTGCGGATCTTCAGCTACATCCATACCTGGAGCTTCCAGAGGGCTGGGTATTCAACGATTTTAAGTAGGACCTCAATCGGACATATTTTTCAACATCATTCCCTATATCACCCATTTCTTATCGCATTTACTCTCATTTGTTCCAATCGCGCATCTTTCTCTGTTGTTTCGCATGCTGTTTCATAATGACCATTATAATTTTTTTGTACTTGTGGAAGGGTATGCTCATAATGGCTTCACCAATCCAAGTTGACTTGGGAACGATGTGACGTGGCTGGAGTTTGGTGTCCTAATGTTCCTTTGCGAAGTTCACAGACCCGAGTCTGGTCATGGCCATGGCATGAGACAAAATGTAGGAGAGGTGCATATAATTATGATAATCGTTTGGAGCATACTTACAGGCGCGGGTGCAGTGTGACGTCACTGGAGTTTGGATCCCTTCATAAATGAAAGTCACTCCAATCGCAGCAGGCAATGCAAGCGCAAGCTACCACTCATATACCAGACACAGATGTCGCTCAGGCTGCCATACGAATACAACGTGCGTGGCGTAGAAGTCTTGCCGCTAAATCACATCCCCAACTTGAACATATGGATGCGAACTCACGCTGGAAGGATGCTGGCATACATGCACGGATGAAGGTATTGTGATGGCTTTCACGTGTTGTGTACGTTCTTGTTGATCGCACTGCGGACAGATTGATAGGCGTGATGCCGACGAGGGAAAGAATGATCCTCGTACGCGCTGGAAGCGTACTGGCTTTCTGGCATCCAGGATTCAAGACAAGAACACGTTGTACGCTAGTAACGCGAACTTGAAAGGCCAAATGTATAAGGACGACAAGATGTTGGAGACGCAGCACTGGCTGGAACTTGTAGACTCGCACGTGAACACCTTACAACACTTCATCGGTGATATGACCTCTATATATTTGTAGGCAACACCGATATGGTGCAAATTGTAAGCCTTCACCTAATATATTCTCTGATTTATCCACCAAGTTTTGCATCGCGCGGTATTCGCGAACCTAGTGAAGGTTCGTGTGCAAGCTGGGCCAGGACTCCGAACTTAAGTGCAGGATTGTCAGTGGTATCACAGACTATGGCAACAGGAAGATACAACAGACAATTTTTTCAAGTGGTGCAATCCAGTCTAAGGTGAAACATGTGCTTTTTAGCTGAATACCTAACCGTAGGCTGGATCGAGGAGCTGGGAAAGACATCGACCTTGATGAATGCTCGAGGGAACAGCTAAACAAAGAAGCAAGCATCCTCATTATCTCTTGCATTGGATGATCCTCTTACGTTTCTTTTGAACATGAAGCAAATAATGTAGGTCGAATCACACATTGTAAAATGTGCCCTGCAACTGACTGCCATTGCAGTTACCTTTCACCCGAACAACGTCAGTTACTACTGCTCGTTATTCCCGTTGATGTCTCACTAGCGTGATTTAGGATTAAATTATTTGGTCAGCATTGACGTCGAAGGGAAGCTTCGATGGGCTCGCAACAACGTTTTAATCGATACAACTGAAGGCAAATGGCAAGATCTTGGGGAAGGCAAGGGTATCATTCCGCAAGATGGCACTCGTCCACACCCCCCTATCCCTCCCCCTCGCGATAGTTTCGGGTCCTGGTCGTCTACTCCATACCGGTCCCTACAAGAAAACGAAGCAACTCATTATACCAAATCCCAAAAGGGAAGAACTCGACTCGGACGAGCCATTCGTCGGCACTTCACTTTGAAAGGCATGATGGATAGGCTATTGAGAAAAACAGTGGGAAACAACACATGGATCTATGTTGCAGTACGTCCCAATTACTGGAGATGCCTTCGAGCTAATAAACGGTCAGGATCGGAGCTGTAAGTCATGGATAATTGTGACCAATAACTTGTATTCATACGTAATGCACTTCCAGTCAACATATTCATTGGAATCAAAGGTATTGGCATATCTACGCAACTGCTCTAGGCTGCTGACGATGTCATACGTAGAAACGGGATCGTTTCAGCATTCATCATTTCTAGCTGGCGGTATTGTCACGTCTGCAGGACTTATCTCCGTCAAGGATGGAGTCATCCAAAAACTGTCTCCGTTGTCTGGCCACTACAGGTGAGATTCACTGTGTTGGTTATGCTCTTTTGAATTGATCATTTCCCTCGCTGAAATTAGAACGTCTGTTGGTGTAAGTCTTTTGTTGAGGAATTATCTTGTCATTGATTGGTACGTGAAGCATTTCAGAAAATTTGTGGACGGACTTTCAGAAAGAGACGTCGATATGCGTAAAGCCAAGATCAGTAAAGCTGAAGTGGTCCTTCGAGGGTGAGAAACCAGTTATTTCTGCCAGTGGTTGACAGCTAAGGACCGATGTACTACAGCATGGAGTGTGTCTCCAAGATCAAGAAGGCCCGACGAAAAGTAGTAGCAAATTCCAAGGCTTTCGCGAAGGGGACTTTGGGGGAGATGATGGAGAGGATACGAGAACGGGCACCGTTTCTACTTGGAAGAAAGACATTCTTGAGGGAAAGCAGGCGAAAGGCCCGCAATTGGGACACTTAAGAATAGATACGACAAGCAATGGCTGATATAGTTAGGGAATGATGTTGAAAAATATGCCTGAATGAGGCCCTACTTGAAACCGTTAAATACCCAGCCCTCTGGAAGCTCCAGGTATGGATGTAGCTGAAGGTCCGCAGCGCTCGCGCGTTCCTCCGGATCACTAAGCATGACCCGTGAGCACAGCAAACAAGACGGTGAAGGACAAAACTTACATTGCGAAACATCTATCCTTGAAGTCCATTGCAAGATCGGATAGCACCACATCGGAAGGTATGGGTGGGGGTTGCTTATTCTGATATACCTGAAGTAACTTCATGAGTGTACCAAGGCAAGCGACATATACGAAGAAACGAACCTTGAACATGACCGTTATGGCTTCATCATCACTCCACGGCCGCTTCCCTGACCACATCTCAAGGACAACGCACCCCACGCTCCAAATGTCGGTTTTGGAGTTGTAGCCTTGGTTCTGGGGATGTATGGCTTCTGGTGCCATCCAAAAAACTGTACCCTCCATCATATATGACGCCGTTCCATTGAGATTATCCGTGCGTTTCGAAACCCCGAAGTCAGAGATCTTGCAAATCCCTGTTTTCTCCACCAAGATGTTGTCCGCCTTCAAATCCTGCGCAAGACAATGAGGTATGAACTTGATATAGCAAGAGATCAAGCTTACGCGATGTATAATATTCTTGGAATGGAGATATTCCAAGCCCTCGAGGATCTGTCCAGTGAATGATTTCGTAACTTCCTCATCGAATTTGCCATGATCTCGCAGACGACGTCCAATCGAGCCTCCAGGCACATATTCCAGGAAACTGAAAATCCAAATGAGTCTGCCTATCGACAATTACCATTATTTCCATCCTTACACGCTCAAGAATGTCGATGTCTCCTCGAATCCAAGGTACTGCACGATGTGAGGATGGTCGAGATCTTTCAACATCTCACTCTCCGTTTTGAGTGCTTGTACGGAACTCATTTGTCGGCTGTCTTCTCTGTCATTAGTACTGGCGGTTATAGGGATTGCAACTTGCTTGGCAGCGATCATCTCGCCCGTGATGGCATTGAGGGCAAGATACACGCTACCATACGTTCCTTTGCCTATGAGTTCACCACGGACCCATTTGAATGCTAAATTACAGCTTAGCTTGGCGCAACAAAGTAAGCCAGGAAACTCACGCCTGGGACCACCCATCGGGGATTCAGGGAGCGTCTTGTTGTATTTCGCCCTCGTCTGCGACGAGGCATTGACTTTCTCGATACGAGTATCACATAACTTCGTTTCCCTTAACCGCCAGACGATCGTGTCTGTTGATGGATCGCCCCTTGAAACGCGATCCATCCGCTTCTTGGGCTCTTCCACAACAATACGGACGGACTTCTTTGGTTGAACCGGCGCTTTTTTTCCATCAATGATGTTTGGAATTCCGTAGGTCTGTTCTACAGCCGTAGTAGGCGATGCTTCATCAGAATTAGCTTCAATGACGGGTTTGTCAAAATCATGCTCTGGGAAGAACTCTTCGAGAGGCTCGTAGGCATCCTCCGAAGGCGGAAGATCCGCCCAAGTGTACTCCTCAGATGTGCTACTCCCGCGCCTATTCTTCGGCCTAAGCGGTCGAGGAGGGCGTAGTTGAGGCATGAAGTTGGGCGGTGCTGGGAAATCAGGCAGGGTACCACGATCAGTGCCAAAGCTTGGAGTTATAAGAGCGAAACATGGAGGACCAGCTCCATCACCTGAAACTTCGTGAAATGCTGATTGGCGCCAGTGTCCGGGAACCATGATAATGCCGAAGCACTGCTCCACCCGGGACGACCCTACTCACTCCTAGTTTCCCGTAGACCAAATAAAAGGAAAATACTTTTACAGTCCAACGAAGTGCTGGAATATGAACCGTTCGTGGTACTCTCTGTAATGTGCATCCTACTCCATCTCCCACTGCTCATCTCCTTCCATAAACATGAGATACACTGGCACTCACCCACCGAATCCAACCCATGATCCACTTTCGAGTATCGAAAATCCACACCTGTACATGTTTTCTCGCAGATCGCCACCTCCTCATTCCGACTCTTGGCGGGGGCCCGGACACCCTTCTCACTCACGCACCTGGGTAACGTTCCATACTTGGTGCCAGTATACCGTCGAAATTTGAAGACAGGACTGATAAGATGTCCTACATGCAGATTGTCGCGAAGACGTACTATGCCTGATCGACGTTGAAGCTGAAGTGTAGCCGTGATGGTAGATATTGTCGCACGTGACATCTCTGGTAATTCAGAATTTATTGGAACGGTCCGTCACGCGTTCATACCACCAGTGCATTCATCCATACATAAGGGTAGGGTTGGAGTGGGGGCCCCTAGGAGCATAGGAGGAGTGGCTGGAGAGTTTGGCGGTGTTTGCGAGTAGAGTTAGCCGAGGGGAGGTTAGAGACGTGGGAGTAGCAGAGTAGAGGTTCATCTGTGTGTTAGCATAGAGATCACCAGAGTCGCGGATACACCGCTCCAACTGGTGAACAGAACGAGATTCGTCCTGACCGAGCAAAAAGCACGGTCTATTCACGCCCCGAGAACAGAGCACACGAGAGCAGAGCCCACGAGAAACAGAGCAATAGAGAACCAGAGCCGAGAACGCTCGAGACTTACACGCTGTTAGCCTCGAGGACAACACGCGCACAGCATAGCTTTCCTTTTACCTGCGCACAAAAACCACTACTTATAATGTCTTCTCTATCCAGAAAAACCTCCAAGAAAAAGAGCATCCCACAAAGAGGAGAGAAGGGCCGCTTCATCAAGAAGACTGATACAAGTTCGGACACTCTAGACTGCACCTCAGAAGATTCATCTCCACTTGACACCCCGGAGATAAACAAGCGCACCTTAGATCAGGAGACATCACAGTCAGAACAAGAAGTCGACAACCAGCTCATATTTGACGACGACGAAGAATCATTAGCAGGAGCCCCGAATCCAAACACCATCATTCCAATCCCAGAACAGCCAGCGCCATTCACCGCGATCCCATTCCCAGCCACGCAACCTCCGCAGAGGTTCACGAGCTTCAGCACGAATATAGCAAAACCAGCGCAAAAGACACGTGCCCAACCAATTGTTAGTTTGAAACCGATTCAATACACGACAATGGCCAACGTACCAGCGCCATCAACGTTCAAAGGAATCGAGACAGAAAATCCCCAAAACTTCCTACGGGAAGTGGAGAGGTATATCTACCTTAATCGAATCACGGACGAAACCACCAAGGTCATTATATTCAGTACGTTCATCTATGCCGGGTCGCAAGCGGACATATGGTGGAACAACTTAGACGCCGCGCATAAGACGTCGTGGGTAGACGTTAAAACAGCATTCCAAACGCAATGGCCAGCAATCGTAGTCGCGGCGAAGTCTACCTTAGACTACCAGAAGGAATTATTGGCGCTCAGATTAAAGGAAGAAGATGTTGGAGAGCGCATTACGGTAGCAGGAGTGTTAACATGGTCTCACTTGCATTACCATGGACGACTTCAGAAACTAGTGCAAGACGCAGGAGTCACAAACGCACCAGTCTTTATCCATCAAGTTCGAGAAGGACTACCACGCGTAATCCGCGACCTCACATCGCCAGCGCCCGCAACGTGGACTGCCTTTCTAGACGAGATCAAAAACGCAGATGTCGACGTTATTCAGGATAAAGCGAGAAGAGAAAAGGAGACGAAAGAAGCAGAGAAGGCACAGAACGCAAGGATCGCCAGGCTCGAAAATAAGCAGACAGACCCGGTGGAGATCTTACGCTTGCAAATGCAGCGAGCGTCCATAGGACCAGCCTCCAACACTATGCAGATAGCCACAGCGCAGCCCAGACCACAAACGCCCACTTCCAATCAGAATCTCCCAGCTCGCCGTCAACTTCGTTATGTAGCAGCGAACCAAAACGCACAAGGACCACGTGCACGAGGTCAACCACCTACGCAGGAAGAAAGGAACGCGATGAGAGCCCGCATAAATGAACTACCGCAACATCAGGACAACCAAGGAGGACAAGCGGCATACACAGAACAAGTTCGTCAGTGGGAGACGCAATGGGGAAGAGGCGCGAGGTGCACAGAGCAGACACCATACCCGCTGACACCAGGAACGGCACAGATCTGTTCGGGAGAGTGCTTTAGGTGCGGTTCACATGGTCACATTGGACCAGAGTGTCAAGTCCCAGTTAACGACCAATTGCCGAAGAACGAGTCCATATGGAGAGGACTGAGCACGCGTTTACTAGGCACATTCAACAGAGCAACAGCGCCGCAGATCAACATCGTATTCGACAACCTATACACGCTCGAAACAGAAGAACAGGGAAATGGCAACGGGTCGTCGGTATAGAGGAATACTCGACGACCCACGTATGTGATACACCTCATAACTACGGACTACCAGTCCTCGCGTGCGCAGAGGAAACACGCGAGGACCAATACGCCAATCCTGTCGAGTCTAGCAGTCACACAAACAATGTCATTCAGCCAGATAATGAGCAATCTGAAATCATTAACTTGTACTCGACGGAGGAGGAATCAGGACAACAAACATGCCTCCCGTTTCTGCAGCACATCACGTTTTCGGGACCAAACGGGGAGATAGTGCGGGTGAAGGCTCTATTCGATGAAGGAGCCATGATAAGCGCTATGTGCTCGTCAATTTTCAACAAAGTCAAGCATCGCCTAGGACAGTGGGGACCATCCGCTCGAAAGCTACGCATGGCAAACGGAACCATAGTTCCATCGCAGGCCATATGGAGAGGCGAAGTAGGGATAGCGGGCATCAAGGCGAAGGGAGAATTTGAGGTATTCGAGAGTGGAGGAGGGTGGAACTTTCTGTTCGGAAAACCGATGCTGCAGGCCTTCAAAGCAATACACGATTACACCCTGGATCAGGTATTAATAACCGGCATAGGAGGAACGAGAACGCTGCAGAATCAGAGCGTAACGAAGCGAGCAACAGCCATGGGGGGAGATGAGCCCCCCTCGAGGGAAGTCCCAACACCAAACAACACTCGTGCTCAAGAACACGATACTGATCAAATCCCACTCAGCGCAGCAGAACCGCACACCCCAATCAGCATCCTAGCACGAGACGAGGACCTACCAGAAGGCTCGTTCAGCGACATACTCGAAGAAACGCCGGCAAACTTCTTGACGGACGGTCCAGCAATCTTCACAAGGGCCACAGACCCAATGAACCCAGCGAGAGTCGCATACATAGTTAAAGCAGTGCAATATGGTAAGGAACTCGCACCAGAAGAACGGGAACAGGTCGAAGCCCTCGTCACGCGCTACGCCGACATATTCGCATGCTCCCTGTCAGAAGTCTTCCATGTACCGGGAGCTCAACATCGCCTCAACATACCGGAAGGCACCACCTTCAGCTTACGGGTGCACCAGAGAGCCTTAACACCACCGCAAGCACAGTTCCTACATGGGAGAATAGATGAGATGGTAGAAGCTGGGATCATCGAACGGACGACGCCGGAAGCGGTCAAATGTTGCGCTACCACAGTTCTCGCGCAAAAAGCCCACGAACAGGGCGGACTAACGCTAGAAGAACTACGACAAAGGGTTAACGAACAATGCGCTCAAGACGGACAACCACCAGCATTCAATATTCCAGAGCGAGACGCAGCAGAAAGACCAACAGAAGACCAGCCGAAGAAACCGCAAAAATGGAGAATATGTCAAAATTTTAACGAGGTCAACAGACATACCGTTATCGCACCAATGGTCCAAGGAGATATCAGAGCTAAACAGTTACGCTTGAGCGGGCACAAGTACGTCTCTGTTTTTGATTTCGCCTCGGGTTTCTACGCTGTCGAGATCCCAGAGGAATCGCGCCCATTCACGGCCTTCTACGTGGAAGGAAGAGGGTACTTCTGGTACAAGAGAATGCCGATGGGACTTACCGGAGCGCCATCAACATTCTGCGACATGACGGCAACCCATCTCCATGATCTACTCGCTGAAAGCATCATGGAGCTGTTTATGGACGATGGCGGAACAGCGGCGGACACGTTCGAAGACATGCTCAGCAGATTAGAGCGCATCTTCCTACGCTGCAGGGAACGGAGACTATCGTTGTCCCCAACGAAATGCCGCCTATTCATGTCAGAAACTAACTTCGCAGGAGCAACGGTAGGTCCTCTAGGTGTCCAACCAGACCTAGAGAAACTTACCGCTATCGTGAATTGGAAACGCCCCGCTGACGCGCTTAATTTAGAATCGTTTTTAGGACTTACCAGTCATTTCCGTGACTTAGTGCAAGGATACAGCAAACGGGAGGGACCCCTACGAGATTTAGCGAAAGCAGCCCCCCTCAAAACACCGTACTCGAAAACGACATACAGACGCACACTCCGGGACTTCAAACTCGCCGAAAGATGGACGGAGGCGCATACGGCAGCATTCCTAGACTTGAAGGCCGCGTTGGTATCACGACCAATACTCCAGGCGCCAAAATATGATGGATCGCACTTCGTAGTCACAACAGACGGTTGTCAGGAAGGACTGGCCGCGGTATTGAGTCAGAGGGTCCGCAAACAGAAACCCTCAGGAAGATGGACCGAACGACTACTACCAATCGCATTCGCATCGAAAAGGACGTCAAAAGCAGAACATAAGTACAAACCGTTTTTGCTCGAGTTCGCAGCCCTCAAGTTCGGATTGGATAAGTTTTCCGACATGATCTGGGGATTTCCAGTTGAAATAGAAACGGACTGTCAAGCGCTACGCGACGTACTTATCAACGACAATCTGAACGCCGCACATGCAAGATGGCGGGACGGAATCCTGGCCCACAACATCGTGGACGTTCGCCATGTCCCAGGAAAGCTGAACGTTATAGCGGACGGATTGAGTAGACAGTGGGAGGGGCATCCCCGAGACGCAGGACTTGATGATGGTAGCGACTGGACAGTCAGCGAAGACTGGGAGGCTCAGAGTGGACTGATTAACGACATCCTAGTCACGACAACCACTGACTCACATGTTTTTTCTAGCCTACAAGAACGATTCGTAAACGAAGCGATCTTCCTCGAAGTGGTCGAATCGATCGCGCAAGTCGACTCAGCCAAGTCAATCCGAGACCGCAGGAAAGCACACCATAGGGCATCTCAGTATCTCATCGAAGACGGAAAATTATGGCGCTTACGAGGCGGAACGACAACGAGGGCAAGAAGCCGAGTAGAATGCGTTACTCGCAAGGAGGCCAAAATACGAGCAGCTAAGCAACATCAAGATGGGGGACATTGGGGCAGAGATGCCATCAAACTAGCGCTCACTGATCAAATCTACAGCCCTCAACTCGATGCGTCAATAATGGAGGCTATCTCAGAATGCGCTAAGTGCAAGAACTTCGGATCTCAACATTTGCACTCACTTCTAGAACCAATCACCCGCAGACACCCATTTGAACTACTCGTCGGGGACTACTTAACCCTACCGAAAGCACACGGCTACCACACGCTAGGCGTCTACTTAGACACATTCTCACAACATGTGTGGGTTTTCAAATACAAAACGGCGGGGACGGCACGCACAACCATCGACAGTCTGTCTCAAATTTTCCGCAACTTCACGAGCTCCGAAACCTTCATGTCCGACGGTGGAAAGCACTTCGATAATTCAGACGTTCGAACCTTCTGCGCTAAGTGGTCTTGCAAAACTCATGTGACGGCAGCATACTCACCCTGGATTAACGGTCTGGTAGAAGGTACAAATAAAATTCTGCTACACGTCCTCAAGCGCCTATGCGCACCCAACCTAGGCGAAGACGACTACACGGCAATATCATGGGACACGTTACCTAGCAGCTGGCCCAAGCACTTAGACGAGGCAGTTAGCGCGCTGAACTACAGAATACTACCGGCTCTGAAGTTTGCCCCAAAAGAACTACTTCTAGGCCAAGTGATAAACACCCCGCGAACAGACCTAGCTAACAGTACATCAGCGCTAAGACTCTCAGACGTTAACGCACACATGGCGTACGTTGCGCAACAACACCTCGACGGATACGAAGCAACAGTTAAACACGCGATCAAGAGGAAGACCACGTTCGACAAGAGGGTGTTAGCAAGATCTCCAAGGGAAGTGATTTTCACAGTGGGACAGCTCGTTCAGTTTTATCACAGCAGTCTACACAACACATTCGAAGCAAGACGAAAACTACTCCCCAAATGGTCAGCCCCGCACCGCGTCTCAGAACGCCTCAGAAATTCGTACAAGATCGAAACACTGGAGGGGCAATCGTTACCAGGAGAATACCATGCGAGACGACTACGAATATTCTACCCTAAGGAAGGCACGAAGTTGGCGAAAGAACAGAAAGAATATGAGGAAGAGTTAGCGGCAGTAGAAAGGGAAAAAGAACCAACAGCGCAGAGAGAAGATGACGAAAACATGTCGGAAGAATCGGACGACGAAACAGAGGATGAAGACACGGGAAGAAGTGTGGAAGAAAACGGAGAGGTGCAAGAAGGATAGTGACGGAGCAGGAGTTAGCAACGAGGGCGTTGCTGTTTTTTAAGGGGGGCACGTGGAGTGGGGGCCCCTAGGAGCATAGGAGGAGTGGCTGGAGAGTTTGGCGGTGTTTGCGAGTAGAGTTAGCCGAGGGGAGGTTAGAGACGTGGGAGTAGCAGAGTAGAGGTTCATCTGTGTGTTAGCATAGAGATCACCAGAGTCGCGGATACACCGCTCCAGGGTGTACTTCCTAAGCTTTCTTTGCGTGATTGAGAATTCTCGATCACGTCTTCGACGTCTGGGACCTCTGAATTGACCTGCATTAAATTGCTTTTAGTTTAGTCAAATCAAACAGGGAATGGCCAGTGACTTGTAAAGCAAAGTTTTCGAGGTGTAGGAGATGACAGAGAAGAGACAAGAACCGGCACCTTTGCTAGTGAAGAGCTCGTAACCGAAAGCTATATTTTGCATCAATCACACTCTATCACACTGAAACCTTGAAAGGTACTTCACAAGACTTTATCCTACACCTATTGCGGATATATTGACGACACCTTCCTCCTGGTGATTCACGCCCTGGTCCATTGGCTTTCGATTTTTGAGATACGAACATCAACTTTAGCCTGAAGTGGGACTCCGTGGATCGTCACGGTTATAAAGTCAGGACTGCCTTACCTTCTCGTCATAATCAACCCAGTCGTCATCTTCAAGATCAACATCGGAGAACACGGTGCCGGTCTCTCCTTTGCATGTCCATGTCCCCATCTGTAACATTGTTAATGAGATTGGATAAGCACAAGAGAAGAAAATACGAACTGGATTAAATTCTGTAAACTCTAACCCACGACACTCCATCTTCAATAGGGTGGCAAATTGTCCATTTGATTCAGCGGAGTATGGTTTCGACGGCTCGGCAACAAAGCTAGCGGAGCTTTCCCTTTTACAGCTACCGCAACGCCAAACGAGGTTGGCTGAGCCTCTGCTACTCGAGAGATTTCGTGTTTCCTAGAGGAACGATATGAAATCCTCCATCATCATGAAGTAGACACACGCACCAATCTATTTACCGAGACAAACTTCGGGTGCTGCTCGTGACAACTAGTGCAGACTACCTGCACGGGGTAGTCAGAATGCAAGATATGATGTTGGTCGCCGGGATCACTTTGAAGAAGTACAGGAAATCATCACCAGAAGGGGCGAGATCGGTGACGTTTTCCAGCTCAGCTTTGATTTCCAGTTTTAAGAACTTTTAATAATTAATATGTTGAGGTCTTTCCGACGTAGCGAAAGAGACTTACGACCATGATCAGATGATGTATGTTTCAAGTTTAGGCGAGATCATGCATCGTGTACAATTCATCTGGCAGGATGATCAGAATTTGTTCGTGTTTGCATCCTTCCGGTTTCGAGGTCTGTTTTTACAGTTCGACTTCATCTTCGCCAACTCCAAAATGTGGTTGCTTCCGCCGTGTCGGCGCGGTCTGCCTTCAATAATGACCGTCAGGCAGTTTCATGCCACTACTCAAGTGTCCATGCGGACGAAGACGTCCAAGGCACCGAAAGGAGACGAGGAAGAAATACTCGAGCACCTAGAGCCAGACGGGGGATTAGATGTACCAGTGGCAGGATACTTGTTATACCGCCAGCAGCGGCAGACATTATACTACATGCGACTAATTGAGCACGAGATTCCAAAACTCGTAGGTCAGCCATGATTGACCCGAATTGAAGACGTCCGCTCATTCGTATTTTAGCGTTCCGCAAACCATTCGTCCCTCCAACTTCCGATACACCCCTCGTCATACGGTCTGTCGATTTTGCTGGGGAGCAACATCCGTTGACAGCTAAGCGGAGCGTTGTCGTTCCGGTCGCGCATCTTCCCCTGCGGAACGAAGTAGCCTTTCAAAGAGCGAAACTCCTCGCCGGCGTGCGGTGGATACCAGACCCCCCGAGGGATTCTGGTATATCAGCGGATGAGGACGCGGCCAAGCATGGTTTTATCAAGATTGCATGCGAGGACTTTCCGCGAGCCAACATGAATTTAAAATGGATCAGCGACACGCTTGATAAGCTGATGCTTGAGGCAAATGTAGGTCGAGTTTGACATCGGCTATCATTGATACTCATAAGAATTAGGCTGAGGGCGAGGCACCATATCAGAGGCTACCACTGGATACCCGACATCTCGATGCTAAAGTGCTGAAAAAGAAGAAGGGTGATCATGTTCGAGGCAGAGGTGGATTGCGTCCAAGTCTCAAAGACTTCCCCACGGAATGGCTTCCAAAGCGTCAGGAGGACGTGATGTCTTCTATACTTCCATCTCAATAATAGATCGTTTATTTGGGCGGCCGCTGTCAATCGGTCCGACATCATGATCACGAGTGTATGGCGAATCATCATCCGAAATATGTTATAAGCTCCATCGATATCGATGAACGAGCCTGCGTGCTTTGCTCCCTATCTTCCCCATGGCGAATACAATTCGTGCGTCTGTAATTCAATCCTGCACTGCACGTTTCAATTTATCAGAGACATTGGACAAATTCGAAAGTCTGACTAGGCTGGCAAAAGAGCGCGATGGAACGCAGCTCGTTGTATTTCCTGAAGGCTTGTAAGTCCACCTTGGTCGCATGCTGTCTTACCTATGACGTGATCTAACTCTTGCTCAGCATCGGAGGCTACCCGAAATGGTCGACCTTTTCATGCTTCGTAGGAGAGAGAATATCAGAGGGCAGGGACGAGTTCGTCAAGTATTACAACGCAGCCATTGAGATTCCTTCGCCGGCGATAGATCGTATAGCAGAAGTGAGCAAGGCGACAGGGGTTTTTGTGGTCATGGGGGTCATTGAGCGTGATGTCGGGACGCTCTACTGTACCGCCATATTCGTTGACCCAGTCGAGGGCCTGGTGGCAAAGCATCGAAAATTACTCCCGACAGCATGTGAACGATTCATTTGGGGGCAAGGTGATGGAAGCACCCTTCCCGTTGTGGCAAAGAAGTTTCAATCCTCCGTCGAGCCAACACACACCGTCCATACGAAGATATCCGCTACCATATGTTGGTGAGTGTCAAACCTGTTCGTCCTCACCACAAGATCATAAACGAGTTGCACCAGGGAGAATTTCATGCCTTTGCGTGAGTTTTGAGGCTGATCTGAGTGAACCTCTCAAACGGTTTCCTGCCTCCAGTCCGAACTTATTATTACTCTCTCGGGACGCAAATATATTGCGTCCCGACGGTCGATTCGCGTGAGACTTGGGAAAGCTCCATGCGACACATTGCATTCGAAGGACGTTGTTTCGTGCTTTCTGCGTGTCAATTCGCGACGGAGAAAGATTATCCTCCAGACCATGCCGTTGCAGATGCTAATAACCGCAATCCTGACAATATCATGATCAATGGTGGCAGCTTGATAGTCAGCCCTCTGGGCAAAGTACTCGCTGGTCCCACGAGGCAGCCCGAGGACATCCTGACTGCAGATCTTGACCTTGATGATGTCGTCCGAGGAAAGTTTGATCTTGATACTGTGGGGCACTATTCTCGTCCAGATGGTACGACACCTTCATTCGCTGACTTGAGATGCGACTCATGGGCGTGCTTAGTGTTTCAACTCAAAGCAAACATCGATCCCACTTTGATTTAGACACTGGGGGCACAGGCTCAGAAAGAGGAGGGGGTTTAACGACGGTCTCTTGTTATCATTTCCATTGCCATTATCGTGTCTGTCAAATTGATCTATTGTAATGAATACCATGCCCACTGCAACTCGAGACTTCTTCCCATTGTAGAACATGTGGCTCGGGAATATTGATGTGGCCGACGAGGACAAAGAGGCCAAAGCCTTACCAAAGCCACATGCTCTTTCTCGTACCCCCACAGCGCACAAAGTGATACGTAGAAATCCACCTCAAAGCGTCCACCAGCTACTATGATATAAAGCTAGCTCAGCTGGGTTGTAGAATCAGCAACACATACAATTCCCCTCGTTACTTGAATTCACTAAGCCGCGGCAGGTCCAAAGCTAGACAGACTCTCCAGCTAGATACCCCTCACACTACTTGCTATACATTCTACTATGTCTAACTCGCAACCTTCTGATGCGCGCGCTGCGCTTATGGAATCAGTTTTCTCGCGTTACTCGCAGGCGAGTCCGGGGGCAGTATCCCCAGGTTCTCTATTGCGGAGACCAAGCCGCAATTTCAATGCGCAGGACTCTGCTAGCCACCGAAAGCAAGCAGCTAGCCCTAGCAAGCGTAAGGCGCGCGAAGACAAGATTGGCTTGCTAATTCGGGGCAGAACCATCTATAGTCCGAAGGCCGACCCCGCTACACATTCGGCTCCCAAGACAAGCAGCCTGCGGAAGTCGATGAAGCCAACCGCTTCCTCCCGCCATCCCTTTGGAACTAATACGCCATCGGAAGAGAAATTGATGCCTCTGGATATTCTACAACGGATGGATGCCGAGGAAGATAATCAAAAGAAGGACCCACGTGTCTTGACGGGAGGTGCCTTTACACCGATGTACCAGGCGCATTACAGGGACGGGTCTGTCTGGATGGGCGTCCCTGAGTCTGATGCGCACTGCAGTACGCCGGAACGGAGGAGAGACAGTGTAGAAAGCATGCCCTCGAACATGGATATGGAGTACTGGCCACCTCACTGGAATGCTCCGATATTCAACTCAGGAGTGGGTGACTTGGAGGCGATGTTTGAGATGTGCATCAAAGACGAGGAGTGTTTGGAAGGGGCTATGTGAGGATGAACTGTTGGATAATCACAATCAGCGTATTTTGATACGGTAATCACTCATTTCTGCAGTTAGTTATGGCAGTATGTATATCCTGCAGCACACTTTCGTTTACATACCATTAAATCGTATAAACGCCCTTTTATGAACGGCTTGTGCGCGCCGCCTAGGATATCGAATTTGGAAGTAAAAGAAGATTCAGTTACTCGTTTACCGAAAAGCCAAGGGTTTAGCGCGCCACCGAAGCCAAACAAATGCAACACGGGTTTAGACAGAAGTTCAGTGTTTGCTTCATCCTTCTTTCCTTGTCGCAGTCAACCGAAAGTAAATTTTGGACTTTCTTCCAAACCACTTTAAGCCCTTCATCACTGACAGCGACGTCCAGATGGCTGACTCCTACAACTCCCGCGTCGGTGACCTCTCACCCTCTCCAAATGGCTACGGGAACGGTTCCAGTCCGTCGTTGACCCAAACTAACAACGCTGGCATTTCACCCGTCATTCGCAAAAAGCTCATGGGCTACGTCGGCTTCGCCAACCTTCCCAACCAAGTCCACAGGAAGAGCGTCCGCAAAGGTTTCCAGTTCACTACAATGGTCGTCGGTTCGTTGTTTTATGCCAATTTCATGCCCTCAAATATTCACCCTTCTCTAGGCGAGTCGGGTTTGGGAAAGTCTACGCTAATCAACACCCTATTCAACACGCCTCTATACCCTCCCAAGGAGCCCCTTCCTCCTGCAGCTGAACGACCCAAAACGGTTGCTATTGAAAGCATTGGCGCAGGTTAGTGTCCTACGACAGCATGTGAGGCGTCATTAACAGTCCCATCTAGATATTGAGGAGAACGGCGTTCGTCTACATCTCACTGTCGTTGATACCCCCGGTTTTGGTGATTTCGTCAACAATGATGACAGGTATGTAAAAAATTTGGCCATATAAAGAATCTTCCACCTATACGTAATACTAGCTGGAGGCCGATCGTAGAAAACATCGAGTCGCGCTTCGACTCATATCTGGAGCAGGAGAATCGCGTAAACCGGCAGAAGATCGTTGACAACCGTGTTCATGCCTGTCTTTACTTCATTCAGCCCACGGGTCACTCGTGAGCAGTTTTGTTGCCTTTTGTTGTACTTTTTTCTGACACGTTCCATCTCTGTTCAGGCTGAAACAACTCGACATTGAATTCATGCGTCGCTTGCACACCCGAGTTAACCTTATTCCAGTCATCGCCAAAGCCGACACGTTGACGGACGAGGAAATTGTTGCCTTCAAAGCCAGGGTAACTCGCCTGTCCGTGTTGAATTTTATGTTGTCTGACCTTGCATGCAGATCCTTGCAGACATCGCTCACCACAATATACACATCTTCCAGGCGCCCAGCTATGAGAACGAAGATGAAGAAACTCTTGCTGAGGCCGAGGAGATTGCTAGCAAGATTCCTTTTGCAGTCGTTGGTTCGGACAATGTTGTGGACACCACCGACGGTCGTCAAGTCCGTGGACGTGCCTACCCTTGGGGTGTTATTGAAGTCGACAACGAGGAACACTGTGATTTTGTTAAGCTGCGCCAGATGCTCGTCCGGACCTACATGGAGGAGCTGAGAGAATATACGAATGATGTGCTGTATGAAAACTGGCGAAGTGAGAAACTTCTTAGCATGGGTGTCGCCCAGGATTCCAGTGTCTTCAGGGAGATCAAGTAAGTGCCGCTTTTTTGTTCGTGAAGAAAGTCAATTGACATCTTGTTCAAGTCCTTCGGCCAAGATCCAGGAGGAACGCATCCTGCATGAGGCCAAGCTTTCCAAGATGGAGGCTGAGATGAAGATGGTGTTCCAGCAGAAAGTCCAGGAGAAAGAGTCGAAGCTGAAGCAGTCCGAGGAGGAACTTTATGCTCGACACAAGGAAATGAAGGACGCTCTCGACAAGCAGCGCGCAGATTTGGAAGACAAGAAGCGAAGAATCGAGAGTGGTCGACCGCTGACCCCAGAGAAGAATACTGTAAGCCAACAATTCTACCCTAGAATGCTTACTAACTGGCGATTATTTAGACCAAAAATCGTCGCTTCTTGCGGTAGATTCATTTCGTCTTGGTTCTTCCTTATTATTGTTCTCTCTTCGCCCCTTCTTTAGTATCCTTGCTATCGTATATTGCCTTTGCGTTTCACTCGTTACCTTGCCCTCGAACATCCTACACTCTTTTGGATTGATATCCAGGCTTGGCTACCCTCCACCCTTTTAGTACTATGATCAACTTCTTATGCGGAGTTTCTGGGCGTTGAAGGACGTCGAGGGGACGATTGGATTTTATTTCTGTGATGACTGCGCGAGATACCCGGTGTTGCCACTATGTCAATACTGATAAACAGATAACCTTTGAGTGTCAGAGCTTAATGAGATTTGATCACAAACCACGACGAAGACTCAATCATGGCTGATAATCAGTCCGCTAATATTCAAGCTCTGTTGTCCGCTTTAAATGTGTTCACTCGTGCGCCTGACAAGACTTCCTTGGAGAACGCGAATTCCTGGCTGCAGGATTTCCAACACTCTGTAAATGCACTTTCGCCCTTCGCCCGATCTTCCAAGCCGGTCATCTGACTTCGTCCATCCGCCCTGTCCTAGCCCGAAGCATGGTCGACATGTAACGTCCTCCTGCTATCCCCTGATGCGCCCCCAGCGGCCAAGCTCTTCGCCGCGCAGACTTTCAGGTCAAAAGTCAGTCTATGATGATTCATTTCTGTATACCACTGAAGTACCCCCGACAGGTTACTTATGATCTACATCAAGTAGATCCATCAAATCTTCTTCCCCTCAGGGACACTCTTGTCACTGCGCTGGAGAGATATCAGAGCGGTCCGAAGACCATCATCACACAGTTGTGTCTGGCTCTTTCAGGGCTTGCCCTGCAACTCCCAGCTTGGGACAATGCTCTACAGAATATCGTCGAGATATTTGGGGCGAACCCTGCAACGGTTCCTGTGCTTCTGCAATTTCTAACCATCCTTCCCGAAGAAGTGTCAGGGAACACAAGGATACCTGTGACCGTGAGTGGCGCATAGTTAGTCGCTAGCTTTAAGAGGTTTTCATGATCCCAACAGGATGATGAATATCGCGAAAGGTCTGCAAAACTCCTTTCAGACAACTCTGAGCAGGTATTGGAGCTACTGTCCATGTACTTGCAGGCACCTGGTTGGTTCTTTTATTTAGCCGCCAAAGGTCATTGATTACATGTTTTGCAGGTGTTACGCACGCCGTTCAAGGCCAAATCTTTGATTGCCTTCGCAGCTGGTTAGTCGCAGGAGAAATCAATATGTCAGCGTTTGGGAAGTCTCCTTTGCTTGCATTTGCGTTCGAGGCCCTAGCTTCGGAGGAACTTTTCGACTCGGCAGTTGACGTCGTCTGTGAAATGATACACGAGACGCAAGAAATCGACGACAATATGCCCGTGATTGAACTTATCGTTCCTCGCGTCATTGCCTTGAGGTCTCGACTGGAGGATCAGAAGGATGATCCGGAAAAGATTCGAGGCTACGCAAAGATATTTGCGGAAGCGGGTGAAACGTACCGGCTGCTCATTCTTCAGCACACCGACACATTTTACCCTATCGTTGAGGCAATTGGCCAGTGCTCAGCCTACCCTGACCTCGATATTGTGCCCATCACTTTCCCCTTCTGGATGCGGCTGGCTCAGACTATCGGCAAGAAGTCGTCTATTTCGCCACTATTTGGGGAAGCGTACAAGGCGTTGATGGGAGTTGTCATCCGCCATTTGCATTTCCCTCCTGATCTCACCTCTATGACGGGCCAAGAGGCGGATAACTTCCGCTCGTTTAGACATGTGATGGGAGACACTCTCAAGGACTGTTGTCTAGTTCTTGGTGCAGATGCCTGTCTTCTTTCTGCTTACGGGCTCATTACTATGGCGCTCTCTCGCGGCCCACAGTCCATCTCTTGGCAAGAAATCGAGGCCCCTCTCTTCGCTATGCGCTCCATGGGTGCCGAAGTTGATGTGATGGACAACACCGCTGTGCCCAAGATTATGGATCTCATTCCCTCCCTTCCGATTCATCCTCGAGTTCGCTATGCTGCACTGCTCATCATATCGCGTTACACCGAATGGATCAACCGTCACCCGGACTACATTGCATACCAACTCCAGTACATCTCAGCAGGCTTTGAAGATCCTGATCCTGAAGTCAGTGCCGCTGCAGGGCAAGCGTTGAAGTACTTGTGCCAAGATTGTAAACAGGTGAGACCGAGTATCACCTTTGTGATCAAGTTTTATTTTACCAACGCACTTCCAGCATTTGATCGAATTCCTTCCCACTCTGCATACTTTCCTCACAACAACCGGAGCAAAGCTAGCTCAAGACGATCGGCGGCAAGTATACGAGGCTATAGCTTACGTGATTTCTGCAATGTCCATGGAGAAAGCTGCGGAGTCCCTGCGGACATTTTCGCTCGATATTCTGTCTCAAATACATGCCATAAGTAGCAAATCGACAGCAGTCACCAAACAAGAACTCAAGGAAGTCGGATGTAAGTTTCGTGAATCGCGCCGAGATCTGGCTAACGCCTGTTTCCAGATGGTTTGGAAAACCTGGAGGTCATGTTGCATGTTGTAGGACCCTTTGGAGACCAGCTACCTGCCGCCTGTCAGAACAGCTGTCAAGAGGCGTGGTCGATTTTTGACACCTTCATTTCCAAGTTTGCATTTGACTATGACACCTCTGAGAGAGCTACTCGCGTACTTCGTCACGGCATTACGCTATTTGGCCAGTCCGCTCTTTCAGTTGCATCATCTGTCTTATCACGGATGGTGACGTCCTTCGAGGCAACTGGCTTCTCGTCTTTCTTGTGGATTTCTGGGAAATTTGTAGGGAGGTTTGGTAACGAGTCGGACCCAGCGTTGCGAAATGCTTTTCAAACACTGTACGAGAGGGCGACCAACAAAGTTGTTGGTCTCTTACAATCAAAGGATCCAAGAGATATCCCTGATGGTGAGTCCTTTTCGTTCCAATTCTGGCCGTAGCTGACTCTGTTTTAACAAGTGTTGGAGGATTATGTTCAGCTATTGCTCCAGCTCATACGGATGGCTCCGGACGTTTTCTTCCAGTCCAGCGCATTCCCGCTGGCATTCCGAGCCACCATGGCTGCCCTCACTTTAATTCATTCTGACCTCGTCTTTGCATCCTTAGATCTCTTCCGCGACATCCTTACTCACGAGAGTCTAACTCCTAGTTCGTCGCCACCTCCCAAGTTCCCCATCTACTCTTCCGCCATCAAGGCCGTCATGGAAAAGGAAGGATTCGAGTTCGTCGGCTACATGCTCTCGGGCCTTGTCGGAGACTTCCCTGAAGACTCTACTGCTGTTGTTGTCACCATTTTCCGCGCCGTAGCGCTTTTATGGTCTACGCAGCTAGTCGCATGGCTGCCACCTATTCTGCAACAGCTTCCTCCATCCAGTGCCCCGAACCAAACGAAGCAGCAGTTTTTATTGGATGTGACCAAGTGCGTGTATCTCACAAATCCCTTTAGTGACTGTGGTATTAAAGCCGACTGATTGTTAGCGCGTTGAACGCCGCCCAATACGACAAGGTCAAGTATTCCATTCTAGCACTCCACCGAGCCTCGCGCAAGGCTCGAGATCGCAGACGTGTAACTCCCCTTAACCAAGCGTGAGATTCAAGTGAGGAAAGCTTTCTCGTCGGTAACGATGGACCGGGGGTGTAGCGAAGAGAAGAGATGTGCATACTTACAGAGCTGTAATAGGAATCTTGTACATGGCTAAAAATGTTTATCACTCGCCTGCGAACGGTTACTAGTATCTTCCACTAGGCGTTACGTCTGAGGGAACGTTGCTCACGGAAAGTCCAAACACGCAGACATGGCAAGCAATGAACACAGTCAGGTCTGACTTAGGAACGCCAGGAACGCGAGAGTATCTCATGGCAAAGTGCCAAATCGGGCAATATCGGGTTTTGGTGTTTTGGCACGGCGGGCGGGTTGTCACAGATCACAGCGTAGCGGAGAGACTTTGCTTTTCTTTCCAACACCACGTCCACTAATGCTTCGTCGTTCAGGTCAATCCTTTGCTTCTGACCGTACGTTCTTTTTCTTACTTTGCAATAGCAACTGAAACTTGATGCTCTCTAGTCGGTCGCCGCTCCTTCTCGGTTTCGGCTTCTCGAAAGAGTTATGCTGACACCATACACAACCTACGTATTCACAAAGACACCAAAGTACTCTGTCAAGGTTTTACTGGAAAGACGGTGAGCTCTCGATGCTTTCCTTAGAGCCCAATGCGCGAAGAATTTATCATCGGAACAGGGAACCTTTCACGTGAAAGAGGCTTTAGCTTATGGAACGAACATGGTTGGGGGTGTCTCCCCAAAAAAAGCAGGCCAGACGCATCTTGGCCTCCCTGTGTTCGGTAGTGTCCAGGAGGTACGAAGGGATCCATTGTTGTTCTGTCGACTGTCTTCATCCTATCGAACAGGCCGTTCGGGCAACAAAACCTGATGCAACCATCCTTTACGTTCCTCCTCCCACTGCTGCTGATGCCATCATTGAGGCCATTGAGAACGAGATTGGTTTGATTGTTTGCATAACGGAGGGTATTCCCCAGGCCGATGAAATCAAGGTAGACTATTTTTGCGATACATCAAAGCAGTTTATGAACTTTATATTTAGGTCATGAATGCCTTGAAAAGCCAATCTAAATCTCGTCTCGTTGGGCCCAACTGCCCCGGTATCATCAACCCACTAGGTTGCAAAATGGGCATCCAGCCTGGTCACATCCACAAGCCAGGAAAGATCGGTATGTCCCTACCAAAAGGTTTGTTTTGATCTCCTGCCTCATTGACGTACTCCAGGAATCGTTTCGCGTTCTGGAACCCTTACATACGAAGCTGTTGCCCAGACCACCGGTGTTGGTCTCGGCCAATCACTCTGTATTGGCATTGGTGGCGATCCATTCCCTGGCACTCAGCACATAGATGCCCTCAAAGTTTTCATGCAAGATGATGCGACTGAGGGTATTGTTGTCATCGGTGAAATCGGTGGTTCTATGGAAGAAGAGGCTGCCGATTACCTCGAAAAATACAACAAGACTCGTGCCAAACCCAAACCTGTCGTTGGGTTCATCGCGGGACGCACTGCTCCCCCTGGGAGACGCATGGGCCACGCTGGTGCTATCATTTCTGGCGGCAAAGGTATGAACCATCAATTTTTATTTGCCCTTCAACTGAGTTTTGGGATTGTAGGCGCTGCAGTAGACAAGGTTGCTGCTCTTGAGAGAGCTGGTGTTATAGTGACAGACAGCCCTGCAAAGATCGGTGCTGAGATGCTTAAGGTTTGTCCAGCTTTGATTGCTTGCAATGGTATACTGACTTTCGGGCAAGGCAATGAAGGCGGCAGGTCTCGTATAGATAGATCTTACGGCTATACCAGTGTACCACAGTTCAATCTATTATTCTTATTAGGCCAATTATCTGCTAGGAGCTTACATAATGGTGTATCAATCGTTCATCGATGTCATTTACTCCGTCCCTAGCCATAGATGAAGCAGCTAGCTATGTATCGTCCGCACCGTCCCTCTCAAAGGTTTCAAATACCATCAAGCTCGAGGTCAATATAGTATTCTTGACTTTTACCCATTCTCTGACTTGTTCACAGCTCTATGGTCTATTCAAGTATCTCAAAGTGGCCCCGAAGCCACAGGGCTCAAGGCCATCGATCTTTGATATGACAGGACGCGCAAAGTGGGACGCGTGGAAAGCGGCGAGCGATGGGTATGAGAACAATAGCCACGCCGCGGCCCAGCGGTATCTAGTAATCGCTCAGGAACTGGGATGGAAACCAGGTTCTACTCCCAGCAGTGCGCCTGGGAAGCGATCGGAGGATGGAGGTGCGGATGCAGGTGTGTGGAATGACTCTACTGGCTCGGAGTCATCCAAGTCTTCAGGTGGTGGTGGCGGCGGCGGCGGCATGGGGACATCTGTCAGCTCATTGGCCAAGCCGGGCCCAGATTTGGGTGAAGCTCAGACGTTGCATGGATTAGCTATCGCGGGAGATGCAAAGAAGTTGATGGCGTTCTTGCTTGTGAATCCAGCGGTCGATATAAACGCACGCGATGAATTTGTGCGTTTCACCAGTGCTTCTCTCCATAAAACTGAAGTTCCAGTGACAGGATTATACCGCCCTTCATTTGGCCTGTGATAGAGGAAACTTGCCAGTAGTCCAGGTATTACTGAGCAAGGGAGGGGATCCTCTGTTGAAAGTAAGGCATAGAACCTTATAATTCGAATACTGACCTCGTGATCGGGCAGGATCCCGACGATTACACTGCAGCGGAGCTGGCTCAGGTAGCTGGACATCAAGAGATATACGACTTCCTGAATAAATAGCAGATTTTAAAGGCTGTTTGAATGATAATGCAATTATGACCCCAAACTACGTATGCGAGGCTGTGGTGGTAATATATGACTTCCTCCTCGCTTTTAACAGACGGCGGAACGAACCCACCCCAAAGCGACGTCGAGTTGCTCAAAATCCCTCAGATACCACGAGGACTATGATGTAGGTGAAGTCGTTCCACTCGAGCCAGAGGCACTGTCTTTCGACAATTCTGTACCAAATTTTGGACCCACAACCTTCGGGTGATACTTGGAGTCCGGGGGTAATACACCACCCTTGAATATTTACCTTAGCACCAACAAGTGTACGAATAACAAAGGCGGACTTACGCATTCCAATAGCTTGACTACAGATTTACTAGGCAGTGCCCCAACACCCAGCCAGTATTTTATTCTATCCACACTCCATTTGACAGTCTTGTGTGCCTCCCCGAGCTTAAGAGCAGGATCGTAGATGCCCAATAGCTCCATAGGCTTTGCATCTCGTCTTGTGCGTTGGTTGATGGCGACTAAATGGAATATACGGTTGTGTCTCCGGCCGTGCATGGCCATCCTGAGGCGTACAGTCATAGTGAGTAACGCAGCGGTAGTACGCTTGCAAGTTGGAAGAGAGCAGACACCTGAGTAAAGCTGTATTTACTACTGTTTGGTCAGACGTGTTTTCCATGTACGCGTCGAGCGCGGGCAGGCGCGAGCTCGGCCTGTGTTCACGACTTCAACTTTATCGCACAAAACTCTAGGCCACTGTACATTTTTGTACAAACCGTGGATTGCAGTGAATGGGGCAATAAGTTTTCTAGATTATACATATAGTTGGTGGATGAAAGGATGTGATGTTCGTAATGTCCAGTAACATCACCGAGGTCTACCGTACCTGCTCGTACAGCAGGGTACAAGTTTTAGTGAAGAGTTCCCCTACAAGCAGCCCAAGTTAATCTGAGAATGCAAGAGCCAAGTGTTGTCTTTTCCATTGTTGTATCTTTCATGACTCGGGACCTTCGCTGCCTGGAATTAACTGGGGAGGCGGACATCCGAGTCAGTCTCCACCCCAACGTCCAGTGAAAGAGCATCACAGACCATACAAATGTTGTTGCCGTTGAGAAGCGTCTGCGCAAGCCGTGTTTTCTTTCTTCCCTGAGGCGTTGTCTCGCTGAGGACGACCATCAGCAACAAGAAACCACCATCATCCAGTCTCACTGACTATTCTGTTACATCCTCTAGGACCATGTCTGCGTGTAGACGTATTCAAAACCAGCTTATCGCATATGAATCAGTGGGCGACTCACTCACGAAATCGTCGAAGCCGAGCAGCGTCCCAGTAAACTCACGATCAGTCTTCATGATAACCCATATGCGGGATCCAATGCATCTGTCAATCAGCTCTGCGACGCGGCTGTCAGGAAGATGACCAGTGGTCTTTGTTGTCTTTGTACTCGCCTAATGGGAGGATTTGAGAAGCCATGACGGTAGAGCTTGTGGTGGCGCAAAGCAAGACAGACAAGTCGTGTCGCACCAGCACTCAGAATCAATGTTGTAAATTTCATGTATCGCATAACGGGCATCGTAGTGGTTACCAATAATCATCACTATCAGGTACTATACTGAATCATTTTCTTGTGCTCTGGCATACATTGTTCTGTCATAAAGGAATTTGCGTCCGTTAGACGCGTTACATGTAACATACCGCACAAGCGCAAAGAGTAAGACGATATCACGGGGTTGCAAACAGAATGAAGAGTTGATCGATAATGGTTGGTGCAAGATATAAGTGACAGTACCACACAGTGGAAGAGATAGGCGAATCAACAAGACCAACAATTTACTGCTGGCCGAAACTGAAACCTCCTTGAGGAGCAGTGACATCTGAGTGGAACTGCATAGATGATTAGTACACGAAAAAAGTACCATATCAGCGCACTTACAGCAAATGCACCACTAGCATCAACGTTAGGTGCGCTTATTGCTGCATCACCTTCCTCCTCATCTGGGAAGTACTTGTCCATGATATTGAATGCCTTCTTATATATCTCCAGGTTGTCGTGCGATTGGAGGTTGTGGATGGTGATCATACCGCCTGCCTCTTCGACATATAGAGCATATTGGTTGACGGATCCGGGACCTCCAGCCTGCTTATCCGTCTCGCCGACTTTCAGAATGTTATCGAGACCATCAAGGGCAACTTGAATAATCTTGTTATCCATCATGGTGAGCAGATCACAGAGCGGCTTGATACAGCCTTGCGAGACGAGATAGCGGATCTGCGCTGGTTCGTGAAGGCCCCCGGACGTTGCGTTCGAAATTGCCCAGCAGGCCTCCTTCCGCGTTTTAAAGTCGGCATTGGAAAGGATGTTGATAAGTGGGGGAATAATATTGGCGTCAATGACTGACTGAATCTGGGGAGGCGACCCAGCGGTGACGTTGGAGATTGTCCAACACGCTTCTTTCCTGATACCCTCTTTGGGGGAAGATAGCAATGAAAGAAGAGCGGGCAAGGCCCCAGACGCGATAACGACCTGAGTCTGAAGATCATCTCCAGTTACAATGTTGCCGATTGAGCGAAGAGCGGGCGTTTGTACAGAAGTTGAACTGTGCATGAGTAGATCAACGAGACGCCGACATACAGCTGACTCGATAACTGCTTGGATCTTGTCGTTCGAACCGTCTGAAAGGTATGAAATAGCCCAGCAAGCATCAATCAAAATTTCGTCATCGAGCGAGTAAATGAGTTTGGTCAAGACCGTCAACGCAGGAGAGATCTGGTGGAAGATGTCAACATCGTGTGCATACAAGCCATGATTTGTCACAAACCAATTCCCAGTCGGGCTGAGGGTTTTTGCCCCTGCAGAAGTTACTCAAGGTCCACGTAGCGTTCCTAAGCATGCTAAGTTTGTGATTTTCGCTCAACAAAGTCAAGAGTGGCCTCAGCGCCCCTTGTTGCAGGACGTAATCTCTGCATTGTGGGCTGTCACCCGCAATGTTCCCGAGGGCCCATACTGCTTGCTCACGAACATCGAGAACCGGAGATGACAGGAGATTGATGAACTCAGGGACGGCTCCAGCGGAGATAACAACTTGAGTGTGCTCGGCAGTACCAGAGGCTATATTTGTGAGCGCCCAGGCAGCCTCGAACTGTAGACCGATTAGCATCGACTAAATGGTGAGGCACGGGACAATGTACCTGCAACATGGAAGCACCAGTCCGAAGGAATTCAACGAAACGGGGCACAACACCACACTCGATGACTTTCTCGATTGGAGGGTTCCTCTCCTTTGACAGCAGTTTCCGGAACTTCGTGGTTGCATCCAACTGGCGATCAGGATCATTGGAGAACACGCCACTAATCATTTCCTCCGCAAGCTGCAAGCATGTTCAAAAGAAAATCCTGAAGCAGATGAGAGTGTACGCACTGGAGGCTCCCAATTGCTTGTTGTCGCTTCTTCGTCTGAGTCGGCTGAAGCTGAGGGGAGGAAATTACGCCTCTTCGCGATATTCTCCTCGCGCTTCTGCCTTCTGATCTCAACCTGCTGCTCCTCTCTGCGACGCCTAAGATCGTCTTGCTTCAAACCGCCCTTGTTCTTATAGTCTGATCAAACACGCGTCTTCAGCAACTGATATCAAGAGAAAAAAAAAGTGAAAGAGGCATACTAGCTCTGCGATGTTCCATAGTACGTGACTCCATGATGGATGACTGGATCGTAAAATCTAAGAAATGATGGAAGGGAGAGAGAGAACCAGAAAGAAGATCAAGATGTTGAAAGCCCTCGCGTCACAACAAAGGATAAAGCATTATCAGCCACACGTGACATTGTCACATCCGTCACACTAGTGACTCGATCAGTCACGTCACGAATTTACATAATTTACGAAGTCACAAAAAGCTGTGTCGCCGCGAATATATTATAACTCAATCACACGACAAGTTTCTAGAATGAAAATGTTCGATTGAAGTAAGAATACAGCGTGGATAATAGTTTACGAGTCAAACGGGTACTAGCAGAATATGTTTAGTCTCTCGGGATGGACATCCTTGTTAATGATCGCTTACCTCAAATGATTCTGGGGGATCGACATCTGGCGAATTCTCATCTAAAGCGATGTGGAAATCTCTCGAAGGTCGGGCGCGGTTTACGATGGCTTGTGGTTGCGCATGTCCGTTCTCAGTTGGTGCTGGTTCCACAGCGGGAGGTTCGAACGAAATAAACTCTGCCTCCGTGTCTGGCCTCTCATCCACCATCATGAGGATACCACCCCCACCCGCGTACCGCTCTGAGGCAACACCAGATGGCGCTTTTCTGGCACCAGCGTTCGGGTTCCCTTTGCCACCAGTCTTGGGCGGGACTGTATTCAACGATACCGGACGAACGGGTTGATACCGTCCTTCAGGGGGGAAGCTGATGTAGGCGAGCTGCGTAGGAGTAACACGAGAGAAGTTTGCAACATTCTCTGAGGAAGGTTCTGATTTTCGCTTTGGCTTAACATCTTCCGGAGTGTTGGTCGAGGGCGAGCCATCCGTAAGCTTGCCCGAAGGAGCCTCTTCACCTTTCATTTCAACATCGCCGTCCTTCTTTGGCTCGGGCTTCTCGTCCTGAAATTTCATATAGATAAGTAAGGAAATACCCGGCTGTAAAGGCAACCACGCGTACCGTATCCATAGCGTCTGCATCAGCAGCTGCTTTTTTCTTTTCTCTCGCTTTGACCTTGGCAGTTGTCGAAAGAACTGCGGTAGCCGCTTTAGCGAAGGTTTCCCGTTTGGGAGGTGTGGCGGGAGGAGGATAGGCGAAAAGACTGGGTTTAGCATTGGAAACAAACTCGAACTTTGGCACCTGAATTCTGGTTAAGTGAAAGTGACCCAAAGACGTTGCATGGTGCTCACCTTTAGGTCTTCATTCAAGCCAATAATGGCGGTCGGTTCAAACGCGAGGCACGCGCAGTGTGCCAATGGATACCAGTACCAGAACTGGCAGAACATGGCCATGCCAACGATCGCGTTCGTGTTTTTGCTTCCCGCTCGGCTCTGCAAGCTAATGGTGACGTTGCGGCCACCAGCATCTATCAAACCTTGCCCAATGGCAGCACCGAAACGTGCCATGGGGTCTTCGTGCTTGTCAGACACCACCTTAGTGTAGAGGGCGCGGGTTGAGGACATGGAAGGAGACGAGGCTTCTGATTGTTGAACTAAGATCATACCAAGAGCAATGAAGGCACCCTGTCGCACGAAGTCGACGCCGTCCTTGGTCATGGGCTCAAGGATCTCAACAGCATCTTGAAGACCGGTGCCTGCGCATGCGATACCCAGGGCTAGGGTTGCACCACAACGAACGTGTGGGTTGTAACTTTCACTGAGGAGCTGAACGATTCGGGGGACTTGACCTGGGTTCTTGAACAGGAGGAAGGCGAGTGAGGTCACAGCTGCCCTCCGAACATCATCTGAGGTGTCAGAGACTGCAATGTGCAGGAGCTGCCGGACTGCGTCGTTATTTGACGTCCCTGCGTAAGCCAGCGCAAGAGTGTAGACACCACCATAACGTAAAATAGGGTCCTAGATGGACACTTTAATAAGAGCGCTGGTGGTCATGGCAAATTCTTTACCTTTTCAGCCAAAAGAGTTGTAATAGTAGAGTCGGCCTCCTCTTGTCGACCATAGAAGATGAACGCCAGTCCCATAGCCAAACCGCGGATGATCTTCTCGTGTTGTGTCTCTCTAGCATATGTTAACATCTCCTCTGCGGAGGTCCGGTCTGCAGATCCAAGCATCACGAGACCCATGGCATAACCAGCTGCTTCGCCAGCCACGGCGGAATCGGTGAAAAGTGTCTCCTTCAGATCATCGTATGCGTCGGAGCTTCTTCCGCCCATTCCTGAAATACCAAGGCCAAGAGCGGCACCATGCTGCACAACCTCACCCTGAGCGGTTTTCATGGTCTCGCGTAGGTAGTTCTCAACGGGTTGGCCGCTACCACAGCCAGCGTTGATCAAGCCAAGAGCATAAAGAGCACCACCCTCTGAGAAGGCGGCCCCTTGGATCTGGCTCTCTCCTCCTGCCTGGGGGAGGTATGGGCCAAGAATGTTCATCCCCTCTTCGAAATAACCCTTGTGGATGACACCGAGGGCGGCGGTCGTAGAAAATTTGGCCCAGTTAGATGCTAAACCGAGCCATTCAAGGTTTTCGCGAAGGAACACGTCGGAAGTTGTTCCAGCGTGCATGAAGGCGTTCTGCAGAGTGACCGCCGTATGGTATATAGACGTCCGGGCCTCAAGAACGTCCTGGCGACAAATATTAACGACGATTTAATCTATAACGAGAATACTCACTTTCGTGTTCCTTAGAACCAGCATGTCTACCTTATTATTGCGCTTCAAGAATTCCAGGTATAGTTTGACAGACTCTTGCCCATCCAGGATTTTACGGAGCTTGTCGTATATGTCTTGGGTTTCCTAGAGAAAAACTTAATAAATTACTAGCAAGTAGATACCAAAACTCACCTCCTTGCCCTCAGGTAAGTCGGCCTTCACCCCTTGCAAGAATTCCCGAGCACCACCCTCAACCAAGTCGAATGCGAATTGATATGCAAGCAGCCGCTCCTTCGGAACGAGGGAAGTCAGGAGTGGAACGACAAGTGATGGTCGATTGAGGGTGACTAGTAGCCTAGCAAGGGCATGAATGTGCGGAGATTTTGAAAGTGATGTGGGAGGAGGGAAGAGAGGTAGAAGGAAATTGAGGACTTGGTCACGGTAGGAGAGGGAGAAGCCTGTATCCAAAACAGCTTCCATCGTGTACGAGAGAAGGGAGACGTCATGTGTCAAGTCATATATACGGTTCACAACATCGAGACGATGAGACTCCAGTGCAATGCCAATTGCCTGCCCGCAAACGGTCAGCTCGGAGTAGGTAGCATCCACGACAGTTGTTTTACCTGGCGGTACTCCCCCTCTTCAATGCAGCGATCAAAAATACTTTCTATAATAGCTTGTAGTCGATGATCAATCTTTGTCGAGCTCCCGGAAGGCTCTTCAGTGCGCAAGGTAACATATCGGTCAATTGCGTTGGCTTGGAGGTGGGTAAACGGCGTAAGTTGATATATGGGCCAGAGCAACCGGTCTGACACTCACATATCACTGTCTCGACATATTCGCCTGCGCCATGTGCGCGAGCCTCAGCTTGGAACGCGCTCCCTGCGCCCAAGGCAAAGGACAAGGCTTCGTCATACTCTCCCAAGAAATAATACACTTTGCTAGCCAGCAAAGCAGCGCTATGGCGGGCTGCTATTGGAAGTTCATCGGACTCGTACAAGCTTTCTCTGAGAATGAATTCCGAGGTCAGAATCGACTAGTGCGCAGTGAGCGATGGCAGTCCATACATGAGTGCAATGTGCTCCGAAATTTCTGCCCAAAACTGAGGAACAAGGGGAATTAGTGCTTTGAGAGCATGTTGCTTGAATACGGTGTCTGGTTCTTGTAGGAGAGCGAGCACGCCAGCTGCTGAAGATTGGGAACGGATGACCATGACTTTCAAGTCAAAGAATACTATGAGACGCGTCACCTTTCATCACGCTACACACGGACAAGTCTTTCAATCGGAGATTCAATTCACCTGCCCGACCTCATCCGCCTACAATATTCACTGCATAACATTTAACATTGATTCATGTTTACTCGCACCGCCGTCCGTGTTGTTGCTCGCGCAGCTCCCAGAGGTTCTCGCGCAGCCTCTGTCGATGCAGGTGCCAGTGATTTTTTTGCAAAGCGTGAAGCAATCAGGGCCCATGCTGCAGGTTTGCACAAGTACTGTCTTGCGGATATAATCGATACTTAGTTAACCTGACAGAAACTACTCAGCTTTGGCGCAGAATAAGGTTAGCCCAACATTCCCTACGTATTTTGTCCGTACTGAAATCATGCAAGCTTCTTTGTTTGCGTCCCAGCCAGTGCGTTTTGACACCGGCTATATCTTTGGTCTGCTCACTCCATTTTAGCCATCGTCTGCGCCCTTTGGGTGCGTAACGTGGAGGCTGAACATGCCGAGCACATAGAACACATAAAGGCAGAACATGACGGTCACCTCCCCGAAATCCCCAAGTACGAATACATGAACCGTCGTCTCAAGCCTTACCCTTGGGGTATGAACTCGCTGTTCTTTAACCCACATGTAAGCTGTTCAACTGTTTTAGAGTTTGTCTAAACTTATCATTTGTAGGCCAACAAAGACCTGTCGGAGGAGTGATTTTGTTTCGTCCTCGGTAGACTATGATGCAATTTCATCTCGTTCAACAATTTCAGAGACCTTGCTGTCTCCACTATTTTGGTCGGTGTGACAGTCGTAACTTCCTGGCGTTATATCTGCCTCCATGGCTTCGACTGATTACTGACATCGACATCACTGCCATAATACAAAAGTGTGATTGAAAATTTAAAGGCAGGGAATGCACGCTGTGCACCAGCAACTCTAATTGCCCTTCAATTGGAGGGCTTATATGGGTATTCCAGGTGTCTAGACGTCAGTGCAGGGGTCTTGCTCCGCACATGCGATGCTTGGAATTCTGCTGCACCGTGCTTCTTGCAAGCCAAAAAATTCGTCTCCCAGCCTATGCAGAATCTTACGAGCAGTTCTCGTCGTCAGGAAACCATGCTTATGATAAGAGATAGATGAGATCAGGGACAAAAACCGTTGGAATTTCAGTACGTCTGAACTTGCACTCGCGAGTGGGGTTGAGCTCATCGTGTCTGCAGGAAAGCATGTCAGCTACGATGAAGACTGAAAGCTATTCCTCCTTCATTGTTGTTTGTAACATAGTGCCCGTGTATCTTTGTGAGGTTCGTGGCAAGGATACGCACTTCTTCAAATGACTTGGACATAATTTCTAGTGGGACGACCCGAATGATCTCGGTAGAGCCGATACTTTACCGCAAACTTGATGCTGATATTGAAAGCTCATAGTGCATCAGTCCCAATATTTGTCCAGTGTCCCTGTAAGTCATTCGTCCATCGGCGGAGTACTATAAGCTGGAGGTCGCACAGTCGTCATGGGATCTTGATGAGGCACCCACTGCCGTCGACAGCGTGGGCTGTGGACTTTCGACCATGCTATCTATCATGTTTATACTTGCGGAAGGTGGACCAAGGCCCTAAGGATTGTGGACAATAGAAAAGTAAAGGCAAGACGCAACAAAATTGATGGTTAGTACAAGGTGGCACCAAAGACATGGGACCGCACTGAGCCGGATTACTGATTGAAAGGCACGAAAAGTGTCGGGATTGAAGGCATAGGTGACAATGACTAGGTCGACTTAACAACCACTGCAGGAGATGTGCAAGCACTTTAAATTAGTTCCACTGGGTGGCCCACCTATTTATGCCAGAGGCTTTCACTCTTGACCGCCCAATTTCAGTCCTCTAAACGTCTTCACTGCGGCACTATATCTCTTCATTCTCACCGCGTAAAGAGCTGTTTATCACCGCCTCGGGCCCTCCTGTCCCTTGTAAGTTGTAGACCCCACTGGGGTTTGACAAGTACCGTGAAATTAGAAAATATTATGGAGCAGCTTCAATAAACATTTTGCGGTCACAAAAACTGGGAAGAGGGTAAATGACCGCCCGACGTTCCAACGCGTTGCACAATGCAAACTGAGCCGTAGCTGCTAGGCGTTAATAGTAGAACCCTCGCTTCGAACAACCGTACATACGCTGTCGTAATATTTGCGGGCTGGGTGGTTGTCGCCAAAAAAGGAAGGTGCTGTAGATCGAATTCCACCAAAGCAACTTCCAAGTGGTGTGTGTGGGGACTTTCACGCGTCGACTACTCACCTTTCCAACCACCTACAACACCACCACCGACATAAAAGAATGCCCCGCGCCATCATATCTCCTTCAGTCCTGGCTTCTGACTTCGGGCAGCTCAGTGCTGAATGCAAGAGGATGATTAAAGGCGGAGCGGAATGGCTGCATATGGGTAAGTCTACTGATGCGTGATGTTTCAGCGAGACCGTCCTAATCACCGTTCCACTTTGTTTAGACGTCATGGACGGGTAAGAAATGAGATTTAATACTCTTATCCGATGTCAACCCGCCCCATCCAGTCACTTCGTGCCCAATATCTCAATGGGTTAGTGCACTATCGCGCTCGTTTGCCTGCGAGTAGTTCTCACGTGCATCGCAGGTGCACCAGTCCTGTCTTGTGTCTATAAAGGCGTCCCCGACATATTCATGGACTGCCATATGATGGTTGCAGAGCCCGAGAAAGTAAGCATACATCTTATCGAACTCGATCGACGTCTGATATTGGCATCTCCCTCAGTGGGTGAACGATATCGCAGACGCAGGTGGTTCGCTCTATTGTTTCCATATCGAAGCAACGTGTGAGTAACCTACGTCCTCGATCTTCTCGTTCTGATGGATCTCGCGCAGCCGATGCTGTTTCGCTTATCAACGCCATACACGCGCGGAACATGAAAGCAGGGGTGGCTATTTCTCCGGACACGCTGTCCACAGCAATCACAGATGAAATAGGCGCAGCAGCGGACATGCTTTTGGTTATGACCGTTTACCCTGGTGTGTCATAATACCAAATTTTTGATTGGTCAACTCACATGGCACAGGACGCGGAGGCCAAAAATTCCTCGAGCGCTGTGTTCCAAAGGTTGCGGAACTGCGCGCACGCTTCCCAGAAAAGGACATCGAGGTCGATGGCGGTGTTGGACCCAAGACAATCGATGTTTGTGCCGATGCAGGTTAGTGCTGCCACAAAATTCCTTGGATGATCGTCTGACTGGCTGGTCCGCAGGAAGCAACGTCATCGTGGCAGGAACTGCCATTTTCAATGCGCCAAAACCAGAGGACGTCATTGCTTCACTGAAAGCTACTGTTAATACCGCTCAAGCGAAGTTCTCGAAGTAGATGGCTAAAAGTCCTGATCGCACAATATGTATTGAGTAATTAGATTTTACGCATTCTTGTCCTTGAGGCAGCACAGGTTATGTTATTAAAGTAGACTAAGATTGGTCCTAGCAGGGCACTATGGCCTGAACCAGAAGGGCAGTAAAAGCAAACTGCTTGACATGTCCGAGGTGAAGAGTGGTAAAGGTATGGACAGTGAAAGGATCGGGAATCAGAAGCTAGGTATCCAAACAACTTGTCGTATTGATGTCAGGGTCTAAATCAAATAACAAAGGTTGCAGCTTGCAATCTGTGCATTTATGATATGAGGTCGTTTCAAATAACGCGTTTGATATGATTATAAGATTGAGGGACCATGGTCGACGGAACGCCGCGAGGACGGAGGCGATTCAAGGTCACCATTGTAGCCATTCGCCGTACATGTTTGGCCTCTCTCCACGAATGTAAGACTCGAACGTTCTCTTGAGGACAGTAGCCCAATCAAGATCGCGTTTATCGTCAGCAACCCGGTCAGTGGCATCCTCTGGGTCGACATCGGGCTCTGCCGCTGCACGGGCAGCTCTCTCGCCAGCTGCAAACTTGGGGCCTAGGTCAGGCCAGTTGCGAGATGAATCGAATGGCTTCCACCTAAGTTACGATTGAGCACGTTATGTCACCACCGAAGGATAGTCTACTCACCAGAAGTTGTGGAAGTGGTAAGAGAAAGCACCTTGGAAGAAACCTTCAAACCCTAGTGCCTGAGGAGCGGCACTCGCTTGTGCAGGGGTGTCAAAGAAGTCCGAGAACCTATGACACATGTGAGTGAGCTACGACATGATATTACGAAACCGCATACGTACTCTTGGAAGTATGGCTGAGGCGGTCTTTCGCGTTGATAGTACTCGGTGTTGAGCCATGCAGAGTCAAACAACGCGTCAGGTAGCCGTAGCAAGAGGCCCTCCAAGTATGCGTCCTTGGTATAACGAGATACCGTCATGGGATGGAAATCGAGGCCGTTCTTCAGAGCAGTGCGGAACAAGAATGACCCAAGAGCAGAGTTCTTGTTCATGCGCAGAACGGCGGTATTGTACTTCTCCAGCCGTGACCATCTATAGGCAAACGCGCCCTTCCAACCCCAAAGTTCTTCCCAATCCCGCAAGAAGATGGTGTCTGCGTCAAGGTAGATACCACCGAACCGATGACAAAGGACGAATCGCGCCATATCAGAGAGGATAACTGAGAGGCGATCATATGAAGACGAAGATTTCGAACCAGTACGGTTGAGCATATCATCTTCATCCGGCTTGTTGTCACCAGTGGACGAAGTCTTTGTAGAAGCGTCAGTTTCAGTACTGTTGGTCGAATCCTCTATAGTAGTAGTGGAGACCTCGGCACTTTTCGACTGCTGCTTCTCGGCGGGCACACTAACAATGTGTCCTCCTGAGTTGAAGAGAGTCTCTTTCAACTCGCGCCACTCGTCCTTGAGTTCTGGGATACCATCAAGTTGGTCTGTCGTATTCCACAGTTTGAATTTGATAACGTCCTTGAAGCGGTGGTGTAGGAAAGGGGCTGCCCAGGGATTGGTCTTGAGCCCTTCATACATGTCGCTCAAAGCGGAAGGGTTGGGGACAGACGCTGCAGGACCAGGATTGATCCACATCCAAAATTCCGGGCGACATACATTAAGAGTATCGCCATCCTTCAAATGAAGACCGACATTCTGCGTGAAGAGGAAGGAGAGCAACGCGAGATATGGCTTGTCGGTGAATGGGCCAGTCCAGAACATATGGAAGAGACGTGGGTTTTCAGGGTCGCAAGGTGCCGGGAGACTTGAATAAGGCGTATGCTGTAAAGGGGCACGGAGAGGTAATTGAGACTCCCAGTCTGCCCCTACCTTCTTTCTTAAACCTGCATTAGGATCCGTCTCTCCACCTGAAACTAGCGGACGGGGTGGAGCAATAGGATTGGCTATAGGGATTGGGATGGGATCTGTGAAAGGATCTGTGAAGTTTTCCTTTTCTTGTTCCTTGTAGATATATTTCCATTCATCCATTTCGCCCCGCCTGAGTCTCTTGCCGTTGTCGAGGCCCGCCCCTATACGCAAAACTTCGAGGCAGTCGCGTACATACTTTGAAAACATTAGCGGGGGAACAACAAGAGAAGAAGAAAGCGTACTTTGCCTTGTGAGAAGTCGCAATGATCCATAATGGTGTCGAGGTCAGCGACACTACCCGGCACAGGGCGAGGTGGATATGCGAGATTGGGTGGCTGGCTTTGTACATCAAGGTAGACGCGTCGTGGACCATCTCCGCGCGTGGTTGTAGCCACGGGGCCTGGAGGAGGCCTGAATCGTGAAGGAATCGTTGGAACTTTTCGTGGAGGAAGAGCAGGGTTGAGCGGGGGAGCGCTGAGTCCGATCTGCTCGGGTACTGAGAAAATTCCTGGTCAGCACGGTGTGAGAGCAAAAGGAATGAAGCGCACTCTTTGCATTACTGGGATAATGCCCACTATCTATTTCCCATTTCCAGATTCGCTGCAAATCGTCTCGCCCAAACACCAACGTGGAAGACTCTCCAAAGTTGGTAGTCCACTGTTTTTCCTCTGTGCCAAACCGACGCGCAAATGAACATACTGTGATAATGGAAGCCATCAAGACTACGCAGAGCAGTATGGGCCCTCGTCGTCGTCCGAAACGCGAGACACTGATTTGGTGAACACGACTTGGATTTGGCATAAATAAACGAAGGCGACGCGAGCGTACGCCGGGGATTGGGACTGATACTGGTACTGTCCAGGACATTGAGCGGGAATGTCGATGCATTTTCTCGTGAACGGCGGAAGAATAAGTTGGAAGAGCATTTGTTAAACGACTCTTGTCTGGAAAGCCATTCCCGCGTGGGGGAGTGAAATAATTAGAAGAGGCCATTCGACCAGTAAACGGCGAATTCACGACGCTCGTGCTCGACGGCGCCGAACAAGCACTTTTAAGAATATTGATGCTAAAGCAGAGAAGCGTAGCGATCCGTGGGAATTTATCAAACGGCAGTTAACGGGCATAGCAAATTCATCATTTGCTTGTCGTTTAGGCTATGACCTACGCCTTAATCCGCAGCTCATCGCCGACAACGCGGTCACAAAAATAATCACCGCAGCACCGGTGCGAGTGCTCACTACAAGTTAGATCGAATTATCAAAGTACACGTTGCAAAGTCAGTGTCTTTTAAATCACGAATAAGATCAATCTGTCCAAAATATCCACATCGAAAATGTCTCCCACTCCGACGTCACCAGCGCAACCATTCACCATACATATTTGGTCTTTCTCCTCGGATGTAGCCCTCAAACGTCCGTTTCAACACGGTCGCCCAGTCCAAGTCACGCTTGTCATCGGATATTTTGTCGTCCCAATCATCAGGGTCTGCATGAGGGTTGGCAGCAGCGCGCGCTGCCCTTTCACCACCTGAAAATTTGGGCCCCAAGTCCGGCCAATTCCTGGCAGGATCGAATGGTTTCCACCTTTTGCAAAGATATTAACAAGGGTTAAATATGAAACAAACATCTCCTCACCAGAAGTTATGAAAGTGATACGAGAAGGCCCCCCTGAAGAACCCTTCAAATCCGGAGACCTGCGGCGCAGCGCTCTGAGCTTCTGGAGTATCAAAGAAATCTGCGAAGCTGCGTGGATCATCAGCGAAACGCAGTCAGAACCATCTTCAGGAACATACCCTGCTAAAAAGGGGTACGGTGGCCGTTCCACTTGATAACCTTCCGTGTTTAGCCACGCTGGGTCGAAAAGCGCGTCAGGAACGCGCAATAAAAGGTTCTCCAGGTGCGCTTCTTTGAGGTACTTAGAGACAGCGACCGGATGAAAATCAAAGCCGTTCTTCAATGCGGTGCGGAAGAGGAAAGAGCCAAGGGCGGAACCCTTGTTGAGATGGAGCACAGCAGTGTTGTAGTCTTCGTGGTAGGACCATCGGTAGGCAAAAGCACCTTTCCATCCCCAAAGCTCCTCCCAGTCCCTCAAGAAGATGGTATCAGCATCTAGGTAGATTCCTCCATAACGATGAGTGACAATGAAACGTGCCATGTCGGACAAAATCACGGAAAGCCTGTCATAAGTCGCTTCCGATTTCGAACCAAGGCGATGAACCATATCACCGGTCTTAGTTGAGGTAGCACTAGAGCTTCCTGCAGGTTGGTCAGCAGGCACGCTCACAGTTACGCCCCCAGAATTGAAGAGAGTTTCCATTTTCCTCCACTCGTCTCTCAGCTCTAGGTTATTATCAAGTTGTTCTGTTGTGTTCCACAGTTTGAATTTGATAACATTCTTGAAACGCGGGTGAAGGAAGGGTGCCGCCCATGGGTTCGTCTTCAGCGCGTCGTACATATCTGTGAGCGCGGAGGGATTTGGAACGGCCGCTGCAGGACCAGGATTAATCCACAACCAGATTTGTGGACGACAAGCGTCAATCTCTTGACCCGATTCGAGATGGAGACCAAGATTCTGGGTGAAAAGAAAGGATAACAGTGCGACATATGGTTTCTCGTTGAATGGACCTGCCCAAAACATGTGGAACAGGCGGAGATTTTCAGGATCACAAGGATTCGAATGGTTTGAACCCACGCTTGGCTGCTCAGGGGGCGGGAGCTCGAGTGGACGCTCCCATTGAACATTCCTCTTCTTCATCAGTCCTGCATTGGAATTTTGGCGTCCAGTGGGGTATGGTCCTGCAGGCACTATAGGTGCAGCCTGCGTGGAACGGGGAGGATGTTCTTCCTCCGGTCGATCCTCTTCCATAAAAGCGTATTTCCATGCATCCACTGAGCCTCGTCGGAGTCTTCGACCATTATCCAAACCAGCAGAAACGCGTAGAAATTCCAAGCAATCCCGGACGTACTACGCAACAACGTAAACAGGTGCGTGAGATCTCTGCGAATGACACACCTTGCCCTCTGAAAAATTACACTGCTCTAGAATGATATCTAAATCTGCAATGCTTCCGGGTATCGGTCTAGGTGGGTATGCAGCGCCAACAGACTGCTTCTGATTTTCAAGATATGCCCTACGGGGACCAACTCCCCTTGCGATCGTGGTCACTGGCCCTGGCGGAGGCGTAAATGGTGAAATGAGTGTGTGCGCCTTTGCTGGTGGCAAGGCAGGATTTAATATGGCAGAGGTGAAGCCAATCTGCTCGGGTACTTAAGATAAGTCAGCCCCATCTGGCATGTTCGAAGCACGTTGTCGCTTACTCTTCCCATTGCTGGGGTAATGTCCGCTCTCGATCTCCCACTTCCAAATGCGTTGCAAATTCTCTCTGCCAAACACGAGGGTAGAATCCCTGAACGGGGGTGTCCAGTGGGACTCTTCAGTACCCAACAACATGAGGATGATCACTGCAATGGCAAAGACTACTGTGAGAAAAGCAAGACATCGACAGACGAAACCTCTCCGTCGACCGACTCGGGCAAATCTGGAACGGGACACGGGGCTCAAGGAGTGAAGACGTATTCTGCGCGTTGAACCTGACATAGGCATGAGCCATTGCCTGCCACTGGATTGGAGATGCAATTTTTCGCGAACGGCGGAGGAATAAGAGGGGAGATGAGGATCATAGTAGGGTCGGTCGCGAGGAACACCACGCTGAAATGCACTGAAATATCGAGAGGCCATCGCGTCAGGCGTCAGGCAATAGTTTTGTGGGGGAAGAAATGAAGGAAGGTAAGAACCTCAGGCGTCAGAGCGCGCGTACGTCAATACTTAGTGTGTAGTGGAGTAAAGAAAGTGGACATCAGGTCACCGCGTACAATTAACCTGCAAGGAAGATATTTTACCGGTATCAGTAGTGGCCCCCCCGGGGATGTACGTATGGTCACTCCTCATGGGAATCTACCACGAAGATGCGCAGCTGGTAGAGACATGAATAGAGTCATCGCGAGCAGTCGGTTACTCACACAAACGTCCAAACGCCGCTACCCTCTGTCAGATGCCAGATGTACATTCTTATATGCCATAATGCACGCTACAGTAAAGTTACAACAAAGTCTAAGGTCTCCACGGAATGCCCTCTCTGATCAACCCCATTGAATTATCTAGTTTGCTGCCAAGGACTGCATCTCAAGATCAGCCGGGTCAGTAGGCACAGACAAGATCCGCATGGTGTTGGTGTGCCCAAGACCTCCCTTCCAGCCCTGCACAGCGATCACAGTTGTTCCCGTCTTAATGATGTTCAACGCAAGCGCGTTCTTCAAACCGAACCGAATACGGTTGTCGACCTAGATAAAAATTATCAGTCTCCACTCAGGTCCCATCAGACAGCGGGTGCTTACATCTTTCTGCCACTGACTCTCATGAATTCCACGGGGCTCGGGGTACCAGAATGGATAACATCCACGGTGGAGATGGATTTGGCGCGCTGTCTGCTCGTTCCGAGTGACTTGAAAAGGTGGTTGAGTTCGAGATGTCCACAGCAGTCAAACGATACTTACCCGTGATGATGGGCACTCTGGGGCGGTATTTGGAGATCAAACGAGCAGTGTTTCCGCTCGTCGACAGTACAATAATAGCACTGGCGTTTTGCTCCGAGGCGGCAGCGACTGCAGCAATCGCCACAGTCTCCACAGTCTCAGTGGGACGAGGCTGGATGCCTCGCAGCTCGTCATACAAGGGTGGGTAACAAATTGCTGCCTCGGCCAGCAAACATGTCTCAGCCATCATGAGAACTTCACATAACGTCAGTCTCCTCATAACCGTCACACGAAGAACACACACCGGACTCTACAGGATAACTTCCCTTTGCAGTCTCTCCGGACAACATGACGCAATCGGAACCGTCAAGAACCGCATTGGCGACATCACTAATTTCGGCGCGAGTGGGCCTGGGGTTGTACTGTGCATGACCTGAGCAATGCTCATGGGGTAACATGTCAATTAACACATACCGTCATTGACTATAAGATAGCATATATTCAGCGAACGCCCTATCGCACGGCGAGCGATCTACGTACCTCGAGCATCTGAGTTGCCACAATGACTGGCTTCCCAGCAATGTTGCACTTAGCAATCATCATCTTTTGTGCCAAGAAGACTTGGCTAGCGGGGATCTCGATACCGAGGTCACCACGAGCAACCATAACACCATCAGTCTCTCGTAAGATTTCATCAAAGTTTTCAACGCCCTGCTCGTTTTCGATCTTGACGATAATTTTGATGTTCGCACCATCCGGGCCCAAAACTTGACGGATGTCTTTGACATCCTGACCGCGGCGGATGAATGACGCGAAGACCATATCGACACCGTTCTTGACACCAAACAACAGGTCCTTTTTGTCCTTGTCCGAGAGAGCAGGAAGGTCGACATCGGTCTTTGGAAGGTTTACACCCTTGCGAGAAGAGAGGGTGCCGTTGTTTACGACGCGTACACGAACATTGGCGCCCTCAATAGCCAAGACGAGCAGTGAGAGGACACCTAGGCAGTTATTGAATGAATGACTAATTCAAAGAACTTGAGAGATAAACTTACCATCATCAATGTAGATGAGCTTGCCAGGAGCAGTGACCTTGGGCAAGTTTTTCTGCAAAAATATACATTAGTGTGAAACGCACAAACGAGTATCGGCTGCGCACGTAGTCAAGCCATAGGACCTTGTCGTCGCAAATCTCGCTGTACTTGTCATCTGTTGATATGATGAATTCATGCCCAGCCTTGATTGGCACCTGAAGAAGAAAGGTGAAACGTAGTGTCAATCAGTGGCGTCAGCGGGAAAGATCAGACGCATACATCCTTTCCATCTCTCATCAAACCCGTGCGGATTTCAGGGCCTTTCTGTTACCAGTCAAATATCAGTGCAGGTTTGTAAGACGAGCACACGAGCCTCACTGTGTCCAAAGCAATCGCGACAGGTCGTCCACTGGGATCCTCTGGTAGGTTCGTGCATCAGTCTAACACGATTGTATGCTCAGACGATTCATAATTACCCGCAACCATCTTTCGCGTGTTGTCGATGACGCTCTGATGGTAATCGTATGAACCATGAGAAAAGTTCATGCGAACTTGAGAAGAAAGGTGATTCAGTCATCGTAGAAACAGAATGCGCGATCATCACTGACCAACGTTGACACCAGCACGTCTCAGCGCAGCAAGCTTCTCAACGGTGTTCGTGTTCGGACCTAGAAATAATTAAAATCATGCTAGATATCGACGATCGCACAGATCGCGCACCGATGGTTGCAATAATCGAGGTCTGCAGGGTTGTGATCAGATCAAAGGAACACCGATGGAAGTACAACTGACCTTGCGAAGGAACTTGGTGTCAGCGGTTGGCTGGGGGGCATTGGAGACGCTCAAGGTGGAATTCCACTCGAGCTGCGATCGGATACCATCGTAGGTGAACATCTTGTTGGTTCTGGATAGGAATCGATTATGTGAATTTGAGACCGTGCGTTGGACTGGGGAAGAAAGAATAATATCAGCACTTGTTGAAGATATAAGTCTTCTAGTGGCAATAGAGAGGAAAAAAGCAGTGCGGATCATACGATATGGTTTTTGCTCGGGTTCGGTCGACTTACCTGATGGATGGCGCGGTTAAGGAGGAATGTTCCACTAGTGGGTGGTTAGATAACTCTTCGTCCGAACAAAGTCAGGTTTTAAGGGGCAGTGTATTTATCTACATGCACCGATCCCCATCGATTATCCATCAAGCTCAAGGCCTGTTCCATTAATTGGCACCTTCACAGCATCGTGTCGGCCGTACCCATGATGGGCCGCCGCCCAGCATAATTTGACACGAACGTTCGAGCTTGGGCTATATCGGACAAGTGCTAGCAAGTATTGTGATTAAACTAACAAATATGGACCCATCATGAATTGACAATACGATAATAAACCTGCCAGCATGCCTGGCTTACAGAAATCCACTCAAGAAAATGAATCAGCAGAAAGAAGGGTAGGTACGGCTGGAACTGCGGAGGAGTACTAGAATTTAGGGCTTGACGACAGCAATGATCTGAAAGATAAGACAGAGCAAACGAAGAGCAACAAGCAATGAGAATCGACGACAGCATATCTGAATCCATGTTACATTACTCTTAACGTCCAACCGTGCAAACCTCCATCAGCCGCAGCCGCAGCTTGCGCCGCAGCGAGCCAGTTAGCGTCCGCTGATCCTCCTGGTGGTGCTAAAACACTGCCAGGTGCCATCGACCCTAGCTCCATAGCCTGAAAGACGTTTTCACAGCTGATTGTTCGTCCAGAGTGATAGCCGATACCGTCCGAGGCGCGAATGAACAACAAGGGAAGATTCCGACCAGCAATGGAAGGTGGAGGGTGTGACTGTGAACCATTTCCGTTAGGCCCGTCAAGCGGCGCTCCGTGTTCATTATGTTGCGATGATTGCCGATGGATGAGACCATCTGAGGTCATCACGCTCGGAGTCATTACATCCTCCTCGAGCGCCTTGATAATCTCGGGCAATGAAGGCAGCTCCACGGTCACGATGGTGTGCAAGGGAGGCTGAGTGAGATATCGTGATGCAGCGTCGGCGGGGGAACCCGCAACGTCTTCACCTCCACCCACCACTACCTCATTAGATGAACCCGACATGGCAGCACCGAAGGCGGCAATGTTAGTCAACGGTCCAGGGGGGGCAGCCTGATAGAAACGAGCTCTGAGAGGACCAAGACCACCTAAATACACGGTCAGTGGCATCTGAGTTCGTGTCTTTGGGTCTTCATAGAAGAAGTGCGACACGGTCATTTCGAGTATATTGTTCGTCGGTCGGTAAACTGGCGCCGTGAATAATGTTGGGAAGGGTGTGATGGGCATCTCGGGTATCGAATTACTATGTTGACCAAACGCATCAAAGAATGTATACTGGAACTTGGCTATGGTGGAGCGTTGTGAGCGGAATCTAATGGCTAATGAAAAGTACCCACAAATGCCCACAATTGTCCAGCATAAATAGTCATCTACTTCATCGGTCAAAGTTCGCACGCCATCTTTCATCTCATCTCGTATGCGTGGCGATTGGAAGATCAGGGGGTGTGTTCCACCTTGGGCCGGCGCTCCTGGGACGGATGGGGTAGAGTTCGGAGCGCCAGGGATAGGACCGGCAGCAGACAAATAATGTCTCGAACCATCCTGGTTCACTCTTTGGAGAGCAATTTTCTGCATCTGACTGACAGGTCCCCCATCCTCAGCAGATACGCGACCCTTGTCTACTTTGCGAATGATGAGGGGTGACGTGGCGATATTGGACAATGTGTCCGATAACACGACCTCACAGCCATATGTTACAGGTTGCGGACCGGCTAGGTTGGGCAACGTGAACGTGAGTAAACATGTATAATACTTTCCAGTCACGTGAGCACATACCATTGGTGGGCGGCGCGTCATCGGGGCGTCGCACTACGTTCACGTTGAACGCAGACCAGGTAACATTACTTGCACAAAGCTGAGAGTTGTCGATGGTCATATACTTGGTGCGTACAGTCTGTGAATTGATCCTGTTGAAAAGAGACACAGGACCTCCAGCGAGGATACACGAAGAGATGTTACGCGTTTTGGCTGTCTTCTTCGAGGGTTTAGATATAATGGTTACAGGAGCTGAATCAAAGGTGGCCCAAACACGTCCCGGAGTTCCATCAGCGCTGCTCTCGCCTGACAAAGCAGAAGGGGGAGGTTCTATTATGTCGAGGGACAGCTGGAAGCTCTTTGCCTTTGCGGTTCCGGTCACGTGCAAGAATTTGAAGCTTCCGGTCATGTTGTTGTCCAAATTAGTCTTTTGGTCCAACGATCGTTCACCCTGTTCGGAGACAACTGACATGGCGAGTTGTTGGGAGCGCATTTGCCATACAGGACCTTGAATATGCACGACAGGGGGAGGGCAAAGGAAGCGTTTCTCGCTACCATATGATTTCTGGGCCACAGCTGCATGCAAGCACATGACTGTTGTCATTTGAAGTAAAGGATGCTGGTGCTGCGCCACATGTTCGCGAATAGGGCGACGCATTTTCGGGTGTGGATCGTCAGGCTCTGTCTCGTCGAGTTTGCGCTTACCACTCTTGCCGTTTGAAGACTTTGGACGGACACATTGAGTGCTACACGATATTGATGCACTTTCTACTCACCTGGCCTACGGAGGTGGCGAGATGAGGGGATGAGTGTTGTGGTGGAGGAGGAACTTGGACAGGGGGAATACCCCATTGGTGTAATGAATCGGGAGCTGCAGAATCTTTTCGGTTCGCGGCAAGTAGAGATTGAAGAGACGCGTTCGGATCGGGGTTAGAGAGAATAGAAGGAGGAGCGGAAGTTACTGGAGGGTGTGAATTAAGGATGCCATTGTTGTTTGATGATTGTGAGGATTGAATATGGTTTGAGTGCTGAAACTGTTCACCAATTTTATTGGCAAGTATACGAGGAGGAGAAGAGGTAGGGTTTACAAGTAAATCCAAAGTAGATTGTACGGGTGATGTTGGAGGTGGAGATGAAGTACTTGAATTTTGGTGTAGCTGCGGTTGAAGAGCAGCGTCGGGCATTTGGATGTGTGAGGAGGAAGAGTAAGGATGGAAAGTCCTCATAACAGTTTCCCGCCAGGGATAACGATGTTGGTAGCCAGCTGTGGGAATCGAGAAGAGAGGTGGGAAAATGAGAATCACTGGAATCATTTCAACCTTACAAAGACGTGAGAAAAAACAATTACAAACACGTGTCCTCGTGAGAAATTTCATTTATAAATAAATAAAAATGGGACCCCTTTTCGGGGGTCACCAGTCAGTGGCGTGACATCTAAACTATACTCGACATCGCATGTAATGCCCATCGTACTGGCCACCACTCACTCCAATATCCAGCTTCTTCTTGTTCATCAGCACGACGAAGCCCATGAAGCCCATCATGATCCGCTGCTTCATCCTCTCCATCTTTTGTCAAGAAAATTGTATCTTAAACATCAACCAGATCAACTCCAGTACAGCTGATTGGTTAAAGCGGACTTACTAAGTACAGATAACACGCCCATTTTATCCTCCCCTTTGATAGTCTTCTCTATCACATCTTCCGCCGCCCGTGCGAACACGACGGGTCCCGGAGTACGAGGCAAAGATCCATCAACATCGTCATCTGGTAACGAGTAAATAGAATCAAGTTCATCCTCTGCATGTCCATATGATGGTTCAAGCTGTTCTTGCCGTAACCACTCCCAATGTTCCCCTTTTCTTGCCGGAGATAAGGCAGGGAAAAAGCCCGTAAGACTGAACGGGTCCTCTCTATCGCGCGGACTGGCAAGCGGGGAGGCCGCCGTTGAAGATACACTAAACCTGTACTGGGGTAGTGATGGTTGATGTAAGCGGGGAATGAAACCATCTATGGTAGACTTTGCCCTGGCTAGAGGAGGTCGAACTTGACATTCGAGAGGCTGAGGTGCGGTATTGGAACGACGCATGGCCATGATGGGCCTGTTCTATGGAGGATGTTGAGCTGGAGCCCCATTGGAGCTCCATATATGAAAGTCAAAACATGATCGCCCCCAATGTATATTACAAACTCCGCGACAATGTGGTCAAGAGGGCCCAGAGCTACAAGCTATCCCCAATGAAGTCTATGCAGCTACCTACAAAACATACGCAGACTCGAATCATCGTGCGACATGTATTACAATGGTCCTACATATGCATAATGCAAGAAGTGGGGATTGACGATAAGAAAACAATATTAATGTCGAAGTTTGGGAGAGATACGTGGGGACCGTGGTGAGACCCTAATGAAACGATGGGCGTAAAAATATGTCCATGAAGCCGAACGTCCAATATGTTTTAGAAAATGAGTGACGTGCTGCGCATAACACCTGACATCTAACGCAATCTAACTCAACTTGGAGGGTCGCGAGGGACCCCAGCAGAGCGGCGTCTGTCCATCGCTAAGTCTCGAGGGCGACTTTGTCCAGGGAATGGGACAGTTGCGTTGGCCTCAGTCTTCATCGTACGAGACTCTCGCTTGGCACCAGTGGAGCGTTCAGGGCGAACTCCAAGCTCCGCATCCTGCTGATGCCGCTGCCAATCCTCCACTCTCAGTACCGATTGGCGTTTCGATGATGATGGGTTGTTGACACCACCAATCGCAGCGAGTTTGTCAGCGTTTATTCCCTTGGGTCGACGTTCTGGGTTCTTGTCGTCCTCTCCCGTCCTGCCAAGCCCGTCCTCTGACTTACGCCGCAACTTCTCCTTCTCTTCTCGTGCGAGCTCTGCGGCCTTCTCAGCTTGCCGTCTGTTCACTGCTTCCCGCTCCGCTGCGTTTGAGCGCTCCCAGCGGCGCTTGGCAGCTACGACCTCCGCATTTTGTTTCTCGGCCTCCGTGATGGGAGCTTGAAGACCCCGCATCTTCTCCCTATGTCGTTCCTCCATTTCCTCAAACGTCGCGACACGCTGAGGTTCTGGCCTCTTGGCAACTGGCGCTGCGATGATTGCGCTTTGTCCGCGAGGAATAATGACAGGAATATTGCTGGAGGGCTCAACAACTGCAGCCTTCAGTGGTCGAGTGGGAGGGAGGACGATCGGAATGTTGCTTCGCTCGGGCTCAGGCGACGATGGCGCATTCCTGGTGAAGATGACAGGAGGATAACGCTGGGAAGGCGGTGCAACTGCAGGAGGCTGCGAGGGTGTTAATACAGATGGGACCATGCCGTTGAAGTATGGTTTGGGCTTCCTCGTATGAGCGCGGGCTGTTGCAAGCGTGGCAATAGGCGCATCCTCATCCGACGTATCTTTCGCGCTTGTGTCTGGACCAACGCCAGGGTCCAACAAACTCTCCCGGCGTTTCCTTTGGGAGAGGGCTTCAGTGACAGCTGGCGGGACAGGTAGGCGTTGTTGTGCAGATAGTGATCCCGTCGTGGACATACGGCTTGTTGGGATGGGTGCAGTTACCCCGGCTGGTGGTTGTAGGAGCTTACGGTCACGAACATATGAGTCCCAGTCATCATCGCGCAGAGGAACGCTTGTAGGACGGCCAATGGATGCACCAAGCGGAGGCGTGTCAATAAGCTTGGAAAGTTCCATGGATTGTACACGACCACGTGGATCTGGTTGTCTGGGTGGGCGAGTGTGTGGACGTGGAGCAATAGCATTATCAAGATCATAACTGAGGGTGCGGCGAGAGGTCAAAGAGATACGACGAGAGCGGGAGTCGTCCGAGTCAAGGCCAGGCGTATCCGATCTGAGTGCATCGATTGAGCGTCTGATGGTTTGAATTTCGGCAAGAAGCTCCTCCTTGCGTGCGAGATCTTCCAACTCCGATGAGATACCAACTTTCCTCACATCGCTGTGTTTCGTGTCACTGCTGTCAGGATCGTTATCAGTAATGAACCCAGAAGGGACATCCTGTTGAATCCCAAGACCAAGGTCAAGCGCAGGCAAGGCACCAGGCGCTTGAGAATCTCGTGCAGCCCGCTTGGAATCTTCGTCAGGGGAAGAAGCAGCCATGAATTCAGACACTCCTGATGTATAGCGACCACGCCCGCCAACCAACGTGAACATTGAGGCCCGCCCTTCCTGGGAACCCCTAGTGGGGAAGTCCTTCATCAAAGGTGTTCCAGAGTAGCCACTGGCCGTGCGGCCATGCATTCCAAGTGATGGGTGATCGCGCTCCCATTCCTCCTGCTCCTTTGAGAGCTCCGCGAATCTGCCGGAAGCGTTGAGTTCGGCCTCTTCATCCCGCTTCTTTTCTTCTTCAGCAATTTCCTTGAGTTTGCGCTGCAAGACACGGAGGATGCGGAGCTGAACGGCTCCACCCATCAAAGTGATCGCTCCAATGAGACCAAGTTCGATTTCCATTGTTTGGGTCACCGGGAACGCAATGCCGTTATTAACATACTTGGGGAACAGAGTAGTGAAACCTAGATTCCAGACGTAGAACTAGCGTCATGTGTGAGTGGTCATGAGCTGGCTATGGAAAATGATGCAAACCTCTTTTAAGCCAGCTGTCGTGTAGCAATCCACACCGAGTATAAAGGCGGACGAGCCAACGAAGGCAGTTGCCACCAGAAGCATATGCCAATGTATCCTGGGTATCGTACAAAGGACAAATGCGACCACGCTGCACGCTAAGTGGCGAGTTAGCAGGGAACGAGGTAGGCCACGGAGGAAACAGCTACCTATATACAGAATCCATCTCATCCCAACAGGGGTAATAAGACCGCCATTTCTAAAGCATTGTATCCACAGTCCGAATGCGAAACCACCCCATGCGCCAATGAAGTATTTAGTGGCCTTCCAGAAGAATATTGTGAACGCGCCGCCCATTATGCCAGCAACGGCAGAGGCCAAAACGAACATGCCCTGAAGTGTGTTGTTCGGTGGGTTGATCGCGGGAAGAATGCCAAACTTGACGATAAGGACGAAGCAGACCAATGAAAGGGTGTAGAAACCAATGAGGAAGAAGGATGTCCTACATGGTGTGAGTGAGAAACTGATAGATCCACAAATGAGAGAAATTACCATCTATTCTTGTGGCCCCAGAACGCACTTGGTAGTCCGGTTATGATGAGGATCGCTCCCAAGACACCGAAAGCCGGGGTGATTCTAGTAGCTAGGACGATGGGAGTTGGGGTAGGTGAGGCGGAGGACGTTGGTGTGGATGTATTGGCATGAATAGTGCTCGTGGCATTGTATACTGTAGGTAATACGGTGGTGATAGTGGTTGCAATGTTTCCTGAGTGACTGACGGTTGTCAACGTGTAGGAGCTAGTCGTCAAAAACGTTGTAAGGTTTGCAGAGACGGTAGGAGAAGGTGTACCGCCGCTCGCAGTTGTGAGGTTTGTAGACTGAGCCGAAACCTGGAAAAAGAGGGACGAGCAAAGGAGAAGACATAAGATAATGGACGAGCCAGGATGAGCTCTCGCCATTGTTGAGCACGATGAGCAAAGACAGTTGTTTAACCGAACTGCAGCCTGGGGGTATACGGTAGAGGAGGAAGAGAGACCAGGCCAGGCTAGTACTTGGCCTCGGCGCTAGCAAGTCAGCCACCCATAGGCTATTCATGGATTCATTCACACCAAGGTTACATCATGCCATGATCCTATTTGGACCTATGATTGGTCTGATCCGCGTGCAAGACAGCAACGACCGTTAATAATCCCGTCACAAATTTCCACGCTTGCGCCACATCAAATCCTCATGTTCACCATCCTCCACAGCCTGAGTGTGCCCTCCTCCGGCAAACCTCAATCCGACTACCACGGTTCACAACCGTGTTTCCCTAGGGATATCTAATGTACCGTAGTTCCCCGACGGGCACGGTTCACATTCCCAGATGCTGAAATGCAAAATATATCTCCCTATCTCACTCGAAATGCTCCAGCTTTGTTGCAGGAATACCGAGCTTCTTCAGCACCATATCCATCTTCTTCGAATCATCCCTGACCGAAACTTTGCCTTTCTTCCCCTCATTCTCCCGGCGTCCCTCTAGAACGGTGATTACCTTGCCTCGGCGGCCGAATCGACCAACTCGTCCGGCGACATGCTGGTAAACATCTCCCGCGCGCTCTTCCGGAAGTCCAAGGAGGAAAACGTGGGTCAGCGCAGGGAAATCGATCCCTCGGGTGGTCGCAAGCGTCGATACAAGCAATGTGGGATTCTCATCGGGGATATCGCCGTTCTTAGACAGAAGGTGTGCGCGGCCGGCTTCATTGTCCACGAGATCGAGACCGTGGGCATTCACCCCGAGTTGATTTAACTCAAAAATAACCCGCCGGACGGATGTAGTTGCGGGTACGACAAGAAGCGCAATGTTTGGTACGTCGAGAGCGAATGCGGATGCGACGGCTTCAAGCATCCCTGGAGTAAACACAGGAGGAGCTTGTAGCAAATCTAGTCGCAAATCAAATTGTCTGTAAGCGAATGACAACGTGAAAATAAAATATCCCCACCCGTGTCAGTCTCATCATCGAGCAGTGCTTCATCATCCTCATCAAAAATAAACTCTTCTTCCTCTTCCTCCACACAAGAATTCACAGGCTCAGACGAGTCCGACGATATAAGGACTCGAGCTTTGCGAGCGCCAGCTATATTTTTCACAGAGCCATCCTGCGATACAACAAGAACATGGTGTGTGATCGTGCGGTTAAGACCATGAGCAGGGCGCGAGCTGGACGAAGCTTTGATAAGCTTTAGCACTTTGCCCCTTCTAAACCATCCGTATGCGCCGAAGAATGCCGTCCTCAACCTATTTCTCATCGTTGCACTGAGCATGATCAGTTGCGGCCGATGAATTGGGGCCAACTTCATCTCTAAAAGACGCTTCCGCAAATGGGATGAGCTATTAGTTTTCGTATTCGTATAGAGGACATCCAGCACAGTCTTCAGAACGGGGGGATGCTTCTCATTTGACCGCTCGGCTTTTTCTCTGGCATACTTTGAGCCTTTCTGGGGCACCACTTGCAGAAGCGAGTCCACCTCATCGACGACGACAGTCGATAACGTGGATAACTGGAGTACCTCGGGCTCCTTGCGAAGCACGTCTATAAGCGCAGTTGGTGTGGCAATGAGTATATGCGGAGGATGTTCGCGCAACACGGATATTCCAGATGACGATGGGTTCACAATCGCCTCCAGGATCCGAGGAGATGAGTTTGTGAGGTTTTCGGGTGGTGAGCCGCGGACTAGCACCTGTGCAATCGAAGCGAGCGAATACGGAGCAGGTTCACCTGCAAACGTCAGCATGTGGTGTAACCAGTGCAAAAATTGGTATGCAAGGTCGCGGTGAGGGACGATCAGGAGAGTTGTGATACCCTTTGTTGCATGGTCCTTTCCTTTTCCCGGGTCGTATCTAGAGATCCTTGATTTGCTCAAGAGTCCAAGGAGTAATCCAAATGACCTTGAAAGACATTCGTTCGAGTCAGCTTTCAGCAAAAGATGTGGAAGTACGCACTTTCCAGTACCAGTGAAGTCCTGCATGATGATGTCCTGCCCACCCACCACAGCAGATATCATCTTGCGCTGCATCGTTGTCGGTTGCTGGACATCGGGGAATGCAGCACGGAGAGCTGCCGCAATTGGTGTCCCCACTCCAAGGGACTCAAAGGTAACAACATCCGGTGTCCCTGTACTTTTCGCGCGTAACAGCTCTTTGGCATGTGCCTCCGAGCTACGGCTCATGTAGCGCAGTAGCACATGCTTCCTGCAGATTGACTGACGCGCCCAGCTGCGATATAACAGCGCGACTGGTGGAGAAGAAGGAAAACCCATGCAGACACGTGACACCTCGAGAGCGATATAAAGCAACGGAAGCATAAAATCATATTGTGGTTGGAAGTACAATATCAATGATGAACAGTAAGATACATAAATGGTGTCAACGAAGTGAAGTCGTAATTGTGAGCCAGTACGTAGCGTATCATGAGGATTGAAAGGCGCAACTGCTGGTGATAAATGCAAGTAGCATGCCGCAAGCGACACTAGCATACTGTCTCGCAATTAAATATCACTTCCATTAGTAACCGCAGCAGCATTAGGGGACGAGGGAAGAAGAGGAGGGCGAGAGCTGCTCCCTCGCGTCATGAAAATCTTCTTCGTGCGCCTTCACGTGGCCGCCTTCAATCCTCGCGAGTTCCTATTCATCACCCTCACCAATGGGCTGGTATGTGCTCCTGTCGTCACGATAGATTAGCCGGCTAACCCAGCCACGGTCTGTGGCGGCCTTGGGTCGAGAGCCAGACCGTACCGAAGGGCTGCGGGTATTGGACATCAGGGATGCCCGCTCGGACTCATAATCCAGCCTCTCCTCTGCGAATACACGATCAATACCATACAACTGGAGGAGATTGGGAAAACTTTACCTTCACCAAACACAGCATCCATCTCCTCGAGAGGAACACCTTTAGTCTCTGGATATACTACGTTTGAACTGTGAGCATGGAGAACAACATTGAAGAGCATCCACCCACAGAAATAAACGAGAATGAAACTACATGCACAATAGAACCCATGCATAGGGTATAATCTCCATGTAATGACTGCTTGCAGGTACGGGGTCGTCTCTCCGACAATAAAATTGAATGCCCTGGTTATGTCAGTTGGTTGAGGAGTGACAGATGCCTGGTGCTCACCAATTGGTCGCAGTGGATATAGATACACCTTTGGAACGGAATGCGAGGGGTATGATCTGGAGCAAATTCAGCATCACATTCAAGTTATCGCTGAAATAATATCACCTCGGGGGGATAGAGCCATGGAATAGGGCCCCAACTAAGACGATATCAGACGAAGGTCTAAAAATGTGCTGCGACAGCGTACCTGTAGCCAAATGCAGCATTGAAGATGATAACACAAACCACCACAGCATTGGGAGTAGCTGGTACGTCAATGTACATCCACCAGCCAGTGAAGCCCAGGGCGACGCCCATCTGTATATCCATGAGGTCATCGAAGGTTATCAATCAGAAAGGGTACCCACGATTACGGCACCAGAGAGCAAGATGACGCGGCGACCCCAACGGTCTACGAGATACCAGCTATGGGAGCGTTCAGCCTTCCTAACAAGACCGTTGATGCTACCACTCACGGGGGTAAAGTGCTCAAGACGTAAATGATAGCGTTGATACCGGTCATCAGCACAGCATCGCGGCCAAGCCACCCGGCCTCTGCGTTTCGATGAGATTTTTCCAAACAATAAAATACATGCACTCGTACCTTCGAAAACAGATGCTAAACAATGCTCGCATCAGTTCAAGATCACTGAGTTGTGAAATAAAATGCGTACGAGCGTAGTAACTAATCACTAGTTTTCATTTCGCATCATTAGTATCATGAAAGCCGTACAAAAACAGACAATTACCGTTGATTCCATTCTAGGAAACATATGTTCATGACGGCATAGTATCCGTAAGTGGGCAGAAGACTTACCAGCTGAGCGAATGCCTGGGAAGACATGGCAAGCAACACGCGTCGCTTATACTTCCTCCACATTACAGCATACGAGCGTCCTTCACCAAGTTCGCGCTGCAATTGTTGAATGTAAATGATGCTTGCTGAACCGAGGATTAGCGCACCTCGTAAATGACTTTGTCCTTGATTTCTTGGAATTCAGCTTGAGCGATAATGTTATTAGGATCTCCTCCATGCAGATCCACGATGACGCTCATCCCAGCAACATCTTGGTCGGTGTCAATCAACCACCTGGATGACTTCAGTACATGTCACTGCGACAATGAGAGACGGCATACCGAGGGCTCTCGGGCATAATCAGGGCTCCCGCGGCAAGGATGCTTCCAATGACACACTGCAGAAAAAGGGGTATGCGCCAAGAAAGATCGGATTCGATGAAAGAGCAAAAATAATCCGCCCACTGTGGAGAATGTGAGCTTGCCTTCATAACCGCAATAACTGCAACAGATAGAGACGACGCACAACAGAACTTGCATAGCCGAAAACATTACAGGAAAATTCCATGCACGCAAGCGCGCCTCTCTGCAAACAAAATCAGTAGCAATAAACCGTGTGAAGCTCAAGACCTACATGATTGGGCGGAGAAATTTCGCTTTGATATATAGGAACGATCGTACTGAAAACCGTGCTGAGCATTTGCACAAAATTTGAACATCGAGGACCTACGACAAGAGCCCGACTCCACAGCCGCTGATCACTCGACCAATGATCATGACGTAGTACCCTGTGGTGAATGTCTGAACAGCACCGCCAATAGTAAACACGAGAGCCCCAGTGAAGAGGGTCCCCTTCCGGCCAATTATATCCCCGACGCGACCAGCAGCAATCGACGTGGCTGTGGGACGTTATTATACAGGATAAAACTGATAAATCAAAACATACCGAGTGCCCCAAGCTCAAGGACTGCAACCATAGTACCAACTTCAATCGGACCAGGCGAGTTGAAGTACTGTTTGAAATAGGGTCCAGTGATAATGCCTGACATGACGCTGCCCCTGGACTCAGTAGCTAGTAAAACAACGAGACATGTCTAACGAACCCCTGGTCATATCCGAACTAGAAAGTAACACCAATGATTAATTGAATGTCTCGTGCCAGTTATGAGGAAGCATACCAGGAAAACACCCAAACTAGCGAACACGGAAATGGCATAGAGGAGAGGCTGCCCGACTAATTTGTGTCGGGAGGGTGGAAGAGCAACATCTGCCATAATGCATGGACTGGTGATGGTAGGAGAGAGTGAATGACAAGTGGAGTAGGAGGGAAGGCAGAGAAACTGTTTGTCTGTTAAGGCCTAAAAGTGGTGCATCAAAAACGTACACAAATGCAACGCCACACTACAAAGTGGCAACACCATTAACTAAGAGCTACCCCTCATTTGGAGACCCAATCCGTCAAGACACTACAAGTAAAGCATGCAACGCTCGGACCATTCTCTAGACTCCTCGTCAGATTCTTCATATGATCATGAAGAAGACTACCGCTTGGCCGAGAAAGAGTGGAATGAGAGTTTAGAGGAGCTTCAGCAGCTCGCACTCGTTTTGCTACTACCATGGGTAGGCAAGTACTTTGGCAGGAGATGTAGTTATTGGCGTATGTGCAAACACATTGTGTCCATCTCCACTAACAACATTGTGTCTTGCAGTGTACGGTCGTTACACTCGTGTCGGTCTCGGCAAGTCATTTTTCATGGGCGAGAAGCCTTTGGCATGGTCATTCTTCTCGCGATGAACGATGCATATTCTATTGTAGGTATGGTCAACGTCAGACATAAAGTTTTGGCCCTAACTTCATCCTCCAAGCTGTCCGCCGTTGAATTCTACCAATCAGGCTCTCCAATGCCCCAACCGGTTTGATATACCTTAGGAGATCCTCTACCATCTCATCTGCAACTGCCCATTCCTCCCTCGAAATCAACCCATGTAGTAGGACATACCATGTATCATAATTCATTGGGATTTTTCGGTTTGCCATCTCCTTGTAGTAGCTCAATGCCCCCTGCAATCCTTCTGCTTCCGGGTTCTCCAAACATGCTTTGATCAGTATGTGGTAGGTCACCCGATTAGACCGGATGTTTCGCTCCTTCATCCTTTTAAGGACGTATCTCCTGCACTCCTCGGCTAGGGCGGCGTTGGGCCATGACTGGCGGTGCAAGGACGCAAGCACACCTGTGTATGTCACGTCATTGGGTTGGGCATCCGGATTTGTCTCCATCTTTTGAAGTAGCTCCATTGCCGTGCTGAGACCTTGCTCCGAGGGCTCGCGAAGCTGTTGGTCTATGATCGCGCTGAAGACGGCGACGTTAGGCTCCACATTTTGCTTCTTCATCAAACTCAGTACGATGTCGATGGCGTCAGTACGCCCAACCTTGAGAAGAGCTGAAAGTACAGAGGAAAACGTGAACGCATCGCCGGTCAGCCCATCTTCTCGGAGGCGCTCAAGCAACACCGACACTGCACGGAATTCGCCTCTGCGGCCGTGGTGTCGCAGGAAGGTATTGTAGGAAACAATGTCTGGCTTTGGACCCTTCTGCCGTAAATGTTGCAGCAGCGCATCGGCGTCACCAGGTCGTCCGTTATTGAGAAGACCGTGCAGCACTGTATTGTACACAGGCAGAGCGTCCCCACTGTCCGGTAACGAACCATCAGCAAGCTCTTGCTTAAATTTCGCGAATTTTTCGATAGCGTCATCTGGTCTCCGTACGTTGAATAATGTCGAGATGACAGCACGATATGTCAAAATCCCCGGTCGAATGCCTTGGGAAACCATATTATCCCAACTTGTGGAAGCGGCATCAGCTTCCCCCATGCTATCAAACCCGTCCAAGAGCGCTGTCCATGTGATGACACCAGGCCGGATGCCATTTTTAAGTATGTCATTCCAGAGGTTCTCAGCCAGATCCCGACGGTGGCACTGTAAGAACCCTGTCAAGAACGCCGCCCAAGTGATCTCTTGGACCACGACAGGTCTCTGGCTAGATTTCTGGGAATCACGGGCAGCGAGATATGACTCTGGGCCATGCAAACCGTCGATGATAGCCCGGTATAACTTGTGGAGCTGTGTAAGATCCTGATTGCTTGCGAGATTTGCGATATGAGTGCTGAGTGAGTGGTGGCGAGAAACAAGTCTTGCGATGTCAAGGCGGTCGACGTAGCTTTGAACTTTTCTCCGGAATGAGACGTCATTAAATGAAGCCATGAACTCCTTCTGGGCGGCCTGGTTTATGCGGACAGGATTGTCAAGCATTATCTTCAGTGCGCCCTCGAATGAATCTTCAAGTGCATGTGCGACTATTGCCGCGAGGACGAGTGAGAAGTTGGGTAGGTGGGAGGGCTGATCGCCAATAATATTGAGAGCTAGCCCATTCGCATCCTCAAAATCTTCCCGTGTTGAGGACGGTAGGGGCTCGGACGCGGTCCGGTTGCTGAAGTGCATCAGAAAACGTCTGTACAGGTCAAGGACTGCCTGCGAATCGCCTCTCTTTATATGTGTGATCATACAAGTTGTGAGGGCATTGACTGCACCCTCACAAGCAGCAGCAATGGCTATGCCCTCAATGACTTTCCTCTCGTTTGCGTCCCATGGCTCAGTGTTGTCCGTGATGCACAACCTGGCAGCGCGCTCGGAGAACCCACGCAACTCTCGACCGAGGAGTCGCAGCAACTTTCTATCTTCCAACTGCAACCACAGCTCTCCCACTCGCGCGATGTCACCAGCCTTCAGAGCGAGACGAAGCTGGACGACCTTTTCGTCAAAGAAGTTAATATCCGGGTCAGAGACAGCAGCAACGCCTGGCTGGTTCAGTAAACTGATACGCTGCTTGATGTTATCACAAAGAACTGCCGGAATTTGTGTGCGTACGGAGGATGGAAATTCTGCGAGTTTCTCCATGTCATGTCTTTTGGATGGTTTCGTCACCAAATGTTGCAGTTGCACCTTGGAGCTACCAAGACGGTACCCGAATGCATTTGGTGCAAGGAAATCAAGCACGGCGGCAGTTTGCCTTGTTTTGACGGTGGCATGACGCAGCATCCGTGAGCTGAGAAGGACGAATGAGTCGAAGAGATGAGGAGACCCTGTGATGATCTTGTTTGCGTTTATTAGATTCAGAAGCTTGACCAGGTATACTCATTTCACTTGAGGGTTATTAGTCTCGACATGGGCCACGGAAACTCTAACAAACTCTATATTACACATGCTGAACATGCTGGCGAATTCGGACAGCATTCTGCATCGTCCGGGTACAAAGCGCAAGTCCTTTCTGCACCTAAATTATCATTTCTTCTCATGTTTTGCACAGAAAGCTCCAAGCACCACATCCCGGAGCGCAAACGCCATTCGACTGCTGCGCGCTTTCTTTCCAGGCATTTAATCATCCAGTATGCGCCCGAAATGCGGATGGAACAGGCCTCGTGTTTGACCTTGTAAACATTATCCCTTGGCTAAAGTGAGTTGTCCTCTCTTCTTGCAAGGTGACGTTTGTCTTACGCTTTCGTTCAAAGGCAGCATAAGAATACAAATCCCATTACCAAAGAGTCTCTCTCACCAAGTGACCTGATAACACTCCACTATTCGCGCAAAACATCTGGCGAAATCCATGATCCAATTTCATTCAAGCCATTCAGCGAGCACTCGCATATCGTAGCAATTGCTACCACAGGCAATGTTTTTCTTGCAGAAAGTATCAAAGGCGGTAAGGATCTCCTTGAAGACGTTAAATTCAAGAAGTTAGTAGACGAGTTCTCATCCACCATTCTGTCCTTCATGTTGCTTTTGCAGGGAGGACGTCATCACATTGCAGAACCCCCATGGTCTCCCACCCTCATCTACAATCAATGCTAGTGCTATTACCATTGAAAAGAAGGAACAAGAGAAGACCAAACCAACCACTGTTAAAGCAGTCTCTGAAGTGAAGGCTAAAGCCGCTGTCCCTTGTGAGCTCCACCGTTTTTCACTACAGGTTGCAGCCTGAGTACCATGTCAGGGAACATTTCTCCTTATTCTAGCGGTGCACCCGGTGCGTCATTGACGTCAACGTCTGTGGATCCTCAGACACAAAGTTCACAATTACTGTGGGACGAGGTGCGCAAAAAGAACCGGCTATAACGAGCATTCTTGCTGATGGTAGCCTTAGGAAGAACTGATGTTTGAGGAAATGTCGAATCCTCCTAAGGGTAAGGGTAAAGAGAAAGATGTTGGAAAACGACGAGCATATGTCCGGGTCGTGACCAGTTTGGGCGGTTCGCTTAACCTGGAGTTGTATTGTGACAAAGTCAGTGATGTGTGCTCTCATTGACGCGGCTAACACTCCCTCACAGGCACCAAAAACTTGTTATAACTTTCTCATGCTTGCGAGAGCAGGAAAGTATGACGACTGCCTCTTTCACAGACTTGTCCCTGGTTTCATGGTACTTCTTCATTCATCGTCTCCTAAGATCGGATACTCACATCACTGTAGGTGCAAACGGGTGACCCTACTGGTACAGGCTCTGGTGGGGAGTCCCACTGGGGTACTCCTTTCCGAGACGAGCATGATATGAGAGGTGCTGCTAAACATGATAGTCGTGGTATCGTCGCCATGGCCAACAAGGGCGCTGGCACGAATGGGTTCGTCTGCGGATTACCTCTCTTTTCTGTTTCGCTGACTGGTGCCGCCGCAGGTCGCAATTTTACGTCACATTCAGAGCTACGCCGAACCTCGACAACAAGCACACTGTCTTCGGCAAAATTGTTGGAGGAGACGACGTCCTCGATGCTCTGGAAAAACTTCCTCGTAAAGACGGAACAGAACGCCCATCGAAGCAGGTTCGGATAACGGAAGTTATTATGTGCGTAAATAGCCTTTTTACTCCGACCTGTATTCATATGTCTTCTCTTCTAGACATCAGGATCCCTTTGAAGCGCATAAATTACGACTCGCAAGAAAACTCGCTCGGCGTGCAGAAGCACAAGATGATGCCAAGAAACAGCCTGAAAAGACTCAAGGGGATGATATTAATTGGTTTGGGGTCAAAGTCGGCACTGGGGACTCGGCATTTGGTGGGGGTTCTGCAGGTGCGGGAGTTGGCAAGTATCTAGGCGTCAAGAGGTCGTTGGATCAGGTAACACCTGGCGTACAAGTCAACGACGTTGGCGACGATGCCAAGAAGAAACGAAAAATAGGATTTGGAAACTTTGACAGTTGGTAGTAAAACGATTCTGTTGACTTGCTCTAGTGTCTGATATTTGTATCATTATCTGCCATCCTACTGTAGTGTCGTAGTATCTTTAGATGTCTGGGAGACGGTCGCAAAGTGGAGGGTATGAGTAATATAATACCAGAACATAAATCTCTAGGAAACATTGCGCGCTAGCTTGGTTAACCAGGCACGGGAACCCGCTCTCTCTTGGTCTTTAGGGGCGTTTGCTGGGCTTCTAAATAGAAATGAGGATCGAACACGTCCGACAATCGTGAACTGCTGACCTTGTGAAACAAGCGGTAACGTCTTTGGTGGCGTTGGCAAATCCACGGGCATTCCAGGCTCTGTCTGTCCAAGCTATACGTAACAGGAACGAGGTGAGAAATGCCAAAAAAATGTCCGACAGCTCGTACACTGACTGCTTCCCCTTGCAATGCTAGGAGCTCCGACTGGACGGCGTCCTCCTCATCATGTGTTAATCGGTTTGCTAGCAAATCGCCAATTTCCTGCACACCATCCTCAACACAGCACAAGCAGCACGGAATATGACATACTCGCTGATACTCTCTCGCTTCTTGTGTCTCATCCATGAGCTTCTCGACACTCTCAATACTCATCTCACGATGAATCTCTTGAAGAACATCATTTCCTTGCTTGAGACCATGAAGGACAGAAACTTCGACCAAAGAAAACTCGATGGTTGACACCTACAAGGCCATCCAACGAACATAGGGTTTCAGCGTACATCTGAGCAATATGAATGAAACGGACTAATTGTTCCAAGTTCTCCAATTGGCTGTCAGTCTTTAACAGCAAGCTCTGCTGGTACTTGCGCCTACGGAGGGCTATGACAGCACGGTCTTTCTGACCGGTAGCGAGATGGGCTTTCGCAATTTCATGCTCGCGGTCGAGCACGACTTGTATCTATATTGAAAGATAATTATAATGGACGCAGCATCTCTACGAGTGACTGTGTGGTCAAACCTTCTTCTGGTACTGCTTTAGCTTATCGCGCTGGAGTTTGAGACTGAGGAACGGATGCACTTGTTGGGCGTTACCGTTTGGTGGAGAAATCGCGAAAGCCCACGCACTCGAGAATCGCTCGATCATGAGCGGTGACCTTGGGTGCCGACTGGCTCGACCCCATGGCAATGTCTGTCTTGACGTGGTTGTGGAGAGCCGAGACCGTTAACGTTCAGTCCACGTACTTCAAGTTGCACATGATGAATTCCGGGTGCACACTTAGCAAGTACACTGCCACCACACACTGAAATGGCTGGATTCCCATTGGATTCCTACTACATGTCAATTGCAATACAACACTAAGGACGTGGTCTACTTAGTGTAAGGCTAGAGTAAATGCGTTCAAATAAAATAAGAAACTCGGATTTTGTGCACCGTCATCCCACCGAGGGAAGGACAGACGTGCGCGAAGCAGCACATAACGCTGGCGGGAACCGTGTCCCATAAATACACAAGACATCGGTCATTGCTCGACACTTGATATCACAGGGTGAGAAAAGCGCAACTCGGACGAGGAGCGCAGAGGCTGTCCAAGTTCAAAACTCATAGAAGGGAGCTCTCCTTCTTCTTCTTCAATTTTTATATCGAAAGGATAGTGCTTGTGGTTGTGAAAGCGATGAGTCCTACCGAGATGTGGGGTTGAGCTCGTGGATGATAAAACAACCGCGGGTGACCGACGTGAATGCGGCAGGAGCTTTGGGCGCGTTAGCGTGTATAGGATGGTGTTGAAGAATCCCGACAAGAGAAGAAGGGTGTCTGCCCAAGCCGTCACTCCCCATGGTACCTTTTGTGTGTGAAACTGTGTGAAGCGGGCGGCAGTGATAGGCAACACCTGTCGAAAAATCAGAGGGTACATAATTAATGAGCAACTCCACTTACTGTGATGATGTAGACCGCAGGATAGCTGGAAAAGTAATTATTAGAAACGGTTCACTGACTGTGGGCCATCGTCAAACTCACAGAAGCATTCGTAGCGCGATGGCTCCGCCGTCCCGTTGGAGTCGGGGGTCAGAACCATCGGATGGCGTGAGACTGCGGTTCTCAGCCGACGCCCACCGGATCCTATATCCATCGATGATGATGATCCGTTTGACCACAAGAGCGAGGAAGATGTAAACAGTAATAGAGATGAATGCTGCAAGCCACATCCACATGTATTGAAGACCCATTCGTTGGAAATTGTTACGTTCGATCCAGCACCCTGTCCAATGTAAAATTATTTAGCCGCGTAAATGACATATCTCGCTGAATCGCGGACGTACAATGCCCAGTGGGGCCATAGAAATTGTCAATCAGCGCATTTGGTATCCCGACCATTAAACCAACAGTAAGCCATATTATAGCTGTGCCAAGTAGTGCTGCTTTTGGAGGGGTATTCCACTTCAATACTAGCACTTGCATCGTGTGCAAGGCGATAGCCTGCGGAAACCGGTTAGTACAGGAGATGTTTCCAGGACGGCAAGTGAGTTACCATGGTGCTGTTGTTTTTTGAAAATTGGTTAGCCTATCTAGATGCAAAACCAAATTATATATTAGACTCGCCTGAAAGCTGCCCCCGTATTGCCTACATGCTTGAAAGCTCCTATAACGAATGGTAAATGGGCGCTCCAACATCCTACTTCAAGAAGGATAATACCTTGCACAGTGCATATTGTGCCAGGGTATATCCCCTGCAGACGAAATTCAGTATTATTGAGTGGTTAAACAAAGTGTAAACCCACAGCAGCATCAATCCATGCTATATCGAACATCCCCCCTGAAACACTGTCAGAAGACTGCGGCACCGGTGGGTGTATTCGAGAAATGGTTGGCTCACCGATTGCTTGAATGAGGTCAAAAACCATTAAGTTGAGGAAATAATAATGAATGTGAGTATCCGTCGACCACCTGCGTGTAGCACCTAATCGAATGGTGACAGCGCTATACTAGTGAAATCCCGGGTAAGTCATTGCAACTTTGAAATTGAACATAACGTACAGTAATGTATGCCAGAAGAGTTGTGATGGCCAGTACCGACAGTGTTGCCGCCTCCACGATGAAGGCTAAGCCCAACCTATCCCCGAAGTCGAAAGCCGCACTTTCTGGCGAGTTCGCCATGGTGGTCGGGAAAGAAGAAAGATACTGTGGACTTGTTGCGCCCGCGCCATCCCCAGCGCAAATCAATTATATAGGGTGCAAATCAGATCCTTCCTTTTTCGGTCTTTACCCAATAGACTGTCATTTAGCAATTCAGTTTCCTGGTCGGGAATCAGGTGAGACAATACACTAGCTGTCGATCGATCAAAGTGACAAAGTACCTGCTGGCATGAAATCACAATCCACGGTAACACTCAAGGGGTGAGAATGCTAAGGGTCGGCAAGCTGAACAACGAGAGCGTACGACAACACGCGATTAAGAGACGTATTCAAAAAACTGCGGTAACTGGGAAATCAGCGCTCAGCAAAGATACCAACAGCGGTACATACAAAATATCCGGTTGATCGTTGATCGTGATTCGGACAACGTGTCGTCAATGAATGATTACTATATTTGGCCGTGCCTAAGTGTATGTAAATAATCACGTGACCAAGTATTGTTCGTTTAACTAGGGTATCTTCCATCGATGATCTCGTCGGGATTTGGCATGGTATAATTGGCAAAGCAATCATGCACAAAGTTAATCTGCCCAATTCGTTCTTGCATTCCGCTGATGAAACTGGGCAGTGCGCAAAGACCATTTGAATCTTCCGTGCAGCCCTGAATCCCCGTCAGTGGCACCACGCCATCGTTCAGGGTGAACCGGATATGAGTGGGCTCCTCCGAGGCTGGGCAGCTCAGTACCTGTGCTACAAGCTGGCTGGCAAAAGGTGCAATCTGGCTAGCAATGTAAGACTAACGACTGGTCAGAAATCGAGGTAAGCAACGTGTTACAAGACTGCGTACACGCTTAGGGGGGATATGGTCGGTTGGCAAAGGACCAGTTGCGGCTAGACTGGTAAAGTTCAGGGCAGTGATGACTAAGCCCTTCGTCAGTAGTCTTGTATAGTAAGGAAGTGGCAACATACTATTGGAAATGACTGTGTCGTGGGTGGCGTCCACATATATAGGTTGGTTGAGAGGGAATGTGATGGTGTTGGAGTCAAGAGTGCTGTTAGTACTGCTGTTCCACACAGAGATGGGAGTTTGAGTGAGGCGTGCCACTAGTTCTTGAACATAGCCAAGGCCCTGCGCTGCTGCTGTTGGATTACCTGGTCCACTGCTGTACCAGAATCCTTGTTTAAAATGAAGTCATTAGTCATTCAGGTTTACCATTCAATATGCTCACCAAGATCTACAAACAAAAATCAACGCCAAGCTCAGCAAGGATCATTCGAGGGAACTTACCGATGTAATACTCATATCCTTCCCATTCTTCCTCAGTGAAGAGGTCACAAAACTTGGAATAACCGAGGGCCACGGTCTGCGGGATGTCAGCAATCCACGAAGACGGTGTAGATGATGTGATTACCTCGTAGGCGCACAATGACTGCATATCAACCAAGCGTGATATGCTCAGATTAAATCCTTGGATCATTGGTTGCAAGCGCGCTTGAGCATCTTGGAGATAGACATGCGCCCATTTACTAGCCTGAGTGCTACCGAAGTTACCAACATCAGCCGTGTTGGAGTTGGGGCACACATAATAAGGAGCAAGGGTGTTGTTGAAGTTGTCCGCCTCGACGATGATCTCCTGGTGATAGTCGGTTTCGTAACTTGTAACGTCAAAAAAGCCCGCAGCAAAGTTCAGGCTACCGGTGACATTATCAGACACAACACACACAAAAAGATGAATCAGTTGCTCACGCAGATTCCAACATACGATCTATATGTCACGAGAAAACTATCAGAGTGCATTGTGAAACGAACGTTCGATCAAGCAAACCTTGAGAAGTAGTACGAAATACTGGGAGGTCCGTGAAGGCATTGAGTAACTCGCCATATCTGTAGCGGAAGGCAACACCGTTGTGAAAGCTGGTAGAGAAGAACGTCAGGAGGTGTATCGTGAAGGAGAGCGAACATACAGCTGTTCACGGCCGAAAGGGGTCAAGATCTCTGCGCCCAACTTGTATGTCCAGGTTGCCAGGAATTGCAAATTGCCTGTGGCATTGAAGCCCGGTTTCGATGCAGCAGAATTTATTTTAGCGGCGAAGTGAGAAGGTCCGGAGTCAGCGGTTGGATAGCGAGCGCCATGGCGCATCAAGAGATGTACTGCGTTGAGGCCACATCCTTCTGGGATGACGGGGGATGCATCAGGAAGACCAAACGAGTCCACGGAGTACATGGGCGACAAGTTTCCCCAGTGACGCATCACGTCGAAAGTGATGTCTTCGCCGTCTGCCGAATTGGGCCTCGACAAGGGAAACACGTTCTCGACCTTAGAAAACGGGATGGCAGTGGCAATGGCCTCAGGTTCAGCACCAGCTGAATTTGTTTTTGATTAGAATACAGGTATAAACTGCAATGAACATCATCACTGACTAGGAGTTGGACCCGCATAACCGACTTGAGATCCATCTGGGAAGTAAGCGTCAACAGCAACGTTGGTGGCACCGGGGGGAGGATAAACATCAGCGACTGTTGATCCTGCATAACTGGATGCTGACTCTGCGCTGCAGAAGGGCAGAGCGAGCAACAGAACGGCGGCAAGCATGGTTGGATAAATTAGAGAACCTGAGGGTCAGAAGAAAAATGAAAAACCGCAGTTACATACTTTATATACGTGATTATGATCGAAGTTCGACGCTGAACAGAACAGCAAGGAAGTCCGAAGTTGCCTACGCTCGCGCTGGCATTTTTGTTCGATTCATAAAACTACTGATATCAGGCTTCCCCAGGTGGTCATTGGGGCACTGGAACTGATCGATAAGACGAAAAGTGCTTCGAAAGTGCTTTTTGAGGCAACTCCTCCATGGGGCGAGCCTTCAAGCGAGCTGGACCGGAACCGGGTTACGCGGCTAGAGATAAGCGCTCGAGTACACTTGGGAGCCGAGTTGCTCTTTCCTTTCCAACATGCACGGAGTTCGAAGATCTTGACTCAAGTCCAAGGATCGCGTAGCCCTCGCAATTGATGCCTACATGCTGCAGCATGACATGACAGGCATATGCGTACTATGATACCTATACGAGCATAAATGCATATTAATCGCGTGGTTGGGTAACCATGACGGCAATTTTGTTAACGGTCTTCCTGAGGATTTATCGGACCAAAAGGCTGGTTTGAACTTGAGAAGAGACTGTCTGCAGCTGCATGCTTCAGCTGCAGGGTGTTCCAAACTGTTTTCCCGAGGGTCAACTTGAGCTTGTGATATTGACCATATGTATATGCGGGCGCCTACGCTATTTTCCCACCACTTTTGATCGGAGGCATATTCATCTGCGGTTTGGATAGTACGACTTCTTCATGTATTGAGGCAATGCTCGCCATCCCCTTACAAGAGCATGCAACGAATAGCTTCATTACCCCGCAAGACAACATTGTCCTCGTCCTTTATTTCCTCACGCCGGTATCATGACTTTCTTCGCTTCTCTACCCCAGGTCACCTTTCTTCCTCTCTTTCCATTCTGAACGAACAATTCATCTTCCGCAGGCGGCGCTGGTCGTGTACCACTCCATTCCCCCACCATCATAGGCGTGGCATCGTCAAGAGGTACTCGCGGGTATGATCACTCTTCCTCACGCCTCGTTGCGCACCTGAGTCTGAGTCTCCGTTTGCACAGTCACCAGGAAGACTACTATTCTTTTGCATCATTACTCTTGGATCCTGAAGGGCTACGCGCAAGCTTGAAGAAAACACTAGGCATCGACTGGGCGCCGAAAAACATAAGTGATCCGTTAACACGTCAGGTAGTCTTTGTCGGCCTTTACGATGGGTGTGTATCGTATCTAGCTTGATACACAGTCGTTAACACAATGCAGACATGGCGGATCCACCGTTTCTCAATTTTTGCGCCAGGAGTTACATGGCTTATTCGAATCCGTCGACAAGGCTCACATCCCAGAGTTATATTTGTGGATCAAGGACCAAGGAGGCTATTTCAAGAGGTTCCGCGGGGGTGCCCTTGCTCCCTGGATAAATCAGTCAAACGGAACCCCTCCGCTAGATCTCGAGGCACGTGCTACCCAGGCATTCTTCGAAGTTGGTGAGCAACAATTTCTCGCCGATTTACGTTTACAAATGGGGCAAGTTTAGACCGCCTCCTCTCTATTGAGAGTGAAGCCAGAACATGTGGAGCGACAGCGTCCGTGGCAATTCTGCACTCCCTTGATACCCGCCCGTTCTTCTCGTCCACAAAACTTGTTTTGACAGTCGCTCATGCGGGGTTAGTCATATTTTCATTCAACACAGACATATGTTTAGAAAACATGCGAATAGCGATGCTCGAGTACTCCTTTGTGGTACCAACGACTGTCTTGCTCACCCGATGACCGAGAATCATCACCCCGATACCCTTATGGAGGCCGCACGTCTACGACGTATGATGGGCTCATCACTTATCACCGATTCGTTCGGTGAGTCTCGGTAAGGCAGAACAGTGTTTTATATTGTCGCACCCTCCTTCATCCTCGCAGCTGGATGGGTGCTCTTGCAAATACGAGAGCGTGAGGAGCACACCTTCCTGTTTTCAGTGATTTGCTGATGTTAGTCTTAGCCTCGGAGATCTCAAGTGGAAGCCATACGGCATAACTCCGGAACCAGATGTTCGAACCATGCTCTTGGAAGGTCTCATCATTCATGTGCAGTGTTTTTATAACTTCTGACATCCTCGACAGGCACGAAGTGGGCCTACATGATCATCGTCTCGGATGGTGTATCATCTATACTATCGGATCAAGAAATAGTGGACGTTGCCCGTGGTGCACCCAGCCCAAAGAAAGCTGCCGACCAAATTTTATCGTACTCTGAAGAGTTGGGTGGCGAAGACAATGCAACAGTTGTAGTCGTACCCTTGTCTGGTTGGGGACAGATTAAAGGGCCTGACAGGACTCGCGCACTTCGCGAGTATCGAAGCGAGCAAGCGGGTAAGTATTCCGCAGGTTTTCTTTGGTTTTCCCGTTGATTAACAGTGTCATGGTAGTTGGAAGCGAGCGACAGAGGAGAATGTGATTTAGAGGATTCATAAGTTATACCCTCTGTTAGAGCACATAATTTGCTACATTATTGCGGACATTTATTGCACTTCGTTCTTCTCTGGTGTCTGTTAAAGTGAATATTTTCTCCTTTCATCTACCATGTGTAAGGACGGAGCGTTTGATCCCGCGGGACCAATTCGCGTCAACTCCATGCGCCCCCATAGGAGGTATTTAAATTTGTGCTGCGGCATGACCGTCCGACCTTGGGTCACACCCAGCAGCCCAAACAGTCTTCCCTGATGCATCATTAATCTTCTGGATGATCTGCCCACGGCCCATTATCTCCCTCCCCCAGCCGCTGACAACAATGGCATCATGTCCCATAGCTAAGGCAACTAATTCAGAAGCAATATCAAAAACAACTAAAAGCCATACCGCGAAGCTTCTGAATGGTCGACATAGGAATGGCGTCTTCAAAGTTAATCCCGCCGCTGACTACACCGAAGGCGTCAGGATCCTTGTCATTTGGGTCAGGCATCCCAGCTGAGATGCAGAATCGAGGGGCATCAAGGGCGGCTTGGGCAGTGAACCCACGCAGCATGTTGAGCAGGACCTGAACGTGGCCCTGGGGCTGTATAATATTTGTGTGATCACTATCTACAGACACTGGAAGGGTGCGAGTACATACCTGCATGAAACCACCCATTACACCGTAGGAGAGGAACAGATCGCCCCCTCGTAACGCCATTGCAGGAATGATGGTGTGATATGGCCGCTTCCCGCCCTACAGAAACGACACAATTCAATGGGTCTTGCCGTTAAGTTTATTGTATGATATACCTTTAAGCAGTTAGGGTGACCCTCGCGCAGAACAAATCCAGCGCCCCTGTTCTGAAGAGTAAAGCCGCATCCCTTTGGTACAGCTTCGTTTAAAATCAGTATCGTCTAAATTGTGGCGAGAATTGATGCCACCTCCTGTCCCAAATCCTTTGGTTGCAAAGTATCAACACGTGCGCTCGCGGAAAAACTGAATGCCATACCAGCATAATTGCTCTGAATAAAACTACATGCGTTTCCCCACTGATCTGCGGCTGGAATACGCAAACACTTAGTACATAGACGATCAAAGGCTGTGTCTCTTTCATACCAGTGAAGTAGACTGTATCAGACGAGTTTACCGGGTTTCCCTACCCCACTGTGAGTAAATTAAAATGCGGATGGCGGTCGAGCAAGGCTCACGTGGATCACTTTGGGGTTTCTAGCTTGAGGGTTGAATAGAGCAGCGCGTTTGGATAAGTATTCCTACAGCCCAGATAAGATGCGACAGAAGAATGCAGACTCAAATTCTAACCTTGCTTAATAGTTCATCGACTGGGATCTTGTTGAACTCAGGATCAGTCACGTAGTATTGCGTGTCTGCTGCCTGTCAGTTGCGAAACACAAGCAAGGCATGCAATGATCTCACCCGCAAAGGCGAGACTAAATAAAATAGACATGAATGATCAAGAATCCAAGAGATTCGACTACTGCACACGCACCGTAGAGCCTCAATGAGTGCATGGAGATATTCGGCAGAGTTGTGTTCTAATTCTAAGAGAGATGGAATCTTTCCTTGCTCCTGCATTTGTTCGAGAATGCCAAGAGCAACCAATGCAGTGATACCTGGCAATGAGTATTAGTATTAGTTACGCCCTGTGGAACCTGGTTTATTTTCACCTTGACCATTGGGGGGACACTACATTTTGATAACGTTAGTATTTACCCGTGAACCACAGACACCATCGACGCCTCACCTCATAAACAGTTACATCCTCAGCATAAGTGTATTTGATCGGTTCTACGAATGACGTCTCGTGCTTTGCAAGATCGTCGAGCTCCATAACACCCCCTTTACTTTGAACGAGCTCCACTATAGCTTCTGCGATACGGCCTTTATAGAAACCATCTTTTCCTTGCTCCGCGACAGCACGGAAGGTCTTGGCAAGGTTTGGGAACTTCATGATTTGACCTGGGCGAGGTGCCTTTCCATTCAGAAGCATTTCATGTCCGTTTGGCGACGCATTTTGTATCAACTCTTCTGAGTGCTGCCACTGTAGATAAATCAGTAACTGTTCCAACGTGAACAAAAGGAACTGACATTATAACTGTGGACTTCGGATACCGGAACTCTGCCACCAAGAATAGTCAATAAACTTGACAATGAGTGATGTGATAAATATCACGGACCCCTCTTCGGCGAGCCTAATCGCAGGCGCCAGAACTTCAGCGATGGTGAGTTTTCCGCTTCCGAGCTTTTCCACCGTATCAACCCACGCAGCAGCAGCACCTGCACTATTTGTTACACACCGTGTAATCAAAGCTGTCAAATAAAACAAACCTGGGACTGTGACACAGTTAAGGTCTCTGAGAGGAATCTGGCCGCCATTGACACCACGTTGACGCATGTATTCGACTGTCAACTTCTGAGGAGAGTGACCAGAGCCATTCATTGCCTTTATGGTTTTCGTTTTCGCATCAAAGAATAGGCAAAATGCATCTCTATTTCACACTCAGATTGGGGTGATGGACTAGCTCTTGGAACAGACGCACCCTCCTATACCACAGCAACTAGGCTCAGTAACATTAAGAGCGGCAGAGGTTGCAACAGCAGCATCAGCTGCAAACGAGAGCATGGAGTGTCAGTGGAGGCTGAGATCGAGAACACGGGCACTCACCTGCATTCCCGCCTTTCCTTAGGATTTCGAGTCCAGCCTCCGCTGCGAGAGGTTGAGAACATGCGACGATACCCTTTGTGCCATATACTTGGGATCGTCGACTTGGAAATTGCTGGAACACAAGATCAGGTTGGTCTACCTTACTCCAATCAACTTTCATTGCGGCGAATGCGGAGGTAATGAGAAAGAATACGGTGAGGGGCTAAGATAAATCACTGAAGATTCATGTTAGTTAAAAAGGGATGGCTTAGCGCTCACACACTATCAGATCGTGCTTCATGCTCACATGGATGTGACCAATATATTCCTGACGGAACACCGACGCATACTGCAGTTATTGATACACCGGAACCAGGTCAATTCCGTGGAGAACAAATAAGAACAATTAGATGTAACATGACGTATTTCTTGGTAAATTTATAATTGGTAGTACTTGCCAGACATATCGAGCCAAGGCTGGGCGGAACACACGCCTGAGTCAGACGTCCAAGGTACTGGAGCGGAGCGCACATGGAGGCGACCCGAATAGATTCCGCGGGATGAAACGCTCCGTCCTGACATATGTTAGATATCGAGCCTGGTCATTGAAAGATGAGCTGAATAGACAGAAAAACAGAAATGAAATATTCCTCTGATATCAATTTATGGTTAAACGTTTAATCGTAGCCACGCAATTTGATGAACATGTTGACATTTCGGCAATGCCCGATCTTAAAGCTTAGGGACTTGGCTGCAACGCTCTGGGCTCATCGGGCAAGCCATTTTTTCCATCATGTCTCTAGAATTCCGTTATCAATCAGCATCAACGGACTACCAAAAAATACAAACAGAACTCGCAAGTTTCGTGGAGAATCGCACTCGTCTCGATGCCCAGCTTTCTGAGAATGAGATGGTCAAAAAGGTTCGCCTTCGAAAATCTTTACCAGATTCATTTAACCAACTCCATCTTCCAGGAATTCGCGCACTTGACCCCTAGTAATGTTGTCTATAAACTTGTAGGACCTGTATTGGTACCTCAAGATCAGAATGAGGCCAAAACCAATGTGGAGACGCGCCTGGAATTTATCAAGAGCGAAATGTCATTGGTTTTATGTCCGAGTTAAATGCAGAGCTCATCAGCATCACAGAAAACGTGTAGATGCACAGATAAATGACGGCGAGGACAGATCAGAGAAAAAGAAAAATGAGGTATTGCCACTTGCCCGTCTTTCCCAATGATGAGTTTGACCCGACGACCCGTTGTGTCGCAGCTTGTCGAAATTCAAACGAAGCTTCAGCAGGCTCAAGCTAAGCCAAACGCTTAGACGCTGGCAGATGATGCTGTGAGGATACTGGTCCCCAAGGAGTGCTAAATCACGGACAACTGACTTGTACTTATCCCCGAATGCTACTGATACAAAGTGCGTACATGCTACTAAAGAGATACTAGCCTACAAATAGCAGATCAACGTATACTGAATGAACTATCAATGAAAGGCCGATCGCGTCAATACAAACCTCTCATAGAAACCAAGTGCGACAGTCTTCGACGGACCAAAACTCTTCGCCTTGATCATCCCAAGCTCTCGCATAGCAACGTCCCAGGGGAATTGACCAGAACTGTTTGCGCAATCATGAATATATGCGTAGGAAGCCTTGAGCCTTGCCACCTCCTCCGACGAGAAGAACAGAAACGATGAAAGGTCTGGGGCAGCAACGAAATCACGAGCGAGGGAGCGAAGAATGTCCTGTCGCCGTTCAATTTTAAGGCCAGAGAAATTACGACGAATGTTCTTTTTGTGTTCTTCACGTATCTTTTCGACGTGTTCGCGTATCTTGGAGAGTTCCGTTTGCATTGTCAAAGCAGCATCGTCATTGCTGTACTTCACTCGCCGCACCCTTGACTCGGCATCCTGCCATGGCTTCTCGAGAGTGGAATCTCTGTGACTGTGCGGTTTGCGAAAAGCACTATCAACCTCTTGCATTTTCAGGTCCCGGTATTTCCGGGCGTGGCTCATAATCGCATCCATAACGAATTCTGTCATGCCTCTGGGACGCTGGACGTTGATTTCGTTGGTTTCCGGTTTCTCCTCCCCGATTTCTTTCCACTCCGGGGAGCGCTTTTGGTAGAGCTTTGTATCGCTCTTGACGACCTCCGGTAAAACGGTTAATCCACTCTTCGCTCCATCGAGAATATCGCAAAACCTGTAGCAATATAAAATGTGTGTCACATCATTGTAGTAACCGCGACTTACATGTAAGCCAAGCGAATTGTTTCCTTGTGCGCATATCCAAGGGTGTACACCGCCACGTCGTGTAAATTTGAGTACTTTCCGACTGACGATATGTCGCGCAGTCCTCCCAACATAAATGACTGCAGGTGAGGTATGAGGTCGCCGAATGTGCTTCCTTGGTGTTGTTCTAGCAATGTGTCGACTCGCAGGGTGTTCTTGTGGAAATTCTCGGAGAGATCGTCAGGCGGATGAGAATATCGAAGGTTGGCATTCTTGAAGTGCGACACAATGGAGGGCTGCCAAACGGCAATTGCCTTGTCCCCGTCGTAATCGCCTAATGGTCGCTCAGGGTCTTGACATATGTACGATTTCATGATTTGACATACCTCCAGCAAGAAGGTCTGCAAAGCGGCGAGTTCCCTGCACAGAGCACACTATCACGTCTGTGTATTGCCTGAGTTCCGGTTTTTCGACAGCTCTGACCTGCCTCCAAACCATTAAGACGCAGAAGAAACAGTAGACGACCGATCAGCATGCCTTTTGAGTATCCGTCGGCAGTTTACAAGGGTGTCGTGTGAGCTATTATAGGTTCAGAGTCTGCAACGAGTCGAGAACATTGTATAACACTGACCAGGACATCACCCAATACAACATTTGACTCCGTTCCATCAGGACAGCGAAATTTCGAATCCCTCGAGAGAATCTGCACCTCGTCGGGAGCCAATGTTCCAGAAGGGTCTGAAGTGCACAATGGTCAAATAAACGAAGCCTTGATCATTGATGACCTCGCACCTGGCACAATCCATGCCACACAAGACATAGGCACCTCGATTTTATATCGTTGCACATACTTGTCGACCATCGTCTTAAGAACATGGCGAAGCTTCTCAGCGAGGACTGGGCAATTGTCCGGAGTGAAGCCAGAGTCAAGCATGACCATTACAGTCTCTTCAAGACTAGAAGGGCAACCCGAAACCTCGTCACCCCACCAAGCGACTGAGCGGGGATTTTCGATGACCGCATTCAGATCATCTTCGTCATCATCTTCAATGTCGTCGTCTTTGACTGCGAAACCTCTTGACCGAGCCTCTCCGCCAACTTCACGAGCCAATCTGGATGAAACCACGGCACCGGCTCTGGCAACACTATGCCATAGGCGATACATGGCGTCCGGGCCCTTCCAGTCAAGCAAACTGTTGACAATAACATCCAGACCTTCCTTCATGAGATCAATAAATACTGAGTGGGGAACACCATTTTCAGCAAAATTCACTATAGTCTCTGCAGCGAGGTGGGAGGGGGAGCGCATATGAGACGACCGTAGAACATCAATTGTCAAGTGTCCAGGTGACAGTTTTTGAGTCGGAGGATACTTGACTTTGATCTGTGATGGGCGCAACCAAACCCGAGGGACGTCGGAGCAATTTTCCGATGAATCAGGATGCAGGAGTAGAAGTCCCTATAGGAAAGTAAGTATTTGGCTTTCCTGACAGTTGAGGAAGTGTCTCTTACCTTGGCGCCAGCAATTCTACATTGGATTGCCGTCGGTAATGTGTCCCATTGTAAGAGCTCGCGTAATGCCTTCAAGGCAATTTTGTTTATATATCCGCAGCCATCTGTCATGTCCGGACCTCCCGGGTCTATGACGCAAAAGTCAAATTTCACTATAATCAAATAACAATAGTCATAACCTACCATCTTCTTTCAAATAGATGATATTATCCCGGCTGATGGTAATACCTGGGACAGAGTTCGAAAGTCCCAATGCAAACCGCGAGGACCATTTGGCCACAGTCTGGAACACATCAGCATTGTTCTCGAAAAATCAGAACTGCTGCCAACCTGAGCCGCATTGTAATATAGGGGATTATGCCATTCGAGGAAATCCTCCAGAGACGGCGGTGTGGGGTGAGCATGAGAAGGGATTCGACCACATCCCGTCGAAGAATTCGTTGCCACGAGAAAAACAGTTCCATCTTTTGCATAGAATGCCCGATAGACCAGACCACAGAGGAGAAAGTGTTGCGAAAAAAACTCCACAAGGCCATGCTGAGACTTGTTTAGAATATTCCTCGGTACCTTCACGCGTAGGAAATTCTTCGAACCATACTGTCGGGCCAGTCTCGACGAGGGCCCAAGCTCCGGCGGACTGAGTTGAATGCGGTATTCGGGCGTTGTGGTCTTCTTATCGATAGCCTTCAAAGTTGCACCAAAATGCACTTTCCCCCCATACCAACCATCGGCCTGTCGCTGGAACCCGTCGAAACTATCACCCATTGCGAAAGCAAGTTCGTGCTCCCGGTCAAGCTCTTTCCAAGGCGACTTGTTATGACATCAGTTATCGACCATCGCAAGCCAAAGAAGCACCGTACTAGAACGGCTTTCTCCTTCACGAAGTATCCTTCTGCCTCACCCTTGGAGTTCTGGCATGCAAACACCTGAGCCACGCGTGGGGCAGCTTCTTGGTTTGTGCCGCGGAGCTTATCCAAGTCAGGAATATTAATGTCCTCGTATGCAAGAACATCATAAGTGACCAGCTTCGCGATCAGCCACTGTACCCCAAAGGGAATGTTTTTACTATCAAAATAAGCCTGTAGATTTCGATCGTGAGCCTGTGAACTGTGTCAGAAAGAGTTCCTCAAAACCGCGTGAGAAACAACCCACGATTGAATGAATCTTAATAGTCGCATCCCCGATTCTCGCACTCTTACGTGAAGACAAGGAGGTGTCAGGAGGCTCCTCTGTTTTCCGTTTTCCTAGGATAGAGGACCAACTGCTCGGAGGTGAAGCCGGATCCGACGAGCTAGCAGACATAGCTGAAAGGGGTTGGGCGCTAGCAGTGACAATCGACGGATGGGAGACCATTGGAATGTCAACTCTCGAGGTGCTGCTGGTCCCAGTGCCATTGAAGACTGTGACTAGTTCTTAGGCTCTCAAATCACATCAATGATGAGTTAACTCACCTTCTTCCGGCATATTGCACATCATATCACTTAGGTCCTCCAGACCAGAGTAGACGGATGATTGCTGATGCTCAGTGTTAGTTATGCGAGAATAGGAGGTAATTGGAGACTGACGGTTGATGAGATCGAGTCGCTCGAAGCACATCTTTCTACTGGTAGCGGAAGAGCAGGGATGATATCATAGTCAGGCTCTTGATGATATGGAGCTGGTCCATGTGGATAACTATGTCACTTCATGCGCAAGACGCGAGATCAAAAACAATCGTACCTTCTTCTAATTCCCACTCGTCTAGTACTGTAACCTCTTCTTGTACCTCACGGTAATAAGCCCGCGGCATACCCCTCGACATCCCTAAATACACAAATACGTGCAAGACTGAGATCCTAGGTTATGTGAGTTCAAAAAATGTGGACGAGGACGACGGTGAAAAAATGTAGTGGGGACCAAGTGATTGTAGGCCGAGCTGGATCGAACTGATCATCCAAAGGGATCATCCAAAGAAGCACGATTGGAAAGCTCAGAGCGGGTCGCTCAAGATAGAAGGTTCACGATTCAGCTGAAACCGTTGTTGACAATGACCATGATCCAGTTGCAAATAGTGATAAGATGGATTGAAGTCGCTGACTTCGAACGTAACAGCCTGCCGCGAGGCTGACCATTCTTTTGCAACTTTGTCACGGTGGACACTGGACGGCATCAAATCACAACTATGATTTGTTTTTCCTTGCTGCTGAGATTGGCGTACGTGTCACGGTGTCAGGATCACTGCTAGACTCGAGTGAGTATAATATGGTTACAAACATGTTGCTACCACAGTTTCGAATAAATATAAACCCTATATACGTGATATTGACAGCCCATCAGCTTTCCGTTCTTGACTGAGCCCTCAAGTGGTTCCTTCCCTTTCGCGAAGTGTACCAGCTCAAGTAACCCAGCCTTGACGTCACCGAGCCCTCATTTCGAGGGCTCTCTAGACGTGAAGTTTTGCATCATTTGGGCATGAAGAGAGTAAAACCATCCACGACGCTGGGTCAGTCGAAAGTATGTTAGTAGCACGTATATTTTCAAAGGAAGGCTCATGGTATGAGTGCCTCTACATGGCGAGTATGAACAAGAACTCGACGCGCAGTCTAGATGCCATGCAGACTCTGGGGGTTCGGCAAACCAGGAATTGGTTCGTGGAAAAACCAGGTCGAAAATACTACGTTGGGCGAGCAAGTAACTTCGTCTGTACGAGTGAGCAGACGTACACATTCACTCGATGTCACTACCACCTCCTACGAATGTTGTTGTGCAGCCTGCATATGTGCCAAATCCCGCTCTGTCTCTGGACTCTTCAAGATTTTCTCCAGCTTAAAGCGTTTCCGCGCGGATATGGGAGGGCAGTTGCGTATTAACACGGTATCGTTCAATCGGAGGGCTATTCCACGACTCAGCATATATGCGGGGAATAACGTGGTGGTGACAGACCATTTTGTTCATCGTGTGTTAAGATCTTTTTGCTTCGTTCAATGCGCTGAAAGCAGGGTGAGTATACTTGTGGTTCGTAGGGTCAAAGTAAAAGTGTACTTTTCCGGTGATTTTGTGGATGACATGGCGTGAAACAGTCACGGTGGCTGTCTTGTGCATGCAGCCAGCTTTAGTGACGATACCGGTCAGTGCCATGGGAGGCATGGTGGGGTCTGGGCAAGTAGAATGGGTTTTAAGTCGTCGACGTTAATATTAATATTTGGATTCTTTGCAGTGTGGGAACTACATGTCATATTAGGGTGGGCGTCCCGCCCACCTTCCAACGTTTATTTCATGTAATTTGTCGCTTCCAAGTCCCCGACTGTAAATTTAAACATTTGTATTCTGCGACTCTAAAAAATTGTGACCGAGTCCCCCGAGCATGGAGCTGGAGAACTCCTCTTGCCCTAAAACACGAGACCCATCTAAGCGTAGATTGATTCAAGGAACAATTTTGATTGAATTCTTTTGTAAATATATAGCAGTATAGATTATAAACTGTTGTATTTTTCTATGCGTTATGTACTGGTATGTATGGTACCTGGAAACTCGTCTAATCTCATATGCAAAATAAGATAATAATTTATACCGGGGAGCTTGAAGGTGGTGGTTCGGAAGGAGCATATTTCGACTTGGTTCTCAACATCGGGCCATATCTGTTTTAGTGTTAGCCCAGCAGGAAGCAGCGAGCATTGTATAAGACTTACTTTGTCAGGACAAAGGGAATTGGCATCATGGTCAGAGCGATGAATCCCAGTAGTGATGAAGCCCATTCAGGGCCAAGCCTATCGTACATCTGAGTTGCGAAAAGCTGAGCAAAGATTGATCAGTTGACGTATGAAAGTGACAACAGTGTTTTTGCTCACAGGGAATCCAGCCCCAAACAGACTGCGAACAACAGTGTTTGCAGCCAGCGCTGAGGCAGCGACAGATAAATATGCATCAATGATATAGTTGAACAGGGCAAGCTTCGAAAACATCGTAAGCCGTAGGCCAGCATGCAGGTTGTGACAACTTACAAATATCAGGCATATGCTCCATCCGAGCAATCCACCAGACATCATCGGAGCCCAAAACGAAATGCTAGGAAATGATGTCCATGCAAACCAGAAGAATGATACGGCAAAGAATGGCGCTGAAATCATGGCGACCCTCAATCTGAACTCTGGCGGCACAGGATTTGGTGCGCATTCCTGGGCTTTGCGCTCATAGCCTGGGTTGAAAAAGATAATGTACTAAAACGCGTGTTAAAAAGGCGGAACGGAGCACAAGGATTAAATATGCGCACCGTTGCAACAGCAAAAAACCCGCCAATGGGCAATGGAAGGAACATGAGTCCAGACACACCCGCATTCAAGTTGTGTCCCTGAGTGAAAACTATAGGGTAGGCCTCGAAAAGCAGGTATATACAGCCGTAGACGAACTAGAATGCCATGTCAATGGCACTGTCCGTCGATTGCAAAACAGCAAAACTTACGCTCATGTACAAAGTTATGGCAATCAACATGGGTTCGCGAAAGAGAATTTTGAAAGGCCGAGCAAGAATGCTTTCCAAGCGCTGCGCGAGTGTCAAGTTTTGTAGTTCGATGGCAGAATGGTATTTCTCGTCCCCAGTGTGCTTTCGGATCTCTTTAGCTTTCTTGGCAAGAAGGACCGGACTGAGATGAAGAGATGAACACCTACAAAAAGCCATTACGCAAAGGATGCTCACCTATATGTCTCTGGGATCGTGAAAACAATCAGCAACCAGCACACTCCAGCCTAAAAGCGGTCGCGTGAGTTATGGCCGATAGAAAATAAAGAAAGCACTTGCGAAAATGGTCAATATCCAAAATAGCCAGCGCCATGAGACGCCAGCTAGGACAAGGTATCCTGATACTACTGGTCCAATGCCTGGTCCAGCAAACGGAGCGACAGTGAAAACCGCGAGAGCAGCGCCACGTCCCTTTGCGTCCCAGATGTCCGATATGAGAGCGCTTGAAAATTCGCCTTGTCAAAATAGGACTATTCCACTGGAGTAGACAGTGCCTACCCTGAATTTGCTAAAGGGGCAGCTGCAAATGTACCACCAAGGAAACGGAAAATCAAAAGGGATGCGGCGTTCGGCGACAAAGCACAACCGATTTGGAAGCACTAAACATAAAGGCAACTGAATAACAGGCAAGCAAGGAATGGAAATGCCCACTGACCATGTATATGAAGAAAGATATAATAAATATTGGGCGTCGTCCGTACTGCTCCGATAACGGTCCCCACAGCAAAGGGCCAATACAGTAACCGCACACGAAAAGGGAAATGGTCAACGTTCCGACTTCCTGGGATATTCCAAATTCCTGCATGAGAGTGGGTACTAGAGAAGATGGGGCACTGCTCGAGAAGGTGCTAGATAGGGCAAACAAAGCAACTTGAGCATTTAATACTTTATGAGAGATATTGTACACACGCATTGAGGACCAGAAGACCGGCAGCGAGGGTAAGGTACCACTTTTTGGCAGAGGACCAATTCTGAACGAGATGATGAGCTCATCGATATGGTAGTCTTGTGACAACTGAAAAGTACCTTTGGATTGGCTGGGTCGCCTTCATCGAAGTGCACTAGATATGGGTCTAAGTTGGACTTGTTTTCAAGAGTGGCAGCAGAGTCAATCCCGCTGCTCTCCTCAGGATGAAAGGCAGTAGAGGCGGATTGAATTGATACCCGCGATGAGTCTACCATATTTAGAGGGAGGAATATGAGAGTCCGGATGGATTACGGTGCCCTTTTAAAGCATCGGGATACCTTACAAGCGTTGTGGTCAGCATTGTGTTCATACGCAGTGACATATAGTCTGACGATCGGTGAGTTTGTCAAAAACTGAATCAGACTAGGGGTCCAACCAACTTAGTCAGCTAAACCACATAATCATGATTCTAAATTTAGTATGTAATCATCGCAACGTACGTTGACCATGGACTTTACAGAAATCTACAAACAATCCGGAAATCTAGCGTCGTTTAGTCCAGGCGCTCACTTCATCCTCAACGTCGTCGAAAACACCTTGATCGTCAGGCGAACAGATACTCTACAGATTACCCGTACATGGTCAATCACCGCGCCTTCCGGTACAGCTACCATTCTGTCAACGTCAAAGTCAACTCCATCCAGCCCGGCAGATGGATGGATATCCCATGCCGGCTGGTCATGCGATTCCGAATATCTCCTTGCAGCTTCCGCCAAAAAAGGCATAGTAGAGGTTTTCAAGCTAAGAGATGAAACTTGGAATGCACGAATCGAGGCTGGTGCTGAAGGCCTCCTCAAAGCTGAGTGGGCACCGGACGGTCGTCACATTCTCTGCTTTTCTCAGTGGGGTGCAAGTATTAATCCCTTTAGGCCGTCTGCCAGTTATTTACGATTCATTCGGCAGCTTCGAGTTACCATTTGGTCTTTGGTAACGGGCAATGCTACTTACATACAGTTTCCAATACATCCCGATAGAGGTACCGTCTATCAGTATTACCGTCCACTTGTCATGTCATTAAATCAATCACAGGCTACGCTTTCCGCTCTGATTCCCGTTACTTTGTATTGGCTGAGCGACATAGGTCAAAAGACACCGTGGGTGTGTATGACACAACTGACTCTTACAAATTAGTGCGGGTAAGCATCATTTCACCGTCTTCATTCATAGCTCATGACTAGGAAGGCATTCACAGCATTTTCCTGTACCAACATCCCATTTATCATCTCTGGCTTTGTCTCCAACCGGTAATCATATCGCAGTCTGGGAGGGTATTTTGGAGGTTCGTGATCTTCGACCGCAAAGTCGACGTTCACTCACGTACTTTATCGGCAGTACAAGCTGCATATCCTTTCCCTAGCCGGAGATGTGCAAGGGACTTTTTCGCCTGAGCCAAATCTAGGATTTGGTGTTCGCAATGCGGCTTGGCATCCTACTGGAATGTTCCTCGCCGTGGCAGGATGGGACGATAAGGTATATGCGTCTGTCGCGTACGTCACTGTTACTCAAACTTCTAGATCCATATCCTTGATGGTCTGACTTGGTCTGCGGCTGCAATACTCGAGTTGTCAAGTAGGATACCAATGGGCGCTGTGAGTAGATTATTTAACAAGCCCGAAGATACTCAATCTTGGTAGACACTATGGCGGGAACCGTCAAACTGGCTTGAAACTACGCAAGGTCGAGGATTTTTGTCTTGTGCGAAATACATAATTGTCGAATCCTTTGGCGAATCCTGACAAAGCGTCCTCCAACTAGATGAACGATTACAAGGGCCACAGATAATCAGCTTGCAGCGCACGGATCCAACGAAGCCGAACCCAAAGTCGGGTGCGGTCCAGCTTGAATGGAATAAGACTGGCACGTTACTGCTAGTGCGGTTTGGTCTGTCTAGACAATTGTTTCTTTGAACGTGACTTGACGTAGTGACTGTAGAAAACTGCCCCACGGTAGTCCACTTGTACGATTTTCCGGCATCATCGGATCCATTCGTTCCCCGGTTGCGTTGTGTTTTGCACCACTCGAAGCCAGTCCTGCATGCACAGTGGAACCCAGTCCGTAAAGGCAGCTTGGCCCTGTGCACCGGGAGTGGTAGCATTTACACATGGAGCGACGAATGGATTGGAGAAAACGGGGTAGGGGAAGACATGGCGGAGTGCATCGGTGTACCGGCGAACAGTAGGTTGCTCCGTCATTTCTCCATAATCAGAATCATTGATAGCTCCATAGCAAAATTTGAAACAAGAAATATCAAATGGGCTCCCGACGGTAAAGGGCTTGTGTTGTTAGACAAAGAGATGTTTTGTTGTGCGTTCGAGGTGGAGGAAGGTGGTGATGAGAGCTGACAGTTTGCGTAGTAAGGCTTGCGAAAGTAGCGCACGGTCAACATGCTATATTCGTTGTGCCTTTTTAGTCACGAATGCGCCACGCCGACGTCGGACGTAGACCAGCGGCAGAAACCGTCTGACATAATCAGCATCCGCACATTTTCGCAAGCGTTCAATTCCGCCGTAGTGGCACGACTAGACCAGTCATTCCATTTCACCTCATCGTCTAATGTTGTCCCGTTCTCTTCGTGCTGCCAGGCTTGCAGACCGTCGACTGGTTTCTCTAAGTACATCACGATGGCAGAGGACGTTTGCAACACCGTCAGATAACAATGACACCAAGCCGCGGCGGAATGAAGCGGGCGAGGGAAATGCACAGAAAGGCAAGGAGAAGGCCAACGGTGAAGCAGCTAAGGAATCCGGAGATGGAGGTTCAGAAATCCCGAAAGGACTCGAGGGTTTTTTTCAAGCGATATCAGCAGCAAACTTGGTCTCGTCAACAGCCCGACGAAGACGAGACTCCGCGACAGAAACCACCACCACCAGGCGGTAACAATCCCAATAATGGATTCAACGTCAACCAACTTGCCCTCCTCGCCACGTCCGCTGCTATATTTTACGCCCTGACCAATTCTTCATCTTCGGGTTCGCGCGAAATTACCTGGCAAGAGTTCCGCACCGCGTTCCTCGACAAAGCACTAGTAGACAAGCTCATCGTCATCAACCGACAGAAAGTCCGTGTCAAGTTGCATTCCAATGCAACCGGCGCGATGTACCCTGCAGCATCCCTCGGTGGAGATTACTATTTCTCAATAGGCAGCGTCGAGGCTTTTGAACGGAAGCTTGACGAGGCTCAGGCAGAGCTTGGTATTCCTCCCCACGAACGCATACCAGTTGCCTATCACGAAGAGATCTCTACCTTTAATACCATACTCAACTTCGCTCCCACTATCCTTTTCGCCGGTCTCCTTCTCTACATGTCGCGACGAGCTGGAGGTGGTGCGGGTGGTGGACCAGGTGGCATCTTCAGCATAGGAAAGAGCAAAGCCAAGCTCTTTAACAAGGATACAGATGTGAAGGTCAAGTTCAAGGACGTTGCGGGTATGGACGAGGCCAAGGAAGAGATTATGGAGTTTGTGAAGTTTTTGAAGGAGCCCGCCAAGTTTGAGAAACTTGGTGCAAAGATACCCCGCGGAGCTATCTTATCGGGACCTCCGGGAACTGGGAAGACCTTGCTAGCAAAAGCGACTGCTGGCGAGGCCTCTGTCCCCTTCCTGTCCGTGTCTGGTTCGGAGTTCGTCGAGATGTTCGTCGGTGTCGGCTCTTCCCGCGTCCGTGATCTGTTTGCGTCGGCGAGAAAGAACGCACCATGCATTATTTTTGTTGATGAAATCGACGCTATTGGAAAGGCCAGGGGCAAAGGAAGCAACTTTGGTGGAAATGACGAGCGGGAGTCGACTCTCAACCAGTTGTTGGTGGAGATGGACGGGTTTGGAACCCAGGAGCACGTTGTAGTACTCGCGGGCACCAACCGTCCAGATGTCCTGGATCCCGCTCTCATGCGTCCTGGGCGTTTTGACCGTCACATAACCATTGACCGTCCAGATGTCTCCGGCCGGAAAGGTATCTTTATGGTGCACCTCAAACCCCTCCGGCTAGCCGAGGAGCTCGATACGGACAAGCTTGCTCAGAAGCTCGCCGTTCTTACCCCAGGTTTCTCAGGAGCAGACATTGCGAACGTTTGTAATGAAGCTGCTCTTCATGCCGCACGCAAGGGTCACGAGTCTGTCAAGGTGGACGACTTTGAGAGCGCAATTGAGCGTGTTATCGCAGGTCTGGAGCGCAAGAGCAGAGTCCTTAGTTCTGAGGAGAAGAAAACCGTTGCCTATCATGAGGCTGGTCACGCTGTCTGCGGCTGGTACCTCGAACATGCCGACCCGCTTCTCAAAGTGAGCATTATCCCTCGTGGTGTTGGGGCTTTGGGATATGCGCAAGTGAGTACAGATGTTCTTTGACAGTATCCGACAAATGACCATTTTCCGCACAGTACCTTCCTCCAGACCGTTACCTGCTCTCGACTCCGCAGATGTTGGACCGAATATGCATGACCCTTGGCGGCCGTGTATCGGAGGAGATTTTCTTTGGTCCAGAGAATATCACAACAGGCGCTCAGGATGATCTCCAAAAGATCACCCGTATGGCATTTGAAGCATGCGCAAATTATGGTATGAACACCATCATCGGTCCCGTCAGTTATGGTGGTCGTGAGAGTCAGAAGGAAAGCTGGACAAAACCATTCAGTGAGAAGACGAGCGAGATGTTGGATTCTGAGGTGCGGAAAATGATCACGTAGGTGTATTTTTGTCGTCTCTGCAACATCAGCTAATAATGTTGTTTTAGTGGAGCACATCAGCGGACTACTGAACTTCTGACGCTCCACCGAGAAAGCGTGGAGAAGGTAGCCCAGCTTCTACTCAAGAAGGAGGTCATTACGCGGTGCGTCATACAACATCCACTCTGGCCGCGTTGACTTGACAGATCTTTGTATAGTGAGGATATGATTGACCTTTTGGGTAAACGCCCATTCGCCAATAAATCCGACGATATGGACAAGTGGCTAGATGACAACCGTGGCCATGAGCGCAGCGCTCCTGCGCCGATTGAGGAATCCCCCCAGAGCACTGTAGATCCCGCCCCTGCACCTGTCGCCACGTCGACAAAAATAGAAGACTACAAGTGGTAGTTCCTCTCTTTTCCTGCACTGATATATCGTGTTTTGTTTCACGACGGAGGCTCTGGACACGATCACATATACGTTTTGTATCTTTAATTACACGACGCTCATCGTGTTACCCTCATACTTACGTTCTCGATGCATACTAAATTGTGTCTAAAGGGTATATCGGAATTGACTCCACTCATCACCCTTCTCGCGTCGTGCATCGTTGACTGTCTCGAAACGCCCATTCTTCAATGCCATCTCGTTCATTTCCTCCCCAGAGTTGTCGCTGTTAATTACCTCATCGCGCTCTCCTCTGTCTCTTCGCTCGTTCTCCCTGCGCAACAGGATCATGAATGCGGCTGAGGATAACCAGCCAATTGCAATGTAGGCGAGGATGATGCCATGACCGAGCCTGTACCAAGGTGCATCCCGAGCACGATACTATGAGCTGATAAGTCGGGAGTTAGCTTGAGCCTGTTTTGCGGACTCACAACGTTCGAGGAAACAGCTCCGTTCAAATTTCCCCTTTATTGATGTCAGTTACACTGGCTGGTGGCATAATGTATGGATCAACGTACCACCCGATGGCCATGGCTAGTGTAACACCTCGTTTATAGGAGCCTTCAACATTACTTGCCACCCATGCTCTGAAGTACGGTTAGTGAGAGAAATAAGAATAAACCAACCGACGTACACCGAATTCGCTGTATTCACGACCATATCAGTTACAGGATATCGGAGTGCAGAATAGAAAGAGAATCGATACATACGAACTGTAGGATATATAGCGCTGACGATGAAATTCTCAAGTTAGCGCAAGCGTTCGAGTCAACGTTTCATGAGACTCACGATGAAGCTAGGAAGCATGCGAAATAAGATAGTCCTGGAGTTCTGGATGTGATGAGTATGATATAACCAACCAGACCTGGAAGATCTATAGCCTATGTTTCGTCGTTGAAAGCTGAAAACACTTGCCCGTTCCGAACAGAATCCTATCGTGTAATACATGAGAACTCGAAATTCAAACATATATGATGTTGCGCACAAATTGATGTATCCCCTCCGCCCAAGGCGGTCACCAACAAAACCGACGATCACGGTCACTATACATGACCAGATGTATACGGGCACGGAAAGCAGATTCGCTGTTGTTGCTGTGTAACCTGGGGACTGGTCAAACACTTCAGCAGAATGAACATTGACAGCGCTCACCAAGCTACCAATTCCAGCAGCGAAGCCGAGTTTGAGTACGGGATATTATCTGAACATATATAGAAAACACGAACTTCGTTGATGATTGTTGGGGTGAATAAGGAAAATGCGAATAATGGTCCATCGCTGACGATATATTTTGTAAGTAACAACCAAGGTTATGACTCTTTGACCCACAATCCCATATATATGCCCACTGTGTGCACTCAGTACCTCTGACGAGAATGATATGAATTCACGTACTAGCCAAGTAGGTTTTCCAGTCCCTGAGGCTTTGCCAGATATATCGGGCTTTGAATTCCTCGCCGCCAGCGCTGAACTGCATGTCGTCCCTCAAACGTCTAATGACGAAAACCCCTGTATCCATGTCAGTGTCGAGTAAGTGCCTAGGAGATCCTCTTTCACTACTTACTCTCTTCTTTGGTCAGAAATCCGGCTGTCTCAGGGAAATTCGAGATCACCCAATATGAAGCAACCGCACACAATACGGTGAGGAGTCCTTCGAGTATGAAAATCCAAGACCAGCCAGGCTTCCCTGCCACACCATTCATGTTGGATATAGCTGCAGCCAGGAGACCGCCTACGAGCATACATTGATTCACGAAAAATTAGATACTATTATGAAGCACTCACTAAATGCTCCCGCTATAGTTGCAGAAGTAAAGAATGCTGCTACCCGTGTACCAAGCTCAGACCGCTTGTACCAGCTGCATGCGCGATATCAGCACCCCAAAGCGGGATTCTGAGGGCACATGGAACTTATAAACATACCAGGAGATATAAAATACAATTCCGGGATATAAACCAGCCTCTGCCACTCCAAGCAGTACTCGCAAGGCTAAATATTAATATTGGGCTCGATATTGATCAGCTTCAAGAGTCTGCCAGGCTTACTGACGAGCCCTCCGTAGTTGTGTATAAATCCGTGGCACATCTTGTCTAGAGTGACTACATTGCGAAGATGTTAAACAGCTTCTAACACATACCATAACAATTCCCCAGACGAACATCATCGAAGAAAGCCACATCGAGGGTCGAACCCTTCTGAGGATAACATTGCTCGCAGGCTGCATAAGGTTAGCATGAGCAAAAATGATTGCTCATACTCCTTACCTCGAGCAACGCGTATGGAAAGAAGAAGGCAGTAAGCGCAATGAGGTATTGCTTGTCTGTAATGCCCAAGTCGGTCTCCATGTGGTATAACTGAAAACGCGTCAGAGTCTAGAAGTTCGACTGGCTAGCTAGCTAAGCATCACCTTCGCATTTCCTATGCTTCCCCGATCTAAAAAGTTGAGAAAATAGAGGAGGCCCAACCAAGGTACGACTCGGATGTCGATCTTACGAAGTAGTCGACTCTCGTCGACTTGACTGGTGTCGATATGGGCCTCGTAGAGCTCGTCCTTGTCTGTTGCCAATGCTACGATGGATCCTGAATTCGACATCAGACGAGAGAATGACTGAGCATAAGCAACAAACACTTTGAGGCTTATCGCGTATTAATAGTGGATCGTCAACTGTGTCAGTGCGCTCGGAACACGGCGGTTATCATGGCTGGTCACAAGACGGGTGATAGTGTGAGCATGTTAGAATACCAAGATCCTGAGTCTCAGGCTGTCGGCCAGTACCAACTACAGCATCTTGCATACCATTTTTAAAGGAACACTTTGCGATATTCATCGATCCCAACAACAGCTTCCAGCCCTTTAAGCGCCTCCTTAAACCAGTTCTTCACATCCTCTGTATCAACCCCAGCAGCTCTTATAACTGTGCCTTTGCCATCGTCCACAGGACTCAGGGACCAAAGGAACCTCTCTGGGACTGTGCGCTTGAAAATAGAAATACTGCGGTACTTTGCTTGCAAGTCAGTCACGACACCATGCGTCTGGGGCCCGTAAAGAAACAACATGGCATAACATGAGTAGGGCGCAAGCCTATCTTTGAGCGTCCGAAGTGATGTGCGGCTAGGACCTGATGAGCAGGACGCAGGTTGGGTATCAAGGGACGAGTTATCTAGTAGTAAAACGTCCCGTGCGACACGTCGGCCTTCTACGAAGACCTCGTTAACGCTGTAATACCGGAGGAAATCCCAGTCCTCGCCCATAGACCTGCGTCCCGACGTTACCCAGTCTAGCAACACAATCGACGCACTCCTGGCAAGATGGAATGTTTGCACTTGAGTATAGGATGCAGAACGGAAGCATGTCACAGGGTCGGGGAGGAGGAACAACGCGCTGTCGGGATCTATGGTGACTTGCATGGATTGAGTCGTGACCGCTTGCAGACTCGGACTACTGGGTTGGGGAGAAGATCTTCGCAAACGCGTGGATGCTCTGTCACTAGCACGCGTTTTGAAGACTTTGGTAGATCCCTGGATGTGGTCTCAGACTGGTCATCCTCATAGAACACACATTATCGCACCTGGGAGAGTAATATGAGCTTGCATTCTTTTCCTACTTCGACAACAAGTTGCATGCGGTCTCCGCCAACCAGACCACCGCCATAACTCAACATGTATACTATAGCAACCCCATGTTCTGAAACTCTAGGTGATAAGAGCTTGAGCGGGTATGATGACGAGAGCTTCGAAAAGACGACAGTTGATGAATGCAGATCACAGGTAATATGTCCAGTGCCCGCAGGGATGCTCTCCCCAACCATGGAGGACATTCGTTGCCAGTTGACATGGAATGAAAACTAGAGAGCAATGCGATAACAAGGTCAAGACATATTCCCATAACGATTCTAGACCCTGGATAGCCCTGAACTTATCATTTGAAACCGAGGAGAGCTCACTGCCGATTTATCCACACAGACATTTCGGTGAGGTGTTTGAACATCGTGATCCATATTATCCCGTACACATTTAGGAAAAACGTAGCAGAGCAACGAAAGGGAAAGTAGAAAAAAAATGAATCCAACGAGCGACGATAAACTAGCACAGGAATCAAGCAAAAGGAATAAGATAGGCGACAAAGACGAATCGACGAAACACAAACGAGGGAGTGGAATGGAACAATCCAATAATTTTGTACTGCAAATCTGGGAAACTCCGGAAAAGGATATAAGAGGGCAAAGACATGCATAGGGTCGTCGTGCAGTTCGATCAGGGGGAAGCCGGGGAATAGCATAATATACGAAGAGAATATCAATACTTCCGGGTAGCCAGGGCACGGATTTCATACAGCTCATGTCGATCAGGAGAACCAAAGGGGTTTGTCTGGCGTAACATTCGCCATCCTTTGTGTTCTTGCCTGTGTCTTTCTTCTGCGGCGCGACATTTTTCCACAAAATCATCGGCCACGTCATAAACAAGGGATGCCCTTGAGCCGCGATCGCTTTCCGACTCGGAGTTTGTCCGTATTCGACTGCGCGCTGGGCTGGGTGCGGTAATGATGATAGCGGAAGTGGTCGATCCACTTGTATCTGACATTGCACTACTGGTGCATCCTTGCTGGCTGGCGCGGATTGTGCCTCCCTTCTGTTCCCATGCATCTTCGTCATCCTCGTCATCTGCGAGATCGGCGAAGACATCTGGTTCTTCTTCATCGGGAGGTAGAGTTGACACCCAGCACATCCGCGTGGGGTCGAATATCATGTTGCCGACCTTGCGAGCACCGGCGGCAAAGGAACCGACTGGAGATCCAATGGATGACCCGGTGAGGTGTGTGATCAATGCAGGCCGGGTGGAAGTTCCAACGACTGTATCGAAATCACGGAGCACTTGATCATTCCCTTCCCAACGAAGGGTTGTTGGATTCCATTTCATCTCACCCACAACTATAATAACGCTCCCATGAATACCAAATTAAGAGCTACTGTGACTCCGTTCGTACCTTTTGGTCCACTTGCACTGCCGAGGTGGCGGATCAGAGTGGGTTTTCTCCTTGTATGACCAAGTACAGGCGATGAGGCATCTTTCTTCTTCTTTATGCTAATCTCGGTGACAGAAGCCTTTGGGAATTCAATGCGACCCGTGCGCCTCAGGGTGTTGGTGGCGGGTGCAAGTGCGCCTGAGACGTCTATAATAGGAAGGTACATGAGAAACAAGGCGGGGGGCGAGCACACAAATACACGTGTTCTTACCTGGACTAGCAACATCTTTTCTTCCCTTCTTGCGCATCGTACCTGTCTCCTTATCTTTCTCCTTGTCGGAGGTCTTTGACAAGCTACCGACAGGACCACGATTTGTCGCCTTGGGTTGTACCCTAAATCTTCCCTCTTTATCTCGGTCTGTCGGGAGGTCGTCAAAGGCATCTAATTCAGTGCCATCACCGTATGTGCGTTGCCGCTTTGGTCGCCGTAGAAGTTTGGGAGCTGATGTCGAAGGTATGAGTGGTGTTTGCGTCTGTGCAGCACGACTACGCAGTGATATCGTCGAAGGAGGGCGAGGAAGTATTGGCGATGTTGCGCGATGTGAAGGTTGAGGTGCAGGGAGGGTAGCGACAGTGGCAGGTCCGGGAAAGATGGAAGACAGGGCAGGTCGTGACTTCATACGTATTGAAGTCGGCATAGTCAAGCGCAGTGCAGCAGGATTCGAAGAAGGGGTCGATGGCCTCGTGGGTGGCACGATAAAGTCAAGGCCGTGTATACGACTGGTTGAGCTCGTGTGCGACTTCGCACGTGAGGCGGCTGTGGGTGCTTCGTAGCGTGCAAGTTTACCTGATGATGGACCTGCAGTGACGACGATACCAGAGCCTGATGCTTGAGATGTGCTGCATTCCATTAAGGAAGACAGGGACGCTTTGCGGGTGAGCCCCTTGCGTTGTGTTGCAGGTGGGGTGGGGGGTTTGAGACCAGAATGCGACTTTTGTCCTCGGAGACTGCCAGGTTTAGGGGATAAAAAGGTGTTTGTTGGAGTAGGTGGGGCGGCGGAAAGTGCTTCCTTATAAGTGAGAGCACGTGTGGTACACAATGGGCGGGGTGGCGGTGAAGACGAAAGCTTAATGCGCTGTAACTGACGGGCCGATGATATGGGAGGATTTACAGGTGACTTTGCCCGGTCAGCCCTCATCCTTGAGGGCGGACGTATGGGCAAGAGTGCGCGAGCAGGTGCACTTTTGCTACGGTTGTAGCGCTGGTTCTGCTTGGCGTTGACGAGCCTGCTTGGGCTGAAATCGTCATCATCCTCGATGAGGAGACCCATTTCAAAGTCATCCTCGGGGTCAGGGCTGGCGACTTTTATACGGTGATCAGTTATCTGGACCTGTTTCTTCAGTTCGAGCATCTTTTTGAGATGCTTTGCACTCTGGGTGGACTCGAAGAGACCGGAGGGAACAACTAGCCCCTCCAACTCGCTTTCGTTTTCATCACAGTCGCTTTCCTCTGTTTCATGTAAGGAAAGGGAGGATACAGAGTTTGATGATGAGGAAGCATCGGCGAGACCGAGGGAGGAATATGCATCAGAGGACTGAGATGATGATGTCTGATCACCCCATTCCAAGGAGTTCTTCGAAGACCGATGGCTGAGAGAGAGGGGTGCGAGGGATAATCGTGTGAGGTCTGAAGGAAGGGCGAAGGCAGACTCAATGTCTTCCTCGATGGAAGAAGGAAGGGGCTTGGCAACAAGCTTTGGAAGAGCGGCGATCTTTATAGTAGACACACCTTCCTCGTCTTCCTCGTCTTCTTCCTCCTGACAAGTGAGTGGGGGGCGAATTGTGATCATGTTGCCAGAAACAATTCTTGAGAAGTGTGACCTGGCAGCCATACCAGCGACGACGGCCTTTGCCTTTGCGCCGCCGGTTTTCCCGAGGTCCATTTCAATGTCCCAATCTATTTCATCGTCTTCATCATCATCCTCCTTGTCGGATTCGACGTCGAGTGAGCGGATATGGTCGCCATCTGGTAGATCGAAGTCTGCGTCTGGCCATTCTTCACGAGCGATTGGGAGTGAGAGAGCTGGAATGGTGGACATGGTGGATTACAGGTATTTGTTGTAAATATACTAAGCCCGGTCGGGGCTGGCGAAGTAGAAGGTCAGCGGAGTAAAGGTAGGGAGCGTATTGGGGAGAAGGGCAATTGGAAGATACCGGCCGGATGATAAGTGAATTGGACGGATTAACTTCACATACGCGCCCTATACGAACGAACAAAAGACGAATGTCGAGGATAAATGATTCCGCGCGCGGCGTTTGCGTGTCGAATCAACGAAGAATGTGAGTTAACCTCGAAGTCGAGGCGGGAGAATGGTGTCACAATGGTCACAAATTGTCACAAACATAGCAAACCAAAACAATCATAAGTTGTGGCTTATTTGTACATCGGGTACTAGTATGGCATTAGTAGCCGCCTCTGCCTCGCTTCATGTTCGATCTCATCCTCGGAACCGTCCAGATCTTCGTTATCAGAACCGCTTTCATCTCCACCCTTCATCCTCTCAACGTATTCATCTACACCTTTCCTCATCCGAATACCCCTTTCCGCCATAATGTCCACGAATCCATCAAGCTCACGAGCACTAAACACCGAACGCAGCGGCCCAAAGGCCAACATATATAGATCTGCTTATCGCATTCAGCTTATCGTTTGATAGACATCGCAATACACTTACCCTTGGCAAGCGGACATTCATTCACTGCTCTGTAAAGCAGCTTCTTCCCCCTTTGCAACTCCCCGACCCGAATCTCAAACTCCAAAATGACGCGCCACAAAATAGCGCTTCCTGTAGTCCTGAAAATAATGTCAACCCATGACAGCCGGAGCGGAATGATAGCACAAACCTTTCGCTCTCTGCAGCCGCAGCAAGTCCGCTCCTCGTCCGTTCGATCTCACTCTGCCATCGCACTTTCTCCCACCCTGCTACCCACACTTCTGCGATACGCCGTGAAATGCTCTTTTCTCTTGGGCCTCCATCGGCCGTGCTTTGTCCGAGTTGAGCCCGTACGCGACCCCAGATACCGTGTCCTTTCTCAGCCTCTAGAAACATGCCCAACACCAGGCTATTGTCCGGGTAAGTGTCGACGGCAATCTGTAGTCGATCCCTCAGGACAGCTGTCGGAGTAGGACGTCGTAGCATGACTGAATAGTTGTACAGTAGCATAAGAGATGCAACCATTATGCTCTCTCTCCGACCAGGTTTCTCATTAACACTGGCAGCAGGCTGAGAGTCTAAGACCGCGAGTGCCGCATCTTGAGATGAGGAAGAAAGCAGCTCGACCAAGGCTCGTAGTTTTATCCAAGCCTCCCGGTCCTTCCAATGCTCGTGAGTGCAGCTAATCGTATCATCGAGGCTGCGTTTTACACGGAGAACCATCATACCACCCGTACCCTCGATCTTGACTGAGCGCTGGATAACACGTAGTGCCGCATTTTCGTCACCACTAAGCCATTCCATCTCAGCCCAATCCCACCATAACTGGCCAACGAAAGGCTGGGTGGGTGTGTGCTGAGAGGTTACAAGCACCGTTTGATAGACCTTACGGGCATCATCTACGTGCTCGCGCAAGCGCTCGAGACGTGCGTGGGCTGCCCAGTGCGGTAAGGAATCTCGTGCTGTCGACAAGAATGTCCGCGAGAGCTTCAGAGCACTATAACACCAACATAAGTGCTACTTACGCACACATCAATAAACGGACCACACCTTTTGATATTGAGGGCCGCCTCAAATGCTAAAGCGTAAATGTCCCACTCATAGTCCTCGCTACCGCATCTGAGCTGGCTGAACACAGCTCGTACGAACTCCTTGTCGATCTCTTGCAGATCAGCGGCAACCCACATTCGCCACTTCTCTTCGCCTACCCACTCCAACGGTCCGAGGGCATTTCTACTCCACTCTTTGATCGGACCGAATGCGTTCGAAAATTCTCTTTCCCTTCCTATGAGCGTGCCAGCATGAGAGTCAGCGATCAATTGCCGCTGTCCCGCAGCAGCAGGAAAAATCGACTCCAATCGCGAGAAAGAACTCAGGTAAGTGAATGACCATCGGTCATCCCAAGATCCCTGTGACAGAGTTTCCGAGAGACCAGGAATGTGCAAGCCTAGAATGGATAACCAGATAAGGCGAAAAGCATTCTTAGCACCTTCCGTGCGGATGGGCAATAGTAGTGCCTTGATATCCGAAAGTAGAACTGTCGCGTATGGGTCAGACTCGCTCCTTGTGTCCACAGAGCGGGCAGGCACACGTGATGTGCGATCGGCGCACAATTCATCGTGATGCCATTGGACATACGGATCTTTCAATTGGTCGTCAACGTCCATCTGGGGAACCGCCTTCAGTGGGGAAACGGGGTTGTCAGGTCTACCGCATGACATCCAGTCACCCCAACCTTTGGCTCCAGGCTCGCCGGCGCGCGGTACTTCGGACTCCCAAAATTCCTCCAGGGATTCCAGTTGAGATTCATGGGGAAGTCCGTACAATGACTGGGGTACCTCGAACGTTCTATCACGAGTGAGAAGATAGTGCTCCATTGAAGTGGAACACAATACTCACAGCTCCGCTTGTGCCTGGAATAAGGCAGTAGTGCGTTCATGGTAACCTGAAACAGACTGATAAGGAATAGGTATGTATGACGCGGCAGGGGTTCCGTACCTGCTTGTTGGAATGCGACTGCAACTCGCCACAAGACTCGCAGTTTATCAATTTCGCTGCTCTCAGAGCTACCGAGTGCGTTAAAGACGCGTGTCGCATCGGTGACAGACGTCTCGACCCCACCGGCAGCGGTGCGAATGCGCCATTCAAGCCATTCGATCCAAATTTCAATTCCACCGAGTTTAAGAGCTTCTTCCCACTCTGCCTTGGTTTTACTCTCGTGCCAGACTTCCTCTCCTGCCCTCAGGTACTTCAGGAATAGAATGCGGGATGACTTGTTGTGCGGATTGGCAGCACGAGCACGGGTGAGAATAGAGAGTGTTATCTCGGCGCGAGCTTTGGCCGCATTTTTCGAGGTCAGGGGTATGTTCGACAATGAGTGTCTCACGAGTGACAACCACGTCTCTACTGAAGATGGATCAGCGGCCAACTGCTGCTCCAGTGCCTTCAAAGACAGCTGATGTGATGTGAGAATGGGTGTTCCTGACTCGTCACCTGAGCTGTCATTTGAAGCAGACGACTGAGAGTCTGAATCAAGGTGATCTTGCTGCTTTGTTATAGAACGATAGTCTTCGGCAGCTTTATGACCGGAGGGCAGTCGCAAGAAACCGTCCACCTCTTCGTACTTGTAACTGTCACCGGAACCAATAAGGCGTTGGGACGGGGGTGCTGCCAATAACGTCGTTACGCTCGAGTCAGTCAAGGCGGGTTGCTATAGACAAGGTCATTCATGGACATCTGTCTGACGTAGGACTACGGTACCTTATGTCTCCTCCCTATGATTATCTCTATACCCTTACCTCTGCGATAGATAGCCCAGTCCCCGTCAAGACCAAGAATACTTCTACCACCTTGCACATAATTTAGACATCAACAAGACATCCGATGGATGACTTACGGTTTACAAGATGGTACTTGGGGACATTGCCAGCGTGATTACTGCCGTAGGTGACATTCAGTTGGTCACCTTTCCTATCAGAGAAGAACACTGGACGAGAATCCCATTGGCTGCCTTGGATATCACTCTGAGCAAGGCGTCTGTCCTCCTCGGCCTTGATTTTTTCATCATCCGGTATACTGACCCCCTTCCGCGTATGTTTATGTTGCCTGGGAAGTACCGGCTCAAGATGATGCTTTGCCGTCTTATGCTTCTTGTCTTTTCGAGACTCGTCTTTCAACTTCTTACTGCCACGTCGGTTCTTATCCTTTCTATCCTGCTCCCGAGGTTCACGAGCATCTGTGGAGCTTTCATTTCGCGTTCGGTCCAGGGTATGCCTACTCGGACCAGGGTCAAGGTCTGGGAACGAGGCGAACGAGGGTGGAAAGGAAGAAAATGAGGGTGTAGACATTTTGAATAGAGCTCAAGGCGGGAGCATCGAACAATTCCGGTTGCTGTAATCGATCGTGTCAGCTGGAGTAATCTTTGTGGTGCTCAAGAAGCTAGGCACTATGTAGCGCGTTCTCGAAACTGTCCAGGCTTGATCTGAAGTATGTATTAAAGTTTCACCGCCATAGATGGCTGTTTAAGTAAGCTGTGCTATCGGAAAATCCCGATGAGAAACCGAAACCCCTCACCTCGTTACTCGGAAATCTATTTATTTCATATCAAACTCGATTTCATTGCAAGCTGTCACTTTAGCCTCATCTTCACGGTTCGCTCCAAGTATCATCAACTTTGCAATGCGTCCCCTCACAGAAGATGAGAGCAAAGCCGTTTTCACAAAACTTGCCAACTACATCGTACGCATAATTGCCTCCGTTTTCATACCCCTTCTTTACTGAACCTATGAAAATCAGGGAAAGAACCTCATCCACCTCATCGACCGCAAGGATGAACCATATTGTTTCAGGCTACATAAAGATAGGGTCTACTATGTCTCAGAATCGTCGATGCGCATGAGCATATCCGTCGCTCGGCCAAACTTCGTCAGCGTTGGCACTTGTTTCGGAAAATTCAGCAAAAGCGGCAAGTTCAAGTTGCATGTAACGGCTCTTGACCACATCGCACAATATGCAAAATACAAGGTTCGTCCATTACCTTTTTGTAACGCAATTATTTTATGCGATGTCCTACAGGTTTGGATCAAGTCAAATGGAGAGATGCCGTTCCTGTACGGCAATCATGTTGTGAAGGCGCATCTTGGCCGGATAACAGAAGATACTCCTGAGCATCAAGGGGTGGTGGTCTTCAGTATGAGTGATGTACCACTAGTACGTACTCTTTTCTGATACCCTCGGCCCAGACTCACAATTTTTGCAGGGCTTTGGCGTCACAGCTCGGTCGACAGTAGATACCCGGAAACTAGATCCAACAGCCATAATCGTCTTTCACCAAGCGTAGGTTCTATCCATCATCACGTTTGTTGTGTCTCACGCAGTATCCTTTTTAGTGACGTTGGTGAATACCTAAGAGACGAGGTAAGCTCACAAATGCTACCGTCAAAGTTCTCATTCGCTTACATTGTTGCGTTAGGAAACCTTGTTTTAATCGCTCCACTTTTCATTTCATTCATTTTTTGGTCTGGGAGGTTTATGGACCCACACATCTTAGTACACCTGTTTACCTGTTCACATGTCAGTGGTTTTTAGTGCTTGGCCATGCGTAGATCGCATATCGCACCATCTCTTTACTCTGGTAAAAGTATCGTAGTTTCATCTTACAGATGAAAATTCTATTTATTTATTGAGGTAGAAGGCATATGTACGGATGATCCTACAATGAGAAAGTGATCGATGTCCGTCACAAGGCGTGAAGTTCACAGACATCTATTGACGTGAATATTCTGTGTCCAAAATGCCCCGGTAAATCTGCAATGCTGTGTCGAGATCTACGGTTGTTTCGTCTCTCTCCGAGTCAGGATCATCGTAATCAAGAGTTTCCAGATCTCCCTCTTCGCTGTCATATGCTGAATATGATGCCGTGGAGACGCTCATGAAAGTTCCGTCATCACTGTCGTAGTCAGATTCCTCTGACATTGAATCAACGCCACCGTTGGCTATGTCTCGGAACGATTCATGACCAACACAGGCGGCCCCGAAAGACGTGACATAATCCATGTCCCGTTTGTATATGTGCCCTGCATCATATTGCACGTGGACCCCTGGAAAACACCACTCCAAGGTCTCTTGGCGTTGCACCGAGTGGGGAGGAATGACGAGGTGGAGGCGTGGCCCCGTAGTTCTGAGAAGTGCCCAGTCCAATAACCTGATGGCTTGGAGTTGCGGAAAGCACTGGGACTTCCACGATACCGGTATGGCATCGGGATTAGGGGCGAAGGGATGCCACGTCGCCCAAATATCTATCCATCGCAAATTGTTGTACAAAGGTATCCCATGCATAGGTGAGTTGTGCTCCAGGGCAGAACAGCGGTCAAGGAGCATTTGGATATGTTGTATGTCCAGAAGAGGTTCATGGGTTGAGCCTGGGAGTTCCGTCATAGGCGGGAATAATGCAAGGTGCTCCAGGGCGGGGCAGCGGTCTAGAACCGACCGAACTTGTCCCATGCACAGAAGAGGTTCATCGGCGCGCTGGGCGCGGTCGAGTGGAGCAGTGATGGACAGTGTCGTCAAGCGCTTTCCGTGTGCATCCAAAAATTTGATGTACTGTGAGACTTGACGTGGTTGGGGTCGCCATTCATACAGCGTGAAACGGCAAAGGCGAGGTAATTTCCACTTCTGAGCGATTGCATCAAGGAAGTCTAATTTGTGGCGGGAGGACCACATTACGGTAATCTGAAATTCCTTGAGGTGTTCGAGGGTAAGAAAATCGACGGCATCTTTGTTGTAGGTATCAAGGAACAAAGACAGGATGGTGAGATTTTTGCACTGCGGAAGGCACGGAAGAACATCGGACAAACGTATCTCGTTTCCAACGGCGAGATGGGCTACCTTTGAGAGGTCATACTGGCGCATAGAGGACATTGACGCGTCAGGGACATCCATACTTAGAGATAATCGCGTAGCGTTGGGGCTCATCCCCAAGATGCGCAGAAGGGCTTCATCGAACATCAAAAAGTACTGGGGCATTACGTGGCAAGAGATATTGATATCCACAATCATCTCGCCAAGTCGCCCATTGCCCTGCAAAGTATTGAGGAGGGCCGCGACCTGTCCGATGCGGCGAAGATGTATTTCCCGATATAACAAAGGGGTGCTGATCTTCCGCCAAAACTTGCAGACAAGAACTAAAGATTTCTTAGTTCGTTGCGCCAGACACCAAGCAGACAAAGGTCCGCAAGCCAGGGATGCATCCAGAAAGACTGTAGGAGGAAGCGCAAATTCTAGTATATCCAGTAATATTTCTGGAGGGGGCTGCCTGAATATGAGTGGCTTTCTTTCCGGAGCCTCTGAATCACTACTATGAGTGTGTTCTCCCTACAATGGCACTATTAATAGCATGCCCTAATGAGCAGCGGAAGGACTCACTCTGGAAGCAGTGGGAGGCGACGGAGGCTCTGAAACATGCTTTGCAAAGTAGCCGGACTGGTTCATTTTACAGGCGCGAAAACACTGTAATCAATGTGTCCAACATGCCTCAGATCAGTAAACATGATCCTCGAAAGTCAGGGAGTGATATGAAAACATACGAGGCACTGGGTTGTACGGTGAAGGAAACTACTTGCCGTCCAACCTACGGTATTAGGATGACTGTCTTAGACGATGAAGGTGCAGCAATTGTACTTCAGGCCTTTAAAAACTCACAAAGGGTGATGCTGAGTGATGCCACTGGGTTGATAACTATCGATAAGGTTTAATCACAGTTTCACAAACCTCGCTATAATCACACACAGACGTGTATGCACGTGGTGTCAAGCTTTGCAGAGTGTACAAACTGAGGCACGACTGAGGGCCCAAGGTCGTTCCTCATATCCTCACCACCACTATGATCTCCGCAGAATCGTCATATACTCGCTGGGAGACTCTCGAAGACGAGCAAGTTACAATTAGTGATGTTCAGGACACTCTTGCCCCAGCCAACGACGACTTGTGGGTGGCAGCTGCTTGCGTCGACCGGGTCGTGAGCGACGAAGTAGTTCAGCGTTCGCTCATCGAGCTTGGAATCAAGCGAACGAGCGCAGCCGTGGAGAGGTGCAAAGAGGTCCTTCTCTTACCCTCTAGGGCTCCTGGCAGTTCTGACGCTGTAATTGGGCCTAAAGAACTGCTTAGCGTTTACTTCACTGATACACCTGAAGATGCACAACTGTGTCACATTCGGACTGCTCTACTTGCGCGCCTGGACAGACTGAACTCCTTCGCTGAGATCTACAAGGAGCTTCTGGCGAAGAAGAAAGACGAAGAAGACACGTCAGGTATCGATGAAGAATGGGAAGATGACCCTTGGGAAGAGGAAGGGGAAGGTTCCATCATTGCTCACGCAGCAGGCCCGGCCCAGCCTCCTATACCGCTGCAGGACTTTTTGGCGGAAGACATGCTGGATATGGCATGCTTCTTCGCCTCGCAGGAGTGTTTCGACGCTTTACGAACTCTTCTAACATACCACCACTCGTATTTGTGGCCATCCCGCTTTGCCATTCTGGAAAGTATACCATGTCACTCCAACCCTTCCGGCTATCGTGACTTTCTTCCTGCCTATGACGCCGTCACAGACAAAGAGCTCGCAAGTCCGTTACGCAGATGGCGGACGGAAGAAGATTGGGTAGAGTCATCACAGGTTCAAGCTGCCCTTTCACAAACGAAGCTCCCAGCTGAATTCGAACCTCTGCATCCCTCTTCAGCCAACATTGCTTCCCAAGAAAGTCAGCTGTTGTCTGCACAACAACTGACTAGTTGGTACCAGAAACGTGTTGACCAGGTCCTATCATCGACAGGCATGGTAGACATAGCACTTTCCCTTGTGCAACATGGTGGCTCGCTAGGCATCCCAGACCTTGACGTCCTAGGAGAAGATCTGAGTTTGATGACCCGGCTGGTTTACGACATTCCTCAGGCCTGGACTCAAGATGATGAAGATTGGACTTTAGCGCGCTGGCGAAGCATGGAACCGTCCCAAGTTGTGGGCGCATATCTAGCGCATTCAACAGCAGACTTCATAGCTAAGGATATCTCGCGGTTAATCATGCCCTATCTCTTCGTTTTGGAGTCGCGGTCGGAGCGAGCGGGTCAGCCTGACCCAGATCTTCCCGACCGTCTTCTTCATAATTACGTTCTTAGTGCACCCTTGGATATCGTCGCGGCAATCATGGAAGCCTCCAAACGAACATTGCTTCCTCCGCAAAGAGTTATCAAGAATGATGAGGACGTTGCACGGCTTGCTCTGGCTTGCCTTTATGGCAGCAATAGCCTCACGGAGTGGATGACAATGACCCGGATTTTTGAGTGCCTTCCCGCATGGGAAATTGGCCAAAGCCCCGAAGATGAATCAGATGAAGCAGACGCTACGATCGTTTCTCTTGGAGAATTTGTGACGCCATCCACGGCGCACCCTCAGTGTGGCCCTGCAGATCTATTATTTTTCTTCAAACCTCTTCCAGTTGCCTCGCTTTCACGCGCGCTTGACATTCTCGACGTTCATCTTGAATCCGGAGAGATATTCGCGCGGTGGAACGTTCCTGCACCATTACGTTGGTTCCTTCAGAGTGCAGGCAATGTCACAGAACAGCGTGCCTGGGCCAACAGGATGGCTCGTCGCACTGGTGCCGCCGCCGACAACCTTGGGGATATGGACGAGTGGGAATCGTTGCTTGATGACATGTTAAAGCTTTGTGGGAGGAATGAATCTGGTGTGCCGAGTGCCTTCGGACTTCTAACGGAAGAAGAGATATCATCTATATTTTTCAGCGGGCTTCTGAACTCTGGCCGTGAGTATACCAGCTACTTGTCTTGACTCGATGCTCAACCCGTCAATCAGGATTTGATATCGCCAAGGACCTTATTCATTCCAAGCACGGCAAGCTAGCCCTTAATGCATCTCAAATAGAAGATCTCTGCCTTGCCGCATCACGCGAGTTCTATGATAACGCAAGCTCTGCTAATTACAAAATTGGCGACATGAAGCTTGCATATGACTGGTGAGCTTTCATGCGATCGGATGACACCAGGTGCTCATGCTTCGTTTAGCTTAGACGTTCCTGCGCCATCTCCGCAGTTAAAAAAGGAGCGAGACTTCATCGAAGCCACATCCCGCCTCTCTTCATTCAACATCATGTCTCGACCAGGAATTCCCATTTTGCCCATTGAGATACGACTCACCAAAGACCGCCTCTCCCTAATCTCTCGCGTCCTTTCGAGCAATGCAGACGCTTACAAGCATACGCAAGTAATGCTTGACCTCCTTCACAAACTCGGGTTCCGAGACGACATCGTTGCCGAAGTGAAGACCCTCGCAATGATATCTGACGCCGCATTACAAGCGGAGGATTTCACGCGGGCGTTCGATACAAACCAAAAAATGATTGACGTGGTTTTCAAGCTTCGCTCGGCTACATCATCAGGATCAGAGGACCTACGACTTCAAGAGGCCAGCGAAGTTTGCTGGCTAGCCTGCTTTCAGCTTGGGCGGCATCCAGAATTCCCAGACACTGAACAGAAGCTTACGCTTATGGGCCGTGCGCTGGAGCTGTGCCCAGCAGACAAACTGAATGACATTTTGGCCCCTTGGCGGCGAATGGAACAGGAGTATTTGGAGGTGCGCAAGGAAAGACTTGCCGATCACTATCCCCGTCCGAAAGCTGCCGCGACAAAACCTGTCTCTTCCCTACAATCACGCTTAAACAATCTCCACGTGCCCACAACTCCCCTTCTTAATGCCGAGGATGCGGCTGCCCTCGCTGGTCGAGCCTTTAGTCGTGTGGCATCTAATTTTCCCTTCAGAGTCGGTGGACGCGAGCGTTCTGAGAGTCGTGAGGGCCCAGCTAGGTCGGGAAGTCGAGACGAAAGCCACCGCAAGCTGGATGGTGAAGATGTCTCCCATCAAGCAAGCCGAGCACTTCAACGAGGCATTGGCTGGCTGCTTGGGGCGGACGATGAGAGCTGAGCTGGTCGAACTCTTATATACATTGGACTTTTGGGCAGCTAGACTGTTTCTATCACATACATCCGTTTGCGAGAAAACATAGTTAACAATATACAGTATTCAAAAAGGATATGCGCGTTGAGAGGTATATGAACTGGACTGAACTGGGAGCAAATCAAAGGTATCAACAATGAACGACGATGGGGAAGGGGCCAGAAGGAATATGGTAAGTTACTGATAAGTTTATAGGACGAATAGAATTATGTCGAATTAGCGAACGGGGAGAAAAGACAAGAAGTTACACATAAGACAAGAGCTAGATGGATAGTGTAAGTCCAGATATCACAACGCGCGCAATCGACTGATTAGCAGTCATATTTGATGCGGACCAATCAAAAAAAAAACCGAGTGACAAGTGCCATGATGATGATCCAACCTTCCTAGATAAGTGAACGGATAGTTGTGGTGATTTTGCCAGATACCTGCCTAGTTCCTATTGACGAAGCGAGCGGTATCGCCTATGCGTCCCCTCGGTCTATCGACGACGCTGATTTTCTTCGTCCCTACATCAGAAGCTTCACGCTCTTGTCTGGGACCCCCCCTACCACAGTGTTGGCAATATCCCTTGTCTTCATCCGCAGCGTGGAGGTCCTCGATTTCAGCTTGCAAGTCCCTCGCTTGACCTTGCAGCTCCCAAATTTGGCTTTGCCAGGCATTCTTGGCTGCTACCATCTGCTCCTGCAGAGCCTTTATTACGAGGGACTGCTCCACTGGCGATAATTTATCGTCGCTTGGTCGTGACGATCCAGGTGTGAAGGGCGACAACGCTGTCACTGAACTGATTGTGGATGTCGGTGTGTCCAGTTCGACCTCTGAAGTATGCTCTACCTCCGGGATGGCAACGATGTCAGCGAATTGAGAGCTGAATGTCGTAGACATGGGTCGTAGTTTGAGAGCTTGAAAGTCGATGGCCCCAAGCGGACCACGCCAAGGTGTTTTTTTCCCAAACGGGGGTGACTGAGTCGCGTCTGTGGGACGATGTTCAGCGGAGAGTGGAGATTGATTTGATGCGCTAGTGGATATGTACAGCGAGGGCGGGGCACGCTTTGGCGAAGGCGAAGACAACTTTGGGGAAGGCTCCTGTTCGGCATCTGAGGAGGACTCCGTGTTGTTGAGGGCAGTGCTGCTCCTGGCATCCGAACTTAAGGACGACAAGCGAGGTGGGATGATTGGAAGGGACGATTTGCTATCTGCATTGCTTCCGTGAGGGTACTCTGCGTAAACACCATGTAAAGACGGAACTGGGGGCGGCGGACTCCTCTCTTTGTCACGACCTTTCTCCCGTTCACGCCCATTAAACAGTCTCATAAACCCGCTTTTCTTGTGCTTCAGGGTTTGCCCGCTGGTATTAACGACAGCAGGCTCCGAATCCCTTCGCTCAGGCTTATGCAAAGATGCCGCAACGACTGAATGAAGGACACCTTTGGCACGGGTGCCAGCACTAGTGGAGCGAGCGCGAGCCCGCTTGAAGCTGCCAGTAGCAGATGTCTCGGTGCTCGCTATACTGGCAGAGTCATCTGGCTCAGGAAAAGGAATGCGTGAGGTAGGCTCATGGACCCGAGAGGTGGAGGAGACCATGGCATTGGCGGTAGCACTGCGGGTCCTTTCTCTCGCTTGTGCCTCCTGCAGCGATATCAGAGTGACAGTTGGAGAGGAATGGCCGTTCCATCCTGGGACACCTTCAATTATGGGCGGCGGGTGAAAAGACGGCAACTTGGTGCTGTGATCGCGTTGTACTGAGTCGTTGGAATGGAGAACTGCGATAGGGGGAGAAATATCTTTGCCATGAACACGCATGCCTGTGGAGGGAATGTGATCCCGGGATGGTATGGAGGAGGCAGACGTGTCTGGTGTTATAGTAGATGAGAAAACGCCGGATCGCGAACTTAAGGAGTCAGTCACGGTGGCAGCGGAATCGCTTCGCGAGATATGTCCAAAGGTAGAACGGAGCGGTGCAGGTCTAGGAGGGGCATAAGAAGCCACCAAATCGGGGTTGGCATAGGGATGTACGAAGTCCTCGTGAGACATACGACTTTGGGAAGTATGAAACGAAGAAATAGTAGCACTGCGTTCGTGATCTCGTGGAACCTCCGAAGCAGGAGAGTGTGGTCTGGGTGTATCTTGTGTGGAGGATGATGGCTGGGAAAAGTGTCCGATTTCTCGCAAGGAACTAGTGGCAGACTGAGGTTCTCCCGAGGTATGGTTGTCATAGTGAGTTGTGGGTGGATAGTTTGTAGTGCGAGGCAGAGAAAAATTGTGGCGGTTACTTGGGGAAGTGGCAGGAAATTGTTGAGAGGGAACAGTCAAAGAGGAGGTTGAGAATGATTCCTGGGCCAGGGTGCTAGATGTTGGGGGTCAAAACGTCACGCATTAAGAGAAACAAAAACGCACTATAAGGCACCTCGCGAACTGGAATGATTACCCGTAATGATTTCAAATGAACCGTTGGATGGAGCCTGAGAACGAGTTGACTCGGCGCTAGGTCTGGCAGAGGAACTCTTTCCGAAGTGCCGCATAAGATCTGCCTTGGCAGTCTTACTTTTGACTTTTCTGCTAAACGCGGTGGACATTGCACTGTGGTCCGAGTCATTCTCGTCAATGGCGTCTTCTCCAGTTTCCCAAGGTGCTCGAGAGTGAAAGCGTATCTTGGGACCTTGGACGCTTATCCTGTGGGAGGAATCATTGTCTTCATCGTCATTCTCCGTGTCATCATTTGTATCTGCGGTGTTAAGTGAAACACCCGCAAGATCTTCATCAAGATCCAGGCTACTCGCTGCATGCTCATCTAGGTATTCAGAGTGAGATATGGATGGCCGACGCTGGCTGGAGGAGTCTGCATCATAACGAAATGAACCGATATTCGGTTCGATATCTCTGCTGTCTGGAGAAAAGTAGGCGTGACTGTAAACTGAAGGAGTGTCGGAAAATTCAGATATGGAAGGAAATCGAGAATGGGGAGAAGCATAGGAGTGGGCGCTTGGAAGGTCGTCTTGGGCGTCCCATGGAGAATGGACGGACCTCAACATGACCGCAGCGGTCCAAGATATGCTTCTTTAGTTAGCGCTACTAGGCATCAACTTTGACTCTAAACACATATTAAACAATTCAAATGCAAACAATCCCACGTATCCAAAAACAAAGTTTAAATCATTACATAATATTATTAAATCCCCTCCTATCTCCATTTTATGTAATAAACATCGATCCTAATATGGACATGAACGCCTTCATCTCTCTTGCAGGTATATCGAAATGTCAGAAGAGCCACTCCCTCTCACCTCGTCATCACATGGACGTGTGTCCGGAAAATCATGGAAGGCACCAAAATCAGCGACCTTGTACGTACCATACCACACTCCATGTGGACAAAAAATCATTCGATAATTAGTCGTACCCAATGTTCTGCCGGACACAGGTCCAACTTTGAGGAACGAATGAAGAAGACTACAAAAGAAAATGCTGCAAAGAAGTTGGAAACTGAACTCAGAGATGAGAAACATGCTGAGAAGCAACGGTGAGCGACAATCTGTGCAGCGTGTTGGGGATCAGAGATAACCCTGTGATGTAGGAGACGAGAAATCACCCTCGAGAGGAAAAACGCAGCAGAGGAACGGCGTAGACTTGAAGAAGACAAAGCAAAGGTAGATCCATGATTTGTATTTGTCTTTTGAGACTAATTGTGCCTAAGATGGGAGCTAGAAAAGCTGCGAGGCTACGACGAAAAGCAGGACGCACAAAAAAGATCCATGGTTAAAAACATCCCACTATACTATGTTCATACAATGTACCGTCCCTACAGCGCCCATGTCGTGTCCAATTCATCTACTTTCACGAATGACCTATCCAAGCCTGCAATCACACTCTCGCATAGTGGACAGCTGCTTGCGAGAACGTCGTCCAGCTCGACCCTTAACTTCTCTGCCTTCTTCTCGACGTCTCTATGCACTCCAACCTTTCTTCCGCCACCCATACCCGGTATCCATCCTGGCGCAGACACAACCGAAGCCAGCGCATCTGGAACAATAAGATCTCTCAGGCGGTCTCCAGCGGAAAGTATATTTCGTCCGAGGAGATTCGCGGCCTTGGTACCATTCTGGATAGGGCTACCAAAGTTAGCAGATAGGAGTGTGCGCTGTTGAGTCGCCTGGCGCGAATGCCCGTTGGGCGTGGCTGGGACCGCATGATCGAGATTGGTTTTTTGACCTCCCTTCACCAGCTCGGTTTGCAGAGTAATGATCCGCCGGAGCGCATGCGTAGGAAGATGTTCTTTTGCCTTGGCGACCGCGCAATTCAATACAATTTTTAAATTAAGCAAGGGCAAACATACCAATCCGATCAGACAATCCGCATGGAAAGTGTGCTGGCAGGGAAAGACGTAGAACTGCCTCGTCAACAATGGCTGCGAGCAAACGGAGCACTTTTCCCCAGCATCGATTGTTACGAAACGGTTCTTCAGCTCGGCAATGTCTTGTTTGATAGACTCCGCAGTACGAGTCGCATCATCCATCTCTCGTTTCAAGTCGTCGATGTGGGCTGAATAACCTTCCAAAGCGTGTGCAATTTCCTCCTTGAAATCGTCAATGACGACAAAGTCAGGGAAGAAGGGCAAGATATCCTCAATCTTGAGTATATTCGTGTTCTCCAAGAATTGCATTGCACTAAGCAGACTCATGAGCGGGAACAACTACTGACGAAGATCTTACTTACGTTTTGATGTCCTGTTTATCCTGCACCACGTATCGCGCGATCTTGAGCCAAAGCTTCTTCTGCAACGGCGCGTCATCCTCCGGCTTGTTGGCATTTTCCTTTGCGAGCTCCAAGTCACCCTTCTCCAATGCCAAGTCCACGCTATTTTCCCAAAGACCCATTTGCGAGTAAATGTGAACACATGATTGGGTGCGCCCCGTTCTTTTGCACACTCGAAGAGCATAGTCGAGGTCATAGTACGGTTTGCCTGTCATCGGATCTGAGGGCGCCGACGTCAAGAAACTGAGCAACGGGCCATCCTCTTCTGAAGAACGAGGCATTCGAGTCGCAAGGAATGTCACGAGAAGGTTATGAACCATCGGTGACTTGTTGCTCTGCTCAAACACCACATAACTGAGGTACCGCACAGCGTGGTCAGGAGACAGGGGGTCGCGAGGGAGATGTTGCAGCTGAAGCAGGGAGGGAATCAGGCGCAAGGGGTCCAAAGACGGTTGTTTTAACCAAGATTCGATCATCTCCTTGGGTGCTTGCCTGGTAAGCACAGTACCGAAGCGGTAGTATAATTCGGGGTTCGACTTTTCTCCAGTTAGTCAGGGGCATTGCAGTGCATTGAGTGTAATAGTTACCTGGCGGTTGAGCACATCAATGGCCTTGGTCCACTGTTCTTCCAATATCCATTGTGCAATAACACGTTCGGAGTCACCAACCACAGTAGCGTAGTGTAGGAACATGTCAGTCCGACCATGACCTTGGATCAACTCATAAACAACGTTTTTATCCAGATTGCTCTGGAAACAAATGTTAAAAGTGAGTAAAGTACGCATAAAAGGGCGCACCTTGTATGTATCGAAGAATTGTCGTAGGTCGTCTTCAAGTATTGCACGCTGGGTTTGCAGATTCTCGACATCGCTCGTCACCGATTCAGAAGCACACAGGTCGTCCAGCTCATTACATCTGCTCAGATAGAATTCGACGAGCCATGTGGCTAGCATCATCCGCTGAGTCAAGTCCTGCGATGCAGCAACAATGAGGGACCCAATCCCCGAACTTCGCAGGGGAAAAACTCACCGACTTCCGTGTCCGTTCGAGTCTTGAAATCAAGTATGAGCGCAGCGCATCTCGTTCGCCAGCATCCAAGAACTTTAATGCAACTTCCTCGAATGGTGCAGAACATTGAGAATAGCATTGTGCAGCCTGAAAATAACGACCCTCGTCAAAGAATGCACGCGCTTGAGCAGACAAGATGCTATCTCGCTGGCCCGCCGTCTGCACTCAACTAATCAGTCAGCATCCAGTGATGGTAGACAATGCGATATTGCCGACCTTTGCATACCGAAGTGCGATGTCAAACTTCTGCTGAGCCAAATATATTTGCCAGACGTCCCGATTCTCATTGCCGACAACAAGCTCGAAAATAGATTGATCCGTGTATGCCCAGTATGTTTTACGAACTGGGTCAGCAGCAAGTCCTCGTACAACTTCATTCGATCTCTAAACCAACCCTCAGCAACAATGTGGCCTGCGCCAATACGTGTCACCTACCAATGGTATGGCATCCTCATAAGTCTGTTTTCCATTCAAGGTAGAGATGCCAATAATGCGGTCCCTGTAAAGCAAGATGAAGTGGAACTCCGTCAGGGTAATAGAGACGGGGACTTCTGGCGGCGAGTGAGAGGTATCAGGGGATGTGCCAGGTGAGAAAGTAGGGTAAGGATGTAGTTGTGTTGTGTCGATGTGGTCGTCAGAATTTGGATCGAAGTTGAGCGTCCCGTGATAGATACCAGGAGCTACAAATGTTCACATGACTCATGAGGTGAAGGGAATCATAACACAAAAAACACACCAGTCATCCAAGCAAGGTTCTTCGGGAGTGATAGTGCTTGGTCTGAATTAGGGGTGTAGAAGTGAAGTTCGGAATACTGTAGGTTTCCAGGTAGTTCGGATATTTCTTTTTCATGTCAGGGAACAGCTACATCATTTATCATTGATCACTTACTTGGCGTAGTTTCTCGATAGGCAGCAAACAGGGAAGTGAAAACACGACCACCCTCTTCAGCGCGTCGATCTGGTGAGCCGGCGAATTGATATATTCGTGAAGGAGTTGTGACAATGACCAGGGCAGTTCGCGGGTCAGAAGAGGGAAATAAGTCAAACTTAATCCCAGTGACTGGATACTTTTCAGGGAGGGTAAACAGAAGCTGCAGATACCGTTCCTGTGACTTGAAGAAATCTTCGCCAGCATCTAACACAGCTTCATAGATACCACCATTCCGTGTGCCGACCAAGAATTCTCTTGTTGACATGGAGTGGGTGGAGGACAATAACGCAGCCTTATTCCATGCAACGCTCTCGATTACCATCTTGAATGTCTTGAGTTGCCTAGGCTTCTTCCAACTACGGTATAAATACCAGTTCTCGCCTTGAGTGGAGGTGATGATGAGATGACGGCCTGATGGGTCAAGAAAGATCTTGTGTAGGGTCAATTCGGTCACTTTTCGTGGGATCGGGATCGCAACGACATGCTCTGCATGAGAGAGCTCGATGAGGACTATGGTATTTGATGCTAATGCCATGGCAAGAACATCTGAGGATACTGCCAATGACACGAGAGGCGCTGAAAGTGTATATTGGACACGTCCGAGATCGAATAATGGTGTGTTGAGCGCGACCGGGCTCGGTAATTGAGCATCCTTTGGAAGATTCAGTGGATGATGATTAAGGTATCTGATATGTGTATACACACCAAGGCTCCCGTATGTTCTAATTCAGCATGAATCTCGCTGTCATAAGGTGACGGCTCGTAACCCTCGTACTGAACTTGTGGAAGAGGTGCAGTGCTACGAGACTGTCCTGCTGCAGGAGCAGCGTGCTCCACGACTACGTGGATTGTTAGCCACAAACGTCATGATATAAACGCAAGGTACGTTACAGTCGTCAAACATGGTACAGGTGCAAACTGCGGCTTCGGAGGACTTGTGTAAGTTGTTTCAAGCTGCGGTCAGTACTTACTGCTATAAGCGGAACCAATTTACTTAGACCTTGATTTGGGTAGTCTCCTTTTACCCACAGCCTTTCAGTTTCACTCCCTGATCAGTGATAATCATTATCTAGCATCATGCCCCCTCCAACACCAAGATTATTTGTTATTCGACATGGTGCGCACAATACCTCTTTTTTTCCGGTAGGAGGAAGATGACGTTGAATTCCCATAAAGGTGAAACAGAATGGTCCTTGAATGGGTAAGGTATTTGAGTCCTCAAGGGGTGTAGTGGCTGATGTTTTTGTGATAGACGGCACGTAAGTATTTGCAACATACTCGTTTCGATATTTGAACACGTCCTCGTTAGACTGGAACAAGTGACATTCCTCTGACAGCCCGTGGAGAGGAGCAAATCAAGTCTAAAGCGCATATCTTGGTCGGCGAAGGCAGTCAGTATTATACATCTTATTTGCATTGTTCGTCCAAGTTATGTTGTTTCTGCCTTTGCAGAACCCATCGATCCACAAAATCTCTGTGTCGCCCTTGTATCTCCCCGTCAGCGAGCCCACAGAACATTTCACTTGTTATTCGAACATTTGCCCAAGATCCCGGATCATATCATCGATGTATCCGTTAGAGAGTGGGACTACGGGAAGTACGAAGGCTTGTTTAAGCATGAAATCCTTGCCATAGACCCCAAATGGGACATCTGGAGAGATGGGTAAGTCATCGCCAGGTTTCACACAACGATTCCCGATCGACTTGACCGATTTAGCTGTCCCGGAGGCGAGAGTGCTCAGGAGATGTGCGCCCGCGTTGATAGTGTGATCGCCAAGGTCTGTGCTTGAGCTGCATGCTCTGCGAATCTGATTTCTGGCAGGTTCGAGAGTACCATAGACAATACTTTGAAGAGGGCAAAGGAACGCGCGACGTATTAATTGTTGCTCATGGCCACTTCAATCGTGTCCTCATTTCTCGATGGATAAGATTCGAACTCGCGTTAGGTATGATACAACTGACTGTTGTTCATGATTTCCTGTATTCAAACTTGATCATCAGGAACTCGTTTCAACGTGGAACCTGGAGGAGTAAGTGCGTTTCTTTTTTGTGCTAAGGAGAACTAAAGTTGTTGGCAAGGTTTCTGTCCTGAGCTATAATCATAATTCCCTCGATGAACCAGCTTTGAATGCCCTGAATTTGTATGCTGACCTCAAATAGTCTGTTGTATTCTCCAGATGTAGATCTTGTCCAGGCTTTGAAATTATGTGAATTATCGGTTTCGCCATAGTCCTCCCCCTAGCCTTGCCCTAGCCCACCAATAAAATACATTTGGTCAGTTCGGTGACGGCCGGGCGCCAAGTGGGACGCGTCCCGTGATTGACAATATTAGATTTTCTGGTTGTATTTTATTCCTTCTGCACTCGTTTAACCGTTCCCAAACACGTTTTTCTGTCACTCCCGCCATCATCTTTAGTGATTATGGCCGACATAGCGACCATTCCCCAAACTACCGACCTCGAATCTGCCGTTGACTTTGTCGCCGAGGATGGCGTGTCTCCTGAACCTCATGGTGAACATGAGGCATTCGTCGTGGTAGACCCAGACCCAGTCACACAAGATGAAATTGGCACGCCTGCCGATGGCGCAGTGGACGATGATGTGATTGATCCAATAGACACGCAGGAAGCCACGCAGTCCGCTGACACGCCTAAGGATGCTGCACCTGCCACAAAGCCGGAGGTGACTAAGAAGCTTACTGCTCCGAAGGTCGTTGTGAAAGTAGGCAAGGATAAATCAGTCATATCCGCTAAAGGTGTTCCGGCAAGATCTGCACCGCCCACGCCAACCGTGAAGAAGGTGTGTTTGCCTCACCTCAGTGTGATACAATTCATCTAAGCCATGTGCGCAAAGGTATTGAATTCTGGCACGTTTGGATCTGGCGCTACGAAACCACCTCTCGCGAGCAAGGCTCCTTCTGCAACTCCTCCTACTCTTTTGAAAACCACCCCTTCTGCTCCCTCAGCTTTGAGGAAATCTATCAGCACATCCTCTGCCAATTCGCCAGTAAAGACAGCACCGACAATGGCGTCTTCCAGAAGCCCCGCTTCCGGTCCCCCACAACCATCTCGACGAACATCCATGCTCCCTCCAAGGGCGCCGTCTGCGACCGGCAACCCTCCGACACCAAAGTCGCGGGGCACTTTATTGTCGTCCCTGACATCTTCCATGTCTTCCAAGCCTGCTCCACCCGAGGCCAGCGCACCTTCGCGCCCTTCTGTTGTTTCTCCTTCTGGTTCTGTTGCATCGTTGAGGTCCAACGCTGCTGCTCCTGCCGCTTCTCGTCCTCGTGCTTCAATATCAGACGTTGTGAGGAGAACGCCTTCAGTTTCATCCATGAAGGGAGGCTCTTCGACTTCAGTTCCTACGCGGCAGTCTACTTCAATCTCATCCATTCGAGAAGTGAATGACGCAAAACCTCTAGAGGAGATGCAACAGAAAGTGAGGGATTTACGTTCGGTTTCAGCTTATTGCTGATGATTTTCATTAGCTCAAAGAGGCAATGGATGCACTTTCAGTGAAAACGCAGGCAGTCGCTGACCTTGCAGCAACCCTGGATACGGCTCGTGCAGATGCTGAAGCAAGTCGCTCTTCGCTTCTGCTGCTGCAGCAAGAAAAGGCTGCTGCTGAGTCGGACCTTCAAGAGCTTAGCATTACCTTACAACAAAATCGTGACGAACACTCGCGGGTCCTTATTCTCCTCGACTCCATGAAGCGAGAGGTAGGTGAATTACTATCCACCATTCCCTTTGTCTCAGACACCTTCTTTCAGCTTGACGCGGCAAAGTTGGCGACGTCTGACCACACTGATGTTGTATACGACCTCCAAAACCAAGTAGAGTCTCTCACAGCTGAAGTGGCAGCGGCTCGCGAGAACCTTGAGACTCTCCGCATCTCAAGCGAGCAATCTTCTTCCGAAGCAGCAGCAGCAGCTCAGACCGAGCGGGAGGCTCTTCTTAGGGCAAGGACCAACTACGAAACCGTCGCCGCAGAAATCGAAGCGTTGAGAGCCTCTCATGCTTCAACAGTTCAAGATCTCCACGTCAGGTCAAGTGAAGCACAGGAGAGAGCCGCTAATGCAGACGCTCTCGAAGCCCAGGTTAGGCAACTCAAGTCAGAGCGCGAGGACAACGCGAACAAGGTCTCAGAGCTGGAGGTTGAGATATTGGAGTTGAAAGAGAGCCAAGAGCAAGCAGAGGACGACCACGCCAAGGTACTTGACCGCCTAAAAGGGCTGGAGGAGGAACTGGCCCATGCCGCCGCCGCCACTCAAAGCGCTCTTGCCGCATCTAAAGTCAGAGAAGAAGAACATGCCGAGCAGATGGCTGAAGTCAAGGAAGCTCATAATGGCGAGATACAGGTCGCCAGCGACGAGCTCTCCAAGGTTGTTGCCGACCTTGAAGCATTGCAGGAAGAGCTCACTGCTGCTCACGCTGCCCATGAGCAGACAAAGCTTGAGGCTCAGCTTGCTGCTGAGGAGCACGAGCATCAGATTGACGAGACCGAGAGTGAATGGTTGTCGAGGCATCTTGAGCTTTCGGAGGAGCTCAAGAGAGTCACTATCGAGTTGGAGGCAAGTCCATGCTTAACGTCTCCGATATGATTTTCTCATGGGTGATATAGAGTCAAGAAGCACACTACGACGCTAAAGTTAACGCTGTAAAGGCCGAGCACGATTTGCTCCTGCAGGAGGCATTTGAGCGCGCTAAGGTATGTATAATCTATGTCACTGTGTCACAACTTGCACTAATTCTGCTGCTGCATCAGAACGAAGCTGGAGATGTGCATGGTGAAGAGCTCCAGGCGTTCCGTGCTGAATCACAAGCGACAATCGAACAACTCCTTACCGCCCACCAGTCGACGGTGGATGGACTGAAAGCAGACCATGAAGACGTTCTTGCATCACAGGTCGGCGATCTGGAGAAGAAATTGAGTAACCAGAACCTCGAGCTACGTGCCACGCAAGACGATCTTGCCAAAGCCAAGGCAGCGCTAGACTCCTCGCGATCTGACACGGAAAGCCTGAAGGCGCAGCTTGAGGATGCCCGGGCGGCGTTCGTCGCCGCCTCTGCCTCTGCTGACCAGGCGTCCGAGATCGATCGCCTGACGAAAGAACTTGCCAACTTCCGTGATGAGAACGTCATGATCAACGATGTTCTTGCCGCCACGAAGGAGTCGCTTTCGGAAATGTCCTTCAATCACACAAAGGAGCTCGAAGAAGCAGCTCGTGGACGCGTCGAAGACGTCATGAGCCTCCGTGCCACTCATGAAGAGGAGATCGGCAGGCTTGCAGCTCAGAAGTCGGAGCTGTCTCTCAAACTTTCCGATCTGGAGGGCGAGATTGCTACGCTCCAGGCACAGATTGCTGCTGAGGCTGCGGCTGCACCGAAGAGTAACGGGGTGGTGTCCCCATCCTCGACTATGGTCACCAGGGAGGAGCTCCAGAGAGTGCACGAGGCGCATAACATGAAAATGCACGACGTGATGGCTGACCATGAGCGCACCGTCAGTGATCTCAGAAATGAAATCGACGGGCTCCAGAGCAAGCTGGACGAGGTCCACACGGACATTTCGCGCAAAACGATGGAGATCCAGTATCTTGAGCAAGAACAAGAAGAGAGCCAAGACTCTATCACTCGGTATGTCAAGGTCTTTGGACTTCAAAGTGTATTCGGAGTAGTGATCGCGCTGGCCGTGATTTTTGACTTCATTTGATTAATATTGCTCTGACGTTTCTCGGTTATGGCCGCTTTACTTTTACTATAATTTATCAAGCTTCATACTTTCTTTTACTTGTTTGTTCTGCGGACGATTATCTTTGGATCTGATTTATTGACTTGTGCTCATTCCATGTCACGTTTCTCCCGCAGATTAAAAGCAGACCTTGATCGACTAAGCGGCAGTTCTGACGCATGAAGGCTCCACTACCAACCCTCCGCCGTCACGGTTAGCCTCATGGATTCCGCGCCGCCTCCATCCTCCCTCCTCGTGGTCGATTAACTGGGCTATGACTGTGGTGGCATACCGCACCGTCGGCATCATTATCGACTTGTCCTTCCTTTCCTTACCCCTCTCTATTCGTAATATCACAGACTCCCCGCACATTCTTACCTATGATTCTTATCAGGTGTCTCAGTCTAGCATCAACCTCCTTTTCATTGCATACCCCACCTATGGTTAATGATTGCACATATCTGGAAGTCTTTCTCTAATGCGACGTCTCTGTAACAATGTAGATCCTGGGTCGTCCGAATGGAAATTCTTTTTAATTATACTGACTTCTCGCTCGTGTTTACCCCGGTTCAGGTTTGACAACGACGCGACAAGTTCTTAGTACTTACGTGGCACAGTCAAAAATCTCGGACAAGAGTGTGGTACGATGGTCTGCTCCGACTGTGCCCGGTTACAATAAACAATTTAATAAATGTCACTGATTTTTTGGCCATTTTTGGGAATAAAAAGTAGGTCAAGTTGTGGTCCCATTTGGGCGGTACCGGTTAACGTCCTACCTTTTATTCGCATCGACATATCTTTCTTTACTTCTCTTACTCCCTCTTTTCTACCCGGTCACTTCCCGCGACGACGAGCACACGATGGCAATTCAAAGGGAACCTGGCCAGAAAGGCATAAACTGGTCTAACATTGCTGTCGGTGAGCGCGTTTTACAACGTGATTTCGCTTTATGAAACATGCTGAACAAGGTGAATTCTCGTAGGTGCTATCATGAACATGGTATGCTTTCACACTCCCTTCTGATTATCAGCTAAATGTACGCGTCCTGATGTGTCCTTCGTATCACATAGTTTGTGCGTTCACTCTTATCTCGGTGGGTTGACTTTTACTGACTTAACTCCGCCTTTGCAGGAGGCAAGTCGAGGGAGACGTGTTTGCGGTGTTAAGTAAACCTGACGGACGCATCCTTAGGTCACGACCCTCGGTCAACCCTTGGAAGTCCTCAAGACCCAAATGGCTGCCAACCGCTCGCAGACTATGGTCCAGGCCGCCAAGGCGGTCTGGGGCCGCGGTGGTGTCGCCGGGATGTATCAGGGTCTGATTCCATGGGTCAGTGGCCTCGTGAATGTCTAGGCATTCGACCCATGCTCATTTAATGGACAGGCTTGGATTGAAGCTTCCACTAAGGGTGGTGTGCTTCTTTTCACGGCTTCTGAAATTGAGACCGCTGGTGTTGGTATGGGTGTCAGCCCTGCTACCGCTGGTCTCTTGGGTGGTATGGGCGGTGGTATTGCTCAGGCTTATGCGACTATGGGTGAGTCTTCATGCAGAAGCTTGAATTGCTTTCTTCATACATGATGCATACTTTTATCTATTGAGGCTAGTTTATAATACTGTGCTGCCTTCAATTAACCATCTTTCGGGACTGACTTGTCCAACCTGATTTCGAATGTCATACTAATATCTCATGCTACAGGATTCACGACATGTATGAAGACTGTCGAGATTACACGACACAAAGAGGCTGCTGTCGGTGTCGAACGGTCGACATTCCAAGTGTTCATGGATATCTACCGCCGCGAAGGTATCAAGGGTATCAACAAAGGTGTCAACGCTGTTGCCGTGCGACAATGTACCAACTGGGGATCTCGGTCTGTTGTTTTTACAAGAAATGTCGTTGTATTATCAGCTGATTGGCGGTGTGCAGAATGGGTTTTGCTCGTCTTGCTGAAACTACGATCCGGAATGTGCGCGGCAAGGGCGAAAAAGACAGCCTTGGTGCTATGGACAAGATCTTGGCTTCGTCCATTGGTGGCGCACTGGCTACATGGAATCAGCCTATAGAGGTCGTCCGGGTTGAGGTGTGTAGCATCATGTTTGACTTGACTATGCAGATTTCACCAACAATTTCACGTGATAGATGCAATCAATGGCGAAGACCACTGCAAATGCTAACCGCCCGGCAAAACTCACTATCCTCAACACCCTCGGCTTCATCTACAAAGAGAACGGTATCAAGGGTCTCTACCGTGGTGTCACACCACGGATAGGTCTTGGCATCTGGCAAACAATCTGCATGGTGTCGTTCGCCGACTATGTGAAAGCCTGGTATGTGTCTCGCATCTAGCTGCATGTAAGAGAAATGAAGCTAACGGAGCTCACAGGGTGAAAAAGAGTTAGTCAGGGATCGCAATAGCGGTGTCTGCACTTTAATCATCATAGACAGATAATAGTATACTTTGACATACATTATAGACACATACCACTTTTTTGCTCGCTATATATTCTTTCCTGGTCATATATTCTCGAATTTGAGAGCCAAGTCGTCGGCTCGCATGTGTTTGTGGATCGCAGCCAGACCATTATGTAATTGCATCCGGTAACCGGTTTACGAACTTAATGGGCGACCCCATATGCCGGTCCGCGGTTGCCTGCTCAAGCGCTCAATGCCAGCAAACGCTGGTTGGCAGTCTGCCCAAACTTCACCGCAACCACCACCACCACCATGAGCGCTCCTGTCACAGGCAAAGCCCCCATGCATCCACTGCTGGCGCAGTACCTCATGCAGCTGTCGACAAACCCACTGCGCACCAAGGCATTGACATCCAGTACGCTTCATTTTAATCCAGCAACCACGTATGACGCTCAACGTGTTGGATGCGTGTTCTGCAGGCATGTTTAGTTTCCTACAGGAGGTCATTGGATCGAACGTGGCTGGCCTCCCGCCGCCTCAAATCCCAAAAGATGCGGCTCCCTTGACGAAAGCCCTCGCGCGTGCGCGTATTGACTCCAAGGCCATCAAGATGGCTTTGTACGGGTTTTTCGTGTCCGCTCCCATGGGACATGTCCTCGTCGGCCTGTTGCAGAAGGCTTTTGCTGGGAAGACAGGTCTCAAGGCTAGGTTAGGGCAGCTCCTTGCGAGCAATCTACTGATTTCGCCAATAAACGCGACTGGTGCGCGCTCTTTATGTCTCATTTACATTAGCACTAAGAGTTACATCATAGTGTTCTTGGCCTCTATGGCTGTCATTAATGGCGCCAAATCCCTCGACGAGGTCATCCGCACTGTCAAGGGTGGCTTCTTCTCCGTCATGAGAGTAAGCAGGATTTGTCGTTCCTTCAACTGGTGTTCTTATATCCCGTAGGTATCATGGGTAGTTTCCCCGTTGTCCATGACTATCGCACAGCAGTTCATTCCTGTCGAAGTATGTCCTCCGACCATGTCCATAATGACCTGAAACTGATCGACAAACAGCTTTGGGTGCCTTTCTTCAACACGATTCAGTTCGTGGTCGGTGTAAGTAATCCTCGATTCACTCAGGCGTTTTTGATCCAAGCTGAAAACGTCACTGCACAGACCTTCATGAACATCAAAGTGAAGAAAATGAGACTCGCCGCGCAAAGGAAGGAAGCCGAGGAAAGGGAGCGAGAGAGAGCGAGAATGGCCACGACAGAAAAACCTCAGTGATCACCTTATTTTGAACTTTTTGTACCCTCATACTGTTTGGTTATATCCGTAATATATTCCCTATGCATACATTAGAGATCTGATACAACGATTGATGACGAGTTGTCTGCAGCCGCCCTCTGCTCATAGCGGTGCCTTACTCGCCATGGGCTATCCTCCGTGCCAGGTTCGCCTACCTCAGTCTCCAGCCGCCAGCCTGACAATATGTATGTTCCTGGACGAGTAACGCACAACTGGGCGAGGACAGACGTTGTCTGCAACGGCGCTAGAAGCCCCCTGAAGGTCGTCCGGCCACAATATGGTGCAGGGAGATGAGGTCTACAGATGCTGTTAGTTGACGATATAAGAGGCAAGGAAATCACTCACGACGACTGTTGACGAGGATCAAGTCTAAGAACAAAGCGCGACGGATGTGACAAGGAATGATTACGGATCGTAAACTCTACAGGAGCCATGCAAACCCTAAACAACAATTGCTCAATAACCGTTACTGGGAGCTGAATCGCTGAAGGACCACTCACCCCTGACTGAAGTCATGCTCTACTACCAAACCGTCCTTCACGTGCATAACAATCGGATTCATCTCCGCGTTCCACTCGCTATCACGAATAGCTTGCAGCATCTCCACCTTCTCGCGTTGCGTCTCAGCATACATGCTTCGCTTGACTTTGGCACTCTCTACACCCTCGAGTACCTCTCGAAGCGCAGCATGGCTTGCACCTAGAGTAACCTCAGAAACAAGGATATGACCGGACCGCTGCTCAGAAGGGATATTCCAGAAGACGACGAAATCGACAGAAAGGGGGTTGTATAGCGGGAAGATGCTGGGGTGAGATGATGTGGGTATTCGGGGGTGTGATTGAGCGAGCGTGCGAGAGACGGCTATCCGCCGTGCGTTCATGATAAAGTGAGCGACGAAAGGTTGGAAGGCGAATGTCTGTGACATGATCAACAACGATTTGGTAGACGAGAGGGAGATTTGTACCTGGGAGACATGTCCGCAGAGGAGCTCTAATGGAGGCGGATCATCGGGCCCTATATCTTGACCATGCAGCACGTTGCTCAGTTTCCTCGAGACAAACGCTGAGACTGCATTCACACTCGCACAATCGCCAGTGGAGGTGGCGCCAAACGATATCCGTGCTGATTGAGAAGGACGCAAAGGCTCACTGAAACGTAATCAATAACAAAAACATGAATTGCAATTACACTTACGACCAGAGTTCAGTCAGTGGTAAACATGACCAACTAGCGCTGATCGTTGTCACTTGGTTGATCTCCACGTAACTCGAAGATGAGATATTGGCCAGGTCTAAGCTTAACGAGAACGAATGATCCGGCGAGTGACTTGGGTGCGAGGTGGTAGAGATCTGGAGGCACTGGACGACCTCATAACTCCTCGTGACGCGCGTGCAATGGAATGGGCTGCCTTGTGCCTGTAATATTCATTTTAGCACAACAAAAGTAGAATAAGAATGTTGTAGTGACTCACCTCACGATAAACGAAGAGAAGCGACAAGTCCTGTTTCCCCTTGTGACTTGCATGTAAGACAACCGTAACTTCGGTGCTTCCAGCCTCCGTGAGCTTCTCTGCGAGGGGTATACTATATGGTGTCGTTGGAACAATCTTATTATCGGACTGCCACGTTTTCCACGCCATGCTCATAACTGAAACTGGTTCATCCTAAGCATCTGCGAACGTAATAAGCCAACAGTGAAACATACCTGACCCACCATCCAGAGGCTCGATCCAGATCTGATCTTCAGGACCAGGCACAACCCATACCTCCCCAATATCCCTCGAACCAGCGTTCGAAATCCACAGTTTCATCCGCTTACACTCTCCTTCAGCAAGCACAAGCGGACCATCGTCTACAAACGCCACGGCAAGCTCTTGGCTTGCCTCTTCTACGTCGAGCTTCAAGAGTATGTCAGGGGCATATGTGATTGTCTGTCTCTGTTGAGGTGTGTCCTGCAGCCTGCGACCGCGGCGTGCTAGCGATTCTACTGTTGGAAGGAGTCCCAGGAAGTCATAGGCAACGCCTGTGATAGCCAATGATGCTGGTTTGGAAGACTTGATGGAAATGGAAATCTAAAATGCACCGCGGTCAGATAAAGCAGGAAGAAGCGACTGGTACCACGAACGGTGCGCGACTCATTGGCATAAAGGATAGTATCCTCAGCGGTCTTGATTTCGATGTTATCTCGAATCCAGGCAGCGTCACCAGAAGAAGATTCAACGATCACCGTTGGATTGGCCAAGGTGACCTCTGTGTCGAGGGGATTGCGCAGGGTGATATCAACCCAGAATGCCTCTATGTAAGAAATGAGTCTACGAAGTCGGAACGCATGACGACGAGGAAATTTACCTTCCACAGCAGCACGTCCACTTCGTTCAAGCTTCTCCTTGCCTCGATGCTTCCAAAAGGATGACCATATTTCTTCCCGAGTCTCCCACTCGGACTGTTCGCCCTCGACAGAGTCTCGAGGTAAGCGAATGCAGGCCTGCGAAGGAACGACGAAGCGCAGTGACAGCTTGACATCCTCTAAGCGTGCTTGCTCCCCGGATATCGACTCCAAGTGCTGGTACATGGTGTCAGAAGGTGGTACAGGTAATGAAAGCAGGCAAATTACCGAAATCGCAACCTGGAAGTCCTCCAGGAACACCTTGTCCGAATTGCTAGGATCCTTTGTAATGTCCACAATATGATTCGAAAGTTGGGCAAGTGGAGAGGACGACGCTGACGACCATCGCAAGAGACCCAAAAAGTGTCGCACAGCGCCTGATACGTCCCCTGTGGTATACAGCAGTCTCCCTAACAGATACACCGGGTCAAGGAAATAAAAAGATAGCGATCGAAAAACACTTGCCAAGTGGATGCTCAATGCCAGACATGACAGCATCAAAGCCTTGAAAGTCTGATGGTTGTTTGTTTTCAGATATCCAGAATGACGGCGACAAGAGTTTGTCCGGCCGGGATACGGACAATTCATGGGCTCTCCGAAGAAAGTACATGGTCAGCGGTTTCTGGAAACGCGTTTGGGAATCAGTAAAAGCTACTATTCGAAATTGGAACTACACACAATGCCACATTTCTCCAGGCGGTTTGCAGCGAAAAAGTACCACAGCGCTGCTCGCCGTCGTGCGTTTTTCCGAACGCTGAGAAGTGCAGCATGTGCCAACAAGAGGGCTGCTGGTGGTTCTTCTGCCTTGAATCCTGACAGTCAATTGGTGTTCTTATCGAGGACAATAAATGGCAATAAACGCACGTTGCCCGCAGCCCAGACAAGCCATCGTTCGCCCTCGAGGGTATCGCTTAGGAAGTCGCCAATCGTAAGCATCGATTCCCATCGCACCGCGTATAGCAAGGCGCGTAATTGTGCATGTGATGGAAGCTCGGCGGCTTGGGGGTGGATGGTATTCAAAGCATGAGAGACGTGGAGTTGCACGGCTGGCGAGGGAGCGATAAGCAAAGGAAGAATATCCTAACAGCGAGTTTGTAAGATAGCAGGAGCATATGAGATGCAATACTTACAGAACCTCCTTTCCCTTCCTTCCTTAATGATTCCCAAACAGCCACCGCTAGTTTGTAGTCACCAAGGATTGTTGCAAACTCAGCTAAGCGTCGTTGCTGAGATGGTGGAGGAATGATGGAACCAGATACTGATGACTGTAGTGCGCTGTGTGTGTGCGAACGCGTGGGCAGAGAAGATGTAGGGGGTGCTGGAGATGAAGTGCCAAAAAGCCGACGCGTTGATGTAAACAAGCGCGATGGTAGTCTTCGGCTCGAGGAATACTGGTGAAGGGACTTAAAGTGAGTATGCGGAGGAGATTCGTTGATACTTACTGTCTCGTTCCATTCTACGACGCATTTCTCCATCCAAGGAACCAAGTTCATGGTGACGAATTCTCGTGTAAATCTGGCAGTTTGTTGGATGTCTTGTTCGGACATCCTAAGAGTATTCAATGGGACGGTTTGTGCGGTCTTTAAGTCAGGGCGCACGCCGTCGGCAGAACCATTTAGAATAGCAGGTGGCGGTAATCGGGGAACAAGTGCTGGGATAGATACGGGGGGTGGCGGAGGGGATGGAAGTTCGAGAGAAAGAAGGTAAGTATGCAAACCATACTGTTTCTTAACGGCATTGAAAAGTGCGCCTGCTCTGGAAAGATATGTTATGAGGAGCAAGACAGGTAATGAGATATGAATACGCACTCTTCGTCAGAAAGCGGAGAGTTCTTGGGATGAATTATGAGAGTGTAAATGAGATGTGTGAGGTCTACCCATGATGGAAAGTCTAATGTTCGAGAATGTAGGGCGGTGATTGCCTGCAGCGGGTTCGGGGATGTAGTAGAGACTGCTAATATTACTGCAGCAAGACTGTGAGGCAGAATGAGAAGGGTTGAGCGGAATTACTGACTTGATATTGGATGATTCCACCCCTCATCTCTAGCTGGAATGTGATCTCCTTCGGCACAACGTCTCAGTTCATCCCACCAAGGTGTTCTTGCAACATCTCGATCTTTCATCTTTTCGAAATCATCTACCCATTTAGCGCAGCGTTTGCTGATACGGTCACCGATCCAGTCAATAGCTCGTGTGGCGCGTTGTTCCTCATCTTCACGACAAGCTGCCTCGATTTCCGGCAAGTCAGAAAAGCGAAGGGCAAATGATGGATGGGGTACAGTGGTCAAAGCAGTTGTGCGGGTTGTAACTTTGTAGGGATTAAATTTAAGAGCGATATCAGTCGCCGAAAAGAGTGAAACATACCTTGTGGTAATGGGGAAAAGGACTGGAATATATGATGGAGAGAAGGCAGAGAAGAGGACTGAAGGAGCTCTTCAAGGTCTGGGGAAGGAAGGATGCAAATGTGGGGGGTCAACGATGAGGGCAGAACCCTGGCCATGAAGGTTGCTCGAGCGTTGCTGGCGTGGCCCAATGGTTAAACTGTACCGGTACCTCTTCCCCTCCTCGACGTAATGGAGGTATTACTAGTAGTCCAATAATTAGTTCCCACATTCAATGTCATTTAGCAAACACTACGAAGTACAAATTCTTCGGGTATATAGGTAAATCAAAAGAAACCACCTCCACCGTCAAATCCACCACCACCCATTCCTCCGTCAAGTATATCTCCAAGTAAAAGTCCACCTGCCAATCCACCCAACAAAGGTAACGCCAATCCCCCTCCTCCAAACCCTCCACTCCGACCTCCGTAACGACCTCGACCTCCATTGTATCCATATGGGTCTCCAGCAGGTGGGCCATACATACCATACCCTGCTTGTGGGTAACCATAGCTAGTAGATCCGCCGTATGGCGCATATCCACCATGCTGCTGCAAGTACGCAGCACGTTCCTCCAGGTTTCGTCTCCGTGCCTCCCGAAGTTGCTCCTCCTCTCGCGCACGTTCTTCAGCCCTTTGTCTCTTGTGTGCCTCCCGCTCTTCCTTCGTACCAATTGCCTTGTCTTTCAGCTTCCCGAACATCCCGCGCTTTCGCTCCTCATGCTGCTCGTCAGTCGGTGGTTTGACTGCACTACCAGAAGACTTTGTGTTGCTGCGCAATGGAGCACTCGTCTCTCCACCGCTGAATGAATGACGTCGCTGTTCGTACGGAGGGGGATCTACCGACGGTGCTCCTTCGAGCTTCTCTACTTTCGCTTTGATATCCGGGTTGTCAGAAAGGAACTGCTCGTCTTCGTAGGGGTGCACCCATATTGCTCGTGGTGGCTTTGCCTTTGTATCAACCTGTAGAAGGGAGCGTTAGAGCGAGCCTAATCTGATAAGAGAGATTCGGTACCCACCCAGAATGGGTGCTTCTGTTGAGGGTCGTATTCCCGAATCCAACCTTCTGGGAGGGGTAGCTGGGACATGCGGGATGCGATACGTGTTATAGTCAATTGTGAGTCGAGTTACTGCGTCTGTGTCCAAGTTGCCAATCTGTGTGTGACTCTTATACTCATCCATCACGTGCCTGCCATGGCTATAGGGGGCGGCACTGGAATGACGGAATCACAGCCTTGACGTGAACGGTGACACAGCTCTGGCATAGCTACAACCACAATTGTGTCTCGAAAAACCCGATACAACCAATCGTTTGTGAATGCCGAAAGGCTAGCGCAATTACGTTTGAGGTCATGTACGGATTGGAGATTGCTAGATGGACGGATCTCGGATGTCACTCAAGATAAGTGGACCTACTACTACAAACAATTTCGTAGCTGACTTAGACCTCACGTTGCCGTGCTGGAGACAAGCGAAACCCTGCAGGCACTGCCTATCCGGTCTAATCCGACGGTTGGATCCATAGTTCTTTGAAAGAAGCGAGACTGAACAGGACTATAATTGGACTTCCTTCCTGGAATCCAGTTAAAAATAACTTCGAGCCATTAGGGGAAGCAACAACGTTGCTGGCAACTCAGCACCCTTCAGCAATTTTTCCGCAGCACAAACCTTGTCAAATCGCGCGAAGCTTGCACAGCAGATATTCGTGGACACACGTAAGTAATTACCATTCTAGCAAAATCTGCGTTTATTCTCTTCATCGAAAACTTGCCAGTACCGTCTTGATTTCCTGCATGTCTGACTCATTAACAATCACCGCGAATTGGCTGTGCGCATGCCACGACGCTACATAGTCGGCTGGTGGTATAGGATCACGACGTAAGTACACGCAACCATTGGAGGAACCACAACCGTAATTTAATATGCCTCCCCAGATCATCGTACGTGCCAGATAACTATTCCTTGTTATATCCTCCCCTTCCCCTTGCTTCCCTATTGTACCCTCCCCTTCCCGGTTCCCTCGGTAATTTCCTATTATATCCACCCCTACCTAATGCTTCTTCAACCCCAGCTTCACGCCGGACATCTACCGCGTCATCATCAGACTCGGGGACAGAGCCAGCTCATAATTCCACTTACTATCGATGGAGGCATCAGCAATGGGGGACCCGTTAACTCCGATGATGCTCAGCATCATTGAGATGGATACAAGAACAACAGTCGAGATGCGCATTGTGAAGCAGCGGGAACTTGGAATCGATATTTGCTGGGATTTATTGAAGACAAACTGCCGCTTTTTATGTGTTGCGACTCAAGACGACAAGTTTGATGCATCAGCACATGCTTTGGATGACTGGGGATACTAGCTCCACTGGCCATCGCGGATGTCTGCGGATCTGGGGGCCACTTTGATATCGTCAAGTCACCTATCTCTGCCATCATGCTTGGCAGATTGATCGAACGCCTCTAAACAGTTCGTATTGTGGCCGAACACTTGGCACGACTGGGAGGAAGACTGGGAGTGCACAGTTGGTTATGGTCATGGTCAGGCTTTATCGATGATCTTATGCTGAGACACACAAGTGGCATAACAATTCAATAACCTTCCAATATTACGTGCACGAACCCCTGTATATTGTCTGACGCAACATAGGAAAGCCCTCAGTTACGGGCGACTCGAAGCGGAATTTGGTATTTCAGTGTTCCATGATAGTGGTTGACACGTCGACAACCAAACGTACGTCGCAAAGCTACTAGCACAGGTACGTCCGCACCCCATGATGCTAATTATCAATTACAATTGTAACAAAGCAGATTTCAGGGGTATTCACCGCTTTCATGGATCCGGAATCCTTGTTTGAATAATTCTGTCCATGGCATCTGGCACCGACTACCCGAGGAAGGACTGATCCGATTCATTCTGCAGCCCCGTCGGAGGAGGACAAGTGAATTATAGTAGGTGCAATTACTGAGAGCGACAGTCATATACTAAGTAAGGGCACGAGGACTCTGTATTATGATAATAACTGATTTCTTTAAGCTAGCTGTACTCGGTATAGTGATTATCATTAACCTGGAATATCAATTATGGTGTAATTTAGGTATTGTAAGTATCAGAACTGCCAAGGGGGCTCATTACAAAAATTCATGGTCAAGTAGGGTCAGTGTGCCGAAGGTCTGACAGCGGTCACACCTCCCACCCTGGAAGATAAGCCTGGGCCCACTCGGCGAAGGTTTCCAATCGGTCGATCTGTTTCACTAGTACCCGGGCACACCACTGTCTCTTGCAGCTACATTCGCTGTCTTCGTAGCACCTGGCAAGCCCGAAGCTAGTGCGTTCTGCATATCACGAATCTCCACTACTGCGTCATCTTCAGGCTCGAGGAGGGAGACAGGTCACAATTCTGCTTACTTGTGGGGCGAGCGTCAGCTCCAATGATAGCCAGCATCATTGACATGGATACGAGGACAACAGTCGAAATACGCATTATGAAGAAGAATATGATGAGTCGAAAGATATTTGTGGAGTTTCACGAAGACGAATGGCGTCTTTTTAAGTGTGTCTTGTGCGATGCGATACATTTGGCATAGGCTTCAGCACGGCGCTCAAGCAATGTATCGGGATGTGCTCTGCACGACTGTAACCATGCATAAGGGAGAGTAGTGTGACTCAGGCCGTGCCTGCCTGCCTGCGATGAGGCTGCGAGTTACGCCAAGCACTGAGGAGTCACCTCGCTGGCCAAGTCAGCGATATTTGCTATGCTTGGCTAAACTGCTCTAATTATAAATAATATTGGGTGAGGCTGGGCAAATATTCAATGTTCAAGATGAGCGGACTCGGAGTGCACACTTGACGATAATCACAGTCGGACCCCCGGTGAGCACAAGCTGCATGACAATCCAATAGCGATCCGATAGTACGCTCTCGGACTCTTGTATATGACTGTCTGACGCAGCACAAAGGGGATGCTGGTATTGCAGTGGTGTGTCCTGATACGAAAGCAGGCTGAATGAAACGTCGACGACCAAACCGGTGCGTGCGCGGCGTAGAGAAATCAAAGCGGCTATACTGTAGAAATGAATTCTGTATCAGTTGCAAAAATTATATTGTTCTTCATGAATCACAACATAAGTTGACCAAAGGTAAGTCCTCATAGGCGAATGTGATAGTTGGGGGTGCTTTCAACGGTTGGAACTGGATTACATGCATTGAGCGCTCGACAAAATCCGGAGTTTTCTCAAATTCAAGCTTTCCCTGATCCGGGATGGACGACTAATAATTCCAGTGATCGCAACAAGCCAAAGGCGGTGTGCGTGTATATATAGTACTTGTCTCGTGTATATTAATGATGAGGTCAATGCTAAGCAAAGGCTCGGTTGCACGAGGGCGTTGGTGAGGGAAGGTGAAAAGCATTAATGCTGCAGCGAAGTACTTTGGCGCGCGCACTGGCGAATATAGGATGCGATCACTGTGGAGGCCTTGTTGTGCCAGTTCAGTACCTCAGCGCTGAGGTACTGAACTGGCACAACAAGGCCTCCAATAGTCGAACTCGGACTTCTGTATTTTGCTTGACGCAGCACAGGAAAACAAATATTGAGTTATTGGCAACTTGATGCAGAACCTAGTGTTTCGGTATTCCATGATACAAGGCTGGAACGTCGACAACCAAACCAGTGCACATGCCGCACTGTATTGATCCGGCAAGAAGTATTCACCGCCGTGACCTCGTCTGGAAGGTGAACAAACTTCGATAGATCCATAATCACTGTTGAATCTGTCAAGAATACAAATACAAATTACTTGTAGTGGAAGAAATCCATGGTATATCAGATGTGCTTGGAGTTAGATTATTGCAATGGAGCGAGAGCAGACCGTGACCGCATGCAAGAAACATCTACGAGCCGGCGAAAGATGAGAGCAGGACAACAACAACGAGAACCGGAACAATCAGGCATCGAGTGACTGTTAGGCAGGATGGGCGTGAAGATAACGGATCATCTCCTGAATCTTCAGCACCTTCTGTTCCGTCGGCATCTGTCAAAAATATAAAGTTAAATGTTTAATAAATGGCATTACTGGCAGCCCTGCAGGAAATGAGGTTACTCACTTCAAAAAAGCGGTGCATCCTTCGTCGCCTATCTTCATCTGCTGCTTCCTGAAGAGCGATATCTTCTACAAAAGGATGCGCGCAGCTGAGATCTTGTCTCTGGTGGGAGGGAGAGCTATTGGTAGGAGGGGCCACCCAGTCCTCTATTACGCCCCAGCCTTTATCCTGCTCTTCCGATGTCAAGTCTGTACCAGCAGCTTTAGGAACAGACGCATCATCTTTACGCCCCCACCCAACACTCTCCGCTTCACGCCCCCACCCATCACTCCCCACTTCATGATTCGGTTTCCTCCAGGCTCCTAACATCCCCCACACCTCATCCGAAGTCCGCCATCCGCCATCGTCCTCCATCATCTGCAAGAACTCCTCCATCCTCAGCACCTCGCCCCTCTCCGCAGCATCCACCCCGCGGATCCAGAACGGCACAAGATCAAACACATGATCCACGTGGGTCTGCATCTCCCATGTGCGTAGGCCATCGGAAGTTAGCGGAGGCTGCTCGGGCGCTCCCCAGGCGTCATCGTCTCGTGGTTTCCACCACTCGGCTTCGGAGATGTGCTGTGCATGCTCAGGGGATGCGTTTTCATGTCGAACTGCGGCTTGCATGGTCGTGAAGTAGAATTGGTTGGTGCGCCTTGGGATGCAGATGTTGCAAGTCCATCCGCGGCGTGAGATATCCGGGGTGAAATCTATAAGCGGATTAAGCATGGTCATGCTACCGTTGGTGAAATGGCCCTATGAGGTTATAGCACGCACATTGTTGTTTGCTAAATTTCAACTTTTTGGAGGAAGAGGGGGGTGCCATGGGTTTAGATCGAGAGGAACGGAACGGATGATGGGGCGATTGGGAAAATGCAAGGGCTAGGGAAGAGCAGTATAAATGTCTCCCATCTGGTGGCCAGAGTCCACAATCCACAACTACTATAATGACGAGCAGCCGCATACAATCCGCATATGGCTTCGTATTTCCGCTGGCGGCTGAGCAAGTTACCAATACAAGAGAACCACGACAACAAGCTCAAGCCACATTATGGCCAATAACAAGTTAGGAAGTCCTAGGCTTGAAGCTTGAGCGCCTGAGCCTCCAATTACTACGCAACGAAAACATTGTCCAAAAACTACAGTGTTCCAGATAATACATAATCTTAAATATCTACGAAGCTCCGGGTAGCGGCCCCACCCAAGTTCCATTCGGCCACAGGGTCGCAGGCATCGTGAAATCACCAGGCGTACTCCCTGTTGTGTACTGCGAAAGAATTCATCAGCCCCTGGCCAATGCAGAAAGTCCCTTGAAAATACTCACGGCAAGCCTGAAGAAATGTGGCAAGCCAGCCTCCAGTGCAGCAAGTGAGTAGTTGAGTGCAGCGCCCACGTACACCTCCACATCATCCACGAGTAATGCGAAGCCATTCCAGCCTTGAGCAGCAATGGCCGTAGGTATGCCGTGCCAGCTGATGGTTTGATTCGTCAGCGCAATGGAGGCATTGTAGGTGGTGGAATTTGTGAGGAAAGTGGGGAGGGGGGAGCCAGTTGTCCCGTCTCCGACAAGCTGTAACACAACATGAGCTATTGAAGGCATGTATAGTGAACGGGACATACAGCAGCAGCGGTCTGTAGTATCGAGTCAAAGCCGAACGCAGCCACGCCGTTAAGAAACATTCCGAGGAGGAACCCCTGATAAATTGCCGAAAGCCTAGTCGGGAAGCCAGTGCCAGGTAACAATACCATTGAGATGATATAATGATGCAGCCTGAACTGCAGGCCAGGCAGCAACGCCAACACCAGCGTCACGAGGCCTCCGAGGATGTACCACCCAAGGTAGTATGGCAGCCAGCCAGTTTTCCTGATAACACGTATCTGGTTGACTACCAGGACAAGAAGGATAAGGCAGATGATAATAAGCGCTACGACACCTCCCGGCTGTTGTTTGATATCAGCCGCGGTCAATCGATCAATGGGTATTTGGTCCATGGTGAGATTTGTCAGAACGCCTGTCCAGTAAGGCGCAAGGTACCATATCATGGCTTCAAACGGCGCGTTTGCGAACAGAGGCAACGTAAACCTCACAGCAACGCGCCAGAACGCATAGCAGACGAAAAGGGTAGGCAGGAATGCACCAAAGGCTACGTCCAGCGGGGGTGGAGTCGCCTGGGGCTGCGAAAACAATGCGGTGTGCCAAAACCCTATGCAGACGAGGCACCACCACATGACGATAGCTTTGGGCCGCAACACGAGGAAGAGAAGGCATGTAATAAGTATGTTGAAAGCGAGCGCCGGTGTGCGGAGGTCGGTGCAGTGGGTGAGAACGTTGGATGGTGAGAATCTAAAGGACATCGGGAATACAGAGGGGAATCCAATGGAAGATAGTCCGAAAGCAGTTGTAGGTAAATAGTTTGTGAAATTCCCCACGAGATTAACAGATGCGCAACCTCCTGTCGAGTCGCTGAAAAGGCCGCTATGTAGAGAACACGTGAGTTAAATCTTCTGCGTTAAAAAGAAGGGGAAATATCGAGCACTTACGCCTGAACGGCAGAAGCGCAGATAAAACTATCAGCTCTATATGTCTTCTGACTATCCCCGCCTCCAACAAGTAGAGGGACGAAATCCACCTCTACATCGCCTACCAAATGCGGGTTCTGCAGGACAACGCTGCTACATTGCGCCGGGCATCTGAAATCAAAAGACGAATTACTAAATGGCGCGCACAAAGTACCGTCCAGACCGCATCCTGCGTCTTTTGTCCAGTAGACCGATGTACAACTGACAAAAGAGGTTGCAGGGATCGTATACCACTGTGCGCGGACCAAGAAGGAAAAGGAAATGATATATGCTGCTACGAGGACGACGAAAAGCCATGTAGCAGTAAGTGGACGTGTGAACCGGATGATCGCAGGCTCGAGTGCGATGGTGAATTGATGACCTCTGACCGAATACGTACGACCGAGGAGGGGCACAGGGTCTGCATGCTGTGAGCGCCGGTTACAAGTGACCTGAACATAGAAACTCACTCGGAAGATCAACTTTAGGCCTAGGTCCCCGAACGTGTTTGACCACTCGAGCGGCAGCATGATACAACCGAGGGGATCGTGCTTTAAAGGAATCCGAAAATCTTGAGAAACGAGTTGAGGGTGGTGGAGAATGAGATGCTCCTAATGGGCCCGGGTCATAGAGACCTTTCTCGGAGGCCTCCGCCTCAAATTTTACTCTCTCCTCGCTTGAGCCGGCAGTTGTTTCGCGAGAAGAGCTGTACCGGAGCCCTTGATCCATAAGAGCTCAGTTGGAGGCGACTGTCATGAAGAACGGGTTGTGTGCGAAAAGACATGCAGAGCGCAGTAACCGTCCAAAATTAAATACATCACCAATGCTGTCCCCTATCCATCGATAGAGCGCCTGCAGTGTGGAACATCCCTACAACAAACATTCCGTGACAATGACAGCTCAGACTCAGAGAGTGCATATGCGTAGACATCATATATGGGATTTGCAAAAGAAGATCATCACCAAAAAAATTGTATGGTACCCTGCCAAGGGCCATCAAAATATTGACCAATGTACTAGTTCCAGCAAATCATCTTATATAGGCCACGGGCAGAACTTCTATCCCAGCCGCATACCGCCTATCGTTCACCATCGTCTGTTTCATAATCGCCATCTTCATCCGATCCTTTCTCCTCTGTTCCCTCTGTGCTTTGCCGTCCCCGATTGCGCGCCCAACTCGGCCGTCCTTGTTGCATTTTCATACTACTATTGCTCGACCACTTTGTACCTTTGTAGTGGGCTGCCAGGGTCATGATGGCTATGCGAAATGAGGCACAGTATCAGAATATGATAAGTGAATGGGGAAGGAGCGCACCATCTTCGTTCCTTCTGTAGAACTCAGCCCACGATTTGTCTGATCTTTCGCTATCCGGGAACTACATCATAAAATGAACACGATCGGAAACTCAGCACATACATCAACATGATAGTACTCACCCTTTCAAGAAATCCCTCCCACCGTTCTCGACTTACCATGTCGTTCCACCCCGGCGTGCGCGCAACATACCTGGCTATGATCCTCCAATCCGCAGGCGTGAACGAGCCGCCAATTGCTCCCATGTCCGCTTCATCAGTATCTGTCGTGGCGGAGGCATCGTGATTGTCAGACGAGGGAGAAGGGGAGGGTTGCGAGAAAGAGGTGACGCGTTTGGACGCGACCGTCTTAGTTTTTGAGACACGGGGGACACGAGCAGTCGGTTTTGTGCGACGATGCGAGGATGTTGTCTGACGAATGACTTCAGTTTCTGAGTCTTCAACTTCATCGGTGGGCGTGTTTGGGGAGTCTGAGTTTTCCTCTTCTTCATCCTCTTCTTCTTCTTCATCGTCATCGTCATCGTCATCATCGCCCTGGAAGGAGTACAGGATCTTGTCTGCGATGTCGTGTCTGGCATGCCAGTGAGATGCCCAGGAGGGCGCGCTATGATGTGGGGCCTGCACGAGGTTAGTATTGGACATATGTTCAAGTACGACACACCATACGCACCTTTTCATGCAACATCGCACACAGCTCCTTCTTCGTCAGGCTCGCGTCCTGACTTAACCTCCAACCAATAAAATTTAAGAAATACGCGCGATCCTCTTCGGTATACTTATTTCCATTTGTCCCAGCTTCGATTCTTGTCGGGGGCGTAGGGCTTCGTGATGGTGGAGGGGGCAATGTAATGTCCGCCTGAAGCGGCATAAGATTGGCGGGAAGGTTTGTCGGGAGGAGGGGCGCGGAGAGGGAGTTGAGGGTTGCTCGGGGGCGTTTTGGAGGACGGTAGCCGAGGGAGGGGGTTGTGCTGATGGCGGTTGGTGTTGAGCGTTTGGGTGGTCGACTTTGTCGGAGTGGTGGGGAAGGGGAAGGTTGTCGTTTTCGCGAGTCACGCTCGCGATCGCGTAGAGGAGAAGCAGACTTTGCCACGGAAGTAGATGCGGTGGTGGAAGCAAAAGGTTTTTTGACTACTTTTGATGTTTGGCTTTTTTCCGCCAGACGGGCGACGAGGACATCGAAACGGTCGTGGTGGTCAAGGTAATAGTCTTTCCAAAGGTTTGCAGCGTGATTATTGACCTGAGGGAGTGTCATCAACGCGCGTGCGCGGTACGATTTAGCAGAGATAACACGCACACCATGTAACCCTTCCAGAGCCTGTCTGTATGTCCTCCCGGACTGCTTGCAGTCAAAAAGAGCTTGAGCGAGGATTGAATCGTCATTAGGTGACTGGCCGACTGGAATTGTGAGGCGAAGAAAGTCCTGCATGAGCTGCTGTGGAACGACAGACGCGATATCGAAAGTGGAATTGGGGAACGCGTGCTGAGCTGGGTTCACGTTCGAAGGAGCTGGCACGTTAACATTTGGCTGGTTCTGCTGGGCCATGTGGTGACCGTTCTGCATGTTCTGCTGGAGTTGTTGCCAGTGATGGTTTTGGGATTGCTGAGGATATTGGTTGTGGCTCATCGACGGCCAGTTTGCATGGCTGAGGATGCCTGTCATGCTCTGGGTGCGAAACTGGTCTTGAGAACGACCTGTGTGGCTAGCAGGTATTCCACTTGGTATTGGGGCGTTCATCGAGGACGTACGCGGCAGCGAGGAGATGAATTCACCGCTGTAACCTGTTCATTCACCGCGACAAGCAATTTGAAAGTACCCAAATCCACGTGTCTCCATCACGTGCCAGTATCACGTGAGACCATCGCGGGGCACCGTCAAGTACTTGAGACTCCGAGAGAGTACTTGGGCTAGTGACTTCCCGTTGGATCCGTCCGTCATGTCGATTTCTCGTCTTGCCCGTATTCCCCTTCGTAGTCCCTCACGCTCTTATGCTACGACAGCAGGCTTAAATGCCATCGCACGTCCAAAGGCAGAGAGTCTCAGCGCGACATGGAAGGGTACCAGTGCAACTGGAGGTAACACCAAGAATTTCATTGGCGGCGCGTTCGTCGACAGCAAGACAAGCCAATGGCATGATGTCCTCGACCCTGTATGGCTATGCCCCATTTTATGGTGTACGAGCGTGTGTTAATGATTGTTCGGCAGTCAACCCAAACATTGCTCACACGCGTCCCTGAGACCACCATGGAGGAGTTTGACCAGGCAGTCGACGCTGCTAGTCAGGCATTCAAGTCATGGAGTAAGCAGAGTGTTCTCGCTCGCCAACGTTTTGCCATAGAGTGCGTTTTTGAGTACCCACCTTGCCAACACCTGACCCACTTACGCTGCATCCAGACTTCAGTATCAAATCCGTCAGAATGCAGACGCACTTGCACACAGTATCGTCCTCGAGCAGGGAAAGACCCTTGCTGGTACGTATGCCGTCTCGGTCCTTTTGGTATCCTATCTAATCCGTACTCTCCAGATGCTCACGGCGATGTCCTCCGTGGTCTTCAAGTCGTCGAGTCTGCCATCGGCATCACCTCCAACATTGTCGGCGAGAAACTGGAAGGTATATGTGCTGCTTGACTTTTCAGACATGGTGCTCACATCACCATAGTCAGCAAAGACATGGACACTGAAGTCCGAAAGCTCCCTCTTGGCGTTTGTGCGAGGTCCGTTCTGATGTGCCCTACGTAAACATACGCTTACCTCTTACAGCATTGCACCTTTCAACTTCCCGGCGTAAGCTCTTTTGCCCTATACCGTCCCTGGCTTACCCCTTACATCCCTATTCAGTATGATTCCCCTCTGGACAATTCCCCTCGCTACCGTTACTGGTAACACCCTCATCCTCAAGCCATCTGAGCGGGACCCTGGCGCAGCCATGATTATTGCTGAGCTTTGCGCCCGTGCTGGCCTCCCTGAAGGTGTTGTGAACGTAGTGCATGGGACCGTGCCCGTTGTCAACAGAATTTGCGATGATGATGCAATCAAAGCTGTGAGTTTTGTGGGTGGTGATCGTGCAGGAAGACATATATACGAGAGGTGAGTGGAACGAGTGAAATGGTGATTTTTGGAATGGCACCGACAGATTCGGCAGGGCCACGAAGAACGGGAAACGCGTACAGGCAAATCTAGGTGCAAAGAATCATGCGGTAATCATGCCGGACGGTAAGATGCCTCCTCATTGTATGTGGCTGGAACTCACGTAATACACAGCAAATAAGAATCTTGCGCTCAATTCCATTATCGGTGCTGCATTCGGCGGTATGTGCCCACTTTTCTGATTTGGGCTTTGCTGATATGATCGTGCCTGGACAGCTGCGGGACAGAGGTGTATGGCAGTATCAGTAGGTAAGTCGTGCGAACGTACCGTGTGACACCTTCATTGATGTGCATCTGCGCGTGTAGCCGTACTCGTCGGCGCAGCCCAATCATGGCTCCCTGAGCTTGTTGAGCGCGCATCAAAGCTAAACGTGAACGGAGGATTTGAGAAGGGTGCAGATCTGTAAGTGCCCTTTCGTCCTATTTTCTCCTAACGCAGCCCACTTTTCATTATTCCTCTGGACCTTCGTAACGCTGACCTGCACCGCACATAGTGGCCCCCTCATCTCTCCCGCATCCAAAGCTCGCGTCACGGGCCTTATCGCCTCCTGTGCAGACGAAGGAGGGCGAATTCATCTTGACGGAAGGAATGTCCAAGTTCCTGGGTACCCTGCTGGCAACTTTGTAGGTCCGACGGTTCTGGAGGGCTCAGTGGGGATGCGGTGCTACCGGTGCGTATTTAATAGGGTCTCTCATGCATGACCAGTCACAGTCTAATACTCGCCGCCACTCTCAGCGAAGAAATATTCGGCCCGGTGCTTACCGTAATCACCTCAGATACGTTGGACGATGCGCTCGACATTATTAATGAAAATAAGTACGGCAACGGCGCTGTGATTTTCACGCAGTCGGGCGCGACAGCAAGGAAATTCGAATCAACTGTTAATGTTGGGCAGGTGCGTTTTTACTCATTCATGTGCTGTGATGTGGGGGATTTGGCCCACTGCTTTAAAATGTGAAAAACCGATGGTAATGTCGTCTGGTTCCTCATAGGTTGGCATCAATGTTCCGATTCCCGTTCCTTTGCCTATGTTTGCGTGGAGCGGTAATAAAGGCAGTGTGCTTGGCGATATTGGGTTCTATGGGAAGAGTGGAATAAATTTCTACACGCAAAACAAGGTAGGTCGGATCAAGCTTTCTGTGTTTGAACTTAGTTGACGTTAAACTTATTGGTGCAGACGACGACGAGTCTCTGGCGCCAGGAAGATGCCATTGGAAACAAGGCGTCGGTGGATATGCCTACGCACCACTAAGCGTGTGAGCCATGGTTATAGTATGTGCTGGTGTTGAGTCCCAGCCCTTTATCAAAGAGGGGGAATAAAGACAAAGGAAAAGGATTACTAACTTGCATCTGTTATGCATTTATCATGCAAGATTCCCAACATAAACCATTTGTATATTTTATATATTCGTGCATGGAATCGAGTTGCTTTCTGTACTGCCCATCAGTCCACTTCATTTGATCCAAAACGCATGTTCTCAAGCACAGAAGATATAAATATTTTCCGAGACCCCGTGTTATTAATATTGAATTTTATGCAGTCCTACCCGATGGACCGCTGCTGGCTCTGCAAGGCTCTGCATCCTGATGTGACTCCATGCACTTGTAGTAATCCACGTAGCATCATGTACCCTGCGGAGCAGAAAGTTCTCCTTTAAGCTTTCGGTCTTCCATAATGTCAATGTTCACGTGATACCTATCAGCCCTTGAACTTGGACGGTCGTGAACTCATGAACACCTGAAGTACTAAAACACATGCCCTCACCCCCGATCCAAGTCTTCCTCACGACGATCGCGTCGCAGGTCGTCGTACGGAAGCGCCAAGGTTTGTACATAAATGCTGAACGTGCATCACGTTGATCTACTATAATACAAATCAGAATACATCCTACGCATCCTCCAAACCAAGAAGATACCATACACCTCGTATGATCTCGCCTCTGACGATGATGCCAAACGTTTGTGGAGGCGTAAGGCCCCACCTGGTGTGTTTCGATCTCATCCTGTACTGATACTGCGCTTACAGTGCCTTTCGGCCAATTCGGCAGATAAGCAGCAGCTTCCAGGTATACTTGTAGGCGGCAGATTTATTGGGGTATGCCCTTATCCATGCCTTTCAACCACCTGTATATAGTACTCATGACAGCCTCGCTGAACAGGACTTTGACGCCTTGTGAGCCTTCTCTCCTACCCCATCGTGTCTCATTCCTATCTTACCCCATACAGCGAAGAAGCCGTCGAAACCGAAGGGCTGGCTACCTTCTTGCGGTTAAATGAAACCTGGAACATCGCCGTGGATGAAGACCGTCCGGCGCCCGAGGTCAAGCCCGTTGGTGTGCCCGGGGCCGTCCCAATCGCGCAAATGACGCCCGAACACCACAAGCCCCGCTTCTTCCCTCGCAACCCAGATACTCCACTGAAGCCAGTGAACAAGCGTGAGGGGGACTTTGATGTGAGTACGGAGCTGGAGGGGTACGGGTTGCAGGGCGTAAGGGTGACCGATGAGGATTTGAGGTTGTTGGTTGAAGAGCTTGGGCTCGAGGGAGACGATGCAGAGGATATGGTCAAGAGCTTGGGTGGTGATGTGAATAGGAAGGGTGCTCCAAAGAAGAGTAGTGAGGGTGACGAGAAGGTGAAGGTGAAGGAAGCCACGACAAGCAAAGACACTGAGAACGTGAGCATCACCAAGGAAGAGAGCAAATGACCTTTACGGTCTAATGTATTATATCTGCATATCCTATATACCAGTCGTAGAAGTGGAACGAAAACGAATATTAGCGTCAGCAATGTGCAGAACTCCACCAGCCGGATGTGTTTAGGTTATTTAGGTATGTTTTTCCTGGGTGTGATATGATAAGACATCTAACGCTGAACTTCCCTTTACAGCTTGCTCATCGGCATGTTGACGAGGAAGCCACCATCAAGTGCAATAGTCGCACCGTTCACGTACGCGCCAGCCCTGCTAGCCAAGAACATCGTGGTCCCTGCGACGTCCTCGGGAGTGCCAAAGCGATTCGTCGGGACTTGGTTGATGATGATGTTCCCCGCAGCTTCGAAAAATTGAGCCGTCACTGTAAACAAATCAGTGTAACGCCAAAAATAGAAACCACTCGTGATGAACTTACTCTTGCTTTGGAACGCGCCTGCAACGTCGATGCGAATCGGTTAATTCACGTGTGAGTGAATGAAAGAACAGACTCACCACAAGCAATGGTATTGCTGACTATGCCCTCGGGCCCAAGACGGCCCGCAAGGTGGCGACTGAGGTGGTGTAGACCAGCTTTGGCAGCAGCATAGGCGTATGTGTCATGGTCGGGCACGCCGATGCCCTCGACCGAGCCAATCTGATAGAGAAGCCCATCAATAGAAGGACTTCTCCGAAGAATCAAAATGCACTCACGTTGATGATACGTGCCGGATCATTATATACGACCCCTGTCTTACCGCCTTGAGCTGCGCCCGCACGTAATAACGGCAGTAATTTTTGCATCAGAGTGAACACGCGTTGCAGATTCAGAGTGAGGACCTTTGAAAACCCATCGTCCTTTGTTGCATGATATTCAGCGAGGCAAAGCGAAGCTGACAGTAAGTTACGCACTGGGTATTCATCGATGGGTTCTGACCATGTCGTTCCCGCGTTATTGATGAGGACATTAAGAACGGTTTCCCGCGCGGAGAGTTCCTGTACCAACCGCTCCACTTCAGAGAATTTTGACATGTCAGCTGGGATCGCGGTGCATGAACCTGGGCCACTGGTTCCGAGCTCCTCTGCGGTGGCCTGACATTCCTTCGCAGAACGGGCCGAGATATAGACCTATTTCAGCGTGGAGAGGTTCAGGTTCATGCCATGCCATGCCAGACGTTGTAGTAACACACCTTAGCACCATTCCTCACAAATGCGGAGGCAATCTACGCAAAAGAACTGAGTCTTTGCCGCTATTCACAGTCAGATGTTTGGGACACACCATTTTCCCAATCCCACGGGAACCTCCTGTCACGAGAACTACCTTCCCTGCGACTGAAAAGAGATTTTCAACCTGCAATGCGCTCATTTGGCGGCGCCGTTGTGCTCAGAGTGTGGGTAGTAATAACGGAGTCCGTAAAATGAAAATGATGACAGGCCCTGCCGCTTCATTCGTTGTTAGTCACTGCTAATAGTGGCCATGCGCAAATTTTCAGGGAAGAGGAGGAAGAGGTGCCGAGACATGTGGAACCATGTCTTTTCGCGGACTTGAAATCGCTCTTATACTTTGCCGCATGAAGCAAACACAAAGAGCATCAGCCTGAAACGGAAGCGTGGAATTACAGGCAATTATACAGGCAAGATTGTACCTTCTAGACTACCAGGGACAGAACTATAATTACAATTGTCCTCGATTGTCATGGCGTGTGGCAATGCGACAACAATTACACAGGAAAATCATTCCAACGGAACATCTAAGGTTCAGAATCGTACAAAACATCTGATGCCCTTGAGCGACGCCGCCGCAAGGGTTGATCAGAGAATGTAACCGCAGGAGGCATATCAATCGGTACATCCTCTGTTTTGTATTCCTGAAATGCAGTTCAGCAAGGTATTGTTAATCAATAAAGCTTGACAATAGACGAACGCTGTGCGAGGCACTTTCGCTCCTTGGGGATAACTTTCTCCTTTGCCGCCTCTTGCGGTATATGCGCTCTTTGTCGACTTCTTCGGTCAGCTCACCAGAACCTTCGTCCTCACTTGGGAAGCGCCATTGAATTGCGGGAAGGATGCATGCCGCAAGCACAAGAAGAGAGATCACGAAGAAAGTAGCAGATGATACAATGGCAAAAGTAACTGGGAAGCGTGTCACAAGCCCCCTATACGGTAGTAGGCCATAAGGTTCGGGCGAATGAACACGGTGAGATGTGCTTACCGAATTCCGTGGCGCTTGACGGTCCCTCTCAGGGATGCAGAAAGGACGCTCAACTCTCGTCCTTCACCATTACCGAGGGCCCTCCATCCATCTCTGCGCCCCAATTCCACTCTGGCAATGACGCGAGACGCGCCAGGTGCGTGCGACTCAAGGAAAAGAATGTCGAGGTTGACTAACTGGGGCGAGGAGAATACTCGGCTTTTCGTAGGCGGCAGAACTATAGCCTGGGGTGTGTGAGCGTGTCTTCTTTGCGGACAAACGGTTCGGTACCTACTGGTTTCCTAACGGATGTCAAAGTTCTATTAGACGGCGTCGAGAGCGTCAGAGCAGTCATGAAGTTTCCTAGGGCAAAATTCGCCTCTGATGCTGGTATAAGGAGGTGCATGGAGATATCATAGGGTTGGCTAGGTGCCAGAGACGGCAATGATATCTCAGCATACGGAGAAGCACCGTCGCTATAACGGAACAAGCACCATGAGCAACAGCCGCACGGCTGGAAGAGATCTTACCCATATTGCAGATACACAGGGGACTCCCACCCTACAGCAACATTCTTCCAAACGTACCAGCCAGAGAAAAGAGAGAAAAGTATGATAACTGGAATTAGCGCAAGGCATACGAATAATGGAATCAGGTGAGGTGCTGCAGGGCGAAAGAGGTTCATGATGAACCGAATAGCACTAGCTACGGCATTTTCGAACCAAGATACCTCTTCATGCTGCCCTTCATAGGAGGAGAGAGGTTTGGAGTCCTCAGGCTCGACCTTGGCAGTTAGTGTTGATGAAGCCATGGCTTCACGTTAAATACAAGGTGATTTACTACTCCAGAGTATATCATCAACAAAAGTGCCGCTGGGATGCACGGCCGGTCATTGCCTTGTATGGTATACAAACCCCGAACAGAATTGCAGAAAGTATGCTGGGCTTGTAGCTTGAATGCAAGTGCTAGCAGAGATGTATGGAATGTAAAGCTTGCACACGAATTGTGCAAAGCTTGTAAAGTAACTAACAGAAGTGCGCAGGTATGCATGAGATTACAGTATGTATGCAAGTTGTAGCAGACGTGCTGTGATATGTAAAGCTCGTACACGAAATGTGCGTTGGAAGCTTGTACGGTGAACAAGTATGCATGATCAAGATCGCGTACGTATATATATGCCGAATAATTTGGAGCTCGTACACTTGAACTTGGTGCGTGACAATGCACATGTCGGGATATCGTACGCATATGTATGGTGGTTGACGTGAGGCGCTGTGACACTTGACCACGAACTCGGCCGACGGCAGCGTCATTTTATACTTTTGGTTAAGTATTTCGCCCAGGACCCCGAACTTGAGCTCAAAGCTTCCCTCGAGATCCGTCCGGCTCTATAGAGACCGTGACTATCCTCGTATAAGTACCACACCGTTACCTCTTTTCTGCCATGTTCTAGCTGATGTTGCTCCTCCGCCGCTGCCCTAGTAAGTCCTTTTCTTTATTTTCCTCTTAATATCGATACTACTTGACGGCAGGAACTTGTCCTTGCATTGCGCTGCCTACCACACCCTACCTTGACCTACCACACCCTCCAGCTGCTGCCTCTTGTATTCTGCCGCCCCTCACTACACCTCTCACATCCCCTTGTGTCGCTCTCGTGAGTTTTCCTCTCTCACGCTCAACTCTACGGTAAGTTTTTTTTTGTTGCTTCCTTTTTTACACACTCCCCTCGTGCACATACCACTCACTAACTTGTGCATGTAAGTTTTATTTTCTCTTTGTTTTCTAACTTTCAGTAGCCTTTTGCATCCCCCGCATCGTCTGAAACATTCCTCCACCCTTTCGCACCCTTTCGCACCTGTCCCTGTATGATGCTCTCGCGCCTTGTCGATCCCTCTGGCGCTGTCTCGCATTGTCATTGTCTCTATAGTATGGCTTTCACTTTCGCTTTCGCTTTTTCTCGTCTCTGCCAGTTCATATCACGCATCATGACTACCTTCGCCTCGTCAATTTCATATTCAATACTTTGCCCCTCGCATATTTGCATCTCTACTTACTTTACCCACTGCACTCATTGGCTATAGCCGAGCATACTCTAGCTACTGCAGTGCAATTTGAAGCACCCATTATTGTGATCAACCAGCCTGAGTATGTATCTAAGTTCATTACCCACACAAGGGAGCACCAGGAAGCACAATTGTGACAATAGTTGTAGTAGCATGTATCGAGCATCACCCAAACAAGGGTCTACCGAGTGCTACAAACATAACAAGGCTGGCAGGAAGATGTATAACACGAGGTCGCATGCATGGACTTGTATCGTGACTCACAAGCCTGTCACTTGTTTGTACTGAATGTACCAATTGCACACCTTGTACTGGCTGTTACTGCCTTTCAAGTGGAATGCAAAGTTTTGATTCTTTTGTTGATGCATATGATGAAGTTACCACGTGACCAAACACGTACGTCACAGTTATTCATTTTATTACTCTAGCAAACTGTCTTGCTCTACCGTCGTACGCTCATACCCAAGTACCAAATAAACTGTACTGATTCGTGTTTCTGCTCCTTCAAACCAGATGGCACCCGATATCCAGACCCTATTGGGCGCCAACCCATCTGCTGATTCCATGACTGTGTTTCTGAAAGATCTGGCACAACACGCCAGCGCGAGCTTGACAGCTCCCGAAGTGAAATCGTATTCAGATGCGGTCTACTTCAACTATTATATCCTAGGGATTAGCTTCCTCTTTATCCCTCAAAAGGGGTATAAGCCCACCGGGGGGCTGAAGCGCGAGCACCTTAAAGATGATTCACTAGTGCTTGACAGCATTAACATCTACAACGCCCCAAAGCCTAAGGCGACTCCCGAAAAATCAACGACATCCAGTCGAACAGCAGAGCTCGCCTTCTCTACCTATCCCATGTCAAAGTGGAACCTGTCTATCTCACCTGAGGCTTCGGCATCCAATGAGTCCTCGATTGAGATCTCGCTCACAACAACTGGTAAAGATTTCGTCAGCTGCCTCGGAGAACCTGATCGGAAAGGCGGTGGTGCTGGGCCTTCGTCTGGATCGATTGGCATTTGGTGTGAGTGGTCGAAGCACGGAATTATGGTCGAGTTTGGAGGGGATGAAGCCAGAGGACCACAAGCCTGGGAACGTGGCAAGGATGCCATGTGGAGGGTCATCACGGTATTTCCTCCGAAGCAGGAATAGGCTCAAGGTAAAGGCTTATGCGATTGAGACTTATGCATTTCGCTGATCTGGACCCTTCGTTGACATAGAAGGCTCAGTCTGAGCTAGTCTCCCGTAGGCAGACCATAGACGAAGCAAGATAGCTGCTCGTTCTGCGTTGCGGCATGGCAAAAGGAAGCTGCCGCTAACGCGTGCAAGTCTATATCATTGTCTGCCTCGTCCTTTCTCCCATGATGTCAACTTTATTTCACGAGCTCAGGCAACACCAAAGACTGGGTCCTGCGGCAGCTCTCCTTACGCACCGCAGTCATTTGTTCCTTGGATCGGTGATCACTTATCTTGTGCTCTCGCAAGGTCATTCTTTATTCACGATTCTTGCCCAGCATTCACAAAAGTCGTGATCTTCATGTGCCTTTCGAGCGTATATCTATTCACGTGGTATTCTATGCCCATTCCATGCAACGTCGTGAATCTGTTCAAATGGGCCTGTTTCCGACCTGGTCTTGGTCGATCGCGAGGCTCTGTGCCTTTCTTCCCATTCAATATGGCTGGACACTCAATAGTGTAGCAGGGGAGACTACTGCTGATACGAACACGACGGCGTGATCAAGTGAAAAGAGCCAAAGAGCCACTTTCCTGCGCAGCTGCATTACACGCAAGAGCGGGCGGTTCTAGAATTTCAAACAAACATCGACTTCAACTGTGACGCAGGCAAAGCGTGGGTCGCATTCTGTCATGATCAGCGTTTCGCCTATGCTAGCAGTGGATACAGAAGGTGCGTCTATGAAATTATTTTCTGGACGCCAATGAAGAGGATCGTCGTTCCTTCTTGAGTCTTTTGTTGACCATCGATAGTCATGATTCTACTAAATGATTTGAGGTGGGTATCCAATCCCCTGCGGACACCGGTTACGGTTTGAATTTTGTCAGTATACATGTCGGGAAGTACGCCAAAGATCTCTACCGTCACTATGAGGTTGCCGAGTGTTGAATAGCACCCGTACGTGGATTCATGGGAACCACTGGGGTGTGACATCATGAGACCTCATAAGCGCAGTAGCATCGCTCCTGGTCTCATCACACTTGTTCCTGCCCATCATGGCTGCGCCTCCCGAAGTAACAACCAAGAATCTCACCGGAAAATACATCATGGTTCGTGTGCCCAGGCTATGTACGTCGCAGGAACAATTCTGATGAAATCTCGGCAGAACAAGACATTGAGTGATGACAGTGACGATATCCTTAAGCTCCAGGGCGTATCTTGGTTCAAGCGGCGTGCGATCTCGATGTTTACATTGACGCTTGTCGTAAAGCACTATGGAGACGAGGCCGGAATTGAGCACATAGACATCCAACAGACTCTATCTGGGGGTATCTCGGGGACGGATGAGAATCGGATTCTTGATTGGGAGGAACGCAGCGAGAGCGACGATGTTTTCGGTGCTGTGATCGGACAATCCAAGAGAGTCAAGCCTGAGGAAGTGGAGGATGAATTCTTGAAGTCTGGCTGGACGGAAGATGCAGTTGAAGACGGGTTAGTTCTCGCGGTAGCCCGGAGCGACACTGCAAAAAGTGGCATGGATTGGAGGGCGGAACTGGTACGACTTTATCTTTTTTTTTATTCGTCTCCTCATATTTATTCATGATCGCCAAGACCTGGGGTTTTGAAGTTTTGAATGGCGAGAGGAGATACGCTAGACATGTCAAGTTTACGTCATCGGATAAGTCGGATGGTCCAATCTTCAAACACCTTTATTACGACTACGGTAAGTCAACGTTCGACCACCGTCACAGGGATCTATTCGCTCATCTTTCTTCTAGTCGGTCCCAGTTGATAACCACGCACTTGTACAATATGAATATGAATTATCGCGTTCAATTGGGCCACAGCACAATCGGGTAGTATGACCGAGCTCATGACCGATTACCAGGCCCTCAGGTTACGTGGCTGACTCTCAATAGGTTCGGCGGTCAAGTGTGGCCAGATCTACTTCCCCGAAGTAAGTAACAGTATTCGAACTCACGTTATTCTTGAAGCGGTGCCATTCGGTCAAGGGCCGGGGATATCGTTCTGATGTGGTTTTCATGTGCTTCCTACTGATCGTATAAGAAGCTCCATCGTGCCCTCTTTTCTTATTCTTTCATTCATCCACGATCTCTTCTCACCATGGCTTGTCCTGACACCGTTACGACTAAGAATTTTTCAGGAAAATTCAGATTTGTGGGTCACTACTTTGATCTATGACTATCTCATAATGCTTACAATTCATGGCAGAACAAAGTGCTGAGCGACAACATTGATGAGACCTTGAAACTCCAGGGTGTTGGTTACATAAAGCGTACCGCTATTGCCAACTTCACACTCACCCTTGAACCCTCCCAATTCACGGACGATGACGGCCTAGAGCATGTCAATGTTAAACAGACCCTGTCAGGTGGCTTCAAGGCTCCTTCAGACAGTCTACTTTTGAATGGCGAGGAGTCTTCCAAGAACGATGACCTCTTCGGACATGTGATCGCCAAAAGTGTTCGAGCCAAGGTTGACGATCTTGATATTGATTTCCTGAAGGAAGGTTGGACGGATGATACTGTCGAGGATGGCCTCATCTCCGGTGTCATCAAAAGTGACACCCCGAAGAGCGGGAAGGATTGGGTTATATACGTGGTACGTTTCATAGTTTGGTCTAGCAGTCATGTGATCTTAATTGTCTTCCCCAGGTTTGGGGCTTCACCATCCTTGACGGTGTAAGGAGATTTGCTCGACGTTACAAATTCACCTCGAAGGAAAGATCTGAACCGATCTACGTCAAGCTGTACTACGACTATTGTAGGCCCCTTTCATCCTCTTACTTTCTAGTGCTGACTGAGCTTGCCCTCAGCGGAATGAGCCTTCACGATAGCAAATCAAATTGTGCCTGTGACAATGTGTATAATAAATAAATGAATGAATGAGCTGTATGCAATTGATGGGTTTATCCTTGCGTCGGGTTTGAGGAGATAATTAGGACGAGCGCGCTAAGTTGTCTGCGCTTTGGCGATGCGTCGATGAACCGTTGAATTAGCAAGGTCGACGAAGCTTATGTATTCGTCTTGGGAAAGCGGCGTACTCAGACTCACGCGTTAGGGGTCACGTGGTAACTATAAGTAGGCAACCGTAACATGGACCAGGGTCCAGGTTGTCCAGCCCAATCAAACAAATTCAACCGCCAACCCTTCTCTATAACGTCCTCCACTATCTGTTGCTCGTAGTCCCAGTCAATTTCAACACTCAGCTCACACACCCGATCACGATGGATGAAGAATACGATGTAATTAATCGCCCCTGATTCCATCTCTTCCATCTGTGCTGACACCTTATCATCACTGGCGTTTGGTTTTGGTTGGTACGATCTAGGTCATTGTCCTTGGAACTGGCCTCACGGAGTGTATCCTCTCGGGTTTGTTGTCCGTGGAGGGGAAGAAAGTCCTCCATATGGACAGAAACGATTATTATGGTGGAGAGTCGGCCAGTTTGAATCTAACGCAGGTAGGTGCCTACTTGCAGCAGAATAAAGAACTCGACACGCTAACGAATACACGCAATTTCAGTTCTTCCGTAAATTTCGCCCAAACCAATCTCCGCCCACCGAGTTGGGTCGTGACCGCGACTATGCAGTTGATCTTATCCCCAAGTTCATCATCGCCTCGGGTGAACTCGTAAAAATACTCGTTCACACTGATGTCTTGCGATACCTCGAGTTCAAGCAGATCGCGGGCTCATTTGTGTATAAGAATGGTAAGATCAGCAAGGTCCCGAGTACGGAAGTGGAGGCAGCGAGGAGCCCGTTGATGGGTTTGTTTGAGAAGTATAGAGCGAAGAAGTTCTTTGAATTCCTGCAGGGGTGGAAGGAGGAAGATCCGGCAACTCACCAAGGTGAGAACCTGCATGATCATGAGTTGGCGCAAAGACTTCGATCATTCTAATGCGGGGAACCAGGATTGAATCTCGACAAGGATAGTATGAGGAAAGTATACCAGCATTTCGGATTAGAGCCAGGCACGCAAGACTTCATCGGACATGCCATGGCACTCTATCTCGACGATGAGTGAGTGCGATCTCTCCACACTTCGCCAAGCCCACTAATACTCCACCATAGTTACATTAACAAACCTGCTCGGGAGACTTACGAGCGCATCGTCTTGTACACCACTTCTATGGCGCGATGGGGCAAATCCCCCTACATCTACCCTCTATATGGGCTTGGCGAGCTTCCCCAATCCTTCGCTCGTTTGAGTGCAATCTATGGCGGGACTTACATGCTCGATAAAAAGATTGATGAAATTGTACTCGACAAGGATGGATCATTTGAGGGTGTCCGCAGTGGAACGGAGACCGTACGCGCCAAGATGGTTATTGGTGACCCGAGCTATTTTGGGGCAGGAAAGGAGGCAGAGGGGGGCAAGCTAAGGGTGGTCGAAGATGGAAAGGTGGTTAGGGCGATCTGTATCTTGAAGCACCCGATTCCTGGTACGGAGGAGAGCGATAGTGTGCAGATCATTATTCCGCAAAACCAGGTAAACAGGAGGAATGGTGAGCGTCTGTTTTGTGATATTCTCGTGTGTGTCATGCTCATGGTGTGGTGTAGATATCTACATCGCGATGGTGTCTTCGACACACAAGGTATGCGCAGAGAACATCTACGTTGCAATTGTCAGCACCATCGTCGAGACTTCCGTTCCTGAGAACGAAATCCAACCTGGTCTCCACCTCTTGGGCAGCATCTACGACAAGTGCGCACACTCCTTTACCTGTCTTTACTCTCATTCCAACTAATCCAACAGATTCGTGACTGTCTCCCCCATTTACACTCCCGTCGCCGACGGGAAGCAAGATAATATCTACATCACACGTTCGTACGATGCGACGTCGCACTTCGAGACTGTCGTCGAAGACGTGCAAGACGTATTCAAGCGTGTGATGGGCAAGGACCTCGAGCTCAAGAAACGCGAAGTTGATATTGAGCAATGAAGGTAGATATCGGCAATGAGATCTCAACTCCATGGCCACCCGCCATAGTCATACCTTATACAATGTACATCCGGCGGATCAGGCAACAAAACCTTTCGTGCTACATAGTTTGTACTCTTTAGTTCTTCTGCTCATCAAACCCCCACACACTCGATCACGGGTCTTCTTTCACTACATGTTTGCGAATAATGGAATTATGATTGCTTTGGATGGATGTACATCAGTCACACTCGATCCCGGACCTCAAGATTAAGTATCGGCCAACGTTACCCACTCAGATCCAAGGTCTTAAAAGCACAGTAAGTTCTCTTTTCTGATTCCAAAAGCCCATAACCCCATGGAAAATGATAGAAATACACTAGGGATCAAAAAATGAATCCATGCTAAACTCGGGCACTTGGACATCCTGCTTGGCGGATTTAATCAGGCTGCCGAGGCCCGCCTTGCGTGCTAGGAGGTCACTCTCCTCTTTTATGGTCTCCTGCGTGGGTACCTTGACGAGCGAACGTTCGGGAGAGGCTTTGCGTGTTGGAGGCGCAGTTGCAATGTCCATGTCAATCATAATCGACGAGCGTCTACGTAGGTTGTGATCCAGTGCAAGGGATCTCCGCAATGTAGCATATGGAGTTGGTGGGGGTTCTATTGGGGCAACGACAGATATCGACGGGCGCTCAAAGGACCATGAACGCACGAGATCCAGCGCTAGTGCATGACAACCTGCAGAGAAGTCCGTCAGCCAAATCCTAGTTTAACATGTGATTGCACTCACCCATCCTGCAGAACACCCGGGCGATCTGGAGCACGAAGTTGAACTCAGAGCGCCCTGATATCTCGCTTGTGCCCTTGGCTGTCTGGAGCGTCTTGGAGCGGAGCTGGGAGAATAATAGGGCAAGACTAGGATCATCGTAGTGGGGTTCGCCGATTTCTGCGACTTGTATATCTAAAGCATCGGCGATATCTCGCAGGGGTGTCTAACCAAATGCATGAGCTCTCAAGGGTTATAGGGACGAGCGACTTCAATTACCACCAATATCCTAACAGCGAGGTCCCTTCGGTTGAGCATCCAGAAGGCCCAGCTTCCAAGCCATCGGTTGCCTTCACGAAAGGCGGTAGGGATCACCGTATTGTGTAGTATATCCCGCAGCACAGGACCATCCGAGCCTCCTTCCACAACACGAGCAAGAGCGATCGCGAGCTGAAAATCCGAAAGATGCCTAATGCAAACATGAACGGCGTCTTTGAGACTCCCTCCCAAGAGGAAGAACGCAGCAGCGTACTCTAAAGCGATCGTGCAGTGACAAAATCCACAAGAGGGTATGGAAACTCACCAAATCTCTGCTTACTGAGCAGAGCATACGCATTCTTCAGTGCCGCAGTCTTCCGTTTGGGCTGCGTGAAGTCGTTCGCAAGGAACTTGAGCATAATGGCTTGTTCCTTGTGCCAAGCAGCTTGCTTCCACAGGCCATGCACCAGCTTCACCTTTCCCAGTGCGAAATAGAAGAGTGAGCATGCTGTAGGGTCACGATTGTCGCCAGCCATGTATTCATTCCGTGCAATGACTTCCATGTGAGCCCTCTACATAACCCCCGAAACTCAGCATGGCTGAACACCCAGCATGAAAGCAGACGCACCAAGGATTCAACCGAATTCAGCCATATGAATACTCCGAGGGCTCGGGCATCGGGCCAGAGCATCCTTCCATTGCACGCTGCAGTCGATGTGCTTAGCAGAAGTCCTTGGCTTTCACTGTGGAAGGCCCAGACCATATCACGATATCGCAGGCGTTCCCTCCAGCCGGTTGATCGCGGTATTGCGCCGTTTGAGCGTGGACTGCTGGGATCAGATGTGACTCGGCGGTTCAAGATATAGAACGACCGCATAGAGATCACATAGCGAAGGCCGTTAGCGTCCAGTGCCCGTCTCTGTTCTTCGATCTACACACAAGGTAAGTCGGTATTGGCTATCCGTATATTCGCACACTGACCTCGAGGGTCGTCTGAATGAGAACCAGGAGATGAGCGTGCTCATTGGGAGTCAAATGAGGGAGAGGTCGCGCTTCAAGTTGCTCTATGAGTGTCTCCACCATATGGCGGGAGAAGACGATTTCATCTTGTCTTCAGAATGTGAGCGATTTCCATAGGCTGTTATAGGAGAACACTCTCACAATAAGTTCTCCTGTGGTGCGCTGAACAAGAGGTTATACCGTTTTGAAGGTTTCTTGTTCTGCAAAAAAATTAGGAGTGATAAAAGAGTCTTGAAACAACCTACAGATATCATATGCTGACCACGCAGGTAATGTTCCACAGGAAAGGCATTCCAGTGAAAATCCTGCGTAGGATCTTCGTGTACAGCATCAACGACCCGAGATAGAGCGACGATAATCTGTTTCACCAACTCTACCTTACCTACAAAAGAATTAGATCGATGTACCCGCTTCATCCCAAATGCTTACCCCAAAGCAAACACTGCAGAAGCATTTGTGGATGGTAATCCTCCAGGGGTCCATTTTGTCGAGCAATGTACTGAAACAGGGGTTCCTGGTCCTTTTGAAGTGCTGTTTGACCAAAGAGAAACAACTGATGTCCCGCTGCGATCAAGAAGGACCCATGTGCGAGCCATATTGAATCGCGGATTGGATATGAGATGTAACTGGCGAGAATTCAGTCGACTCTCAACGCCCGGACACCAAACGTACTTTCTGATATCCACTTTCCAGCAGATAGCCCACGCAGGGTCATCATTGAAGTAGGTTTTCCTTTGCTGGCACAACAGCTCAATATGATGTGTGAATCCGACAGCCAGGATTGACTGGTTATCAGGCGTGGATGTCCAATCAAAGTCATTGATAGGTTCAGAAGTACTATCAAAGGATGAGGCAGTGCTGACAATCAAACTGGCTCACCCACCTGAATATTCTACGGTGCTCGAGACCTGAGGCGAATTCAGATTCTTTTGAGTCCCAGATTGTAAGCTCTTGGCCATCCGGTAGTCGTACAACTAAAAACGGCATAAATGTCAGCTATCACAACTCCGTACAAAGAAGAATAAGATGTTTACCTAGTACAGACTTTTTCGCAGAACTGCACCTCGCTAGGGCAAAATTCTTCCGTCCTGTCTTGACCTTGCCTGTGCATCTCCACCCAGAGGATGTTCCTTCCTCTGCTATCCAGAACGACAGTTCGCCATCGTCAGAGATACTGAGTAATGTGTCATGCTCCTCCAAAGAGCTCTCCCTACTCCACGACATTGGATCGACGGGGAGTATTAGTTTTGGCGGCTGGGCCAGTGGTAAATTGTTCTGGGAATGCAGACGTAGGGTTGGATTAGGGTTGTTGTCAATATGTATGTATACGATAGAACTGTCTGAGGTCAGGCCAACAATGCACTCATGCGCTGTCTTTGAGGGTGCCGAAAATAAGTCGATGATGGAAGGGAGTGTAAGCGTCGAAATGGGATCCGAGTGTAGAGTCAAAACCGAGGTTTCGGACGAGTACGTCGCTACCAGCTCACCTGAGCAGTAAATCAGGCTACATGTCGTACAAAACGAGATCATCTTACCGCCATCCAGAACCACGACATGGTCCGCGTCAGACCACCGTCTTCCACGGGCGAGCTGAGACCCCCCTTCAACGACCCGCCAGACTTCCCCTCCATCAGCGCGTACTACTGCAACGCCTCTTCCAGCAGGCGTCCTGACTAGTTTTCGTATCTTGCTCTCCTCATGGGGCAACCTATCAAGTCCCTTGGCATTGAGGTGTAGTCCTGCGGATTGGCCATCAAAGAAGGCTAAAGGTGACACCTTGAATGTAGTCAGGGGAGTGGATGTTACCATGGTTAAGCAGGTGACATCAGGATGTGGGAAAAGGTACAAGTAAGAGGGAAGCTGAGAGAGGACATTCGAGCTCGTATGTGAAAGGGCGAATTGACGTATGAGCGTTGGTGGTCTCCGGTCAATGTTCTGTGACCCAGTTGAATTTGCATCAAACAAATAGATAACTTAGCACCTACCGCGACGGCACTGACAAGCATAGAGCCATCCCCAAGAGCGCGAACAAAGAGATCCCAACCTTCATCATCAATTTCTCGCAATCTCTTGACTTGAGGGCTCGCGTCTTCAGTGGTCAACGCTAGGACAGCTTTGATCGTGCGTCGCACGACTTCTTTGTCCAACCACACGACCGTAGACTTCCTCGGATGTGATCCAAGTTTTGCAGCAACGAGGAATGGAAGCGAAGAGAAAAGGTCGAGGGATGCATGTAATTGCAGACGATGCGGTGCGTCAATCACAGGGAGGAATATGCGCAACGTGGAGTCAGATGTGATGGTGTAGAGTGCGGGATCATCGCTACACCCAATGTGTGAGCCTCGTGTCAAAAGTAGTATGTGAAATGCCCAACCTTCGTGATGCCTGAGAAAACCTCCACATCAGGTCTGTAACGGGCCTGGGGTGAGGAATGCCTTGCACCAGGCGGCCGGAAGTAGTTGAATATAATCTAACCAAATTATCGTGCTGTAAATCATAATTTACCAGGCAATAGGGGCGGGGAGTGAGGTCCCGTACATGAGATGTAGTGGCAATAAATGCAAGAGTTGGAGCAAATTTTGCAAGAGACGGGGTTGCTACCCTGACGAGCAAGGTGAGATTGTTATTGAGGCGAAGGAACATGCGCCGCTGTACCTTGCTTCCCACTTCTTTGACCATGTGAGTAGGTCATTTTCCAGGATCAGCGTGTACACGGATAGGCCGTTCTTACTGCCAACTGAGAGAAGCCCTGAATGGAAATCAACAGTTGGTGCATAAAGAGTGCACGAGACTAATACCAGATCTGCAGTCCAGAGCTGTGACTACGTCACCGTCTTGGAGGGAAATGGAAGAGTGAATTCTCCAGGCATCGTTCTGAATACCCGACAATGACCATGCGGCGATGTGCGTGTCCATGGAAGCAACTATCTACTTCGTGTATGAAATTAGGCGTGACATGATTAGGAGGGGGAGTAAAGGAGGAGATAAACGTACAACTTTCATGGCGGAGTCAACAGCCACGCCAGAGATAGTTTGATTGAGATGTTGGGTGCTAGGATAGATTTCCCCGAACGCGAGCACGCGCACGAGGTTAAGAGTATTGGCATCTAGGATTACAATGGAGTCTGCGGAGGGGTACAGCTGGTCGAAGAAGATCGTAATCAGTATGAAATTGAGCGGACGAAATGCGCACTATGAGGGTGACATGAGGCAGAACAAGCCGGTGAAGTGCACCAACTGGACAGCCAGTGAATGTGTTCAGGAGATCCAACATCTGTGCAGCGGATGTGAGTTCAGATTGTGTAATTCACGCGGTCCATGCCAGGACGCGGCAGGGAGAAGCTTGCTGCCTGACGGTGTAAACTTACTGCTGCTTGAAGATGAAGGAGGGCAGGCAACTTGTAGTACTAATTATGCTTCCAGAAACTTGAAACTTTAAAGCGTCTATGACTATTTCTGGCCAGATCGGGTAGGGTCCCTCCTTCGTCGTAAAGTTCGCAGACTGCGCATAGTGCGCGGCTTTACCTGCGCACTCGTTAACGTTCCCCTCTCGCCAGCCTCTCAGCGCTAGCCAACTCAAGAATGCGCCTCTGGGGCTGCATACCACTCACTCTCCTGGCTCTCGTAGCTCTATCGACGACTACCCAAGTCCCATGGAATTCAGATGCAACCACCCAGTCCACTACATTAGTCGACGTTCTCAATGCTGATGAGGACTATACGTCACTCCTTATTCTCCTGCAGAAAGCTAAACTCATCCCAACGTTGAACAAGTTGAATGGCAGCACCCTTTTCGCGCCAACTAACGACGCAATCAAACGTCATGATTCTTGGCAGTCGGTCCTCGGGAATCCTGACTCGCTCAAAGACAATGTGCAAGAGGAGCTACGTCAAGAGCTGTTCTACCACCTCCTCAACTACTCCGTAGCTCAAGAACCAAACGACTTGACCACACACGTTCACGACACACTCCACTTCCCCAAACTCTCCCTGGATCCTCCTACTAATGAACCTCCGCCTTTTCCCCCGTGGATGCCACTGCCCGTGAGCACTTTAGGCAACGAACCTCAGAAGTTACGCCTCACTTCACGAGATGGCGTAGCCTGGGTCGGTGTCGACGCTTTTGGCAAAGGCGGTATTGAAATAAAGAAGAGTAGTGAAGCGAAGAACGGTGTCGTGTACGGGATTCCTAGTGTTCTTGAGGTTCCACCCCACCTTGGTTAGTTTCTTCTCCTTGTAACCCGCATTATAATGCCGTCTCACCTACACGCATAGGTCACGTCCTGGCCCGTGAACCGTCGTTGTCATATTTCCAGAAGATCCTCACACCTAGCATACTCAATGCCATCAACTCTACCTCTGAGCTTACGTTGTTCATGCCCGTGGATTCTGCATGGCAGGCACTCGATTCAATTGAACGGCTATACCTCGAAAGTCAATTTGCGGCAGATGATCTCCTGCGTATACTCAACATGCATGCTGTTGTCGAGAAGAGCGTCAGATGGTTTAGCACTTTCAACTCTACCGCCAACCGTAAGCAGCCATGCGTACACGTGATGATTGCGTTGACATTGGGAGTGCAGTGACTACTGAATATGGATCTAAGTTGGAAGTCGTCGTCTCCGAAGGGAAGACCACCGTGTCAGGCGCTACCCTTTCGCAGCCCGATATCTACGCAAGTAATGGAGTTTTACACCTCGTGTCTTCTCTACTGGTTCCACTAGGCGCCCTTCAGCTAACCCCTGAGAAATATCTTCTTGCGCTCAACTGCACTTCGTTCATCTCTCTTATACACTCAGTCAATCTTACCCATCTCATCAATGATACCGAGACTCATTACACCATCCTAGCACCGAAGGACGACGTTTTATCCGTTTTCGAGCATGACGGGTTACCCAAACAGGGTAGCAATGAGCTGAAGAGGATGTTGCAATATCATTTTCTCCCTGGCAAATGGACGCCCAAGAAGTTGACGGATGGCATGCTACTAGAAAGCGTACTTCGGGAGCCGGGGCTTGACGACGGGAGACAGGTCATGCAAGTAGATGTCAACGGCGGTGAGAAGGAGGATGCTCCATCCAGACATATAAGTTTTGGTGGAGCTGGCATTATTGGGGATCACAGTGAGTGGTTTCCAGACGATGCAGCTTGCTGGCGCTGAATTACAGTCAGTGGTTATCAACAACACTGTTGTCTACTTTATCTCGCGACCTCTGGAACCACCCGTGGACCCACTTCAAACAGCTCTACCCTCTCTTGAGTTGTCTTCGTTCCTTGCTGCAGTCTTCTCCACGTCCATCGCAGAAGTCATCAAGAAGACACCCCGTGCAACATTCCTCATCCCTCACAATGATGCTTTCAAGCGGCTCGGTAAGCTGGTCAGCGACCACCTGCTAGCCGCTTCATCCAAGACGGATCTAGAGCACCTCATAATGCACCATATCATAGACGGTATCGAATACACCCAGAGCCTCGTTAACGGCTCTTCGCACACATTTGCCACGCTTGAAGGATCCGATTTACAACTGGAGCGCCTAGCAAATAGATCCGTTGTCGTTAGCGCCAGCGGTGGCTGGGCTGGCATGAAGAGCGCGTTATATCCGAAAAACTTGCTTACCGAAACTGGCGTGATACACGAGCTTTCAGACCTTATGGTTCCGCGATCTGTGGAGTTGAATGTAGGAAAGCTTATGAAAGCGGCCAAGGCCACTACTATGATCAATATGGTCACGAAGGCTGGATTCGACTGGATCCTGAATGGCACCGCTCCTCCTGAAGGTTCAGAGTGGGCGGACCTGGGTCTAAGTGGGGCAAGTTGGACCGTACTTTGCCCAACGGATGATGCATTCAAGAATTACAACCTTACGCAGCTCCTCGAGAATATCGAAGTTCTTCGTGCGATCATCAGCCAACACCTCATTCCCACTCAACCATCCGCAGGAGACTCTGACTCATTTGACGTCTTCGACGTCCTGAACAACAACCGCCCCCTTCCGCTAGAAAATTTGGGTGACTATCCCACTCTCCTCTCGCCTCATTCGGCGTATGGTGATATTGTTTTCCGCGCGTTGGACGACAAGGCATCCCAATACATGGTCGGGATAAAGAACGCAAGGGGGACAAACAAACAAGCTGACTGGGCACGAGTCCTAACGTGGGGTCGCGCAACTACAGGTGGAGGTACGGGCGGCGTTATCACTATCGACCGCATGCTTGCCCCGTATCATCCGCCATGGTGGATTGAATATTTCGCGCCATCCTTCGTGGGGGCGCTTGGTGTTGGGTTGATATTCTTGTTCTTCTATGCTGTCCGGACAGTCTGGAAGTGGGATGTGACGGAAGCTACATATGAGCCGGCTGGTGGGTTCGGAGAGAGCGATGAGGATTCATTAATAGTTGATACTGTATCTAATTTGTAGGTTCTATGTGATGTTACCTATGCTACAAACCAGGATTTTCTAGAGTGCAACTCGAGACAAGCCATGTATGATGTATTGAGTTTCTCTGTACAACTTCTAGGTGTTACGGAGTTTGATCGGGGAAACCGGTTGCAAATCCTAAACTAGAGACGCGCGTGAATATCATATGAAAGCGGATCTGAAGGGTCCTTGTCGGAGCACCGCAGTGTATCTTACACCTACTGTCCTCTCTTTCTTTCTCATACCAATACTTCGCACCGCCCACCATGGTCAGAACCATTCCTCAATTGGTGCACCGCACGCTAACGCAATTTCTCAGAGCAGCGAAGCACCAGCAGCCGAGGAAACCAAGAACTCAGCAATTGACAACGTAAAATCGTTCATTGCAGGAGGTTTTGGAGGAGTTTCCGCTGTCCTTGTGGGTGAGATGGCTTGCCTTGCGCATCCTGACTTACCTTCATTCGTTTTTAGGGCATCCTTTTGACCTGACCAAGACGCGGTTACAGACTGCAGCTCCTGGCGCATACACCGGTGCAGTTGACGTTGTCAGAAAAACGTTGGCTCGAGATGGTGTTACTGGGTGGGTGGCTGCGTCTGTGCTAAGAACTACTCTCAATCGTCAATCATCAGCTTGTACCGTGGAATGGTACCTCCGCTCCTGGGAGTCACTCCGATATTTGCAGTGTCCTTCTGGGTAACTATATGGTGCCTATATCCAAATTACTTGTCTTGCTGAGACGGCTACCTTCAGGCGTACGATGCCTCCAAGAATTTGATACTCACACTCACACCCAATCGTACATCCGAGAAATTGTCTACAGCAGAACTTGCCGCTGCTGGTTTCATGTCTGCCGTGCCAACGACACTCATAACTGCACCTGTTGAGCGAGCGAAGGTTCTGCTGCAGGTGCAAGGTCAAGGAGGTTCAGGGCCTCAATACAAAGGTGTCTTCGATGTTATGAAGCACCTTTACAGAGAAGGAGGCATACGGAGTATCTTCCGAGGCACCGGTGCAACTATCGCTCGTGATGGACCAGGTAGTGCCGTGTAAGTTTACATTATAAAAAATTCGGCATGGACTGAACTGACGCTCCTCAGCTACTTTGCGGCGTATGAAGTCACCAAGAAGGCCCTGATGCCGGCTGGGTCGTCAGCAGGAGACCTCAACCTCGGCGCCATCATGTTCGCAGGCGGAACTGCAGGTGTCGCAATGTGGTCAATAGCTATACCCCCAGATGTAAGGCCTCACGAGCCGTATACTCTCCAACGTTGTATTCACTTCGCTTCGACAGGTTTTGAAATCCCGCATACAATCTGCACCTTCTGGCACATATTCTGGACTTTTCGATTGCTTTAGAAAAACTGTAGCGCGTGATGGGGTCACTGCATTGTGGAAAGGTCTTGGTCCTGCGATGGCTAGAGTATGTCGGTTTCATGACTATGCCGAACATTGCTTACTACATTTCTGTTTCAGGCATTCCCAGCTAATGCTGCTACATTCGTAAGTTTGTTCCTCAATCTCATTGTCACTGTACTCTAATTAATCTCGGTTAATCCCAGCTTGGTGTAGAAGCCTCGCGCAAGTTGATGGATGGATTCTTCTAAATGGTCCACAATTTTATAGAACATATATGACAGATGGAATGTTACAAGACAATAATAGCACCTGTGGATTCCGACAACCATGTGAATCAGGGCTAGGAGTCCTGTGAGATTGCCAGTGACATCTTGAGACCTCATAAGCGCAGTAGCATCGCTCCTGGTCTCATCACACTTGTTTCTGCCCATCATGGCTGCGCCTCCCGAAGTAACGAGCAAGAATTTCACCGGAAAATATATCATGGTTCGTGTGCTCAGGCTATGTGAGTCCCAGGGACAATTCTGATTATATCCCGGCAGAACAAGACATTGAGTGATGACAGTGACGATATCCTTAAGCTCCAGGGTGTATCATGGTTCAAGCGGCGCGCCATCTCGATGTTTACATTGACGCTTGCCGTAAAGCACTATGCAGACGAGGCCGGAACTGAGCACATAGACATCCAACAGACTCTATCTGGGGGTATCCCGGGGACGGATGAAGACCGCACTCTTGATTGGGAGGAACGCGGTGAGAGCGACGATGTTTTCGGTGCTGTGATCGGCAAATCAAAGAGAGTCAAGCTTGAGGAAGTGGAGGATGAATTCTTGAAGTCTGGCTGGACGGAAGATGCAATTGAAGACGGGTTAGTTCTCGCGGAAGACTGGAGCGATACTCCAAAAAGTGGCATGGATTGGAGGGCAGAAATGGTACGACTTTATCGATTTGTTTTGCTCGTCCCTCATATTCATCAGACATGGGGTTTTGAAATATTGAATGGCGAGAGGAGACACGCCAGACGTGTCAAGTTCACATCATCGAATAAGAAGGATGGTCCGATCTTCAAACACCTTTATTACGACTACAGTAGGTCGCCTCCGTCGCGTCACAGTGACCTATTCGCTCATCTTTTTCCCAGTCGGACCCAGCTGATACCACGGACCTTTCAAAGATGATTGTACGATATAAACGTGTACTGCGGCGAGCTTGAAATAGTCTGTATTGATTTGCCACAAAGGCCACCACTGAGAACCGAGCCTCGGATATGACCGAGCCCCATGACCCCCGCTTGCCGCTTTGACGTCGCGGACATGTCCGATTAGACTCAGGAACCGGCGCCTGTGTAATATCAACCATTGTAGTTAATATGAGCTTTAGACATGTCCGACTCAAAGAAAAAATACAAGTCGTCCAGTCAACCACGAGCTGTATCCGCTTCTGAGTAGGTCCAACCTGTTCTGTAACCACTCAACCTAATTGCCACTCAGAATCGCTCGTAATTTGAGCAATTTTGAGACATGGTCAACACATCAATGTTGCGAACAAGTTTCTCTCTCTGACCTTCCTTCCGAATTTCAAGACGACGTGGACAATCTCTTTGGTATCACGAAGCGAATTCCTCGCTCTTGGTTAGACAGGGTAAGTGCCGCGTATATCAACTGTCCAAGTCTCTCCATCACGGTATTCACGCGCAACCCTTGCAGTCTTTTGACTGTAGCCCAGGTTTTGCTAAGTTTATAACAGATGCTTCACAGACGTCACCAGAACTCTTCTCCGACGATGTTGCCCACGTAAGCAACGAACTATTTGAAGATGTATGTGTCGTTTTCAGCGCATGGAAGTGTTTGGCAAAAATGAGGAACTCCAAAGAGAAATGGTCTGAAGCCGACTTCGTGGCTAATGTGTGAGCCATCGGTTGAACATTGAATACAAGACTCTGACGTATTACAGGTACAATGTATTTCGAACTTCTGCAATCAGAGAAAGCACCTTCCGGTTTGTCCTATTTCTTCTACGTGCGTGGTCGAGCGCTTTACGAACGACATCAGGGTACAATGCGCGATTTCGCTCCCGCAACCGCAAGACACATTTCAAAACGCCCTTGATGTGCCTCGCGTGTTGAACACGAAAACCGTCATCCCTGATTGCGCAATCTTCATTCCCGCCTCACGGACTCGACCATTGTCGCATTCTGCCAAATCACCATATAAACTCCTTAAGAACCACCCCGCTGTAGTAAGAGCCGGGAATGCGGCTAAAAGGTCTTCTTTTAGGTACCAGAGTACCCCCTGCGCTCAGCTTCCCGATATGCCTGGCTTCGAGTTCGCAAGTAGTTTTTGGGAGGACAAGAAGCCGGTCCACGCTCTTCTTGATGACGCATATCGCCAGAACCGCATGTCAACGACTGCTGCTGTCCGGCATTTAAACTCCCTTGGTATCCATGCCCCTGTCACGGGACTTATTTGGGCGGATGGCGTTGTCCGCGCGCATGTTGATTGGTGTGAAGAATCAGAGGGCAAGACAGTATGTCGACTGTCATTCTAATCTGTATTATCTTATTGAAGTTATGACATTGCAGGTTGTGATGTCTGCCCCGTATTGTGATCCCCGTGATCGATCATCAAACGACGTGTTTCACGAGTGGAAACTTGATCGTCCGAGCGACATGCTACAGGTTTACTTCCTTGTTCGGAATATCGACCAGTGGACCACAGACAAATTCTCAAAATACATTGTCCAGGGTGTCAATCAAATGGTGGACAAGCTGTCCTCCAGCGAAAGAACATATAAACCCTGGAAAAGGGTCGGGGACCTGGCACCCCCTTTGAAGAATAACGCACTGAAAGAGAATCACAATATTTCCGTTACTACGGTTGTGACTTCGGATGCGTCTCCCTCTCCTCCTAAGCCCAAGAGCAGGCGACGGAGACGCAGGTCCAGTAATTGATACCCTCGGACTGACATGGATAATTTGTAATTTTGCTTGTGCTACATTGCAGTGTTGTACTATGGGGTACATACAGTTCTAAACATCTATTTCCAGGCAGATGGAATTTTGGTGACAACGTCTGCCCATCGTGACAAGCGACCCTCCTCCCATTCCGCTATATAAGAAATACCAGCATTTGCACGGCGCCCTTCCTCCACTCTCAGGCGTTTCTCAGCATCACACCAGAAGAAGACCCACGAGCCCATCCGCATGTGACCGGAGCTACGCTCGAAGTACCACTTGTTTATAGGGTTGTCATCACGACTCCGCCAAACAAGGTCTCGGCCTTCACCTTTGCCCTCCTTGCCCCCGTTGGGGTTAATGGAGAACGGGTGGCCAAGACCATAAGATTCATCGTGGAGGGCAACCCATAGGAAGTCAACGGTGCCGTCACCCTGGTGACTGGGTAATACAGCAAACTTGTCGAGATATGAGATGGGTTCAGAGGAATTGGGCGAGGGCTCGTTGGTGACAATGGCGGCGCCGACATAATCTCCTGCGACCACGACAAAGTCGAGGGTCTGTTCCAGGCGCTTGTAGAAAGCGTCAGCATTGAGGGTGCGCTTGAAGGAGGTCTCCAAGAGATAGTCCATCTTGGTTTTGTCAACGTCTGCAAGGCTGCGAATGACTTGGATGGGAAGGCCGCGGCGCAGAAGAGTGGGCGTATCCCGCGTGAGCTTTCGGTTGCCTTGGAGAAGTGCGTGAGGCAGACTCGAGCTAACGGCAGGCTTGTTCGTGATGAGGTTGGCGATGAGGGAACTCGACGACCGGTGAGATACCATGACGGCAGATGATGTAGGTGGCATGTACGCCAAGCAGGTACGCGCGAGGGACAAATTTGAAAGCGAAGAGGGCTTGCCCTTGTACCAGGATGGGTCGTAGGTATCGCGTATATAGTCATACTCGGAGGTGAGGTTGATGAGGAGATGAGGGAAGCCTTCCCTGGCATAGGAAGGGACGCCTCCTTCCCGACTGATGATCATCAGTCGTAGAGGAACGAGGTTAATGTCTTGTGAGTAATCTACATGAGGATCACGAGGACTTGAGTTGACACCATTGTCATCAAGTGCAGCAGCTTCGACCATGCCACGAGCAAGAGCACCGATAACGTCATTAGCATCTATCCGCACTGATCTGCAGAAGGAATCCAGGGCAAATGGTGGAAGAACTGGGATCTCCCCGGCGCGAAGAGCAGAACGGATAGTGACAAGGTCGGAGGGAAAGACATGTGCTTCAGGGGGGATAAAACCGGGAGGTTCGCGAAGCTGGTCGTCATCTGGTTTAGGACCTAGTCGGACAACGGTGCCGAGGACTGGACGCGCCTCGGCACCTTGTGCCTCTAATGCGGAGACAACTCGCATAATCTCTTCGATGACAGCGGAGCGCTCGCCATCATCGCCCCTAACCTGATCATTTTCGACGACGATGACGCTGACAAGCCCAAGCTTCTCGAGGTAGACCATGCCCCGGGCGATGCTGTCGAGCTGCTTATCTGTGAACGGACCTTGAAGTTTTACGAGAGCAGTGCGACGGTAGACAGGATTCAAGATGGAAGACAAGATGGGGCTCGGGCTAGGCTTAACCTGTTCGGGTTGTTGTTTATTGACAGATATATCTGGGGCTTCTTTCGGGAACGATGGCATCGAATCATTGAGAGGAGTGGATGGGAAACCGGAACCGGTACGTTCCGGGACTTGTGGACGAACGCCAAAATTTGCGAGGTAAGATTTAGTGTCGCGCAGGGATGGATTTGCCTTCAGGAGGGAGAGAATAAAGTCCTACTAGAGTGTTAGCACGTCATAGAAAAAGAAGTAAAGACATACATTATCTGGTGTGTCGAGATCATCGACCTCGACAGTGGGAGGAGGCTGACGAAGACTCCGAATAGTCTGCAAAGGATAGATCAAAACTCTCAACACATGCACTCTACATGTTTGGAAGACGTACAGCGTAAAAAGCCCTGAAGGTCTGGGTTCGACGCACTTTCAAGGCTGAAGCTGCGGCGGGGGACAGGATGCGAGGTCCATGGAGGACAGTATGTGAGAGCATGATGACTCAACTGGGTGGTAAATGGGGGTGTGCGATTTCTTAGGAGATGAAGCTTTTAAGCAGGAGGTAAAAGGACATCCTGTACGTATACATAAGGAAGAAAGATCAAATAAATTCTATGAAAGGAACGCGCTGGCAAGCAGCCATGTTCAGACGGAGCGCCATCGTCCACGCAGTCATAGGACAGCGTCTGGCAAAACTTTCTCGACCATATCCAGATCCTTCCAAATTAGGAAAATCAGGATTCATCCATTCGTTCGGTAGGAGGTTGCTCGAACGTTGCATCGATTACAGGATCAGTGACTGCTCATTTCTTGATCCTAAGTCCATTTATGCTACCCAATCAGCTTAAATTCTAGAGCGAAACGACCTCATCATGAGACTGTGACTAGACCCATCATGATCGAGCACCAAATTCGACCTCAAGCGCTGTACGAACGAAGACAACGGATCTACCGACTCAGCATTTAACGCACCCTGCCATAAAACATTCTACGATATCCTATGTTCACGTAGCGCCGCAGCGTCTATACAGGACGGCCAGGGAAGTAACCGAGTTAACAATAGCGCATGGCCACAGTAGCGCCCTTGGTACTAATATTACTAGGGAATGCACGCATATTACCCGTAATATGATGAATGGCACGACTTCCACTTCTGCATCAATCGCATAACTCGCTAGGCAACTTTCATACAACACCTGGTTTGCGACACGCAATATCATCGTCAATAACGTGCTCACTAGCGCAGATCCCATCTTATCATGCGGCCATCTCAGGGCTGTTATGTATCTTGTACATACAATAGTGGTCCGGCAAGCGGTAAAAGCACCGACATGGAAGCATACTCGTTGAGGCCAAAGTTGGCTAATATATTGGGTTACAAGAGGTAACTTGCTGTGTTATGCTAACTTTTCATTTTCGCACATCCACAGGTAGAAACGTCATTCTGGCATTAACGGGCTGATTCTGAACGTTTGAAGAATTCGGAACAATCCGCGTTTGGTGCGACCATAAGCCATGGCTTTTGAGAGGGCAAGTTGCTGTTTAATAGTTCCATGATTTATGTTGACTCTCAGATGGGAAGTTCCTGCGACGAGGTGGAATTGTTGCCTAGTAGTCCAATCCATGGTCCTAGAAGAAGCAGAACCATGGGTATTTTAAAAAAGCGTTGAAAATACGGAAATTAATCTCCACCTCTACATAGGGAGCCGTATTCCCGGAATCATGAATCCGATTTTCGTAAACGAACGACGCTTCGAGTGTGGAATTCTGGGAAGGTGGTGCTGGAGTAGATGCCTTCCGTGCGCGACTCGGAGGACCTCGATGTGGTGTCGCTGAGTTAACGTGCTGACTAAGCCATGCAAAAGCAAAGCTTCCCGACAAACTTGAGCAGTTGACTCTTTGCTGTACTGGGTATACAAGCAAAAGAACGTTAATGTCACCTCTTTAAACCGCATACCGTAATCTGACAAGACCTTCTTAGAGCCACCAAAGAGCAGACGAGTGATTACCTTCTTAATGTCTGCAAAGGCAATGAGCGCGGATTGATTGAAAAGCCAGTTCACAATTCACGACGAACCGAAGCTGCCGTAAATACTTGGACCGACACTCTTGGGGAAACGTTCATAGAAACCTTCGCTGTGTGCCATTTCGCCAAGTTCTTCCTCCTCTTCAGGAGTGAATTACACTCCAAAAGGATTTGAGGCGCCGCCGCCACCGGCAGTAGGTGAAGACATTTCAATGTGAACAAGGCGAAGATAGGGTTGTCGAAGTGCAGCAGGGCCAGCAGTAATTTTACATGTGTATCAGGGGGAGATTGAGGTAATACACACGTTCTTTGCCCGCGACTATCCCCGAGCCAGGTACAACCTTGCCGGTTGGGTATCGATTGGCAGAGAGGAGCATGTGCCGTAAACTTAAGTTCATCGAATAGAACCATGTCTGGTGCCTCTTGCAATTTCAGAGCCCGTTGACCAACAAATGCTGACTTCGAGTGAACGATAATGTAGATGTCCATTGGACAATCCTTCTTCTGGTTCTCCAGCTCTAATGCATCAGACTCTTGGCAGACCTCGATCCGATCCATTGTCTAGTCTTGCAAGGCCGCCGGGAGGGTATACACTTTTTCTGGACCAGCAAGCACGACATTGAAGATGAAGCTTTGTTGCTCGCGAGGAAAGGACAGATGCGGAAATAATGATTCCCGGTATAGCTGAGGGACCAGCTTCAAGTTGTTCGCCGTCCGCGTCAAGTCGCGAACACGTCGCATCTGGAGGCAAGGTTTTATGGTGATTTGGACTCTGGGGATTGATTGGAGAGCAACCTCTGCGCGCTCATCAGAGCAGGGGTGTTAAACACAGATGGTAGCTAACTACGATACAAACGATTTGTATCTTGTACTATATTACAATGGTTGATAAATGATTTGAGAGTAAGTGGTTGCGGGTGACTGCCAGTGCCGTGTAAGTTGTAGCTTCACATACTAACACGACAACCGCGCAGTCAATGTCAGCCGGACATTGACTGCGTGGTCGTCGTGTTACATCGTCAGACCGGACATAACCATGATCGTCCGCAAATTTGAGCGACCAATACATGTGGATCCTCGGGGAGATAACGACATGATCATACGGAAGGGCGTTGATTGGTCTAATGATGAAATCGTCAAACATGCTTTGTGGAGAACGGTAGGGATGTCGATGACCAAATATCTGATAACAAACTGCGGTGTCCAATCATAGCGAATCGTGCGATGAGCATAAGAAACGCCTACGTCATATCTTGCATCATATGATGAGTTGTTGCGTCATGTTAATACCTCATCGAATCTTTCACGTGTCTCCGAGTCACTAGTACTGATATGCATGATCATCGACTGTTTAAAAGAGCTCAAAGCATACAATTGTTTGTGAGATGTTGCTCTGCCCTGCGGACTCGGAGTGAGACTGCCTGGGGCAATGATCGGTGAGTACTTACCTTTGTCCATCAATATAACGCTGACTCGGATGGTTGGGCAGCGTGAAGACCGAACTTCAGATTATATCGTGTCTGAAAACTCTTCGCTGCTGTTTTTGTACGAGTCTAGCAGCCTCAATCCATTCTATAATATCCTATGTTAACGTAGCGCCGCAGCGTCTATACAGGAAGGCTAGGGAAGTAACCGAACTAAGCCCTCAATAATCCATGTTCAACTTCCAATGCGCAGATTTTACCCATATATCATAATGATGAATGGCACGACTTCCGCTTCTGCAAGAAATTCATCAACCGCATAACTCACTAGGCAGCTTTGATGCAACACCCTGATTTGCGACACGCAATATCATTATCAATGACGTGCTATTTCCACTAGCACGGATCCCATCTTATCATGCGGCCATCTCAGGTCTCAGGGCTGTTATGTATCTTGTTCATACAATTGGTGGTCCGCAGGTCCGCATGAACGGCAAGCAGTAAGGGTACCAACATGAAAGCATACTCGTTGAGACCAAAGTTGGCTAACATATTGGGTTACAAGAGGTAACTTGCTGTGTTTTTCCTCGTTATGCTAACTTTTTATTTTCGCACATCAGTGTAGAATATATATGAAACCTCATTCTGGCATTAACGGGATACTTCTGGACGTCCGAAGAACTTGTTTACAATCTCGGAACAATCCGCGCTTGGTGCGACAATAAGCTATGGCTTTTGAGAGGCAAGTTGCTGTTTTAAAGGTCCATGGTTTATGTTGACTCTCAGGTGAGAAGTTCCTGCGACGGTAGCAGTAGGTGGAAATGTTGCCTCGTAGTCCAATCCATGATCCTGGAAGAAGCAGGACCACGGGTTCGACGAAAAAGCGTTGAAGATACGGAAATTAATCTCCACCTCTACATAGGAAGCCGTTGCGATTCTCCCGGAATCATGAATCCGATTTTCATAAAGGAATGACGCTTCGAATGTGAAATTTTGGGAAGGCGCTGGAGTAGATGCATGCAACTGGCCCGCCCCCTCGCTAAGAAGGCTCCCAGGAAGCTTTGCAAAATGCGGTGATCCGTATTATACACTTGTTTCTCGATATTAACACTAGTTACGCCAACGGACCGGATTCCTTGACTGTTTGAATTTAATGTTCCTTTTAGCTTATATCACTGACATATAGGATTTGTGGTGGGCGGGCTGCCGCGCAATTGGAAATGTGGGCCCCAGGGCCTCGACGTGAAGTCTTTTTGGCAAGTGTCTTTTGAAAATCGCAACGGTTTTTTCAGATCTGAAGATCTGCACTACTCAAAAAGTGAGGATGCGAAGATGCCGTTGGCTAGACTGCAGATGGACACGCGCTGTTAGAGAAGCGTTCGATACGGTCAGCGTGTGGCATGCTTACATCCACCAAAATGAGGTTGTCTTCGCTGCACATGACAGCAGCGAAAAATGGTTCCGTAGAGGAGCGTGGAGGTAGGGTGCGTTGGATAACACGGTAGGGTAGACTTGTGTGGACTTCGTTCGCAAAGACTCTGCGGATCACCGTTGTATCGCGTACATGATCAATGATACCATCTTGAACTTTGGCATCTCGTTTCAATGCGAGCTGGTTGAAATCCCGTATTTCCAAAGTCTGCGGAGACGTCTGGGTCGCAACAAGAGACACGAATTTTGTCCCGAAGACGTAGCATACCCAGGGGGAAGAGTGTGACAGAGAGCGCATCAAGCGTGTGCCTGTGGGGCCCCACTCATCCCAGTCGATTTCATGGGAGCTGACTTCTGTAGGAAGGGCCGCGATATGAGATAGCAAAGTGCCGGCTGAAACGAACATGTCGTAATAGGCGACATGTCCATTGTACACCAAGCAAGCTGTAACGATGATGAGCCTGTCTCCAGGCGCCGTTGAGAAGGGTAACCGAGCCTCTGGATTAGGCTGCCAGACAGGCGATGGATCAGAGCGTATTGAAAACGTCACTGGGCTGGTCCAAAAATTGAATTCGGGCCACATAAACGCGCAAAAACAGTCCGCCGCAAGGCCAGACGTTTCGTTAGATGGCTGGGTCAGGTCAAACACGTATAGGCGGGCCTGTATGTTTAAAGCCTCGGGGTCGAAGATGCTGCCTACCAGCAAAAAACGGCTGCTGAGGAACGCAAATGTCGCAATTTCGGAACTGGAGCGTGTCTAAGGATGATGATCAGAGAGTGGCTCCACAGAACCTCGAATCATTACCAAAATAACTTTTCCCGTTGTCCAGTTCCATATGGTAAGTTCGGGGTCTGCATCTTCGGGGCTCATGAATAAGACACCCAGAAGATTACCACACACTTGTAATGTGTACGTTGCTCGGGCGTTCCGCACATCAAGGTCATGAACGAGAATGGCTGGTCGAGGCGCTAATCTGTGGCTGTCTCCTGTGGTGAGGGAACGTAGATGGATCCGAATGCTACGGGTAGTGGCGCTGGGGTTAAGGCTGTACATGTGTCAGGTTTGGCATAAATATGGCAGTGAAGTAACATACAGGACGGTGGGGGGCTGCTCAATGAGCACTAGAAGATCTTGCGCAGGATCCATGGTAAAGTCTCGAACATGTATGTCCAGCGCCATATTCCAAGATTTTTCTTCAATTTTTCTGTATGTTGATGGCAGTTGACGGAAGTGAAGGACATCTGGCGTGCTAGATTGCGCAAACACGTCACCGTACAACTCCCAGATGTGTCCCTGCATCATCGGTATGTCTTTTGATTCTACCCACTTCAGAGACTCCCAAGCAGCATTGCGTCCCTTGAGAAGTGCAAGCCGATCTGAGGTGGTAAGTGGGCTTGGAGGACCGTCCATCATTCCAGACACAGCAAGCTCGATGTCATATTGGGCTCTATCTCCTTCTGCTATTGAGCGGAAGAGCCTGCAAATCTGTGTGGCATGAGTGCGGTCGATTTCCAAGAAGACCCATTTAGCGCACCTCCCTACAAACCAATAGTGTTCTCCAGTCTAGCACAGAAAAGATCTTAAAAATAAGTTCCACAGGCAGTGAGGTCAGCATCGGATCTTCCAAATTGTTCAATGATCGTGAGTGATAATTTAGTTCGGCTTGGTCAACCGGAGGTGTGCCCCATACACGTGACCGACAGATCAAACCTGAAGTTAGTGGTTCTTGTTCTCTTCTCAGTCGACCGAGAGTCTCAGTCATATTTTCTCCTCAGGTCACTGTGGTAATGACCACCGCCCATAGGACAAAACTGCATACCAAGGTATGTGTTTGTATTATTACTCCAGAATCTTTTAATTTGTTCCGATCCATAAAGTTCTACCAGGAAGATATCGTACGCCGCATCGACTCCCCGAATGTATATGCATATGGGATTGTACTCGTGAGTATGTGCCCACCGGTCTCATACATTGCTCACAGAATTAACAGAGATGCTGGCATGATGCCGAGGATATTCCACCACTCCCAAGTCCATTCATGGACCCCTTAATGAGATCGGTGTCTCATCGGCCTGAAGTAGTAATGGTATATCTGGAAGTGCTATCTCCGCCATTCGTGCACACTTTCAGGGACCGATGAGCCAGCTAAGTTCCTTGAGATGTATGCACGCTTGATCCTTTTTTTCTGCGGTGTCATTGACAATTTGATGTTCATCAAAGTCACTACAAGGGCGCCACTTCAAAAGGCGTACGACCTCTTGCTTTCGTGGGCAAGGGCATCACTTTCGACAGTGGAGAATTAGTTTGAAACCTTCAGCAGTAAGGTCATCGCTGTTCAACTTCAAGGCGTTTTGCTGACCATATCTAAATGTATATAGGGAATGAAACTGATGCGTGGCGACATGGGTATAATTCGCCAAACTAACTTTGAAAGTGGCCATGCTAACTTTGAATCACAGGTGGGGCGGCTACAGTCGTTTCATCTCTACTCGCCATCGCTCAGCTCCAACTCCCGTACGCCGGTGTCCTCTTCGATCTGCGCCCATTCTTATGTATCCTGGTTGCAGAATCAATGTTGTCACTTTCACTCCGCTTTGTGAGAACTCGCCCGGTCCAAAAGCTACCAAGTGTGGGTTATAGCAAAGTGTTTGTTATGTCTTAAACTGACCTTCTGTCAGAATCTACGCTATGAATGGCAAATCTGTTGAGGTCGACAACATGGATACTGAAGGCCGTCTAGTTCTACCTGGTGCGTACACTTGCTATCCACTGACGAATTCTAACTTTTCAAAGACGCGTTGTACTACGCATCAACCGAGTTCAAGCCGCACACGGTCATTGACGTTGCCATTCTCACTGGGTTTGTATTCATCGTTTGCATTTGCCAGCTCGAATTTATTTTATGATCGATAGGGTTATGGATATAGCACTGGGCGAGATCTACTCCGGTGTTTTCACGGTACGTCATTTCAATGCTGCCCACCGATACGTCGTTGACCAAACTCTGGTATTAGACCTCCGATGCTCTTTGGAATCGCCTGAATGTTGCCGGAGAGAGCGAGTACGATCGCTTCTGGCGCATGCCCCTCGACGAGGATTATGGCGCACAGATTTACTCATCAAACGCTGATTTGTGCAACGTCAGTCGCCTATCTTGATGCGAGCGTTGCATGAATTTGACTCATGTATTTTCTTTTTTTAGACGGGCGGGAAACTAGCAGGTGCATGTACTGCTGCACTGTTCCTTAAGGCGTTTGTAGATGGTATCGAGGCCACAGATGGACTGGAGCCCTCTGTCCGATGGGCTTACCTTGATATTGCTGGGACTATGGAGGTAAGAACTTGCTCGTTTATTCGAAATCAAGTTCAGGACAATGCCGTGGGCACAATTGTGATCTAAACAATGACGTTGTTCGCAGTGCGCCCTTTATCTTCGCCATTACTAGTTCCGATTGCTGATGACTTCATTCTAGTTCACGCGCCCAACACCATACCAAGAGACAGGAATGACTGGGCGTCCTGTTCGGTAAGTTGTTTTAAAACAATATCTAGGAGATACCTTTATCTTATATCCTCGTGCAGTGCATTGGTAGAATTTGTCAGAGGTTTTTTGAGTCAAGGATGAGAGAGAGATCCGCAAAGATGCGCTACGCTAGGCCTTTATTTTGCAAGATGCCAATGACCCTAGTGGTGGAATCTGTGTGCGCACTGCGACGGAATATCTGACCGAATGATTACTTGATTTGTGTGAACTAATAACTGTCAATGTTTTTGGGACTATGCATTGATCACCAGTGTAATCAACAGGGCATCGATACATGGTCGTGTAAGGAGACCTGCTAGACGATCTCCATGTCAGCAATGCAACGTCCACGGTACTGCCTCCTGGAGACCGATTCATCGAAGAAACCTGGGTGAATCCTGTCGTTCTCTTTGTCCTCAGGAGATAGTCGTGGCAGGCAACTGTCTCCCCCAAGTGCTTTCAGAAGTGAGTATGAGTCGATCACTCCTGCATGCATGCGTAAGCGTTGGTTGCATCACATAAAAGACGCCGGCTGTGGGATTATCTCGATGCTGATGTATTCAATAATATGAAATACAACAACGAAGCACTAGAACAAAGCGTAACTTATTCTGCCACGATACATCTTTTGAGACAGTCATAAAGTTTAGCGGCGATTAGGACAGACAGGGAGCAGAAGTTCACAATTGAATTCATCCAAAGGTCACGTAGCTACATCAGTCGATGACTTTTTCTTTTCTTCCTCTGGACTCTTTTTGAAGCCCGGCGACGTTTAACGGGTGCAAGTTCTTCAGCTGGCAATGAAGAGAGATATGGGTCCGTGCCACCTTCCGTCGGGACTGGCGAAATGACCTGGATATCAACCATGCCATTTTGAGCCTACAATTTCGTCACATCAAATCATTGCTGTATTCATAATGAAGGACACATACCCATGTCACAGTAAGCCGATCTTGTTCCAACAATGGAAAGCCAGGTATGGGAAAAGGCGTATGACAGACGACCGCAGCGTAAGCACGATTCGAGAAGATAGTGTCTTCAACGAAGCACGACTGAGTTACCCGACCCGGCTTGCAGATGCGAATATCTAGTGAGTCGGGATCGTCGAAACTTTCCGGACGAGCTCGTTTATTGAAATCCCAGATGTGCACGTAGAAGTAATCCTTGACTTCTTCCAGTCTTTGACCAGGCTCAGGAGTACAATCTTGGGGAAGAGTATAGGCCATTTTGCTGCCAAACAGGCTGATTTGGTGGCTCTCGTGATGTGGAAAGATGTGCGTGTACTGAGGTCCCCAATCCGACCACGGAATGTCGATGGGCATCTCTGACTCGGAGTGCAAAGCCAAGTCAGAGAAGATGACCATGTCGATGACTAGTATAACGCTCCCTGCTGAAGAAAAAACCTCTATAACCATGATCTGTGACTCCAGGGAGGGCACGTAATGGGGCATAAGTTCTGGGCGAGCCGCTGTGCCATGGAATGATGAGGGGGCATGAACAGACATCAGTGGAAAGCCTAATGTATGGCTGCTCTGAGGAAGACGATATGTAATTCGGCACTGAGGCGACCCATCAAGCCCTTGCAACGTATACAAGGACATGACGCCTTCTGAGCTGACGACGACAATCTTCTGTTCGTCAATTACATGTATATGAATTTCCTCGAGGGGACCTAGTGGACAGAAAATATGCTGCTTATACTGAGCAGCAGAATTTTCAAAAACAAAAGGGAACTTACATTACTCGCGTGTCCCCTCCTCCAATCAATCACTTGTATGAACATGCCAGGCAATGGTGTCTCATCTGTATCCACTATGTGATAGAAGACAAACACACGATCACCGCAGATTTCAGGCTCCTTTTCAAAACGAGCACAATAATCACCAGGTGCATCAAAGGATTGTTTGCACTCAAAGGAAGCGCAACCAGCACTCGGATGCGGATGCGGACGCTGGGATGAAGCCAGCCGAAACTCCACTAAAAAGACACAGTGATCTTGTCCGGCATCGGTCACAGTGAAATCATCAGGCCAAGGTAATACGACCATAAGATCCTGCAGAGCGTCGAAGGTAACAAAGCCCGGAAGCACGGATTGAGGAAATAAATCATCCTTAGACCAAGTCCGGGAGAGTTTGGGATTCGTGTTACAGTCCCGAATGAGGAAATCGCGCATGCGACTCCACCAAAGCCCGCATTTCACTGATTGGATCGGTGGTATGTATTTCTCGGGCAGTGCATATAATGGATCGGCAGCAGCGAACGATGTTTCAAAAACAGTGTTCGCATGGAAGTCAGACCGCCACAAAGATGCCAATTTCTTGAGTGAGCACATCTTTGAGGAAATGCCGAAGGAGTCCATGGTAGCAATCTCAGTATTAATGAAGCCTTGAGCATAAAGTTCAAGCTTGTACTGGATGTCAACAGAATTCCGGACCACACCCGAAAAAAATTTGCAGGTCTAGCATAACCAAAAGTTAGCCCAGGAGGAAACAAAGAACCACGAGAAATAGCGGACCACGGCACAACGACTAACATCCCTCGGGGTAAGGAGGATCAGGATGTAACATATGAGCTCGATAGGAAGCGACAAGAATCCAGTCGCCGTCATCATGGTTGTAAAAGAAGAAAGGACTTCGACTTGGATAATTTTAGGAGGCAAAGAGTCCTAGGGGCGGATCGGCAGGTCAACCGGTTTTCAAGCTCCACTCGCAGCGCTCACCCATCGGATCTTCCAATGATCGTGAGTAGTTGGTGAGTCAGAGTAGTAACCTTAGTACTAGTTCGGCTTGGTCAACCGGAGGTGTGCCCCATACACGTGACCGACAGATCAAACCTGAAGTTAGTGGTTCTTGTTCTCTTCTCAGTCGACCGAGAGTCTCAGTCATATTTTCTCTTCAGGTCACTGTGGTAATGACCACCGCCCATAGGACAAAACTGCATACCAAGGTATGTGTTTGTATTATTACTCCAGAATCTTCTAATTTGTTCCGATCCATAAAGTTCTACCAGGAAGATATCGTGCGCCGCATCGACTCCCCGAATGTATATGGGATTGTACTCGTGAGTACTATGTGCCCGCCGGTCTCATACATTGCTCACAGAATTAACAGAGATGCTGGCATGATGCCGAGGATATTCCACCACTCCCAAGTCCATTCATGGACCCCTTAATGAGATCCCTCGATCGTGGCGAGATCGGTGTCTCATTCTTCCCAGGCGGTGTTCGTGACATCGTCCCGGAGTGTAACTATGAGCTCGTAGATAGAACATTTCAGTCAGGGGATTATTGCAAGCGTAGCATTGATGATGTTCGTGCTGGCGTGGTGATCAGCATTGAGGCACAAGCACGGCTTGTGCACGCAATTAGTGGAGAGCCAGTAGAGGGTTGGAGAGATATGAGGGAGATCAGGCGTGCTACCGACGTTGACGGTGGAGATTATGTGATATATGATGACTGGATTGGACAGGTGCGCTTCAATGTCTCGCAAGTCGGAATGACATGCTGAGTTCCCACATGAAGGTCATAGAGGTCTGTGCAATGTTTACGGTTCAATGGAAGTGATGATTGATGAATCCCATAGCTATTTGATGAACTTGTTGTTTCTGCATCTGGCACTTTCGTCTGCTTGCCTGAAATTAGCTCCCGTCTGACGATCGGCGACAAGGGATTGGTGAGTTCCACCTTGGGTATTTACTGTCCCATGCACTCACTTCGTTTAGGACATTCTTCCGAACCCAGAGGTACTCCACGGGCTGGTCAATTATCCTAAAGGAGCCCCACTACCTAGCCCGGATGATACTGTCATAGACATGAAGCGCACAATATTAGCCATCTGCTGGCTAGCGGTGAACCAAAGCGTATGTTCCCTTATCTTTGTCAGTCCCTCACATTCTTAGTGCATTATGTAGTTGGATCCTGGTATCGCCCAACTTAAACAGCGACCAGCACGTTTCTGGTCAGGCGAAGATCTGACCAAATTGACGGTCATTAGGATGCGTCTGGATGATATACGTGTCGGGGACAAAGTTTTGTTGGAGGAGGATGTAGGTGTGCCTGTCGCAAGATATGGCGCCGAGTCAGAACCAGATGGCGCAATGACGATTAAGACCCTATGCGTGAGGGAGACGAAAACGGTTGTCAATGTTCTTTGGCAAGATGGATCACAGGAGAGCCTCCCTTCCACGGAGCTGATTCCGTATCTCAATCCGGACGAATATGACTGCTGGTAAGGTTCCTTCACTGTGACTGATATGGCGTTGAATAACATATGACTCCTCAGGCCAGGCGACCACGTCTTCTGGAAACTCGAGCATGAAGAGCACGCAGCCGTTGTTCAATCCGTCAATTCTACCGATCGAGTCGCCATCATTCGTTTCGCGAATACTGGCAAGACTGAAACTGTTTCTGTTCTTGAGCTTGATCCCAATGGTGTCAGTGATTGGGTGGTAGGCACTCCGCATACCCATCTCGGCATGCGTCGTGGCGACAAGGTATTCGTCCACCGTGAGGGAACCTCAAATGGCTTCGAATCCCCTCGAGTTCCGAGGATTGGCGAGATCGAGGAGTGGGTGAGAGAGGTGCCAGTTAGTCCTGACGGAGAATTCAGCGGCTGGAGGCGGACAATGGCGGATATGGGGGCGAAAATGGCGTCGGAACGGAAAGAGAGGCCCATTGTCTCCCGTGTCAAGCATCCAACGCGGGACGATACATCTTTATCATGGTTTGGAGAGGTCACTGGGGTGGGTCCCTTATCGAATTGCACAATCTGCTTCTGAACAGTTCTGAACTAACCCCGCGTTGAAGCTCCGTCTTGACGGAACAGTCGATATCACCCATCCAAATGGATCTACCGTCATATACCCTCTCTCACGGCTGACGAAGCTCTACGACAGCCTCGAACAATTTGAAGATGATGGCTGGGAGGGTGAAGAAGACGGGTCTGATCAAGGCTTTCATGTTGACAATGCCGATGGTGTGTGGCGTCTAGATTCAGATGACACGTGGCCCTACGATCGTGACGATTCAGAATGGGAAGACGAAGAGGATGGTGATGAGGATGGTGGTGGGATGGACGTGGACATCTGGGCCGACGATATTGATATTTCATTGAGCGATGGCATCCCAGATTCTCTGATACCATGCTATGTGACACCAGACGTGGCTGATTCGGCCTCACCAGTCCCAGTCTCGTCGTCCAACACATCGCCAGATAGTACCCAAGAGATCATCATTCAGGACGATGAGGATGGTGATGCCGATATTCCATGGAACAAGTTTGAGATTCTCCCAGGCGCACCCCATGACCACGCATTTTACTCGTCTGTGTCAAGTCAACCATCGAAGAATTTCCTCGCACGTCTGACAAAAGAGTACCGTGCGCTCTCAACCAGCCTACCAGGTCTGTTCTATCTACCGTCCCTTATATTTGCTTCACATACTAATCAAAGCAGATTCAATTCTCGTCCGTGCATACGAGGACCGCACGGACCTAATAAGATGCCTCATTATTGGGCCGGAGAATACACCCTATGAAGACGCACCCTTTGTAATAGATTGGATGCTTGACTCGAATTTCCCTCAAAGCCCACCGATCGCTCACTTCTTGAGCTGGACCAACGGCAATGGTCGCGTTAACCCGTGAGTGACGATAAAGGATAGCGCTACTTTCGGCTAATCAGGACTCAGAAACTTATACGAGGAGGGCAAAGTATGTTTGTCCATCCTCGGGACATGGAGTGGAGACCGCACGGAAACATGGAGCGCGGCGAGGTCTTCACTTCTTCAGGCCTTTGTGTCGATACAGGGCCTGGTATTGGTGAAAGAGCCGTATGTTTCTGGACCGTGTATTCCTTTCTGAACCTCGCTGAGAACTTTCCAGGTGGTTCTGTGAACCCGCGTACGAGAAATTGAGAGGTACTGAGGAGGGCATGGTTAACAGGTGGCGTTCACGCTCATTTCCTTACGTCTCTTGTGACTCATTCCATCATATTATGTTAGCCGACTTTACAGTGAGAAGGCATATGTCCTCTCCCGTGGTTTTGTTCGCCGCGCCTTGGAGATTCCTGTCGGTGGACTTGAAGCAGAGATCAACTGGCTGTACAATACCCAAGGCAGACTAGTCAAAGTTCTGGACGACTCCCGAGCGCTGATCCAGAAGAGTCAGTCGGGACCAGAAAACGTGGATATAGATCAGAATCTCGCAGTGCCTCGCCTGACCGCGGGCGGTATCATTATGCTGGAACGAACACTATCCAAACTGCAGACGCTTCTTGACCAGATGTAGGATTTTATATATTTTATATCTTCCCATTGTTTTATCACGTATTGGCTATTCGACCACGTAATTATGTAATCCCAAGTGACGATCTTTTTCGCGGTTACATCAAATCTTAACGCCTCTACGGAAATATAATATACCCCAAAATTCCCAACATAAGTGTAGATGATATGCGGACCTCCAACAGAGGACTTAAACAGTAATGGGAGGACAGAACAAATAAGGCATAGAGTACGTGGACAAGTATGCACGGGGGATACAAGGACGAATGAAACCCTGTAGAAGACAGACAATTGGATGATACCAGTCCGACGGAGGTCCACAAAAACAACAATAAAAGACAGGCGACCACATATGTACCACCTAGCACGTGGATGTGAGATTGTTCTTGGGAAAGGGTTGATTATAGTCTTTTGTCCAAGTCGTCAAGTTCGGATTTGTGTATGCTTCGATGTATCTGAACGCACAAGGCATGATCAACTGAGGCAGTATCAGTAAAAGTGTAATGCGTACTCATTTATATATGCACTAGTCGGGAAATCCTTAGGGTCACAGCCGATGTTGATGGAGCCTTTAGGCTGATAGACACGAATCCAGTCTACCCGCATGGTAGCTGGGAAAACCAGGTTCGTGAAGTCAACCGTTTGGAAGCTTTGAGAGATGCCCAAGTTGGTGATGAGATACTACGAAGAGTGTGAACTAAGGAACAACCCGAGATAGATGCTGTTACCATTGGCTCCTGGGGGATTGGTCTGTCTGCAATTTGAGTCACAGTATCAGCTACCATTGCGCCGGCATCGAGTGTCCACGCAACGACATCATTTGCGATCCAACTGATGTACTGCGGAAAGACAGTGTCAATTATAGTTGTCGGGAAAAAAAGTGGGTTTTACTTACACCTCCATCAGCTTTGTAACCTGACGACAGTGTCAACTCGTGCAAAATAATAATAAATAATATATACCTGGCTTATACTCGTATCCGTAGGTCGAAAAGCAGCCAGTCTCCTGTGTGTAGCAATTCTGGTCTAGAATATGGTTAGCGTCTAAACAGTAACGAGACAAATACGACATACTTGTATTTGTGACACCAGACGTGGCCTGCTGGTAGACACCACCGAGGTACGAATTGAGTGCGGTGACACCTGAGTTGGGAATATTATAGGTGGAAGATGTGTTAACCCATTGATAGCCATAGTTCATAGGCTGTCTGCATTGTGAGTCAGGACACTTGACATAGACCGTCCACTCACAGCCCATTGCGCAGACTGAGAAACTTGTCCCTCCAGAATGACCTACGGTTGTTGAGAAGCCTTTCAGGATCAAAAACGAACGACCTTACCTGTGATTCGAAGACATCGATTTCGGGCGCAGACCGACCAACGTATGTCCCATCCGAGTGCACAGGTCCCGGATGGGATTCTCCTTTGCAAGTACACCTTGACAAACGCTGACCAGGAAGATAAGAAAGCGTGCTGCCATCATACGGGTTGCCGGTAAGAGCTGCCGATGGTACGCCATTGACCGTCTGGTTGGGGGCTGTGCCGGCATCGCAGGCATCATAAGAGTAAGGCCACTGACACGTTGGTCAGCAACTGAATTTCGAGCTCAAGGGGAACCTACCATTCCGTCGAGGCTTGCGCCGTATCCGACTCGTCCTGTAAAGTGTTAGATGATGGCATTTTCAAGATACAACACTACAAACCAAGGTTGCCCATCGACCATACTGAGATCATGTTAGTATGCTCGCAAAAAAAGAGTAGCTTCGTTTCGTACCTGCCGGCCACAAACCTATTTGACGGAAGCAAAGGGTCGTTGAGATATCCAATATTCAATATAACATGATACGCACCACTAACATCGTTTGCCCCTGGTAAACTCACTGACGCCAGAACCATGCCACCTGTGAAACAAAACTTATTCCAAGTGGAGATTAATGCACTTGTAAAAGTCAAGTTGTTCATTTCCCTTTCCGATAGGGTGATTTCTAGCGAGCCATTTCTGGTCGTAACCTGATCAGGGTAATACCATTCAAGATCATTGGTCTAATAACACCGTGTTTTAGTTAAAGCCAACACCTGTGGTGGAAGCATGTCATTTACCTGCCAATAATGAAGGTTTACAGCCTCCCAGTATGGGTCATCTCCAGGCCAGAAGGTCCTGCCTTCTTGATTGAATTCATCGCTGAAAACCAATTGCCATTGCGAGGAATCTGCGAAAGACGTGTAGGTATGGGCGGATGATGGGGTGTCCACGTCGATAAGACCATAATTATTCGGCATAGAGGGGATCTTTACGGCGGTCGTAATAGGTATTTGTAACTGATGAGAAGATATGAAGACTTGCCTGTCCGCTCGCATTAATTCCACCGATGTTGAATCCGCCCTCGTTTGAAAGAGATTGCTTTGTAAAATAGGATATTATCGGGTATCCAGCACTGAAGAAGAGGGTGTCAATCTCAGGGGCCAATACAAATGGTGTGGGCGTACAAAAGGGTAACAAGTCCAAGAGCAAGGAAAATAAGGCAACCGAGGTTGGTTAAACCTCTGTAAGTGAAGACGGAGCCGCCACGGTCATTCTTGCGGTCTCGGCGAGGATCCGGATTATGGAGGAAGTCATCTGGTTCTGTGAAGTTCATGGCAAGAGTGGGACCCCATGACGACGGATCAGGAGAGAGGGAGAACTGCAGTAAATATTGCATTAGGGACAGGCGAGGCACAGGTGAATTGCAAAGGGGCGTATATACTAGTGTATACGTACCTTGTCAGATAGTGACTGTTCTTGTAGAGACGCTGTTCTACCAGCACTGCTGTAAGGCGACTCGCTCTGGAAAGGAAGTTCAGAATGTTACGTGAAGTACTGTCACATGAAATGGACGACGAACAAGGGAGTTTGTGCTTTGGGTACTTCTCACTGACTGGGGACCCCTGGCAAACGCGGCCTGCACGACCTGGGAGCCCCTTGGAGACTGAAGAAGAGTGGCAGTTGAGGGAGCATTGGAAGGTGATTGAGTATAAAAACGCCTCTGGTTGTCTGGGACAGCCATGGAAAGGCAAAACGATTGAATTGAATGTAATGAGCGGTGATTTTGTATGTTCCTAGAGGAGGGAGGATTAGTGTTACAGTTGGGGATCTGAACTTTGCAGCGGGAGGGCGGGGGATGAGAGAGACAACCCGAATATTAATATTGAATATATTGATTTATCTCGACCCGTGGGAAGCCGATTTGAATATTTTTAATTTATCTGATCCATGCACATGGGCCCCGCGCATGTTGTTACCGTTCCTGACCAATTCCCGCCCCTTCCAACAAACCAAGTAGACCACCCCGACCCCCCAGTGACCCAATTTTACCAAGCTCATCAGCAGCTCTCTCTACGCGACGTAATCCTGTCCGCTCACCGCCCTCTCCCCCAATCTCCATTCCCTTTGCTGCCGCTTCCTCATCAATTTTTTGTAACCTGCTCACAACCCCCTGGTTCGCTCGTTCCAAAGCTGCTCGTCCTAATGCCTCGGTCATCACATACGGATAATCGGGCTCAAGCTTCTCTAGCAACTCCGATTTTTTCGCTCGATAATTATTCCGTGTCGTACTTGGCGGATGTGAAAGTAGAATATGCGTAGTGACAGGCTGTGGTGCCTCGGCACCTGTAGCCTGAGGTGCTTGATGTGTGTATGCAGTTTTGTCTAGCCACTTGTCCAGCGCAACGACAGCGTCCTTGGATTTCTTCACCTTATCATACTTTGACGGTCGGCCTTTCTTCTTGGGCGCATTTGTAGTAGTAGATGCTACTTGTTCATACCCATCTGCGATGTCTGAAATGAATTTTTCCCTAGGTAATTCTCGCGGGCTATGCGGATACAAATTAGACGGAGGGAGCACGTGAAAGAACTGAGCTTTTTGTAAGGCGGAAAGTACGTATGTTACGTGGGGTCTTAAAGGGCGCAGGAAATCCGTTTCGAGCACGTCGGGTAGCTTCAGTAGAGACTGATACATGTCTATGATCCGATGAGTTATCCAATCTCTATGTAGAACACAAGGGCTACTTACCGATTGTCACGGGAAGATGAGCGAGAGCATGCAACGGCGGAGCCGATGATGATGGCTGAGTCGCAAAGAACGTGTAAAGACCAAATAGAGCAGCAGCTCTGATAAGAGGAGACTCGGATTCCGCTAACCGTTCTGTATACAATATGAATGCGTGCTTAGGAAAAACGATGCATCACGGGCATACCTGAGAAGAGTCGCATAGTGACTTTAAGAAAGGCATCGCGAGATCTGGCATCAAAAACCTTGAAATGCAACCATGACCATCCGTGGTTGCTCCAGATATCCTTGAACAGGGTAAAAGGCTGAGGAGGGGGAGATCTGGCATATCGCTCGGTGTAGACAAGGATAAGGTTACTTATGTCTTCACGTGCGGGGTCCACGAACAGTGAAGACGTGAAATAGGTAGGCTGCAAGACCACATGGCCCCTGGACGTTGTGTGTGTTGGGGCCACCAGAGACATTAACTGACAATGGAAGTGAAGAGGAGGAAATTTCCATTCTTGTCAGTTTATAAACAACACCAATTTCATCCAACCGCACAACGCACTCCCTCAGGTTCAGGCTCATACGGCTTCAACCAAATGCCACCTCTCTTTCGTCACACTAGCAGCAATATCTGCTTTTTCTGCAGGTCCACCATCAAGCCTGCACCCCCAGATCCACGATCTTTCCGCTGTCCGCACTGTGACTGTTGGAACCGCTATGACGCGAACGGCGAAATCATGTCAGATGAACCTGCTATGCACGATGAATCCCTAAACTCAAAATCATTTGCAAAGAGAGGTAAGCTTCAAACTTCTTGCTACTCTTCACGCTCTGATTCGTTGGCAGCGTCTCCCAGCAAGGACCGTCTGCCATCCATGTACGGAACCGGCCAGTTCTGTCATACATGCCAGACAAACCAAATGCTCTTGGTCAACCTTCTCTCAAACTACCTACCGCCACCACATGTGGGAACCGCCTTTTTTGACACGCGTTTTATCACACTGAACCTCACGAACAGCACCCGGACTACGCACAGCGTCTGGAGAAACTTCCAGAATATCGTGAATCGTTGCATGTCCGATATCCTCCCGTGTGTGCAGACTGCATGCCCGCTGTGGAAGAAGAGATCCGGAAGAAGGATCATATGGCGCGGACTAAGGCACTGGGCGGATGGCTAAACGACAGCAGAGGCAAGGAGAAGCAGAGACAAGCCCCGGGATCCAGCAGAGAAAGAGAAAAACTTCAGACCCATTTGTTTCTGTGGAGACTAAGAGGCTTTCTATGGTTTACGACGTTAGCGATAGTTGTTGTTGCTCACTCATCTGGTGCGCCAACACATTCTCACAGATCTGGCGTGATCATCATCTGACTCTCATATCGCAGTTGTATTGAGACTCTATTTCCCCGATGTACTAGGTCATGTGCGACAGGCTCTTCCTCTTATCACCCTTTGTAGTTTATTTTGGACCGCCTGGGATCCAACATACTACTCCTTCCGGAAGGCACGAATACAAGGTCGCGATCTTCGCGTTCGCGGCAAGAAAAATTACATTGTCAGTCCTTATGGCAATCATTGTTTGATTTGCTGACGCGCTACCAGATTCTGCAAATGACCGCATGGTTCTCCAGACTGCTCTCATCTATTCTTCTCGCACTTTCATGGCACGCGCCTTCGCGGGACTATTTGCATCTCTCGCGATATCCAGCATCATCACGAACACATTACTACTGTCTAATATCACTCATCGTCGAAGTGCTGGTAAGTATAAACTTCACCCCCTCTTCATTCATGTTCATGTGCTGCATGCGCTTAGATCTGTGCTACCTCATTTGTCGCACTGCGCGTACAGAAACCTCCGCCTATTCGCTTAATCGATACCTCTAGTCACCAGCATCTAGTTGCATCTGCGCGTCCTACACCTGAGCTTTCCCCTCGTTCATCACCCGCACCTCACACGCAAATTGCTAGCGAACCAGACCTTCTCGCATCTCTCTCACTCTCATCGAATCCCGTGATCTCCCCCGGTAACCCAATATTTGGCCTTCCTTCTCTCGTATCATCCAATTCAACATACCCATCCTCTCGAAACAATGCGGGTGAAGACGAGGATGAAGATGCCATGGACTGGACCCCTACGGTTCCATCGCCGGCCAAGCCAAGAAAGATCCTTAACGACGACGACGACGGCTCGTGGGTCAGGCCACAACGCTTTTTCGCTCCGGAACGACCAACGGGCCTGGAGTCCTTGTTCGCAAGTACCAAATTGGACGATAGAGATCAGAAGACTTCATCTACCACACGTCCTATTCGTGCACGGACTACCCTACATCTGTTTGTGGTGCGCTGGTGGTGGGCAGGTGCCGCGTCCTTGATTCTCGTTCCTGCTGCAGCTTTAGGGTTCAAGTTCTGGCGAGGAATGGAAATGACACAAGATAATTGACCTAACCCAAGCTACGTTGTGTAGATTACAGTACATTGTTCTGTGATATCATCCTGCACAAATAGCAGCAGTCTTTCATTCAGACAAGCAGTACCCGACCGTGCAAGTAATATAAACAAACTGACCGCACTGCTTGGCCAGTAATGCATAACATCAAGAACACAAAAATAGCAACGGGGGGTATACGTACGAGATGGGAAAGGAACTGCAATGACTTGGGTAATAGTATAGACGCGAGGAATATAAGCATAATGTTTGTCGTCTAGGAATCCGCGTATACGTAAACGGAAACGGAATGAGGCGAATGCATTTGTCCAGCAAGCGAATGTATTGACTGATACGACAGAATAAAAAGGTGAGTAATGCTGGAAATGAATAGATTTCCGCCTTCACTCCACTCGGGATGGTGAAGAATGGACCGCTTGCAACCATCTAGCTTTTCTCCGCGTCAATAGGCTAGCTCAGTATCCCGTGGCGTACCCGCCATGGTGAAGCGGAACGCCATACTGGTCAGACTGATACTGATGCGAGTTGAAACTAGGACCACGCGCGAGTTCCTGCATCATGGGCTGAGGACTGGGACCACGCGCAAGGTCAGCATAACCGCCAACAGGTGCGAGATTGGCAGGCCCTGCGGTGAAATCATGGTCAGGAATTGGGTTGAGCACTGTTGCACCAATGCCAGCGTGACCAGAGCCGGAGTGGAATGAAGATGCATTGGAGTTACGGCGGTTCAGACCGGGAATACCACCATTATCATCGTCATTGTTACTGGGCGGCTGCCAGTCAATAGGCTGCATGCGGTCATCAAAGCTTGAAGATTTGCCAAACTTCCACTTGCGAATGATGGTCCAAATGATGATAGAACCACCGACACTTGTAGCAATGACGATGAGGACGATGAGGGCGGTGTGCGTGATACCAGTAGAAGAAGACGACAAGGAAGATGGTGTGGCACTTGCACTTGTGGCAGCAGTGTTGGTAATGAACACCACTGATTGGGAGGTTTGAGAGCCCGTCTGCACAGGCGTAGCAGTCGCACCAGGACTAGTTTGAAGACTTTGGGTAGTTGATGGTGTCGACGATGTTGATTGGGTGCTCGTTGGGGAGGTAGAGGATGAAGATGTCGAGGATGAGGAAGAGGAAGAGGTCGTCGTCGGTAAAACTGCACTGACTATACTTCCTACTAGCCCAGCAGATGTCTGTCGACAGAATTTCAGTACCTTATATTAAGGGTGGACTAGATGAAACTCACCGAAGTGGCAGAGGATGAAGAGGATGCAGAAGACACAGAAGATGCGGGTGTGCTATCAGCTGTAGTTGCCGTTGATGCAGACTGCGTTTCGACGGCAGAAGTTATAGTAGGATTAGCCCCTGCTCCGTTGACAGGCTGGGGAGTGCCAGGAAGTGTACCAATCTGGGGGGCCCGCTTCTTGAGGAAGCGGTTGTGGCTCACTTGGTGATTGTAGTCGACTGCTTTTGCGTCCGATGCGATGACCAAGGAAAGAACGAGTGTGATGTAGAAAAGGAAAGAAATCCTAGGTTTGGCCATCTTCACTGGATTTTGTCGCGCGTTGGTGTGTTTGAAAAAGTTTGAAGGCCCAACTAAACCTCGTTGGCTAGGGACCGCGAAAAAGAATGGTGGGGATTGAGATCAGATAATGAACGAATAGATGGACCAGCCGTCGATACAGGACAGTCAACGTCGTGGTTGAGAACAAGGAGCAATCAGAGAAACAGGTCAACAAAAGCGAACCACGTTACGGCGCTAGAAGAGAAGGTACTCACTCGGTGAGGTAAGATTCACGTCGCAGAAAAGACAGAAGAAAAAAGAGCGTCGTTGTCTAAGCGAAAGAGACAGTTGTCTAGCCGTAAAGGAGTGAAACCTTGTGTTGTCGAGAAGAACGAGCGTGGTCAAGGAAACGACACGGAAATATTGTCAGCCTCCGTGGACCGTTGTTCATCCAAAATCTTTCATCAGGCAATTTTCCTGAAACTCATGTAGATGGTATAAACTACAACACGCGTCCTCGATGGTAAATTATCCGTGCTCCAAAAGCACAACGGAGGGAACACATCACGATATGTAGGCTAATCAGTGAAGTTCCGTACTAAAGGGTGAAACAATTGGCAACCCAAGAAAACTCAATCTCGTTTGCAAACGTCCATCATCGCATAACAACGAAAGTGTCCGAAGTAAATGTGAACTAAGAAGAAGGGCTAGTCAGCGACCACTGGCTCAGAGCCACAGAGCCCGGGGTCATGTATGAACTCGCAGACATTCCTGGCCATTGTGGGTTAATGAGCACTTCCAACGTGTACGTGCCAGCAGGCAGACTGATCACCAGGACAGTCACACCGTCATTAGTCTGATCAGCTTGTGGGGGGGTGGGGTCACTAGCGAACCGAACAGGATTCATGGTGGTGAACACCGCGCCAGATGGAGGATTGAGCAGTTGAACAGTGGTGGTCGCAGAACCGATGGTGAGTGTAGCGGTCAAGCTATCTGCACTCAAGGAAATAGTTGCGTTGGTGTGTGCTCGCCACATAACAGAGGCTGAAGCGTTGATCTCATCCTGGATGAGCACCTGCTTGCGTCCATTGATCAAGTGAACACCGCGGGAAAACGAGGTACTGCGAGTCATAATTAGCGCAAGTTCCACAGGTAAGCGTCATCAAACGTACACGTTGAAATATGCACTCGTCAGGTCCGCAACGAAGTAGGCACTGGAGTCACCAGGAACATTCATCACAGTACTGGATCCTTGAACCGTACCCGAAGTGTCGTGCCTGACAGTCGGAGCGGCAAGGACATTTTGGTTCGCCTGGTTGACCAAAATGGTGTTCTGGCCCTCCGTCATTTTGCGGTAGTACAACCATCGCTGACTGTCCTGAGCGTCATTGCTGAAGTAACCAACTGAATTGTAGTCCCCAGACCCAAGCTCTCCGAACCAACGAACACCAAGAGCATCAACGACAAAGTCGCCGCAATCAAGGTCGTTGTGCGTCTGGTGCCCCTGCAGCGTGCCTGCTTTAACGGCAACATAAAGAGCGTTCTCATCTGTCCAACTGGATCGCATGGAGCCCCATTGATCAGTGCTATTATCAAAGAAATGGTCGAGAGCTAGACCATCCCAGAAAGCACCAGTAACAGCAGGGTTGTACCAGAACATACTCCATGGCTCAGCAGCGTCGAATTGATCACGTTGGAAAAGCTGGTATTGTGGCATGTTGTACTGCTGGCCGTAGAACATCATGGCGTTGGCAGTGGTGGAGTACTTGTTTGGACCACAATCGCCGTAATTGAAGAGGGAACCGGGGCCGGACACATACATGTGGTATTGACCGGTCAATTGGAAGTCGGGATTGACGGACAGAAGGTCGTATGTGGAACCAGTAGCGGTTAACAGCGAAGACGCCAACTCGGCATGGCCCGTAGTACCGAAGTACCAGTAGTTGGCTGTCTCAGACCATGTGCCGTCGCTCGAAGGAGCAAGAGCACAGTTCTGGAGGGCATTGGGGACGGTCAGGGCAAGAAGTTGTGCAGCGATACCGGTGGTGTCATCTCCGAGGATAGCAAGCGCACCCATGGTAAGGCCATTATTACAAACACAGTTCCAGTTGCCCTCTGTGTTAGTCTTCCACCAGCCGTAGGCCGCAGGGTCGTTGTTACTGTAAGCGATGACCCCGTTATTAAGGCCATACGTGATCATGGTAGCCATGATCGAGCTTCTTTGAGCGGGTGTCCACGCATTATACAGCCAGTCATAAGCGATAGCATAGGCTGCAGTGAGCTCAGCAGTGTCGAGGAAGTGAGTAGGGTTCCATTTTGTGGAATTATCAGGACCCCAACCACCAGTCAAGTTGCCAGCTGCATTCTATAATCGCGGGGCGTCGGACATCAGGCTACCTCGAACTAGGCAAGGAAACATACCTGCAACTCGATATAAGTGCGGTCCAGCCACTTCGTGTCATTGGTCATGCGGTATGCGTAAGAGAATGCTTTGACACGTTGTTTGACCTCACGAGCAGGATCCAATATACCATTACCGCCATCCAAGTAATATGCGACAGGGGACAGGGCCATGTATTGCGTTGCATTTCCGAAAATAGTGTCATTCCAACCGGAAAGATATGGATCATTTTGAATGAGGTTGGGAAGGGACTCCCACATGTAAGAAGGAGCGATGAGGCGAGGCCTGTCGGAACGAACTGATGTCGGGCTGGGATTGGATGGTTGAAAAGGATCTTGCGGCCAGGCAAGACTAGAGTTGTTGGTAGAGACGAATGTAGGAGTAGTATAGGCAGCAGTGTTGGTCTACAGGATTTAAGCAATCAACATCTCGAGCAGACAGCAAACAAGACTCACGGTCATTGGGTATATTGGCACTAAGTACTGGCTGTCTGTTGCTGTGGCGAAACGACCGACATTATTTTTCGCGCTGATGGCTGAGGTGGCAGCGGCGCCAGCTGCCGCCGCGCTCTGTGTCGAAGCGTTCTTACTTGAGCGACTGCCCAAAACGCCACCCAGAACTGCGCCAGCAATAACGACAACGGCGACGGGTATGCCGAACTTGACCCATTTACTGACTGGCTTCTTGACCGGGCGATGGGGTGTAATGTAACCTGACGACTCGTTGTAGTATGGGTCTCCAGACCCGTAAGGTGAATTTCTGGCCTGACTACCCAATGCATCATAATTTGCGGCCATCGTTGCAAAATGGCCTGTGAGATAGGCCGAAGAGGGTGTTAAAGGAGAGACTTTAGGTGGGCGTTGACTAAGAAACAAGCAAAACGAAGAAGCAAGCGGGCGAACGTATTGAAGGTGAGAATTGGAACAGGAACACTTGTATATTCGTCGGACCACCAATTTAGAACACGGCATCACGCGGATTAGCCATCCATGGATACCATGTCTCAACGGTAAAAATATCTATCTCCTTTTCATTCCCGGACAAAGACAGCCGCTGCACCCATTCCAGTCCCAATACACATAGAAGTGACCAACACCTGCATAAATTTGTCAATCGTAGATCACTTGAACGAGGTTGAACACCCATGCCTTTCCCTTTCTCCGCTGGAGCTCATTTAATCCTGTAACAATCTGTCTCGCTCCAGTGCAACGTGATCAAGGCATGTTGCATCAACATGATGTAGTAAATATAAAATGTGGGATGTACTCATCTAATGGATGCCCAAAGGCTATGGCACCTCCATTAACGTTCACTTTCTCTGGGTTCAGACCGAGCTCCCGGATGCAGTAGACGTACTGCGAAGCGAACGCTTCGTTAATCTGTATGTACCGCAATTGAGCATGCATCCCCTGACCAGTTGTCAAACTCACTTCAAACAGGTCAACATCTTCTATGCTCAGCCCGGCGTTTTGAAGAGCCATAGGGATGGCAACCACAGGGCCAATGCCCATCACACGAGGAGGGCAGCCTTCCGACAGCTTTAGCCAGGACATGTTTATTCTGGAAATTCCCCTCACCTGCAACAGCGGTAGTGATATGCTTGCCTAGAATTTCAAGCCCAAGCTCCTCCGCCTTTCGCCGAGTCATCATCATAATTGCTGCTGCACCATCAGTGATTTGGCTTGCGTTCCCACCCGTCGTGCGTGATTTGCCCCACTGAGGGAATGCTGCCCGAATCTTCAAAAGATTCTCTTTCGTCGTGCCATAACGGATGCCATCGTCCTTTGTAACTACAACCATCCTCCGTTCACCACTAGCAGGATCTTTCTCGTAAACAGTGAATGGAACGATCTCCTTTGCAAAGTAACCAGCTTTCTCAGCGTGTTCAGCCCGTTGATATGATTTCGCCGAGAATTCGTCCATGATCTCCCGCGAGATGTCAAAATCTTGAGCAACATTCTCGCTGGTCCAACCCATGGGATTAAGACAGTCCTTAGCAGCAGTATTTACTCCAAGAGCCTCGGACTGAGGAGGAGCACCTTTGTCAGGGCTTGCAAAGTTGAGCCTCGTAAGATAAACTTGAATTCTTGACATACTTTTGGGACATGGACTCAGCACCGACAGCAAGTCCAATCTCAATCTGGCCAGAGCGGATTTGATTTGAGATGACAGTTGCTGCCATGAGACCGGAGGAGCAAAAGCGGTTGACAACTTGAATTGGTACGGATTCCGGGAAACCTGCTGCCAGCGCCGCTTCTCTGGCATGATAAACTGGGTCAGGGGTGAGCACTGTGCCTACGCAGATGTCGCCAACAGCACTCGGATCGACATGAGACTGAGCTATTACATGCTAAAGGTCTGCTCAGTGACAATTAAGGTGTGTAATGAATCATTCTGAATGTACCTTGAACATTTCCAATAAAAGCTCATCCGTCCTACCCAAGTAGTCTGACATGAATGACATCTCCAGGGACAGGATCGACCACTCACAACGTGTCTTTCAAAGCACCCTTCCTCGATTTGGTCAACGGAGAGCGGATGGCCATTGTTATGACCACATCATCTGGATGTTTCTGTTCCAATGCAGTCAAGCCTGTAGCTGAGGCACCCGTAAGATGCGAAGAAAGCTGTCGTAGACGTTGCAGAGCCATGGTAAGCAGAAGAGGCTCTCCTAAACAGCAAAGCAGATATTACAACCAGCAAGTACTTGGGAGCTTTGCCGAAAGCCGGAACCAATTCACAAGCCGGAAGTTAATTCCCGGAAAAGCATCCGTGCCAGCTGGCACTGATTGGCTGGCATGAGCATATGCAAATGTCAAGCATATGTCATATGTGTCTTCTCATGGAGCTACACTCATCATTCCACCAAAGTTCGTTGGTCCTGCATGCAACCTAAGTATACAATTCTCTTATCACTCCACTTTGCGTTCGGTCGGCTTTCCACACGTCTCAAGATCACGCGCTCGTTCTGCCGCACAACGACCATCGGCTCTAGACCTTGATTAAACAAGGACGCTGAGGACGGAGCGGGGCGTCTTCAAGGCATACCCCATCCCGTTGCACACGATTCCTCCCACATATGACAGACAAGACGTTGACTGCCGGCTTGGCATCTGTACGATTGAATCACGCTCGATGTATACCTGGATAGCTTTGAAAAGGAAGTCCTCCAGCTTCGTTTCACCGAGTTCTTGCGACTCGGGCGACCTGTCTGCGCATACGCTGACCTTATCCAGTTATCGATGGCGGCCTTCTTCATGTGCCACATTGCGGAATCTTGCGATCGTCTTCAGCGCTTGTTGGGCTCTAAAGATATCCGCGGTTTGCGTTATATGCAGGGAGAAGACTGGCCCGAGTGCCTGCTTGGATCTCCCATGCTTATCTTTGCAAACTTGATAGGCAAATTACGATTACGGCTGTGCTTCTACTGGGCTTACACGCTAGGCAGCTGCCTTTAAAGTCTGAACTTCTTCATACATCACTATCGTCCCGTCTGTCATGGCAATGTCGTCAACCACAGGTGCTGAAGTCCTGTCGCAAGGCACAGGGTATGGTGTTGTGCTCGGTATCGGTTTTGTATTCGCTATCATCATGATGGGTTTATCGACCCTTCAAAACCGATATACGACCTACAAGATTTCCACTTCAGAGGAGTTTAATACGGCATCACGTAGCGTCAAACCCGGTCTTATTGCGTCTGGCATCGTGTCCGCATGGACCTGGGCGGCTACCCTTTTGCAAAGCTCCACAGTGACTTACGAATATGGTTTATGTGCTGGCTATTATTATGCAGCAGGTGCTACGATCCAAATATTCGTTATGGCAATTCTCGCCGTGCGGGTCAAACAGATCGCGCCATACTGTCACACCTTCCTCGAGATTGTTCACGCTCGTTACGGTAATACAGCGCACTTCATGTTCGCGACTTTTGGACTGGTAGTCAATCTTATTGTCTCGAGTATGCTACTGCTTGGTGGCAGTGCAGTAGTCAATGCCTTCACTGGGATGAACATTTACGCCGCCAACTTCCTCATTCCGCTTGGAGTCTGTATCTATGTCATCCTTGGGGGTCTTCGCGCTACGTTCCTATGTCGGTGATCGATCATTTCCCTTGAGTTTACCCGCTGATTCAGGTTTTTTCGCAGGCGATTACTCGCATACACTCATCTTGATGATCCTCATATTTTACTTCTTCTTCTGGACATACACGAAAGCGGACCTCATCGGCGGTTTTGAGGGAATGTACAACTTGCTACAACAAGCAAGCATTGAACGACCTGTGGCCGGGAACCAAGATGGCTCATACTTAACCTTGAAGTCCAACTGTGAGCCATCTCTCTCACCCTTCATAGATATTTACTGAACCTTCTTTTTTGAGATGGACTTACATTTATGATCATTCAAATCACAGGTGGATTTGGTACTGTCATGCTGGACCAGGCTCGTTGTTTAGTATCGTAAAAGTAGATACTTGCTGATATCATAAACAGGGCTACTGGCAACGTGCAATCGCATCAGAAGCAAAGACTGCTGTCCGAGCTTATATTATGGGCGGCATTGCCTGGTTCGCCGTACCTCTTACGTTCTCCTCTATCATGGGTCTTGCCGCTGTCGCGCTCGCTAACAGTGAGTTTAAGTATATACAAAATTGTAGGTATCTGATGACATTTTAGATCCCAGCTTCCCATATCCTGGTGGGCTCACAGTGGCGGATATTAATGCTGGCCTAGCTGCCCCTGCTGGTGTAGTGACACTATTGGGCAGTGGTGGTGCAGCAGCCATGGTGAGCCATATTTCCCATTCACTGACAAATGACTGACAGCTGCAAATGTAGTTGATACTGCTTTTCATGGCAGTGACCTCAGCTGCATCTTCTGAGATGATCGCGACATCGTCTATTCTTACATTTGATCTGTATCAGATCCACTTCAAGCCTGATGTACGTGGAAGTTGATCGCTATCAAGAAAGAACACTGATGGTGGTACATCTAGGCATCACCAGAGAGTCTTATGCGTGTATCTCACATCATGGTCGCGGTGTGGGCTCTGGTGATGTCATGTGTTGCCTCGTTGTGGATCGGAATAGGAATATCTTTGAACTGGTTATTCTTGTTCTCGGGAACTTTGTTCACCGGCGCTGTTGGCCCAGTCATCTTTAGTGTGGTATGGCGCCAGCAAACCAAAGAAGCTGCCATCAGTGGTGCATTGGGAGGAGTAGTGGTTGGCATAATCGCCTGGCTGGCAGTTGCAAAAACGTATTACGGTGAATTGACCATCGCAAGCACAGGTAAGCGCGTATCCACTGCAAACACCATGCTCTACGCTGACAAAGAACAAGGACAAATGTACCCCAACCTCGCTGGAAATTTGGGCGCTTGCTGCTCAGGCGCTATCATTTCCGCCGTGGTCACTCTCATAAAGCCCGACAATGAATTCGATTGGTCTGCCACTAAAAGAATCAATCCCCGAGCAAGAGAGATGGATCGAAAACAGGCGACCTTGCCAGACTCTGCCTCTGGCTCCGACACACCTGACGAGAAAGAGAAACAAGAGGGTGCCACGGTAGATGTAGCATCGGCCAAAGACGACATAACGATTGATATCCCCGCCGAAGAATATGCCGCGCTTCAGAAATCACTCAGGGTTGCTACTTGGACAGCGTTGACGCTGACATTCATCGTACTTTTCGTGAGTGCAAATTATTTGTTGACGCTCGGTTATTTACTTGATTGTAGCTTATACCGATACCAATGTTCCTGTCACACTACGTGTTCTCTCTGAACTTTTTCAGAGGTTGGATTATCATCTGTGTCATGTGGCTCTTCGTGGCTGCTTGCATTACATCAATCCTACCTCTCTGGGAGAGTCGTGTAGCGATAAAGGCCATTTTCTTGGGTATGGTTCGGGACATGTTCGGCGGCACAGCTCGAAAGGCGGCCATTGCAAGTAGTAGAACCGATGCATAGTTATTATTCTTGCACTTCCGGAGAGCTGAATGAGTCTCACTATAGACGAATGAAGATAGTACTGTCGTTCCATTTTACCAGCTGAATTGCTTCAGACCCAATTCAATTCGAGCCTTAAGCTTAAGGCTCCGGCCTCTGTGTGACTCGACACTCAGGGTTGACTCAGGGGTCTCCTCGGTACCTCTACAGGATCTACGGTGGTATCTATATCCTTATACCATACTATTCCCGCCACTGGCAGTTCGCTCAGCGCTGTGACGCTATACCCCACATAGACATGCCTGTTACCGTTATAACGTCAAAGCCAGTGCCCGCTGAGTTATCGGGGACTTTCAGATTCATAGGTGAGATAGGAATTAAACTTTTTGATCTATTGGTCGTATTGATCTAGCTAATCATCATAGACATCGGAGGTGAGTGTCACAGGAACCATGGATTATGGTGGTGCACATCGCGGCGTTACGACAATATTGTTGTTCAACAGTTAATCTCACCGATGTTGTATTTCATGGCATTCACCATGGCAAAAAAAGACACGAAGGTCTATCGTGCCATTCAGTGCTTTCTGCACCATGCTAACAGTCATTTGCAGACGACTTTGAAGCAGTACTGGACAGGTCCCGGTTAGCTGGCGTTCAATCCATGATAATCACAGGCGGAAGCCTTCGAGAATCAAAGACTGCGCTGTCTCTTGCTGCTCAACATGGTTCGCACTGTCATCTCCATGTATTTGCGCCCTAATAACATCATGCGCTGCTTATTTTACAAGGCTTTTTTGCGACGGTGGGGTGCCATCCGACCCGCTCAAAGGAATTTGATGAGTACCCAGGCGGCCCAGAAGCCTACCTTCAGGCGCTGGACAGTTTAATAAGTGCCAACCTCCACGGTCAAGGCAGGGTTGTCGCTATTGGCGAGTGTGGCTTGGGTGTGTCTAGATATTGTATGATGTCTGTGTGTAATCACTGATAGATCATCAGATTACGATCGCACGCACTTTGCACCGGAAGATGTACAACGACGACACTTCCGTATGTGACGAACATCGGACCCCTTGTATCGAGCTAACTGTTGTGTGCTGGGATGTACTTTTGCATCGATCCAGGCTCACAGTTATTTCTCGCCAAAAAGTACAAGTTGCCGCTGTTCCTTCACTGCCGTGCAGCACACAAAGACTTTGTGAACATCCTTCGTGACGAAGGTTTCGGGGAGGATGGAGAGAGAAAGGGGGTTGTTCACAGTTTCACAGGGTCAGTTGAAGAGGTCGTCGAACTTGTGCGCTCACAGTCCATTTTTCTTCGAATTGCGCTGACTCTGACGCGCAGATGGACATGGGCTTCCACATAAGGTATGGTTTCAGAGGGTCAGCATTGAATTTCGGCACTAATAACATCACATCAGCGTCAATGGGTGCTCCCTCAAAACCGAGCAAAACCTCCTAGCTGCAAAGGCAATTCGACCGGACAAGCTCTTACTCGAGACAGGTCAAATTTCGATGACATTGCAGTCGTGAAGGGAACTGAAAAATCATTTGATATCAGATGCTCCTTGGTGCTCCATGACCTCAACACATGCGTCAAAGACTTTGCTAGATACGCTCCCGGCGTCATTGAAGTCAAAGTATTTCCCTTCCGGCACTAAATTGCCTTCATTCATGATGGGGAAGCCAGTGAAAGGGAGAAACGAGCCCAGTGCGATCGGAGGCGTTGCATGGGTCATACACAAGCTCAATGAAGGGGTCCCGTTTGAGAAGGTAACAGAAAAGGTGTACAAGAATACCGTTCAGCTATTTGGCCTAGATGAGCTTCAGGTTGCATAGTAAGGAGATGACAGTCAACTACAAAGTTGGAGCTTCGCAAGTTTCCATATGAAACAAATATAGAACATGTTTGGTTCCGTAATCATGCAACACGGTGTGCAAGTCGCGGCAGTCCACATACTTGGTGCCATACCAATAGGCACCGATGCTCTCCCATCGAGAGCCTGAACAGAGTCCCTCGTCATTTCCTTTTATCTTTGCTATCATCGGGCTCGTGTGGTATGTGGGTTTATGGAGTATCGGTCTCCTGGGATGCAGAACAGGGTGAGCAATTGTGCTACTTCAAGTTGGGCGCTAGCCCTCGCTTACTGTACACACCAGTCGAAGAAGGTACCGCATGCGACCACGGTCTCCACTTGCAATGGCGCCACCAAATTCTGTTCCTGGTGTATCTATTCTGCGACCGCTGAAAGGTCTTGATTCCAACTTATACGAGAACCTCGAGTCTACGTTCACGCAAGAATATCCCAATTTCGAAATCATATTGTCTGTTGCTGATGAGCAAGACCAAGCTCTTCCGGTTGCGAGAGACCTCATTTCTAAATACCCCAGCGTTTCTGCCAGGCTAATAATAGGTAAGTTTATAGTGAGCAATGTTGATGATTCAGCTGAAGAAAGCAATCCAGGAGAAGAGGTGGTTGGGGTTAATCCAAAAGTAAACAACCTCGTTCGTTCATACCGCGAAGCTATACACGACATTCTCTGGGTCATCGACTCAGGTGTTTCGGTTGCCCCTGGGACACTTGCGCGCTCCGTTGACCTACTCGAATCATCCACGTACACAAGGCCTCCCAAGCGACGCGTTGCGCTCGTCCATCACGTTCCATTCGTGTCTGCTCCAGAAGGGTTTCTTGGTTCTAGAATTGAAGAGGCATTCCTCAACACCAATCATGCGAAGATGTATCTCGCAATCAACACGGTATCTGTCGAATCTTGCGTGGTTGGGAAATCAAATCTCTACCGGCGTTCTGATCTAGAGCGGGTAAACGGTTCGCTGAAGCCTCGAGCACATACGGAGTCAGACGATGATCAGGATTACCCCCGAGGCCTTGCTGCGTTCGGAAAATTCTTGGCTGAAGATAACATGATTGCCAGTGCTCTGTGGCACGAGCTGGATCTCCGCCACGATTTATCCTGCGACGTGGCGCATAATGCAATTGGGAAAATGTCTCTATCGGACTACGTGTGGAGGCGTGTGCGCTGGATTCGTGTGCGCAAACACATGGTTCTTGCGGCAACCATTTTGGAGCCCTTTACGGAAAATCTCATCGCCAGCTCTATTGCTGCTGCAAGCTTGCGGTATCTTTTCGGCATTCCCATGTGGCTTTTTCTTGTAATTCACCATTCAGCTTGGCTCTGGGTGGATTTAGATGTTTACGAGTCACTTGCTGGTCATCCTCTTCCGGCAGACAGACGATGGTGGTTCATCAGTGCATGGTGCCTGCGTGAACTTCTAGCATTGCCAATCTGGTTCTTAGCTATGCTTGGTAATGAGGTGGTTTGGAGAGGGAAGAAATACGAGGTGTTACGAGCGGGAGAAGTAAAGGGGACATCAGGCGATGGTATTCGCAGGGGATTATTTACCCAGTGGAGGCAGCAAAGTTCACACTATCGGCCCTTGCTAAGCAATCATTCAGATACCTAACGCATGCAGTAACAGTACTTGTATGTGGCGTTCGTAGCTATCTCATGTGCATGATTGGTTATTGATTATCATTAACGGTGACCATATTATAACAGGTACGTATACCCACGATTAGAATGTACAGAAAGCGTTTGAGGGTACTACAGCTACATACAGTGAGGATGCGGGATGATATGAGATGAAAGATGATAGACAGAGGTTGGCTATGAGGGTAAAGCCACGTCAGGCTCAGATTCACCGAAAGCTGCCCTTGCCTCTTCCTGACTATGCTTTGCAAGAAGACGGAAATTGTAAATCATGACCACCTCATCAAAGAAGGTGTCGGACCAATCTTCTGCCTTGCATGAATGGAGTGCGGCAGTGCGCAGGCGCAAATCGCGTCCGTCGCATGTGATCTTGCATAAAGATGCTTCGAGACTGGCAGGAGCAGCAGGCTGAGGTGTGTGCTGCCGTGAGTCCCTAGCATCTTTCTGCCGTTGGTTGGAGAACCAATTCTTAACTTGGTGATATTCCCTACGAATGGCAAGATTAGGCAAAACAACGACGATGAGCAACTGACAACGAACCTGCTTATGATGACTCCCAGTTGAGATACCCAAGCTTCATCAGGGTACGGGGTGATCTCATCATAAACCATCTGCATTACGAGGCGTTGGCGTGATGTTGCGGGAGTCTTTCCTGTAGATGGGATTGCCAGCGCGCGTTTCTTCAGCTCTCGCACTCTGGTTTCTCTCTCGCTCTGAGCACGGGCGGCGGATTGCAAAAATGCTTGTTTATATGCCTTCTTCTTGAGATTGTCTTCGGAAGAAGTCCCATGACGTGCTGTGATAGCAGAAACTGAAGCGGGTTTGAAACGTAATGATGACCCCTTGCTCGTCGTGGCACGCTTCCTTAAAGTGCGTCGGGGAACGGACTCCTCTGAAAGTACGACGGACTCCATGGATGGGTTCGCAAACTCTACATCCATGCTATCTGCTGAGACATCTAGAGAGTGTTCCCGGGATGAAGATGACGAGACGGGGCTATCCACTGCAGATCCATCTTCCTGACCATCAAAGGAGGAAAGAGCGTCACGGTAAGACAGAGTGGGTGAGTTTGAGAGTGCTGTCGTAGACGAGCCTGTGTTTGATGTGTTCATCAGTAAGTTGTTAGAGTAGTGTATGCGATACAAGGGTTGTCTGAGTGAGGGAGATAAAGAGATACATGCCTGAAATAAATACCGACGCTTGATCCACTTGTGGTCGGTGCAGGTAAGACAAACCTTCTTTATTGTAGTGCCTCTGTGGGGAATGGTCCAAACCAGATATTGTTTCAGGGAGAAGATCGTTAATGATTGAGAAAGGAATGACTACTGATTTTATGACAGATGCCTATATGGCTAAGTCTATAGCGACCAGACGTTGACTGAAGTCGATAGCAAAGGGTGGTCGGTAGCCGGAACTCGCCTTCTTGACTCTCTTATGTGTGGTCCTTTTTTGGATTTATTGAAGCCTTTGGTCAACAAGACCAAACAACCGCTTTCCCCAATCATCAATTAAGAATTAAGCAGTACTCAGCAACCAGGTTCGGGTAGCCTGTGCGCGTCTGAAGACGCCTGACAGTCACCGCGAAAGCTTTGACAACATGTCCGATCATGATCACACCAAGCAACGCATAATCGCATCAGTCTTTGATAAGCGCAACGCAGGTGCTGACATTCAAGAGACATACGTTGGACACATAAAAATATGGGAGGATGCAGGAGAAGAATCCGGAAAAAAGCCTCGTTATATCTTGTTGTCACGTATGTCATCATCATCCGTCTTCTGGATTGCTCACACAGTTCTTCAGAGGGTAGCGATGGAACTGGTTTCCTTCACAAGTCAAAGCTTAACACAAACGGCTCATTCTCCGTAGGGAAGACGTGGTCACTTTCCGAGTTGCGTGGTATAGAGGTTTCGAATGTACGTGTATCCATAGGATAAGCGTAATCACAAAGCTGACCATTGCGCAGCCAGCATCCTTCAATGTCACACTGGCTCGTACATATAAATGGCAGACAGAAAACCATCTAGATCAAGCAAATTTCATTTCCGCGGCAGTAAAGCTGTTTTACTTCGTCACAAATGGTACCGGTACACTCCATCTCGTCGGAGTGCAACAAAATGAGCCAGGCCCAGGTAAGAATAACTGGGTCCTCACCCACGGTCACTATTGACTCTTGTTATCAGTCAATGGATTCTCTGAATCCTCGGATACTCTAATGACTCAAGCATCGCAAAATGACTTGAATGCAACTTCTGGGCCAGCAAGGCGACAGGTTGCGACTTCGCGACCGGGGACACCACAGACAGGCATGCGTACGGAGCCCCCCACTCGCTCTCACGTTATGAAACCTCCATCCCGTGCTGCTTCTCCCGCAGGTTCTAGTATTAGCAATATACCCCAGAACAAACCCGGCTTGGGCGCGATCCGACCCCCTTCCCCAATACCAGCCTCTCAGCTACAAGGACAACCGCAAACCACTCCATCCGGTCTACCAAGTTCACTTCGACCACGAGTTGTTCGCCGTCCATCCAATGCGACGCCACCACAAAACCCCTCGTTGAATGGTTTGCCAGCAAACCTTGTACCGACCCGTGCACCTATCGTTACGCCACCTCTACGCACCACCAAAGACATTTACCCTTTTGCTGCATCTCGCCCCTCCGCTGAATTTGTCCACGCGTCGAGTCCACTTTCAGCCACTCCGACCATTGCCCAGTTTCCTCGATCAGAGTCCCCGGTCTCTGTTCGATCTCAGAGGCCGCCCCCAACCAAATCCACACCTACCCAAGATCCTCCGCAACCTCGCCGGGAGCACAACAATCGGGTATCATTCTTTGACCCTCTTAATCAAGCTGCTTTGGACAGGCTTGTAGCGGGAGATTACACGGAGGATGGGGGTGCAAGTGAAGAAGAGACCTCACAGGCTACAATGGCGAGTGTAGAGGAGATGCTAGAGGGATTTGAGTGGGCCGGCGATGACTTTTTTGGGAAAAAGAATGCAAAGGGGGCCGCAGACTTGGTTGAGGCCCGTCTGTTGGACGAGTTGATAGCCCTCGAGAAGGTGAATCAGGCACCTGAGAATCCTCATGTTGTTGAACCACTAACTTGCGTTCCAGGCCAATGTACACTCCTTCCTGGAGTCCGATGATCGCGTGGCTCTGGTCATGAATTTCCTGGATGAAGCTATTACTGAAGTCGACGCTATGGACAGCTTGATTTCGTCATACAAGATTCATTTGAACGTTAGACCTTGTCATCAAACCGGCTGTATTGCGCACTAAAACATCTGACCGCAGGCTGTCGGGGACGATATCTCGTTCATACAATCTCAGCAACGCGGCTTACAGGTTCAGACACAGAATCAACGCGCTTTGCTGGGCGAGCTCGAGAATCTTCTTGTACGTTCTTCAGAATCTGCCACCACACGTCATACTGATGCCAAGACAGCAAACCGTCCAAGTAGACCGTGAAGCACTGGTGGCGCTCACTCAGGAATCCCTCGAAAAGGCATCTGGGATACAGAAATTGGAAGCAGCGGCCACAGAGCTTTATAAAGCTCTCCAAGCTGGTCACGACACCGGTATGTTTGTATGTTTTGGCGTTTCTTCCCACAAATTCATTGTTCGTAGACATGGCCGCTACCATGGAGCGATTAGACGAATACAGGACACACAATGCACTGTTCTGCAAGCGTATCTATGACTATCTATCCATCATGTCTGTCGCGCAGGTGAATTGTTTGTTTGTGGTTATGACGTCACACTTATATTTCGCATGTAGGCGGAGATTATTCTTGATGGAAATAATGGGATTACCAAGCCTGGTCGAGGACGACCGGCTATCAAGAATCATCAAGGCATGGAGGCATACCTCGGTCGGTATGCAGGACTACTTCTCTACCTGAAGGAGATGGACGAGAATATATATTCGAGGTTCTGTGGAGTAAGGGAGTTTCAGTGCCTAGTACTCACTCTTGTTAACGGATTTGTCTCAAGGCATACTTCTCAGCCACCAGTGAACTTCACAAAAAACAAATGGGGAGCTTACTCTCGATTTACTCGGGATTGCTGAAGAGGATCCCAGACGAAGATGCTGACCAGAGTTTGTGATCAATCCTTTTAAGCAAACGTTGGGCTCATGTTGAGATAGACTTTGGGTCGACCAACGAAAATAGTCAAAAGGCATCGATTCGTCGCGCTGGAACCATAGTCCGTTCGCCTATCGAGGGACGAAAGGATCGAAATAAAGACAGGGAAAGGCGGACGGATGAGGAGTACCGTGCACCAGAGGTCTGCTTATATTTCATTCGGGCTAGTCTTGACTCATAACAGTATCAGGCCCTGGGTCTTATTTTGGAGCAAATCGCCCCTCAAATCTACCGGGAAGGAGACTTCATTGCAGATTTCCTGCAAATCAACGATGCTGGTCTTACGTTTGCTGATTACGCTGGGCTGGACAATTACTTCAGGCGACAAGCTGCACGAAGTGCAGGCTTGAGCCAAGCAACTATGAAGCTCGTACGCGGTGCCATGGACTTAATTTTTGGCTTTCTACCTGCCGAGCTGAAGCAATGGATTGATTCCGCCATTGCCAAAGATACATTGTACGTGTTGCATGATTTTCCCATGGAGAAGCTTTGTTCACTCCGCCGATAGGCAGGTGGTAGGAGTCATAGTCTGCTTGGAGCGTTTTGTAGCGGATGCGGATGAGCGTGACAATGCATTTTTTCTGCAAATGCTGGAAAAGCATCACACTAGGCTCAAGGGATCCTTCGATCGCCATATCGTAAGCCTTCGTCTCTGTTATTAGATTGCTGCTGCTCACGACAAGTTTGCAGAATCAACAAATCAAGATGATCGAGGAAACTAAGCTCACGAGCAAGAAACGAAAAGGGGTCGCTCATTTTGTGAAATACTTCCCGATCTACGTCAGTCGCATCGAACAGCAACTAATTGGCGCGGATGGTTTGGAGATCAGGGCCAACGTTGATCTCGCTTATGAAAAGATCGTACACAGCATGTTCGAATGTCTCAAGCACATGGCTACCCTAGACGGTGATGACGAAGACAAGGGTCAGCTCAATTATCACGTGTTGCTAGTCGGTAAGGGAGCTGTCACACTTCTGATCGTTTATTAAACGTTGGCTTATAGAGAATATGCACTACTTCGTTGCGGAAATGTCCCAGTTGGATGTCGGCTCAGTTTCTGGGTTCTCGAAACAAGCGGAGGCGATCTACAATGAAAATCTAAATGCCTACCTCAAGATTGTCCTCAGACGGCCTTTTGCAAAGATCATCGTACGCCGTTTGCTCATTCATCACCACTTTTCTGATGTTTGCCTTCTACACAGGACTATTTCGACGGTATCGAACGGCTGCTCACGACTACTGCCCCGACGGAAGTCTCAAAGAACAACAACTACAACAGATCTTCCCTGAAGAAAGTTGTCAAGGAGTTCGATGGCAAAGACATCCGCAAGCATATTGACGCCTTGTTCAAGCGCGTTGAGAAGCACTTCACTGAAGCTGAAGAGAAGGCGACGAAGGAAGAAAGCAGCGGCATTGCTCCTGGCACGGTCATGGTCGGCGTGTGGAAAGCTTGCGAAGAGGAGCTACAAAGAATGACACAGAACTTCAACAAGCGGATCTCGCAATGTTATGCGGATAGTGGTGTCTCACTGGAATACACTAGCGCCGACGTTGAGACGTCCTTCAGGCGTCACCGGCTTGGATCATAACTTATTTTGCAGTACTAATCACGAACCTCTCATTGGACGCACATTGTATAGTACGCACGTCTACCTTATATATACATAACACCCATTCTCTGGTTAAAATGATAAGACAAAAAAATAAAAAATAAAATCCGTGTTTCATTTAAGACCGAAAATACCTTAGCAAAATCAACTTTAAGTAAGCGTGCCTTAGAGGACTGGTTCTACAGGCTTCCGATCCTGCCCGCCATTTTGATTGACCTCGGCACCGCTGGCATATGGAGCCTGCTTCACAGCAGTATCGGCAGAGGGACCAGATTTTGTGACAGACTTTGATAATCCTCCTAAAATGGCAGGACCATAAGAAGTCCAAAGCCCCTTCACTGATTCGAGGGAGTAGGGCTGTTGCCCAGGCTTGCCCTCCCCCGCAGCTTGAGGTTGTCCGGCGATAGGAGTTTTGTTCAAAATGGTCCACAAGAGGTCAATGAGCATAGAAATGCGCGACTGAAGGAAACCAAGGACGTTGCTCTGAGCAGAATCAATGCTGGAATCCAACTCTGCCTCATTCTTGGAACAGAAGGGTTCAAGGTAGGTTTTGTAGATGTATGTCGAACCCTGTCTGTCTGTGAAAACCTATGTGAGGAAGGCAGGCGACGATTACGGACCTGAATTTGGGGGAGTGATAGGTAGAGCAAGAAGAGGGTTCGTGCCTCCCAGTAAAATGGCAGCCTTACGCACGAGATAGGGGTGAATAATGTTGCGACGAGATGAAGTACGTGAAAACTAACCATGATACGAATGGACCTATGGTCGACTCGATCGCAATAAAAGCTCCGACGACAGCCCAATACATTGAAAGGCTCTGGAGTTCACCGGATAAAGGGGAGGAGAGCGCCTTGTATGTAGAATAGCTTGGCAGCAAGAACGCGAACCACGCACTGGAATGGAAGCATAGTAAGTGTATTTATGGCCATGATCAGTCGATGGAGATCTTCACCAAAGCAGATGGGACACCATAGACATTAACATTATGAATTGGGCTCCTAGCTTCGAATAGTGGTCGATGACGATTCTGATCACAAACGAAACGATGAGCACAGCTGGACAGAGGAGATGATACTTGATACTGACGGATGTCGCGATATCAGAAACAAGTCAAGATGGGTTGAGTGCGTGTATCAGGATCAGAAGTACCAAGTACCCACTGCGGCCACGTAGATTCTCAAACGCCACGGAGTCTAATTACGTGACTTTATGTAATATCGCCCCTTTTAGATGGAGTAGTTCGCGGTGGAGGATGAGCCTCAAGGCCTCGACGTCCTCGCATGCATGCGAAACCATTATATCCACATGTCCTATAAATGCCCGCCATTCACCCTCAGACCTATTAGCTGCAGCAAAAGAGCCCCACAAAGCAACGGGCCATTGTTCTACCCAAAATGGCACTCAATAAGCATTGGACTGTCCAACGTCCACATTTTCACAGCGGTGGTCGTCCACAGTCCACAAGTGGCCTGAGCGATAGTATATATACCCATGAAGGAGACTATTTGGTATCACACCCAGCCACGAAAATCCAGGCAACTTCTTCCAAGAAAGCTCAAGTCATCACCATGAGATCTCAGAGGAAAAAGTCTCATCGCGCTTCTCCCTCTAATGTTGAAAATGCTCCGCGGAGGAAACGCATGACACCGGAGCAGCTTGACATCCTTAACCATTACTATACCAAAAATACGCGCCCTATGGATCATGATATTAAATTACTGGCCAAGGAGATTCGCAGGTCAGTTTGGATTCCTCCACACAATGCACTTGCGCGAGCTGACAAAATGGGTGAATAGACCAGTCTCAAAAGTCATAAACTGGTTCAATAATCGGCGCGCTAAAGAGCGTAGACTAGAACTAGACTCATCGCTGAGGGTGTCCCCTCTATCGCAAAGCATTTCGATGAACGTTGATAGTGACGTTGATATGACCGAATCGGATGACGACGGTTCCGAGTCCGAGTCAGGTGATGCCAAAGGTGCCCTCGACCAAGAAGCCCGCGCCTGCGTAGCGGCCATGGCCAAGATGTCACCAGGGGAAGTCGATGTGGCGTTCATTCTGAGCAACCTCAAGCGACGCATCATTATTCACCCTCCCACAAAACGACAAAGCGACGTGTTTTCAAGCGTATGACTGCCAGACTGGAGCTACATGTGTACTCGATCACCGCTATATAGCCACTATATTTTGACATCTTACTTACCTTGTTATTATACCCAATATCTGTCACATAAATATAATGTAAGCACCATGCACTTCAGCGAGGAAGCCCCCCCTTCTTCTAGCACGTAAAAGATCGCGGCTCACCATGATATACATTATCATTCGAGAGATTTTAGCGGTCCCCCGATTGTCCGCTGCTGATTTGTGGAAGTCTTGACATCGGAAATGAATCAACGATTACTGACTCCGAACTTTAGAGGCGCCGTGGTAAAACCCTCGGACTCACCTATACAAACACGACTGCTGGCAGAACTTGAAAAGGTCCTCTGAAATTGAGTTAAGTTCTCACAATTCGCCACTGTGAAATTGTCCGCGGTAAGAACCAAAGAAATGAGAACAGACTGTACGAACGACATCCAGTGTACTGATAGAAGCTGACTATCATTGCAGGGGTATGAAATTCAATTCGGGAGGAGCACCAGGAGGGTGACTCCAATCAACGAAGTTGAGGAGGGCGCAGCCTTGAGGGGCTTGATCTCGGGCCAATTATAGCCTACTGCCTGGAGTTGGACTTGTCAGTTTGAAAACTAAACTGATTGACCTGAAGTGGTGATATGATGGATGCAAGGACGGCTGGTCAATGAGCCAATTGTCATTGGAAGGATGATAGTAAGGGGGAATTAAGATGGTGGCATGGGGATGATATCAGATATGACTGCCATGGTCGTGGGGACAGGTGGAGTAACTTCGAAGACCTGTTTGCCCATTTACAGAATTGATTTTATATTGAAATTATCTTTTATATATATAGAATTTCTATTTATTTTTATTTGCTGTCAACGTCGATAGCGTAGATGAAGTTGAACAACGTCGCATGTGGCAAAGCAGTCTTCGCTGAACGTACGTGTTCGGTTCGGTATCCTCTTCTACCTGAACGCTTTTTCTGTTAAATCAACCTGTACAATACTCCACCAGTGCACATCATGGATCCTGCCTCAAGTGCTATCCCTGTACTTCACAAGAAGCATGATGACGATTTTGACAAGGCTAATGACAAGCGTGATGTTAAGCCAGTCGTGAAGACTCTTAATCGTGTTCCTCGTATGTTCTATTGAGTTCTTCATGTATCAGATCTCCTTACTGACTGCTCCGATACAGGTGCATGTGTGAGCCCACTCCGGCTTTCCGAGTTTCCGATCCATGCTAACATATGCCATTCATTAAACAGAATGCTTGTAGGAAGCAGAAGATGCGCTGCGAGGGCGCAGATAATCCACCATGTAGACGTTGTCGCCATGCAGGACTCGAGTGTCTATTCGAAAAGCCCACCAGAGAAGCAACTCTCACGGGCGAGGCAGGGCTTGAGTCAGTCAACTCAACTCTGTAATATGTCACGATCTTTTCTTACAATATGACAGGCGTATACGAAGTCTAGAAGCTCATGTCGCTGAGATACGTTTCACTCAATCTTCGATACAGAATACTCTTCTCGAGATTGTTGGCCACCTCCGGGGCGCCACGCCGTACAATAACCGCTCTCCCTCGACATTCTCACAGGCGCCTTACAATGCCCAGTCGCCAACAATGCAATCCATGGGATCTCCCCCGATATCTTCTGGCCCGAACGGGTCCCATGTGGGAGATCCAAATATTCACAGCGTACAGGCTGGCCCTACCACGCCCACAGCCTATCACCCCAATCATGGATCTCTTCCACCTATGTTAAACGCCCCACCGCGTCACTCGAGAAATTCTGTTGCTCAAGGTGCATTGGCGCCGGTCGGGCAACCTCCTGGTCACGGAGACTACATTCCACCACCGCTTCCGCCCTCACATACAAACCCAACTTCACCGACCCAATCATATGGTTACTCCCCTTCTGGGCAAGTTTTACCCCCATTTTCCACGTTACAAGCGATCGGTCGTGCAACCTCACAAGGATCTATACCTGGCCGTCATGATTCACAACAAAGGCCAATGCAGCGCGGCCACAATGTGCATTCACCTTCAGGATCTAAACGCACAGCCCCATCCTCGTCCAATCCCACTAGCGCGGACTCAACCGATATTGATGATGATAATGGAGAACTACCAGCCTCCGGCCTGGTAGCACCATGGGAAGTTCTAAGAGGTCTAGCCGATGTGGCTATTGAGCGAGCTGCCAAGGTCAGTGGTTTTGCCGTTGTACACCTACTGCGCGTGAACCCCTATCACGTATAGGAAAACGGCGAAAGCAGTGAACCACCGAGTAGAACCAGAACGCCGTCCCCCGAGCGAAAATCCAGGCCAATGAAGAGGAGGAAGATCCGTCATCGAGCCTCTCGTGGTTTGACTTTCCCGGATGGTAGCGTTTTCTTATTCACTTGCACTACTGATTCTCAACGTTTTAATGGACAGTTGTTACGACGAACATTATCTCGGAACAAGACGCCCGTGAACTGTTCAGAATGTGATTTTTACCTTCTTTTCTTCATGCTACGTACCAATGCCGTCATACAGATTTTATGCCGGATGCTCCACTTTCCTCCCAGTATTCGATTCCCAAGTTGACACTTTCGAAGGGCTCCATGAGCGGTCACCATTTGCTGTCGACGCCATTTGCACGGTTGCCGCCCGCGTGAGGGACGGGGGAGGTGACTTGCTGACTTTTGTTTAGTTATCGGCTTATCTCATTATCCATCAGGAAATGCAAGCGAGACTTACACCCGATGTTTGGAAGCAGTGCAAAATATCTCGTGTGCGACACTGTTTGCTCCAGTGAGCCGCGTAGAAGCTGTGCAAGCGATGAGTGAGTGCACCTTTCTGTGATATACAAATTAAATTAATCGTTTGCAAGTTCTTGTGTCTGGGTGGTCGGATAACGGATGGCTCAGTGGCGGTCACGCTGTTCGCATGGCCATGGAGCTGTGTAAGTAGAACGTTCATAGTAAAACCCAAATGTCTGAATGTTTGATGACTTTTAGCACTTCACAAAGCTTGGCCCAAACTTCTGAGGCGCATGCAAAGCAAAACTAAAACCATTGGTACGGATGATCGCGATCTCGTTATTGCATCCCGAACTTGGTTCTGCCTATATCTCTTTGAACATCAGTGCGTTTGTGGACGGCTTCAAGCACATGTTCCAATCACTGATTTCATATTAAAGATTATCCTATGGTACAGGACGTCCAGCAATTTTAAAGGATGATGAAAGCATATGGCAATGCCGTTTGCTTCTACAACACCCTTTAGCAATTGAGGATGATATGCGTTTGGTTTCGACTGTTGAGCTCATGGCTATCCGCGAAAGGGTTCACAACAAGCTGTCGCCTTTTGAACGGCCTGTCGATGAAGTCACTTTTGGAGTCATTCAACAAGCTGACTCTGAGTTCCGAAATTGGTATAAAACTTGGGATCATGCTTTTTCGCAGAAGTACGAAGATGCAGGTACGGCTGAACCATCAGGAACTACGCCACACTTGCCGTGCTGACTGTTCGTGAAGCGTTTTACCGGCAAAGTTTGCAGATCCAACAACTGCATGCAGAGCTCTTCCACAATGCAACCGCGTTACGTGGTATTAATGGTCCAGAGGATGTTCAGAAAATGCCAGCCGCGCAAAGAGAATTGGCAATACGTTCAATACACACTGCTCGCCAAGGCCTTGAAATCACCGTCAATTCGCCGTCGTATAGCGAAGGCATGAAATATGGTCAGTTTCCATTATTTGGTCAGGATCCCAAAACTCATATGAAATAGCGGTTCACTATACACATGCAACTGCAACATTTGCAGCATCATTCTTGCTGCGGTTAGCACGTCTTTTGTGAGTCACGCATGTTGCCGGCAGTGAGTAAATGCACTCATGTCGTTTTAGCCCGAATGATTGCGATATGCAAGAAATACGATCGCAGGTCGAACGTCTCGCCGGTTTAATGTCTCAAAGTGAGTCCCATTGCACCTTACTGTAGAAACACACTCGTCAACTGCTTCTTTGGCAGTCCCTGGCAAGCGCTACGCCATCACGCTTCAGCTGATGCTGAAAAGAGCGAAGAGGCGTAAGGCGGCATCAAGCTCCCGCTCCCCCAAGATTCCTAGGGAGCCCCATCGAAACATGTCTATGGTGATCGACATGCAGCAGCAGAATGTGCACATGAGCCCCGAGAGTTTTGCTCCAAAATATGATATCGCATATTCGAGTCCTGAAGTCATGCAGCAGATGCAAATGGGCATGGTGCCGCAGCAGACCGCCGAGGTCGACAGCATCTGGCGAGGCTTTGAAATGACGTCGAATGAACAACTTCCAGTGTGGATCTCTGATCAGAGCCTGGGTGGTAACACATTCTCCCAGCAAGGCATGGATGCATTTTTGCTGCCTGCTGACTACCTACCTCCTGCCCCTCAGATCTGGTAGAGGTTCTCGCAATCTACCGCTGTGCTGTTTTTATGGTTGTCGTCATTCTTTATAGGTTCTTGTGTATATGTTGTACCCTTGTAAGTTCCTATCTGTTTTTGTGTGGTTATATATATTTCCAGTATTCTTGTATAGCTCTGTCATCGCTATTCAAATCGTGTGCTTTTGGACGACTGTCCCCGGCTCAGGCTGGGCTGAATTGAAAGTAAGATGTACGGCATGGAAATTCGTTTGGTGTGCAATCACGACCATCGGACTGGATCAGAATGTTTGAAGGGTATAAATGCACGAGTCCCTGAGCCATGGTCTCTACGACTCGGACTACTTCGTGCATATAATGTACCCCCCTGTTTCCCAAGAAGCGCGCAGGCGACCTGTATGTCATGAACGACTCCCCCACCTTGCTGGCATTGGCTTGGCAAGAGATTCACCTTCATCCTCGCAGCAGTCGACTGCTAGCTCAACTTGGCGGGCCCCTGATGAGACGATAGAAGTTTCCTCATCTCAGCACACCAAGGCCAGGGAGGAAGTCGCTGCTGCCGAAATCAACCGTACCTTCAGCGCATTGGAAGATGGAAGGACGCCGCCCAAGCGAAGGCAATCCATTGTAACCAAGCTGGTTCCTTTCACTCGACGCCCGCAAGAAGCGCTTGATGAAGATGTTTTTAGCGACATGAAGACCTCCGAGTCTCATCCCGCGAGCTGGAAAAAGAGGGGGTCCTCGATCGGTGGGGATGCCAGTGCTGAGAGCAAGAAACCCAAGCGGCCTTTGGGAGGGGGAGGTCCAAACAGCTTTTATCAGGGGGGTAAGCTTCGTGCCAGCGTGATCAAGAGCAAGCGGCCTTCTGCAATAACGAAACACGTTCAAGGTGAGCCTCAGAAAAGTATTTTGCCTGCCATCCAATGACGAGCTCGTGTAGATATTGACAAGCGTCGTGCTTTCATGCTCAAGCTCGCCAAGTGCTTGCTCACTTTTGGCGCTCCATCCCATCGTATCGAGTCGCAGTTGGCCACCGCTTCCCAGATCCTTGACGCGAGAGCCGCATTCGTCCATATACCGAACATCATCATTGTCACGTTCGGTGATGAAGACACGACATCCGTGGAGACACATTTCGTGAAAGCGAATGGACGAATTGCGCTTACCGCGTTGCAAGGAGTCCACATTGTGTATCGCAAGGTTCTTCATGACAAAATGACCGTGGAAGAGGGCACCATGCGATTGAAGTCCATTCTCTCCGCTCCCCCGATATATTCCCTGTTAGTACGCTGCCTGCTAGCCTTCGTATGCGGCTCTACCATATGTGTTCTTGCATTCGGGGGATCAGTCATTGATATGTGGATCAGCGGAGTGTGTGCCTTCGTTTTGCAATACCTAGGCCTCAACACCGCGACAAAGAGCGCGACATACGCGAACGTCTATGAGTACGTGATCTTTATCTCTGCATCCACTCGATATAACAGATCGATTAGGATATCGATTGCCATCATCGTGTCCTTCGTGGCTCGAGCACTCGGCACCATACCAGGCAGGTTGTTTTGCTACAACGCCATAGCATCTGCCGGAGTGGTGTTAATTCTCCCAGGATTTACAATCCGTAAGTGGCTGAATCGTGTTATCCACCACTCACTGCGACGATCCAGATATCAGTCATCAGCGCATTAGAGCTCACTTCCAGGAATATTCTATGTGGATCCGTAAGAATGGTCTATGCGATCATCTACACATTGTTCCTGGTGCGTTCATTTCGCAAATATTTTTTGCCACTTCTCAATCCATAACCAGGGTTTCGGCCTAACGATAGGCTCCGATCTTTATCTTGTACTCAACAAACACGCCCGACATACGTTAGATAAGGCCGAAGCAGAGAGATATACGATGTATCACGGGACTTTTCATGCTGAGAACGGCACGTCTCCCGTTCCAGGAGGTGCCATCTTCGGTTTTGCTCAAACCAATGACCCTCATATGGTTAATGGTATTGGATTTGATCGTTTAGGTTTCGACGTATACTAACCCGACCTGAAAGGGTGCTACAGGGAGCCTAGTTGGCCATGGTGGAGAAAGGAACTTCCCTGGTGGACGCTCTTCTTCCTCGTACCAGCGTACTCTCTATGTTCATCGTTGTCCAACCTGCAGAGGTTGCGCAGCTGGCAGCTTCTGGTTATGGTCGTGTTTGCATGCTGTGCCTTCGTTGCGAATCGACTCTCAAATAACTATCTTCCTGGCAAAAGCGACATCATTTCGGCTTCTGGGGCCTTGGTCATTGGGGTTTTGGGCAATGTTTACTCCCGAGTCATGCGCGGAACCGCTTTCACAGCCATGGTCACCGGTGTGTTGTTCCTCGTCCCTGTAAGTCGTCCTTAAATGTGCTTTGTTTGTCCCTAACTAATATCGATCAGTCTGGTATCGGTCAGGGCGGTGGTCTGCTCTCATCTGACGAGACATCGTCCACTCAACAATACTCGGCTGGACTTCAGCTTGCCATACGGATAATAGAAGTGGCGATTGGAATCACAGTTGGTCTATTTGTCAGTCAGATCTTCGTATATGCCCTGGGAAGAAGAAAGAACGCTGCGCACTTTGCTTTCTGATATCTTCCAATTACACGTCATCTATCTATGTACACATCAATGCTGTAAACGCTACCCCAGTAATTTGAATCGATGGTAGATCAAAATGGAGGAGTGAGATTTGAAAATCAAGGTGTTCTAGAGATTACATGAAGCTTGTTACGAGTAGAGAATTAGTACAGGTATTCCAAGAGTGTTCCAAGAAAGCGAAGAGACGGAAAATAAACCTGAAAGGTCTAAATAAATTACGCAGCGAAGAGTTGATTCAGCTCTTCCATGCGTCGTTGTAGCATGTCGGCTTTGCTGAAGTTCTGGCCCAGGGTCATGTTGGCCAGCTCGGTCTTCTTGCGCTGCACTTCCAGAAGGCGATCTTCGATGGAGTTCTCGATGATGAGCTTGACTGTTGTTACAGGGCGTGTCTGCCCTAAGCGATGCTACGACAAAATCAGTGGACCGCAACAAACGGTGTGAAAATACCCACAATCCTATCCACTGCTTGATTCTCGACTGCGGGATTCCTGTGACAGACTTGAGCAACACTCGAATCACAGGACTCAAGAAGATAAACGTTACCAATATGGGTCCATCAAGTACACACGTTGCGCGGCAGTCAAGTTCAAGCCTACTCCTCCGGCCTTCAGACTGACTAGAAGGACTTCACACCCGGGATCATGTTTTAATGCTTCCATGGCACGGGTACGGTCATCACGTTTCATCGTGCCATCCAGACGATCATAACGAATACCAGCCGTTTCCAACGCGTCTTCAATTCTAAACTTGGGTGAGACGGTAGACCACTTTTGCGAAATTGTAATGTCATACTTATCTAGCATTGTTGTCCATTGGGAACTAGATTATAGAGATAAATTGTCAGATCTATCAAGTGAGAATTAGACACATACAAGACAACAGTCTTAATTGCGCCTTCATCGAGTTTATTGCCTTCATTATCCACCATTTCCACCTCAATTGAGTCGGGGTCGTAATTGACAGAATGTGGGTTTGCCCGGGAGAATTGCATAAGGTCCCCAAGCAAGGCCTTGACTTTGGTAGACGGATGAAAGTTCTCGAGTGCAACACCTTTGGTTCGCTTTTCTCGCTTGACAGGCTTTTTCTTGGCGCCAAAGTCAACTGGCGAGCAATCAGGTCGGACTCGAACTGCATCTTGCGGCAAAAGACCAGTCTGGCAAGCCGAGCAGGAACGGCGGACATCGGGAGGAACATCTGGCCAACCTGGGCACACACACTGGCGGTAGCATCCCAGGCAAAACAGATGCTGACAGCGCGTGAGGACGAGTGACGGTGATGATGGACTACTAGCTCGCGTAGGGGCACGGGAACCGGTACCTTTAGTCTTCCTTCCTCGCTTGGGTGCCGACGGACCATCCATATCCATGGCACCACCACCAGCGTCCATCTGCCCCTGTTGATCAGAGGACATACACAGCTCTTCTCCGCATTCAACGCATTGAGTTGTAGCTGCCTCCCGTAGCAAGGCAACGATCGCAGCTGCACGAGTAGGATTAAGACCTTCCTTCCCAATGGCAGCGGCAATGTCTTCGTAGCTAGTGGGGTCCATGGTCTGCATATCTCCTAGTGGTCCTTTACCATCCACGAGCTCGAAGTGGTCGCAAATCTGTCGAAGACGCAAGATTTTCTGGAGTATGCCAACGTAGTTCTTCATGACTTCATTTTTGTTGGAAAGCTCGTTGAACTCGGCTTTGGACTCCGAGAAGAATTGGTCATAGATGGTCTGCTCATGCGGATCAAATTTCAGATACCGGAGTTCATCTCGGCGTGGAGGGAGATGGAGTATTCGACGCCCATCAGAAGCTTTCGACTCCTTTGTTCGCCTCAAGGTAATGCACTTCATGATCGTCTGAAGACGTGCAACACCCAATGACTGCCCATACTTGACTGGAGTGCCAATGAACTCCGTCCAGATGTTTTTGTCATCAAAAGGCTCCAAGCGCAAGAACTTGATGAGAGCATACACATCATCGAGCTTGTTCTGAACGGGAGTGCCTGTGAGGCATAATCGGCGGTCTGCCATTAAATCGCAAGAGGCACGACTGCCAACGGTCTGGGTTTCCTTGATCGAACTGAATACAATGGTGTTAACTGTAATGCACAGGAAAATTATACAAGAACGTACTGAGCCTCATCGAGCACGACACGGAACCAGTGTATAGTCTGCAGAGCACTAGACGCCTCAGATACACCAAAGCTCGAACAAGATTTTTTCCTCTTCATTCCCGCTCGTTTTGGTTTGGGCAATTTGAGTACTTGATTACCGCGTTCGTCAATGTCGACCCCACCGTACCCGTCACTGCTACCATCATCGTCATCCTCAGCTTCTACATTTGCCATCTTCCGATTTTGCTTTGAGTATTCCGATGCTAAGGTTGCATATGTAGTAATGACAGCATCAAAGTCTGCAAGGAATCCCGCGTCTGGTCGTCGGGCATTTCCGTGGTATACGTAGACACGAAGTGGTCGACCTTCGCGTTTTCGACGAGGTGGCTTCGTTTCCACTTTGGTTTCAGCCTGAGAAGATGGGGGAGAATTATTCTGTAAGGAAGACAACGTGGCGGCGGAACAACTCATTCCACCGCCACCGACCACAGTGACCTCTCCTCGCCAATGCTCGCGAAATTGATCTTCCCAATTCGATACGGTTGAAAGAGGGCATATAATCAGCGTCGCCCGACTTTTCGCCTTGATACGACACGCTCTAGCGTAGTCAGCTTCGGCCTTATCCTGGGCCTTCGCAGCCTTCCCTTTGCCCTTAGTGGAAAATGATGGCGAATCAACCTCCGGTATTCCCCACACACTCCCCGCAAAATGGGCAGCGGTCAGAGGATCCTCCAGCATGCTCCGCTCCGGAGGAGGCGCGGGTGGAGGGGGTAAAGGTGTGGCAGCAAATGCGTGTGCAGCATCAAGTGTCGATGCAATAAGGGAAACGCAAGTAATTGTCTTGCCGAGACCCATCTAATCGGGAAGACAAGGCACGATTCGTCAGATAGGGCAGAGATAAAGGGCGGAGGGCATACTGACATCATCTGCGAGAATAGCACCTTTGGATTCTTGGGGTTCTTGAAAGACCTCTTTCTGGGTGACGATATGAAACCAAGATGATTGACCTGTATGAAGATCGTTCCGTGGCTGCCACAATGACGAGTAACGACCGTCTGCACAGCGTTTCTCCCGCTCTCGCTCGAGTAAAAAAGTAACTGCCTTCTTTTGATGGGGATACAATGTCGTTCCTATGTCATTAGCTTTCGAAGCCAGTCAGATGAAGACAAGAAAGCCGAAAACAAGCGCGAGACTAACTAGGCTCCGTCTCTGCTAATTCGTCTCCACTTTTTAGACTCTTGAAAAGCTCATCAATTTGGCTTCGCTGTACTTCTAATGTTTTACCGGAAACCATGGGGGCATTCCAACGAGGGCTATTGCCTCCTGGACCAGCATATCCAGATCTGGAAGGAATCATAGAACGATGGCCACCAGGTGGCGGAGCATGCGGGTTACAGTAGTGATAGTTCATGAGGCGCGAGATATCGTATGGTCCAGAGGGGTGGTCAAGCAATAGACCACATGATTGCAGATAATTGCCAACCACGGCGATATTGCCTTTCGGCGTATAAACTAGCATCTGAAGAGGCAGTATAGGAAGCTTGGCAAAGCGAATGAGCGAATGTGAGGTTCGTCAAAGAGAAAGGAATGTCACATACGTTTGGCGAACCACGCCGCACCTTTGCATCTAAGCGGATCAGGCCCTTACCTAACATGGGGCCGAGATCTGTAGCGACCTTTTGTTCGACCACACCAAAAGCTTCCCCTTGAGAAGGTTCGCCTGACGATGTTTTACTACTAGGCGTCTTGATATGTATCGTCTCAGTTGCACCTGCCCTCTGGGGATTGTGTTCATACTGCAAGCGGACATTTGCCCACTCAATATCATTGATTGAGTCCTGGCCTTGCAGATAGGACACGGGATATAGCACAAGTGCGGTGACTGTGAGTTGTCCGATGCAAACTGGAGTCTTGGGGTGCAGGTCATCAGGCAATGCGGTGGACATGGGCTGTTGGCGAGGCCGAGGACTGGGAGGGGGAGACGGAGAGTCGGTAAGATCAATGACCTGATGATTTGGAGGCGGAACAGATGAAGATGGTCGAGTCGGAACAAGAGGAGGCAGAGTGCGCGCACTGCCTGTAATTGGCAGTTGAGCAGAGGTATTCCGTGGCGCTTGAGATGGACCAGCAAAAACAGGACGGTAGTTGGAAGATTGTGGGTGAAGCGGCGGCGGCGGTGACGATTTAAAGGATGTTTGGTCAAGTGGCAAAAATATGCTAGGCTTCATTTGAGGAGAATGATATGCGAGCGGAAGGTGATTTGGAGGAGTGTATTTAGCATAAGATTGCTGGTGTTCAGCTGAGTGCACTGGATCATAGAACATACTCTGCCTGGGCGGAGGGGAATGATAATCGGTTGTTGGGCGCTTCAGGTGGCTGCCAGACTTGAAAAGGCTCTCAGAAGAATTGGGTTCATCGTCATCTAGGGTAAGGTCAATATGATTCGACTGGCTGTACGAGTCAAGAGATAAGGTTTGAATGTTAGGCGATGATCCCGATGGTGCATGCGTTGCCATTGTGCATGACAATGAGGAAGAGAGCGTTCCGGACGTCACGGACGACGAGTAAAACAGTAAGCGCGAAAGAACCTGACCAGTTAATAAGTTTCTAAGATCATGTCGCAAGGGCACGTGACCCTAATCAATTCGGTTAACATTTCTCACACTCAGTCTGATCACGGACTATCAGTCAGCCGCCGGTATCTCCCGTACTTCCTGAAGCGAACAAGGTAATAATTAAATTCCGTATCTCCTCCCGTGGATGGACCGATAGAGCTCAACAATGGTCACGTTGGTCCCTACTATCTCTAATGCTCGTACAGATACCCTCTGTACCTGATTTAGCGGAGTCCATTCACGACAAAAAACTATGAAGAGGAATTAATACCTAGCTCGCCACTCCGTTCCTACAAAACTGCTGGAACGCAGGACTAGTCATATATCTTATAATAGTGCTGTTCGGGCACACAGCCATAATCTCCACCAAGAGTCCGTGGTTGAAACTTGCCCGAATAGCACTGCTATGAGAAACGCGCAGTGCCTCTACATCTGATGGCGCTACCCTCCTGTAACAAAAGGCAACTGAGGTCGAACGTCAACTAATCGAGAGAAATCACACTTACGAGGTGCCCACCCCATCTCGTAGTAAGCCTGTCTTGCAGCTTGCTCTTTGGCTTGCTGCTTAGTGTCGCTAGTTCCTTTACCCTTCTCGATCCCATCAACTAGTCCCACGTTCAATTATTAAGCACTTTTCCAAGAGATAAGATGCCGTTACATGTGCTCACCAACGCAAGTAACGTTCCATTTTCCGGCATGTGGTGGACCCACCAATACTGCTGGGTAATTGACGCTCACACCACGTTGATGAGCTGTTTGATTGAACAGCGGTAGAAATGCAAGGTGAGGTTGAGCAGGCGCCAGCGGATTTGGAGGTGGGATCCTTGGGGGAGACGGCGGTCGAGCCGGAGATGACCGCAAATACGGATTGTAGTGGGTGGTTTGAGCTAATTGCGAAAAAAAGGTGCGCGGTGTGGGTAGCGGCAGCTGAAGCCGTGGTTGTGGTTGTGGGGAAGGCTGGTGAGTCGAAAAACGTGAGGGCAGTTGGTACACTGGTGGAGGAGGGAATGATGGTAATGGTGGAGGAGGAGCAGAAGGCTCCTCTACTTTAATTCGTTTCGAGGTGGGAATGGGTGATGGCGATGGTGGTTTCGAAGTTATCGACGCAACATCAACATCCATATCGTGATTGTCATTCAGTATCGTAGTGGACAGCCGAAGGAGGCCGCCTATCCACTCGTGCACTGTCTGGAGCCCGTGCTCGGTGAACACGGCTCCCAGATATGCATTGAATATCAGGCGCCCTTCCTGGACCTAGATGAGAATCGAACAATGCGCATGATAAATAAGTAAGTACCTCAGGACTCTGGAGTGATTGTAGACACCTAGGGTCACAACGAAGCTGGTTCCGCAGCCCGTACAGTTTTGACCAGATATCAATCGTTTCGTCGGTCAAGAGCTGCGTCCGTTGTACCTACTCAAGAGTAGAAGCTATCACGAACATTTGGCAGAAAACATGCGACTCACCTCAATTAGATGCACTGGAAGCTTGGGTTTCCGGAAGAAAAGTAGATGCGTCGTCATCATCTCCAAAATTTCGTGGCCAAGGATGGCCAATCGCTCATTGTCAGGAAACTGTGCATTGCATGCCAGTCGAAGGGATTTGTGAGTGTAGACTTCAAGAATAACGGGCCCTGAAAGCTTCGGAAGTTCAGGTACCTCCTCCGGCATTTCGTCGATGGTCTGTGAACGGTTTCGTTTGAGGGCATTATGTGGCATTCCGAGGCCAGGCTCAGGCGTTGATTCCATGGCGAAAAGAGCAACGCTGTGACCGCGAAGGCGAGGAGGGAGAGACATCAATAATTATAAGAAGCGCAATATGTATCCAAGGTGGATCCTAAAAGATCTTCGTGACTCAAGATGGTGGTTGTGTTAGGCGCGTGTTCGTTCAAAGTTGTCAGTCAGTGGGTCCAACCTAAATTTAGATTGAATTACGTATTCACTCCGGAGTTACAGACGACGTAGTCACTATGAAATCATTGATATCTGTATGCTTCAAAATATAGCGTATCTAGCATTATGAGGCAGCGTGTAAAGTATGAGAAATGATCTGCACTCTCTCTACTGGAGAAATCACGCCAACATTGAAGGGCCACCAAACCCACTGTAACGAGCTGCTTCCTCAGCATCCTGCTTCTGCCGCTGCCGTCTGAGCTGTTTCTTGAGACTGTTCACCGTGGCCTGTTGTGAAGGGTCCTGCTCCAACCGTAGGATATGTGTAGTGATACTGTTGGGTGAACGTCAGGAGGTTACATACACTACAAGGCGCCGCACATCACCTGCGAGGGCCAAGTGCCATGATGGGGCAATCTTTCACGTGGTGATATGGACCTCCACAAACTGGGCATTGCGCGATTGATGATTTATGCTTCTTGGAGGATGATGACTCCCCCACATGCACAGGTGATGGCCTTCGTTTCAAAGGCAGAACGGGTGGCAGAACGGTTCTATTTTTCCTCTCCCTGTCCTTATCCGTGATGGAAAACTCCAGTGTCGTCTGTCGCCCAACTTTCTCGGACTCGTCTATGGGTCTGGAAAGGCGAGGAGGCGATATTAGGAGCGGCGTGGTGGACGAAGATCCGAGCATAGGTCCTCGCGGGGGCACAGAAGAAGAGGTGGATGGATTGGACGACGAGACTGTTTTCGGTTTCTGAACACCCAATGCATCACGAGCACGTTTCTTTTTTTGCTTGACAGTAGCATGGTTGCCATTGCTATTTGCGACAAGTTTGAGCGGCTGACCAGCAAGAAGATGGCCATGGCCCCTTAAAACAAGCGTCTTTTCTATGGCAGCAATAGCAGCTGTCTAAAGTAGGTGTTAGTATCTTAATGAGACCATGTGAAGCGACGTCGATACCTTGACTGGCAATGGCTCATCCGAATCATGGTTCATCAGCATTTCCCTGTACTCCACCAGATTGGTGGAGTCTTCGGTCATGTAGCAGATCCCCTTTCCATGGCGTGTGTTGCAAAGACCGCAAAGCAGTATATCCTCATCTTCTCTCACCGAGGCCTGTTCTCGATACTTAGTCTTAGCCTTGGCCTTCATCTTGGCCTTGTGAGAGATCGTTGATAATTCCTCAATCACGTCCATGTCCATCGAGCTAGCACTCGAATCGGTCGCTTGTGCGCCAGGCGTGCCCGCATAAGCGTCGGAATCGCTGGATGCGTCTGACTTCGAAGGTCGATGTTTCTTCTTTTTCCTGCTCATGTCGGGCGTGTCCTCAAGACCTTCAATGTGATCTAGCTTTTGCTGTGGAAACAATGAGCCATGCGCATCAGCAGGCAGACATCATCAAAATCACCTGAGGGAATATAGCAGCAGCCTTCCTGCGAGCGCCTCTGCCTGTGACTTCGGTTACCTGCTCCGCACCTTTCTCAGCGGCTATCCTCTCGAGTGCTTGGGCCCAAGAATCGCCCTGTTCCGTATCTGGGACATCCTCTTGGATCTCTTCCATGGTATCCTTGTCTGCCGCCCATACTTTGGCAAACGCAAAGGAGAGCCCAGCCTCCTTGGTGGCTGCCTGTTGATCACCCTCTACTTCAATCTTCTCGATGAGCTTCTCAACATCATTGTCGACGTCTAAAACGAAATTTGAGCCCAACGTTCGTTCAACGGCGGCAATGATGTACGCACAATTTATGTCCTTCGAAGACTGATCACCTTCCTCAAACAAGGCTTTGGCTCCAAACGTGAGGATCGACTGAAGATCTTCACCAGCACCGTCGTCGTCGTCCATCTTCTGAACAATTAAATGGTCGAGAACAAGTTTTTTCTTCCCCATTAGCATGATCCGTTCTAGAATGCTGTGAGCGTCAACGGACAAGAAGTCGTGTGGTGGTTCATGCCTTCAGCCGAATCTTTGACCATGAACTTAAACACCAAGCATGTCTTCGTTTGTCCGTACCGGTGAGAGCGAGCTATGGCCTGAAATATGTCAATACAAAAGTAAAAAGTTGGTATGAAACATGCCGTACCTGCAAGTCCTAGAATGCCAGATCTAAGTTAGGGCAACCAGCATGAATAGATCAGGTCATACATACCTGGTGAGGATTGAAATCAGGGTCAAATATGATGACCGTATCTGCAGTATACAAGTTGATTCCAACGCCGCCCGCTCGAGTACTGAGCATGTAGATGAAAACATCCGAGTTAGGTTTGTTAAACTCGTCCATGCCCTTTTGGCGATCGGCCTGTTTGGTGTTTCCATCCTAGAAAGGGTCAAGATCGACATTCGCATTCAACGGTATGGATAATTACCAGGCGCAAGTACTTGTAGCCTTCACCTCTGATGAAGTCCTCGATGATATCAAGCGCCATAACAAACTATGGAACATGTGTCATCAGGCTAACTACCGGACGGCGTTCCGCTTACCTGACTAAACAATAATATGCGATGACCTCTGGCCTTCAGTTTGGGTAAGAGCATCCTCAAAAACCGCAATTTGGTGCTAGCACCTATCAGTCTCTCATGAGCCTCTGCAGGGGTGAGGTTGCGAGGCTCGATGTCCTCAGAATTAAGATACGGATGCTGAAGGCATCTACATAGGGATGAGTACCAAGTGTCAACGGCTAGGCAGTGGTGAACTGACTTGCGAAGTTGCATCAACATATTATTCAAATTGGCCTTGCCGACCAAGGGTTTTCCCGCTTTAGTAGTTGCAGCCTGGGTCAGACTTCGGAGAATGTCCAAATTTTGACCTACAGAACGGTAATTAGCGTATGACATGATAAGCTGCAAAGAACACGCACTGAGGATAGACCTATAGATTTCCTTTTGCAGAGGAGCCATAGAAAGGGGGACGATGACCTCGTTCTGGAGAATGTGAGAAATGCAACCAACCCCACTAAAACAAACAAACCTTAGGGGGAAGTTGTAGAACTTCGCTCTTGATGCGCCGCAGGAAGTAAGGCTTGAGTCTAATATGCAGCTGCCGCACTAGCTCCTCATTCAATTCTTCATGCTCCTTCTCCAAGGCCTCGAGGTCGCTCCATTCTGTTGGATCGAGGAAGTTCATGAGGTTAAAGAGCTCGCGAATATTGTTGTTAAGAGGTGTCTGACGAAGTCAGCTGCTAATTGACAAACAATCGCGAAGGTATCTCACCCCAGTCATGATGACGCGATGAATCGCATGCAGCTCGTTGAGTTTCTTGAACAACAGACTATGATCGCTCTTCACTGAGCTGGGGATCAATGTTATTCGTTACTAATTGCTGAGTAACTTACAGCGTTGTCCTTCGTCCACAACAAGAACTTCCCAACGCGGAATGCTCTTGAACACCGAGTTGAAATCCCTCGGGTTGGTGAGCGTCTCGTAAGTGGTCACCATCACATGGTACTTGGGTTCTGGACCACCCTTTCGGTCGGAGGGATGGAACAACTCGTATTCAATGACCACGTCCCGAGCCTTCGCTTCCCCGTAGAAGGGTACTACTCGTAAATTTGGTGCCCAACGAGTAAATTCTCGAATCCAGTTCGTGATGGTGGAATTGGGAACAATGACAAGGGCAGGAGCAGCCTGCCATTTCTCGATGATAGTCCCGAGGAAAGTCACGATTTGGACTGTCTTACCCTGTGTAAAGTTGAACGTGAGTAAAAATGAAATATGATTACTGATAGGCCTACCAGGCCCATCTCATCGGCAAGGATGCAAGGCTGCAAGTTCCACCAATTGTCACAGAGCCAGTCAAAGCCATCCATCTAGAAGATCGTTAGCATGTCGGCTGAGTTGAAAACACTAAAGAGCAAACTTGGAATGGCATGAGCTGGAGTTGACTGTTCTGACCAAGCTTAGGTTGAAGTTTCTGACGAAGGGCGTGCTGTCCGTATCCATCCTTCACTCTGCTTTCTAGCTTCTTGACGTCCGTCGCCGATTTTCGAACGAAAACCTTTAGCGAGTCTATAAAGCGTTGGAAAGCTGCCTCGAATGCCAGGTAACCAGGCTCGTCAAACCGAGGGGGAGAATCCCAAGTTGCTATTTTGCCAATTGAGTTAAACAGCGACAAGGCGAGAACGTATACTCACCTTCATTGTAGCCCAGATCGTCCCATTTGATAAACGCCCATGCGACATACTTGATGTCCTTGATGTCCAGCTCCGACTTATCAACAGTGCGCAAAAAATCATCTACAGTCTCCACGTAGTCATCGCTAGGTTGTTCACCTTTCACCTGCGTTTTCACCAGCTGATCCAGGAGCTCCAGAGGCAAATCCGCTTCTTCATCGCTCTCCGCGACCGAGCTCCCTTTGCCTCTCTTTCTGCGCCCCGGCGGGTTGACTTTCCAGAAAAGGACATCCAGCACACGATCCGTGGTTTTCCATGCAGGAGGAATATGACGCTCTGCATCTGGCAAAGGACTTAGTGACGATACCGACTTGGACTTGACCTCCACCTCAGGAGTCTGACTCGCGCTGGCCTCGAATGAGACTGGCTGAGTTGGTATATCCTTCGCGGAAGGATCAGCCTGTATGGCGTTCTGTTCAGGAGCAGGGTTGTCCAGCAATTCTACTTTGGGCCCGGTCGCAATGAAGTTTTTAAGCTTCATATATGTTGTAGACGCCAGCCACATGTGCGGAACCCATTGGGCGCGCCGATAACTTCGCTCGTTCCATTTCACGAGGTACTCCCGAGGCAACATGCTCTTGGGCTCTGGAAGATTCGTGAGCGAATATTGTGGTTCAACGGCATTGGCAGGATATGGACGCCATGCAAGGATCTTGTCTACGGTGTACTCATACGAGAAGCAATCTGCACAACGCCATCCAGTATCGAGCTGATAGAAGGATGCAAGTTTGACATCGTCCACAGAAGCCGGATCACCAGGTTCAAAGGTATCTGGGATAGGAAGATGGCTATAATGGGCGAGACGCTTGCAGGTGAAGCACCGGTAGACAAGCTCCCTTGTAGGGAGCGATACGCTATTAGCGGCATTCGAAGAAGTCTGCGTGGCGTCAACCATTTCGATGTCCTGAGCAAGCCCTGTGGGTTTGGATATCGAAACGGCAGGTGGTGCGGTGGACTGTCTCATGATGGATGAATCGGCTTCTAAGGCAATCTCCTTGCAGCCCATACAAATACCGCCCTTCATGCAATTGGCACATATGAACTCCGTGGTTTGCATAATATCGAGCTCCTTGCGATTCGGAAGTTCGGAGTCTGGAGGCTCGTGGCCATCGTAACCGTCTGGCTGTTCACTCTTCCATTCCTCTTTATCACGCGCACGCGCTGCACGGGTGACCTCATCTTTCTGGGTCCTTGCGAGACAGCGCCAATGAACTGCAACTGGACACTTTAGGCTGTGTTTTGGACATAAGTATTCCAGTGAGAGTCGAGTCAGTTTGATCATACCATCGAACCCAGCCACCCAAGGACTGGATGAGATCATCTTCATTCTCCTCGGACCCATAGTCGTCTTCCTTGCGAATCTTTCTCCTGCCTTTCCTCGGTTTTTTCAACTGCACATGAGCAGGTGCTTTGTGACATTTCTCGCAAATATCCCGGTGAGCGCGCAGCAACTCGGTGTCTTCCTCCTCATAGGCATCAAACTCAAGATCCGCAACAGAACGAAAGATGCCATAGGCAGGTCGGGAAACAGGTCCCCGCTTGAGTCGCTTTTGACTTTTCACGGCTGCTTTGGACTTTGCAGCCCTCTTGGAAGTTTCTGTGTACGATTCGCTATCGGTTTCGCTGTCACCAGCCTCATCAACATAATCCTCTGCAAGGTTAGTTCTTGCGCTCTTGCGCTCACGAGCCGACCTGCGAGCTGGAATGACTTCTATGACGTCCTCCTGCTCATATCCTGCCAATTCATCCTCCGATTCGGTCATATACCGGCGAACATGCCTGCTGCGTAACTTTTTGGGGCTGAAAGGAAGCTTTGTTTGAGTTGCAACGCGTGACGTCCTTCTACCTTTAGCAGCCGCAGCTCGGATAGGCCTAGAATTGGCTTTGCGGGTGGGCATGCTCTGGTCCTGGCGATATTCGTCCTCGCTCCGGTCGTCGTCCTCTTGCTGATCAGATTCAGAAGGTTCCGTAAGATCAGACAGGGAGGACGAGGCCGAGGTATATCCCCAAGTGCTTGTACTCCGGGCAACACAATTGACCATATCTATGGTTATGATTGTCCTCATGCGAGAATCCTCGTGTACCGCGCTAGAGGATGGGTCAAATTCGTCGAGCTCTCCAGCATCTTTCTTTTGATCTGCATGACAAGTCATGAGACACGCGCTATACATACCACTAAAGTAGAAACTCACCGTATTCCTCAACTAGGTCAGCATATTCAGCCTTGAAGTCACTAGCAGGAAGCTATGTGATTACGCGTCAAATTGGTGAATAAATTTCGGCAAAGAGATGCGCACTCTATATGCTAGCCCATCGTTGAAACGCACAAAGTAGGAAAAATCGGTGCCCTCCCGGGATTCACCTACAATCGCGTCAATGTCATCCCTGTCGAAAGGCACGCCTTCCTTGAATTCCTCAGGAACAGGTTTGTACTGTTTCCTCTGCAAGTCAGACAAGACAGGAGGCTCTATGAAAAAGGATGCTTTTGGACGCGTCTTGGGAGCCATCGGAACGTTGGAGGACGCGACTGTAACGTTATCACTATTAGTAGGTAGTCCACCAGGAGAACTAGTTGGTGGGGTAAAAAGTAAAAGGGGATCAGTGGTTTGGGAAGACATGCTGGGAATGTCTCTCAAAAGGCACCGTTTCCGTTGCGCGTTAGACACGCTTTCTCAGAAATGAGCGTTTACAGCAAGACGCGTGCGATTTGTCAGCTCGTGTTTCCGTGTGTCCCCCGTGGGAATTCAGATCGATGCATATATTTATGGCGTGCTAAGGCGCAAAGAAAACAGCGCATTATATAGATTGCGGTCAAGGGCAGACGTGATAGTGTATCTAATCACACGAATCCCCCAGAAACGAGCCACTCATAACACTCCAATGCTACTTCTTCGCTATTGTCTATCAATCACAATCAGTATCAAGATAGTGCAGAAGATGAGGTACAAGGACACACTGATGCAGAATGCATGTGGGATATCACGGTGTCCGTGCACGACTTTCACAGTGCCAGGGTCTGCCCTGAAGACCTGGAGAATCGTTTCTCTTCCTTGGTCAACCCAGTCATCGTGATCTGCGAAATAAAACCAAAGCTGGTGGCGGTATTTGTCCAAGGTGGCAGCGTCCAGTTCCTTAATGTTGAGCATTTCATCGTGTGCCATCGTCATCGCAGCAAAGATTGATGAAGGAGATAGCAGAAATGACCGAAGAACCTTGAGTTGTGAGATCGGGTATTGTGGAAATATTTGACGAAGGATGATTAGTGGCACAAGACGCAATACCCGAGCAACCTGTGATGTAATGCGCGGAAACGGAGGCCGAAACAAACGCTAAGAGAACGCAGGAATCGTGAGCATAACTACTACCAAAACTCAACTACCAACCGACAACAGTCGACCATTCGGTGTGTACGCAATGTTGGTGATAGTCGGAAAAAGGAAGAAAACTCCCGAAACAGCGGCGGACCGTAGTTTCAAGACCTTTTAAAGAGCATTGAAGAGGTAGCACAGTGGGACACTTCAGAAACGCTACCTGCAGAGCTACCCATGAACCAACGCTGTGGCCAGCGATCACAATACGTGTATTGACGCCAAAAGATGTGGTCAAAGCATCGAAAATTCGAAGGGAATTTCGAATCTGAAATGTCAACGCATGATTAAATGAAGTGCGGCGTGCTGGTGCAAGATCCTCGGTAGCAGGGTCATGTCCGATATGTGAATGTGACAGTATCGCCAATGTCCCAGACCTGTCCTGGTTGTGTATTGCGGTGAGAAACGGATGATAGAAGTCGATGATACCAGGGTTTCCTGTAGTAATTCAGAATAAGCTCGGATGGAAGTGCGACATTGCCAAACCTACCTGGTATAAAGAGTAGAATTGTGGAGGGTGATACACTTGCTCGTTTACACGGCCACCAGTGCACATGTACAGATGGTATATCGTCACTGGAAGGAAAAAGAGCATTCATATATGAAACGCTGGAATCTGGTGCCAGAGAGTCTAGAAACGGGGGTAAACTGGTCCTGGTATCGGGCATCCTGCAAGTTGAAGGGTGCAAGACTGCGAGTAGGATGATGTGCTGTCAAGGTTTACAGCGTTTCCGTATATTCTAAGTCAAAGGCCCGTCACCTTGTTTGCAGCTGAAGTTAGCAGTGAGCCCTAGTACTTCAAGTTGGTACTGGCCACAAAGTAGTAGATTGCAGTGGTCTGAGATGTTTACTAGTAGCAGTCCGGCTAGTCTGAAAACGGAAGTACTAATAGTTTGAACCCCAATTGGTCAACAAGTGTTCTCTGGCTCGCGGTTATACATCCCATGTCTCGAATACCGACCTTTCCTCTCGAACCCACAGACCCAAACCGCATTCCCTTACCGAACAACTCGAACGGGTCTTATTCAACTACCAGACCGTTGCAGATTGCCCGCCCGCCATCACGTCAGGGAGCACCAAGTAACAACACCCTTGCCTCCTCCTCACCCAAGGGCCCAGGGTTTTCATCACCCAAGGGTCCTCTACGCCCACAAAGGTCAGAACTGAGGCCACGCCAGGTATCTGAGCATTCCGAGCGGGCTTCCACTTCGTCTCGAGCAACCCAACTTGAAGATTACGCAGCAAGGGACCGTAGAGATAGTTCCAGCACAACGCGCTCAGATTCGTCAGGGGTGCCGCAATACCATAATGGAAGTATAGGCGCTGCAAATAGTAGGGTTCGAGTGGATATACCGCGATCTAGCGCTTACGATGAGACTTCCCCGACAACCCCTGCAATGGCTTCCGTCATGGCTGCCTTCAGGGAAGCTGGAGCTCGCAAACGTGCGATGACAAATGGTAGCGATGATATAGCATATGAACAAGAAAAGCAGAGGGAGAAGGAGATGGAGATGAAGAGGCAAGAGCGCATCCGCGAGCGAATGCCATACCGGAAAGCAACCGGGAAGGCCAAAGCAGGAGATATCGACGGTGAGGAATCTGATCATAGAAACATGGCTAACTATATGTTTTAGCTGTTTAATTGTACGCTGACATCGTGTTGTAGCTGTGCTCGACCAGATCAAGGACGAATGGGAGTTTGTCATTGACCCTGATGTAAGGCGTAGATTCTACTGTCAAACAGTACCTGAGCGTAATAATCTTGCAATTGTTGCAGTTTAACAACGTTGACCTGGCTTTGTCACTACTCGATGACACTTCGATAGGCAAAGACATTGAGTCTTTTCGACGAACCAAGGTAATGCTTGCGCAGGCATTAAAAGGATCAGTAGACAGTAAGCTCTAAGCTCTGCACTCGTTTCCTGTTTTAACAATGTTCATACTTAGAGCACCACAAGGCGTTTGCGGACGCACTTCCGCATCACGCTGCCCTTCTCAATCACCTTGGACTTGCCCAGACACAAATAAAACAGTCGAAGACAGCTCTTATGGAAGCGAAAGAGGCTCTAGGCAATAAGCGTGCTGATCTTGTTCAGCTGTGGTCAAGAGGACAGGTGCTAGAAGAGATGATGCGTTTGTTGGATCAGATGTCAGTTTCTTTTTACTTTATGTCAATTGGCTCATCTACTAACTATTTCTCCGTAAAGCGAGCATCTGAAATCAGTGCCCGACGCACTTGAGACTCTCATGTCGGAGAAAAGGTTGTCTCAAGCATCGGTTCTCCTGGTGCGGAGCCTCAAGTTGATTAACAAACCCGACATGCAAGAGATTGGAGCAGTTTCAGATCTACGAAGTTATCTGATTGATCAGGAAAATGTGCGTTTGTGAATTACTTAGCGGCATGCAACACCTCATGACTGGGCAGGCGCTACGGGAAATATTGATTGACGAGCTTCACAACCACCTTTATCTCAAATCCTTCTGGTGTGAATCGCGGTGGGCTGCTTATAAGCCGAATCAGACAGCCTGTAAGTCCTCCCGCTTTGTGCAGCTCTCGTCTTGACATGTCTCCGAAGTTCCTAAGGTCGAATTTGAGAATGATTCGAGTGCACAGCCGTCCCAGAATGGCACCGCATATCCTTCGCCTCAATCGTCTTCACTGAAACTTGGATCTTCCCGATTATCTCGCTTTCTCAACTCTCTTGCACTCCGACCAAATGACCCTCCTCATGACCTCAGCGAATCAAACTTTCGCAGCAATGCGTCTGTTCAGGATTTGTCTTCTTCATCTCTTCCATCCGCTCCGTCTTTCTCATCGAATGTTAATCTTGTTGCGCTAGCAACTTCGGCTTCTCAGGCACCTCAACTTGATGCAAACCCGGAAGGGGACTCCTTCGCCTACATCGAAACCCTACTCGAGTCCCTTGCAGTCCTGGGAAAGCTTGGGAGTGCGCTCGATATTGTCACTCAGCGCTTGCAAGGCGAGATATATTCGTTGGTCGAGTGTACCTTGGACGAGGTTGAGGAAAGAACGGAAGAGTCTAAGAGAGTTTCTATGTTCGGCGCAGCCAGCCTAGGAAGACGGTCAGAGGGTGGGTATATCTTCGTTGCTAACGAGTCCGTCGGGATCACTCTAGATGGTGTTGTTCCTTCGATACCAGCAAAGGGTATACTCCCCCGGACCTTTTCCCTACGCCTTGCAGCCCTGGAGTCTTCTACGAAGCACGTCGATCAGGAAACATTGAAGGACTTCTTTTGGAGTGTTTATTCCAAGCTTGACGCAGTAACGCAGGGATTAAGGGTAGTCTTTGAGGTTGCTAATCGTATAGGATCGGTATGCTACATTTTGTCTTGCAAAACACCTACATACTAACCTGTATTATCTCAGCGAAAAGACTTCAAGGACTCGTCCGGCGCCAAACCGGGAGCTTTGTTTCCGCTCGCTGATGTATGGCTACCAGTACAAGCTGAGGTGCGTAGCGCAGTAATTCTATAAGTAACATATCAACCAGGTTACAGGTCCGGACGCTCTTGCATGACTATTTGACAGATGAGGAACAAGGCTCCGTGGCGGGGCGAAATCCAATATCTTCCATCAACGAGGTCCTACGAGAAGGTCGGTTCATAAGAGACAAACAAAAGGTCAGCGCAGAATTTCGTCGCATGTCTCAATCACTAAACGTTTACTTGCAGTCCGTATTCCGATTTGCGGATACTGATATGAAGTCCATTGGAAAAGTCCTTCGACGTCACGAGGACGAACTCACTCGAGTCCTTCGAGATACCATGCCCGGTCTTGTGCAGAATTCTTCTGACAGTGCCGTCCAGGCGACACTGTCGACAGTCGGCACAGACGACCGTCTATTAGGTGTCAGCCAGCATCACCGCTTGCTTATCAAGCCGGATGCATTCCATGTTAGCGTACTTTTCCAGCCTACCCTTGCGTTCTTGAACCGAGTGACGGATATTCTCCCTGATGGAGTGGAAAGTGCCCGCTCTGCGAGTGGTGTACTAGATGACTTTGTACTCAAGGTTTATCTGCCACAGTTGGAAGAGCGCATATCTGAACTTTTCCATCAAGCAGTAACAAGTTAGTTGCTTTGTCTCTCATGTCACATGATTCTAATACCAGTCCTACTAGGTCCTGACGCTTTCCAGTACGACCAGATGTCGTCACGATTTAGTGCAAAGCCAATATTCAGAGTTCGTGCTTTCGTAGGTGCTGTAATATTGATCACTGATGCGCGGTTTTCCAGGCAACTACACAGCTAATGGCACTGATAAACTCGTTATGCGCGATGCTCCGCACAACTCCGTTCCATCGAGAAAGTTATTCTCGCCTGATTGTTGGGGTGATCATTCAGTTTTACCAGCGTTGTAGTGACAAGTTCCAAGACCTGGTTTCTTCGACAACTAACATCCCTAACACTTCCTCGTCACCTCTGGTGTTGGCAGCTCAGTGGGCACAAAAGTCGGAGTTAATCCCGTGTTTAACAGAGCTCTTCACAACACCCGTATGTATCGCATATCCTAGAGGCTCGTGAAACCAACAATTTTTCGCAGGAGTCCAATACTGTGATCAGGTGTCAGCTTTGTCGACAGGAAACACATTTGGAGCTGAATCACCTCGGCCAAGCTCAGATAGCCAAGCATGACTTGGTTTCTTCAACTCGCAAATTGGCGAGTCTGTGTGGCCTCTACCGCAGTGTGGTCAGTGGCACAGGATGTATGAATTTATTGCATTGATTAAATTAATCTGCAGGCATGGTTCACAGAGGAGTTGAACGCCCTGAAGTCAGCTCCAGATGGCACACTCTCGCCGACTACGCCTGCGACACTGGAGTCTGTCAATGTCGTGACGCCGTTTACTCCCTCGTCGATCTCTGCTTTCCTCTCGCGGGGTACTTACGACGAACAGCTTAGCCTTCCCCTATCACGAGAAATGGCAATGTGGGTGTGTTGATCATGACACCGACTACCACGCTCATATAGATCTCTAGACGGTTCGGCGCATTACTTAAGACGTACGCCCAACTGGCCGAGATCATTCTGCATACCATTAGGATCGATATTCGCTGCCGGACAATGCACTATTTGGATGCAGCTATGCGTCTTGTCGGTGTTGAATTGCGTGTACTTATTCATTACTAATTGATCGCAGGGTAATTATAATATCGACCATGAAGCTGGCGAGCCTGACCCGTACATCGTGGACCTTAACACCGAAATCAGCAAGTGCAACGAGTTTGTGTCAGCAGCTATGCTTAAGGAGGAGCACCGGTGAGCATCTGCCCTCACCTCAAATGAATAATTCTCTTACCTCTCTTAGATTTGTCTTTGCCGGACTTGAACATTTAATAGAACATCTCCTTATTTCCAATGCTCGGCACGTGCGCATGGCGAACGGTTTTGGTGTTAGGAAAATTATACGAAACGCTCTGGCGCTGCAGCAGAGTGTGCGGACCATCGGCGACGACCAGCAGCATGCCGAGTTTGAGCGCGCAAAGAGTTATTATTCACTTTTCTTCCTGACACCCCAGGTACGCTTCCTTCATTGTACGTTTATGACACTGCTTACGAGTCGAACTAGGGTTTGCTCGACAGTATCCGTCAAAACCAGAATTTTACCTTCGATGAGTACAAGACTATACTCAATCTTCAGTGTGGGGTGGATCAGTCCATCGGCGAAGCCGGAGTTGCTAAGGCTGCGGACCGCAATTATAGCACGTTTCTCATCGATCTGCACGGCCTTGAGCTGGAGAGTTCCGCAGACATCAGTTAAAGTTCAATCAGGCTTTCGACATCTAGTCGTATTTGTATATTTATAAGTAGTACTTTGTGGGTAATACATCCCTCCATGCTTGCAGAAATGGCCACCGTCGGATAGATCGTGTTTGGGGATTCGCGGCGCCAAGCCACTGAAATAAGGAAAGCTGAACACTCGTGCAAGCAAGTTATGGCCTCATATGCTAATCGGACCTCGAGCACCGCGCTGGTGTATTTGTTCCTTCAGTCATGGCAGTGCCCGCTACCCCAATAACGGTTGTGTGCTTGAGTAAATATCACCAAATATGTATCAACAAATTGCGAATAAAAGATTCTCGAACTGCTATAATCCTTTCTATCCTTCCCAATTCTGCGCGTTGACTAGGGAGAGCCGTCCTTTTGAACTGGCATGTGCAACGCACAGTAATAGTCGCTGCGATAGCTATCATAGCATGCCCTCCGGGCAACGCGGTAGCGCAGAGTGTTAGGATCTTTTTTTTTTTTTTTTTTTTTCGGAATTGAATCAAAATTATTGTGCTATGGAGAGCAGGACTTTTGGGTGCATTGGATTTATTATAGTAATGTAAAGAGTGCCGGGGGTGTTGATTTGCATTCTTAACCCACATGACTGAGTCCAAAGAGGAGTGCAAGTGATTCTGTGTGGACGAGTGTTGGTGTTTATTTGTGATAGCGGTATCCGCGGTCCTGCAGAAGCCTTGTCCATACTGAAAGTTCTCTGGCACTTGTTAACGGTATTGCTCTGAGTAAAATGACCAATTGTTCGCGGGTGATTGTGTCAAAAAGGACTTCCTCCTGATGATCATGGCTTCCTATGCCTTAATGTTCGCTGGATGCTTTTGATTCCATGCCACATCATCGTCCGTCGAGCAGGGTAAAGATCTCCCTTGAAATCGGACCTTAAGCGCATTCGGTGCCAATGACACCGAGAAGCCGCCAGGCTTCTTGGTTTTCATGTCTTCGCGTGCTGAGATAAAAGTTAGGATGGGGAGCCTTCCCAGCAGCTCCTGGTATCTCCTGCGCAACCATCGTCTTGGGAGGGAAGCATCAGACCCTTTCCGTGATGTATTCTTCGGCTTTGTTGTTAATTGAACCAGCTCCTCGAGGACAGTGGTACCATCAAAGCCTATTTTCTGGACAGCAGCCGAAGTACTCAAATCGTTGCCCTCATTCCCGACATCTTGAGAAGGCGAAACGGAGATCTGGAGAGGTGGGAACACTTTTTTCCACTCCCGTCTGAAGTACTTCCAGCGAGCGTTCACTTCCCGCCGCTTGCTGAAAGGACCCAGTATCTGGGCATCAGACGAATTAGGGTCTGCACGTTCGGGAAGTATTGGTGGGAAGCTGAGGTTCTCAGGCACCAAAGGTCTTTTCCTACGAGACAGACCCGAAGTGAGAAGCGCGGTGAGCCCTGGGGAATATACGGGAGGACGCGACGATTCTTTGCCGGGGATGATTGGCGGCGGAAGTGGTGCGTTTGGGTCAGACAGTAAGGGCTACTGGGACGTCATCAGGTGATCATGAGCAACGCAAATAAACACTTGAACTCATCACCTCCATCAATTCCCATCTTAGTTTACCTACCCGTCCGTAGGCAATGTCCAGGATATGGTTGAAAGCCTTATGGTTGCCATTATTTGCTGCACGGACGTGTTGTATGGTCTAGCCAGAAATAAGATGGAAAAACAGTGCTTGACGAAAGCAGCCTCACCTGTGAAACTCTCTTCAGCTTTCGCGCCCTAAGATCATCGCATTTTGTCAGCAGCGCAGCACGACAGCCATCCTCTGCCTTCAGACGGAAAACTCGACTACAGGTTATTAGCAATGCTCATGCTGATTCAGGGATGGACCATACCGAAGGTAAGCATGAGGCAATCGTCTAATCTCACGAAGATAGCTTCTGTATACTGACGCAATTGACTGCTGTCCATGATTCATGACAATATTAATGAGACGAGCTTAAGCCTTCACTTGTGCCAGTGGTCATCGACCGGTCGAGAGCGTGAGAGCGTCGTATTATTTTGCGCTTGTCACACTCGGATTCGACTCAGCTGTTCAATGCACATTCAACCATCAGTTTTGCATCAGTTTAACAATTTCTTCAAAAGGCTAAGTAAGTACATAAAGTTCGAACCATCGGATCCATAGACTTTCCAAGAATTCCCAAGAGCCGCAAAATAGCTATGATAGGTAGAGTTCAAGTGTGAAACTAAACTGAAACTAAGTAATGTCAGACTGTAGTACTACTACCTGTACAACCATCATCAAACTTGGACTCCACGACCCGTTCAACGGTTACTTGGATCTGCTCGACGATCAAAGATCCTCACAAGACTCCATGGTAAAGCTACGCACTGTTTGCCCCCGCTCTGTAGTTTCATTTCTTGGTTTGTAAGGATCAAGCCGCATCTATGATTTTGTAAGATCTATACTTATGATATGGTCTTAATGCTTACTGGAAATCCGTGTTGCGAGCGCAAAGCTTCCGGTGCATTCTCCCAGTCCTCCGAAAAGACGATCGGCAAAGGATAACCGCTCGAAAAATTGTTTTGCTTTCCGTTTCTCGTATGCTGTCTGGCATTAAGACTACAGCAGCAGATCAAACTTTGAGCAATGGATTCCGCATCAAATATGAAGATTACTCACGTGGCTAAAAGGGAGATTGCATATACTGCTCCGACAACATCCACCGGAAGGTGAGACGCGTTCGTAAGAATTTAAGATGGCTTACACTTTGCTATAACGAAATGAAGACCTAGGAATATGCGGTTTTCAGGCATAGTCAACCACTGCGATATCTCAGCAACTGAATCATGTCAGAAGAATTATGCAGCGCTCACGCAGATCAATGCTGCGACGGCCGCAACACTGTAAGGAAGGCGGCCTCAAGATGGGATTACGGCTCAATTGCAGCTAGATGACATACCTTGTCACCGATCCATTGCGAATCGTCCAGACTGTCAGGGTGTCGATGATACGCATGGTGCTACCAAACGAATAAACGCCAGCTGCATGGTTTACGATAACTTACCTTGTAACCATCGAGCGATTTTTGCGAAGGAAGTAGCACATGAACGCTGTGATCATGATATCGACGAATACTGAAAGTGAAATGCCCAAGGTAAAAATCCACTGCGACGATATTCAATCAATACGTTTAATACTATGAATGTGCCCACCACCTACAAATGGGAAAGGGTTCTCAAAGAATGCGGCGTATGATCGCAAGCGGATCCTAAGGGAACATGCGTCAGTGACCATCAAACGTGTCTAAATACTACTCACATCTCGCTCATCGAGACTATTCAATTTTTTGAGGATGCGCGTGACTGGAAGGATCACACAGGTGTTTCATGACTTACCGCTAGCCGCAACTGAAGTCAAATGTCAGTATAAATACACATAGTTGCCCCGCTGAGCGCCGACCTAAACGAAAGAAAGCGAGTGTAACCTGAGAGCAGGGATTTCATCATCAAGTAATAAACCCTAACACGCGAACTCACAATTGGGACCACTACAGCAAGCCTCTTCTTTTGCACTTCACAGACTTCAGTATTGGTGAAACAGTGACAGAGAAGGATACGAACATCTGTAGATTCGGTATGCGAAAAAACTGAACCTGTCGAGTGAGGATCATATACTACCCTTATAACATCATAATTGACCTTTGGACGAGGAAGGTAATCATAGCCTGGCGAATATTTTGGTTAGCATCGAGCAGCTTCATGCGTATGAGAACACACAGTAAGCTCGACCGCAGGCTAGATGAGCCTATGTTAAGGGTAGTACAATACGTCTAGATTACGAATACTCACACCAACACTCCTGATGGTGCGTCAATTTTCCGGCTGACAAGTGAATGAGATCACACATACCAAGGGATCTTGTCAAGTTCATCCATATCACCGTAGGGCAAAATAATGGAATCCCAAAGGGCAATTGCCAAAAACGCGGAATGGCACAAGTCGAGCAGCCTAACATTCCATTGTCACTGATCATGCTCAAAAAGAACACTCGAACGTACCATGTTGCAATGACCTGTACAAGGCGATTAAAAGTGGAAACTCGAAGAAGAATATTCATACCAATGACTTGGCACGCCAAGACTCATAAGAGTACAGTTGCCAGTACACGAAGAATTGCATGTTAAGACAACCCGACAAGCTGTGAGGAGTTCTGTTGGACAGGTCGGGTATCGAGGCAAATCACGCACCCGAAGGCTAGCAAGCCACCAATGAGCATGGATCCATAGTCCTGAGCAACCTCAGTCATCACAAGGACGATAACTTCTCAAGTGTGGAGCAATGGGGAACCGAATGAAGGGGCTTAGGACGCTCTTACCCCACAGTACAAGTGTTCACAGTGGCGAGAAGGAGTTAATTTGAAGTGAACGCACATACTTAAATCCATCACAGACTTGGGTCTGGGACGAAAATGCGTGAGATCTGCAACCAAATTTTCGCAAGCAATCGAGCCAAAGCTGCCTGTAACAGTAACAGTAACATCTTAAGCTCTGATCTGATCAACCTTCTCAAGAGCTTGATGATCCATGTGATTACACACACCTTAACTGAAAATGAAATAGGGAGAAGAAACATGAGCGACTACTGAGCGCATGATGCATGAATCATGGCAGGAGTCAATCAAACTGGGGTATGATTGCACTAGCAGCATGCGCAAATGTTGTCGTCCATCATGGATCATGATGCGCGATACTACACATCATGATTTGTTTCCCAGGCGTTACATCAAAACACTGCATGATTGTGTACAAAGATCCATTATGTATAAGTCCCGCTCCAACAATAGCGAGACGCACCTATGACCGCCGCATAAGCCACCTGGTTGAGGGTGTTATCGCCCTAAGTTTGCGCCTCTAGTTGGTATCGGGTTGAGTGATTCAGGCTGATACGGGGGGCTTCGGTCCCTCATGCTCCCGCGAGGTGGATCATAAACAAATGTTAGCATCCATGAACAGGAATAGCAGCGCATTCTTGGCGAAGAATCAACTGATCCATGTAGTGCCTGTACAAGCACAGCTGCCCCAAATCACCCACATCGCATTCGACCCAAACAAGCCTTTTAGCGAGGTGGCGATCAATCTACTCCCACGAGCAAGTAAAACGAGATCGTAGCAAAAACTTCGGCGCTGAGAGCCTGGGAGTCTGTGGAAAATACAGAACAGCTGAAGAAGGTTGTGCTACAGGGTCAGTCCCAGCCTCGCTCAAGAACCTGTTCCGCTCGATACACCAGTTTGATTCATGATGTCAACAAGGCCACGTAAGCAAAGTTCCCACACTACAGAGACAGTGCGCATCGACAATTTCCTTTTCTCATTAGTCATCACATCACGGTAGACGCCTTATCACTTAGTTGTTTCTCTTTGTTTGTACCTCAGCGGTTTTGCCATAATCACTGGGGAAACGACAAAATAAACAGCATGCAGAAAGGGTAGGGTTAGGGCCTGTATATGGACACAAAGCAACATTTAGATTGCTCTGGGGCACGGCAGAAAATACAAAAGGAAATTGTGGCTGTGACGTCCCCCGAACCTGCTGTGACTCATGATCAGCCACACAGATGTTTGGGAGGAAGAAAACACTCATTTTCGCATCATTTTGGATGCGGAAAAATTGTGGGTAGCCAAGACTCCCACACAGTAACTGCACATTCAAGCATCGCTAGCACTGGCAGTTTAACAATTTCTTCAAGAGGCTAGCTAAGTACTAAGTACATATTCAAACCATCGGATCCATAGACTTTCCAAGAATTCCCAAGAGCCACAAAATAGCTATGATAGGTAGAGTTATCAATAATAATTAGCACGTCCGTTATCAAAAAAGTGTCGTAGATGATATCATCCCAGTCAGGTATGAAACTAAGTAATGTCAGACTGTACTACCTTTTGTACAGCCATCATCAAACTTGGACTCCACGACCCGTTCAACGTTTACTTGAATCTGCTCGACAATCAAAGATCCTCACAAGACTTCATGGTAAGGGCTACGCACTGTTTGCCCCCTCTCTGTATTTTCATTTCTTGGTTTATAAGGATCAAGCTGCATCTGTGAGTTTCTAAGATCCATACTTATCATTCGACTGTGATGGTCTTAATGCTTACCGGAAATCCGTGTTGCGAGCGCAAAGCTTCCGGTGCATTCTCCCAGTCCTCTGAAAAGACGATCGGCAAAGGATAACCGCTCGAAAAATTGTATTGCTTTCCGTTTCTCATATGCTGTCTGGCATTAAGACTACAGCAGCAGATTAAACTTTGAGCAATGGATGCCGCATCAGACATGACGATTACTCACGTGGCCAAAAGGGAGATTGCATATACTACTTCGACAAGATCCACCGGAAGGTGAGACGCGTTCGTAAGAGTCAAAGATGGCTTACACTTTGCTATAACGAAATGAAGACCTAGGAATATGCGGTTTTCAGGCATAGCCAACCACTGTGATATCGATATCTCAGCAACTGAATCATGTCAAAAGAATTATGCGGTGCTCACGCAAATCAATGATGCGACGGCCGCAGCACTGTAAGGAAGGCGGTCTCAAGATAGGATTACGGCTCGATTGTAGCTAGATGACATACCTTGTCACCGATCCATTGCGAATCGTCCAGACTGTCAGGGTGTCGATAATACGCGTGGTGCTACCAAACGAATAAACGCCAGCTGCATGGTTTAAGATAACGATAACTTACCTTGTAACCATCGAGCGATTTTTGCGAAGGAAGTAGCACATGAACGCTGTGATCATGATATCGACGAATACTGAAAGTGAAAGGCCCAAGGTGAAGATCCACTGCGACGATATGCAATCAATACATTTAATACTATGAATGTGCCCACCACCTACACATGGGAAAGGGTGCTCAACGAATGCGGCGTATGATCGCAAGCGGATCCTAAGGAAACATGCGTCAGTGACCATCAAACATGTTTAAATACTACTCACATCTCGGCCATCGAGACTATTCAATTTTTGAGGATGCGCGTGACTGGAAGGACCACACATGAAGGTGTTTCATGACTTACCGCTAGCCGCAACTGAAGTCAAACGTCAGTATAAATACACATAGTTGCCCCGCTGAGCGCTGACCTAAGCGAAAGAAAGCGAGTGTAACCTGAGAGCAGGGATTTCATCAACAAGTAATAAACCCTAAAACGCGAACTCACAATTGGGATCACTACAGCAAGCCTCTTCTTTTGCACTTCACAGACTTCAGTATTGGTGAAACAGTGACAGAGAAAGGTACGAACATCTGTAGATTCGATATGCGAAAAAACTGAAGCTGTCGAGTGAGGATCATATACTGCCATTTATAACATCATAATTGACCTTTGGACGAGGAAGGTAATCATAGCCTGGCGAATATTTTGGTTAGCATCGAGCAGCTTCATGCGTATGAGAACACACAGTAAGCTCGACCGCAGGCTAGATGAGCCAATGTTAAGGGTAGTCCAATACGTCTTAATTACGAATACTCACACCAACACTCCTGATGGTGCATCAATTTTCCGGCTGAAAGTGAATGAGATCACACATACCAAGGGATCTTGTCAAGTTCATCCATATCACCGTAGGGCACAATGATGGAATCCCATAGGGCAACTGCCAAAAACGCGGAATGGCACAAGTCGAGCAGCCTAGCATTCCATTGTCACTGATCATGCTCAAAAAGAACGCTCGAACATACCATGTTGCAATGACCTGTATAAGGTGATTAAAGTGGAAACTCAAAGAAGAATATTCATACCAATGACTTGGCACGCCAAGACTCATAAGAGTACAGTTGCCAGTACACGAAGAATTGCATGTTGACACAACCCGACAAGCTGTGAGGAGTTCTGTTGGACAGGTCGGGTACCGAGGCAAATCACGCACCCGAAGGCTAGCAAGCCACCAATGAGCATGGATCCATAGTCCTGAGCAACCTCAGTCATCACAAAGACGATAACTTGAGTGGAGCAACGGGGAACCGAACGAAGGGGTTCAGGACGCTCTACCCCCACAGTACAAGTGCTCACAGTGGCGAGAAGGAGTTGATTCAAAGTGAACGCACACAAGACGGATTCTCGTCATGGTATCCATAGAAATATACTTTGTGATCATCGTCTCGTTGCATCGGACGCATTAGTAATCTGAAAAAGCTAGCTTCCTATGGTGTTGTTGGTAGCAGTGACTGATAAGAGGCTCCATGCTTTACCATAAATCCATCACAGACTTCGGTCTGGTCCGATGGAGATTGATTGAACCCATTGTGGTATACGATATTTCAAATATGACCGGATATCTTCTTGTTGGCCGAGACCCCTCTTCCCAACAAGTTCAGGACACTCTAGTCTCGATAGGCGGGTCAGCTACTTGTTGCAGCTATTCCAACGGGACGAAAATGCGTGAGATCTGCAACCAAATTTTCGCAGGCAATCGAGCCAAGGCTGCCAGTAACAGTAACATCAACTTCATCAGCTCTGATCTGATCAACCTTCTCAAGAGCTTGATGATCAATGTGATTTTACACACCTCAGCTGAGAATGAAGTAGGGAGAAGAAACATGAGCGATTACTGAGCGCGTGATGCATGAATCATGGCAGGAGTCAATCAAGCTGGGGAATGATTGCACTAGCAACATGCGCAAACATTGTCATCCATCATGGATCATGGATCATGATGCGCGATACTACACATCATGATTTGTTTCCCTGGCGTTACATCAAAACACTGCATGATTGCGTACAAAGAACCATTATATATAAGTCCCGCTCCAACAATAGCGAGGCGCACCTATGACCGCCGCATAAGCCACCTGGTTGAGGGTGTTATCGCCCTAAGTTTGCGCCTCTAGTTGGTATCGGGTTGAGTAATTCAGGCTGATACGGCTTCGGTCCCTCATGATCCCGCGAGGTGGATCATAAATAAATGTTAGCATCCATGAACAGAAATAGCAGCGCATTCTTGGCGAAGAATCGACTGATCCATGTAGTGCCTGGACAAGCACAGCTGCCCCAAATCACCCACATCGCATTCGACCCAAACAAGTCTTTGAGCGAGGTAGTGACCAATCTACTCCCATGAGCTAAGTAAAACGAGACCGCAGTAAGAACTTCGGCGCTGAGAGCCTGGGAGACGGTGAAAAATACAGAACAGCTGAAGAAGGTAGTGCTACAGGGTCAGTCCCAGCCTCACTCAAGAACCTGTTGTCACTTACCGCTCGATACACCAGTTGATTCATGAATATCATGATAACAAGGCGTGTACTTCGAGAGTTTGTAACCGATCTAGATTCAAGGTGTCTCATTCCATGCTCGCCCTGAGGCGCTCCATGAGTGCCGTTTGCAGTCAAGAGAAGCTTATACGTTGTGGCGACCATAGTGCTCGCTGAGTTGTTTACGACGTGGTATTGGAGTTGAGACATCCTGTTTCGGAGGTAATGCATGAGGTAATTGACATTAACAACACCTAGCGCAGCAAAAAAAATCCCATAATTCAGGAGGGAAATGGATCCAATTACGACGCGAAAAGAACATTGTGTGAGCAGCGGGCAGCATCAATAAGCCAAACGGAACATGAACTGGAAGCTATACTGTTTCGTGTCAGGGTCCCAATATGACCAATTCCAATATCCGGCATCGTCAGCTTCATCTTCTATCTCGCGGGCAGGAATGCGGAAAGCAATTGTCTCGTACGGCTCAGCAGCCACCTAGCAGTAATAAGCATCATGTGACTTGGGAATGGGAAGGAATGGACCTACGATTAGATACTGGTATGCCTTGTTCGGAGGCTCCCTCTTTTGCTCCCAAGCGCTCATAAACCGTCGGCGAGGGATGACGTCCGCTTTGATTTGAGGAAGGTGAACCTGGACCATCATACCTTCCTTACCAGTATCTTTGTCCCGCACTTTTGTTACTCGGTAGCCTGGGCGTCCTATTTTGAGGAACACTTTGCGTTGCACATTGCTTTGAGTGGGAGCAATCATCAATTGCGTGTCCTTGGCATCGCGAGCCGCACGACGAGCAAGATTGGTCTGATGCTTCTTTCCCTGAGTGTGAGCCAGGTATGAACCTTCATTGGTATGAAGCGTCAGACAGAGACGACATTCGAGGCCACCTAAGTGATTCCTTAAAATATAAGGATCCTGAACGGGACGTCAAGTTATCATTGGAGTGCAGGGCGAATAAGAGCGTACTTTGGCAAGGTCAATTGTCTCGAGTGCAAGTTTGCGCAAACGTTCACGCCTGTCGACGTTGGTCTCCGAAGCTCCAGCGACACCACCTCCACCAAACTTGGAGCCGACACGGTTCTGCCAGTGGAACAAGGTGAAATTGTGTTCTTAGATAGGCATAAGAAGATATGACTTACTTGAAAATCTAGAAATATTGAGGAATATTAATAAAGACAGTTCTGAAGAGGGAACGAGAGCGACTCACCCATAGGTACGATGATAAAGGTGGATGAACAATGAATTATTTTACCAAAATGGCTGACTGCTTCAATGCTGACATAATCAGCTGCTTGGAATTTCTCGAGTACCGGCAAAAGTTAAAACTGTAGGGAAGGTATCCTCGAGCTCCCCCTTCCATTGCAATTACGCGTCGGACGGTCGGACCTCCGTGCTGTGTTGTTGACACCCACCAACCCGATCATTTACTAAGAATATGGCGGGCCAGAAACGTGCTCTAGAAGATAACTCATCCCGCAATGTCAAAAAAAGCAAACTCGCGAAGGACAGGTCAACAGATGTCCCGGAAACACCTGTCCAATTGGTATCAAATCTCATGAATGAGGAGGTCGATTTTCCACGAGGAGGTGGAACTAGCTTAACAGCTGCAGAAGTCAAAGCTATCCGAGCTGAAGCTACACAAGAAGCAAACGAGGAGCTATTTACTGTGAGTTCTGTTATCTTACTCCAAATGAGCTCAACATAGTAGCCTTTGCTGTAGGCGCCTGGCAAGTCTCAAAAAAAGAAGAGTAGATCTGATGCCAAAAGCAAGGCGAGTATTACACCGAAGAAAGATGTAATTCGCATCGAACATCTCAATTACAAGGTAATTTTCGTCTCATGAAGTTATAATGCCGGCTCAGTCTTGCATTCGCAGCGCGTAGTTCCTGGTATGAAATTACTTGGCCAAATCGCATCAATACAACCACTGGCTCTCATTATATCCCTGCCGAACCAACTCATGGGTCACGTTCCCATCACACAGGTTACCTCCCAGTTGACTAGTCGTCTCGAATCAATGCATGAACAAGAAGAGCCTTCAGATACCGAATCTGTTGACGACGAGGAATCCGATTCTCAGACGGAAGTGCCCGATTTGTTTCAACTCTTCCGTGCGGGACAATACGTCCGCGCAGTTGTAACCAATGTACATGCATCGGGATCTACGGACGTTTCTGCCATCGGAAAATTAAGGGATGAAGCTGTGAAAGCTAGTCGTCGCATTGAGTTGAGTCTTGTACCCAAGGCAGTAAACTCCGGAGTCCTTAAAACAGATCTCAAACCTGGCTTTGTGAGCAATATCTTAGATCACATCATTTTGTCACGATTAAGCCTCGCATAGACACTCTCAGCGGCTGTTCAAAGTGTAGAAGACCATGGGTACATTCTTGACATCGGCGTTCAGGGCTCCTCTGGTTTTCTATCCTTCAAAGAGGCCAAAAAAGGTAGTTTTGACAGTTCAAAGCTTCATGTTGGCCAACTGCTCGACATTGCGGTCGTGAAGATGTCTAGCAACGAGAGAATATGCACAGCTTCGGTCGATCCTCGAGGCATACAATCATCTTCAGTCAGTCTTGCTGCTCAGGATCTGCGATGTTCCTCATCATGTCCTAATTCACAGATCACAGAAGTCAGCAATGTGACCTCTGTATTGCCTGGAATACTGGCTCAAGCATTGATCACCGCTATTTCACCAGGTGGTCTCAAGCTACAGATGCTTGGCTTCTTTGACGCGACAGCTGACGAGTTTAACGTGCCCACTAACCCTGCCAAAGCATTCAAGATTGGACAGAAAGTGAAGGCCCGAATACTGTACGAAATTGCCGGAAGCTCACCCCCGAAGTTTTCCGTATCGCTCTTGGATCACATTGTCAACCTGAAAGAAAAACTCTCCATCAATGGTGTCTCGGAGAATGCCGCCATTCACTTGGTGTATCCCATTGGCACGATCCTGGATGCCGTTACTGTGAAACGCATAGAGCCGGAACGAGGACTCGTTGTGGAAGTGCAACCCCACCTTGATGGATTCATTCATGTAAAGTTTTACATTAATATATTGTCCTAGACTAACTCCACTTCCTTGACAGATATCTCACACGTCTGATGGTCATGTTCCAACGCTCTCTTCCTCCTCGGGCCCATGGAGATTGAACACCATCCATAGAGCGCGTGTCGTAGGCTATTATCCGTTGGACGGGCTACTGCAGCTCTCTCTCCGACCCTCAATTTTAGATCAAAGGTTCCTTCAAGCAGGCGATTTACAGGTCGGAGAGGTCCTGAAAGGCACTGTTAAACGCCTTACCGATTCCGCCCTATTCGTGTCAATATCTTGTAACGCGGACGGTGTCATATGGCCAATTCACTACGCAGATATACCGCTCAAGCATCCATCAAAAAGATTCAAGGCCGGAGGCAGCATAAAATGTCGGGTACGCGATCGCAATCATCAGATGCCATGCATGCTAAGGAAATCTGCAGGTTCTTGCCGTCGACCCCCAACGCATGAGAGTTGAGCTGACTGCCAAAAAGACGTTGATTGAATCTACACTGCCAGTCCTGACCTGCATCGAGGAGGCGAAGGTCGGGATGATCACAGATGCAGTAGTGTACCGAGTTGTGGACAAGGGCTTGATTGTCCAATTTTATAACGATCTCAAAGCATTTGTGCCGTCTCGCGAAGCAAGGTTTGCTCAATTTTTGCTGTTGGTTCTGCTTTTGATTGACGCTTTGCAGTGACTATTCAAGCAAACTGAAGGACATGTTTGTTGCGGGCAAAGTTGTCAAAGTACGAATTCTAACCGTTGACCTAAATCCCCCTCGAGTTGTCGCAAGCATTCGTCAGGCGTCATCATCAAAAGCTGCCAAGGTGACCGATAGCAGCGACATTACAAAAAGTGCTGTCGCAGAGGGTGTGGTAGCGGTCCACAAAACAACAGCTGCTCCGTCACTGCGCCCGTCTCATGCTCGCGAGCCCGTCCCTTCAAAAGCAATGGCTAGCATACGTAGTAGCCCACCGCCACAAAAGAAGGCTGCGCCCACCCAGTCGCAGTCGACGCCGAGATCCCCTACTCTTAAACAGGCTGCGCCTCTGAAAGTCGAAGGGTTTTCTTGGTTCTCCAATGCCGCTAGGTCTGATGCGGAATCTGACGAAGCATCTTCCGACAACGAAGGCAGTGAAGAGGATGAGTCTAGCAAAAAGAAGAAAAGGCGCAAGAAGAAAGAGATTGAGCAGGATCTCACTGCTGACATGCACTCGAAGCTTCCAGAGTCGAATGCTGACTTTGAGCGGCTTCTCCTGGGCTCCCCAAATTCATCATACTTGTGGGTGCAGTACATGTCTTTCCTCCTCCAACTATCCGAAATCGATAAAGCGCGGGAGACTGGTCGACGAGCAATTCAGACCATCAGTTTCAGGGAGGAGGAAGAGCGGCTCAATGTTTGGATTGCTTTACTGAACATTGAGAATGTCTATGGCACCGATGAGTCGCTGGAGGCCGTCTTCAAAGATGCTGCCCGGCATAATGACTCCAAGACCGTCCATCTCCGCCTGGCGGCCATCCTAGATCAGAGCGAGAAGCACGAGGCAAGTTTTTTTAAAATCTCGGCTCCACTACTCTACTAACGAACACACGCAGAAAGCAGAGGATCAGCACAATCGGACCTGTAAGAAGTTCGGCCACAGTTCGAAAGTTTGGACTCTGTTTTGCGAACATTATTTGCGTCGTGGAAACTTGGAGCAGGCACGCAAACTGCTTCCGCGTTCACTGCAAAGCTTAGAAAAGCGCAAGCGTGAGTAGTTTAGTGGCATTCTTGTGTTCTGATCTAAGGCTGGTGAGGTACAGACTTGAAGACAATATCAAAATTTGCTCAGCTAGAATATAAACTCGGCGATGCGGAACGCGGCAAGACTATATTCGAAGGGATCGTAGACTCTCATCCGAAACGCTGGGACCTATGGTCGATTTATATGGATATGGAGGCAGGGCAAGGTGATATTCAATCGTTAAGGTGAGCATTATCTACCTCCCAACACAGTGAGCCTAACGTCACGCAGAAACATCTTCAATCGTGTGTTTGCCATTAAAATGACTAGCCATAAGGCAAAGTACGTGTTCCACTACCTTGCGGGATTGTATACGCTAATATCGTGTAAAGGTCATTTTTCAAGAAGTGGCTTGAACTGGAGCGGAAGATTGGGGACGAAGAAGGTGCATCGGCTGTCAAACAGAAGGCAGTTGAATGGACACAAAAAGCTGCATCTGGACCACAATGAGCCAGACTCGGGATATCGCAAAAGTTGATGCATGTCACAATATATATGGAGAATGTCGAACAGCGAGGAAGCAACGAAGTAACGTAAAAGTACGAAACGAAATGAGTGTGAGCATGAGCGGCGGTAAGCAATCAAGGCAATAAGGGTATAACTATATGTGCAAAGCAAAAAAAAATAACAATGACACAAAAAAAACAAGTGTTACGATCGCGACCGGGTTCGCTCATGTCCTATCAAATGAGATGGAGATTCGAAGTCGCTGAGTGGTCGCCGGGCGCCAAACGAACTAGCCATCTGCCGCTGCCAATCGTCCAGTTCATTCGACAAGTGCTCAAAATTCTCTGAGCTCGTCATGCTAGATGGTCGTTTGAGGGGCTGATCGACTTCCAGGAGAAGGTGGATTTTATGCGAAAGTTGTTCGTTTTCCCTTTTGAGGTTGGTGTTTTCGACGGTGAGCTGTTCCAGTAAACTGGCACCACTTCCTTCGCGATAAACTGCGAGGGTAGCATTCATTCTCTCCAGCTCCAACTCTAGCTCCTCCACACGAGTCTGGCGTTCATCAAACTCCCGTTGAGAGATGACGAAGTTATCCTTCATGATATCGAGATCTTTCTCCAATGTCTCCATCCTTTGACGGAGATCTTTGTTGTCACCGATTAAACGCTGACTTTGCTTCTGCGCATCAATCAACTGCCCGCGAAGGTGGTCATGACTGTCGTCTGAAGGGGTGTTGCGACCGTTAACCCCACGTCGCGGTTCGGTGCTGGATCGTCCTCGAACAGTGTCCAGCTCTGATTGCAGGCTAGCGTAGGCAGTCTTCGTCCTCGTAACCTCATCTTTCATCCTTCGCATCATTTTTTCGGTTCCTCTGTGATGGACGATTAGACCTGGGACATGTATAAATACGGGGAGAAAAGCTCACTTTACATAATGCACAGCAAGCTGATAGTCTTCTTCCATCTGGCGCATTCGTGCCTTATAGCTTCGTTCCGTCTCCTCGAGTTTCCGTTCAGCTTCAAGGGCGCGCGCGTCAGCGTCTGAGTCACCTTGGTTCACGGGACTCTGCAAGGACCTCGCCCTATCTTGTTGCTGCGACATGGTACTCAACTGCGTCTCAAGTTCGCGCTTCTTTCGTAGGGCTTGGCTGAGTTCCCGCTCTGAGCGCTCGTACAGTAGGGTGCGTTCTTCCAGCTGCTTCTCCAGGTCTGCTAGTCGTGAAGAATTTGAGGAAGGTTCATCCGAATCTGGAATGATTCCATTTTCTGAAAGATAGTTCCGAAGCATTGCCAGGCGGATATTGGTATCGGCTGTCTCCTTCAACGCTCCCCGTAGATCATTATCTTTTTCCGCAAGGTCTTTGCGTAGACGACCCTGCTCCAAGACAGAGCTGGATAATTGCGCTCGGAGGCCCACAATTTGCGATCGTAGGAGTGTTTGCTCGGATTCTGTTTGCCGTACCCTGCGCCGTTCCTCTGAGAGGTCCCTTTGTACTTCCTCCAGCTGCTGTGTGGCATCCTTCAGCATCTTGCGTAGAGAAGCAGCTTCCACCTCCAGGGCCTCCACTTTCTCCGTATGTCCTCTCGTTAATCGGTCTTCGTCTGCCCTGAGGTCACGATGCGAGTCCAGAAGTTCGCCAAGACTGCCAGTGGTGAGTGCACGGAATGCATCAGCTTCTTCACGAGACTTGGCCCACGCGTTCTCGACCTCTGCAAGCCTGATCCTCGCTTGTTCCACTTCGGACATGCGGGTCTCCAAGTCGCCACGTAATTCTGCGATATCTGCCTCTAGCTGAGTGATCTGATCACGAGCGCGTTGGTCTTCTTCAGAACGGGAGGCTACGGCTTGTAGTGCCGTACGAGCTTGATCGAGAGCGCGGATGTGCTGATCCCGGAGTTGGGTCAACTCTTCAACCTGTCTCTTGACCTGGGAAATCTCAGCGTCTTTTTGCTCAAGCAGCGAAGTCTGGCCAAGAAGTCGATCGGCGTGATCTCGAAGAGCGGCCTCAACATCCACATATCGGTCGCGGATTTCAGAATGTTCGCGAGCAACACGGTGGTGCGTTTCCTCCAAGGTATCAGCACGGTTGCTGGCGTCAGAGGACCGTGCCTCAGCCTGCTCAAGAAGCGTAGTCTGCAAGGCGAGCGAGTCACTCAACTCGTCCGCTGTCTTCTTCTGTGCAGTCTGTTCCGCCAATAAAGTGGCAAGGTGGCGTTCGAGCTCAGAGATACGCTCCCGCTCCATTTGCGAGACTTCGCCAGGTGCAGATGCCTCGTGGGCAGTAAGCTTCGCACGGTAGTATGCAGCTTCCTGGATCGCAGCGGACTTCATGCGCTCAGCATCCGCAATGCGTTCAGAAGCCTCGCGGGCTTGATTGGCCAGTGTAGTCTGTGTCTCCGTTAGAAAGTTTCATTTATTCCCGGAAGGGGAAAGCACACCTGCATCTGGGTTTTGAAGTGCCTGAAATTCATGACCATGTCAGCAAGCTTCCTCTGATCCTCACTGATGTCATCTTGGAAGTCAATATCCTCGGTTTCTAATGCTTCTTCGTCAAGTTGAACAAAGCCCGATCGGGATGCCTTCAAAAGTGCCGTCTTCATCCAAGCCTCACGCCTCCGCAACGTTTCGACCTCCATCTCTTTGGCCTTATAATCCCGAATCAGGTCAGCTGTCACATTGCCCGTTGAACCGAATTTCCCCTGGGCATGCCCGTTTCCGTTTGCACCGGGAGAACCAGATGATGGGTGATAGAAAGCATCAAGGGGAGGCCTGCTACGATCCACAACGGGTGATGGACTTCGTGCAGCTAGACCGCCTAGTGCCACGCTGGCTACGTTAGGTGGCTGTGCGCTGCCATAGGGATCGGATCCAGTCTGAGATGTGGGGGACATTGCACGGGTGGCAACACTGAAGGAGTTGGGACTCCGTGCTCGGGTCTGGTCTGGAGATGGTGCGTGATCTCGGGACGTAGGAATAGACTCGACAGTAGCACCGGTGTCTGTCCCGTTCCCGTCATCCGTTCCGAACACGTCCCCATCATCTCTTCGAGGGCGTGACGGTGCTTTACCTTTGATATTAGGAGATGACTGCACAGGTGCACCATTCGGTGTACGAGTGCCAGGCCGGGTTCCTGGAGGAGATATAGCCCGGCGAAGGTCGTCTGCGTCTTGTGGAGCACCTGTCGGAGACATGGCACGGGTACCATTAGGCAAAAAGCTTCCTGTTACAGGTTGTCCTGGCGGGGGTGTAGGAGTTGTAGATGATTTTCGACCAGCCTTCTCGGCCGGGGGTGCTTTGCTTGAATCAGGGTATTTGATGTGCTCTGAGTGGTCCGTCAGCAGTGTCATTGGTGCAGAAAAGCGGTCGCGTACTGGTGTCAAGAACATTAATAATTCCATGGTCATCGCCCTTGGTTGGCGTGAAGGACTCTCCGCCAAGAACGAATACTCTAGTTCCCATGGACGCCATAGCATGTCCTGAACGGCCGCTAGGCGCTGGACCCATGTTTTGGAACATGTACCACCGCTGGTCTGTACGCGATAGGCTCAGAATCACGCCCGCCAATCATTCATCAAATCACGTACTTGACATCTTGAACGCTGCCAAGTCGCCAAGGTCTTTGCCGTCTACACCCCGCCCGCCAAATATGTAAATGACGTCGTCAACCACAGCGGCTGCGTGGCCTTCCCGTGGCGAGGGAATAAATCCAATACATTGCAGCTCCGACCAGGTCTTGGTATTAGTGTCATACGACCACGTATCATTGTAATGGTATTGACCATCTGTTCCTCCGAACCTGCGAAACGTGAATACGAGTCAGTCCTGAGTGAACATCGAACATACACGATGATGCGATCTTGGTATGTTACACAGGCATGTCCTGTGCGATGGGCAGGTCGGGCGGCTCCGACGGGTTGACACAGCTCCCAAGCTGTTTGTGTTCGGACTAAGAACATAACAGGACATAAGGTTTAGGAAAATAAGCTTAAATTGAACGGGACTTACGAGTATTAAGATCAAATGACCAAAGGTCGTTCAGGAACTCGCCATCTACCTGACCTCCGAAGACGAAAAATTTGGTGCCGACCATAGTAACAGCATGGCCATAGCGTCCAGCGGGTGCAGGACCGTGCATAGATACGCGAGTCCACTCTCGCGAAACTGGGGCGTACATGAAGTATGGTTTCTGTGAACAATTAGGATGAACGCACCGAGATTCAGAAGATACAAGCCATCATCTTGTTTTTCTGACTGATCGGATAGAGGGTCTGTTTTGGTGTCGCCTCCCCATACAATGAGAACGCTGCTAACGATAGCACTGGCGTGACCGACTCGCGGTGAGGGCGTTTCTCCACCTGTCTGAACGAGAGTCGCGGACAGATCGCGAGTAGAGAAAAGGTATAAATCATTGCGGGCAGTTTCGCGGACGAGACCACCAAAAAGATACAACTCGCCCGAAGTAGTGGCTGTTGCCGGAAGTGCATGGCCATACCGAGGGAATGGAGAAGGCGAAGGTGAATTTGGTGCGGCGACGCCAGGCTTAGGGATTACGAGTGGTGGAGGGAGGAGTAAGCGGCGTGCAGACCAGGGATAAGCTGGCCGCTGTTGAGGCTGTTGGGAAGCCTGTGGTGGCGGCTGTTGCTGCTGTGACTGGGGCGGCTGTTGTGTTATGATGGGGCTTGCTCCGCGAGCTTGCTGGCGTTGTTGTTGAGCGAGGGCTACGGCAGGGCCATTCGTGTTATTTGAACTGAGTCTTCAAGATGGCAGGGATGAAGAAGACGATGAACAGCTGTGGGAGAGGAAAAGTTGATATGGAGAGACTCACGAATCATTATCCCGTAGGTGGTGAAGTTGAGCAGCGTTGTCCTTTGCAGCCAGCTGCGCCAGAGCTTGACTTGGAGTCTGAGCTACTGTGACGGATGAAGCAGCGAGCTGGCTTGCGCTAGGCTGCTTCTTCCTTGAGAAGAAGGACATTCTTCGTGCTCTGTTTACTAGGATGGACGGTATGGTTGGCTAATAAATTTTGATTGAGGGATTAAAAGTGAGTATGTGAGAATTGGGGCTATGATGAACTTGTCGTTGAGGGAAAGGAAATTAGGAAAGCTTTCGAAAGTTGAGTTGATGGTAAGCGGGCAGCTGATGGAGCAAGTCCAAGTTGCTCTGCATCCGACAAGTTTGCAGCTATTTGCTTTCCTCTCTAACTACAACTACTACTACCACCACTACCACCACCTACTTACATTTTCCTTACATGCCTCATCCACAAGGAAATAAAATCTGCTCATCATATCTCCTTCGCAACGGCTATTCGTGAGCACCGCAGTGAACGGCGCTGTGCGGCCGTCTACTTGCAATCTTTCCAAAGTAACCTCTCCATTTGGAACTAACGGGAAACCGTCTCACTTTTTCCCCACACTCGGCCGTCTTCGGCACCCTTAGTAGGCACGCCCGTTATCCTGACAGTCCAGCATCAAGCTTCTGACCATTTCTCAGGATCACTAGTGCGGTACTTGTATAGTAAGCCGTCCATTACACTGACGCCCACTTATCATCATCTCCATTCGAACAGCTTCTTGCCTTCTCCGTACAGCTTACGCTTTCAGGAAGTTGGCATGGACTACATCAAGTCTCCGGATCAGTGACACTGATCCCTGAATCATATATCAGAACTCACAGTGAATATGGTCTGATGCAAATGTTGATATCTACCCATTCCGTTAATCCTATCATCGGTAACATCGAAAAAGCAGGGACGCACGAAGTAGTAGCTATGATCGTACCCTTCCTGCTTCCTTACTCGTACCTGTACCTCATCATGCCCAGCCACACGCGCAGCCTCGAGAAACTTGTCCGGGTGCAGTTGGTACAGGAAATTATCCGCGGTACCCTGCAGACTATATTAGCCCTTTCTGATGCCCAGGGGCAATGAATGCACAAAACACGCACATAATCCACAAGTATATTCACCGCCCCTTTCACCTTCCCGATCATGACTGTTGCATCGTATCGGTCCTTCCCCTCCGCAACACCACCTGCAAGATACCCAGAGAATGCCTTCGTCCCCCACGGCACCTCGGACGGCTCGCAGATTGGTGAAAACGCAGATGCACTACGATATTGCTTCGTCCCTGATAACAGTGACGCGAGGTACAGCGTCAGCGCTCCGTGTCCGCCCATCGAGTGTCCAAAGATTGACTGGCGTGTGAAGTCCTGTGAATATTGACGTCAGCATATAGGAAAGAAGGTGGAACGCTGGGACGCACGAGAGGCAAGCCTGCTTTTTGGAGCACCTGGGGGAGCTCTTGAGTAATATGGTTGAGCATATTGTAATGCTTCGACCACTTGGGATTCGTTGCGTTCAGGTAAAAGCCAGCACCTATCCGCCGTATCAGGGAAGGATGAGCATCAAGATCAGAGATTACCCACCACTGCCAAAGTCCCAATCTACATCTTCACCCTCAATACCTGCGTTGCGCGGGGAGGTGTCGGGGAAGAGCAGTGCAATGCCCTGAGCTGCCGCATCGCGCATGAAGCTGCCTTTCTGGGCCCTGCGGACCGTCATGTGAGTTGGCAGGGTCAGCGAACGGGCGTTTAACACGCACCCATTATCCTCCGTGCAGGTCAGTCCCGCAAGGTAAACAAGGACGGGAACCTTCCCCTGAGCAGCGTTGGCGGGAAGGAAGATATTGAACTGGGTATATGTATCGCCCAGAGCAGCAGACTAGTCTCGGTAGAATCATTATCAGCGTGGCGTTACCGCCACTGCCAAACGACGTACTCTAAACTTGTACTTTGCGAGCGTCCCCTCGTAGTGCTTGTTCGACGAAAGTTGTTCGAGCGACATTTCAGTGGGATATGTCAGTGTCACAGTTGAGATTCAGCAATCCTTGGCACGATGGGAAGATCGAAGCTATTAAATGGGCGAGTTGGCGAACCAGACAAGAATAATACGCGCTTGTTGGGTGAGATGGGCTGGGACACTTGTCTCATGATATGACATCCCCCGCTTCTCCGGTCCACCCCCCGGTCATGGTAAATTTGTCCTACTCCACTCACTCATCGGATGAAACGTGTTTTATTCCGTGAGACAGAATCAATCACTAAACAGTGCTGAATCTCGGTGGTAAGCATTTAGAATACAATACGACTAATAATGCGGCAGATACTTAATCTTGTATTTAAGGGTATGGCACGATGCGTGCAAGTGGTTTAGTCTTGTTTGAATTGCGATAGTCCCGTATGTGCAGACGGGGTTGACGGTTTTGTGGGTGATGTAGGTGAAGTCTCCTCCTGAGGAGGTGTCGGGGGTAAAGATTTCTGCTTCATTGGAAGAGCTGTCGAAGATGTTGATGCCTCTGCTGGTGGGGAAGGACGTCGGGGTACGGATATTGATTCTTCTTGCACTTTTGATACCATCTCTCCAAGTGCAGGGTGCATCCTCAGCAGCGGGCTTGGCGTCGACCTGGGAGATGGATTGCCACCCAAGAGGTTTTTCTCCATTCTCTCCCGTTGACCTTCAACCTCTAGCATATGCTCGTCACCCTCGCTCTCCTCCACTCCAGCCAGCAAGTCTGCAACACCAAGGTAAAAAGAAGCAGGCTTGAACGGAATATCCTTCCCCCAAATTGACGCCCACGTATATCGCGCAGCATTCGTCCATCCAACAAGGTCTAGGTGGTTCACCGGAGAAAGGGTACCGAGATATGTGCCCTGAATGCGTATTCAGAAAGCCATATATACCAAATCAATTCGTCGCACTCACCCACTTGGCTGATTCAACGCTAACTAGCCCATCGTTCGGACCCTCCTTCTCCAAGATGACACTATGTGGCCATTTCCATGTGTCAATAAGCCCTGGTTCATAACATGCACCCCAGCTAAAATATCGCACACCCTCAACATTAGGTGTCTCCTCGTTAAAGCGGCGCATGCTTTCCAGAGTAAGACATTCGAATGCCTTCCCATCGCCGCCACCGTTTGGCAATAGCTCGAGCAGCGCAAGGACAGATGGAAGATGTTGCGAAGCGAGCGACATGAAATGGTCCGCGAAGGAGGAGCCACGATGTGGAGTGGCAATTGTTGTGATGCTTATCACGGAGAACTTGCGTTGAGAGAGGTGCGTTGTGAGGTAACGGCAATCGAGGCCGCCCTGTAATATGTTAGTAAGGATTACCTTCGACCTCAGTGCTCAGCTTACCATGCTGTGCCCTATGAGATGAACAGCTCGGCCAGGATAGACATCTGAGATCTTTTTCTCAAGAACTTTTGCGCGCTCTACAGGAGAGCTTGTTGCAGGTACTCGCGTAATGAGAACTTCGCAACCATTTGCCTCCAATGCTTCCTTGATACCACGCCAATGTGCAACCTGTAGGGGTGCAAGGGAAGGTCCAACGGTTACGGTGTCAAACCCAAGAAGTCCATGGCAGAACACAACTGGGGCTTTTGGTGCACGATCTACATCCAAATAGTGAGTCAAGCTCTTCTATGTGTGAAGAATGACAAACATACACTTCTGATGAATTCTATTCAGAGACGAAACCTGATCTTCCTCATTCAGGAGCTTGTCAACGTTCTCCTTGATACCGGAGTCCGAATCACTCTGGAACCACCATTTGCTAGGAGTGGGAGAAGGTGCAAACTGTGGTACGGTAGATGTATGGATCGAACGCAGTGTATCGATGGATGAACGAGTGGGTAGGGAGTGGTTGAGCGATATACATGTCTCAGAGAGGTGAGCCGCAGGATCTGTGGAAGATGCGGGGAGCCCATCATGATTATGAATGGGTGGTGGAATGGAAGTCACAGATGCTGATGGGAGAGTGGAGAGCAGATTACTGAGTAATGGAGGTGGTCGACTGAGCAGGCGAGCAGGCGAAAAACATGGAGGCAGTCGCGCAGGTTGGGGCACTGTCGGAAGGATGCTGTCACTCAACGCCTCGTTTAGTAACAGAAGTCCCGGAGATGGCGGACGCGACGATGTAGGTGAGTGCTCTGGGGTCGACTTTGAGCTGGATAATCTACCTCTGGCAGACGACGATGGCCACCGGACAACAGGTGCTGGCTGTTTCTGATCAAGCATCGGGTGTTGGAGTGCCGATGAAGGAAGGGCAGACGCTGGAGAAGCGCTGAACGACCTGCCGTGAACCCCACGTGCAGCCCTGCCGTGACTAGTCTTCGTCATTGCAGCGGACGTTGAACGGGTACCCCACATCTCAGACCAACTGGCAGGAATTTCCTCGTCGTTTCGACTGTTGGCTGGTTGTTCGAAGCGGGAAGTAAACGTCTTGCGAGTGGAGCTCACCGTGGTTGACGGTGACGAAAATATGTCATACATCCCCGGACCCGAGTACTAGTTATGTTGTCTAAATGCTGCAGGGTCACAACTTTTGGTAATTAGAACTTCAGAAGTGGCTGTGCTACATTTCTTCCTACTGCAATGCATGGTCCATCACTGCCATCCGTCCTCAAGTCGAAGCCTGCGACCCATGACAGTAAGCAAGAGCATAATCATGCTGCATGCGAGCTGATCTTGTTGACAGCAACGACTACGCCTGATCAGCTAACAGCTGGTCTCGCGCGTGTCACCTCTCCTCAAGAGTAAGTAGGACATACTGCATTGCACCCGCCCGTTCTGATTCACCCATACTAGGACACCGATATATATTTGCGCATTTCAAGGTATGCGGTATGCCGCCTAATATCAGTCCGTTCATTTGCGCCCGTAGATTGTAACAGACTGTTCCCTTCGCGCGATCGTGTCATGCTGCACCGTAAACGTGACCACAGTTCAGAAGACGATAGAGATATTATTACATGGAACGAATAGCAGCCCATTGGCTCAACATGTTCCAGACAGCACGTATCCCGGGCCATGCCCTGACTTCTAGGACACCGCCAACTTGCGAGCCACGCAGCCCTTGAAACAGCATCTTTTCTGATTACTCCACCGACAGATACATTTATCTCAATTTTGGCCAGAATCAGATGTGAACCATTGCAATTGAACACCACGAAAGCATTGTACAAATCTAGTGCCACAGAAACGCACAACAAGAGCAATAAAAACAGAGAGTATCACGAATTGAATTACGTGAAGTGCACTCGGATCCGCTCCCGGTATGCTTGATCCAACTCTTCGAGGTCCATGCAAATCCACCAGCTCTTGAGCGCGGCGTACACAGTCGCACGGTCCCGAGGGTCCGAGACAAGAAGGTGCGAGACGAGGATCTTGGCTACACATCCGCAAATAGTCAGGGGATCGGTCGTTAATTCGAAGGATGCAGTTTGTGGAGGACTGAAGACAGTAAGTAATCCTGGGCACGCACCGTCACGAAGCGGACCCCAGATCGGTTCATGGAAGCAAATCTTTCCATCAAGGATGCGTTGCTTTGTTCTTTCATCTTGAGACGTCACATGTTGGGATAAGACGAAACCCTGAGAATCCACGATGTCGTCAAGGGAGACGCGAGACTGAGAAGAACTGGCAAAGTCGAATGGGTGGCTTCCGCTTCAGCATCCCGAGCATTAACTCCAAATGCGATTCCCCTGACAACATTGCAGAACACGCACGTCAACATCGCAAAAAGCGTCACACCCGCACTCCAGCAGTCAGCTGGCATGCCAACGTAGCCAAGATGCTTGTGCTCGAGCGCCAGGATGCCTTCTGGCGGGAGATAGGATATAGTGCCGCAGACATGCAAGGTTTCTTGGTAAGCTTTTGGACGTGCAAGACCGAAGTCGGCTATCTGGATGCGCGGGTACGGTCCAGGCGAGAAAAGAAGGATGTTTTCTGGCTGTTGATGGCAGAATGAAGTCAGCAGTTTAAAACACGCACAGGGTATCACCTTAAGATCTGCCTTAAGCTCAGCCAGGGCCTCATGAGAAAGATATGGAGCCTTACCTCTGTGCGAGATCATACGATCATGCAGGTACTTCAAGCCCTTGAGAAGTTGATACATGATGTACTTTGCCTCCCCTTCGCACAATCGATGCTTGGAGTGCGTGGTGATGTAGGTGAAAAGGTCGCCGCCGGTACAGAGTTCAAGCATAATGTATCTGATGCACAAAATTTGTCGTTTCAGTGGTGAGCCTATTAACAAGCGACCTACAGGAATTCTGGATCCAAATCAACAGCATATACTCTGTTAATATTGGGCTGTTTAAATCAAGATCATGGCATTCAGGATGAGAGGATAAAATTATGCACGAACGTGGTGCAAATTCATGAGCAGTGTTGCCTCCTTCATTTCTTTTCTTTGGTCATTACCTTCCTTGCGTCTAATAATCTTGCAGGCGGCCTGTTGATGACCTGTGGTATCAAGTGCAAGCTGTACGGTGGCATAACTACCGCTCCCAAGGCAGTGGGATGTGATAAGGAATCGACCGAGGTCCTGCATGAACTCTTTAGAATCAATGAATTGCTTTAGTGAACAGTAGTGACTTTGTATGATTGCGTTTGTGATTGAGAAGGCTGCGACGCGTATTTTTCATGAAGGTGCTTCCACTTGAGTATGCACTGAAACGCTATCAGCTGGTCAGCAAGGTACAAAGTGGCACATGGTTGATACATACTCTGTGAGGCCGGTATTCTGAAGGTATCGCCATTCATGACAATGACAGACGCTTTGCGGATTTTGTGCCCATTCAAAATGAGTCCGTTTGTCGATAAATCCTTCGCAGCAATTAAGCCAGTAAGATAAGACGGTACGAGTAGCTACCTGGCACGATACGATGATTCCTCCGGTGCTGGACTGGACTCTGCTCAACGCGCGTCAGGAGACGTGTGAACTTTTATTACAGGTGAGCTCACGCATGTATCTTGCAATGTAGGCTGGATACCACGATATCCGGTATCACGTACGAGCTGTATATGAGCAGGTGAGTAAAGAAAATAACCCAGGGCAGAGGATGCGTCAAGCGACCAAAGAGACGGGTTCCTTCCAATGGTTATAGGCTTCCCGATACTTAAAGTTATTTCTGCGCAGCAGAACGTGATTAATTATTACTGCTGCCTAGAGGAACAAGCATAGAATTCATACCTTCCGCGCGTCCATCTGTGGTCGTTGTAACGAATTTGGCGCATACATCCGATCTCGACAAGGTCTGCGAACGTGCCGACTTTGAAGAGACAAACGAGGGTACAGGCTGAGTCGATCCAAGTGAATGTGTCTGTGCTTCCATGTTTGCAGTAGATACAGAGATAACGCTTAAGAAACAAGAAGCAACGTAGACGCGACGCGACGCGACACATCTATCAAACATCAGAGGGGTCATTACTATTTTTGGTATTTGAACCCCTCAACAGATATATTTGACATGTTCCAGCACGTTATTCATTAATCATATCCCTTGCCGCTCCTCTGCTTCACTCGCTTGTTCTTTTTGTTATGCTTCTTCCCATCAACTTCACTAGCACTCGCCAACACGGCAGCATATTTCGCACTCCCAGCTCCCAATGGAGTACCATCATCAGCCACCATATTCTGATGAGGATATATTCTTCCCCTCGAGAACTCTTGCCCATTACGAGAAGTACCTTGTAAAAACGCTCGTGCTGATAGATTCGAATTTTGAGCGAAGAACTCTTGGTCTAGAGCTTGAGATTTCAGCCCCTGCCCTTGAGCAACAAGCATGGCAGACGGATTAGCAGGCACGAATGTATCCGCGCCTTTTCCAACTCTTGTGACAGGTGCACGCTTCTTTCCCGTCATTCGCAGCAGCGATAGTTCGTGGGTTCCTTGGTTGAAAGATTCCTCAGACGTGCTTGGTGGTGGCTGACAGAAAAGTAGCTTCCCGTTGACATAATCCTTTAGGATATACCGTGCTGCTCGTGCCTCATCTGGATTGCCTTGACCGGACCGCATGAACCCCCGAGCAACTGTAGACTGATGAAAAAGAGTCGTTTTAATCAAACGAAGAGTGCTCACTCGCATAAGCAATCAAGAAGTCCTCCGCAGTGATCTTCCCGTCACCTCCCTCTTCTATTCCCTTGAATTTAATAGTCAGACCATAAGTTGCTTCAAGCACCTCCTTTGGTATCCGCTTGGCCACTAGAGCTACCGGACCAGAATGCTCTCTCATTTGGTCAATTGGTAACACACCGTCGCAAACCAGTGCGGCCTTGGTCGTCGCAAATTGCGGGAAGACCAATCCAGGACAGTCGCAAAGTACTATCGTTGGAGAGAGATGAATAGTTTGGAAGTGCTTTGTCTTTCCAGGAGTTGAGGAGACGGACACTTTTTTTTCTCCAAGAAGGGCGTTAATTGTGCTGGATTTACCAACATTGGGATAGCCAACGAGTCCAACCACCAGTTTTGTTGGAGGTTCTCCAGTCGGGCCAGCAAATACTGCCGATTGGTCAGTTGTAAGCCTCGATCTGAATGAAAAAATAACCGAGCCTCACCGGATAGATCTGGAGCAGCTGTGACGAAGAGATCTTCGAGTTCCAACACTGAAAGAACTTTTGTACGAGGATCCTTGCCGTCTGGACTATCTTCCTCCGTGTGAACGTACTGATGTTCGTCGTCCGTGTCACTTTCGGAGTGAGATGACGATTCGGGCGCCGACTCTTTTGCGAAGTCATTATCGCTGCCATCGTCACTGGGTGTATGCGGACCATCTGAATCGGACAGTGAAGCTTCGTCTTGATAATCCTCGTGGAGTTGTGCCTCTTCGGCCTGAGCAATAGCATCCCGGCGGGCTTGCTGTAATGCGGTAGCATTCGCAGCAGAGAAAAACGCGTATTGTATCCCTTCGCCATCAAAATAATCTGCCCATATTCGCCTTGGGGTGAAGGATCGAATAAAGATAGACGTTCGATTATAAGTGAAACCACGCTCACCTTTGTGTCGCAGTGAGCAGATCGGCCTTATTGACCAACAGGAGAGTCTTGCGCTTATCTCTTCCTGTACCCGCCTCGCCCTCTGCACCTTCTACATCTTTGACATACGACTCAAGATCCTCGCACCTAAATCTTAGCGGATTGCGGGCATCTACGATTTGCACGACTAGATGTGATCGCTCCAAGACACGCCACAGTTGCCTCCAGACTTCGATATTGCGTTCGAATGGGGTTAACAGGAACTTGTCCTCCTCCTGAAGTCTTTATCTATGTGTTAGTGGCTGCAGAAGATCATGTGTTTTCCCACATACTGAGCGAGCCCTCTTCGCCACTCCAGGAACGCATCTTTCTCTTGTCGGTCTAATTGTGAGGTCGTAATTGTCTTCGTCCATGGAGGTCTTCTGGGCACCCTGAGTCGCTCCTTATTCAGCTGATGCTTCTTCAAAGTCGACTGCTCCTCCTGATCGGTGAGAAGATTGGGATTGTGCGTTGATCCTGCAGGGGACTGGATAATCTTCACATTCCGTCGTTCTACCTTTCCGTGTGAGGGTATGAACAAAAGGAAATCATGTTCACGCACCCGCCGTAAACTCCGTGCCCGCCAACTGTGCTGTGTTCAGGAATTCATCCAAATCTCTCTCTTGCGTAACAGATTTCAGGCGGGTTGTCGAATCAACTTCTGTTGTATACTGAGCACATGAGTAAATGCATGCAGAACACAAAAGATCGCGTACAAGACCGGACTCTTGTCTTTCTTTGGCATCTTTGAACTTTTTATTGATGATAGCTCGTCCAAGTCCCGAAGGATTCTGGTTCTTCTGTCTTGGTGGCTATGATTGCACAGCGTAAGCAGTTAGCTTTTCGCTCTTACTTTGAACCCACCATAACCCCCAAGGTCTGATCGGATTAGAGCCTGACTGAAGATGACGGTCACCTCGACGGTGCACTGATTATCAATTGCTATATTTAGTCATGAGCTTTTCAAGGAGTTGGAAATAGATTTTCCTCAGTCCTACCCTAGTCTCGATACTCAAATCAGCACAGTTGTATTGTAACCAAGACTTATAACAGCAACTCAGGCTAAGCACTCATCCACACATGATATTGTCGAAGGAACACGTTGCACCATAGCTAAAGGTATACTACCTACAAAATATTCAGGGCTTCCTCTGCAACTGAAGTGGAACGTCAAAGTGACTTACCGAAACCACTGCCTTGATAATCTTTTCAATGTGCTTCAAAACCATACCCAATCAGGTCTGCATCGAGTTGCCAGGGGTTCAAGAACTTTCGCCTCGCTATTAGAACGGGTTCAAACAGACGCTGGTTCATCGACCTTTTCAGTTGTGATCAGTTATAGAGACGGACAGGAATTCACCACCGTCAACACTGCACTCTTCTTTGTTCTCGTGTGGTTACACAACCAGACTCAATTCGATGTCGCCCGCTGGATCCATGAGTCCACCAGACTGGTCGTCGCCTCCCACATCATCCGCGAAGACGCCCATCGCATCAATTGTAAGTCGTCACAGCCCTTCCTTCTGACGTATTTTTACTACAGCCCTGCAGGTGAATGTGCCACAAGTGGTGACAAGGACAAAACACCGTCCTCCCCAGTTCGGCGTTCAGTTAAATGTTGTACACATCGCCCATTGTGAGAGGGCTCAGATTGTCCTCGATCAACAGCAACTCGCGTGGGGAACAATTTATGAACTGGCACGAGGCGTCACTCGTGGGATGTGGACCTTCGAAGATATGACGGAACATCGTTTGCGTAAACTCAAGGGTTCAAATGCGCAAGCTGCATGGCAAGTGGCTGCCGTCATGCAAGACAAAATGGGGCCGCCATCTGCGATGAGAGCACCGCCGGAAATTTGGTACATAAAGTTCAATCATCCCACAAATCGCAAGCTAAATATAATCGAAAGGGTTGAATACGATCGGGAGCAGCTTGCGATTGTTGAAAACCAAGGCCGCGGCCTGGGAACTATGGGTGACTGGGAGGGAAAAGAGAATTGGTACGGAGGCAAGATCCAGCAAGTTGCCCGTATTGTGAAAGTTTGCAATTCGTATAAATTCGAGCTCGAAAAACCTGAGATTCGGCGGTCGCATCGATTCGCTCGGTTTTTGGGGTCTCGACGCATCCTCCAAGTCCGCATTCCGGACAGCCTGGCATATGACACAAAAGTTCGCGAATTTCTGGAATCCAGCAAATTTGTGTTGTGTGGTCGCGTCTTCGTACCATTTCATGCGAAGGATGGGAGTGCCTACCTTTTTGAAACCAACGAAAACATAGATCGGGACAGTAACCCTGGCGATGGCGATGGTCACCGACTAACGCTTTACGAATTTGTACAGTGGCATAATCCACTGAGGTTGAATTCAAAACAGGTGAATATGTTTTCGTCCGCTTGACGCGGCTCTGACGCGCACCCCGACTAGCCTATCAGTAAATGGTCTACCCGATGGACGCTCGGCCTATCAACCTCGGTACCAACAATCCATTTTGCTCCCGAGAATATATTCTTCATTGGGGATCAACGTAGCATTTCCTCTAGCTTCTAAACTATGGTGCATTGACGGAGATCTTGCAGATGCTATGGACTGGGGCGAGGGAAATCTTCCAGCTGAAAAAATTCTAACTGATGGGTGTGGGTTCATCAATGGTGCAGCCTTGACTGCCATCATGCGAGTAATACAATACCCGAGTCGACCAACAGCCGTGCAGGGACGTATCGCTGGTGCCAAGGGAATGTGGGTTCTGCACCCAGATCCTGAGTATCAAGCCGCCGATGGACCACCAAAGATCTGGATACGTAACTCGCAAAACAAAATCAATTGCGGGCCGTTGCACAAAGTTGACGCCGCCCACAGAATTTTCGACCTCGTTGCGCCGGCTCGTGTAACTGGACAGAGCCGTTTATCCAGGGATACTCTGGTAAATTTAGCTCACAATGGCGTCCCTACTGGTATATTGAAGGAACTCATGGCTGATGGGCTGCACAATGAAGTTCGCCAGCTCACTGAATGGAATGGCCCCGATTCAATGCTCATAGTTTGGCGAGCTGTTGAGCGTGCTGGCCGTGTTGTGATATGCAGGCTACGGCGGCGCATTGCTGGCCAGGCGCGTGCACTTGGCCTTGGCGAACTCCGGCCCAACGACAAGCTGGGTGACGAGAATGATGATGGCGATGATGTCGTATCGGACCAGCCACCGACTGCTTCGAGTCCCCGAAGTCGCCATCCCCATAGCGGCCAACCAACCACTCTGCATGAATCTGCACTCGAGCTTCTCCAGGCAGGGTTTCACCCCTTGAAGCTCGAGCCACTCTTTCGTAAGCTCCAAAGCGTGGTGACGCTAGTGCTGGACGATTATATAGAAAAGTGTCATATCCCAGTCAAGGAATCCCTTGAGGCCTACATCATACCAGGTAGGTAGCTTCTTTCTCGATTGCTGTTGCTCATCTAATCGAACCACAGATCCATATGGGGTCCTTGAGGAGGGCCAAATCCATTTTCGGTCGTCGCAACCCATCGTCGACCCTGAAAGCGGAACCCATATGGATATCGTAATAGGATCTGTTTTGGTGAGCGCTTCGGTTTTGTGCAAAGTTGGTCCTGAGACTAGTGATTAGGTGTGGAGGAATCCCACGAGACTACCCTCGGACGTCCAGAAGGTAAGAAAAACCGTGTTTTGCAAAATGGTCTCCGAGTCATCACACGCGGATCAGGTCACTGCCGTCAATCACCCAAAGTTGGCAAGTTACTTCGACGTCATTATCTTTTCGGTGAAAGGAGAACGTTCACTGGCGAGCTACTTGGGTGGTGGAGGTTGGCAATTTTCCCCTAAAATCCCGAGGCAATTACTGACAACTCCACCTTGTAGATTATGATGGAGGTGAGCTTCCTTAAGTTCTCATATAATTTTCCCCTCATTTAGTGCTTGTTATTCGAAGATACTGTCGTGTTGACCTGGTCCAAAAACCTCGTTGAGAACTTTAACACCACTCCGCTTTGTGAAGAACCCGTGGATCTGAGGAACGACTTTGAGCGAGAGGTCGAACACCTTGTTGATTTTGACCAACGAGTATCCAAGCTCTCAGACAAAGAGGCTCAAACAGCTTTTCAAAAAGTTTTACTGCTCGGGCTTGCGGACACGAAGCGCGGACTATATTCTCATTTCCATGACGCAGCTGTGTATTATTATGGCTATCCAAGTGCAACAGCCGTTCGACTGGCATATATGTGAGTGCTTCAAGTTGTACTGCTACCATGTTTTATAATATGTGGTGAAGGTTTACGACGTGCCTGGATGCAAGTAAGACCGGACTACGGGTCAAACACCATGTTTTCGAGGCACACAAAAAACGGTACGGGAGCCTAAAGCCATATTACAAAGTGGCAGCTCTTAAAAATAGCGGCTCTCGCAAAGAAGACCTACCGTTATTGAAGCGAAAGGCATCATCGCCTTTCATTCTCGATGACCTTGTGGATGAAGGCAATCGCCTCCGCGACAAGTTTGTCGAGAAGTACTCGAGCCTCCGAACTTCTTCGACCCCTGTGACGGACGCCCATCTCACCTCTCCTTACATATCTGCATCTCGCAGGGCAACACAAGCGGTGCATGCCGGTTTCCAAGGATTGCAGGTCAACCTAACTGTTGCCAAAAAGCAGGTCGACAAAGCATACAAAGACTGGCTAGGTGCCATTGCGATGCAGAAATGTGCTTCAAGCGTCAGGGGTTCTCCTGATCCCAAGGAACAACAGATCCAAAAGGCTGCGCAATATTTCGCGCAGCGGCCGTTATCCCAAGACGTTCTCTTTTTTTCCGAGGAGGAACTCAAGACTATCATGGCATCGTATGCTTACACTCTCAACCAGTCGTTCGGATTCTCTGTTGCCTTCGCAGAGCTTTGCGCCATCAAAGCGCGAGTACAAGGTGGAATCGTTTTCGAGGATAAGTTTGCACAAGTTATGAACATACCTAACAACGTCCTGCGAGCACTTTCGCTAGCACAGGATGATGTAGATGATTGAGGTTTCAATATTTTTCATGACATGATACTTGGTCATTCAGTACATCGGCGTATCTCATCGAATGTCTTATTTGCATCCCAACAATCTTCGGTACTTGCTGCCTGCTTGCGGTCTAAAACTATCTCTGTGATACATGTTCAAGCTATTTCTTAAAAAATGACCTTCACACAAATTTGATTGATAAAACTGTAAGGGAGTTCAACGCGTACTCTGCCTCGGTGCTTGATGAACACGCTCGCTGCGGTTATTATGTCATAAGGCGGAGAGGACGATTAGATCATGTATGAGACGCGCACTGACCGATTAGCTGTCGTGCTGTGGACCGCCGCTACATCTTCTGCCACAGCACTTGTTGTAATATCGTCTGTATTGGTTACAGTGGCAGTTTTTAATGATGATCGATGATGCGATGACATCCGACGAATGTTTGCGACAACTCGCGGAGGATCCACTGGCAGGTCAGCCAACAAATCCGTACTTTGAAAACTCTGCCGCGATAATCATGCCCTTCGCATGCCCTTCAGTTTGCTTGAATGTTCGCTGCAAAGTGTCAATAAAGGAGCAGAGCCAAGAATGTAATTGAACAGACCTCGCTTCGAATTGGACAGCCCTTGTCAACAACTCGGCACTCTCCTGTGATCATCCCAATCTTCGCCTCCTCGGTCCATGGAGGTTAGGACTGATAAAGTAGATTCGGTCAACGTAATGTTAGAGTTAACTCAATTCTTGTGCATTTGACATCAATGGCAAGCTGTAGTTGTTTTTAGATGGATCAACATTTGAATACGATCGTGGACTCGACATGGATGCTACGTCAGCGTTCGTGATGACGATACTGGTGAGTGGTATATTTGCGTAGTGGTTTGGCCATATGATGCTGTCCGCGTTACAAGAGATTCGAAAACGACTCGGCGCAGGCATTTCAGCGGTTTTCACTGGCAGGACCCCTCCAACTTGACTGTATATCGCCTGCCTGAAAGGAACCTTTGCGTCCAACGGATGATAGCCTATCACGCACGATGGTGTTCAATCTCCAGGGACCCGAGGAGGAAGAAAGCGTTGGAACATGGTCATTATCCGACAAAAGAAGGTAACATAGTCTAGAAAGGTGATTAATGTAAATTTTTACATGAATGAAGCCATGAAGGGCTATGCTTCAACAACAAGCCTTCGTTCCGGTCCGTGCTTCACGTTAACGACATCCAGAATCGTGCCAATGGAACACGCCAAGTGAATGGAAGTATTATCCGAGATACCATGAGCGGAAAGCTTCTCTTCCAAGTTGACAATGCGATCAGATAGCACAATAGAAAACCTCGGGAGTAAGTTTCTCGGAAATTCGTACAATGTCCGGGCCTTCACTTTCTGCCCTGTATTGAATGCGTCAGCGGGTCTAACAGGTGCGGGAAACTTGTCAACTATCGCATTGAAGAATTTGTAGCTTGAGGACCATTTGGTGCCAGGGCCAATTGCAACTTCCGTGATAGTATGGGAATCAGAAACAATATCCGCACCGTGACATTATGAGGTTCGGGACTGACCGAAAGTCACCACTGTATCTCGTTAGTACAGATATCACCGGACATCTTCGCAACTGCAACATCAAGCTCAAGCATGGCCGGGCTTCAAACTACCTGGAAGGATAGGAAACCAGAGGAACCTCGAGCAGGCTTTGTCAAGAAATGATGCATCGATGATCTTTGACAACTTCAAAAGCCGCCGAGAATACAATCATCTATGTGAAGGTTAACCATTATGAAGTAGCAATGTAATCCGAAGAGTAAGATATATCGCTCACAAAGATTGGGGATCTGTTTTAAATGACTAGGCTAGAATTTGGCACTGTCATATTTGGGTACGACTCTACGAGCCCCGACTCCATGCGACGAGCCGGTGACTAGCTTTCGCACCATCCCTCACTAATTGGCCGAAGCCAGAAACGTCCTATGGTAGACTCTGATGTGTGTATGACACTGCATGTATGCACATCACGCAGATCTGGCCGACGACTCGGAGGAATCGTGAAGTAAGAAGCAGCTGATTATGTCAGCTGTCCCTCTTCCATTGCCCTCAGCCTCCTCGTAATGGCACACACATGGGTGGGTAGCTCTTTGTCTATGATCTTGCAAGCATTAATGTGGTGTTTACATTCTTGATGCCATTCTAGATTATTGAGTAAGTCATAGCTTCTAGTGCATCTTTCACCTTGGTTGCAGAATCGTGTCAGTTCCAAGTTCGGTGGGGGTGGTGTCGCTGGGGCTTCGGAGACCAACGTGGACAGGCGCCTGAAACGATCGATCTTGCCAAAGTACGCTGTTATTTGCCCTACACTCCAATGATAACTTGATGTCTCGTTCAGGATTCTTGTATCCTAAGGAATCATTTGGGCTCACTCGAATGTCGTCTCTGTCGGACGCTTCATACCAACGAAGGTTCATACCTAGCTCGCACTCAAGGAAAGAAGCATCAGAACAACCTTGCTCGTCGTGCGGCTTGTGATGCTAAGGGCACACAGTTGACGGTTGCTCCCACTCAAAGCAATATACAACGCAAAGTGTCCCTGGAAACAGGACGCCCAGGCTACCGAGTAACAAAAGTGCGAGCCAAAGATAATGGTGAGGAAATGATGGTCCAGGTTCACCTTCTTCAAATCAAAACGGACGACATCCCTCGCCGACGATTTATGAGCGCTTGGGAGCAAAAGAGGGAGCATCCGAACAGGGCTCACCAGTATCTAATAGTAGATTCCATTCCTTTTAATGTTTCTAGTTACTTATTTTGGTTGTAGGTGGATGCTGAACCTACGAGACAATTGCTTTCCGCATTCCCGCGCGCGAGATAGAAGACGAATCTGATGATGCCAGATATTGGAATTGGTCATATTGGGATACTGACACGGAGCAGAATAGCTCCCAGTTCACGTTCCGTTTGGCTTATTGATGTTACTTGCTAATCACACAGTGCGCAGCGCAATTTTCTTTCTTGTCATGTTTGCATTCATCCAATGTCCCGAACTATTTGGATCATCTTCATCCCGATAAATTTGGTTTTCATCTCAAGCCGTCTTCAGAAGATGAGTAATGTACGCCATATGCTTTCTCGTGCATTTTTTCTAATACAGGAGACTTCGATTCATAACTTGGACGTAAATTGCCACTCCTGTAAACTTTCCCTTGCTCCAGACTTACTCGTCTAGTGCAAGAAGCATGATAATTTAACATCATGATTCAAGTGAGTTGCGACCATGAAGTTCACACCCCTAAGCATTGATGCAGATGAGAGTCCTGGAGGATTGAACATGTTGCGACCATGCAACAATACCTTGTTGTGTTACCTAAATCCGGTAGATGAGCTCACGCTGCCGGCGGGAACTTTCCCCTCACACGCATGCTCCCCGTAACATTCTAGAATTTTAATAATTTGCCATGTCTGACATCCAGTGGTACTCATCACGCATGCAAGTATGTCCCCAAAATGGTTTATATTTCAGTGCCTAAAATTAAAGTCTTCGACACACATCTTCAACCTATGTATATGTATAGATGAAGTCGTGACAGCTGGAGAACGAAATTTTTCCAGGAAAGCTGTATAACATGGACGACGTTATGACAACACGCTTGAAACATTAACCAATCACGAGCACTCTATTCACATCAAGAAGCCTATGATAGCCTAGGGGGTGATACTAACGTCATTAGAGGCGACTTTGTATACAGACGAGTCCTAGAAATGGAGTTCATGTGAATTCATTCCGTGTGCTATCTAGTGCTAGAATAATGAAGTAGTAAACAATGTGGCCATTATCTGGGTGTCCCGCTCTAGTATGTATGTGAAATCGTTACATTCAAGTATCACGTGGGTCGTCGCCGTCTAAACATAACCTCTGCCTTCCGGTTTGGAGAACAATTCATCATGAACCATTCATCTGGAGGACGTTCGCCTTCTTTCTCCAATTTAATGTCATAGTTTAGTACAAGATAAGCCATCATGGCCTTCATCACACTAGAAGCAAAGAAGCGGCCAGGGCTGACGAAAACAGTGAGCGAGAACTCAAAACCATAGATCGGGCAATTTCAGCGTACCAAGCATGATGACCATACCCAAAAGGGATATAACTTGGACTTGTGGAAGCTAGCAGGAATTGTGGGTCTTCTCCATCGTCCTGACGCCGCTTTGAAAACCGGAAGGGTTGAAACTCCGATGCGCCTTCGAAGTATTCCTCGTCGAGATGCATGGGTGATGAAGCGACAACGACGTGAGTTCCGCTGGGTATTACAGTACCATCCGAGAATACGAATGGCCGCATTGCTTTGCGCATCATAGGGACTACCAGGAATCAGCTTGGTATCAGTAGATATGAATAACAACCTACAGAGAGTGGTGCCACTGAATCGTTGGGATTCCTTGAGAAAGCTGTCCATCTTGTTAAGTTTCTTCATCGCGTCCTTCGTCCATCCATCTTGATTAATAACAGCTGATGCTTCTTCTCGAAGGGGTGTGCAATACTGAGGGTATGTGGCAAGGTTTAATAGAGCGTGGGTGAAGCTCTTTGTGAGACCAGTAAGGATTTAGTGATCGAACTGCTCTGGAACATATCGGCATACCTGAGCTGATGTATGTAATGCAGCGAAATTGAGGACCAAAATCCGCAAGCATATACTCCGAAGATTTCTGTGCTCCTTGTCGGATACGTCAATGAGCCAGCTAATCATGTCATTCTTCGCAGGAAAGCACGGTCAAGTGGCGAACCGTGTCATAGGAAGATAACATACCGGCTGAGCGTTCCATTCGCCCTTGCATTGTTCTATATTCTCCAGTCGTCCCTGCACAATAGGTTCAAGAATTGCCATACATCTCCTGATGCTACTAGGCGTGTTCGTCAACAATCGACCGATGATCCTAAAAGTCACAGTTGGATCTTCGCGTCATCGATTCAGCAACACTGCTTACGGATGTGCAAATTTTGGGAAAAAGTTCACGAGAGTTGCACGCAATACCACTTGTAAAGCGAATTGCTGTTGCAGGGCTTCAAATTCAGGTGATCGGCCTGCAAGCGAGTTGAGCGGATGTACCCTTGATCTAAGCGAACCACTCACATAGCGGAAGCCCAACAAAGATGCGATTGCTTACGCGACACATAGCCTTCATGATCTCCGGGTAAATGCGAACTTTAGCCCAACCTGCACAAAAAACGTAAGAATAACCTCACGGGGAATGTGGCAACACTTGCCATCCTGGTCTGATGGCATGATGGCATCGAATGCGTGGTTGATCTCGCCGCAAACGTCAGGAAAGAGCACCTGAAGGTTTCGGGAGAGATGATTGCGAGTGACTTGAACGTGATAGGGATATTCTTGCGCATCGATGCCAAATGTATATTTGACTTGAAGAAGCTATATGAACAGTGGATCAAACTTCAATGTTACGGAACCAAAAAAAACTTCGAACTTACGTCTCTCATGGCGTGATCGAAAGAAAGCTCGTCTTCTGGCACCTTCCTCAATTCCTCGATTAACCGCGGCCCAGTCAGGACTACCACCCATCTATCAATCAATGGTACTCTGAACATTCCACCTTTATGCTTCATCGACGTTCAAAACATAGTTGCCTAATAATAGCGTTTTACGAACCTTCTGATAGCCTTCTTGGACCATGGCTGGAGCATGCTTGATGAAACGAAACGCGCCGAGCCATGAAGTTAGCGCCCCTGACGGACCGATGGCAGGAATAGCGTCAAGCTAAACTAGACGTTAGTCAGCCCACTGCGAATGCATAGAAAGCCTTGCCTCAGAAAACCTGCAACGATCATAAATGATGACGAGTAGAAGGGCTACTGCGACAGCTAAGCCATAGACAAAGAGACCAGCACTGTCCATGGGATGAGCGTCGGGGGCAGAAAAAGGTAGTGGGCATTTCGGACACCACTCCCATGCGAGGGACGAGTATTTATGTTGGGCGCATCGATTAGTATAGTGGAAATAGAGTTAAGCACGAGCCTCTTACCGGGTAGGCTAGATTAGATACATACAAAACCCGAGCAGTGGCGCGGAGTGCTGAACATATGATTTTCCGTTCTCAAGGGGAAGTTTTCACAAGTAAGGCTAGTGATCCTTATTCTCGACGCGCATGAGAAGCTATGAGAAGGTCCAGAGACGAAACACCATCGTCAATCGGACTTTCGTCATGTCAACGAAGCCATGATCCATGGCCCGCATCAGCAATAAAATTTCAATTTTTAGTAACGAGGACAGCCAGGGACAGCACTTCCAAAGCATTCGCCTTTTGCGAACTTATCATGAGCTTCTGACGTTGCAAAAGGTCATGGAGCCAACGCATCTCCGCTCTGCTAAAGTTTCTATGTAGGGCGTCTCACCTCCGCAAAGACTTGAAATGAACGGGATCCAACGGGAAGTCTGCCGCGTGTCCAATTGAGTATGCAGGTCGATCAGGTGCACTGCTATTGTTTTGGCTAAAGATGCAACGAGATGCAACGTTGAATCACCACAAGGCCGCCATCATTGCATATTGTTGTCGTAATTAGAGCGGAAGTTAGTGGGCTGGATGTGCAATCGCGGAAGGGGGTAACTTACAAATCATGGAACCAAGCCCAACATGTTCACTGCCACGAAACAGAATGGAGGTTAAAATAAGATGAAGGGGATTTCAGTTGAATGATGATGATCTCTAGGCGCGATCTAAGTATAAGCGAACGGTGGCCTACGGCGACCCCACGCTGTCCAGCTGTGGTCGCGCGTTTGGTTAAAAAGGTGTTATAGTACTGCATGTTGGTGAACTATGTAGCGAACAAAAGATATCATCAAGGTTCTGCACTGGCGCCCCCCAGGTGCCATAGACACCACCAATTCCCGTAATTGATACTATGGCTCGGAGCGAGATCCGTCTCGGGAACTTAGATACAAACTTGGCAGTGTGAACGTACATCACCGAGAAAACAGGTTTGACAGCTTTCAGCACCGGAATTTCTCCCGGTCCAACGAAAGTCTTGGTTGATAGTGTCAAAATAGTGTGGTAACACACCGAAACCAGCTCAAAAATATCATGTACTGAAATAAAAGTGCATCAATTCCACAGTTGTGCTAAAAACACATACATAATCATTTGGCAAGAATCAAGAACATCTAGAAATACTGCGTGGGTTATTAGTTTAATGCGATTGGTGTACCATGGTCCATAGCCAAGACACCTTGATAAGTGCACGATCGTCCTCTATGAGGTAAATCAAATCAATGAGATAGAAGGTAACTTAAACAAGAACACCAACCCATCTTCGTATCACAATCTGTTACAGAGCAGAAAGTCCAGAAGAAGGGTTATAACATGAATTCAGATATCGTGTTTCCGTTTACTCAGCCTTCGCCGATGAACTACTTCCTTGACCTTCCCAACCTCGGTAGCTGACAAGGACGGATGTTTTGTCAATGGAGGATTTGCGTCAGCATGAACACCAGGTGCATGCATTGGCAAAGGTATATTTCCAGGGAAGACGGCCGTTTTCTTCCGGAGTAGTTTTCGGCCTTGGTGATACATTGCTGCCGGTTCGTGAGTGTAGCCTTGGGGTGGGAAGGGGTCAGGGTCAGGGTCGGCGTAAGGATCGTAGGGGTCAGCTCGGGGATATATGCCAAGATACTGCTCCTGTTGGGGTAGTGTTTGCTGGGGCTGAAGAGGGGCGGGCATGACGAGACGTTTTGGAAGGTGAGAATTGCGTGGTGGCTGTAAGCTATTTTGAGTGCCAGATGTAGATTGCGTAGATGTAGTAGTACGCGTGCGCGAACTGCCCAATGAGTGAGTTCTATGATGTCGAGGAAATTGGATCGCCAAGTCGATCACTTGACCGTCAGGTGGTTCAACGATGGGCGGTGATGAAAAGGGCGTTGCCTGATTTGCATCTCCGCGAGCTTGCGACCGAATCTCAGGATATCGTTTATTATGACCCGGCGGTAAATCGGGCGCAGAATGTATTTGATAAAGGGGATAAGGCGCGAGCTCATCATGAGCTGGCCGTGGATGTTGTGGTATGTGAGGTATATCGTCACCAAAGCGATGGATCCGAGAAGGAGGCTGGCTGGCGGGTGCACGTGACGATGTACGAGAAGGCGGCGCTTCGGGCGGATGGTGGTAAAGAGGAGAGGAGTGGCTTCTGGAATGACTGGGCCTTGACTGACCCGAGCCCAGATTAAGAAGATCTGGGTTCAGGGTTACAGTATTGGCCTGAGTGGTATGCAGAGGCGGCGATATGATACCAGATGGAATAATTTGTCCAGGAACAAAATTGAGAGACGGTCGACCGACTCCTGAACCCGTTTGAGGCACTCTGGCCCCCTGCAGCAAAATTTGTAAAGATAAAAGCTTCACGATTCTTGACTACCAAACATACTTTCTGGGTCCGCACCTGCCGAGGGACGTTCTTTGCAAATAAAATGTAAATGAGAGTAGGAAAAGTTTGCATGTCCAACCCACCTCGCGCTTAGATTTAGTATGGAAATCGCCTCGCAGGATGTCAATGTCATTATACATGTGAGCAGGCCCAAGTTGCGCAAGATTGCTACCAATAGCTTCGTAAGGACCGCCATGATGCCACCCTGCACCAAAAGGATCTGTCTCATCCATTTCGTCGATTCGGTCGAGGGCACGGGGTTTTGTGAAGCGTCGAATGAAATTCTTCATTCGACGCTTTCCTGTAGGCCTGTTACTGCCATCTGCATGGACTGGAGCTGAGTCAAACCGCACTGTGGCAGGTCTGACCACATTTTCTCGCTGCTCTGGAGCGGTAAGATTACGTGTTGGGATTGGACGATTAGAAGTAGGGGGGCACATGGTTGGGGAAGACCCTAGGTCATGACTCGGCGAAGACGAGGCCGGTGATGCTGAGAATGGAAAGGAAAGCTGTAACGGTGACACAACACGAGGCGTCTTGGGATGGATCAGTGAGTGGGAATGAGACGTAGCGGATGATACAGTAGGCGACGTGAAAGCAGAGAGAGCGGTGTGAGAGTCAGAATCTAAAGATACAGAACTCGAAGAAGTCGGGGACGGGTGAGTTTCTTCCGAGTTGGGTGAGTGTGAAACGAAGTCTGGATCTTCAATAGAACAGAGCACTTCCTGATGAGGTGAGATATCAATGGGAGTGGTCGGAGGTGTATGAGAGAGATTGTTGACGACCATGAGAGGAGATTTGTTGACGACCATAAGAGGAGATTTGGAGGGGACCTCCTTGTAGAATGTAGAGCTAACGAGTGGAAAATAGGGATGATCGCAAGGATCAGATGAGAATGCAGGGTCATTGAGGGTGGTCATTGACAAAGGTCTTGAGAAACTTGGAGGGCTGTCAAGGTGATAATATGAAGACGGAGATTGATCGAAGTCAGGAGTGAAAGATGCTGGAGATACAATGGCGTATGGATTAGGATTATGGTGCTGATAAGCAGCATAGGAACTCGGAGACGGAAAGTAACCTGGAACGCGCTCATCGTGGAATGCGCTGGGCGCATGCTGATAGCTGGACTGGTGTTTATGACGACCTGCACCCCAGTTTAAAGCCATAGATAGAACGATAAGAGCAAGCCTAGGATGAGAGCTAGCCAGACAAAGAAACGTTGTCAGTAAAAGATGTTCTGGAGGGAAAAAGACTGAGAAAGGCACGTACAGAGCTTGTGCTCAAATGCATGCGCACATGAGGTGAGGGTTCCATCATGATCAACAAAATTAGACTGCACTTCTCTGTTTGGCATTGTGGCACAACTTTGGGTTACTCAGGCTGTTCAATTTCAAGTTGGTCTGTCAGACTCTGTCTACTACTTTGAACTCATCCTCAATGGCAGACGTTGCATCTCTTCGTGCAGAAATTAAAGCTTGGGAACGCGATTTCAATTCAAAGTTCTCCAGAGATCCTTCTGTGAAGGATATCAAAGATCAGCCTGCTGTAGGTGTGTCTGCCATCGGTACCTTCATAACGCGTCTTGTACTCAATATCCTTGTAGCTGACAAGTACAAGTTATACAAGAAACTATCAAAAGCAGCAGCAGCAGCTACCTGCCTCTCTCAGACGCGTCCTTCCTCCTCCCAGACACCTACCACCCCACCAAGACCTACCAGTCGCTCCCGCATCATTTCCAAGCCGCGCGAAATCGAACTCGTCGGCCCTCTTCCAGGTTTTAATCCGTTCTCACCAGTAAAGAACAAGAACAAAGTCAAACAGAGGAATACCCCCCCTGCATCTTCATTTTCAACTCGAAAGGCGCCTTTACCAAATCCTTTCGCAACTCCGTCCAAGAATACACCAAAGCGTTCCTCCCGGAGCGAATCTCCTGATAATTTCCCAGAAGTACAGCCACATTCATCAATCGGTACATCCCTCAGTTCCCAATTACCTCCTGCGCCGAACACGGCAGTCTCGCGTGCACGAAAGAGACTTCGTGGCGAACCCGTATCGCCCTCCCCCAATAAGCAGAAGCGTCAACGTATCGGTTCTCACTCAGCTTTACCCTTTCAATTATCACAATCTTTGTCTAGTGATGATGAAGTTGATTGGGAAATGGGTGGCCCGGATGTCAATACCTCTTTCGTGGACGATTCTCCGGTAAAACTACCCGCGGGCGGCAAGTCATTCAGGCTTCTCTTTGAAGACACACTACCAACTGCAAGTATACCTAAGAGGCCTACAAACGCTTCCAAGTCACAGTCACGAGGCTCGGATGATGCTGTAATCTTCCATGGGGCCGGTTCGAACGATGCCACGAGTCTCGAAGCATCTCCGACCAATATCCACTCAAAGACCCACAAGGACAAGCAGAATGCAAAGACAGATATAAAACTTACTCTGACGTCAAAACCCATTAAGACAGACGAGTTTTCCACTGCTGAAGGCCGGGTAAACCAGTCGAGATCTACACTAGCACGGACAATTGCTGTGGATAAACGAGCGCGCGGCAAGCCCCAGGAACAAAAGTCATCACTCAAGCGTGTCTTGGAGGCCGTGTCAGTGAATGATGGACTGACATCAGCTTCTTCTTCACAGTTTTCCTTACTTCCGCCATCTCCCAGTTCTGACCATGCCTCTTCCAATCAACGCGTCCCAGCAAACGGAAAGGGAAAAGCTGGAGCGAGTCGAAAAAAGGCCAAGGTTGTCGATGAAGAGGATGAAGAGGAAGAGGATTTAGACGAAGTCGCTGTTAAAGTCATCAATCGGGGTCAAGCAGCACAGCAAGTGTCGGAAAATGCTGACGAGCTTGACTGGGATCCAATATTACATAGCGGTACCCGTAACCGCGATCAATATGCCGCGGCTGGCGACACGAGTCGTGACGAAAAGGGAACGTTTCGTGTTGATTTACCTGACAAGCTTCGCCTCATGTTGGCTATTTCACCATCAAGAACCCACAACAGCAAGGAAGAGCGTGTTTTCCGCGGTTTACTTTACGGCGATCGTGTTGGACACTATGACGCGTCGAGAGGTGGGGATATATGGGATATCGGTGAAGCGGAAGATGACACCCGAGGTAGTACCGAGGGAGAAGACGATTGGGAAGGAGAGCCTATACCATGGGAAGTGGGAGAGCTGTAGGATACTAGCCGTATGTGGTCGTGTTTTATGATTTCGGTGCTTTCACAGGACGTTTTCAGTGCTTCATATCAAAGACGCTTCGTGCAATTATACTTGCTATCACTTGCAAGATCAAATACAGACTGAGGAACACATGCAAGACACGTGTCTGGTGCTAGCGTCTGACCCAGCTCATGTGGTGCCCGCCGCCCCATGCCATGCACTGCATAGAGCAAGGCAGGAGTTTACTAACGTGTTATCACTCCGCGAAATAGCGGCAAGGTGAAACTTGACATGCCCCAGTCTAGAGCATCAGCCATTCGCTTCTGTTGCGTAAGGGCAAACCCTTGACGCGTGTTTCACCTCCGTGTTCGAAAGGGGAGCATGGCTCGGCTCTTGAAGTCATTGCGCACATTCAATTTGTTATTTGAGCCAGCCCTCATCCTGCTGGTGACTCCTCACATAGTCCGGGCGTTACGGCGTGTGAGCGCAGTAAGTGGTTTAAAACCAGTTGCTTAACCCAGGTATCCATGTCTTCCACCTCCTTGTTTTCCGACGCTTTGGCTTCTGTATCTCTTCGCCTTCGCCGCTCTCGCGACGCTGATAACCAAAGCAAGCAAAGCCATCGATCCTCTTACCGCCCTTACTCTGTCCATCAGCAGACAATGTTCCCCACTATCCTCCGGGATCCTGATGCAGCCAAAAAGCTGTTTGAGACTATCATCGACTCTCCTAATGGCCGCCGCTCCATGTCACGCCTTGCGCGGACCTGTAGAGCCATGTGCGAGCCCGCTCTGAATGTACTTTGGAGGGAACTGGACTCTTTACTTCCAATTATTTCGTTATTCCCCAACACCTTGATGAAGAGATCCCGCCGCCCAGGGCTTGGTTTGGTAGGTTTTCGTCGAGAAACGTCCGCTCGATTGCTCAACTAGATACCTTTTGCAGGCTAAGGCACCCAATGCCGAGGACTGGAGCAGAGTCCTCGCTTATGGTGAACGTGTTCGCCGCATTGCATACATCGAGTCCTCCCCCAGCGTCTCTCCATCTATCTTTGCAATTATCCAAGAGAACCGGCCCGTTCAATTCATCCTTCCCCACTTGCAACAGCTCATCTGGCGCGTGGACACTGCTGCTGGTCTGCAGCGCTGCACCATTTTCCTGAACCCAGAGCTTCAAAGTCTAGTTTTGGAGGTCAGCACGAGAATCCCGCAGCTTGCTACTTTCCTTGCGGATGTGTGCAGCACGACTCAGCTATCATCATTTTCGTTCACGTCGCCCACGAGCCTTCCCGAGACGTTCACCGATATCTTGAGATCGCACAATACGTTGGAAAAGTTGGTTCTCGTTGCACCTGGCGCGCTCTCATCGAGCGTTGGGCAATGGGCTGCATCTTTGCCCATGTTGCGTGTTCTTGAGCTTGATCTCACTGGTCGGTCTGTCATTGCAGTCGAAGGCTTCTTCGACGACATCGTCGCTTCGGGAGCTTCCACTCCTAGTGATGCATCGTCGGACAGCGGTGTCTTCTCTGGAGATGAGATAGACTTCACGGAAATCCGCAAGTCATCGTTGCGCTTGACCGGTGACCTACGCTCAGGTGGCGTGTTCACTGACCTGCGTCAACTATCGTTGACCGGAGAGGTTGCAAACATTGCTGTCTTCCTGAAGCACCTCACTAGCAATCTCACGCACCTGGAGCTCGTCATCGAGGATCCCCCGGATATGGCTGACTGGCAGGACCTCTCCGGTCTGATCTGCGAGCGCTTCAGCAAATCGCTCCTCTCGCTGCGTATCAACGCAACCGGCTCATCCCGTTTTAATGAGCTTGTGAGATCAACGTCTCGAGGCGGAGACCCTCCTTGTCGTCACCTTCCCCTCCAGCACTTCACCTCACTCCCATCCCTGCTCCGTCTAGAAATAGACCTGCCAGAATCAGTACTCTTCCATAATTCAGACCTGCAGGCTGTGGCGCAGGCATGTCCTAACATCGAGACCCTCCGACTCTGCCCTATGGCACGTTTCCCCACCTCGACTGGGCCTAGCCTTACATTAGAAGGCGTTGCAGTTCTGACACAGGGCTGCAAGCGACTACAGACGCTTGCACTCGTGCTAGACGCCCACACGGAGTCCGAGGAGACATTCAACTCCCTCGATGTGTCATCGAGGTCACTTCTCCGCCTACACGTGGGCCACTCAGTCGTCAATGACTCTCTTCAGACCACCATCCTTCTCAGTCACCTTGCGCCTTATCTGGAGACAATAAAGTGGTTCCATGAGAAGAACCGCCCCGGATATGTCGAGGCGAACGCAACGGGCTGGCAGAAGGTTTCGGACTGGCTGCCCCACATGCAGGGTATGCGTTTGATGGAGAGGGCCAGGGCTGTCCATCTTGCCACGCAGAAGCCCGAGACTCGGGAACAGAGTGTTGACGCTACTGTGATGCGTATGACTGCGGACAAGGGCCTGCAGGCCAAGCCTCGTTTGGTTCAGCGCCATATCCAGGTGTCACCCAAACTGGTTGACAGGTCGACTGAGGCTAAGCCAGAGTTAGTCTCGATGTCCATTGATGCCACGCCATCAATTGTAGATACAAGCGTTGATGCCACTCCGGCGGTCTCACATCAGTCCGTCTCCGTTCAGCCCATCACAGTTTCCACCGAAGTCGATGCATCGGTCCACACCGAAACCAAAGCTGTCAGCGCCATTGAGACACTTTCCTATGAAACCTCCGACGCAGTCAACAGATATGCAGACCCCTTCTATGCTTTTCCTTCTGTCATCCCTGCGGTCCTCGCTGGACTGCTTACCTTCGCATGCCGTATCCTCACCATATACCCTCTCACGATTCCTATGCATATGCTCGACAAGTCTCTCTCCATACTCCATGCTCAACAAAAAGAAGGAGACGATTCATCCTCAGAAAAACACGAACTCAGACCTTCTCCTGCGCAGTCGCTTTCATCATCGACGTCGGAGCTTCTGGATCATGATATTCCTCCTGTTTGTCTATGAATTCCTTATCGCGACAGGACGCTTTACTCATTTGGTACACGGTGCTGGCGCTTATTATTAGGGTTACTATCACGCATATTATTCTAACGCAGACTGGAATGGCATGAAATTCACGAATGCTGTGGATGGTCAACAAGACATTAAGGAAGTTGTCCAGGAGGCGAGTATCACTCCCGCTCAGGGGTCAGCCCAGAAATGGAAAGTCAGTGCAGAACAGCAAATAATGCCAAACATTTTTGCGACGCGTCACTGCACGCCAAAACACGACAAGCCATATTCTAAGTCTCACTACTCAATTGCAATGGCCGAGGTCAGAAAACAGGAGAAAGACTTCACAAAGGAAGTTGACGCTCTCCTTCCAGAGACTTCCGCTCTTGCTAAGGTGTGTGCAGAGTGGCATATGTGTGTTACCATTCGAACTGACGGAGCACCTTTACTTAGTCTGGTCAGCTTTCAGATGCCTTGGAGAAATTGTTTGCGCTGGAGAAGCAGACACGAAATGTATGTCTTGTTACTTTGACGAATTCCTTGCACTAAACTTTCCACGCATAGGCTAACGATCTGCCTTCCACGACGCGCCTAGCTAAAGCAGCACTTGAGCTGTGTTACGAATCCCGAGATTATACACAACTCAACAGCACCATCAGCTTACTGAGCAAGAAGCACGGTCAACTCAAAGTTGTCGTTCAGGCAATAGTCGAACAAGCAATATCGTGGCTGCCTGGGATTCGAGAAGAGCAAGGTGTCGAGAAGTGGTTAGAGTTGGTTGAAACTCTGCGATCTGTGACCGAGGGAAAGGCTAGTCCATCACGTCGTGAAATATTAACGCATGCTCAGGATGTTCCTTGCAGATTTTCCTTGAGACTCCCCGTGCGCGCGTGACTCTAGTTCTCTCCCATTACCATGAAACTCTTTCCAAGGCTCCAAACGCCTCGGCAGCTACAATCAAAGAAGCACTACAAACGGCCTCGGACCTCGTTAGTGACCTACAAGTGGAAACCTACTCCTCGATGGAACGGAGAGAGAAGACGGAGTTCATTCTAGAGCAGATGAGGCTATTGATCGCTGTTGCTCGATTGAAAGACGCGGAAGTCCCCGTGAAACAGGGGAAGAATGCTCTTGGAACTGGCGAGCCGGAATGGGTCAAGGCCAAAGTTGGGGGCCGCAAAGTCAATGAGTCGTTCCTCAAGGAGAAAGCAAATGAGGTTCGTCTGTTCATGGAGCTGATGTGCGAGACCCTCAATGATTGTCCGGGTGTAGGATCTCAAACTCAAATACTACGATTTAATGATCCAACAAGCTCTTCATCAAAGTGCGTATTTGGAAGTGGCGAAGCACTATGAGAAGGTTTGGGATACGCCGTCTATAAAGGAGGATGAGAGCAAAAGCAAAGCCGTGCGTTCTTCTTATTCCCATCAGGCCTGTGGCGACTGACGGCTGGTTACGATATTCAGGCCCTCGAACACATCGTTTATTACGTGGTGCTTGCGCCTCATGACAACGAACAATCAGACATGCTACACCATCTGTTTGCTAACCCCGCGCTCGAGAAGCTTGAACTCCATTAGTGAGATTTCTGTCCTTTGGTAACGTCAGTACTAATTCTTGGGCAGTAACCTTGTCAAGTCATTTGTGACCCGTGAATTGATGAGGTGGCCGGGAATTGAATCCTTGTATGGACCTTTCTTGCAAACAACGCCGGTATTCTCGGTTTCCAAACAATGGGAAGACCTCCATACGCGCGTCGTAGAACATGTGAATTCAATTCATTTCTCTAGCTGAGTGTCCTAATTCACGATTTTTATTCAGAATATACGCGTGGTCGCGCAGTATTACACTCGAATCACCCTGTCCCGTCTCACGGTTCTTCTCGACCTTACACCACAACAAACGGAAGAAACGCTCGCTCGGCTTGTTGTTTCACATACCATCTGGGCACGTGTAGACCGACCAGCAGGTATTGTCAGCTTCAGGAGTAAGCGCGGTGCAGAGGACGTGATGAATGATTGGAGTTCGGACATGCAAAAGCTACTTGGACTTGTAGAGAAGACTTGGATAGGGATGAACGCAGCACAGGCCGCTCAATCTCGCATCAAGGCATAGTTGTGTATTATTACTAGTGGCTTATGTTCTTGATATAATGCTTCAAAAACATTAACAAGTCGGTGGCCGAACGCTGAGAAATGCAAGGTACGTCTATGGGATTTAATTTAGTAATTTAACAAACTCAGCACTCGCGGCATCACGATCCTGCTCCATAGACTGCACAGACGTCCCAGCTTCTGACGCAGCCACCAGTTCATCTACCGGAAGGTAGGTTGGACGGATGCCTTGCTTCCAATTCCTGGTATATTGTTGTCCTCTCTCAAAGTCTCCCATCCCACTATCCACATCCAAGATGGCCTTCCACCGCTTGCGAGCGAGAAGAGCACCTCTGTCAAGCTCAACCTTGCGGTCTGCCGATTGGTAGACTGCATCTTCCTTCTCGAACGTCCGGTCAATTTCAGAGGGGAAGACAGTGCCATAAGCTTCAGCCTCCATTCGAGCGAATGTGTTGGCAAAATCGTGCCCAGCTCGTAGTGATCTGAACTCCGCAACAGCGCGTGTGTATGCAATGCTAAGAGCCATTTTATGGTGGTTGTGCAGGTTAGCAGCAAAGCGGACAGCACTAACGAAATGGGAGTTGCCATGTTATTCGATGGTCAATTGCAAAAAAGAAGTACTTACTCCTCCGGGGAAGGGTTGAGTCCTCTTTCAGCTAGCCGTGTCCAATCTGTTCCTCGTACTGGATGCTCATCCTCTACTTCGCGACCTTCTACAATGCTGACAGGCCTGAATGCCTCAAATGGATGGTCGCGGAAAAATTGCCGACGAACTTTGTCCTCCAAGTAGAATATAGGCAACGGCTCAGTCTTTGGTTTCCGCATTTTTCTACTGGACGGTAACCGACAGTCTTCACGGACTGGGGGAGCTCTTGGAGGGAGAGGAAGGGGAGGATGTTCGAGAACTGCTTGAAACCACACAGGCTCATTCTTCATGTAACTCGCGCGCATGAGCCGCGCAGCCTGCTTGTGCACCTGTGAAGCAATTCGGCGCACCATATTGACAACGGCGGCAGTAGGACAAGAGCAAATAAATGACTGTTCAGAACGTTCAAGTTTGTTTGGATCAGAAGCCTTTGCCAAACAACTGCCGGAACGGCAGCAGCTTTTGTCACCGTCATGATAATCCCTTGCAAACTCTTCGCGTGGATTTCGCATTACTGACTATCTGTAAACTCTACACTGCACGTGAACACGGATGGAGGAAGAGGAAGCTGAACTCCGTAGTCCCTTTCCCTCGCCGCCATCTCACTACAACAACTATACATCACATAACCTGAAACTCCTTGCTTTGCTCAAGGAAAGAGTAGGGGATAAAAATGTTGATATTATGACAGTAAACCAGCATGAATTACTCTCAGATCAAACCGATGTACCTTCATGGTCGCTGGCAGAGCTCGAGAAACCACGAGTAGACTGGATCCTTGAAGAAGGCCAATACAACGTCTTCGGCGATACGTGGTTTGTATGTATGCTGCTTTGCATTTAATGTAAATGTTTCATTATCTCCCAACCAGGTGAAAGAGACCATCCCATCTCTAGCTGAACTTGGGGGACATCAGCTCTACCCTCCTGACCCGAGTGTAGGTGAGACAGTCCTTGGGTCTCCTCGATACGTTCGCTGTCCTGAAACCGTACTTCCCTAAGATCGACGGCCCGCGCTTCTTGCTGTCTTGAGGTCCATGCTGGTCACGTACTCCAATTTGACAGATGCAATTCTTGCACCGCCGCCACCCCCTTCATCTTCCGTACCACCAGAATGGCAACGCCAGCTTGAGTGGATCACAATACTTGCCCAGAATCTTATGGCAGCTGCAAATGATCTACGGCCCGTCCAGGTCCTTATTTTCACACTTTGGCCCATGCGGTTCACTGATATTTATATAGGCTAGAGGAAATCTTGAACTTATGATGCAACGACAACTGGAACTAAGGCGCGAGGAAACGAAGAACATTCACTCGTGCGTGCCCCACTCTTTGGTTTAAACGTTATTGAATACGACAAGCTAGGCAATGTGATGCTCTCGAGGCTCGTCTGTTGGAGCTACGTTCTACGGCTCAGGAAATGGCGGGATCAGAAGCCCAGAAGCCGGTGGTGAAAGCCAGCGACTCTCAGGTACCTTTTGCTTAGTGCACGTCGACATTCAAATGACATTATGTCGGTACAGACACCTGCTATCAGCGTATCACTTGAAGACATGTTACGTTGGGCAGAAGAGGTCCCATGAAAATCGCGGGTTCTCTTTCTGGCGCGGTCGTGACACATGCTTACATTGGGCGTTACTGTTCAATGTATGTTGTGTGTATGGCCTACTACATTGCATGGTAGGACTGGTGAACTTGCTGACGCGTGTTGGAGTAGCGAGCGAGTCGGGCAGTGCTCGTATTCTGACTTTCATTACTTTGTCTCTTGTTCACCATTACAAGTCGTGATACAGGTCGATATACAATGTCAACTTCTTCGTTCCACTGCTGTCCTAGACCATGAAGCGATGCCCAATATGTCACTGACCCAAGGCAATGGGAAGACACAGCAACCTCTTCACTTGAACCTTTCAAGAACATTGCGTGTGGTGGTTACGGTTCTATTTGCCGTTTTGCCGCTCATCTTTTTACAAGGTCTGTCTGGTTATCCGTAACTTGTATTTGGCGTATGTTATACTGAGCACTTCCCAGTTGAATGCACTGGATACACATAGGCAGCTATGACATCGCAAGGGGTACTAGTAGCTTCAACCGGTCGACCGTTTTGTGGCACCGCACTTCCACCTTCGAAATATTTCTAATGGACGGCCCAAGACTCTTCCAAACGGTTGCGCAGTTCCACGTTGTACACCGACCCGTTCCACGTTTCTTTCGCCTTGTACATATTACGCTTCTTTGAACAGCAGCTATCGTCTCTGCTGATACTGCATCTTGTCCCAACCCAGGAGGAGGAAAATATGCTATCTTGCAATACCCGGTGCCTTATACTTATCTGAAATTTATACCGCACATACGTTGTGAAGTTTAGGGGGCGTTTGGAGCAAGTACATCTCATTCGAACTTTATTGCCTCGCTGACTGCTTCCATTAGCATCAGCTCCTTTCTGTCATGGATGCCCACGAGATCATGATATTGTTTATTTTGGGAGAGTGCGTGCCTAGTTTCGTACGCTTATTTTCTGGATGGAAGGTAATTCTTCAATGTATATCTTAAATCCACTCACTGATGTATATGGCAAGGCAAAGAAGTTCATAAGGGGCAACAGGGGGCAACGGCATATCGTCGGCCTAGAATGAAGGTAACAAGCACACTGCCTCGACAGTCTCCCGCAGTCAGACCTTCATAGAAGGAAGATGCTCGTTGGTGACTCTGCATTCAGTCCGTCTGCGCGGTGCTTCGGTATTCTGCGAAGATGCTCCCAATGTGTATGCTTAATGTTGGCGAAAGTGTCCACTCAACCTAAGTAGAACAGCGGACCCCAAAGCTCCTCCAACTTAAATCACGCACGTGACTCCACTTGATGCTTGACCCCCAAAAGGGTGGCCGAAAACTCTGCCAAACATACATAGCATCATTTATGTATTACTACATTTGCATTCGCATTCATAACTGGATCAGTCGACACAATCAACAGCCTTTCATCGATTTCATCTTCTGCATTCATGTCCACTAGGCGGAGAATCGGCGTCAGCATCGCAACAACGGAGGCTGCAAGACGCCAACTCATGCAGCCAGTTGTTTGTTGGGAGAAAGTATGGACCGTTCCAGAAAATGCTGCTCCAAATTCTTCTGTGAAGATCTACAAGTGGGCGAAGACAGAAAGAAAACAAGTAAGTAGCCTGACCTATTGATAAAGTGACTTCGAAATTACAGTCAACCTTGAAGCAATTTAGTGATGATGAAGGAGAAGTGGATGAACCACTAGCGCCACTTCCCGACGAACCTGAGGTGGTGGAAGGAGACGAAGAGATGGACCAGGATGAGCCGGTCGTCTCTGTAGTTCCCGATGCAGAAGCACCTGTGTTGGACACAGAGACGAACTCAGTTGCTCAGGAAATTCCATCGGAACCCCAAACCAAACCATCATCTCCGTCACCTCCTGCACTTTCGCTCCAAGCTACTGAGCCTATATTGGTAACAGAGCAGGTTGCAGACATGTTGGACGAATCACTCAAAGCTCTCGATGGCGATGTGGATATCGAAATCGGTGTACACGAGAGTGCCAATCCGGAAGAAGTTGGAGACCTGGATATGGCAGTGCTCGGACCTGATGGAACTGCGTTCGAAGGCGTTCATGACCTCAGTCAAATGGAAAGTGGCGACGCGCTGTTGGGTGGACCTCTCATGGATCACACAGTTGATCCATTTGCCATAAACTTGAATGATGAGGAATCTGCTGAGGGAGCAGCTCCATGACCCCCGCTTTGATTGCACCAGGTATTACTTCATGCGGTGATATAACATTTAACTTTAAACTGACACATTCTGTAGTTCACTACTTCATCAGTCGTTGCTGCTCGTGTACAAACGGCCGGTCGCTTCTTGTTGCAACAATAGGAGACGTAGTTGGTTGTTCTCGACACCGAAGACCCTGAAACCGTAATTTCCACTCCCGAAATCGAGGTAGTATCCGGTCCTGTACTGAGGTTTATCATATTCTTATCATACTTATGAGGATGTACTATGGAATTCGGCACATATGAAGCGGTCCAGTGTACTCTGTCATACTTTTCGATCTTCGTAGACGCTCGAATTTACCCTGCATGTAAGATGAACTCCAACGCTCATCGGCAGCTGCAGTGACTATGTGGCCCAAGGACAATCACTAACCACTACATGAGTGATTAACGTCGCCTGCCAGCTAACATGGGGACACATTGCAATGCCTCATCCTCGCAAAGTATCCAACACCCATTTTACAGTAACAGAGTTCGTGCTTACCTTTATATCCCTGGGCCCGTCGTCAACGTTCGTACCGTTGGTGTTATTGCTCGCACTATGGTGCCCGAACTTATCACGTTTAACAGCAACACTGGTCAAGAATCCAGTAGAATTAATGTTCTCTTGGATAACTATCCCATCTGGCTCATCTCTGGCCGATTACTCTTCCACTACTAACGCTCTGTCAAGCTCATTGTAATTACTTGTTGCAGTTGGAGGCATGTGTGCTATCACAAACGTATGTGCGCCATTGTAACACTTTATGTAGATATCCGCCTCGGTCGACGGCTCCAAACAACATGGACTCAGACCTTCTTCCCATTTTTATGGGCGATGCCGTGGAGTATTATATCGCACATCTACGGGCCTGTCGGGAGACTTCTGACCTGGAGTCCGGTCTCCACATCTCACCCATATGGTTGGCTCTTGCCGTATACAGGGTCACCGGGCATACTGAGTAGATTGGGTTGTTGCTGCCTGTGCCGTTCTGTGCTCGGAATCGATCCCCCACAACATACACAGCGAAAAATTAGGGTTTCGCGGAGACACTTCATGGATGACATCCTATGAGAAAGAAATTTCGGATGTGGAGGCAGCATGCATTTCGGCTGTGAGGGAGGAGGAATTGGGTTACGCAGGATGCATGTCGAGTGGATATCCTCCGTATAGATGTTGCTCTCCGAAAAGAGAGTACGTGCGAGTCTGATATCCAAGTAACAAATGTCGTTGGGTCCTCGATGACGCCCTAAAGCTCTACGGCTGGAGCCTTGTCTATGGTGACAAACAGATTGGTTTGGCTTTCATTCAAAGAGGTCAAACAGCAAATTGAATTGAATTATGCCGATGAGTCTTGCACGATTTGTGTCACAGGCTGTCGCAGCGGACACCGCACGCACTCAGGCTGATCAGGAACCCATTGCGTCGATCGTTCTAAGGCTGTGGTGATGTGTTCCAAAATAAAGGCTATCAAAAAGGCTATCAAACTCACTCAAGACCCTTGTTGATGTCGTCGAATGTTCGTTGGTTAATGTTGAACGTTGGACTTTGACCTAGAAGTTTTAGAGTCCGAGCTTTAGTACCATTTCGAGCCGAGCTTCTCGTGCTCATCATATAAAGCTTGGCCGCAGTAGTTACAACAACGTTTCGGAACTCACTCACCAACCATTAACATTGTTTATCATGGGAGACTCTCTTCGATCCCTCATTCTGACCAAAAAACCAATCTTGATATTCGGGGTGAGCGAGTTTCTACTCGCATTCTTATCTCTGGGGCCTGCCCCGACTTTTGTACCTTTGGTACTACTTCTCACTACTCTCCGTATTCACGGATTCAGAACCGCATGTCGCAGTACCCGATTTTTGGAGCTAATATGCTCCTTGGGAGCTGTGACGGTCGGTACGTCATTGGCCCTAAACTCTGCCGCAACGAATGCCATGTCGAAGAACTCGACACAATCATTTGCTGCGGTTGGAGTTATGTCCGCCATGACATACGTGTGCGTAATCGTGGCGATTTATGCAGATATACGCCTTCATCGCCGGTTCCAAAGCACCTGGGCTCAGCTCACATTCTTCCCTGTTGTATGGGCGGCGACGTGGGCTATTGTATCCCACTTCTCCCCTGTGGGGAGACTGTTCAATTGGAGTCCAGTCTCCACCTCCCATCCCTTTGGGTGGATGCTCCCCTATACAGGGCCAATAGGCATCGACTGGGCCGTCGCTGCCTGTGCGGTTCTGTCTTCGGAAGTTGCAGCTGCTTGGCTGATGGGCTCCGATAACGACCATAAGCAGCCGATCCACCCGGATACTTTGCCCGGTGAAGCTCAATCCAATAAACGCTCGCGGAGTCTTCTCGCTTTGGGAATTATCCTTGTGACACTCGCCCTTCCTTCGTTATATGTCAGTCTACCCACTCGAACTGATACGTTGTTTGATGCTTCGCCATTGGGTGTTGCCTGCGCCCTCCCACCCGTTCGCCACGGTCATCATCCGACTCCCGCCGACTATATTGCTGAGACCAGGACATTGGCTTCACGTGCCAAGGTCGTTCTGTGGCCGGAAAGCGCGGTACTGTTTAACAGTCAGGAGGAGAGGGAGGCTGCATTCGAAGTGATGCGCAAGGATATTCAACAATCTGTTATTGGGGTTGCATTTGAGGAGTTTGTGCCTCAAGACCCGTCGAACCCCGGCGTATCTCGCATGAGGCGTAATGGGCTGGCGCTTGTACATCGGGAGCAGAAGAAAGGCGAGGAAATACTGCAATATTACAAACGGAACCTCGTTCCATGTACGTCCTTCTGTCTGGGCGTGATCTTGCCAAGTGTCTGACGGTCTGACAGTCACAGAATCCTTCTCAGCGATCCCCTCAACTGAGCCTCCGACGATGTATACATTCGAACTCGGCCCTCCAAAATGGGCGACAAGAACTGAGTGGTCTTCCACAACGAATCACACCCGCCCCATCCCCATCACATCCTCTATATGTCTCGACTTTGCCTTCTCGTCTGGATTTAGTTCTCTCGATTCTAGGCCTGCGTTGATTCTTGCCCCTGCTCGTACGTGGGACCCTACTGTCGGTCTCGCTATGTGGGAGCAGGCAAAGTCGCGAGCTGAGGAAATCGGGAGCATGGTTCTATGGTGTGATGGAGGTGCCACGGGAGTGAGCGGCATTGGAGGTGGGGGGATATCCGAGATTATGCAGGTTGGCTCAGGCTCCTGGTCTCGCATGATCGGCCTGCAGTTCCCCTTTGACCAAAGGAGGACTGCCTATGCCGTGATCGGAGAACTCGGCGTGCTTGTTTTGTTGGTCGCCATCATGGGTGGAACTTCAGTTGCCGGGTTTGCGATCATGGGTGGAACCACAGTTGCCGGGTATCTCCCAGCACTCTCCCGCAGCCGCTCAATCCTGGAGGCAGTACCGCTCTTGCAACGTCTCCTCCGTGGAAAAAGAAGGGACCAAGAGAATCTGATTGACGATACAGTGCCAGGAGAGAGGCAGAGCCTCCTGCACTAATCGGAAGTCTTCCGCAGCAATGTGAAGGATAAAATGATGGCTCGGTTTTTGTTGATTTCTTGTTTTGCTTCCCTGTGTACAACCAATTCATAGCGTCTACTATTCTGCTTATTATGAACACGATTCTCTATATCAGCCGGTTGCTTTCCTCGCTCAGATGAAATAACAAATATGATTGATGTCTAGGAGCTGGATATTGAATCAGGAGGCGCCCACACAACAGGATGATCATGATATTCGTTTCTCCGCTCTGGTCCTTAGTAATTACTCCTCCCATACCTCTCTCGCTTGCTGTAGTATCCATCCGATCATCGCAGCACACAGCACCAAGGTCTCCGCCGGCCTGGAAACCTTCAATTTGAATCGGACGTCTGGAGACTTGCTTCATTCTCCGCTGGACCTCGCCTAGAGCCGCACGTTGCTTGTCCGCAGCTGTAAGACGTGCCTGCAAAGCGTCCACAGGGGCCATCCAATAAAAGAAAGTTGAGCGCTCCTTTTGTAAAAAAGGGTTTCTGATATCGTGCCTGTAGATATGATCCGGATGTCGGATGTCGCGTTGCCCCTCAAGCAGGTGTAGGGGCGTCATCATGTTGGATTCGAAGATTTCGATCGCAGGTTTTCAAGTGCAACCCTGAGCTTGCCACGAGCGAGCGAACGCTGTTGCACACGATCACGAAGCAGCTGTCCTGACGACATGAAAACCGGGTTTCCGCGGTTTCGTAGTACGCAGTGCCCTTGTCGTAGATGTTTGGAAGAGCAGAGGGGTTGGTGAAGAAGGCGTACGTGATTATAATGTCCGCTCAAGCTGAAATGTGAGGTCATCTCCGATAAAAAATATGACATGATGGGTTGGAGCTACTCGGATATTGAAGCAGTCGTTGGGGTTTAGATGGGGATCTTTATGAAGAATACATGATATCAGAAAACACTGCGTTGCTTCGATCGACGAGCATGTGTGTCACGACCCGGTGCTAGAGCCAAATTGATCGAAGCAATCTGACAATCGAGATCGGCGAGTACTGCGTATCTGATCAGACCATATAAGAAGACGGGTACTTTTTGCATAGTGGCAGACTTACCGCCAGAAAACTCGAGTCCAGCGTTGCACGATGCATTGGATTATCGATTCATCGTTTCTGGCTTAACAAAGATGTCATTCATCGTACCACGTACTAGTAGTTTACACCCCGATCTACTGCAGTGCGGTGCATGAAACCCGACCGTTTGCCTTGTGACACTGCGAGAAAACGTTATCGGTGCGTTATCGGTATGAGAATTTATGAGGCTGATAGCCAGTGATAACCATGCATGCAAGGCAAGAGGTTGTGATGCTTCTATCAGCGTGCGCAGCTCAACTCCAAAGGTTGTTTGGGAAGAGAACGACTTGAAGCCCCGGGTGGCTTGAACGTGTTTTTCCTGATCAAGGCGTCATTCCTGGCAGCAACGGTCCATGCTTTGATTAATCTGTATGTAAGTGCAGGAATGAAAATATCAAACCTATTTTGAGCCAAAATGAGCGCTCAGACTGTGGAAAAGGAGAATAATGAATAGCTTATCGGTCGAGGCAGTACTTGGACTTCCGATTGATAATGGCAGTTCTGAAGCACGATGTCCACGGGTAGCTGGAGTGAGTTCAGCGTAACTTGAACGTACAATGGAGGATGCATACGGGGTCACCCACCGCAAAGCTTATGTAATTGATACCGAGTGCCGATCGCATATAGTTTAAGCAATTGGCCTCGAGGCAGGTCAGCGGAAAACTAACAAGTTTACAGAAAACACGAGGATAAGGACCGGTAAGTAATTGAACCAGATGTAGCTTCTCCTAGTCGTCAGGAATCCACGTTACAATCACGCTGACACAGCGCCTGATTTTCTTCAAAGGTCACTCCTCCCAGCCGTATTCTCTTCTCCTCACAAGTCCATATCACAAGGACTTGGAGAAGATACAACGTCGCCATCAACCTACTTCCAGTCGAGACTACCTCGCGGCCTTCGAGGCTCTTTGCGCAGCTCGGCTCATACTCTTGATCCAACCCGTTTACTTTCCCGCACTTTCAAAGGGCGAGGTAACCAAGGTCTCTTTACAAAGAGACATCAAGACCCTACCTCAGAGCAGGAGCAACAACCACAAGGTGAAGACCTTGAGGAATTTGAACTTGTAAATCGAGAAGATCTCCCCATCCAACTCGACGACGAGTCTCTAGCTCGTCCAAGTATCATCAATCCAGAACCTTCCGACGGGGAAGCCTGCAATAAACCCTCCTCTGACTCATCCATTCCTCCTAAGCGACCAGCAATTTCTCGTACCAAATCCGCTTTATATCGCCTCAAGAACTTATCCAAGGCATCACTTCACTTGTCGGCTTTCAATTCCGGTCGGCAACAAGTCCAGCCCAATCGTGCAGCAGAAGTCTCTGACATCTATCTTGCATTCCCGAGACCCCCAACTCACATACCTACTCCGATCGCTTCGGCCTACGCAACATCCTCAGTTGCGAGCTCGACACTCGTCACTGCCAATCAAGAACTCGACGAGACTTGTTCTACCCTTCGTGTATCCCCTCCATTCTCAAACGAATTCATTCTTCGTAGTCCCCCTCTCGTTGACTCACCTTCCGACTTTGACGCACATCCAGAACTTTCTAGCACTCCGACTCAGACATCTGGGCCATTTACGTCCGCTACTACACTTGACTTTGACGTCAGAAGTCGTAAATTTACTGGTTCATTGAAGCGCTTTAGGTCTTTATCAAGGTTACTACACGGTCCTTTCAACTCTCGTTCGGACGTTTCGTCTGGTAATACTATCAGAAGTAGGAGGAGAGCACCTAGTCAAGCAACTTCACTATCCTTATCTCTTCAGTCTGCATTCACAGAACCCCTCCATTCTTCCCCTTCGAATCCCGTTATCGAGCCTGCGGCTGAGAACTCTTCAAACCCTTCTGAGGCTGCACTTGTCGTTTTAGCTCGCAGGGCAGCTATAGCAGGTGAATCATCATCACCAGCACCCCTTCCGATTCCACCGCCCGCCAGTGACGCCTTACATCCAGAGCAGGTCGCGAAACCATTTCCTCCCGTTATCAAACACCCTTGTGTTGATCCGTTGGAGCTTACTGCGTCACCATCGCCATTCGCCGCCAGCTCAATTCTCAGCCCTTCATCGCGCACGTCATTCATTCCACCTTCCCCTTCTTGGCTTAGCAGAAACGTACAGAACCGTGATCCATTCGACTATCGCACCATCTTTCCACCTTCAAGGATATCTCTCCTAACAGACTCGGAGCACTTAAAAGTTCCGGAGATTAACACATATATCACTTCTGCACTTTTTGCTCCCGACTCCCCTAGACCCTTACCCGTTCCAATACCTTTCCTTCCAGTCCCCCCACCACAACCTCTTTACGCTCCCGAGTCACCTTACAAGCCTGTTCTTCAGCGCGTAGTCACTGATATTTATTTGGAGACACCTGAAGCAGATCGGGATTCACTTGCAACTCCGCGTTCCATTGCAGAATCCACTTCCAGCACTTCCGGCACTTCGAGCATCATATCAAGCTCTGCTTTCGTATCAGCGCATCCCTCGCCCTCCGCGATTCTCTACAATCGGTTATCGACGATCAGCCGCGTCAGTGCAGAGCGTCATCGCCACTCCATCGCTGCGCGGAAAACCCGTTTGAATAGCCCTGGTTCTAGACGTTTGTCATCGAAGGAGAATAGACAGTCTCTAAACCCTCTTTTCAAGGCACGGAATATTACCTCTTAGGCGTCACGCTGAATCTAATCACCCGGTTTCACAGGAGTTATCCCAATCGTCTTCTCGAAAACCTTTCTCACCCTCATCTAACACTCTCAATCTCAGCGTCCCCACATCTCTTTCCCCACTTCCATCGTAAGTCGATGTCGTATGCCACACATAACGCTTTGGCTGACCTTCGTCCTGATAAAGCGAAAACTCTCTCAACCTACACGCTATCTTCACCCCTCCCGCTCAAGCACAAGACTCCGTCCCATTCGATCAGATACCTTTGCCAAAGGATCTAACAGCACTACTCGAAGCTTTAAATCGCCCATCTCATCGTCGAATAATGGATTACACAGCGAAGAACGCTGACCACGTAGATTTTGGTGGAGAAGTCGACTACTCTGGACACCAGTGGTTCCAGGAGCCGCCCCCAAGGCCAGAGGTACGTTCATATCATTACTACCACCACAGAAGTTAGACGCTAATGCCTCGCGCAGCCCCAGCCTGTGGTCGAACCATATGTCCCAGAACAAGGCGTCATCATCCAAAACGAAGCATTCGACTTTGCACTCAAAGCAGCGCCCAACGTTCTCTACGGTCGTTACAAACAATACGGCCAAGTAAGTCCTCCCCAATACAAACCCCTACCCAGTACTCACACAAGAACAGCTAGGAGTACTTGCATGGTGTTCCGAATTCGGAGAGATGATCGACAGTCTGAAAGAGCTCGGGTTCCGAGGCAACATGTTCGTAACGACGCGCACGCAAGCCCTACGCACCTGCGAAGAAATCCTCAAACTCAAACTCGATATCGAGATGCAGATCATCCTGATGTACCTCTCATCACAAGTCATGCGGTTGCGTCGCTTCCTCGATGGAGAACGCCAGTGGGATGATTACCCTGCGCCCAAGTTCCCGCTGGACTATCGGCAGTATGGTGGCTCGTGATGAAACTGCGAACTCTGTACTTTTTTTCTTCCTTTTTACTTACTCACTTACTTTTGCTGGCTGTTTTTTTTTCCTTCAATATTTGGATTGCGGCATGTCTCGTTTGTTGATTCGGCTCATGTGCTTCACGTTCACATCAAGCTCTCTCTCATAATCGCATTTTGCATATCTTCTGTATCAGGCTCAAAGCGAATGTACTTATAGCGAAATAGAAAATCATTCATCTTTTGCAAGAGTGAGGGAATCCTATTGATTGCAAATAATGATCGAAGCATTGCGCTCAATTAATCGAGCTGGTACATAAAATGTCTCCAGTCCAAAGCAATAGTAATTGAATAGCGAGGCAAAGCGAATCAAAAAAAAAACGTCCGCCTAATCACAAAGCCCTGAGGGAACAAATTGCTGTATGATCTAAGTTAATATTTGTAACAGAACGTGAAAATGTGTGATCGTAAGCGGGTATGGTATATCAATGTGAGGGCACTGGTGGGTACTTGTTCGTCCAATAATCCGAGGAAGCTCCACTGCCTCGATCTGCAAGCGTTGACAAGTGCGCGGGTTGATAGTCTGATTCACGTGGGGGGCGTGGTAGAGGGTTCTGGCGAGACGGAGGATCTGCCGGAGACTCTGTAGAAGGAAACATGAAAGAGTTGGGTAGGGATCGGTACGCAGACTGGTGGGAAGCCTGATGAAGCATCTGTCCATACGGAGAAGAAGCAGTATAGATGATTGGGGGAGGCGCAGATGGCATGTTGGCATAAAACACGCTCGCAGGCATGGGATGTGCTTGGAGCGGCTGAACGAGGTACGACGTGTGACTCGAACCGTGCCCGGCACCATCTACTCTGAAGTCTCCGTTGACCTGCCGTGAATCACGACTGGGTGGCGAGGCAATCACGTTGGACTCCTGGTGATGCATGCTTCTTCCTTTCCATAAGCGTTCCATTTCCCATGCCTCGCGTGCGCGAAGGGCATTGATGTCTGCAGCAGATGGTAGTTCGGAGGTTGGACGGTTTGCGTTTGAGGGCAGGCGTTCGACACGCGCGATACCAGAAATAGGATTCGGACCAGGTCGGATGGGCTTTGGGTGGTGCGATTCGCGTGGCCGGTCATCGCTCTTGCGTTGACGAGGTGGATCACCTTGAAGCGTGAAAACCATCGGCTGCCCAACACTCGTACGAGAGGTGGTGTCGAGACTACGGGCTCGCGAAGGACGTCCCGAGAGGGAGCTGGAGTCGATTGTTTCTGGTTTTGTCCGCTTCGTCCGACCTTGACTACTACTAGTCGCACGTGCCTGGTTCTCTGCTGCTTCTTGAGCTACCTTATCCTGCCTTCGCTGATCCCTTCTACTACTCTCACGGTCCTTCGTCGAAGACCGCGACGATGGCTTCTCTACCCTTTCCACCCTCTCGCTCTTCTCTACGGGCTTCTCCTTTGTTCGCCTCCGGCGAGGGGCGTCAGAAGAATTGACAACAGTCCAGTGCTCACCCTCAGCGGTGATAGTATCCGCAGACGATGTAACCTTGTCAGATGGGTTCCGCATCAGCCTGAACGTCTCCGTCTTCCGGCTCGTCGAAGAGTTAGACTTTGCCACGCGTACTTCCCCATCGCCCTTTTTGACGGGAGAATTCTCCCGTGAGGGTGCCCTGCTCGGCACCCTCTCGATCGGGGGCATCTCAGATGGAAGGTCTGGGTGTAACTCGTCGGGATTGTGTGGTGTGGGTGGGTTGACCAGGACTGATGCCTTGGACAAGGGTGAGTCATCCGTCGTTGATATGATGGCGGCGGTGGCGGTGGAGTAAGCATGGAACGTTCTAACCTCTGGGGCTGCCGCGGGCGCGGTCAACAATGAGGGCGCACCTATTGACGACAACGAGGGAGCAGACGGAGAACGAATATAGATGGATGGAGGAGGTGACTGAACACTCGCCGCCTGTGGGGGAGATCGGACCACGCTAGGAACAGAAGGTGTAGGAGCGGGCGCGGGGCTCGTGCGTTTCACGGGCGATGTCTTGCCACTGGGCTGAGCCACCGACTCCTTGCTCGTATTCCGATCGTGACGTGGTTGCACAGGCTGTAGCAGCGGTGAAACATCTATGTGTGGCAGGTCCAAAGGCGGCAACGCAATGCTTTGTCTGATTGGCGTATTCCCTCCAGAACTCGGCGAATCTGGGTTTGCTATCGTTAACCTTCCAGGCGAAAACGGAACCTCTAACGAGATAGACGAGCGATGGTCGGGAATCTCGCGCTCTAGCTCTATCGAAGGTCCCGACCTGTCAGGTATCTGTGACATCAAGTCAATATCTATCCGTGGCGGGGGTACGCGCTTGGATGGATCCGAATTCTTTTTCTCCATTGACAGCTTCTCTGGTGAAGGCTGACGTTGGGAAAAAAAGGAGCGACGGGGCTCAGAAGGCGCTGCAGCTTCATGTGGCTCATCCTCTACTCTTTCACTGATGGTCGGTCCCGGATCTTGAGTAGACTTCGTCAAGATGCTGAACTTCCTCACCAGTCGACCTAGGACACTTGTTCGTCGTTCCTTCTTGGATGAAGAATGGGTTGATAGCGCTACAGTGGATGCATTAGGGACGGAGTTGGGAGAGAGAGTGGAGTGACGACGCGCAGATGTATCCGGCACTTGCAACGAGTCCTGACCGCCGAAGAGGTTGCCGAGCACGGGTTTTCGGCGTTTGCTGAGTTTACGGGTGATGTTCGGTTCAGATGTTTGTGTGTGTAGTGCGGATGTAGACTGAGATAATGGAGAAGGGGTGACTGTTTTGCGACGAGTCGGTGGGGTATTCATGCTTGACAAACGAGAACGGGAGCGACCCTGAAGAGAGATGAGTTTGAGAGAGATTACGAGAGTAAATGGAAGAAGACACTTGCCTCGGAGGGGTCAACTGAGACTGGACTGATATTTGTGCCTGTGTCGTATGGGGACTGATGATGCCAGTGAGTACCCCAGGGGTCAGAGGCGTCGAGCAAGTCAGCGTTATCCTGTGAGGTTTTTCTGCTGCGAGGTTTACCGCCTGATTCTGGGATGCGAATTTGAGAGGAAGAAGGAGTTTGGAGAGAAGTGCCTGAGGGAGTGCGGCTTGGGCCAGGCAAGCGAATAGAGTCCTCTGAACGGTCGTTGAGAGAGGAAGCCATCGGTGGAAAGGAAGGAGAGAAGACGGACGGAGGACGATTACCAGGATTGAGCTGAGCAGGGGGAATAAGGTGGCAATTCTTGTACCACTTGGGACCGACTGGGTTATGCAAAGGATATTTTATCCTGTAAGATGAGAGGTTTGCAGCTGCCATGTCGTTCTCTTTCTTGAACCAAGCTGGTAGTTCACCTAAAGGATCTGGTATTATCGAGCGAGAGATGAAAGTAGGAAAATCGTGGTCTTCGTCTGAAGTGTCGTTTGCCAGCTTTGAGTCCATAGAGACTAGAGATTGAGATGATTGTAGGTGAAGGTGCTTGAGTGGGGGTGGTCCAGCCGGTGCATTTGGTGCTGCGGTGGTCTTCTTTGTGGACTTTCTATGCCATAAAGACCTTCCAGAAGTCTCTTTTGCAGGTGATGTTCTTGAAAGTTTACGCTGAGGACGATATTGTTCTTCCATGAGCACTTCATGAGGGTTTGTTGCAACCAGACGACGGTCAAACACGCCGGCGCCTTGACTCTGAAGGGAAAAAATCAAAGGCAAAATTAGCGATCGCGTAACGCGGGAGAACAAAGAGAACCGTGAGCCGGATTCTCTCCTAGGAGGGTCCAAGTACCTCTTCAAATGGTTCAAGAACATTTTGAAACATTGGACTATCTGATTGACACTGACTGACACTGACAGTGATACTGGGTCAACTGTCTGGCACTGATACCGTAGGTCAATGACCTGGATACTGCCTTTAACACTCCACAAGCTACTTGAGCGCTTGTAACCGGGGTCCTATTTATCATCTTTCATCTCTGCGATGAGTACGCAGATCTTGATACTTGGCAGCGGAGGTAGAGAACACGCTCTAGCATGGAAACTGTCGAAATCAGTCCTCGTTAAACACATATTCGTATGTCCCGGTAATCCAGGATCAGCTCAAAATCAAAAAACTTCAAATCTTGATCTTCCTCTCATTCATCCTTACAATGATCTCGTCGATTTCGCTGTCAAGAACAAGGTACTTTTGCATCTATCCCCCCCACCCAACACTTATCCTCATCCAACTAGATCGACCTAGTACTACCAGGTCCAGAGGATCCTCTCGTTCTTGGCGTAGAAAAATGCTTTCGCGACGGTGATTAGTCCCCCAGTCATCGCCTTTCATCAGCTGCTCATCTTTCATCCAGTTGGCATACCCGTATTCGGTCCCACAAAGCTAGCAGCTAGAATGGAAGGCTCCAAGGCCTTCTCCAAGGCCTTCATGCACCGTCATGCTATACCCACTGCCAAATTTAGATCTTTTGCTTCTTCTCAACTTCAGGACGCCATTGACTACATTAAATCATGCGGTCATCCTGTCGTTTTAAAAGCAAGTGGCCTCGCAGCCGGAAAGGGTGTCCTCATACCCTCCTCTACTGAAGAGGCTCTCCAAGGCCTCCGATCCATCATGGTAGACAATGCCTTTGGATCGGCAGGTTTGTTTTTGGATATTCTCTTCAGATAAAAATAATAATACAATTTTGTAGGTGATGAGGTGGTGATCGAGGAACTTCTCCAAGGTCCCGAAATCTCAGTTCTCGCCTTCTCAGACGGGTACACTATTGTTCCCCTACCAGCCGCACAAGATCACAAGCGTATTGGCGAGGGGGACACCGGTCTTAACACTGGCGGCATGGGCGCCTATGCACCTGCCCCTGTCGCAACACCAGCTATCATGGATCGTATCATGACAGAGTGTCTACGTCCCACCATCGACGGGATGCGCAAAGAAGGTATATCCCGTCTATTCTCTTCCCCGTCTCCCGCTCACCTTCCTCAGGATTCCCCTTCGTCGGCCTCCTTTTCACAGGCTTCATGCTCACCGCCGACGGACCCAAGCTATTGGAATACAATGTCCGTTTCGGGGACCCCGAAACCGAGGCCCTCATGATGCTCCTGAGCGACGATGTCGATCTCGCTGCAGTCCTTCTCGTGCGTCCATCCATCATCAGCTTTGCGAGCTGTTGATTCACCTATCGAACAGGCGTGCGCTGAGCGCCACCTCGATTCAGTCCAGATCACCACCCGCCCAGGCTTCTCGGTCTCTGTTATTTTAGTTTCGGGGGGATACCCCGAGAGCTATGCCAAGGGGGAGCCAATTCAAGTGGGCGATGTCCCATCTGGTATAACCTTTTTCCATTGGCTGATCTGCGCGATCGATTAACCTTTTATATTAGATGTCATGGTGTTCCATTGCGGAACATCGATGAACGGAAATGATCTGGTCACATCAGGTGGCCGTGTCATGGCAGTAACATGCTCTGCACCAACCCTAGAACAAGCTCTTGCGCAAGCTTACGCGGCTGTCGATAAAATTTCTTTTGAGGGCAAATTCTACAGGCGAGACATCGCACACAGGTAGCCACATCGGTCATCGGATCATGACCAACGCTGACAGATCGTAGAGCACTGACATCATCAAGTCAAGCTCCATCAAATGGCCTGACGTATGCGCAGGCCGGAGTTTCCGTAGATGCCGGAAACGCGCTCGTGGAAGCAATCAAGCCATACGTGCGCGCCACAAAGCGTTCAGGTGCTGATGTGGAAATAGGGGGCTTCGGAGGTATCTTTGACCTCAAAGCAACCGGCTACAAAGATCCCGTGCTGGTTAGCGGGACAGACGGCGTGGGTACGAAACTTCGTATCGCTGTCGATGCCGGTATCCACCATCTGGTCGGTGAGTTGGTCATATCTAGCCCGCTAATCAAATACGACAACTGTATACCCAGGAATCGACCTCGTTGCGATGTCAGTCAACGACCTGCTTGTGCAGGGCGCTGAGCCGCTTTATTTCCTCGACTATTACGGATGCAGCAAACTAGACGTGGCTACTGCCGCGGACGTCGTCAAGGGTATTGCACAGGGCTGCCAACAAGCCGGTTGTGCCTTGATCGGTGGAGAAACGGCAGAGATGCCAGGGATGTACCAAGACGGTGAGAGCGTCCTCCACACCCGCGGGATCTGCCCCTCATCATAACAAACAAACAGGCGATTACGACCTCGCAGGCTTCGCGGTCGGTGCAGTCGAGCGTAGTTCGATCCTCCCTCGGTCGGATATCATGCCAGGAGATGTCCTCCTTGGAATCGCTTCTTCTGGAATACACTCGAATGGGTTCTCACTCGTTCGAAAAGTCATCTCGATGACAGGCCTGTCCTACTCCTCGGCATGTCCGTGGGACGATCAAAAGACTCTCGCGCTCAGTCTTTTGGAGCCGACTAGGATATACGTCAAGCAGGTCCTCCCAGCTGTACATCAGGGACTCCTAAAAGGCATGTCTCACATCACAGGGGGCGGTTTTATCGAGAATATCCCGCGGGTCCTGCCAAAAGGAATGGGAGCCTACGTCGATGCTTCGACTTGGCAGCTCCCCCCTGTGTTCCGGTTCCTGATGCAGCGTGGGGGGATCGCGCCTTTGGAAATGGCTCGTACGTTCAATAATGGTATTGGGTTGGTGCTTATCGTGGGGCGGGAGGATGTGGATAGGGCTGTGCAGGTCTTGCGGGAGACTGCTGACGCTGCTGTGTATCGAATTGGTGAGGTGACGGATAAAAGTGGAGTTGAGATGAGGAATTTAGACCATTGGAGTTCTCAATAGCGGAGAGCTTGCGTATGTGTATTGCTGGAAATGTACACGGAATTGCTAGAGTTCTACAATTCGTCCCTGCTGCCCTAAACATCAGCATGTTGTCCCGCCCTTTGCGATCATGTCAGGCTACATTCGCTCGATAGACGAGACGCGAGAGCGCCGTGTATTTACTACTTTCGCGGAACGGTGTCTCGATCATAAGTACAGTATGCATGAAAACATTGCGATATTGATACTGAATGTGAGCAAGACATGAGATGAGATGGGAGAGGGAGTCAGTGTCACAGTAGTCGAAAGTAGATGTAAATAGTATGTGTACCCCAACAGACAGATCAACACCAGTAGATAGATGAGACAAGAGCATCATGAGAGAGAAAAAAGGATTCATCTAGATATCAAGGGTACCGAGTGAAAAACTGTAATGCTTGATTGACCAGACGGAAAGAAAAAAGACAAATGTAAAATCATGGAATGGATAATGTGTTATGCGGAAATGATCCAGAAACAGAAGGGGAAAAACATATGTCAGCAAGATAAATAAAGTGAGTCGGATGAATGAATCAAGAAATATCAGATTTAAGTAAAGCTAAAACCCGATAATGACAGATGTAATGATAGGTTCGTCTTACGCGGAGACAGACACCTCTTTTACAACTTCGGGAGTGGCACCCGTCGCTGCAGCTGCAAAAGAGAGAGGCAACTTGGCGGTTGGGACAATAGCAGGCGTGCCATTAGGTTGTACGCCATTGACCACAGCAGGCTTCGGTTCCTAAAACAATCGATCAGTCCAGTACACAAATATACGGTCGATAACACGTACAGCCTGGTTTTTAACAGAAGGCTGTTCTGGAGATGCAGCACGAGTGACTGGGTCTTTTGTTGGTTCCTTGCGGGGAGGCGCAGGTGCTTGAAGCACTTGTGCTGCCGTCGGCCCGTACGACCCATTGACGGAGCTTCTCGACGAACTCGTGGAACCACCAAGTACAGGGAACTCATCTGCATTGGGAACCCTCTGCTTTGGGGCAAATTTTTTGTCCGCTCGAGGTGGACCATTGGACTTTGTACCCCTCGAGCGGCTACCGTCCGTCGATTGAGATCGGCTAGAGGCTGTGGTGCCGTTCACGTGAGGCTGGGCATCCTGTAAACCGATCAGGACACAACTCAGAATTAAAGGGATGATCATACATCTCGGACGTTCAAATTGACCATTTTTTCCTCGATCGTAGGGATACCGTTCCGCGCGTTATCCCTTGGGCGTGGTCCTCGCCCACTAAAGTGAGGGGGATGAGTATTCGTAACGTCAGGAAGAACGTGAGGGAAACGGCATTCATCGCTGAGTGTTTGTGTTAGATTTAAAGTATGAATAGTGAAGTCAGGATGACTTACCCATTTCTGCACCTGCCCGTAGGATAAAAGAGGCACGCCGGTTTGCGACTTCCGCCGAAGGATCCGCGCCTCATACTACCCCGACGATTGTGATTCACGCCCTGGCGGAAAACCGGACCGTGCCCAAAGCCCTCAGCATGAGGGGGTGGTTTGGGCCCACCGTTGACTTCATTGAATCCGTGGTGGTGCTGATGGTGTGGGCCATGAGATTGATATGGTGGATCTTGACGGACAGCGAATGGAGGTGCAGAAATAGGCCCATTCGGATATACTGTCTGCGGAGATTGCGGACCTGGCGCGCTAGGGGGCTGGTGGGGAGGCGGAAGCGAAGGGATAGAAAGTGGAAGAGGTACATGAGATGGTGGTGGGTACGATGGCGATACAGGTGATACAGCGCCATATGGTACTGGTGCAGGTGCAGCGGAAGGGCTGAACGGAACCTGAACAGGAGACATCGCCTCCGAACCAGACCTGGCGTGAATCATCGGTGGGTGTGAGGGAGTATGAACGGAGCCTGCGGTAGGCGATGCGGGGTTAATGTGAGGAGGGACTGAGCTTGGTGGGTGATATGAAGGTGGAGGTACAGCGTAATAATTAGGGGCGTAAGGTTGTTGAGTCATTGGATCGTAAGGAGCGGGATATTGTGCAGGGGGAGGTGGTGGAGCAGTATAATACGGGCCAGCCTGAGGATGCGCAAAGAGACAAGAAGAACCGTAACGACAAGCAGGAAAGTATCTGCAAGGAATGAAACGAGCCACTTCTGGGGGAGGGAGGTTTCCAAAACCTCCGTTTTCACCCATCTGCATGGGGGGCTGCGCATAATACGCAGGAGAGCCATCTGGCAAGGTCGGCATAGGGGGTACGCCTGGGTAATAAGCATAAGGTCCAGCGGGGACGGGATAATAGGGCTTCGCAGTATTAACGAGCGAATCCTGGGTGTAGCCTTGTTCTTGTGCAGGTACACCATTAGGTGCAGGCTTGTTTTGGGCAATGTTGAATAGCTCCAAGATCGCAGCATCAGATGTGTACATTTCCGGCCGGCCATGCACAGATGCAAAAGAAGGATCGGCACCTGATGATACAATCGATGAGATAATCGCCAATTGACGCGTGAATTATATTACCTCGGTCGAGTAGTACCTTCACCACATCAACATGTCCGTTCTTGACCGCTTCGATGAGTGGGGTGGACCCAGAGTGATCTGTAAGAGAATGGCAGGTGGAGACGAAGCAATCGATATTAATTTTCTGCTAGCGTGGCACCATAAAATTAAAAATGCGAGCAACACACCTCTGATCTCGATATCGACCGAAGATGCATCATTGAGTATACCAAGGACTGTTTCGAGGTTTCCCTCAGAGCAAGCGGTCCAGAGCTGTGAGACCATGTCGCGAATCCTTTAGTGAATCTAATGGATGAAGAAAAAGAACAAATAGGGCTACGCAGAATGAACCGAGGACAGATCTGAGAAACTGAGCGAAAGGAAGAAAAGATGGCTTAGACACGTCGACCTCGAACTTTGGCTTCAATCGGCTTTCGGAGTGCGCGCCCCTACAAAAAAAGCAAAAAAATGCGTGCGAAAATATTTACTTGGATACCCTTACGTAATTTTAAAGAATTATACTAAAATCTTGCCGATCACCTCCGTTTCCCCCAGATCCATTGGACCACCTCATGCCAGACAGCAAAAGATCTGGCTAGAATTTTTTGTCATCGGACGTGGACGATGGACAGTCGTCTCCTGCATGATTTACGTTTGTATGTATAGTCCGTCGCGCGTGGGTCGTTGATCTAGGTACCGGATGTAACATTCCTTTTCTGGAAGATAGTCAGGATCACATGCAATACGGAAACGGGACCCTCGTTCGAGACTTTCAGTTGAACTATGTATACGAAAACCGTTCATACGTCCAATCCGAGCTTCAGCATTAATCTCTTAGCAGGCTCCCCTGCTTTCTCCGGTAGGTTCAGTTCGCGTGACGGCGGGCGACACATCAGCTCTTGTATACCTTCATGCAGGTCTTTTCCTGCACGACTCATTCAGATTAGGCATATCAGGCTTTATCTTCACCCACCTTCATACAGAAGAGCATATATCTGTCGTGCAATCGGGCAACCGAGATAGTTTTAGCCGAAAGATCAAGCAAGGATACGGCAAACTGCGTTACGCACCCCATTGGCAAGAGGCGCAGATACTTGCATCTCATCGATAATCTTCTTCAACCCCTTCACTGTTGTCACGCCCTCAGCTACACTACCAAGGGTCTTGATAATATCCTCCAGCGGTTCTCCTTTACCTAGTCGATAACCCACAGTGTAATTACGGCTGGCTGGCGAACTACACGTAAGAAACAGGTCTCCCACACCGGCGAGCCCTAGGAATGTTAATGGCGACGCTCCGTACGCTGTTCCGATACGAGTCATTTCAGCGAGGCCCCGAGTAATAAGACCTTGTGGTTCAGCTATCAGCGAGCTTCTGATTCGAATAATGTGACAACCCCACCGGCTCTAGTGTTATTCTCGAATCCGAGTCCATCGGCAAGCCCTGTGGCGATAGCATAAACGTTCTTTAGAGCACCTGCAAGTTCCAATCCTATCGGATCAGATCCAGTGTAACTGTGGGGCACCTTGAACCTAGTTGCGGAGATTGGAATATGGCAAGTCCTACCACCGGAACCACGGCTGATGAAATATTTCTGACGCTTTCGTTGCTTGCGATTCTGTTAGAGACGCGACGGATACGGAGGTCGGTTGCCTGCGGACAACTTGGGGATCCTCTCATCAGGAGGACGCATGATTTGTTTCAAAATCTGAACCTACTTTCCTTTGCAAATGATGGTCCAGACTACTACCAGAGTCACGGCAACGGAAATCAGCAGACAAGACAACGCTTACAATAAAAGTTGCTGCACGCGCGATCTCACTTCCGCAGGTATCAGCAATGATCTCGAGCGTTAATGCCTGCGTGTCTGTTTCAATACCCTTGTTGACGAAAATCATCAGAGGCAAGTTCGCGCGGTCGAAGCTGTGCTGCAGTTTGATGAGTGTTTCTCTGTTGGTCCGGATACTAAATAAACTACGGAATCTCGGACAGGTTCACATGAAAGATTCACCTGACGCCTTGCGTTGGTATTGCAAAAAGTAAAACATCCATCTGTTTCATCATCTCCTTGCTGGGTATCTCCGGACCAACAACGCGGATATTTGTTGAAAATTCGTGATCTTTCAAATAGTCTGGGTTCCGCTGATGCTTGTTGAAGTATTCAACGAAACGAGCTTCTCGAGACCACATGAACACTTCATGGTCTGAGTTCCCAAGATGGTCTGCCAAACAGCTTCCAAAGTTGCCTGCTCCGAGGACGAGAATTTTCGACTTTGGGGGTGGGGTCGAGGGTAATGAGAGCATATTGAACTTAGCAGTGGAGAGGGATGTAGTGGAGTGAGTGCTACGCCTGGAGAAAAGGCTGAGACGAGAGCAAAGGAGAACACTGGGGTAGCTAGCTCGTGGATGAGGCTTGTTTTTGACGATGGTATTACGTCGAGTGGCGATATAACGCAGCATACACTACCAAGCAATCCCGATGTCCGAAGAATTGATAAAAGAATTAGTCGGGAACCTAGTAGTATAAGGAAGCTGGCAGTATTCATGTGATAGGTCACGGCCGTGGACCTAAATCTTATGTAATACTTAATATTGATGTCCGGCCAAAGGCTACGGCGGCACGGCCAATGCCCGGCCGCAGCCGGTGTTTACAAGCTTGCCCTTCGTCCAACCAAGGCGGGCATATACCACTCATTGGACACTCATCGTCTATATTTAATACCTTATTCTTCTCTTATAGACACAAATTCCTTTCAGCCGCCATGGCAATACAAGACAGAACACATGAATTTCGTGCATGTGTCGAGTCCATTCGAAACAGGTCCGCCGTACCAGCACGAACCGCTGAGGCGAAACAGAGGCTGCTTCAATCGCACAGCAATGGGGAAGCAAAGAGCGAGTTCTCGCGCATGGCGTCTGCCATTGGGAAAGATATTAGCAGCACAACTATCAAGCTCGGAAAGCTTGCACAGCGTATGTGCAAAATCCCGTTGTTCACTTGCGTTCATTGACCACGTTACAGTCGCGAAACGGAAGACACTGTTTGATGACAGACCAGTGGAGATTAGTGTATGGCTTTTCACCAACGTGTCCGCAGTACGCTGACCGTGGGCCTTTCAGGAACTGACATTCATCATCAAACAAGACATTGCGAACATTAACAGGCAAATAGCGGCTTTGCAATCCTATGTTAAACAACGGAACGCACAATCATCGAAATCCTCAGAGGGGAAACAGATAGAGGAACACAACCACAACGTCGTCATGATGCTGCAGAGCAAGCTGGCAAATACAAGCATGAGCTTCAAGGATGTCCTGGAAGTTAGGACACAAGTGAGCCGCTGAACCGCGTGACAGCAACTCAGACTAAATGTCTTTCTAGAACATGAAAGAAAGCAAGGATCGTACAGAACAGTTCATGTTCTCTACGGCAGCCGCAACCCACCAGGCTCCACCGAGTTAGTCACCATTCGTGCACAAATGAGCCCTCACAACCCATTCATTTCTCAGGTTCGCTGCTTTTGAACGGGAGACAGGACCCTATGGGTGACGGAAGCCGGCCTAACTCCAAAGGCAAGGCCCGAGCCCATCAAAACGAAGACGTTCTTGCACTGGACCTTGATTCAGCGGAAGAAGGCTCGACAATGCATGGAGGCAATGCATTCATGCAAATGCAGCAAATCGAACAACAGGTGATTCAACTGACTGCTGCTCAATCTGAATTTATATTGAGCGAACTTCTAGGACTCGTATATACAATCGAGGTCAACAGCCATAGAATCCATCGAATCAACAATTGCAGAACTAGGACAAATATTCACCCAGTTGGCCAATATGGTTGCCGAGCAACGAGAAACAGTACAACGTATTGACGCAGACACCATAGACATCGCATCGAACGTGAGTGGTGCGCAGAGAGAGCTGCTCAAGTATTACGCGAGCATCTCGAGCAATCGCTGGCTGATGCTCAAGGTTTTTGGCGTGTTAATTGTCTTTGTGAGTGTCCTTTTCTAGAAATAAAGGCATGCGAGTTCTAAACCCCACTTTTAGTTCCTTATCTTCATTCTTGTCTCATGATCGGACGCTCAGCGCCGTTTTGTCACTTATTTACTGGACCGATATTCATAACATAATTTAATATCCGACAGCATGGGCAAGGAATCACAGAATGGGTTACAGGATGAAACCTCAGCCAACAGGGATAGCATTAACGCCAGTACCCCAATCTTTGCTTTTGGTCCGCCGTGCCTTACCAGCCTTCGCGTGTTTCTTTCCCCCACGATGTGTCGTGGAGTCTTCTGTGTCACCGACCGTCCATGTCCGCTTTTTCTGCACCTCCTGGTCGGCGCCTGATGTTGTGGAGAATCTCTTTGCTCCGTCCATCCCAGACGCTGGCACTTCGCCCTGTGACTTGGCTTTCTTCTGAAGTTGTTTTTGCTGTGCAATTGAGTTACTTAGCACCAAGTAGACTACGCTGGAAACATGGCTCACTCGCTGACTCTCCAACTCCTTGTTCCGCTCCTTCAATTTCGACAGCCTCGCTTCGCTCTTGCCACCGCCCCCAGCAGTAAGTTCAACATTGATCTGACGACCATCTAACTGGGAGTGGTGGAGTTTGAGGCCCTGCTGAAGAGCATTGCGATGCTTGAACTCGAGAAAAGCACATCCCTTGGATTTGATGACAGGTTTCGAGGATGGTTTATTGGCAGCTGGTTTAGGTGCAAGTAAACGCACAGTGGGCGGTGGATCTTGCAAAGCCGATGTTAAAATCTCATTGCTTGCGGCGGATTGTATTAAGACTTACCACATGCTGCGAAGTGAGCCTGTATTGATTCTATGGTGGTAGTATATTTAAGATTTCCTGACGTCAAAGGGCGTCAGTGGGCAGAAGGACTCTCGTGGCATTCAATCGTACCAAGAAACAGAATAAAACGTTGCTTTGATTTTTCAGTTTTCGACTCTCCCTCCTCAGCCTCCTCCGCATCCTCTACAACATCCTCTACATCTCCCTTGGTCCCCTTGGCCCTCTTGACTTTCCGCTTCCCCGACTGTCCATCCTCTCCCTCTAGATCTCCGGCTCCGGCTCCCTGTGCTGCTTCCGCAACTTCCCTCTTTCTCTTTTTCGTTGCCACCACCAACCCGGTTTTCTCTCCTTCCTTTTGAACCACGACCTCTTCCCTTCCCTTTCCTTTCCTCCCACCACTCCTTTGAGCGCCTTGAACGTCCTCCCCACCCTCCGAATCGCTAGCCCGACCGTCAATAAGGTCCTGAGGTTCGAGAATAGGGACATCGTGCTCCACGTCGCCTTGGTTTTTTGCTTTGCCTTTGCCCTCGCGGAAAGCAATGCCTTTCTTTTGGCGTTTGGTGAGCTTGGGAGTTGAAGCCATATTTATATAGGATCCTGGGCGCGTCTTTTTCAGAGGTGGAACGTTCCCACCAAGTTTGTTTTAAAGCGAATAAGACGGAAGATTAGATACGAAAAACACCCATCGTGGCAAGCTAAGAACTTCGAAGCATTTATTCCAATAATATCACGTGATGTTATGTCGAGCACTTGAACTAACTTCCCAATGCAACTGTACAATGCGGAACCGCTTCGCAGTGAGATGTATCAGCCCACCAATCGGATAGATAGAACGATGGGCCTCAAATACCCAGAAAGCAGTCCGATCTGAGCGTGCGCGGAAGCAAAATGGCCCGTGCAGTATGTGCAAGCCTGATCAGTAATCGCAGATAAAGCGACCAGAATTACTATTCTGCGTGCCACTTAGGGTGCCCTTTTTGCGGTCACTCAGCCTAGTGACAATCCGTTCACGGCTTCGCCTGCACCCTCTATCTCTCTTTCCTCGCCGTCAGCTCCTCTCCGCGTCCGCAAAATCGGACGTAAAATCGGGCTCACAAGCCCTAAAGAAGGCCGAAGTACAGGGCTGGAAGATAAGCTCATGGTTCCTAGGTTCACCTGCCGTGAACTCGGGTAAGTTTGAAAGGGGTAACCGGACGTCACGGTGGGCGATGAAGTGGCTGATGTACTGGAATTAGATGGAGGAATAGAAAGAGGAATCGGGACAGGAGGCCTGGAACTAGGTGTCCGAGGGTACGACACGAGTGAGGGGTGTGTTTCCCGAAGGTACGATATGGAAGGCGATACAGCACGACGTTTCGCAGATGTAGGATATGGATCATACCGATCGTCCACTGCCACGAGTTGTTAATGTGATACCTCTAAATGATGTGCGGAAACCTTACATTTACGCTTGTTCGAGCGCACAGCGCTTGTGGTTGGTGGTGGCGTGTATCGCCATTGAATAGACATGGGAGTGGAAGTGATGGAGGGAGATACCATAGGCTATCCGGCCGTTAGGAAAAGATAACAAATGAGATGATGAAAACTTACGGGGTCTACATCCATGGCTACTCCCATCGGGCTTTCTGCCAGAGACATGCTCAAATCATCGCCGTTTACACTCTGGGCAGGGGTGGTACAACTTGAAGGCTTGATGTTGTTTAAGTCATTCTGTGCGTCAAATGCAAAGAGGCCCTGGACGTCGTCGTCGTCATCATCGTCACTCAATGCATCCTCGTGCGAATCCTCGTGGCCAACTTCTTCAGGGTAGCGACCACGGTCTGATGGTGCACGAGGTGTACGGGGTTGCGAGGGGAGGTCAGAGTAGGATGCCAACAGGCGTTGGAAAGCTGCCTCAGAATTAAGTTCGTCCTCCTCTGGGCGTGGTTCTGCTAGTAGGTTTAATATGCGCGGAGGCTTCAGCTACATGAGATATTAGCATACAAATAACAAATATGAAGCATAGCACTCACTGGATAAGTAGGACGGCGCAGTATTGGGATAGGCGTGTCTACAGCGTCGCTTTGTAGTACTAGTGCGTTGGTGCTCAAGCTACGACTTGGCGGCGGTGTTGAGGGACTGGGCCCAACACTGCGTGTGCTAGCGTTGCTTTCGTCATCTCCTTCCAGTGGAAGAGTAATGGGAGGTGTTGGATTTCCTGAGCTGCTTGATGGAGAGCTTTCAGACCACATTCTCTCTCTGTCGCTTTCTGATTCTTCGCCATTGCTCCCTCGTCTTCTGGAGGGCACCGTGAACGAGATTGCCAATGGACTTTGTATTCTCTTGTCTGAATAGTACGATGACTTTGAGAGTAATGTCGGTCGTCGCAGTCTCAAGAACAGTGGATTCGGCAGTCCATCATCTGCTGATGTGGAAGATGCCGCGCTCGACGTTGATGGGAGTGCAAACTCTTCGGACGAGGTTGGAAAGGGCAGGCGATGTGATGATTCGGACATGATTGAGGAAGGACAAGCTGGTTAGCACAATAGATGAATGACAACGTTGTGGCCTTCCACAGTTACCAAATCCACAGGGGCGTTCCCATTATGCTGCATACTCGATCGCTTCGACAAGGGCAAAAACCGACTTTGCGAATATATATCACCCCGGGAGAACAAAATGGCACTCATTCAATGTTTAACCGACAAGTGGGGGACGATTCACTCGGAACAACAATGAACTCCAGCGAAACATTGCGGTCAACTCGCGTATCAATCTGTAGCATGAGTTGTCAGCGCGACACTTAGCTGGCTGCGGCAAGCATGTGAATCGCAGAAGCACCCATTTCCCGCGAGTAGCACAGACAGGAGAGTTGTTGCAAAATCACGCCGTTAGTGCAGAGCATGGGAGAATGCATATGTCAAAGGCAAGCGGCACGCCTCGCGAAAAAGACCACGTAACGCAAACTGCATGAATTGAGTCTCCGTGAGATAAACTAATCGAACAATTAATGTGATTGGTGTATCCGACATTAACACGGCGGAAGGAACTGGTAAGCAGCGTATGTAGCGGTTGACAAGAGTCCTAGAGAGACACAATAAGAGGGGCACTGCAAGACACAGAAAAAATACCACTCACCAAGCACTGATAAACTGCTAACGTAATATCCATACAGCCGCTGTAGAAATAATTGAGCTGAAACCAAGTATCATGACAAGACGGAACAACAAACCCTCTTTGGTTGGCCCGACTTGTATCCAACGGTATAAAAAATGCGCGCGAAGGAATATGCAACACACATGGCAGCAGCTAGGGCAGGGTATTTCAGACCCGCCACGACAGTTCTGATGACAATATTAATATCCGTTCTGTATTACTTTCTCTTCCAATGAAATGCAGACTTACGAAACAAATACCAAGGGCGCCGATTCAAGGGTATTCTGGTGTGCACCTAGGTAAGGGGTAAATCGAAAGCCACGCAATTAAGCATTTCAGAGAGAACATACGCTGCACGCAGTTGAAACGGAGTGCTGCATTGGAATCTTTAACCTCAGCTTTCTCGGCATACACTGGTGGGATATCTAAGAGTCCAAACCTAGCAAAGGGGTCACTTGAACTCACGTTGAGGATATTCGATCCCTGCCCTCTTGCGATATTTTCCAACCAGGATACTCTGCCAGAAAAGGACCCAACCTATGGTCATCAATGAGCTTGGAATGTATCCATAGCTGTAGCAAATGAAGTTATGAGGAAGAGCATATAGTGGTCAGTCAGCCAACGCACCCCTCAGGTAGAGACATGATTGCTTGAACTTTGAGTAGAAGTAGCTTGGAGTAAGGTTATGAATGATTTGGTGTTGAACCGCGGTCCGTATTTATACTAGTAAGACAGCATAGTACTTCAGCTTCAGGCCTTCAGGGACACCACGATACGCGTACTTGGTGGATACGCGCGTCGTTCTTTCGAACTCCGGCAGGCCTACGTGTCTTGTGCGAAGTCCAAAGCCTTTGGTGACGATCAATATTTGTAAGGCCATCAGGCAGCGCAGGCTCGCCGAGACGACGCGCAAAGTCCGTGCCGGTCAGGTACTCAGTGAGTAATGCTATTGTCATTATTGCGCTTGACACATCTGTGTACGGGATCAGTGCGCAGCTGCACTGATCAATCGCACAGATTTGTGCGTACGTGTACAATCAGCATACAGCAAACATAGGCTGTCTCGCTTGATAGAATGAAGGTGGTCGACGATGTTGAACCATCAAAATTACTTATGTAATCAAAAGTCTGATCAGTAACCACGTGCTCGATAATTTTGAGATTCGAGGGCTCGAGCAACTTATCTGCGAGGACAGCAGCCAACAATTTTCAATCCGAGATGTCCAAACGAAGTGCATCCGACAGGGAAACAGACGGCCAAGCATTCACAAAGGCCTCCGGAAGTGGGGCTAAGCGTGATGAGAATGAAGTAAATGATATCGGCGAGTTCGAGGATGCTTGGGAGGATGAAATCGAATCCGAAGAGGAGGTGGTCGATGGAGAGGCCGGGGACGGCGAAGATGGTGCGTGATAGTGCTTTTCGTGTCGCCTCGAAGTGGGACTAACAGGTAATGTTGTATAGGGATGGATGTAGATGAAGTCATGCCCGCGATCGAAGAATCTGAAGAACAGCCTCCTGCTCCAGAGGCATTTATCCCTGGGATGCATGTTCTTGGGAAGGACGAGATACTGGAACCTGATGACTCGGTGTATATCATGCGCCATTCAATGAATGTGACATGGCCTTGCTTGTCATTTGATGTCCTCCGAGACAGTTTGGGGGACGAGCGGCAGCGCTATCCAGCAACTGCATACCTTGTCGCTGGAACACAAGCAGATCAAGCAAGCAAAAACGAGCTCTCGGTTTTCAAAATGAGCTCGCTGCATCGAACGCAAAAAGATGGAGGTAATTTGCGACTACATGTGTTCACCGATCGATCCTTACAAATCGACATGTGCAGACGATTCAGATTCAGACGAGGAGGATGACGACGCGCTCGATGAAGATGCTATACTAGAATTCCGTTCAGTACCTCATCACGGTGGCGTGAACCGCGTTCGTGCCCAACCCTTACCACCATCATCACCTCTACCTCCAGCATCACAGCCCTACTTTACTGCAACGTGGGCCGACACTGGCAAAGTTCATATATGGGACATCAGGCCGCTGATTGAGTCACTCGATGTTCCGGGATACTCGTGGGACAAGTCAAGAACTAATAAGCCAGCTTTCACCATCAACTCGCATGGTCGCGCCGAAGGATTTGCAATGGACTGGGCTTCATCGGGAGATGCAAATCCTTCATCGCTACGTCTACTCACTGGAGACGTACACTCGAAGATATACTTGACGACAACCACACCATCAGGATTTAACGCCCTTTCTCAGCCGTTCACGTCACATACCTCGAGTGTTGAAGACCTGCAGTGGAGTCCATCTGAACCCACCGTTTTTGCATCATGCTCTGCGGACTGCAGCGTGCAAATCTGGGACGTGCGCAGTAGAGGACGGCGAAGTGTAGCTGGAATCGAGCCAGCGCATGACAGTGACGTGAATGTCATTAGCTGGAATCGAAGTACTAGTTACCTCCTTCTTAGTGGTGGTGATGAAGGTGGAATCAAGGTTTGGGACTTACGCAATGTCCAAAAGAAAGGGTATGTCCAGGTCAAATTGTATGTTACGCCCATGCTTACAGATTGTCAAGAACGACTGTGGTTCCTAGCCCCGTTGCCTCTTTTAAATGGCACACCGCTCCCATAACATCTATCGAGTGGCACCCGACTGAAGACTCGATATTCGCTGCGTCTGGCGCGGACGACCAGGTGACCCTTTGGGATCTTGGGGTCGAACCGGACGATGACGAAGTAGGTACACCGATGAATGATGCACCCGATGGTGCACGGGACGTCCCACCACAGCTCCTCTTTGTCCACCAAGGTCAAAAGGATGTGAAGGAAGTTCACTGGCACCCACAGATTCCAGGCGCAGTTCTAAGTACTGCACTTGATGGATTCAACATCTTCAAAACGATATCAGTGTAGTCGTGCGCCGGAGGCCCTTGTTGCCAGAAAAGTAGAACTTTCAGAAGTTATATACCTGGAATGTAATAGACGTCACTGGTTATCATGAGGGACGCATCAACCGAGATGGTAACCACTTTGTGTAATTATCAGTATGGATACGGTAAGAGTACTGAAACTGGTCCCAGAACGTATATGCATCAGTATAGCCCGGCACGATTGTTTCCCTTGGGTGCCCGAATCTATGCATAGCATAAGCGGAGAGGACGAGGGAGTGATGCGGATAACCTGCCTTGGCAATATTTTTGTGCAAAATGTCAGTCAGGACAGCGTAGACATTGCGAATGTCTATGAGGTTCTGGCGAGTAAAGAAAAACTGCTTCTCATCATGTTCTTTCAAACCCAGCTGAATGACACTCCCATCAGGGAGTTAAGATTACATTGTACAAGAGGCACGTACTGTGTAATCTTCTATGTTGGGGTACTTGATGAGTTTGGAGCAAATCTTTGCTCTTGCCAAATGATGTTGGCGAGCACCATCACGTATGTTGTATGCACTCTCCTGCGACCTGAGAAGTTCGCTAAGAACCTCTGGAAGACTATCAGACCGCTGATGCCATGGCCAGTCCATTATGACTTACCCTCTTGGATTTGAACACCTTGGGTGTCAGACGATTTCAGTTTCAGCGCCATAAACGAGATCTATGGCCTAACTAACCGAAGTTGTCACCACTGTTCGAAAGAAAGCGTCAAAAGTGGCCTACTCGAAGGGAAATGGGCTCACTCTTCAATCCTGGATCTCATGTTAGTAAATACGATATGATATAGCGAATAGTACACACTTTGGCATGGTCAGGTTCACCCATAATTTGACTTTGTCCTGTTTGATTATATTTTGTCAGGAAAATGCCCAGATGAACATTCATATACATACACAAGAGTCAGATAACTGTGCACACTCTAATTTGATCGTCTCATGCAGCTTTGAAATGAGTTTGTTGGCGTGCACAAGCTCTGGGTATCTTGCGTTGACGGTCTCGTTCATGTGGGCGAGTGAAGCACTTCCATCTTCATTGCGCTTACGCTTGTTAGATGATGGACCATTTATTTCTGCTGATGATGGCGGAGGGTGGATGGTAGCGTCTGTGGACGCGTCCGCTCGAGATATTTGGTAGGGTGAATCTTCGGCTTGCGTGGACTCGATCAGGCTCGTAAGTTCACTGTATAAAGATGAGCCACAGGGAAAAAGCAGAATAAATTATGACATGCATTATCTACTATGGACATAAGCAAAACAAGACAGAAACTATCCAGGGAGTAGCCCACCTTGTCTGGAAACACACGAAAGACGATGCCTTCTGCAGTCTCCGCGACGTTTGCACGGAAGTCCTGTGCGTTGTGTGAGATTTAACGCGAATGACAATTGGTGGTTGTGCTTACCTCAATACTTTTGGCAACCTCTTTGCTCATGGACATGGTGGTCAGAATCATGGAGAGGACGTACCAAGCGCCGGCACGGAATTGCCTTTCATGTCAGTGAGCAAGATTTGTAAGCAGCTTTAACGTAATCGCACCCGAATGCTACTTACTTTCGCATCCGTAGAACTTTGTACGACGTCTGTACGCCCTAAGTGTGCTACGTCTGTCCAAGTACTCACGGAGTTTGTTCATTCACCTATACAAAAGGATGTTACTGAGATATCCTATACAGTAGTATCTGCAAAAGCAGTCATTGAAGCACATTGGACATGGCGAACCAAGTGAGTCTCGGGTCTGTACCTTAGCAAGTGGCTTTTCACCGCGGACACAGGATGAAGATTCAGTGATTTCAACACTGACGGGATTTTCTTTGAATAGTGTTCTGTCAGGCCTATCCCTCTCCGCAGGCGATCTTCCCAATAGCCTTGGTATTTCCGGGCTGTCTTCGTTGGATGCTAAACAGATTTACAATGACAAGTGGGACGACGATGACGAAGCCGTCGGTGCGGACCAGGGAGAAGACTTCGAGGATGAGGTGGACAAGGAGTTTGAAACAGAAATGCCGGATGACATTGTGAAGATGGAGGTTCAATCCCCTGTTGGCATGCGTATTATGGAGAAGCGCGTGAGGGTGGTGAAGCGGCTGGTGGAGAGACCAAAGACTGTCTATGAACGCTTTCCCGCCTTCGAGAAGGACAAGGTCCTTGACTTCTCAGAGTTATTCAAAGGGTACACGGTCAAGAAATCAAGGATAACAAAGAGGCCATTACAGGGTATGAATTGTGCCAATAGTTCTTCCAGGATGTTTAACCGTTGTATAGCTGAGAGTATCTACCCCCGGAAACGCGATATTCCAAGGGGTTTCCTTGATACCGTAGTTGGCGATACCAAGCGGCAGGTCGAGAACAAACGCGTGGAGGAGGTCATGTCCGCTGGCAGCATCGAACATGACTTGCTGCGTGCTCTCGAGGTGGGTGGTAATATCCCAGGTGCTCCTTTTAATTCCCTCATCATGTGTAGGAGCGGGAAAAATCAGATGTGCCTGTAACCCTTCCTTTGCACGACAGAAGTTTTGATTTGGTGCTGCTATCTAATTGGGAGGACGAGATTGTGTACGAGCCGAGCCACACAACTACGCCATCCACTCTGGAAAACAATAATCTCACCACTCCGGTCAACAAAGCTCTCGAGTCAGGTGCTTGGACGCAGAGCATTATCTGGAGCCGAAATGCGCCTTTCCGCGATTTCATTCAACTAGAACTTAACGAGGAAGATATCGCAGAAGAGCATCCACAAGGTAGTTTTTCTATCTCTCTGATAACTTTTGCTAAAATATTGTGGCATTTGATTGTAGAGACCGTCAGACCGAAAAAGCGTGTCAGAGCGCATGATGCTCAATCCCGCGATAAATTTAACCTATCTAATGACCACTTCTACGAGGTGTCGAAAGAAGGTGGCCGTCATCGTGTGCGACAAACGTTTGGACAACTTGTCGTCGAGCATGCCTATCCCGCTCAGAAGCTCCAACTTCCATTTGTGCGTAATGGATTTCAGCATTGACTATAGTTTTCTTCTTATCTACCTTCACAAACAGTACAAGACAAGGCTCTCAAAACAGGAAGCCCGCTCCTTCCACCGGCCCGCCTTGCAGTTTCCAACCAATATTGACATCCGCTTTAGCAAGGTGCGCACGGCGAAGAAGAAAAAGGACAAAGCGGGCCGCAAGGTTGGTAAGGGTGGCAATATTGGCGAGGGATTACATCGTACGACCGACCTGAGCCTCAAGGACACGAGTAATTTTGTCCTTTGGGAGTATTCCGTGAGTCTTCTTCGTTATTTGCCTGATGTGATCGGAAATAGTGAGGAGTCCTTTAGGAAGAACATCCACCAATCGTGCCAAACTTCGGTATGGGTAGCGCGCTGGTGAACTACTATCGTAAGAAAGATGAGAAGGACGACTACATGCCGAAGGTACGGCTCAAATTGATGAGTCAGGACACTTAATCGAACTGACTCGATGATTAAGCTCGACCTCGGGGTACCGTTTGTCCTCGAGCCGCAAGATGAGTCGCCTTTTATGAAGTTTGGCTATGTCTATCCTGGCCAAACATTCCCGGCACTGTACAATAATCTCGTGCGGGCGCCACTTTTCCGCCACAAACCCTATGCCACAGACTTCCTTGCCGTTAGGTACGGTTCTCCAATCCCATCAGGCAAATTTATTAATTGAAGATTAGGAGCACCACGAAAGGCGAGACACGATACTACTTACGTGAGATCAAGAACCTCTTCGTGATCGGGCAGACGTACCCTGTTACCGAGGTACCAGGGCCACACTCTCGGAAGATCACTAACACCATCAAGTATCGCCTGCAAATAATTGCCTTCAAACTCCTGAAGAAGAGTAGCGAGGAGCGGCTAAAAATATCAAGATTGATGAAATACTTTCCCGATCAAAATGAACTCCAGATGCGGCAACGGCTGAAGGAGTTTATGGAGTATCATAGGCGCGGCCCTCATCAAGGTTTTTGGCGTCTCAAGTCTACGGTAACTATTCCGAGCGATGGCGATATGCTGAAGATGGTCGGTCCCGAACAAGTCGTGTTAATGGAGAGTATGCAAGTCGGCCAGCGTCATCTCCAAGACTCTGGCTATACTCAAACCGCTGAAACCGTGGAGGATGACGAAGGCGAGACGAAGCTCTCTGTTGAACAACAATTGGCTCCTTGGATAACGACGAAGAATTTCCTATTCGCCACCCAGGCTAAAGCGATGCTTCGATTGCACGGTGAAGGCGACCCCACTGGGCGTGGAGAAGCATTCAGTTTCATCCGTATCTCCATGAAGGATATCTTTGTCAAGGCAGGCGAAGATTATGAACAGAAGCTTGGTAAGTTTCATCAGGTCTATTGTGCCACAAAGATAACTAACCATTATTTTTTTTATCAGCCGAGGCAGATAACAGGCCAAAGTCCGCGCACCGATATAATGTTGCCGAGCAGCAGCAAATTTATAAATCCGAGATCGAACGGATATGGAAAGCTCAGTTCGATTCATTGAGTAGGAAGGACGAGCCTCAATTATCGGAGGAAGACGAACCCCCAGCCCCTGTTGTTGAAGTTAAGAAATTTCAACGCCAAGCGTCACTTAGGAATGAGACACCCTTCTCTCCTGCAATGTCACCAGCACCGATTGGCCCTGGCCCTGCATCACCCGCTATGAGCCGCGGCTCCTCGTTGGAACGGGAACGAGAGATGAGCTTAGGACCAGATGGCAGCCGCAAAGTTCTCCGGATCAAGCGACTGGTTCGTTGTCTGCTTGCTTGTTTCAAAGTTTCTAAAATTAATACATATTCCCAAACTCAGGTCGATGACGAATGGCAGACAGAAATCATCCGTGACCCTGCCGTCATACGTGCTTATGTTCGGGCCCGGCAATTATTGGAGGAAGAAGCCACGCTTGCCGATAATCTTGCGCCTACAGGCGATGCGGACAAGGATAAGAGGTACAAGAAACGGTATGTGGTTCGTTCATACATGGCTAGCTGTAGAAGTTAACGTGAAACCCGATGTCCCCGTAGGTTGGAAGAACAGATTGCTAGAATGAAGAAGAACCAAGAGCGGCGTCTACATCGTAAGAACGCCAAGATTGTCAAGGAAGGCGGCACGCCAATGCAACTCAGCCGGCCGCTCAAACCAGATACAACCGTGAGTCTGGCACGCAGCACGAGGATTTGACGCTTACGTTTTTCATTCAGAGACGCTGTGGTCATTGTGGTCAGATGGGCCATATGAGTACGTTATTTTCCATTCTTTACGAGCTGTACCTGGTAACTCCCTTTCTGACAGAAACCAACCGTAAATGTCCTCGTTGGGCAGAGTTCAACAGTGGAACGGCGCCTGTACCAAGCACCCCTGCATCCGCAACAAGTCCGCCACCCATCTCCGCCGGCATGTCTAGTTTAAGTGGGTTCAACAGAGCTAGCGGGGGACTTAGTTTTAGTGCCCCGGTTCCATCTCCATTGGCGACCAGTCCCCCAGTATCTGCAATGGAGGATGTAGATCCGGTGGCGCCTGGTACACCCTCAGGATCCGCTCCCAAGATAAAATTAACGCTCAAGAGATCATAATGCGTTGCGAGTCTCGCATTCCTCGTCTATTCCCTTTGCGTGCCATTCAGTCTTACTATATGTAACGTATGTCTCGCAATAAACTCGTGTACAAGTAAAAGTGCAAAAGTAGAAGCCATGATGATATGTAAATTAAAAAAGTCCCTCGCCCTATGCAGCGGCCATCTCCACATCTACAGAAGGCGGCCGGGTTCGCAACATCCTAGACTCCATCTGGGGACTGCCGAAGCGTTTCCGATAATCTTCGTTAATCTTCACAAGCAGATTACGTATAAGCTCTGCGTGCTTCCGCCGGTCTTCCGGTGTAACTTCCTTCGTCAGGTGATCTAGCTGGATCTTCCCGACTTTCCTAACGAGTTCATCGCTCTCTGATGTTCCAGTGATCGATCGCAGGCTGGGAATGGTTGTGTGGGTGGACTCAGGTGACGAACGTGCTGAGCTGGGGGTAGTCCCGCGAGATGTGTCCGAGGACCGAGACGTGTGAGGCGAGGGTGCGCGACACATATCCTTAATGGGTGGGAGCCTGAACGGACCTGCATCAGGCTTGAGGGACGGTAGCTTCAAATCGGAGTCTTCTGGAAGCAGCAATGGGTACAATTTGCTGGATGACGGCACAGATGATGATGGCGCCGACAACAATGCATTGATCGATCCGCGGTGAGTGGTTGTAGGGAGCGTAGGTGCTACCGGTTCAGGTGCATTAGCGGCAGCTGTTTTCAATGGGATCATCGTCCGCATTGCTTTGTGATGGTACTCTGGCGCAGCCATTTGCACAGGTGGAGGAGCACCACGAGGTCCACGGAGCGAGCTGAATTCAGCAAAAGACTCTTGTATCGAGGAGTGATGTGGCGGCGTAGCGTTGGAAGGGGTGGAGCTAGAAGAATGGGGAGATGTCGGGTCCAGCGGGGGAGTAGGGTGGAAGTGGCCTTGAGGAGTGGACGTTGAGTGATAGCCATATGCCGAGGATGGCGTATTAAGACCATAATCGTGGGGAGCGGGTGCTGAAATACGACTCTGATGGGAAGACGTGTAATGGTCTGAGTAGCTACTGGGGGTGGATGCATGCATAGGCGGATAAACAGGATTGTATGGAGCCTGCTGCACGGATGGATGCGATGACCTTCCAAGTGAGGGCGGAGAAGGGTAGGCGGCAGTGGCGTATTGGTGGGCAGGCTGTGCATATGTGGCGTCGTGAGCGTATGCTGTCCCTGGACCTAGTAGTCCAGGCATCCCAGTGAGGCCAAGCTGACTGAGGCTATCGGTGTCAAAATATGACGTTGGCGAGAACCGCCCAGATAAGTCTTGGGATGCACGATTATTTGCAGTGACGTCCCGGCCAAGGGTGACGAGAAACTCGTTCACCGCAGCTAGCTCCTCCGGTGTGCGGACGTCGAAAGACACTGAGCGAGGATTAAACTCGTCATAATGTGCACCGTCTTGGGCATATGCAAGGCTATTGAGACGCTCCACCATGTCTGTGAATTCGTTCTATCAAATAATTTATGAGGAGTAAAGGGCAATATACTCACGGCTGTCGTAGGAAGGATTGACCTTCCTCTTCTTCATTTCAGTGAAGAAATCGTCGACGTTATATTCAAGCGATCTCTTGTTGCGATTTGAGGGACGCAGGTCAGATTTTGGACCGTCCCATGAAGGAACCTGATTATGGAGAAAGAGCTCATATGACGAGTGAGGGACGTGGCGGGAAGGATGATTAGACTCGAGCTCCGGAGAGGGAGTGGGCAAAGCACTATAGTGTCCACCTAGGGCGCAATGTCAGCGGATGGAATTTCATAAAATGCGTAACTAACCATCTGCTCCTATAGCAGAACGTGGGCGTGCGCGAGCAAAAGGGACTTTAGTGGGCAATGCGCTTGGCGCTGCGCCTTGGAGCTTACCGGAAAGCGACCTATTGAGAGCGGCTTTTGATGAAATAGGGTCGCCTCGAACACGGGAGGCGTAAGCAGGATCGTTTACGGTAATTGCCTTGGAGTGCTTGTGCTGGGCATGATGCTCCTCTGTATGGATTTTCTCGTGCTTTTTGAGATCCTGTGGGCGCTTAAAGGACTTCTTGCATATCTGACGAGGAGTGAGCAAGAAGCGAACGGTGAAAAAATCAAACTGACTTCGCAAACATGAGGCTTCAATGGAGTGTGGACTAGGAGGTATTTTAGATTTAGTGATCCAGAAAAAGCGGCTGGGCATACCTCGAAGATGACTTGTGATATGATCACGCTTGGCGCAGGAGGTACCACAATCCTTCCATTTGCAAGTAAGACATAGATTATTCGTGCTCTTCCTGCCGATATGGTCGTTGCAAAGATGGTTGTAGAGGACCTCAGGATCTGTGAAAGCTGAAGAACAATCGAGCCATTGACAGTTGTAGGATTCAGAGTTTGATTGTGAATTGTCTGGTGCTGGAGATTGGGAAGGAATTTTTGAAGAAGCTGGAGAAGATGGAGGGGGTGAGTCTGAAGGAGGCTGCATGAGTGAGACTTGTTGAAAGAAGTCTGGGACAAGAACAATCGCGGAGTAAGAGGAACTCATTTTGGTTTTATACTTGAATAGTACTCCTTTGTATGCCAAGACTAGTTTTGGTCTTGGCGTAAGAATGCCAGCGTGCCAAGCAAATTTGGTTCCTTGGCACCAAGACCGATCACCAAATCGGAGATCACCGTATTCGATCTCGGGTCGGTTGAATTCGGAATTGTACCGTGACCCTCGGCTTCCTCCGACTCTCTACCTTGGCGCTTGCCTCCTCGGCAGGTCACTTTCAAAACTATAACTCCCGAATTTCCTTCCTAAAGCACTCCAGAACGTTGACCGTCTCACACACTGTGAGAGCCCTTTTCACCCGGAGCGGAACGGACACCAATCGACATCGAGAGCTTGTCGATCCACCTTTCTGAACCCTCTATCCAGAGTACTTCAATCCCGGATACTACCGACACTATAGGAGCCATACTGTTAGTAACATGTTCCGAGAGCATAGCCGGATCTGCCAGCGTTCTGTCGTTCTAGGACAGGGATGTCAGGTACCGGTGTCTTGGAAAACGCAACGAAGCCGACATGTGAACATTTATCGAGCTACCTCTGGGAGTTTGTTGTGTCAATCAGGGATATGACACGCACATCATCGTGACAAGGCGTACGACCTCTGTCGTATGTACTGTCTTGACTTAGGGTTGAAGTTGAGAAATGATTCAGCCACTTGTTACCACGATACCTCGTGCACAAGGGGGGCACGTTTAAATACAACATGCCAAGGACACGATTATTATTTGATCAAAGGTTGACACAAGTCCAAATGGAATGACTTGATTTCATTTCGAATTGGAAGTTCTGACTTCATTTGCCAAGCCAGCACTCAACAGGAGCACGCCAAGAACATATAACGCCAAGCCCTTTGGAGCACTGCTGACGACTTTAAGGCTGTCCCCCAGGCAGCACAAATAGGTTCCTTGAACCGCCTTCTGTCATCAAGCAAGGTGCGGCAAGTTACTGCGCAACGATATCGGTTTCGTGTCTTTTAAGCGGCCTTGTCTTATACACTCCGACCTGATGTTTCATCCATATTGAGCCGGCTACAGCGGGTCTGAAGGATAGACTTCATCAAAGTTAACTTGTCCAAATGTCTTCTTGTGTGATCACAAAAAATTCCGCTGATACAACAGCGCCGCACCGGAAGAAGAACTGCAGTCAAGGTCACGCGGTAGAATTGTTTCATCACCCGGCGGGCGCAAAGTGCATATCATATCCATGACGCGTCTTCCACTGACGACATTGGGAGCAAATCGCATTTCATTAAGGTGGGCTCTAAGGTGGGCTCTAATCAAGAATTCGAACAAGTGGACACAAAGTGGGCACAAAGTTTGGCACCTTGTGTTCCCAACCCTGAGATACATCCTTTTGAAGAATGACGTTGGCCCGGGTGACCGTATCGCTGAGCGGCTATAGGCCACCGCGTTCGTGAGACTGCACAACGTTGCACCAAGGAATGAGTCATGGATAATCTCCTCGGAAGAGGGGTATTAACACACAATGAATACATGTGCTTACCGACTGCTGGTCCTCAGAATTTTCCTCATTTAAATTATGTCAATGAAGCCCAAGAGCCGCACTTGCATCGCGGTTGCTCTTAGAGATAGAAAACCCCGCTTGCATAATTATCACCGGTCCATTCGAGTAGGTAGGCGACGCCAGGCCAGGAATATACGCCAAGCGGGTGAACAAACCCCTACAAACTCATGTCATCGGAAAACATAAAGAAGAATCCCGGGAGCAACCGTCATCCCGCGTCCCGTCCAGGTACGCATATCGGCAACGTACCATCCACGCTGCCAGCGCCTGCCAGCACAAGCGATACGTTCCATGACCACCCAACGACTACCATTCGAATGGTACGAATAATTCTGGGTGCCATGATCCAAGGATGTTGCCGAATGCACCCCAATAAGAAGCAACCGGCTTCAGTGAGAGGTGATCCAGCCTATCCGGACTCCGGAGGACATACAGCGAGATATGATCCCGTGATATCATGTTTGGCACAAGTGGGAACAGTAAATCCATTCACGGCATGACAGAGTAGCGCGCGCGAATCAGTCACTATCAGTTATCGTGTATCGGATATGTCAATTTATCGATTATCTTATGCGCGTATTAGGAGGTATTAGTCCGGCTACTGGAGAGGTATATCGAATGTACTTACCAAGGGTGCATTCCAAAGTGACTCTAGGTCACTTATGTAACTCGGTGGAAATGCGGCATCCCAATCACTTTCACATACGTGCTCTCTGTGGGTATTTAGATTAGACAATAAAGTTGATAGGTAGGACGGAACCAGACTGATGCTATATGCATAACAGCGGCTGTCCACGACGGCGACGGGGTCTACATCCATTCCCGTGAACTCCCGACACTGAGTAAGCGAGAGGAAATCAAAAACCTATCAGAAGTCACTTGAAAGAATGTACCTGTAAACTGTTCACACCATTACTACTCTGCCGAGATCACGGGTTAAGAATAACGAGCTCTCAACCCACGCGAGACATGCCACTGATCGGTTGGGTCTCTCGGGGTGCCGTATTGGTGTTGTTGGTGTTGTGCGGGCGCTGCGAGGCGCTATATCGGTTGGCGTCACGGCGGCGGACAAGAGATCATTGGAGTCAAGTTGGACAGAAGGTTTGATCGTCACGGAGAGAAAGGGCAGGGGGTTAGATATTTGACAAATAGGAGGGATTTAGAGTACACACAGTAGGCATGGGGATGATTGTCTCTCGTTTCAAGTTCCCCCTCACTAGAATGAATAAGTCAGATGACTATCATCATCTAAGCTATGGCCCAGAGTCCAGTGTATGTTGTATGGACTCTACCATAGCTAGGGCACCCTGATCAGTTCGGTGTCGGAATTTGCAAACTAGGTTTCCGCGCGGCGCGTAACACATATACGCGTTGTCACGTGCGCACTAGTCCAATTGTTGCTTCCGAACATTCATTATAATATTAATATCGTTTACTTGACCACACCATGTCACGATACCCAGATTATCTTTCGCCCAACACAACCCCTTCTAAACCGTCCAACTCACAGAAATCACGAGCAAGACGCGAGCCATCCGGCGTTTTCTCCTTGTTTCAGGCACCCCAGATTCAGCAGTTCAAGGAGGCATTTCAACTTATCGACCACGACAAGGATGGCTGGGTGACGGAATCTGATCTGCGAGAGGTGTTCTCAAGCCTTGGTGAGGTTGCACTCATTATTTCGTGGCTCTGGCACTCATTCTGGTTTCAGGTATTTCACCATCGACGAGTATGCTAGATGGCCTGCTCAGTGCACGTCCCGGTGGCCCTGGGCACAGCAAGTCGCCTTCTGTGACCCCTTCACGCGACGCGTCAGTTTCATCAGACAGAGGTATCAATTTTACCATGTTCCTCACCATGATGAGCGAACGGCTTTTCGAGTTCGATCCAGAGGCTGAGTTGAGGGAGGCTTTCGAATGTTTCGACGAGGGCGACACGGGGACGGTCAAATCTGATGAGATGCAGAAATGGATGGGTGAGGTAGGAGAAAGAATGGGTCAGCAGGAAGTTCGTGTTACACCTTGCTCTTACCGTTTCAGTGGCTGATTTGGTGCTCAGATTGACAAGTTCCTGAAGAGTTCATTCACTGATCGTCAAGGGAATTTCAAGTACCGCGAATGGATTAAAGTGATACGAGTGAATGACGATGGCGATGAAGCAGAACCAGACATGACATGACAAAATTTGTGCGAACATCTGTACTTTACCCATTGACTAGCATATTATTACTACCGCGATTGCATTCCTCGCAGGTCCGCAAGAAAATCCGTGTTATGAACCTAAAGGCCGCGCAACCCGAAACACCGCTCATACTGATCGCGTTAGATCCACTCCCCTTTGAGAGGCTCTGCCGGGAAGCGGTCCTTATCAAAGGCCAATTCCTTGAAAATGCGTTCGACTTGCTCCTCCGATTCACGGCGGCTAACTTCTTCCAAAGCTAAGCTCCAGTAAATATTTGACTTCGGGATTATAGGACCACACCTCACCTTCTCCCCGCCCATCTCCGAGGCTCTGATCATTTCCTTCCGTTCCCGTACGGGCGGGGATGAGAAGCAATTCAGCGCCTTCGTGGCCAAGAAGTTCAATACAGTTACAATTAGTGAATCGAAGTCCAATCGACGAACGTCCTTTTTCACCCCTTCCAAACACGTATTTCATGATGTCTTCTGAATAAATTGCACGTCGACTTTTGGGCAATCCTACACGTTGACCAGCCGGAGCTTCTGCTTTGGGATTCTTGACTTGGATTACGAAAGAGGAGGCTATGTGAATCCCGAGTGCTTTCTGGACATCTCCCAACTCGGTCGGGTGTGAAAGGTGGTATCCAAGGTGAGTCGCATTTCTTGATGGAACATTCCCTTGTGAATTGACGATTGCATACACCCCACGGCCTGCGAGGCGAACAGGTCCTATGTGACGTGTACCTAACAACGGTTTCAAAATGCAATTGTCACTAGGGGTAAAATCATACCCCGAGTCTTTGTCTCATAAGTCCTTTCCCCCAACCGCTCCTCCAGGTCATGTAGATTGTCGCCCACGGATATTACCGTCGCCCAAATGGGGGCGTGTTTTTCGTGTTCAGGATCAGGGAGTTTTTTCTTGCCGACGATGATCAAGCGGAAGTATTTTTTCTCCTTGTTCGTTGATTCAGGCGCAGGCGCGGCGTCTGCGCCTTGGGCCACGAGGTTCATCTCGTCCGCATCTGCACCGGAGACATCTTTGCTCCCACTTTCGCCGTGCACGCTGAGCTGGGATGGACTAGGTACAAGGAGGACGTGGAGCTTGCTAACATCGTTTATAGAATGAACTTCTTCCCGCTGGACTTTCGGGCGGTAGAAGAAGTATATATGTCCACGCTCGATTACCCCTGAATAAAATGGGTTCAACGACGAAGCACTCTCGGCGAAAAATACACTGACCTGGGGTGAATGCATATTTATTTGTGTCGACTTCTTCTTCTATCTTCGGCTTCTTCGCCTCTGTCTCTTCCACTATGTCAAGCTCAGGAGCTTCGCGTTTCTCGCCGACCTCGTGTTCCATTTTCACTTCCGTCTTTTGTGCAATGATGTCTTCATTTTTGCCTTTCTTCGTTCGCTTTTGTCTTCGAGGAACGCGAGGACTCTGACTGGAATTCATGCTAGAGGCGTGTGTAGCATTGCGTGTCTGCACCGGCATTCTGTGGTGGCGTGATGAGGATAACGGGGAAGCAGCCTTGGCTGACATCATACTATGGGGCAACTCAGTGACCATGCTTCTTCCCTCATCACAATCGCTCTCAAAGACCAAAAGAAATTGCAAGTAAGTAACTTTGAGCTTTACAGGTAACATATCCCCATTAATGTTATCTTGCTCCGCAAGGTATATATATGTCAGTTCATACGTGCAACAGTCCGTGTGTGCCGAGATCCGAAATCAAAGTACACCAGTTGCAACCTTACATGAATCGTACTGTCTAAAAATACGGGGCTCGTCCTAATCCTCGCTGTAGAGTCCACAGGTCGCACTACCTTCAATATGATCATCGACGACACTACAGGAAAGATGTTACGGTTTGTGTAAAGAACGTGTTCGCCGTGACTTTGAGGGTGCGTGCGTGTACACTCACCCAGCATCTAAAACACGATGAGAGATATTATTGATGTTCCACAGATATCGGATCAAACTGGCCCATCATGGGGCCCCGACGAATTTGCACTTCACTTCAACAGTATCAAATACAACTTACAAGCTGTACCACTTCCTGTCTTCTACGAAGACAACCTAGTCCACCCCATCGATACCGATACCACACTCACGGCTTCCATCGCCAAGATAGAGTTCAGCGTCCGTCACTGGAAAATATAAGATCATATAGCTTCCAAGCGACGGCGGAAAACTTAACCATACTGAGACTTGGCGCAGTACTTGCACCACAACACTAGGACTACAAACGCCCACGTGAGTGACAATGAAGGACCAATGATAAGATTCATCGTGGAAAGCATAAAAACGGGTAGAGTGGCCGCTGGCGTGTATGCACTTGTACTTATATCTCCAACCATCATTTTATGGCGCACTCGATGTTTCCTAATGGCCTCATAGTCACTGGACTTGTCTTGTTTGACTGCAGATTAAAATGGGCAAATTGCGATATTCAACATCATAACCGGAGCAAGGTAAGAAGTCGCCAACGACGACCCCTATAGTAGAAAGGTAAAACAATCACCTGACAGTCGGACGGCGTAACAGGAACGTGACGTCACGCCCCCTTGATTTAGGCGCCTTTCCTTAACAGTCCACTTGGCCGTGGCCCCAAGCTTAAGCAGCTCTTCATGTCTGCTCTCAAGTTTGCAGTTTCTGCGCTCAACCGAGAGAAACCTCATGTGCGTCCAGGATATCTATCTCTCTTACTTGCTAATTACAATCTGCTGCAGTCATCTGTCACCGATTGGATAGACATTCTCACCTCGCCTTCATATGATGATGAGGCATATGATGGGTAGGAAAGATACTATCTCTAAATACATGCTAAGCTCAACTATTTCAAGAATCCCAGAGCTAGTGGATTCAATTGCACTACAACCAACAGGGTGCGCTTGAAATCCGGACCTGATATTATTTAGTGGTGACCATTGATGCGTTGGGCGTCCGCCTCCTTACACTAGGACTTCCGAAGCATCCAGAGCAATACGGAAGAAATTAAAGCATGGAGATACGCACCATCGGTACCGTGCACTTGTCGTACGTTTTAATTCCTTATCGGCGGAAGTAGACTCTTGACTGATAGGACCAGATACTGAAAGCACTTGTCGACAATGGTGCTCAGAAATTCCAAAGTGAGTTTATACACCGATACACGACTGGCTTTGGCTGATGGTAACAGCGACGTTCGCTGACGGCAACTTGACTGACGCCATAAAGCATCTCGCAGCTGATCCAATGACGGACCAGAAAGTTAAAAAGAAGCTCATAGAAGTCCTTGCATCATGGCACAAGCAGTTCAAGGATGATCCATCGATGTCTGTTGTTGCGGGTCTCTATAGGCAGTGTCGTACCGCAGATCGTCGCAGCCAAGGATACTCAAATAGTGCAGATCCACTCAGTCATGGGCCATCATCTGACTACGAAAGGAAAATGAAAGAGAAGGATGAGAAGGAGCTGTCGAAACAACGGGCTAAGCGTGCGAAGCAAGAAGCGAAGCAAAAGGCACGTCAAGCAGAGGAAGACGCAAGGAAGAAGGACCGGCCCCGACGAGCTCCCTTCAATTTTGAAGTTGTGCGTGATCTTCATCATCATGCCCGCGATCTGACACCAATCTGACACAATAACAGGAGAAGCCACAAATACTCACAACCATCGCTAACGCAAGTCAAGCGTCCAGTAACCTTGTGAACGCCATAATGCTGGTGAATGGCGAGAAGGAAAGCGTGGTCTCGAATGAACGTGTGCAGGAGTGTCTTGGGAAGGCACGTTCTGTCCGTAAGCCTATAGTGCGCTATATCCAAGTCTGTATTTTATTTTATTTTTTGTTGTTGTTGGTTTCTTTGCTTATGACTGAACGCAGCTCGTGGAGAACGAGGAAATGATCGGAGCGTTAATCGAGACGAACGAGCGCATTATTACCGCCCTGCAAATGTATGTCAATGTAAGTCGTTGCCTTCCACCATAAATTCGCTGCTCAATGATCTGCGTTCAGCTTTCAGCTCCCGATCAGAAAACACCGTTAGATCCTACGGCGAGCGTACAGGCCGCAATGGCGGCGACGCACCTCACCCCGAATAGTACAGGCGAGCTGTCGACCCAACAACGAGCAGCTGTTGAGCAATACAAGCAACAGTTACACGATTATGATGAACAAGAAAGCGGCAGGAATTATATCCACGAAGATCTTCAAGATCTATCCTTTGGGTCTCTGGGTAACGAAGAGGGGAAACTGCCCCCACCCATGAGACCAACTGCACATCGTACCATTTCACCGGATTCGGAGTGGGATCAGGGGAGGGGAAGTCTCTCTGATTTCAGCGACTACGAGAGCGAGGAAGAGGAACGACCGAGATACGACGCACACCCACATGCGACGTCTTCAAGCTCGCGACAGTCAGAAAGAATCGTGGATGACGAGGACCCATTCGCAGACCCGTTTGCGGATTGATATTGAGGTATATCTAGAGGAGTGATCGATGTGCTGTAGGCAATATATCTTATGTACATGTAGTCAATGTCTCGGCCGTCTTGTGCTAACAGGTCCAGCAGGATCTCGCTGGAAATATATGAGGATACTAGGATGAATTATACTGCATTAAAAGGAGTGTTTGGTACATGTGCGATACTGTCCCGAGGAAGTAAACGCATGGAAGAATCCACTAGACATTGACCTATGTTACAGTACAGTTTGCAAGGACGAATCTTCAAAATGGCGGTGATAAACAAGAAAACCAAAATCTGGGTTGTCAACCACTTTCTATACCGCTATCCATTTCATTATTTACCACTTGTTCACCATTTTGAGGTGATGCGCCGTTCATTTGCTGTTGGTGTTGACGAACATCCTGATGGGATTGTTGGGGCTGCTGATGCTGATGAGGGGCCATCGCGCCTCCGTGCATACTTGGGCCAAGAACTCCAAAGCCTGGCCCCCCTACAACGCCCATCGGGCTTTCCAAGTACAGTCGGATAAGAACGCTTTCAAGAGCAACAACAGTAGGCCCTGGGTAATCGAACGCTCGAGCATGTTCACGAATGGAATTAAATAAAATGCTCATGCGATCCCACAGTTCTTGCTGAGATGGTGAACCCTGAGGAGGACCGATGTGAGGATATCCCATTGTCGGAGGTCCGGGGAAAGCGGGGAACGGATGGGGCAGATGGGTGAGTGGAGGGTTTGAAGGATAACTTTGGACCTGTGTTTGAGACGAAGTAGAGGAGCCCTCCTGCTGCGTGGGAGCGGGGGCTGCAGACGCAGCTTGTAGGGTGCGCTTCGACTCCTCCTTCTCGGCTAGCACTGTTTGTCGCCTGCCGCGACGGGTGAAGGGCAAGTTTGCCAGCCCAATAGGATGTGAGTGCTCAGCAATGTCTATGGAGTTGTTCAGGAATGGCGATTCCCCCAGCATCATATGAATACGCACAACACACTCGAACCTCATCGGTGTCATAATAGGTCTTGTAGCTAATAGATGCCAGACACCCCTGCCCGTCAAGCTGAGAGAATGCATGAACAAGCCATCATGTGGAGCATGCTGCTGATACGAACCTTCCTGCTGGGCACCTTGCGAACGCGCTCTGGGTGTTTCTTCACATACTTCTTGCGACCACTCCTTGAATGCCGAGCGCAAACTAGTTTGGTGTGGTCCTTGAAACGGGGAGGAACTGCCTTGCTGCCATGAGTATCGCCCTTCACGAATTCAACCATTTGTGTTTCTTCCTCATGAACCCTCCATTCCTGGAAAGCAGCGAGGTTTGGAAATATAAGAGTGTAGCCATCGTCACTGTCGCCACACCCGTAAGGTGACCTCGCAGTGGTCGACTTTGGGGGCGCTGGGGTGGCAAGGCTAGAGGGCGCTGCGGGCGTAGAAGTGGACGATGGGGGATTTTGTGAATAAGATTGCTGCTGATTCTGTTGCAAATGTGGAGGCAAAGGCTGGGACATGGCCAGTTGCCCGAGCCTGAAATGCTGGAAACTCATTTTTTGACAAGGATTCCGAACAAAAAATGGTTGGGATGAAAGCAAAAAGGTGGAAAACTGGTCCCGCGTGTGACAACTTTATACAATGTCACGTAACATTTTTGTCACGCGCTTTCCTTTTTCCAACAATGACCTCCTCCCTCAGAAATTCGCTGCATAGGCGAAATCATAAAGAGCGTTCACAGCTCTCTCATCGCGCAAAGTTTGGGATATTAGAAAAGCACAAGGACTATGTCCAACGTGCACGAGATTATCACTCCAAGCAGGATCGTCTGACGCGCCTTAGGCAGAAGGCAGCGGACAGAAATAAGGATGAGTTCTACTTTGGGATGAACAAGGAGAGGACGGTGCAGGGGGTGCACGTCAAGGATAGAGGAAATGTTTCTATGCCTATGGATATGGTTAAGCTCCTCAAGACACAAGATGAGGGCTATGTTCGCACAATGAGAGCTAACGGACTGAAGGCATGTATTTCATGCGTATAACATATCAATCAATCAACTCATTATTTGACAGAAAATCGAGAGGATTAAAGGCCAACTTACTGCTTTGGCCAATCTTATTGCCCCGCAGGATGATGACACAGAGGACGACGGCGAGGACGTGTTGGACGAAACTGACCTGGAAACACTTCGAGAAGCAGCTGTCATACCTCCAGAAACAAAACGGCGTCCACCCCCACGTCATATTATCTTCGCTGAGAACGAGACGGAAGGCGAGTGTGTCTTGTGACGCTGTATCGTGCATGACATGACGATATATACGTTGTAGCCAAACAATTATCTCAGCGGCGATCTACAAACCAAATCAAAACTACGACTGAAGTGGACGTCAAACGAGCCCAAGTTGACCTCGGCTGGAAGACCCAGGAAAGTGCGTCTTCTCGACGGAGAAGGAAGAGCAAATCCTCAGCTGGTGCAACAACGGATATTACTGAGGACACTGAAGAAACACGACAGCTTAATGTGGTATGCCCATTTGTTGTTGTTATCATCCACTTCCTGAGAATTTTCGTTCAGCAAAACCGCAAACGCCTCCTGAAAGAACTCGCTGCGCGATTAAAACGTGACACTCAATTACGGTATACACAGCGTGAGCTAGAGATGCAAAGACTTCTGGCAGGTAAGGGAGGTCGACGGAAGTTGCGTGGCGTTGAAGAAGTAGGGGCTGAGAACAACGATGAAGATGAGGACGAAATGGACAATGCGGCAGTTTCCAAGGCAAGCAAAACGGATGAGAAGACTTACAAACCTCGAGTATATAAGTGGCGTATAGAAAGAAAACGATAGTATCATTCAAGTCCATGACAATCCATTGTATAGTTCGACAAGTATAGTGCGAGTGTATATGGTACGAGTTCAGTCCCAGATCCAGATTACTGTATGGTATACCGTCCCAGTAGTGGACATGCGCGACCAACGTCAGATGACAGATTAAAAAATGCAGAAGGCGCCGAACGCCACGCTGCCAATAACCACCCAAGCTGAGCTCCACCGGCTGAGGTTAGGCCGGCCGGAGTTCAATGAGGATGAGGTCACAGACGGCGAGGAGGCTGAACTTGTTCCCATTGGAGTCGCAATGGGCGTGGCAGGGGAATAGGTGACGCCGTTAGCAGTGGCAGCGACCTCGAAGACAGATCCACCACCGTACTCATAGAACTTGGAATCATTAGAAAGAAATCCACGAGGCAGTTGGATGTACGTACGTCAACGAGCATGAAGTTCGGGTTTCTGCCCTGCTGGCTAACACAGAGGTTAAACTGCTCACCGAGGGAATTCGTACCGGACACGGCATTGGTTTGATTAGCTTGACTTGGGTCCGGAGCAGGTTGGCCAAGAATCAAAGTATCCAAAAAGTGATTAATAAGATACATAGATGTAGCGGTCGGGGTGTTGGCGTTAGACCGGTTCACATTGCAATCAAATGACGTGGTGACGTCATACGCAGTTTCCCAGATGTTAGTGAATTCTGGGGACGAGGATCAATCAGGGTCTCCACGGGAACAACTATGTAACACACCGTCGATGATATAAGGAACGGAGGTGAAGTCTGCGTTGGAATCCATGAAAGTGATCAACCGTTTTCCCGAATCAATGAGGCTGCCCAGGGTGGGCCAGCCACTTTCAAGCAGGGAAGAAGAAGGTGGCGAGTAAGACACCGTGTCAAGCCCAACCGATTTGAAGACCGTGTCATAACTACTCGGCGGAAGAGTGTCAGAATTGACGATGAGCAATGAAAGCACTGGACAATATATTTTGAGAAATGCCAAAGCCCGCCATTTGTCATGAACGGTACCGACCTTCATTTGGATTCGCGTCTAGCCAGGCTTTGACTGTATGCCAAGGGTAAGGAAAGGAACCTCATGGCGAAGATTTATTCTCACCAGTTGTAAGGTAAGCTTGAAGAGTTCCACCATCAAAGAGTGACTGCAAAACAGTGAGTAACGCATTATTGGCACAACATGCACGCCACTTACACAACTCGTGTGACAGAGGTGAATGACTCCATTTGAGTTATGTGCCTGCATTTGCAGCATTCGAATCCCATCATTCAGTTGTTGTGTAACTAACAGGGGTCATTTAGAATTTAGTCCCGGTTCGGACAAAATATTATGCACTCACTGTTGTAGTCCTGGGTCGTGAAAACTTCAGGAGAGTACTTGAGCGAGTATCTGCATGCACAAGGACGTTGGAGCTCACCATTGTTGGTGCCGACTGCATAGGAGTCATGGGCACCGACGAAGGTGACGTTTCCGAAACTGCGGGTACACAGATCTGGGCTTCCATTGCAAATCGTGGCACGGCGAAGCGGCGATTCGGTGGGTGAAGCATAAACGAAGTCAAAAACGGATGACATCATTGCAAAAGCAGACAGAGCGACCTGCACCCTGGGGAAAGAAGAAAATAGCAACATGATCAACAAGGATGATGTTTGAAGTGAGTGAGTGTGGGTTTGAAACAAAAGGGAGACGTTAATATTGAAGGGGACTAGGCTGCATAGCCAAACCACGCCACTGCTGCGGGCCAAGAAATCAAATTAAGTCGCACCGTAATATATGGTGAGATGGCCGAGCGGTCTAAGGCGCCAGACTAAGGATCGGCTCATTAGATGAGCATGTTATCTGGTCCTCCGGGGCGTGGGTTCGAATCCCACTCTCATCAATACTTTTGCTACATCTCGCCATAATTGTTTTTACCCTTTTGTATTATGTACGTGAGGTACTGCGAAAGTAATCCTCAGAAGGTGGAGGTGACGATCGTAATGATACACAATGCTGATTTGGAAACGAACGCAAGAAGTAGCCGATTAATTTTCCAGCAACAGATAGCTCAATCAAGTCAAAGTTTCTGTGATACTGAAATGCACATGGTCTCCTTCACCTAGGGTGAGCCTGACTGGCAGACGGGGATCAATGCGCACAGGAGCACTCGAGCCAACGAAAAAGTCTCCTCGACTAAAATTCCTGGTGATGGCGGCTGCTTCTTCCTCTGTGAGGTTACGTGGCCGCTTGTTAGGGCGAAAGGTAGATGAAGAGGCGCCAGTAAATGCGCCATTATAATCATAATATTGGTGCTGGCTGAGAGTAGGTGCTCCGTGGACATATCCCAGTGGTGTCTGAGCAAATGTAGATACACCGGGAGCTGGGAGATTACAAGATCGTGAATAAGTAGACTACGTTTCAGCGGAGTCAAAATAATTACTTTGATGCGACTGATTTTGGTCACTTTCGGGATCTGGATATGCGCATGTTGCGCCAATACCTCTTTTTAAGCAGCTCTAATAGGAGGTACGTAGTCAATATATCATAGAACGAATCTATTTGCTTGAGATCTGTACTAACCTGACACGGTAATACCTCGCTGCACCGAGTTTTACCGGTATGACATGCAGTACATGCTCGCCTTACTGAAGGGGCTTTTGCTGGACATGATATACATGACATTGTTGGCGATGATGGCGCGGAGCTCACCTTTGCGAGTTGCTGTGGAATCGTTGACTGGCGATGGGCCATTGGAAGTATGCTGCTGTTGTTGCTGTTGGGCGTCGGCAGCATGTTGATGAAGTTGATGAAGTTGTTGTGCGTCCATGGCCGACGCCGCGTCATGCGCCGGTGTAGATGCCTCACTAAGAGCCGACATGGGTGTAGCGGAGCGGTGAGGTTCCGACGCTGTTCGGTGAAGCGGGAATATAAGTAATTCATCGGAGCGGATATGCCTATTTAATTCATATTTATCTCCATTTATGTCTGTTTGTGTATCCGGTAGCTCCCGCCACTCCGGCCAAGGGGCGGTTCGATGCCGTAACCGGTTAATGGTTTCATTCCGGGTCGGTAATAGCTTCTTGCCTGCACCACCATGTCTTCCCAATCTCCGTCTCAACCACCTCCCTTCTCCGAGTTCGAGTATGTATTTGACCCGGCTCTATCAGCTTTATCTCCTCCGCCTCTTCCCATCCCGTCATCTGCAGACCTCTTCTCTCCATCCGAAACAACTGATCTCTTAGGATTCCTAGACAATTTTAATTGGGATTTCGAAGCAGATTCCACTTTCACTGCGCCCTATCATATGCCGCAAGGCGCGCGTGATATGGATAATTCGGGAGAAACTGTGTCACCGATACTTCAAGAGCAACCTGAAATACCATCAGATATATCCAATGCTAGACCTTCATCTTCTTCATCCGCGACTTCGTCACTTCCCTCAAAACCAGACTCCAGAGGTGCAAGTGCAAAGCGCAAGAGAGCTTCTGCATCATCGTGCCAGACGGGCAGATCAAAAGTCCTCCTCTCAACCCCCCAGAAAAGACTCAATCACATCATGTCAGAGCAAAAGCGTCGCAATGTTATTCGTGAGGGCTACGCGCAGTTGATATCCCTTCTCGCCCCAGCCGGAGCACAGGCTATTGATATGCCCACTAGGGGTAGGCCCAAGGGCAGCGGGAGCAGGGGGAAGGGGCACAGCAAAGGCAAGAGTGGAGTGCTCTTTCGAGCAGTCGAGTACTGTCGGTGGCTTGAGGAAGGGAGGGATGCTTTGATGGATGAAGTACTTCGTCTAGAAGCTGCCGCAGGAATTGTCTACCCGTCGAGGTAGTAATGGGCATACATCCGCTTCATCAAGACAAGTTTCTGAAACTGCAGTGAGTATCCTGGCCTCTATGTGTCCGGATCTCATCAGTCTTCCAGAATACAGGAAATGTTTTCTCTTGTCCACTGCCAGTCCAGGGCTACAGAGCCCCAGCTGCTCCATAATCATGTCCGCAGACTTCCCAAAGTTGCACTTATTTAAACGCATGCCTAGTCGAAAATTTCGACATGTATCAAGAATTGTATTTTCCCGTAATTTTTGTGTTTTCAACGTATTGGTGTATTAAAAATACTCGCGGTTTCTATTTCTGTAGGAACACGTATTGAATTGCCAGGCAACAATTTCCTGTCCTGCTACTGTCTCATCCGCTGGAGGTCACATTTATGGTCTTGCCTTTCAAAAGCTTGCGGTTTCAGAGTGTAATACCGGCGGTTCCGAACGCAGATGTTCCGAAATCCACTTGGCAGCGTGTACAAGTGGCCCGTCGACTTGCTGGAGTGCGATGATATTTTCGGGATGTCATCTGAACAACCATCAACATTCATAATCTCATGTTTGTCAAACAAAGATCATATTTAGCACCACCAGCCTTTCTCTCTTGCGACTGGTCGTCGATCGGTTGAATATTGAAGACAGGTAAATTCGTCGTGCCGCCCGTATAATCCGAGTCAAGTCAGGCGCAAGAACAAAAATCATTCTGTAACTCGCAACACCCAAGGCCACCAGCAGCGAGGGCCACAGGCAGAAAGGCCTCAACAGCGTTCGCCGGAGGCTATGTATTTAAGCAGGTACGTACAAGGCAACATCGCGCGGTCTTCGCTGAATATATGCATGACGCATCTAGCGCGTTTTGGCGGGGCCCCCCAGATGATGGCAAACAAAATTGGGAAGGAGGACGCCGTGAGGAACGCCGCAATCTGGACGAACGTGCATCTCGGAGAGCCGGAGGAACCGATCGGCTTCGGGTTAAGCGTAGCTCCGTTAAGGTTGAGGGTGAGGACGAGGAGTTCATTAAGGTCGGCCACGAGATGTGCCCTACTCACATGTGGCCCCCGGGGAGTGTGTGTTTATTATCTGCAAAGCTCTGCTCTTTCCACTGAACCCCTTCACGGCATTGTTGTGTTTCGCACAGGTACACTTTTAGGATTCAATATTCAGGAGCTGCCTTAAAAATAGCATATGACGCATTTCTCGCACGTATTGAACCACTCCGTGCTTAACGTACGACATTGGTTGGCCCGAACATTGAAAGTACGCACGATCCTACAAGTACATTGGCAAGAATATTTCAGAATTCGCTACACTTCGGCCTGGAACAAAAATCGGGTGCTCGGGACTCTCCTATAGAGCACTCCTATGCCACTTGTCCTCAACACCATCAGCCATCGACAAGTACGGCATCAAGTCGCTCGTCAAAAAGTCGCTTGGCCATTGTTGCCTGATTTGATCCATGAGATACTTCGTAGCAATTTTCAAATGGTCATCCTTGACGCTCGGGGCGATCTTCTGGACGCCGGGGGCTTGCTCTGCGATGATGCGGTCGACATATGAGGGGGTAATCTGCTCGCCAGTGTCAAGGCGTGCACTGTACTTCACCCACTGCCAGAGCTGCACACGTGCAATCTCAGCAGTAGCAGCATCCTCCATCAAGTAGTTGACAGGGATGCAGCCATTGCCGCCGATCCAAGCTCCACAATAGGCAAGAGCCACAGAGATATTAGAGCGGATCCCTTCCTCGGTGATCTTTCCAGGAACATTGGAGCTCAGCAAGTCCGCGCCAGCGACTTTCACATCCTCACGTCGGACGTGGTACTACAGCCCATGGATGATCAGCCTCATCACAGATACAAAAGTATCGCGGATGCGAACCTGGTTAGGACCCAGCATATTTTCGTCAAACACCTTGCGAGCGATCTGGTTGATCAAGGGGTGCGCAATCCAAGTTCCATCATGGCCAGCTGTAACCTCGCGAAGCTTGTCTGCTCGGACCTTCTCCATTGCCACCTCGTTGGCTTTGGGGTCATCTTTAATAGGAATTTGTGCAGACATGCCACCCATAGCAGCAACTTTCCTCCTAAAAGCACCTGTGAGCGCTATGGTCACGCGCGGAAAATATCCTTACCTGTGACAAGTCTGAATCAGAAGACGCACATACGCATCCATGAAAGGCACGGTCATGGTGACGTCCTTCCTGTCTGGTAACACGGCGCTTCTGTCTGCCCTACGCTTCTTGATTGCACTAAATATGTAGTCCCATCTGACAATACACACGTGAGTGAGCAACTGACCTATTTACATCGGAACTAAATTTCCCTCACCTTCCACAATTAAGTCCTGAAGAGTGATTTCTGAGCTCGAAAAGTATTTCTTCCATCTGGAATGCTGCGGGAAGCGTCTCGATGAGGACAGTTGCCCTTATTGTGTTGTGAGGTATTCCAATGTATGATTGCGAGAAGAGGAAGACGTCATTCCACAGACGGGCCTCGAGATAGTGCTCCATCTTGGGAAGATAGAAGTAGGGGCCCGAGCCACGCGTTATGAGCTGATGAGCATTATGGTAGAAGTAGAGCCCAAAGTCGAAGAGAGACCCCGAGATAGGGGTATTATCGACCGTAACACGCGTCTCGTCCAAATGCCAGCCCCTAGGTCTGCATAAAATATAAATAACTAATGCAAAGCCGAAAATATCTCAGACGTACCGGACAAGAAGCACAGCTGGATTCTCAGACAGCCTGTATTGCTTCCCGCCGGACTCGAAGTCGATCTGTCGGTTAATTGCATCGCGCAAATTAACTTGACCATTAATCATGTTCGCGAATGTAGGAGCGCTAGAGTCTGGAAACATTAAGATATCAGCACAATTCTTTGGCATCGTGAATGATCCGCGTACCTTCAAAGTCTGCCATGAAGGTTTTTGCACCACTGTTCAGAGCATTGATAACCATCTTCCTGTCAGTAGGACCGGTAATCTCAACGCGTCTGTCTTCGAGACCGGGTCCAGGGGGTGCGCAGTGCCATGAAGGTTCGGCACGGATGTGAGCTGTTTCAGGAGGAAAGTCAAGAGGTACTCCCGAGTCAAACCTGCGCTGTGCATCATCGCGCGCAACTAGGAGGGTCTGCCTGGTAGACTCGAAGGTTCTATGAAGTGCAGCGAGAAATGCGACTGCAGCATCGGTGAGGATTTCAGTCTGGGCGTCCTGAGCGACCTTTGTGTGAATCTGAACACCTGCAACCATGATTGGGGGCGAATAGGGAGTTGTAAGTAAGGAGCAAGATTAGTAGCGTGCGTATTAAAGCACTAGAACTCGGGACTCCGACACACCGCGATAGTCCTTCCGAGCATGTGTTTTTGACCCAATATTGGCCTATCATTTTTTCGGGTGTCCATCGCATGCCCGCAAATCGGAATATACGTCATGCGATCGAGTCACTTTGCGCCCACCGAAGGAGTTGCATTCCTCTCCGTTCCCGCCGTTTCTCGATTTCGATGGCTTGTCATAGCAGCGGTCGCGGCTCAGCTGCTCATACATATACACCTTCGTCGCTCGACACTCAGTCTCGTGTTTCTGAATGAATATCAATAAAGGTAAGTAGATGCAAGCATTGGGAATACTAAATACTGTTCTAGCACCTCGGACATTACCACAGACCCGCATACATACATTTCTGGCACACACACGTACGCGCGTAAGAGAGTTCAACTCGAAAAGCATCAGCTCGCACACAAGACGAAGCATGCGAGGTGATTCACGCATACTTGCAGGAAGTCTTATCCCAGCTGCTTCGACGAATACGCAATGGCCACCTTGAGTTTCGCCTTCCGAAGAGGTGATTTCGTGAGCCCCATTTCAGCACTGGAAATCCAGGCCTCAGGGGCCAGAGCTGAGGAGATGATGCCACAATGGACGATGGCGGGAGACGGTGACGGGAATGGATCGAGAAGCGCCGCGGCTGGGACAATGGCCCGACTATCCGAAAACCTAATGAATCCGTCATCATAAATCCATAAGGAAACCAGAGAGTGCCGTATTTTGAACTGGAACGAAGGGATGGCGGTGAGATATGAGCGCTTGAGCCCTGGATCCTAATATGATATCGTAGCATGCAATATTACTTCCGTAGAAGCTACAGGGAAATACATTAAAACACGAAAACAAAGAATTTAGCGAAAGAGATGGGCAGAAATTATCCCCAGTCAACTTCCAATTCATGGGCTAGCCAGTCATCATCTTCATCGTCTCCATCATCAGCATAATCATCGTCCTCAGCATCTTCCTCCAAACTCTTGAGAGGTATGGGCAGTAATGGTTTACGGCTGTGATCCGAGAGCGACTCGGTATCTGCCAACTCGTCAGCAGTAACAGCCTCTTTCAATTTGGATGCCCCACTTCGACTTGCGGCTAGTTTCTTGCGCTTAGCAAGTGGAGAACGGAGCGCATCGCTCTGCCGGTCGCCAACCCCGTAAGTCCCTCCATCCGAGGGTGTGGCACTTCGTAGCCTTTTGCGTTTCATTCGAGGGGTAGTACTTGGACTACTGTAGGAAATATGGAGTTAAACTGGCAATTTTAAAGGCGGAATTCAAACCTTAGTTGACTTCGAGTGTCATCAGGCATGGTATCGTCGTTATCAGACATCAACACACTTCTCCCACTACTCATCTCACTCATGGCATCATCTTCATCGTCGCTCTCGTTCATAGCAGCTTCGACTTCATCATTGATGTCGTTCCAATCGATATCGTGAAGCTCCAAGGACGTGCTCCCTGCTGGGGCAGGCTCCACGTCCCAGTCGTCTGCGTCGGGCTCCGGATCTGAAGAAATTTGATGTGGGTCGAGGATCGGACTAGAACTGGGAGCGGTGGCTGACGGGTCATCCAGTAAATATGGAGTCTCATCTTGTCGACGCCACAGTGCTATCGAGTCTGTGAACCATGATAGCCACACAATCTTGATTCCCCCTCGCTTCCGTGCGGCATCCACCTTGACTGTGCCATGCTGTATAATGGAAGGCATATGAGCTAAATCGCATGAAAGACAGAGAGCGAACGACCTTGGCGGCAACCACGTGGGTGATTCGACTGGATAGCTCAGTGTAGCATTGCGCTCCAAACATGTGAGCTATTTTCCATATCTCAGTTGTTTCGGGCTTTGTATCAAGAGGTATCACACTGGAAAATAATATATGTACCCCTTGCAGAGTGTCCATGCGCATTTGTGGAATAATCGTCTGTGGCGCAATTGATAAACGTGACATGAGAAAAATAAACCACTTACTGTCACGTCGTGGGCTTTAGACTGCGCAAGGGTGGGCCGTCGTTTCTTACCTCGGTCCTCTGGCGATCTGTTGTCATATGAGGTAAAGAAGCGGCGATGCACTTCCCCAAGTAGCTGTAATAAATTCAGTTTGATTCTACACTCCACAAGGTGCGAGATACACACATAGCCAACCCGTTGAAGCTCGACATCGTCATTCTTCAACAAGGCCTTGCGCGGAACTTTCTCTGCCTTCAGGGGTTCCGCTGCTTTCGTATCGTTCTTGGGATGATCGGGCGATTGCTCTCCAGGTGATGTCGTCGCTCCAGTGTTGTCAGACTCCAGCAGAGCTTCTTGCTTCTTGGCTAACGGACGTTCTTCGACTTGCGCTTCAAGCGCAATGGAATTTTGTGTTAGCATCGCCTTTGATTCCATTTCAGCTTTGTCGCGTTCTTCGGGTGTTGATATTGGTTGTGACGGAGCTTCGAAGTCAGAAACAGGAGGTGAGGGCGGCTTGGCTAGTCAGTCCGGTCAGCACGAATTTCTGAAGATTTTTTTGAAGCAGAAAGGACTGACCAGGAGATGGAGATGGGACTATGGGCGCGAGAGGTTCAATTTTGGGCAGGAAGGCAGAATTAATGTCTCCTATGCCAACAAAAAAATCGTCTTGAGAAAGAAAAAAATCAGTGAGGGGTTTAAAAGGCACGATATATCAAAAACAGCACGAACACGGGATGACTTTGATAAGGTTCGGACTCCACTCCCAAACGTCTGCACGATCATCAATGATAACTACCATGGACGTATCGCAGGGAAAGAGACGTTGTAGACTTTTCTGTGTCAGACCTCGAATAACGTTGAGCTGCAGGATCACTATCAGATCAAGTCACTCACTCCCGCTTTCATCTCTACTGAGGATCCTTCCTCCAAATATTTTACCATCAGGGTCAATGGCGGCACAAACCTCTTCTGCATATGCTCGAGTGCCCATAGTGTACACATGCATCTCATACTTTGTCGCTATATTTCGAAAGAATTCCGGGGTTCCAGGTCTTATAGATCATGAGCTAGTCCATCAATGACGACAAGGAGTAGAAGCTCTACGCACCGAGGTTTGATGTAATACATACACCCTTCATTCTCTATTAGTTTCTGCTTGCCCTTCCCTTTGTGCGCGCCTCTTGGAACCGAAAGCATTCCAAATGATTCTGGACCCAAACGAAACTTTCGTACGTCTTGCAAAGCTTCCCAGTTTGGATTGCATTCGTCTTCAGCATCGGACGCTGTACCGTCAGAGTCGTCGTCAGAAGCTGCGTCATTTGGAGTGGTTGATCTCTTCTTGACTTGTCTGGCCTCCCATGCCTCACCTTCTGCGATCCACTCACCCACAGTCGGGTCGACCGTCGCATGCACAATGGTTTGGTCTAGATCGACGATAAGAGAGAGCTTCCTGGACTTGAGTAAATGTTCTGCAGTTTCTTTCTCTATCCTCCGGGCTTCCTCCAAAGAAACCGTTGGACCAAAGGCAGAATGCGTCATTTGAATGGATGCGCGCGACGCATCGGAGAATCCAGTATAATCAAATCTGGACGCGTGTCAATGGCGTCAATGGGACCTGATGATAGACGCACTCTGTCATATCCTTCCCGCATAGCCCACATAGTCCTCCAATCTGAACGCCATGCTTGCATGGCTCCGTGATGCATATGATAGGTTTCTGTTTCGCTTTCTGGGAAGAGATGGAGTCGCCAAACTTGACCTTCCAGGAATCGACAGTCCCTTCAATTGAGCAGTCCCATGTGCCAAAACGAGTTTCTGGCTTTGAGGTTGATGCAGGAGATGAATACAGGAAGGAATAGGTCAATAGCCGGGTCCCGCGTTGCACAGTAGCACCGAGCTGAACATCGAGAGATGCGACTTTTATAGGATATGGTAACGTCGGTGGTAAGAATATATCTGTCGGACTCGACATTTGGCTGTCAGAGCCAAAAGCAAGAGTTGATGTCGAGTGTGGACTTGAGCGATGACTTTGATGATGCACGAGACTAGACTTGGGTGACTTTGTTGAACCGGATTCCCTATTGAGTAACTGTGACCCTTGTCATAACTTTACTGCCACCAGTTGGGGTCACACTTTGGGGTTCACAGATGTCGTCCCCGCTCTTGTTTTCTACAATTGAGGTGACCAGACAAGCATTTTACAGGACAGCGCTATCGTACGCCATTGTCAATCTCAAACCAATCGTGCCAGGACGTGAGCCTAGTCCCTTATACGATATCTTATTCTTATAAGCCAGACTTTTAGATGTGCTCGTAATCCCCAATCGACCCGTGCCGCGCTTGACCGATCTCACTACACCAGAATTGACGTCCCTCATCGCTTCTGTCCAAAATGTTGGTCGAGTGGTCGAGCGCGCGTATGGTGGTGACGCATTGACCGTGGCATGCCAGGTATAACCACTGGCAGACGAACACAAGACCCGATATTGATCTATACGGTCTAGGATGGAAAGGCTGCGGGGCAGTCTATACCTCACGTCCACTTCCATATCATGCCTCGGAAATACCATGGAGACTACTTTTCGCAAAGAATGGATGATATATATCCCGCACTAGAACGGTCGGAAACGGATTTGCCCCGTGACTTCCAAAATCTCAAAGTGTCCAGCACCTCGGTCCAATATCACCCATTCAAGGTCGATGCAGACGAAGACAGATTGCCGCGGACGCTGGAGGACATGGAACAGGAGGCGACATGGCTGAGAGGTTTCTTTACAGGAGACAAGGAACGTCGTGATACCGACGCAGTGTAATGTCAAGCGTCCATTTGCCACTTGAAGGTTTTAACAGGTTTTAACACAATTCAACCGTAAAATACATATCATTAGATCTAAGCATCTAGATGAAGGTGTGCCTATGGTGACTATCCTGGCCTAGATCATATCATTCCAGACGTCCCTAGCAATGTTATGACCACAACCCTCGATGTGCTTTCCTGAAGTTCCTGAACCTGCAAGGCATAATATAGGCGGAGCCAGACTCGCGTTATCATCTAGTCCAGAGTGGAATGCGTCCTCGACCTCTATAGCTTCCAGACCATTATATCCGTCCCCACTGGCATCTGCAGTAATGCGCATCATCTGCACGCCATTTTTCCAAGATTGGTAAAGCCTGGATTTCACGGCTGCAAGCTGAGCCAGACCTTCATTCCAGCCCCTTTCAAAGTCCTCGCGGATAGCCTCATATTGAACATCGGGGATAAAGGCAGATGATGTAGACAGGGAGAGCAGCGTCGGTGGCGATGGAACGACGCGTACCTTAGGAATAACTATTCCAGCAGGTACATGGATGATATCTGGCTCTGATGCGGTAGGTTCCTCCCTAAACGAGATGGTAGCTGTGGCAAGACCACGACGACCTGGTCTTATACGTCTTGCTGCGGGCTGTGGCATGCCTGCTGGTGTACTGGTAGTGGCTGCATTGCGTTCCAACCAAGTCTTGAGCACTTTTTCCCTTGCTTTTGCTCGTCTGACGGTTGCGGTTGCGCATATCTTTCCGATGTTATTCCATTCACTCGCCTGCGATTGGTCCCGCGCAACGCCGCATCCATCAAGAATCAAATGTTGCAAATCATGAAATCGAATGAGAATCCCCTCCATATCCGAGACGAGAACATTACATGTGGACAGATCAAGAAGGCGTAATGCAGGGACGGAAGACGGGATGCTGCTGATGAAACGGGAGACTTGACGAGATGGTATGCGGAGACGCAGGCGAGTCAATGAGCTGATGTACGCTGAGCACAATAAGACGGATATTGGATCGAGTCTAAAGAAGACAAGGGGCTGTGCGAAATGCTGCGCACTTGATATCTCTGGGTCAAGGGGATCCTGGACGATAGATAGAGTCGACAACTCGCAGGGAGGCCAGCGGGAAAGTGCAGTTAGGGTGGTATCAAAGTAAGCTCCCTAACAAGTACACGTTGAGCGAAAAGTATAACATTCACGCAAGGTGGTACCTTGAGAAATTGATAATATGTGGCCCGATTCACGCTATGTCGCATACGCGTGTCAGGAGAGGATGAAACGAAACGAATTGACACTCACTATGGACGGAAGCGTAAAGAGAGAAAGCGCAGATCTTCTCTCGGTTTATGAAATATCTCCTCAAGATGCTCTGGAGCGAAACTGGGTCCCACGAAGAGAAGGAGAGAAGATATGCTAGGGAGGATCTCAAGCAAATTAACGAGGACATCAGCGTCGACAGTCCAAGTCACGATACCGAAGTCCTTGACCCATTTTCTCTCGTCAGTAGCATTGTGCAAGCGACGGTATAGTTGAACGATTTGCTGCGCGTGTTTGAGGCGTATGTGCTCGAATAGACTATGGGTAGGCACGGGCGATCTGGGGCACACTCTTGTCAGGGCAAGGACATCTTGCTGGAGCGAGTCTGCTGGCAGGTGACTGATGATTGCAGCATACAGCTCTGCAGGAAGTTCATCCAACTGCATTACCGCAGAGGCTAGAGGTAAGCTATGACTCGGATGGCAGCTGCCGCGGAGTTTCACATCAAGTTTCCAACAAGACTACCCTTTAGCCAAGCTAGTGTCCCTTCAGCACCTCCAACTAACAATTCAACACCCTCAACAACAGTCTTTCTAGTGTCTTCCTTGTCTCCCCAATGCACCCGTGGAGTCCAAGCAACCAAATGTGCTCCAATATGTGCAATTGCGACCCTCGCCAGCGCTTCATCAGGCCCACTTCCTCTATAAGCCAAGAGGAAAGATCTCATAATCATCGACGCCTCCTCCTGGCGGCTTGGATAGAACCGCTGAAGCAGTCGCATCTCCGCGCAGAACTGACCAATGTCTAGTCCCCGAAGACCCGCCTTCGCCAGCTCCCAGTCTAATACACAAAGCTTCTCTAACCTCAACGTGCCTCCCTCTGACTCTCTCCGAAGGGATACCATGATATTCCCAGGCCAGAAGTCTCCATGTGTAAACACTTCTGCCGTGTTACTGATTTCAAAGCTGCGGGTCTCCGCTAGCTTCGAGATAACGGCTAGCTTCCCCTCAGGGATATCGAGACCGGGGTCAGCTAAAGCCGCGATGTTGTCTCTGCCGCTAAGCGTAGATATGAGGCGACCGTATGTAACTAAGGCCGAGATCATCTTGCCCACTTCGTTGTTGCTGAAAATACCCATGTCGAAAGACACGTTTTTGTTCCAGGCATGGATGCGCCCAAGAAAACGACCGATTGCAGCACCGATTTCTTCGGCGACTATCTGTGGCAGCGCCTCGTCAATCACCAGTTGCTTCAGCGTACGAGCATCCGTTCCGCAATCATCGAGAATCATGACGTGGGCTTCTTCGTCAAAGAGATAGACGGCAGGAACGGTGATGACATCGTCATCAGCGTGCATCTTGCGGAAGAGTCGTAAGGCTTCCACCTCGAATTTCTGCCGAGTTGTTATCAGCCCAGTCACTAGTATAATATCACTCCAAAGCAGCCTTACCTGGCGCTCAACAGAGAGAGCCATCTTACCGCCGGATGCAGCGACATATGGCGCTGCATACTTGAATACAAATGTTTCCTTGCCCTGGAATGGATTTTTGAGGTGAATTCTGTATGTGAAGTTGGCGGAGCCTCCTGCCAGCGCGCTTATGGTATGGGATGCGAATGGGGTATCAGACAAATATTTTCGGACGTCAGCGATGGTGGCGAGGTCAACGTCTGGCATGTCTGAGTAGATGGATGTTGCTCGGTTATTGTCCCTGCTACAGTTACATGCAATCTGCCTTTTAAGCACCGATCGAAGTCATAACGTCAAACACCCGGGTTTGACTCAAGCTTCCGAAAGATCCGGATCCGAGAGTTGTCATGCGTTGGCGCCTCACCAACGTTCTCAGCATTGCCAACTAACAATTAGGTATGGGCGTCCAAATTATCAGGCATACAAGAGCACCACAATTGAATGTAGTGAAAATAGGGATGGCAACAAGGAACGAATTCCAGAAGGTTGGTCGTGAGCACTTTCGCACAATACTTTACAGCTTGTCGTAGTAGTTGTCGACAGATGGAATTTCGGGCTAGATATCGGGTGTCAGTCATCTTCCAGGATAGCGTGCAGACGTTCATTACCTTGAGACCCTTGCGCACACGAATACCCCTGACGAGTTCTTCGAGCTTGCTGCCCTTGTCGAGAGGAGCTGATAATTTTCATTAGCATCATTCTTCGAACGTCGTACACGCAATTACGTACATCCGTTCATGATTTCCCAGTGGTCGAACACACACTGGGGGAAGGCTTGCCCGGCTGTTTGTGAGCGGAGATCGCTGTTAAAGCCGAAGGACTCCGTGACGGGGAGGTAGGCCTTGACAGTGAACATGGGTGTTCCTGGCCTCTGCTCTTCGCTGAAGACCTGGCCACGACGCCTGTTCAACACGCTGTAGATACCACCAATGGCGTTCTCAGGACATTGGATCTCGACTGTGAAGGACATCAGTACCCGGTAAAAATGAGAAGCGATCGGAACGTACCGAGGTACACCGGCTCCTGGAGACCAGGGGTAGCAAGCATGCATGCAGCGTAGCAGACACGACGGCATGTAGGAATGATTTGTCCACCACCACGGTGGATAGCATCGGTATGCAGCTGTGATTATTGTGTAAGAAAATACAAATGGAAGGCGTTATGAAGTATACTTACAGTGACATCAAGAATGTTGAAACGGATACCACGCATATTCTCCTCTGCGCAGACACCCTCCTTCGTTGCCCACTGGAAGGCAGCGACGCAAGAGTCCTTGATTTCGTTGAGGTACTGCACACCCTTGGTGACATCGACGAGCAAGTTGGGGCCAGTGGTATCGGGACCGAAACACCAGATCTTCCTTGCATCAGTGACATCCCAAGAGAAGTCATCAGCGAGAATACGAGCACGGGCTTTGTAATCGTCACGCGAGTTAACGGTACCAGCCTCGATAGCCTTTGTGAGCTCCTCATCGAGAGGCAATGCCTGGGCATAGAGACGATTGTGCTTGTTCTGCGACTTGGACAAGGCCACGATGGAGGACTGAGCCTTAACAGTCTCACGGTAGCCGACGACAGGGTCAGAAATCTTGAGAGGAACACCAGCGTGATCTTCTTGGAGATCCTAGAATAAGGGTCAGACCAACGAAATTCAGCGAGCAGATAGCCAGTTACCTTTAAGCAAATTTCCAAGTGCAACTCACCGGCACCAGCGACAATGTGCTCACCGGTCTCAGCAATCCAAGCCTGGACACAGGGGTCAGACTTCGACAAACGCTTGAGACCTTTGACAAGCTTGGGCAAATCAGCAGCATTCTTGACCTCAACAGCGACCCGCACGACAGGGGACACGGAGAACTTCATGACCCTCATGTTGTGTGCAGTCTCAGAGGTGGTGAGAGTTCCACTCTTGAGCAAGAACTGGTCAATACCGACGAGACCAACGATGTTACCGGCAGGACAATCCTCGATGGGCTCGATGTAACGACCCATCATGAGCACCGTGCGCTGAACTGACTTGACGAACAAGTCTTCCTTCTTTCCAGGCACGTAGTTGGGGCCCTGAATACGGATCTTGGGGCCAGAACGAACGGTGCCAGAGAATACACGACCGAAGGCATAGAAACGTCCCTTATCTGAAGTGGGAACCATCTTCTGAGACGTAGAGCACAAGGGGGGCCTTGGGGTCACAGTCTCTGATACCAATGGCAGACTCGTCATCCATGGGACCTTCGTAGAGCGTCTCAACACGGTAGCGTTGAGCAGTGGCAGGGGAAGGAAGGTTGATGACAATCATGTCCAGGAGGGAGTCACCGGCAGGCAGGAACTTGCGCATGACGACCTTGAGGAGAGCCTTGCCCTCGAGATCTTGCTCGTCAGACGTCAGTTTGACATCGAGCTTCTCGCAAATGGGGCCGATTTGGTCCTTCTTGAAGTTCATGACGGCATCGAAAATCTTGAAGATGGGCTCAAGGACGAACATGTTGAAGGACCGTTCAAGGGCTTTGCCCTCGGCATCGGAGCTCTTCGTGCTCCACTTGCGAGTGGCAGGGTTGAAGTAGTTATCACCCCAGAGCTTAGCCAAAAGCTTGTCTTTAGGTACACCGAACTTTTTAGCGTAGCGACCAGCGAACTGGCGGAGGGTGAAAGCCCAACCATGGAGACCTGAACCGAAGGCAACGGTACCCTTGTCTGGGTAGACCTGGACGTCACCAAGGGCAGCGTCATGGTAAGTCGAGACAATGACGTTGACCGTCTCGATGGTACGTTGGAAGGACTGGTACAAGTCCTCTTTTGAAACTTGAAGCTCGAGCAGGGCACGGTCGACCTTGTTGATGATAACGACGGGTTTGATGCGCTCCGTGAGAGCTTGACGAAGCACCGTCTCTGTCTGCACGCAGACACCCTCGATACAGTCGACGACGACGAGAGCACCATCAGTGACACGGAGAGCAGCCGTGACTTCTGATGAGAAGTTATGGAATGTCAGACAACCGTGCTCATTTCCGGAAACATTTTGGTGATATAAAGTCCAAAACAGGCGACGAGCTTCTAAAGGACTCCTGACACTGTTTAGGTTAATATTTTATGATACAGAAGCCACAGCGAATGTAAACTAGGCATGGAATATAGAATATGGACATGTGCAACACGACATCACCATTCATCTCCAGCTACATTGTTATCGCGCTCGTCATCTGAGAAATCCCAAACTACTAACCCTGGTTGTTCGACGAGAGCATGCAGCGGGACATCAGGCTCGTCATTATCAGCTAGAGCATCCAGCTCGTGAGTCGTTGGGTACTTATTGATGCTTTTTTGAGGGAACAAATGTTGAAGGCATGTGGTATACTAATTGTACATCAGCGCTGAGCGGTACTTATAATACTATTCAAAATTTGCTATTGTACAACTAAAATCGTCAACCTTGTCGGAATGAATCCCCGCCTTATGATGTGTTAGTTATTTTAATTGTCCGGGTCGAGAGACGTGTGCTTACCAATTTACATAATGCACCGGTCTTCCAATTGCAAAGCAAGAGCACATTGGAATGTGGTTCCGTCGTCAGGATCGCACACCAGGGACCAAGTATTCTTAGACCACGAGCATCGAGTGGAGTAGCGAAATATCCCATAAGACTTATACTGGTGATGAGGACACATGTTGGACTAGCGGCTGCAGAATGCGGATACATCTCTCTCAAGGAGAGGAAGGAGAGATACGACACATTGGTTCTGAAGAAGGTTGGTTAGTGCTATTTCATCTCAGTTAAGACAACATGACTACTCACACAATGTGTGTCCGCAAAAGAACAAGAAGGTCCTGCGGTACGTCAGCGGCATGTAGGCAAGTAACCTCACCAGCTTGGCCATGGTAAGTTGCGCGTTCCGACGTGTCCCCATGGGATAACAGTTGACGCAACCTGTCCAGACATGTACAAAGCTACCTTCTGATAGTAGGTAGTGAAGTCGCTGTCGTTCAAGGTTGCACGGCAGGATGACATGATTGGGCGCATCGTCCTCCATCTGTTTTCTCTACACCCGAGGGAAGCCAACACCTGCGGAAATGACACTGTAGGCGATGCAGATACAGCATTATACTCCAGACCTTCCAGCTTGAGCTCGTGGAGGTATGGGGCACGAACAACTCCACATATAGCTCTGAGTTGGTTACATGTCTGTGCTGTAGACAGTCTGAATGTTAGTGTCTCATATATATACAGTATACTAAGACTCACCTTGATTGGAAGCTGCCGCACCCAGTACCGCATCCGTGCCGCAACATGCTCAAAATCGTTCTCTGAATTCAGACTCTCAAATGCATTAGTGTGAAGTGGATAATTAAGGAGTCGGACGAGAAACACTCCTAGTTCATTTATTTGGTGCACGAGAACAGCGCAGGCCGAAAATAAGTGTAGTACTTATGATTTGGTATGGGTGCAACAGTGGTGCGTTAGGGTGCGGCAAGTTGCGGCAGTGATGCGGCAATTTACCTGAGCCCTGAAAAAGTGGGTACGCACAGCCACAATTATGGGCTGATAGTGACCTTGCAGTTACAAGGTAATTCATTTTGGTTACCCATTGTCGTAGGGTAAGGTATCGAAGGGTGTTTGGTGTCCTTGTGATGCGGATGAACGAAAGAACGCTTACAAAGCGAGCACGGTTGTCTGACATTCCATAAGAAGTCGACGTGACCTGGTGAGTCGATCAAGTTGATCAAGAACTCGTTGCCTGAAGTAGGAATTCATTAGCGAAAATTAGCGAAATTGGATTTGAAGACTTGCCCTCAGTTTTCTGCTCGATATTTTCGACATCTTCCTTTGCCATTTCGAAGTACATGGAAATGGCAGTCGATTTAATCGTGATACCACGCTCCTTTTCATCTTCTCGTGTGTCTGTGAAACGCATGTCACCAGCTTTTGCTGCAGCAATGATACCGGCTTTTGAGACGAGGGAGTCGGTGAGGGTGGACTTTCCGTGATCGACTAAGTAATTTACATAAGATCGAGTATGTGATTATCGACGTGATCTTGCTCACCATGGGCAATGACGGACATGTTATGGATGTTCGTGGGCTTGTCCATGAGCCCACGAATCTGGTCTATAATTCAAATAATTGTTGAGTATGAGATCTGGTTTTCTTGGGGACGATCTGTGTGCTCACCTATTGTGAAGTTGCTATGATCATAAACGATAATCAGTGCATCGGAAACGTAGATCTAAGCGAATACTTACACCATGATGTCTAGATTTTACAAGGATACAATGAAAAAAATGAAAAAAAAAACGGGATCCTTTTAAACAAGTTTGGATGGTGAGTCGAATGCACGTCGATACCGGGACCGTAGCACAGCACAAGCGCGGACAGTACAGTGCTAGGATAATTTCCAGCCCGTGATCACCTGTGACTCCCCCATATGAGTCGAATGCACGTCGGTACCGGGACCGTAGCACAGCACAAGCGCGGACAGCACAGTGCCGGGATAATTTGGAGGTAATGCACGTGTTTCGCACCTGTGGGATCAGGTGGATACAATTGCTGAATCAGAGTCTCCTCCAATATCTCCTGGATAACGAAAGGACTTTATATAGAGCTGTACTACTAGTATTACAATTATGAGACTCACGTGATAAGGTTACCGTGCCGCTGCTGTGCCCAACACCGCATAGTGATGGGAACCTTCGAGCTCGCTGTGCGACACGATGAGCTCAGGTATCTCACTCCATAGTGGTCGGATTGATCGCACGTTTCGACGAACAGTGCAACAGTAATGATTGCGATACGTATGGAATACATGCATATCATCATGATAGGATGTGCAAATGTCGAAGTTGAACAAACCTAAGGGCCTGGACAGCTGCCGTTTATTTCCAGTTTGTTTCTCAGTTTGTTTCATTTACCACAACATGCACAAACAAATGTGACAAGCCACCGTGTTCACGCATTCACAGACCAAATTGGATACATCGCATGACCTCTCGTCACACGGTGTCAAAATCTTTGTGCTCGCTGTAGGCAACAGCGAGCTCAAGTATTCTACCATTTCAATAAATGAAAATTGTACTTTCTCATGGACTAAAATCATTCAACATGTATTTATTACAGACTACAGTGAACAAAATTAATAAGATCTGATGGCCAGTAATGAACAGCAAGAGCCTCGAGAGCAGGAGGGCCGTGCAAGGAGCCAAGGGAATGGCACATGGTCGAGTCAAGGTCCAGTACTAAGAAGTTGACAGAGATCATGCATCCATGTTGGATGTCTGCAACAGGGCCAGCACCAGGTAGTGCAGCAAACAGCTGCAGGTCACGGTTTGGAGTAGTGAAGCACGAAGGTTGTGAATTGGACAGTCAACATTGTTGTTAGTCACAGTCGATTGTGATGACAACACTGCCCAGCGCTGCCGCCGGCCAAGGACATGTCACGAACACATCACTGATTGTCACCGTAAGTCACACATTGCCACGCCACATACAGAAACAAACTGAGTAAAGAAGCAACTGCTGATAGTTGCACCTGTACTGATCGAGGGTATTGGATGAACTTAAAAAAAAACAGACATCTTAGTATAGAATTTGCAAAACGAAAATTCGGACTTACAGACTTGCAAGCCTTTTCTGACGGGATTCACACTCAGCCTCTGACTCCTCCAATTCTCCATTCTCTGCGGCCTGCTCTTGCTGTAGGAGTAGACCTACCCTTAGGAGTTTCTCCACGTTGCAAAACAGATCGATGCAACGTGCCATGGCATGTGCAGCCGCAAGATACTCCTCTTGCACCTCAAATTTGGAGTTGTTCTCCTTCGAGATCTTAGTTCTCCTGATCATAGATTATATTAGTGAATCTCAGCGCAAGGCGCAAGGAATTTGAATATAATATAAAACTTACTTGACTTCTCGATCACCTTTATCAGGTTTGTGCCCGCATTTTTTGGACAACTTCTTAGGGCGAGGTTGCAAGCGATCCAGTGAGGAAATAGATGAGTCGCTGCTGGTGTCGCTCTCTGAACCTGAGGGGGATCTGGAACATTGTTTGTGCGGCATGCTTAAGATATGATGCAATGATATCAGTAGAAGCGTGTGATCAGAATCTAATCAACAAAGGCAAATTTCAATCTCCGAAATCACATGACCCAACTTGTATGTGCTCAATCTCTAAGTCAGACATATCTCTTCATCATATCCGAGTCCATGATCATGATTGTGCACCAATTGCTTGATCAGAAGCATCAATTGCTTCATCCACAGACTGGAATAGGTGTGTTTGTCATATCTTAAGGATGCTCACATACCATACAGGTGGTGATACTGTGGTGATAGCTGGACCATGCGGCGCAGGCAACTTCAAGGACTTAGACTGGGAGTTAGTAGACTCATTTGGAGAAGAGTTGCAGGAAGCAGGGTCATCTAGATCTAATACATATTGACACTAAGTTTTATGAATTTGTTTTTCTATTTATGATGCAATATAAATTCTAAAGTTCGTGTTCATGTTGGGCTGAGTGTGCATCCTATGGATGGCCTCACCTGCCTCAGGTGCGCAAAGGTTTTCATGTCTCAGAAAAGCCTCAGTAATCACGAGGCTCGGTGTGATGCCAGTAAGAGCCTGGATGTTGACATCTATAAACAGCAGCGCCGTCTGGAGAAGCAAATGCGCCGGAAGAAAAAAAGGCAATGTGTTACGGCTCCCAATGCAGCTTCCTCACAAGAAGGCGGAGATACGAGTCACAATGCTCGTCGACTAAGTCCTGAAGATCGGATGGATGTCAACAATGATCATATGTTTGATCATGATCATATGCACGAGGTAAGTCATTTTATATTGAATGATCGGTTTGTCTAATTTTACAACTAATAGGATGAAAATACTGCTGGAGCTTCTACTGATGCCAGCGCACCAATCCCATCAATCCCTGATGATCATGAATCTCATCAGGAAAACCCGAAATTCACATAGGCAGGTCCAACCTACATATACCTACGTAGACAGTCCATTTTTGGTAGGCACCTGGTAGGACGCCTACACAGTAAGAAGTTATTTGAGCCCGAGGTCAACCTGATCATTTTTGCACTCAATATAAATAAATTATGTGTCTCGTACCGTTTTCAATAAGGATAGAGCACTGAGCAGGAATATGCTCCGTCGGTGGATCATAAAAAATGACGAAACATTAATGTTCAATTGTCCGGGAGTCGCCAAGCGGATGGCCTCAGGTTCATTCGAAGTCCAACCTGGGATGGGTAAGCATTTTGACCATCGGCCGAAAGCGACCCATCTTAGGAACTACGCCATTCTGCGACTCCGCCTTGTGAGCTCAGTCTACCTGGGACTTCTTCCACTTATCGTTGGGCTCTCGTCGATCTGCTCTCAGCACAAGAGCTACTCATTCAACAGGCTCATTCGGTCAGTTCACCATGGCCGAAAGCCATCTATCCTGTGGACAGTGTTACTCAGCAGTTCTGTCGTGTAGGTACTATCTTACGAAGGGCTTCCAATAATCATCCTTGTGCTGTTGCTCTATTGTCTGTTAGTGTGATAACCATTTTATCCACAGGTCTGTCCTCAGCTCGCTATGCCCGATGGAGAATTTCCCCACCCTGATGGTATGAGGCGATCTCGATAAGTTTGCAACTGATTATTGACACCCAAGATCTTGATCATTGTAGTTTGGACACCTGTCGTTGGGGACAAATGGGTCTGCAGCCTTTGCCAGGACAACAAGTCTCATACTCGGCGGGCAGCAAAGGTACACGAGAGGACAAGAACACATCAAGATTCCATCAAATATCACTTGAAAAAACAGCAGCATTGCATGGACGGCTCAGCGGAAGCCAAAGCTCAATCTGCGAATGCAAAGTCCATTGCGGGACTTCATCTGCTGCTGGATGACATGGCCACTCCTAATTCTGAGCTGCCAGTGGGCGGCGACTCAGCGGACAACATCTTCGACTATTTTGCCACAACGGCTGGTGACATTGGCGGTGGAGATAACAGCGACAATTTCGAAAAATCTGTTCCCGCGGTCATGAAGGCAATGATTGCTCAAGGGTTGAGCGACTTTTTGGATGAAGGTGACCTCTTGGATGATCAGGCAGCTGAGATGTCAGAAGATGAGGGATTCTCTAATACGAGGCGGATGCAGCATGACGGTACACTGCTTTTAATTCACATCGTACTGTGTAGCTCACTTGAATTTTGAGCAGATGATGGCACTGACAACACTGACATCCGAGCTGGAACTGGCTGGGATCAAAATCATTCTCGACAACATATTGTCAACGAGGAGTGGTTTCCATGGCCAGATAAGATTGTAAGTTGTCTGTATTAACTTGCCTACTACAGTTGTTGATCCAACAGGTCTATAGACATGCACGCTCAATATTCTCATGCACCTCCCACGTTCAGTTTTTTCAGAGCGACAAATTGATATTTTGCTGTGGCTACTTCGGGTCAATAATGTGAATAACGTGCCTTCTGTAAAGTCTGTCAAATGTGTTCAAGACACAATTCAAAGATTGTGTGGCATCCGCTCGATTCCTTATGACGGTGCTCTTGGGCATAGATACTATGTCAACTCATTGGCTGACCTTATTCAGCAGGTGCGTTGTCCTGCAAAGACGAAAATAATTACATACTCAGTACTCTTTGAAGGAAATGATGAATCCTCGGGTTCACCCACTGCTGCACTTTTACCCTGAAGATGCTGGTCCGAAACTGAATGAAACTTGGCAAGCCAAACACTGGCTCGAGGAACTTGATCCAGAGCTGCTTACGCCCGTCGTTAGACTGCAAAATCAAGATTTCTTTGTGTTCGAACCTGCACTGCTAACCAGTGGCCAAGCCTGTATGCCGTTTCGCTGGTTCACCCATTGCAAGAAAATGTATGCGAGGGCTTGGCGATTGCAGCCAGTCACTCATGAAAGCTGTGGGTGGGTTGTACGACAATTTGAATCGTTTGAGGTCTCGGAAGATGACCTCCTTGTATCGTTCAAAAATTGGAGTTTGAGTGAGGCGACGTCTGGACTACCTCGTGCATGCCAGATCTATGGTAAAATATTTTCTTCCTTCTGCTGTTACGCGCCATTGAGATCTCCTTAGGTGTCGAATGTGAACCAAATGGCGAATTGCAGCCATGGACACTGACTAATCCTGCCAAAGGGAATTGATGGTGTGTTCGGGCTTCTGGTGCTTGTGTATATGCGATGCCTATCTGGTTATACTGTGACGACACGTCAGGCAACTTGTCAAAAAAGTGGAACAAGCATAATTCCTTTCTTTTTACACCTGCAGGATTGCCGCGAGCAGCGGTCCATCAAGAGTACAATGTCCATTTTCTTTGTACTTCAAATCTTGCCCCTCCACTCGAGATGTTAGACGGCATTGTCAATCAACTTGAGTAAGTAAGATTGATTATGAGCAGAAGAGCAGAAATATTGATTTAAACAAAAAATAGAGATGCATGGAAGCACGGTATCTGGGCCTGGGACTGTGTCCACGAGGAATATGTTCTTGTAATTCCTTCAGTGTTGGCCTTGCTCGGAGACAACCCTATGCAAAGTGAAATGGCATGTCACATTGGTTCAATGGGGAAATATTTTTGCCGCGTCTGCAAAGTGAAGGGTCGCGAGGCAGTGGGGAAGGAGAGTAATTCTGGACGAGCAGATGCCATGCAACCCGAAGATGGTGACAATGGCATAGGCGAGGAGGTTAGTGGCAGCGAGCCTGAATCCCATGACAACCAACCTCAAAATTCTGCACAGAAACGAAGAAAAGAGACTATGGAAGAGTTAGTAACTCGTGCTAAGCGGTTCGTCAAGGTAATGTTTGAATATAAGTGGTTGGTGGACTCGTAACATCTAATTGTTTGACATGTATTGCAGATAGGAGAAGCACGTTGCAAGGACGAAACTGTCGCTGAACTTAAGTCCATGTTTGTTGATGCATCGACGGTTGGGAACCAGAGCAGGATCAAGCAAAGAAAAACTTCCACCGGCATCAAGGATACTTTCCTCGACTCATTCCTGAATTGTCTAGCTGAATCATACAGCAAAATTCGTGGAGGCAATAGTGCAAAGCAGGAAGCTCTCGACAGAGTAAAAGAGACATTGCCTGAAAATGTTATCAGTCCTGTGTGGCGAATCAAAGGTCTTTCAGCTGTTTTTTTATATATCAATAGCATGTTGGGATTGACTTCATTAATATCTCAGGTCTCGATCCCCACACAGGCACACCTGTGGAAATCTTGCACACCATCCTTCTTGGATTTGTCAAATATTTTTGGTGTGATGCGATCTCAATATGGATCGGGAAAAACAAGTTGAAGCGCGAGCTTTTGGAGACTCGCATCTCTTCTGTCGACGTTGCAGGTCTCGGACTCAGTCGTCTTAATGGCCACACCCTTGTTCAGTACACAGGATCTCTTGTTGGTCGTGATTTTCGGGCCATTGCACAGATCACACCCTTTGTGCTCCATGACTTGGTACCCAAAGATTGCTATGATACCTGGGTTGCTCTGTCGAACTTGATACCACTTGTTTGGCAGCCTCAAATTGATAATTCTGCAGAACATCTGGTGGGTGTCACGTTTTCGGTCTTGTCGTAGCAGTCATATTCACGCTAAGTCATGTTCAGAACAATCTCAGAATTGCCATTGACAACTTTCTTGCACGCACTGCTGCGTGGACCCCTCGATGGTTCAACAAACCCAAGTTTCATATAATATTGCATGTTGATCATATTCAATGATTTGGACCAGCCGCTTTGTTTGCAACAGAGTCTTTTGAATCCTTCAATGCAGTCATCCGTGCGAAGAGCATCCACTCGAACCGTCGTGCTCCTTCTCGAGATATTGCACATTCTTTTGCCCAAGGAAGTCGGATTCGTCATATACTCTCGGGGGCACAGATACTCATCCGTAACCTCAATACCGAAGCCCACAACTCTGGTGGCCCCATCCAACTTGAAGTCTCCAATCCTTTGTCAGGCATGCATGGACCACCCAAGTCGGAGGACAAAGTCGTTGTTGGGAAGGGCCCATTGAGCCTTATTCAACGACCAAATATTATCACAGATTATCTTGGACTCGACACTCTACAAGACACTACGAAATATGGTAAAATTTGATGAACTCCAGTTGTGGGAATTGTATACTAAGTATTGATGTCCTTAGGTCATTGCCTTCGTGACAGCCTACCACTCCGAACATACACAGCAACCGAGACAGGGCAACATTTCCCTGATGCACTCGCATCACTTCCACGTAACATTCTGGAAGGAAATAATTTCCGAACTTGCAAGTCCGTTGTTCTTTTTAATGGAGATATTTGTAAAATCGGAGATTGGGTCCTTGTGGTCAATCAGACGCCAGGACAGTCTCCCATAGTAGCGTGTGTACGAGAACTAATTCAACGTAAAGATTCAGATGCAGATATACTTCTGCGTCCAGATGCAGTTCTGCTTGAACGTGGAATTATTGGTGAAGCAGTTGCACCTTACTCCATGCCTGCTGTAAAGGCACATGGCAGATTTTTACTTTATCCTATCGAGGTTTGTGATTTATCCACATAAACCTGTGTTATCACTGAATCTCCGTTTCATGAAAGCAAATTTTATGCACTGCAAACCTACAGCATCAATGTCAAGTGTACAAATGTGCAGCTTCCGACACTGAGTTCATTTACGAAGAACAGGCCAAGACCTCAAAAACAAAGCTCGTAATACATCATAGTGGGGACCCTGGTGACTTCATCCTCAACACTGCGCAAATGCATGATGCAAAGCACATGCAGGGTCTTCGAACACCAATTCAAGAACCAGATATGAACCTTGTGATTCTCGAGGGTGCTGCAAGGGAGATTCGGACATGTAGTACTGATGACACCACGAGTGGAGCTTCTTTGGCATCTACATCAGCACGTAGGCCGCGTGGACGAGGTGGACACGGTCATCAAGTTCATACATCATTACAGCAACACAATCATATACAGTCTCTACGAGTATGACAACCCATTACTTAGTAACATATCCCCTTCTACATATCATCTGCTATCATTAACAGTATGACGTCCTTACGAGCATGTTCTTTAACGTATATTAGTACCTTTGCCATGATTTTTGTTGTGTTTCCGAGTCCTCGATTGATTCTTGGTAATCACGGGACTTGGTGGAATTAATGTTGAACGTTGAACACGCCCCCCATTACAACAGCAAAACAGAAATTATATGCACAGCCAAACCTCGTTCATTGATTCCATATGGAACCCACTGTAAGGTGAGTTTTGTATAAAGGGATTTATCAGACTTGTTGAATTCAGCAGTCTCCAGCAACTTGTCCTCGAGTCAGTCATTCATTCATTTTCACCCACTGTATCCGAGAATGTCTTTTGAATATTCCGTTCCACCTTCTGGTGCCCAGCCACGGTCACTCACAACCTTTGATTTCTCCCTTCCACCTTCCGGTTCTCAGCCTGCAAGCCCTTCGCTGTTGAGTGCAAGCCCAAGCTCCCGACATGCCAGATCTCCAGATTCAAGTTCACATCAACCACAAATTGACCCTCAATTATATGTGGATGAATTGTCTGCCCTCTTTGTGGACGCACTTGCAAACCAATTTGGCTTTGGTGATATGGAATGGGACTTGCGAGGGAACCTACACGGATTTGCCAAGATCCGCCAAAAATTTAATTTTTCTTATATGTAGTACTTGAATGAAACTGACATTGTATTGTAGCTTGGACGTGGGCTCAGCAAACCTGACCTTGCAACACGAACGTATCTCCTTGGCGGTATTTTCTGCCTTCTCAAAGAACAACACTTGATAGCCGCATCACATCTTTCTACGCAACACCTTCTCGCCGATCTTCAAATTCGTCTTGAAGCCACTTTCTCACTCAGTCCTGAGCAACAAGTGTGTGATGTTCCCACATCTTTATTCAGAAGTCTCACGTTTACAGATGAACATACGAATTATTGCGGGTGATCTTATTTTCGATGCCAACAGGATCACCTTCATGTCGCTTTATTTTGACGTGGCGGTAAGTCCCAAATTATTATATGTTACTCTAACTCATTGTTTAATATCACAGGCATGTTTGTATGAAGATCATGGAGCCTTCAAACTCACGAATATATATGGCAACCCAGCTAGAGAGCGCTATCTGATGGCTTTCATTAAACGCCAGTGTTCGAGCATACGAAATGCTTTTCATGAGCTGGTGTGTACAAGGCTGATATCTCTCGTGTTCTCAACTAATAGGCCTCCTCCATTCAGATCCGTGACAGTGTCATTGGTGATGACACCAGTACATTGTCTGATTTTATCTACGACAGTTCAACTCGTTTTTGTCGTGCGGGCGGGAATTCGGACCTCGGACATGCGACATGCTCCCGATTGGCTATTTTAGTACAGTGTTTCCCCTGTACCGTCTACTCTTATCTCACTGTGTTCTGTATTACAGTGTCGCTTCGCATATGAAAATCCTGATCTGCTTGATCGCGCAGAGGATGAAGATGAAACTTCCACCACGGTACCAACAGAAGACAATGGTGGGGACTCCTCTGTTGCAGAACCAGCAAAGAAGAAGCGAAAACGTGGTCATGCTGGACACACTGCCAAAGGCGAGGACTTCTGGTCCAAGGTCGAGATGTGGTTTGAAGCTAGACAGAAGCAGTGGGGAGATTCATGGGGGTCACCAGGCTGGTCCGCGTATGTTTTTTCTGATCATTTGATTGAATGTTGAGCTGACCTATACTTAGGTACATCACATATACCGTTGAGCTAGACGTGCAGCGTTATCAGCGGCAGATTGTTCAAAATCCATTTATGGTCGATGTCGCGGTTCCAGAGGCTTACAGATCACGCGCGAATTCTCCCGCTGCAGCTGATTCAAACCTGAATGCCTTGGGAAGTATGGATGACATTTTGAGGCTTGCCATTTGACTGGGGCTGGCAGCTGTACATAGCTTATAGACTGTTAGTAACACATTCACTATGATCTTAATTTTCAATACTGTAGTCCTTTGAATCATAATCATGCATGGATTCCGAAAACGTCCTGACGGAAATGTCCCCAGTCAATGAAGGATGATATTCAATTCTTACAATAACTCTAGCGGGTGCACTGTCAGAAGCTAATAACTAGTACTGCATAAATTTGAGCATGAAGATCGACACTACACGGTGACTCGTACTACGCTGATCTCGGTATGAAGATAAACACTACACAATAACTCATACTGTGCCAATCTTGGCATGAAGCCAAATGCTATCTAATGCCATTGAGCTGTTCTTCATGGGCAGGGGTTTACTAGGCAGGTGCACAGTGGGCTCGTCTGATTAAAATTACTAGTGCAGCAGCTCATTAACGTTCATGTTCAGGACAGCCAGTAATCAGGTTTCGTTTACCAACGTCCACTGGATAAAAATGATATTGCGACCGGCAGCTAAAGTTCAAGATGTCCTGAGGTTCAAAGTCACGTCACCCGTGGGACAACACTAGGATGAATTGAGCTTTGCTATCACACACAGTGTCGCACTTTGCATTTGATTATACAGAAGCCAGCGGATCCTTTTTGCACTCAATCACGTCTAGTGTCATCCTAGCTACAAGATTTCTGGGCCAACCGCCGGTGAAGCTAGTTGTCTTGCCGTGTAGGTATTGTAGACACCAATGAATACAAAACAATTCAACAAAATCAAACGACGGTACCTCGCGCAAGTTTTCTTTCATCTACATCAACGATCCACGCCGACCTCTTGCACAATGGCCCACTCAGATAAAGAAAACATTAAGTGGTAAGCATCACAATATTTCAAACCAATACGCACCTCACCAGCCTCTAGTCTTCGCTCGCACTCCCCAGACTCAGAGACCATCACTGGAGAGACAACAACAGATGTCAAAAGGTATGATATTTACCTTCTTTTGGTGCGACCAGCACAATCAGACTGATCCAAATGTTGCAGGCCCAAACGGGAACTCATCCGTTGCATCCCATTGGAGGAAATCGAGAAGCGGCTGCAAAATTCTTCCAACCAGGCTGCCAGTGCGCACTCCGGTCTCGGTGTCTTCAACGACATTCATCAGACCCCCATCCCCCCCTCCATTTCACCAAAGACTCCTGCACCTCCCTACCGGCGCCAAAATCCAGCACCCGTCGTGGTCTCTCAAAATTACATGCACAGGATTGTTGAACAGTGGTGGGATGCCGAAGTGAGGTATTGCAAAGCGGCTCGCAAAGCACAACTGTTAGAGGTCGAACTTGCTGCACACGATATAATCAAACTTGTATGATATTAGTTGTTGTGCAATTTGTAAAAAGTGTACATATCTATCCATGAATTAAGGTAGAATGTCTTACAACTGTCCAACACATGTGCTGCAGACCAACTCCTGTCCACTTGAGTACCAAATTTCGGAATAAGATGACAACTGTGAACAATGCTCGACAGTGGGATGATAGAAGAGCGGGGGGCACGACCAGCATAAGCACGAGTCATGGCGTGCATTTGAAACACTTCATCTCGCGCACAAAAAGGCTGGAACCATTCAACATACGCCAGTTGACTCGGATTCGGTTGACCGACAATTGTGAGGTGACGCGGAAGCTCGAAAATCAACCGCAGTTGTGCGACTTGAAGACCTAGGTGCGAGCACGAATCAGAAACACGTAGACGACTCGATGAAGCAAGACACTGACCTTCTAATGCAGTCCCTTGAGTGTGCACATTAGTATCTCCTGCAACTCACACAAGCACAGTATCAAATTTGCCAACAGTACCAGAGGAACGACCAGCTGGTGCAGTTGGGGGAGTAGCACGAATGCGATCGAGACCATTGGTCATGTGAACGGCGGGTAGCTTCTCATACAGGATGGAGAGTCGTCGATAAGCGTGGAACCGATCCCATTCGCTGACAATGAGTCCGCTGTTGGCAGGTACTACATTGAGCCGAAGAAATTGAGTCAATGCTGGCAAAAAATTGAAAGTGCTGAACGTGCGTGTGATAGTAGCGACAGTCAATGCCTTGAATGAAGGACGGGATGGGAGGATGTGTGTTGATACTGGAATGGGCTGGGTGGTTGATCCTTCGTCACCGTTCGTAGGCGTGGTGGTTGGCATCTCTTCGTTGTTGTTGTCCTCCTCATCTCCACCGGTTGCTGGCTCCAAGTCCTCACCAAATCTCTGCAACCGCCAGTCGAGGTAGGCTGTGAACTGATCAACCATCTCCTGTCGCATCAACCACTTCGTCATCTGTGCTACATAATCTCGCTTGTTAGTCGCCTGGTAAGCATTTTTGGCGAAATCGATGTGCAAACGTTCTGGGAATTCTGTGTTGAAGCCGTCTGCAGAACCTCGGGACTTGATTGAGTCGACATAGTGCATCATAGAGTGAAGCTTGGGAATATTGAAGTTGTCGCACACCCCAAGATCTGTGAATATGTGCTTGTGTGCGTGGAATTCATCCAGCGCGTTTTGGAGGGCGTCAAGTGTCTGCGAGGTGTGAGCGTGATATTGAGCATAATAAATAAACTCTAGCACAGCTCGTGCAGCACGGAATACTGTGGGTTGAACTGCGCCTGCGAGTACACCCAAAAAAACCTGCTGCATTTCGCGGTGCTCTGTCCCCGTCCACTGTGACACAAGGGAAATGCCTTTGGAGAAATATTGAAGGCCAGGATAGTGAGTCATCATGCAAAAGCACTCATCAATTTGTTCTTCCCCCGCTATCTCGGTACACCATTTCAAAAGATGGTCGTGGAAGACTCCTTTGTGGAGTTGATGTAGTATGTCCGGTGTGACACTCGCGAAGATGTTGGCGTGGGGCAGATCTGCCCAGAAAGGATGGTAGACAGGACGTAGGCCTTCTCGAGCGTAAGCTGCGACTCTCCGGCCTGATTGCTTGTGTGCCAGGATCGTCATTGTCTGGTCAGGGTCCCGTAGAAGGGATGTGAGAAGTTCTCCTTGATCGTCTCGATGAACACGGCACTTGGGGCAAAAACTTTCCTTCGTGCATGCGACAAGGCACTGCTCAGGATGGTCAGCGACATATGCCGCTAGTATAGGATGCACTCGACGCACCCTCCCGTCAGCACAGACCATCTCAACCCCCTCACGTCCCGCTGCGATCAAGGGTTGCAAAAGACGCCACATACACTCATGGAAAAGTCGATAGCCTGCAACTGACTGCGTGGCTTTACTAAAGCAGTCCAGCTTGGCTACCGGCAAATATCCAATCAAGATGGTGGCGTGCAAGCGTGGTTTTCGACGAGTGGCCTTCTCAATGTTGCCAATGGTCATATAGACAGGCCACGCTGACTTGTTGCCACGAAATTGAGACAGACTGGTTTTATCAGAGGTGAGGATGAGAGGTGCTATTGTTGCACCAGGTGTTAATTTACCCTGTTCAATTGATTGATTAGCAGGCTTCAAGTTTACTTGACTTATGGCTCACCTGCGTCTCCTACCACCAGTCACAGGTCCACATATTGTCGTATATCCGACTCTTGCCCTGGGTGTCTTCATAAGCTTGTTCGGGTGCATAGGCCATAAACTCCTTGAAGGCCGGGTTTCCTATGAGCTCGCGAACGCATTCCACTGGATCCCGCCGCCACAACTCCAACTCTGTCGTCAACATCTCACCGTCTCCGTCAACTAGATCTCCAGCGACTTTGACGATATCGCAGTGCCAGTCTGGAGGTTTCGTGGGAAGGCCATCAATCTTTTTCAAGAATGCCTTGTTGGTGGTATACGAAGGGCCAGGTCCGGTCTTTGATCTTGGTAAGGAATTCATTTTAGAAAAAGAAGCACGGTCCAGTTAGGCAACTCACAATTGGAAGCTTGAGGAATTTGTCGGTCTGATTCTGGCCTACATTCTGAATGAGCCACTTTGCAAGCTCCCACTCGTCTTCATCATGAAATGGCCCCCACATCCCTTCATCACTGGTCTCCAACTCATCCTGGATCCTGCGGAACTTTGTGGGTACATTCTCCTGATCTGTCGTAGGTACACCTGCTAATGCCTCTGCAGGATAGGATCTATCCAATGCGCATTCAAATCTTGGGCAGGGCCAGTCTCTGTGTTGTTTGGTACCTCTTCAACTTCAACTTGTGCTCGTCGATCCGAGTCTTGAGGTAAGTCTGGCCTGGGCTCTGGGATAGCTTCATATTCATTGGTGAAATTAATGTCTGCTGAGTCCAGTTCATCCTCGCTGCCATCACTGAAATCTGCTGGCTGAGGCTCGGCAAGCCCTCCACCAAGATTGAAGACGTTGACACTGAAGTTTTGCAGCCGTTCAATCCACTTGGTGCGGCAACTTTGAGACTTGCTGATGTGCTTGTTGAGTCCGGACGTTGTAGGGACCCAATGGCCACAATATTTGCAAGTAGGCATGTTGAACGGTCAGTTTCTATTGAGCTTGGAGCTGATGGCAGATATTAACTGTGTATGGCGCATCTCACAGTGCATGCCAGCGGACAATTAAGGTTTGGACCTGTCCCGCATCTTGCCGCACTGCGCTATAAAGCTTATCTTGATTTTTTTCCTGGTGCAACAGTGTCCCATCACCACTGATCGGTGTCTCAACAAGTCAGATGACTGCAAACAGACGCAAGAAAAAAGGGCAGAGTGCACCAATCCCCGATCAATTGACGGATCACGGCACCCTCGAAACTGCGCGAGTGCGCCGCAAGACCTCAAAACAACAAGCACAAGGTATTTGCTTGGTACACACAACATTCCAATGCTTATTGACTTACTACAGAGGAAGCCTCGCTTGAAAAAGAGGCAAGAAAGGTCAATTGGTATGCTCATCAAGCTCTCAGAGGTCGACAGGCACTCGAAGAGATCAATGGCTTTCATTGATTGGACCCCGAGTCTGAAAAGCAAGATTCGGACACAGAATTTGATCAAGATGACGTGGTGCGTACCGGTATTGATAGATGGTCCTATCTTCATGTTTTTTTTTAGTTCACATTTAAAGCTGTAGCGCAACCCAGTGTAACACGTCAACGAGCTCCAACCCAAACACCTCGACTCACTCAACGGTCGACTCACATTCCATCTGCACCACTGAGCCGTGTACCACCATCTGATGATGTCATCGATCCAACACTCTTGGCTACTCCACAGCAGTGCGCACCACCTATCGTCACCCCGCCTAAACTTGAGCGTTGCTCGGTGGCGCGAGGATTGGGGCTAATGAGTGGTGCCCGTGGACCTACTGACACGACAAGTTATGGTAATGGATGGGCAGGAGCATATGGGCCTGCCGCATCATCCCCATTGGAATCAAGACGACCAGTGGATGCAGACACTGCTGACTTGTCGTTGTTTAGCTCCCCAGTGCCACAACACCCTCGTGTTAGTGCACTCACGTCTTCTGGACTTGGAATTAAACGTGCAGGTTATCCGTCACTGGCAACAACCGAAGGCCTCCAGGTGGGCGAGGGTGGTACCCATGGGCGCCTTCGTTCAGCCGACTTTGACAAACTTTATGCCGCAACAGTCCATCTTGCCATCAGTCACTACCAGTCAATTCTCGCTAACTCAACCATTTATCCAAATGACATTCAAGCGCAAGACTGGTCTGGCCAAGCATGGGCAGCCGCTTGCCGCTCTCAAGGCATTCAAATTGATTTTGATGAAGACGCGTATAAATTGGTGAGTATCTCACCATTACTATTAGGGTTCACAAGTCTGACTGGGAGCACACTGTGTACTCGTTATTAGATCACTGAACGCGGCTCTAATCTACGCAGCGACCTCATGACTATTCTACGCCCACCGTCGAGACCGAGTTTGGATTCAGTAATGAAAAACCCCAGAGGCCATCAAATCTAACATGGCGCGTGCAGCTACTGTCCTCGCAAACCGTAAGCTCCTCACGTGCAAGGTGATTATATTTTACATTCACCGTGTTTGATGGCATGCACTGACTGTAACTGGCAGGATCGTGAAGCTGGAAAAGGGCTATTTGAGACCAACATTATCGTCAACGGAGTCATCAAGTGGTGCTACGATAAGAAAAACTCGTTGGGTGCTACTCTACCAAGCTACTTCAAGGATTCGACTACTGGTGGGGCAAGCTGGGGTATCATTGCAGCCGTTCTCACTGGGGTGAGTATTTTTGCACTACCATTGATCTCATGCTGATTGCTTCTCATAGATCGAGGCTTGCATTGCGGAGTGGACCAGTGGCACAAAAAGCGAGACGCGCTTCTACAAGGAGTGCTACGCAACGATCTTTGACATTTACTTCAACATGCTGGTCAAGTTTCACAAGGGCACTAAGCATGTCGGTGTTTTGCCGAAGATCTGCAAGAGGGTTTTAAGACGCGCTCGGTATGTAGGCCAACACATTTGTGTGGTAGTCTTGAAGCTGATTGACGTCGACACTGGACAGTCGACACGCAAGTGTTCCAGAGGATCTGTTCAGCGTGGGAGGCAGTACAGAGAACTTCTCGACAGACGAATTCGCTGCAGCAGCCGCAGAATGGGATGGCCGTGTAGAATCGGACGAGGAGTATTACTAGTATTGTGTTATTAGTGTACCCATTGCAAATTCAGTATCATACTACCAGAACCACAGATCCTAAGCTCGTACTGAGCCTATCATAGCCTTCATGCCTATGGATAATACAGTGAGCCTATCATAGCCTTCATGCCTATGGACAATATAGTGCCTATGAATGTCTACCATATGTAGCTGTGCTTATGTGGCGCCTATGTAGTTGGGGGAAACCTAACGACCTAGACGGTGTATGTAGACCATATAGGCTCACATAGGTATTGCACAATTTCCTGATGCTCAGCCTCAGAAAGCCAAGAAAAAAGATTTTTGTCAGCTCCAACGGTACTAAAGAGTGGGCTTCAACCAGTTATGAATTCTTTGCAGAGTGGTCAAAGTCAGAGTTCTATATGTTTATTTTTATGTTTTTATTAAGTGCACAACTCATTGGCCATAATCAATCCAATAGATGATGATAAAGATGGTGAAGTTGAAGACCAAGAATATGATGGCAGTGGGCTACCTGAAGTTGTCCTGGATGACAAGAGTTATGCACTATTGCCCTCTTATGATGGCATTGGACTCAAGGGTCAGCAAGAACTGGGATGAAAAATTTTCATGAGTCATATAGTAAGTGCACATCATTTCTTTCTATACACTGAGTTGATCAGCTGGTTTGCAGAGGTTTTCACCCACAATAATAAGCATGTACCTTAAGGCACCATCACCGCCAAGCTATCTGAGTATCTGGATGCTAGTAGTGTTCCAAAGAACTTCATTGTATTTGACCCCTCTCACATGAAAGTGCGGGATATTAATTCACTCTGGCACCACTAAGAAATACAGAACAATCAAAAGAAGAGATTAGTCACTTTCCTCAAGGCAAAGCTGTCTCAGATGAGAATTAACCTAGGTAAGGATAAACAGAGTTTGAAGAAAAGAAGGTACTGGCCTGGTTGGCTTGAGTTCTACATAGGCTGGAACATCAATGGCTGGCTTGGGTTCTATACTGGCTGGAGCATCACTGGCTGAAGTGCCTCAGACTCTAATATTTTGAATTTTTGGACACCCTCAGCTCAGACAAGAACTACTTAGAAGTTGTAGATGCTGTCAAAGATTTCACTATACTGATATACAAATTAGTAGTAAGTGCTTGGTCAGTCTTGGATATCTGAATATCCTAATATGATCATTCACTAGCCAACAGGAGTCGAGGAGTTGGAATTTCCTGCTTGGGTGAATTGGTCTTGGAACAAGTCTTATTTTCCTCAGGATGTACACCAGTCACATTTCATATTCACATACAGCTTAATACTGCTCATCAATGCCCCCTTAGTAACCACATACTCAGCTGGACTAGTGGTCTTAGGTCTTGGATTGCTTTTGAGAGATTGTGAATATGTCATCAAGTTTAAAGAAGACAAGGCCCTCCCTAATACCCCTTTCTACTTGGCCAGTTCATTCTGTGATATCACATCCATGGTCCATGTGGATAGGGCTGATGCTATACTAAAGTTTGTGTGAATTTATATTGTAATGAACAGTCAACTCGATATGATTTCCGGAGAGTGCTAATGCTTTGTACACTTTTATTGTGGCAAGCTTTGAGCAGCAAGGGTCTGGACATGGTTGCCGCAGCAGCCTTCAAGGGTTTGCTTCTGGTACCCACCACAGGCATCAGGGTAGAATCAGACTTGCTAGGACCTACTGGGATCATTCTACACATGAGATGGGAGAGTCTCTTGGGTGCCAACACTAGCAGGCTGGGGCTTAGAGCCATTCACCCTAGACATGATGTTGTCTTCCTCTGATTCTGACTAGACATAACATAAATCACAGGTATGCTTCATGCCTCAAATAAATCACATGCCAATTGACATAGCACAGGTGAGCAGTAAGGTCCACCGCATTCATAACTCCCAGCGCGCTAAGAGTCCAGTCAATGGGGAACAGTGGGATAACATAGTTTTCAAGAGCAGAACAATCAACAGTAGGATCAATGGCTTTATGAAATTTAACGAAGAGGTCTCTTGTTTTTGCTAACCCTTGGTTGAGGACCTCCATTATGTTGTCCATATGCAATTCAGGCATCAGAGTCTGGATGGAATTGAGTGATTCATTGCGTATGACAAAAATGAGAACTTACATCATGCGCCCTGTGCTCTGGCTTGCTGTTCCACATGTCGTTTGGCTTATCTTTCTTGCCTTTCAACCACATGAAATATTTGACTGACTCTATGTGATGCTAAGTGTGATTAGCAACTTTGATGGGTTCCTCAACATTTCATGGCATTAAATGCATTCATATGAATGACTTGAGCATCAATGGTTTGGGCTTTTCTTTGCTATTGCAACAGTTGTGTAATGTCTTTGCTGCAATAGATTTTTTTGGAGGAGAGGCATAGTGTTTGGATTCTCATACTAAGACGATCGACACTAAGATTGTCTCAGGATATTGAGCAATCATCAACTCCATTTTCTCAAAAATGTGATCCCACTCCTCTGTCAATGCAGTTTCTCCTATATAGGGAATGCATAGAACTTCAATGGGTTTCCATGTGGCAATCAGCGATATAACTAAATCAGTTGTAACTGATTTGTGCTTCATGTGAGATTTCTTTGTCATAGTCACAAGTCAGCCTGTAGTGCCCAATTTAGCATTACTTGAAATAGAAGTGATTAAATTGACTCGACCTGGGCTTCATAGACACACAGCCCATTTCTCCTAAAGTGCATGGGTAGAGTATTATACAAACATGATGAGTCAAGCTGAATCCTTACAAATAAATTTTTTCTCATGCTTACAAACATATCTGAGTAGCTGATGCTAACTTGTTGTTACCGTTCTTTAGTTAGTACCGCTGGATGTCTGCCTATTCCAGAGGCCAATATGCACACCATGCATGGCTCCCCCTAGTGAGACACTTTCAACTGCTCAGACATTGATCCATGACCATCAGCCGTTAACTTGAGCCACTTAGGTCCCTGGGCACCAAGGCACCCTGGAAACACTATTTGTTTTATTTTCATTTTTTAGATGTTTGGGTGAGGTGCTAGATGTGGCTGGAGGTCTCTGCTCTAGTACTAATGAACTCTTCAGCTGAATAAGTTTAGTCAAATAGAAAGAGAAAAAAACTGATAGAAAACTATAAATACAACTAAATAACAAAAAACTTCACAAGGTGAGGTGGTAATAATGCATTAATATTGTAATTACAAGATACAGGTTGTGCATTAATCATTGTAATTGCTAATTAATTAAAATTTTAATCTTAGTTAGAGGGGTTAGAGGGTTAATGGCTAGTGGTTAGTGGTTAGAGGGTTAGTAGTCAGTAGTTAGTGGTTAGTGGTTCAGTTAGTTAGGATTAGCTAGGATTATATTCTGCCTTGGAGGTTTAGTTATTATTAGATATTATGTAAGTGATTGGTGCACTGATAGTTACAATGTTGAATGCACTACATTAGTCTTGTAACTAAAATTGATTTAATGCACTAATATAACACAATGGCCTGAAAACTTAGCTTATGATAGTGAGAAGTATATCCTTGTATACACTCCTTTTATATATGTCATAGTATAAAGTGCATATTAATGATAATGGTTGTATTGAATAGTATGAGTGTTGAAATGATGTTTTAGCTTGTCAAGTTCTTATTAAATTAACTGTGGTCTTAGCCACTGAACAAATCTCCACAGTGAAAAATGTGATATACAAGTAATAAAGTCAATTAACAAAGAATAAGACTCTTGTGTATGTTCTGATGTTTGTGTTTAGTCATCATTTAAATGTTTATCAATCCAGCATGAATATATACCTATGAATGATGGTTTTGTTTGAGACAATTTTTAAAAATAGCCATTGAATGAAAAAATGAAAAATAATACATGATATGGCTGAGCCATAATAAATAAGAGATTGCTCTTTCACATCTAAGCATGTAGTGATGTAATAGTTTTTTCTCAGCAGCAAGAATGATCTTGCTTATTGCAATATAAGTAGGAGGAAATAGGTGGACAAAGTGTATGCATCAAAATATTAATCTCCACTAGAACTGATATCATTTCCCAATTAAAAAGTAGTAGACATGAGAACCATATGTTGGGCTACCAGATCTTAATAAACCATATGCTAATATCACTGTGGTTAGCATTCACTTTTCATTTACTTATTCATCTTTTGTTGGCTATTATCTTACATCTTTATGCAATTATGGGACTCACTATGATCTACCACTGGCAAAGGACAGCTGATTGGATATATCTATTATCCCCTCCATGGCTCATATTTACTGGTTCTGGATCGAAACTGGACGGGGGACATAGGATAGCGGCGGAGGCAGGAGGGTGGTAGGAGACGACGACAAGGCCTTCGAACAGCTACACGGCACGCTGGGGACTCTGGATGTGATTGGCATCCCAGCACCTGAATGCCAATTAGTGCAGATAGTAAGAACCTGATATACTCAACTTACCTTTCGCAAACCAGCATGATATCGCACATTCTATCACTATTTCCAAATGCACATCGCCCGGGCCATACCATTACTAGATCTGAAGGCACCAATGAGAGGAACCCATTACAGACGATCAGCATGCATGCAGACCCAGCAGCTAGCAACACCACTTCCAATCCCACAGAACCAACCAACATGGACCCACTGGCAGGAGAAACAACAGATGGTAGAAATACAGCAGTTCAGGGTGGTGCAAACTTGGGCTCAAATACTGGAACTTTGAGAAGGCCTGAGTCCTTGATAGGAGGTGAGTTGCTTGATCATTACATATTAATAATCAACAAACTTACCCCTGTCGATTTAGCATTGATGTACACCTCCGGCATCAGCTCGTGGTCTGCATTGGACCAATTATTTCACCAGAATCCATCTCGCTGGGAGGAACACAAAAAATGGACATTCAAGCGGAACGGCTACTTATGCACACTCGCAGTATTCAATGTTATCCTCGCCCCCGCCTTCCTTGCCACTAGTGATCTGCCTGTTTCCAAGTGGTCGGGAGACCATTTAACCCATGCACTCGCATTCACCCTCTTGTTTTCTTTACAAACCGGCCTATATATTGGAATATACTACGTATTCAATTACGAGCAGGTAAGTATTTATTAGATTAATAATTTTTATTGTTATATTTTATTCTCGCAGGGACAAGATGCCACCCACCATGTTTGGTACTTATGGGTGCACTCACTACCATTGCTCGCCGCAGTTGGGTCAATGATATCATTGACAACTTCAGTAGTGATGGCTTTCTGGCTTCATTACAACACTGCTGGACTTGCGTTTCGGGTTCTTTTCACGGTTGTTGCACTCGTACCCATGTTTCTTATCATATTCATGATTGTTGCACTCGTACCCATGTTTCTTATCATATTCATGATTGTTCACTACTACTTCAGACACAATTGATTTATAGATTTACAGTCCTCAATACTTCTTACCATTGTTTTGTATCTGTAGTAGAAATGGAGATCCATCCAGCAAGTAGCACACCACGAACATGGTAATCCCTGTCTTGATTATTCCAAGAATCATCTTTCCACTCACAATGTCCTGTTGGCATGGCAAACATCAAGGACTTTGCTCAGTAACTCTTCGGCCGCATCAGCATCTGTTTGAAATCCCCGTTTCACGAAATGAGACCGGTCGGTCAGGATGATCAGTTGGATGCAGGTCAAAGGCGTTGTCATGCATGAAATGAAGATTATACATTGACATTCAATAGGATAAGGGTATACTAGTCCAAAAGCTTTTGCTTTAGACTAATTACTCTATGTTGAGGCAAGAGAAGTAAAAAGTGGCAGAAAGCTCGTGTTTCGTTTACTTCTGTTTACATTTATCTTTGTTGACTTCCTTGCTTCTGTTTCTCTTGTTCTTTTTTATTTGTGCATGTTATGTGAGCTTCAGCCACAATCTGAGCTTACATAACATGTAATTAACCCTAGGAGAAGTCATGTGACTCCAGAATTGAGTCATTTGATCTTGGACAATGTCACTTGATGTCATAGCTCCACAATGATATCATTCAGCTCCACTTTGCTCCACAAATGCTCCACACTGCTCCACAGTGAAATCATTTGCTGTCAAATGAGTCAGAATGAGTCATTTTCCTCCTTTGGTGTTCTTTCCACCTCAATTCTGCATTTTATGCTACAACTACCTTATTTCTTCTGAGATTTGTGTCTCTTTCTATTTTCTTGGTACTATACAGTTCCTGGGATATTTCCCACACCAAATGTATATAAGGAGGCTCAATTCTCTGAGGAGAAATGAGAGACTCCCCATATTGGAGATTTCCCACTTCACATCTATCATCTGAAGTGCAGGCTGATACTGACAGCCTTACTATACTAAGATTTGATATAATCTTAGTCTTGTGTTATCTTTACTGTTGTTAGGGGCATTTAGTCACCCTAACCTTCTTTTCTAGTCCTTTGTTGGTCTAGAACTGCTGTTTCCTTGCTTTGATTAAGTCAGCAAGGATTTGTCTGGGAAAAGCTTAGTCAGCATCCCACACAACCCATATATTTTATTCAAGAGCTATTTGGACAAAATACTCTTCAGGAGTTATTCTTGCTTTGATTACATCAGCAAGGATCTGTCTGGGAAAAGCTTAGTCAGCTTCCTATTCACCATACATTTGTCCAAGGATTATTCGGACAAATCTTCCACAAGTTGTATCTTGCTTTGAGTGAGCTCAGCAAGGACTTGCTTGGGTAAAACTTAGTCAGCTTCCCAATACCACACCACCAAGGACTTTTGCTCCATATCAAAGGTCCCTCATTCATTAAAGGATCCACACACTTCAGCCAAGTGTTGTGTAGCGCATCCACCCATATATTTGTCCAAGGACCATTTGGACAAACCATTCGTCAACGTAGTCTAGTCCATTTATTCTACACAGTTCATCATATCAGGCCTATCATCTAGGTCTATCATCCCATCCAAAACCAAACCCCATTTCAAGAACCAACGACAGACTGTATAGTCGAGCCTCCCATGAACGACACATTATCAACTGAGAAAACTAGAAAATCCGTTGACCGTGTACTTGAGGAGTTGGCAACTCTTGTCTTATCAAAGTGTAGTTGTGGTGTCACTACATTTACACGAAAACATAAGACCCTCAAGTAGTAAGACACCGGCATTCAGGAACAGCTCAGACCAATCATCCCCAGATCGAAAACACACTGTGTATGCTCAGTGCTCATCTCTCACATCTGTTGCAATCTACTGACAAACACTCAGACGTACAGGAAAAAAAATCGCCTCTTAACCTACTTAGGTGCTTCACCTCGCGACACACTTGACGCACCATATACCAAGTATCTGGAGACGTGCTGCTCGGACAACATCCGTGATGTAATGGGTATCGTTCAGGAGATTTTATGGGAGCTCAAAGAGACTATGTCAAGAGTGAGAATTACGGGCCGAAGGTATAGTAATGCGCAGGACAACTCTAAACAGGCTGCAGAGGTACTGTCGGCCCTCGAGGATTTATTCTCCTGCATGATGGTCGAGGACATGGATCTAAGACAACGGTATGCATGTTGGAGTCCGAACATCCGAACAACATAGGAGATGATGAATAAGGTACGAGCACAGTATGACGTCGGTTGATGTCCGCCCCTGAACATTATGTTTCAGATGTATATCACTTACCCTATTCCACCTGTTCCATCTGTACGATAAAGCAGCGAGTACCGCCATCGACACATCTCAGTCTTCTACCCAGAAACTGAGATGTAAGCACCTATACCATTTATTCACGTACGAGCTAACAAATACATTTAGTTTACCTTACTAGGTACATACTTGTGAATGCACAAGTCTTCTAACCAGAAACTGAGATTTTACCTTACTAGTCTTGACTCCGCTGTGCGAAATAATAATCCCGACAACGGTATATGGAAAATAGCTACCAAGAGGTAAGCCTACCAAATACCTATGTGGGTCTTGCTTAGCCTAAGGCTAGTTCGACCCTAAAGGGGTCTGCTGTCTGATATAAGAATGATAGTTAGTGTCTTTTCGGTCAAGGAGAAGATAACCCAAAGGTCAACACATCAGGTCTGAAGTAAATCGGGTAGTCCGATGCGCGGGAAAGTGCGGGTCCGATGCGCGGGAACTGCGGACTCGACGGGTGATAATGGTACGGGATGGACAATGAGCGGATATCATCGGGAACGGATGAGATGAATCAGAATAAAGGAATGGCAGAGGTTCGGACTATAAGGAGCGGATAACCAGGTGTATTGGGCAAGGTGTCAAGGTGTCAAGGTGTCATGGACCAAATGTATTAGGGAACTCCCCTCTACAGAAAGGTAAGTTATTTGTGAGAGTCCCTTGGTCCTTATATAAGTAGCTACGTAGAAATCCGGAGTCCTATAGGCGAAGATAGCGGATAGTCCGAAGGTAATATGTAAAAAGACATGAGGTACTGCGGACTATGGGAAGCACATGTAATAGCACTGTCTACAGTGTCAGTCATGAGAATAAATGACTACTCACCAATGGGGGTGCACGGGAACGGACTGGACATAGGGATAATGGGTGTCCACAGGGTATCGGATAGTCCGAAGCACAGGAAAGTGCGGGTCCTAAGGTGTGGGGTATCGGGTTATCATCGGTTCAGGTACAGGTGATGTCGGGCATAGCGGGGAATGGATGGAAAGTGTGCTGGTATCCAATATCATCAAAATAGCCAATTGTGAGGCTAGCGCCAGTATGTTCGGTACACTCTCATCCTCTGATCACCAGAATGCACATAAACACTTCCTGTTTCAGAGTCTCTAGGAGATCTCTGTGTATTTACTAGTACTTTCAATTTTGACATGAAGCTTAGTATATTGTGTAGCTGTATGATACTATGTGTCCGTGCGTGGGACATTGGTCTCGATTTTACGCTACATTTCAATATTCATTTCGCTTACTGCAACCTAAACACCCAGTCTTGTCGATCAGCACGTCAATTAATGTTAATGTATGTATCTAATTGATCTCATTGTATGCCAAGATGACTTAATGTTGAAATCATGAAAATAGATGGCGCCTCGTAAATGGACAACATCCGAGCAGGAGGTGTGGCTTGAACTGTGGTACCAAAAGTTCACCGAAAAGCAGAGTGACAAGAGTAGAAACCACAAAAACTTCTTCGCGGACCTTTATGAAAAATGGTTCGAGGAATTTCCGGATCCTTGACCAAATCATATCACCGAATTGGGGCCATTAACGCTGGAAGAACACAATGACGCAACTGACATATGGAAAGCCATAAGTTTCATTAATATTGGAATTGTCACCAACAACACGATTCAAGAATAATTTTGCCAACGATGTTTTTGATGCTGTTGTGCGGAAAATAACAGAATGTGAAAAACCTATGTGAATGCTTCAGGAACACGAAGCATACTCAAAGTTGTACTATGCTGATCAAGTTCAGAAAAACATCCAAGAGACACTGAAGGTCGCACAAGCAACACGATCACTCACCAATGGTCAGCGAGTAGCGCTTGTGAAAAAAGAGACTGCTGCTCTGTATGCAGGCGAGTCTGAGGATATCAAGGCTAAGGTGAAGGAGTATATCCACGCACAGAAGGAAGAGCACGGTAAGGGAAAAGCTGAGCCTTGGAGCGATGACAATCAGCAGCGGTACGTCCTGCTCAAGTTCAGTGCATAGTAGTATCACCTAACACGAACAAAGAAATCTTACCAAACTGGCCACCATCGCGAATCAATTCCTCAAAGGCCTCACTGATGCGACCAGCCTATCCTTCAGCCTTCTCGTTGGGGGTCCATCCGTCGAGCTAGGTGGAATGATTGATGTCTGGAGGTATGTATGTTCCACATTAGAAACACAAAAACTCAAAAGCCAAAATGACACTCACCTGTGCTGCTTCCACATCGGGATGACGAAGCTGGGCAACAATTTTAGCCAGGCTTACCCTAAGTTCGAGAGTGACATAGTGGGCCCGTTCCGAGACTATCTGTATTGTGTGTATCATAAGTGTTATTTCTTATCAGACACCTTGGACAAAAAGGCTTACCATTTTGCTAACAGCGGAGGCTGCAGCACTCAAAGACCAGAAGATGGGAGGAGCAAGCAGCTCCAGTTCATTGTGGGGAGACAGCTTGAATCAACCATCATATCCTGTGTCAGATATGATGGACGAGCTGTCCAACCAGGATACATCTTTGTCAGGCATGTTTCAATCACCAGATCTATCCAAGTTTCCTTCTTCGTCAAATGGCCCGGATTTATCCAAGTTTCTGCCTTCATCAAATGGCCCTGGGTCTCCTACATTGCCCTTCGGCTCTCACAATGTTCTCTCTGGCGACAATCAACAAGACTGGCCACTGTCCGAGGACCTCGACAACTTTCTGGAGACATTGGCCCAGAACCTGCCAATGTCAGCTGTTGACCACTTGATCTCACATGTTCCTTCCTTCGCTTGAGGTGCCTTCCATTCCTGTGGTTCCAGCCACAGCTGAAACACTCTGCCATCCCCTTCCGCCAGTTTCTCCCTGTTCTGTCCATGGTATTTCTGTTTCCACACCTGAGCCGTTTGATGGTGTGCCCTCAGCCGACTCACTTCCTAGTGGATTCACGCACCCAACTGCACACCTCCCCAGAAATGCAGAGGAGCCCAACAGCGACAGGCCAGATGCACTCCCTGCATCTTCAGTGGCAGAAGACCCTACAGAGGACTCGTGCCCTTCATCCATCCCAACCTGCACTCCCCCTTCAGCAGACTCATGCACTCCATCCATCCCGACCCACACTTCCCCTTCGGCAGACTTGTGCCCTCCGTCCATCCCATCCTGCACTTCCTCTTTGGCAGACTTGTGCCCTCCATCCATCCCATCCCGCACTTCCCCTTTGGCAAACATTGCAAATGAGGCTCAAGAAAACAAGGTTCAAACAGAGGCTCAAGCGGACGAGGTCCAAACAGACAAGGGGAATGACAGCGGTGGACCTCGTAGAACAAGGTGTGCACACATCCCATCTACACGCAACACCATTGCCAACTCGATCGGTAACTCATTGAACCCAGCTTCAAAATGCAGCCATGGTACTGATTCATCCGCTCATGTGGGCCAGCAAACAAAGTAAGTCTCTTCTTGTTTTTTAAACCTTTTGTGCTCATTATCTTGCACAGAAAACCAAGGGTGTGAGCTATACCATCTGCTCAGTTTTTCCTGTATTGGCTTTCTTGTGTCTTTTTTTTGTCGCTTTCATTTCCCTTCCATACCAATTATTTTCATGTGGTGTTAATGTTGACGCGAAACCGTGTTTGAAATTTACAGGTACTAGTACTAATTCAAAAATGCTATTGAATTGCTATGGTTCTAGAAGACAATCTGTCGTGTATGGTGCCAACTGACTATAGAGACCAGCACTAAAGTAGTGAATGGGGAAGGCATCAACTCTGAGCTTGTGCACACATGGACCTTGCCCGCTCTCGCATTATCTCAAGCAGTACCTCGTGCAGTCCCAAGTATTGCACAACTGGATACAGTGTACTACCGGTACCTTTCACACCACCGGTGCATTTCACACTTGTGCTAAAACTTTGTCAATTATTATTATTTTGTCCTGTCACTTGAGCCATGCATTAAGAGGCATGTATAGAAGTATAATACAAAATTACAAAGAGATATGTAAAGTGTGTAAAAGCTGGGGATGGATTCTGTCAAAGAAATGGTACAGTTGTGCTGAGAAACAACTTTTGTACCAGGCCCAGTCCAAAGAATTCACCGAAAATTGCCTGTATATGTGGCATCATTTTAATCAGCCAGGTATCCTGCACAGAATATATCTACAGAAGGGAGTGATTGGGTTGAAATTCCATGTTGCAAAAGGCATTTTGTGCAAAACCTGTTTCAAAGTGTGACAATGTGTGACGGCTCGCGTCAAAGATGGTGAAGAGAATGTATGAGGGTCACACTGTGAAATGTACTGCATTTGTGTAACATTTGAGCACTTGATATTTTAAATCATCCAGCGTGTTCAACATTGTGAAAAAAAAGAAAACATTGCATTGGTAGTACTATTTAGATGCCTAATACTAATTCTGGGTACTCAAATTGTTTAAAACAGTAGTTTACATGCCTTGACTCAACATGTGTGAATGTTGTGTGAAAGGTACCCACCAGTACTGATTTTGAATGGACTGGCTCACCATCTACATACTGAGCCACATTGTGTGATTGCAGCGAGCTCAAAGTACTGCCCAAAGTATTACAAATTATGAGAACTGGTAAGACTAAAAATCTTAAGACTCATAGATTTAGACAACATTGTGACGTGTTGGAGAATATTTTGGTGGGCGGACGCCAAAGAGCTGGAGGTAAGTAGTTGTGAAACTTGTTCTCACGGTTGAAAAACACTTTGGAGAACAGCAAAGTCCCAGTGCAGTGAGCGTATCAGCTGTATTGCTTCTTGACAGGTGCAAGAAGTGATCCTATCATCAGATCCTATCGCTGTTTGCTGATCCCATCAAGGAGAATGAGGGAGACAGGGCAATGGCAGGGTGTAAACAGGGGTGAACTGCCAAATATCCATATGGAGCATTCAACCCCCCGTAAAACAGTGATTTATAAGCAAAGGAAGCCGGCAATGTGATTCTCGCGTAGGAATCGATATATCCTGGATACATCCCATTGGATAGTGGATGACAATAGAAGAGTATGTATCAGACTTTTAGGACTATAGTCCACTTAGGATACATCTATATAACATCATCGGCTGTGGGGCTAAGGACAAAGTCAAAGTCTAGATTTAGAGTTTGTAAGAGGGTCAAAAAATAATGTTTTGCAAATTAGACGCAAATGAACAGCGGCATCGCGGCACGACTTCCTTAAATGGTCTTTTTTATTCTTTTTTATTATATTCCGCAATATTTCAGCCTACGGATAGTTACCCATTGTGCTATACTTTTCATTACTGATTTTGTCTAATGATTTTCACTGGAACCTCTATCCACAGTGAGGTTTTCCCTGATGCGGCGGTGTACAATAATTTCGGTCCTGAGGTTGGGCATTGGGCATTCAAACTTGAATATTCAACGTTCAACGCTCAACTTTGAGCTCCCCAACTACTAAGTGAACTGCACCATACGCTACACGCGATCTGCCTTTTAAGCACCTGTCGAAGTCATAACGTCAAGCTCCGGGGTGTTACTCAAGCTTCCGGTAAAAGATACGCATCCGAGAGCTGTCATGTGTTGGCGCCTCACCAAGATTCTCAGCATTGCCAACTAACTATTAGGTATGGGCGTCCAAATCATCGAGCATACAAGAGTACAACAATTGAATTTCGTGAAAATAGGGATGACAACAAGGAACGAACTCCAGAAGTTTGGTCGTGAGCACTTTCGTACGATACTTTACAGCTTGTCGTAGTAGTTGTCGACAGGTGGAATTTCGGGCTGGATATCGGGTGTCAGTCATCTTCCAGGATAGCGTGCAGACGCTCCTGACCTTAAGACCCTTGCGCACACGAATACCCCTGACGAGTTCTTCTAGCTTGCTGCCCTTGTCGAGAGGAGCTGATAAATTTCATGAGCATCAGTCTTCGAACATCGTATACGCAATTACGTACATCCGTTCATGATTTCCCAGTGGTCGAACACACTCTGAGGGAAGGCTTGGCCGGCTGTTTGTGAGCGGAGATCGCTGTTAAAGCCAAAGGACTCCATGACGGGGAGGTAGGCCTTGACAGTGAACATGGGTGTTCCTGGCCTCTGCTCTTCGCTGAAGACCTGGCCACGACGCCTGTTCAACACGCTGTAGATACCACCAATGGCGTTCTCAGGACATTGGATCTCGACTGTGAAGGACATCAGTACCCGGTAAAAATGAGAAGCGATCGGAACATACCGAGGTACACCGGCTCCTGGAGACCAGGGGTAGCAAGCAAGCATGCAGCGTAGCAGACACGACGACATGTAGGAATGATTTGTCCACCACCACGGTGGATAGCATCGGTATGCAGCTGTGATTATTGTGTAAGATAATAGAAATGGAAGGCGTTATGAAGTATACTTACAGTGACATCAAGAATGTTGAAACGGATACCACGCATATTCTCCTCGGCGCAGACACCCTCCTTCGTTGCCCACTGGAAGGCAGCAACGCAAGAGTCCTTGATTTCGTTGAGGTACTGCACACCCTTGGTAACATCGACAAGCAAGTTGGGGCCAGTGGTATCGGGACCGAAACACCAGATCTTCCTTGCATCAGTGACATCCCAAGAGAAGTCATCAGCGAGAATACGAGCACGGGTTTTGTAATCGTCACGCGCGTTAACGGTACCAGCCTCGATAGCCTTGGTGAGCTCCTCATCGAGAGGCAACGCCTGGGCGTAGAGACGGTTGTGCTTGTTCTGCGACTTGGACAAGGCCACGATGGAGGACTGAGCCTTGACAGTCTCACGGTAGCCGACGACAGGGTCAGAAATCTTGAGAGGAACACCAGCGTGATCTTCTTGGAGATCCTAGAATAAGGGTCAGACCAACGAAATCCAGCAAGCAGATAGCCAGTTACCTTCAAGCAAATTTCCAAGTGCAACTCACCGGCACCAGCGACAATATGCTCACCGGTCTCAGCAATCCAAGCCTGGACACAGGGGTCAGACTTCGACAAACGCTTGAGACCTTCGACAAGCTTGGGCAAATCAGCAGCATTCTTGACCTCAACAGCGACCCGCACGACAGGGGACACGGAGAACTTCATGACCCTCATGTTGTGTGCAGTCTCAGAGGTGGTGAGAGTTCCACTCTTGAGCAAGAACTGGTCAATGCCGACGAGACCAACGATGTTACCGGCAGGACAATCCTCGATGGGCTCGATGTAACGACCCATCATGAGCACCGTGCGCTGAACTGACTTGACGAACAAGTCTTCCTTCCTTCCAGGTATGTAGTTGGGGCCCTGAATACGGATCTTGGGGCCAGAACGAACGGTTCCGGAGAATACACGACCGAAGGCATAGAAACGTCCCTTGTCTGAAGTGGGAACCATCTTCGAGACGTAGAGCACAAGGGGGGCCTTGGGGTCACAGTCTCTGATACCAATGGCAGACTCGTCGTCCATGGGACCTTCGTAGAGAGTCTCAACACGGTAGCGTTGAGCAGTGGCGGGGGAAGGAAGGTTGATGACAATCATGTCCAGGAGGGAGTCGCCGGCGGGCAGGAACTTGCGCATGACGACCTTGAGGAGAGCCTTGCCCTCGAGATCTTGCTCGTCAGACGTCAGTTTGACATCGAGCTTCTCGCAGATGGGACCAATTTGGTCCTTCTTGAAGTTCATGACGGCATCGAAAATCTTGAAGATGGGCTCAAGGACGAACATGTTGAAGGACCGTTCAAGGGCTTTGCCCTCGGCATCGGAGCTCTTCGTGCTCCACTTGTGAGTGGCAGGGTTGAAGTAGTTATCACCCCAGAGCTTAGCCAAAAGTTTGTCTCTAGGTACACCGAACTTTTTAGCGTAGCGACCAGCGAACTGGCGGAGGGTGAAAGCCCAACCATGGAGACCTGAACCGAAGGCAACGGTACCCTTGTCTGGGTAGACCTGGACGTCACCAAGGGCAGCGTCATGGTAAGTCGAGACAATGACGTTGACCGTCTCGATGGTACGCTGGAAGGACTGGTACAAGTCCTCTTTTGAAACTTGGAGCTCGAGCAGGGCACGGTCGACCTTGTTGATGATAACGACGGGTTTGATACGCTCCGTGAGAGCTTGACGAAGCACGGTCTCTGTCTGCACGCAGACACCCTCGATACAGTCGACGACGACGAGAGCACCATCAGTGACACGGAGAGCAGCCGTGACTTCTGATGAGAAGTCGACGTGACCTGGTGAGTCGATCAAGTTGATCAAGAACTCGTTGCCTGAAGTAAGAATTAATCAGCGAAAATTAGCGAAATTGGAATTGAAGGCTTGCCGTCAGTCTCCTGCTTGATATTTTCGACATCTTCCTTTGCCATTTCGAAGTACATGGAAATGGCAGTCGATTTAATCGTGATACCACGCTCCTTTTCATCTTCTCGTGTGTCTGTGAAACGCATGTCACCAGCTTTTGCTGCAGCAATGATACCGGCTTTTGAGACGAGGGAGTCGGTGAGGGTGGACTTTCCGTGATCGACTAAGTAATTTAGATAAGATCGAGTATGTGATGATCGGCATGATCTTGCTCACCATGGGCAATGACGGACATGTTACGGATGTTCGTGGGCTTGTCCATGAGCCCACGAATCTGGTCTATGATTCAAATAATTGTTGAGAACGAGATCTGATTTTCTTTGGGACGATCTGTGTGCTCACCTACTGTGAAGTTGCTGTGATCATAAACGATGATCAGTGCATCGGAAATGCAGATCTAAGCGAATACGTACACCATGGTGTCTAGATTTTACAAGGATACAATGAAAAAAGGAAGAAACGGGATCCTTTTGAACGAGTTTGGATGGCGAGTCGAATGCACGTCGATACCGGGACCGTAGCACAGCACAAGCGCGGACAGTACGGTGCTAGGATAATTTCCAGCCCGTGATCACCTGTGACTCCCCCCGGGTCATATGAGTCGAATGCACGTCGGTACCGGGACCTACGGTAGCACAGCACAGTGCTAGGATAATTTGGAGGTAATGCACGTGTTTCCCACCTGTAGGATCAGGTGGATACTTGCAATGAATCAGAGTCTCCTCCAATATTAATATCTCCTGGATAACGAAAGGACTTTATATAGAGCTGTACTACTAGTATAACAATTATGAGACTCACGTGATAAGGTTACCGTGCTGTTGGTGTGACCAACGCCACATAGTGATGGGAACCTTCGAGCTCGCTGTGCGACACGATGAGCTCGGGTATCTCACTCCATGGTGGTCGGATTGACCGCACGTTTTCGACGAACAGTGCACCAGTAATGATTGCGATACGTATGGGATACATGCATATCCATAGGATGTGCAAATGTCGAAGTTGAACAAACCTAGGACCAGCCATATCGGAGATTACATAACCCGGCGGTGATACAAAAATGGGTTTCAGCTGAGTCATGTCTGGAGATCAGGCTATCTCAGTACTCTGTCTTTATTCAAAAAGGTACAGCACACAAATTTATATATATATCGAGTACTAAAAGGACCGGCTTAACCACAGGTTCGACTAACTTCTTACCGTGTAGTCAAACGGTCTTCCCGTCAACATTGACCTCCTACAGTGATTGCCGCATGACTTGAATTTCTGCTTCTCCGCCACTGACTGCAGGAATGGCTATGAAACTCGAGCTTGTCATGGATCGTGCTTGCAGGAAGGAAGCTGATAGGCAAGCCGATGCTACTAGGACTTAAAGCTTTGTGCCTCGCCATAAGTCTTCTTTGGCACGCGGCTTTAGGAGGAACCTTCCCTCTGATTGATGTTGGGGATACAGGTGTAGCAAGTCGTACTTTGAAACGATTTTTAGATTCCTGAGCCCGGCGCCTTGAGAAGACGTCATCTTCACCTCAGAAGATCACCGATCTCGAGCGCACGCGCTTAATAACCATATGTGTTTTTCATACGCAAACAGTAAGTAGCATGGTTTACAAACGTGTCTTATATGTGGAGATTTACGACAAGCCATAACTCGTCAACTGCACTCCAAGCTAACAGAAGGATAATAATCAGAGGGGGCGCTGAGAGGGCCTAAGGGGTGATGCAATGATGAAAGGATGGAGAGATAGGTATAGAGCGCCGAGACAATCTGGGCCGCATATTCTTCCAGGGCGACCATGTGTCGGGGCCAAGGATTGGGGAGACAAAGTCGAAATCCAACAATGAACTGCGACCAAGCTATGTTGCTCGATAGTATGGAGGTGCTTCATATGTCAGGGGTATAATATAGGAACGTGTGGGGAGGCGTTGAAGCTTGGAAGACGAGATGTTGAAATGCCGTGATAAGAACAGAGGGGGAAAGAAACGAAACGATATGGTAGAAAGAGCGACAGTGGTCGGAATGCCGAGGGTTGGAGGGTAAATTCAAAGAGAAACAGGATGGCATACGGAAGATGCACCCATCAACCGGTAGAAAGAGCGGTGGTGGTTGAACTAAATGAATGACGATAGCTGGAACGAGGTTCAGCAATATTATGCCGCACTGCCGAGCTGGACCAGAGGCGTCGTTGGTTATGCTTGGAGCGTCCCATGTGAAGGAAAAATGAATGCATGTACAGCTCAGCCAGATGAACAAGTGTGGATGTATCGTGAAGGAGAGGTTGGGAAGATATAAGGGTAGAATGGTGGGGATGGAACAGGGGAGTGCAGAAGATACTTGAAGAACGGAAAGGACGTCTAGCTGGGAAGGAGGGAAGGCCAGTGAAAAAGAAATCGGTGCCCAGAAAGAAACGAGGGTGAAAGGAGAAACAGCATTTTGCTCACCAACACAACCGATGTTAGGCTTTACTACTGGAAGAAAGAGGTACGAATATGACTGTGGTTGACCAACGGCGCGCAACATCGCCATTTTCTGAGTTAGTACGAAGATTGCGAGAATGCAAATGCACAAGTGCAGGAGTTCGAGTAAGAGAATCGTCCGTGACTCAGATGGTGTGCTTGAACCAACATCCTCCAGTATTTCGAGCGTGGTCGCTTCCGATTCTGAGCACACGGACAGGCCATGATCGTATAATGAGGTTCACATCGTGAGTGGTTCGTTGGACGGCATGGTGTGCAAGTGGAACTTTTCTTGATGGAGAACCATGGATAGGCGAGAGTAGAAGGATATGGGCAATGGTACTTTCATTGCACGGAAAGAAAACTGTGTGCGGGAGGGAAGACGGAAGCGTTCAGCGATGGAAGACCGACAAATAGATCATAGTTGAAACGTGCGGTCACTGTCGTGGTCTCCCAGTGGAGACAATATCGCAAGCGGGTCCGATGATGGAATAACCCTCGTTTGAAAAGCAGAAAGCAGAGAAATCGAGGTGGGCGCAATCAAGACGGAGCAGGCTGCAGTAATGTGAGTGTGGTCTTGCAGGGTCTTGCATATTCACCGTCAGGCGACAGAATAGCATCAGGCGGAGTCAAACAATCTGCATTTAGAAAAGACAGGCAAGCTCGTTGTCGGTCCCATCGAAGACTGGGGAACAAGTACGTTGTGGTTGTCGGCCAACCTCGAACAAATTCGCACGTTGTTTTCGACAAAGTAACTCAGGCACAGAACTCCATCGCTTCAAAGTTCAGACACAACGATTTGGTGAATTCCGTCGCACTTCCACCCAAACACAGTGTACTGGCATACGTGGGTTATCCTGGTATTGCAAGTTATGGGACACAGAGTTCCAAAACCGACCCAGACAGCCATTTACCCAGGAGGATTGCAAAACCCTTTCGTGTATCGTTCTCTCGGGATGGAAGATACATCACAGATGATTTAGAGGGGGGAGAATATCCATACAGCGACTTTTTCAAGCGACACTGTCTGGTCCCTCTCCTCGTGCGACTTCTTCATCCCCTTTCGATATCGCCCTGCAGCAAGGGGGTCCACTGCGATGCAACAACACCCCAAACGCCGTCTCTTCCGGAAGAAAAAAAGGTAAGCAGTGTATTAGGTGTCCCCTCATTATGATGTATTTATACATCACCTAATCTTCAGAGAGTCTACGTAGCGCCACCCCCTGTGAAGACCACCTCGAAAGCTCAGACTGGTCAGTCGCCCTCAACAGTAGCTCAACCTGCGTCGCAGCCACATTCGACCCCTCAGCGTCAGCCTGAGGCACAGACGGCGACACAACAGCCTACTCAAGAAGAAGACTATGGTTGTTGAGGCAATTTTTGCCTCGCACTTTGGTGTATCCCACGCTGAACTCGTCCTGCTGTCTCTGCTTCTCAGCCTGCTTCCCCGTGAAGTAACTCTACCTGTTCCGTATTTCCATCTATATGCAATATCTTTGCTTTGGTAGTGACTGATCTTTGGATACGCGATTTACGCTTACTCTCTTGCTTGGTTAGGCTATGTGTGTTGTTTTTGTCGACATCTCCCTGACACTCCATTTTAACTGCTGGTAAGCAAGTCTTAGAAAGGTGTTCGACATTCGAATTCCGAAGGTACCAGCACTTTGTCTGTGTCCTCCAAGAGTATAGTAGTCGCCGTCTCGCCTTTGTCGGTCACAGATTCTAATAGAGCCCTCTAGATCTCTGTCTCCAGCAGTGGAGGACTCGTGGACCTTCGACGGTCTATCTTCTCTCCTCTCGAACAGGCCGCGGACCCAGGCTAATTGGCAATGTGGGTGACGTGAAGTGCCGCTACCTCTTCCAATGCGCTCGGACTTACATCCAGGAATCGCATCTGAATTTCTGGAGATCGGTTGAGAACTCTATCGAGTTCATGCTCACGCATCCGAGCGGTTTGGAAGGCCAACAACAACAGGTTAGACGCGCTGTCGAGATCACTGGTTTCATCTCATCTAAGGAGGAGCAATCTCACGTGCACCTCTTGACTGCTGGCGAAGTAAGTCTTCATTTCTGTTTTACCAGCATGATTGCGTCGGATATATTCTCTAAAAACCTTATAGATGTGTCAGATTACTCGGACGAGGAGGAAGATCAATCTGACAGCCAGGGAGTCATCGTTGTTGATGCTGGAGGCGGAACTATCGATCTCAGTGCCTACTCGATGAAGTTATCTCCGACTTCATTCGAGGATATTGCCCCAGCTGAATGCGATATCTTTCTGATCAAGCTATCCACGTGCTAGCACAGAAACATTCCAATGACGATCCACCAATCACCTCTCCGTCTACAGCCTCTGCATTCTCGAATCTTGATCTTTAGTGGGTGTTCTGGAGGTGTTGGTGTACTATGTAGTCCTGGTAGTAACAGGCTCACGTGAGACATTGACGGTATTCCATACCAGGCTACCCTACGAACAGCGAATGAAGAAGTCGACTTCATCACTCCAATCGGCATCGACTACATGATGGATTTAGTGTGGTACGTTTCGCATCGGGCTTCATTGTATTCAACGTCGAAGGTGTACGCTGGCAGCTAGATTGAAGAACAACAAGTCAGGCTTGATGCGGTCGTTCACGGTGCTTCCCACTCTTCTTTTCCCCCGTGTTGCTATCTTGAGCTAGAGATGGTGTTGTATCTTCACCAGATATCAATCGCGGAATTTCAACCATGATGCACATATCTCTGGCTGTGAAAACTGATGCATGATGCCTCTCACCACCGCACCAACTCCACGATGCAAATTCGAAAATACTGCGCCCATGATGCACATATCTCTGGCTGTGAAAACTGATGCATGATGCCTCTCACCACCGCACCAACTCCACGATGCAAATTCGAAAATACTGCGCCCATCATGCATCACGACCAGCATGTGAGAATGGCATCAGAACAAAAGTGACAAAATCACGAACAGTTCTAGATGTTCTTTCATCTTTTGCGGTGTTCAAGTTCTCTGACTTGTTCTACGTACGTTGAACCCCACATCTTGAAAACATTATTCATTTCCTGATTATGCAAGTACAGGCTGGCAACACCACTAGAATGAAGATCAACGATATAAGAGATCTACTAGTAATGAACGACTTCGATAGAAGGGAAGACACTGCCGCACCAACACTAAACGATTCTGCCGTTGGCGCGGGGTGCGGTGATCGCTGGCATCGAACCTTCAGTACCCGATCACTTTCGCATCACCGGCATTTTATTCACGCTACATCACTTCGAACGTGACATCATATCCATTGGTAGGAGCGGAGATCATCGATCATCCCTCGATCTCATTTCGGTCATACGAGCACTGGATGGTGGTGGTATATCTAGCACGAATATCATCGTCGTATGTCCACCAAGTTCCCCGCTCCCTCACATCCATCCTCTAACAGTATGACACTAGTCTCAGACGACCCTAGTTGGTGGCCACTCATCAACGCTTGGCGTATTGGCAGCTATTTTACAGGTTCGTGAAGAGCAGTCAGAGTTCGGCGCTGATGTCTCGATCTGACCTTGATTGTGGGTTTCCAGTTGCCGCCTTTGTTGTAGTGGCGTATGATTGGGGTGAGCACCATAACATTAGAGAATTGCTGATTTCTCACAAGTATTCCAGCCCTTACGTTCGGACAAGAGGTATGTTGATACTATGACCGGAGCAGCCATCTCGCTAAGATTTATTTGTAGGTCGAACTGGTCTGGGTGAGCACAGTTCCATGTCAGAAGAACAATATTGATTTGCGACAGAGACAACGCTGGTCCCTGATGACCGTCCTCTATCTCAGTGTACGTACCTTGCCTCTTGTGAATTTCTGCTGACTTGACAATATCCTAGCTGCGCTATTTTGGATTTGTATATATTACGTATGTTCAGAAGGCTTGACAATTGGTGTCGTGCTAATATGCTATCTCCCGCAATCAGCCTGGACATACTGGGTATGTCTTCTCGCATTCACCGTGTTTGTATCCTCTGACCAGTGGCATACAGGCAATGTTCCGACGATTTTGTTGACAGATGCAGTGAGTCTTCTGCACAGATGTCTGATATTCCCATTCAATTAACCGCGACACCCTGTAGGGGTGAGTGTCATTCTTGACCAGCTTCTTCGTTTGCTATCATGACTGCTACAGATGTGAGTCTGTTTGTAGTGTGTGATCCACCCAAGGCCCATCACTAACTGGATTTCTCAGGCGGGATTCTGTACCTCGTGTGGAATTGGACGGCTGTTGTGGCATTTCCAATGCTGTGTGGTGAGTTGTGCAGCTACAGGACCTGTGGTACTGACTTGACCGAAACATGTCGCAGTCATCATGATCACTCGGTTACATGCCATGTGTCAACGATCCAGAAGGATCCTGATACCCCTCGTCGTCGTGTCCTTGGCTGTCAACATTTTCAACGGAGTGGTCATGGCAATGACAACGAGGCAAACTTCAGGGGGTACATTTAGTTGTTAACGAAAACCGTGCATGGCGCTCATTGATGAATACAAGAGGAACTCATTCTCTCTGGCACCCATGCGTGCGCGATTGGCTATGCGGGCAATGACCCGTTTCTGGCTTCCATGACTTGGATACTCAGCACTGTCTGGGAGGTCCTTGCACTTTGCCTCGCAGTCTGGGTTACTGTAAAACACTTCCGTGAACTGCGACAGCATTCGGCAGGAGGGATTATCGGAGACTGTTTCACGGTGTTGATAAAATCCCATGTGCTTTACTTTGTGAGGTGAGCTTATATTGTGAATGTGGTTCCCTTTTCCGCTGAATGATTTAACGCGCTAGTTTTGTTGCCGTGTCCTCCCTCTACTATTTTTTTCCAATGCTCTCAGGGGTATGGCAATACTTCACTGACCTCTGCATGCGACCGCAGTTCATCATTTCTATAGGACCCATTTTCCCTCGAAACACAAATTTTTCTTGGTTTTCCTCAGATTTTGCAAACCATACAGTCCTTTGTGATGGGACCACGCCTCATCCTTAGCATTCGAGAATATCACGCTCGGCTCGTGGCTGACTCTGATGCAGCAACCGGCATGACCTCAATCGCTTTCCAGGAGCGCGTGCATATATCAACTGGCAGTGGCGTGTAGCATAGGAGATGCTCAATGGAGTTCACGGTAATCTGGTGCTATGCAAGGAGCAGGAGAATTTGGCTTTTTCTTTCTTGATTTTCAAGTTTTGTCGTGGTACTTATTTATTTGGTGCTGCAGAGCGGATTTCAAAGAGATCTAGACATAGGTCTTCGCAAATATTTCGTCGTAATATGTATTTATGTTATTTGTTCCGAAGAACGTTGAAACTGGCGAGGATATCTGAAATTCATGCAAGTATCGAGTTCCCACAGCGCAGACCATAATTGGCAGTCCGGACTCGAGAGAGGCGAGTTATGCCATTTGGTTTGTTCATTTACTTGTGTTCTCATCCAGATCACGCCCCTACCCTACAAAAAGCTAACAAAGTCATAACAGATCAAGACATCGACTTCAAAATCGTACCCATTCATACAATGATAATGTAGGCGAGCACCTCGCAGGCTATACACCTCCCCCGCCGCCCATTCAAAACATCGATACGTCAACTGCGGGCTGCATGATGAAATTAGTATGGTGTATTCTGTAATTAGTTTTCGTCGGTCGCCTTAGGCCAACCCTAGGCCCATACCTATCTTTTGCATTTACGCTTTCAGACTCAAGTCCCCAGGCAGAGTTAAGCGAGACAGAGACACTATTTATTTCATTCGGAAGCCCTGACTCGCGTTTCTTACTGGTAAGATCCTTGTGTAAAGAACCTGCAGTTGTAATTTGCGATGCTGCCAATAGGGAAAGGGGCTGCCGTGCATGAGCATCTGGGACGCGAGGAGCGATCACGAAGGTTCCCTCGTATGGGGCTTCTTCGCACGTTGAGAACGTGCGCTCTCCTCTTTGCAAAGGAGACCGATAGGGAAGGGATGTGTCCCTTGTGGAATTTAGGGCGCCTGACGGGCGTGGCTGCTTTGGTAGCACTCGAGGTTTGGATGGAGGAATCTTTGGTGGGGAGATCGCAGATAGAAAGCCAGTGCAACCTTGTGAAGTGAACACTCTGTTCGCGGGACGAGATAGCAGAGCAATGGCAAGATGGGGCTGGGATGGGTCAGTGGGACGTAAATCAAGGGTGTGTTAAAAACAAAGCCAGGGTTGTTGAGGTTTCTGAGCTGTTGTCGAGGACGACTGACCAGTCTGACCGCTAGTCTTCCTAGGGGGAAGTACTATCCAGCGTCTCTGGAGGATTTGTTACGTATAACTGCAGCAGAACGAGGGACGCATAATACATTACTCACTTTTGTTTTCTTGGCGGCGGAGGTTGTTACAGGCCTCGAACCTACATGCCGCGAGAAGAGACTGCGCTTGGGGCGTTGTTGCAGCCCGATGGACTCATTCGCCGGTGAGTGGCGTCGAGATGGGACGATGATGTTTCAGATGCGCCAAGCTGGGGATGGGCTGGGACGCCGAGAATGACGAGAGGGACCAGATGGTGCCGAAGTGTGATGAGGCTGGGAAGTCTACAAATGCTTATTGTCAACACTGCAGTACTGGTAACACTTGCATGACAAAACACAAGGTTTACCTGAAAAAAGTCACCATATGGATCATCTCCCTCCTGTGAGAGGATTTGTAGCGTCGACCTGTGATAGTTTTGTGAGCAAGGGAAAGAAAGAAGTTGAGTGCGCGTACCGGAGGCTCAGGAGCTATGTCTTGGGCCATCCACAGAGTCGCTTGGTTGTCGTTTCCGCCATATGCGAGGTATCTTCCATCCCGAGAGAATTTCAAGTGAACTGCACCATACGCTACATGCGATCTGCCTTTTAAGCACCTGTCGAAGTCATAACGTCAAGCCTATCGGGGTGTCACTCAAGCTACCGGCGGTTGGGGATCCGCATCCGGGAGCTATCATGTGTTGGCGCCTCACCAACATTCTCAGCATTGCTAACAAACTATTAGGTATGGGCGTCCAAATCATCAAGCATACAAGAGTACAACAATTGAATTTCGTGAAAATAGGGATGACAACAAGGAACGTATTCCAGAAGTTTGATCGTGAGCACTTTCGTACAATGCTTTACAGCTTGTCGTAGTAGTTGTCGACAGGTGGAATTTCGGGCTAGATATCGGGTGTCAGTCATCTTCCAGGATAGCGTGCAGACGCTCATTACCTTGAGACCCTTGCGCACACGAATACCCCTGACGAGTTCTTCGAGCTTGCTGCCCTTGTCGAGAGGTGCTGATAAATTTCATTAGCATCATTCTTCGAACGTCGTACACGCAATTACGTACATCCGTTCATGATTTCCCAGTGGTCGAACACACTCTGAGGGAAGGCTTGGCCGGCTGTTTGTGAGCGGAGATCGCTGTTAAAGCCGAAGGACTCCATGACGGGGAGGTAGGCCTTGACAGTGAACATGGGTGTTCCTGGCCTCTGCTCTTCGCTGAAGACCTGGCCACGACGCCTGTTCAACACGCTGTAGATACCACCAATAGCGTTCTCAGGACATTGGATCTCGACTATGAAGGACATCAGTACCCGGTAGGAATGAGAAGCGATCGGAACGTACCAAGGTACACCGGCTCCTGGAGACCAGGGGTAGCAAGCAAGCATGCAGCGTAGCAGACACGACGACATGTAGGAATGATTTGTCCACCACCACGGTGGATAGCATCGGTATGCAGCTGTGATCATCGCGTAAGAAAATGCAAATGGGGGAAGTCATGAAGCACACTTACAGTGACATCAAGAATGTTGAAACGGATACCACGCATATTCTCCTCGGCGCAGACACCCTCTTTCGTTGCCCACTGGAAGGCAGCAACGCAAGAGTCCTTGATTTCGTTGAGGTACTGCACACCCTTGGTAACATCGACGAGCAAGTTGGGGCCAGTGGTATCGGGACCGAAACACCAGATCTTCCTTGCATCAGTGACATCCCAAGAGAAGTCATCGGCGAGAATACGAGCACGGGCTTTGTAATCGTCACGCGAGTTAACGGTACCAGCCTCGATAGCCTTGGTGAGCTCCTCATCGAGAGGCAATGCCTGGGCGTAGAGACGATTGTGCTTGTTCTGCGACTTGGACAAGGCCACGATGGAGGACTGAGCCTTGACAGTCTCACGGTAGCCGACGACAGGGTCAGAAATCTTGAGAGGAACACCAGCGTGATCTTCTTGGAGATCCTAGAATAAGGGTTAGACTAACGAAATTCAGCAAGCAGATAGCCATTTACCTTCAAGCAAATTTCCAAGTGCAGCTCACCGGCACCAGCGACAATATGCTCACCGGTCTCAGCAATCCAAGCCTGGACACAGGGGTCAGACTTCGACAAACGCTTGAGACCTTCGACAAGCTTGGGCAAATCAGCAGCATTCTTGACCTCAACAGCGACCTGCACGACAGGGGACACGGAGAACTTCATGACCCTCATGTTGTGTGCAGTCTCAGAGGTGGTGAGAGTTCCACTCTTGAGCAAGAACTGGTCAATGCCGACGAGACCAACAATGTTACCGGCAGGACAATCCTCGATGGGCTCGATGTAACGACCCATCATGAGCACCGTGCGCTGAACTGACTTGACGAACAAGTCTTCCTTCTTTCCGGGTACGTAGTTGGGGCCCTGAATACGGATCTTGGGGCCAGAACGAACGGTGCCGGAGAATACACGACCGAAGGCATAGAAACGTCCCTTATCTGAAGTGGGAACCATCTTCGAGACGTAGAGCACAAGGGGGGCCTTGGGGTCACAGTCTCTGATACCAATGGCAGACTCGTCATCCATGGGACCTTCGTAGAGAGTCTCAACACGGTAGCGTTGAGCAGTGGCAGGGGAAGGAAGGTTGATGACAATCATGTCCAGGAGGGAGTCACCGGCAGGCAGGAACTTGCGCATGACGACCTTGAGGAGAGCCTTGCCCTCGAGATCTTGCTCGTCAGACGTCAGTTTGACATCGAGCTTCTCGCAAATGGGGCCGATTTGGTCCTTCTTGAAGTTCATGACGGCATCGAAAATCTTGAAGATGGGCTCAAGGACGAACATGTTGAAGGACCGTTCAAGGGCTTTGCCCTCGGCATCGGAGCTCTTCGTGCTCCACTTGCGAGTGGCAGGGTTGAAGTAGTTATCACCCCAGAGCTTAGCCAAAAGTTTGTCTTTAGGTACACCGAACTTTTTAGCGTAGCGACCAGCGAACTGGCGGAGGGTGAAAGCCCAACCATGGAGACCTGAACCGAAGGCAACGGTACCCTTGTCTGGGTAGACCTGGACGTCACCAAGGGCAGCGTCATGATAAGTCGAGACAATGACGTTGACCGTCTCGATGGTACGCTGGAAGGACTGGTACAAGTCCTCTTTTGAAACTTGGAGCTCGAGCAGGGCACGGTCGACCTTGTTGATGATAACGACGGGTTTGATACGCTCCGTGAGAGCTTGACGAAGCACTGTCTCTGTCTGCACGCAGACACCCTCGATACAGTCGACGACGACGAGAGCACCATCAGTGACACGGAGAGCTGCCGTGACTTCTGATGAGAAGTCGACGTGACCTGGTGAGTCGATCAAGTTGATCAAGAACTCGTTGCCTGAAGTAGGAATTGATTAGCGAAAATTAGCGAAATCGGAATTGAAGGCTTGCCTTCAGTCTTCTGCTTGATATTTTCGACGTCTTCCTTTGCCATTTCGAAGTACATGGATATAGCAGTTGATTTAATCGTGATACCACGCTCCTTTTCATCTTCTCGTGTGTCTGTGAAACGCATGTCACCAGCTTTTGCTGCAGCAATGATACCGGCTTTTGAGACGAGGGAGTCGGTGAGGGTGGACTTTCCGTGATCGACTAAGTAATTTAGATAAGATCGAGTATGTGATGATCGACGTGATCTTGCTCACCATGGGCAATGACGGACATGTTACGGATGTTCGTGGGCTTGTCCATGAGCCCACGAATCTGGTCTATGATTCAAATAATTGTTGAGAACGAGATCTGGTTTTCTTGGGTACGATCTGTGTGCTCACCTACTGTGAAGTTGCTGTGATCATAAACGATAATCAGTGCATCGGAAATGTAAATCTAAGCGAATACGTACACCATGGTGTCTAGATTTTACAAGGATACAATGAAAAAAGGAAGAAACGGGATCCTTTTGAACAAGTTTGGATGGTGAGTCGAATGCACACCGACCGGAGTATGAGGATCTCAAAAGTAAAGTTTTTGGTCTTTGGCTTATCGATCGACTTCAGGGCAGGTCACGTCACCTGACCACAACCATGGATATCACTCTAATTATATCTCATTCACATATGTAGGCGATCCATTTCTCCAAGTAATATTTCCCTAGTCCCCCAATTGCAGCAAAGGAGATCGTCGGAGTCATCTCCAGTCGACGTCGCTGACTCGTTATCCTAAATTTCACCCAAATTTCACCCGGTTTGTGTACAAAAGTACATACGCGACTGATATTTGTCACGTGATCAGTGTCGAGTCAAAATACCGATAATGATTAATTCTAATTGCGGAAACACCAAAATCTAGATGAGACTTGCATTTCTGCCAGCATCTCTCCTTCGATCAAGACGTCCATCTCATCGAATTACTCTCCGTTTGCCTCTAAGAATGTCTTCCTCTTATGACGGCCCATGGACTGCACCCAAAGTGCGCGAAGAATTCTTCAGCTACTTCCGCTCAAAAAACCACACTTTTGTTCCATCTTCCTCAACCGTACCCTACGATGATCCTACTCTCCTGTTCGCAAATGCTGGTATGAACCAGGTTCGTTCAATTCCTTGATTTTATGTATCAAAGCTCACATCCTATCAGTACAAATCCATATTCCTCGGTACCGTCGATCCCAATTCCGAGCGAGGTAAACTGAAGCGTGCTTTCAACAGCCAAAAGTGCATCAGAGCAGGCGGTAAGCATAATGGTACATGCAAGTCCATAGTAAAGACGGCCCTCACTTATAACACTTCAAATCTAGACCTGGAGGATGTTGGCAAAGACTCCTACCACCACACATTCTTCGAGATGCTCGGAAACTGGTCATTTGGTGATTACTTCAAGGTTTGATGCTTATTTTCAGACGACTCGGCCTAGCCGACATTTATTGTACAGAAAGAAGCCATCGAATTCTCATGGGATCTCTTGACTAACGTATATGGGCTGCCAAAAGACCGACTATATGTTACCTACTATGCTGGAGACCCACAAAATGGAATACCCACCGACGAGGAGGCGAAACAACACTGGCTAAAGCAGGGCATTTCGCCAGACCACGTTATTGCGTCGAAAGGAAATTTCTGGGGTAAGCATGTTCTATCATCCAATGAACGTTGTGTGACTCATTCGCGCCTACAACAGAAATGGGCGCAACCGGACCCTGTGGGCCTTGTAGGTGCGTATATTCCGTTTCTCAACTTCCTCTGTTGATCTTCCTCAGTGAAATACACTTCGACCGCATTGGTGGACGTAATGCTGCACACCTCGTCGATGGTGACGACCCAAACGTCCTTGAGATATGGAACAACGTCTTTATACAGTTCAACCGCGATGATGACGGCTCACTAAAGCCGCTCCCAAGCAAGCATGTCGACACTGGCATGGGTTTCGAGCGACTTGTCTCAGTTCTCCAGAACAAACTCTCGAATTACGATACTGATGTGTTCCACCCCATATTCACGCGCATTCAGGAATTAACTGGAGCAAGAACGTATACCGGGAAATTTGGCAATGACGATGTGGATGGTATCGATACTGCTTACCGTATCGTCGCTGATCACGTACGGACGCTTTCGTTTGCGCTGAGCGATGGCGGTGTGCCCAACAACGTTGGTCGTGGCTACGTCCTTCGTCGGATTCTTCGTCGTGGTTCACGTTATGTCAGGAAAAAGTTTGGTGCACCTATCGGCTCATTTTTCTCTTCTTTAATGCCCGTTGTCGTGGAGACTATGGTCAGTGAAGTCTATTTGCCGCATCGACTCGACCTGATTTGAACCTTGTGAACCAGGGGGATGTCTTCCCCGAGCTTACGAAGAAGCAAGACGATATAAAAGAGATCCTTGACGAGGAAGAAGAGTCCTTTTCACGTACCCTTGATCGGGGCGAGAAACTCTTTGACCAATATGCGTCGCGCACGAAAGAACTGGGTGCCAAGGAGCTTAACGGCGCAGATGTATGGCGGCTGTATGACACGTACGGGTTCCCAGTCGACCTCACGCGGCTCATGGCGGAGGAGCTTGGGCTCGGGATCAATGAGAAAGAGTTCGAGGATGCGCAAGAACAATCAAAGATCGCGAGCAAGGGATCATTCAAAAAGGACAAGGCAGGTGTCGTGAAGCTTGATGTCCATGATCTTGCCGCATTGGAGAAGAACGACGCGATACCCAAAACAAATGACTCGTTTAAATTCCGTGCGTGACTTCCTGTCCACGATTCGCCCTTACTTAAGCACTTTTTCAGAGCTTGGCAACATCACTGCTACAGTCAAGGGCATTTACTACAACAAGGAATTCATCTCATCGTCATCCGGTATACCAACGGATGCAAATTTCGGCGTGCTCCTCGACCGCACGAGTTTCTACGCAGAGGCTGGTGGTCAGGAGTATGACACTGGCAACATTGTTATCGATGGCGCCACCGATTTCGAAGTGACAAACGTCCAGGCCTACAACGGCTACGTCCTCCACACCGGTTCTCTCAAATACGGCCAACTCTCCGTTGGTGATGAAATTATTTCCTCCTACGATGAGCTCCGCCGCTGGCCGCTGCGCAGCAACCACACCGCAACGCATATCCTCAACTTCTGTCTCCGTGAGGTGCTCGGCGACCACATTGACCAGAGGGGCTCGCTCGTGGCACCGACAAAGCTCCGCTTTGACTTTTCGCATAAAACACAGATCTCCCTCCCCGAGCTCGCGAAAATCGAGTCGATGAGCATCGACTGGATCAAGAAGAATGTGAAGGTATATGGCAAGGACCTGGATCTCACGACTGCGCATAAGATTTCCGGGCTGCGTGCCGTCTTCGGCGAGGCGTACCCAGATCCTGTTCGTGTTGTCGTGCTTGGGTACGATGTAGACGAGGTCGCGAAGGACATTGACAACCCAAAGTGGCGGAGCACGAGTGTTGAATTTTGTGGTGGCACTCATGTTGCGAAGACGGGCGATATCAAAGACTTTGTTATCACTGAGGAGTCTGGGATCGCGAAGGGCATCCGGCGGATAGTCGCTGTGACTGGCCAGGAAGCGCACGAGGCATCCCGTGTTGCCAATTCTCTGAAAGTCCGCCTTGAGCAGCTGGAGTCGACGGAAGGAAAGGAGAAGGACAGCGGGCTCAAGTCTCTCAGTATGGTGGGTCATAAGCTGTCTTTTTTGCACCGTGCATCGACTAATGTTTCTGCAGGAACTTGGCCAGGCGGATATATCAGTCCTTCTCAAAGCAGAGCTCAAAGACCGTTTGGCGACTGTTCGCAAGGCGCTTGACAAGCAGATCAAGGAAAAGGAGAATGCGCTGAACAAGGCGGTGTGTTCTTTTGCATATTATTCTTGTATGGCGATTGATATATGTGCAGGCTGTGAATGCTCTGGTTACCTTCTTTGAGGAGAAGCCTGACTCAGAGGTCTACTTTGCCATCCTTGAGGTTGATGGTAATGCAAAGGTATGCTTAAGAGTCGTCCACAAAAGGAGCTTATACTCAACATGATGCCCAGATCTTGCAAAACGTCGTTATGCAAGGCAAGAAGCTTGGCAAGGCGGTCTACGTTTTCAGTGTCGACGCAGAGGGCGGCAAAGTCGCACACGCAAACTACGTTTCCGAGTCTGCACGGTCAAGAGGTCTCAACGCTCGTACATGGGCGTCTAAAGTGAGCGATATCCTTGGCGGAAAGGCCGGAGGGAAAGAGGATGGTGCTCAAGGTGTTGGGGTTAACATCGACCAGGTTGAAGTGGCTCTGAAGGTCGCGCGGGAGACGTTTTCAAGCGAATATAACTAAGGATCTCTCTATACAATGACACCCAGCTAGACGTTTTATTCCTTTTTGTAATTTAGACAATGCACTGTACAAGGTACACTGGGCTTCTGCTCCAAATAATATTTTGTTTCATCATGGTACAGCCCGGAGCACAGCTGTTTAGGGGGTGCGCAGCCACCACGTAACACCCGAAAGTTTCCCATTTAGTATGTGCTCGTATGCCAACTGCCCTTTCTTTGTCTCCACATCTCCTTCAAGTGATTAGCGCCTCACGAATTGCCATTAATATTGCTCTAACGCCCTTCTTGCTTCCTTATGAGCTTCATTCGACCAGCCACTCCTGGCTTTCTGATCAACCTCATAGCCACCATCCTGTTGGCTGTCGTATCATTCTCTGTCCCCCTCATAAAATCTGTATATTTCCTCAAGGCAAGCCTTGCCGTCCAAGGCACCAATGGTTACATCACGTTTGGAACCTTGGGCTATTGCTCGGATATCTCAGGGACTCTTTCATGTTCCAATGCAACAGTGGGGTATGAATTCAGTAAGTCTACTTCCAAAGCCCGTACGGTTCATATTCAACTTCCCTGGCATGTGTAGATGTCAATGCCTTGGTAGGCGATAATACGTCCATCCAAATCCCCACAGTAGTTGTAAAATGGCTCACGTATGCCCTCGTCCTGCATATCGTGGCTTTCGGCCTCGCAGGGGTAGCCACCATCTTTGGTCTACTCGCTCACGTCCGTGAAATGGCCATGACTTGCTTCAGTAGCTGCATATCAGGATTTGCTGCTACTGTTGCCCTCGCTGCTTTTATTTTTGACCTCGCCATCTTTTTCATCGCCAAGTCCAGAATGAACAGTGTTTCAGGTGGATCTGCTTCCATCGGTAACGCTGTGTGGCTTACGCTTGTCGCCTGGATCCTGCTGTTCTTCAGCGGATGCTTCTATGGCGTCGGAAGGTGTTGCATTAAAAGGCGTCCAAAGGGTGCATGGGGCAACAATGACCGTATGGGCGGAAATGCACACGCAGAGCAAATGCGCCTGGACGCTGTCAAAGCGGAAGCAGATCGAAAAGCAAGACAGCATCAAGGCGAAATTGGTTTACCGTCATTCCATGAATACGATCCATCGCAACCATTGAAGGCTAGAGTCTCGGGCGAAGATGTCTTTTTGGACGAGGAGGATGGTGTGCCATATCGAGACAACCAGAGCGTCTCCACCGCTGGCAGAGCCGGCATGGGGTCTCATGGTCGTCTTCCATCACGAAACGGCTACGCTGGAGGAGGTTACGTCCAGGCTCCTCGTGGCACGCGCGCTGTAGACGAATATAACAACTCTTCTCCATATGCGGCGCCGCCACACCGGAAGAGTAGCACCTTAACTCAAACCACGTCATCGAGCATTTATCCACCGTCCTCTACAACTCACTCAATGTCGCCTCTAACTTCGTATGTTCCCTCTGGGGTTGCAGCTACCGCCCCAGTGCACAACGCCGCCGGCGCTTACTATAGTGACCCATACTCCCCACAGGCATATGGTCATGTGGAAGGTGTCTCTTGTGAGTAACAGCTCAGCGGTACTTGTGCATTTCTTATATGATGATTACAGCCCGCACCCCTCCGCAGCAACATGCGGTGTATAACCCTTGGGAACCGCAGCAAACACCATCGTTCAACGCAGATACATACAATGCTACGGGTGTGGTAGCTGCGGCTTCATATGCTGGTGCATATAACCCCCAACCTCATCAGCCCGAGCAGAGCTATGGTGCCAGCACTACTAGCGTTCCACAGCCGTCGGACCCATACTACACTTCAAATTATCAGAGCCCGACCAACGCACCAAGGTCTCCGCCGCCACCCAACACCAGTGCGTATGCGGCACCTTCGAACACGAGCGCTGTGAAGGGTCCGAGAGGGCCGCCGACGCCTGTGGTGATGTCCCCTCCGCAGATGTACAACGACAATCCACCAACGTATGAGGATGGTCCGTCGCGAGCGCCTGTACAATGGAAGAGCTGAATGCGATGTATGGTATCTTGGTGATTTCATTTGCTATAAGTACATGCTACATATTTATTCATCAACGGACCATATCAGGTTTGACTGTAGGACTTCATTTATTTAGATACCCTCTGTATTCTATTACGAAACAGTGGCTTGTCTCGAATGACAACTTAGCATGAGTACTGACAGCAAGTCGCGTCCTCGTCCCGTGTTCTAAAGTTCGTCGGTGAGGGTTCGCTTTCGCTGTACATGTCGCTTAGGAGGTTCGTCGGTAACGAACAGGGTGAGGAAGTCGTCTGCAAGGTTAGCAGCAAGGATTCCAGTGACATCAGCTGAATTGGACTGTGAGCTCCCTCGTCAAAATCGGGGGATGGATCTTACCATTATCGTATGCTGGAGCAACCTCGACAATGTCAGCCCCACTACAAACGAGTCGTCAACTACTTGTATAGGCCCGTGAATGATGAAAAAAATCTTACACAAAGTTCAATCCAGCAAGACCTCGAAGAATTCGCTTGGTTTCTCGACTGGTCCATCCAGCAGGCTCTGGTGTACCAGCTACCTAGACATCAATAACCTCATATCTGTCGCACTGATGTTGCGCTCACTTGCGGGTGCCTGGCCAGGGTCTATCAGAGAGAAGTCAGTACCCAATGGTTATCGATCAACTGGAACATCTGCAGACCAATGGTGTCAATGTCAAAGCTGAGGCAGGAGGCAATGAACGTCAATGTTGTGATCATTAGCGATGCATTGCTTAAGACACACCTCAGGTAAACAGGGGAATCGCCGATGCGTTGTCGGATGTGCTTGATGATCTCATCTGTTCCAAGGTCGTCGATATCATCAGCCATGATAAGCTCAAAGCCAACTTCTTCGTCATGTTCGATCAGCTCAGGGCCCTGTCCATTCAAAGTCCGTCAGCTCGAGCCAACTTAAAACTTAAGGAAATCACTGGCCTCCACTTTGTTCCGGATCCCAGCATGAATACTGGTGTTGGACATAAGTCCCTCCTCGAATGCCAACGTGAAATAGGTCCCATGATTGACCTTGGACTGTTCGCTAATGCGTCCCGAGCTCGGCCAGGTGTCGACGTGTGCATCAAAGTGAATGACAGAGATAGGTCCATAAACCTTATGAAGAGATCGAAGAATCGGAAGCACCTAGGGATCATTCAACATGTGAAACCCGGGGGGTGCAAGGGCATGTTATCTCACGATGGTATGGTCTCCGCCTACCAGCGTATGATCAATTACACGTTCACGAATGAGATTAAGGTCTGGGGCTCACCTAATGTCAGTATACGAGGGTGTTCCACCTCATCACGCGCAAGCTTTGCGGTGCGCGAACTAGCACTTCCATTCACGGGTCGTGCCAAGAGTGTGTTATACGCAGTTTCCATTTGATCAATAGCTAATGCATTGTCATAGGGGCTGACAGGGACCTGTTTAAACCCTCTGTCAATACGTTTAGACACCTATGATATGCCAAAACTTACGTCTCCACAGTCAATCATTGTTGCACGGGTGAACGGGTTCGTCATCCAGTCCAACGCGTAGCCGCGCTCAGGGAACTGACGTCTAGAGCCAGATCTAATTGCAAATGGTCCGAAGCGTGCACCTGGTCTGTAAGAAGTCGCTGTGTCAAATGGCATGCCTAGAACAGCAATGTCAAAGGTTGTCGATGGATCATCCAGACAACGTGTGTAGGGTAGGTGGGAGTAGCTCATAAATCCCGTGAAACCGAGGTCTGCCACTGTGCCATATTTTGCTGTCCATGGCTCCTGCTGCTTGGTTTCGAGGGCATGTTGCTGCGCATAAACAACGGGAAGTAGCGCGAGAGGAAGGTATCTCATTGTCAATGGTGCTTCTTCGACGTTAGCAGCGTCAACTTACGAGGGCAATCAGGATAGATCTCCGCGACTGAGAACAACTTATATTGCATCTCACGTAGTGTTACATACTCCAGAGGTATTTCTGTGTTATCTGCACACCTGATTGGCACGTGGTGATATGGGGAACAGACAAAGATAGCTTGGAAAGTTAGAAGCGTCAAAGTTCGTCTCGAGGCCAAGAACCCGGAAGTGCGTGTGGTGTGGGAGGCGATTGAGACATGAACATCGATAGAAAATCGTGTACAAGGTCGGCCGCCGCCGTGCCTGTGATTTCGGCTGTGAAAGAATTGTCTCAGTCCCGGCCGCGAACAGCTATTGTCAAACAAACCATGATCATAGACAGGGGCGACCTCTACTATGTCGGCGCCACTGTGTCGCAAACAAGGAATTAGAGTTATGGGAGCCAATGATAGCCAGGTTACCCACACGAAATTCAATCCAGCCAGGCCACGGATGATTCGCTTGACCTCCCTGCTCGTCCAGCCTCCTGCCTCGGGAGTTCCAGCTGAATTTCAAAAATTCAAGCTTTGTTTCAGCTATTCTGGTAGTGGGACGTACTAGCAGGTGCAAGACCAGGATCTGTTCAATTTGTTACATGATGGGCAAATCAAGGATGATTATCACATACCAATAACATCAATATCAAGACTATTGTCCCTTCAGCAACATTCTAAGCAATATGTAAAGCGGGCATACCTCAAGTAGACAGGTGTGTCACCAACACGTTCCCTTATGCGCTTGATGATCGCGGGAACCCCGTGATCATCGATGTCATCGCTCGTAATGAAGTGGAATCCAACCGATTCATCATTTTCAATGTCTCCAAGTCCCTGAATTCAGAAGTGTTCAATACATAGGATAAAAAAGAAGAGCCTTATTTACCACTAGTTTGCATCGAATACCAGCATGGATGCTCGAGTTCGAAACCAAGCCTTCTTCGTTAGCTACGTAAAAGAAGGTTCCGTGGGTGATGCGCGACTGCTCAGTCACGGTTCCGGGATATCCATTCCAGGTGTCGAGGTGTGCATCGAAGTGAATGACCGAAACCGGTCCATATACCTTGTTAAGAGCACGAAGAATTGGGAGCACGATTGTGTGATCGCCTCCAAGGCTTCAAACGATATCAGGTATTTGCTTGGAGATGTTTGAATTGGACAAACCTGACGATCCTTGGGCGCTCGCGCCCGTCCTTCGCAAGTTGAGCACCCTTCGCCCAAACGGACTGCTTCGAAGCAATAGGACGATTTAACAAGGTGGAATATGCGACTTCCATTTGGTCCATGGCAAGAACATTGTCGAATGGAATTACAGGAACCTATGTACTTGTCAGTTGCTCATGTCAATTACTTGGCTTGAAAAAGCGCACATCACCACAATCGATTATTTTTGATCCTTGCTCGTACGGGTTATTGCCCCAAGCCAAGCTATATCCGCGAGCTTCCCTCTGTCTTCTGCTGCCTGAACGAATCGCGTAGGGTCCGAAGCGAGCACCAGGGCGATAGGAGGTGCCTGTGTCAAAAGGCATACCGAGAACTGCTATATCGAACTGCGCAGATTCGTCTTCCAGACAGCGGGAATAAGTCATGTGAGAAAATGCCAATGGACCAGAGAAAGGTTGGTCAATCTGGGGACCATATTTTGACAACCACGTCTCAGGCTGTTCGATAGTGTCGTCCAAAGGGACCTGGTGTGCGAACACGGTCTTGACAGAAACCGCGCAGATTGCAAACTGAAGGAGTCTTTTCAAAGTCATGCTAGTAACGTTGGTTATTTGGGGAGACGACCTATGTCCACTCGAGATTTGAGAGACAGGCGAATTCTTATCTGGAAAATGGGACAGACGAAGTCAGTGCCATGTGTCCTGATAAGGGACTTCAAGAAAGCTCCAGGCGCCATATTCTTGACACAGAAGATTAGAGAAAACGAACTATGTGATCAGCTGTTCAAAGAAGGATGTACATGAGGCGAGGACAACGTTTAGAATGAAGATAACTTTGTGCGCAAAGTTAGAAGGACTGGCTAGCCGCTATCTGCATCACGGATCCCCGGGGCCCGTGCGGTATGCACGAACTACCGTGACTGAAAGGAGTGTGCACGCGGGCCCGGCGGAGACTCGAAATCAAAAACTCAAAAATACACGTGATTTACTACGCGACTACTACCCACACCCACCACGACACAGTTCCAAAGCAAACTACAGTACAAAGCATGTAGGCTCAAAAAAAAAGGAAGACAAGCACCACACAAACATCAATTACAGTCACTACAATGGTCTCCGATGAGCGGCTGACGTGCGCAAGGGCAAAATCTGCCATTGGCGGCGTTTTCTAGCATTCTCACCTTCTGCGGGAGCATCCCGCTGACCGATCGTCAAAACTCTGAGTTTTCTGAGAAGCTCGTGAGAGTCATCTGCTTCTCCTTCTACGCCTCGATCCTGTTCTAAAGTTTCGTCTTCGGTGAGGTCTATATCCCCACTGAAAACATCCTCAGGAGTTGCCTTTCGCTGTGCTGTGCCACCAGAGAAATACGAAATGGGGGATATCACAGCGGAGCTTAGGAAAGCCGATGCGTTATCTAACAGTGACTTTGGCTTGGGCATTGGAATTGATGACAGGACGTATGTCTTTCGCATCCACGCAGTTGAAGTTTGCGCGGCTGGCGGAGGGTATGCAGGATCACACTGGAAAGATGCAGTGATCTGCTGAGTTTCTCGAGAGTAGGAGAAACGAGGTAGAGGATGCGAGTATTCGTTTGGATATGGTTGGGAGATGGGTCGGCGATGTCGGAGTACTAAATGGTCCCCTAGATCTACTGTAAGATTCTGCAGCAGATGACCGACATTGATGTCGCACCTTCGATATCGATCGCATGTCCTGATGATCTCGAGCAAAGAGCGCCCGATGTATCGATGAAGAATACCTGGATGGCACGAGTTTCATTCCTTGATCGACATTCACGCATACGTGACAAACTTACCTGATTATTGGCATCTGGATTTCTCAAGGCTGATATCTTTTCAGACTTAACTTGTATGCGCACGGAAGGCAAACTCACTTTCAACTAAAGACTTCTCTTTCTCTGGCCAGAGTAGAATCTCGATGCCATCTTCTACATCATCTCCACCAACGTCCCACAGCCTACCATTCGCAAGATTACGAATCACGAAGTATCCTGGAGGAAATCCATAGAGCTGAGCACTCGCAGCCATGGTGGTGGTCAAAGGCAGTGGGCGGGGCAATCGCACCGTTCTGCCAAGCGCGCCAGGAAAGGAAAGCCCCTGGTTTCACTAGACTCTCAGGCTGCGGTTGCCTGTCGTCCCCCATGTCACACTACTATGCCGCTTCGCAGCTACATTCTCAGCATTAATGTCGTCAATTGTGTCTTGACGAGAAATCCTGCCTCCTTTGACATGAGACATTACATTCGGGACAACTCTTCAAGCTTCCCGTGCAATCTTTGTTTGGGGGTACTAGACAGATTCGCTGCCTACTTTCAAATCATGAGTCGAGGGTGACCTGAATGAACCAAAGACGCATAAATAAAGGCGGGCCGAGTTCTACAATCCTGTTAGTGACTGCATACTTAGTCTGTTGAGGTGAATGAACTTTGTCCTTCCTACATGTCGTGACTCGTAAGCACCGCTGCACCAGTCCTTGCACATAACAACGCCCATGGCCAGGTTTTCAGCCGAATAAATGGTCTTTTGTCCAATCAACACACCTCATGGGTATCCAGGTGTCGATAATATTCCGATACTATTCATGTTCCGATATTAATACTTCGGCCAATCGATGATGGGCGTTTCCAAACGGTGTTCAGCGCCCTCCTGTTCACACCCCGCGTACCGCCTTCCTCCGTACCGCCTTCCTCGTTCCTTTTGCAAAGAGAAACATCTTGAGACTTACTCGATGAATGAAGACAATCCTCCCAGTTGGAAGAAGCGCTGGGGGTGGCTGAAATCAGGTCGTTCAGACGCTCATTTGCCAGAGGAAAGGACAGCCAGTGATGTATGGACTTTCGCTTTCCTAACTATGCCTTGTTTCTAATGATTGCAGTCGTACTCTCTCCTCCCTTCGAAAAATGCATCTCGCAGACGATTCTCGCGAGTGGTTCCCAAGTTCATTGGCAAGGTCACCAACCGTTCTGCTTCAAGTGCTCGACAGTCTCCCAACCCTGAAACCACCGCTGCAAGCTCCTGTGCACCAGTTCTCCTGCACTCTCAGACAAGCCAGGTCTGTGCAAATCTTGGTACTCTCAACATGTGATCTAACTGCCGCAGGTTCTTTCACCACTCACCACTACTACTCCCGAACTTAATTCTGACCAGTCTTCTGATTTACGCATTGCAAAGGTAAGTTCGACTATTGCAGTTCGCAATGTTTTCATCGTTCATCTACTAAGTCCCTTCATCAGGCCGAACAACCTGACCCGAAGCTTGTAAGAACAGCGCTCGCGAATGCCAAAGCAGAATTCGAAGGTGTCAAACATGTCTCAGGAACGGTTGACAATGCTACTTCAGCGTCCGATAACCCACAATCCATTCCAGATACCATCGACGCTTTTCCCGCGATTCTTGGACCTCTGAAGGTGTTCAATTCCGTCGCCAACGGGCTTGCAGATGTACGGGCCTCTATCTCAATTTCTTATGTGGCTGATCTTCGTGCATAGGTTCATCCGTATGCAAAGGCGGCATTGAGTATCTTCACCTGCGCGTCCAAGGTATGCTTGTTTTTTTTCCATACCCATAAACTTCGCAGATTACTAAAATTGTCTGGGCGATAGATGATTCTCGATCAGGCGATCCGGGATTCTGCTGTGTCCCGTCTACTTTCGAAGATCTCGGACGTCTATGCTTTATTAATGGAACGGGGGGGATTGGCTAGGATTTCATCCATGCTAGAGATATATGGAAAGATTGCGCGACAGACACTCGCGTGTGCCGACTTCGTCGTTCATTACTCGGAGATGAAGAGCTTCTGTGAGTCGTTTCAGCCACGGTGACGCTCAAGACTCAGTCTCTCTCTACAGGGAAAAGACTTGGCAAGCACGTCTTCAACGAAACAGAGGCTGCGATCCAAAGCCACGGTGAGGTTCTCGACAACCTCATGCAACAGTTCCAATATCTAATGGCTCTTACCACCATCGAAACTGTCCACCGTATGGGTACGATTGACTTGTATTTCTTTACAAGCCTTCTCTAACTTTCGATACCGATGATTCAGCCGAGGACCTGGACGTTAGCGGCATGGATTATGTGTCTGGTGCTGGACGGAATACCTCCAAGAATTGTCTCCAGGGCACTCGGGAAGATATTCTATCCGAGATCAAGTGCTGGATCCGTAGCACGGGGGAAGACGTGCCACGCATCCTATGGTTGTCCGGCACTGCAGGGAAAGGCAAATCAGCCATCGCACATACCATAGCCAACTGGTCTCATGAGCGTGGGGGAATGCAAGCTTGTTTCTGTTTTGACCGCACAAGGGAGGCGGAGCGTCGCCACGAAAAGATATTCACCACAATCGCACGCGACTTGGTCGATTGCGATATTACTATGCGGGAAGCATTAGCGCATGCGATTCATGATGATAACGAGCTCAAGCACACCGTAGACATCTCAAGACAATGGCAGGAGTTAGTTGTAGGACCGATCGGCGAGGCCTCGAAGGCAATCACTGCACCCGTCTTAATAATAATCGATGCGTTGGACGAGAGTGGCGATCCCAAATCCCGAGCACAGATTCTCCGTCTGCTTGCTGGCGACCCGGACACTGCTTTCCCCCGGATATCGCAACTTCCAGCACACTTCCGCATAATCATCACCTCCCGCCCCCTCGAAGACATTGGGGATGCCCTGCAGACCGCGTCACATGTTTTTCGTATTTCTATGGATGAAATTCCGGTCGACTCCACAGAACACGACATCCAGTCTTATATCTCCAACTTGTTGAAAGGCCCGCATGATGCATTTGACGAAGGGCACTTCAAGATGCTTGCTCAAAAGGCTGATGGCTTGTTTGAATGGGCTCGTCTTGCCTGCGAATATATTCAGGGAAAGAACAGAGTACGGCCAAATCCAATGAACCGTTTCGAAGCCGTAGTTACTGGAACATCTGGAAAAGGAACACGTCTATTGGATGATATGTATAGACGCATCCTGGCTGACAGCATGCCAGAAGATGAGCGAGAGGAAACGATCTCTGCGTTTTGCTCTGTGATGGCGCAAATCCTTGCGTTGTCAGAGCCGCTTCCCATGGCTGCATTAACCGCGATGCGAATGCATTTTCCACGCGTACATGACTGTTACGACGTGCGCCAGGTGATTGGGTCGCTGGGTTCGCTTCTCAACGGGACTACAGATTCTCAAACTCTCATTCGTCCCCTTCACGGGTCCTTCTACGACTTCCTCACAGACATATCACGGAGCCAGGACTTCTTCGTTGACGTGTCATTGGTACAGAATGATCTTGCCTTTGCCTCCCTTCGGGTCTTGGAGGGCGGACTTCGCTTTAACATTTGCTCTTTAGAGAGTTCTTACTTGCTGAACTCTGCTGTCCCCCATTTCGCAGAACGAGTAAAGAAGTCCATTTCGTCGGAGCTATCATACTCATGTCGATTCTGGGGGACTCATGTCAGCGCTACCTCCTTCGAATCATCCCTCGCTATGGAAGTTGAAGCTTTCTTTGACGGAGAACGCCTTCTTTGGTGGTTGGAAGCACTAGCTCTAATGAAAAACCTCAGGGGCTCGGTGATGACCCTGTCGTCTATCGCGAATTGGATAATGGTGCGTAGCTCAAACTCATTCTTAGAGCTACTGGATTCTTACAAGTAGTGGGGTGGCCATAGGGTCATGCCGAGTACACGCATATCGGTGAAGCTGCAAGGGACACGCTGCGCTTCGTTCGAACCTTCGCGGCCACCATTCTGCGCAGCACTCCTCATCTATACTTGTCCGCTCTGCCGTTCGCTCCAACTCAATCGAGAATATTTCGCAAGTTTGCCGCAAAATTTGCTCGTACCCCACGTATTGTTGCTGGCCATGTCGTAAATTGGCCTCAGATGGAAAAGATACTCCACATGAATGACCAGGTTTGGTCGGTTTCGATGTCGCCAGACGGAAAACGCATTGCGTGTGGTTCATACGATGGAACTATCCAGATGTGGGATGCGGAGACTGGCGAGGCATTGTGTGCCCCTCTCCAAGGCCACATGGACTGTGTTGCGTCTGTCGCGTTCTCGCCGGATGGACAACGCCTCGTGTCAGGTTCATTGGACAGGACAGTCCGAGTATGGGATGCGGCGACTAGCAACTTGAAGGCATTGGGTTCACCTCTCCAAGGCCACACTAATGGTGTTGTGTCTGTCGCCGTCTCGCCGGATGGAAATCGCATCGTATCTTGTACTCCTGGGACAATCCGGGTGTGGAATATCAGGACTGGCGAGGCCTTGGGTTCCCCTCTTCCTGCCAAATATACTACATCTGTCGCATTTTCACCGAACGCAAATCATATTGTATCCGGCTCAGATGACACGACTATCCGAGTGTGGGATATGGAGACTGGTAAGGCATTGGGGGTTTTCCGAGGGCACACTGGCGGCGTTCAGTCTGTTGCAATCTCGCCGAACGGGAAACACATCGTGTCCGGTTCAGCCGACAAGACGATCCGGGTGTGGGATATGGAGACTGGCGAGGCATTGGGTGCCCCTCTCCAAGGTCACACTGACTTGGTTTGGTCTGTCACAATCTCATCGGATGGAAAGCGCATCGCGTCCGGTTCAGCTGATCAGACAATCCGAACGTGGGATTTGAAGACTGGAGAGGCATTAGGATCCCCTCTCCAAGGCCACACTAGCTCGATTCGGTCTGTTGCCATCTCGCCAGATGGAACCCGCATAGTCTCCGGTTCATACGACAAGACGATTCGGGTGTGGGATGCTGACACTATTACGGGCAAGGCGTCGGTTGCCCTCCAAAGCCACACTGCCTCCATTAACTCTGTTGTAATATCGCCAGATGGAACATGCATCGTATCCGGTTCACATGATAAGACGGTACAGGTGTGGGATATGGGCACTGGCGGTGCATTGTGTACCCCTCTCGAAGGGCACACTGACTCCGTGAAGTCGGTTGCAATTTCGTCAGATGGAGATCGCATTGTGTCTGGTTCAGCAGACATGAGCATCCGCGTATGGAATGTGGAGACTGGCAAGGCATTGGGTGCTCCTCTGCTAGGTCACACTTGGTCCATTGACTCTGTCGCCATCTCACCAGATGGACATCGCATCGTGTCTGGTTCAGAGGACAGGACAGTTCGGGTGTGGACTATGGGTTCTGGCGGGGCATCAGGTAACACTCTCAAAGAGCACGATGACTGGGTGCGGTCTGTCGCAGTTTCATCAGACGGAAATCACATAGTGTCTGGTTCAGATGACCACACAATTCAGGTGTGGGATATGGGGACTGGCAGGGCCTCGAGCGCCCGTCTCCGAGGCCACACTGACTGTGTCCTCTCTGTAGCCATCTCGCTAGACGGATGTCGCATCGTGTCTAGCTCAGACGACAAGACCATCCGGGTATGGGATATGGGAACTGGCGAGCTCTTGGGCACGGCTCTCCAAGGTCACACTGCGTCTGTTAATTCTGTTGCAATATCATCAGATGGAAATTATATCGTGTCCGGTTCAGATGACAGGACGATCCAGGTGTGGGATATGACAACTGGCGAGGCAGTGGGTACCCCTTTCCGAGGGCACACTGGACCTGTTCGTTCTGTCGCAATCTCGCCTGATGGCAAACATGTCGTGTCTGGATCATCGGACAAGACTATCCGAGTGTGGGATATAGAATCTCTCAACCGGTACCACCCTTCCGCACCTGCAATATGTTTTTCACCTAACCCAATCCACGCTCTTCATTCTGCCTCCTCCTTTCTCCAAGACTCTTCCACCCCAGCCTCTGTCACCGCGAACGAGGATGGATGGGTTGTCGGTCCCGAAGGACGGCTTCTCCTGTGGATCCCGCTTAATTTTCACCCGCTCATGTATTCCCCCGGCAACACACTCGTGATACCCAATCACGCCTCGCAGTTCGATTTGAGTTGTCTCGCGCATGGCACGTCTTGGCACAAGTGTCGGGAATAGGAGATTACCCTGTCTTCGTGATGATATATCCTGTATGTCGCGATTTGCCAATGTGCTTGTTTGATTAATTGACGACGGCGATCAACAGGATTTTTTTATTTTTACAATTCACGTTTGCCTCGGTCAAGTTTTTTCATTCCTGTCTTTTTTGTTGTTTACAAATTTCACTGATACACGATGTTTTCATGATGCCCTGAGTCGTACTACTAGCTGTACATGATGATCTCTACACGTACTACCGCTTCCTATGTTACGTTACGAATCGCATCCTTTTTCTCGTAGTCGTTGGGATAGCGGGCAGTGGCTTAGGCGAGAACCCGCTGGACGAGCCAGTATTGCCATTGATATAATGGACACCTCCCCAATTACAACATGCATGTAGTTCGAAATGACCGACCGAGCTCTTCATGATTCCAACCCATCGAGTGGCGCATGGAGTTCATTGTGCGCAGCAGAAACTGCAGCAATGCAGCATCAAGTATCATACAATCGGTACCGTAAATACTCTACACAACGACTAATTCCAATGTACAACATATAAATATCCAAGTAGAATCATAATATTACAGGCATCACGCCTCTCCTAGGCACCCTCTATTCATTCTCTTCGATATCAAATGCACCGGGGATTCGTAATGTTCGTCTAGTGCGCGTAGCCCTTTCGTCACGCTCTACGTTCTGCTTCTCCATCCAATCCTCCAGACCGTACGACATCTTGGAGAGACCTTTCCATTCGTGACGCGCGACGACGCTCTTCGACAATGAATGGCCCCCATCCCAACCAGCGCTCATCATCATTGGTTCCTGTGACAACTCTTGTCAGCATAATTGATCAAAGGGGGAAAAGATGAGCTGACATTGCCGTTCCAGCTGACATCTCGTACACAGACTGTGCTATTAGTGCTAGTGGGGAGTCTGCACTCCTCTGCGGAGGGATCGAATGACATGGGCGACGTCTTCGAGCGATCGAGAACCTGGACTATGCGTCCGTCGAGTGACCATATCTAGAAGTAACACGTATTAGATACAAGGAAGTCAATAGTAACAAGGACCCTAACGTGTATTTTCCCATCTGCTGAACCGGAGTAAATGTACTGTCCACCTGTCGTCTCAGCCGGACTAAAGTGGCATCGGATAAGTGTGCGTAAGACAGCATGACCTCTGTAGGTCATAACGCTACAGTCATTTGGGTGCGCAGCACGCCTTGGTTTCGGGTAATGACCATTGCTTAGCGAGAAAGTTTAGCTTTATTCTCACTCAAGCTGAGTCAACGCACCGGTAATCGAATCCACGTAACCTATATTCACGGTCAGCAACTTTGTCAAAGTCCTCGCCGCTGCACATCTTCCGCAAATCCCACAACCGTAAGGCCTGATCCTTTCCGTTCGAGATGATATAACGGCCATCACCTTTTGCCGAGACATTGGTAATACCCTCTGTATGGCCCACCAAAACTCCTGACGGTTTCTGTGATGCACCTAATGAACGCCGGTCCCTTTTACTCGTATAAGCGCAAGAGAGGCCGACCAAACCTGCGCACAACTCACCAAACTTTCAAAAACGTATCATCAGAGGCACTGATTAGCACATTTCCCGATGCAGTGTCGGCCCAACAGCAGCTGTTCACATCATCTTCGTGTGCAAGAATCTTGACTGTCCTACGATCAGCCAAGAGGTCATAAACTAAGGTGAAGCGGCTATGAGAAACCAAAGCTCAAAAATAAAATATAGAGACTCTACCAAATATTTGGCCGCTGCCACCAGCCACGACCTCATTTCCATCTGCGGAGAATCTACAGCTCCAGATGCCAAATGAGTCGTCATCCCAGCCCCAGTGTGCACGAGCTCGCTGGCGTTGATTAGGATCCTTAAAGCTGATGGCAGTTTGGGTGACCGATGAGTCGAGTGTGTTTGTCATGTACACCGTGGGTGACTAATCTCTGTATAAGTTGGTGGAATGTGCAGAACTGTTGCACTTACAATTGACGAGTAAATCATTCTATGACAACATGAGCATGATTTGAAGGAAAGATAAAATTACTCGCCTTTCGTTGTCAGGACTCAAATGAGAATCTGTAATTGTCCAACGACCAGTACACCCCTGTATAGTTTTCAATATCCTGAGGGTTGTGTCATGGTCTCGGTCGCTATCATCCCAAACTCCTGTAGCGCTGCGCCGCATGTTCCTTTGTCGCTTGATGTACGGCGAAGGAGGTGAAGTCATGTCATAGATATGAAGGCGAAAATCTGAGGAGCATGAATTGCTGTCCCGCAAGTGCAGTATATCACACACCTTGACAGCAGGTATAGTAAAATGAAGAATCTGTAGAGCGGCATCAGACAATGGATCAGATAAGGGAACGAACATATTTTACCTTTCGAGAATTGTCCACAGTAAACGTTTGCGGCGTAGGACGCAACAGCAGTTCCATTCGTATTCGGAATGATATCCTGTAAGAAGTTCAGGCCGTTGCATGAAATATAAGAAAGTGACATACGCTAGTCATATTCTCTCTAGAAATCGCCCCTCGGAGTCGAGAAGACTGGTCGAGGATCATTCGCGAGATATTCTTTTTGTTTCTCCTGCTCCTGATCTTCGAACTCACAGAACCGAATTCTCCCCCCATGAGGAGCTCGACCCCTAGCTGCTGAGGTTCCTTGTGCGGAGGGTGCCATTGCTGGTTCCAGTCTCCTGTGGGTCCAATTTCGTCGTCGTCGTCGTCGTCATATTCATCATAATCATTAGGAGACTCCACAGAACGTGAGTTCAGCAAACGCTGCAAGTCTTGAATACTGATGGTCCTGAGCTGTCGAGGTTCACTTCCGTTACCGTTACCACCAGTGTCAGTCCGGTGTGCATTTTGTGAGTCAAATAACGCTACAAGTTTGCAACGCATGAGCGGGACATACCCTGCAGCGAGTGAACTCACATAGGAAGATTTGGCGCAACATAGGTGATCCCTGTGGGACTCCGGTGCGCTCCCGCATAGACTCTTGCATGTCCTCTAAATCCAAGACAGTATCATCTTCCTCGTCGACATATGCGTCGGGGCCATCATAATCATCATCGTCTTCTTCGAGCATCTCGAAATCGATTCGGTCGTACTCAGACATGATGCACAAGATCGAACTGGCTGTCACTGAATCTTAGGTGTCAGTGAGAAGAATTGGTGTGGTTATCTTTCTGCCGTATGGACTCAAGCCACGTGAACTCCTCTCTGCGGACCGGTACAGCTCAGATTGCCCGACGGAATGGATTTGCATGACGGGTTACATAGGCCATAAGTACATCCAGGTTTTCAAAACACCTCTTTGCACAATATTATGCAGTGTTGGAGAATACATAGTGTCCACCGCCTCGCTGCGAGTATTCATCGCAACGCAATATTAGACCCAGCAGGGTCTTATATATCATTTACGAGGGCTACAGAAAGAGCAGCTTGAGAAAATCGGTTTACCACACATGAAAGTTCAAGTAAGAGGTTGAATAGAAAGCTAGAAGCAATTCGTTAAGTTTGCCTACGAAAGTGAGAAGTGACGAATTGCAACTCCGCTAATGGCTCGAGAGCTACATAGCTTGGTTGAGCACACACATATATCACTCAGAGAGCAGCTATGCCGGCGCCCCTTCTCATCACAGCGGATCAGGTCAATTGCCTGATACATGCTTATTTTTTGGATTCTGGTGCGGTTCCAATTATTCTTCTGGCTATCTATGTCATCTGACTCGTTGTTCCAGGCTTTCAGCACTCTGCTTTCGCCGTACGAATGGAAGGTCGTCTCGACCAGTCGCCTCACATCAAGAAGCACATTCCACGCGGTGAACTCATCGAACTTCTGAGCAAAGCGCTCCTCTACTCCGAGGTCGAGGCCCATTGGAAGGGCGACGAGTTGTCTACAAATTGTTCAGCTCCGTTTTCACTCCTAGACCCTCACGCATGTTCGCTCCAGCCTCTTTCTACAAACGACGTACGTGAAACTAGTGCCGCTAAGGTGAATGGCGATACTACCGGTAAAAGGAAGGCAACCACCCCCTCTGAAGATGCCCGCGCCGAGAAGAGAGCAAGGAAGGAGCAAGACGAGAAGGACGCGCAAATGAACGTCGACAGTGCGTTCATTCCAGCATTCATTCCACTTTGTCCTCACTTATCACAGGCGCACCCGCCGCAAAGCCAAAACCGAAGGACGTCAAGTCAGACGCATCTCAAGTCGTACCAGAACCTCCCGTTAAGAGGCTTAAACACAAACCTAGTGTTGTCGGAGCACGTCCTGGTGCCGTCCGGTTCTTACAGGCCCACAAGACCGAAGTGCGTATCAATACATCACTCTCAACGCCCTATTTACGATCTTCTCTTAGGTTTTTGTTGTCGCATGGAATCCTTCTACAAAAGGCCAGCTAGTCTCTGGGTGTGCTTCCTCTAACATCAATATTTTGTTCGTGCAATTTACCTCTTACTATCTAGGTCGCGTGATGCTGTTGTGAATTATTGGGCCGTGCCCGATGGACCAAACAATGATCATACAGCCCTCATACAACCAACTCTAACTTTGTCAGACCTAACTTTAACTTCGCAGGCTGATTTGACATCATTGAACTGGAATCATGATGGCTCACTCGTAGCTGTTGGCTCCTATGATTCCATCCTAAGAGTTTACACCGCAAATGGAGAAACGTACTTCTCTAACGGTCACCACCAGGTACGATAGAGCGTCAATCTTTCCTTCTCCTTATGCATGTTCGGTAGGGTCCCGTATTCGCTGCAAAATTTTCACCCTCTGGCCAATGGATCCTGACCGCCAGTCTAGACTGCACCTCATGTGTATGGGATGTCAAGCGTAAGAGAGTATATCAACAGTATCGTAATCACGGAGGTATGTTATTGGGCTACGACAATTGGTATCCTGTTGAACTTGTGGGGAAGACGCATGCTGCTTGGATATCGAGTGGCTGGACGATTGTACTTTCGCAAGTTGCGGCGCAGACAAAGTCATTCATATCTTATCCTTGACAACGGCAATTACCGATCCATTGCATACTCTTGAGTAAGCTTTCTTGTGGATAAATCGCGTTGAAAGTCTTAATGTTCTTCAAGGGGCCATGCAGGGGAAATCAACTCTATCAAGTGCAATCCTTCTCGAACCCGGCTAGCATCGTGTGCGGACGACGGTACCGCGCGTATATGGAACATCGAAAACATACATTCCGAGAAAGCTTTACCAGACCCTGTAGTACTCAATGGTCACCAACAATGTCTCACCTCCATAGAGTGGTGTCCTGTCACTGGACCTGATGATCATGAACTGGTTGCAACGTAAGTTTATGCTCTGATTTCGGTGAATATTTGCTTCATAACAAACATATCAGAGCCTCGTTTGATGCCACCGCCCGACTGTGGGATACTGTCACAGGAGATTGTACCAAGGTCTTCGCGGACCACACCAAACATGTCTACGCCGTTACCTTCAGCCCCGATGGGCGTCACCTCGTCACTGGCGGAGGTGATGGCTCGTTGATTATATACGAAGTCAAGGCGAGTCGTTTACTTCTTCCAAATTGCATCTGCTGAAACCGAGCCATTTAGTCAAAGGAGAAGAAATGGTCGTGGTACACAGGCGAGAAGTCTGGGATATTCGAGATTGACTGGCGAAGTTGGGGGAATTCCAGCTTGATTGCGTTGGCTCTGGAACGTCAGATGGTGGCTATTGTTGATCCTGGCAAGGTGCCTGCGCTTTACACTTGATTCCTACCTGGACTGTATTACATTATCATTATTGCGCTATGTACCGCTTGCTAATCGGTTTGCTTTGCTCTTGATTGGAGCCGCCGTGGTGACGTAGTTCGCACGAAGCCGCCGGCAAGCGTTCCGTTATAATGGCTGCGACGGTGCATAGATTTCTTCAGCGATCCCCTTGTCTCTTTTTCGTTACAATGTTGTATCTTGGTTTGTCGTCGGCTTTACGCTCTTCTCTTCGCCGAAATGTGGCGGAGGCAATCATAAGGCCCCGTCTGCAGCCCCTCTCGACGCGTGCGCAATCAAATAATGTGACCAACATGCGCAGTATGTTGCAAAACCGTCCGACCGTCTTGTCGCCTGCTCTGCTCTCCCGCTTCTCGCGCTCTATTACGACGGATGCACAGACTATGACAACCTCTTCATCCCAAGATGCTTGGAAGCGTTTTGGAATCACAGCGGTAATATGGCCTTAGACCACGACGTTTCTCTCACTGATATACTTCGGCTCATCAGGCTGTTGTTGCGGGTACTGTCATCCTAGCAGAAGGCTTCCTAAACAGAGACACGCGCGATAGATTGAGTCCAGCTGAACAATCCTACTTACATGAAAGTTTTCAGTACACAGGGGCTGGGCTAGCGTTGACTGCACTCGCCGCTCGGAGTTTGTTTAGGTCCGGTGTCGCCTTCAGGATCATGTCCGCGAACCCTTGTGAGCTTGAAGATGAGAGTAGCATGGAACTATTCTGAAGCTCTATTTGCAGGGGTGGTACTCGGTGTCAGTCTTGCGGGTAGCATCGGATCCATGATGGGTGTCTTCTACACGCCGCCGGAGCAGACCTTCCAGAAGCACGCCTTTTGGCTGGTATTTTTGATCAAACTAGCTTCTAGCATCTGAGCTGATTGTGATACAGGCATTCAATGCGTGTCAGGCCGCAACCCTAAGCCCGCTCTTCTTCCTGAGCCCTGCCATTTTATCTCGCGCAGCCCTCTACACGTGCGGCGTGGTTGGCTCTCTTTCTTACGTGGGTGCCACAGCCAAGTATATTTCACACTTGTTTCGAGGAAATGAAATTAACCAGTACCTAGGAATGACAAATTTTTGTATATGGGTGGACCGCTGCTGGCTGGCGTCACAGTCGTTGCTTTGAGTTCACTCGCTCCACTCGCTCTCCCGTTGGGTATGCGCGGCCTCGCTGTTGCAGAGACCCTATCTCTTTATGGAGGTCTTGCCGTCTTTGGTGGGCTTGTGCTCTATGAGTAAGGCTCCAATTCATTTCACAAACGGTCATTAATTTGTTCCCCTCAGCACTCAAAAGATTTTGCAGCATGCACGTATGGCGGAGATGGGTGCCATTCCCAGGGATACCATAAAAGAATCTGTTGCCCTTGAGCTCGACATGATCAACATCTTGTGAGTCATTTCAAATCTTTAGTTTCGACATTTGGCTAAAGCTTTCCCTTAGCATCCGCCTTGTTCAGATCCTGGCTATGCGCCAAAATAACCGAAAGTGACTGACTGATGGGTAACCGGTCCCCGATTGATTGATTTTTATTTTGCTTGGTTTTGATCACCACTCAGCATTTCTTGCATCACGCATAACCTATCTCAGTCCAATGTATTATTAGCTAGGGGGGTACGAATTTGTATCATGCAGTGGATCTCCCCAGATCCTGAAGAATATTGACGAATGCACCTGGGTCAATGATCTCTGTACCGCCATAGGTAACCCGTTTTCCGGTTTTCGCAGCCCATTCCTCCAGGTTCCCATACTCAACATAACCTGCCCCTCCAACAATAAATACCATGCCCTCTGAAAATGCCATTCTCTTCGTTCTACCTGTTCCGGTTGTACCTCCGCCTCCTTGACCGCCTTGACCACCTGTAATACCAAGGCCAGTATGTCGAGAAGCTCGGGGGTCAAGGAAAATATAGTCATCTGTTTCTTGCAGTGATTGGTTCGAAGCTGCAGAAGAGTCCATGATCGCCTCGGTAATTCGGGTAACAGGGAGTAATTTATTTGCTGGTAGGAAGTTCTTGACACCCGAAATAAGATTGTCAAGACCTCCTTCTTTGAGTCGGTCAGTGAGCTAGATTATAAAAGCATTAAATTCTATCTGGAAAGCAAAGGACAATACTGACTCTGTTTCCGAATGCTGTGAAGCCTCTGAAGAGCTGTTCTCCTTGGCCTGCACCGAGTACGGGCGTCGAGGTTCCTCCAACAGCAGTGGCTACTGTCATCCGGGAGATTTCCCTGGTGCGTTTGACATAATCGAATGCTTCAGTATTAGCTCCTACATTCTTTAACTCCTTTTCCAACTCGGCGATGTCTTCCTTTGAGATTGCGTTGTCCGGTGAAGACAAGTAGAAGACAAGAACTAGGCGCAGTTTATCCTCCGGTGTCAAGGTGCCACTTGGACGAGGAGCTCGAAGCATCTCTAGAACTGAAGCAACGGTCTAGATAGCAGTTAACACTAAGGATTATCGAGATGCTTTGATGGTGGCCGCACCTGTTTGTTGATGGCTTCTTCAGTGCTAAACAGTTCATCAAGCGCACGCTTCTTGATCTGCTCTAGCAATGCGGTGGCTATGTTCATATGAGTGTCGAGAACGGCCTTCCGTGCCGTCAGTTCTGGTAGCTGTGTGATCGCGGTCTTTAAGTGTGCAGCATTGGAAGATACGTCACTAATATTTCCGTCAGGAAATATGATACTGAAGCTTTAAGAGCACGTACATTTGCGAAATATCGTTGACATCACTGACGCCCGTAGATCGCGTGATCTCGGCAGCATCTTGCTTGTACTTGTTCAACTCCGTGTCGATCTCTTCAGCAACTTGAGGGAATGGGTTTGGTGCATTCTTTGCCCAGAAGAAGTCCTTCGAATCGAGATCATATGAGCGCTTCTGGGGTTGAGTGACAACTACGCGGTTGAGCTTGATCTCTAGACAATCGGACACCAAAGCTTGGTACGTCCATCCATGCGAGATCATGGATACGAGATCAACATTCCTATCAAGAACCAGCAGCACTTGGAACGGTTTCAGTAGTGTGGCGTGAGCGAGGAAAAGAAGAACATACGCGGTCGTTGCAGATTTGACAAGCCAGATGCATCTTGGGAAAATAATGATGATGTAGCCCCGTGAGTTCGGGAGGCAGAAAGAATCGCATCTCGTATTTTGATATCGAGCTTTTTTGCTATCATTTCCGCAGCATTGCCTTTGGGCGCGCGGATGATTGGAACATGGCCTTACACGTGCGATATTCAAGTCACCCTTCGACGATCCGTAAATATAATGCACTCACCCATCGTGACAACAGCACTGAAGAGACCATTGGATATCCGTTCAATCTCCTCTTCTATCTGTTGTTCGGTGGATGATGGGGAGTTTAGGAGTGTGTAAGATGTCACAGGTTGTGCCTGGGACGGCCCTGCCTGACCAGATAGCGTGGTAGGAGGCAGCGGTGACAACAATGAGAATAGTGAGGGAGAGGGTGCAATGAATGACAGATATTGATCGAGGACCTGGAAACGTGTATCAGCACGCTGAAAGCAGAATGACATGTACAAGATACCCACCTGCTCAACCAAGTCACCTGTTCCCGCGCTTGCAACAGAGGCCGCCAGCTCTTCCAGCAGGGCACGGGGGAGGGGACCTACAAAGTTGAGGTGGAAGGACTCATACAAGCATTTGTCGAGGTCTTCCGCTATCCGTCTTACATTGTCGAGCGTGGGCGCAACGAAGTAAATGGCCGGTACGTCTGGCAGTGGAGGACGTAAAGAGTGTAATTGTCTATGCAGAACTTAGATGCGAGTGATATCACAACGAATTATCGATACCTACACATGGAGCGTGACGCCGACGTCACGAAGGTCTTGTACTCGGAGAACTGTTGCCAACACGTCTTTCGTTTGCTGGTCTAGCACCAAGACTTTCCACACGGGAGGCCCATTGGCAGAGGGAACCTTGAGTCCAGTTGAAGCTTTTCCTGACGGTGTTCCTGGTCGTTGAACGGGATCTGACGGAGCATTCAGGTTAAGCAGTGCGAGCAACGCAGCCGTTTGTGCTTGCTGCAATGTTGTTGGCGCAGTTGCCTGGGCCGCTGACCTGTCAGTATCTGAGGGACAAAAGACGGATTCTTTGAGAACTCACATGCTTCAGAGCAGTACTTGCCATTTCGATGTCCCCTGCTTGATTTCACGCGAAAGACCAGTACTTGGTACTAGCTGCCAACACGATGCCACGTGGGGGATTGTCAGGTGACTTAGAAAAGGTCATGGAATTCGGTACGGTTTTCTTTCCTCTGACGGTCTTGATCACTCAGGCTACCAAGCTTCACAGTTTGCATCGAAGCACGGCTTCAGAGTCACATTCACGTCCCACACCTTATACCCCAGTAAAGAATTTAATTTGGTGTGTAACTACTAACTGATATGAGGATTCGTAGCTCGCAATTGCACCCGGGCTTATATTTTTTGGCTTGAGATAAAATTACTTTGGAACCGTGACCTAGGTCACCCGGTGGCCCACATCAATGGATCTCTCATGCCACATTAAGATTGACATGCTGGCCCAATATTAATGTTAGCCAAACCTCCCAAGCATCCCCGCGGTCGCGCATCACGCACTGGCATCTCACGGCACCGCAATTGCGAGGGGGATCTGATCAAGAGTGCTTAAAGGCCCTGGGTGCAATTTTATCTATATCCACTGTCTTTCTTTGATCCCACTAGTAAGTCTTCCTGCTTTCACTCACCTTCAAAGCAATCTGTGAGATTGAAGTTCTTGTATGAGGTATTCAATGCTGACATCTATCCAACAGCCCCCAAAAGCCAGTCACTTCTTTGGTATCATGGGTGGATCACAAAGCAGGGTGGAGAATCAACACGAGGAACACGCCGTTGCTGCTTCACGGCCTACGTTTAAGTCCTGGTCGCTCAGACACAGGCAAAAGAAAAAACGGCGCCATTCGAAATACGAATTGAAAAGTCCAGTTGAAAGAGAACCCGCTCCATGGGTTAGAGGTCACAAAGTATTTGTGGCCCTCGAGGACGGTCAGGGGGCATTTGTTCATCGAGATGCGCTATGACCCCACATGGGCTCTGAGTCTTGTGTATTATACTAAGCATCTGTTCGCGTTCACAAGTGAGTACCTGTGTCTCTCTCAGAAACATGTACATTTTGATGATAAAATGCAGCTATATGTATTTATCTTCCCATGCTCTGTGCACTTCGCAATCAAGGGTGTGCCGACGTTCGTATAAGAGAATGCGACGTTCGGCTTGATAACCACCTAATGTTCTTGTTCTCGCTGAGATTGGTCTGATAACTTATTAGGTGCGGTTGTACTTTTATTAATGGATCGTCTTGGAAACCACAGAATCTGTCTGAAGAAGGATACCTGCAGTGAAGTAGTTTCAATATCGCACATCGGTAATTGTAAGGCAGACGCAACAGTATTATTATGCATGGCGTAGACAACGGTCTGTATAGTAACGTTTTTAAACTGATGAGCATAGTGGAGGCTTTTCGAAACCGGACTTGACAAGGGTCAATCCATTCAACGGTCCGCGGACACGTTACTGAACCGAATATGGGCATACTTGGTTCATGATCTCTGAAAATTTGAATGCTCTTACGACCTGGTCATCGAAACGAAATTATTGACGGTCTCCACCTTACTTGATATCTTGCTTTGAGTTACTCATTCGTTACTTGCTTGCTGTATGCCCGCCCAGCCGAGGGCTCTTATGACTATTCATGCCGACGCCGGTTTGGCGCTACGACCTAGACGACTTCAAGATGGTCAAAGCCAAGGGTGGTCCACAACCGCCTCTGGAACATTCACTCCTTCTGATGAACTATCACTCATGTCAAATTTGCTGTCTGTAACACCAAACCCAGGCGGTTCAATGTTGTCTTCAAGCCCATACCCCGTGATGTATACCCCCACTGTAACCCCATCAACCTCAACACTTGTGTCATATTCAACTGCAATTGTTTCGGGATCCGACTCTTCATCCCATGTCTTTTCGTATCGAAGTACTGCGCAGATCCAGCCTGTGTGCATCGGAGATGGCTTAGATGCAGCTTCGGACGGAGTAATCGCGACTGTGGTGCTTCCAACGTGTGTCGGTCTTGCCATTTGGGTGAGTTATCACTTGGTAATCCTCTGCTGCGCCTATAGACTCAATTGGTCTTGAAGCTGCTGTTTGCTGTACTACGTCCGCGTTACCGACAAATATATGCTCTTCGAGAGTGGTTCGTGCAACAAGAGTAGGATGCTGGTATCTATGCAATAGTCTATGCTAACTCGTCTGTAGGTTGCGACCGCATCGGTTAAGCTCGAATCTTGGCGCCTTCCTCTTTCCCTCTGTACCTCTTGTTCCACCTACACCTTCAGACGTCTCCGACGCTGGACGGTCAGCTCCGGTGGACGCTCGTCTTTTTCCATCCGACGAGGAATTGAGCCAACGCACTCTGTGGACATGTCTCATCATCGTGCTTGGCTGGAGTTTGGTGGGCCTTGGTGGCGCCTTGCCGATATACCTCGTGTCTACGCCATGCCTTGCGCACTCGGCAAGTGACCCTGATTTCACCGGAGTCTACTCCACAATTCAAGACCTCAGCTTGCTACGTCTTCTGCAGCTTCTAGAAAACGACTCAGTGCTAGATGTAGTTCTCAGCGGTGACCAGGCTTCAAAAACTCGACTGCGCATCATTATTCTTGCCGTTTTGGCGGTATTCGCGGCCACGCTGCCAGCACTATATAAAATACTGAAAGAAATCAACAACTTCGTTGCATTCCGTAGACGTTGGTTAGAAGTGCGATGCGAAGGGAAGGAAATGGGTTGGCTGAGCTCAAGAAAAGCCTCCGGTTTTGCAGGATGGGGAGAGAAGCGCGTCAAGGATTATCTTGTCAAAATTGGACTCAGTTCTTCCTTAGGAGGCTCTTCTCGTTCCAACAACCGACCACCACACCTTTCACGCCGAACTCAGTCCTACTGTCAGAATCCGGATTCAGGATTCGAGGTCGACGTCCAAAGTCTGTTCACTGTATGGTAAGAAGGTGTGGAAGACAAATGATTACGAGCACTGATGGAGCAACATTTTCCAGCGACACTCACAATTTGGGACTTCTCATTCACGACCGAGATGAAATTCTGGACAACCTTGAAGTTGCAGAAACAAGATACATATCATCTTTCAAGATTTCAACGCCCGACCCCTCCATTGCTGATCTTGAAGTTCTCGCTTCCTATGAATCTGAAGAAATACCACCCAGGCCTCACATAGGCAGGCCTCGTGCTTTGGTCGGATCGGTAATAACCTCAATGTACCGTTTTATATATCTCGGGCTAACAGTTGCTTCCAGAGAAACCGTCCACGGCATCGGAGACACAACCCGGCGCAGGCTAACTCGTCTTTCGCTCCTACCTCGTTCGTGGCCCCATCACAGTATTACAAATTGCGTGGGCTGAAAAGCGTTGATGGCGGGAGATTCAGCACGCCGATCAGTCTGACGGATTCATTCAAACAACGGATTGTGGGCAGTCGCTTCCAGGAGGTGGACAGAGATTCGGCATCCTTCAATGTCATGCCGTCAGGGAGCCGTGTAAAGTCGGAAGAAATTGGAGAGCCGTCAATATCAATTCCTGACCCAAATTACTACAGGCCAAATCATGGCGGAGGATCATCTGAAAGTGGTGGTGGAACTGGGACAGGCACAGAATATTTGACTGTGGAGTCGTCATTGAGCGCTCGGAGATCTCTTGATGATGACTGGGTCGTCCTTGCACGCGGGATTGATTTTGGAGATTCGTTAGGCGAGGGACCTCGTGCTGGCCCAGCACCCAAACCACAGGAAGAGTTTGCGCCCCGAAGGCAACGTCAGAGACCTCTTGATACGTCATCGACCGACCGCCGAGAGACTTTTCCACTTAGAATTCGACCGAAAGACAACATTCCCGCTGAGGATGTTCCGCCACCTCATCTACGCCTGCAGCCGCGACAACCGTTCGTTCGACCTGCTTCTGATCTTAACTACGATAACCTTGGTGCTGTCTATGCGGAAATAAACCATTGGCGTTCCCGGCTGAAGCTCATCAATGTGCAGATTGCCGAAGCTCAGCAAGATTCCTATGCAGATATTGCCGATGGCGCCCCGGTCAAGGGTTGGATCATCATCGGGCGTGGTTTGCGCCACATGCATGGTGTGGAGCTCATAGAGGGTAGGGCAAAGGAGGACGTGCGTTGGGGCACGCTGCAGAACGAAACGACGCTGTTGGATTCTATAGCCTTTTGGCTGGTTGTGGTAGTGGCCAACATACTCCTTGCCGCTGGCCGTAAGTCACGTTTGTCCGATCTATCGGGGGAGTATTGGTATTTAACTCTGTACAGTGACAGGTGTTGCGGGACTCGCCCTCGGCGCCGCTTCTAATGTGGAGCATTATCTACCTTTCTTTCGCCCCCTTTCAGAGCATGGGAACCTTGTCTCAGGATTGGCAACTTCCATCGCTCCCGCAATTGGCGCTACCCTTTTCACTGTGATTGCACTCGCAATCGTAAAACGTAAGCACATTCACTACATGCTCACCCTGTATAATGCTTATCAGGGTATAATGTAGGGGCAGCTGCATGGAGCGGCGTCGTATCCGTGTCCGGAGTTCGAATGCTCGCGGTGAAACTTGTGTTTTACACTATAACAGTTGTGGTTGCTGCATTTACTATCACCGCCGGTGCCCTCCTTTTCGCGTTAGAGGCATTTAGCCTTGAGGTTCACATTGCCAAAACGGTTGCAACCGGATGTGTCTATATGAGCGCTTTCGCTTTTGTTCTCGTCATCAACGTTGCTGTCGTATTCCCTGGTTTAATGTTGCTACAGCCCTTCCGATTGTTGAGCGTTCTTCGTTCGGAACGGGACGCCGTCACCCCAAGACAACGTTTCCGAGGTATGACTCCTAACTTAACTTCGACCGCGATAAACTTATCACACCAACCAGCTGTATATCCGACAACTTACAACGCTTCTTATGCAGCAAGCGCTTGCGTACTAGCCATGGTTTTTGCATCAGCATTTTCTCTCATATTTCCTTTGATCGGGCCGGCTGTTGTGATTCTTCTGTATTTGACTCTTGTTGGTGCGTCGCTTAGCGCCTTACCATTCCGCAGAACGAATTGACCGCTTCTCAGCTCATAGATACCTCATTGGATATGTTTACGCCCGAACTCTTTCGGAGACTGGAGGGCTTCTCCAGATCTGGTTGCTGAAGCGATTGGGGACACTTCTCGCGCTACAGCCTCTACTCCTCGGCTTGATTTTGCTCAGTCGGCGGCTCTGGATAGAAGGAGGAATACTTTCGGGCGTGGCTCTTGTTGTGGCAGGGATAGTGGAGGTGTACACCACACACACGACGAGGCTTGCAAGCTTCCAAACGTTACCTGAGAACACCCAAGAGTCTCTTGAAATATTTCGCAGGGCGTTGGAATCCGATAATCGCACTGATACCGATGACGAGAATCACAGCATGATCACCACCAGAGGGAACCGCATGAGGGGCTCGATGGCTTCCGTCCTCGAAATGATGTCTCTCACATTAGCGGTCATGCCATCAGCTTCAAGTCAACGTGGTCCGCTGCCACTTCGTACGAGCGTTTATCTGCAAAGTCATGAATGTACTGATAAAGCCTTGTAGGAACGGAAACACTGGATGATCTAACCGCTACAGAACGAGCTGCTAGAACACATCCTGATGCTCCTCCTCACCTTCCTCCGTTATCCTTTGGGGACCATGCCGAAGAGCTGTCTGCTATCATGTATGCGCCCGAGCTGCTTGCCCCTGCACCGATCATCTGGCTCCCGAACGATACAGCGGGGGTAGCCAAAACGGAGGCAATTGACTTACGGAAATATCATGATATCCAAGTCACCCTTGATGTTCATGCCAAGGATGTCATTCTGCCTAAACGGAGTACATCCACGCGTACACACGCGTGAAGCGTTGCTCGTGCATTTTTTTGGTTGACACCTGTTTCACCATCCCCGGGCCTTCTTATGTGACGTTGGTGGACTCATGTTACTCTATAGATCGTACTTATTCCACTACCATATATCGAGCTTCAAAGGCGACTTCCCTGAACCTTATTCACCAGACTTGTGATAGGAGGGTGCTTCAACTTTTCGGCGCTCACCGGTGCTCACTGCCTGCACATGCACGTTTCTAGGGCTTCTTTCAATATTATTATTTTCCATTTTTTGAGCCGATGACGTTTGTTGGACCCTGAATCAACCTTCAATTTCCGGACAATTGATTGAACCCCTAGGGCGCTTGGTAATGCCGCTTGGCGATAACCACCTCAGCAAGGTAGTGGCTAATCCGGGAGCTGACCCAAGTCGACTTCACGATTAACTCCACTGTTATGTCAATTCAGGGTGATCCGGATTTTGAGTTTGGACTACCAATGAAACCTTGTGAGTTCCTTATCGTGATTATTTACATCACTAGAATTCCCTTGCACTAGCACAGGACAAACAGAATTTAAGTGTTGAGATACTCATGGATCCGAGGTGAAGAACGTGAACGATACTCCGATGTTCGACATGATGCAAAATTGGGGTCCGAGCGGTGTGAGATCATTGTTTTTCGAAGTAACCCTACTAATTAGAGTTGAGGTAACAGCCATAGGCGTTACAGATTTGAAGAATTCTTTGACCGAGACAGATATCAGCCCTGCCTGCTGCCCTTGAGGGGAAAACAAGGGAGAGTCGTTGTAAATCCGTTGTGTCCTCGCGTTGCCACGTGAGTGCAACGCGCGGAGTAATACTAAACGGAGGTTGCAACGGCAGGTGTGATGGCCGCGGGGGCAAGGACGGTCTGTGACCAAGCAGGTGTGGAGCGAATGAGGGGGCGTCGCGGCGAGTGATCCGGATGGGTTCAAACACCCTCATGGCATTGACCGTATATATTTCCCTTTCACGGTCAGTGGTGTGTCTCATCCTTCAGCTTCTCCCCTACCCAACCTTACCCCGTTCCCTGTTATCAGTTCCTATGTCCACTGCGGCCCCTCGTTTTGAACAGGATTCCTTGATATCATACTCAAAAACCCTGCATGACTACACTCTCAAACTGTGGACGGAGTCCAGGAGAGTCGCGGAAGAGAAGGCGAGAATCAAGCTTGCTCGAATGGAGGAAGAGGCACGAACACGCAATGGGACTGATTCTCGCAACTCACCCACCACTCAGCGACCTCGTCGTCCTTGAAAGGACACCATACCATATTTCTTACCCGGGCCCGCGATGGACATCAGTGGCGGTCCGTATTTCAAAACATATCGCGCTTAGTATACACTCTGAATACGCCCCACTACTTCCAACATAGTCCAACCAATGTTGTCAATCTCTGGCATTGATTAGGCCCATGACCTCCCCCTACGAGATCGCATCCTCATGCATCGACATGTTACCAGATTTTACCCACCAAGTCGGCTTCAGTTCACCTTTCATGCTCCACAACACCCCCCTTGGATCAAGTGATCATGTAATGTTCGTTTGTTTTCTTGTAACTTGGTGATGTTTGATAACGGCTGACATCTTTACTACTTCCCAGACTTGGATAGATTTTATTTATTTCCATCGCTCTGACGACTCAATTCTGTAAGCTCATTTGTACATCGACACGTTCATAAACGCCGCCTTTTTTACCTGTCTCGTCTTACATGTAATACTAGCGTGTACATCAAACGTCCACACACTAAATCCAGACCTAATTGTCTGCGACACCACTCGGGCTCGACTCTTCCCTAAGGTCAATGCACCAATTTGTGAGCAAGACTTTCATTTGGGCAGTCAAAACGGAGAGGCCCACCATCAGAGCAGAGCCACTGATCTGCATCAATGTTTTCACTCCGATTAGTTGTGAAAATTACGAGCAGAATCGGCAATAACAATTATACGCCTTCGAAATTGCCCTCATGGCGTCTAATCTACTCCACATTGTGATGCGACGGGACTAATCGCTCGGCGTCTTGCGAAGAAGTTAAGCACATCTGACATGCTTTCCCAAACACGTATCCACGACCCCAAAAATGGGCCACACGCAGTGATACGGAGCACGTCTTCTGCGTAGGCACTTGCTGATCCTGACATCATGCAGGGTCCTGTCAGCAGGGACGCCGTTAACGTTCCTTTCAGAATTACCTAACTTCGCGGAGTAGGGCATGACAACACGTGCACTAAATATATTGGCGACGTCACGTTTTGATCCATTCAAATAATCGCTTCTCCGGATCCGATAAAGTCGCCCTACCGGGGAGAACTTGTTGTTCGACGTAGAATGCACTTCAGCAGTGCAATCCTGCTTGCGCTAATCGTCGTGCAGCACCAACGCTATAAATTTGAAAATCTTGTTATACATCCTAGCAATGAAGCTTAATGAAGCATTGCAAAGGGCTCACTAGGGTCCCTGTAAACAATTATTGGGTCGAATTGAACATGACTGCGGACTGTTGTTACAAAAAAGATAATAGATCATGAATTTAAACGTTCCATCAGAAATTTCTATCGCCTTCGCCCCCCCGCTCCACCTCCCATCACAACAAGTTTATTTCCCCTCTTCTTCTTGTTCCCGTGTCCAGCCGTGGTTCGCTGCTCAAGTTCGTGCCATGCTGCGTCCAACTCCCACTCGTCTCCGATCTCCTGACTCGCATTACGATTGCCTGTATTCGGTTGTCTAAGATCTGCGCCTGATGCAGAGTGGGCAGCAGATGCGAAGCTCCTCGAACCCCAAGCACCGCTAATTTGGAGAATGGGAGACTCATGACTCGGATTCACTATCCCTTCGACTTCCACGGGATGAAGGACGGGGTCAAGAGGCACGGAAATAGCAGACTCGCTCCACGGCGCAAAAAACTTCTCTCTTTCGCGTTCCTCCGCACGTGCCCGTGCGCGGTCGTCCTTCCTACCTTTCTCCTTCCTCCTGGACTTACGGAGTTTAATCGCCCCTTCGAAATTCTTCAGCCCCTCTTGGCCCACAACTCCATCCAAGTCTGCCTCGATGAAAACGACATCTGCGCCCTCTGGTGTGTGTGCAAGGTACTTGCACCTCTTGCGCAGGTCGTCGTTGACAGTACCTTCAGTAGCAGATTCTACACAGACTGTAATTGTGTCCGGGAATGAAGCATAGCTGTTAAAGTGCGAGAAGAGAATCTTGATGTCGAGAGGATGTAAATAGATGGGCAGGCCAGATGCTGCCTGGTAGTAGTAGTAGGTTTGCGTAGACGGGGGAGGAGGGTTAATGTTACGGCGCTGTCTGTGATTACGATTGTTATAAGAAGTATTGGTGGGGAGAGCTGGAACGGGTGCTGGTGACGACGTCGACTTAGGAGTGACAGGGATCGACAGAGAAGTACGCGATGATACGAAACTCTCAGAGCCTGAACGTGTGGCGAGAAATGCTTCTGGTGCCTCGGGGAGTGCAGCTCCTTTCGTCTCCCCAACAAGCTTTCGCTCAAGTTCAACGTTGTGGCGTCGTGCAATGTCGTCGTGATCCTTGCGGGTTCTATCAATGGCTTCCTTGAGCTGCGGCGATTCTAATGCAGCTGCTTTGGCAATTTGATGGCGAAGCTTCTGGTCAGCTGCGTCAATGAACGCAATACTAAGTTCATCTTGCATGCTAGCCATCATCCGGCGTTCCACGGCGAGCGCGTCCAAATCGTTGGAAAGATCGTTGATCAGATAGTCAGGAGTAGCAAGCATGAACTTGGCATAGTCGTAGACGTCGGGAAGGAAGTGAAAAGGAGCCTGATGAGGTGGAATTAGGTCTGATGGCCAAGTGTATGAGCGTGGTAATGCAAGGGTTGTCATCTGAGGACGTTGCATCAATCGCATCCGCATTGTAGATCCAGCTCGAGGAGTAGCGTCATGGTCCGAACGCTGTGCGATATGTGAGGAACCACTGGCAACAGTAGGCTCTTGCTCATCCTCTTGGAACTGAGGTCCGTCGTACCACTTGACGCTCTTCAGCTGTTTCTCGTTGATAGTGTCGAAGCAAACCGGACATCGCGCCCATTTGAGATTTTCCGACATGCTCAGGTAATGTAGGATGCAAGGAAAACAATATACCTGGGAAATGATCTTCAGTCGTTAGTATGTAGCAGAAGGTATTTACTGACATGCCCGCATTTTGTCATCCGCGGAGCAGTCGGAGGGGACAAACAGATAGGGCAAGTCTTGATCCCCTCCTCCTGTACAGAATGCTCCCCGCCGGCAGCAGCAGCAGACGCTAAGGCCGACGACCGTGGAATGATGACCTGCAATATATCGTGCCATTGGAAAAAGCTGTGATTAACAGTTAGGTATGAGCAGGTACGGGTACATTTTGGAAACCTCACATGTCTGGATCCGCAAAGTGTACTGTATAGTCCCCGCTTGGGTTCATAACAAACCGGTACTGGGCATTCACAAACCCTGCGGCACTGTAAGGAGTAGCACGAGATGATACAGAAGATGACACTCACTCTCCTTGTTCCACACGGCTGAATGAACAGCTTTCTTACTCCTCCTAGGCAAAATCTGAGGCTGAATCTGTCTAGGGGGAAGTGTGAAGTTCAAGAGATGGTTCAAGGACTGATTTGACGCCATCTTCGGTGGTCGTTTCTGGGTTGTCGCCTGTACTCTCAGCTGGGACGTCATCGAGCAAAACTGGCGGAAACAAACGTCGGTTGACTGAGTAGAATTAGTGGATAACTGGATCCCTCGTAGGGTTCTTCCCTACCAGTGGGATAGAGACCACCACGGTGATAGCTTATGAACGGAATCTACCTTATGACTCCCAATGCTACCTGTCACGTGTCGGTACCGTACTCTTCGTTTGCACTAAGCAGCGACCGCCAACCGTGACATCACATCAGGAGCTCAGCCGACGCTGCCATGGCAAAAGGGAAGAACTTGAACCCAGCAGATGCGTTTAGTGAGTCTCCTTATGTTCTACACACTAGCCTTGTAGTGAATGACATTGATCATTAGGAAAGGCCCAACGAAAGAAGGAACTTAAAAAGGCGAGCACACACACTCATCGGATGATCATACCCGGACTAAACACACACTTTGGTATTATTCTCACTGCAGTAGAACAAGGCAGAGAGGTCTAAAGCTCGCGACTTCGCTCTAGTCAAGAAGGACACAAGAGGTTGGTTCACCCTCTCATCCATAGCATTCAACTCAGTGCTACTTTGTTAGATCTCCAGGATGAAATTGAGAAACTTGAGGGAGTATCAGAGCCCTCTGGCGCAGAGAAATATCGTCTGGCAGAACTCAAGGCAGAGTTAACCAAAATTATGGCCAAGAAGGAAGAATACGTCCAAGAGCATCCTGAACAACGTAAACTTGTCTACCGAGCTCGTAGAGACAAGGATGAGGTCAACAAAGAGGAACCGGTTGTTGAGCAAAAGCGAAATGTTTTCAACAAGCATGGCCTGCCTCGGCATCCTGAACGAAGCATCTACTATGATGCTGTCATGAATCCCTATGGTGTACCCCCTCCAGGAATGCCCTACATGGAGAGACGTAAGTCAATCCTAATTTTACACGTTGTGAATTAATTCTGATATGCTTACTGTAGCACTTAGGCCTGACGAAATAGACAGTGATGACGAGGCTAATGGTGGTGAGTAAACATTGTTAATTTACTATAGTGATCTTTCGCCCAACGTCACCTTTTTAAATGTCTAGATGACGACGTCGTTATGCCTGAAGGTCCTCCTCCAACTGGCAGTAACGATGACACTATTGACAGTGATGATGACATTCCGATGCCAGAAGGACCTCCACCAAACATTCTTCCAGGTACGTCACATCCTTCACTTAAACGTATCTCGAACAAATTCTCAAGTCAATCTCATAGAACCACCACTGCCGCCAAATATTCCATTCAGCAGCGCTCCACTTCCACCACCACCACCACCTCCGTTTATCCATCCCGTTCAGGGTTCCCCACCTTTTCCGCCGTCGTATCCACACCAACCTTCAGGATTTGTACATGCTCCTCCTCCCGGCTTTCCGCTCGGTGTTTCACCATACCCCCCTGTATCTGCGTTCATGCAACCTCACATGCCTCCCCCACCTCCTGGATTTTTCCCTCGTGTACAATCTACTTCGTCCATGCAAGATCCGCTTTCTTCCATCCCTCATCAAACTTACCAAGCACATCGTGTCAACCGCCTTACGCCCCATCCATCACTTCCCCAAAAACCTCTGTCAGTCCCTGGGACTTCTCCCGTAGGGATTACTATTAGTAATACAACGGCTGCTACAGTTTCGGCTGAGCCGCAGTTACGGGACTTCAAGAAGGAGGCTACGGCGTTCGTTCCGACCTCCCTCAAGCGGAAAAGGCCTGCTGCTGGAATGACATCATCTAAGGTCAACGCAGCTCCTTCCCTCGATGGAAGGTCAGAATCTTCGGAACCAGCACCAGCTTCACGACCGGATCTTGTGAGCTCATTGATGGATAAATTCGGACCGGTACCTGTGGTTGCAGCAGCCCCCCCGAATGATAAAGGGTTTTCGAAGGGTATGCAGCCCAATGCTGGGAAGAAGGATGATTATCAGAAGTTTGTGGACGAGATGGGTGACATTTTAGGTACTTCGAAGCCATGAGGTATTCAGCTGCTTGCACACTTTGACATAAATTCGGAAGTAACAACTCAGTAATTGCGTCAAGCTTGGAAAATGCTCAATGCATAAGGATAACATGTATTTGTTTGACTCGCAGAGACAATGTTAATATTGAGAGGTGAGAGCTACATACAGCAATGAGCGGAGAGCAGAAAACACGACAACATACAAGACGTTAGCAAACGATAGCTGGCTCTAAGATATATTTGAACATTCCACATTCACGCGCTCCGTGTCTCCTTCCAATTGCCATCCAACAATCGAATGCCTCTACGGGTCAGGCGACGGTTCCATTCCCTCATCTCACCCTGTACCCCAGCCTCCTGAGCACGGGAATTCATTCCATGCCTTAGCCATTGCACGTCGCGCATACGTATAACTTTTAGGGAAGGAAGAACCGGGAGGAGTCTTTCCAAAGTCACCCAGAAGTCACGGCTGGGTCGGGGAATTGACAAAATCTGGAGGGGAAGAGTAGGCGGTGATGATACACCAGTCAATGGCGTTTTGAATGGAAGTGTAAGTGCCGGTAGCGGAAATTCGAGAGAGAGGTGTTTGAGATTTGGGGATGTGTGGAATAAAGTAGTGGGTGATGAATGATAGTGTGTCGGCCAAGACTTTGGAGTGAAGAGGAGCATGGTACGAAGGTGCTGCCCGTGCGTCTCAAGAAAGAGGGACGAGAGCGATGCAGGAAAGGGAATGTCATCATACGGAGTAAGTGATAGTGTTTGTAAGCGCGGTAGAGGAGAGTGCAACAGAGCATGCATCAACAAAGAGGAAGGCATGGATAACAGAGTGAGGCTTCGAAGGCGCGGTAAATAGAGCGGGGCAGATATAGGTAGTGTTTTGAGACCTTGGGTGTCATCGAATTGTGACTCGGAATCAGTGTCATCCAAACCAATCCCGATGACTTCCAGCAGCTCCAGATTTACGCATGCTCGTAGCAACTGAACGAAAGGATCTTCACCAGTTGTCGCCGCGGAATTAATGAAGGGATCATAATAAATTCCGCTCAGTGCACGAATATTGGAGCTGCCATCTCGGTATGTCAGAGACGCAAGTGCGCGACGGCTCAGCAGAAATCCAGCACATAAAGTCAACTTTGCAACGAATGGCAGCAGTGGGAAAAGCTGCGTCAAAAGTGCGTTAACTGCATAGTGCGCCGATGAATCGAGCGCTGTGAGAAGCCCTGAGAGATCAAGCACTTGCACCCAACGACCGGGGGTGGAGTAAGGAATTCTGCGGATAGAGTCCCACATTTGGTCTGCAGATTGAAGATGTGCAGTAAACTTCTGCAAGGATATCACAGAGTGCAAACACACGCTGGAAAATAAGAGCGGCATTGCAACTTCCTACCATAAAGATATATCAGCATGGTGAGACGGGGTACATGAGATGGATAGAGACAGTCATCTATACTCATGCGCAACTACACCCCGTCCCTCTTCCTGTACGTAAGCTTCGAAGAACCAAGCCACTTGCCTTGAAACCCTTGCATACTAGCATCAATGGTGAACACGAGCGCAGTACATTACTGTGCGTATTATGTGATTGTGCATCTTGACCATCCTCAAAGAGAACCTGCACAAAAATGTGAGACCATATCTCTGAAGGAAGAGGCTTCAGAGGAGGTCGATGAGGTAAAAGAGGGAGAAGGAGGAGGCGTCCTGGATAACGAGCGAGAGGTCTTGGGTATAATAGGACAGCCTCGCACATAAGGCAGCTTCAGCACTGATTATTACAGCCAAGAGAGAGCTGGAAATCAAGGCTGAGAGTCTGGTGGTCCCCGATGCCGGCATTTGACGGGCGTCACCGGGCCATAACTTGAATATCAATAAGCACGTGACCTCGACGCGTTGCCCAGGGCCAGTCAGACTTGCTCTGCTCCTGTATATTTTATAGCACACATTATTTTATAGCGTCTCGCAGGCCGAGAACACGCATCATTATCCCTTCTTGAAGTTCATCCTACAAACTGCATTAACGAGCGTTATGGTCTTCCTTGCGCGAAATGTCGTCCGAGTCTTCCCGGTTATCGTTTTGGCTATCCTGAAAGCGCTGTCCATATCTGCCCGCCCAGTTTCAGAGGTACGTTATGACGATCACTCCTGCCCTCCTCATACCATGTATAACCCGCGGTGACTGTGTCAGGATTCTTCGAATTCTGCGAATGCGCGAGGTTACTCTGAACATGTCCCCCCGATAGGCTCTGATACATTCAATCCTGGAACACTCTCTCATCCCGCCACAATCGCGGTCGATCCATTCGAAGCAATCTTGGATGAATCGGGGCTTGGGGCACTTGATGGACATGATGAAGAATCTAGTAATACTGACGAGGGAGAAGGGCCACTAGATGAAATCGCCCACCTGAAGGTGAGAACGTCAGTCGCTCATCTTTGCATAACTCCTGAGAGTGCTCATCCGGTTCATTCTATACAGCGAGAAGTCAGTAGCTTTCAAGGCGTAACTAGCCTCTCCTAGGCAGATCGTAGACGAATGAAGACAGTCGTTCCTTCCATACTATGGTATACATGAACATCTTGTCCTCATCCGTGCAGGTGTCCAAATTCTTGCACATCAATGTGTTGGAATCCTCGAGTTTCATATCACGGTAATGTGGGTTGTATAAACTATTAATGGACAGCATTGCAGGGAGTGGAATGATTGTTCGGCGCTGCTAAGATCTTCAGAGAGAGCTGCTCACGGAGTGCCCATGCTCCTCACCTAATAATAGTTCGGCAAAGGCACAGATACTAATCAATGCTAATGGAAGCTGTGCACTTGCACGAATGACCCGGGTCTCTCAGCCAATATCATGATCCAGGCGTGATACTGGGACCCATAAGCTTGACAATTGCTTGCCGAGAGTTGCGATGACTCCCTCATCATTGTCGCCTTGAACAAAATCATACGACTCCGGTTGACACGCCCAAGCAAATTATATCATGTGGCCGTTTCGGTGTTTGTTGGAGTAAGTTATTGACAGATTGATTTGGATCAACAAGTTCGTGGAGAATGCTGCTCTGGAGACCAACATCAACCAAACCCTGTACATGAGAAGGTTTTGCTGGTAACACACCCGTGAACGCCGAGCCATCCCGTAGCCCAACGCCAGTGCAAACCTCCAAATTTGGACTGGCAATGACTACATGAGATATGTGGATAGGAGGACACACGGCAGACTCGAATAAGTCACCATGGATTCCTACCCGAAGGAGATACAGAGCGCAGGCGAGATCATATCACACACCAAAAATCCTTGAAGCTTATTACTGTGGAAGTGAGACGCGACTTGTGTGAAATTGCGAATCCCTGAGGACCCTAATTATTATTTTTTTCACATGGAGGATGATATACCGGTACACCCGACAGCACGGGGAAGGACAGAATTCGACTAAGCCTAAAGTAGAAGAAATTTCGCCAGTGCATTAGTTCAAAAGTGGCTGGGAAACGAAGTAACAGGATTTCGAAAAATTAAAAATGGACGACCTCAGGTCCCCCAGCTATGAATACACAGGCGTCTAGAGATGTCGTCATTGACTGACAAATATATGAGTAAAAATATACCGCAGCTCGTCGACTGGCACTTACAATCAGCCGCTTGATGAAGGATTGCAAGAATGTATGCCCCCAGTGGCACGTTCAATCGAGCAGCCTCTGGAATTCATGGTTTGCGTGAATTCTGTGAAGCGAGGATCGGCGAGCATACTTCCCCAATCGCCATAAAGAATTATGCGGCGCAGCGATGGAAAGGATGATCTAGAGAGGAAGGCGAGGTGAAGCCTAATACGCTCTTGAGATGCAGTGATCATGTCGGTAACCATGTGGCATGGGTATGCATGCAAAGATATGCATTGAAGCGCGCAGGGCTGGTCGAAAATTGGTGGTGGTGATGTGAAGTTAAGAAAGTAATTGAATGTCTTCACTTGGGGGCAGCCACGGAGAAAGCGGGTGATTTGATCACTAAGCAAGAATCCAACATGCCTTGCGAATTCAACCGTGCAGAGGCGAGCGCCGAACACTTGCCAGATAGCATCGAGCGCGTTCTGTTCTAGTGGGAAGTCCACAACGACATGGGCGAGTGACGGTAGTCGCCATTGGCAGATCTGATGTACGAAGAGGGGATTTATGCGTTTTAAACGAAGCGTCTTCAATGCGGGGAGCTCCAGCACATCACGAGTGGAATGGGTCCACATCTCCCCTCCTACAGAAAGATACTGGAGATTGGGAGAGTGACGTAGAACGTCCATGAGCGAATTTATTCCCCCAGAGCGAGCAGCATCATTGAAATGCCACCACTCGAGCCTCTTGAGATTCAAGAAGGGGTGGCTGCGAGTGGGGAATTCATAGCGAACTGAGTCCGGAGGTCCCGGATTGAAGGGCCTCACCAAGGTTTCCAATCCCGGGCAAAATTGCAGAATCTGTAGTGCAAGATCCGAGCTAGTGTTTGTTGCAGTACCAGTGGCAGGGTAAGGAAGCTCAAGGCGGCGGACGCATCTTCCGAGTTGGCCACCCTCATATGTCCTCCCCAATGCCTCCGCGAGAGAGTCGGCTGCAAGTCCGACCTTGACATCCTCATACAGAATGCTGAGGGCGAGGTCTCGCCAAAGCCTGCATACTTGAACCACTGCACGCTTGACAGCTACAGCATCTACCTCTCCTTTGTTTGAACTGTCATGGTCAAAGGATCCAAGGAAGGGCTGGAAGGTTGATGCATGGAAACCTGGCTGTGGATAGGTGGCCCAGCGAATTATGGACAACCACAGTTCCGGAGGAAGCAAACGGCGGTCATAACTGGACATTTCGGTTTGATGATGAGAAGATAAGGCAGCGGACTGCTCCGGTTTCACCACAGGCGCTTCATTATTTGCTGTGCAGCGCTTATCAGTCACACCCTGGGCGCCCATATCTGCTCCTTCCGCCTCCTTTTGATCCTCGCCTAGATCTCCATCTTTGTCTACGATTTCAAGCCTGCTTTTGGCTCGTTGCAGACGACCTTGTAGATCGCCGCACTTCTTCTTCAACTCCTCGTTCGCATTTTTCAGGGCCTCGTTCTCGGCGCTCAGCACCTGGATCGATTTCTCCGAGCTTGTGAACTGGGCGACATTAGAAACTGTTGTAGGTTTTTTCCCGGTTGTGGTTGCCTGCTTTTTCTGTCGCAAGAAGTTCACCAGGCGACTGGCTGGAGTGCTCATGACTGGCTGGAGACGGAAGAACGCGCTGCAGTGGCTGCGCTGCACAACTGGGACGACTTCTTTTTAGGGTATTGGGCCGGTAGTCTCCGCTACGTGGAGAAGAGTCTGACATCATATTTGTGGACTTTGCCTAGTCCCCATAGTCGTTCCTTCTCCATCATCTAGAACACGACCAGAATATGCCAGCTGTCCGAGTTAGCAGTGAGAGCACGGTAGAAAAGATAATCCCCTTCAGAACGTTCAACCAGGTGAAACAATGGCCAGTATGTCGGACCATCATTGGTTCTCCGTCAAAGCGGATATGAATATTCAATGTTGCTATCGACCGGTCACCGAAAGGCAAGAACAAGCAGGCTATTGATTGAGCATAATCTGATAAGCAACATATACATCGCTAGGACACAGAGGAAAGCATTGGTCAGAATGTGGTATCGTTGAGAGACAGTGAGGCGAACAAATAAAAAAACAGAGGGAGAAGTCCAGCAAGGAAGTGTATAATATAGCTGAAATCGCATAACATCAAGACACTTCAGTGCTATTACAAAGAACGTAACGCTCGTATCACGCATGCCCATGGTCGTCAAATGTAGCATAAAGAGGCAAAAACCAAAATTCCCAGCCAAATCTATTAGATGACCTGAAGGTAATTCGATGGTGCAACTGGGATGCAAGTATTAGGGTCAAGGGGCTAGCAAGCTGTGCAAGATAAAAACACGTACTTCCTATTGTACCATCTACTTTCTTCGCTTGCCACCACTTGCCTTGCTTGTCTACGATATCAAGAATCTCACCCTTAGTGAATGAGATTTCGTTAGGATCATCTGGAGAGGCAGTGTCTGTGCAAGTGATGAGCATTATTTATTTAGCGATAAGAGCTTTTCACTTACAAGCATACAATGCTTTCGCTTTGTAAACGTATGCCTCCGCCCCGCCCGGGTTAGCTTCTGGCATAGTTGGGCTGCCTCCACTCATACCGCCACCTGCGCCTACACCCGCAGCACCAGGGCCTATCAACGGCGAGCCTGGGCCCAAACTATTGTCAGGGCCGCCCAGTGAAACCGGAACGGGATTTGGTGTACTGTGAACACTGCCTGCACCAGCTGCGGGGCCAAGACTGCGGGGCGGGCCGTCCATGCTTGCACCGCCGACAAAACTATTTTGACTCCTAACCCCGGGACCGGTACCTATACCGCCCATCTTGTTGGCGCTGTCGTAGGGCATATCATGTGAACCAATACCACCGCCAGGAGAATAGTTTGCTGCATAGCCATTGGTGCCAATGTTGCTCGCGCCGCGAGTCCTACGGCGACGGGATGGTGGAGTGAGACCACCTGTGCCCATGGAATTGAAAAGGTGAAAAGCGAGAGAGTCTTCTTCGGAAGTGAAGTAGATGACCCAAAGGATGTCTACGATTGCAATAATGAGCCAACCCGCAGCCATAGCGTCCAGGGCAGCCTTTCCAGTGAAAATGCTGTTGCTGACGGTGATGACAGCCATGACAATGGCGATAGCACCGAAAACTGATATTTGGAAGCGATGCATGGCTATTGAATCGCTTGCTAGAGTGTGCAATACGCCAAGGGTTAAGAATAATTGGAGGAATATCCCAAACCAGGCAACCCCAACAGCTCCTTCATGGACTAGAGGAAATATTAGGGAATGAAAGTATGAAAAATAGAGAGAGTTCTAACATTGAGCAGTTGCGATACATTGGGAGATAAATGCGATGAACCATGCCAGCTATTGTGACGCGCTTAGTTAGAAAAATGAAAAATGGAGATTGATACATACCACCGCAAGAATTGTGGTAAACAAAAAAAGATAGTGCGTTAAGATTGGCGTAAAATCTAATCCTTCACTGCCACGAGGAGGCATAATTTCTTTTGTCGAGGTCAGAGTGAACTTTTGGTTAAGAAGGGGGTGAGTAGCGAGCTAGAAAGCTTTGACCTTGATGCAACTACGAAACCAACACGTGCCCATTTATTCTCACGCTCCTACGGCGGTGCAACTTCGGTGCACACCTTGAAACGTTAACCTACTACTACTGCTAGCGGGAAAAACCTATATGCAAGGCGACTGTCTTATACCTGGCGATGCGGCGCTGGCCGCTGGGGTGCCGTGGCGTCTCGTCATTTGTTGGCCGATATCCCGAGCCTCATCTCCGTGAATCCGGCATTCATCGGAAGGATGTAGTCAGCAGCTTTAGTCTTCGCGCTATCATCGCTCAGTCGCCCCGCTAAACTGCTTACAGTCAGTTGCGGTATATATATTTCACTCACGCGATATGATGTGGCATTTTCCCTCCCCCGTGCAAGCCGCACGTTCCAGTAACCCTGAATGCCTATCGATGGATGTTCGGAAAGTTATCCTGAGGACAGCCAGTATGCTGTTGTCTAGTATCGGACTTCTCCTGGTGCGTAGCAGGTCGGCACCGTGCTTATATTTTTATTCACCGGGTATCAGAGTCTACTAGCTATTTTCATTCGAACACTAGTACCATCCGCCTTTCTGTCACCCAAACCACCCCCAGAAGCGGCTGGAAATACATCAAGGCCAATAGCTCGTCGCTTGAAGCGATCCATTTCCATCTCACTTACTTCATCTTCTCCGCAATCGACCAAGTCAAACAACATCATGCACAGTAGCATGGTTGTACCACGACGTCATACGTTTGTGGATGAACTAACTCCTCCGGTGCCTGCAACGGAATCGCATACCCAACGGTCTAATCCCGTTCGAGTCTCAGAAGCCCACAAAATACGCAAGAGACACACGTTTTCGGTCTCCCTGTCTTCCGATGCGTGTCGGATAATAGCTTCGCCGAAGCAAACCACACTGCGCCTCAAAGGCAGAAATTCTATAGGGTCATTTTGTGAGTCAGGTTTGTTCCACCGGTCTTCCGTTGATGGTAGATACTCCCGAAGGTCGTCCTCTGAAAAATCCGAACCACACTTCAGACCCACCATTGCGAACACAGCCTTACGCAGCACCATACTTCTTTCCAGCACCTGGGACACCAGAAGCCATTGACTATGTGACGAAGACACGAGAAGAGCTGCGGCCTTCCGGATTCACGCACGATTTTATTTGCAAGAGGAATAAGAGATCATCTGAAGGTTGATAGTGGTTACGGATATGAGTGTAGCAGTAGGGTGACAGATAAGATAAGATAATGAATTGTATCGAATTGGCCGCTCCGGAGATTCCCACGTGCAGTATTGAGTTTACCTCGGTGTGCCGTACTGCAGACTTACTGTGAAGGGCAACAATGATGGACACCCAAACACCCTTCACACCTAATTCGAGACCACAATCTCCGTCACAGAACTTCAATCAAACCGTCCCTCTTCCTCCCATACCACCACCACCCTCATCCTTTCTTTCACCACAGCTTAACATCCCTTCTCCGTCCTTCCAACTCGATCCCGACGACCTCGCCCCACTTCTCGACAATACAACCTCCAACACGCCTAGAAATATTTCATTGGAGCCTCTTTCTGGTAGCGCACAGCTTCTCATTTCCTCAAACATGGGTTCTCGTACACCAAAGTCTGGAACACCGCGTCCTCGCACCGCTGGCGAAGGCGACAGCACGTCCCATGGTTCGGCAGCGCAGAAGTCTCCAGAAAGACCGCTCAACGTCACCGATGCGCTCAGCTACCTCGACGCGGTCAAAGTTCAATTCCAGGACAAACCAGACGTATACAACCACTTTTTAGACATCATGAAGGACTTCAAGAGTGAAGTGTAAGTCCATCGAGATGCTAGTGCTGGTGACATAGCCATGGACGTAGCGGAAAATATTTGGTGACGCCCGGTTATCTTACCGCCTACTAAGGGCATGTAATAGATACGCCTGGCGTACGCATCTTTCCTGTTGCGGTTGCAGTTGCGGAAACATCCTTTTATATCGTCTATTCTTTTGCCCTCGTGTTGCTAATGATCTTCTCTTGTACAGAATCGACACACCTGGAGTGATCGAGCGCGTGTCAATGCTGTTCCATGGCAATCCATATCTTATTCAAGGATTCAACACTTTTCTTCCCCCAGGCTACAGGATAGAGATGTCGGCAGACCCACGCGACCCCAATATCATCACCGTTACAACGCCGTTAGGTACCACCACTCAGAGCACAAGCACCTTCGAGCAGATCTCCCGCGTCACTCGCGACACTGCTACAACCAAGTCGTCGCTTCCTGTTCCACCCACCGCCGGACCTGGGTTTCCATTCCAGCCAGTGACCCGTTCGATGACACCATCTATGGCTCCCTTTCAGGTCCCGCATATGCCACAGTCTATGGATACTTACTCCCCAGGCCTTCAAGTACCCTCCACAACTACTGCCGCGTCCTTTCTTAACAATTTGTCCAACCGAAATGCTGTAGAAAACAAATCGTCGGGGGAATTCAACCATGCGATACAGTACCTGAACAAAATCAAGGCGCGCTATTCCGATGACCCCGATACATACAAGCAGTTCTTGGAAATATTGCAAACATACCAGAAGGAGCAGCGTCAGATCCAAGATGTTTGTACCATGTGCCTCAGGTCTGATGATGTTTATTGACGTTCAAACATAGTCGCAAGTATACGTGCAGGTGCAAGTCCTATTTAAGGATGCTCAAGATCTGCTCAGTGAATTCAAGGATTTCTTGCCTGAGGTGTCGATGGCCCTGAGCGGGGCTGTCGGTATCCTTCCGCAGCCAACTAGTGGCCCAGGAGTGCCAGCACCTTGGGTGGATGCAGGTGACAAGAATGGCAAGAAGACGCAGGTTCCGCCCAAGAAAAGGAGAAAGGTTCCAGAGAAAGAGACAACGCCCGCGCCAGCTGTGCGGACTGCCCCAAGTCGAGTGCGTGCTTTCCTAACTCTGTGTCTTCCATCAATAACAATATCCCTTTGCAGGCAAAGAAGCCCAAGCATACGCACAAAGGCGCCGACCCTGACTCTCCGCAATTCAATTCATACGGGTTACCAGAATCGCCGCCCCACCATCCCCCGCATTTGCACGCCAGTATGCTTCCGCCACCCCAAATGCACAATCTAGTGTTACAAGGCTCCCAGCCAGTTGCCAACGTTCAGTCAGCGCCTGATGAACTCATCTTCTTTGAGCGCGCGAAGCGCACATTAGAGAGCAAGGACACATACGAGGAGTTCCTCAAGCTCCTGAATATGTACTCCAAAGACATTATCAATGCGAAGACACTCGTAAACATGGCTCAAGTGTATTTAGGCGATGGTGATCTGCTCTCGCAGTTTCGGGAGGTGGTTGGGGTCGATGAACGGCAGGACAGTATCGAACACGGTCCGCCTGGGAGCATCCGCACCGGCCCGCCCGAAGCCTTGTCTGCATTGCCAGCTGAGGATGGCGAGGGTCCAAGTTATCGTCGGTTACCCGAGAGCGTACGTATCGAATACTTGTTGTTTTCAGCCGTCTGACTGACGCGCTATTTGTTTGCAGGAAGTTCATTTGGCATGCTCAGGTCGCGACGAACTCTGTCGTTTCGTGCTGAATGATGAATGGGTTTCACATCCGACATGGGCGTCTGAAGAAGCAGGCTTTATCGCACACAAGAAGAACTCGTTTGAAGAAGCGCTGCACAAGAGCGAAGAGGAACGACACGAATATCAAGTCCAGCTTGAGGCCCTCTCACGCACAATCGCTGTCATAGAGCCCATTAACTTTCGCATTGAAGAAATGACCAACGAAGAACGCTCCACATTCCGACTCAAGCCTGACTTCGGCGGCATGAGCAAGTGCATATACCACCGGACGCTGAAGAAAGTCTACGGCCGAGATGCTGGAATGGAGGTCATTCAAGCTCTTCAAGAGTGTCCCAGTGTCGCTGTGCCGGTAGTCCTCGCTCGGCTGAAGCAGAAAGATGAAGAATGGCGACGCGTACAACGAGAATGGAACAAAACGTGGCGAGAGGTTGACGCCAAGAATTTCTATAAATCTCTTGATCATCAAGGGGTCACGTTCAAATCCAACGATAAGAAGGTCGTCACTGCGAAACACTTTGTAGGAAATATCGAATCAGTCAAAGCTGAGCAAGCAGATACGCGTGCACAGCAGGGCCCACCGTCATTCGCTACTGCTTCGCCAGGTCATCAACTGGATTTTCCCTTCAAGGACATATCTGTCCTTCAAGACTCCCTTAAGCTGGTGTACTCATTCTTGGACCATTCCCATGCACACTATACTCCACAGGAACGCCGTGGAGTCGAAGGCTGGCTGCGTTCGTTCGTTCCCCTGCTATGTATGTGCCCTGCTGCCGAGTTCAATGCTGGGTACACGCCTTCGGACGATCCGCGAGATGACGAGACAGACCAACAAGCTTTAGATAGTCCGCGGAATGATAACGGAGTGCCGTCCACCAGCGGACGTGGTCCTTTGGGGAGCGTAATGGCCGCGGGTGACCTTCGCAAGCGGTTGTTGAAATCTTCGCAAGACAACCCCATTTGCTCAGAAGGCACGAACACATTTTCGTCATCCCAATCAAGGGGGACCACGCCTCATCCTGAGCGTGTATTATCTGATACCGCTCTGGAGGACAGCAAAAGCGCAAAGTTGGTTTCACCCCAAAATAGTTCCCCAGATCAGTGGATCCACGACGCGTCTGCCAATCAAGCCCCTCCTATTTCCGGAGACGGTGCCTCTAGACGAAAACCTTTTTTCGGGAACACCACGTTCTATACGGTTTTCTGTCTATTACAGGTACGTCTCACAGTCGTGCACGCTTGACATGAGCTAAATTTATCACACAGCTGATCTATTCTCGTCTGCTCGTGTGTAAGGAACAAGGCGCACATCAGACTGCAAAAGGCCTAAATCCTGCAGATTGTAATCCTATCGCCATTGAGTTAGGACTGGATGATCCGAATGGACCGTCTGCCATACTTGCGCAGGCTATGGAGGCTGTATGCAATCGTCATACCCGTGACGCGACTGATGTCGTGTATCTTTACATGTTGGAGGCATTTGAAAAGCTCTTTGATAACGAGCTTGATCAAGCAATGTTTGAGGAGCATATGCGATGGTTTTTCGGCAACAAGGTGGGTCTGCGCTCACCCTCCAGCACCACTATCTGACCCGGCACTTCCTGCAGGCTTATCACCTTTTCACATTGGACAAATTGTTGTCTTCATTGATCAAGCAGGTAAATATAACGCAGGCTCCGAGCCATCGTGACTGCGCCTCCTTTGTCTTTCAAGTTTGGTTGAAAGGGGTTTCCCTTACAGGTGCAGATTCTTCTGTCAGATAACAAATGTCAGGAGCTATGGGTGCTACTTCAACAAACACGGAAAGTCGATGCCCTATCCAATCAGAACATGATTCGCTATCGGCGTGAGGCGGAACGTCACGTTGGTGCCGACGAACATCTATACAGGTTTGATTGGGTATGTGAGCAACTTAATTTTGGAATTATTTGTGGCCCTGATGTGAAGTAATCGCAGCACCGGTCTACGAAAACAATGTATGTTCAACTTGTTGAAGCGGACGATCCTAGCGTGAATGGAGACGGGACGGCGATTAATCGGTGGCGAGAATATGTGGACTCGTACGTGCTTCGGCAGCCGACGGAATGGTTGTCACAAGCCAAACGTGAAGGGAGGGTATTTTTGCGCAGGTTAGTGAAGTTTCCAGAGGACGATCAGAATTTTATCATAGGGTTGATGGGCTGACTCTGTGATTGTGTATAAATAGACATCTGACGATCGACGAATCAGCGCGAGGCACATCAAGTTGGGATTCGATGGGCATCCGGGTGAGCCTAGGCACGTACAAGATGTTCTATGAATCAAGCGCTGAAGATGTGTACGTGCGGCCGAGGAGTAGAGAAGAGGAGAAGGAACTGAGGGAAAGAGCCAAAGTTCGGGAGGAAGAAAGAAAACGAAGCATATGGTTAGCATCGTAGTAATATAATCTTAAATAACCGATATAGAAATAGGACAAGTTGATTTTTTTATATCATAAAGCTGTAATCGGCAACCGAGAAAAGGGACGAAAAGAATAAAATAGTTATTTATTACTTAAGCTGGATATGATGCCCACGTTTAGTCCCGCTTTTCTCCTCTGCAACTTGTCAGTCGTGATTGTGGATTTATTCTCCCTCAAGAGCCTGCTGTCGTTCAAAGGTTTGATACTTGCTTTTTTTCCGTCTGTTGCGTTCAATTTTATAGTCGAATATTGGCTATACCGATTTTGACGACAAATTGCCGGGTTGCTGCCACGCTGAGGCGGCAAGACTCTCTTGGCACTTCTTGTGCTTTCGTATCATGGCCAAGCAAAAATATGGTCCAAGACTAGACGATCATCGCCAGCAACATAGAGCTGCTATAGCTTGTCCTTCATCGTCCCTCTTATCAATCCTTGCAACTATCGCAGCAAGCTCACACACTGTCGACGGAAGTCCACTCCCACAACCGACCCCACCTCCATCTTTTCTATGTCCGTCTATAGAACATCACAACATTCAAATTCGTGACCCGACACCAACAACCTCCTATACTACCATAACAGCATCTTCCTCTGCCACAACTACTACCACGACCACTAAATCAACACCACAAGTGGCAGACAAATACGTTCAAGGGAGTGACGGCCGCTGGCGTAAGGCACAGGCCTGGACTTTGTATGGCTCAACGGTTCGTTCTTTTATTTTCTCATATTCCACGCCCTAATATCTCTATTTAGTGCTGTTCTTCGTCTCCGGACCTTACAGTCGATGATTCACAATCCACCCAGTCCTCAATTCCAGCAGTTTCTACCCAAATCGACTCCGTCCTTCCTGCTGGTTGGACCACATCATCCAGCAGCAATCGCACCGACTCTATCATCATCCTCTCACTAGCCATAGTCTTAGCAGTATCAATCTGCTTCTTCATCATAGGTTGCATTGTTTGGAGAAAGAGACGGAAGAAACGGTCAATTAGAGAGAAGAAAAAGAATGACTTGGAACTGAAAGCTAGAGATAAGGCGAACCTGGAAGATCCATCAGAGGACGGCGAAAGGGAGATTGAGGCGCGTGGAAAGAATCGCTTGTGGGCGAGGGCAAGCGCTCGATGGAAGGCTAACATACGACAATCTGCTCGTCGACGTAGGAATCGACGTCACGGCTTCTCCTCGGGGAGGCTAAGTCGATCTCAATCCCCAACATTATTGGATCCTCACGAGGCGTCCCCCCGTCCCTCCTCCATAGTCTTATCCCGGCGGCATTCAATAGCGCCCGTCTCTGAAGATAACGATTTCCATGTTGTTGCCGTTGAGAATTCTCCCACCCCCACACGACCACCATCTACATCACCCGACCCATCATGCTCACATACTGTTTCGTCTCCCCCTGCTTACATTTTCCCTGCACTGCATATGCCCCCGGAGATTGAAGAGGCCTCGCACATAACTTCGGGTGACACCACACCACGCCGAAGGCTACTGCTCTTTCCGCCTGTGCCCGAGGATGATGAAATTCCTTACCACCCAAGCTATGCTGGGCATGTCGCCATTGATGATAAGGCGCATCTCGCTCGTATGGCGGAGCTGGCTAGCGCGCCTCCTCCCGTGATTGAGGATAACATTCGCGGGAGTGTTTCTCCGATCTGCGAGTCTGCCCCTGAATGGCATGATGATTTCGAAGATCCTCCTTCCCAGCCAGACACTTTCGCGCCCTCCGAAATATCTCCATTCGACGTTGGTAATTCAGGTTTCCCAATACCACCCTCGAAAAGTATCTTGTCACCAGGGTACTTTGACGGGCACAGCTATTTGGACGATATCACCACCTTAGATCCAATCTCGTTGCCTTCTATGCCCCCTTACGAGGCTGGACCGAACACCATTCCATTTGTGGAGACATTGCGAGCCTCGGCTCCTCCAATATCGGAGGATGACCAAGCTTTCGACCATTGGGAAGGCAGTGCTCCTGAAGAATCTGATATTTATGGTGACGAACGGGACACCCACATTTCACTATCCCCTCCCCTGCCCTCGTCATCTGCACTCAGTTCTCGAGATTCTGCACCGCTTGAACAGGTTGTTAGCATGGATGGTGTACTTCCGATATACCAACCCTAGTGTTTTTGGTCCTCGTATTTGTGGGCATTTTGGGACGCTCGTCTATTGTAGTGTACCATATACCTAATTATCACCCTGTCTCCATGGACATATGTCAACTGCACGCTACATTGTTGTATGCAATTTTGAAGTGCTTCAGGTATTACAGCAAGGTAAAGATTTGCTCACGTGAGCACCTTGAGCGGTCTGACCTTTGGGCATGCTTCGAGCACGCACAGCGGCACCAGTTATGTAAACTGTTCTGCTTGTTCGTTTCGACTACCCGATAATTAATATTATTTTTTGGCCTTGACGCGGATGGGTGGTCAGGTCATGAACGTAATTGTTTTGGGGGGTTTCCACCAAATTTTAGTTTGTGCCCATGAGCGTAGTCTCAAAGAAGGCCAAAAATAGTAATCACATTTTACGCGTCCCTATACTAACCCTCCGAGCTGATCAGATTCACTATCTTAGCTCTTTACCTTCTGATCGGGACCATCATTCACCGATATCCAACCCCCAGTATACTCGGAAATGGGGAAGTCGCAGAAGAAACGGTCGATGCGTCGACACAATCCCATGCGGGTGCCAGATTCACATCTTCCAAAAGGTCTGGAATCAGCGGCTTCATCCTCACCGAAAAATGAAGCAGTATTGCCTATCATCCAAAAGGTGTGTGTGTGTGTGTCACGGCAAGATCCATGTGCGGAAATTCATTGGCGCTGTAGTTGGAGAGCCCAGACGCTTCTGAACGCAAGTGGGCATGCGTCGCGGTGTCCAATCTCATACAAAACGATCCATCCACGCGACGGTTATTGCAGGGAAAAAATGTGGTCGGAGCGCTCATTACGCGCCTATCTGATAGTGAGGAGGAAGTTTGGATCGAAGCCGCTGGGGCATTAAGGTGTGCAATCTCCCCCGGTCTCCAAGATTTCTACTGCCCTACATTCTTGTTCCTCAGAAATTTGTGCATTGATGGAGGGTACGATATATGCGCCGAGATGTACAATAAAAATATACTGGCTCCCCTTAAAACATTTGTGCCGAAGGTATGTTTAACGTGCATGTGAATTGAAAAAAACGCGAGGTCGACGTGTAATCCTTCCCAGATATCAAGTGCACTCTCACAGTTCCTGGAGTCACCGAAGACAGCTCCAGAAAACGCTCAAAAAGTAGTGTATGAATTTACCGAGAATGTGAATACTATACTCTGGTGTCTTTCGTAGGTGCATCGGTTTCTAGTCGCATCGGATCAGCGCTGAAGGTGTACGGCCAGGGAGACATCCAACAAGGCTCTCAATGCTATCAACCAAATTAGCCTTGTTCCGTTTTTGATGTCCTTCCTGGCCGCTCGAGCAAAATTGCCCATAGCTACCGTTACTGCCGCAGGTTCGCGGATTTAATTGCTTTCATCTGGGTTTTTTTACGAACTTACCCGTGGCTCTCAGCGCAATGTCTGTACGTCTTGACGGATGACAATCAGCCAGCAATAGATGAGCTACGGTCAAATGCGGTGTACAGCACGTGTTTACTCGAAATTGTACACAACAAAGGCAGTTTATCGGACAAGGACAGGGAAGTATTTGGGGATAGGTTGACCATGTTGAAGGTGTTGTCAAGCGGTAAGAATTTGTCTTTTGTGAGATAAATAGAGGCTAATAATGATCAGGCATCCTGAGTAACGTTTCACCTTTGCCTGGTGCCGCATCAGGAGTCGATGTTGGCAAGGAGATTGTACTTCCACTGCTCCAGCCAGTGGTGGCTTCTGTGTCTCTTACTGAGTCATCAGCGCTGGCTGAGAGTCTGGTGACAAAAATAGTGAGTTGTCAAATCTTGTAGTTTCATCGGTGGTGTTTATTGATGCGGCGCAAAAGGCGCTGGAACCTCCTCAGATAGAAAAATTATCCCTAAAAAACGCTCCACAGTCAGATCACAGGTCTGATACCGAGGTCGAACTTGACCGTTTGGAGAACAAATTGCGCACAGTCCAGCTCGCACTAGAAATTCTAACCGGGGTGTGTGCAACATTACCTGACCCCACTTCCGAGGCGCAGGAAGGTGTACCTGATGCAGAGGAAGATGACGAAGGTAAGTTTTTTTTTTACATAAACGGAGATGATAGTTGACATTCAGATAGACAATGATGCTGAGATAGAAGAGGATGTGACAGATGATATGGCCCTCGACGATACCCCGATCACCAATGGCACAACAACCGCAAGTCATCTGCCTGCGCTCGTAGAACCTCTCATCACCCTTATCCAACCCGTCAGGTTATCATTTCCTCCTGCAGCTGGGCAATCCCTTCACCCACCTACAACATCGGTACTGAGTGCAATTCATGTTAGCGCGCTCGAGTGCTTGAATAACATATTTCTCTCGTTGAGTGCGTCTCCAAACTCTGGATTAGCCGCGGCGTCCGCGAGTGGAAAACAGATATGGGACGGTGTGTGGGCAGCACTTGGGAGTGTAGGCACGGAAATTACACGCAGCCAAGAGCGTAAACAGGAAATGTGGGAGATTGGAGTGGGTGTGCTATGGGGTGTCGGTAATATCTGGAAGGGTAGCCTGGTAAGTCTTCTAATCGGCCAAAGTTCGGGTGTTTGAAAAGTCGCTGTCAGGTGCCCAACGAAGAACAAGTGCAGCTATTGATTCAGCTATGTAACTCGAGCGCTGATCTTGCTATTCGCGTTAAATGCATCGGCACACTCGAGTGCCTGGCACAGCATCCACAGTCTATTGATGCCAATCGCGTGAGCCGCATGTTCCCTCAACCCTTGTCGAAACTGAACACGGGTTTAGGTTATCGCAATGCATCTGCTTTCCATCCTCCCAACATCCACAGCGCCTTCGTCACATGGCACCGAGCCGCTGATCCAAACACTGTCCGCTCTCATAGACATCTATTCCGACGAGAATCTCCCATACGATATTAATTTCCGGCAAGGCAACTTCCTGCAGCGTCTTGTAGATAGTGTTGACGGGGTGCGTAAAGCCGTGCGTGCAATCGATAGGCGGAAAGAGCGAGATCTGAAGCTGAGAGGGGAGGAGATGCGAGACAACTTGGTTGCCTTCATCAAGTACCGAAGGGCCTTGAAATTTTAATGATGGCTTTCAATAGCATAGCTAGCATCACAAAAAAAATGCGCGACAACTGTTGTTACTGGAATAGTTACATGCAGTCAGCTCCATGCATCATGGTCCCAACGCCTGGAGTCCAAAAGACCGGGCTGCCATAATGGCGGATATATTCGTCTGCATTCAAAAGCCACCCCATGCTTCTGGCAGCTCAGGACAATGTCTGTAATCATGGACTTGTCCGCGTCTGACTTTCCTGCATTCATGATGATCCGGCCTGGGTAGCTGGCAGCAGATTTCAGCAAGCCATGCTCAAGTGCGTCGCAAACATTCCAAAGTGGGACCGAATTTGGGAAGATGAGAGCCGGAGCTTGAGATCCTGCCGTATGCACGCTGTACTGTGGTGGGGCATCGAGGATAAGAACTCGAACTGTGGACATATATGGGACAAGGTTCTTCAGGAAACACGGTGTGCCCAAGCGAAGGTGAGTTACGTTCGGGAAAGACGCAAGGATAGAACCAAGTGATGCTGATGGATGGCGCGCTATATGCAAATGCGTCACTGAGCTAATGACGACGCTAGAAAGGGGGCATGCAAAAGAATCGCGGAGTGGAGGCCAACAAATACGGAGGTGCGTGAGGGATTCCGTCTTTACAAGGAGATTTTGGAGGATCGCGTCGAAATAGTACCGCCTATCCATTGTGATCGCAAGACACATGAATCGCGCCTCTGGGACATGTTTTGCAATCTCATCAACACGAAATCGCTTGTGTTCCACAGCGTTTAGCACGATGGAGACGTATCGAGCGCATGGCTCATGACGCGAGAGGAGTCTCTCATACGCGACAAAATCGACCATTGTCTCGATGAAGGCATAGCGCAACACTACCTCGTAGAGCACGTCGCGCCAAACCTTGGACAAGATCGAGATGACGCGAAAGAAATGCCATCTAGCGGAAGCGTCGTCAATGGAGCACCATGCATCTACGATGATTTTCTCCACGAGCTCGTAAGGAAGAGCGTTCCTGTACTTCTGAAGTTTCTTGTGCTGCGCTGGAGATAAGTCAAGTACTGTAGAAAGAACGAGTATGTGGAAGGCGCCAACATTTGCGTTTACGCAGGCAAAACAGTTGTGACAGTGATCTGGGTAGTAAGTCAGCATCATCGATCTCGTTCAACGCGACCACACACATCAACTTACCCCGTCATGGTGCCAACATACCCTCAGAAAGTCAACACATTCTCTGAAGACGCCGAACGTCTTTGTTCGCTTCTCAAGAATCACGGACGGAAAATACGAAACCCACGGATAGAAACGCAATTCTATGTAGAAGGTTCAGCGCTCTACGGAAATTCGGAATGATGTGGAAGTCATGAGGTACCTGGCAAACTTTTAGAACGCCTGAGAGTGACACCCACTGTCTGGAGAGTATTTCGTCGCTTTACTCACAGTGCACTGTATTTGGGACTCGATCAAATTGGGCTCAAGTTGAATACTAATAAAAACCTACATGTGACTGAGCGCGGAGGGTGGGACAGGAGAGAAAACCTTGAAGTGTGTGGAGGTGGTAGGCGCTGAGTGCGTCGGACTAATTAACTACGTACTAACTTACTCGGACCAGTGAAGATCATGTGTCTTCGTGCCCTGGTTTGTGCCTGTCTAGTGTCCACTGAGATACTCTCCCTCCCACAACTTTGGCCAAGGCGCTGAAGACGTTGTAACCCTCCGGGCTCCGTTCGCGTGGGACATGGGCAGCGAGGGACGTAGTTTGAATTGGTGTGCATGGTGAAGAGAGAAGTCGTATCAGATATCGCCTTCTAAATATGTAGATGGTCCGTGCAGACAGCTGTAATGGTATATAAACATTGTGGTTTAGAATTGAAAACCTCATACTTACCTTGATGGCATAGGCTCCTTCATGTACCCGGGTTTGTGGGCCGCGGGGACCCTTCATAGCACGGCGACCCTGTCCATACAGAGGGTAATCGCGGTTTGTATGAGCTCCGGCTCATGCACCGTCTCAATATTTTCCTGTCCTGCCACGGCCACTCTGGCTGGGCAGGCCATTTTTTTTTCGCCCTTCCTCTGTCCTAACCCTAACCCTAGTTTACACCGAAACAAGTTAACCTATTCAACATTCAATGTGATTTGATATCCTTTGCAATCATCATCCTCAACAAAAGTGAACTTCTGTTCATTGAACGTACATTGAACACTACAAATATCTAAATTTGGTGCTCATTACTGTACTCACTCCTTAGTCTTCTCGTACAATTCCTAATCCCTGGATTTGACTTCAGTCTATTATCAGCAAGCCAATAACTCGAGCCCGAACCTTCTTGCTGTCAAATGGATCCAATCCAGCAGCAACTCGGCTGCTCGCAATCAATGCGCTCTCATCTATGATATCCCACTGCTGTGTCCCTGAGACAACCTGTGCCTGGTGTATCGCCCGTGTGGTGATCATGCTACAATGTGCATTAGCAACTACAAACGAATGAATATCTCTTGATGACTGAATTCGATCGTCAACATACCTGCAGGCATCGGGCAGTTCAGTTCCGAGGACAGCCGAAGGACGTGACTGGATGGAAAATTGGGTCAGAAAGGATCGTGTTAATTGTGAACACAGAGGCACTAACGTAGAGTCTTTGATTCCGCCATCCATAGCAAAGCCTACGGAGCCGTCAAACAAGTCGTTAACCATCTTATTGCCATAGGCTAGCAGACTATCGTCGTCCGTGTGGCATGAGTGATTCGAAGCAATAGAAGTAACAGACAGCATACCCTGGTGCTGGCATGATATCTGAACGCGATTGATCAGCTTCCCCTGATGGTACAGCAGAACGCAGTCTAAGTTTCACCTGCAATCAAATCATAAACAGTCTGCTGTCCAATGCCAGACTTTTCTCCAAGTGTCAGGGTTTCGGCGAGGAGGTCCAAGGCAGCGACGAGATTACCATTACCGATCAACTTTAATGTCGAAGCTAAAACCCCGAACATTCATTTTCAGATTCCTAGACTTTGCTCGTCACTGCTCTTACGCATTCCTACCTTTTTCTACATTCCCTCCGAGGTCAATAACCTTGCGGCCCACTGCGGGAACAAGGAGGAACGCAACTTCCTTCTTGGATCGGTAATCTCCGCTCATGGCAATAACAAGCGTGGCCTTGTCTGCCGCCGGGGGAGGCCCAAAGATAGGTGAAGTGATGAACTTGGTATGTGGAAAGCTTGACAGCAGTCTGTCAAGATCGCCTACAGACTTGTTCACAGTTCCATCAGTAGCGAAGAAACTTTTCACTCACCAGCCAGCGCAGGGTAATTCTGGCATCATCAGTGAGCATGAAGCCAGACGCGGATATCAAGCTTACTGTGCTCATTTCAACAAAGATTTTGACCTTGGATGGAGGCGTTTGCTGATGACTGCAGCATGATTATCTTATCCTCCAAGAAGATATGATTACGGCGTACGGCGAGAGCCTTTGCAAACTCGTTGTAGACGCTCGTTACCACAGCATCATTCACGAGACAAGTGAAGATAACATCGCACTCCGTAGCCAGCTGGCCGAGAGTATCGGCGACTTTGACGGCGGATTCGCCAAGTTCTGCGAGGAGCTTCTGGGACTTTTCCACAGTCCTGTTGTACACGAGGAGAGGCGGGAGTTGAGATTTAAAGGATGTAGCTAGATTGCGGGCCATGAAATAGCCCATGGCCCCAAGGCCACAGAAGCCGATTTGAAGAGGGTGGACTCCAGGAGTCGGGGGTCGCGAAAAAGGAACTGCACCTGCATGGGCTGGAGTTTGAAGAAGGTTCGACATTGCGTTCGGGCTAGGGGTATCTATGAGAGAGCAAGTAAGTACTTTATTGGCAGGTCGCACTCGTCAAGACTCAAGAGCATTTGGACACGGTTGTCGAGAATTTTCGGAAACGCTGCATTCCCACGTAGAACGAGGAATAAAGGTGATTGGCTGGCTACGCTACTGATGTGTAGCTCAAGTATCATGGATAGGAGGGACTTCGACGATGAGCTCCCCAACTAAAAATATCGAAAGAACAAGAGCATTAGGTAACAGTTGGTTCCGCAAGCCCTGCAGGTGTTGTAGGTGGGGAACAGGTGCTCGCGGGTGTTCTGTGGGTGCGTCGGGTGGCGTAAATTACGCTTGAATTCTGGAATAACTGTTTCTTGGACTCGTGGATCTGGGAAACAAGGATGTTAGCAGGGCAAAGTCGTATACCGAATCTATTTTGATCGATCGAGTCGAACTCCTGCATTCGTCCAGGCCAAGGGACGTTTACTGGAACGGACTGACCGATGCTAGGCGGAGCCCTCGACACGGTAGATGTCAAACGCACTTTTGTCCTCAGTAAAGATAGTCTAAAATTTCACTCCGCTCAATAATAAATGTTGTATGCTGGGTTTGGGTCCCAGGTTAGTCCTGAATATATTGAATAATACAGATTGCACACCTGCAGCCTGTAGGTAGTTATCTTCCCTCCTCCTTCTGAAGAAGAATACCAGAACAAGGGCTGGCCGCTACCAGTATGCGTCGACCTCGCATCGACCGTTGTCTGCCCGGCCCAGAATAATGGTATGTAAGGTTTCTGTGATAGGACACGCATAAAACCACAAATGGCTTGCGTATGTTGCGTACATCATGCAAGAAGTTTCGTGCACGGGCAGAAGTGGTCACAAGTGAAGCACGGTGAAAACTTGACAACGCAACACCCTGTGCTTACGGCACTCTCGCCTCCAGGGGTAGTACTTCCAAAACAAGAAGTGCATCAACTGTGGAATGGATCTGAGTCTACTCAGTCAAGTACGATGAAGTGGTGCTTATCGATGCTATAGTACAATTGCGTACAATCCTATGTAGTGGAGTGATAGTCCGAATTCACTCTGGGTGCTTCCAAGGTTAAGTACATGTGTCTCTGAATCTATTGAAGGTACATTCATGGCCTCAAGTTCATACAATTCTACGGTTTGTTCTATCAAATAATACATACACCTTTATGGATTCCAATGCATGTTTAGCGCTCAGTGCTCATTCCTCAGTCTTCTCGTACAACTCCTGTGCCCTGGATTTCACTTCAGTTTATCATCATTAAAGGAAGCCGAGAACATGATGACGAACCTTGCTGCTGTCAAATGGATTCAATCCAGCAGCAACTCGGCTGCTTGCAATCAATGAGCTCCAGTCTAAGATGTCCCACTGCTGTGTCCCTGCGACCACCTGTGCCTGGTGCATCGCTCGGGCGCTGATCAGGCCACGGTGCGTGTTATCAACTGTAAAATTAATGAGTATCCCCTGGATGCCTGAATGTCAGATTGTTCACATACCTGCAGGCATCGGGCAGTTCAGCTCCGCGGCCAGGCGACGGATGTGACTAGATTAAAACCAGGTCAGAAATGAATGTTCATTGCGAGCACCTCAAAGCACTAACTTGGCGTCTTTGATTCCACCATCTAGGGCGAAGCCTTCGGAGCCGTCAAACAAGTCGTTGACCATCTTGTGACCGTAGGCCACTATACTATTGTCGTGCATGCGGCCCTTCAGCGATTCGAATTAAAGTCATTGACAGTATACATACCCCGGTGCCGGCATGATTTCTGAATGCGATCATTATCAGCTCCCCGTCGAGATACGGCAGAATGCGGTCCAAAGTTTACCTTTAACTAGATTGTATACAGTCTGCTGCCCGATACCAGACTTTTCTCCAAGCGTCAGAGTTTCGGCGAGGAGCTCATTGGCACCCATGATCATACCATTACCGATCAACTTTAATGTTGGAGCTGAAACCCCCACCCATTTCAGACTATGCTCGCCATCGCTCTTACACGTTCTTACCTTTTTCCACATTTCCTCCGAGGTCAATCACCTTGCGGCCCACTGCCGGAACAAGAAGAAACGCAACTTCCTTCTTGGAACGGTAATCTCCACTCATGGCAATAACAAGTGTGGCCTTGTCTGCCCCTGGGGGAGGTCCAAAAATAGGTGAAGTGACAAAATGGGTATGTGGAAAGCTCGACAACAGTCTGTCAAGATCGCCTATAGCCGCAGACTTGTTCACAGTTTCCTCAGTGACGAAGAAGCTTTTCACGCACCAGCCAACGTAGGGTAAATCTGACATCTTCAGTGAGCATGAAGCCCGGACGTGAATATCGATATCAGGCTTACTGTGCTCATTTCAACAAAGATTTTGACCTTGGATGGAGGCGTTTGCTGATGACGGCAGCATGATTATCTTATTCTGCAAGAAGATATATGATTGCGGCGTACGGCAAGAGCCTTTGCAAACTCGTTGTAGATACTCGTTACAACAGCATCGTTCGCGAGATTAGTGAAGATAACATCGCACTCTGTAACCAGCTGGTCGAGAGTGTCGGCAACTTTGATGGAGGATGCGCCAAGTTCTGCGAGGAGCTTCTGGGACTTTGTCACAGTCCTGTTGTACACGACGAGAGGCGGTAGTTGAGATTTAAAGGATGTGGCTAGATTGCGGGCCATGAAATAGCCCATGGCCCCAAGGCCACAGAAGCCGAGTTGAAGAGGATGTACTCCAGGAGTCGGGGGTCGCGAAAAAGGAACTGCACCTGCATGGGCTGGAGTTTGAAGAAGGTTCGCCATTACGTTGGGGTTGGGTATCTATGAGAGAAAGAGCAACTACTGGTATATTGGCAGGTGTGCTTCGTCAAGAGCTTCTTTGGACACGGGTTACTACTTATCGAGGATTCGAGGGTTATCGGGAACGCCGCATTTAGATCATTTCCCACCGTGCACGTGGAATGAAGTTGATTGGCTGGCTACGCTACTGGTACCACGTATACCTTTGACGGAGAGCTCCTCTCAGAGACGAAGATATCAGCTTGGTCTTGCATGCAAAGGGTCTCAGAGGACGATGTAGTCAGGTTAAGCTTTGCTATGTAGACTTAAACACACGTGATCAATCCGTTCGCTGCTTGCATAAGCGCAGACGGCCAAAAATAGCATTCACAACTTCGACGGCTGGGTACAGCAGTTGGCAGCTGCAGTAGGCCTGTAGCTGTAACAGCAGCAGTTTTGCATTTCTACCCCTGCCCGTTATCACCATGCAGCAGCAGCAGGCCTTACAAGCTTATGCGCAGCAGAACAAGGGCACTCTTGTTCCAGGCCAAACCATCTCAGTAAACAAATACACGGTCCAGGTTGAGCGGTATCTCAGTCAAGGTGTGTTGAATTCACCTGGTGATCTCATCGAGCGTTAACATCTTGTTCAAAGGTGGATTCTCTCATGTGTACCTTGTCAGGACTCCCACCCCCGTGTATAACACGACCCATCATGTTCTCAAACGAATTGGCGTTCCTAATGAGGCCATGCTCGCGGAGGTTAAGAAAGAAGTCGATATCATGGTTCGAAGCATCCAAGCTGCTTACTCGGTGCTTACTGAATCTGCATGTAGAGGATACTGAAAGGGCACCCAAACGTGGTGCATCTGATCGATGCTGCCTGGCACAAAATGGCGAACGGCATGTACGAAGTCTTCATTCTCATGGAGTTTTGTCCAGGCACGTGTTTTTGCAAGATTTACACAGCTGATGTGGTCTTACTCAGACCTAGGTGGTGGAATCATTGACATGATGAACAGACGTCTGCGCGAACGTCTCACAGAAGCAGAGATCCTTCAGATTTTTGTAGATGTCTGTGAAGGTGTTGCTGCCATGCATAATCTTCGCCCCGCCCTTCTACATCGTGATCTGAAGGTGGAGAACATTCTTCAGGCCTCCAATAATGTCTTTAAGCTCTGTGACTTTGGCTCTGCCACACCAGTCGCGCCTCGACCGCCATCTACCACGGCCGAGATTAGAGCTCTCGAGGCGGACTTGAACAGACATACGACACTTCAGTACAGGGCGCCTGAGATGGTCGACCCATACCTTCGCCGTTCTGTTGACGAGAAATCTGACGTTTGGGCACTCGGAGTGCTATTGTACAAATTGTGTTATTACACCACTCCATTCGAAGAACATGGTCCCCTGGCAATTTTGAACGTACAGTACCGCATTCCGCCATATCCCGTTTATTCATCGCAAATGAACACATTGATCGGTGTGTTATTTTTGGCTTCGATCACGTCCGAATATACTGAGTTATCATGCAGCCTCCATGCTTCGCGAGCACGGCACACAGCGACCTACAATATTTGAACTTCTCGCTCAAGTGCACGCCATACGAGGTACCAAATCGCGCTTCGTCTACGATATTCCTCCGCCTCAGCCTCTCTCCCCCCGAGCTTTGCAGCTTCCGTCTACGAATCCTCTTGACAACCTTGTATCTTATCGTCGAGCGCCAGCCACAGATGCCACGCAACAAGTCCAACCAGCTCAGCCCCAGGACATAGGTACAGGCATTCAAGCGCGTGATAGGGTGCTGGAGGCTATTGCACCAATGCGCCGTGGCCGGCCATATCATTCCCAGCAACAGAATGACACTACTCCCTCATCGACCTCTCGGCCTCCTAGTCCGCCGAAGCTGCCGAGAAAGCCTGACGCCTCGTTTGGCGCAGAGGAGGACAAGGCATGGAAAGAGTTGAAAAGCTCTTCTGCTGTTCTCGCTGCGGGGGGCATCAGGGCTCACAAATCAGGCAGCATAACTGCGAGTGTCTGGAGGCCCAAGATATCCGCGCCTCCTTTGGACGATACATGGAGCGTTGAAACGCGTGCGTCAAAAGCGATCTCGGATGAGGTTCCATCGCCAGGGGTTACTGCATTTGGGGACAATTTCGGAGAGAAGTTGTGGAGCGCCTTTGACGGTACTAAGGCTGGGGGAGCCACCCCCGCGACAGGAGTGGGGCCATCCTCAAGTACTGGAAAAGAGCGTATTTCGAAGCTTGCTCCTCCACCTGAGGGGTCGCGTACTACGAGGCTTACTATCACAAAGAGTAAGGACGCGTTCGATGGTCTAGGTTTAACACCATCTTCAGCACCCACACCAACTCTTGGAGAGGCACGGAAGCTGAGAACTGGCCTCGCTGTGGTTAATGGAAACAATCGCGCTGCCATCACTCCTAGTCCATCTATAGCTGCTGCGAAACCATCACCAGCCCCGATCAAACCAATGCCTTCGCCCCGTCCTCCAGCACAATTGACAACTACTCACGCTTCGTGGCGTTCTAGTCCATCAGTGCAACCCCCTGCATCCACTCCTCCTAAGCATCCACAGATGGGCGAATTCTCTGCCGAGGCACGATTTCCTTCAGTAGAAGAGCTCGATGCAACGTTTGGTGTATCGGCACCTAGCTGGCAGCTCGAGTCCTCCGAGCGCCACAAGGAGCGCGAAAAAGTAGTTAATCTGTCCGAACCTTCCTTTGCACCTTCCTCGTCGCTTCAGCCGACTTCTCAGCGTGCCGTTCTGAGCACTACCCTTGGTCTACGCTCAGAGCATGTCACCGGGGTGGCGATGCGTGACTCTGAGAAGGACAAAATTCAGAGGTCCGTTGGGTTGGAGAATGGCATTGGTGCAAACACATCGTCTCCAAAGCCCGCATCATATCGGCCTCTTCCCCGTCCTTCGCTTTCGAGGAGACATCGCAGCAGTATCACTGTCAAAGCCACACCTCAGGCACAGCTAATTGATGACATTGGTACTCAGGACATTACCACTCCTGGTCCGGCGTTACGCAAACCCAAAGACTGGTTAACAGGTGATGTTGATGCCCTCATCTCCCCAATCAAGGACGGATCTTTCGCTCAGGCTCAGGCTAGCAACCTCCCTGCGACGCCCGTTCTACGCGAGTTTACGAATAAGCGATCGTCATTCATTGAAGAGAACACAACAAATTTACAATCGCCACAGGAAGCTGTCGCCGCTCAACAGCCTCCCCATAGAGTGACAACACCTCCATCGCCGTCCAAGATGCATACGCGAGGTACCAGTGTTAGAGAGCGGAAGCAAAGTGTCCCTTTGACACCAAAGAAACCTAGAGAGCTACCAGTGGTCGCGCCCAAACCGGTAATTGCTGCCCTTGCACTGAAGCCGGACCTAGAGTCTCGCCAGGGAGTGACATCGCAACCATTGAAGCGTCCACCGCAGGATGACTCTGATAGGCGGAAAGCTTTCCCTATTTCTGAGTCACCAAAGGCAACTAAGATGCAAGATTCGTCAAGTGATGGGGAACAGGGGCCAGAGGATGCTGTTGGATTTGCTCCAGGGAAACTAGTTGAGAAGACGGGTTCATCCCGAAGACGAAAGACGAGGGGCCGGCAAAGTTCCGTGCACGACCTCGTTGATCTATGGGGAGGAGGTGTGGTGCAGACAAAAGAACGACCAAAGGATTCCGTTCACAGTCCTGCCGTTGCTGCATTCAATGAACCGACCAGGGACTTTGCTGTGAAACTACAAAAGAGCAGATCAATTGCAGTTTCTTCGATGGCTAAGCAGAGGCCTGCATCGCCCAGGATGCAGTCACAGCCCTCAGAGCCCAATCATTCTCAGCGTCGTTCACCAAGCCGGTCTCCCATGCGACCCTTTCCTCAGACACCTGGTGCAAACACCCCTTCGTCTGGTAATGCCCCCGTATCATCCTCTCGCGGGAGGCCGCAGTCTATGCTTGCCTTTCCAGTGGCAAAGTCTACTTCGGATGGAAAAATGGATGCGCCGTCAACTCCTACGGGTCTATCTGTTCCAGAAGACAATCCTCGCAAACACGGCGCTCGGCGGACCTCAATAACAGACATGGTCCAACGCTTCGAAGCTATCGGGGGCAAGGCCAGAGGCCTAGGTGCAGGTTCGCCTGTGATAGTTCCCAAATTAGCAGGTTTGAAGATGCCAACCTCGTCAACTGGAAATGGTCGTGCTGTGGACGTCACGGGCACAAGCCCAAGTTCCCCGTTAGTGTCGAGATTCACAGCCTCCAGAGTCACTGCATCAGCTTTTGAAGAGTCGAGTCCTGGACTTGACCCAGGGAAGCCACGACCATCTGCGATTGATTTAGCCAGGGCGGCCCTTGCCAATCAGGACCAGAGCAAGGCAGACATGAATATAAGAAATCCCGTTGCAGGGTTACCCACTGGGACACCCAGTCGATTCATGCCTGGATCATCAGTAGGACGAACCGGTCCCCTAGACGGTCTTTCAGCATCGCTATCTTTTTCCCCTCCAAAGCCTGCCACACCTCTAGAAGAGCCGCGCTCGCCGTCGCCTGATAAACCTTTTCAGGGAGTGGGCAAGCTCATCGACCAATGGCAGCGTAAAACGGAGGTTGATTCACCTCGAGCCCCTATCCCTCGGAGAGGTGGTTTTACCCCCAAACGAGCTGGTCTCGTCTATGAGGAAGTGGGCAAGGATAGCTGAACCGTGCATCACTCGACCTCTCATATTTGCTTGCATTCATTCGCTGCAATAGCTTGTAAAATTAATTTATACTATTACGATCTGACGTGCTAGAACAAGTTCGTAAACAATAACTCGGAGTTCAAGCTTCAAGCGTCGTCAGAAATCTGAGCTTGCGGGGACTGCGAACGTCGTGCTGTGCTTCCAAGTAACTGTCGGGCTACGTCTCTACCCTTCCCATACTCCCAAGCATCCTGGTCAACAGGATAGCGATTGACTTTCACTCGCTCAGTGTCACCAGCTATGCCAAGCACCTGCGCCGCGGCATCGGCGCGGGCGAGGTTAGAGTCAACGGGGTGAATGACGATAGCTTCGGGTTTCGACTTCGTTTGGCGCGATCTGGGCTGCCATGACCGCGTAGACATATGATATGAGTCGTCTTCGCTCTCGGAATCCAGGAGAGGATCTCTAATTTTATCATAGCTTAGAGAGGGAAAGAGTCAATCAGCCTATATAAGCTAGCGTGTCATAGTTGATACACTTACGTGGTTGACTTTGCTGGGGCAGCATCTACATACTCGAAGAAGAATTGTCCGACTGACAACATAACGACCTTTTGGAGAGATACTTGTTATATTTTCCGCAATAATCTCACGTGGCTATTGGCACTTACAACGGCAAGGATGAGACTTGCTCATCAAGAAGCCGGTCAGGCCATCTCAATGACTTCCATTGGGCAAATGAGGCTCACCATACTTGGTATGACATGGCAATAAGCATGTACAATCTGGTAGTATTTCACTGTTCAACATCGTTCTCTGTGGATTGATGAAGACGCAACTCACAGTCTAAGTGTTGTTGCTACACCGTACAATGTTGCCCTCCACAATGCCTTTGCTAGTCGCGAACGACCAATTAAATGAGGACGCCAATGCTTGCTAATAGCAAATGATAAGAGTCTTGTGTTTCCAATGACCCAGAGTCAGCGAAAGGTGGAGTTAAAAAAAAAAGACACGAACCTCTCAGACAAACATATGACAGAAGTCAGGAGGACACCGAGGAAGAAATCCCAAAAGGTGTTCAGGCGCAGAGAACTAAAGAGGACATGTTCACCGAAGAATGAGAAATGAATGTAATCAACCCAGCCATCCATGCCATCCATGCGGACCGTAGTACAGCTGGTGGAGCTCGTTCAAGATGTGGTTGCTAGCGTTGGTGATAACGTGGTCAGCCCATAATGCTACAGAATGCTACCGCAATAGCCCGAAAAGTACAACTCGACCTCTTACCACAATCGTAACACTCACTGGCAGTCCAGTTGTCAGGGCTGGGGTGTGTATATACACCGCTCAGCGTTCAAGTATCATTGCTCGCAACACGGTGGCACTGAAGCACGATCCCCTGCTGCCGAGGCGTCGCTTGAGCGATAACGTCATACGCGCCAATGCGTCTTCTTCTAGTGTCCTCACGGCGCAGTTCATGTTCATGTTCAGTGTTGCAGGAATGTATATTCGCAACTGCTGGAAGCACCTGCAGGACTAGGTTACCAACAACCTAGGTAAACTGCCGCAAGTGTATATGCGTGTCTCTCGATTCGGAGCTCTTCCTGCAGGATGAGGCGAGTCTCAACTAAATCGATGCATTCAATTCTCCTCCGTTATGGCCAATACGACTTCAAATCAAGTTTTCTGTCAATAAGCTAACCTCAGGCGACACGAATGGGTTTTTCATCAGTGGTAGTACTTTTTTGACATCGCTATTTCATGTTGCGTTGACAGCGTTTATTTCCAATATCCTCTCCAGCCGACTAGTACAAGCTCTCCCTCTCCTCCGGTCAATGTTTGATGATGTCAGCTGCATTCAAGGTGTTGGGGTATCGGAGGTGGGATCGAGTCATCAATCAAGGTCGACCTTCTCGCACACACATCAGGTGAACAGATCAACAACTTGATCTGCGTAAACCTGCTGGCCGCTCACTGTGCCGCATTGTCGAGGGGTTATTGCAAGTCGGTCTCGCTCTTGTCTCTTGTCTCCATGTTTTCGGTTTTTCGGTCACTGCATCCATTTGCTCGTCTCTCGGGTCCAATTCCCTTCTGTTCGCGACAGTCTCGTTATGCTTCCATGTTTTTGCTCAACCAGTGTCGGGTAAAATGGTGGCTCAAGCCTCTCCTGCCAAGTTACCATCTCCGCCCATGTCAGACACCATCTCCGCCCATGTCAGACCATGTTTTCTGACACACATCCCGGAATTCAGTACAGCGACCCCTGAGTTGTACTACTGTGCGCGAAGAGATGTTACGGAAGTTTGAAATTGACGGCGCCTCAGTGTATGCTTTTCATTTATGTCACGGCATTCTGAGCTAATTTGCTTGAGCATGCTTGCCATTCCTAGGAACGAGGAACGAAGATGATAGGCTCTCAGGCACTACATGTAGTAAGAGTTGTGGTAAGTTGGTATGTTAATCAGGAACGAGGAACGATGTTGATTGGCTGAGGGACTACAGTCTATTGAAACGGACTCAGGGGGGTGTATGGCAAGCTAAGGATTATGGTTGAGGTGGGTATGTAGCTGTCAAGAATATAGGATTCAAAGCAAGGGTTTGTTCATACATAAGCTCTAAAGTTCGCCACATAGTAAGACAACGAGAGAGGGTGAGAAGAGACTTGTCAATACATGGAGGGTACCTAACAAGACAATGAGTTACGAGGCACTGAGAAATTTGCTTCTCTGGAGGTCTGAGCCGCATGCGAGGTGTTTGACCGTTCAACCAAAGTAGCCTTCCTTAGATACACGAAATCAAATACACCAGTAGTTTACATTATTCCGCCCCATTCCGTTTGATACAGTCCTTCTCTTGCTTCGGGTTATCACCAACGAGTTTGGCTACTTTTATGTAAAATTATATCGCGATTTCCTTACGCTTTCCGAGAGCAACACTAGTAGTCTCATTAGCTTTTTGTGCTCTCCATTCGCAACTATTTTGATATTCGCAACTGCTGTCGAGAAGTGTGAGCAGCTTTCGCAACGCTGCCTACTGAGGGAACTCACAAACACCGACTGGACTGTGCGAGTTCAACACCCCTGGGAGGGCGAATGCCAAACCACCATTGAAGAATATCTTTGAGATGCGCATCGAGCCGATCGTCATCCATGAAGAACTTCTTGGAACCCAATATCGTCGAAATGCCAGAGGTATCTTCCTCATCTGGAGGGTCACCATTTCCATCAGGATGAGTCCTGTTTTCTTCTAAATTAGTTAACTTATCAACCGCTGGAGCTGGGTGTAAGCATTGGTATATCGGAGTTCTCGACGAGATTTCATACTGACTCGCTTCGTGTTCTTTCGCAACAATAGACTGTGGATTGGAGTCGGGCACGCCGCGGGCGCCTGCAGGCAATAAATCTTGCACTACCTGCATCAGCTCAGGATCTTCCTGAGCAGGGCTAGTAATGTCAACAACCGCATCAATCGCAATTTCGGTTTGCGCAGCATATTGGACCGCAGCCTGAGAAGTACTGGCCTCTCCGGTATCCTGATCAAGCGGGCGCAAACTCTCTTCTATAGCACGAGCTATATCCAGTTCCTCTTGAAGGGCAAGCGCTTCCGGGGAATTATCGACTGCTTTTTCTTCGGTTTTCGCCTTCCGTCCATGAACCGAGTCCTTCTCGACCCCAGCTTTCCGGTAGATAATTTGTAGCTCGGAATGGATGCCTCTCAGTTGTTCACCACTCATCCGAGCCGAGTGAACGACAGAGACCCATGCGGCAACCATGGAGGTCAGATCTATATGAAAGTCGCTTTCATCTCTTGTTAGCAAACCGATGTCTTCTACAAATTGTCTGGAAAATGATTGATGCGGATTGATGCCCTGCTTTGCCCATAGTAAATCGAAATCGAAGGTTTCCGGTGAGAGGAGTGGAGAGAGCAGGCGATGATAAAGCATAAGTTGCATCTGTGATGACACCGTATCCTCGTCTGAGGGCAGTGATGGTGCGCGACGAGTCTTGTAGTCGACGAGTGTCAAATCGTAGAATGTGAGTTGTGGGTGAACGGGCCTTGGGACCGAAGTTCCCGCCACAGAATTGTCATGAACTTCCTCCTCGGTTGGGAGCTGATCCGCTGCCCTGGTCTCCTCGGAAGTAGAACAAAAAGCACGTATATCATTTTGTGATGGGGACGGCGACCGACGCGGCTTCTTCTTGACGGGAGATGATTCGGAAGAGACCAAACTACGTTTGACAGGGTTGTAAAGTTCGTTTACTTCTGATGGAACACGCCGAGTCACTTCATCCTGCCAGATCAGTCATATGTCGATCAGACATATGTCAATCTTGCATTATCTAGGTGCGGAAATACCTACAATTATTCCGAAGATGACTTGTCCATGCGTAATTCCGAAAACTGGGAGTTCCCGCTGCAAAATTACGTTAGAAATTATGATTATTTCACCATCAGGGAAAATAGTTACCGTTAGACCCTCATGAATTAGTTGTTCTAAGCCAGCAGTGAGATTGAAAAGACTTTTGAACAGATCAGGAAATGACGTGAGAGCAACAAAGATGTAACATTCGTACCGTAAAGCCCAACGCTCCCCATTAGTCGATATGCGGATGGGAACTTTTTCCGGCCGCACTTCCAGTTCCAGAGCTTTGTGAATAGACTAAAGTAAAGATCGTTTCATTCTGCAAAAATGAGAAAAAAGAATGAAACTTACGGCTCCTCTCTTGAGTGTCCTATCGTTTTGTTGTGCCACATTTTGATGAACCTGAATTTGTTTACCGTCTCTTGACGTGAAGGAAGACGGTCGCCTTTCGATGGGTTTGTTACGCTCTCCATACAGCCCATACTCATATTGTACTTCACACCTATAATCCAATGTGAGAAGGGGGTGAAGGAAGGACTTGGTGAACAAACCAAACAGGTGAGACAAGGTCTGTCACCGAGAATCCCTTCTTCCAAGAGCAAAACTGCTCGTAGGGACTTCTCACCTGTTTTCGCGGACGCATTCCAGAATCGAGTGTGGCGGTACGCTGCAAGGGCTTTATGCTAGCCGAGATATGACGCTTTCTCGTATTGACAGCAATTTTTGGAGTTTCCTCAATACGATTCGTGTTAGTCATACTCGACTCAAAACCGATATCAAGCGCAGGTCCACCACCAAAGCCACTGAGACCAGCTTTCCTGGGGCCCGCCGAAATAACTTGCTGCGATTGACTAACATCGGGCACCTTCTGCTGCAGGGTTGTCGTGACATGTACATCGAAACATGCAAGCTCCTCATCGGTGAATTCTGAAAAGTCGTAATGTTCAAATTCGTCGTGAGACATGACACTCGTGGATTGGAAGAAGCCGCTGCCAGCTCAGTTCAGCGAGCGTGAATAAATGAACGCGGAAGTCACATGATTGTGTGACGTAATATTTGGCACTGGTTATGATTAACGGATCAGAAGGGTCCTCGAACTCCACTGTCTTACTCAATGTCACTAGTTCTTCTTTATCGAGAACCATGATGCTTAGCTCTGTGAAACGAAGAAAAATGGGTTGGCAGCATATTCTATATCCGTCTTATCAACGCCAAGCGCTCGATGAGCTGATTGCTTGTTGCCGCCGGTCGGCACGAACGCGCTAGGGGCGAGGTTGTGGAGCTGCCACCAATGATTTGAAACTCTAGACACAGCCGATGAGAAACTAATCATCATTGCCTCTCTTCCACATCCACCGATTAACTGTGCCCTGGACTGTCAGGTTAACTGCGCTGTGAGAGCCGCTTTGCTTTGCCTTACACCCTCTTCACCCTCTTCGTCATAGATTAGTTTTTATGACACAGCTTCTCTTATCTATTTATTAAACACACCTGTCCTTTAGCCCCTCATTCGTTGGAGACCATTTTTCAGATCTTCTCCTGTGACGCAAACGTCTCCTTGCGTACCACGACGACCAACATGATGAAGAAATCTTTCCTCCTTGTTGTTCTCTTTTCGTTAGCTGTCGCACTGGCGTCTCCACTCGACGTCCAGGCTCGCAACCCCACACCGTCAAAGAGATATGCGCTCCCCATTCTCCCGCGGCAGCCAGGACCTTCCATTACCCCTTCTAAGCGATCCTTGGACAATCGTGCCCCATCCCCACTTTACATTGCTCGCGAAGCTAGTCCATTACAGCGTCTCGCAGCTCGTCAGGCCGCTCCTTCAAAGAGACTGTCAGCTCGACAGTTGGCGGCTTCACCGCGTTATGTAAACGCCCGTGCTCCTGCACCAGCCCCGTCCAAACGGGTTGCTGAGGAATCCGCAGCGCCGCAGAAGCGCAGCCTAGACGAACAACGTGTGATGGAGGGCACTGCGGATTCTCTGCGTGGGTTCTGTCTTAACGGGCTCGTAGCTTGCCCCGTCTTGAGCACACCTGGACAGTTCCCTCGTACGTTCACCGAGTGGGAAGCGGTAGGGTTTGAGTGTGTTGATTTTACTGCGGATCTGCGCTCCTGCGGCGGTTGTTCTAGCCTTGACCCCACCGAGTAAGCACCTGATGAGGACTACTGCTTGGTTCTGCTTGGCTGACCACTACACTTTTATAAAGGCATGATTGCACGAAGATCCCGCATGTTCAAGGCGTAGCTTGCGTGGCTGGTGAATGCCAAATATCATCTTGCCAACCGGGCTATTCACTACAAGCCGCCGGTGGCTACGGTTGTTCACCAACGGAGTAGGCCCGCAATTGAATTCATTGGATATTTTTACTTCTTCTATGCTCTAGATGACATGATCATCCTGGATTTTTTAGTGTTTGTTCCTTTTCGTTCTTATAGACTTTGGTTACTTGACATTTTTCTACGCTGTCGTGCTACATACTAGCTGGTCTTACGTCCCCCATGTTTTTACGATTAGTACCTGCCCCCTGTTTGTTCTGACACGCGTTTCGAATGACCGTCGCTGAGATTGAAATGAACGACGTCAAGCCTCGGGCTCGGGGCGGAAGCAGTAGGACTTAAAATGGAGGTCGTTCCACTTTTATCAAGAAGTCTTATTAATGGCCCGTCTGTGCCGATTTGCGTTGTTCGCGTCGAACCACTTCGACGCTCGCCGTTGACCTGTCTTCATATCGCACCATCCATCTTCATCAAGCAAACGATAAAAGTCATCATATTATCACTCTTTTTTCACGATTTTACGAACAGCCTCTGTGGAGGACATGCCCATAGTCACTGCGCTGCGTTGATATCACATCTCGTTGCATGTTTCAGTCGCAAAGTCGCCCGCCACACGTTAAATATCCCTTCAGTCCCTCACTTCGTCTGAGGTACCCTACATGGATGCCTTGTAATTTCGTTTCAACATCCACGCCTTTCAGACGCCGCTTTGATCTGTTTCCGCGCCTTTCTCCACTCAATTCGCGAGGTCATCTTCGCTTGGGGAACCCTAACAATATTTTCGTTCCCATGATCTTCATCGTATTTGATAATTACGCATATGAACTTGGAGTCAAAACTGTGCTCGCAGGCATCCTCGCCTTGCTACTCGGTCTCCTTGGATTTATTATTGTGAGTCCCTGATTTGTGAGGGTGATGTTCTAAATATGGAAACGCGGAATATAGAGTATATTTGCTCTCGGAGTAGTCTGGATGATCCCTGCGATGAGGACGCAGACTCCTCCCTACCGACAACCGAACCATCGTCATCCACTCCATCGCAGTCCGAAGAAGATCCTTGGTCTTGTGTTGACTTCCTCTCCAGAACCTATACTCCAGGCACTACCCCCACTACCTCCTGGGTCCAAGACTCCTTCCCTTCGGCGAGCAGCGTCGTTTCCCGACCTGCATAAAACGCCTTCTTCCGAGGACCGACCCCCCGTGACATCGAGGCATGTTTCTTTCAATGTCAAAACTCCGGAATCATACGATCCAAGTTTGGCGAGGTCCGTCAGCATGAACCCATCCCCGACGTCACCGACAATTCAGCGTCGTTGGCCACCTGCAATGTCTCCGTTCTCCAAGCGCAGATCGTCACGAGGGGAATCTGCTCCATGCTCACCCATTGCACGGGATGAAAGTGATACCATCGCGTATAATAATAGGTCGCCCACGTCGAAGAGTACCCACATACATGACCTTCCACTCAAGTGTCTTGATGAACGTTGTGAATGCCGCGGTCGCCGAAATAGTGTAGGCTGTGATGAACATGGCATGATGAACCGACCTCAATTGGACTCTCTTTCCGAAGGGACAGCTTCTACGCGCTCGTCGAAGACTATATCTTTGCGGTTACCCTCTGTTCGGAAACCCTCCAGCGCAAGGCGTCGTCCCACAAGCGTTCCACCGCGCATGCCTGTTGTGATTAATGTCAGCGAGAAGGAGCAGTCTCAACAGCATAATCATACAGCCGGGTCCCCCGTGAGGTCGTTGCCGTCGCCTCCCTTTTCGACGTCCGGTGAAACGTATCGTGCAGAGTTCGTGAGTCCTTTCCGGACGAAGAAATCAAAGATTACCCCCAGTGCGTGTGCCACCTTATCAAAATGATATGATGCTGAACCAACTCTTATTTTTCCACACTTGCAGAGCTTGAGACTTCAAAATCCAGTCGCAGGTCGAGGTTCTCATTCTCTGGTCCATGGTCAAGTCCCAAGCTTGCGGGTTTGCCGCCTGACTCAGCCCCTTCTGCGACATCGTCAACTTGTAAGCACAGGATTTCTTGGTTTTATCAAGGATAATAATGATGGTCTTTTGTACAGCTATTTTTCCGAACTCGCCGTCTGCACTTCGTAGGACATTCGCGAACCACCTCACTCCTTTGTTCAAGTCCCCCACTCTCAGTTCTCCTTCTTCGAGCTTGGAGTCCCCCGTACCTTCACCACAGCTACCGGTGACCGTGCCGAAGTCAACGAGCAAGTATTCCTTGCGGTCTGTCCCTCGCACGCAACCATACGGTCCTCCTTGGAATGCTGTGATGCCAGGGCAAGCTCACGATCTGGTCAATGGCAGTCTAGATGACGTTCTTATCAAGAAACCAATTCGCAGAAGATCTCAAGGGACCGAGGGCCGTCGGGGGTTCAAGTCGCACTCTCGCACCCTTGCGCCGATAGACGCCTCCGAGGGCGAAAACCTACCTGATAATCTTGTGGACGAGCTAGGTCAGCGACTATCGGGATTGATGAACTCCGAGGATGCTATGTCAGGCGCTACTGCCGAGGTAGTTTTGAGAACACCTCCGACTTTGACTTCCGTCGGTGAGCCCGCGAGGCGTGAGTCCGCTACATTGTGGACGATTGCAAGGCTTGAACAAGCTGTTGGCGTCCCATCAGAGTATAGCTAACTTCATTTGTCATTTAATCTGTGGTGAGTGCTTGTATGTTGCTTTTTGAAGAGTTAATATACTAAAGATTCCATTGTCAGATTTTTTCATGTCAGGGCAATCGTACATACGGGCATATAAGTAGTTGATACCACGTTCTTAGCATACATTCTTCACGAAACATCTGCATAGCATACACTTGAATCCATGTCAATCATCGCAGCACATTTTCTAATCATATTCCGCAACAGCCTCTATTGGGCGAGGTAGACTATTTCAACAATCTCTACTTACTATATTCGTATTTACATAAAACCACCGTCAATTCGATCGCATTTTTGGAAGCATATTATCCAGACAGGCCGTCGTTGGCAAGCAGCGCGATCATGGCATTGGCCACCGCACTATGTTGACTGGTACTCAACATCGATCCCTCTTCGATACATTGCTGTAATTGCGCATCAAGCAGACGCCTATGATTTTCGAATGTCAATGTATTTGAGATCGGCAGATGACAGGGACAAGTCACCTGAGTTGGTTCACCAGAATACCGATGCGGGGCCATGCCTTCAATTTGACGATGCTGCCACCCTTTCCAACCGTGAGACCACCCCCAATGTGATTGACAGACACAGGTCCACCGAAGAGAAGCAATGCGTACATCGGAACCTGATCACAACTCAGCACGACAGCACGATCACGTCAAAAAAAAATTGCACACCTGAGTCGCCCCGCGGATGAAAATCTTGCTGGTCATCTGTTTCTGGAAGTAGGCCAGAAACGGCGACTTCCACGTCGACTCCCCAAAGAGGACAGACGAAGGATGCAAAAAAACGCGCCCATCTGTCAGATCGTGCATCTTGTACTCTTTTGCAGTATTTTCGCGCTGAACAGTGCCTGCTTGCACTTTGTCGAATTTGATCGCTGAACGTGGAAGATGCACTTGAACAACGCGAGGCCATAGGCCGCCAAGAATGACAGCTTTGATAATGTTTGTATTTGCACTGTTTGTGTTCAATTCTTGAGAACTCGCTGTCGCGGAACGCGGGATGAAACCGAGATCTGAAAGAGAGGAGAGGAAGTCGCGGCGCAATGATGTGATCTCCCTGACAGCGGCTGTTGAGATAAAATTCTACACGAGACTGGTCATTTCTGGAGTTCCATTACAGCGGAAAATCATACCTCTTCACAGAAGTGTCTCAATGCTTTATGATTTTTGCCCTCGGACTGAAGGCGCATGCATTCGCTGTACGCATTGACGTCCGTGAGTAGATCGCTTTTGTCTTCGCCAAAACATAGTCTCGCCCTATGTATACAAAATGAGTCTCTGTTGTGGATGTTGAGAATAACTTTTTACTGAGTGGCTTCATCCCTCTTATCCATAGGATTGATGAATAAGGGTTTTGACGAGAGGCAAGCCACGACCGTAAGAATTGGGTCTATGACTTGGAAAATTGTGCCAAGAACAAGCATCTGCGAGACATTGTCAATCAGTCACTGCGTCCCATATTCATTATACTACTAACCTTCCCCAGTCGCAAATCTACAGGTAGCATTGACTATACAAGAGCGTGTCTGTTAGTCAAACAATGAAAGCAGGATACATGACTGCAATCACGCACAACATGGCGTCCAAGAGCAGTCAGATGGCCATCTGCATCAATGGCTCCGAGCTCCTCAAGGACATTCCAGGCCTTATCCATAGCAGACACTTCGGGAGGATCAATAGCCCGGTTCAGGAAATGCTGAAAGGAAGCTAGGTCAACGTACTACACTCATCACACAGAATCACTAACCTTCACATCCTCGCTCTCGCGCATCACCTTTACGGTCAACGAAATGCTCTCCAACGGTGTTCGTAGTATTTCTGGTATTGAGAAACGGCCCATTTTTTCTTCCTGTTTTCGGGTATAAAGCTTGTAACAAACCCCCGGCTGCGTTCTGCCGGCCCTACCCCTACGCTGACGGGCTGCAGCACGCGTAACCCACTTTTCTTTCAAGAGAGATAGTCCGCTTTCTGGATCATAGCCCGTTTCTTTGACTTTTCCCGAGTCAACAACATAGATCACGTCTTCAATGGTAATGGACGTCTTTGAAACATTCAGCTACAGGAACCAACTGATGCAACAAACTGACCTCGGCAACGTTTGTCGCGACAATGATTTTCCATCGTTTTGTATCGCCAAAAACAGCAAGTTGTTCGTCGTTTGACAAGTTCGCATGTAAAGGTAATATCTCAGCCTTCTCACCGACCATGCCGCGAATTACTTCGATACAAGAACGAATTTCTTGAACTCCGGGAAGGAAAATCAAAATTCCGCCTTTCTGTGATGTTGCAACGATGTGCTGAACAACAGCAGCAATCAGCTACGACAAAAATGATGAGTTTTCTAGTCCGGTTGCAACACCATGGAAATACAACCTGGTAGTCAATCCTTTCCGCCTGCATAATGTTTTGAATTGCAGATGTCGACTCTTCGCTGAGGCCCTTGGAACTGCAATAATCTCTGAAGGCATGTTTCTCTTCATCTGATTCTTTTCTATTTGGTTTGGCTGATGTCGCCTTATAGGAAAGTGAGGAAATGTAGTCTTCGAGATACCTGTCATAATTCATTAAGTGAGGGCCGTCGTAGTGGAGTATTGGAGCAGTCGAGAAAAAGACGCTACTCACATATCTGTGATTGGGTGTGTAAAGCCTGGGATAGTCAACATCGGGGCGTTGTTGAAATATTTCACGAATGTTTCATGATTGATTGTTGCCGACATGAGCACCACCTTTAGTGTGGGGTGTCGTGCCAACAATTCTTTGAGTTCTAGAAGCAGAAAATCTCCATCGACAGAGCGTTCGTGAACCTACGTAGAGTCAGTCGTGGGCTGGATTTTATGAAAGGTTGTCGTGCACCTCATCAACAACAATGTGTGTAACATCCTTTAGCCCGTCGCCGGACCCTAGCCTTCGTAAAACGACACCAGTCGTACAGAAGAGCAACTTGGTCTCTTGACTATGCTTGGTCTCCCCACGAATGGCATATCCAACAGAGCCGTCATCTATCCGTTCTGAAGAAACCCGCGCGGCAACAGATACGGCTGAAATTCTGCGAGGTTGGGTGACAATGATCGAAGCTTCAGCTCCGTGCCCCGACATTATCAAAGAATCTAGGATGAATTGTGGAACTTTGGATTGCAGCCTCTGAGCTAACCTCGCACAGATAGACGTTGACCACGACTTACGCTGAGTTGTTTTACCACACCCTGTGGATGTACTTCCTTAACTAAGAGCTGCAAACAGATAACAAGGCTCACCTGTTTCCCCAACCACAACAACAACTCGGTTGCTTTCGAGCAAGGACAGAAAGTTATCCTTGGCAGCAAATGCAGGAAGGCGTCGACGAACGGATAACATCGTTAAATATGCCTGAGATTGGCACAATTTGTCAAAATCCAACTTAACCTGTGCATTCGATCTACTGTCACCGCGATGCCGGATTTTGTGACGCGCCGTTGTATTACGTCCAGTCCGTAAGGCAGCTGTATGCATAGTGGGCGATGAAGGGGGCGAAGGTATCAAGAATTTAAGCACTTCCGACACATCTGGCGAGCCGTTGGACTGCACGCGTGCCCATTGCTCCTCGAGAACCCGCATTGTTGCCATAAGTAAACCTTCTCCTGGCTCGATAAATCCATCCTGTTTCATTTCTTGTAACAGTTGCGCAAGGAGATGAAGCCGCATGTACGGCGGGACAGACTTCGATGTGATGTACACAGGAGGATAGCTGTGAAACGAGTGGTTAGAACAAGATGGGAGCAAAATGTGTAGTTCCACGGGCGCGCTGAATAGAGGCATTGATATATGGTTCGCGTCGACAAAATGAGCCCCAAGAGCCTCTACTTCATCCTCATTACTTCGTAAACCGTCCACGACATTAACCAGCATTATATCATCTGGATTGGCTTGGGCACCCGCATCCTCACCTAGGAGCCGATGGTCCAAAGAGGCCACCAGCAGGTCCATATTTGTTAACGAGTACTGTCTGTCAGCAGTACACTGTTTGACAGTGTGTGCAGGAAAACCAGCCTCTTTGATAATTTTCTCCTCCACCCATCTCTTGGCCAAGTCATCAGAGCCAGAGTGACCGGAGACAATGAATGGATCGGATGAGTTATTTCCGGGAAAGAAGCGCTCAGGAAGGTCGCATTCCGGGAGATGAAGAACCAGATGCTCTATGCACGCCTCCAGCGGAGACATTGAATTCAACAAATTACCCCCGAGAGGCGAAGGTTTGGACAAAAAGGCCAGCGTAGTGCGTATGTGATTAGACTTGAAACCTAAGTGACCGAGCTGCTGCGTAACAGTTGGTATAGCGTCCGCGGGCAATACAGATGGTATAGGGTCGTCACCAAAGTACAGCGCATTTCCCTTGCGACTTTCGTTAATGACAGCGTCTATCAATGAACTGAAATTACCTTCTTGACAACGCCTTCCACCAAATCCCGCAACTCAGTGGTCATTCTCACCTCAGGGGAATGAGCGAACTCCTTCGACACCTGCGTCGTGGAATCTTTTGAATTTCCTTGTTGTCGATTTTGGGCTGCCTTCGCCTGTCTCTCATCTACTGCTCTACGTGCGGCAAAAGGATCAGCATCATACATCCACTTCATGTGTTCTGGAGCATTTTTATGTTCTGCTACTAGCTCGGTCCAATAATCACGGGGTCCAGGTGGTAATACACGATTGAGCTGAAGTGCATTACAGAACTGCCGGGTTGCTCATGCTCAATCCTACTGGCCATGTGAAGCATGACAAAAAAAACACTGACACGGTACAACGCGTATGTGGCACCCCAATGACGCGCTTCTAGCGCAGTTGGTCTCAAATAAGGTGGGTGGGGTTCGAGTCGGACACTTTCTGTCTGCGACGTTTTTTTATCGAGCCGAGAGATGATTACGACGAAAGACCAATCATTGCCATGTTTTCGCTTGTGGATCTTGAGCTTTGTTAGAAAGCTTGATAGAATAGTCACACTCACCGTCTCGACGGTCGGTTTGTCCCAGCCACTCTTTTGGCACCTAGGAATACAGAGGTTAGCACTGGAAATCTGCGGGTCGTATTATGTTGCAGGGCATGTCAATTCTCTCGAATGGCAAGCATCATTATCAAAGTGCAACGGATCTCCTAGATCAAAGAAAAAAAAGTGCATGTACCTTTCATGAAGTAGACTCAAAGGATACTTGGATCCGGGGGGAAAGAGTGGGTTTTCTTGCTCTGCACTAGCTGACTGCGATGGCGAACCTGCGCCAGAATTTTTGTTAATCTTCGACGAATTTCCTGCATTCCCGGATTTTACGACACCCTTGCGAGGAGGCATCAACTTCTTGAAGTTTCAAGTGAGCGCCCAGGACAAGTGGCACTGACTTGGAGAAAGTAAGAAATCAAAGACAGTTATGTAAGCTCTTACCACCTCGCTCCAGCTCTCACCACGACCTTGCTATGGCGGAGAGTGACCTTTACAACCTTGAAGTACTCTCGCTAGTCGCCAAAATTACACAAGAGATTGACAACTATACTGGCATTAACGACAAAACGCTCGCTGAATTCGTTATTTCTCTTCACGACCAATCTAAATCACTTCCTGACTTCAAATCACAACTCGGTAATGCTGGTGCTGAATTTCCCGACTCCTTCGTTGAGAATGTGGATCGTTTAATCCTCAGCTTGCACCCGAAACACAAGAAGAAATCCAGTTTAGTTACCAATGGCGCCCAATCAAACGGAGACGCACTTGATCATGAAAAGGACAAGCAGAAACGACTTTTCCCTGGGCTTGCTGTGCCGGACAAGGAGATAAAGAAGGATGTGCTCATGAAGGAGGTGGACGATATGATGGCTCAGTTTGAAGGTGTTGCGAAGAGGACAAGAACAGCAGACGAGGATGAGCGGCCTGTGAAGCGACCTCGGTCACGGTCACCGCGCCGTCGCAGTCCAAGCCCTGACAGAGGTCGCAGTTACAATGGAAGGAGGGATGATCGGAGGGGGAAAAACGGAGATGAGCGGCCAGTATTGTTTAAAATCTACGATGGCCGAATATCAAGCCTCAAAGATTTCGGCGCTTTTGTGCAGCTAGAGGGTGTTGCGGGACGTATGGAAGGTGCGCAAAGCATCTTGGTCCTCATTGCTGGTTTGCTGACATACTTCCAGGCATGGTGCATGTTTCGAATATTCAGCAGGGTGCACGTGCCAACTCTGCATCCGATCTCCTTAGCCGTGGACAACAGGTCAAAGTTAAGGTGATGAGCATTGCGGGAAGCCGTATTGGCCTATCTATGAAGGATGTAGATCAAGCCACGGGTCGCGACCTCACTCCTCACTTGCGGATCAAATCTGAAGCGGAGATGGAAGAAGAGCGCCAGCGAGCGGCTCGTGCTTCGTCTGGGGCAAATGCTGTGCCATTGCGCGCGAAGGACGAACCAACAACGACTCGGTCTGCCAAACGTCTGACCTCACCTGAACGATGGGAAATCAAGCAGCTTATCTCATCTGGTGTCATCGATGCTTCCGAGTATCCTGACCTTGACGAAGACTTTGTCAATCCTGTGGCTCGAGCAGAGGTCGAGGAGGAGCTTGACGTCGAAATCAGGGAAGAGGAACCGCCATTTTTGGCTGGTCAAACAAAACGCACTCTCGATCTCAGTCCTGTGAAAATCATCAAAGCTCCTGATGGTTCCCTCAACAGAGCCGCCCTAGGGGGTGCAGCTTTGGCTAAAGAGCGACGCGAGCTTCGACAGCAAGAAGCGAATGAGCAAGCTGACTCCGAAGCTCGAGACTTTAGTGCACCATGGCTCGACCCTATGGCGAAGGAGTCAGACAGAATGTTTGCTCAAGACCTTCGAGGTCATCTCAAGGATCGAAGAGCTGGCGAAGTACCTAAATGGAGGGAGTCAACATTCAACAAGGCTACGACATATGGTGAAATCACAAGCCTCAGTATACAGGACCAGCGGAAGAGTCTGCCTATATACAAGCTTAGAGACGCTCTATTAAAGGCCATTGATGAGGTAAAACAATTCTTATTCTGCAGATCGAACAGCCCCTGACTCACTTTTATAGCATCAAGTCCTCATTGTTGTTGGGGACACTGGCTCTGGCAAAACAACGCAAATGGTTCAATACCTCGCTGAGGCTGGCTTCGCTGATAAAGGACGCATTGGTTGTACACAACCGCGTCGTGTGGCTGCTATGTCAGTCGCAAAGCGTGTCTCGGAAGAAGTAGGATGTCGCCTCGGTCAAGAAGTTGGCTATACTATCCGTTTCGAAGATTGTACGAGTCCGGAAACGAAGATCAAATACATGACAGATGGTATGCTGCAGCGTGAGTCGGTGATTGATCCTCTCTGCAGCCAATACTCCGTGGTCATGCTTGATGAGGCTCATGAACGGACCATCGCAACCGATGTCTTGTTCGGTCTTCTCAAAAGTAGGCTTCTGCACTTTATTTGGTCGGCATTATCTGACGCCTTGCTTGCAGAGGCTGTCAAGAAGCGACCCGATCTCAAACTAATCGTCACCTCAGCGACTTTGGACGCTGAGAAATTCTCGAAGTACTTCTTCGGGTGCCCAATTTTCACCATCCCCGGTCGCACCTACCCCGTAGAAATCCTATACACCAAAGAGCCAGAATCCGACTACCTGGATGCGTCATTAATCACTGTCATGCAAATCCACCTGTCCGAGCCCCCAGGCGATATTCTCCTCTTCTTGACAGGCCAGGAGGAGATTGACACATCATGCGAAATTCTCTTTGAGCGTATGAAAGCGTTGGGTCCAAAAGTGCCAGATCTTATTATCCTTCCCATTTATTCTGCCCTTCCATCCGAAGTACAGTCTCGCGTCTTCGAACCTACTCCTCCTGGTGCCCGCAAGGTTGTCATCGCCACCAACGTTGCAGAAACTAGTTTGACTATTCCTGGGATTTACTATGTCATTGATCCCGGGTTCTCGAAGCAGAATGCATACGATCCGAGACTAGGAATGGATTCACTGGTGGTCATGCCTATATCCCAGGCACAAGCACGCCAACGCTCTGGCCGTGCTGGTCGCACAGGTCCAGGAAAGTGCTATCGTCTTTACACAGAGACTGCCTACCGGAACGAGATGTTGCCAACGTCTATTCCCGATATCCAGCGGACGAATCTTGCCCATACTATTCTGATGCTCAAGGCGATGGGTATCAATGACCTCCTCAGTTTTGATTTCATGGACCCACCGCCAGCGCAGACCATGCTAACTGCGTTGGAATCATTGTACGCGCTTTCGGCGTTGGATGACGAAGGTCTTTTGACTCGCTTGGGCCGCAAGATGGCTGACTTCCCCATGGAACCGCCGCTTGCGAAGATGCTCATCGCCTCTGTCGAGCTTGGTTGCTCTGAAGAGATACTTTCCATCGTGGCCATGCTGTCCGTGCAATCTGTCTTCTATCGCCCAAAGGAGAAACAAGGGCAAGCTGACTCTAAGAAGGCGAAGTTCCATCAGCCAGAGGGTGATCACCTTACCCTTCTGACAGTATACAATGGCTGGAAAGGCGCGAACTTTTCGAATCCTTGGTGCTACGAGAATTTTATCCAGGCAAGAAGTATGCGGCGTGCGCAGGATATTCGCAAGCAGCTAGTGGGTATCATGGACAGGTCAGTGTACATTCTTGATGTCAATTTCATAGCTCTAACATCCTTCTCAGATACAAGCATGATATTCTTTCGGCAGGGAAGGATTACAACCGTGTGCGGAAGGCGATATGCTCTGGTTTCTTCCGGAACGCAGCTAAGAAGGATCCTCAAGAAGGCTACAAGACGCTTGTTGAAGGCACACCCGTATATATCCATCCCTCTTCTGCTCTTTTCAACCGCGCGCCTGAATGGCTAATCTACAACGAGTTGGTATTGACCACTCGCGAATACTGTCACAACGTCACTACCATAGAACCAAAATGGCTCGTGGAGGTTGCACCTCAGTTCTTCAGAGTCGCCGACGCCAACAAGATCAGTAAGAGGAAGAGGCAGGAAAAGATCGAACCATTGTTCAACAAGGTATGCCATCACACTCATATAATGCATGCATCTAAGGCTCACACATTCCCTAGTACGAGAAACCCGACGAATGGCGATTATCGAAAGTCAAACGGAGTGCACGCTCGGTATGTAGTCGTTCATATGCTGGTTCAAATCTGTGCTAATCTTGGCAATAGAGTCAAACATTTGGTTAAAACCTTGCGTGTTTGTTGGATTAATAGTTTACGATTTATTTGTAGCTGTAAAGTATAATGTTGTCGTATACGAGCCTGCTGCGATTTGCTGCTCGATGTCCATACTAGATCACTTGAAAGATGGTTGATGGTGGCGTCATGCTTGCTTGCTATGACCGCGCAATGACTTATCCACTTGATGTCCAGATGATCCACGATATCCGACAGAAAATGAAAGTCTTGAAAACTAAGAATGGCGATTAGTATCCCTGTGTGCGGTTCCAAGATGAGAACACATACTTGTATATTTGCGTTGACAAGAGCATTAGCCCACAAATCGCATGGCATCAGCATCTACATAGTACTTCGCAACCTCTCCCGCCTTCACCACTGGTGCTGTTGGATCGGGTACCAACATGAATGATTGGAAGAAGACTCTAGCCTGTCCATCGACAGACTTAATTGGAGTGGATACTGGATTGCCAGCAGGACCGCGTCCATGAGTGACGTTTCCAGAGACCGTAACAAGAAGTGAGGGGGGCTGAGAGCCTGTGATGACATGAAGCGCGTGTCTGCAGGGCATTACAAGAAACAGACCTGGTATGGGGTGGCAATCGTAGGACTGAACTTCATGCCTGGTACTCGGCATATCTTGAATGAGTTTTTTCACACCCTCAGCACCCTGACATGGATTTCCGTTCCACGTCAAGGTCGATGAGGAGCGATAAAACTTGGGGAGATCATCCACCCTTGTAGGGGAGTCATATGTGGTGTAGTATAAACGCGTAAACGCGTCCGCTGCCCTTGTCGCGATCTCGATGCTTATTAAAATCAGGATTTGGATGATACAAAGTGCGATAATGACACCTACTCATTGCGGGTGAAAGTCGTAGTTGTGGTCATGGTTCAAGACAAAGGATCATCATCTTCCGGCACCGCGCTGGCTTAAGATTGGTAGCACGTGACATACCCTCCTGTGTACATTATGTAATACCATCAAAGCGGTTTGTGGAACCGTCGGGCTGTCTGGGAACAGGTCCCAACATGCCGTAGGAACTTGAAGTATCCATTAATACCATCCTGCAACCATCCTATAAATTTGCAGTCCAGGGTACATAGCAACTCGCTCACCGCATTTGCCTCCTACCACCACCATGGCAGAACAAATTCGTGTTGTTAGTCTCAACTGCTGGTATGTTATATCCGTCCGAGTCTGCAAGCGCGGTCAGGTTAATTCCAAGAGTGACGCAGGGGCTTGAAGTATGTCTCGAAAGATCGGGCCGAACGAGTTGCAGCAATAGCTAGTGCGCTCGCTCGCTCGGACTACGACATTATTGCGCTCCAAGAAATCTGGGTTGAGGCAGACTATAATCAAATTCGTGAGAGTGTCGTCTCTCGCTTGCCCTACACAAAGCTTTTCCATAGGTATAATATGTCTTGTGTGGTGTGTACACAGGCTCATGCTCTCTTAGCGGTGCTCTTGGTGCCGGACTTGGTATCCTCACAAAATGGCCCATCATTGCCACCAGCATGACACCATACTCACTCGTTGGCGAACCCACAAACGTCTTCGGAGGAGACTGGTTTGTGGGAAAGGGTGCTGGGAGCGTAACGATCATGCATCCTGTTCTTGGAGCGGTCGAACTTTTTGTCACGCATGTAAGCCTGCCCACACACTTATTGTCTTACGGTATTGACAGTGTATCCAAGTTCTGTGCTCAGGGCGGAGAATCAGGTCCTGAGTACAACAGAACTTATCGCCTGGTGAATGCTTGGGAGTTTGCCAAAGTCACACGGCAAGCCGCTGAACTGGGGCGGTATGTTATTGCCGTGAGTTATCTCCTGCAGGCTCCATCGTTTCGAACGTTGCTGACTCATAAATAGATGGGTGACTTTAATAGCATTCCAGCGGGTCTCCCGATGAATGTCGTCCTGAACCATGCCGGACTAGTTGACTCGTGGGCAACTTCACATGCACACATACCCCCGCCCTCTGGGATGTTATCTCCCATAGAGGGTGTTCTCAATTATGGGGTCACTGCCGATTCACCTCTTAATTCCTATCGTGACTCAGAACCCTCTGGTGACCCAATCGTTCGCAAATATCAAGGAAAACGCCTGGATTATATCTTATTCCGGCATCCCAGCCCCAACGCGACCAATGATCACCTTCCCCGATTGACCTGCCGAGATAGCCAGGTTGTATTCACTGATACCATTCCCGGTAACACATGCTCCTACTCCGATCACTTTGGTATCGAGGCGACGCTATCCATTGACACCCATGCCGGTAATCAGGATGATATAGCATCACTGAAGGATACGTGGTACAACTCCCCCTCTGAACTCTCCTCGAATGTCATAACCGAGGTGATGAGCGCCTTCAACACGTCGTACAGGATGTCGCAAGATCGTTCTCGCAAGGAATTGACTATCTTTGGAGTGAGCATCTTTGCGCTGATTGGTCTCATCATTGGATCCGCGTGGGTAATTGTTCCCTGGCTTAATCCAATTTTTGTGCTTCTTGTCATTTACTTATCGTGGCTGGCTACAACTAAGCTTTACGAGGGTTTCATCTTCGGGAACTGGGAGCGGAAAGCTTTACAGAATGTTATAGAAGAGCTTGAACTTTACAAGCATACCCTGGCGACACAAGCACCACACGACTGGTAGAAAACATAGTATCATTAGTACGGTTTTATGTAGGATTGGAGGGACTATTTGCTGTATGTTACTTGCTATATATGGACGAGAATACGAACAAAACGGTAGACCCGTATTTTAAGGAAGCTATACAAGGTAGGTAGTCGAGGCAACAGATGTCATAGCGGCCCAAGAGGTCGCAAAAGCAGGACTATTGATGCTTGGATGTGAGGATTCAGAGGGAGACGAAGGACGAGTGGGCGTGGGTGATAATGTGAATTTTTTGCGGCGAGTAGGCCAGTCCTCCAGATATTGGGATGCGACTGATCTTTCTGCGAAAACAGAGAGAGCAGACTGCATTCGGCGAAGAGCTGGGGTGGACGCCGCATGCCGAAGAACTCGGGATGGATCTGCGGCAGTCACACAAGGCGTAGTGGGTTCTGCTTCACTGCCGCTAAAATCAGGAGTTGGCGCCAGATCTAGCCAGGTACGGCCCCAGCTTGGAGGTACTGTTGGGCTCAATCGCTCTTCGTAACTTGTATCAAGGATTTCTCGAGCCATTTGTTCTTGAACTTCTTGCCATCCCGAGTTAGTCTCCACACCATCGCCGCTGACAACGCGGAGGTTATCGTTTATCTCGCTCCCGAGGAAAGTCTCGGTGTCAGAACCAAAAGCATGAGGCATGTGGCTTTGAATGCGAGGCAACTTGTACCGCACGAATTCGCGACAAGAGATAAAGGCCGTCGTTGCAACATTCAAGAAAGGAAATGCTTGAAAAACATGAACCTTGAAAAAGTAATGACCAGTAAAACAAACAAAAAAATAAATGAACTCACAGCATCCTGGTAGGTCTCCAACTGAACCTGGACGCCGGCCAGCGACGCTTTGTGTGAGAGAAGTACGATTTCATCATGCAGAACCTCCGCATCGCCACATTGAATAAGCATGGGCGGAAGTCCGTCGAGTTTGCCAAACAGTGGGCTGGCGTATGGGTGGGTGATGTACTGCTCGAGTCCATCTCCTAGATACATTACAACGGGGTGCAAGTGACCGGTTGGACCAGGCGTAGGAATGATGTCGTAGGGAGCATTGGTATCCCATGATTCGCAGCTCAAGGTCAAGTCTGTCATTATGTTTCAGACTACCCACAAAGTAAGTGAATCGCTTGTACATACCAACCCAAGGAGAGAATAACATGGCACCGCCTGGCAGAGTGTACCCATTATCTCGCAGATAGAGCAGGAGTGCGAGGCCTAGTGCGCCGCCCGCACTGTCACCCGCTACAACCAGATTTTCTGGCGGCACTCGCAAGTCGTCCGTCAGACGGAAGTAGGTGCTAACCACGTCGTGCAGCTGTCCAGGAAAAACTGTTTCCGGAGCGAGCCGATAATCGACGGCTTGGATTGTTATTGAGGCAAGGATGGTAACGCAAGTTGTGATCAAGAGACTCACCAAATATGCGTGCGTTGGTGTATTTTGACAATGGAATGGTCAGCATCCTTTGCGCTGCTGCGCTGGATGAGTAATATGCTCCTGAAAGCGGAATCAAACGATGCGTTATACAGAGTGCGCCAAGAACTCACCGCCGTGGATATAGAAGATGACTCGAGATTGCCCTATTCGAAGATCGTAATCAAATTTCGTCTGGTCGACAAGGTTGGCCCCATCGCCTGCTTTGCGAGTGGACTTGTAATCTGATTGCAAAGATTGCCAGAGTCTCTTCCCTATTATCCATTCCCCAGAAAGTTCACGTTTTTCGTCTTCCATTGCATCCACGGTCTCCAGCAGGCCACGAAGGTTGCGTTTACGCACACAGAAGGTCACAGGGGTGACCAAAGCGTCCGAGGGCAATGGAACTAGTCCTCCGATACCCATTGCTTTGCGAACCATAGTCTAGGGTCGTTGTTATTGTTAAGGTTGTGAATGACACAATTGCCACTCACGATATCAGCCAGTGCAGAGTGCCTTGAAACATCTCGCATAATACTACTGAGAATAGTCATCTCAATGCCCCATGATTTCCTACGTGGGCCCCAAACATGATGAGATATCACATCAAGAGCGAGGGACGATGCTGAATGGATATTGTTAGAGTCGGATGTTATTGATCATTGGTAGAATATTATTGATCTTACCTCTATTGAATGCGAAGACAGGATATTTCCATGCATCCCAAAATTTCATAGTGAAGCCATTCGTTATTTTAAGATTCCGGTCAATACGCGCAGACGCTGGGAAGACGCCGGGGGAGTCGAAATCCTGTAGAAGAGTTACGACCGATGGTTTATTGGTTCCTATGGGGGAACTGGCATTTGAGCCGTGATATAAAAGTCGCAATGAGTCCCTAAACATCTTCGGTGGGCAAACACTACAACTTCAGACGAGCTGGTCAAACAAATGAAGGGGTGGCAAGATCCGCAAAATGTGGTCAGAATATTGGTTTTGTGCTGGTCAGAACATAAGGACCATCTTACTTAAGTGCCCGCCCCATGGCGGCTGCGTCATACAAGGGGTGAAACAATCGGCCATTTTCAAGCTCCGGCCGGCCGTTTCTGCATAAATGGACTCCCAAACGGAATCTTCGGCGCCGGTGTGATCCGCGGAGTGGGCACCCCTCGCGGACCGATCCGAATCGGCGTGACTCAATCAATGATGATAAATCACGGTTTGAAGCGCCGATTGCATCGGCACGAAGGTTCCTCCCCAAGGCCCGCACGCTACAGAAAGCTAATATGTTTGACGCAAGCGGTCCGAGGAGTTCAAGAAAACTTCACAATTAGCAGACACGCCTGGAACCGGTGCACTAGCAGTGTCACCCTCTCTTCGGCTGCGTCAGGCTTTCAGCATGGACTAAAAAACGGCTGGAGAGACCTTGGTAGTTGACGAGCGAAAATAAGATTGATGTGCATAAGTTGTATCTTACTAATCTTAATAGTCATCGCCTCGACTGATAACCTCTTTAACGGTGGGTCGAAGAAGGATTGTATGCTCCTATTCACGACGTTGAGCGACCATGCTCGAGACAAACAATTGAAAGGACTTACGAATTGCGCGGTCATGGAGCCCTTAGCATCACAGAGCGGCGGGTAGTCTTGAACAATTCCTTGTTGCACTAGATTGTTGAGCTAAGGGAGGAGCAATTAATCAATGATGGATTGCCTAGTAAGTCGTGTAACCAACCGCCAGTAGATATTTGGTTTCGCCAATGCGATCCAAGTACCGTCGGCAAAATGGAAGAGTTCCGAAGTTACTGCTGATTGACTTGAGCAGTGACTTGGCAGAAGTTAGTCTTACAATTTATAGACGTCAATTATTGTCATAATGCAAGAATAAGAGCAACTAACCTCAGGGGGACGCGGGGAGCGTCGATGATTTTTGCGTAATGCGAGCACTCGCCCTGTCAACAGGATCAGCATCTGACGAATTCATCTACAAACCAAGCTTACGCTCTCAACCACACGTCCACGACCCGTCGAGCCGAAGGTTTCAATAGCAAAATATTCGCCCTCCTCCATTTTCGTCGGATCATCGTTCTTCACAAGTTGAACCGATTTCCCGCCATGTATCTGGTAAAGTCCTATAGAATGCCCACTAAGGTTTTCTATCGACTTGACTGGAAACGCGTCAAAGGAGTCCAAAATACTGATTGAAAGACAATACCTGGATATGTCTTTCCATTGACCTCAACCTCGTACGACTCCATAGTCTCTTGAATGGCAGCTCCAATTTCGCCCAAGCGCACATCAATACCAGATTCCTACATATATCCTTAAATTGCAGTCGAACGTGTAAGGCGGACTTGGCTTACCCTAACACCAGTATCAGTAGCAGCTTTTACTGCTTCAATAAGCTTGTCGTAAGTAGGCTCAAAATTGAGCGTGAAAGCAGAATCAACTATGCGTCCTTTTACGTGCACTCCTATATCGATCTTCAGAACGTCACCACTTTGAAGAACTGATCATCCGTAAGTAGCGAATTCTGTCCACTCAACGCACACATACCAATGTTGTCTCCAGCATTTGGTGTGTAATGAGCAGCGCAATGGTTCAAGCTGAGTCCAGTCGGAAAACCAATGCCAGACTCCAATCCGGTTTCCTCGACAAGGGCACGGCTGCCGTCTTCGATGAAGTTTGCAACTTCGGTCATGGTCATCCCGGGGCGTATATGTTTCCGCGCGCTTTGTCGGACCTGCCGATGAACTTCGGCGGCACGACGGATGCTCTGGTACGTGATCTCTGGATCTTCCATTGCCATTCTTTCGTCGTAGCGCTTCTCTTCGGATGTCGTCCTCCATGCGTTGCTGTGAACAAGACGCTGTCAATCTCATTAGGGTATCAATGTATTGCAATACGCACTCGTCCTTGTATGGCTGTAACTCCCCCTCTGGGTAGACACCACTCGTGAATATCTTCGACAGACCAACTCGTGGGGGATCTGACTGTTGCACCTTCTTCTTCTTAGGCTTCTTCTTCTTCTTCTTTTTCTTTGTCTCCTCTGAATAACATGTAAGAACAGTTTCGAAATCACTTTCAACTGGCTCACCTCCGGCGCCTGGAGTGTCATCTACAACGTCATCCTCTTCCACGTCGTCCTCTTCGTGAACCTGCGGCACGACGTTTTTCTGCTCAACCTGTTTCTCATCCTTGGATATCATTGAAGCGTTCAATAGTCTTGAATTCCCTGTTGCATAGGACGAACAACTCTAATAAACTGATCTAGGGTCAGACTCCCAGTAACACACTGCCTCGTGGGAGGGGGTCATAAGCTAGGACGGGACAAATCGAGGGGTCATTGTCATTGCATTGGGGAACTGGTGGAAAGGTGCCCATGAGGTAGTGGAGTCGTGGAGGAAAGATAAGAGGGACGAAAAATATAAGACTAGTACAAGAATATCGAGACTAACAAGGAGTTATACTCCAATACAGAAATAAGCTCCCGTACAAACAAACTTAGTTATGCTCCGAAACCGTAAAGTGTGCGCCCCGAGCGCTTCAAAGCATAGACCACATCGAGAGCGGTAACAGTTTTCCTGTGATGCGTCAACAGCTTAGCGAGAAGCGATATTATCATGGGGAAAGGAAGGCTAACCGTTTGGCATGCTCCGTGTAGGTAACAGAGTCACGAATGACATTCTCAAGGAAGATCTTGAGCACACCTCGGGTCTCTTCGTAGATAAGACCGGAGATACGCTTGACACCTCCACGACGTGCCAGACGTCGGATTGCCTGCGGATCAAGAGTAAGGGCAAATGACATGATGAACGCAAGCGGAATGACATACGGGCTTGGTGATACCCTGAATGTTGTCACGCAAGATCTTCCGGTGACGCTTAGCACCGCCCTTGCCGAGACCCTACAGATTGTTCCAAAACCTGGTGAGCTCAGCGGGTCAGAACCTGGCTCCAAGTAACGTACCTTGCCGCCTTTTCCACGACCAGACATGTTTCAGGAGTGTGATGGAGGTTGATAGAAGCAAGTAAAGAGCCTAACTTCGACGTTTGCGAAAAACGATTGTGGTGGTGAGGGAAGAAAGGGTTGTTTGTTTCTGTGCACGCGTTTCGCGTTTGTTTAATGGCCTTTCACGCATCACGTGACACATATGTGCTTTAAATGACACCTAACTTTCATAATGTTTCATTTCATTTCTCACCAGATCTTGACCAGATCCAAGTTATCACCGAATTGACTGCATCATGTCGGTGGGTGATCAAAGTGTATCGGACCTCCTCTCGTCGGTATTACCAAAGGGTTATACGGCGGATGAGTTTCAGCGACCCTTAGTGACCCTCACATTTGCTCAATCTCTTGACGGGAAGATAGCAGGCAAGGGAGGCAAACAGCTTATTCTCAGCGGGAAAGAAAGCATGCTCATGACTCATTGGTATGATATTGATCTAAAACTCACAGACAGATCCATCCCTAACTATTCCCATGGAAGGATGCGCTCCATGCATGATGCAATTCTAGTTGGCATCGGTACTGTGCTAAACGACGACCCCCAGCTAAATAGTACGTCCCAATTCTCGTCTGTACATGTGACTTATGTGGGCACAACAAGCTCGCCATATCCCTGAGGATGATCAACCATACCATCTGCCTCGTCCTGTGATACTTGACACAAACCTGCGCCTTAAACGGTATTGCAAGCTGCTCAAAAATTATCGGGAAAGAATAGGTCGCCGTCCATGGGTCATTTGCGGTGCTAACTCGACCCCCGATTATGCCGAAAGAAAGTCCGCCCTCGAGGATTCTGGAGCGAGGGTGATAGCCGTGCCCTCGGAGGACGGTGGGTCATGTTTTTTTTGCCGTCTTGCAGGTCATATGAATATCTTCAGGTTTAATTATGATTCCGGACCTCTTGAAGGTTCTTTACAACCTTGGAATCAGGACCCTCATGGTCGAAGGAGGTGCGACTATCATTGGCTCTTTCCTAGCGGAATCTGCACGCACCAAGCCTAACGCCATCATTAACACACTCATCGTCACAATTGCTCCGGTGTTGATTGGTGACGATGGAGTTGGTTACGGCGAAAAACTCTCAACTGCGCAGGTACGAGAAACGATACTTTCATGCAGGATCATGGGTTTTCACTTCAGGCCCCATTAGATCCCCACCTTGAAGCACATCCGAACAGAGGTCATGGGACGAGATGTTGTTGTTTTTAGTGCATTAGAGTGAATTTGTTTGAGCGAGGGTTTGCCCCCGTGAGATAGCAAGAAACTACGACAACACCAAAGCAAGGCAGAACAACTGTATGTTACATATGCACAATGAAATAAATGCTGGGTATAACAGTCGCTATGAATCGGTACAGCTATCCAAATGCTAATACATATTGAAGATCCAAACCATTCTATATATGCAAAAAGGCAGTATTGTCTTGTGCACGGTCGCACCTATCAGCAATGCGGGTCGCAGCTTCGAGCGCTCTCTCAACAAGTGCGCGGGAAGGAGAAGTGGGAGGAGTGCTCTCCAAGAGGTCTATCCTCACAAAAATTAGAATGAGAAATTGTGGAACGGGAATAAAACACACCTCGATACAGCAAAACATACCTCATGACTCGCTGCGTTGGTTGAATTGCAAGATCTCGTACACTGTGTCTCCGAATCGGAGGCTCTCCCTTTGATCGACCGTCCACCGAGTTGGCTCTAGGACGTCGCTCTGCGTGGGAGTCAACGCTACCGTCATCAGACACCTTCCAGTAGTGTTCAACGGTCCGTTGTCTATCTCTAATTCTACTCCCTGCCTCATTCATTAAAGTTAGCAGAGGGGGTGGACTAGTGAGAGAAGAGTTTCCACTCGACTTCTCCACCACGGGGGCAAGAGGATTGCTTGTGGCGGAGGGCAGGGGAGACTTGCGCGAACGCCATTTCCCTCTCTCATGTTGGCTGACTCGCCTTCGTGGCTGGGACTATCAGTAAAGAAGTTCCCTACCACGCCGCACCACGAAACCATAGCAGCTTCAATATCATCTTCGCGAGCCATAAAGGCAGTGGATACGCCCCAAGCGGAGGGGTCGTCAAGGAAGGCCCTCAACAACGCCTCTGACGCTCGTACGAGGTCAGGAAGGTATGTCAACAACAGCGAAGGTGGTTGATTTGCTGTCTGAATATATTAACCTTAGCCACGACGTTTTCTTGAGACGTCATGTTTGTGACAAACCTGTCCTGTCAGGAGCATCTTGAGGGCTTCCTGGTACTTTCTCTCCGTTCCGATGATTTCTCGAATGCAAAACAATGCCCTTCTGGCAGTACTCCAGAGAGCGGCGTCATCAGTGTCCAACTCGAGATCATCCAAAATCACGGGTAGGGGCGTAACGGGCTCGGACTCCTCTGATTGGCATAGCGAACTTGGGTAACTGGCGAGGTGATCTCCGAGCGGGCTACATCCTTGCTTAGAAAGTGGGATACTAGCCGAGCCATAGCTAGCGGCCCTCGGGACAGGGAGTGACCGATGCTTGTCCTTGCGACTCCGTTTCCGTATAATTTCGAGCTGTTCCACCACAGCTTCATCTGATAGATTTTCGTCCATTGCCATGTATATATCGATCTCATCGTCGGTCGGGACAGGGTTGTATCGGGTGTAATGAGAAGAGACGGAAGATGTCGAGAGAGAAGTGCCCATTGGAGATGCACCAATCCATGCCAAAGACGCGAGTGCTTCAGTGCTGGGACTAGCCTTTTGGGTGGTTGACGTGGACAAGGCAACGGATGTACTACTGTAGTGGCTTCTCCGCATGGGTGATAACTCAAAATTTGTTCGCCGATCGTGCCATGGCTGATGTATCGGCTAAGACGGAAGAAGTCAATGGCATGCCGTACACACTAGGCGCTAAAACTCACCATGTCTAGCCGGAGCGGTGAGGGAGGCCTAACGAGTGGCAAAATATTTTGGTTGCGGACGTCCATATTGGAGTTTGATTCTTGGTTGGATGATACAGGGGTACCAATCTCCTCCGAGGCAATGGGGTATGACGAATGGGGTGGACTTGAGACTTGAGATAGTGCTGGTGAGCGTCGCTTAATCAACTTTGACCTCTTTTGAAGCGGGAGCTCCAATCTAACATTGCCATCCTCTTGAGTACGAGTCTCCTCCGAGGCTGCGTGGTATGGCAAATGGGATGGGCTTGAAACATGGGACATTGCTGGTGAGTGTCGCTTAATCAACTTTGACCTCCTTTGAGGCGAAAGCTCTGATCTAATACGGCTATACTCCGGCTGCGGCAACAACGGCACTGTGGTATCGGCGGAATAGTGCTTTACAGGGCCGGCGACCATGGCGGGCGAGGTTTGAGAGGAATGGACTGTAGTCGCTGGACGACTAAGATTAGAATGGACATCAATATCGATTTGCAATGAAGGTTTCGCAGGTTGATGGGGATACCCCGGTGATTGTGCCTTGACTTGAGGATGACGATATCGTGGAGCGCTACTCCGTTCAGGTACGTTGGCCCAAGTCCATGACACGGGTAGAGATTCAGAGGGAAACGATGACGGAAGGGGTTGTGAATGTGATCTTTCATGAGCCGCGTGAGGATTTGGAAGGTTCGGCATCCTCAGCATTGGCTGATTGATGACCGAATGTTGTGGCACTCCCAATTGCTTATGATACGTGCGGGGATCGCCAGTCAATTGACTGATAGTGGGTGATATCGGCGAGGGTGGCATGTTTTGAATATGGCGATATGCGTCACCTAGCCTCCCTTGAAGATCACCGCTTGTGCTAGGAGAACATGTTCCAGGGTAGGCGGCAGGCAATACTGCCTGACCAGAAAACGAACTGAAATTAGCGCTTGGAGTAGTACAACCCGTCTGGTCACTCCAACTGGAGACATAATTGTCTCCATGGCTCGAGGAATCTTGTGGATCCCAAGACTCTTCCGTGGATAAGGATCGCACGCTCTCGGTATGAGCGATGTATTCGGATGTTTTATGCGGGTCAACTTGGAACACTGGGACAATAACGGAACCACGAGTCGCATTGGAGATTTTGCTGTCATTGTCGGAGAGCTTTTGTGGGGTTTCGTGAGGCACAGGCTTTCGGAAAGGATGTCGCAGTTTCGGCCAGAAGTTCTTCTCGCTTGACATGCTGCATTAGTGCCGGGGGATAGTCAACGGCGGGAACAGGAGCTGCCCTTGAGTGGGGTTCGGTTCCCCGTCCGCAGCTGCAGTCCAAGTCCAACCGTCGAATTTTAAATAGATCTAAGCCTTGATGATGATCGTCTGATGAAGTTAGGAAGACCGCTGCCTGGACACTTCCTGTAGTCAGGCTCCACTTGTATCCTCGGCCCTGTCAACTTCGGCGCCAAGCCTGAAGCAGGAAGGGTCCTTCTTCGCCCCGAACTCGGCATTGCGACGTTCGGGCTCCGAAGCCGTCGTGACTGTATCAGTGTAAGCAGCGTCTTCCTCTGAGCCACTTGCCAGCACTGCCTGCGCCACAACGGTAGATCTTGCGAATCCGCACTCTTTTGTCACCTACCTTTGTTGACGATGTTAAATTTCAGTTCTGGCTAGCATTTTCTTTACCCTCGCTATTTATTTTATACCAGCTCATGCATTCCTATCTGGTCCCGGAGTTCTCCTCGGTTGGGCTCTGACATTCGCCTGAACGGTAAAACATCTAGTGTGATAACGTTACAGGATGGTCACGCAAGGAGCCTCTTTGTACAAAGTCTAGACTCAATTCAAATCAGCTTGTAATAGTACACGTTAACAAGGCGGCTGCCGCTGCATATAAACACATCATAAATAGAAAGCATACACAGTTATCGATCATCTTTACTCGTCCTCTGACCCATTGCTGTCGTACAGCACAACATACTCAAGGTTCTCAGGCTGGGAACGCGTATCTTGCCAGTCGGATCCATAGTCATCAGACGAAGGGACGCTGACCAACGATACTGACGATCCATCAGAGTCTCCATCATCCATTACGTCCGTCGCAGGTTTGGACGTCGAAGGATATGATGGTTCAAATAAGTCACCAAGGGGGCCAGCAGAAATTATAGACCTGTTGTTCGATGATGACTTTGGCATGACCATCGAGGATGATGCCAAAGAATGGTCCTCAGCTTCATCAACCGACTGACGAGGCTCGGTGACAGTAACACTGTGAAAGGCATTAATTCGAATGCAGCAAGACACAGAACGTACGTACTCAATCCAGATGTTGGCGCCAAAACTTTCACCTGCGCCGTTCGTCAACCTCCAGTAGCCAACGTATCTACCAGGAGCATCGGGTGCCTGATGGAGAATGAGCTTGAACAATCACAGGTTTAACTGACGAACGAACCTTTAGGTCACCAGTCCACACATCAAGATTGACTCCGGGATCAACACGTCCTACTTTGGCAACCATCGAGGTTTCAACTTCAGGTGAAAAAGACTCCCCGGCAACGAAATGAAGTTCGGTCGTCTCTGGCCAAGGCTTCTCCCCATCGTTTAACATCCGCCATGACTTAACGAACTCAGCACCAGGTGGAAAGATCTGACCGTCAGGAACTGTCGTGTCGGACACAAAAGCACAGCTGAGAGGGGGAAGTCGCGCCTGTTCTGCGCTGGGCGCGACAGCTGATTGTTCATCCAAAACGCTATCAGGGAGGGCAGAGAAAGTCGTACAAGATGGAGCGGGTGCTTCAGAAGCGAAAGGAGATGGTGTACGGTAACCACGGAGAAGTGCAGCAAGATCTCTGTCTGCAGAAAGGAGTGGCTCTATCATCGGCGGAACATCGAAGCAAAGTGTCGGAATAACAGGCGACACTTCCTTGAGGAGCGACTCCGCAGATTCTTCAGGGCACGTTGTGTTGGCGAGAGTATCAGTAGTTTCCAGCAGGTTGACCAGATCGGTTTCACCACCCTTATCCGAATCAGCCACAGAACTAGACGAATCTACTTCAGATCGTCTCGCTTCAGTAAGGTGTTTCATTTCCCGATTCACACTTGGCCAAACTTCACGAAAGATGTCAAGTGAAGGGCTCAAGTCGAGGGGTGGCGAGTTAACCTCAGCAGTAGTGATCGTCTGGACCAAGTTGCTGTGAGGTGAGGTAAATTGTTCACGATCGACGGCGGAAGATTGTTGGGACTGTAGTGATTTAGCAACAATTAAAATGACCCCAAGGGTCAACCAGTATTGCACTAACCTCGGCAGGCCTGACTGTCTGGACCAAATCGCTGATGCGTCCGTCGGTGGAAGACAAGGAAGTTTCTTCGCAGTTAGCGGCAGGAGACTGCGAAAACTGCGGTAATTTAGCAGGAGTTAGACCATAACCCCAGGTGGCGACGGGGTTTGCACTGACGCAGTCAGGGCACTGTGGTAATATGGCAAGGGGACTCAGAGACTCGGGAACAACCTCCTGTTCTTTTGTCACGGAGCGTTCGGAGGCGGTGCGTGATACAGAAACGGGCGGAGATTTCGGAAGATGAGATTCGACAGTCTGAGGAGGGGTGTTCCCCTGGCGTTTGCCTTGGGGCTGAACCTGGTTAGTCAACCCGTCTCTGCGCACGGTGGGGACAACAGTGCCTGGAGTCTTCATCTTCAGCAATGGATGAATGGAAGGGTGGACCGGGATAGGGAGCGCCTCGCAATTCTGGCACAGGTCGAAATCAGGACAGCTAGGATGCATGCACTACACAAGACGCAGCCGTTAGACACATCAAGGTTGTATGAAAAGCAACTACCTTAAAACGGACACCACGAATGGCCTTCCGGCAAGCTGATGGTGCAGTTAATTATTTAATGCTCATGGTCAATAGGACAGAGCTTACAATCGCACGTCGCGTAATGAGTAACCATGTTGGAAGCTGCATAGCGCATCTTGAATTATTGTGAGACGGATTTCTTTTCACAAAAAGGGCACAGCTACCATGAAGTCACTCGTCTTGCTCACCCGCACAAAGCTGTGATTGGGATGCTGCTCTTTAGTAATCCTGACCAGAGTGTTAATGCCGGCTATGTTTTGATAGCAGAATACGCACTTGAAGCAATCAGCACAAGTATCAAAATCTTTGAAGTGGCCATTAGCACACTATGGTTGTACAGACAACCATTCTTACCTGGACAATCGACACATTTCTAGATTATCATGAGTGCTAAGGAAATGCGAGGAGGAAAGCAAACTCACGAAGCGATCGCCGACAATGGGAGAATCGCACAAATTGCAAGAAGCGCAGTGACGAACAGCCTCCGTGGTGCTGGCCGAAGTGGCCGCAGAGGTACGAGGGCTATCTGCTGTAGCACTACGACTAGTTGCAGAAGCGTCGCGCTCCCCGCTTCCACTAAAGACCGTGTGAACGAACACCCGTCCGGGCGTTTCAATATCGAAGAATTCATGGAAAGAGTTGTGCTTCTCTGTAGCACCTGACTCGATACAGGACGTGCATAGATCATAGTCTAGGTTGGGGAATGTATGAGACAACGTTGTGGCATCATATCATCAACTTACCAGGACAGTCCAAGCATTTATGCCTGACGCCGACAATGATTTCGTTGCAGCTGTCACAAACTATATTTCGGTGAATAGGCTCGACACCAACAGGCTCAGTTCCGGTAGACTGAGACTCTGCGGGTGCTTCCACGACTAACGGTGCAACGGCAATTGGCGGCGTAACTTCACGCTGCTGGACAATGTGAGTTGGCCCAAAACAGAACGTGTGCATAGCACCAGATTTGGAGAAACAGCTTGGACACTAGCAGATAGTTGAGCAAAGCAAATGATTTTGACAAAATAAATTCTTACAACGATGTGCCACGAGCATTTCACACATCCATAACAGCTTCCAGAGAACTCGTTCCTGCAGACATGACACCACTCTGATGAAGGAGGTTCCGTTGAAGCGTTCGCTGGATTGCACGGTGCCTCTGACGATGCGCGAGGAGCCTCGTTGGATGCTCCTGCGTCAACAGGGATCTGATGATGGGACGTATCGACTTGTGCTGTAGAATTGTATTCGGGGCCAAAACTATTGATCATGATACGTTCGAAATCTATCCGAAAAGAAGCCAAGAGAGCTTCGATCTCCGACTTCCCTTTGGCAACCGAGCAACATGGCTGAGGGGAGACTACTTGGGGCGAGAGGGAAGGAAGACTGGGAAGATACTTAGGAAGAGCTGACGGTTCTCCGTAAATGACGGGTGGGGGCGGCGGCGGAAAGAACGAAGGCGAGATTGGAGGCGTGAAGAAACTGGGACGTTCAAAGTTAGAAAATGGTCTGGAAGGAAGTGGTGGTAGATGATCCGGTTTATGGGGCATCTCTCGGAACTGTGTTTCGACGAATGGAGTGAGAGAGAGATTGTATGGTGCAGGAGACGTCAGAAGTACAGGAGGCGGGGGGATCGCCATGAAGGACAAAAGACTAGGAGCCTCCTGGGAATCCTCGACGGTTGAACTGGGTGCCATATTGGGGATCTCGTCGAAGATAGAGAACCTGAGCAATGGATTGGGCCAGCGCCTGCGTAAAGGGGCGATACGAGTGCTGTACTCCTCTGCGTTATGGACTTCCTTTCCAACTAGAACACGACCCGGCTTAGACGCGTCAGGAGAGAAGATGAGTTTAGAAAGATAATAATTATGGCTTATAGGAAATATGCGATAAAGCTGCAAATGTGAAACGTCAGCGTTTCAGCAGTGAGGACAAGATAAGCGAAGAACGGTAATCATACCTGATGATAAAGCTCCTCATATGTAGGGAACAAGACATTCCCTGAAAAAGAGAACTTGCGAGTCTCATTTCTGTAAGTGGCTTTCACTGTGAACATGGTAGCGTTCAAGAGGAGTTGGTGGGGACGCCCGCAGCTTACTACGCAATGATTTATATTGAACGTGACAGTAGTGTGACCAAGGAAATGTGACGTGCTGTGACGCGAAAACCCGTCCAGACTCCAGAGTTTACTCCTCTAGATTTACCTATGGCTAGACTATGATGATACAATTACGCCAACTTCAAGCGTATCCTCCGTCATAATTTTGCACTATTCTTCCTCTCCCTAAACTGCACCAACATTTCTACACTGATCATTTTCAGGCCCCATTGATCGGCAAATGCCCTGCAATCATCGCGACGCGCCATGGTTCCAAACACATCGTCATTCACTAACTCGCATAATACACCCCCTAGAGGTTGATGAGTGAGGGCGCACAAATCGACACCAGTTTCCGTGTGACCTCGGCGTTCCAGAACACCGCCTTGCTGTGCTCGCAAGGGTACCATATGTCCCGGACGACTGAAATCAGATGCTGTCGAAGTTGGGTCGACTAACTTGCGCACGGTGAGTGATCGGTCATGGGCCGAAATGCCCGTTGTTGTGCCTAGATTACTTCAATGATAGCATAGCCCGAGAATTCTTTTAAAAACAAACCATGTTTATAGTCTACGGTAATGGTGTAAGCGGTTTTGTGTCGCTCTTGGTTATTGGGGACCATCATCGGAATTTCAAGCTCGATAAGACGCTCCTGAGGAAGAGAGATGCAGATGTACCCGCTATGTAGAATGGACGTGAAGACAGAATGTATGAGTGCAAAGTATTCATACCTCGTGTGCTTGATCATCCATGCCATCGCTTCGATGGAACATTGACTTGCAGAAATAATGATATCGCCCTCGTTTTCTCTTCGCTCGTCATCCATGACAACAATGGCTTCACCCCGCGCGAATGCATCCAGCGACTCCTCTACTGTATCAAAGGAGAAAGTTGTTCTCAGCGTGATGTCCACTACTTGAGTAGGAAGCCAAGCAGGGTTAATGGAGCCATTGCACACTCCATTGACTGCGTGGTGCCCAGGCACAGCGCCTTGAGCCGTTGCTGTGGCCATTGGAGTCAGAAAAGTTTTATTTTACTTCCGGTGGTTTGGCGTTGGCTGTTCAATCCGGCAGATGGGAAGTTCGCCGATGCACGGCAATTGCTGACTAGTGCTCTATATCACTGCAACGCTCATGATGAGCAAGAGGGGATAAAGCGACAAATACCACTGCAAGCTTCGAGCGCTTGCAAGTCTTTGCCACCCAAAAGCCGAAGGGTGTCGCGGGTTGTTGTGTGTGCGATCGGCTGTTTGCGGAAAGAGTGTTAAATTTTGGATCGCCGTAACACGGTAAGATGTCATACCTCTTTCTCTTACTTCGACCTCGAAGCCCGCGCTTGCTGGGACAGGTTCTCTCAATCAAGGACCTCCATAGATATACTGTCTAGAGTCTTATAAAATATTAGCCATGTCGCATCTAGCACCAACTGGCAAGTGGGACGCAAGGTATTTATTGTCTCATGCCATGTGAAGTTGGTTTTGATTTCGTTCGGTTCGAAGATACCTTGGCCCTGTCCCTCACGACTCTTCATACTATGCCAAGTGCATGCTCGGTGGTGTCCTTGCATGCGGTATCACTCATGCTGGTATCACGCCTCTCGACGTGGCCAAGTGTAACATGCAGGTTAGTTTATCCAGTCTTTCCTGATTCCGTGTCGTGTCTAATAGCTTTTTCGAACAGGTAAATCCCGCAAAATACAAGGGTCTCTCGTCTGGTCTCGCAACCCTCCTTCGTGAGGAGGGTCAGACCGGTATCTGGAAAGGCTTTGGTCCCACTTTCCTCGGTTACTCGTTACAGGGCATGTTCAAGTACGGACTCTATGAAGTGTTCAAGGACCAGTACATGAACTTGGCTGGGGAGGAGCTTTCTAATAAATACAAGCCTGCCATCTGGCTCGCTGGTTCCGCATCAGCAGAGGTCTTCGCTGACATCGCCCTTTGCCCTCTCGAGATGACGAAGGTCAAGATACAAACCAGCCCTAGTGGCACGTTCCCCACCGCTTTTGGTGCTGCTCTTAAGGAGATGAGCAAGACCAAGGTTGAGACCCGCTACCCCTTCGGCTCTCTTGTTCCCCTCTGGTCCCGTCAGGTTAGAAATAGGCGTCTTCTTTTCCGATTGCACTGCTCACAACTTTTCAATAGATCCCTTACACTATGGCCAAATTCTTCTTCTTTGAGAAGATCGTTCAGGTCTTCTACACTCACGTTTTCACTGAACCCAAGGAGTCCTATGCGAAGACCACTCAGCTCGGAGTTACTTTTGCTTCTGGTTACCTCGCTGGTGTTGTCTGCGCTATCGTCTCGCACCCGGCTGACTCCGTCGTCTCCCTCATGGGCAAGCCTGCAAACAAGGGCAAGAGCATTGGCACGATCGCATCGGAAACTGGATTTGCTGCACTTGCAACGAAGGGTCTCGGCACCCGTGTATTAATGATTGGTACTCTCACTGGTACGTGAGCATCGCACTCTGTTGAAATAGCTTACCAACACATCAATCAAGGCTTCCAATGGTGGATCTACGATTCCTTCAAGGCATCGATGGGTCTCGGCACCACCGGTGGCAAGTAAACTGCTCGTTTGTCTGCATTGGTAGTGTCCGCACTAGTAGTCAGTGCCCACATCCCCTTTTTGATTCACTTATCTAATTCATTGTGCAGGAGGACATGTATAGATTGTTTCTGGCGGTATACAGTTAGTTTACATTCATTCCCTTGTGATTCCTATTGCTATCTATTTACCCCGTCATGCAATAGACCACAATTACTTTACGACAATACCACTGCATCATCTTCAGAAGTCCATCACCTGAGGGCAATATGTGAACCGAAGGTGAGCTCGGCCGGAACAGAAAAAGGAGGGATGAGTGATGTCCCCAACTGATGATCCATTTTTGTGGCCGGCATCAGTGAATTGAGGAGTCATTTAGTATTTTGTGACGAGGTCACGACTCGCCTTGTCGAGCATTGTCGTTTCCGTTGTTTAAGTTTTCAATTACAAGGGTATATAAGACTATCTCACGGAAAGCGGGTTTCGCAATGGTCATCATATCTGTATTTGCAAGGGAGTTTGTGATAATGTGTCGTTGTTGGGGCATCACAGCCGGGAGGAGATGAGGGGCGGCTTTGTCACAGTCACATCACACCGTAACGCCTTTCCTCATCGTCATTCACGACGTTGGCCCACTATCGGATTTCTCCTTAGCGATAACCGATATCGAGTGAATTTTGCGATCTCACACACCGCCTGATCAGGTGGCATCCACTTGGAAGCGAGTCTTACAGACTCTTACTATCTCCACTATCTAGGATTCTTAATTTTCTCTGATCTTGGATGAGCTCGTGCATCATTGTCTCCGAGAGCTTTCATTCGATGGCGATCTTGGTACGTCAGCGCAACGTCAGCGTGTATTATTCTCCTCGTTTATATCTGTCCTTGGCGTTTTTTTTGGAACACTTATCGTGAAGAGGATCGTTCGAATCCCCTTTGTGACAACTCCTGAATTTCTCGATTTTCTCCAACAGCATCTGATTTTTGTTATTTGCCGCCGTTCCTGCAGGTTGTAACGTTTCCCGCTTGCGAGATTTCATCGTAGGATTCCACAGTCACGACGCTACCCACCCGCAGGTCGACGATGCCTTTTGTGCGTTTGTGTGGTCCATAGTCGTCCAGCAGCCCACTGTCGAGGCTAGCATCCAAATCCGCTTGAATGCACTCGACGGAGACGATAACGAGGGCAATGGAAGTGCGATACTGCCTTTATATGACTCGCGCTCGGACTTTACGAACACTCCGCTGGACGAGAGCATGCAGCATGGAAAAACAGTGACTGGAGCTGACGCTGCTTGTGCTGAGAAGACGCAATCAAGAAATGTAGATTGCGTGCCATGTACGGAGTCAACTTTTTCCGAGTTCGTCGCTCGTCTGGATGGCGAACAACAAAAAGTGGCTCGAAATATATTTGATCGAGCTAATGCGTCATTAGAATCCGGCTCATCAAAGTCGCACTACCTAGTATGTTTTCTATTTGGGTGTCATTCACCAACTGCTGACCCTCTTGTACTTTGAGGCTCTTGGTGCTGGTGATGTGGTTATGGACTTGTTACAACGAATGTCCCAAACATCCCCGCCCCTCATTCTGTGGGCAGGATACTCTGCGCCAGTCATCGTTTCCTGCCTTCACGCTCGTCCTTGGACAGTGGAGCTCATTAGGGAACCGAAAACTCTTGCCTTACCTCGACGTTGGGTAGATATCCGTGGTGGTACAATACGAGAGACCTGGAACGCCGCTCTGCACGCGGTTGTGGGCATTATTTTTTTTCATCCAGGAATTTCTCAGGTGAGTGTTTTGACAAATTTATTCGGGTGCTTGATCTCAATCCGATAGACCGAGCTGCGATGGAGGCTTAGGGCAGTATGTGATCGACAGGAACTCGTAGACATCGTGTGCTTTTTGAACCGTGAAGAAGCCATTTACGCACGAGTTGGTGCAACACGTCCGACTGGCACTATCTGGCCGGCAACATTGGACGACGGGGAGGAACAGCAGGTTTTCCGGTTCATTGGCAAGAATAAGTATTGGTATCAAGTCTAAATCCACAGTGATGTTACTCGGACGCCACGGGTGCCATAAATGTCATGCTCATGTCAAAGCTCACGAGTGACGGTCGAATGCAAGGTATGCTCGCGCGCTACTTCTGTTCATTTGCCGTTTCACTCGTTCTCCACGAGTCCCTAATGATTCTTGTTTCTTTTCCACCTTTGAAGTTTGTTCCTTACATTGATTTTGAGTGAAGGTCTCGGGCAGATTTCTTGTCTCACGCATTTGAACTCCTGCAGGGATCTAGGAATAAGAGGAAAAAGTGGCAGCAATGAGCAATAAAATAATCTGGAACAACAAGCAAAAGAGAAATTCCACGTAACGTTATTTCTTTGACTGAAAACGTGTCGGGTATTAACACGTATCATGATCATTTAGCATGCAAATAAAATGGGCAGTGACAATCCACGAGTCGGGGATGGGTACTTGCGTTACTGATCCTGATAGACCTTCGGTGAGGTGGCATTGTCTGAGTTGTGCAGCGCACTGGCTTCTAATGATATACGTGGCCACGTAGGCATCTGCCCGCATAGCATCCACCTCAACTGAAAACGCAGTTAATGTATGGCAGCACAGCATGCCACGAACTGTTTAAATGGTACAGATCAACGGCAAAACGCGCGTCAACGTAGCATGACGTGGTGGACACCGAACCATTGTAGATACTAGATAGATGCCAGTGAGTTGGCGCAACCTCGCCACTTCGTTCAGTGTTCAATCTCCGTTCCAGTCCGCGCCTTATAATAAGCATTCTATCCCCAGTAGTTACCTCAGTCGTTGTTCACCAACACTGAGCGCTGAGCGCTGAGCTTCTGCAATTTCTGACCCAGTACTTAAACCATTGAGTTCATTGTCGTACCGTGATTTGCTTAGGTAAGCTCCACTCAGAACGATTTGCAGCAGCTGGTAATCAGATAAACACAGCGATGTCATTCGCCCTCCTATCGTCCACACGCTATGATCCCTTCCTGATTTCGTGCCCTTGGAACAATGATCCAGACGGGCCATCACCTTATTTTCTCCTTCATTACCAAGCAGACCGTCTCATCAGGTCTGCCGCGCTCCATGATCAGGTTTTCCAAGAAGGAACTACTTTGTCCAAGGTCAAGACAGTATGCGACAAGGCTGTCCAAGAGCACAATGATTCCAGGGGGGAAACTCCGTTGAAGGTTGTTAACATCTCACTCGAGTTTTGTTATTAATACAAACTTACGCTCTCTCGCCAGCTTCGTGTCGTTTTGGATCCTTCTGGAGAGCTCTCTGCTACTGCATCTCCCGCGAAAGAGTTTGAGAGCGATCCAACCCTGCCATCTCTCTTCAACCCCGCAACAGACTCACCCCCCGCGCTCGTCCTCACCATTCATATTGATACCCAGCCAACATCAGACACCACATCGTTGAAGACAACAGATAGGCGAGCCTATGACGATGCACGTGTACGAGCTGGCCTCCAACCTGTAGGTTCATTAGATCCACCAGCCAGTCATGCACCCGATGATGTGATCCTGTACAATACCCGGAATATCGTCACCGAGTCATCTGTGTGTAATGTCGCATTCTATCGCAATGGTCGTTGGGTCACCCCTCCTTTGGCCGCTGGTTGTATATCCGGTGTTCTGAGACGATGGCTTATTGAACAACACCGCATTTTTGAAGCAGCAGAGGACGAGTTCACTATAGATGGCATCAAGGATGGCGAGTGGGTACTTGTTTCTAACGGCGTCTTTGGTTGCAAGTTAGGACGGATTAAATTGCATACTTCAGACAAGATGGACTGATTATGCCAAAGACTAGACTACTTTTGACGGTCTACTAGAAATGCAATCTATGAACTGATCTCCGTATCTACGTCCATGATATTTACGTCCTGACCATCAAACATTCCGTCATCCATCTCGCTCAGGATGTAGTCCACCACAAAACTGTCCTGAACAAGGCGGTCCATTCTGGAAAGATGCCGTTCGGTGTATGGAATCATACCATCGACGAGTTCCTTCAGTGCAGTATTGCCGCTCCCAATACTTTTCGTGCTCTTTTGACCAGAGGACTGTAAGATACCTTCCTGGGCTTCTTCAGTAAACGCCGCTATGACATCGTCCGCCGATCTCAGCTTCATGACTGCATACAACACCCCCTGCGCCACTCCGCTTGTTTTAGTATTGGGATTCCAGTCACGAACATAGCGCAACAGGCGGGCAAGATCAGACCCGCCGAGGGTCCGGAGTACCTCGTCGACTGCGCCGTTGCCAGTTACCGATGATGCATCAGCTGCGGATTCCGACGGGGTGGCACGAATGTCTTTAAACAGGGATAACAATCTCCCAGGCTGTTGCATAGCGAGGGCGAGTTGTATAGCTTTGCGATAGTCATGAAGGGACAGATAGTTCATGAAATCTTGCTCCCTGACGAAGAAATCCATGAGCTCCAACAATATGTGTGTGATGACGTCCAAACCTCAAGACCAGCTCCGCACGTTTAGTTTCGTTCTCCCGTTCCTGTTCCTCAGTGCAATCTTGCCAGAATGTCGCTACAGAGTCCGCTGCTGCGGACACAATCGTTCGCTCATCTGTGCTGACGGCAAGTGCCCAAACCTACAGGTGGATTAACTTAAACCAAAATGAGAGAGCGAGCAATCTGACTTTGTCCTCGTGATTGTCCATGGTGGCTATACACTCTTCTTCGCGTACATTCCACATTTTGACAAGGCCGTCCGATGCTGATGAAACGAGCTGCATGCCGTGATTGATAAAATCAACTCTCAACACCGAGTTGGTATGTCCCTCGAACGTTTTCACGCAAGTGAAATCCTCCAAGTTCCACAGTTTTACGGTTTTATCCCCGCTTCCCGTTGCGAGGACGCGCTCCGTGCGACCAAACTTGACCGTCCAAACGCCTCGCTTGTGGCCTTTACAGGTTCCAAGTAGCTTGATTTCTCCATGGGCAGAGCGATCCCCAGTTGCACGTGAAAAATCAATTTCATATACTTTAACTGTGCGGTCTTGCGATCCAGATGCCAAGAGGCGGTCGTTGGGCGCGATATCGAGAGAATTAATGTCTTTCTCGTGTGCTTTATGAGTGGTCAAACTCTTGCACTTCATAGGGGTTTGGCCATGCTGAGAGGCATCGAAAACCAGCGGAACGTCGCCGGTATACCACATCTTGATCGTGCGGTCCTGACTGCCGCTGAACATGAATTGCACACCCGTGGTGCCACCTTCGTCGGAAGTTCGTGACATTGCGATGGTGCCCACGCTTTCTGCATGACCTTCGCAAATAGCAACACAGCCCCACTCCGTCGACAGGTCGTCGTTCGAAAATGCAGGCGCCCATAATCGAACGGAGCGATCTTTGCTTCCGCTCGCAAAGAGTTTCCCTCCCGCGCCACGGTCAAGTGATAACACTATTTCTGTGTGCCCACTTAAAAGCCGCGCATCTAGCCCTGCAGTTGAATAAACACGGATGAGGGATGAATTTGTAGCGAATGCGATGTGGGAATCGACAGATTTGGGTGCATTTGGAGACAGGAAGATCGCATCAACGATCTCGTCGTTGAAACCGATAAGTTGCCGGGTGAGCTTTCGGGTGTTCAGATCGTAGAACAGGATATTCTGGTCTGCATGTACGGAGACGATTGTCGATATTGACGGCAAGTAGCTGAAGGCGTGCTGTTAGTAACAAAGGTACTCGCAAGGGGACTTGGTACTAACATAGCTTCTAAGATCTGACGCTGCTCCTCTTGATCCTCGGTCTGTGGGTCTGCCACCTGGCTGAGGGAATATAAGACGGATGAGCCTTGTACGTCCCATATTCGGATGATGCCTTTCTCCCCAGCAGTATAGAAACGCAGTTGGGAAGCGCTGCTACCGGGAACCAAGTCCCCGGGCTGCAACAACCCAACTGCCTCAACTCGTTCCATAACAGGAATAGTTTGAGCCAGTGCAGGAGAATGGCCTTTTCCTTTCCCCTTAGCATTTTCGGCAGATTTCGCTCCAGTTGACTTCGCGTGCAAGTTCCACACCAAAACAACGGAATCTCTTCCCCCGCTTATAAGCCATTTTCCGTCAGGAGTCACATCCAAACCCCGAGGAACAGAAACGTGCCCTTCGAGAACAGCGATCGGACGTAGTGCACCTTGGTCCTTGGCCTTGCTCGCAGTCGCCGTTAAATCAAATATCCGGATGCGAGTGTCCATGGAAGCCGTTATGAGTTGGAGTATATTTTGTGGGACTACAACAGAAGGGTCTCGGGGGAAGTTGAACTTCAACGCGCTCACAATGCCGCCATGCCCTTTGAAAATGTGAGTGACGTAGCCACGTTTGATGTCCCAAACCTTGACAACGCCGTCCGCAGAGCCCGAAGCAAGATAGGTGGAGGATGGATCGACGGTGCAGACGTGTACGGGAGCATCATGTGCACGAGCAACCACCCGAATGGGATGGATTTTATTTTTTGTGACAGCAGTGGGGATGTCATATACACGCAAAGAAGGAGCAGAAGTGAATACGATCAGTTGCAAAGTCGATGGGGTCAAGCACAGCGAAGTGATCGATTGAGTGTCCTAGATTGCTTCAGTCATGGGTGTTTTCTAACGTTGAAAGCGGAATAACTCACCCCTGCAAATCGACATATTTCTTCGCCCGTCAAAAGATTGGTGAGCACGGCTTCCTCTGCAACACAAGTAACGAGTCTGCTCCCATCACCAGAGACTGCGACAGATCCGCACGTGTGAAGCGGTCCAATAGAGCGCTTGTTTTTGTAGCTGCTTAGGTACTTAGAGAACTGGCGCGTGGAGGTAGCACGCAAAGAAACTCACACTGTTTTCAATCTGGATTTGCCACCTGTGGATGCCATCTAATGTGACTTCAAAGCATATGCAAAATTCACTCTGCAAGTCTATTTGGTTTTGTATTCTCTGATTTCCTTTTTGAACTACTCGTCCATTCCGATGATATTCATCAATAAGTATACATGGAAATCCTAGAATACTCATGTGTACCAATGAATTGAGAAAGTAAAGAAGATTCGTAGAATATGTTGAGTCCTTTCATGTGTCCCAGTACTGAATGGCTGAAAACTAGTTACTGGAGAAGGAGTCTCCAGTGCTCAAGGATGAGCAAACGAGGAGGCGCCAACGATCTAAAATGTGCTATGAGAACCGCGTCAATATTCATATAATATTGAATACGAGAAGGAGCCAACATACCTTATGTGGCTTGATGGTCAGCCTGACACTGACTTCGCAATCGTGCAATCGTATCTTCTGCTGCTCGCCTCAACTTAGCTTCCTGATCTGCTAGATATTCAGCTTCCCTCCTTCTTATGGCCTCCTCCTCCAGCATCGCCTCAACTGTTCTGAGGGCGGTCTTCGCTCTAGCTGCCTCAGCCTGGGCTTCCGCTAGCTGATCTGATATCTTCAAGGACACAGATATCGCATCCGCAGACTGCCTCCGCAATCCCGCCATTTCAATCTGCAATCGGTCCACGAGATTTTCATCGGAGTGGGCGATCAGCGCACGGGATGTAGAGGGGCTTAGCAAACGAGAAGGGACCTCGTGTAGCCCAAAAGCGCCAAGTCCGGCAAGGGATGACTGATGAGGGGGAACAGCCATATCTTCCTCGCTCTCGTATTCATCCTCACTCATCTCATGTCCGTCTGCACCTATATCCATATCTTCCTCGCCATTTCCATCGTCATGGTCATTTCCCCCGGTGCGTACGGCCGAAATGTTGCATGGCATCGAACGTCCCGGGCCCACAGTCAGTGAGTTCAGGGGAGACGATAGATCAACAGATTTCCGAGGTCGTCCTCGTTTCTTCTGCTGTGTAGAGTTAGACGACTCCTCGGCGGCCTTCGTAGGTCTTCCCCGCTTTCGTGGCCGCTTGGTGCCTGGGGGAGCAGAAAGATTTACTGTCCAGTAAGAACCGAAGCCTGGATCTGTGACAGGACGAGGCTGTTTTTCAAATAATCTATTCAAAGATAGGTGATGGCGGACAGATTGCTGTAATTCAAGGTTGAACGCAAAAGTTTTGGCCATCACACCCTAGAGCACTGACCTTCCATGTCGGACCCGCAGTCCTAAAATACAAATATTTGTCCTCCATGGCAGCATATATCTCGCGAATGGTGAGACGTCTCCGTGCACTACCGAGGATTGCACAGCGTAAGATTACTGGAAGAGTGTGCTGCGGTCGCCCATCCGTATCTGGAAGACAGGCCAAGGTGTCAGGACAATTGGGATGAGGGGCATGCTCTTTGTATGGAGGATCGTATTGATGAAATTCTACTGTTGCGTTGAGGCTACCGTCTGAGGTGGGGGAGGAGGGGCTTGCGGAAATAGGTTGTCCGGTTGTTGAGCTGTTGACGAAGACAAAGGGGGTAGCAAACAGAGGTGTCAGACTAAGCCGCCAAAAAAATCCGAGAACCGGTGCACGTACTGATACAAGCTTGTAGAGTCATCTTCGGGGTTCAACAATTTTTTCAGGCTCGACATGATATTTCTGAGGGCGAAACATAGGTTTGCAGCACAATTGCAATCGTTCAATTTAGAGGTTCTTGTAGGTCCATTACATAAGTTACATAATCAATGGTATACCTTCTAAGTGAGCAACGGGAGTAGGCGACGAGGGATGATGAATTATTATTGGTGGCGTTCTACGCTAAGGAGACAAAGGTGATTAGCCCACTACATGCGATAACGATCAGGTGGCGTATTCTGATACTCGTATGAATAGTTGGAGGTGGGATTTTGAACTCTCCAGTCTTGGTCGTTTGGTAGAGGATATTCTGCATTGATCAGCGAAGTTGCGCTTGTGGATCCGTGGTAAGGCTGAGCTGAAGGCTGGTTGGTTCGTGGCCACCACTCGTAACCTGGGTAATACGAGGTCGAGGGCTCAATGCCAGGGATGTCAAGACCAAGCATATGCGCCATCATTCGGGTGCTGATCTCTTGGATACCACTGTTCTGTGGAGCACATTCCCTTTGTAAAACATCACCAAACGCCTCGCGCTGCAGGACGTCAGAGCTCCTTTCGCCAAACGCATCATCTGCTGCTCTCTTTTGACGATCAGGGCCATGCACCAAAGGTGGCATGTTACTGTCCACCTGCACTCTAGCACCATGAAGAAGATCCCGGGTTCTTCCGGCGCTAGGCCATGTAGTCTTAACTAAGGTAAGATTAAGTGTGGACAATAGTGGCTCAGGCTGACCTGCATCTCTTTCAATACGGCAAGGCATTGTCGCAAGCCAATAAAAGCCTGGACATTTGATGGCCGCAGTGTTACTTGAAAGGGAAGATAATTCATAAATGCTTGTATCCTTCAAAGGAAGGTACTCACATGTCACAATGTGCATAATTCTGATGGTTGTTAGAAATTAGAAGATGCGAATTACTAGTGCAAACGATAAAACAAACCCAGCACTAAGAATATACGACGACAGAAACGGCGAGCTACATTTGATATTGAAGTTCTCGTGATATGTCGTTACTGGGTTGAAATCAGCGTGTAGCAAATAAATTTAGTTCAAAAAACATACCTATTGTGCTGACATAAGTGGCGGCACTTTGGCAGAGATCAAAGGCTTTCAGGGAGGCCGTGTCAGGTCCGTTGGGAGGATTCTGTAATATCTGTTCTGAGCTAGAGCAAACGGGTTAGACACGGACTATTCAAGGTTTGAAAGTGACACATGAATCACCCTTTCCAATCGGGAATGCTGTAGAGAGGTATCAGTGACGGGAATTGAATATTTCAACATCTAACGTACAACGCTCGGTGTAACAATAATACTGCAGACCAATATTGGATGTGGATGAAGAGAACCGCCGGTGGCGGAGTATTTCGCTTGCTTGCTGGGTCGTACCGAAGATTATCAGGAAGGTCGATGTACCATTGGTCCAGTCTAGATTCTAGAGTATTTAGGATCGCCCGCCGCGAGCCTCTGCCGGTAGAGCGAACAGGATAAATCATTGTCACAATAGAACCAATCAAAACAGCTGCATCTCCATCAGGTTTGCAAATAGTCTGGAGATAAGGTGTACGAACATAGTGATGCAGCGGCCCTGAAGCAGCTCATTGTCAGTGGTGTCGATATGTACTGCAAAGTCGCTAGGTCGGCGGAGCTGTCTTCCTCGTACTGCAGAATAAGAATAGAAGGTGAATCAAAAATTAACACCTCGTAGTTTTGAGTTTACTTCAGCGGGATCCGGAAGAAGGGTATCAAAGTCGCCTTCGCCGATAGACACAGGACGACCTAGCAGAGTGAACGGTTAGGTGTGCCCAAGGAGAGGTATGAGACCTACCCATATATATCGAAGCATATCTGTGAGCAGTCGTTAGCGCAACATCTTCACAGAGAGGGACAGATTTCGCACTTGTCTGCAATGCAACAACCCCACCATATGTGCTTCCGAACCTGGTTCTCCTCGAGGGAGAACATTTTTCTTCCTTGAAGTTGCCAGTTATCCGCAGCACGATTTAATCCAAGGTCCTGGGCCTACACGGAACTAAGCACCCTGCCTTCAAAGTATGCATCATACCAACCATTCTAATCGCCATACCTGTGACGGGAAAGCCGTTAGACAAGGAGAGCGAAGATGAGCTATGCATACACACCAATGTAAAGCCAGCCTTGTTCCATAGAACCTAGATAATGCCCATAAACATGCCGTTCAAATAATCTACTTCAATCACGAACCTATCCCAAATTCACGATGACCTAGGAGAAGCAAGGCTTGACAAGTAGTTGCGCGGCAACTGTGATAGACTTGTGCTGTTCCACTGGTGAGTGCACGAAATCAACACCGGGAATATAATTTACCAAGTGCTACCCTCGCTTGCGCAAGGTAGTCATTGCCAGCCTCCCACATCGCATCAACAGAGCTAGCAGTGTTGTCATCAAGATAACGAGCGGCGATGGCAAATATTGCCAACAGAAGCAGCTTGGTCACGTTCTGCGAAGGTTCCGGATTGGAGTAGTATGGGGTGCCCCTCGCAGACTCGGGTGTAGTCGGATTACTACTGTCGCTGACAGGTAAGCAAGGACACCACGTCAATGACGATCTTGTTAAGCAACATACTTTTGCTTCCTGTATCACGGTCAGAAGAACGAAAGATAAACACATGAATGACAGAACTCGCCATTCGCTATATTCTCTCAGAAAACGGCCCTTGTGGATTACAGGGAAAACCGGGTGTGCATAAGTGAAATATAAATCAACTAAATGGTCTTGCACCGCAAGGGGAGGTAAATTGACGACAACGCCTTCGTCTGGTGGAACAGGATTTGGGTTGGGCTTTGCGGAGGGCCAAAAACGTGCCATAGGCAAATTCCTGTCATCGCGGTATTGTGACCACATATATAAGGAATCAGAACAAAAAACGAACCATATTCCCCCCTCATGTCTGCTATCCATACGGGAGCTACGCCCCAAAAGATGGAGGCCACTAACTTTTCCATGGTATCGAACCTGATATAAGAATATAAGCATATAAGCATACTTTACATGAAGCACTAATTTCGGAGCTCGCTAACCTCTTGATTCTCGTCTAGAGAGAGTTGACCAAAAGCAGTATCTGGGCCATTGGATTCATCGGTACCATCTGACTCTAGAATCATATTGAGTGGTCAAATCAAAGGCGTGTGGAGTAAAATGCTCACCCGAAAGCGCATCCATCGTGTACATTTCATTCCAGTTTGGCTGATGTGGACCACTGCTGCTTGACGGTATATCGAGCCGCCGCCGTTGTTGCACAGGAACTCCGCTAAGGTTATAGGCTTGCGGAACACCTTGACGCCCGACGTGTCCTCTCGTGAGGCTCGCAGCCAAGCGATCCTGCCACTCTGAAGTTGGTATTGTTGAAAGTGTGTTGTCTACAAGAGCTTGAGTTGAGATACCCCCAAGGCTAGTTTCTCACCTCTAGACGATGATACAATTTCTCTTGAAATCCTGGACTGTCTTCGAGAACGAGGAGAGTCACGGGCCGAAGCTTCGTTACTCCGGAATATGCACGCAAAGAAGTCTTCTTTCGTTGCTCCGGCTGGCTGTGAAAGTCTTCCCGAAGGTCCCTGCAAGACGGAGGGATTGAATGATTTGCTCCATTTAGAGTGTTAAATGTACGTCAGCACTTACAAATGGACCTGTATCTACTCGATTGAGAATTTCTCTTGCAAGATCGTCTTGTCTTATATCGGCTATGACTTGTCGTACTCGGGTATCTGGACAAGCAAGAACAGCGCCAAGAAGGGACTCGACCTGATGCCATCGCTGTTCGATCGCCTGTATGTATCCCTTAGGAGGACCGCGCTTATAACTGGGACCTGAAAACGATATTAACACCCCCTCCGACGCTCATGCATGCAGTAACGCTCACCCAGAAATGTACATGCTGGAATCGAATAGAATGAATTGAAACAGACTGAATGCTTCAGTTATGTTACGCACTGTTGCCCGCTATCGTACAACTCTTGCAAGCACCAATTGTTCCGGATGACTCGCACTTGCTCTTCGTCTTTCTGCACTGATCACAAGCTAATATTGTTCAACTACAAGTTGAATAAGTGCCCAGAACTGGGCGCACCTCTACTGCTGCGCTTCCTAGTTGCAAGTGTTTCTTGATTAGCTTCTTCATCAGAAGGGTCTGATTCGTTCCATTGATTAGCGGACATGACGATCAAGCTTAAGGAGAGTTTCGAAAGATGTCTGGGTGGTCGCGTTTATAGAAGGATGAATAAGAAGTTAATACCTATCTTTCTTCGCACGGGCTGATAATCACTTCATAATTAGCCTCCTATGTAGCATAGCAGCATAGCCCACTCTTAAGCCTAATGATAATATTACACCGTGTCCATGCTAACGAAGCACTGAATTAATTGTCATGACTTGTTCCAGAAACTGGATCCTGTAGCTCTATTCTTGCACATACAAAACCCACGTGCACACGGTCTCAAGACTTTCTTGGTCAACAATGGCTCCGACTCCCGGACACCTTGATGGTCAGCTGTGAATGAAAAATAGCACATCAATCATGGCTCTCTCAAGCAACAGTGATCATGCATAAACAACTACTCGGAATGGGTGACGAGGTATTGTAGGTAATACACTTGAATGACAGTCTTGTCCTTAGTATGGAGTATATAAATAGAACGTGACGGACCCAAGATAAGGATCAGGAGCCTGAGCCTTCGTTCGGATTCGATGAGGAGCATGCTCCAAGTAGACGGAGCGGAACATCACCCGCTCGGCTATATACGCCCTCACTTCAAAGGGCTATAAGAGAGCGGGAGCAGGATGAACGAATCCATGTGCTTCGCAAGTTGGGAAGTCTGTCAATGTGTCACGATAAGCACACTTCACGGAGGGGCTGTTCCACATACCTTGGAAACAGTCTCCGCCCAGCCATCAATCTGCCATGCTTTCTCACGCATCTCTTTCCTTGCCTCGAGACTCCTGGGCAGGAACATTAGTTCTATCTACATGGGGGTTATACAGGTGAACGAACGGGTATTGCCACATATGGTGCACTTGGTGTAATCTTCCAACCTGCGAAAACCAAGCTCCTACTGGCGCAACGAACTTGCGACGAGCTTCGATACCTCTCCGCCTGCACAAGCTTGTAAAAACGACGTCATTTCCAAAGACGACTGAAACTGACCATGCATTCTCCCACTCAAGTAGTGTACCTGGTTTTAACTGGTAGCTCCGAAGCTCAAAGACGCCGCCTTGGGCGTGGGGTGGCGCAGTGGGGAAGAAAGCAAACTCTTGCGTTAGCTGAGTCGACCGCGAAGTAACATAAGGTAGGAGCGCCTTGTACGCCTTGGCGTGCTAGCAAACACCCGATAAGTCGATGCACACTCGAGATTAGGAAATTCGTACTTCTGATGTTCTTATGAGTTCAGTGGTCTTGTCAAAGCCGGCGTAATTCTCGTATTCAAGTATATGAACTTGACGTAGAGCACAACATCAAGACAGGAGAACCATGATATCATTGAAAGACATACCAAAAGTGTCCTGCTGTCCCACTACAGTTTCCCAACTTCCGGTCAATTTAACGTGTAACTCTGGAGCATCCTTTATTCCAGCATAGTACTTCTCCCTGAATAAGTCAATCACATCTCAAAAAACGCCTTCTGAAAGACGAGCTTTTTTTTTCTTACGCTGCGGCTTTATACTCGTCAATCGCCCCCGGAGTAACTCGGTGAACTTGAGGATGCAAGCTGTTAGACAAAGTCTAGAAGCTCGTGTTTGCTTCTCACCCTCGAAGCCGTGAACATATTTCCCCCTAGCAACAATCCTTGAGTGCTGTTGAACCTCGATGTCTCCTGCTTTCTTCGCTTCTGGTGATCCGTGGAGGAGACTCTGTGAGAAACACGTTAGGACAACTGTCGCAACGTTACATGTGCGCTACCTGGACGGATATCGTTCTGCGCGCTCCAGAGAGCGCGACTTTATGAACAGATCTCTTTGCGATGGAAGACAACATAACAAAAGCCAGTTGCAACAAAAATGCGGTGGAGAAGGAAGTGGTTATAGCTAGGCTGAAACGGCACAGGTTGACAAAGTACGTAACAATATACGCTTGACCCCTGACTTTCAACTACGATTAGTAAATATTCGTTCTTAATTCCGCTGAAACAGCCTCAAGCTCCAATGCAAATTGATTTTGCAACATGGATGTACCCACTGAGTGCGATGTCAGAGACAGTACTGGTCTATTATGTTAACCACCGTATCCAAAACTCATAGATCATCCAGTGAGGCGAAGACGGTATATCAACCTGTAGACTCGCTCGAAAGAACCGATGGTTTGTCTCCTGTGACTGCACTTTACATTCTTGCAATTTGCGAGGTGCGGACCTAACGCCACGACGCTCGGTCAATTGGGTTTCTTCGCATATCAACGGATGCGTGGAGACAACCTTGATGAACTAAGTCAGCACAATGAAACCAAGCTGACCAAAGCACATGAGTTCACCCAGTTGACAGCGTCCGTAGAAGATTCGAACACGGCTTGGCGCAAAATGACCACTGTTTCCCTCGTAACAAGAAAGGCAATTTCAAGTGTGGAACTTGCTGAGCCCACGCGTGACAGCATGTCCAGGCTTACGAAGTCACCACGTCGCGCCGCTTATAAACGAGGTCAATCGCCGCACTTCGACACATCGTCATTCAACGTACGAAATGGACTGCGGAATGCAGTGTCCAGGTGGCCGTCGACAGCTTGGGAAGGAGGGAACCGCAAGTAATGATCCACAGCATCCTGGCCCAAAGACTGTATAGTTCGTGATTCCTGCATTACCATGTCCTCGGCTGAGTCACTTTCAGCCTTCATGTTTGATGGTAGTAAATGGATGTTCGTCTGCAGTAAACAAGAAGCGCCGAGGCACGGCGCTTGAGATATATGATGGCCAACAGGGGTCACCGCATCAATTTCGACGAAAGGTAATCTCGATTCTTCTTGAGATAAATGTGGCGCTCTGCTCAAAAGAGTGTCCAGGTATCGAGAAGCTTTGACCTGTGTTTCATAGTGAGTATGACTTTACAACCATGCATAGCAGTGCCAGCAAATTTTACTGACCATATGTATTTTATTACGTTCATCACCTTCCATTCCGACTGTGAATGGTTGACCACCTCCTAGCTCAATACCTTGATCGAACCAAACTTCAGGAATCCGATTATTCAGGATCGTAAAGTAGTTGTCTGCCATCTTCATCTCATCCTCGGATGCGTTCAGATGATGTAAGAGCGCTAAGAAGTCCGAAGCTCCAGTCCGAGGCAGAATTGTGCCATGTCCTAGCCACGCGGACGAAGTATGCACACCGTTGGACGTAACCGCTGTACGTAGTTGAGTAGATAGAACCTCATGTGGAGGCAGAAGGTGTATTGAGTGGTCAGGGGTTCCGAGAGCCCGAGCATGCAGAGTGCGAATAATCTCAGGCATAATAAGGTAGTCGTCATCCTGTAAATGACAAAAGTTCTATTTCAGAACCCGAGCCCGGAAAAGAAACTTAAATACCTGCAGGAAGCAGAAACGAGTGGTAGCCTGTTCGCACGCAACGTATCGAGCTTGAAAGTAGGCATTATGAGGCGAATTGTATATCTTCAACTTTTCGGAAGGGCAACCTGTCTTCACGAAAGTCTGGCAAGACAGAACGACATGAATGAGACGGACAAAACGGCGACCACAAATTCTCCACTCACCCTGTAGGAGATCTCCCTCGGATTGTTGTTCCACACTACAACCTCCGCTATGACATCCTCTAACCATGGACTACAAAGAAGACTGGCAATCTGAACAACATTGGGGAGCCGAGACCAGTTCAAGATGACTGCTGTCACGTCAGGATAGGATTGAGACGCTGAAACCAAGCTAGCTCTTTGAACATTCGATGAGTTACTTTCTCCAACCAAGAAGCTCGCGGCAAGGGGACGATTAGGGATAGCGAGGCCCTCCCAAGGAGTTTGACCTAAGTCAGCCAACACACGGGCGCGTCGACGCGAGAAGAAATGGACGCAGAAGAGCGTAGCACAAGCGACGAGGAGACAACGAAAAACGATCGTCCTACGAGCCATCGACCACGATTGCCACGAAGACGTTGTTCATAGACAAACGTACAAGGCATCTATTAGCGTCATAATTGAGGTTTTGTTGCAGGTCGCCAAAATGTGTGGTTACAAAGCACATTTGCACTTGTCTACGAGTATAAATCATACACATGCATGTCTGTTCCACTCAAACCGAGACCTTACACATCATATACAGACTTGAAGATCAAGAATATTGAGGTCTGAACATCGCCGACTGTGGCGATTCACAAGCATAATTAACTATGCAGGTGGAGCATACGTCTGACTCGGGTCATGTGCATTGTGCAGTGATGTTACAATATCTAGTCCATTCTACCTTTCAGTGTACGCGTAATGATCTTGTCCTTGGTACTGTGAAGTAGAAATGAAGTCAATGGCAGAAAGCAAGCTGGAGCAGGAGGAACTCACATAACATGGACAATTGCTCCCCAACCAGAGTACGCGTCTCTATCGACAGCGTTCAAGAGCGTTTGCGAGATAGTTTCGAATAGATCTTCCGCTTCCAAATCTGGTTCCCAAAGACCCTCTGCAACACCAAACAATTTTGCGCTCGCCGTACCAGCTACCACGAAGTCTTTTGCAAAGTTTAGACATCCTATGAGGTCTGTGGCGGCGATGAAGGGCTTGTAACCTCCGGAAGGCGTTTTCGACAGACCAGCCATGACTGGTTCGATGAAGTAAGGGCCAAACCGATGCTGATAGAGTGTCGAGGAAACTAGATGGGCAAAAGTCTCTGGTTCTATTTCTCTCTCCTCCTTGATCGTATACATGTTGACCCGATAGCGAAAGCGCTCCCGACTAGATGCCACTACGTTAGGCTGCGAGTACTAAGACCAACAACAATCAACTCACAGTGTCGTCACGTCAGAGGCCAATCCAGGCAGGCCAACATATACCCGGTCAGTTACAGGAAATATCTAACAAGCGGTTTCGTTTAGCAGGGTGACACGACGAGGGCAAACGCCATACTCTCTGGTAATTTGAGGATATCCCCAATGCTTGACTCCCCAACCGCAAATCTGAAGCAATGGCGACGCAATCTTTCCCTACCATGGCTATAACGGAGCCACCGTTGTATTCCATGATCGACTGCAGACAGTGTAAATCAGCGCAGTAGAATATGTAGGCTCTGGGAGTTGACTGACCATATTTGCTAGCTCTGGTGGTGATTCTGCTATTTAGTATGAGAGAGACAAGTTACTTTCACTGGCGCGGCCAGTGACGCGTCGCCCGTTTGGTGTTTACATGCCTTTCCTAATCTGGCGTGATAATTCACCAAAGTATATACACTGAACTCCTTCGACGCTGTCTTGCAGGCTTCAGCGCTCAGCTCAGTTCTAATCATTGTAAAAGTAAGGGATACCTAATCTGTTGACAACTAATAATTACAAAAGGCTACGTGCTGAGGAGAGTTATAATTGCTACTGATCATGAGGAGAGAATCATGTATGGAGTAAAGTCTGCCTAAAGTTCTGCCCAATCCCCGTCCATCTCTTGTTGACCTCCGAATGTGGCCAACAATAATACGATAACGCTAACCCCGAGACGCATCTTCATTCCCCGGTATAGTTGTCCAATACCTGTGTTTCTTAGCCATCTGGATCCATCTTGCTTCTCTTCATGAGCATCCTTTTCCTCCGTGCCTTCCACCTGCCGTCTTCTCGATCTTGTCCTCCGCCTGATAGGAAGGTCCGACCTCTCCTCTGACACAATGTGCCACAGCGCGTCCACTACACCATTGTATGGTACAGGACGCGTCTCGACACACGTGCGCAGCGCCTTCGCCGTACTCCGGGTTTGTACTTGTAACCTTCTGCGCACAGTCTCGATAGGCAACGAGATGAGGAGACTTGCCACGGATCCCAGCACTTGAGCAAAAGCCCATGCAACGGGGCTGGTGTCTGGAGCGACGTGTGGACCAAAACCTAGTCGAGGAGCGATAAGCGTAGGCATGAGGATGTGCAGTAGGGGACGAAAGCCATTGTCCAGAATAGTAGGGATAAAGAGTTGCGGATGGAAATAAATGCTTCTGATTCCGCCCTCCTGGGCTATTATCTGCCTTAGTGCATCAAATGGTCCAGTGTACGTCCGGTGGCGTTGCATCGCTGATTGGGCAATTAGGCGTGTCCGAACGAGGTCTAGAGGTGAGAGTAGAAAGCCAGTGATGATATGTGATGCTACTGGCAAAAGTAGTGGTGGACGATATAGTCCAGCGGCTGATGACAAGAACATAGAGTGCATAAGACTGTCCACGAGTGGTTGAACATTGCTGAAAAGCACGTCGTGAACGCAGGATGTGAATAGCCCTGCGGATATCAGCTAAGGTCAGATACAGAATACCACCTGGGAATAATGATTGACCTTTCCATAGTGAAAGCCAGCCTTCTCCGCGGAAGGCGGCGACGCGTTTTACCATGTCCCAAGCGCCATTCATACTACCCACAGGAATGATATATTCGGGGCGTGTTCCGTCTTCCAGCACAGAAGTCCTGACCACATAACCCTGCTCATCAACGGGCTTTGGTGCGGGGTACTTTATGTGTGAACCAGCGGGGTCCGCGAAGTATGACTCGTCTTCGTTCGTAGAATCGCTAAGCTAAGATGAAGCTTACAATGGTATGAATTACACATGTTAGATGCCCACCTACCGTTTCTTCCTCTTCTTCTTCCTCGTGTACCTGGCTAGATGGCGCTGGAGCATCCTTGGGGATCCACTGAATTTGAAGAAGCAGTTTTCCTACTTCCAGTGGCATCACAAGAGCTGTACTTGTGTACTGAAGCAGTGCTGAAGCGACTAGAGAGCGCAGTAGTAAGGACACATTAAGACTGGAAGGTTCGCTGAGGTCTAGCGAAGGAGACAAATCAAAAATTGAATTATGAGCAGGACGAGTGGACCATTGGTAGCTGGTCATTGCAGAACCCGAAGGTGCGACTGCGGGTGCACTTGTGTTCTGCATAGGAGGCGGAGGAGGAACGAATGCCCACGCGGATGAGGGAGGGTTGTAGAGATCACGAAGGGACGGGTTTGAGCTCATCAATGATCATGCAATGTAACCCTCCCGAACTGGGAGAGTCAAAAGCAATCTGTTGCACTTGGCCGGGGGTTGCAAGTCTGAGGCGGTAAGAACACAATTCTGGCTTGGCTGGCTTCTAAAACCTTCACCTATAAAAGCTAGAGTAAGTTAACGGAAGAGTCGGATAATTGCCGCCCCAAGTTCGCTGATTGCCACGTGACCATCCTGGCTAAAGATTATTCATGCGCAATTCGCAAGTATCTAATGCATATGTAGATCTGTGAAGATATAGTACGGTAAGGTGTTCCACTATGTATCAATCATTGTTCGAACTCAAGCAGTTGCAGACTTCTCAAGTCAGAGACAACACGGTCCGGCGACTAGAACTTAGCTATAGACTTGCTGCCCCAACTGATTTTGCAGAAATGCGGACACTCTTCCTTGCACCCGGCGAGGCTGAACCCAAGCGCGCTTTCATTCCGTCCTCCACGTCAGAAAACTCGTCTTCGTCACTGCCGGGCGGTGTGAGTTGCAGTTCCTCGTCACTTTCACTTTCGGACGACTCTTCTTTCTGGTGCGTAATCCCCTTGACCCTTTTCGCAGAGGGTTTCTTAGCTCCCGGCGAGCTCGCTTTCTTCCTCTTCCTTTGCTGTGTCGGCGGCTTCGGATGCCCTTGGTAATGCAAGAACTGATCGAGCCACTCCGCACGAAATCCAACACATCTCATGACGGTGAAGCCAATCACAAGTCGTCCATCGTTGAGTGCCTCTCGAAGACCGTCTTTCGTAAACTCGACGAGGCGAATTTCACCTCCCTTGTCTACAAGCTCGGCGTTCGTTCTTTCGACCCAATTCCTTCCCCACAGGGTCTTCAGGGTCCCATCCACCCAACTTCGCACGACCAGAGGAGGGAGCAGGTCAAGCTGGTGCGGTGTAATTTCGCCCGCACGGGAGGTTTCATATGAACCAAAATATATCCATTCGTTCGCCTTCCCAGACACGACAAGGTCGACTGATCCAGTAACGAGCGTGCCATCATTGAAACGTTTCACGCCAGTAAACACAACACCGTGCTCTCCCGGAACAAGTGGGAGGTGCGGATTCCAGGAACGCTTCAGCGCCATGCTGCGAAGCTTGCTTAGTAGTGGTAGGTTAGGTAGACTCGAGATACGTACTAGGGATATTTATCCGTTTTGTTACGACCTTGCCAGTTGACGAACGTATTTTGGTGACCTCCGCCAAGAGCCTGAAGTAATAACAGGTGTTAGCCCAATTTGATAGATGGGGGAAATCCCGAGCTCACGTTGCTGATTACAGCGCGCTTAAATCCAACATGGAACCTGTGTTCCACGACAACTGGAGGTCCGAGTTGAAGGTGCTCAAGATTCCAGATATCGAATTTGCCGTCTTCACTCTTCACGAACGTAACATGGCTGTTCAGATCTCCTTGTTCTGACTTGATAACCACGGCGATTTTCGTGCTTTCTGGCTCTGGTTTGATGAGACCAGATCCAGAAGCATTGGAATTTTCGGGCTGCGAGGACGCTGTGTCTGGAGGCCCATCTTCAGGCATGGGAAGGTTGGATGCGAAGTTGTCGGCCATGTCTTGGTCATTGTCCTGATGAGATGTAGCTTCAACAGCAGTGCCATTTGGCTGCCCGCAAAGGTCAGCATCAAAATCGAAGTGAAAACACACTCGCATACAGCATCAGATTTTTTGAGTTTTATCATCTTGAAATTGAGCTTTTTGAGCTTTTGAAGATATGATTCAGTAAGTATTACGGATGAGTGGCTTCAAGCTCGTGAGGCTATACACGAACCGTTTGGTCGTCAAGCTGGCGCAAGACGTTCTTTAGTTCATCTTGAAGACCTGAAATTTCAGCAGTCTGAAGGTCTCGCTCGTTCTTGAACCGCTTGCTTTCCTTGCGAAGTTTTTTCAACTCCTTGCCCTGTTCCGCGGCGAGCTTGCGTTTGGCTGTCAGCGCTGCCTTAAGGGCAGCTAACTCTGAATCGAGGCGACACATTTCTTTGACTTCCTTCTTCACTGGGCGAGCACTTTTGCTATTAGTATCGGAATCGGAGTCACTGAGTTTGATTATCTCATTTTGCATTTTGAACGTTGCTGAGCACTGATTAATGATTGGCAAACACCGAGGAAGTTTCCGAGTGACAAGGAGATGGTGCAGAGGCGGCACTAGAAGAGGGCTGAGACAGAATATACAAACACAATGCAAGCTCAGTACAAACGAGTATTTAGCAGGGTTCAGAACCGTCTCACCGTATGTCAGGCCTTGAAAATGGTAGGAACCACCAATGTTCAATATTCAATGGCAAGGGATTACGAAACACCCAGACCATCGGAAGCAATAGTACTACCAGCAATGATATACTTACCAGAGTTGGATGAAATTGTAACGGCGCTCACGCTGCGCTAGTCCCTAACTCGTTCAAATCACCTTCCTTCTAAGACTAACAATATTTGCGGTAATTCTCAGTGGTCAGTCGGCATGCCCAACACAACACAAGTCTTCGACAACCAATACGCATCGCACCAGCAAAATCATTATCAGTCAAACTTCACATAATTTTTTCTCGTTACATACTTGAACTAGGATCAAGATGGCGAGGTGACGAGTGCTTCCCCAAGAAATACAGAATTAGTGAATCCTGAAGGACGTATTTTCTCCAGCTTCGCATGGGATGGATTGCCTATTGTCATCGTCGACGGTCATCGGTTTCCGCTCAAAGGTTGCAAGTTCGTTGTGAGTGAACTTGGGTATACATTCATTGCAATAATACTTGCATACTAGCAGGACCTTCATATGTATAATCAAGTGGCGAGGGATGCGAGTTTGAAGTAGTGGTCTACAAGCAATCCAGCGCATACCATCGCCGCGCCATGGCGACTCGCCTGGAGCACAGAATAATATGAGATTGAGCACATGTGACTATGTCGAGACGCACCATGAATGTCTTCCAGCTATCTTTGGGATCATGTTGGTCAAATGACCATATGTGCCAGAGACAGAGGAGGAACGGCGCGATGACACTTATCAAATAGAACGGGAGGCGCTGGCCGTTCAAGTACCCAGCCCACGAAAGGCACCCAAAGAAGGTCAAGTCAAATAAACTCAATGCAGGACGAATGACTTCGCCCAAACTGACTGCCATGGACTTGACTCCAGCCATCTCGTCGTCTTTCATGTCCTAAGATGGTATAATCAGTACAAACCTCCCAGTGCGAAACGTTTCAGGCGAGTCACCTGACATGCGTAAATGGTGTCGTAAAGACATGTCCAGCTACATATAAAAGTATTGTCAGGGATTCGTAACAGACCGCCGTCCTCCACACTTACCAGCATGACGCAATTGCGATGGTAAGGATGATGTCCCAATTGAACTGGCCCGTCGTTGCAACCCAAGTGAATGGGACGGCCCAGCTGCAAGCGAAGCCTTGAAACCAGATAAGATGGGTGTACTTCTACATTAAAAAACCATACCGAGGAACAAAGAAGGCCAGTACATCCAGCGCTTCATCAGCGGATACGCACCACCACACGCAGGAAGCCCAACAACACCAATTGAGAAACTTAATGTGAGAGAATCTTTGACAATTTTTGAATCCACTACTCACGCTGCGGTGCCAGCAGTCGAAAACATGTAATAAATGGCAGCGACGAGAACAGCCAGAAGAACTGAAGCCTCTGACCTAGAGACAGCTCCTGATGCGATCGGTCGGTCCTTTGAGCGTTCTACTCCATATTGAACAGTGTCCGGAGAGACAGTCAGGACTGAACTGAGACGTACCCACTTTGCGATCGAAGTCGCGGTCAAGCATGTCATTTATGACACATCCCGCGCTGTGCGCCAGTGTGCCCAGCAATGCGTAGAACAGGAAATCCTTTACAACTTCGTTCATGGGCAACGCCACATGATATGCCGCAGACAGGAAACCCCAACCTAGGCATTTATTATAACCAACGAGCAAGTATACCCACGTCATCTTACCAAAGGGCCAAAAAATTAAGTCGCTCCCCACTGGAAACCAATGGAGCCTAGTGAGCTCGAATAACGATCTTGCCTTGGAGGGCATTTGATGAGGACCTTGGGATTATGGGAAGGAGAATAACTAGTGTGGATGATCGGAAATAGTGGCGATGTTCATTTTATACCCCTACGCGAGCGCTTGCTGCGTCTCCTGGACTGACTGCGCTGGCGGATAACCTCTTGAGCAAATTTGCAACAAGAATCTAGGCCCCTTCTTGAACCCCCGATAGCCTATGTTTCCCACAAAGGGAGACGAAGCATAGGTTGGCGTTCTCATGTGAGGGCGCGGAAGATTGGATAAGGCTTAAAATCCAGATCTAAGGGGAGGAGGTGGCTGTACATTCTCATGGCCTCTCGAAGTGCCTCCGCCGGGTCCCCGTCCTTGATTCGAAAGGTAGTTCGAATTTGGTTCGAGTCGACATACTTTTGCCAAACCTTGAACGTAAATGATTGATCGGTGAAGAATACTCGTCTTTGTCTGCCTGCAGTGCGTGATTGTTTGCTCCCCACCGGGCCATTACGCATTGGCATATGGAGTCCAATTGCCAATGACTCGGAGTCTCGGTCGGACACAACTTGGACCAGTGATCCGCGGCGCAGTTTTCACAAAGTTTCCTTCTCGGCCATCAGTGCCTGCCGAGTCCCTGGTGCAAGTGTAAAATCATGATAGAGCGAAGTCGGGATCACGATGTCACCCTTAAGAAAATTGCATACCACTGGGTACCGCGCACTCTGGAATCATCGTTAGAAATAGATCAGAAAAGATGATAACTAAACTAGACCTGAGTGAGACTGGAACATCGGCCGTCACGTTTGCACCAGGGAGAAAAAAAACAGTGCTCGCTGCAAGGTTCGAACTTGCGACCTCAGGATTACCGAGTATAACACTCGTCACACGAAATAGTATGAGACCTGCGCTCTAACCAACTGAGCCAAGCGAGCCCATGATTAAATTTAGAATGTGATTATATAATCAAGGTTAGCGCATTCCCTCCGGCCTTGAGAAAGTTGTGTTTTGACAAGTGTTTGACAAGACACTTTACACTTAGTCTTGATCGCGATTGCACATAACGTTTCTACAGAACACGTTGCTTTGACGAGTCTGTCCTCGCCGCCATTCATTGAGCTCAGCCTCGAGCTGGCTTCGTGCCACAAGTCTTTCGCAATATCTCCCTTCCATCCTTAGCAATTGCTCGGATGAATAGTCGGAAGAGACCAGCCTCAGATTCTCTCCTCCCAATGCGTTCTGCTAAATACCGACGCACAGAAGAGAACCAGGGCATTTGGCATCGTTGGTGTCAACTCGGAGCCGACGTATTCACACTTAGCTACGAAACGGTCCGCCTCGGATACCTGTCCCTCATGAACTGTGAGATTACTTCCATTGCCAGACACGATCGTCCACTGACAACGTGTTAAAAGCCTCCCAAAAGCCAGATGGATCTCAAGCCGTGTCTCAACAGCCGGAAAATCCTAATCACGCCGGCTCTTTACCCTCCCGGGCTACCCACTCAGCCTTGCCACCTCGTCTGCCTATACCAGAAGAGTTCCATAATCACGTAGACTCCCAACCAATGCCAGGCCGTTCACGGCTTTCGTCCTCTTTGCCATCCCGTTCAGAATCATCTAATGCACTCAATGGAAACGCAACCTCACCCTCAACGCTCACCGGACACACCTCAGTCACCCCGGTTCCATCGACATCGAAGGAACACATTCCATGCAGCCAATCCTATGACTTCATAGGAAGCTCCGCACACGGACGAGGGGTGGTGGGAGGCACTCGCCCTCGGCTGGGTCGAGATCATATATACGACCGCGTTGTGAGTGTATAATTAATTCTAACCGGTTTCTTTATCTTACTATGTACCGATTTCATAGCACAAAGCCAAGGTACAAGAAGATAGAAAAAAGGACCGTGAAGAGCTGGTGAAAGATCTCTTTCATTACAAACGTTCTACTGGTCAGCCCGCCAGTGCTTTCTCTTGATGTTCTATCTCTTACCCCGATCAGGATATACCTCAGATTTTGGCGCTTTTAAATGTGCGTCCATTCTGTCTTATCCGTGTCTGCATCTCAATCCCGTGAATTCTTAGCTTTGATTAATTATCAAGCTCGACTGGAAATCCTTGAACGACATGCACTCTCACGTGCGTAATTCTACTTACTTCAGTTTAGCACACTCACGGCGTTGTGCGTAGCTTCACCATCACTGACAGATCTGCGTTCGAAGCAGACCTCACCTGGGCGCTCCCGTAGGCACTCGTTCTCAGATGTGAGCGTCTGCAAACTTCATTTACCACTTTTGCTAAATTGTGCCAGGATGTTGATCCCGACTTCCTAGAACGTGCACTCAGAAAGGCCAAGAAGTCATTTGAGCTGTATGAGCGTCTATTTTGTATGTTTTTACACGCTGAATCAATATTCTGCAGTCCGCCACCCAAACCGTTCTCTCCCTCACATGATCGTCTCCGTCTATCGGCGCGCCACAGAGATGAGGCCATTGAGAAGCGTCTGCGGCCAAAGTTACCCAAAGTTCTCCCTCCTGATGCTGACACGCAAGTCAACGCGCTCCTGTGCAAGAAAGGCGTCATTTCCAAGGTTGCTCGAGAATCTGTCAATGATCGAGATCTATCTCGGTTACTGCCCAGTCAATGGTTGAACGACGAAATTATGAACTTTTATGGTGCGATGATCTTGACGCGCTCGGAGTCCAGCCGCGACCCCACTGCAAAGAGAAAGATGCTGGATGTCCACTATTTCAGCACTTTCTTTTGGCCAAAGCTGAAAAACGAGGGCTATGACCAAGGGCGGCTAGCGAAATGGACAAAGAAGGTTCGTGACTGCCCAGTGACATTGCAGATGCTTTCTTATTATGTATCCAGATTGACATCTTTTCAAAAGATGTCATCCTTATTCCTGTCAACCACAACAATTCTCACTGGACCGGGGCTGCCATCAACTTCCGTCGAAAGCGGATAGAGTCGTATGACAGTATGAATCTTGACCGACATGGAGTTTTCAAGGTGCGTTCACTTGCCCTTAGCGTGCCCAGGAAGGTCCTCATGTTATCCGTCAAGGCCCTGCGGGGTTATCTAGACTCTGAACATAGAAACAAGCGAAAGAAACCCTTTGATTTTACTGGGTGGCAGAATCACAATCCTGAGGACACACCACAACAGGAGAATGGTTATGACTGTGGCGTGTTCACGTGCCAGTTCTTGGAATCCTTGTCCAGAGGGGAGGAAGCATTCCATTTTTCGCAGCGGGACATGGCCTACTTGCGGCGACGGATGATTTGGGAGATTGGCCATGCCAAGTTCCTGGACGGCCCATGACAATGGGTTTCCACGCCTTGCTCTTTTTACATGGTTTTACGATACTCTCTGTATTAGCATTTACTGTGGATACGGAAATGGCGTGACTTGAATGACAAGGAAGGCGCACTGAGCAAGCAATCGATCCGAAGAAACTGTCCATAGTGGGTGATTGTCATCGCCGAAACCACCATACAACGATGAAGAACCAGAACACGAGTACGAGAAATAGGATGTACCATAACCATCGACAACCCTGCCGCTGTGCCATGTTGTTCATCCGACGGAACGTACCAGCTAGGATGCCCGAGGTCTCCGCGAATGCGTCATTCTATTGAGCACATGATAAGTAGGGAACCACTTGATGAGTGGAGCGACAGCATGCACGCACCATCTGGCTGAGTTGCACAGTCGATTCTCGGACTTCGTTTCCAATACCAACGGTGATCTTCGTATCAAACTGATTGAGTTTCCTGGGCAGATGAGACGGGAAGCACCACTTACATCCTTGAGCAGCTTCACCTTAGCTGCCAGGCCCTCCAAAGCCTCGTCGTTCTGACCTTCCAAGTCATCCACGTAGCGGTGGCCTGAAGGCCCTGAGTTTGGGCTGCTATATGGTGACGAGCGTCCCGAGGCTGGAGGTGTGACGCCGAGGAGAGCTGAACGGTCTCGTAGCGCTGTATTTGGTGCTCTGTATCTAAAGCATTAATCAATGAACAGTGCAAAGTAGCTCTCGGGAGTCCCTCACCGTTGGGACATATGATAGTGGTGTGTATAAGACCAGCTCCACGTACGCGTCCCGACGAACGGGCGAAAAAGAACTATGATATTGTAAAGCCCTTTGACCTAACGTTCACAGCCGAGCGAGCTCAGCGCTCAAAGGCGGATCCAATTGACAAAGTACACCAATCCACGTCAACATACTGGTAATGGCAGTACCACCCATTCAGCTTGAGGTATAGAAATCCTTATATATCTATCTATTATAATACCATCGATACATGAAAATATCCACAAAGCACAGGCAGCTCAGAGGGAGGGTAAAAAGCGGATGCCAGAAGAAACACAAGCCTCCAGATCCAGATTGGAGAGCGATGCATTCTACTTGGCATGCGTGAAAATATCTGTAAATACTTATACCTATAAATCAAGAAACTAAAGAACGCGAAGAATGACAATGCGGAGGAGATATGTGATGGATATGTCAATGCGGATGTGATCGTGGCTAGGGCAAGGTGAGATTGGTGTGTCAAATCGAAAGAGTGGCAAATAGCGCTATAGAATACAAGCAAGTCCATGGCTTTGATGTACGCGCATTCATTCGATACTCATCCGGTTTGGGTTCGTACTCATCGCTCCAAGGTTCACGTGTTGAGAGCAACTTCCCTGCGTGTGGGTTTTACTTCTTGCAACTATCAGTATCACATAGGGCATCAGTCAAAGTGATCATGAAAGAAGAAAAAACACTAACTCGATGCCTTCAGTCCCCGCCCGAAATTGCGCATCACCAAGACGGAAAAAATGATCGTGATGACGAGAAGGACGATTGCGATTGCAGCTACCAGTATCATGAGCCGCAGGGAAAATGTTATATATTCAAGAACTCACAAAACGTGGAAAGTGATTTCCAGTACAAGGCGTATTGCGTCTCTCTATACTGAAGAACCCGGAAAAGCTGAAAGGCATAAGCAAATAAGCTCCGTATAGCAACGTTGCTAAGAAAAGCTCACTTTGTATGTGAAATAGACCAGGGCGCCCATACTTCCAAACATAAACGTTCCCATCATCCACTTATTCTCGTGACGCGCAGCAAGGTGACCTTCGATGAGGAGGAGGATCGACAACGGGAGAGCAGCCCAGGTGACGTAGTATTCCCAGTCGTTCTTCTGGAGGACCAGCCATATGAACTGCACGGAGAAGCCGACCCAAAAGAAGATGTCGAACTTGACAAGACATTCGAAGATCTGATACGTGGCATACATTTTCTTGATGCGGCGGTCAGCACCCAGAAACTTGTACACCTTCCAACCGAACTCGTTATAGATTTTCCAGCCAAGAGTGATGTAGGCTATCTCCGCAGCGGATATAACGGCAGGTATAATGTCAGTGAGGACATTCACCGGTACATGTAGGATCCCAGCCGAAGTGGTCGACGAGTTCTTGATTTCGCCAATTTCAATAACGGCGTATAACAGGAAAAGAAGGTTGAATATGCTAAAAACAATGTCTCAGAAATATGTCATTGAAGGGAAGAAGCAAGATATGAGCTCACATGAGAGACAAAAATTGCAGGGTATTACGTGCATACACCGCATCGACCGCCATGACAAGTTGGAAGATGCTGAATTTTAGGATCGTTTCAAATAAAGACGTAAGGGACATTCAAACACGTACTGGGCAAGCGCGAATACGCTGAGATACACTGCCAGTTTCCCCGAGTCATCCTGTAATCGAACAAGCAAGTCGCCTTCAATGGCCAGATCCACTGCAGTCTCGATCACCACAGTAAGGACAAAGAGTCGACATGCCCAGGAGTCAGGAAGAACCTAGATAAAATTTAGCAAAAGGCACCGGTAATTGTGGAATAGCAGTGCAGACTTTTGCCCAAAAACTTCGGTTGTCAATCGCCTTCTCCTGCTTCAGTGTTGGGGGATAGTCATGGTTCGAAGGGTCTGGTTCAGCATCCTCCTCTACAACTTTATCGACCGAGTATGCTCCTTTCTGATCGGTGGAAAAAGAGTGGCCCCGTGAATCAGAATCGTCCAATGGGTTAGTCGAAACAGCAAATGTTTGATGCCGTGAAGTCCTCGAGTACGGCTCCGCATATTGGTCAATGAGGTCACTGAGGTCGTCGTTATAGGAAGACTTGAAGTCGTCTGAAGGGGATGAAATTGGCTGTTGTGAGGATAGGTAGTCTGTTGAGTGGTCCCCATAGGTTGTGAACGGGGGTGACATTGTTGGGAGATGAAAAGAGAGTTAGTTTAAGGAATTGCGAATGAATGGATTTGGATCGTCCTGCGAGCGCGTAGAGATGAAAAGAGTGTGAGATCTGGCCAGTGTCAGAGCTTGGGCGGATGGCAGTGCCGCAATGGAGAAAGCGCTTAACCGAGAATGAAGAATAGTGACCACGCTTTTGTGTTCGCCGCACTGTCTAACCGTGCGAATAATTTCCCTCACACTGTCATCCTCACTCTTCTATCACATGCACGACAATCACAAGATAAAAACAAAGTACCCCGCAAAAGCCCTCCTCTTACGAGCCTGGGATCTTCAAGAGTCTGCTACGACGGACGCGACACGACTTTACGAATAATCTGATTGGCGTAACCTAGTGGGACGCACAGCTCTGCCGCAGTGCATCATGTGCATACCGGAGTCATTATCAGACTACTAAAAATAATGGTCCAGACGGTGCTAGACCTTGATTCCACCCCGGTTCGCGTTCTTCCTCTCCAATACTTGTTTGGAACACCACAAAGATGCAGACTCACGTGTCTCAAATCGCATGTGCACAGAGGTCACCTGGGGCCGTTGAGCGTCACTCATTAAATGAAGTAAGTGTGACGCGCTCTTGGCTTTTGAGCAACGGCATTCCTCGAACCTTGAAAGGAGTCTCCTATCATCTTCCGTGTCGGCATAATGATAGGTGGTAATGAAGAGGAATTCGATCCTGATAACATGCAAAGCTGCGTGCACATGTTATAACGAACGAAGTCGGGCGAGCGTGCGCAAAGTACAGGTTATGCAAACTCACCTTTATGTCGCTCTGATGGAAAAGAGCAAGGAATAAGAATTTTGGACGACTGAATCTTGCGGCTGATAAGATAGAGTTCTCCGCGTGCTGTAAGATCCGCCGACCTCGTGTCCTGCTAGCTAGGCAAGTATGTCGTCGCTACGACTCGGACTCAGAAGGCGATCGACTAGATCTATAGTAAGTGAAAAATTTCCAAGTGTAATCCATACATAATATGCTCAAGTAACTCAGTGAGTCAGTATGAGAATCGCCCGGCACAGTTGGAAGTCGAGTTTGCCTGTTTAGCATTCCCTTCTTTCACTTCGTCACTGAAGAGGCCTCATAATCATTCAGCGCCATATGTTCAACCCTCGGTCCCTCGTTGAGTCCTACCAATGCACGCCGCATCGAGTCAGTCTCATGACCGATTATCCGAGAACTTCAACTTGTAAATTCTCGTATGTAAATACCCGCTCTTTGTAGCAGCATAATTGCTTACTGACTCAACCCCTACTTTTAGAATGACGACACGTACCGCCTCGTACGGCGGTCCGACCTCCAAATTGTAAAGAAAGCCCTTGCTCCTGCTCGGGGACTTGAAATGACCATAGGCCCTAGGCAGCTTCTTGATATGTCGACGCAAATTTTTATGGGAAATCGTATTCTCTGCCAGCTATGGTCACTTTGCGCGCCTCTTCGCGATGTCAGAGTTTCAGCTCCACGTATCACGGGTACGCACCAGTTGCTTGCCCTAGACATGAATTTATGTCATACGCTGATAGATAAAGGAATGCAAGCAGGGAATTCCAAGGAAAATTGACTGCTCGAAGCGAGTTAAACGGCCCGACTGCGACTCCACATAGATTCGAGGGTTCATGCGCTCATCTCTCTACCACCAGTAGAATCTCAGCACCACTTAGCGGGGCTTGAATGTCCCTATGTCTGCCTCAAAGCTACTATAAAATTGCTCTCTGTGAGTGAGGGTCTTTCTCCGAGCATCCTCATGGCTTCTCCGCAGTCGCAAGCCACTGACTCCCACCCAGAATCAATCTCACTTCCCGATCGCTGTTGGTACCCATCCAATGAGCTGCCTGTCACTCCATCATTTTTATCACATGAGGCTCGCCATGGTCAATCACTTGGCGTGAACATTGTAGTCGAGGCTCGAGTGTTGACCGAGTCTTCTTCGAAGACCTCTAGCCTTGGCGCCACTTTCAAACCAATCCTTACGCAATTCTCCCATCCTGGTCCGGATGATCACGGAAACGCTTCCTCTCCTGAATTCTTAACCAGGACCCCCTCGACAGCTACGTGTGTGGACGTTTTCCCCGCTGATGCGCGGATTCGCAAAAATTCATTCGATAAGGAGGCAGAGGTGTTGACACCTGGCCTTGAATTCGAGCATTTGACTCGAAGATTATTAACTACCTACTTCATATATTTTGTTTGCGGATGGGGTGATGGAGGTTAGTCCACATTTTAAGTTTGAAAGTTCGCGCTCATCGAACTCTTCAGTCACCGCTACTGTCCTGCCCTGTATGTTGATTTCCGTTTTACTCTTGGTACTTTGTTCAGCGTTGTTCCATCAGCTTTTGAGAATGACTTTGGTTTGAGCTATGTGACGTGCGCCTTGTTGTTTACGGGCAGTACGGTCGGGTAAGCTTCTCTCGAAAAAGTATACATAAATACCGACAACTATCCCCTAGGTTTGTGATCGGTACCATCCTGCTTGAACGGATCGTCAAGTTTCTGGGTCAATTTTATCCATCTTTGGGTCAAAACACTTGTCTCCCTGCCGTTCCATTTTTCCATCGCCTGTTCACCAAGAATGTCTCGGCAGCTCCCCCTTGCGGTGTCGGATATTCACCCACAAAAGCACGATTTTTCTCGCTCGTCCTTGGAGGTCTCCTTCATCCTCTGTTTTTTATTGTAATGGGCACCGCTCGTAATTATCCAGCGTTACTTTTGGCATATACTATTGCCGCATTCGCTCGCGCTTTCTGGACCGGTAAGCACTTATTCTGATCGTAATTTGTTTTACTTACACGTTTGCTTAGCATCATCGTGAGCATTGCGCGCGCTTTGGTATGTTTCTGCACTAATAAATCGCAGGAATTTTTATGTTGTGTCCACACCCAAGAAGCCCCTTGGGGTTTTACTGGGATGTTGGTGTGAGCAGCGAAGTGTGTCTATATAATGCTGCTGCTCATAACTTTCAGGCATTGGGTCATTCTCAGCTCCTCTTGTGTGCCAAACGCTCATGGCAAAGGGAATTCCCTGGAAGCATTTTTATCTTGGCTCCTTGGTTATTTCGGCAATCGCTTTGATTTTGACCATCTTTTCTTTTCGTCCGACGCGCAACGAGTTTCTGGCAGACCGCAAGGCCGCACTCGACGTCATGCAAATTACGCCGAGTACTTGCAGCCCTAGGGCTGACACGATTATAGAATCGCCCCATGAAGAGAAATTCCGAGATTCTTCTGCGCGCCGTGTCGATGCCCAGGCCCCACCTAACAGTGCGGTAGTTATTGCTGCACATCATCTACAATACTGACCTACTCCTAGCTCTCCTCCTGGCTTTGTCAATGCCATATCAATGGGCCTTTTCGTTGTTCGCATTTATTTACAGCGGTAGCGAGACCACTTTTCAAGGATTTGTGAGTGTCCATTCGGACTTGAGCACTGGACAGAATCTTGAAGGAATTCTCGCAGATCGTTACATATCTCCTCACCAATCGGGTGTGTTTCTGTTTACTTTGTTGCTATTGTCCCTTTTTGAAGATGCATCAGGGTTCTAGCCCGAATACTGTCGGGTACGTCAGCAGCGGCTTTTGGGGAGGCATGGCAGCTGGCAGATTTTTGTGGGGCTATTATTGTACTGGGTCGGTCGCAGTGCATCGTCATGACCTTGTCTAATTTTTAATGTGTGCCGCAGCTTGACCTTCACCCAACGCAAACACATTATTCATGCATGCACGTCCGTAACTCCGTTTATGATTTTCTGACGATTACTGACTGCTAGCATTCAGAGGTTCGTTGATGAGGACCTGCTCCTCAAACTGACAATCCTGACTTGATAATAATATCCAGGCGTTGCTTTCCTCATGACCATCCTTATTTGGTTTGTTAACTCGACAATCGAGAACGCACTTTCATCCGCCGTCGTGGGTTTGATGTTTGGACCTATATTCCCCGGTACACTAGGCCTTTGTAACGATGTCCTGCCGAGAGACGTACACATGGTTTCAATGGCTATTCTGTGGGTGGCCTCATCGTAGCATTCCAGACATGGCTGACTGTGACCTTCCATTCTAGCACTGCCGTTGCTAGCGCGGGAAGTGGTGCGTTGTTCAACTTGGGCCATACTCTTTCAGGCTAACCGAAGTGTATAAGCCTTACTCCCCCTCATGACCGGTTTAATTTCGAACATGGATGGCATGAGAGTCTTCTGCTACGTGACGGTCTCTCAAACTGTCGCCATGTTCGTCCTTTGGCTCTTCTTCCCCTTGTCTCCACCTGTGCGCGTTTCAAGTCCCGCTTGAACCTAGAGAAACCACCCAGCAACAACATAGACAGAAAGCGAATGTTTTCTAGAGGAATGAACTAGATATTTAGATTTGGACGTCAATTTTTGGTCATTGAATGGTGTGTATTTACATAGTGTAAGGACGGAGCAGTGGAAGCAATTTGTGTCGATGTCATGTACCAACCCCACTTGGATCCACTTTTACTGCAATCAAAATAACAACAAGGACAAAAAAGAATCCTTCAGGCCGCACCTGGGTGTGACGCCGTGGTTTTCAAAACTCGTTGATGTCGACATCAGGTCCGGAGATCATGACCTTGATGACCCCCTTGCCATCGGGGCTCTTGCCGGTGCGAGTAATTTCAAACGCCTCACCTGCCTGAGTGAAGGGGAAGCTATCGGAACCATTAGCACAACAATTGGATAGCAATTAAAACAGTGGGCATACCGGTGCGACACAAGGGGTTTGACGTCGACCTTGCCTGATGCAGCAAGGGCAATAGCGAGAGGGTAGTCGCCGGGCTTCACAAGACAGAGATCAGACATTGTTACAGAGAAGACAATGATAAAAAATGTGCTTACTCCATACCGGAAGGAGCCTATAAGGACGAGCTCCTTGCAAATGACAACAAGCATGTCAATAGTGACATCGAGGTTGCCTAAGCCGACCTAAACATAATCAATCAGGCGGCCTTTAAATGCTGCGGATTTCGACCTACTTGGATGAAGGTACCACCACTCTTGGTGATCCGGATACCAGTCTGAATAGAGACCTCTGCGCCAGAAGCATCCAAAACCAAGTCAATCGCCCGAGGTCCATGCTCAGCGATGCCGAGCTTCTCCTTCATCGCCTGGGCATTGCGCACAGAGAACGCGACTCCAGACTCGTCCTTATCCATAGGAGGAGGTAGGAAGATGTCTGTTGCAGCGTATGCTTTGGCAAATTCGAGGCGGCCAGGAATGATGTCAACAGCGATGACACGGGAAGCGCCTAGAGCTTTCGCGACGGCCATGCAGAGAAGCCCAACTGGTCCACAACCAAAGACGGCGACGGACTGGTTTGACCGCATAGCACCGAGCTTCGAGACGGCATGAACTGCCACGGACAGAGGTTCCATCTAGGGCAGAATTGAATGACAGTAAATAAAATATGTAGTGTGGTCGATCACTTACCATTGCTCCATCCTCAAGACTGAGGTTTGGTGGAAGTAGGTAAGCGAAATCGGACGGGAGGCGGTAGTAACGAGCGAGAGTGCCGTCCGTGGGAGGAGTGGCAGCACAGATGAGGTCTGGGCAAAGCTGCTCGGGAGTTAGGAAATAAAAGTGGGGCACAAGACCATACTCACCTGGTAGCGACCTTCCTTGCAAGCTTCGCACTTGCGGCATGCTGCGGCAGGTTCCATAGCCACTCGGTCACCCACTTTGACATTGGTCACGCTGGAACCAACTAAAGACGAGGGCTGTGATAAACGATTATTCTGAAAGGTGAGTTATAGACTTACCTTTCGAGACCACGCCTGCTGACTCGTGACCCAACACCTGATAGCTATAATGATGAGGCTTGGTCGTGAGTTTCAACAGAAACCGACTGACCATGGGCTTCTCTACAATAAAATTACCGATTCTTCCATGGAGAAGAAAGTGCACCTTGAGGAAATGACTTGTTGTTCTGGGTCAGAAAACAGATAGGGGCGTACGTCTGAGCCACAAATTCCTTGTCATCACCGCGAATGAGCCTTGGGAGAAAGGATAAAGAGGCTCTGTGAACGCACCGGTCTTCTTCACTTCCACGAGGACCTCATTGGCATCAACTTCGCAAGATAGAGTAATCAAATAAGTGTGAAGGGACCGGCATTCAAAGATAGACTCACTCTCTGGAACGGGCTTTTGCTGGATCTCAACATCCAGGATCCCCTTGAGCACGAATGATGGGTTGTCACACATAATAAGTAAAATAGCCTGTGGGGATTGGGGGCAGGATGGGGAAGATAGATGGGGAAGATAACTGGTTTGCAGGCTCACCTTTAAAATAAACAGTAGCGCTGGGGTGAACCGGACCGCAGGCTTCTGTGCTAGAAGCCTAGATCTGCCAAGACCCCGATGACAGGGAATGGGGAGGAATGGGGTGAGTACTGAGTACTGAATTGTTAGCTGGTGACCACAATCATCTACAGTCTTTGAGACCATATCAATGAATGCATGTCACGGCCTAGCGCTCCAAAAATCTTCCTAGGCAGACCAAATATAAGGAAGACAGTCGTTCGGGTACTGTGTCCAAGTTGGAAACATCAGGAATGCCTTAGGGCCTAGGCACTAGGCCTTTAATCGTGACCCAGCCTCGATGTCGACTCATCAACTAAGAGGTACTGACGTCCAACAATTTCAACAATCGACTTGTATAATGCAACAACAACACTGTCAGCGTAGAGTAATACAAATTAGTAGGGTATCATAACCTTGCTTTCATAGACATGATACAGCATGGCTAGAATGGTTCGTGTATGCGCAGCAGTATACAGGAAGTACTCGCCCATGCAGATAAATGGCAAAATCGGAAAAAGCGAACTGTCGTATAATCAGCCGTCGGTATCGGTTGACGACCCGGTCTCGTCTCCTTCGACGTCTGGCACTTTTAGTTGATTAGTGGAAACTAAGACGTGATGAAGCATTGAACCTACCAACAAGATAGCTCACAGCAGGCGGCGGCGGCGGTGGCAGGGGTAGTAATCTTGGGGGACTCGGTCGCTTCTGCTGGGCAGCCAACCCACCCCTACCTGTCCCAGTCTTGCTACCCTTGGGACGCCCCCGTTTCGGCGGACCTGTACCTGCAGCGCTCCTCGCTGATATCGCGGACGATGTTGACGCAATGGGTGTGCCGACAGATGACTGAGAACCTGGTGTGGAAGAGCGATCGCGCTCGAGGAAAGAGGCAGTAGACGATGAACGAAGTTTAGATGGGACTTTGGATTGTGAAGACGATGAAGGCACTTGAAGAGTCTGCTTAAAGCCGAGTAAGAAGGGATAAAACGATAAAAAGGACTCGCACGTTGCTTGCAGTCGTGCCGCTGCTGTCAGGGTCTGCTTTGAGGCGAGACACCGGTGAACCTGTCAGAGTCAGAGTGTGAGATCACGAGAAGACGGTCAAAGAACAGCACAGTTTTACCTGCTGTTTTGAGTTTCTTCGTGGGCTTTTTCGTTGGTGATGTCTGAGGTGATATGGGCTAGAGCAATGAAAATTCAGATCGGGGTCAAACAGGAGTTGCGTTATCCCTACTCGTTTTCGCTTCAGATTGAAGTCTGCATCATCTGCGGTAAATTTGTCAAAACACCCCCTCGTCAGTAAAAAAGTAGGAAAATGTTACCTGCTCGCTTTCCTTTACCCTTTACCTTGCCCTTGCCATTCAGGTTATCATCTGAAACATTGCCGTTTTCTGAACCTGGGTATGGAGACGCTGACCGGCCAGGTTCAATAGGAATCCTGAAGAACTTGTGAACACGTTTCGTTCTCAACATTTGCTTGTAGCTCACTTTGCCTTGAGATTTGTCCCGCGAGGAGCCCCACGCCTGCTTCCAGTCCCTATCCCCATACATTTACTCAGGTGTGGGGCAAATCTATTGGAAGCGACCTAGAATGATGGCTCAGTTTGACAAATGGCATGCAATGAGCTATGAGCTCAGCTCACTTGATGCTTGCAGACCATGCATTCAAAGAGAATGTTGCCGTCGGATTTACTTCCGTTCGGAGTGTTGGTTCCAGTGCTTGAAGCCGTCTTTCCTCCGACATCGCCGTGGATGATGGAATGCGCTTGCGAGGTTACAATCTGGGCACCATTTGGATGGACTAGATATGCGGAGGATGACATGTCACAAACAGTAAACGACGGACGAGGGATGCCAACATACCCATACCGCACCTGCCGAAAGGTCAGCGGGCATTCGCACTGGTAATGCACTAATGACGCACCGAGTGTGACATATACGACAAACCGCTCTACTACGCAAAAGCTGGTGGTGCGCCTGTAGTGCCGCATCCATTGTCAGGTCATCCAACATGGCTGAGAAGATCTTGGACGTCTGGTGCATGGGTTAGCGCTACCGCGCTACTAACACACAGTCGGATGGCTTACAATGGCTGCTATAGCATCTTCGCGCTCTGACTTCGACATGATACGTGTCGGAGACTATGATGCCTTCAAGAAGTACAGTAACTGAGTAAGTAGGGCTTGTTCACCGTTACCAAATGGATGATGCTGTTGAACGGAAAGCCAATTCGATCATAAGCCACGTGACGTGGTTAGCTCCATTGTCATTATTCGCTAGCTTGAAATAACTGATCATGCACTGAGAATCCGACATAACTTGGACGCTCCTTGTTCCGACCCTCAACAATGTTCAGTTCAAGTTCCGGTTACCGTGGAAGCCCATTCGAACAGCTGACTGTCAGAGGATGGGCTAATACTTACCCGGGTCGTCCGTACATGTCCGCTTCTTTTCCTTCGCATCTCCACTGAGCGGCAGCTTCGCGCGCAACTTGCAAGGCCTGCTAATTTGTGGCTGGCTCCCTGTGTTCGTTCACGCCAGTCTGACTTCTCCAAATTAATGTGTTTGCTCAGATATGCAAGAACCACCACGCTCTCAGCATGCTTCATGGACATGATGTCCTTGATGGAACCCGGGTTCTCATTCGCTTTAAAGTTTAATTGCTGCACAAGGTGTACGTACTGCCATTATTCTCTTTAATCATTCAAGGACTACAAAGGACTCTTCGCTACAACCCTGTAGCGAATTCTGGATGTGGGAATGTCGTCTCGTTATAATACCAGTCGGTTTGATCAGAATCGCTTGCGTTGAATCTTCATCACCATGGCGCGCTGGCCAGTGCTGCTCTCCGCGCTTTGTCTACTAACTGGTTCAAGTGCCCATTCACGCACGCAATTGGCTACCCGTTCGCGTCCACAATTAAATGTTCGCTCTCAGACAGACACGGGAACAACTTCTCCAGGAAACATAACTATCACAGACCCTGCAAGCTACGTCAATGTTTTCATTGGCACAACCAATGGAGGACATGTCTTCCCGGGTTAGCTTCTACGGCACATCTTTGACTTCTGCTGAGTTTTGCGTAGGTGCTACTCTTCCGCATGGAATGGTGAAAGTCGGACTCGACACCGATTCTCCGGGAAACGTAAGGCCATCCAATGTTTAATCTTTATGACACCTAAGGTTTGGTCGTCGTATAGCAAGCAGGTTATGATGCAAATTCTACTTTCAATGCGACCGGCTTCTCGCAGCTGCACGATTCAGGGACTGGTGGTGTGCGTGTCCTAGGTGCTGCAAAATACTGTACTTACAAGCTAATATTCCCTGAAGGGCACATCGCTATCCAACTTTAAGCTCTGGCCTCTGCCTGAATGCGAGTCGTTCGCATCGTGCAACACGTCTATGTCTGTCCGAAAGACGTTACGCAAAGTCCTCCCTGATGGTAACCAACTACGATTAAATTGTGATTTTATACTAAACACAATATCTTACTTGTATCACAGGTTCTCCGGACGATGCTGGTTCACCTGGTTACTTCGCAACGAATCTTGTGTGTGGCGAAATGTACTTCACTGTGTTGCTAACTTAGCCCCTGCAGTCTACTGGAGTGCAGGTGGAGTTGACTGCTTCACGTCGCGTTGCACTTCACCGTTATACATTCCCGTCGTCGTCACGTGAACCCCGCATTGTTGTGGACATCACCAACGACGGCCTGAACAGCAACACAGAACCTGTTATTTATGTTAACACTACTACTGGGCGCGTCACCGGTAACGTCGTTCAATGTCCCTTGATATCCCACCTCACTGTCATTCTTAGGAGGGGCCAGGTTCGCTGCATCGTTCGGTCCTGGAAGATACAATGTCTACACTTGTGTAGATTTCAAAGGTGATGGGTATGACTTTGAGGCTCCCACTGAATATGGGGTTTGGCTGGGAAATGCCCCTGTGCAGAATAGCACACAGCTCAACCAATTGTACTCTGGTATTTACTTGACCATTCTTCTTGGTATCTCAAAATGCATGGCTTGCAGGCTTTTTGTCCGAAATGGGTGCCCTGCTGACTTTCCCTCCCTCTTCAAATTCCATTCATACGACGATCCTAGCACGTGTCGGTATTTCCTTCATTTCCTCCGACCAGGCTTGCGCCAATGCCGAATCAGAGATTCCGGACTTTGACTTCGATGGAACCGTCGCAACAGCGCGAGAAACGTGGAACGAACTCCTATCCCGAATCCAAGTCAACACTCAAGGCGTGGACAACGAAATTACCGAACTTTTCTACTCATCCGTAAGTAATTGAATTGTCCCAGTGTGCCCGAGTTGCACGGCCATTTAGCTTTACAGGACGCACATTTCTCCCGCTGATTGTAAGCCATGCTCCCTTTTGCGACCACAGGATCGTTGACTCTCATTGATAGATACTGGCGAAAACCCCAATTGGAGTTCCACCGAGCCTTACTATGATTCCTTCTACTGCAATGTTGGTATCTTTCGGTAGCATCAGTCGTATATTACTAATGCCTCAAGCGCAGTGGGATACTTACCGCACGCTGTATCCTCTGATGTCGCTTCATGACCCGGAGGTGTTCGCCCGTATCGTTCGCGGAATGATCAACATTCAACAGCATGAAGGTAGACACCTGTACTGTGAAAGTAATGCATGCAACTCACTCATGATAGGTTGGTTACCTGAGTGCCGTGGCGCTACTCTTCAGCAGTTCATCCAAGGTGGAAGCAGTAAGTTCTCGAACTGGTTTTGCATGGTTCGTCTCTCAAATATGGCTTGTGACAGACGGCGACCCTATTCTCGGAGAGTTCTTTGTCAAGTAAGTGGGCATAAAACTCAGTGCAGGTATATTCGCTGACTGCAGTTGTAGGTTTTATCAACATGCTAGCGCCCTAAATGTCTCAGCTAATGATCTGTACACTGCACTTCTTGCTGATGCGGAAGACCAACCACCCAACTGGAATCTCCAGGGAAGACAGACTACTGTCTGGAAACAATACAGTTGGTAAATCAATACTTTCCCTGTGCTCGTCATGATCATATTTCCAGATTTCATTCCTTCTGACATTTATGGCTCGGGAGGTGCTGCCACCAAGCAGGTCTCACGTACACTGGAGGTAGGAGCGCGTTCAATCTGTGAACTCATCCTCGCTTACTTCGATAGCATTCATTCAATGATTTCTCCATCTCGCAAGTTGCAAAGATTCTCAACAAAACGGATGATGTAGCCAAGGTTTGCCATTCTCCATGTGTGTGAAACCAGAACGTTAGTTTTGTGATCGCAGTACCAAGCCCGAGCGGGAAATTTCATCAATGTCTGGAATGAGACAGTTATACTTCCCGGGCATTCCTCAATCAAGGGCATGATGCAGGCAAGTCACTCTCGCCCGTAATATCGTCAACGCAGCGTAAGACTAATTGGTTTTCAGCCTCGCTTTGCAGATGGGCAGTGGAATTACACCGATCCTCGTCATTGCAGCGTAAACGATCCTCTCCACTCAACATGTTACCTCGATGCTACAAACCACGATGGCTTCTATGAGTCATCTCCCATGGTGGTATGTATCTTCACTAGAATCTGTAATGGCTTGTATCTCACAGTTCCTTACCCTCAGTATTCTCAAGTGTGTATATCTTAGGAAGATATCTATTATTATTATTGTTGTTGTTGACAGACTATCACTAGTACGTTCCTCAAGATACAGCCAAGTTGATCTCGTTGCAAGGGGGCAACGAGTCATTCATAAACCGGCTTAACTTGATCTTCGACCAGGTAAACACCTTACAACCGCAACAATACTGGGAGATTGAAATGTGTCCTTTCAGAACTACTTCGATGTCACAGACGAGCCATCCCAGCAAATTCCTTTCATGTACCACTACGCTAATCGACCTGGCCTCAGCACACAACGTTCCCGAATAATAATCGCCGAGTCTTACAACACCACGGTCAACGGTCTTCCGGGTAATGATGATTCCGGCAAGTCTTGTGAAACCTTGATTGGATGTTATCTAATGCTTGCTTAGGTGCCATGGCCAGCTACGCCGTGTTCTACCTCATGGGCATGTACCCTCTCCCCGCAACCCGCCAATTCCTTCTCGCTTCACCCTATTTCCCGAAAGTCACGTTCTATAACCCGATTTTCAATACCACGACGACTATCATTGCTAATAATTTCAGGGGCAACCCTCAGAACGGTAAGGGCGGAACTGTCTTCGTGAAGGTTCGTCACAGCCCGATTGTCTATTTTTTACCATCTCTTAATGAGAGCAAATTGCCGCAGAGCGTAACTATCGACGGCCAGCCATGGCATTCAAATTGTTACCTAGACTGGGATGTCTTCGTCAATGGCTCCACCGTCGAGCTTGAGCTCACAAGCGACATCAATACCACTTGCGGAGAGGGATCTGACGCTCTGCCTCCTTCCCTTTCGACTGGTGGATACAGTGGACCAATGTAAAGAGAAGTGAAGGACCATTAAGATAGGCGACGTTCACATCCTGGTTCAATACCTAGCAGGACTTTTCCATGAATATATCTCCCAACTTGTTATATGCTTATATGTAGATTCTGTAGTAAAATAAAACGCTACAAGTTATTCAGCAAACTGAGGGACGAGTAGGCAACGCAATTATATTGAGATGCATGTGAATTCGTTCACAAAATTCGTAATAAAATCATAAACAAGTCGTATGCGCAAAGGAGTGAAAAACAGGTTTGACGGCATGGTTCTGATCCTGTATATATAAATCACGATCCGAAGTTAACAATCTATGAGTTGCTTAGGGTAAAAAGGTTGAAAGCATCAATAGACACAGTAGACCTTCTCCGTACTTAGCTCTTTAATCGTGTGCCAATCTCGAGATGGTGAACACCGCGATGATCGCGACAGCAAGTGCACCAATGCTCGCAGGGAGCAGCAAATCCTTCGGGATGCCCATCACCAACTCCTCCTGCGGTGGCGTGTATGGCCTTGTAGGGGGAGCCACAACAGGTTCGGGGATTGTCACAGCCTCTGCCTTCTCGACTTCCTTCTCTTCCTCCTTCGCAGCCGCATTCACCTCCGCGGCCTTTGCCTCGCTCTTCTCCGCACCAGCATCAATCCAGTGCTTCCCCCCCTGAATAAATAGCACAACCCGATCCGACCCCGCCGACCGCGCGATCTTTACCGCGTCTGCAATATCCGTGTCGCTCGTAATGAGCACCGTGTCCCCATCTGCATCCGTGTAGGATAACGTGAAATCTTCAGGGTCGGGCCGCTCGGTGGGTGAGCCTGCGAACTCAGTAAAGAACGGGTCCGTTGCAAGCTTGCCTTGCACGATCTCGCGCAACATCTCGACGCTATCGTGTCGTGCCTGGAACCGGTGGGTGCGCCCACTTGGCGTGCGAAACTTGAAGACGTACGTCCCATCGTCCACCGGTACGCTGGAAGTCGCGCCTGTGATGGCTGGAATCGTACCCTTGCGCTTTCGCAAGTAGCCCTCGAGTCCAGACTCGTGCTCCTCATCGACCACGGAGGCGGAGTCGTTCGGGTGCACTTCGGAGTACGGGGACTGCTGAAGGCGGGTGATGTTGTGCGTAGAGAGAGAGTGACCTTCGGTAGGGACGTGCGAACCAGAGACGACGGACTCGTTGTCATCTTGGCCACCAATAGAGTCGAAGAAGCGGCCCCACATTGGTCCACCTTCGGCTTCCACAGTTTCACCAGCGGTTTCCGTGCTCATAGCATTCATCTGAAATTGAGTAAGCACAGACCAAACCCACGAAGAGACTTTACCCACCTGCTCCAGGGTGGCGTATGTGAGCTTCAGGACATCAACGATGGCAACTAACTGTCCGTCGCTCTCGACAACAGGTAAGTTCAGATAGTGGCCATCTGGCGGCATCTTCAGCACGGGCAACACCAAGCACCAGAACACTTACCGTGCATCTTCTTGAGCGCATCGTGCACACTCATGGTAGGAGGAGCAATGTCAGGATGAGGGGTCATTACACGAATAACGCTACATATGCCAGCATCTAGACCCGCAGCGATGACGCGAAGGACAACGTCCTTGCTTGTGAAGATACCAGCGATCTTGGGGTGGGAATCACCAGCACCTGGTGTATTCTCCATGACACAAACAGCAGTGACGCGACGTTCCTTCATCAGCTTGGCTACCTCACGGACAGTCGTTTTGGGGGTGACAGTTGCAGGTTGCGTTCGCGAGTCCATGACAGTCGTGAGATCCGGCAATGCAGTTTTCTCGCGGAGAGCATCGACATAGGCAAGCATAGCAGCAGCTTGTGGGTTGGAGGCCATTCCTGGGCCAAGCTCGGATTGCACGCCCGCAAGAGCGGTATATAATTTCTCGGACGCGGACGAGGAACGCTCGACCTTGTTCAGTGCTTCATGGAAGACCTTGGTGATGTCAAGCAATCCAACGACATTGCCTTCCTCATTGCAAACGGGCTAACATTTGGGTTAATATCGTTCATATTCGGAGAATCCCGTAAATTCATACCAAGTGACGGAAGTGACGTTGAACCATAAGCTGAAGAGCCTCAGTCGCGCTAGTGGTATCCCGCGTGACCATCGGGTTCCGGGTCATGATCTGACTAACTGGAGTGGTATGGGGGTCAAGGCCATCAGCAGTGACCTATAAAATTATTAAGGGTTGATCGTCAAGTGAAAAATAGTCAATGACGTGCTCTGTATGCCAAATCCTTAGCGGTAAAAATACCGCTGAGTCCTTCTTCATCGTCTACAACAAGGACACAGTCCGTCCGTTTGGCCGCACATAGCTGACTAGCCTCTGCGACAGTAATGTTATCGGGTACAGTGAGTGCAGGGCTGGGCTTTAATGCAGCAACAGTGCCTTTCGTAACAACAGGTTTTGCTGCACGTTTTCCACGGCCACCTGCATGATGCGTTGTTGAGATGATGCGTTTTCGGGCAAGCTGCGACTCTATTTTCTTCCGAATGGCCTGTGAAGGAGGGTCAGCGACTGAAACGGCACGGTCGGGTGTGCGGCGGTGGGATATGATGTTTGCCGCAGAGTGGGCACGCCCTTGGTAAAGAGGTGATAAGGAACTCATTGAAAGAGTATGTACACGTGTACGAAGAAGCGTACCGTAAACAAAATTGCGCGTCCGGAAGCCGAAAAACGGAAAGAATAATGCTTACCTCGTCGTGCTTGGTCTGCTTTCTTCGGGTGTCAGCGGCAGACGGTGAGATACCAGATAAGTTGGACATGGATGCTGATGAAGTCTGTTTGGGTGCTGGTGGTACTGGGGAAGGAGCGCGATCGTGATGGAGAGCTCTGTTAGCGGACGGCGAGTGTGATGACGGGACAGGAATGCGAGAAGACATGAATTGTATTGAGAAACAATTAAACGACGTTGACGACAGTCGCTGTCGCTGCGGATTTAGTTTCTCGCCGTTGTGGTCGACGTTGCTCGCGCTGCCTGAGTCCGTGCGTTTGATCCTTCTCAATCTTCCAAGAAAGCAATATTCGGACTTTGCTCTTATTTGGCTACAGTGGCAGTGCAGTTCAGGGCGGCACCGACAGGCCCTGCGGCCTGCCCTCGTTCGTATTCAGGCCTCAGGCTGCGCCTTCTCCAGTGTCCACTGCAGCACAATTCCAGTCCACTATATTCCTGCTGTTATAGAATAAGTATGCTCCACCAATCACCAACATTACAACGTCGTTTTCTGGCAAAAATACCTCGGTCGCGCGCTCAGATCGTGACAGAGCATGACCCACTAACGAGCCTAACGACTCCAACAGCGAACTCAACGACTCCCTGGGATAGCTCCAGTATCGAAGTAGTGACACTCCTCCCCAGCTTCAATATACTCTCAATCAAATTTCGAACAAGCGCGAAGACAGCTTGAAACACATCTAACACACAGAATACAGTAATGACTCCAGTCCAATATATAGCAGCTCGGGAATGCCAGAACTTCTCATAGCTCGTGATCACTGGCCACCGTCGAAACGTTCAACGTGAACAAATTGGCATGTACGACCCGGCGAGTGTGGCAGTGCAGTCGTTTATGTCCAGGGACTCTTCAATCACCGACGCGCCCTATGACTTTCATAACTTCTTCTTCTTCTTCTGCAACACCTCTAACCCCCTTCCCTGCTGTCTGAGCGTGTACAAGTAGTACACTCCACCAATCACCAAAATTGCAGCGAAGTTTGCTGGCAAGTGTATCAGTTGCAGGCTGAGAACGTCACTGAAAGGGATCGTGACCCACCAAAAACGAACCCAAACACTCCCTGGAATAACTCCAGTACCAGAGTAGTGATGCTCTGTCCTAGCTTCAGTATACTCTCTACCGTGCTTTGAACAAGCGCGAAGACGGCTTGAAACACAGCTAGCACAGAATACAACAACGACAGCCCGATAGCAGCCAAGGACTGCCCAAAGTTCGTCAATGCAGCAATAATCGTTGCCATAAGTAGCTCGTGATGGTCAAGTTACAATGAGATCGCCGTGTACCATTTTGTGTTTGGTGGAGTGGATCAGAACGCAAGTGGTCATCGACGTCATCGGAGCCAGGCCAAAAATCACATCCTTGGAGCAATAATAATCTATCATTATACGTTAGTGCAAAAAAAAGATGATAGAGCCATTGCATATGTGCGGTAAATGGGAAATGTCTAGGCGAGCTATCACATGTTCCTTCCCAAAAACCCAACATTTCACATCCACGTCCACGTCCGCATCCTTAATCCCTCCTCGCACCAGCAGCAGGCTCAACGACGGCACTGCCGCCCCACCTAACAACCAGCTCGCGCACGCGCATCCACACTTGACCCACCGCAGGTGGGACTGACGGGTTCCTCGAGAGATCCGTGATACGCTTATCGGCAAGCGTAATGGCATCACGCGTGAATTGCGAGTGGAAGTAGCGCTGATGAAGGAAGTTGGCATAGACCAGAGGCATCATGAGCGAGTTACGGAACAGAAGTGCGCCGAAGAGAACGCGCGCGAAGATGACGAGCTCGGTGATGGCCACGATGCGCATCGCAGTGTCGTAATTAGCTGTGTGTGTGACGTGTCACTCACAAATGTCAACTGCAAAAACTTAGAATATACCTTTGACCCAAAGGTGGAGCTTCTTCGCCAAGGGATGAGGCTGGGGTGCTCCTCCAGCAGCGAGAGGTGCGCCAGGAGGCAAGAATTGAGGCATCAACGTCGTACGAGTGAATGTCAGCGCATGGAAAAGGGAGAACACGAAGTAAGGGAACAATGCAACTGCGCTTCATTAGTACTTGTGCCAACTCCAATGGTATAACGCACTGGTGACCGGCCTGGAAGTCCACCAGAAGATAGCCAACAAAAAGTATTGCACGTTCTGCATCCACCGGTCATCTTCAAGAGATCAAAAGGGGTAAATAGGATAACCCACCTCGTCTGCGAGGGCCCGTCTAACATACGCCATGTTCGGCTGGGGAGTCTACAACCATGCCTCAGAAACACACGCAATACATGCGTTACGTCATAAACTCACCCCAAGCGCCTTCCTGAACACGCAACATCCACATCAACACGCGATCTCCACGTTGACTGACACGCAGAAAGTACTCACTGGCAAACAATGAAATAGGACATTAGGGCGCCAAGGAAGCTAGCTGTAAGCATCGCAAAGGGGTCTGTGAGAACGAGCCTTTGGAAGGTTGAGCAGTGAGCTGCGCACCCTTGTACCACCACGAGGAGACGCTCTTGAACATGATCCATGCTAAAAAGTAACGGAATCCTGAGAGAAGGAGCAAGAAGTGTCCACCCGCCCAGAGATAGTGCTATTGTGTTTCGATGGGGAATGAGACAACGGAAGCAAAGTGTGACAAGCCGGGCTCGTCAGAACAATAATACACAGTTTTTAGTGAAATGAGAAGACTGACCTGCGTAGTTGCCATTATACTTGAGGTAGATCACTGAGTGAGTGAAGTGGTTAAAGAAGAAATTTTGAGCTGGCAGCTGATGTGTGGCCAGAGATGTCAGGCTTCTGCCTGGTGTTCAATTTAGGGCAGGCGCACACGTACACCCTTACAAAATATGGGCGCTTATGGGTGCTCCCATGTCCGGTCCCGCAGCAACTGCGCTGCTGAATCCTGATGTAAAATATTACGCCAATGCAACAAACAGCCAGTAGTAGACATAATCGCATCACAGTGTTACCCGCTCCATTGCTGCCCAGACGCCTTCGCTCTCTTCCGTTCCTTCCCTTTCCGATACATCTCCTTATCTACTGCTTTCTTGCCCAAAGTCTCGACCCGCCTTTCTTTCTCCTTTCTCCGCGGTTTGCTCCGCTGGGACTCCTCCTCTTCCATAGCCTCCTCTCCACTTTCTGCACCGCCACCAAGTGGCATATCCTCCCACTCCTCGTCATCCCCATCCACCTCATTTCTCCGCCGCTTGTCACCAATAGCAGGCTTCCCACCACCGATATTGACATTCACGCGCGGGGGGACAGCGAACCCAAACGCCTTTCCAACCTTTGCAAGGTCCAGCGCATTAATGTCAAATATCTTCTTCAGCGAATACGATGCATATGCTTGCAGATACGACCGGAAACCATCTCTTGCCGACTGGTGCAAAAAGTAGTTCTTTTGTAGAAGCTTCTCCAGCTATACACAGACGTGATCAATTCATTCATATCGTAGAGCCTATGAGCGCCTACCTGACTCTGCACATTCGCGATCCGGTCTGCGGGGAACGTGAATTCATTCAGCGGAACCTTTGCTTCCTTGAGGTACCGTAGGAAGCCAAGTTCGCTTTCTAGCAGGAACATCAAGCTCTTCCCGACCTTGCCAGCGCGCGCCGTTCGACCCACACGGTGAATGTAGTCCCGAGGGTCGTCTGGAGGATCAAATTGGATGATCCAGTCTACCCGTGGGATATCGAGACCGCGGGCTGCGACGTCTGTGCATAGTAAAATTCCAGACTCGGCATTTATGAACTCGAAAAATGTGTTTGTCCGTTTTTGTTGTTTTTGCTTGCCCTGTGATGCATCGCGTCAACTTATAACACGAGAATATGGGCGGATCAGGAGCATACATGCAAATCGAGCACAGGCACATCGATGTAATTTAGCAGCTCGCCGTGGTATTTCACGGAATTGCAGCTCGAGAAGAACACGATGACTTTCTTCTTGAGGTTCTTTTTGAGGAAGGTGAAGAGAAGGAGGAAGCGGCGGTCAGAGGAGCAAACAACATATCCTTGTGAAAGTGTTGAGACAGTGCTTGTCGCCTCTTCTTTGTCGACATCGACGTGCAGAGGCCCCGGACGAAGAGATATTCGCGCGAGGTCTTGTACTTTTGTAGTTTGAGTAGCCGAGAAGAGCATGGACTGTCGCTCATCTATGCTGCAATTTAGTTCCTTGCAAAGGGGTAGGGATGTAAAAAGACCGAACCATTTGGAAGGATTTTTATTATCTTCTTCATTTCCTCCTCGAAACCGATCTCCAGTATTCGATCTGCCTCATCTATCACCAAGGCTTTAAGATTTCGGAAAACAAATCCTTTTGTGTTCTACCGAGACAAAGTTAATGCATCAATATGATGTATGTAAGGTTTTGAAGACATACCTCGAGGTGATCGAGCAGCCGACCAGGAGTCGCAACAATCAAATTAACACCTTTCTCCAACTTCTCCGCCTCGGCCCTCCTATTTGCACCACCGATAACAATACCAAAGGTCTGCGAATGATGTGCCATGAGATCTTTTGCAACCCCGAATATCTGCAGCGCTAGTTCTCGTGTGGGAGAAACGATGATAATTCCAGTACCTGACAAAAACAATCATTCAGCTGCCTCACAAGATGAAGTGAACGCAAAATGCACCATTTCTAGGTTTGAACTTCATCCGATGCAGGAGCTCGACCGCAGGTATGAGGAATGCAAGCGTCTTTCCTGATCCTGTACGTGCAGCGCCTAGGACATCTTTGCCTGCGAGGAGAGGGGGTATAGCTTTGGCTTGTACGGGGGTCATTGTGGTAAAGCCCATATCTGCGAGGGCTTTGTTTGTTGGCTCTGAGAGCTCAAGTGACGAGAACGGTTCGCGGTCAGAGACATCTTGCTGTGCGTCCGCAGATGAAACGGTAGAGTCCCCTGCCATGGCTGTGATTCGCTGATATCAGTGAGTATATTTTGAGCACAATAAATGTGTTAGATATAAAAAAACCCGGGAAGAGACCAGCCTGCAATTACAAGCGACGAAGCGTTATGTGCACTCGATCAAAGATTTCGAAAAAGCTACTCTCGGCAAACTCCGACCACTCTCATACCAATGTCTCCGTCAGGCAAGTAAATTATGCATAGAACACAAGACAATAGAACATCATGACTTATACTACAAACACATCATTATAGCACTATCACATGTGGTGGTCGCAGGAGCTGCCCTAGGGCTTGGCTACTACCTTGGATCACGATTAGGCACCCAGGACGCTGCACCTATTGTCGCACCTACTGAGCCACCGTCAGAGCCGAAGAATATAGAGCCACCCAAGGCCGAACCAGTGGTGGACAGTGACGAAGAGGATGACGCGCTTGCAGATGGAGATCTCGGCGCGGTCAAGGCAGGCTTCATGCAACCTTGCAAATTGGTATGGGCTGGCATCCATTCGACTGTCCACTTGCTGACTTCACATGCTGACTTCGACCTCGAAAGGTCTTAGTCGTGCGAACGGATCTCAAAATGACCTCTGGAAAAATAGCTGCACAGTAAGTGCCATTCGCTGTGCCCAGGTCACTTGAGATTGATTGTTTAGGTGTGGGTGAGTGCTCACGCTGTGACAGGTGATAAACTATATTGAATGGCACGACGACTTTCAGACACGCAACATTAGCATGCTACAAGGCATTATCGAGGACAAACCCTGCGGTACGCTCCAAATGCTTATTTTTTCAACCCAGTCATTGAAATGTCTATAGCTCGTGCAACATTGGGAGAGGATCGGGTATGTGGAGGAAGACTCGCTTGTCCTTCACTCATTGACCGCTGCAACCTAGTCAAGCTAAAATTGCACTGAAATGCTCGTCAGAGGACGAGCTCCTTGAACTCGAAGCAGTTGCCAAGAGTCTCAATCTCTGCGCTCGATCAATACTGGATGCGTGAGCATTCCTTTCGACCATACATCACCATACCTGTTTGCTGACCCTTTCTCTCGATGTAGTGGTCGTACACAGATCGCGGCAGGTTCCCGCACTGTTCTAGGTATTGGTCCAGGTAGGTCAATTCGCTTGTCATGGTCGTCCATACTGAGATTCTTCGCAGCGCCCATAGATCTCATTAACCAGGTGACAGGCCACCTGAGGCTCTTGTAGTCCCGGCGGGATTCTTATTTACGTGCTGTACAAGACGGCGACACCAATCGTATGCTTGCATCGCCCAGTCACCCAGGTGTCTGTTTCAATGTGAGGATAGTGCAGTGTGATATAGTACAAATGAGTAGTCCGTGTGCATGCCGTCTATGCTTCGTGGGTCTAGGTTGTGCATCTAGGTTGTGAAGGCTTCCTTCCTCCTTTCCACCGCTCACACTACGTCTCCACTCGTTCCCGTCCCGCCGTTTCCTGCATTATCTGTAAAGCAACAATCAGTTCTCAGTGCCGCTGGCCAAGACATTGTAGAGCTTACTTGAGCCGATATTGATGAGACCGCCGGGGACGCCGTTAACCGAGCCACCTGGTGCTGATCCTCCCGTTCCGGTGGTCACGTTCCCGATGGGCACGCCCTTGAATTTTGATGATCCAAACTTTTTTGACCCAACCCTTTGAACGGCTGCTGAACCTGAACTTGCCACCCCTCCTGATCCGGCGTTGTCTAGATAGTGGGTCAGATAGCAGGGTACCAGGGTGAGCGCCTTACTTACTTGATCCGATGTTTATGATATCAAGACCGTGACACCCGAACAAGCTTAGGGGGCCTGTGCAGTTTGTGGTCGCACCAGTGCCAATGACCGACCCCGCAGGTGCTGAACCGCCTGCGCCGGTCATGACATTACCGATTGCATTGCGCGGTGTGATTCTGCGAGGTGGTAGGGCTCTAACGCCAGCAGTGAGAGCGGTGAGAGCGAGGATGGCACTGTAGAAATGCATGATTGTTGGTTGACGGCGGGTAGAAGGCAAGAAGATGAGCGGGAAGAGGTGGTGGAGGTTGGCGGTCAAGAGGGGAATAGCGAGATGGAATGTATACGGCGGGTATTTATGGGTCTGCGCGGGTGGTTGACCAAAATAAACAAGTGGCTTACAGACGCGTCTAGGTCACGTGGTTTGATTTCTGAGCCTAGAAGGTGTCACAGCCACCCGTCGTCTGTCAAGAAAAGGGAAATTTCTGGAACTCTATTTGAATTGCGTCACAACTTGGAGTGACTGTTGTCAATCTTTAAGTGAACAAAAATGAGTGGAGAAAGCACCATCATAGACCTCACTTAGAGCTTGTCTCATAACCACTACCATCCAAGTTTTCGTTCATCCCTCCTATCTTCTCGTATGGCCACTCTCACTATCGCCCGTGCCTATCAGCATGCATACCACACTCACCCGAATTACACTCTCGCTGTCACTGGTGGAACCTTGAATGCTCTCGGCGACATCGTTGCCCAGATTTCGCAAAATGTTGTAAGTACACCCTTTTTTAATGTCATTCTCTGCAACTCATCCGACCCCTAGCTCGTGAAAGATCACGAGCCCAGACCTGGTTGGGATCCCGCACGCACTCTGCGTTTCTTTTGTCTTGGAAGCGGCATGAGTAAGTCCCATGCACTTGATTATCGGAGTAAACCTTGAACCATCTGCCTGCGAGGCCCTCTACTCGGGAGATGGAATTTATTCCTAGAACGACGATTCCCTCTTCGAGCGCGGAGAAGTCAACCCCGCGTTAGCTTCAGAGCTCTTTCAAAACGTGTGGCTGCCGACCAGCTAATAATGTGAGACCTTCCTTCAAATATTTGATACGATTGCAGACTGACGCCTTGGTCGCTAGGGCACCGATTGGGGTAATAATATTCTTGATTGCCACCTTAAACATGAGCTCATACGTATTCCAGCTCGTGATGTTTATAGGCTCCATGGGTGTGATGGAATGGCGAAGTCCCAGGCAAATCCACGAAAAATATACTGATATGTTTGCTCCCGCTCTTCTCACCAACTGGAAGGTTTGGCCTGTAGCACAAGTAAGTCCAAGGACGCTTAATTGTTCGTCGACGGTGAACTTAGTTTCTCGCAGATGATTAATTTCCGATATATGCCGCTGCCGTATAGAATACCTTTCCAGTCCGCCTGTGGTGTCTTCTGGACGTTGTACTTGTCCATATTGAATGCCAAGTGAGTAGCCACCCTTGTATACACGTCCGATGGTTCGATTGGTAACGCTAACTTTACAGGGAGGACGAAAGGCAAGATAGAGAGGCAGCACTACAAGGAACAGTCCGTTAGACGATCATTTCTCTTTCATAAAATATTCTTCAATCTGGTCATCGGTAAACCTCGGGTAATATCACATTCACGATTTGGTTGTAGCTCATAGATCTATCTCATTTTACCATGTTTTATATCTGACTCAATGTTATCCATTGTACATTGTAGCATATTCCGCTTAGGGTAAATTTTGGGGTACAAGCATCGCCAGATGTACTGTATTTTAAGTCTGCCCATATTTCGGCTTGAAGAATGCAGGGGGCAATTTTGATAGCACATCTACCAGCGGCCGTTCCACCAGCACCAGCTCCCCAGGCCCAAGGAAATCGAGTGCCAAGATGGGACGATAATTTGTCACCATCCGCAACTTCCTTTCACTGGCCATCTCTCCTACTGCGACCGGGCCGGTCTGCCTGCGGCGTTTCCGTGACTGGCCGGTGTACTTGCCCTCCCAGTCCAATTCGAGCTTGCAAAGCCACGAGGACCCCCAGAAGATAGCCTCTTTGGGCTTGGCCGACAGAGGCGCAACGATACCCGTCATTTCGTCATCGGATGGAGAAGGAAGGGGTTCGAATGCGACCCCGATGACTGGGTCTGCGGCGCTCAGGAACTGCTTTGGAAGACGAGAGTTGAACTCCCGTCCCCATGATGGCACTTCACCATGTTCTACGTGGAAGATGTGGATTGTGTTGTTGGGAAGAACGGCGAGGAGGATTTGCGGATTGTCGGGGAGGAAAACCAGGACGCTCGGGGGAAGAGGAAGTGACGGCAAAGTAGTGTGGTGCTAGCACAAATCAGTTCTGTATTACATCTCGGCGATACATTAAACTCACTTGTATGGAATCGAGGTTGAAGATGAATATTCGGCAGAAGTCGTCGGACGTGGCCAACCACTGGCCGTCGGGGCTCACTGCCATCTTCATGATAGCGATGGAATCGATACCACCAACCGACTGCTCGTCCTCATCTGAGGTCCGTTTGTTAGTCCCTCGCACTACTCTACCGCTTGTTATCGACCCAGCGTTGCAATGTTGGTTGAATGTCCGAAGTACGGTGGGCGCTTCCGAGCTGAGATCGATAACGAGGATAAGCGACGTTATTGCAGAGGCCATGATCAACTTCGAGGAGTCTGGGGTGAATGTAAACGACGATCCACCGGTTGAGACAGGGTTCTGAGAGCTTTGGGCGGTGATTCGATTCTCCAATATTGACGTGAATGTCCGCACCCGGCTCGGTTTGAGGAGGCCAGCGGGCTGAAACAAGAGAAGTCAGGCAAAATCTACAAGGTCGATTTCTGTATCGCTCACATTGAAGCTGAGCTCGAAAAGCTTTGCCTCGTACAAGTCAGATACGACAAGCCAACGCCCATCATCGGACAACGCGGTGGCGATGAGGTTCGTGCGCACGTTGAGGTCCATCTCGAGTACTTTCTCCCAAGAAGTCCGTGTTTCAGGATCAGTCGATGGATCAACGCCATCCACGATCACATCCGAGTCTGGAATGCCAAGAACTCGCCATATATTGACGCCTGTCTCATGCATGCTTGCCACAAGGCGGGCTTTGCGAGAAACACATATTGATGCGGTGTACGCGATGCGACGATAATATGAATCCTCGAAAGTCGTGGTGACTCTTGTTGTGAGGGGGTTGACAATACGAGGGGCAACGGAAGATGAAGTCATGCTAGCTGGCAGCGCAGGAGTGAGGGCAATAGACATGTCCAGTCCTCCAGAAGCTAGGACCGGTGCGATGTATGTCGCATTTGCAGAAGGCTTCCGCTTGTAAGAGGGGGGTATGGGGATGTAAGGTGGCCAGACTGCGAGACACCGGACGTCATGTGAGTGTACACGACGTGAGCCAGACTGAATCCATCGTGCTGGGGCAGAACTCGTTACGGAAGATGAGGTTTCTTCAGCGGTGGGAACATATGAGAACTGCACAATTTTTTGGTCAACGCCAGAGCTGAATACAGATGTGCCTTCCTGGAATCCGGCGAATTTAGTCACATAACAATATCGTATCGGACGACTTACGGGACCAATTGCAAGGCAAAGCACGTCAGCTCCGTGCGCCGGATAGCTGCAGGTTTGCGTGCAGCTCATGGAGTCCCAGAACTTCACTGTACCTAAAGAATCCCCAGACACGATGGTCCCATCGCTGTATCAAATTGGTTAGGTCGGCATATTGAGGTATTTTGCGCGTGTACTCACGCAAGTACGCCCACTGTCCAGACAAGCGTCCGTTCGCCTTTCATCTTGTCCGTCCCCATACGGTCAGTCGATCTGCCAGTCGCGACATCCCATTTCCGCAAGCTGCTATCCGAGCCACCCGTGACGAGCCATGTGTCGGTCCACTCGTCTTCATCGTCATCGCTGTCTTCGTCGCTATCAGTCCCATTGTCACTTTTCTTCGCCGTCCGCTGTTTTGGCGGTCGAGGTGTTGGCGGACCCCAAGCAATGCTCAGTATACGACTTTTTATGCGATCGAATCTCCTGTGATGCTGCAGAGTATCCGCGACTAGGGACAGCAAGCGAACAGACCCGTCTTCGCAGCCAAGCGCCAGTAGGGTCGAGGCAGGGTTGGCTGCAATACTCCAGATGGCACCTCCCTGGGAGCTAATAGTTCTCTATAGTTCAAAATGAGTCTGGTGTAGACTATACGAAGTCAGAGCATCGTACCCGAACACAGCTGCGAGATATGTCCCATTCCAGCAATTCAGACCCACCACCTGAGCTAAAAAGGCGGAGATCAGAGCACGACGGTATGGTGTCCGATGGAAATATATCCGGATAGCGTAGAGTAAAAGCTAGTGAATCTACTTTTGATGGACATGGGCCAGGTAGAGTCTAAATGCAACTTCAATTATTGTGTCAATTGACGACGCACAGCGCTCACCTTGCGCACTTGCCAAGCTTGGGATGCCTGAATCTCTCCCTCTTCGGCAGTCCATTCGAGAAGGTCGATGTTGCCATTGGCATGGCCAACACCAAGTGCCCCAAACTTCTCTTTTTGATCCCTTTCCCGTTTCTTACCTTTGAGAGATGGTAGTGGTAGCGGAGGAAACGCGAGAGCTGTGATCGGCGAAGGTGTATAGTCAACGAACCTACAACGGTGCACAGCGACAGGTCTTGACATGGCGCGAGCCTCAGCGAAGGGATAGACTTGATTCTTCAAGGCTCTGATATGCCTCACTGGCACATTTTTCTTCACTGCCTTTCTTGGACGCGTCCTTGAACCACGTGGTCAATCCTCATATTTTGCTCCTTACATCTTCGCGACTTGCTTTTGAACTTCCTCCAAAATTATTGCTTTCGATTTCACTTTGCTTTCTCGTTTTTTATAATATGTCTTTCCTTGGACGTGGTGGTCCATCACCAGCTGGTGGTGTCAACCATGAGCGCGTTGAAATGGCCATAAACGAGTGCGTTGGCTCCCATTTCACCCGGCCGTTGCAGCTGACTCTCAGGCCTTAGAATTGACATGGTTTCAGACGTCTTTAACCGCATCGTTTCGTCTGTGTTTTTTTCTGCAATTCCTGTGGCCTTGACTTATTTAATGTGCGATGTAGTTCATGTCACTCCAAGTGCATTAGTCCTCGCTATGCCGAAGGAGACCTCAACAAGGGCGAGAGTGTCTGCATTGATAGATGTGTGGCAAAGTTCTTCGAAGTTAACAAGAAGGTCGGAGAAAAGATGCAGAGCGCAGGAGCGAGTGCACAGGCCACGGGGTCATCGAGCTTCTCGCTATGAGAATGACTGCACGAGGGACATTCATGGATGGTTATGATGTGAGTCGGTCGCCTACCCAGACTTTTTCTCACCTCGCTTACTCTTTTCTTCAGAGCTTCGACTTGTTCTACAACGTAATGCATTGGTGCACGACTATCCATCCCAACACATTAGACAAACATGTATCGGACGGATCCTACTTGGTAAAGTTCGGGAAACACTCTGCTAATGTTTTCGTGTGCTTGTTCTGGGCGTGCTCCTCTAGTCTGCATGTACATTATCAGTACAAATCGCTTCTCCCATATTCTCATTTTATGAAAGGCAGACACTTACGCTGGTGCACGGGTAGTTAGCAGCTGAGATGGAATCGATTAGAGTGATATAGACAGAATCTATGAGCAAAAACTTACGAAGGTCTGTCTGCAAGTCTGGCAAACAATGTTCTTTGCCGCTTCGTTAACCTTGGTCCTACTTGTAGGACCTTTGTCTGAGCTTTTTGCAGCATTGCGTTCACGCTTTTGTGCAGCTTTGGCGCCCTGGTGGCTTGTTAGTGGGCTAGAATCACCCATTCCTATGAACTGAAGATAACTCACGTTCCCCATGTTTAAGCTAAGAGACTGAAAAAAATGGAGACCAAGAGCTGGTACGGAAAGCTAGGAAAGAAGGAGAAACCGGAACTGGTATACTTTGCGGGTGCTCGACAACGTTGCGCAGTGCGCGCACAGGACGTACACATTTGTTACGTAAGTCGTCTTAAAGACTTATCTTATCTCCGTTATCCTTCGTCTATCGTGGCACTTACAATCAAACTTATATACAGAGTCACTTACCACTGTCACATCGACTGGCGCCGATGTTCGTAAGCGGAGTTCCGCAATATTGAACAGATATATGGTGCGGATAATCACAATCTTTCGACAAGGGGGAGTCATTGCAACCAGACTCTTGTCCAAGCCTGGCACTAGAATACTGCCCAGTGTGCGACATTCTTGCAGTCATATCCGTCACTTTTCTTCCCGCATACCGCAACCTCCTCTCTTCAAGATGGATCCTAAACTCGCGTCGATCATTGAGCAGGTCAAAGTGGACATCCTCACTCCCACTCAACAACAGGATAATACGAGACAGTTGGAAGAGGTTTCCAGGTCTTTTATATGTGAGTTCAAATGGAAAGAAGTGATTTCGTCTGGCTGAAGAAATGGTAGCCGATACTATCACAGGTGTGTTCTCCACTTTTATTGAAAATCGCCTGAACGGGACTTTGTTCAGTGCCTACGAAGGAGATGTTCGCGTACGCTGTGCAGACTTCACTCGGTGACGATGTCTACAGCGAGCCATCTACAATTGCCCTAGAGGCACACATTGCTAAGCTCACAGGGAAGGAGGCTGCCCTCTTTGTAAGCAGTGGGACCATGGGCAACCAGCTTGCTATCCGCACGCATCTCCAGCAGCCTCCCAATTCCATCATTTGTGATGTTCGGGCGCATATCAATAAGTTTGGCCTGTTGCTCCATCCATCGTGACCTGGTGGCTGACTTGCCCTAGGTACGAGGCTGGCGGCGCGGCAATCCACTCAGGTGCTCTCCAGAACACTTTGACACCTAAAAATGGCATGCATGTGCTTATACGGTCACACACTCTATTATTAACATCTACGCAGGACACCATTTGACTCTGAAGGATATCGAACCTCATGTAGTGTTCGGCACTGATGTACACAGGTATGTAGGTTCTGCGTGTCAAGGATTCCTTTAATGTCTATTAGCGCACCAACGCGAATTATTTGCTTGGAGAATACGCTGAATGGCACGATCATGCCTCAAAGCAACATCGTTGAGATTGCTGATTTCGCCCACAAGAATGGCATACTGATGCATCTTGATGGTGCACGTCTGTGGCACGCCGCTGCGGAAACCCGGACACCGATTGATGAACTCTGCGCACCATTCGATTCAGTCAGTTTGTGCTTCAGCAAGGGTCTCGGTCAGTATCATCATCAGTACCTACAAGTAAAGACTGACTTGCTGCAGGTGCCCCTGTTGGAACATGTCTCGTTGGTCCACATGCGTTTATACAGAAAGCACGCTGGTTCCGCAAGATTTTTGGCGGGGGGATGCGCCAGACTGGTGTTCTTGCTGGGTCAGTCGCTTACGCACTCACGCATAATTTCCCCCTCCTTCCTAGGGTCCACGCTCTAGCCAAACGCCTACAAGCTGGTTTAGAAGAGCTTCAGGTCGGCATATTGAGCCCCGCAGAGACTTGCATGGTAAGCCCCGCTGGATTTTCTCGATCTTTAATTTTCAAATCGACTTACAACATGAAATAGGTTTTTTATGATCCTTCCACAATCGGTGTCGAGTACTGGGAAATCATAGATCGTGCGGCTGCATTACCGAAGCCCATTAGTCTTACTGGCTCTCGTCTCGTGGTACATATCCAAACATCGCCCGAGGCAGTGGAAGACTTCTTGTCATTGATAAGAACGCTGAAGGAGGAGAAGGTCAAAGCGGGTGTTGTTCCCTCACTAGTGACCTCAGACGGGATGAGGAACGTGTACGTCAGGGCTTCGAGGCCCTCCACACCCACTAGATGATTCAACACATACAATGTGACACCTGCTGTCCTCAACGATCGCAAGCGTGTTAGAAATTTCAAATAACTACAATGCGATGTAGTATACCTGTTGAAATCGGAGGGATGGAGCCTGCGGTTAAGTGAAAGAGACCTAGATGATGATCTCAAGCGTTAACTTATGTTGAGCGCTGGGCCGGCCCGGCCGGTAGTTCTAGTTACAACACAACTGCAACCGTAGCATACTAGACTGCAACTTGAACTACACATCAGGTTTGGCAGTATCAATATTGTTGCAGCTGGTCTACACAATAGCAGGTGAGTCGCTTTCTGACTTCCATTCCAAATGAATTACACAACGATGTTCATTCTTGTGCCGCAATACTAGTTTCAGATAATGGACCACCAGTGCCGGACATCAGTAAACCGATGAGACCTTGATATTGTACCCGTGCGAATTATAGAAGGGCAGAATTCTGCTCCTGCTAAATATCGCCATTTATACTATAAGAAATTTGATTTGTAGATACATCGCCTGCAAAGCTACAGTAACATGAGCGGTTCACGACAAGGTTATGATGTTCCTCATTTGCAGCCGACGAGGGATAGTAGCTTACATATGCCAAATATTTTGCGCATTGTCATTTTACCTTAATTACACTTTGCACCACAAGCTCATCCAAGGCAATCTCGTGGGAGGTACCTTTGGCACTCGTCAACGAATGTATAATGACGTGAGATTTCATAACAAAGTCTTGATTTGCGGCCATGAAGACCAACGATGCACGACAGCGCACTCCTCTTCACCCCTTTGAATATTCTTGTTTTGCTTAGTCTATGTCTTGAATTAAAACATTATCCAGGACCTTATAGTGGGAAGCGCCTTTGGCAATCAACAACGCGAGTACAGTAGCATTCAACTTTGCATCAAAATTGTGACGTTCAGCCATCACCGCACAGAAGAACAGTATGCAAAACGGTTGGAATGATTTCAAACCCTGGCCTTGGAGAAGGTATTTTTCGCATCTTCTCAGGCTTGATTAGTAGAACGACGATGAGGACTAGGAGTCCGCTGAAAATAAATTTTCACATGTTCATGGGTGCGTAGTAAGATATGAGTAGAAAGAGACGTAGTAGTTGTTGCATATTATTCAAAGCTTCATTATCCCTCTCGCTCGCCTGTATCACTAATCACAACTTCCTCTGGTGTTAGAAAGACACGAGGTCATCGTCCTCGTCGATACCGTCCTCAATATCTTCCATCTCTTGGTCATCCGGATCACCAATGATCTCGTCATCGTTGCACTCCGCTTGGTCTTCTTCACTGTCATCATCATCTTCCTCCCCTCCGGGTCCTCCTTCATCGTTGTCATCACCTCCACCCATTTCGCTGTCGCCCTCACAGAGCCGAACCTCGTCGGCATTGTCCGGGCAATCCATGAGGTCCGCGTTGATAGAATCCCTTGTCATCTCACGCAGCACAGTGGGATGTCCAATCCCATAGGGTGTGTACCGCATGAACATATCGCGGTCGACAAATCTAAGGGTTCGCTAGCTCGAGTAAGGACAGCAGGATGGGAGATTGCACTTACATGCCAACGTAGTATGCCTCCCAATCATCTAATTGGGCATCTTGACGTGCGAACGACTTTCCATGGCGAAGGGAGGTTGTTCCACGCCCAGAAACGAAAGCTGGAATTAGATGAGCGCCTCGGATAACTTGGCCGGGATCTAAAAACCCGAAGGCATCGCGATCAGATTCATCGACAAAAGCAAGCTTTGGGAGTCGAGCGCGGTGCGTCCCTGACCGGTGGTCGACCAAGCGTGCTAGCCATCTAACATAAAGAACATCAATTTTGTGCTTTTTGATCATGCCTTCAACGTTGATCAATGCATCCATGTGGTAGATGCCCAGGACGCGGGCATACCAATATGGATGATTCGGCTTCGTTTCCCCAGAGAGTACCATGATGTCGGAGTGCGTCCGAGGATTTATGGTATCATACTCTCGCCTAAGATCGTAAGTCGTGTAGTGGACCTATGAAGTTGAAGGATCATACACTAGCAAAATTTTACAACATATATGGCGTACCTGCATTGTTTGAACAGAGTACAGTCTATTGTCTGAGATGATGACCGAGTTGCGCTCGTCATCTGAGAAGGTATGGTCGCAATAACCAACATCTAACTTCTGAAGCCGGTATAAGATATGGTCCTTAAGTTTCGGTATGAACATCTGCACGTTATGGTGAGCCGAGATGAACAACGGGGAGAGCGGCACTTACTGCTAAAGCTGGGTCGTTTTCGTTATCTCGAAGGAAACTGAAGATATGCAATGGAGTATTGAAGCTAAGCTTCGGTATATAGTGGTGGCCATTGAACCCTGCCGGCGACTCGACCTGTACCTGCTCGCAGCTGTGACCTTTCTGTGTCACTCGTCGAAGGACACGACGACGACGCTCGTGCTTAGCCAGCTGAGCCGGTGTATCTAGTTTATTAGTCAATGGATAGAAAGCTTTCAGTGCCCTATGCGCCAACTCTCCCTGGCCCAAAATCAGATTGAAATCGGAAGACACTTAGCAAAGAGTCACATACAATTTGCGAAGTAAACGAGTCTATCGTTCCAAAGAGACGGATCGATTGTAGATAATCTCCCATGGCGTGAAATTTGTAAGTATGCAGATTGAATTTTTTGACCCTTTGGCCGCCACTCGCCGGATCTCGATTGTTGGAATCTGTTCGCGCAGCCTTACGTTCGCGAGCAGCCTTTTCCTTTGGTAATTCAACTGTGGTGAAAACAGCACAGGTAAAATCCCGGAAGTTGCGCAACTGGAAAGAGAGCCTCTTGAATGTGGCATCCAGAACTGACAAGGTAGTTTCGGAATGGATCCTTAGTTTGGCGAGGGCGTGCCATTGGGCAAACCTGTACAACAGGGACTGGTATGATTGCGTCGTGGTCTCCTGGGAACAGCCCTTCGAAGGCCGGCATAGCGCACTGGATAGAATATCAATGATGCATAGCGGCAAGTTAACCAGCAAGACAAACCTGCAAAATGTCCTCGAAGTCGCGCGCTGCGAGTTTTTTCATTTCGGAGGTGTTGTTCGCAAATTTGCGAATGACTCCATTGCCATACGACGGAATTTGACGAAATCTATATTTAATACAATCACTTTCAAATCAGTGAGGAGAATGGTGTGACAAAACCTGGTATCGAGAAGTGTAACCAGGTCGTTACCCCCCGGGAAGCGCGTACAGTAGCCGGATAAGATGGGTAAATAATGCTTTCCATGTACCCAGCTCGCATTCGTGCATAAAATCGACCCACAAGCATGCGAAATGTGTCGAATCCTAGTGGCCCGAGTTTTTCTACAAATGCGTTCTAGTCGAATTTAGGTATCAATTGAAGGAAATTTATTCCGAAGGCACTCAACCACAGTTGGCACCCATGACCCTTCTCCAAGTGTGGCCTGTACCTTTGAGCCGTCGACAGTATTTCCCTCGCGATAGATAAATGCGCGGGGCATTGGTTACCTTCACCAGACAGTAAATTCGAAGATTAGTGAGGCGATCTTGCATATCTTTAAACAGGCCCAGGAGATCGAACGAGGATTTCGGCATGAGACAGCGTGGACATGGGCAAGCGCCCATGTCTTTGATTGTCGCTATTTAAAACCCTGAGACATTGATTAGTGTTTGAGTAAGGAAACGAAAAAGTGCTCACTTCTCTGGATAATCAGCCGAGTAAGTGAAGATGCGCGGAAAGACTCTTCTCAATATGCCATCCGGACATCGGAGTATAATTCCATGGCGGTATGCCTCGAGGAAGTCCGCGTCCAATAAATGTTTCCAACATGCCTGAAATAAGTCCCGCCGACAATGCGCATGAAGGGTTGCCATCCCGCTTTTCGATATCCTAGGTAAGGTGCCGAAGACATCCTTGATACTATCCGGGAGCTTAAAGTCCAACATCAGAGAGACACAACTATACGGGAGGCAATTGACTTACGGAAGGTAAGAATCCAACGAGATGACATGCACCAGATTGAGGTGCCGAGCGCGCATACTTCGTTAAATTTCCGAAGTACAAATAAAGCGGCCACGCTTTAGCCGTTCCGAAGGCTGCGAGATGAGTGGCATCTGAAAAGAACATTAGTCCAGCAATGACACGCTCGAGTGAGCAACCGGGTTCTTTCGGCTGCCTCTGCAGGTCGTCCTGAGCTTCAAGCCACGAGTCGGAGGTGTAAAGCTCGTCGAATACGCGTTCTTGATGGTCATCTAAAGGGTCCTTCCACAGGCGCTTGAAAGGAAGAAGGTGGAATGCGCTGGCTTGGATGTCTGCGAACGCGGAACGAATCACGCCCACAAGCGGCCGGTAATGAAAGCCCGGAATGCTAAATGACGTGGATGAGTCGTCTTTCGACCTCGTCGGTATGTCGAGGGTTATATCTGTCTCCAACCAGTCATCAGGAAAAGTGACAGCACCCTTCCCTCTGTTGTCGTCCAACACGCGCAAACTCTTCCTCGCTGAAAATCCATCCAGGTCCCTGAGGTTGAAGTCCTGTGCTTGAATCACGTCCTTAACGAGGCGCGTTACTTCAGCCTCCGATTTTTGATGACTCCCAGAGTTCATCCATGACATAAGGCGGTAGATTGTCATGTTAGGGAAAGGATAAGGCGGCTCAGAGACACCGGAAAATGGATCAGACGTCTCAGTATTATGCACATCGGCCACTGGACAGGAGTGAGCTAGTTGTGAAGACGGAATAAATTTATTCGGGCTCGAACGAGGGCCGCCTTGGGTATTGTCGACAAAGGCCGACCACGTTAAATGCTGTTTGGAGAGAATCGCGTAGCGTAAGAAGGACTCTCTGGATTCTGCGCTGTGGTGGATTCTGCGCTTCAGTTACGGGAGGAGGATCATTCCCAGAAGAATCAGAAGGGTTGATATCTTCATCTGCAGGTAGCCGATCCTCGAAACTTCTTGGGGGTAGCCGCCTAACCGTCCGTCGCGAAGAATGTTG